TATAACTAAGTAATAATAAGCTATATATAAGATTTATAATAGTTATTTATATAAAGGGTAGCTTAGATATTATCTTTAATTTATAAATATTATTATTTACTATATTAATATTATTAAGTCTTATTATTATTTATTAATAATTATATAGATATAGATATTATTATTTTATACTATTTTTATATTTTTTTTTATAAATTCTATATATTTTTCTTTTTTTCTTTTTTAATATTAATTTCTAAATTTATTATATTATAAAATAAATAGTTTTTTCTATAAATCTTTATCTTTTTAAAATAATTTTTATTTTTTAACTAATTATTTTTTATATATCTTTTTAGTATTAAGGTAATTAAGGTCTTTATAATATTAACTTAGTTATTTAATAAGAATATTATTAATTTTCTAATTTTAAAGTATTTATATTAATATTTAAATAGTTCTATCTATCTATAATATAGGTAATTATATAAAGGTAATATTAAGTAATTTATTTAATTTTTAACTAATTTCCTTAGGTATAAATATTAATTCTAGGTTAAGGTTAACCTTTTTACCCTTTTATACTATAGTAATAATTAATCTTTTAGGTTTTTCTTTAAGTCTTTTTAATACCTAGGTCTAGGTTAGTTTATTTTTATTCTTTCTAGCCTACTTATTTACCTTACTTCTCTAACTAGATTTAATATTTTATTATTTTTATTTTTTTATTATATATTTCTTAAACTATTTTTTATATACTTTTTTAATTACCTTTTATTTTAAGATATAATAGTTTTATATAGTAATATTTTATACCTAATAAACTATTTTTAAGTTATTATAACCTAATTATATTATAGTAATTTAATAAGTACTTTTAATTACTATTTAGGGTTTTTCCTTTTCTTTTTATTTAATTACTTAATTACTTTTTCCTTTTAGTATTAATTTATATTTTTAATTAGTTTTAATAAGGTTTTTATATTTTATATTAAAATATCCCTTTTTTTTATAATTCTAGTAAGTAATTTTAGATTTATCTTATTTAATTACTATAATAACTATAGTTCCTAGTTCTATCTTATAAAATATATTAATATTTTATAGTTATCTTTAATTAATATAGTTACGGTTTTTATTTTAAAGGTTCTTAATCTAGCTAAGGTTATAGGTATTTCCTTATTAACTAGCCTATTTTTCCTTTTATTATTTATATTAATAATTATTAATAATAATAATAATAATTATAAAATTATTAAATATTTAGGGCTTAACTTAAATATTTACTATAGTATCTTTAACCTTAGACTTTAAGCCCTAGTATATTTATATTATATTAATAGCTTTATTTTAGTTTAATTTAGTTAATTAATATTAATATTTAGCTAGATAAGTAACTATAGATCTTTTTTAAGTTAACTATTAGATTTTAATTTTTACTTTTTATTTTTTATTTATAATTCTAAAGATATAGGTAAGTTCTTTTTTAAAGTTTCTATATCTTTTATAGATATATTTAATTATTACCTTTTATTTATAATATAAATAGTTAATATAATTATAGATAATAGGTTTTATCTCGGTTATATTACTATTAAATTACTATTAGTTACCTCTTATCTTAACTAGTTACTATAAGGAGGGGCTATTAGGTTATGTAATTTTAGTTAATTAATTATGGTAGTTTCTTCCCTCGGACTAAAGTAACTTATTTTATCCTTTTAGGACTTTTTAACCTTCGGTAAAAAACTCTATTTTATATATATAAATTTTCCTCCTATAACTCTAACTTTAATAGTCTCTTTATATTACTTAAAATACCTAACCGAATTTACTATTATTATTAAGTCTATTAGCTATTTATTATACCTACCTTTTATTAGATTTATATTACCTTTACCTAATATATTAAGGAATATAGTCTTTACTATTATTAATATACTAACTAGGCCTAGTAATTTAAGTTTCTTTTTAAGACCTTTAAAAAATAATATCTTTATTTTAAGCTATATATTTTTATTTCTATAGTTATTATTATAGATAAAAAGGCTAGGTAATAAAAAGACCTTATAATTAAAAATAGTAAATATAACTTTAATCTCCTAACTTATATACTTAATACCTACCTTAACGGTATAGTATAGGTTATTATTATAAAGTAATTACTATAATTATTTATAGCTATATTAATTATTAATAATTACTTTAAAAAATATCTTTTAATTATATTAAAATTCCCCTTTATATACCTTAGCTATATTACTATTATTAACTAGTTAAAGGTCTTTATAGAAGGTAAGTAAGGTATTAATTAATATACTAATTATAATTAAGGTTAGCTTTATTAATCTAATTATAATAATTAGGTTAATTTATAGTTTAATAGGTTATTTAGTAATTATAATTTTTATTTTATCTTAGGTAGGTTAATTAAAGTAAAGTATAAAAAGGGAAAAGTAGCCTTAGTAAGGGTTTTTATACTATTAAGAAATAAAGTTATAATTAATATAGTAAGTAACCTTATTAAATTTAAGTTATTATTACTTTTCGGTCTATATAGGGACCTTTATTATTAATATTTTTATAGATTTAATTAGAATAGCTAGATCTCTTTTTTAAAAGAATTACTAGACTTAATATAAATAGGTTTTATTATTTATAGTATTTTATTTTTTAGGAATCTTATTATATATTATACTTAAAGTTTATTAATAATAAATTATATTGAGTAATATATCTAGTAGTTTCTTAAATTAATAAGGAATCCTTAAAGCTTATTTAAATTACTATTATAGCTATCTAGTTAATAAAAATAAAGGATTTTTCTTAAATTTCTTTTAATTATAATAAAGATTACTATATATTTAATATATTCTTTATATAACTTTTAAGTATTATTTATATCCTAGCTAAATAATTTAATAAGATTTATAATTTTATTAAGTTTTTCCTTTAGGTCTTTAATCTTTAATAAAGACTCTTTAAAGTTATACTTAATAACATTTAGTAAATTATTATAATTTTTTTATATACCTTTAATAATTTATTTAAGTTTCTTAACCTTATCTTTATAAATAATAAGATTGGTCTTAAGGATCTTTTTTTTTTTTTTAATATCTATAGGTATTTCTAGGATTTCCTTAGTAAAAATAATATTCTTAACTAGGGTTATTTATTAACTAGATATAGCTATAGTAGGTTAGTTAGGGGTTATTAAAGCTATTATATTTATATTACTTAAGGTAATATAATATAATATTAAATAAAAGCTATTAATATATAACGGTTAGATTTCTAAGGGATAAACTAGTCTATATTAGGTTTATATTAATAAATACTATAAAAAGTTATATTAAATAGTTATAAAATATTATATCTCTTAAAAGTAAATAAAGTAAGTTAGGTATATTTAGGTAAAGAAATTATATTAATAATTAGTAAGTTAATATCTATAAAAGTATTAATAAGTATATTATATATACTTAGGCTTTATATATAAAGTTAATAATATTTAGGAATAAGGTTATTCTTAGATTAATATAGTCTTAAGCCGTTATTAATCTTATTAATAGTTAGTCTTATAGTAATTAATTAATATATAGTAAAACTATAGGGTATATATAATATAGGCATAAGGGTTATAATATTAAATATTAATTATAATTATTAATAGGTATTATACTATTTATAAAAGCCTATTATTATTTTATTAATAACTTACTGAAATTAAGCTAGTTTAAAAGATTATATAATATAAACTATTAGAATTTATTATAAAATACCTTATTAAAATCTTAACCTTTATTTTTATCTTTATTATTATTATTAAGGATTAATAATTTTAATAATAAATAGTTAAAAATAGTAAGATATACTTATTATAGTAAATATAGCTTATTAATTAATAAAAGCTAATTACTATATATCTTAAAAAATAGTATTTCTTTAAGGAATTCCTTATTTAATATTATAATATTATTATTACTAATTAAATTTAAAAAGGTATTAATAATTAGATATTAGGTTATATATTTATTAATAACTTTAATTCTAAAGTAATTAATAACTTAAATTATATAATAATATATTTTTATAGTAGCTAATTAATAATATAGTTATAATCTATTTAGGAATTTAATAGTATATAAAGAATTTAGTTTATTAAAAGTAAAGGGAAACTATAAATTTATATATTATAGATTAAAGCTAGCTATTTATCTTAAATAAAGTTTATTAAGGATATTAATTACTATTATTTAGGTAATTAGCTATTTAAATAATATTATTATAAACTTTAATAGATTAGTTATTATATTATCTAGTATTATATATAATACCTCTTATTATATTAAAATTTATTATATTATCTATAGGGGAATCTAATTATTACCTTTTTAAAGGTATATATTCTATTAAATACATACATACATCCTCGTCGCCGGAGCCCATAGGGTAACAGAGTCAGCACCAGGGTCTTGTAATGTCTATTTTGACAATCACAGAATAAGTAAAAAGGTTGTGAGTTGAGCAAACAGATGTACCAGAAGGCAAAGCAAAATCTCTCGTATTGCACACTAGGTGTCAATTGAGTTCGCCTCTGCAATCAAGCTTAAAAATGTTGCGTTTCCGCATCTCCCTTAGTCATAAGGGATGATATTTTCAGCACCACGACTGCTCGAAGATGGCTTTGACCGTGGACGACGAGAAATTTGACTACTAGTCTCGGGGCTTGCCGACAGTAACCACGTTAGGCTAGGCTTCGGATCCTTTAGTGGCTCCTCAAGTCAGACACTTCGTTTAGGCCTCGTTTAACCTCGTTCAACTTCGTTCATCTTCGTTTATTGTCGTTCATCGTCGTTCAGCTTTGTCGCTGCTCCGCCTCGCCAGTCGTCAACCACATGTTCCCTTTTGCTCACTGTCCATTGTTCTGCGTTGCACTGAACCGAAATTTCAACCTTTAGGAACCTTAATTCTCTCGTTCAACTGCCTTCGTTCAATCCGCACACTCTAGTACCACAGTCATGGATGCCGAGCCCCATGACGCAATCGCCATCAGGAGCAGTGGTGCCAAACCTCGTCGAGCACACAAGAAGGCCAAGACAGGATGCGCTGACTGCAGGAAGCGCCGCGTCAAGGTAAGTGGCTCCGAATGTGGCGGTGTTTCACAATTACAATTGTTCGTTCCAGGCCAACTGACACCTGACAGTGTAGCGAGGAGAAGCCCGCGTGTCGTGCGTGTTGTCGTCGAGGGGTCCAGTGCCAATACCCGTCCCAAACCACATCCTTGTCTGCGGCGCACTCACCGGCCACCGACGAGACTTCCCCATATTCATCTTCAACACAGCCGTTGGCCCATAACCACCACGTTTCTCCAATTCCCGGTCTAGTCATTCCAAGTGCGACGTCGCGTGAGCCCTCGTCTGCCAGATATAGCATGGAGGACATGGCACTGCTTCACCACTGGACGGTCTCAACCAGTCTCGGCATGTATAAGAATTCGAGCTTATCGAAATCTGGTCAAGTCCTTTTTCCGCAAATAGCTTTCAAATATCCGTTTGTGATGCAAGCTCTGCTGGGCGTGGCTGCCCTGCATATGGCATATCTTGAGCCTCATGAAAGGCTGAGACGTACAGCAGACGCAGCTCGCTACCATAGCGAAGGTTTGCAGGGTTTCAACAAAGCTATACAATTTAGTAATGACGAAACGGCGGATTCGTTGTTCGTCTGGTCTTCCCTCAATCTTCTTTACGTGTTTGGCATCTCTGGCCGACTAGGTGAAGGCCTTTGGGACGACTCAGGCTGGGGCAACCGCAAAGATCGCATACTGGGCATGGGCTGGGTTCCAATGCTTCGAGGTGTCCAAACTGTGTTGACTCCATCCTTTTTTACTTTAAGAGACGGCCCGTTGGGTGAGCTTTTGAGTATTGGAAACTGGGATGAAATAGACCCGGACAAAGTAATTGAGGCCAATGACCAGCAGTTTTGCCTCACGAGGGAGGCGTGGAAGAACAGCCCCGATGCACCAACCTACGAAAAGACGTTGCAGGTTCTTAGACAATGTCGGATGTTTATGGCACAATTTAACACCGAAGAACCCGAGGAGGCGATCATCAACAGGGCATGGCAAGGGGCTTTTCTCCTCGTGCCTTTTGCTCCTGAGGAATACTTTACTCTCCTGCAGCAAAGACAGCCACCAGCATTGATCTTGTATGCTTTTTATGGTGCCTTGTTGCATGCACTCAATGATTCGTGGCTCTTGGAAGGCTGGGGCTATGATATAGTTGAGCTTATTGATGATTTATTAGGTCCCTACTGGAAACAATGGATATCATGGCCAATTGAGGTTGTAGGTTTACACGCAAAGAATTAGGAGTCGCTTTAAAGAAATATTGTCAAATTAACCAAAGTCTATCATTGCAATACAGATGATAAATGTCCACGACATAAGAGCACCACCCACCCGAACAAGTCCATCTTTTATATCTACCCATGCGTCACTCGTCCTCCTTGCCTTCTCAAGTGTTGAAAATCATTCCAAACCAGCAACAGACACCCGCATCATACCTGTCAAGCGTTTTCTCCGAACGCTTGCATGGTGTAGCCCTTGGTAGTCCCCTTTCCCTCGAGAATTCTAGTGATCTCCGCCGGATGAAACCAGTTGAACAGGACCATGACCAAGAACATAAGTGTCGCATCAAAGATGTACAAGTATGCTTCGTGGCGTAGAAGGTATCCGTCAAAGCCCTGGAGATACTCGGCTGCTCTGAACACGGAACGCACCATGATTAGCAGACTGCCAACGTACAGAGCAAACATGTGCTTCTTCCAAGGCAGTCCACTGTCTGAACGACCTGTCGGCTTCTGCAAGATAGCTCGGTGGAAAGCAATGGCGATGACGATAAAGACGCCGAAAAAGAGGAGCTGTACGAAAAGACCTCCAATAATGACTTTAGCACCGCCTTCCAAGGCTTCTAGAGTTCCAGAAGCCTGATATCCACCACCTAAAAAAAGGGTCAGCATACGGATCATGCGAGGGGCTTCATAACTTGGGTCTTAGCCTTACCTCCACCCTGAAGGATAAATGATAGGACGTCGCCAATAACAAAGATCTTAGTCATCCACTTCTTTGGAATCAAGATGCGATCTTCGCCGTCAATCATTAAAACAATTCTGCCTAGCTCCATGTAGATCGTTGCGGCGAAGAGTGCTGGCGCTACCAGAAGGAGGATGCTCTGGATAATATAGGGCCCGAGAGTCCAATCAGGAGATTCGTTGCCAGACTTGCATCTCGCAGCATATCCGATAAGCTCAACTACAATTGATCATCGTTAGTCGGGAGGTCCGTAAATCTGAGGTAGGTATCTTACAAAAACCGCCAGCGGTTAGTGGGATGAGAAACCAAGATCTTCCTCGGTACAACTGCCAGCCATGCAGTAGGGTTGTACATATAAAGAGTAGCGTGAATATAACGCCTCCGACAACTGTGGGATGGTAGTGATAAAGCTGAAAACCTCCTGCATCTCCAGCGTCGGCTGATGAAGCTCGTTGAAGGATATTCATGTTTGGGTGTGAGTTCGGAGATGGGTAAAAGTAAAGAGCGTGAAAATTTTCAGGTATGAGGAACACTGTTAATAATCGCAAGATCTAAAAGAAAGTCGGGAAAGAAATTAAAGAAACGGGAGGCGTTGAAGTGAGATTGTAGACTTGACATGGAGTTGAGGATGTAGAGTCTTTATGTGAATGGATTGACAGACTGCATATGCTTAAAAAAGCACAGAACAACCGAAACGTATTGCTCAGCAATGCGAATCTGCCTTGGGGGTGATATTATTAGGAATGGAAGTCCACACAAAATGTGTACGATATCTAAACGATGTTTACGAACTCAGATCGCATCCAAGCCCCACCAAGCGTTTATTCGGGAATTCTTAGTCCCCCTCTTGCTCAACCTCGTTTATCCCGTTTAGCCTCGCTCAACCTCGTTCCCCAATGGCCGGACCCCCGATGTTTCAAAAATAATCCGCCCTGATTGAAACCCACTCTATCGGGCAAAACTAGAAATGGTTAGATCATATGCATTACGGCCAGGTACGCGAAGCAATTATGGGACCACTTGACATCCGGTAAAGACCCTTATTAAAGTGACGGACCTGTCACCCGCTCTGTGCGGAGAACCGAGTTAATCCTAATTCCTCATATCACGCTACCAACCATCCATTTCTCACCATCTAGAACCGATGGGTTCACGTGAGATAGAACTTCTTCCTAGTCCTGCTTCGTGCATGGACACTGGAAGTGCATCACCAGTCTCTCACAGTTTCAAGAGGCACACGAGAGTTTCTCATTCGAAGACTCGCAAAGGTTGTGTGAACTGCAAGAAGAGAAAGGTTAAAGTCAGTTCAATTACTACCGCGTATCTGCTGTACGTCGTGTGCTAATGGATCGATAGTGCGACGAGCAGCGTCCTGCTTGTTTCAACTGTGATAGACTACAAGAACATTGCCAATATCTGCTCGTACCCCCTAAAAAGAGCCCCGCAAGGCGAACCTCTCCTTCAAAGATAGCCAACTCTCAAAAGCCGGCCGAACCTTTGGGGCCAACCGAATCTCCAAGTATGGCAGTTAGTGGCAGTGGCGGCATCAATCTCGTCGATCTCGAGTTATTTCATACTTACTCGACCTCGACTTACTCGACCCTCTTCACGACCTCAGCACTACGAGAATTTTGGAGGATAACTGTCCCGCGCTTGGCCATCCAAAATGATTACCTGATGGGGGAGATACTCGCGCTTGCAGCATTACATCTTGCACATTACCGGCCAGACCAGCGACAACAGTATCTGTCAATTGCCCTAACACACCACCAAGCCGCTTCCCAGAAGGCTATGGAATTACTCAAAGATATCAATCCGGGAAATGCTGAGGCTCTGTTTTTGTTCTCGAGTTTGACAACTGTCGTTAGTAGGTCAAGCAAGCCCAGCTGATCTGGTCTGTATGGTTAATGGTCAATAGCAATAGCCACGCCGAAGCGATCGAGACTCTGTGGAATCGTGCCAGAGGACGGCGACTTCGAAGACTGGATATATCTGGTCCAGGGCACCAGAGAACTCCGAGCAGCGATGGGACAAGATGTATCTCAAACATCCCTAGCACAAATTTTCGCGTACTCCCAACAAAGGTGGTCCATACATCATTCTTTCCACTTAACATATGAACGTAGCGATGAAATATTATACGAGCTGGAAACCCGAATCAGATCCCATGTTATTGACGTCGAGAAGTTGGAAATCTTGATCGAACGGATCAACAGTTTACGATGGACATCGTGCCAGGCATTCTACTGGGAGGCAAGCGACTTGTTCTTCTGGCTTTCTGGAGGCATCGATGGATTCCTGCCCCTTGTCAAAGCGCGAGATCAAGAAGCTTGGGTTGTCCTGGCTCACTTTTGCCCGCAGCTGAAGAAGGCAGAGACGCAGTGGTGGTTGCAAAGTTGGGCGGATTGCATCATGCGCAAGATCCACCAGCAGCTTGATGAGGAGCATAGATCGTGGATCTTGAGGCCGGCGGAGGATATGGGATGGATTGCACCAGTAACGCCAGTGTCTAATACGTTACCAGCGATCAAAGTCTGATGGATTGATTTACAAACCTAGCGTATATCACGGGGTAACTCTCACGGTCGGCGTTGAACCAATAGGTATTGGATGGAATCATGATATTGACCAGGATGGTATGACTAGTAGAAAAGGATAGACCTAAGAAGCACAGAAGCAAATCTTTTCACCACCTGCTCGACGAACGCCATAATCTCGTTGCAAGATGAACTATACAAGGTGGAGGTGGAGCGGCTAGAGCGAGGGCCGATAGTGGCTTGGAGCAATTCTGTTGTGTAGGCTACTTCTATCAGAACTTCTGACCAACTCGGCATCAATAGCTATTCCTCCGTTTCGGAGATCTCCCCGAATAGCTCAGCTGGAAGAGCGTTCGACTGTAATTGTTATGTGTCATCGAAAGGTCACTTGTTCGATCCAGGTTTCGGGGATTCATTTTTGCATTTTGCACCTACACGAATTCTGTCTTCTGGAAATACCTGCGAAAAAGTAGCAAAACTTGTAATGACCTTTTCCAAAAAAAGGCTTCACCTCTCTTTAGAATGGATATAAAGCTGACAGCCTAAGAGATGGACAGGTTGAGGGTATTTGGACCAAGGCTCTCACAGCCCATTTTTATACGGCTTATACCAGATACGCTGAGAACGATGGATGAATATCAGAAGCGATTGATTGGTGCCCAGCACCCACTAGCCTTTTGACGTGAGGCGGAGTGGTTCAAATCCAGACGTCTAAGGACAGTATATATAAAGCCAATCACAGTAAGCAGAAGAAAAGAGAAAAGACGCAAGTTTGGCTGCAGCTCTTCTCATGCTGGTTGATTGCCGACTAAACAACAATTTGTCTTTGACCTAGTAAAAAGAATTGCAAATTGCTGAAAGGCTCAACAGTCTGTATAATAAGAGCTGCGTAGCCACACATAGTGTTGAAGTGGAAACTGTCAGCACCTGGAATTTAGAGAGGAGCATCGCCTCTAATCACCTGCGCCTGGATGATCTACGATTTCGTTACAGGTTGAATGGAAGTCAAAGATTTTAGTAATTTGGGCCGGCGATTAGTTTTGGAAAGGGTTTTGTATTAGACTGCTACAAGACAGTTGTAAATTGCAGAACTTAGCTCGAGCAGTTTTGGCTTTGCACACACAGAATCTGATCGTCTCTGAATCATGGATCCAATTGTTTTATTAACTCTCCTCATTTCTTCGTCTACACTCCGACCTCTCTCACCTCAACCACTTCTTATCCATCAGGTGTGCATCAAATCTCCTGATCAAATTATCTTTAGTGCCAATCTATCTCTTTCTTCCGCAGCGATATTTAGATCATTGCTTCCCTTTCGGTAAGCTCCTGCTCACTTTTACCCAGTTTTCCTTCCTCTACTTACCTACCTAAACTCATCAGGCAAAAGCATTTACTGCGAGCCTCCGACGTAGAAGTGTGTGTTCTGTCTCGACAGCTCCAAGCAGCCCCTACAACAAAACACGATGCCTCCAGCATCCAGTTCAGTACACAAGCCCAGAAAGCGAGCTGCCGTTTCAAAGAAACCACGAAAGAATGAACGACGAAAGCTCGAACTCATCAACAAACTCGCAGACACCAACTCGTTCGAGATCGAAAATCGAGTTATGCATGCCAAAGATAATTACCGGAAACTCCATGACCTTTTCTATTCAGCAGAAAAGTCGCGCGACGCTATAAAGTTATCGTATGAAGATGCTAAAAGGGCACTGGAAGGTGCTAGGAAGGAACTTGGAGATGCTGAGCAGACGCTCAATCACGCCAGGGAGAACAGAGATGAAGCGTGGCAGTCCTTGGCTCTGGCCAATAAGATGAAAGATGCTTGCAAAGCTGTAAAGGGCAGGAACCAAGCCAAACGGGCGCTCAGCAAGGCCGAAATCAGTTCTTTGGAACAAGATAATTTGGCGATGTCCCTCGTCGACCAGATTGAGCAGAGTGAATTGGACTCGTTTTTTGGAGACAAAGCACAGCTGGATGGCGATCAGTAAGGGCAAGTCACTATCCAATGTAGCCACACTACAATTTTAGTCTCATGATGGATTCAATGGTGACGGGCCATGGGATCACGCAAGGGAGCTGGCAGGTGTCGCAAACAGCTCGACATAGAAACACCCCTATTCCCACTTAATGCCTCCTAATCGTTTAGATGGTCATACCAAAATTCAAGACATCAAACTTGCCTCCAAGTCTTTTCACTTCAAGAAGCACTATGCTGGTCGCTACCTGACTTACGCGTCAGGTTTTGTGAAGGAGCCCTTGAGATCGTGACAATAAGCAATTTCGATTTATATTCGGTTCGTTCAAAGTTCCATAACCGACTCAAGCGTTGGCTCGAAATTCACACAAGCTGTTCGACCTATGTACAACTGATGCTTGTAATTGAGACCACATTGTAGAATAATTTAAGGTTCTCGCCTCATGTAGGTTTCCACAAACGCACTGTGCTCTCCTAACACTGGAGAAATTGTCAAAAGAAATTACCGTTTGACTCTCCGTGGCTTGCGTTAGGTTCAAAGTACCACATCCCCTTGGTCTCGAGAAGTGAAAGCTCGCAAGCTTCCAGCAGCGTTCAACATACCAGGTGCCTCACCCTACTTATCGAAATCGCCCATACATCTACAGAAGCGCTAGGTAAAGCACTTCTACTCCTCTGCTCTGGCGGTAACCCTATGACTCACTCGCCAATAACAGGCTCCTTCTCTCCTCTCCTCAGAAAGCAGATCGAGATTCAATGCCATGCCCCTCCCAATAATCCACATCAACGGCTTCCCTGGTATAGGGAAGCTCACCATCGCCCGAAAGCTCGTCGCCCTACTAGCGCCATACAATGGCAAACTTGTCCATAACCACCTTCTCATCGATCCTGCTGGCGCCATCCTGTCGCGCGCCAGCGCCGACTACCAACCCCTACGACGCGCAATCCGAACAGCCATTTTCGACACATTGGCTACCTCACGAGATACCTTTGACTCGGTCTTTGTCTTCACCGACTTTCAATCCGATGACGATATTGGTAGCGCTGTCATGGGAGAGTACCGTGCCATGGCAGCCCGTCGTGGCTGCGCTTTTATACCCATCGTTGTAACTTGCAGCAAGGAAGAGAACCTACGCCGGCTTACCTCCATGGAAAGATCTCAGCATGAGAAGCTAACCGATGTGGAGTTGGTGGCACGGATACGTGATAACAGCGTGATACATCAGTCGCCAGATGACTTCTTTAGGATGGAACTGGACGTCACAGAGCTGGACGAGGAAACAGCCGCGCACATGATATACGAGCACATCTTGAAGGTTTCGGAGAACAGATTGGTTTCTTAGGAGACGAGAATGGTTATTAGTACAAATTTGTTTAGGTCTGCTACCTGTTCGCCTATTACGTCTCCTTGTTTTCTACCGAGTACTGACCAGACACAATACAAAGTCATTCCATTTCCAAGTCAGGCTATTGGTTCCCCGCCATGTGGTATACACAAACCCTCGTGCTGTAGAAATAATAACCCTCAAACGACCGACAAAAGTAAGAAAAAGGAGATCATAAATACTCTGTGGGCAAAAGTTACATACAACAGCGGGGATTCGCTGGTCGTCACCGACCCAACTACTAATCCGCCCCTCATCGGCTTGACTATGGGAGAGCGGACGGGATCCCGTATTCTCCGGTGGGTATGGTCGTATGTGGTTGGGATGTTTCCCATAGCAGACTATCTACTGAGTTTATCATGGTGGTGTCGTTTGTATCAGTTGTCTCAAAAGTGCTCTGTGTACGTGTTTGTTAAAGCCTTTGCCTTGCTAAAGGCTCGGTGCTAATATTCCAGGCAAGAAAGTAATATTTTATCATAATAAAAATAAGTAATTAATAATTGCTAGTATGTTCGCGCCTAACCATTATGCAGGCTTCCATAACCTTCGCTTCTACCCCAACTCTAGAAATCGAGTCCATAGCTTCAGTAGCAAATCAGGACCCGTTTCTACTCTTCCAGGGCAGTATATAAGTAGACATTTCCTCAGTATTTCACAATATCCTAGTACAAAAGTCGCCGTCTTGAGTAGAGTGTGAAGTTAACGCAGTAGCTGCCCTATCCGAATCAGGGGATTATGGAGCGCATAATACTGCTGATTGGTATTTTGGCCCAGGTACAGTGACAGTTACAAGGATGCTCCCTTGTCAAGAATGAATTAGATCCATAGCCAGATGCCGAGATCCGGCTGACTCTAGTTAAACGGGCGACGGGCTAGGTCTCAACGTGGCGCAGTGATGCACTGAGCCTCACTGGTGACGATATTTTTGTCCAACGGCCCATTTTTCGATTCAATCATCTAATTATTAAACAACCCTCGTTACCCACATGCGGCAGATTTGAACTTTAACAATTCAAAATCACCCTCTAAACTCATCTCTAAAATGACTCCTTCAGCCGGTCTTGGAGTCTACTTACTCGGCCTCGCCTGGACGGTACGAGGGTTCATGGCCCTTTGCTTCCCACAGCATGAATTCCGCACCATTGGAATCAAGGATATGCGATCTTCAGACGACATCGCCAGCTTCTCGCCCATCTTCATGCTTGGATTCAGAGACATCTCCATCGGCATGTTTCTCATAGCTCACCAAAAGGAAGACAATCCCACCGCTGTGGCTACTCTATTGGCCGTGATGGGGATGATGAAACTCGGCGATACTTTTCTCGTTTTCATTATCGGCGATGGGAATAAGACGGTCAAAGGCCTTGGGCACCTTTTCATGGCTCTTATGTTTTTCTTTTGGATTGCTGTTGTACTGCATTAGTTGCCATCTGGACGCTGGCATTGCATCTAATGCAATGTGAGGCGTGTGGAGGAAAGTTCGTTTGATAGAGGTCTCGAACCATCAAATATACCGGCCATGTAACATAAGCCACATGTTATGCAACAAGCGCGCCTAAAATGCCATCTATTTATCAATCTTAGACTTACTCTCTACGGCGGAGCGACGTCTGTCACATATTGGGATGTCACTACGCAAACGGCTAATCTGTCACATTTTAACCAGAGTATTGGGTCCATTACCCTGCTTGGCATATGCCGTACCGGTGGTTCGGCTTCCGTGGCGCCCGCAAGCACTTGCATCTCATCAAACTCAATCGTTCCAGAACGCCCCTTTCAAAAAATGCCATGAAATCTCCCGACAAAAGTCAAAGACCGGTCACCAATTCTGGCGAAGGCTATGCTCGGCAGTTCGGCAGTCATGACTTAGGGTTGCATCGCCTGCATGTAATCAAACCTTAACAAGATCGTCGGGTCCAATCTAGAATTCCACATCCCCGGAATCTTGCCATCAAGCCTCTCAACAATTCGATTCTTTGGTCGAAAGCCTCTGGCCAAACTTGGATATTATGTGACAAACGAGCGTATCATTAACGGTAATTCCCCCGATACTGGTTTTGCTTTTCACTTGAATAACTACGCCGCAGGCGATACCATCTAAGTCAAACCCTCATGAGAGGCTAGTGCCGAACTAGTATTAAAATTCAAGGAGTATCGTAGTCATGCATTTGCCGATGACATGGTTTGAGCTCTATGGGCAGACTTGATACCATAATAGGAAGTTTTAATCACGGATAGTTCACTGTAGCGCGGAATAATTGCATGCGCCCGTTGAGTTATGGAATACCCCAAGAAGTTGAGCATTCAGTGACATCTCTTCGAAGCCCCGGCTTTGTGCTACCCACCTCCGCGTCTCCTCAAGTGATGTGTCAATTAATTCCACATCCTAGAATAAGCACACCCGACTGGTGCAAGAGTCGGAGGGGTCGGTAAGAAGTGGCCATGGCGTCGAAGATATAAGCTAGACGACCTGCCCGAGCCAACTTCCAGTTTCATCTTCCATCACTATTCACTCTTTTATCCATCCCTTACTATTTCATCATGAAGTTCTACATTTCTGCCATTGCTTTGGCATCATACCTTTCTACTGCCTCTGCTGCAGCCCACAAGCCCTACCCCGGATGTATCGATGTCGATGTAGCCATCATTGGCGGTGGCTCGTCCGGCATCCATGCAGCGATCAACCTCAAGGATGCAGGCGCAAAGGTCGCTGTGATTGAGAAGAAGTCTCAGATCGGAGGCCACGCCGAGACATATGTCGACCCGAAGACTAAGATTCCAACCAATATTGGCGTCGTTGTGTTCGAAGATACCCCAAGTGTGAAGAAGTACTTTGATCGTCTGGGTGTCCCTAGAGTCATCAACAACGTTCTCCAGACAACTGCAGCAGGCAAGCAGTACGACTTCTCTCTGGGTATCCCCATTCCTCAGACTGAGGAGGTGGCTGCTGCTACAAAGCAAGCTATGGCTTCTGCCATGCAGGCCTATGCTCAGAATGTCCTCCCCAAATATCCTTGGATTGACCAAGGATACACTTTCGTCCCAGAGCCGGTCCCTGCAGAGCTGCTCCAGCCTTTTGGACAGTTCGCTCAGCAGAATAACTTCAGCGCCATCCTTCCTCTTATCGCTCAGCTGAACTGGTACCCGGGCAACATCACCACCATTCCCGCTCTTTACGGACTCAAGAAGTTTGGACCTGGGTTGATGCAGAGCGCCAACAACGGCTTTATTGTTCCCAAGTCGGGCAACACCCGTAGTCTTTACGATGCTGCCGCTAGCGAGCTTGGCAACAGCGTCTACCTCAATTCCAACGTCGTCCGTGTTGAGCGAAGCAAGGCTGGCGTTGTTGTGATTGTGAAGCAGGGTGGCAAGACTCTCACATTCAGGGCTCGCAAGCTTCTAGTCGCTATTCCCCAAACTCTCAAGAACGTCAAGCACCTCGATCTATCCCAGTCGGAGCGTGACGTCTTCTCCAAATTCTCCGCTGTCGGTTACGTCTGCGGTGTCGCCGAAATTCCCGGTCTGAAGTCCAGCCTTCAAAACGTCGGCGCTTTCACTCCCGCCCACACCCCTATCATTCCTGGAAGCAACGGCTACTCCCAAACAGGCCCCCCCAACCAGTTTCTTATTGGTGTGGGCTTCGACAACGCCGACTACACACTCGCCGATAGTGAAGCTGTCATGCGCAAGGAACTTGCTACTCTCGCAGCTGTTGGCGCAGTACCTGCCGATGCGGCCAAGAAGGTGACGTTCCCTATTCTTTCGAACCATGCTCCCTTCGACCTACGGGTGACGAGCCAAAACATTGGAAAGGGATTTTATGCAGACCTACTCAAGCTTGAGGGCCAACGTAACACCTACTGGACTGGTGCGGTGTTTGCTGGACACAACAGCGGCTTGATCTGGAACTGGAACAATGATGTGATCATTCCCGCTCTGAAGAAGGATCTTGGGCTTTGAGACGCCGACTTTTCGCCATAATGCTGGGACTGCATAATCAGTTTATATCTCTTCATGATCTAATTCTTTATTAAAGATAAATTTTACCTATTCATAAATCTTGAATTTTAGTTGGCCGCTATCTTAAACTACCCGCCCGTTCTCCAGCTCACTATAAAAATGCCCAAGAACTTCTTTTCTGGGACGGAAGAGTCCAACATAAATCGGTCCAACGGAAAAAGAAAATTGTGTCGAGTTCTTTTTTGAGAAAGAAATGCACGTCGTGATTCAAAATTCCCTTGGTCCTCGCTTGAAAATCCTACGGAGTGCTAATTCGGTTGTAAGGATTCACGTCTACAGTGGGTTATCTTTTTACCGATCACGGTTAGTTGCTATCCAGTGTTACGTCATCTTTTGATGATCCCGAACCTCCGCCTCTCTTCACATCCAATTCATCCGTGCTCTCCGCATCCATTCTTGCCTTGAATTTTCAACCTATTTTTCTTGGAGATTATAGTGATAGGTATACACTATGGGATCCGTATACAGCATGGAAAGTCTCGCGTTCTGGGGATTAGTCCTCGGCATTCTTGGCCTTGTGCTTTCCAACATTAGCCTCAGGCTATCCCTGCTTGCGGAGCAGAAGCAAAACAGTAGAGCTCGCGAGGCCGGATTACAAATTACTCAAGTAAGTACCCATCTACGCAACTCAAGCCAAATTAACATCCTTTTCAGCTCTATGTGTACCCTGTAAAAGGTATTAGAGGATGTGCCATGAGTGAAGCCCGCCTGAGTCCATACGGCTTTGAAGGCGACAGAACCTTTTGCCTACAGAAAGTACGTCAGAATGAAGGCTCGGAGCCTTCCTACGAGACAATGTTGATTGGATACGACCTGAAACTAGCTCTCTTCGCGGCGTCCATTGACTACGACAATGGACAAGTGGTTGTCAAATGGACTGGGGATAAGACTGACGATAGCATTCAATTCCCAATGAAACCGTCAATTGTTGGCCGTAAAACGATAGATACCAATCTTCACATGAGTAAGACCAAGGCTTATGATATGGGAGATGAGCTATCGAAATGGTTTTCAGATCGGCTCGCTCAAGACGTTCGACTAGTCTACATCGGCAACCAGTCCAGGGATGTTCTTGGATCATTGGCTCCTCACAGCTCTGGTGCCTTGAAGACAGGGTTTTTCATGCGGCGGATCATGAACTCCATCCCACTTTTCTCATATCCACCAGAGCGGATCGCCTTTAACGATCTCGCCCACTATCTAGTTGTCACGGAGGAGTCTAACGATGAAGTATCTTCTCGGCTTGACGATGGCCTTTCCATGGACATCACCAAATTCCGACCAAACATCGTTGTCCGCGGCGCTTCTCGACCCTTCGCCGAAGATTTCTGGGGAGAACTTACCTTTGAAGGCGGAGTTACGATGGACTTGACAGCAAACTGCTTCCGATGTCAGAGCATAACCGTTGACTACGAGACCGGAAAAACAGCTACCGATGACCGCGGCAAGGTGTGGAAGAAGCTCAACAAGGATCGAAGAGTGGACAAGGGTGCCAAATACAGCCCAGTCTTTGGGCGATATGGATTCTGCTATGGTAGCGACATAAATAAGTCCTTGACCGTTGGGCAACGAGTTGATGTCAGCGGCATTAATGAACAGAGAACGACGTTCGGTAAGTTATTCGGGGAGTGTAGGGGGTTAAAGTTACTAACGAAATGCAGATTGGCCGCATCTGACCACGTTTGGTGTTTCAGAGAAGAAATAAAGGGACTTATAATTCATGGTACGATTTAGCTAGCATAGATATGTAAGGTTAGAGAATCTTATAGAAATATCTAGGAAAAGATTGTGCAACGTTCTTTCAATCAAAAACAGTCCAACACAGAATGTAAATATCGATTCACAGTATTTCCCTTCTCGCCCACCATCCTGAGCAGTTGCTGCTTCAACCTGAACAGACCCTGAGCGGGCAAGCAGACGAAACAGAGACCGGCATGCATGGTTCACATTTCAGGCCCCAGTACAGAGTACCCTGGTGAAAATTGAAAATCGCAAAATAAACGTTATCGGCAGGATGCTAAGAAGTATGGTGATCATCCAGCGCCTGGTCCTGTCGTCCGTCTCGCCCGACAAGGAACGTGAAGATCCCATCTTCATTCCGGCAAACACTGAAGCGGGTGCGTTTATAGTCGCATTTGATCGAGAAGTCGCCTACTACAATAGCCCGCAGGGAAGCAATGCCCCCAGCGCCGAATGCCCACTCAACGAAGGCGCAGAATTTATCCTGGAGCCGATACCTTGCGCCTTTAACAGTCACATAAGGCCATAACACTCTAAGGTTAGCGCCACTACAACTCCTACTCTATCTTTTTATCCTACTTTCTAATTCTATAAAATCTTTCTAGACCTAGTTCTATTCCTAGCAGCTTCTCATATAGATTGACTCGGCCGGAGCCTGCATACCTGGATATAACGTCCACATAGACGTTATATGAATGTAGGAGAGCAGTCGTGAATGGAGTGTGTTGTCGACTTATTGGTAAGTGTGGGCAACCAGAGAATCACGCGTCTGGCTTTCTGAATTACGAATTTCCGCCTTAGTGGTTCGGTTTGGGTTGCATCGGCCAAGGGCATTTGTAAATCCGGCTTAGTGTTGCTACGTCCTGATATATTGTCGATTGATTTATAAGACAGCTCACTAGCCATGACCGCATTATACTGATGACCTAGTAATTGTGCTCAATCCAGAAGTGAAATACAAGGGAGATGATAGGTGCCTCGTAGCCAGCACCAACGGCATTGCAGATTTCACTAGACTTTGACCGCGAGATGCACATAATTGCGTAAGTGAGGATGGAGTTATAGCTTGTTAACCTTGTCCACGGTTTTTATAACCCCAGTTAGACCTACTCGAGCTCCCTCTTTCCTGTCATCTATTCGAAACCCACTACCTAAGCGTCTTCCCATCAACTAGCTACGCATCTTCCACCCAACTCAAGTCTCTCAATGCAACGCCAGTCTTTGATTGTTTTGGTATAAAAGGAGCACACCTGCTTCACAAAATCGAGACGTTGCATTTTGTCCCAAAGAAAGATTTCAGTTTCTCCTGTGTATACATTTCACCCAACAGTAAGCCGCCTATCATGTGAACATATTTATGATTTAGCGCTGATTATAAAGCAGGCAACAACGAAACTACCGTTGTTATCATCATGAGACCAGCTGTACTCCTTCATCCTATCATGCTCTTTTCCGCCGCAGTGGTGGGGTCAGAGAGTAACCCAACTTGCTTTGAGAAATGTGTTCTCAAATGTGGCGGCTATTGGTTCGATTCCAATGCAGGCAGAGCGCTGGCGAATCCAGGCAGTATTATAAGTGGTGAGACGAAAGATGGGGTCTGCATGTGCAAGCCATACAAACACGCGGACCCGGCCAAGCCACTTGACCAGACTTGTACCTAGAACAATGGGTGGATTGAATCTGTAGCTACGACATACGCAGTCTTACAATATGGGTAGTGGAAGAATAACTTAGTTCATTAGCTGAAACTGAATAAAACCTGTCAGATATGCTCTAGTTGCGGCGGCTCAAAAGCTAAAGAAAAGCCATACATTCTCCATGCACTTCTAAAACCCCAGGTATATGTGGTATTCATAAAGTTGTACCGTAGCACCCTTAGTCTTTGCATCCACTTGCTTATCTAACTCCAGTATTGGCTAAATATTATCTAGAAATTAATAATAAAAGACAGCCTTGTCTTTATCATACCGCCGGACGGAATATTCTAATATTTCTTAAAGCAATTCGCTTACCATAGCAAAGAGGATCGGGAGCTAGTACGCAACCTGACTTAACTCTAGTAGTGAGGAAGATAATTCAAAGCCTTTATTGTAGCTACCAGTTTATATATCTAACGTTTTCCTATAGTCAAACGTAAGTCAGTAAGTCCTTAATAATACTAATATATAACTTGTACTCCCTATATTATAAGCTTATAAATAATATTGTATCGGCTTCCCTTCCAATGGAGAAAAGCCATTACCTCAAGGTCACCAGATAGAGAAGGGTGTTTGGTTTGAATTGCTATAAACCTAGTAGACAATATATCGTTCTCGCAAACACTTAACAACCTTATTAGTTGGAAGCACATGCCTAACTAGGCGCTATTCCTAAGATTCATCTCATTTCGATCGGGAGTAAAGGTTTAGATCTTTTCGATCAAAAAGTTGAGACCAAACACCATGTTGTCGGGAGTGTGATCCGCAGGCCCAATGTAGAGGGTCCAGTACCCGCTGAGGATAGAGAGAGCATAAAACTTCGTATTTTCCATTTCTGTACCCTGACAAGACGTGACCCCATTTTCCCAAATGCATGACAGTACAGGGGCTTTGCATTGCAATAAATCCCCGGGCTTTAACCCAACATCACAAGTAATGTAACTGTCCTGTTGAGTTGCTGTCGGGGCACACGCACGGACTCGAGCGCTTTCACGATTGCGTTCATACTGCGCGCATATTCTCATACCATCACTTAACATGAGCTGGCCCGTGATAGGATCGATTGTTAGAATGGCCTCTTTAGGAGCACTGGGGCTTAGATTGTTGGCCCAGAATGAACCGATGCTGAAAAACCTGGTTCCTGTGGAAGAGAGGCGAGCTGGCGTGAGGGCAGCGGGACCGTCCTGGACAATGGCTTTGAATAGCAGAGGCGCCACAGATGATGTTGAAGCAGGAGAAGAAGTTGTTGGGTCCGAGGAGGTCGGAATTGTCGTAGTAAGGGTGGTCGAGTCAATTGTAGATACCGAAAAAGATTCTGTAGTGGGACTAATTGTTGACGATATGGCTGAGGTTGATAATTTCTCCTGCGACGTAGAAAGCACCACTGACTCTGTCGTATGGCTAGAAATAGAAGGAATATACGAAATTGATACAGTTGATAGTAGATCAGTTGTGGATGTTGCGATTGATCCAATTGCTGTATCTGATGTTGAAACACTCGTTGAGGCAATTATCGTCGATTCTGTGCCAGTTGATGTTGTGCCGGTTGATGTTGTAAGTGTGGTCGACAGGTGTGATGTAGAATACCTTTCGACGCTAGACACTGAGATCATAGCCGTCTGCGATGTTGTCGATGACCCCCATATCGAAGAGTCGGAGTCGGTGGAAGCTATCGAGCTTGGTACTGAAAGACTGGGCAAAGCTGATGTCGATAGCGATTCGGTTGAAGATGCAGTTGTGGCCGACAATAGGGATTCTAGATCAGTCTTGATACTAGCGCTCGTTGAGTCTGTGGAAAGAGATGTGAGAATTGTAGAGCCACCCGCAGTCTCTTCTGATGTCGATGCCGTGCTAGCTAAAGTTGGCCCTGTGGCCGAAGACGTCGACCCACCTGATTGGGAAGATGTGACAGTGGTACTCGGCAAGTCTTGTAAAGTCAGAAGGACCATAATTTAGACAGTGAGACAGTCACATACTTAGAATGCTGGGTTTGCAAGGGCTAGCCAACGTGCCGCAGCAGCTCATGCCGAGCGATAACAGAAGGTGGCGACGCATATTGCTGAGATAATGCTGCAATTCTTTTCTGTTTAGGTGGCGGAAGGGGAGAAAAGAGAAGCGGTAACGCCAGGCTTGGTGTCATGTAATATATCGACGTGAAAAGGAGTATGCAGGGCCAGAGTCCCTCGTAAACTTAAGCCAGACTATTGGGTCACTAGCTACAGCCCTGTGGCATATTTCTCCACAATCAACAATACTTCTCCAGTAAATAATTGTCTATGCTTGAATTAACACAATGTCACAGGCAGTCTAAGACCCAATTGAGCAAAGATTTAGGCTCATTCATTAACTATGATGGAGTCTAGATCTTTCTGTGGCGTTGAAAACAGTCGCTATGGTCCGCTGAAGTCAGGGATTATTACCGTTAGTTCAGGTGCTACTTGATCATTATTGGACTACGGCACGGCCTAAAATTCTCGTCAGGGTCCTAGCAACAAGGGCTGACTACCACTTCAACCCATGAATGTGTAGTTAATTTGTTATTGACTCATGCTAAACTAAGACACAACTATAATAGACCAAGACCCTAGCAGCATGTTTTTTTTCTTTCCTTATCCATGATAGAGGTTATTTACAGACCCCTAAACTCATTTTAATCCGAACGTTGAACTTTCTACATTGCACGACTGGGGTGCATCAGTGGTGAATGACATGATAATAAATGAAAACAGATCACACCTACCACCGTTTAATAAGTATGCAACAAAAGAGAGATAAAAAAGCACTGACAAGTGAGACGTTTTGTAGTAGTCCTGTATATCTTTCCATCTTTCGTCATATTGATTATTTACTAGTAACCTTTTAGAGTCATGGTGGGTTAATGCTACAGCATCATACTAGCATCGCGGTTCGTTCTTTGGCAGATGACCAAGCTGAATACAGACGCCGAGCTTGCGGTTGCACCAATATCACGTATCAGAAAGAGCCTGAAAAGGTCCATTCTATGGCTCGTCATCCCTTCCAACCACAGGCCCTAAATTGGACTGACTGACAGGTGTTAACTGCAGATCCTGAATGAGCTGTGCGACTTGCTTTGTGATAGCTTGCTGAGAGTCTTTTTTGAGGGTGTGCCCCATTTTCTCTAGAGCCTCTCCTGGTATTCGACAGGCTCAGCAATACCTCGAAATGCATATTTGTCATGCTGAATTTCATCCTGTGGTCATTATCACGTTTCTTGCCTCGCGCATACTAGGTGCAAATTCGTGCAAGATGTTCGATCAACAGGATTGCACCAAGTTCTTTCGAATAAGAAGGACAATAAATATAAGAATCATAAATATGTATTTACGGCAAGACTTGGCAAGATTTTTACAATTCGTATTAGATGCTTAAAAGGTTACAAAAGTCCATGGGCTCCTACTATACCATGCTTTTCAGAACAATACGCAGTACTTCGTACATACGTTATAAATAGCCCACGATAGACTACATAGGTAACAAAACGCCATCTTGATTTCGGAAAATAAAACTCCCCAAATTAAGTCAAGGGACTGCTGTGCCAGAGACCTGAAACGTACAGGCTTGCTTCGGCAAGAAACGAATCTAGAATAAGTGCCAAGTGAATTAACTGGGTTTTCGTAGGTGAACCAATGAAATACGAAAACTACCGAAACAAACGCGTATTTGAACATGTTAAGCGCGTATTCGGAGAAACACTACAGATTCTACATGACTGTACATGCATATAATATTCACCTTTTGTCTTCAGCAATTGCAATTGATCAAGAATCCAGTGTAAAACATTCGCATTGCTGTCGCTTCATTTGTGTTTGTATTTTGAGTATAATATACCGTATTTCACCAGGGCTTGGAAACAAAATAAGCATGGTCGTTAAGCATGATTTCCTGGGCTCGTTTCAAGATATCTAAGCATCCACCGTTTGAGCTGTCAGAGCATGGGGCTGAGACACTTCACGTCGGACATTCGGCTGACCACATCATCCTGGTCTAGTTCGGATCAAATTCCCCCTTCTCTATAAAGACGAGATATCATCACATTCTTTTACAGATGTTACTCCTTCTGGCACTGCTCTTTGTCACTTTCATTCGTTATCCTATTCATTCGTTACATCTTAGGCCGGCCTAAGTCCATTCATTTATCTCTTTTCTCAACCACATATTCTTTTCTTCAATATGCGTGTGCAATCTTTCGCTGCTCTTCTGGCCGCTGTCGCCTCAGCCTCTGCTCAGTCCGTCTCTGGCAAGGCGTACGGTTTCGCCGCCGGTGTCACTGGTGGTGAGGGTGAAGCTGTCACTCCTGCTACCGCCGAAGAGCTCGCCAAGCTTCTCGCCGACGATACGCCCCGTGTTATCTACATCGACAAGGAGTTTGACTTCACTGGAGACGTTAAGACCGGCTCCGGCTGTGACCGCAAGAGCTGCAGTGCTTCCAACGGCGGTCAACTCTACCTCGGAGACTTGTCTTGCGGTGGCAGTGATAACGTCGCTGTCAGCTCTATCACCTACGATGTTGCTGGTACCGAGCCTCTCCCTGTTGGTAGCAACAAGAGTATCATCGGTAACGGTAAGGCTGTCCTGAAGGGAAAGGGTCTTTCCCTTAAGAAGGGATCCAGCAACGTGATCATTCAGGGCATTGAGATCACCAACTTGAACCCTGGCGTTGTCTGGGGGGGCGATTCACTTGAGATGCGCGGACTTAACGATGGTGTGTGGATTGATCACTGCAAGTTCTCCAAGGTCGGCCGCATGTTCATCGTCAGTCACTACGATGGCTCCCGTCTTACCATCTCCAACTCCGAGTTCGATGGTGTCACCGACACCTCTGCGTCCTGCAACGGCAACCACTACTGGACCATGATGTTCTACGGCGAGGGCGACAAGGTCACTCTTGACCGCAACCACTTCCACGACGTTGCCGGCCGAGCCCCCAAGCTCGGCGAGCCTGGCACCAACGGTTACTTCCACGCTACCAACAACTACTTCCAGAACATGAAGGGCCACGCTTTCGACGCTTACCAAGGTGCCAATGCTATCATCGAGGGTAACGTCTTCGACGGCGTTGACACTCCTGTCACCAAGGAGGGTGCTGCCGTTAGCACCCTTTTCATTCCTGATGAGAGTGCTGCTGCTGCTTGCCAATCTGCTCTCGGTCGTGCTTGTGAGCCTAACTCTGCTACTAGCAGCGGTGACCTCCCCATCATGAGCGGTGAGAGCGGCCTGAACGCTCTTGCTGAGCACAAGGACAACATTATCACTCCTGTTTCCGCCAGCGAGGTTGCTGCTCTTGTTGTTTCCAACGCTGGCCCCGCGAACGTTGGCTCCGGCTCCAGCTCCGGTTCTGCCCCTGCTAGTGACTCCGAGTCCGGCGATGATGCTACTGAGACAACACCTACTACTCCTGAGACTACTCCCCAGACTACACCTGATGCTGTTCCCGAGGCCACCACCCCTCAGACCACTCCCAAATCTGCTCCGGAGCAAGAGCAGAGCGTTCCCGAAGTTGATGAAGATGAGCAGGTCGAGCCCGTTGCACAGGCAGAGACCGAGCCCGTTGCCACCGGAGACTGTGAGGAGGATGTTGAGGAGGACACCCCCAAGCCTTCCACCAGCGAGTCTTCTTCTCCTGCCATTCCCACCAAGGACTCTTCCTCCAGTGGTTCTTCTTCCGTTCAGATGTACGGTCAATGTGGCGGAAAGGACTTCACCGGATCTACCAAGTGTGCGTCTGGTGCCACCTGCACGAAGTTCAACGAGTACTACTCCCAGTGCATCGGATCCAACAGCCGAGTTCGCCGCTACGTGCAGGTCTAAGTGCACTAGGTGTGATTCATAGTCGCGATGCATCATTAGTTTCCATGTACAAATTCACACTGTCCATTTTAGTTGTCTAGCAATAGATTATACATATAAGCCGGTAAATTCCGGTCATTATTCACTCCGAATGCGTTGTCAAATAAGGGACGTATTATGTCTTTCACAAAGCTTTTAATACTTGCCACTTTTTATATTGCCTTAGTATGCTGAATTTTGATAAGCTACTCTAAACTTTATACTTTCAATAAATCTTAGGCTATGAATCTATTAAACTTTATTGAATGTAGCATGTTTTATGAACTTACTGTATTTATCATAAACTTATATCTCTTATTGTTCGAATCTCTACACAGAACTAGACCGTGTCAGTTTACTAAGCGCATACTCAAGTTTCTATTAATTTTCACCCATATGAGTCAAATTATGCCTATATCCATGCGGGGAAGTTGTCAAAAGCTTATTTCTGCTCAATGTGGTCATTTCTGTAGGAACCCGCGTTAGTGTATGCACGCCGGCGAAAATGCTCCTTTTTTTTTCGTCTACCACAACCATAAACACCACGCCATGCATTTCGATAAGTTCTTATCGTAGCGCATGGCTTTTCAACAAAACTAAACTCAATGACGTAGCATGTGACGTATCGGTGCGTGGCAATGACGCTCGACGCCTCAAACTGCCATGGCATGTCACAGTACTCTTCAATTCCAACGCAGAGTCAAACTCATCTCCCTTGCAACACTCCAACAATTCACAGACACCGCCGAAATGATCAAAACAGCTGTCGTCAGTGGTGGTGCCAGAGGCATTGGCCGCACTCTTACACGGTACTTCCTCGAGCAAGGCTATCGCGTGTTCGTCCTGGATATCGATGAGGAGGAATTGAAATACACCATAGAAACACACCTCAAGTCCTATTTCGAAAAGAATGCTGTCGGCTCGGCTCTATGCGACCTACGCGATACGGATGCGATTCACAACAAGATCCAGGAAGCAGCTGAGTTTTTGGGAGGCCGGATTCATCTGGTGATCAACAATGGAGGTATCGCAGCCCCTCACTGGAGAGGTGGCAAGACTGTCATGGACCGCGAAACACTAGCTGAGTGGCGAGCCTACATCGACACCAATCTCACCGCACCTTTCGCCGTGTCGCAAGCTTGTCTGCCGTTCATGAAGAACGAGAGAGACACAGAGGCAGTCACCGAAGATCACCACAGCACCGCAGGACCGAGCATCGTCAACATCGGATCTTTCCGCGCCATGCAAAGCGATCCCAACCAAGAGGGATACGCATCTGCAAAAGCTGGCCTTCTAGGCCTCACGCACAGCATGGCTGTCAGTCTACAACCCTTTGGCATTCGTGTGAACCTTGTCGCTCCTGGACGTATCAAGGCCGCGCACGAATCAAAACAGGGAGACGAAATGGGCATTGCGTGGGCAGATCTGAACGAGGAGAAGGATGTCAAGGACCATCTTACGAATCGGGCTGGACGACCTCTTGATATTGCGCAGGCTGTGGAATACTTGGCCAATGCCGGATTTGTGACGGGTCAGGATGTCATTGTCGATGGAGGAGCGATGGCGATCAAATAGAAAAAAACACGGTATAAACTAATTTATCTTGGAAATTTACCTTACACATAACGAGCAGGACTAAATGAAGTCGTAATGAAAAGTCATCTGACTCAACTACATCGTTCTAGTATTCCCACTCTACATTTCAATCACGACTATCACATGGGAACAAGGCACAAGTATTTGAGAAGTCATTCATAGTTTCATATTATACTCATATCTGAGCGTAAGTCTTGAGTGGAGTTGTCGACTAGCCCAGCAGGCAGTCAGGGGTATAGGTAGCTTCGTTAAAAGCCATATTAGGCGTGGTAAATCTGACAGGAATTCAACCTGCTTAATCAGTGGTGTTTGTTGTACAGTTGAGGTTGTTGTTATACAGGTGAGGTTGTTGTTGTTGATTATGTTGAGTCGGTAGGTAGTTGTTGATTGAGTTGTTTGTTTGTTTGTTTGTTTGTTATGTCGTTGTTGTTGTTAGAGTTGAGATGTTAATTCGTAGACCGTAAACCCCCAAAAACGCCGTTCATGTTTGTCATGTACTGTGATAAAATCGGACTGGTTCCTTTCCTTTCCTGTTTCCCACGCTTAGTCAACGCCGCTGTCGTCGTCGGAAACCTCCTGGGGCATTGGCTTCTTCTCCGCAGCTGTGGAAAGCCTCAAGGGTCCCAGACCAGGTGCAAGTCTGTGTGTTCCAGCAGTGGGCCACTTGTTGGGTCCCAGAATCGCGGGCTTGCTACTATTATCCTGTGTCAGTGATGTTCGCGGGTGTGTTGGGGACGGCGATACGTACGCTAGCTCCTCTTCCTTCTTCTTCTGATCTTCCTTCTGCTGTTTGCGGAGAGCACGGCGGGCGTCCTTCTCCTTGCGCTCGGCGGCGCGCTTCTCTCGCTCGAGAGCCTTCTCCTCGGCGCGCTTCCTGGCCTCTGTGAGCTTTCGCTCCCTCTCTTGGAGCTCGAGTCTCTTCTTCTCGTCTGCCTTGCGCTTCTCCTCGAGGCGCTTCATCTCTTCGAGCTTTCTCTCTTCTTCGATATGTCTCTCCTCCTCCAGGCGCTTCTCATTCTCTAGTCTCTTCTTCTCCTCAAGCTTCTCGCGTTCTCTCTCCTTTTCTCTCTCCTCTGCTCTCCTCTTGCTCTCGGCACGCCTCTTCTTCTCTTCCAACTTTCGCTTCTCTTCAATCAGCCTCTTCTTTTCCTCTAACCTCTTCTTCTCTTCAGCTCTCTTTCTCTCCTCGGCTCGTCTCTTATCCTCGGATCTCTTCTTTTCCTCATTTCTCTTCACCTCTTCCAACCTCTCCTGTTCTCGCTCTTTCTCCATTTCTTCGATCCTCTTCTTCTCCTCCGCCCTTCTCTTATCTTCTAGTCTCTGCCTCTCCCTTTCGTTTTCCTTGTCTCTTTCTCGTTCTCTCGCTCTCTCCTCCTCTTTCTGTCTCTCTCGCTCTTGCATCTTCAACTTCTCCTTCTCGGGATCCGGGCTCTTGATCTTGCTTGACACTCGTGGTATCTCATAGTCCTTGGATCGATCTTTCCGGATCTCTTGGTCCATGCTCAGGTGTCGGCTGTGGCGTCTCTCTTTGTGTGCGCGCTCTCGCTCAGGGTCGACACTCCTTGTGTGGGATCTTTCCTTCTCCGGACGGTCGGAGTCACTGCTTTTCATGCGAGGGGTAGGTTTTCGTTCACTGTGAAGTTTGCGACGCTCTCGCTCTGCTCTGCGGGCCTCTCTATCCTCTTCCCGTCTCTTGTCGTCATCGGGTGATCGAGGAATATCTTTTGGCGAGACTCGTGAATGTTCTCTGCTCTTGTGATGTCGTCGCTCACTCTCGCCACGTCCAGATCTCCTTTCCCTCTCACCGTGGTCGGACTCGCGATACCTAATGGAAGCTGAGGTTGAGTGTCTCTTGTCGAGGGTAGGGCGTTCTCTTTCAGCTCTACGTCTCTCACGAGCCTCCCTCTCCACATCCTCGGCACGACCATCCGGCCTCCGTGAGGCTCGTCGAGATTCCTTCTCGTCACTTCTCACTTCTCTCTCTTCGCCCTCACGTCGTTTCTGTCGTCTTTGCCGGGTGCTGGGGCTTCCCTCCCGACTTCTCTCACGAGTATGACGTTCTCTGTCAGAACGGCCACGCTCCTCGTGCTCTTTATGTCGGCGACGGCGTTCCGATCTACGAGCATCACGCTCATCGGGTGCTTCAACCTCGGAGCGATGGCGCTTGGCCTTTCGCTCAGCGCGCAGAGCTTGCTCATCCGGTATCTCAGGAACAGCTTTGTCCCTATTGAGCCATGACCGCCATGATGAGTGACGCTTTTCTGGAGCAGGCCTGTCTAGCGCAGCAGGCCTGTCCAAGGGAGGTCGGCCCAGCGTAGGTCTGTTGACCACCAGCCTGGGATCGTCGACCTTGTAGGGAGGAGGCGGGGGTTCTATGAAGTCAACAGTGTTTTGAGAAGCGTCACTATCAGACTCTTCGTCTGTAAAGACCTCCCAGTCAGACACGTCACGATCGACGGGTGCTGGAGGAGCTGGAGTTGAGGATGACGCTTTGGCTGTTGGAACCCCTGTAGATTTGAGTCGGCTCTGAAGAGGCATGTCCTTGAAGCGAAGCTTTCTATGAGACGATGCAAGCGTTAATGATACGATTTCAACCCATATATACGGAGAGTGGGGGTTTCTATTACCTAGACAACCCAGTAGAGGTAGTAAATAGTGTGCAGAGATGAAGATTCAAGGGGGCTTGATGCCGGCCTTTGCGGGTGAGCGTGAAGTTTTGGTCACTGACGCGACACGACAAGGACCCGGAGATTACTGGTTAGCCACGTGGGGCTTGTGCTTTTTTGCAGGGGTCTCTATGTAAATATCGTCACCACTAATTTCTCGGCGTTCCAATGGCGCGACGCGAACTGAGACGTCAACAGAGTCTATACAGAGTATATTCAATTGAGATAGAAATTATCCCAAAAATCAGTTTCAGTTTCCAGACTCTTCAGCGGATTCAATCTGGTAAGTAGGCAGCTTCAAGTAATGAGGTTTTGCGAAGAGCGGTGAGCGTAGATAAGTCATGGGGTGTGGCTAAACCGGTCATATGGTTGACTGTCGAGGGAAGGGGTGTGTGGCTGGTGATGTGAGCGTGGCTGGGGAAATTGCGCAATTTTACTCTCTGTCCCGACGTGTTTATCGAATTCTTGGCCTGATATTCAAGTGTGTTGAGGCGAAAAAGAGAGACAATTCTCTTTTGGACCACGAGGTTATATACAACTCTGCAGATGGAGTCGCTAATGCTGCTTTGTGACTCATATTAGGTCATGCGTCAATGGAGTTTTGGCGTATGTACGTGTCAAGCGACAAGCACATCAAGCGACCTTTAAAGCCACCATCTCGATCTACGATAGGCTAATACCAGATCGACTTTGAGTCCTTGACCCAGTGCGAGTGGAGCTCGGCGTGCAACGGGTAACAAGGCCCCTGGTCCCGAGACCCTCCGAACCGAGGCTTGTGCATGCAAGAATATCCCTCACCTTGATCATCCAGAGGGGAATGTTAATTAATGGGTATGTACGGATACGGAGTACTCTGTCTATTAGTCTGCCTACGGAGTAACTGTGCAGGTAAAGTTACTGAGGAATTTCCTGATACAAGATTGAGCAAGATTCAACAGTTGGGTGGACGTGGCTGAAACGATGCAAGGCAGCCCAATTGTAGGGGAAAAGATGTGTTGGTGCCTGCAAAGATCTATGCGTTGTCAATGACTACCTCCATGCCTTGAGTGTTGGCAATGAATGCTTTCACCGTAACTACGACACTGGGAAAAACAGCTTGTTCAACACCTAGTCTATTTCTTTTATTATCTGCACCAAGGAATGAGAGGCACATTTGCCAGACTCCCAGACCATGTTTTATGATGCTGCTCTAGGGTAAATCGAGCACATTCCAAGCTTAGTACGTATTGCCAAAAACTCCCCGTGCTACCACCGGCCCCCAGCTGCAGCAGGCCCTAGCCCGTTTTGTCTTTCGTAGCGATCTTGTCCTCTGTTCAAGTGTCCGAAATTGGAGGTATAGGGCACCGATCTTGGGCAAAAGCGAACATGATATTGGTCATTAAGGTGTTGCATGTAATTTACTATCAAGAGTGAAGTATACAGATATATTTCCATCACTTAAACACTGTAAAATGTGTATTAGAACTTGGGATAGACAGGGCATATCCTCAGACGCATAAACGCAACTTTTGATCGTAAATCCAGCCTTCGAGTGGCTCAAAAACGTAGTTTGAAGAATCAAGCGATAATAACAGTATGGCCCGCATATCGGAGATATTGATTGAACCGTTTAGCCTACCATTATGACCGTTTAGTTACGTGCCGGACTGAGAAACGGTGTGAGAAACGGTGCAATTGCGCAAAGAGACGTTAATTACACACTAATCCGGATTAAACCAACGTACCTACTCAGACTGCGCTGCGCCTTCGCTGGAAAAGAAATGCAGGGGCTCGTTGCAAGGGTTAGACAGGCGATGTAGATCCTTCGACAGGAAAACGGAGCATTTGGTGAATCCTCCAACTAAGGCTTATAGATGCATTATGTTCCTTAATGACTGAGCCACCTCCCCCAATTGGCGGGAGTCGAATATAATCTTATGGGAGTATTTCCCCTGCTACTAGTGCTTAGAACATAACGGACAGGATCCTTCTTCGGGGCCCTACGTCTGTTCCCTTGTGGCGCTGCCCTATCTATTTTTAGACGAGATATACTTGCTGCTTCATTTGAATAGCGAACTTAAAAGCATAGGTTGGCAAGGCTGAATAGGTCGGCGCCATCGTACTCCGTAAGCCGTAGGCACTCTCAGCATAGCCCGAAGGAAGAGGGCATAATTGCAATGCAAAGGAGTAGACTCCATGGCCCCCGAGGGATCCTTCAAGCCGTCATATAAAGTCTCGTCGTACGAATCTATATTCTACGAGTTCACCAAGCCTCTAGCATTCTCTCGTTGTAGACCTAAGTTGGCTCGTTCTTTAGCTGTGCCTGGCCTTTCTTGTTCGGCAATCAACCTTTTCTTCCTTTACTTACAGTACGCAATATCACAAGCCATGGTTCTTGGTTCTCGTCTCGCGGGCCTCGGGTTGCTCGCCACTGGCATCTCCGCCGCCGTGCTCCCCCGTTCCCAACAACCATGCCCACACTACGAGCCCGAGGGCGAGCTTCTGGATGAATACATCGTCGAGTTTCACGATGACCACACCCTTGAGGACCACTTTAAGACCATCGGCAAAGATCTCCGCCACGAACCCGAGGTTCACCGCTTCGGCTACCTAGATATGTTGCACATGTACCGTGCCGCGTTGACCGAGGAGTTTGTCCACAACTTTGTGCGGTACGACCCCGGTGTCAAGTCCGTCGAGCGCAGCGTCACCGTCGACCTGGCTCACTCGATCAACGACACCGAGGTGGCTGAGCCTGTAGAGCTCGAGAACCAGGGTCTCGTCAAGCGCTTCGTCCCCAAGTGGGCATTTGACGAGCGCAGGGGACCGCACCACTTGCAACAGCTGGCTGCCGGCAACAAGATTTCGCTTAGCAACCAGGACGAGAAGTACAACGTTCTTCAGGGCGCCGGCGAGGGCGTGGATGTGTACGTCCTTGACTCGGGCATCAGGATCACGCACAAGTTGTTTGGTGGACGAGCATCTCATTTTTCACAGAGCCTCGGCCACTCCCCTTACACGTTGGGCGATTCACCCCTCAATGACACCGACGGCCACGGCACCCACGTCGCGGGTCTGGCGGGCGCCAGCTACGTAGGCGTGGCTCCCTGGTCCAAACTCGTCAGCGTCAAGGTCGGCTGCTACAAAGGCGGCTGCAAGGGACACACGGGCGGCATCGTCGAGGCCATCAACGCCGTGACAAAGAAGCACAACGAGAACAAGGCCAACAAGCCGGGCAATTGGACGGGCTCGGTCATCAACATGTCCTTTGTCGCCACTGCGAAAAGCAACGTGCTCAACAAGGCCATCGACAGGGCATATGATGCGGGTATCCCATTCGCCGTCGCTGGAGGCAACAAGCCTGCCGATGACAAGACCAAGGCCACTGGAACTTTATGCGAGTCTCAGAACACAATCTGTGTCGGTGGTGTAGACAAGGATTACAACAAGGGCTGGGTAGGTTTCCTCAATCTCTCCAACAGCAGCGGGCTAGCACAACTAACATGGATCGGGTTACTAGTTCAGTCGTGACGGCAAGTTCATTGATATCTGGGCTCCCGGAAGTGAAATCATCTCTCTCGCTCTCGATGGTGGGACCATAATGAGGACGGGCAGCAGCATGTCTTCAGGTCAAGTCGCCGGCATTATGGCTCTCAGTAAGTTTTCCTCAATGATCTTTCGGTAAGCGTTAAAAACGCAGGACTGACTTTCAACCTCTAGTCGTTGGTTACGAGGGGATCTCGGACAATGCTCGTCTCGTCTACGACCGTGTCAAGGCCAACCAGCTCTCGGGCGTCGTAGGCAAGCTCAGCAACCCATGGTTCTTTGGCGAGAAGGAGAACAACTTCTTCGCGCAGACGGGCGCCGGATCTAGAAACGTCAATGAGCAGCCCTACACCGGTCCATCCAAGGATCTCGATCGTTTCATGGCCCCCCTTGATGTCTTCCGTAAGAGGCAAGACAGTGGACTGCAAGTCGACGTCGGCGACGGCCAGGTTATCAAGTTCCCCGAGAGCGACTTCTGGAAGACTACCGAGATTATTGACGAGAATTCCAACGACGATATCGCTGCCGTTGCCGTGCAGGAGTTCAAACTTGATACCAGCAACCCTGGTGTCGATACTGAGCCCGCTCAGCCGGAGTTCGAAGACGATTCCGTCCCCGAGGAGGAGCCTAGCTCTGACAACCCATCAGATTCACCCATCGAGCAGGATACGATTAACGGCAAGCCTGTCTGCCAGGGCAACCAGGTCTGGGGTGACTGCGTCACCGGCAAGCTCCCAAACAGAGGAGATTTTGCCGGCCAGTACGGCCCCGTTTGCATGAAGGCCGACGGAGAGGAGGGCTCGAAGCCCCGCCTCAACGAGCAGGAGCTCCAAAAGGCCGCCACGACCTACTGCCAGAACCTCATCGACAAGCGATGGCTCTTCAAGGAGGGCGCCCCCAACCCCAGCCCGGGGGTCGTGACCGGAGTCGCGGAGAACGGAGCTTCCATGGCCCTGTCCATCATGTATCATAAGCCTGGCTGCCCTGAGGACAAGTCCATGACCGAGAACGACTTTGGCAACATGAAACTCGAAGACTGCGTGTCCTTGCTCTCGCAGAGCTTTAGCGTGACCTGCAATATCGGCGAGTCCTGGGCCAAATTCAACAAGGACTTCCAGGTCATGGGCGGCGTCTTGGCCAAAGACTGTCTTATGTGGTCTGTGTATGGACAGTAGACAAGGAGAGGGGTTGCTTCTGGTTTTTTCGTGTATGAGTTTGGGTATATTAACACTATTCAATACAGTAAATACTTTCTTTTTGCTTTAACCTTTAACTTTATCAAGCCCAGGCTTTCCAAATCTCTCAATGATATTAATAATAAATATAGTAAATTCGTGCTTGAAGCATACATGTTTTAATTGAGAAATCGTGCTTTTGAGCGGAAGCCTCCTAGACAGAAGGTGGATTGAATAGAGATGCTCTTTATCCCAGGTGCATGCATTGTCTGACAGCGCGATAGCTGCAGTGGAAGTCCAGAGGGACCCTGTTAACTGCTACAGTATCGCTACAGTATTATGTGTTTGATTGCAGTGTTGGACTAAATATATAAACAATGCATCAAGGTTAAAAGTAACAAGTAAATAGTAAGACCAATTGGAGTGCAGAGGAGATAAAGAACATAGCAGTAACACATAGCTTTGTGGTAACCTATTCTAGTCTCACTGGGGTTGGGCTATATATAGCTCAATTGCAGACTAAGTTTCAACAATTTTCCAGCTACAATTGGCTTAGCCAATCATCTTCCGTAGTATAGTGGTCAGTATGCAAGCTTGTCACGCTTGAGACCCGGGTTCAATTCCCGGCGGGAGAGATCCAGCCACCTGCGATACGCAGGTTTTCTTTTTTCTTTTTCCATGTTCAAAAAGCGTTCGGTCTCATCGCTTGCTTTCCATCCTCTAGATCCGAATGAATACTCCTGTTGTGTTACAGTTGTGCTGTTCCTTGGTTGAAGACCCAGTGCAGGAGAAGAAAGGAAGACCTTTTTGCAGAATCTTGTAATACGCATCAAGATGAACAGTTGTTATCCTTCAACATTACTTGCATTGTCTATTGCTCCTAGATAGTAGTTAGAGGTACCTGCTCATCCTCATCCTACTTTCGCATTCCCACTTCCTCCAATTGCTCAGCCAACTTTTCCTCCTCCTGGTAGAGACCGTCATGCGACCCCTCGGCGATTACAGTGGGATAGAGTAGCTCCAATGGCACTTCCCGTACATTTACCGAATTGATCTCCCTGTTGCCAATAAGCATAGTCTCAATGATGTTTCCATCTCCATATTGTTCTTCAGTGAGAACACGGAACATAACAGAGGCGCACTGCTTGGGAGTAAGCGATAACGTATCAGGGCGAACACGTTCGCGACAGTATTCAGGATGGAAGATGGGTGTCTGAGGTACGCAAAAGAATTAGTGGACTGTAAACAGACTGTCGGTGGTAACACTGTGACTGACATAGACCGCCCCGGGGCAAACGGCTGCATTCCTGATGCCATATCGTTTTCGCATAGTCCCTAGGGACTTGACGAAACTGACGATAGCCGCCTTGCTAGCAAAGTACAGAGGTGTTTGCAAGGAGTGAGCATATCCGCCGACACTCGCAACCCATAGCAAGTTGCCCTCGATACTACGGTTTTGTAGCCAGTAGTCAACAGCGAGCTGTGCCAACCTGATAGGACCCATAGTGTTCACTGCAAAGGTCTTGTAGACACCAGGATTACCATCAGCCTTGTCCTCTGATAGAGGTGACACGCCAGGCGCATTCCAGAAGGTGCTCGAGGGAGGTTCGTAGATCCCAGCGCCGTTGCAGACAATGTCGATCTGTCCCAGTTTCTCAAGCGCTGTGTCCCACAGAGATGAGAGTTGGGCCCAATCACTGACATCTGTTTTGTGATAATAAGCACAAGCTTTGCTACCGTCTTTCACTGTCCAACTGTTGACGAGTTCTTCGGCTTCTGGCAACAGCTTGACGTCAGCTATCACAACAGAGCATCCGCTCTCAAGAAGTTGTCTAGCGAAAGAAAGACAAATTCCTAGTCATAAATTAGTCATGGAAGTATACCAAAGGTACCGTTCAGATATACCTGATCCTGCGCCAGTCACGATGGCTTTCTTGTCTTTGACATTGTACATAGACATGATGCTGGAGTTGTACTAGCCAAACCAACTAGAAAGGGTTTTGAGCGAGGACGTAAGGAATAGGATTTAGCTTAACAAGGGACCGAAATGTGAACAAGAATTTAGGGACTTGCTATCATTTCTATAGCTCTGTACCCCGCAGTATCCTATCTGGTGTTGGATACAATGCCAGACCCTTGAACGGCATGTCGGTAGTCTCACGCGGACGAGATTGAACTATCAGGCCACTTTCAGCTTGTTATCAACCCTGCTCCTTGTATACGTTATAATTCGCGCACAAATCTGCAGGTCTTGCGGCGAGGCAAAAGGTCTCCACAATGGATGGTCTCCTTTGTTGGTTGTGAGGCTTCATATCCCGGAACGTATACACCCCTGACGAGGCTTGGCAAAAGTTCTCCTTGTACTTTTTTTCCATCTCTGACGAGTTTAACGCTTCCAAACCCGATCATGAAGTAGAGAGTTGGGTAAACCTTAGGCTAAACCGTGTCTTCTCTACGTGGGGTTCCATCAATACGTTCTGTGCAGAAACTGCACATACTGTAGTTACTGATGCAGGAACCGAATGAAGATCTACAGTTTCTCTTACCATGCTCGGGATTACACGTCCATGTCTTAGTTATCCCGTGCTTTTGGCTGTGTTGAACCTGAACAATAGCCTTGAACAAGCTTACCATGCCGTCAGGCATTTATGAACCCCCGGCCCTCCTTTCCCGGGCAAATGATCAGGTAAGTGATGAGTGTCGGTTGGTCGTGTCAAGAAAAAAAGCACCCTTGCGACTTGGCTGTCTAGTTCCTGTACAACCAACGAGCGTTGAGCGGTGCCTTGCACGGGCAATGAGTCCAAAGTAATCATGAGAATTTAGCCTCCTTCTTTACCTCATCCTCCTCATTCTAAGCCACACGCAATTCTTAACATGGCAGATGCTTCAGAACTATGGCACGCGGTCCAATCCTCTGGGCTTTCCGCAGCACTGCTCGCTATTACCATCATTTTCACTCCACTCTGCGCCTCTGTTGTTAGTTTGAGGATCTGGGTCAGGCTGGCTTCTCACTGCTTTGGACTCGAAGATTGGCTAATGTGCATTGGCGCCGTATGTTCTGGCGTATCTTGAGTAATGCCAAAGTCACTAACTCTCAGTCACAGACACTCAATTTGGTGCATAATGGGGTCGTCATCTGGGGAACATTCACAGGTGTTGGCACTCCAGATTCGAAATTAAACATAGCGATAATGATTGAAGGTGCGAAGGTGAGTAGCATTCATTTGAGTTTCTTCTTCCAAGCAATAAGTCTCTAACATCAGACCAGAGTGTACCATTTTGGCAAATCTTTTATATCAGTGGCTCTCTTTTTATCAAAACATCGATTTGTGTCCAGCTCTTGCGCATAGCAAGCAATAAGCTGTGCAAGATATTCCTCTGGTGCCTCATAGCTCTCACCGTCCTTATTACAATGGCAGCGATGATAGTGGGCCTAATTAGATGCCAACCTCTGGCAGCATCATGGGATCCAAGCCTGGGAACTTGCATTAACCAGAGCAGTCTGGTGATATTAACATATGTCGTCTCTGGAATGAACATTCTTATTGACTGGTCAGTGGCCATTATGCCAGTAATCATTCTATGGGATGTCCAGATGCACAGAACTTTGAAAATCATGGCAAACTTGGTTATGGGAATTGGAGCGCTGTGAGCCACCAGATCTGAACCACGTTGAGATTTCACTAACCCACGTTTCTTTAGAGCTTCAGTGGCAACAATCGTTCGACTCCCCTACTCTGCTGCGTATTCCAAACCAGCCAACCAACTCTGTATGAGCCCCAAGCCCCATTGTACCGACGTCTCTGACATACTCCAGATAGCATTGGCAATATTATCCTCTGGACGGTTGTTGAGTGTAGTCTGGGAATCATTGCCGGTTCAATGCCTATGCTCCGGAAGCTATTCAAATCTCTGCGCAAAGATGACAGTTCTTATAATGTAGATTCTAATGATATCAATCTTGTAACTATTGGACGAATTCGGGGCAAGCATCATCATATCTATGATGGGGATCTCAGAGCGACTATTGCAGCCGGAGATGACCGAGAGAGTGATAGAGATGATGAGAGTACGAGGCGGATAATCAGAGTAACCAGGACAGTAGACCAGACGTCAGCGATAGAGATAAAGCCAGCTAAATGAGATATGCGGGAGGGCAGTACTCTCATGCTGAATTCATCGGAATAACATAAGTTTTGTTCCCGTATCAAGATGCTAGAAAAGAGCTGATAGAATTGGCCGGCTGACAAGTGCCTGTATACCACTGGCGGCTAGATATTAACCATCTGACCGTATATTCCCATGCCATCTCCCTTTCTCAAGGCTCTTTCTGAGATATTTGATTTACCAGGTCGGTTCAGAAACACAAAGGAACAACACGAAACATCTTGGGGGAAAAGTTCATTAATGTCCCAAGGGGTATCTAACTTCGCACCATATATCTATACCTAACCATATTATTATCTCCACAGCCACAATACCTTGCTACTATTAGGTAACCATTTCTCATTCTTGTCTAATTAGAAGATAAGAATCCGCATTGGAGACAAACGTCCGAAAAGAAGGCCCTACAGACCAACAACCTAACGTCCACACATGCTGCTACAATATAGTTAGTACAGCCTAATCAACAGGATACATGAGCTCAATACCTTGGCTAGATCAGCAAGATCTACGTTCCCAGACACCGGATCTCTACGCAGCGCGTGCTCAAGCTCATATGGCCACTCGCATCCGATGAAAGTGGACATGTCCGCAAGCCACGCCATGCGTTCTTGTAATTGCGGAAGCTGCACCACAAGGTCGCGAAAAGCAGGCCAGAGGACGAAGTCGGCCATGCTAATATGAGGTGTGAAGAGTTGATTTGATCTGATAGGCATTAGTATCCGCAGCTTGTCCTGTAGATGGAGGAGAGGTCCTACGTTGGTCTAATCCATTCCGGCATGGCAGCATATGTATCTGGAGAAGGATAGATCATCCACCGCATCACGTACCAAAAGACGTTCATGGATGCAAAACAGGTGAAGTCATATCCTGTAGCTTACAGTCAGCTTGGTAGAAGCACTTGAAATAGATAGGACTCACCTTGACGTTTCACACTATGCACCATACGCGCCGCCCATTGAGATAAAAGACACGACTTGTCAAACTGCTCTTGATCATACAGCGCCGCAATATTCGGATGATGTCCCACAATGCGGTGAACGGGTTCGCCTTCCTGGAGAAGACCTTTAGCTTTCTTGAAAATGTCGCCGAACGCGTCGTCAAGACCACCCGGGTCTGGCTCTGTGTTAAGTGAAGTGACGGCCCAATTGGGTACAAAGATATTTCTGATTTGGGCGTCTTGGATGTAACGAGGATATCCATTCGTTCTAATGCTACTCGAAAGTGCAAGGTTGTTGAAATGGTTCCTGTAGTTGGGGTGTACTCGTAGAGAAGTCGTAGGTATATCCTCAGTGACTTGTTCTGGGATGACTAGATCGCTTGGAGCAGAGGTATCGAAATTGGAGATAATGGTCTCTGCAGTTCCTAATAGCTGTTCTTGGGGTATGATTATGTGGGTGTTCTGGAGATCCGTTCCTTCGCGAGAGCCAATACGTGCATTTTGCTGCATCGGCCTCACACCGGAGGTTGCGAGATAATAGTCGGTATGGTCGAACAACGGCTCACAAAACAGACTTTGGTTTCCTCCCGGGTATGTGATGGTCGTCTGGTGGGCAATTGTAAGGCCTGGATTTGTTAGACCCTTCGTCGGTGAAGCCATCTGAGGCTGCGAATGTGTGAATTGTGACGAATCGAGGGTATAGTTTCCAGCGGTCTCACCCGATATCTATGCGTATGGTTAGATATGATTGCTTGGATAGGTAACTACTTACCGCAGTATACCCTTGAGCAAATCCATGCGAATTGCCAGCTGAGCGCGAGAAAGATGGATAGAGCTGTTCGAAACTGGAGTTCGTCGTTACAGACTCCATCATGCTGTAGTATCCACTCTCTTGTGCTAGGGTTGATTGACCACTGGTTCCGAAGGACTCGGTTCCCTGTACATCACACGCCTGGGGAGAAGAGGTACTGTCAGAACTTCCCCCTACAACACTAGTCAGTCTCGGAAGTCTACAAACTTGAGAAAAGGCAGCTATACTCTCATCTCTCGTCCCCTCCTCTTTGAATGACTGCGCTTCCGATTCTTCTCCATTACTCAGTGCTTGGACAATATCCAATGGCTGTTTTCCAGCATCCATATACTGCAACACGAGACTTCTCAACCCAGCAGGTCCACTGGCTACCTGCCTCAACAGCAAGTTTGCGGCTTTTAACTCATTCTCGAGTTTCTCATTGGCATTCTGCAGACTTCTGACTCTTGATTCCCTTACATCAGAATCGTAAACGCATTTTGTATCAAATTTGGTGCAGGTACTGCAAAGTGGTTTCTCACCATTGCACTGCGCACCGCGTTAGCGAACGCCAATAAATGACCACCTATTGCTCTCAATTATCACCTTGGCTTTTCGTTTTCGACACTCCCAGCAGGCTGACTTGACGATATCATTCCGCTTCTGGACTGTCCGATCCTGCAGCGCCCTTCGAGAGAGTAGATCCTTCGAAGGGGCTGGTTTAAGGGGTCGATAGGTCAAGGCCATCAATGGCTGTGTATATGGACGAATATAAGATAATTGGAGACCTAGTAGGTGCGTAGTAGCAGTATGCGGTTTGCGGCTCAGTGTTGGAGGAGTTTGTTGATCCTCCTGTTTAGCCGAGCGAGGTAGCGAGGACAGCAAATTGTCAACGATGTGATGACACGAGTGGCAAATCATGCCGGTACATCCGTCACATGAGCCACTAGACCAAAAGCAAAGCTATATCCTTGGTTTACGTACCCCCTTAAACCAGAACAAGCCACAATCCAAGCCACATAGGGATAATCAGGGCCTCAAGGTCGCTATCAAACCCGCTTTATAACCGTCAACCAAATTATAAACCAAAGCCGTCGGTTCCTGGCCCATCTCACATTCCCAATAATAATCACAAGACAACCACCTGCGCTTCAGCGTTGATTTACGGGGGGAGGGGGCTGAAAAAAGGACGCCGGAATGGTCGCTATGCTATACCTGGCGCGTTGAGGGAGTGTACGAGACGTAAGAATATGTCTAATATTTTGAGACATCAAAGTAGATATCGATCTGCCGATGAAATGAATGATTGATAGTATGATCTGGATAATGATAGATAAGTTTGAATGATTTCTGGATGCTGGTGGAGCACTTTTGAATGCTGGTAAAGTACTAGAGTGTGATGAAGAGAAGAGAACAGAGGTGATAGAGAGTGATAGCTCCTCATTTGGGGCCGCCCCTCCCTACTGCTAAGTTTCTACCATCTCTTCTTCTTGATTGATTTACGCTCCATAGCCACCGACCCAATGACAGTGAGTAGCGCCAAAGCCAACGGTATATACAGTGTCTGCACAACCGCATTCTCATACCCAGCCAACACGCTCTGCAGCCTCTCAGGCCCTATCGACTCCCTGAGCTTTGAAAGTCCCGCCTCTTGAAGCTTCGCGATGTCTGTTCCTGGGGAAGCGGCCCGGATCTCGTTAGTCAGCCGGTCTTGGAATAGTGTCGCCGAGGCGCAAATCCACAGCGCGGAGCCCATTCCGGAACCAAAGGACAGGACTGCACCGCCAAGAGAGACATCTTCAATGGGTAAGACCGCCTGTAGAGCTACTTGCGGGCCTTGCAAGCCAAGACCAACTGCCAAACCGAGGAAGGTAAGGAGAGCAACAGCCTTGGCGATCTGTTCTTCGAGATTTAGTGTGGTGAGAAGGCCTGACGCGACGGGTGTCAAAACACTCGTTGCCAGCATGAATGCTAAGAATTTGTCAGTTTTGATTCAAGAACTTGCAGTCTACTTACGGTAGTAATATCCAGTCCATGTTGTACCGAGACCCGAGATGATCAAAGCAATGGCCAAACCTCCAACCATCGGAAGAGCAAGCAACCCAGCTTTCGTGGGTGAATATCCTCTCACACCTTGAAAATAAATAGACATGTAAAATTCTGTGACGGCAAGGACTCCCTCACAGCAGGCTCCATACCACATACCTGCAATAATGCTCCTCTGCTTCAAAATTCGAGGTGGGAGAAGAGCGTTATCACCTTGATAGTATTGTAGATACCCGAAGCCCGCAAAGAGAAGCCCACAGATCACAAGTGGAACGATGATTTGCCAAGTGCCCCAGCCAAACTTGCTACCTCCCCATTGTAGTGACATAAGCAGACAAGTAATAGCAGGTACAGCTAACAAGGTGCCAATCAAGTCAACCTTTTTGAACTTTTCCTTCAAGGTGAGAGCCGGTGCATCGCTCCTATTGGAAGGCTGTTCATGTACCCCATAAGCCGTCAACGCGAGACAGACAACCCCAAGCGGTACGTTTACACCAAAACACGCCCTCCAGGAGAACGCATCAATCAGTGCACCGCCAATAGTAGGGGCAGTGATGAGTCCGATACTTTGCACGGCGCCGAAGAAGCTGGTGCTGATAGCCTGCTTGTAAAGAGGAAAACAGTGTCGAAGGAGCTTGAACAGACCTCCGTTGATAGCTCCCCGACCTAGACCGCTGATGGCACGGCCGAGGATGAAGACCGGTGAGGAGGGTGCGAGGGTACAGATCAGGGCTCCTATCTCGAATGTTGCGATTCCGATAAGGAAGACGGCTTTGATGGAGAAAAGAGTATAGATTTGGCCGAAGCTGCTAGGAGTTAGTGAGGAGCTTCATATTGTTGGAAGTGGATACATACAAGAAAACGAAAGCACTGAGCGTCATACCGCTACAATAATTAGGTTAGACTTCTGGTAAAGCTGTGGGAATGACTCCAGTTCTTACTATGCAGCAGAATACCATCCAATATCTGCTATCGTTTGAAACTCATCGGTTATACTTGGTACAGCCACGGCTACAATAGTAAGGTCCTGTTGGAGTTGGTAAGCTTCTTCCGTAACGGATGTTAAGGTCCAGGTTTGACTTACAAGTCCACTAAGGAAGCATGTGATTGCCATTGATGCCATCGTAGACCAAAGCTTCGGCCCAGTGGGAAAGACCATGTTATCTTCATCATTACGAGGTTCTTCCACCTCCAGGGTTTCAATCGGTCTAGGCGGTTCAGCGTTTGCAGTTATTTGTACAGCTGGGCTATTGAGTGGTTGTTGAGTTAGCGTTTCGGAGGCCATTTTGAAATGTTCTGTGATGAAATTGCCCTGAACTTTGGCTTGGAGGATGAGCGTTTTAATCACAGGGGTAGTGTCATATTTGTATTTCGTAATTCAAGAAACTTCTTATGCAGCGACATGCAATGCTGACAGGCAGACGCGTTTAAGCTTACAACATCTGGTCCGGCTAATTGACCAAATGACGTTGTTGAGACCTGGTGGAGGGCTGTTTGGTGCTGCTATTGAAGGAATCCTAGTCCTCTAAGCAATTTAGTAGTGATTGACCACTGCGTACGTAAAAGATTCGCGTTCAGTGAGGGCACTACAAATTGGCGACGCAGCATATGCACTATTTGGTTCAAGAGGTTATTGAAAGCATGGTCGACTTATTGGAACGTGTGCCATGAGGGCCCCGACCTTCTAATCGATGTGATGGGGAGTAGAACTCGCCATCATATTGGCAGATGGATATGAGAGCAGCAGGGTGCCATGGTTATGCGCTTGTGATACACAGTGAGAATTGAACTCTAGCAGCATCAATGAATATTTAATGACAGAACTTTCTTTACATCGCCAACATATATGGTACGGCAAAGTGATCATAAACCAATTCTTTATGCTCCGTATCACCCATTAATACTGGGGTTCCCAGACTTCCCAGCGTCAAACCCCGCAGTGCCATCCCTAAATACGGAGGCTGGGGGCCAGGGACCAAGGGTAGTAAAAACCAATTAACCCCGGTCACAAGCGGAGATACGCTGACCCGAGGTAAGCTGACGGCCGATCCAAACCAAACCACCACGAGACAGCGACATGGCCACTCAACAACGCCATCAACCATGACCCAGCATCGCCGAGATGGCTCTCGATCAACGGATACGCAATTGGCTCGGGAGTATATCAGATACTTTCGAGCCTTTGGCGCCGCTTGAGAAAAAGCGACCGTACGACGATGCGCCGTCGGTTCTTCAGAAGCGATGCCGTACAGACTCGCCGACTCGCGAAGTCTCGTCTAACCAAGACTCGCAGCTTCGACAGCTCGGCGCGAAGCGACAACGAACTCTACTAAACTACAACTATGGTGTAACACCTCAAGCCGTATCAGGGGAGAGAGCCGTCTCAGCGCCTTCGTTTCCACGACCATACAGCCCGGACCTTTCACCCAATGCGTGCACCCAAATCGACTACTTCTCTCTACATGTCCCTCCCAACAGTCTCCCCCCATCACTGCAACTGTTTATGAACAAAGTCAACGAGATATGCCGAGGCGATGGTATACTCCTTAACTCGGATCGCAAGTTCATCAAAGACACGAGGGGAACCGAGGAATACAAGGACTGGGGATGGGCCCGAGGTCCCCAGGGCGAGCGATATTTCCATGCCGACCGCGAATTGCTTGGGATGACGCCGCCCCCTAATGTCGTCAGTAGGATTCTGTACCAGGCGCAGTTTTGTCATGTGTCGGGTGCATCGCAGGCGGATTGGAACATTGAGGTGATACAACGGATTCTTGAGGCTTCGCTGAGGCCTTCTGTAGGCCCAGCATGTAGCCAACCCATCGACTTTAGATCAAGGTTTGTTCTGCATTGTGCGCTCTACTTGTCGCTATTGTACTGACTTCTTTTAGCACCACCGCTACCGTCATCCCCGAGTACGACACCGACTCTCTACACCCTCGACAGACCCAGTTCTCCATCTACATCGAACCCGCCTGCGATCCCGACTCCCGAATCTCCCGCCAAGTCCATAATTTCTGCCAGAGCCTCCCCTGCGGCACATTCAACCACCTCGACCTCCCAACTCTGCGCGCGCGACCGATCGCCTTCAGTATCGAAACCCTACAAGACAATACCGTGGGATATCCTGGTCTACGCAAGGGCGCATCGATGCTGCCGCATTGGAAGTTCCTCGACGACCTGCTTGCCAGCAGAGACCAGGCGTACCAGGCGCGACGCAAATGGGAGTGGCAGAATGACCCCGAAAGTCATGCCAAATCAGAGGCCCTGGCCAGGGCAGTCGGCATTCCTGAATTCCTGCCAGGCATTGTCATCCAGGGCCATAAATGGCATCTTGTAATTGCCATTCCCAAGGGTGGGAAGATGGCCTTTTGCGAGAAGATTTCCTTTGGGAATACAGCTAGCTCAAAGGGCATCTACCAAATAATTTGCGTACTGCAGCTGCTGAAACACTGGGTCCGGGAATTTTACTGGCCGTGGTTGCGCAGGCTGCTGCTGAACTGGCCACGCCCACCTGGTGGTAGGTAATGAGGACTGATGAATGACGAGTGATGATCGCTGGAATAATAATAGCCTATACCTTTTGGATACAAATTGATTGACTGTATTTTTTCTTGCCTTCTGTATCATGTCACTGAACTACTTGGATGTCCATTTCTATCATCCATCCCAATTGAAGCGCACCCTACCTTGTAGAGTATACAATCTCAGACACCTCCTCCCTTATGAGAACCTTGCCTGACGAGAACATAACATCCGTCATGGTCTTATCAATGATCTGTTCAATCTGCTCATCACTCGTAACTCCAACCTCCTTCAGGCTACTGGGCAGCCCTGTGAACTTAACCAACTTCGCGACACAATCCCCCGCCTCTGTCTCTTCCCAATGCAAGCTCTCGTTGAAGATCTTCACGACCCTTGCCTGCGCCTCGGGGTTCTTCGTCTTGGTGTATCGCAGCACAGCAGGAAGCATTATACAGCTCGTAATACCGTGCATGACTTTTCCCACGCTGCCGAGCTGATGGCCAATAGCGTGGCTGGCGCCCATATTGACTCCGTAGACGATGTATGCCATGAGTGCCATTCGACTTCCTGCCTGACATTTACTCACACCGTGAACAAGCTCACCCTGGCCATTTTGTCCACGATCCATGCCCTCCTTGTACTCTACCAAGCCCTTGGCTAAATCCCGCAATGCCTTTTCGCACCATTCTTGAACATCCGGATACTTGGCACTGTCTGGATTGCAAAGTGTCTCGACGCAATGATCCACCGCACGTATCCCGGAACTCAACCAGAGTTTCTGTGGCGCTGTCCTAGCCACCCATGGATCCATCAATATCAGATCTGGCGCTCCTCCGTCCGATAGCGCAAAGTGCTGTTTTTTACCGCTGCTGTTTGTGCAGCTCGCTTTGTAATTCCATTCCCCTGCCGACAGACTGGTAGGAACTAGAATGAGCTTCACGCCATCAGCTTTCCTCATCTTATCCTCAGGCGCGACGCCCTTTTCTTGATCGATGAGTGCTTCCATGTCGTTTTCTTGAAAGCCTTTGGGCAGAGTAGCTGATAGAAGACGCGCGACCTTACAGGCGTCAGAGTATGAGCCACTACCAACGCAAATAACGCAATCTATCTTGTGATGCGTGATTCGATGTGCAATATCGATGACATCTTCGTATGGTGAATGTGATCCGACGCCTTCTTTGGCATTGATGAGCCTTCCGTCGAGTGCTTCTTTCAGATCGCCAATGGTGGAGGTGTTTTCTGCGAGAGCTTTGCTATGAACGAGTAAGATGCGTTGGGAACTCCATTCTTGGAGAGCGGCAAGAATGTCGTCCTTGCTGCGCGAGTTGAAGATTGCCTCAGAGCCTGGACGGTGTCCACCTTCAAGTTGGGGTATGCGATATGACTTTAGTGAAGAGTCTATCATGTCGACAGACAACAAGACGTAATTAAGTTAAGTTTCAGAGATTCTGATAGTCAGAGTTCTGTAATGATATGGGCAAGATTCTAGTCAAGCTTGAACTCAGTGGATAGTGAGTGGATTTATTGAAGATCCTAAAGGGTCAAAGTGGGCTGGTGACGTCTTGCTTATGACGCTTTGCCGAAGTGCCGAGTAACTAACTATTCTTGTTAGCAAGGTCGACTATCATCACAAGGTTTTACGAATAAGCCGATATGATTACGTGAAGTTCGCCGTGTAGTTTTACAGTTCATTAAGAGACTCGATACTTTATGTCATAACTCCGTCCGGTTCGAACTGCCAGGTTTCTCTATTGGCTTCCGTCCTGGCAAGTTGTTGACATGAAGCCGTGGGCAGTCTACCATTACATTTTTTAACAACCCAGAAGGGTCTTGTCATTGTATCATCCGCCGAGACCATGAGAGCTTGTCTAGTGCCTGTCCATATGAACTACCACTCTAAAATTGCATTATTTGAGCTTTGTATAAACTAAGTCTACTAGATAGTTTTATTCCAAGTAAAACTGCAAGTCGAGTTTTCCGTTCATATATATCCAAGCGTCGAGTGAGTTTACTCGTACAACGCGATATGCCTAGATGTAACTCCAAGTTACAACATAGGATCCATCTGACAAACTACCAATCCGTCTGAACGCCTCTACAGACATATCCAGCGAATTCGCATTCAAGCATGTTGGACACGCTTCAATGACAGTGACATCGACAGCTCTACCATTCATGCCGTTGGTGACACGGAGCTTTCGGCCGCAAAGGCTCATGTCGAACCTTCGATAGTCAAGAGCCACAACAAGCTCATCATCCGTGTGTCTTCCCCCGCACTGGGCATAGTTTCCGTTTTGAAAATAAAACGTAGCCTGTCCGCCGGCAAAGACCTCGGGTGCAGCGACTGTGGTCGTCACTGCTAGGAGACTTGTTGACTCTTGGCTTGTTGTGGTGGGAACTGAGCTCAAAACTGTGGTTGTAATGTCGACAGCACGAGTTGTCGCGGTGGCTGTTGAGGTTTGTTCGTCGAGTGATTGAGTCGATCCTGGCTTGCAAGGACCAGCTGCGACATTAGGGATGCTGACTACCAAGCCGAGGAAAACCGTAGATAGTGCGGAGAAGATCATTATGACTTTGGAAAGAAAAGAATTTAACGATAAAAATGTTAGACAAGAAGGAGAGAGGGTTTATTCGTTGGTTTTTCTTGCTGTTTTCTAACTAACAATTCCAATATCAGGGGTCGCCAAGACGAGGCTATTGAAAACTATTGCTTTTAGGTTGTGGTGTGGAGTGAACTGACTGGTTAGGTACAGCATCTAATTTCCGAAGCTGAGTGATGCTGGAGGACTTGATGACTGTTTCCTCAGCTGAAGAAAAAGGATAGAAAAAAGAAAGCAATGCAATAAATTTCGCCGGGACCTACCAGTCTCCAAAATTTAGGTATGATCTAGAACTCTATGGTCGTATCAGTATTGGCGTACATACAGAGTACCATCACGAGTAGCTTAAAACACCTTACGGTCGTCCGCGAAAGCGCTTTCAAACCAATGACCAACTCTAGAGAGGAGATCAACTCGTAAAATACAATGAAACGAATCGTTCGCATTTCATACTAGCCGACTACGATGCCCAATACCGCCCGTCATTCCAACGGGCTTTCTTTGACTAAATCCTTTTCGGCTTTGTTGGTTCGCTTCTGGATCTCTCTTTGTCCCTGATACCTCTACCGCGATATCTTTCCTATGGCAGTTCCTCCTTGTGACCTCTTATCTAAGTTATCCGGAAAATCATTCCCATCAACTATATAGCGTAGTATAGTACTGTACCTCAACCGTGCTCTTGAGCTGACTTTTTCTTTTTTAATTATTTTGAGAGTTTACAAAACCTGAAGCAATGATCCTGCCCTAGCAGTCGATGATGGGGATTCACTCTTGTCACTCATCTATCCTTTTCTGAACATTGACTATCCGGCTGTTCTCAATCAAGAGGTTTGTGTTTCTTAGAGCAATAACTCTCTCATGTGTATCGTGGTGCAAGATTGTGGCGTTCTCCAATGGTGGTTTGTCCCCTCATCAGCCACAGTGCGGTCATCTGTCGAAACTTCGGCCTCGGGCTTTTCGGCGATCTAAAGTTCGGTGAAATTGGTGGCTGGTTAGAAAAGACCGAACAACGAACCCACCTAATTAGGCCTCGGGTGTGGAGATACCCTACATCATAGCAAAACATTTTAGAAGCAATACGTAGCGACAATACATACAGATCTAGACAGATCCAGCTTGTTGTTAAAGTAAATTTAAATTATAAGATTGTCTTTAAGCCAGTTGGCAATACTAATTGACAGCTTGATCGCACATGTGGCCTTGAGGGAACTGGTAATACTACGTTGAATAGACTTTTGATTGAATGTGGACATTACTCCAGACGAGCCCGTCAAACATGTTGTCATGATCACCAATTCCACAATCAGATGTACTAATATTTGTGCAAATTATGCATGTAACATCTAGTCAGTGAAACAATGCCAAGGAGTAACAACATTTCTCGGCACATCTTGTGCTGGGGTCTTTCATGAAGGGTCGACAGTCAACCAAGAGCCATGAAAGTTAATCCCGATCATTGCCGCTTGATTAATCACCTCGCCTTTGAAGGATTTCTTGCAAAATACTGATTGGCTGGCTGCTTGAGGGCTCAGAAAGACTGCCCTTGTAAAGCTCGTTGTAGGGCGGGAATAACCGTTTGTAACGTCCAAAGCCCAAACGTTAAGCCAAGAACCGTCAGACTCGACTGACCAGTATGAGGGTAAACAGTTATCCACCGACGATAGACCTGACAAGAAGTGCCCAATAGGATATAGTCGCTCACGTGCAGTCGCGCCACATAATAGACACATCTAGATGTAAAGTCGTACATCGCAAAACGGCAATTTACATGATGATCTCAAGAAGCTTCATGCGATTCGAGTTTCTTTTCGGGTCTTGCCGTGCCCAGATTATGGTGAAATGGGAATGGCTCACCAATTTCCGCAACCCTCACGTGTCGGTTAAGCCCGGCTGCAGACTACTTCTGCACATGGTGACCGACTAGGTAAGAATTGGCCAAGCAGCCGGACTTCGCATGGACGCTAGAAGGGTGAGAATCACCCGTGGAAGCTTTTAGCGGCAGCCGAGCAGAAATACAGTTAGATCCGATCTCTTATCATGCCTGTGACTGAACTGATCACAAGAGGCGATTTGATTAGTGCATTCCGGACTCTTTTCTCCAAGTTTGGTTTTTCTTCCCTTCACCCACACAACCAAACCCCGTGGGGGGGACCAAGCTGAGACAGAGACCAGGGGGAGATCCCACAAGTTTCTTTCCCCTCAAATGCAGTTTGCGCACATTGGGGTAAGATGGACAGCGCTTGCAGAGGCCTAATTGCGTTAAACGGGCCGGATGCAACAGATGTTGTTGGATTCTTCGAGTCAGTCTACCCCAGCTAATTGCGTATGCTGGCTGCCAAGTGGTAGTCGAAACGTGTGAGCCAGGGAGCTACCCTTGTCATAGCATGTGTGACATTCGTAAAAAAGCACAACGCTGAGGTGCTCGATCCAACAAGAAATTAAAAGGCCTCACGCAAAGTGTCTGTAGCGTAGCATCAGATCTTGGAATCATCTCATAGTTTGACTCGCACTTCATGTAGCTCGAGACGTTGTGGGCCAATGGACTGATGTAGAGGGTCACAATTGTTTACTCAACACCATCTACAAGAAGCAATATTGGTAGAGAGCTCCTCAACAGCTCCATCACCAACATCAGCCTTGCCTTGCTAAAACAGGGTGATAACGCCGATGCCGGTCGATAGCGTGGCCTTGGTGCAGTTGTAAAGGCCCGAATGCCACAAAGCCATGCGAACCCGTACCCGTTGGGTAGAGAGAACGCAGCGAATCGAGAGGCCTGTCGGGAGATCGACGCAGGTGCCTCTTGGCATGCTAAGCTTGATGAGTGAAGCCATCAACGGCCGTATTGTCGGTCCGACCTCCACGCGCTCTCCACAGCTGCCTCCACGTTTCTATGCCCGTTGGGGTATAATCCTTGAACAAGCCTCCTTAGCACCGAGGACAAGGGTTGTGAGTGGTCAAGTAGGTTCATAGCTTGTTTTATGGTCCTTCCCCAGACAGGTCTCGATTCCCCTCTGTCCGGCCTAGGCGGCACTAGGTATCCCACATGGAGAGGGCCCGGGCCAGCGAGAAAGTTTTCGCTCTTGGGTTGGGGTTATGGAGAAGCGGAGTAAGAGCCCAGGTAAGCTTGTTTTTTTGCTCATCCTCCACATCGTCTCCAAGTCTGGGGGATCTGGAGTGTTGGGGAAGTGGGTAGTGTCTCTTAGTGTCGGCGCGATAAACTCGAGCTATTCAAGGTGAGTCCGGGGGGGCGAGGGAGGGGAGGAGAGGAGAGAGAGGAGCGAAAATTGCAGCTACTCGAGCTAAATCTGAAGGTGCGAGATTGGTATAAAGATCTACGACAATCACACTCGATAACTTCTTTTCCTCATCAGCTCTCATCTCATCTCCTCATCCATCTCATCACCCTTCAATTGATAGATATCTTTCATCCTATCTCATCATTTATCACAATGGCTGGTGGTGTTATTCCTACTGCTGCCCCTCAGCTGGCAGGCGGCTACTTGACTGGTCGCGCTCTCATCTTCCCCCTCTCCCTCGTCATCTCTCTCTTCTTCCTCTGGGGTTTCTCCTACGGTCTTCTCGATGTCCTCAACAAGCATTTCCAGACCGTTCTCGGCATCACCCGTCTCGAGTCCACCGGTCTCCAGGTCATGTACTTTGGTGGTGGTTACCTCCTCTTCTCTCCCGTTGCCGCCGAAGTCCTTAAGCGCCGCGGTTACAAGCAGACCATCCTGATGGGTCTTTCTCTCTACTCTCTTGGCGCTATTCTCTTCTGGCCTGTCGCCCACGCTGCCGACTCCAACTCCAATGGCCGCGCTGTCTTCGGTGGCTTCTGCGCTTGCACTCTCGTCATCGCTTGTGGTCTCGCTACCCTCGAAACCGCCGCCAACTCTTACGCCGTTGTCATCGGAAAGCCTGAGAGCGCCTCAGCCCGTCTCCAGTTCTGTCAGTCTTGGAACGGTGTCGCCTCTTTCATTGGACCCTTGATCGCTTCCAAGTTCTTCTTCGCTGGTGACAACGCCAACAGCCTCACCAACGTCCAGTATGTCTACCTGGCTGTCTCCTGCGCTGGTGCCGCTGTCGCTGTTCTCTTCTTCTTCGCCAAGCTCCCTGAGGTCTCCGAGGCCGTCATTGAGGACGAGGCTGGCCATGCTAGCCAGGGCTCCATCTGGAAGCAGTACAACATGTGGTTCGCCTTCTTTGCTCAGTTCTGCTACGTCGGTGCCCAGGTCACTGTTGCTACCTTCTTCATCAACTACGCCCACGAGAACGGTGGCATCTCTACCAGCAAGGCCAGCACTATGCTGAGCTACGCCCTCATCACCTTCACCGTCGGCCGATTTGTCGCTACTGGCCTTGCCATGATCTTCCGCCCCGACTTCATCATGGTTGTCTACTCTTGCTGCGCTATTGCTCTCACTGCCTACTGCAGCGCTGGTAAGGGTGTCGCTAGTGTCGGTGTCCTGATTGCCATCTTCTTCTTCGAGGCTCCCATGTACCCTACCATCTTCGCCATGGGTACTGCCAACCTTGGCCGCCACACTCGCCGCGCTGCTGGTATCCTTGTCATGGGTGTTTCCGGCGGAGCGGTTTTCCCTCCTATCCAGGGTGCAATTGCTGATGCCAAGGGCACTCGTATCAGCTACATTGTTCCTACCATTGGCTTCGTCTACGTTCTCGGCTACGTTACCGTCTGCTGGGTCCGCAGCGGCATGAAGATCATGGTCGCCAAGAGCACCGATGAGACTACTGTTGATGAGATCACCGAGAACGAGAAGAGCGATGTTCATGTTGAGCAGCACGAGAAGAAGAACGCTGGTGACTTTGCTTAGAAAACTCAATGGATTACAGGCTATAGAACGAATCTACGGGGTTTATGGCGCTTTACGATAAATAGTACCGGATACACTACTAGAACCAGAATTTAATGTTTATGTTTTATGATCAACAAATCATCTTTTTAAATTACCTACTTCGTGCAAAAGTGTCTACTGATCAATTACAATCTTGTCGAGTCTAGCTCACGACGCGCAAGGATCGGCAATTCCGACTCGGATAGCTCCGCGATTGCCACCAATCATATCCAGCCAGATTCCCCATCTTGCAACTGCCGTAATTCTCTTCGTTCGAGCTACTAAAGCCACTAAGCACAATTACGTGCAAAAGTCCGATGATAGGATAACTCGGCATGTGTTTAGTTCTCTTCTAATCTTAGCGATGAAGTGACATAAAGTTTACAATCACTATCAAAACTTTAATAAAATCATATTACCCAGGTAGAATTGAATAGAGAGAAAATCATCGACGAGCGAGAATTCCAACCACCTCATGAGTCAGGAGCTTTTTCTCATCGTGAGAGACTGAGAGCCATATGCGGCAAGTATGGGCATGGAGAGATTCTGGGGTTGTGGCAATAAAGCAATAATCACCCGTGAATAACACCATGCATGTCCATGACTTAAATAGTGTGGAGAGTAACCAACAAAAAGCCGAACTAGATTCCTTGGGCATTTATAGAGGTTCTTGAATCTAACATTGATATCTATTTATCTTGGACTAGTCTAGGAAACTGGAATGCAGGTCTTTTAATTTCCGCTCTATATGACAGATCCGAATATTGCACAAGACATCCCCCGTCTTAAGCTTGCTGGGCTTATATCATGACCCTAGAACCTCTATGGTCGCCTCAGGCTGGCACCACCTTTGCCACACTTCCTACATCGATATTGGTCGGCTTCCACTGGGACCATGTTCCTGGGACCACTGCACGGACAGTAACCCAACAACGGAGACTGCAAGGCAGAGTACAAAAGCTCTTTGACAAACTCTGGACATTCAATAACGAGCTCGTCAAACGCCTCTCTGACAATAGACAAGGTCGTTGGCCCGTCCCCGCTCAGAACGTTTCTTGCGAATGCCAGGGCGGGATCTCGGAGGTCCCGAGACGTCTCTGGTGTCAAGTCGTAGACATATGGTATGGAAGAAAAGAAGTCGTTGATATACAAGTCCCCCTGTAGGACTTCACAGTATTTCTTTGTGGACAGATGCCTGAGACCTTCGATATCGTACTTGTCTCCTATGGAATACATGATGGCATGTATTGAGAGACTCGAATCGCTGTAAGTGTCTGGTTCTTCGTCCACCTCACCTGTTTCCAATGAGTAGTCGCCCGTATAAAGGTAGTCCACCATAAGCTGCACCATATCGGATTCATCAGAAGTCAGGTCATATGTACCGGACAATGCTTCCTGGTGGTCATTAGTCGTGATGAATGTGATCCCAAGAGAGTTGATACCTTAAATTGACCAGTACATGCTGCACGAAAAACTGGTGACTGGCTACATATGATAATCTTGTGAACTCGAATATCTCGCCCTTGACAAGTAAAAGTGAAGTCGGTGGACTCGCCATCATTGCGTACTCTGTCGAGCTAGTAAGTTACTGCAATCTTTTTGTAAAGGGACATGCACCACATACTGCCCATTGCCTGCTCTGGCCTCCTGTACGCCCATGCCTGGTTATATGGGCAACTGACGAGTTCGTACTTATTCCGCGTAACTCCACCAACTAGAAGGAGGAAGGAAGAAGGAAGAGAAGAAGCCACAATCGATACGCCCGAACTTTATCTAAGGTGGAAAATAAAGGAGATAAAAATCTAGCCAACAGCGTTCCAACGATTCATTGTTCTTTAAGTACTGGCCGCTAGCATGGGGACTGATTCATGCGCTGACCTCACCGACTCGGAATTTAGTGCTCAATTTGGTTAATTGACAGGCCTAGCGGCACAACCAATGCGCCAATGGCAATAAAGTTCAGAACCATCCCATTGGACCACCAGAAACCCATCATGCTGTCATCCATTTCGCCTACATTCTTTACCGATATTGCAGACGACATTATGACCGCGTTCTGGCAGCGTAGTTAACTTCATCCATATTTTCGTAACGCAAAACAAAACTTGCAGGTTCTTATAGACCTCTATATGTGACTCAAAGTACTGGTTGGGCATGGTTTATTCCTTTTTTGAGGACCTTAGCGGTAGAAAGGATTGTTAAATATCGGAAAAGAGAGACGACAAGCCCGTGAGCTTTGGAGCGATACCGACGTCAGCATGGAACCTCGTCACAGATTAAAGTGCAAATGGACTAATGATGAGAAGGTTTTGGACCATTTGATATTATTGAAATCGTTGAGCAGAGTAATAAGTAAATGCTTGTAATCTTGATACGTGTAGTGTGTCCAAAACTTAAACCAATATTCTGGCAGCCACGCGTTGCTCAAGCCATGATAGACCAAATGCTCTTTGTCTTGCTGCTGGATTTGATCAGGATCTTACCTGTATGACGAGATAACTTGGCATACAGTCAGCAATTATATCGTTGCGGTCTGAATTAGGGTCCATACCCGGTAATTGCGTCAGCTGACACCGTGGAGACTGTTTATAAAGGACATCAGATCCGCCAGATAAAACTATGCTTTTTGGCCATCAACATATTGAGCAAAAGTTTAAGTCTTATGAACACAGCAATGACTTCTTTACAAGAACTCCGAACCGCCATCGAACACACAACGCGGCAATTCCTGGGCGCCTACAAAGACGCCGGAGAGAAGAACGACCCGACTATCATCAACCGCGACGTGACCGACTCATGTAAGCGTTATTTCCTACCAGCTGGCGTTCTAGAACTATATGGAGCTCCTGCGGACTCCGCCTTGGACAATACTGCATATGAACAAGGAATGGCAAAGGATCTCGGGAAGGGTCGGGTCACACGGACTCAAGTCTTCAACCTGACAGTAGATACCGAGTCACGCAAGTCGGCGGCAACTACCATCACGGATATGACTTTCAAAGATGGTGACACAGTGGTGATGGAGCATTCTTGGGTGCTGGACTTCAATGAGGATGGATCCAAAGTCAGTAACGTTGTTGAGTTCTGTGATATGGACGGGTTGCGCAAGATGTTTGCCAAGGTATACACCGCGACATAAAAACGAAGGATTTGTTTGTATGAAGCTTGAACTAGTTGACATTTATTCGTATTATGTGACAGAATGGGCTATCCATGGGTGCAGATGAACTTTTCCGGCTGCCCCATTTCCAAGCAGAAATGTAAAGTTTGAAATATGTCCAGTTTTATGAAAACTACTTCAAGTGACATGGGCAATGCCATTGATGTAGGGCGGAGATCCAACAGCTACGAGTATTGGCTTCAACGGTTGCCACGATAGTGAGCTCATTCCGTCTTGCGAGTCAAATGCTGACAAGCGGGGCGAAGGCAGCACTTTTGCGCACAGGCAACCACATTGCAACAACTACTATAAAACACCATTGAAAAATATCACTTAAGCCTTCCGACCTTACAAATCAAACAAGCTCATTTCGGAGTATTAGTCTGTTGCCGGTCATTGATCCATAAATTGTTGTCCGAGTCTGTATTTCCCACCAAAAACACACAATGGCGGTCAGCGAGATCGCTCGTGTTGCTGTGAAACCCGGCATAAATATTATCAACCCAGAAACACCGGATGGCCGCATTCTAGGTAGCATTTTGAGAGGCGTGACTACACTGGCGGGAGGCCCTCAAAAGGTCTTTTGGGGTTTGGAAGTTCTAAATCCTTCAATGCTATGGATTTTGTTCGACTGGGAATCTGTTGAACAACAGGAAGACTTTAAACTGTAAGCAGAATATTCACTTTTGGCTCAATTCTGTCCCTGATACTGATTCATGCTATAGGTCTGCACCGGACGCTCTAAAAGAATTCTCGAAAATATGTCTGTACTCAGAGTTCATCACCAATATCAATCTTTCGCCCTCCTCGGATGTCCTCTGTGGTCCCATCACTGAGCTCATGATGATTCACGTCTCCAAGAACTTGTCACAAAGCGGGAAGGAAGAAGCATCAGAAAAGACCATTCACATTACAAGTGAATGTTTTGGAAATTCCCAGCATGTTAACAAATTGGCTCATGGGTGGATGGTACAACAGAATGTGCCTGGGCAGCGACTGATGATGGATGCTGGCGGTGTCTTTATGGTCTTCATTAGCTGGGCAGGGTATATGAAGCAAAAGACATTCCATGAGACTCCAGACTATCAGGAAACTGTCAAGACTATACGTACTCTGAAAGGGATAATTGGTTTCCAAAGTCAGAGTGTTAACTTTTCTTCTACCAAAAGATTAGAGGAACAGGGGCAGTAATTAGATAAATGTCAAATTATCCTCACACTTAAAACACTACGGGGGCCTAATCAATTTCATTTTAAATGTGAACCCCAGATAAAAGTGCAGCCTGTTTCAGGCGCGATGTGAAGACTTTCATACGTAGAGTTGATATTGTATAATGGAACTAAAAAGAAAGGTCTCGGAGGGAGTCGAACCCTCGCTGGCGGAATCAGAATCCGCAGTCATAACCGTTAGACCACGAAACCAATGAGCAACGTCGAAATAAAGTGCACGGTCACGGGATCATGAATTGTTCGTGCAAAACTTTGCAGCCCTCATATCTAATCTTTGCTACTGGGTATCACGCTCTTTGACAAGAACCAGGTAGTATGGTTATGGTAAGTTGTATACATTCTAAACTATCTATAGGTAGTAAACATAGTAAAAAAAGTGCTCAGTTTCAGAAAGGCTGAGAAGAACATGGAGAGCCCAAGTTGTTCTCGGAGGGCTAAAACACACACAGTACTAGACTTATAAGAAGAAGAAATGGGGTGAATCATTGGCATCCTCGTACAGATATTAGATACAGATTGCAAAGACAGACACTTAATGGAGTCTTCAGAGTTGGATATTCTAGTTGGAATAATGGGCGACGTATCCAACCTCCATCATACTTCCGTAGCCATCACAAGTGTTGCCGTTCGGGTATCCAGGCTATATGTTGTTAGTTCAGGGATATAATTATGTATATGCAAGTAACTTACCCAAGTGCCACCAACAGCAACGTTCAGGATGAAGTACATCGGGCTATGGCACAAGGTATTCCAAACCCCTTCGTTGTTGATCCTGGAGCCCGAGATCTGGTGGAACTGCTGCCCATCCAGGAACCAGGTAATAGTCTCGTCGCGCCAGCTGCTCTTGTTTCGGTTGAACTCGATCCTCCATGTGTGCCAACTCTGATCTGGGATCGAGATGGTGCCACCGATACCAGTGCCCTCGTTGCAGATACCGCCTGGGTAGACATCGCAGTGAGCAGTCCCGTAACCAGTGAGCTGACCGTTGACGGTCTCCATAGCGTCAAGTTCGCCGCATGCAGGCCAGCTACCGCCATTGCGTAGGGAATTTCCCAGCATCCAGAAAGCAGGCCAGATGCCTTGCTTGTTGGCAGTGGAGCATGTACCGAATCGAATGGCAGCCTCGACTCTGGTGATCTTGCCGGCCTGGGGCGTGAGAACGTACTTGCTCTCGACGCGGCCAGAAGTCCAGCCTTGGGCAGCTGAAGAGTCTCGCCACGGGACAAGTTGAAGGGTGTTGCCCCCACTTCGCTGAAGGTTACGTGTGGATGCAGTATAAACCTCAAGCTCGGCGTTGACATTCAGATAGCCCTGAATAATGTTCCAGTTTCCAGTATCAGGAAGTGTTCCGCTTGAGCCAGCAAAGTTGTCCTGCCAGTTTCTGTTGAACCCGCTGTAGGCTGGGGCGTCCCAAGCGAGGGCCCTGGCTGCAAGGAAGAACAAAGAGACGAAAACTGGCTTTGAAAACATGATGATATAAATAGTGCTAATGATAGTCTGTGAGTGGGTTTATGATGATGAGAATAATCTTGAAAATATTACGCTACTGCCTCTACTCTTATAGCATCGGGGATGGAAAACTCCCATCTTCTCTTTTTAACCATGATTTACTTCTGATTCTCTTTTCGACATGGTATGTGGGAAGCGTGAGTGATAGGCAAGGGCATGCTTCAGAAAGTTGCGGTTGTCTGATCTATAGGTTGAACTCGGGTGATGCTGTCAGTTCACAGAGTGAAACTCGTGGATTAATGTTCACTGTTCATCCAAACCCTTTTTCGGATGTGAATGGGATATGGTGTCTTAATATTTACTCAAACTGACTGGAGTCGCTGTCCAGGCGAGTTGAGAAACATAGTCATTATTCACCATAAATGATCTAAAGTACATGGAGCCCTTATTCCCTTTTGAAGGTGACTTGATGGTGTGACCAAGCGTAGCGTTACATCATTATCAATATGGAAAGTGTCCGTCACTTTCATTCTTCTCTAAGGCAATATAGCCTGAATGCAACGTTGGCTATCCTGACCTATCTTCCTTTTCTTTACCCCAACATTACTGCTTTGCGCTTCTTACTAATTTGGTTACTGTGCTAAGAAAATGAGCAAGAAGAATAGAGAAATGTTTAAGAACTTTGCAACAAGAACATTCATTTCTACTAATGATTTCAATCTAATCGGCTCAGGATTTGGAGATTGTGAGTAGCGTTGGATTGGAGTTTGATAATTTTTCTCATCATTGTGTCTCAACTGATCATGTGCTTTTTATGAAAATTTCCCCGATCACATGGCAGAACTTGGGGAATGACTTGTTCATGAGCCGGGACGGAACTGGCACGAGGCAAGCAAATCATCTTCTGTATAGATCGAAATTGAAAAAGCTTGCTCTGATAATTAGTCTACTCGATGGGTACTGATGTATCGTTCGTACTTGTCATCATGGATAATGATAATCAATATGATAATGTCTACTTGAAGTAACAGGACACTAAGTGTGGCTCGTTAGCGGCTACGCACGCGACTTGGGCCGCAACATCATGGCAGCGGCTCTTGCTCAAGGCGATAAGCTGATAGCAACAAGCCGTAGAAGCGTTGATCGGGGTTATATCGATAACACTGCAAATGTCAATGTGCTTCCGCTTGACGCTAGCTAAATGAAAGGAGTGCTTGATCAAATGCCCCAAGACGCCTTTTTTGCCTTCGCTTCTATTGATGTTCAAATCATCAGCGCAAGCTTTGCTCCTAGGGCTGAGGGAGTAATTTAGGTGGATGTGCAATAATTTCATAAATTAGAATAGTATCATATATGAAACCCTTACTTGTCCGCTTCAAAAATCACCTTGGTCACCTCCATCGCGTCAAACATCCTGTAGCCTTCCACAGCCTCACTCAGAGGCATGATGGTTTCTGTCATGAAGCTACTCACACTTATTAGTGGTATCCCCCAGGTGGGAAAGGAATGCTTACCCTAGCAGATGCTGTTTTCTTTCAAGTAGACTCAATGCTTCTGGGAAAATGCCTGTTGAATCTCAATTAGCCAACCGCTCTTAGAAATCGTAACACTGTCCTTACTTCGAACTGGACATCGGCCCATCTTGACTGTAAGGTTCTTGCCATAGGCTTGGTTTCCTGTCCAGGGAATATCTCCATTGTGGACACCAACACTCGATATGGTGCCCCAAGGTCGCAAAAGCTGGAAACCAGTCTCGAGCGCTGAACTGTGCCCAACAACTTCGATAACAACATCTGCACCTCGGCCGCTGGTGAGTTCCTTGACTCTCTGGGCCAGTCCATCACTCTGCGTTTGGTAGTTCCATGGCTCTGCCCCTAGGTCTTTGGCAGTTTCAAGTCTTGATGCGATGCTATCAACAGCTAGCAGGGCCTTGGGCTTGTACTCTAAAGCAGCAATGATTGCACATAGTCCCACAGGGCCACATCCAATAGTAACCACAACGCTTTCCCGAGCTACCTCGGGCTCGAGTGCACCAAGCGCATTATGGGCGGCAAAATATCCTGTCGGAAAAATGTCTGCCATCAAGCAAAGCTTAACTTCGTCGATTTCCTTTGGGGCTTTGATGACGGTCGAGTCTGCCAATGGGACCCTGACATACTCTGCTTGGGCGCCGTCGAGGAGTGGACATCCAAACAGCAGACATTTATCACATCGTGAAGAGAAGCCGCGTTTGCAGTAAAAACATTCTCCACAACTGACAGTAAAGGGACACACAATCGCATCACCTTTGGCGAATCCTTGTACCGCCGAACCAACCTCGGAGATAACGCCAGTGAATTCATGGCCCATGATAAAGCCAGGCTTAGATGCCTGGTGGCCGCGAAATACATGTAACTCGCTGAGACAATGCTTTAGTAATCTCCTTGGTGGCATTTATCATCGACTCGACTGAATATCTTACCTGCCGCATAGCGCGGTATATCGCACCTTGACGATGACGTCCCGAGGATCCTGGATGGTGGGGACAGGGCGATCCTCCACGACGACACTCTTTACTCCCTTTAGAACAAGGGCACGCATGGTTGAGAATGATAAAGAGGGAGATATTCCGAAGATTCAAGATTAAATACTAAGGTCATCCAAAACCGCGAGGTCCATCAAGCATTTGGCGATAATCAAAGGGACTTATTTTTTACCCCGCTAATTATAGATTCTCGTATGATGCATGCCGCGTTGTTACCGAGGTATCTTACCCGAATCCATCGGCCTTCCTGACATGTCAGTGTGGCGCATTGACAGTCTTATGTGCTTCTAACTCAAGTTCCTTGATTCCAAGCCAGTTACCTCCATGATCTAGCTATTCCAAAGGCAGCTGATCTAGTTTGCACACCACAGGACGGGTGCTTTTACAGGTAAAAAACAGTATTGGCCATTCTCCCATGGCTCTACCACAGATACGCAACAACTATGAAGGATGTGGCTCATCACCAGTAAACGAGATACCTATCACCTTATTAGCATTCACTCTATCGTATCGTGGATTTTGAAATAAAAAAGAAAATGCTCACCCAAGGTTGGATGTGACAGTATTGGACCCGTTAAACTCGGGATGTAATGTTCCTTCGACCAAGACATTATGTTGTCCCAGTTTCGGCACTGGTGCTCTGTTCTCATACTGGGCCACGGCCACCGATAGTCATCTTTCCATCCGTAAGTGTGCAACGAAACATCCCCATGACACATGATTACCTGGCGAAGCAGGTCAATACAATGATCAAAGTGCTCGTGCTGGTCTGCAAGAGGATTTGGATCATGGTAGTAGTCTGAGTAGTACGACTTGCGGATTTTGTTAACGCAATGGAGTGTGTGAAACACGTCAAGCGTTACAAGATAACCTCCTTGGGAGTCATGTAAGGGAACAGAAGTGGTGTTTGCCTTCTCTAGGTCTTCCTTCTCGACACGCAGGTTATTATCTAGAATTGGCTATGTTAGTACAAAAGCTGTGGAGGGCTTGTAGGTCAGCCATACAATGCAGAAGCTCATCCCATGCAGTGTCCTGCTCTGGTCGTGGCGGGCCTCTATACTTGCCGTTGTCGGCAAGGTTGTGAACGATTGTCTGTTTCTCGTAACGTACTGCTGCTTGTGCAGGAGCTGAGGTTTTGTCAGAGTCACATCCTTACATGAAGCCGATCGCACTTCATCTCACAATATGGTAGGCTATTGTCACAGGTACAATCTTTTTCCTTTATCTTCACACTCCATATCCACAGGAGGACAGTCAAGGCGCTGTAAAAGACGACAGCCCCAGCATGAAGATGAGTTTTAATCCTCGAATTTCGCGATGATTTGGCTGATTTTGAATACTGCGACGGTTTTTCCTGTAGCTGGTCTTCGCTTAGTAGACTCTCTGTGTCTGGAGACGCAAGAGAGCTATAGTCTGCTGCTGAAGGTCGATTGGAAGACATCGCTGCAGTGTGAAAGTGCGATGGTCCAGAAACCTCGATAATCCAAAGACGGATTGAGTTGGAACGAAACAGTCCCTATCACGGGCCTAAGCAAATAAACGACATATGCAATGAGACAAACCTGGCGCACATCCGTAAGCGCTTATCTTTGCATCTGGCTGTCACTGGTATACTGTCTAGCCTGTGTTCGGAAGGATTCATGCAGAGGGTCGCGTGCCAGGTAAGCAGGGTGTAGTAGCAGCAGATCTTATGTAAGGTTACATCTCATTCCTTACATGATTGCAATCCGATGATCGACAAGCTTCCCGTGGTTGCAATGCCAACGTGCAGTTCCATACAAAGCTTCCAACAATACGTCACCCGAGTTATGTAGAATAACAGAGAAATAAAACATACACAATATTTAGAAGATCTTAGACATAAGATTAGATAAAGTTATATAGTATGATTTAAAATAAGAATAGTTTACTATAATTTATCTAACATTATATAAAGTGCCAGAAAGAGGAAGTTGTCGGAGCATTTGCACGCGCTCTGTTATCCTGGTAGTGTATTGACAAGGCTTCTTCACGTATGCACAATCCCGAAGGTAAGCCAGTTCTGAGCATCACATGGTGACAAGAGTCATCGCGCCGTGCTTCAAAGCTGGCACAAAACTACACAACACAATGTGGCAGACAAATTTAAATCTCAATTTTCGAATTGTGACAGAACCATTGTTACTATCCGTGCTCGTTCTCAATTCATCCTTCTTAGCTATGTATCGAAAAATACTCCTGGCCTTTACTCCTTGCGCTTTCCCCATCCGGCCTGGTTATTGTACAAGATATCAGGACTCTGTTTCTCGGAGCGCTTCCCCCACCCAGCTTGGTTATTGTACAAGATGTCTGGGCTTTGCTTCTCAGAACGCTTCCCCCATCCGGCCTGATTGTTGTACAAAATGTCGGGGCTTTGAGCTTCAGAACGTTTGCCCCACCCAGCCTGGTTGTTGTAAAGGATATCAGGGCTTTGGGCCTCAGAGCGCTTGGCACTCTCGGCGCTCTGGGGCTGGACGGGGGCCGCAATGGAAATGCCGAGGAAGGCAAAGACGATGGGGAGACTGAACTTCATGTTGAGATTTAATGAGGTGAATTGAGAGTAGTGGTCTTGAACTGTATAATTCTGAGGAATGAGTTGTTGATACGTCAAGATATTTCTGTTTGGGATGGTCGAACGGGGTCAGTATCTATATGATGTCTGTTCGCACACAGCTCATGTCAAGAGAGATCACCGGAACGTTGCAATTCCGTAGGTTTCATATAGACTAATTGAGTGATTAAGGCCAGCTTCTCACCTTTCAGTTCCTTCTGTCACATCTCAGTCTCTAAGGAGCTAGACCTAAGTGTCGATGCAACCTAGAGTCATGAAGCTCTGAGTAATGTCTTGAATGTGGTAATCGGCCCTTCTTGCATGTCTATGCAGAAATTCTGACTGATCGGAATACCCTTCTTTGTTGACGAACATGGGAGGATAGACGATGAGTGACGCCATGGAAAAGTCGCTCGCGGGGTATCGTGACTTGGATAAGCGGCGTTCAGCATGATGCTGTAGTCTGAATCCTTCGAATGAAAGACAAGCTCATGATTCGCTCCTTGACGAAGATCCTATCATGTGTTGGGTAGATCATAGCTTCTTTGGATGCAAGCGCAGAGATTAGAGATGGGATGATGAAACATTCAAATCCTGCATCCTTCGGATATGCAGCCCTCTGGAAGCAGAAATGTAACCTTCCCTTAAGATAGCTGCTGTCAACAACCAAAGTTCCATTTCACTGTTCTTCGTACAGTAGACCCCACACAGTACAGTCGTCAGGCTGGACGATGGAATTACTTTGGTGAGGTGACCATGCTTCCCTCCTCTTCACCTATAACAGGAGATATTGTGTAGTCTTTCCGATCTCTGCGACTACGACTCATTTTAGTATTGACATAACTTTCGACGAACTACCACCAATGGAGCACGACAAGAGCCAAAGGTCATCAGAAGAGGCACCGTTCCTCGTAGATGAGGAGAAGGACGTCTTTCCAAGTCCAAGTCGTCCTTCAAGACGTGACAGATGGGCACATCTCTTGCCCTACTCCGGTGCCATCAACCTAGTACTGATTGTAGTTCTGCTTGTGGCTTGGGGTTTTCAGACCCACAATCCAAGAAAGGCATATATCCCTGACGAGATCTATTGTAAGCCTTGACTCTTTGTCGAACGTGCGTTTCTAATACTGTCACAGCACCAGCGCAATCAGCTGTCGAATATGAAACAGTGGTCTTTAGCGGTGGCTTAAGAGAAGAGGTTTCCAAATTTCGAGGATCCACCAGTGATGTTGACGATGAGTGGGATACACTCTACAACAGTGAGTTGCATTATTTGCACAATACAGCACGGGATATGAGCACTGACCATTTCGCCTGCAGAGGTTCTGATATCTCAGATCTCTCCAGAATCTGCCGCAAAGCTTCCAAACGCTACAACGCCATTCACAAACGATACCGGTCACTACATTGTTGAGCTTGACGTTTTCCACCAGTTGCACTGCCTCAACATGTTGCGGAAGCTGGTATACCCCGACGTGTACACCATGGACTTGACGTCGGGTTCAGAAAAGGCCATTGACAACATCTTCCACATGGAGCATTGCTATGAGCAGCTTAGACAATCACTCCAATGCTCCTCTGATATTAGCACAATTTATTGGGAGTGGAGTGAGAAGAAACAGAGGATGTTTGGCAACGTCAGGACAACGCATACTTGTAAAAACTTTGGAAAGATCAGAGATTGGGCGGTTGAACATAAAGCTAAGACGGACTTGGACTTTTACAAACACGTTGAGGGAGCACCACTGTTACAAGAATAGAGCTAATCGAGCCTTTTTTGTGAAGAAATCTATTTGTACTGCAATGTGGCTATTATTTTTGCGAGAGGTCAAATTGGTACAAAGATGGAGTGATACTTTACTTCTTCACGCAAGCCTGGGTTCTTTCGTAACTATAAAGCCGATTAATCACGATGTATTTGCCTCCATAAATAAACTTCACCATGAATCTCGCCCGCGGTTCAGCTAACCAACTACTTCGCACACTTGGGATACTTTACAAACACCTTTGTACCAGAGTCCTTCATCCCCCCAGCATCACCTCCTATCATCTTCACACAATGGCTCGTATGGTGATAATTTGCTGTGTAAGAATCGAGTTCCTTTGTCGGATCCAACATCACCCTATGCAGACGCTTCCAAACATACATGCAGTGAGTGACATGCCAGTCAAATGTCGTCACAAAATGACCATAGTCGCCAGAACTGAACTCCTCCATTGTGAGGTTCTGGCCTGACGCTGCTGTAAGAGGCCAATTGCGGCCATTATACATGTCTTTGGTGTCTTCTTCGTCGTCTTCTGCTAGACAGGACTTTGGTAGCCAAGCGTGAAGAACGATGCTGTATCGGCAACCTTGAGCTCTTGCTTCTTCGGGGGAGTTGCCGCAGTCGCCATGAGACCAAGATATTGGGAGACCAGTAATCGGATCAGAGCCGCTGCGAATCTCTGGCAGTATGCGTGCGACTGGCCTGGCTGGTAGCATTATGATTGAGAAACATGCGGCGATGAGTCCCATTGTAAGCAGTCCAACTAGGAATGAGATAAGCGCCGTGATGCCAGGCCTTTGCCGCTCCACAGGCTTCTCATAGCCTTCAACATGGTCGTCGCCGGTATCAGGGATCTGTTTGTACTTGATAGTCTCAGGCATAATTGGAAAGATTGTTTTTCTTTCGTGTATGGAATGTCGAGTTACAGGCAGCCTTTTGGTGCTGGAAGACTTTTGATCTCAGACAACTTGGGAACCGGACCAAGGTTGATTAGGATAGCGTATGTAACAATCGGAGCAGCCACATATCATGATTCAACAATCAATTGGCTATCAGATAGTACCGTATAAAATGTCAGTTAATTATACGGTGTAATCCCGTGTCACTGCAGATCCGCCACCCAAGATCCGGATGGTGGCACAGGGTCGTATCTGACTAAAGTGATTATCAACGGGCGATCCACGGCCCTGGCTGATATCGTCAGCCCAACCTATATGCCGTAATACCGGAACTTTACTCCCTCCAAAATTAGGTGGGTTGACGATGGAAGGTGACTGTAACATATGCGGGGTTTCGCAGGATCCTTGAGGTTGCATCTCGATTTCAACGTAACCTCGTCTATCTAGACCCCGCTATCAAGACCGAGTATTTCCATCATGTGTCTCCGTTCGGCTTCCGATTCCCGAGTATTTGTATGCGAAGTACACGTTACATGGCGTTTATGAATGTGCAAAAACACACTTCATAATTGATACTTGGTAGGAATGATGTGCTTGTTTTGCCTACTTGTTACGCTATCTGTATTGGATATCTGGTTCGCTAGCTCGAGCTGTTTATCAAAAGATTGATAGATGATGCGGGAAAAGGTAATGTTCCAGTGTGGTAAGCCAGAGAGTAGAGACAGGTTGAGAAAATAGGTTCCTTGTCTGAGTCCGCCAGGTCTATAACCGAACGCTGGCCCTATAGTTCGGACCTACTTCGCAATGACTCGAAAGGGCTACAGACGTGCGCGCCTTGATTTACTCGTCCTTTGCCATAGATTCGATGAGGGTAATGTGACATTTGGAGCCACCAATCGGTGAGCCTTGAGATTGGTAGCAACTGTAATGACAATAGGAGGCGTTTCTCTAGCATGCTGAGGCCTGATAGAGATACTAGTTTCTCGTAGTGAAGTCTCTCTGTGAATCCGCACCAGAATTATCAGAGGAAAATAGATAGCGGCAGAGGTTGAAGTAAATAATAGAGAATGAGAAATTAAACAAAATTCAAGCGACCCGCGATTTGAATACCTCAGGATTGTTGTCTTCTCCAAGGTTATACCGCGATTTGTCCACGAAGTTCATTTAGACCGTTTATTTAGCCCGTGATCACTCTGAGATAGCTCTGGAGATCGGCCTCGGTGTTCTTATGGTGTCTGCCGTTATCCTGACCACCGTTATCGACGCATGTGTCTCTTATAGACCAGCTACCAGTAAGCTAACCAGATACCTTGGTTGTCGGCGATGGAGTATATCCCATCGAATGGCGGTCTCAACTCTGGTAGCTTTGCCGGCATGGGACGTGAGAATGTCCTTGCCAATGTTTACATGCACATGGCTCGCGCCGCTGTGTTGAGTTGGTCGGATAATATTACAACGGAGCAATTTGGTCATTAATCTTGCTGGCCGAACATTCAAGATCCTCACCATGCCGGCGGGTTGGTTTGTTAAGGCAAGGAAAGAAAGAAATCAATGTAGATTTTAGTTTCCAAATTGATGGTAATAGAGCAATCAAGTTAAGAGCTGGCGTTGCCGTGCTCAGTTCCTAAGCTTGAGCTTGTTTCATGGGAATGATGTCGTAAATGAATGGCAACAAAACGACAAAGTTGAACGCTGGCGTTGTCGCACTTGGTTTGAAGCCGGGGTTTGTGTTATGGGAATGATGTCGTAAATTAATAGTTGCAAAACAAACAAGCAATGTATCTGTTGAGAGTCCTTGAGAGCGCAAATTCTTGGTTGAGTTGAATACTGGAAGCCCGAACTTGATACGCGTACCACAGTGACAAGGTTTGGTTAAGATGGAGTCAGCAACTCCAGTAGGTATGGATCTGTCTTGATTGATTTTACCTTCAATATTCTGTTCTGGGGTTAAAATTGAGTGAAGCTGATGAGCATGACACGACGAAGTCTTTGGACTCAGGGATCCAAGCCTGGATGCTGTGAAATTGTATTCAGTGAGGTGGGCTCTCTGGCAGTTTATGTTAGCTCAGGAATTTGAAACATACCTAACAGTAATTTGAGTATTGAACACCTCATAATTTACGTGCTAAAGACAAATCGTCATCAGATGTGTAAAGTGAAGCTATCATGACATTTATGGAGCTCCAGCAGCAAGGAGGAAGAATACGTCACGCCTGAACGTCAGTTCAGAATTCAATTTACGGGCGCACAGAAGTCGGATTTCAATTTTATACGTTGTCTATGTCCTGTATTATCATTTCTTGCCTTAATTTACATCATATCCAGACTTGCGATCTTCTCACAGATTTAATTAACACTTCCAACTGGTCTTCATTTCTATCCCGCCATTACGCTATCATCATTATATCAATTCCCACACTTCATTCTCATTCCCAATTAATTACGCCAGCGCCTCATTGTCTGAATCCTCATCTGAATCTGGTATCTCGCGCCACGGAGGGTATCTCAACGCTCTCTCGTGCTGCTCCAAAACCTCCTCCCATGGTTTCAACTCCAACGTGAGATTCTCACCAGCCGTGGTCTCAATTGTATGCTTCAGTCGACATTTCTTTGGGGGCACTGGTGAGATTTGTTCATCTGTCGCTCGCTTCGGTACAGCAGCAACACTCAGGGCCGGTGAGGCCTAAGCCAACGAAGCGTCGTGATCCTAGTATCAAGTTAGAAGCTGGACAAGGTCAGAATAGCATAACCAAGTACTTACACGATGTGGTTTTGAGCCCAGGTGGACTTTCAGGCCATGTACCTTCTTGTAATCTCGGCCGTAGCAAGACAGGCCAACGACACGGCACACTGTGTGTGGACCATCCAGTTCCCAGTTGATCTCTGAGTTTGGCAAATGATTATACAGAGGCTCGGCCCATCGTTTCACTGAAAGTCTTCTGACAACAGAAAGTCGTGCAGCTTGCTCAGCCATGATCTCGGTCCCTAACAGAAAAGTTAGTAACAAGAAGAAGTCATGAGCAGAATGAACTGACAGTGTCGACTCTCATCACTCTCAAGTTCTGTACAAGTCGAAGTCTTAGGCGAATTGTTCGCCTCTTGGAACTGAGGAGCGTCGGGCAAGTCGTCAGGCCAAAGAAGTTCGGTGTTGGCGTCAATTGTGGTAGGGCTTTCATTCTGAACGTGCGACATGATTAAGGACTTGTACAATTTTTTTTAAAAATGGAATCAAATAAAATATGGCAATAACAGCGCTGCGGCGGAATTCGGTACAGGTAGGTAGTTTGGTGCGAGGTGTTCGTGTTTCTGCGGCTGTTGGGAATTTGGGAGTTTGGGAAGGAGCGACTTTGGGAAGGAGCGACAACATGGTGGGTACCGAGCAAGGCGCATTTTGGATACAAGCTGAAGAGTGTGCAAAATGTTCAGAGCCATGAAAAAGACAATTAGAGAAATGAAATATCAAGATAAGTAAAGTTCGCAATTCAGTAGTCGTGACTGATTGAATTTGGCGGCTTCTCCTGGTGCGACGGAGTGTTGAAGACCAAGATCAAGCGCCCTCGGTGTCTAGAAGTGGTCACAAACCATATGGCTTAACGATTTTATTATTGTAGTTTGTTAATGAATTATTTTGGAATTTGGACAACTGTAGGAGTTGGTAAGACTGGTTGGCATCAGGGGCTTCTCTATGATTCACTGTTAAAAACCAGCCTTCCCACCAAAGTTGACAAGAGCACACAATTAATCTAAACTTTTTGCTCCTACATTCTTAACTCTCTTCTCTCTTTACTTCTTCTCTTTCTTTCTTTCTTTCTTTCTTTCTTTCTTTCTTTCTTTCTTTCTTTCTTTCTTTCTTTCTTCTCCCTTCACCTCTTATGTATTATCCCGCAAGTAACAAAGCCTGGATCCGACACTTCAGCGACACCACAACAACATCGCGCCAGGTAAGTCTACCTTATCTATTTGATTGCATCAAGCGTAACGCGTACTATTCAGGTGTCAGCATTGCCGATATCCTTCTACGGGAGTTTCCTCCTCTCCCCCCTGTCTCGCAAACACCTCGAGCGATCATCTTGCGAGGCAACTACGAATCCGATGATACCGCACGTCACGTTCCTCAACGACTACAAAGCCATGTAGTTTTCTTGTTGTCGGAAGTTTTGCACGGGAATGCACTTTTTCTGGCTTGAGTGTAGAACGCTGTAGATACTGTAAACGGGTTGTAGAATTCAGTAAATATCTATCTCAAAATCTAGCGCAGGCACTGGATAAGTCCTGAAAGCTTTTCGCTATCCTAGCTCACACAAAATCCAGGATACCATCGTTCAGCTCTTACAGGTCATGACTGAATTCCAAGATCTAAAAGGCCCAGAACATAGCGCGAAATTGCCACCCTTCATGCTCAAATAACACACGATCGTCATCACGATAAACATTCCACTTCTCGCCCTCCTTGTCCGCAAATCCGACTCTTGTATAGAGCGGTGATCGTCCAGCATCTTCAGCCAAGTTCCACTTTATGACATGTCCGCTTCCACCAAAGGTAGCTGTGAATGATTCGTTAGTAAATGTGTGTTGGAAGATTAGGGAATCTCAAGCCCAGCTGTCGCGTGAAATAGACAACAGAGAGAGAACGTGAAAGGCAGTACAAGTAAGAAGGGCAGGAATGAGAGCAACATACCTTCTCCGCCATTTTCCCACCAAGCGAAAGAGCCATTGGAAACTTCGACGTAGGTATCAGGCTGCTGACCGTCATTGTTACCGAATTGCGAGTAGTACGCGATTCCGGAAGCCTCGAACCCGTTTCGCTCACGATTGATGAAGTATACACCGTCTGTAGTAGTACGCTGGATACCCTCCTTGGGGTATAATCTCATGGCAAAGACCTTGTCAAGATCGGAGATGACTCGGTTCCATGGTGCAGAGGAGCCATCGAGTGTCATACTAGCATCGTAGGAGTATTGCCTTGGCACAAATTAGTACAGAAACACCAGGACCAGTATCTAATATTCAAGGCAAACAGAATACCGGATTTGAGAAGGGACAGGTACAGGGGACTTACATGATAGATGTTCGGTCGTATCTCGAGTTAATGACGTCCTCCTGCTTCGCGGATGCAAAGAGGTTGAAATCAACTGCACCCTGGTCCCAGTTATAGACCCTCTTATAATACTCATAAACTACCGGTTTGTTCCATTTGATGTTAGCAACTGGAGATGCCTGCTCATGGATGAAGCCAAGCGCGTGGCCGAATTCATGACAGACAGCTGTACTAAACTCCAGATCGCTCATGTCGTCAGTCATTCCACCGTAATTCATGGTTGGCTGGTCCTGACTGATATTATGGCAATTGGTGCCAATGTACGACCAGTAGCCGTCTCGGTCAAAGGAGACCCGGATGTCGGAATCCCCTGGGGCGTCACGCTCCATCCATCTGAAGGTGATGTTCGCATAACGACTCCATTCATTTGCAAACTGCGCTGAATCAGTATTTGTATCGGATCGTCGGACAAGTCCACTGTCCGATAGACTTTTCTGTGTGAATGGTTACCTGCATGACCTTACTGCGGACGAAGTCGCTCTGTCTATTCGAAACACTTTAGCAAATGTCAAAACATCGAGACTAGAATATGACATACCCCCACATGTTGACAACAATTTCCGATCCGTTAGGCCAATAATACTCCTTCTCGAGGGCCAGGCGATCTTCGCCAGGCTTCACATTCATCTGAGCGCAATGATGGCCACCGAGGAAATCTGAAGTCATTTTGATGGTTGAGTTCGGGGAAGATTGGCTTGAAATAGTGATGTTGGATGCAATGAAGATAAGTAGAAATGATCTGGGTTGTTTAGATGACGTCCCTGTTGAGAAGGAAACTGGCAATCCTTTATAGCCGTGGAGTTGGAGCAGAACTTTCAACAAACCACATCCATGATTATAAAGGCAGTTGACATATACCTGCATGATGTCAAAGGACCCTTCGCTTGGTGTCAAGGGCCAAGTATCCCATCTCACCGCAAGAGTATCCTTGTGAAAGCGTAACAATAGCAATATTACGTACGGCGGAAGTTCCACCGACGAGGCGCAAATGGCGGAGGTTACGATCCTCAGCCGCACGTCTGTTTTTCGCGATCAGTTCAGTCGTACTGGTTTGTTACCCCCTCCGAGAGCTTTTAATGCTGACAAGAGGAAGAATGAAGCAATGAGTGGATCTACCCAGCTGCAAGACTTGTTTGTGGCGTCACCATCAAGGCCTCGACCGCAGGCTGCATGTAACATTATCTCGCCTACTCCGTACTTCTTCCCTGGGAATGATATTTCAGGACACTATCATGGACAGATAGATTACAAAATTGTTAAAAAGAAGATCTGGCTTGCTAGTAATAATTAGCAATCTATATAGAAATTTCGCAACCCATTCTGCCTTTCGGATATACAGTTTTATTCTTACATTGTTCCATTCTAATAGAGCTCGAGTTGCTTGAACACACTTTATTATTCAGAAATTTAAGGTAGGCCATGCTGACAGGTGACAGCTTACTGCTGACTGCCGATTGCTGACTACCTCGGGTAACACCTGCACGAAGCTGAAGTGCTAAGGTGGCATGGATCTCGGCCTTCTTACTTATACTTCATTTCGTAGGGAAGATTCAATGATTAAGAAGAAGATAATTAATTGAGGGGGGATGAGGAGGCTTTAATCGCGTAACCCGAGTTAATTGTGAATCCTCACCGTCAGTCTTACATGGGCATTATGTGCTCCAATGCACTCTCATACTCTTCCACCAAAGTTTTCAGCTCCGGTTTGGCACTGCCTCAAATTGTTGGAGCCTGTGATCTAGCTTTCTCAATTGCATGGGTGAATATTCGAAGGCGTTGCCGAGCACGGCGTGGTGATGCACTTGCGCAGTGCGAGAAGAGGTAACTTGCTCAGCGTAAGATGCGAAGCCGCCTGTTTCGAAAGCTATAAATCGCAATGAAGTACGCAAGAATAGCTCAGGTCAGTTTCTTTTTCTCAAACTATTCTCATCTCTCTACGATATTTGACATTTTCTTTCTCCTTCTATATACGCTTTTCGTTTTTCGACCCAGAATTCAAGATGAAGTTCAATCTCGTATCTCTCTGCATCCTGGCATGTTCTTTGCCTGCCACCATTGCTCAGCGGACAGAAGAGAACGCCGTTACAATCAAAACTTTCCCTAACCAGATTGGTTGTGGATGGGGAGTCAGTGGGCACACAGATTCCTTTCCAGATGGAGAATGCTTTCATCTGCCGAGAGACTACATGGACGTCAAGAAAATCACGGAGACCTGCCGCGGTTCGTTTTTCAGCCTACAGTTACCGGGAAAGGAGATTGCTGATCAGGACATAGTCTTCATTTACACGCGCAATGACTGCACAAAATATGAGCAACAAGTCCACCAAGGCGAAGACTGTATCGACATTCGCGACTACAAATCCATCAAGGCATTCTGTCACTGATAACTCCAAGTCACAGCTATGACGACTGGCGGTTTTACATCAAGGGGTTGGGTAGATTTCCGAACCGACTGTGGCATAACGACGGGTTTTCGTCCTCTTGATTGTGGTTTTCCCCATTATGGTTTCCCACGTCCTCTGTGTAAATACAAAGAGGTTTGGATTTAGGTCTATCAAATAAAATCACGTACATACAAGACCTACTAAGTGACGCTATGCTCTTAGTGTTCCCAGTACTGATTCCCATGCGAGCCTTGATTCTGGTGGCGGCCTCATTACCATTTGTGACCTGGCCGATAGAGAGTGACATTGCGTATTCGCCCTCTGGATCGCCAGCGTCAAAATTTAGATGCATTAAAGATACAATTTGTACCAGACACAGGTCCAAAGAAAGGGGGTTTAACAATAAAATCTTTGCCGAGAGAACGAACGAACAGTTAGTGGAAATGGGATATTATTGGTTTGTAATTCTGACCAGTGATTATTATACTTTCGCCTAATAAACTTTCCGCGCCTTTTTCTCGTACGGCCTAGTGTAATTTTGGCTTTGGGGCTTTAGAACCCTTTTGCTGTGGTCTCTTATGATTCCCAACAAGAGGAAGGGCGGCCATTATAACTCCAGCTCACCATCCTCAGTGCCCTTTCCAGAATTCTTGATGGTAAAACCTTGAGAGTCTCTGCTTCCGCTTCCTGTCCCTGATGTGCATATCTATCGGCTCTTCATATCATTCGCGAGGATTTCATTCCATCTCGTATAACCGAACTCGTTAAGATGGACATTGTCTTCGCTCATAATCCCGTCTTGATTTTCACCGAATGGCAGAAATTCGCAACGGTTTTCCACTGCAATTGTCTTCAAAGCATCATTTGCATCGCCGATGATACTGTTGGCGAGACCACGCTGGAAGAATAGCGCCGTGATCACGATCGGGATATCGGGGTAGTTGGTTCGGAGCTCCGTAATCAAATCATTGTACATCTCGGCTTCCTGCTTGCGAAGACCTGCCTTCTTCAGGTCGTTGCTTCCCATGTGGATGTAGATAAGCTTGAGGTTGGGTTGATGCTGCTTTAGAGACTTGATGAGTCCTCGGGCGATACGATACTGGACATTGGTGACTTTGTCTCCACCCACGCCGAGGTTCAGGATTTGTGAGTTCTGGTTGATACTCAGATTTTTGCCGGTGGTCTTGAACCGCTCAAAAAGACTGTCGCCGAGCAGTGCTATCTCGTAGTGGCCAGGTTGTCCCTCGATTTGGGGCAGGTGAGTGCCATGGTGGGTATCGTGAGATCGTTGCTTGAACATGCTGGCAATCTGATGGAAGAAGACGTTTCCGTAAGTCGTGAGGAATGTTTAGGCTAGATGAAGGAATGATGATTCTAGTTTGAGCAGATCTTTCTTCAAAGTAGGGAGTCCAGAAGGTATTTAAATAGTTTCAGTGCAAACTGCAGTGTAACATGAGGCTCGGTTGCCGGCTGAGTCATACCGCCTTACGCCGGGCTGAGCTTAAAGCAAGCACGACCACAAACACAAGGCAACAGTGTGAAGAAAGTATGTTCACGAGAAAGTGTAAGGCTTGAATGAACGTGAATGGTGAATGGTATGGGCAAGCGTGGGGCCCACTTGCACAACTCTGGTAAATTACTAAATATTCTCCTTCGTCCCTTTCTACAACTGCACAGGCACTGGCGATGCTTGAACCCGAGGGTGCGCTTTTGCTTTTGGATTGCGTTTTCATAAATGGCAGGGTATTCTTGGATGCCTGGATCTCTTGGTTCTGGTATCTTACTTTTATTAGATCCTTTAAGTGTCATGAGTCTAGTATTGTGCTTGAATGCATCCCAACACCTCGTAGCATCAAAGCGGTTTGCTGAAAACAACGGCGGGCTCCATGCTATCTAAAATTCCCATTGTCTCTCTTCTCACTTTGGGCTCGTCGTATGCTTCCCCGGAGATTGTGCGCTTGCAAATCTGTATACATGGACATGCCAATTGCGAAAGTTCGGTGAGTTTGAATGAATTGAGTCCGTGCTCGAAAGCCTTATCAAATGAGTGACTGTTCAAACTGCCTTTTTTCTCCGTCTAATCGAGATTCCGCCAATTCCTAACGAGTGAATAAGGGTCCATTCCCTCTCCATGAAGTTCCTTCCGATCTCCACCATCGTTGCGCACCTAGGCGGCCATATTCTTATGCGACAGGTTATTCGGCCTGTGACCGTCAGGTTAGGTCCCGAACTTCGTGTGGCATCGTCCGGGAGATGCTCATGTCTCGTTCTTGGGCAACGTGAAGTAGCAGCCCCTTGCAAATTGATGGAAGGGGCTCTCTTCGTGGACCAAGAGGTTCAAACCTCCTGGCTGCCCAAGGGTTATCTCTCGCATGGAAGCCTTGATGCTTACTTGTAATCGAATTGTTCCCCCCCTGATAGCTTCGCCGAGGAATAAAAGCCCGAGCTTCCAAGATATTGATCATATCAGAGAAACTCGAGCCAGTTTCCAAGGAGAAGGTTATGAGGGCCGAAACACCCATCACATATAAGCGTCAAGGTTTCCATGTAAGAAACAAACTTGGGGCAGCCACGAGGGGACCTAGAAGATCAAGTGAGTACATCGCGACAGATCTGCTCAAAAAGAGGAGATAGAAGGGATAAAACGTTACCGACGAAAGCAAAGCGTGGCTTGTAAGACCGAGATGGTCCATGACACTGGCGAGTGCATCATGGCCTCCGTCTCTCTCAACCGCACCAAGAACGGCTTCAAGGGCAGTTGCAACCATGCCAAAAGTGATCCTGGTAGTGCCACCGTTCGCATTGATGCAAGCGTCAAGACCAAACCTCATACCCACACCGCCAAGATTATCATTTCCGAGAAGCTGGCGTCGTAGAGTAGTCCAGCAGTCTCGGCCATATCAGTAACCTGATTGATAGAGTAGGGGTCATTTCTTACGTTTGTCGAGGCCACTCTGCACCCACAAATCACACAGGTGGCAGGCTGCAGCTGCATCACCATAGATTGCAAGTCGATCGTTCTTTGGCATTTTTTTAAAGAAACCATTCATGGTGTAAACGGCCTGGGGGTCTGCAGCGGCGTTGAGCGCCTCGGCGCAGAAGAGCTTCGATTTGAATGTGTAGCCAATGATTGCCTCGCACTGCGAAACCTTGAGTCCAAAGCGATTCTGAAAGTCCATGGTTGAGATGATTTGGTAGTGGTGTTATTCGTTGTCGAGGGTTGTGTGGTTAAACCGGAGAAGGTTGTTGTGAAGTCGGCGGCCAAGTGCTATAAGTAGGTCGTTGATGTCATGCGATGAGGGGGTGAGGTGAGACGAGTGCGGATAGTTCATCCAATCACAAAAGAACACAACCATAAGATCTTATGCAGTAGAAACTCTCATAGCCTGATCTGACCTGGAGGAAATACTGTACAGCGGAAGTTGAATATCAACAAAAGTTTCCTAGGATAGATATTTGACAGGATGAGGCATTGGCTTTCCCACTTTATTCGGTACATTTCCATCGTCTTCTGTTGCTATCAGCTTGAATCTTTACGGTCCGATGTTCTTTCAAAGAGTTGGTGTACTGAAATAAAGGCTGCTTTACAATTCAACGAAGACATTGTACGCCGTTGCAACTACCTCTATAGATAGTGAAAGCCGAATTTGAAGCCGTGAGTTACATTTGCGAGACCTAGGGAACAGAGAGTGTCGATCGATAGCTAGGACTCATTGTATTATCATATAATATGGATGTAGACCTGTTTATTCTGTAATGAAAGACTAAAGGCTGAAGAGTCTTGTGTGTTTAAAATCCCAGTTCTTGAATGGCCCCATACTAACCTCTAAAGGCCCGAGACCATACCAGTCACTCATCTTCTCATATCTAGCACTTGCCCTTCTCAAGGATAGTCCTATAACAGCGTTAGCGTAGACTCTGCATCTGATTGAAAAATGGTGACTTACTGAATGCGCCAACTCTGAACCCTTCCTTGACCTCCCTCAGGGCAACCGTTGACGGGAAGAGCAAGGTACTTGTTGCAGACAGTGGTAGTAAGGCCCTTTCTGACACCCCAATCGTTGAAGACTTCAAAGATGATCTTTCCATCACCAGACGGCGCGTTGACACATGTCTTCCTTGTCTCGCCAATGTTGTAGGCTCCGTTGGCGCCATTGTCAGTTGCGCCCTTGCTGCACCAGTCATTGGCAGCCTTGAGGGCAGCAGCCTTGTTATTTCCCCAGGGGATAGAGTTCTTGCTGCTGTAACACGCAGCGATTTCGGGATACTCAAAGCCGATTGTGTGAACGCAGACGTTGACGTCGGCCCAGAGGTTCAGACACTCATCGCCAACAGTGGGGTTCCACTCCTTGAACTGATCGAAGGAGATACCGAACTCGGCTGAGACCTTGAGGCAGTTGTCGCGCTCCTTGACGAAGTAAAACTTGTCACAGTTATCGACCATACCGGGCTGGATGGGCAGAGGCGTGGTGATGCCGTTGTCACCGGTGATCGACTCAATGGCAGTAGCCGGGGCTCTCTTGGTCAGGGAAGGGCTGGGCGCCGCGAGTGATACACCCGCATTAGCCAAAAGGACGGAAGCGATAGTAGAGAACTTCATCTTGAAGAGGATTGTTGATGTTGGTTCAGAGAAAGTTCTGTGTGCTTGTTTTGTTGGCTGTGAGCTGATGAGAAGACACTTAAAGTCAGGGGAAACCTGTGGTATATATACATTTTTTTTTCAAAGGACAATAATCCGATCGTAACAATACCAGCAGAAACATTTGCGGTAACCATATGCAAATCTCATGAGTTTTTCGTATCGTAGGAGCACTACTGTAGGGCTGCTTAGGCTGCTGGCGCCTCTGCCTCACCAGAAGGTCCCTTATTCATGACATTCTACCAATCAAAAACAGTTGCCAAGACTCGCTTGGTTCGTTTGTGGAAACACCCGAAAGTCCAAGATGCAGGGTGTGAGGCACAGTTTCTTCTACAAAGCGGCACAGGTGTATCGAAGAATTATCCGCTGCCCGGGTGACTCAAGAGATCCTATCGTCGCCGGGCTCACTCGATAATCCGGACATTTTCACGATGAGCTTATGCGAAGAGCGGACTTGTGACGGGAAAGAAAGTTCTTGGCCCACTAAACGTCCGGCCATTTCCTTCTATGGAAATCGGAGTCTCTTTGATATACGACGTAGTATTCACGGTAAGCGTTTATTCAGCCGCAGAGGAATTAAAGAAGAATAGTCTATAGCGCTGACCTTTTTATTCGTATCCTTTAATACACAGCCACACCGACATTTTCAAACCAATGAGACTTTCCACGTGTAGTCCATAGAACTTTCACAAACTTATAGTTGCACCAACTAAGAGACCAATGTAACCAGACAGCAATTTGGAGTTCAGGACTTGATTCGGTTGCGTTCTTGATATCTCGCATTGATGCCTGTGTGTGCGGTAGGACATGTTCAGACATGGCTTGCAGAGTGCAACCTACGAGTAGTCATAGCGTCGAGTGATATTAAAGTAAGCTACAACCATCCTGCCCATATCAACGTTTTTATCGCGAGAATAATTGGTAGAAACAGTTATATCAATCTAGGATACTAACCTTATGAGTGGCTATTTATGAGCGTGGCGTGAGATGTTAGTGTTAGCTTTCAGTGACTTATTGTCAGCATTTCTCCTCTCGATAATTGATTTGGTTGAATATATGGTCGATTGACAATACATCACATAGGTCACAGTCAGACTTAGATCGGTTCTTGGAAACTGATTGGGCCTATATAGTTCAATACGATGCTACGACTCGTTCAGTACCTACAGTCGGTGTATGAGAGGTCTGATAATCACCCTGCGTCTAAAGTTATTACAATTTATGTTTATGTGGAACAATATGATCTATACAATTTTTACAAATTATTTTGGACTATTTTTATTTTTACATAATCTCAACTAATTATATACCCTCATTGCATCTAAAATATTCGAAACCAGCATAATATTTAACATCGGGCGAGTAAAGTTCTCGTATCGGACGCGAAATTTAAGACTTGTCGCGGGTAGGTTTCGTGGTTACCGTTATGTCAACTGCCTAGCCAATACTGCAGCAAGAATGTGAAAGTGTTGTAAGAATCTGTGAGGCATTGGTCCATGATGTATATTCTGGGAAAAGTGACATTCTTTCCAAAAGGTAAGGACCAGCGCGAGTTTGTAGAAAAAAGGATCTCGAGAATCTCAGGATCCATTGGTGTGCACAATCTAATATAGCCACTGCTGAACCCAAAGCGAATAGAAGGAGTATCTGTATTTGATGTCCTCGACATTGTGATTTGTCTACCGCAGGATACGGGATGTTGGTTTGCGAAGAGCAAAGACAGTACCGGTATGCCACATTAAAGATTTTTCTAAGTCTCCGAAGTAATCTTAACCTTCATTTATGCAGACCGAGTTTTCTTCTTGGTCTTCTGACTAGAATAGCCCACTTCTAGGATGAAAAAGATCCTGATAACAGCAAATATCACCGCGCCATACACATTGCTCCAATCCTGCTGCGACATTGTCGCCATAGACCAATTGTGTGGAGGCTGTCTCATCTCCCACATGCTGAACATAAGCATGACATCCATAACACAGATCGCCCCGTTGCAGATCTTCCAGACCCCTAGATCGTCGGAATATCGTAACAGGCCTCCCTGGAGAACAGCGACCATCCAATATGCAGCTGCAACCTGCCACAGCCAGGGATCGTACGCTACCGCGCGTGGGGTGAAGAGCGGTGAAAGCATGCCGAGCATGGCGTCGCGATGAAACACAAGGCCATAGCCTGTTGCAAATGCGACAATAGGATCAACGTAGGTGAAGATGATGCGATAAAAGGCGGGAACAGTTTTTGTGGACGCCATGATAGCTTTTAGTTTCTTATGCTCTGAATTGGAATGGCACAATGCTAAAAAGACAGAGAGAATTGGATCTTATCTCTCGACATAGTGGTATTTAAAAGAAATCAACATGTCAGCTGACACATGTGACGTAAGCTGACGTAAGATTAATAACGTTAACCTTGAGAAAACCAGAATGGGAACTGCTATTGCTATAGACTATCTCTTGCGCTTGAAAATGATGGGTAGTCATGAAAGTAAACAACATGAAAGCTATTGACTTAACATCTATGATTAGAAAATCTAAGGTGAAATTATTGGCTTATGTAGAGATAAGTCCCTATCGGAGCTGATAACATGCTTTCCTTCGACTGGTTGAAAGGGGCCCCACCAGATTGCGGAAGCTATTTGCGGGACCTATAATTTGCGGGCCCGATCCGCGGAACCGCTCAACAGGGCTGATGTTTACCGGCGGCTCCCGTACCAAAGAACAGTAGCACAAGCATCATGTCATGCAATATTCGTTAGAGGTAACCATTTGTGATCTAATGTTACTCGATTGAATTTCTAACACCCTGCTAAACTCGTCCTTCCACCACTTTAAGAATCATATCGGCCGTTTCTGCCGCGTCCTCCACAAATGGACTATGGCCCCTCGCAAGCCTGGCCTCCTTCATTCCTGGCGTTGACTCAACAAGCTTTTCTTGGAGGGGAAGCTGCAGTAGCTGATCTTTCTCACAAATGATGTAGGTCTTGGGGATGGTGATATCGGAAGCGATAAAGTCTAGGCTGGTCTCGAACGCATCTTGAGAATGCGGCTGCGTTTCTTGCAGGGCTGTGTCTGTTGCTTCTTTGGTGCAGCCGCTGTAGACGCACTCCCGAGCTTGTTCGTGTACCATTCTAGTCAGTTTATTCTGCAGGCCGTTAGCCGAGTTTCATTGAACTGACTCGCGCCCTCACTGTACCTTTGTATATTTCTCGCTGGTTTCAAGCCATGGCGGATACGCTCCCCCGAAAGTCGTAATAAGATCCCAGCCTCTAACCGGAATGGCAAAAGCAGCCAGAAAAATGATCGAGTGAAATCCTCCTTTCAGCCCCGCCGCTTGCCGTTCCTGGACCCCCTGGCCTTGCGTTGCGGCCGTAGCGGGAATGCCGCCATACGAATGGGCGATGAGGACAACCTCTCGTCCCTGAACAAAGAATTGCTCTGCTGTTTCCAAGATCTTGGCCGTGTCTGCTTTCCAAGTGACTCCATGACTCTCCGGTCCTACACTGGGAAGCTTCGGGATAACACACTCGTAGCCCAATTCGATGAGGGAGCTCTTCAGGCCGTCGTAGCATTTCGGAGGATGCCAGGCCCCTGTGACAAAAAGAAGAACAGGCTTATCACTCATGGTTACTTCTTGCAGGACTGTCTTGCGAGCTGCTGAACTTGACGTGGTATCGTGGCTTAATGTCTCACGTCTGCAAATGGATTAAGCCTGGTTCTTATAAATCGCTGGTTGGAATAATGGCATGAGCTGCGGATGCGATGCGGATGCGATCCAAGCTGAGTCATTGAAACAGCTGACGCGGCGCCCACGTGTACATCCTGGATCTTCCAATACAGTCTAATCGGCACCCTGGTAGATTCTTCTCTCGGACACACATAAAGACGCCTTAGCGTCAAACATATTACGCAGTCCAGAAAGTAAGGAGGCACGGCTCGATAGTAGGCTAACGCCGCAATAGTTCGATTTAAAGTTTAGGTAAACTATAATACTACTCCAGCCTTACCCTGGTAGATTCTTCTCTCGGATATATATAAAGACACCTTAGCGTTAAATATATTATGCAGTCCAGAAAGTAAGGAGGTACGGCTCAATAGTAGGCTAACGCCGCGATGGTTCGATTTAGAGTTTAGGTAAACTACAATGCTACTCCAGCCTTACCCTGGTAGATTCTTCTCTTGGATATATATAAAGACGCCTTAGCGTTAAATATATTACGTAGTCTAGAAAGTAAGGAGGTACGGCTTAATAGTAGGCTAACGCCGTAATAGTTCGATTTAGAATTTAGGTAAACTATAACGCTACTCTAGCCTTACCCTGGTAGATTCTTCTCTCGGATATATATAAAGACGCCTTAGCGTCGAATATATTACGTAGTCCAGAAAGTAAGGAGGCACGGCTCGATAGTGGGCTAACGCCGCGATGGTTCGATTTAGAGTTTAGGTAAACTACAACGCTACTCCAGCCTTACCCTTGCGAGTAGCACACACTAATGAATGTGGCACCACAGTCTTGGAACGGGTCACAGTCCAGAGCCTTATTTCCGCAATAGCTAGTGTGATGCGAAAGGATTTCCTCCTTTAAGACCCTGCCTTTTGGGTCTTCGGGTCATGCAGGATTGAAACATGTGCGAGTCAGAGGCCAGACGCTGATCTACGTCTTTATCTCCATTCTTGCCACTACCCCTTAGTGCACTGGGTACATATTAAACTATACGCCTTGGCTAGTGACCACCCGTAGCTCTCAACTTTATTCCTGTATCTCCTAGCAGAAAAATCATTCCTTTTCTGCATGCCAAGATGTCTACCTCCCTTCCACCTGAAGTTCTCAACCACGATGAAGGTCCGTCGCTGGTTGTCGTGAGTGCCGTGTCGATTCCTTTTGCTCTCGGCATCGTCGCTGTCCGAGTATGGGCCCGACATCGAAAACAGATGGCCCTCGAGCGTGATGATTGGATGATATTAGCATCACTGGTAAGTCTGAATTGACTGGTCATTACTCAAACTTGTTGTTGACTGTGTGTCAGCCTCTACTATGGGGCACTGCTGCAGTTGCAATCGCATGTAAGCCCTCATTTCCACCGTGCGTCGGGGTAGTCAATTGACAATAGAAATAGCTGTGTACTTTGGTGGAGTTGGGAAACCACTGGCAGTCAACATGATGCAAGATCCAAGTCGTCTTGGAAGGGCTCAACTGGTGAGATGATACCAAGTCCCACATTCATGCATGCCTACTAAATCACTACTACAGTGCCTTTTCTTGACAGAATTCGTTTACGGAACGGTACTTTGCACGATAAAAGCCGGCATACTTCTCATGTACTACCGCATATTCCCCACGCGATCCATGAAGATTGGAGGATACGTCCTGGGTGGCCTCACATTCGCCTGGTGGATAGGCGTAGTCTTTACCTCCATCTTCCAATGCACGCCAGTCGACAAGGCATGGAAGCCCTTTATGGAGGGCGGAGAATGTCTCGACAAGAATCGCTTCTTCATCGGAAACTCTATTCCGAATATTGTGATGGATGCCATGATTATTGGGCTGCCAGTTTTCGAAGTCTCCAAGGTTCAAGTGCCGCGGTCTCAAAAGATTGCCATCGCTGGCATTTTCCTGCTTGGTGGACTGTGAGTGGAGCAAATGTGTCACAAGATAGAGCAGTACTAACTTGACGTAGTATTGTGATAATCAGCTCCATCCGCTTGAAATACATCATGGGCCTTCTTCAAGCTGGGCCTCAAGCCGATTTCACCAGTGAGTTACCTTACCCTGAGTTGATACTTCACATTTCTAACTATCTCCTACAGAACTCATCTCAACGCCATGGATATGGACGGTCATCGAACCGACCGTTGGCCTTCTCTGTGCATGTTTACCAACTTTTCAACCGCTGATGTACGTTTTATTTGGCCGCTTCATCACTAGAGCCACTCAGGACCGCAGCAAAGAGGGAATCGTCACTATCGGCGGCAGTGGCTCCAAGCAGCTAGATAGACAGAAGGTCCCTGCAAAGGATGGTCCCTTTCGCAGACTCCATGATAACGACTCGGCTGAGGAACCTGTTCTTTGGCCTCAGACGTATCACAATGAACAGAACACGGTGGTGGAGCATGCTAAGGGTGGGGATGTTGAGGCTATTCCTCTTGGTTCAATCACTGTACATAAAGATGTGAAGTGGGAAGAGTCACGGTAGGATTAACGACTTGTGAACATGCTTGTAAATGGCCAGGAGATTGCGATAATAATTCATAATGACCGCGCTAAAGGTGTGATAGTTTCTCCTCTATTAAATTCTACGTGAATTTACTAAACGATAATTAACTTTTCTATTTGAATATGAATTAAATAATGTTATTAAAAGTATTAAAATTTTATAAAATTCATAAATATTTAGTATAAATATTTCAGAATCTTTTCACACCCTGAGCCATGTAAATACATTTAATACATCTTTCGTCTTGTCTACATACTAAAAGTAATCAAATGATTACAAGAAAGCCCCCCCTGGAAATTAAAACGCATAAAGCAGTGTATGTAAGACTTTTACAATGACATGATTGAAATTGCGATCAAAATGTGTGCGCCACAGTTGGTTTGTTTTTACGTTCAAAACAACACCACATGCACAATTGTCACATAAATTAGGTAAATCGCAACGGAGGTAAACCGACATATTCAGAACAATTTAATTCACAGGATATTCACAGAACAACTTCCTCATAATGGCTCCAAGAGAAATTGTGTCTATTACTGATTATTGATGGTGAACCAGCACTCCCTCACCCTATAGCGTTGGGCCATTTGTCGGAGATTCGCTAAATCGGTAACCATGCATCAACGTCCCAGAACCCGAGATTCCGAGCTTTTGCGGATTATCATAAGCCCGCATCCTCGGTTAAGAAGAAACGCGTGAGGTTGGCCAGGTTACCAGCGTGCCAGGGTCCTCTCCCCTGGTCAGTTTGATTTCTCACGTTGCCCGTTGTCAGCGTGAATCACCCCTGACACATCTACGATGCATCCCTGAATGCCAAGCTGGACAGGCTGCCATTCAGTCTCACTAGTTGTCATATTGACGTTTGTTAAAACACCATGCTTATCTACTCCGCTTCGTCCCGCCATCTGTGCAACTGCTCTAGGTTACAATCACAACATTGCTGATTTGTTACTTTTGTGAACCCCGCGCTTACTGTGCGTCTCGACGTGACATTGAAAGGCTCGAATGGGGCAATAAAGCAGTTCATCAAGGACTGAAAATGATTTTATCCGTGTATAAAATATGATCTACTCTCGTTGACTCGTTTCCTTCAACTTTATTTCGGATTGACCTTATACTCGACGGTGAACATCTATTCTTCAACGGCATTCTGTAAAGGCAAAGTTTTCTGACAAGATGTTCTCCATGAACAGCCCGGCGACTCTAGTAGTCTTAGGTACCATCAGCCTTTGCTTGTATCTAGCGTACCGTGCTATTCTACCCAAACCAATCGCTGGAATTCCATACAACAAGGATGCGGCGGGGAGAATGCTGGGAGATATCCCAGAGATGATCGGATACGTACGACGAACAAAGCGCATATTTGTGGGTAACTATCGCTGCGCGCCGCGGCAAGTTCAATAACTAACAGAGCAAAAGTGTTGGCTCACATCGCTCAATACCCGTCACCAAAGTCCCATTGTGCAAGTCTTTACGAAGCCTGGAGGATTGCCTTGGGTGGTTGTTACCGACCCATATGAGAGCCAGGATATCTTACTCCGACGGATCAAGGACTTTGATCGCAGCGATTTCTTTGGTCAGTTCGTTGGCGGCATCATGCCATATCAGCATTCTCATCAGCTCTCGACCGACGACCAGTTCAAGAATAATCGCAAACTAATCAATCACTTGATGGCGCCCACGTTCATTAAACAGATCAGCGCACCGCAGGTGTATTCGAGTACTCTTAGCCTGATAAAGCTGTGGCGGCTCAAGTGTAAAATGGCGAGCAGTCGACCGTTTTCTGCTCATCACGATATCACGTTTGCTTCTCTGGACTCCATATTCGCGTCTTCGTTTGGTTTGTCCGAAACGGATAGCAATACGTTCCAGCGCATGGAGAAGATCAGCGACTGTGAGGAGGATGAGGTTATAGAGGAGGATCATGGAGCTCAAAGCTTCCCTGAACACTCTCCTCCGGCCATCTTCTCAGCAATTCTCACACTAGCGGAATCGGTGTCTGATACGCAACTCTCCCCAGCGCCAGCTGTGACATCGTGGATTATTCGCAAGTTTCCGTACATGCGAAATGCCAAAGCCATCAAGGACAAGTTCATACGTGACAAAGTCACTGAAGGTATTGAATTAATCAAGGATGGCTTCACAACGGAACCAAAGAGTGCTATACACTCGGTTCTACTGAGAGAGCTCGAATTGTCCACCAAGGAAGGATGCGAGCCGAATTATTACAGTCCTGCCATCGCTGACGAGTTCTTTGGGTTCATGACAGCTGGCTATGACACGTCTGCCACCACAATTGCCTGGGGTGTCAAGATGCTCACGGACAACCCAACTGTTCAGAACAAGCTGCGGGATAAGCTTCGTGACACTTTCTCAGACGCTGCTCAAGAGAAACGCACCTTGGAGTATCACGAGCTCAGCGGTGCAAACATCCCTTATCTGGACGCCGTTGTCGATGAAGTTCTGCGCCACTCCAACTCAATTGGCTTTGTCGCTCGGCAAGCCCAACGCGACACCACCGTGCTGGGACGGCATATTCCCAAAGGGACAAACGTGTGGCTCATGGCCAACGGTCCAGGGTATCTTGAGCCAAATATTGGTGTAGGCGATCAGCAACGCAGCCTAGGTGCACGCCAGGAATCCAAGTCGGCACTCACAGGTCTATGGGACGACGAGGATATCGGCAAGTTTTTACCAGAGCGCTGGCTCGAGATAGATTCTGATACTGGCGCTAAGAAGTACAATTCCATGGCCGGCCCTTCACTTCCCTTTGGAATGGGATTGCGGGGATGCTACGGAAAAAGGCTGGCGTTGCAGGTGCTCAGAATCCATTTTGCACTGATTGTTTGGCACTTTGAACTGTTGCCAACGCCTGCTGAGCTGAGCAGCTATGATGCGGTACAAAAGTTCGCGAGAGAGCCAACACAGTGCTATGTTCGCTTGAGGGAAGTTGAGTAATGGGCGTTAATTAGCCGAGAAAGAAGATTGCGCCAATGTCATTCTCATATCGCATGCGATCGTGCTTGATTAGATGACATAACGTGAAATAAAGTCGATATTTACATTTATGCCAAAATCAACACAATGATATTACTTGATGGGTTTTGGTTATGCGTGTACAGTTTAAAGGCTGGAGGATGAAAGATACGTCACTTGTTCACGATGTAAACAAACAATAACCCCCCAAGGATCCTGGAGTTGCAGGGATTTGGGACATTCACGCATTGAGCGTGACCTGAGCAGGGTCCACGTCGAATGTCGGAGGATCCGGTACCAGCCAATTCCAGTAAAGCTTGGCCTGGAAATGGAGCAACAGTGGCCACTAGGCGTAAACGAAATACCCAATCGTCTGAAACAATGAAGGGGCAACCTGGTACATTCAATGCAACGCATTCCTCGCCCCTTTCGTCAAAACAACACCTTCTGGCTGTTCAAACTTTCTTCTTTTGGGCCACACTGTTCTGTTCAGTTCAGTTGCCACAACTGGCGATTACGAATTTTACTTTTGGGAGATATTGGATCATGGCAGGCAAGAGCAGCGGCAGCGACGACAAATCTATATGGCGTCCGCTGGCACACAAGCTGTCGAGCTTCTTCCCTCGCCTGCGCTCCAGCAAATCAAGGGCCAAAATCAATGCCAACGCGTCGGATAAATCCCCTCAGCCCAGTCCCACGCGTTTCCAGCCGCTTGAGGTCCAGTCCAATGCTCTAGAAGGTCTGCATCTGCCGAATGGCTGGCTTGTCAATCCTGCAAACGCCGACAAGCAGCGCCAAAGGCTGTCGTCGCCCATCGACACGTGTCCAGGTGGCCTGGATGCCCTTCACTTAGATTCCCCGGATATTCATCCTTTGGTGCTGCAAAAGGTCACTGAGATCCACCAGTATGAGCACCATGAGGGTGCTGCGCCGTTGACCGAGGATGAGAAGGTGAAAGCTCGACAATCAGCATTGACAACTCTGACTACACCGGAAACCTCGGCGCCAAGTGTTCTGGATCGTGGACGACCTGTTGAAGCTAGACATTTGATACCCCAGCCCAAAAATGTCAAGCACAACCGAAAATCACTACCACTGGAGTGGGAGATGGTCAGCCGAGTTTCTCTTGATAGCCACGCCTCAAACTCACTGCATCCTACCCCCATGAGCCCCGGAACAAATACCGAGGCGAACGCTTCTTCACAGATTAAAGAACTATCCACCTGGGCTGCAGCTCACAGGAGGCGTTCTACCATCCGAGAAGTGAATACGACCTCGCCCACCACAGATTCTTTCCCAGCAGCAAACGCTGCGCCAGCCCCCATGACGTTACAAATTCCAATCAACGGCCAGTCACTTCTGAAAAGGCATTCTTATCAAGATACTCCCTCAATGGTATCTACTAGCGCACCCACCGCCAATACCTCAGCACCACGCTCAATCTCAGCCACCAGGAAGCAACCGGGCTCAGTGAGCGACCGCATGAGCTGGATCAAGGCTCTGGAAGAGAAGAGCAGCAAACCCAACAAAGACCTAGCATCACTACCTAAACGGGCTGGCTCCGTTTCTGACAAACTCGCCATGTTTGAGAGGAGAGGAGTGTCGGTTGCTTCCTCTAAGCATTTATACCCCCCCACGAGAACCAACTCCAGCAGTCACCTTTCAGCAACCGGTCGGGAGTCTCTTTTCTCAGCCGACAGCAGCACCGCCGCGCCATCTCCCCGCACATCTGTGGACACTGCGCGGACAAACAACAGAGCGCCTTCAGTTATGAGTTATTACGACGAATCGTTCCGGGAGAAGCTTGAACTACTCGTCAAGCAAGAGTCTGAAGAAAATAAGACTAACGGACAGGCTCCCTCACAGGCTCCTTCTTCTGTTGTTCGGGAATAACGAAGACAAGCTTGAGATTACCTAGTTGATTTTTTGGTGTCACATAGGCAGGCGTTTTCCTTGACTTTAGCGGCGTAAAGCATATTGTTATTGATGCTACCACATAGATTATCTGGAATCCAGAATCGAACATAAATTATACTTATAATTATTATACAAACTAATCTATCACTGATTCATGGAATCGTATGGAAGACGAGTGTGGCTTGTGAAGTTTTGGTCATGACTTTTCGCACGAACGCCAACGTTCAGTAGTAGGCATCAGACTGGACTCGAAGCATGTACTGCAATGGATAGCTTCACGGATAGAGTAAGTCTTCTCAGTCTATACTTAGGATCGGGATCTGATTTGACAGTTGTGTAACGTGCTGTGCAGAAATATCATTTACAATCAGAGCACAAGAACCAGTCATCGAAACTATGCACATAGCTGTGCGTTTGGCACCATGTTACCGAATATTAGCCAGGCTAAACTCATTCATCCTATCCTATTATATAGTACTATATCTAGTCTGCACCTTGATCTGTTTTCTTCTTACAACCGCGACTCCACCATACAATTGGTCCCAAGGCAAAAAGAATCACCATCGACCATAACCAGTTACTGGATCTTCGAAAAGACGTCCTCCAACCAATCGAGAGAAACCTGGTTCATCAGGACTGGAGCCCCAATCTGACAATGCTCACCGGCGCCCAGTACATTCTCAAAGAGATGGTAAGTGGCAAGCTTTCCAAGCTTCTTCGCCAATTTCTCAGCCTGCCCCATGAAAAACATATCATTCTGGGCATCGCCAACAAAGACAGGTGCCTTGATTTTCTCAACAACCCCCTTCAGCGAGTACTCCTCTGTGTTCTTCAGAAAGTCGTACGCAGAATCTGTCTTGAAGGTCCATTGGCCCTGTGCAAGGCCCCAACGCAGCGAGGTTGGACTATCAGGGTTGGATTCGATCTCCTTGCCCATCTGGTCGACGAGCGTCTTGTTGCCTGATTGTACGGCTTTGGTTCCTTCGGGACCAAGCTGCTTCAGCACGGACTCGCTAAAGTCGTATAGTCCGTCGATAGCCATGATGGCGGCGAGGCGGTGTTCGAAGGCGGCGGCTCTGGGGGCGAGGAGGCCACCGAAGGAGTAACCCATTAAGGCAATTCTGCTGCAATCTACATCGTTGCGGGTGTGGAGATAATCGACAATGGGGGTGATGACTCGTTCCCACTCAGGAATGAAGCCAAGGTCCTGGAACCGGCGCACAGTGGGCTGACCGGGGCCCTCATACACAATGGCGTTCATGCCGCGCTGGTTCAGAGCCTCGCCCATGACATGGTATAAATCCTCCATAGCACCATCATAACCCTGTCCGAGAATGACAGTCGGGCGCCTTCCTGGTTTATCTGTCTTGAAGAAGATAGCAGGAACTGTAAAGTTATCCGCATGGATCTCAATCCGCTTGCCAGGCTGGGGCAGTAGCTTGATGGCCTTGTTAAAATTCGCGGCTTGCTTCTTCCAAAGGTCGATGATTCTGGGATCACTCCAGTTTCCATGGAGATAGGTGTCGGCGGCGCGATAGTAGGTGGACGACCTGAAGAACGCATTTCGCGCAGAGACAGGATGCTTGATGGCGTTGATGGCGATGGCCTGCTTGTGCACGCGATCGGCAAGTCCGTTGAATGCCTTGTAAAAGCTCTCAAAGTCTCCGTCCTTGATGTTACTGGCGGCGACGAGGACTTCTCCAATGTCAGCGCCCTGGTAAGCGGCGCCGCTCATGTAGTTTAGGAGGTTAAAGTTGAAGGACTCGTCGCCTAGAATTGTAGCCATTGTGGTATTGATAGCAGTCTTGTGCGAGGTAGATCTCGCCTCGGGGGAGACATGACCTGGCAGAAGAGTACCCGCAAGAGTCTATCGACGGTGAGTGTTAGATCATGTTAGAAGGGTGGAAGGTTTCTTACCAAGGGACAGCTTGCAAGGAACAGGGTGGTGATCCCGAGAGCAGTCTTCATTATGAGTAATAGATGGTTGTGATTGAAGAGTTGAAATGGCGTGGAGGGTGAGTATGAGATATCTTACCGTAGAGGGAACTCAACTTACTACTTATAAAACAGCTGAGAATATCTTCGGATGGTGGACGGACCAATAGTGACGATGTCTTTCATAGCCATCGTCAGCCGGGGGGCTCATTTCCACAAAACACGGATGTCCGAGTAGATGGAGACAAAGATCGAAGAATATTATCTCTTTAGGTTAAGATCATGATCCAATTATTCTAAAATACTCGAATCGAATGCGAATGCGCTTTAACGGTGCATCCTCTGGCAATGGAAGACGTATGCTGACAGTCGAACTATACCGTATACGGCAGGCATTTCGACACTAGCCGATGGCATTGCTGACTGCAACTCGAATCCTTCGTCAGTGGTCGAGAGAACTTTCCTCTTTCATACATTTATTAAGAAGGCTATGTCGGATTGATTACCTGCACACACTGACAAGCGGATCTCTTTGAGATTGAGGTCCAGTTGCAGCCAAGCTAATGCTATATCGTCCGACGAATCTACCTTCCAGAAACAAACAATCGATCGACTAGTTCAGCACCGGGGACTCGGGCTGCTCGGAATGGGGTTCACAGGGAAGCCTTCGCTGGCTTGTGAACCGTGTCGTCTCAAGAGAAGAAAAGTACAGAACCTCGATATTACTGCTTATTGGAATATGGCTAACTTTCGATCCCAAGTGTGACTTCAAAAAACCACAGTGTTCTACTTGTTGGCGCATGGGAATCACTGACTGTGCATATCGCAATGCACCGGTATTCACAATCAGGGATGAAACCCTCAAGGTAACAGAGAAAGCACGCAGAAAATCCAAGATCAAGAGTAGGCAGCCATCTCGGGAGACAACGCCTTGTGATGCAATTATGCACATACCCCAACATGTACCCTTGCCCTTGGAGGCCACTGCGATAGGCTATTTTTTCTCCATCTTTTCTCGATCTGGAACCTTTGCATATCTCCCTGACTACGCATCTACTCTAATCGCAGATGATAAGGTCATGAGAGCTCTGTGCGCGTCAGCCTTGGGGTCAATGGCTGTGCAGTACAATAATGATAAACTACTGTATTCAGCGAGGCGCTACTACTCCCTATCCCTAACTCAAATCAGCCGAGATCTCGGTGAGCCGCAGACAGCTGTGCTTGATAGTACTTTGCTCCGCGTCCTTCTCTTATCGGCTTTCGAAGCCTTTTGTTTTCATGATGGGGGGAATTATCAGTACTGGACTGCCCATATTCAAGGATCGTCTAATCTTTTGTTGATGCGAGGCAAAGCCCAACTCAGAAGCCCTTTCGGGCGCTTGCTATTTCACCATGCTGGTGTGAATATTCTGATCGATTCAATCAATCACGACATCCTGGTGCCTGTGGAACTTATCCAACTCTTTGAATATGCTACAACGTCATCTATGCTAGACGACTCCGTTAGTGAGAATATCATGCTATTACTATGGCAGATGGCTGTGATAGCGCCAAGATTGGCAAATATGGCCGCCTGTGAAATGGAGGAGGAGATGCTACGACTAGACGGCCAGGCAGCAAAATTCCAGGACGAATTACAAGAAATGGCCCCTTTTGAAGTTATAGAAGAAGTCGAGTGCCGACAAAGTCACAAGCTTTACGCCTTTGAGGGTGTGATGCATCGATATCAAGACCAGCAAATAGCGCGCCTACACAATACAGCCAGGCTGATGCGATTGACCTTCAGACAATGGATGTTTGCAGCTTCGCATAACTCTACCACTCGTAAACGCCTGCGAGAGACTTCTAATGACAGCAACATACGACGCTGTACAATAGAAAAGATCTTATTCGAAAGCGCGGCACTCATCAAAGACACCCTCGCCAGTGTCCCCTACTCGCTCGAACTCCTCGATTCCCAGACCAGCACCGAGGCACGATACCTTATCTGGCCGCTGACCGTCATAGCGAGTCTCGACGTTTGCCCGTCCTCTGCGAGGCACTATATAGTAGATCGGCTGGTGGCGCTTGCCGATAAGTTTCATCTGCGACGGGCAATGCAGGCGGCGGAGATGTTGACTCGGGGGGATAAAGAGCAGATATGGTGAGTACTCGAGAGTGTTTGTAGAGGAAGTGGCTAATTGTGCAGCGCGAATGAGATGTACATTCTTCATCTGTCCTAAGAACAAGCTAGCGGAGGAAGATGAGGGTTGACTATGACTGACTTTGAAAACGAAACACTGTTCGGGTAGCGCGACCTAGAAAAGGTACCAGTAGATGATGAGTAGAGAAACCTCAGAGTAGCACCGAGGTAGAAGCTTGGTGGGCATTGCGTCCCGGCTATTGTGCGCCTAAACCGATGTTGCTTTGATTCGATCCTTGCAACTTGTGTTTCCATTTCAGGAAAATGTGATTAGTCTTTGGTTTATTCCTGATCCTTGTCACTGTCTTCAACGGCAAGGGGTCAAGAATACTTGATACAGGAGGTTGGCGGGCGAGAGAAGAACTTGAAACCCCGAGCGCTTTGCCTAATAGCGCAATCCCAACGTCCAGGCTTTTGTTAAGGTTGTTACATGCCGCATCTTCCCCTGTCTCAATCCATTATGTGAGGTCATCCCACCAACCACACCGGCTCTTAAGCGTTGGATGTCAAGTGAAGCATGTTTGTACTTCATGTCCCCATATAACAGCGTGCAGGTTTTCAGAGACTCGTATATATAAACCTTAATAGTGTCATATCTTTTACAGTTATCAGAACAATTCACCTTCCTCACAGCTTCTATTCTTTACCTGGCCGGCGCATTAAAACTCCTCAACCCAATACCCCATTCCCATATCATCACAGCAGCAACCATCCCTTCCGCAATAATGCTTGCCAAGATTATCTCCCTGATCGCTTTCGCCGCTCTGGCCATGGCAGCCCCCCAGAGCCCTGACTTTGGTCGTGATCCTGACAAAAACGGCGACCGTACCGCGCAGATGGCGCGTGTTGAGCAACTGCGGGCCCAGGGCCTCAACTGCAATGAGGCTGCTCAGGGTTCATTCGTCTGCTCTGATGGCTTTGGTGGAGACTGGTACGTTCATCTTCCGAGCATGTTATGGCACTTACTTCACCAAGCGTGGAGGTCAGGAACCAAGGACTGACGCATTTCTTTTTAGCTTCATCAATATTTTCGGGGAGGGTAACTGCCTCATCTGATTCGATATCCCAGCGGTGGTTCCAAGGTGCGTTCGTTTTCGACGGATGGTATCCTACTATTGATACGGGCTGTAGTGCTGGTACACAAAAGCTCATTGAATGTTTGTGATCTTACATCGTGACTGGAATATCGTGGGCTTGTATGCACTATCAAAATAATTTATGTTCCATTTTCTAAACCTTGAAACTGGGAAACCATCATTGTCATCGATCGATTTACCAGCAGTAACAGTTCTCTTCATTGTATCCTCAGAAGAAAAGGTTACTCAGCTTAAGGGTGGCTGTTGCCCTCTGAATGACTTCAAGTGTATCAACTAATGACTGGACGATTTGGCAATGGCTTCACTATCGTGAGCTTTAACAAACCTAACCACATTGACAGGTTTTGGGTGGCATCTACAAAAGATGCGAGTCGGGCGAAATTGAAAAAGGTATATTATAAGTTCTGTAAATACACCAAGTCAAACGATCCGATACATTGTGAGAGAGATTCAAGCCGCACTCATATTTGGGTTTGCAAACGTTGTTCAGAGATGAAACGTCCATACACGTTTACTCCAAGAACTATCTCGTTGGAGCTTTGGGGTGACGATCCTCCATCCCTCAGACAAGCTTCAGAGCAATCATCTCGGTATCCCGTCGGCCTCACCGAAAGCTTGCTTTTCACAACGCGATGTCTCCAGCACAGCTGTCTACGCCAATTCAGATACGGGAGCCGTTTGTGTTTGATTCGGCTGTCATATCAACGCTAGATATCGAAGAAGAAGAAGCGGAGGCCATCGAAGCGAATGTTCTACTGGCAGGTGGCGAAGAGGGCGACTTTTGAAGTGAGAGGGTGCAGACGAATTGAAATGTAATTAAAAATGGCGCCGACTGAGGGAAAGATGGATTGAGAATGGTAGAAAAGCACTGAATTAAAATTGGTAGCAAGGCTGAAAGATGGTTACTCTAAATTGGAGAAGATTTTAAACAAAATGCGATATTGTTCTGGGGTGAAATCTCGGTTTTCTTTGCTACTATTGCTGCGAGGTCAATTTCTTACCAAAATCAGGTACCCAGCCATTTGAGATTTGTCCACACTCAGTATCCCACATTTTGCCCAGCATGCCTTACCTTGTACTTTTTAACCAGTTACACCCAGTAAGCTCTTGACTGAATTCTATTCCAACGCCAGGCTGATCTCAGTTCAGTTCAATCACGTCCCAATTTCCAACTGAGTTATCTTGACTCGCCCTAATTTGACTTTCATCTTGGCTCTCAGCTTAACAACATACCGAATCCAAACTTGATTTCGTCGACTAAGCGCCCAGCCTGGCTTACCCTTATACTTCTGTTCAAGATGAACTCAAGACAAACTCCAAATAACTCAATATTTCAAAAAAAGATTAAAAAGATTTGGCGGTTCTTTTTCTTTTTACTGGCAGTTACAAAAGATTATCAGTAATAAAGAACAGACAGGCTTGCGACAGCACAGACTCCTTCAGAAGCATTAACTGTGATAATTTGTGAAACTGTAAACACTCCTATAGAACTATGAACCGTGAGTGTTTATGAGTAATGCTTCTACTATTTACAGATAGGTTAGCCAGTCAGTCCTCTCACTTCATTGACATTCTGAAAAGCGTATATGAGAATCTGGGTTAATGTTTTTGGTGTTGAGCGGCCGTGGTTACATAGCAAGTGTTGTTCTGCTGGCAGTATGAACGATAAATGGTCCCCGACACAACGGGACAGTTTAATGAGATACAACAATACACAGAAGTGCGGACGTGCTACGTACGATTCTAAGTAAGGTAGTTTCTAGGTGTTGGTTGAATAGATGAGATTTATGAAGTGAGTGATAAAAAATGATAAGATCGTGGTTGCACAGTTGGATTCAGTATGCGATCAAAAATGGTATGCGACACGCCAGAATATATAATGACCTTCGCATTAAAGATACAATTAGTATTGCTTTATAAATAACAATGTTTTGTGACGTAGATTGCAACCTCAGAGATTGCTTATTTATTACGATACTTAGGCTTACAAGTTCAAGAGGTGATACGCTTACAGGAAAACGTATTTTTCCAATGGCCATTCATCACAGCTTGGATAGAGTCACAAATCTCCTGCCTTCGCGGTACACCTGTTGTGCACGAGCTCAGACAATTTCCTCCCGTCTAAACTTAGTATAAATAATATAAACTAAAATAAATTCTAACAAATTCTTCTATTTTATATAATCCTTATCTTAGATAAAACTATACATAAAATCTCTCAATCATTATATGTTTTATACATTTATAGTATCATGTCTATTCCAAGTTGGCTCGTCGTCAGACATTTTGTATGGGATCCATTGCACACACCGGCTTCGTAGTCAACGCTTAGCCAGCGACGCTGCGTGTGTACCTGTTGTAGGGGACTACAGGCCCCCTACAGGCCCCCTACAGAGCCTACAAGCTTCAGGACGCTGGGAAGACCGCTATTTCTTGTGGAGGACCCGCTGAAGTAGGCGCTGGCTGTAAATATATGCTGCGGAGTGTGATCGTGCTTCAGTGATGTTGTTATAGAGTCAATGATTGAATTGATTGAATTGAGCAAATCTCATCGTTATGTGAATTTCAAGGCTGGGAAATAAACTAAAACTACCATTGTCAAAGCCTGCTTAGCCCTGTGACAGTGAGTTGTGAATCAGGCAAATGGCACCATACCCTCCGCCTGGACCACTGCCTCTTTAAGTATTCGGCAAATAGTTCTCAACTGTTCCTCTGTGGCTGTAAACGGCGGTGCCAGTAGGATATGATCACCCCTGACACCATCAACAGTCGCACCACCGGGATATAACGCGACACCTTTTTCGAAAGCCAACTGTTGCACTAACAAACCAAACTTGACGGATGGGTCAAATGATTCCTTGGACGCTCTGTCTTTGACAAACTCCACAGCCCAGAACAGACCCCGGCCACGGATATCTCCTACCGAGTCACACTCACCAAGCTCAGATCGTAGTAGTCTCTCGAGGATCAATCCCATCTTGGAGCACCGTTCAACCAGCCCCTCGCGCTTAACGATCTTCTGTACAGCTAAAGCCGCAGCGCATGAAATGGGATGGGCTTGGTATGTGTGCCCGTGGTTGAATGCTGCCGATCCCTGCCTAAGGACGTCAACCACTGTCTTATGAATTAGGACTCCGGCGATGGCTGCGTATCCGCCACCGAGACCTTTGGCGACTGTGACGATATCAGGGACGACTCCCTCTTGTTCAAAAGCAAAGAAGGTACCCGTACGCCCAACGCCACACATGATTTCGTCTAGGATCATGATAACTCCATAGCTATCGCACAGGGCTCGAACGCCTTTGAAGTATGCGGAAGGGGCAGCAACGCAGCCGGAAGTTGCACCGACCACTGTCTCGGCGATGAACGCAGCGATATTCTTTGGACCAATCCGCAAGAACTCCTCTTCGAGTTCTACGAGAAGTCTATCGGTGTATTGACTTTCAGTCTCGCTCTCCTCCTTGTAGTGATACGCAGAAGCAGGGGACACATGAGAAACGTTGGGGTACAGGAACCCTTGATATGGGGCTCGTCGGGCGATATTGGTAGAGATCGACATAGTTGCCATTGTGTTGCCGTGATAACATTGGCGTCTGGACACAATATGGACTCTGTCTAGGTCTCCCTTTTCGTAATGGTATTGACGGGCAAGCTTCAGTGCTGATTCAACAGCCTCGCTACCGCTGCCAACGAAGAAAGCTTTCTCGAGGTCGTAGGGATTGCCTTGCAGGAGAAGATCGGCAAGCTCCTCGGCCGGCGCGGTTGTATAGGACTGTGTATGGACGTAGCTGACCTTGCGGGCTTGGTCGGTGATAGCTTGGATGACTTCTTCGTTGCCGTGGCCGATGAGAGCAACTGCCGCACCACCGCAGGCATCGATGATCTTTTGTCCATCGGACAATCTCAACTCAATACCCTTTGCTGATTCGACCATGTATGGGTGTTGTACTAGAGATCGGTGCATCAAATGGCCTTCTCGTTGTGTGGGTTTGGCGGGCATCGAGGGTTGGTATGTCGAGTCGTCCACGAGGTCGGCGATGGAAGGGGCCATGGCTGAGAGGTTTGATGATTTAAGTATGAAGAATCTATAAATCTAAGGCTCTGAGAATGATTAAAAGAGTCTGTTGCTGCTTAATTCTTAAATTTGGACCGGCTTGTCGATGTTTGCCATTCATTTATAAGAGTTCTAAACCGAAACCCGACCCATACATCGGAACTCGGGAATGTCAGATTTTCATCCAAATACCGACGACCCGACTAGATCCGGACCATCGCCTATTGAAAATGTGTTTATGACAAACAGTATCATGCTTCATAACCCACTAGACTAGGATTGCATGGTCAAAGTATCGGTTTCCGCGTCGGCTCTGCGATTGTCAAAACCGATGTGAGTAATGGGATGGATATTTAACCTGGCGGCGGTTTCCAGATTATTCCATTTCCAACCGTGAAGCACAGAAACTTCTCTACATTCTCTTCCATGCCATTGTCTCCTTTTTTACAGCTGAAAACATTACCGAACATGGTGGCCCAGCCTAACAGTCCAGTAGCTGACTGGCCTTCCCAGTCAAGCTCCTCCGATAATGAAAAGGGAAATGAGACCGACCGTTCACAACCTCAAGACACTTCGCTAGACGCCAAACCAGCAGAAGTAGAGTTTGACAACCCCCGAGGTTGGATCGCTGTCGCTGCTGCAGCTTGCTCACTCTTCGTCTATCTCGGTGTTATTTATTCCTGGGGCATCATGCAAGTCAGACTTGTTGAAGTGACCGGAACAAGCTTAACGACTCTAACATTCGTTGGATCTCTCGCCACGTCTTTCATGATCTCACTCAGCATCCTATCTGGTATAGCTATTCGTAAGCTCGGCTACCAGAAGACAGCCCTGCTTGGTGGTATCCTGATGGGTCTGGGGGAGTTCCTCGCCAGTTGGACAGTAAGGCATATTGGTGCCCTTTTTGCGTTCCATGGTGTCATCTTTGGAATAGGCGGTGGGCTGTCCATTTTTGTGAGTATACATCAGCACCTGATCTTGTACCATGACTGATTCGTCCCTCAAGGCATGTTCGACTGCTCCTCTCCGGTGGTTCAAGCGACATCGAGGCTTGGCGATGGGTATCGTGTTCGGCGGAGGCAGTCTTGGTGCAGCTGTCATGAGTATTGCGACAAATCTACTTGTCAAGAAACTTGACGTTGCGTGGACATTTCGCATCCTGGGTCTAATGCTATGGGGAGTCTGCGTCCCGGCGTCGTATTTCATCCAGCAACCCGAAGGGTCGATCAACGCAGGGTTAACGCTTCAATGGTTAGACCATTCTTCTGACGTTTTTGGAACTTGACTAATCTTAATCCTAGGTATCGGTTCAAGCAACCACGATTCCTGCTCATCGTCGCTGGAACATCATTGTCTTGCTTCCCACTGTTCATCCCGCCGTACTTCATCCCCATTTTCTCTAGATCCATGGGCTACTCCAACCAGATTGCTATTGTAATACTGGCAGCTTGGAACTTGGCTTCCACTGTCGGCCGGGTTCTGGGTGGTTATACAGCCGACCACCTGCTAGGTCCCCTGAACAGTCTGATCGTCTGTCTACTGTTCATCGGTCTCAGCTCACTTGTTGTCTGGCCCTTAGCTTCCACAGTTGGAATTTTCTCAGTTTTCCTCATTTTCAACGGCATTGGGTGTGGTGCGTTCTTTAGTCTTGTCCCTCCCATGCTTGGTGCAACGATGGGTCCAGAGAACACGCTCGGTGTTTTGCCTCTTGTATGGACTACCTGGTTTTGCGGTTTCTTCTTCGTGAGTATAACCCTGGGAACTCTGTGCCAACAGCTCTGTACTAACCAACTTCGAAGGGCACTCCAATCGCATCGGGTATCTATTCGCTGGCGGGGCATGGTGAGTCTGGAGGTGTCACCATCTTTCGACCTGCGGCGTACTACGCTGGGGGCATGAGCATTCTTGGTCTCTTCTTCATTCTTTATATTCGGTTGAGTCTTACAAAAAGATTATTTGTCTGTATATAATCAAAGAAAAGAGTTATCAGACGAGTTTGGAATAGTAAACACGAATTCAATCAATATATAACATGAATTTTAGCTCCATTATGATAATGTCTAATACACTTGCTCGGGCAGATGCGCAGCTGAGCGACTAAACTCAAGACACCGAGTGTTCTTGATGCCATCAAACAACTCAACTAGCCTCTCGAATCGCCGTCTTGACAAGGAGAATTCCCTTGCTCGGCATACCATTTCGGTCCAGCACCCTGAGGAACCGGTAGCCTAGCCTCAGTCTGTCCAGACGAACGCACGACCATGCAGCCATCACGTCTGGCCCAGGCACATCAGCCATGACCCTGAACGATAGGAAGGTCAACTCGGGTACAACACCCTTAATGTTGAGGAACTCGATCGTCTCGCCGCCAAAGTCAGGGCTGGTTCCTTTACTCTTGCAAGTCTCCCCACTATAACCGATCTGAGCGACCTGCTCAGATGTAGCCTCCTCACTGACCATAGCCTCCATTGCATCTGGCTCAGTGTGTAGTCCGATCTTGACATAGGGAATGAACTTCGCAGGGTCATCATTGGGATCTAGCAGTGGAAGGTTCTGTGCCGCCACTACAGTAATGGCCACCCTTTCCAGTATCTTGCTCTTGATGCTCTCTGTCTCGTTGAGTTCCATAGCATTACGGTGTCCACGCTTGGTGATTCTATCCAGACGGTAGCCCTCGGGCTTTAGGACGTATCCATCTGACCCCATAAACATTCCCTCGTTCAGAACCATGCCCAGATCCCATGACTGCCAGTTGAGTGCCACGACCTGTACGCCTGCGCGCCAGAAGATGACAGGGTCATAGTTCGATGAGTCAACGCGCATGCCATGTGGATATGTCCTCATGAGGAACTCTTTGTTATGAGAGAACAAAGCCTTGGGCATCTGTCTCTGAACCGCAAATGCTGCATTTTCCGAAAGCGAAAAGATGTGATTTGGCATTTTTGCGTGAGAGTCCTCGAGGGATTTGAAGCTGATGCCACGCGTGTGGATGCCAAGACGACTCAAGCGGTGGGTGATCTTTGGTGGTGGCACCTTTTTTGTCTTCCTATGTTCTCCCTCCACGACAACTTCGAGCATGCTTTCATCGTCCCCGGAGCTGGCCGCTGCATCTTCAGATTTTCCCTCTGGTACGTATTTGACTTTGATTAGGATCTTCTTCCGCAGCTGCTCTAGAGAGGGAAGAGAGGTGGGCTCTGTCTCCGGGGCGGGTAGTAGAAAATCACCCCAAATTTCTTCCATGATGTCTACCATGGCAACCTGCTGCATCGCGGAACAATGGACTTCCAAACTGACGATCAGGGGTAGCTCAGAAGTGGTGAAGGCGTGCTCCCGGACCGTTTGGCAGACATCGCGGAAGAGTACCTCTCTAGTCAACGTAAATCCATGGAGAACCCGTGGTTCTATATGAAGCATGGACGCAAGTCTGTCGTCGAAGGTTTGTCCTTCCGGATCAACGGGATCAAACTTGTTCATGGCCCATCTGCCGAACTTGATGAAGGCTCGGTCCTTGAAGCCCATCTTTCTAGGTGCAGTATCAACAGGAGAATCTCTCTGGCTGTGCTCACTCCCATCCTCCGAGTCCCAATCATGCTTCCAAAGCTCTTTGCCATCCCACACATCGATCTCGATACAACGACAGCCGCGCAATAGAGCATCCTTGTATGCTTCGGTGCTGGAGTCGCTTGAGAGCTGGTTGCCCGTGAGGTAGGTGTTGTGGCTTGAACTGATGAAGTAGTTACTCAACGGCCACGACAAGTCCTGAGGAGGCGCCATCTCGAGGATGTTGCCGCATGGCGAAGTCAAATATTTGATCAGTTCGTGAAGGCCCAACTCTTCTTTGTCGACAAGATAAGTAGCCAGACCTTCAGGATGTTCGACCTGGACATGATGCATGAAGAGGCTGATTTGATCTCGGCTCCATTTGCCGTTGACTCCTGCATATTTGTTGAAGAGCTGGCTGAAATGGCTGAGGAATGATTCCTCTAGGCTCTCTTCAATTCCACTGCGCTGGCCAGTGGGATGACCACCGCCGGCCCTGTATTGACTGATTGGGAGTTGACGCGACATTTCTTTGCGAGGTTTTAGTGATGAAAGATATAGAGTTGAGGAGAAAAAGGAACGCCCGAATACCCATGATATTATATAAAATGGCCATGTGGATGATATACTACTGCGCCTCCACTAGCATTATTAACACTTACAATTTGCTACATCAGGGGTCGTACAACGCTGTCTAATTGGACTCTAAGTGTCGGTGCAGAGCTCAATCCTCTTGGCATGAAGAATGTTGACGGCCCAGGCTCAGAGTACGGATATTTCGGCAGGATAATTCGCATTAAAGCCCCCGCTTTGACATATATCTTGGTGACTTGTGGATCACGTCTTTTTTACGAGGGAACGAATAATATGCCACTATTTCACTAAGCTGGCACTATAATCTTGGCTTACATAACGGCTGGTTAATAATTAAATAACCCTATTCAAATATCTCAGCAAAGTAGATTCGTACTACACGGATTAGAAAGAAAACAGCCTTTTCCCTCTATCAGGGTAGTATATAAAGAATCTTTAAAACACTTTCTCCAATCGTAACAAATAACATAATACTACATAGCAATCGTATATTACAGTTCCATGTAAAAGTTCCGATAACGAGCCAACAAGAAATGGTTAGATTAAAATAGATTATACTAAGTATATTAAATTTAGAAAACTTCATATATAATCTTAGAACTATATTATATAAGATTATATAATTTAAAAAAAGCTTTTAATAATTTATGAAATCTTTATAAAATATAGAATAGAGGAAATTATCGGAACTTTTACATGCCCACTGTATTAAACACGTAACATAATTTCAACTCTAAAACACTGAAAGACCAGAAAGATAACATGCAAGCGTTTTAATAGAATTAGAGATACTTTTCATCATTTAATATAATCGAACAATTCCAAATACTCATATAATTAATTCTATCAAGTTCCTGACTCTCCCTTATGAATTCAAGACTTTCACTAACTTGTGCGGAAATAAGCCGACAAGATATTCCGATCGTCTCACAACACTAAACCAAAAGCAAAAGGCCACCGAGTCAATTTTCGTATCCAGCCACCGAATAACTGCAAACAACTCAACTTCACCATCTCAGTCATCACCATGTCGACGGCTTCAGCTTCTTTAAAGCCCATCGTCTTTTATGACATTGCCGCGCGTCCTCCGGTGGAGAAAAATTGCTTCTCGCCAAACCCTTGGAAAAGTCGCTTCGCGCTTAACTTTAAGGGTGTCCCTTACTCCACGTCATGGGTAGCCCTGCCAGATATCGCCAAAGTCCGCGAGAGCCTCAAAGTACCAGCGTGTCGCAAATTCGCCGACGGAAAGGACTTTTACACCCTACCTATAATTGAAGATCCTACCACTGGTTCTTTGGTCGGTGACTCTTTCGATATTGCGCTTTACCTGCAGAAAACATACCCGAACTCTGGTGGTAACCTCTTCCCACCTCAGACACTTGATTTCGATTTCAAGCACCCTTACATCCTTGTGCCGCTTTCTGAGTGCCGCGACAGTGAATTCCCAGAATATGCCAAGTTCAACATGAACATCGATGCGGCCTTCACAGCGCATACCCAACTTGCCGTGCAGGGAATGCCATTTGATCCAGCTACCGAGGAGCTGAGCAAGGCTGAGTTTGTCCGGCGTGCGGGGGTCAAACAGTGGGACGACTTTGCCCTGGATGGCGAGGCGCGAGGGAAGCTGATGGAGTCTTTTCAAGAAACGCTTGGCGGTCTGGCAAAACTATTTTCCAGAGATGGGAGTGGACCCTTCTTGCTTGGTGCAACGGTTAGCTATGCAGACATGATGGTTGGTGCGTGGTTGAGGATGATGTACGCCACTATGCCTGAGGACGAATGGAAGCAGGTCACTACTTGGCACGATGGTATCTTTGGCCATTTGCACGATGCGTTGAATGCGTATGCAAATGTCAAGTAGACAGAACTAGAGTACCATCAACCTACAGTCTGTATGACATTGAAGTCCCTGGAATGATCTTGAATTCCAACACCAGTGGCAGATGTTTTTAGTATTAAGAGCTTGAAATGCAGGAGGTCCTATCTACTATGCAGTCCTACTCGTCCCGTGACGCTACGTCCCTCGCCTTTGATCCTTCGTGACGCAATATACTTTCCTGCGAGTCGATTTCTGCTGCCCCCGATCCAAGATACTTGAGGTTTGTAGTATCTACATTGCTGGCACTGCGTCCTTTTCGATTATCGCTGAGTTCGATCTTACACGTGCCAGAGTTACCATAACTCTGGTATCCCGACGATTTATAATTATTATATCCAGGGGAGGATCCGAATGCTCGACGGCCCAGCATAGCATCCACGAGTGGTTGGAGGACCGGTATACAGGATGCGATGATAATCGTACTCGCTTCGATGCTAGCGGCGATGTCAGCGGGAAGTCTGAGTATAAGACGCATGGGTATGTCACTCACATTGTCCAGATTACCAAGTCTGATGTTTCGTCTACCAGTCTGTTAGCAGGAGCTTGATAGCAAAGAGTTGCGGAACTCACACGAGAAGTCAGGGCTTCCTAGTGAAGGCAGTCGAGTACATTTGTAAATCGCTACTATTGTTGCACTGGAGGTTTTGGTCAGCATAGGCTCACGTAACAAGTCGATATGCTACCCACGTTGACCCGATACCTAGTGCACACGACAAGGCAATCTTCCTGCGCTTATTCATCTGCAAGCTGTATAGAACCACAGCGGGGTATATGGCAAGATATAGATCTGTGGCAGCAGACAACGCTATTACAAATTTAGTAAGGAAGATATAACAGTGATGAAGAGTTCTCACCACCCGAGAAAATAGCAAAGTCAATCAGGATGTAGGGGCTCCAACAAGACTTGTCGGTGATTGAAAAGTCCCACTGGGATTCGACTGGCGAGCACTGCGCGAACAGAATAATGATGCAGCCCACCAAGCTCAGCATACAGCATCCGGCGAGTGTCCAAAGGAAGATTCTGTGCACTCTTCCGGGATTCATGAGTCGTGTGATGAGAGCAACCACCGCAAGCTTGGGGAATCCAAAGGCCATGACACCAAATGGAAATCCCAAGACGGTAAAGAAGATGGCGTTCTGCTGCTGGGACATATTCAGGGTGTCGAAATGTCTGCCATTGCCATCACGGACAGCCACGATAGTGACTGCGACTTGGCACCACTGGAAGATCTTTGTATGGTCAGACTGTTGGTGAGTGACAGTCTGGATCTGGGAGAACTTACCATGGCGATGATGGTGAACCAGTCATCGAGGTGGAGTGCGCCTATGATCCTCTTCCGAGTAAACACCCGGCCAAACACGAATACTGTGCTAAGGATGGATGCGGTGATAACTATGCCCAGAATAGCTGGGCCTTTGTTGGCCTCGAGGTAAGCTTGCGAGTGGGGGTTTTCTGAAGACATCTTGCATCAATACATGAATGCAAGTTCTCCGGAGAGTTATTGGTTTGCTAGAAATTGAGGGACTTGTTTTTTAATGGCAGCAGGTTTGGCTGGCTGAGAAGAAAAAGGCAGGAATAAGGGGTAAGAGATGAGTATCCTGTCTCTCTCTGTTGATTCATTGGGCCATCCATACTCCATGCCTGGCCCTACCAGCATCACTTCCTACACACAGCATGCTTCAGTCACTGTAGGAGTCATCCTAGAAGGGACCAACCTGACATGGTATCGTACGCTGATCTTCAAGACAATTGTCCTTTTCGTCGTCTTGCTGCCACCTTACCCTTGCACTATGACACAGAACACGCGTCCAAATGGTTTAACTTCCATGAGCACAGTGTCCATAGATAGATATAAACACAATTGCGATTGAGCTTTTGTTGTCTCCTTGTGGTAACTCTGTTAGTGTTGCAGTCCTGTGCCTCATCAATCTTCTTGGCGAGCAACGGGAACAGTTTCTTTGGCGAGCCGGATCATTCTTCCGCCAACGGAACGCTTGGACTTTCGTACGACTATCATACAATTAAAGAGAATCTTATACCAAACCCGCAATTGATCTTCGCAAGACTCAAAGCACTAACCAGTACCTTGCTATGTTAATGTTCCAGTTATCGCATCCTTCACCTCTCGGCCCATAGACCCTAGTTGCGAATTCGCTTTTCCCACTTTCGGGGAAGGACAATTCTTTCCGGCTGCTCTGTTTGTTCGAGGTTGCACTCGCCTACCATTATTTGTTGGTTGTCACGTTTATGCTGGTCCACCATTATCCTTGTCATGGCCCCTTAATTGGGCCTTGGCTATGCTGTTGGTTCGACGTTACAGTTTTCGCGTCTTCTCAGAGGATTTAACATGTGGTGCTTGACACTCTCCACGTTCCAACTCGAACTGACCTATGGGGACATCGCCAGCGAAGTGACAGATCAACATGGATATGGGTCATAAACCTGGATGCCTTGACAAGCTATCTTGAATGAGCTAACTTTTGACAGATATCGGGATGGAGCTGCGCCAAGAACGGTGGTGTCAGGTCACTTTGACGATCACTTGGGATTGCGACATGAACAAATCCATGTTATGATGTTAGCTTTTATCCAGGCCAATAATGTGTACGATATGCATGAAAGGCTCTGAAACTCCAGGTGCATCCATTAAGAGGCAAGCCAAGCCAACACGCATATCGTTGCCATGCATGTGGAGGGCATATTTGATGTCCTGCACCCCTTGCTTTGTTGACGTTGTCTCTTTCCATTATAAGAGAGAATTCTGGACAGACCTCTTTGCTCATGTCTCCTCAATCGGATCTCATTTAAAACTGCCAAATTCTTGCAGGAAACTTTCACATCATGGCTGAAACAATCATTTCTCACAAACACAAGACCACACTCACCGGAGATAACAAACCACATGCTGTAGAGAAGGATGTCAAAAGTTCAGTCGCAGCTATAAGCCCTTCTGAGACCCCGTCCTCGGGTTCGGAGAAGGGTGATGACGAGGATGTCTCTATTGCGCTCAACGCCGCCAACATCGACGCTGTTCCTTCGTTGATCAAAGACATCAACTCTTTGAGTGAAGGCCTGGATAGCGATGATTCAGAGGCGAGACTGAAATTGATGGCAAAGGCCAAGAGTCTTTGGCAGTCCCTTGAAACCCCCAGAGAAACAATGCTACGCCACACCTGGGCTGAAGTAAGTTCCAACTGTTGGCCTACTTTACATCTCTCTAATTGTGCTACATTTAGCCTTCGCTACATTGCGCTTTGACTGCCGGTACTGTGAAAGGTGTCTGGGCTCATGTAGCCCAGATCCAAGGACCTTTCAAGGTGGTCGACGTGGCAAAGGAAAAGAACATCGATCCCGCTCTATTGTGTGAGTAAGCTAATAGTCAAGCGTCCTGATTCAATAGCTGACATTTCAAGCCCGCCTCTTACGACATGTCTCTTCCATGGGATACATTACAGAAGTCGGTCAGGATACATACGAAGCTACAAACTTCATCAAGTCGATGGCCTTCCCATTTATCCACGCCGGATACCCATGCATGTAAGATCACAAAATCCATGCAACTGTATATAAGTTGCTGACATACTTCTCGATAGTTCCGGAGCCTGCCTTAATGCCCTTGGTCAATTCCATGAATGGGCCGACTTGAATGCATGGAAGGACCCGACTGATATCAGCAACTCCCCTCTCCAACTTGGATATAAGACGGAGAAGACCTTCTTTGAGCACTTGCATACCAACCCTCCCTACGGCCAGATGTTCCACCTCCACATGGGTGGTTACCGCCAGGGACGGCCGTCTTGGATGGATGCGGGATTCTTCCCTGTTCAGGAGAAGCTGATTGATAACTTAGAGCAAAGTAAGGACGATGTGCTTTTGGTCGACGTCGGCGGTTCCTTTGGTCACGACATTGGAGAATTCCATCGGAAGTTCCCTGATGCACCAGGTCAGCTCATCCTTCAGGACCTCCCAGTTGTGATCGACCAGGTCACCACGCTTGACAGCAAGATCCAACGAATGAAGTACGATTTCTTCACTGAACAGCCCATCAAAGGTAAATATGTCCCATTTAGCTGTTGATGATTTGTATTCACATTCGACTCAGGCGCTCGTGCATATTACATGCACTCCGTCCTCCATGACTGGTCAGACGAGACTTGCCTCAAGATATTGGAGCGTGTTACAGCTGCCATGAAGCCTGGCTACAGCAAGCTGTTGATTAACGAGAACGTCATTCCCAACACTGGTGCTCAGTGGGAAGCTACGGCGTTGGACATCATGATGCTTACGCTTCTTGCTTCACGAGAGCGTACTCTAGATAATTGGGATAGTCTTCTTGGTAGGGCTGGCTTGAAGATCTCTCATATCTGGACTGTGGCGAATGGGGTCGAGAGTTTGATAGAGTGTGAGCTTGCTTAGTTTCATAAGGACTAGTGAACTACCTGAAGAACAATTAAACGTCACGAGAGTTTGCCGTTACTAAGATTATGGGATATGATATTAATACTAGTGACTTTTCCAGTTGATAGAGAGCTAGAGCTTCAAATCTCGTTGGCATCGTATACCCGTCTCGCGCCTATGAACAGGATAGCTGAGCCAGCCTTCCCCATTATCCATTACTCCTGCCCGGGACATCATTCTTAAAGGTTTTCATCATCGTTTTGTTGTTTAACCTCTCAGTCTTGAGTCTCATCTTTCGTTCCGTCCTCTGAACTGCCTCGAGTTCTTTCTTCCTCTGTAGAAGAAAGCTTCTATGTTCAGAAGATGACATGTGAATCAGACTCTGCTGATCTTTGACGCTGAGTCGTGCCAGTTGAGATGCCAGTGCCGCATCCTTTCGATCTTTTGCAGTGAGGGCATCGGAAGCTCCATTGTAGGAAATATTGGCCTGCGAGCTCTGGTCCTTCTCCTGGGTCGCTGTTTGGCGGCTGGGTCTAGCGGACGGCGCTGTTCGATTCGAGAGGATTTTGCCTGACGACAGCCGCAGACTCTCGCTGTCAACAGCGACAGCATTCTTGGTGCCATAGTTTCCGAGTCCCTCTAGGTCGTAGAACTCAAGTATCTCATCGGACAACTCGACTCTGCAGTGGCCTTTGCCAACCATATGCTGCTGTATTCCCTCAACTGTGCGACTTCGTGTTCCACAGTATATACACTCATGATAGACGAATATGACAAAATGTAGATACCATATCACGGTCTCCAAATCTACAATCAGATGTTCTTGGTAGGGGATTCGTAGACTATGCGACGATTCCATGTGAAGGAGATTCTCGGCAAAGCTTTGGTCGCTGTGATTACAGATGATGCACGTCTTAGGGTCGAAATCCGAAATTGCATCATCCTGAACTTCTATTTCGATATCACTGTCGCTTTCGGATGACTCTTGAGGTTGATAACTTTGGCTGGAGAAAGTGTCGCTGGTATGGTGTGATTGCTCGATTAGCCCAGCAGCAGCCGCTCGATTTCTCAATGCTTTGACACTGGATGGTATCAGTACTGGTGATCAAAATCTGGAGTTTCTCCCACTTACTGAGATTCACTCTTAGCATGCGTTCTGTGTTCTTGGCTATTGTCGAACGAGATGTCGCAAAGTGCACACGTCGGTTTTGTTGATGTCATAATTGCGAGTTTGATGTTTTGTTAGTTAAGGAGAATGTTCACAAAGTGTCCAGATAGGATGAGAAATAGGCGTGCTTATTTATAGACAATTAATACAAACTCAATCATACATTCAATGCGGAGCAAACCTTGCGTGGCAAATATTCTTTGATTGCAGTATCTCATGGGTGCCAAGATGACTCACGGCCGGGCGGGGTGGTCCTAAAGAGGAAGTTGTTTACACTCTGCGCTGCGCAATTGGATAGAACTTGGAGGTTCGATCAGCAAGATTAGCGTTAATCACCCAATGACTCCGTTGTAGTCAGGCTTTTCATCTCTAATTACAGTGGGCGTACAAAAGTCCCGACAGTCTCCTTGTTGTTATCTCTTATATAAATTGTGCAGATCATAATACAAGTTTCTTTATTTTATACAATCTTATAATCTCATACCAAGATCATATCTAATAAGTTTTAACAACTTTATACTATGTATCCCCAGGTGGGTCGTTATCATAACCTTCGCATGGAACTGTAGTATACAAGTTACTGATTGTCAGATCAACAACAGTCATTCATGAATTCACTGATACAATCACGAATAACTCAACGAATTTCAGAACTTTGACGCCAGTTAAATTAATTTCAACCTCTAAATAATTATTCATTAATCGCTTAAGCCGTCTTCTTCTTCCCAAAACTAAAACTCCACTTCTTTACCCTGAAAACATAATAAGATCCGACAGCAATGAAAATATTGAAAGCAATGTAGGCCCACACAATGCCAAAGTTGCGCCACCTCTCGGTGTAGTAAATGTTGCTTCCCGCCATGAATTGATCGGCATTGGTCAGTGAACAGTACTGGCATTGCGCAGTCGCGTCAGGGTTCTGCAGTTGTCCAGGTGCCGCCTTCAAGAAGTCGGCCATGTATTCTCCGCATGTTTGCCCAGAAGGTGGATCAAAGATGGAGGTCTCGTCCACGGAGCACTCAATGGCTCGTCCGGCAAGCTCGGTTGATACGATACCAGCAACCCAGTATGTAAAAGGACTGACGCGGTACATAAATATCCAAAACCCTGGGAGAGCGGTGGGAGATTGGAGAACACCGCAAAAGGTCAAGCTCATGAGGACCAGGAGAGTGACGATTGCAGATGCCGTGAGGGCGTCGGGGAAGGCTGCGATGGTCATCTGCGCAAAGGAGCTGGCGTAGAGCATGAGCTGGATCATGAACAGGAGCACAAGACCTTGACGCGCTGAGCTTTGAACACCCACGACGGGGTAGTAGAAGCAGGCGAACATGAGGATGCCGGTAAGAATCTGGTAAGGGACCTCGATGAGAACGTTGGCGATCATAAAAGCCTTCCACGAGTACGCCTTGCTGGGTCGCTCTCTGACTTCGTACAAGTCACGCTGGGTGATGAAATGTGGTTGGATCTGGACAAGTTAGTATGATGTATGTCAGAGTCTTAGTACTATACTGTACGTACCTGTTGCACGAGAGTGGAGAAGACGGTGATGATCATGAATACAGAGAACAAGATGTTCTGCATTCCCGCAAAGGTAGAGTCAGCCTTGAAGAAGGAGAAGCCGACAAAGAGACCAGAGATAGTGCCAAGAACGAGCTTGGACATAATATACGTAGGCATTCTCCAGTACTGCTGGAAGACTCGAACGGTGACCTCTCGCAGCTGCGTGGTGAATGGCATAGCGAACTCGGCATGGCTTGCTGCGTCGTCTTGGGGAGTGGTGGAAGACATAACAGAATGTATTCTTTCAACTTCGGCTTCGACGGCAGCGCGTTCTTGACTACCCTTCCATACTGTATGCCAGTCTTCTCCCTTGGAGCTCATAGCGTTGTTGACGATCTCAAGCATCCACTCAGCAGGGTTCTCGTCATCTCCACAAGTTCTAGCACCTTGCTGCTCAAAGTAATCGAGAAGAGTACGCGAGTTCTGGCCGATGTCGCCAAAGTAAACCGTCTTGCCGCCTCTAGCAAGGAAGAGAAGGCGGTCAAACTCTTGGAACAGAATAGCGCTGGGCTGGTGGACGGTGCAGAGGACAGCCTGTCCGGCATCTGCAAGCTTGCGGAGGAAGGCGACGATGGCCCAAGAACTCTGAGAGTCGAGACCACTAGTCGGCTCGTCGAGGAACAACAGTAGCTTGGGCTTAGCTGCGAGTTCAACGCCGATGGTGAGAAGCTTGCGCTGCTCAACATTGAGACCTTCTCCTGGGATTCCGACGACGGCGCTGGCAAAGTCGCGCATGTTGAGCATGTCGATGACCTTCTCAACCCAGGCATGCTTCTCCTCTTTGCTGACGGTCGAAGGCTGGCGGAGCATAGCACTGAAGCGGAGACTTTCGCGGACGGTGGCTGTTTCGAGATGGAGATCTGTTTTGCGTTAGTGCTTCGTGATCTAAGGGCATCAGGCTCAATGACTTACCTTGCTGTTGGACATAACCCGTCTTTCTCTGGAAGCTGGCATCAAGAGGCCTGCCGTTAACAAACATGTCTCCAGTGATGACACCCATAGTGGTCCTCTGAGCCAATACATCGAGAAGTGTTGTCTTGCCAGCGCCACTCACGCCCATTAGGGCAGTGAGGGTACTAGGCTTGACCCAACCGGTGACGTGGTCCAGAAGTCTACGAGGCTCGCCCTTGATCTCAATGTCATAGACGACATCTCTCCATGTGAACACATCGGTTTGCGGTTCGAGTCCAGCAGTGGCATCCTTTCCTTCACCATTCTTCTCAGGCACGCCGAGCTCCTCGTTGTTCACGCTTCGATCAACGCCAGACTGGAGATGCGCAGGAACGTGGCCACGCTGGAAGACGAGAACCTCAGCCTTGCTAGCAGTCTTGGAGTTCAGCTCGGTGGCTGCGAAGTAGATGATCATGAAGGCGAAAAGAAACGCGAGAAGAATGCCGAAGTTGCGCCAGACGTGCGAGTAGTAGTAACGATAGTTGGTCTCGATGAAGGCGTCTCCACTGACTGTTTGTTGACCGGCTACAGCTCCGACTGTTGAGCAGATCCAGGAATCACCAACGAGTTGGGGGTAGGCGGGGACGATAGCTGAACAGATAAACTCGCGACCGTGGAATTCATTGGCGATGAGGATTTCGAAGGCGTAGTAGATGGGATTAATCCATCTGGGAGATGTTAGCAACTGTTGAATAGTGAAGGATGTCAAACTCACCTGATCCAACCAAACCAGTCAACCATTTGGGGAACACGAATCATAAAGCCAGTGTAAATAACAAGAGCCAAAACCATGATACCAGCGAGCGTCATTGCTTGGGACACCGTCTTCGTCACAGCGGCCATAGTGCGGAAGATGGCAGCCATAACAAACGTGGAGATGTACGTAATGAGGAAGAAGAGGAAGAAGTTACCGGGCTCGCGACGAAGTCCTGCCAGGAAATAAAGAATGATGTTGAATACAGTGGCCGAGACAAACTTGATGGGTATATCAGCCACGATGCCGGATATGGCTTCAGCAGCTGGATGGTAAAAGGCGTAAGAGGCATGTTTTTCGACGATGGGGCGTTGTGCGTAGAGGTTGTTGATCTCGGAAATGGCAGCCAGGGCGTTCATCAGGATACCCATGAAGAGCACGGCTCCTTTGGAGTAGAAACTGGCTGTTGCATCGCCAGTGCCGTAGTACACTGAACCGATAATCAGAGACATGATGATGTTGGATCCCACGCTCGTGGCAGTGGCCGAGAGATCGTTCCATATTCGTTGGTAGGCGCGCTTGGTTGTGAGGCGGATCTGCATAGGGAGGGTGATGATGTACGGGGACTTGGGTCGGGCATGCTTCGCCTGGCTGAGATGACACTGTTAGTATGCTGTCTGTGGCTTTGTCGAGATGGGTACTTACATGAGATTCTTGCGCTCGCGCAGAGGAGCAATGGCCCCAGATCGGTCGTCAACAGGGTACTCAGCTTGGTACGAGTCGATCTCCTGCTGCAGCCTCCGGTACTCTTTCGAGTTGTGCCAGTACGCCTCAAACTCTTCGGCCGTGCGAGGGACCTTGTTCTCCATACCGGGTCGCGCCTTTCGCTCAAGAGGGTTGGTGATAGAAGTGAGAAAGTCACCTGCGGTCTGGCGCTGGGGGCATTGCCAGCCCATGGTTTCAAAGTACTCCTTGGCCTTCTGGGCTGGTCCAAAGTAGATCTGTCGACCCTGGTACAGCACCACAGCCTTGTCGAAAAGATCGTAGATGGCCTGGCTGGCTTGGTAGATTGCCAGTGCGTTTGCAGAGCCTGAGTAGTCGGACGCTAGACGAATCGCCTGCGCGAACTTCAAAGCGGTCGCCGAGTCCAAACCACGGGTACTAAAGCAGTGTCAGTTTATATCTTAGCATGCGGTTCATATCACTAACCTGTTATCCCATGCAGCCAGGGGTGTTTGCGCCAGCATCATCTCAGCGATACTGACACGCTTGCGTTCTCCTCCTGAGACTCCGCGGATAAAGTCATTGCCGACTTTTGTGTTGTACGTGTGGGACAGGCCGCAGACGGCCATGACGATCTTTGTTGCACTCTTGCAAGCTTCGTCACGGGTCATACCGACGAGGTTCTCAGGGTTGGATGGCATGCGGCATCCAGCGGCGAATTCGAGCGTTTGGCCAACTGTGAGGTGAGGGAAATGCTTATCAACCTGGTTCAAAAAAGGTTAGTAAACATACAATGTAGATTCTCAAGTATCATAAGAGCGTACCTCTTGGTTGTAGCCAGTCTCGCCCTTGAACTCCTTCATCATATCCTTCTGCGATATACCGTTGTAGTGGACTTGAGATGTCTCTCCAATGCTGAGGCCCTCGAGCTCACCAGTCATGGTCTTGAGCAGCGTAGAGCATCCAGAACCAGGACGGCCAAGGACAATCAAAGTCTCACCACTTCGAAGAAGACCATCAAAGCGGTGAAGAATCTTTTTCGGTTCCTTCTTGCCAGACTTCAAAAGCTCTCCGAGGCGGAGAGGGGCCTGAATAAAATCGCCCAGTGTCTGCTGTAGCTGCAAAGCTGCCCCTGAGCCATAGACACTGAGGTTCTTGAAAGCCACACCAGAGTTCCTGGGCCCCACGCCTGCCTCTTGCAGCTGGTGCATGAAAGATGGGAGCCATTTCGCAAGGTCAAAAGCCTTATCTGTGGGATCAAGTCTGGGGTCCTCCTCGTGCAAGTCCGGGATTCTGGAAGGAAGAGTGGCCAAGCTTTGTCGTCGGTGGTGGGAGATACCTGTAGCGATTCTTTGCAGTTCTTGGCGATCCTCCTCCTCCATCATCATAGTGTTTGCTCGTACTAAGGGCGATGGGTGGCCCAATGTGCTGGCAGCTAGGTCGTCGTGTCCATCATTTGACTCGCTGCTTGTGGACAGGCCTGAAGCAGGCACGCTTTCTACCGACAATCGAGACGCCATGTTGGCGTTGTTTTCAAAAAGAGGCAACTGGAATGCGTGTTCAGGGGGTGATAAGATAGGCGGTAGAGAGTGAATAGTGTGCCGGTTAGTGAAACTGGTGGTATTAAATATTAAGTTGTTGTATTTTGACTCTAGAACAAGATTGATATGGGAGCAGAAACGTCTATTCTTTAAATATAAACAGTAAACCTAAGCTACTAGCTCCGGCCGCCCGTCAAGCCCGACAAAACAGCACCGTTTGGCACATATCACCCTGTCGGAGACTCGGTAGGGTCAAACTTTGCGTCTCACAAACTTCAGCCACGTAGTTTAGTGTGCTTACAGGCCTGCCACCGCCAAGTCCGACAATAATGATGACGTGAGACCTGTGCGCGCCAAAACAGTTCGACGGGACTCTGATTAGCATCTCTTGTGCTGCGGAGCGGGGTTTCGGGGTCTTGTAGGAATCCTCCAGGGGGCTCCTCCGCGGACTGCTCAGCTCGGCTTTTGCTTTTAGCTCAAACTCTATGTAATCCGCAATCTTTTCTGGTGACGTAAAGAAGGGTTGTAGACTTTCTTAGTTGATGTGGCGGCTTGAAGTTTCAACGTTTGATCGTGGAGTTACTCTGACTCTGTGCTTGTCTTCTTGTCTCTGGTCTGTATGTTATGATTGATGATACGAATGCTGATGTCGCGGTCGTGAAATTAATCCTTTGTCTGGAATCCTGGTGGATGCGTAAGCCCTGCAACAAAAGGCATGAACAAACGCCCAGTTAAGGTGTACTTCTCTATACTAGCAAATTACGCGCGCACACGAGTACTTCTTATCTCTCAAATATCGATCTACCCGATTTGATTGGACGTCCGCACAGACCTCCTCAGGGAGAATTCATTATCCATGCGTTTCTCTGGGAACTGAGTGCCGAAAATATTCGCTATCTTGCGAGACTAGCGTATAACTCCTGCAAAGCGTGCGTTATATCCGGTCTCTTGGGGTAATTCCAACCAATGAGCCGCTACACACAAGGTTCTCAGGTTGTTATTCCTCCAAAGTGCGCCAATCTTCAGGATCCAGATCTCACTGCCGAGCATTTACTGCACAAGAAGATGGCTCGACCGGTCTCGAGGAATCGCATTGTTCAAAAAACCCTTAATCTCGCCTTGGTGCTCGGACTTTATCTTAGCCCACAGCAACCCAGCGATTGTACAGTACAGTAGGTCGCAGCGTAGAGATTAGACTATGCGGACTAAATTAAGCCCACTTTGTCGGGTTCGTGGACAAACCCGTCGGGCGCACTTCCCTCCGTGTTGTTCTAGAAAACCCATTAAAATAGAGATTATTAAGCGGCATGATATCATTGAACAAACGAGCGCTTTATCATCGCGGATTTCTTTTCTGCTCTCGCCGATATACGCTATTTTGACTGTGTCAGAGTTAGATATGACGCGTGTACGGCTTTTTCTGTTGCGCGAGCCATTTTTTAGGGTCAGCTCAACAAAACTCTGATCCTCGAAGCATAGGGTGCAAATTTTACAAGACATACAAAAAGGTGGGGGAAAAGTCAGGAAAATAGAGCGATTTAGATATAAAATAATTTAAAGAATAGATGATAACTCATTAAGAGTTTTATTCAGAAAAGATTGAAGCAACAATGTAGAGAATTCGAATTTTGTATAACAGAAACATAACTTCAGGGTAGGCTATAACCTATGATTTCGCTACCGTAGCGGAAGTGGGTTAATCCGGTAGCATTGACTTAAGCTCAGGCTAATTGAATTTCAGCCCCCTCATTTCGTCATGGTTGTGGAATGTAGATCGCCGTAAATTGGATTTGATCGTGCGAGCGATTCAACAGAGTTAGTTGGTATCATGTTGATTGCTAAGTAAGGCTCTTATTTGATGATAGTTGTAAACCAATACGCGGGTTCTGTAAATCACAAAAATGGTAGCCGACACTGTACCAAGATAAACCAAGTTCAATGATCCACTGATTCAATGCTATCAAATCAATCGCAAATCTGATAAGATAGCACACTGATTGTGGTAAGGAGCTGAAGGGCTACTTTTGAAGCTAGGCTCTTGCAATGCATCGTAATCCATCCAAGCCGCTATAGCTCGTTTGTCACGGTGCTAACCTCTGGAATATGACAAACACTGATTCCTGTACTGCTTGGTTGTTAATCTAATTGACTCTTGGATATTGCAAGTTTCTTCACTCCTATGTAGAGTGTTTGAATTTGTTTGGAAGGTCGCGAGAGATATGCTGTTTAAGTGCAAGTCAGGAAATATACACCCAGAGGACCATAGTAGTTGTTATCTCCTAGCTTACTTACAATAAATATTTTCTTTTCATACGTACGAATATACAATCCAATGGTGCTTGGCAGCTAGTTGCTATGGATATCATATATCACTACATCACTTTATAGTGCAATTGCTGTGGGGGATTTCTGATATGGCAGCATGGTCATGATATGGTTCGTTTACCTCATTCAAGTCTCTGCCATTTGCAACATTGGGAAATTCTGGAAAGCCCGTCTTAGATATAGCCCCCTGTAAGTTTCCTTTGTCCAACAATTCAAACTTAGACTCCCTACGTGATTCAAAACTGGTCTTGAGCCATGATCGTTTTGGCGAGAAATAATTGTTTGCCCTGATGCGCCGCACCATGCTGCGTTTGATGAGCAATTGGAATTTCGGCGAAATTAAATGGATATAAGTCAACCCGCTTGTGAATCGTTGTTATCATCAAGGTATAGTGAGTAATCAATGCGTTATTTCTGACAGTAATGGCAAAGAGGACTTATCGACGCACAACTTGAAAACAATATCTCACTGTCTTGTAAAATCTCGCTCAGGTAACTTCTAACCACATGTGCGCCTGATTCCATTCAATTGCCAAGAGTTGCAAGGTCTTATAGCAGAAACACATCACTATACATGCGATTATTGCAATGGTGGTTCAGTTCCCACAAATCACAACCTTTGGCCCAGGAGCGGGGGTTTTACCAGAAGGGTGTTTTCACTCAAGACCAGACGATGGGTGATGGGTGTTTTCATCCGCCTGGCGTGATGATGCTCCTGGGTAAATTCCCTGCACGGGTTCCAATTGGATGGTACCCCGGACTAAGCTCTTGGGGCTTCAGTACAGCCGGCTGAGAGGCTAATATGCCACCTGGTTTGGCGGGGCGAATGCAACGCTGTGATGATCATGCCCCAGAGTGTTGGAGTAAATGTTCCACTTGCAGGAACCACGATAGTGCCTAAACTGCTTGTCTTTGATCGCCACCTTTTGCATTTATCCGGACTTGATGTATAAGACCCCAAAACTCGAACCACGGATATGTTGTAGCCAGTGTCTTCAATGGCTTGAAGGGATTGAGGACAGATATTTTGACGCCAGCTATGAAGGTATCTCTTTCATTGTTAGGCCTGCTGCCTCTCGTGGCAGGCCTAGGCCAGCAACCCATCATCGCTTTCAACAAATCCGATGATGCTTTTATGATTGCAGGCAAAGATTCCGGCAAGGGACAGATTCGCGTCTCCAAGGATGAATATTGGGGCGTCATTCGTGCTGCGGGTGATCTTGCCGTCGACTTCGGCCGTGTTACTGGCACCAACCTCACTCTTAGCAATGGAGAGAAGGATGCATCACCAGCAAAGTACAAATTTGAGCCCGTGGATGTGAAAAACAACACCCATGTAAGTAGTCTGCGTATTCAATGTCGAAGCGTCAGCTAAGAATTTAGTACCACACCCTGAAAGAGGAAGAATTCTCTGGCCCAGCATACTTAGACCCCGATGCCGCCAACACCGTCATCATAGCAGGTACAATCGGCCACTCTGAGCTCATCGACAAACTCATCGACGATGGTGTCATTGACGTCAGTAAGGTCAAGGGCAAATGGGAGTCATTTGTCAGTCAGCTCGTCAAAGACCCCATCAATGGCACTGCTCAAGCCCTTGTTATTGCTGGAAGTGACCCGAGAGGAACTATCTACGGTATCTACGACGTCAGCGAGCAGATCGGAGTGAGTCCTTGGTACTGGTGGGCCGATGTACCAATCCGAAAGCGAGATGAAATCTACGTCGTGTCTAAGCCCAAGGTGCAGAAGTCACCTTCGGTGCAATACCGTGGAATCTTCCTCAACGACGAGCAGCCTGGACTTTCAAGTTGGGTCGGGTAAGTCACCTTGTTCCATATCTAAACTATAAGTACTAATTCAGCCAGCTCTCGATGGAAGCCCACTTGGAACAATGCCGCCCCTTACAACCATGAGTTTTACGCCCTGGTCTCAGAGCTACTTCTACGTCTGCGAGCCAACTACCTCTGGCCCACTGTCTGGGGCAGCATGGTTTACATCGACGACCCTTTCAACCAGCCACTTCTGGATGCCTACGAGATTGTCCTTGGAGGCTCACACACCGAGCCCATGATGCGAGCCCAGAACGAGTTCCGGACATTCTACAAAGGAGACTGGCAGTACCACACTAACAACGAGACTATCGATGAGTACTTCCGTTACGGAGTTTCAAGAGCCAAGCCATATGCCAGAAACAGCGTGTGGACTATGGCAATGCGAGGAACAGGCGACACAGCCATTGAAGGTGATCTTGGCGTCGAAGGCATCATCGATATGCTGGAGACTCTTGTCGACAATCAACGAGAGATCCTCCGTAAAGGCCTCAAGGTTGATAACCTGACCGACGTCCCCTCCTTATGGTGTCTTTACAAGGAAGTTCAGTCCTACCAGGAAAGTGGCCTCAGCGTTCCCGAAGATATCACTCTTCTGTGGGCAGACGATAACTGGGGCAACATCCGTCGCCTCCCCCTCGCCAACGAAACTGATCGTTCCGGTGGCGCTGGTGTTTACTACCATTTCGATTACGTTGGTGACCCCAGAAACTACAAATGGATTAACACTATCCAACTCCAGAAGACCGCCGAGCAGATGACTTTGGCTTACCATAGAAATGCCCGCCGTATCTGGATCGTCAACGTTGGTGACCTCAAGCCTAAGGAGATACCCATCAGCCACTTTATGGATCTAGCTTACGACACAGAGCGATGGGAGGCTGACGGTACTACCAAATGGACTGAGGCTTGGGTCGCGAGAGAGTTTGGCATTGAGCATGTCGAAGCCGTCACGAGTATCATGAACCGGTACGGTATGTACGCAGCTCGTCGCAAGTTCGAGTTGTTGGAGCCGCAAGTCTACTCCGTCATCAACTACAACGAAGCCGAAGCCATTCTGGATCAGTGGGCTACTCTGAAGAAAGATACACAAGCTGTTTATGACAAGCTGGACGATGATTACAAGCCCGCATTTTTCGAAATGCTTCTCCACCCCGTTCTAGGTGGTGAGATCGTAAACAAGATCCAGATCTACGGAGCCAGAAACCAGCTGTATGCTGGGCAGAAGCGAAACTCAGCCAACGATGTCATCTGGAAGTCTGTGGACCTCATGTATAAGGATTCAAACTTGACACAAAGATGGAACGAAGTGCTCGACGGCAAGTGGGCGCATTTGCTCGATCGTAAGTTATTAATTCTTTTAGTTGTTTTGGCGTTGACTGACAGATACAGAAACACATCTGGGCTACGATGGATACTGGCAACAGCCTATGAGGAACACTCTTCCGGACCTCAGATTTGTTCAAGATGTCTGGCCATCGCTTGGCGGTGAATACGGTGTCGGCGTCGAGGGATCCAACGCCACCATCATGGGAGACGACCGCTGGCACTCATTGTCTTCCAACGTCCTCAACCTTCCTCCTCTAGAGCCCTTCGGAGCCCAGTCACGATATATCGAAGTCTTCCACCGAGGCTCCAAGTCTTGCAACTGGTTCGCAGCACCTTGGGAGGATTATGTCCAGCTTTCACAGTACAACGGTACAGTTGGAGGCCATAACGGTTCAGATAGCCGAGTTTACGTTACAGTTGATTGGGAGAAGGCCCCCAAGGCACCCAACACGACGGCGGTCTTTATCAACGTGACAAGCGACTGTCAAGGCTTTGAGAAGTACAGTGGACAGAACCCACGAGTGGTTGCGACAGTCATCAACCGAGAGCTGCCTGATAGCTTTGAGGAAGGATTTGTCGAGTCTGATGGACACGTTTCGATCGAAGCGTCGCACTACCAAAAGATACACGAGGGAGATTCGGACGACTCAGACCTTAAGTACCACACTATCAAGAACTACGGTAGAACTCTGGCGGGTGTTGGACTGTACCCTCTCGACACCGAGAAATTGGAAGCTGGAGAGGGCCCTGCTCTGGAGTACGACATGTACCTTTTCAGCAACAGCTCCGCCGCCAACGTAACCGTCTACATGTCCCCCGGCGCCAACTACCTCGGAGACCGAAACCCACTCGAGTACGGAATTGCATTGTTCCCCGCCGGAAAGAAGCAGCCTGACCCAACCATCGTCCGGCCCATTGGTCCGAACAAGGGCACCAACATGCCTGATGGATGGGGCTATGCTGTGGGCAATGCTGTCTGGGGCGTGTATGGAAACTACACTACGTCTTCGTTCGATGTACCCAAAGAGGGCGCTTACACTCTTCGCATTTGGGCCTTGTTGCCTAACATTGTGATTCAGAAGATTGTGGTTGACCTGGGTGGTGTGAGAAGTTCTTACCTGGGGCCACCTGAGAGCTTCTTGTTGGGACGGGATGAGCAAGGAGAATACAACGGTACTTCGTTCTCGAGTACGCCCGAAATTGTGGGAGGAACATTTGAAGGTTCGTCTTAGGAGGGTTGGAATAGTAATTAGACACATAAAATTCTAGCTAGTTGTATCAAATTCATATACTAGTTCTCTTCGACCGCAATATGTTCAAGATGCACATTTCCATAGACGATCTCATATTCATGCAGAAAGTCTAAAGCTCGGATAGGATCTAATAGTGCCTCTGGAAAATTCGACTGTGAAACGCCGGTTTCAAGGTCTAAGTTTGCGAACCATCCGATATCGCTCGTTTACAGTGGCACCAGGATGAACGGGATGGTACCCACAGAGAACAGTGCAAAAGCTCCCAATAACTACTGCGGAGTTCCAGACCGTTTGCAGCATTGCTAGTAAACCGGTTGTAAGACATGTGGAATTCCAGGCGACTGTTGGTCGGTATGGCAACCTTTGTACAGTGGGCGTGCGAAACTCCCGACAATTTCCTCTATTGTAGATTTTATATAAGATTATGCAAATTAATGTAATCTCTTCCTAATTTATATAATTTTATATAATTATAGTCTAAGATTATATAAAGTCTTCTTGGTATGATATACCTAATACTATCTATCTTCATATAAGTATCTCTTGTTTGCTCGTTGTCGGAACTTTTGCACGGAACTGTACAAGCTAAACTCAATTGTGAAGTGGCTGTACAAACCAAGCCAACCGTTGCGTCTAACAGCGATACCATCTGTCAGAAAATTCAGGCTGCCCTCCATTTAATTGATAGATCCATAGTTAATGTCCCCCTCAATCTCATGTCAATGTCAGCGCCTGCTTGTTCCTGGATGTGCTGTAGTGTCAGCGGGGATTATGCAGGGTTGGTTTGAGTCGTAAGCTGCAGGGCTGAATTTCCAGTGGCAAGGCGTTTTTATCTGCACTTATCACCACATGAAACTTCACTGTTTGCAATGTACGTTGTTACTCTTGACAAACCGAAATCACCGCTAGAGGCGAATGCAATAGAAGCACCACCATAATTTGTAGTACGCGTATAACATTTCCCTTTGTTAGTGCCCTCCACTTCCGGTGAGGGGCTGCTTGGCGGTCAAACTTACTGAATTGCCATGAGAGTGTCTTCATCTCTGCTGCTATCTTTAATCATACACAGCCTCCAATGGTAAGCAGAGGCTATACGAACCAAGCTGTCCCATTCGCCGTTGCGCACTGCTCCTTTAAGCTCCAGCAACAGATATTTCTGGCCTATCTATCGTCTCATCTCATCGCGGATATCGGCTCGACGACGTCATGGTCGTTGAGGCTGAGCTAGCTGCCGGGGGTTCCGAGGTGAGACAAAAGCGACATGTGCAAGGCCATTGCAACGTCTTGTTTGGCTGCTTCGTACGTCGGCGGCCCGTAAATCGGATCTTTTTCCCGAGCTGAGATGGATCTTTCCACTGAGCTAACCGCCTGCTACTCCGTAAGACCCAGACGCGTCAACGTTAGCCATTCACACTCTGTCACGTTACGGGGTAACGGTGCAAACCTTAGCAAATTAGCTAAAGCTTTTGAGGCCGCCTGTGCCAACGTATGAGATCATACTTGTATAAAGTGCCGCGTCCTTTGTTTGTTTGCCATTTTGAGATTTTTTTGGTACCCGACACACTTCGGTGCCTCTGTTTCCTCCACTTTGGCTATCCAAGCGGAATTATTTATACACTGAATCAACAGTCTAGAGTACACACACTAACGTGTTGTAATGCTCGGACTCTTGGCTTTCGCGCTCTCCTTGAGCAGCACAGCCATCGCCGCCTCGGATGGTACGGCCTTGGCACCACGAGATGCAATCATCAATTCCGTCGAAATCCGCGCTCTTCCAAACTCACCGAGCGGCAACTATGCACCCAAGATAGTTGATTGTCCCTCGACACGCCCGCAAATCCGAGAAGCTGGCAAGCTTTCCGACGAGGAAGAATCTTGGGTTCGTCGTCGCAGAAATAACACAGTCGACCCCCTCAAAGACTTTCTCTCTCGGGCTAATATCTCCGGGTTTGACGCCGAGAAATACATCGAGAGAGTCAAGAACAATGCCACCGCTCTACCGAACATCGCCATCGCGGCCTCTGGTGGTGGTTACCGCGCCTTGATGAACGGCGCAGGCTTCATTTCGGCTGCCGACTCACGCAATAACAAGACCGGTCCTATCAGTGGACTTCTTCAATCGTCAACGTATCTTGCCGGTCTTTCCGGTGGTGGTTGGCTCGTGGGCTCCATTTTTGCCAACAACTTCACCACAATTCCCGATCTACAGAAAAGCTCCAAAGTTTGGCGATTTGAACGCTCCATATTTAAAGGTCCCGAGAGTTCCGGCATCAATATTCTGAATACTGCTGAGTATTGGACCGACTTGATGGATGCCGTTGACGAGAAGGACAAGGGATGGAATACTACTCTTACCGACTACTGGGGTCGCGCTTTGTCGTACCAACTCGTTAATGCCTCCGAGGGAGGTCCTGCTTATACCTTCTCATCCATTGCGGACACACCTAACTTCAAAGATGCCGACACGCCTTTCCCTATCCTGGTTGCTGATGCCCGCGCCCCTGGTCAGCTTGTGGTCTCCCTCAACGCGACCGTATATGAGTTCAATCCTTTCGAATTCGGCACCTGGGATCCCACGACATACGGATTTGCACCTATCGAGTATCTCGCATCAAACTTCACAAACGGAAAAATCGAGTCCAAGGGCGAATGCGTACGTGGTTTTGATCAAATCGGCTTTGTCATGGGCACATCGTCTTCGCTGTTCAACCAATTTCTTCTCAACAACGTCACCAAAGTTGGCGAAGAGAACGACATTCCTAAGATTGTAGTCAAGGCAATTGAAGGGGTCTTGATTGGTTTGGACAAGGATGACGAGGACATTGCTCAATACACACCCAACCCCTTCTATGGCTGGAACCCCACCAGCAAGAGCCGCAACTACAAGGAGCATCAGTTGACATTGGTTGATGGCGGAGAGGATCTGCAGAACATTCCACTCCATCCTCTGATTCAACCCATTCGTGGCGTCGATATCATTTTTGCTATTGATTCTTCAGCGGATACAGACAACAACTGGCCAAACGGCACTGCTCTCCGTGCCACGTACGAACGAGTTGGCTCCGCCATCGGTAACGGTACCGAGTTTCCCTCTATTCCTTCAGCCGAGACTTTTATCAACGAGCGCTTGAACCAACGGCCTACTCTCTTCGGCTGCGACGCAAACAACTTTACACTCTCTGAAGGCCAGTCGCCACCGCCGCTCATCTTCTATATTCCCAACGCACCCTACACTGCGCACAGCAACGTCTCAACATTCGACATGTCCTACTCCATCGCAGAGCGTGACAACATCATCCTCAATGCGTTGAACGGTGCCACTCAAGGAAACGGTACCATTGATAAGGAGTGGCCCACTTGCGTCGCTTGTGCTGTTATGAGCAGGAGTTGGTGGAAGGCGAACGAAGTCGTCCCTGATGCGTGCAAGACTTGCTTTGACCGGTACTGTTGGGATGGAAAGTCTAACAACACTGCGGTGAAGAGCTACGAGCCTAAGTATATCATTGGAGGGGAGGCTGCTGAGGCGGAAGATAATGCGGCTGGCGGCGTACTTAAGCCCAGCTGGTTTGTGTCCGCTGGTGTTGGAATCGGCTTGTTGTTTGCCCTTTTGTAATAGCGACATTATTTAGATTTAATACTTGTTGAATATTCACATTTATCATTTGCAATTCCGTGTCGCGGTGGGGCTCTATGTATAGTTCTTGAATTTCTGTTGAGCCTTTGCCTTGGACAGTGTGTGAGTATAAGCCATCCTTTATAAAGATGAGGACTGCTTCAGTCAGAAGCCTTGCCAACAGCTACAGCAAACAGCTACTTGCATAAAATCACTGTTATTTATAATTTGACATTGGAAAATGATCTTTAGTGGTAGGGAAGATCTTTCTGGCTGTCAATCCTGTACCTTTGATGAAGCATTGAGATGGCCGTGATCCACGATACCTAGAGAACTATAAATATCTTTGACCAATAAATTACAACAAACTGCAAAATTTAGCAACTCAAATATCAACTCAATTGGAACTAGATCAGAAAAAATGTGTCATAGACAAATCAGTATCCTGACTTGCTGCATATGCCGTAGGATAATGTGCGAAGCATCCACGGATACCATCTGCGAAAAGGCTAAAAACAAGACCGGCTTGGCTGGCGCGTGCGGCGATGGAGTAACTGTCGGTACCACATATGCAAGATCAACATGTAACATATGCATGACGGAGCTCATGGCAAAGGGCAAGCTGGCTAGCCAGAACAACCCGGAATGAATCAAACCCGTGGGCGGAATAGGAATGGAGAGCGTGGCTGGATAACAATCCCCGCTGAGGGCTTTATTAAGTAGGGGCACAGCTACAAGTAGCTTCTATGTTATTAATAAGGAGTGATAAGAACTAATGCTACATTGAATCATTTGAACCGAAAAGCCATTCATGGGCCTTGATATACTTTGATCATGCGTACCCAGCCGTGTGTTATGCGAAAACGCCCAGTGAAACGCATGGCCAGTTTCACTAACAAGTGAATCAGTATGAACTTTGTAAAGCTATCCTCTGTAGTTGCGTATCCGACCTCGCAAAAAAGCAAGTATTCAGAGGCAAGACCGGTACAATTAAGTGTTGGAAACCTCATTCAATCACGAAGGATCTGCAGTGTGCACAGGAACAGTAGTCCAACATTCAACCTCTCAAACATAAAAGAACTATAGCGACAGATGTATTGGAAGACAAAAACTCAAGCCCTGCCAAAGACTGAACAGACGAATTATATCAGAATTCTAACAGACAAAAACATCAACATGTGTAGTGAAATACGTACCACGATCACTTGCCGCGTATGCCGCAGACTTATGGTTGAAGCAGCGACTCGCACGAGATGCCAGAAAGCAATCGACGAAAACTATCAGCCCGATGAGTGTGAGGACTGGATTCCATCTGACCCGCAAGAAGAGTTTACGGTGTGCAACAGGTGTAGGAACCGACCTAACGGGGTGGATAACGGACAGGTTAACGGACAGGTTAACGGAGAGGTCAACGGAGAGGTCAACGGAGAGGTCAACGGAGGGGCTAATGGGGGAGTCAATGGGGGAGTCAATGGGGGAGTTAACGGACACGTTAATGGAGGCGTTTGATGCACATGTGAACAGCTTATATTATAAGTGCCTACTTGTTGGCGCCCTGGGTATAGATCAAGCTATAGAGAAACAAGTTAGGGTAAAGAGCAATACATATCCTGACCAGGAATGGGGTTAAAGGAGATACTAGTAATTCAATTCATACTTACAATCATGTATTTGTCAAGTTTCTTGCTTCCATACTTACATGCGACTTTACACGTGAGCTGTCCCTTTTAGCTGACACCGATACAGGCTGAGCCTCCCAGCCTGTTTGTGAATGATGACAGTGACTGCCTGAACATTGACTTCCTACAGAACATGTCCCTGCCGGTTGGCTGTCCTCATGCTTCGATCACTTGCCTAAATTACATATGAGGTCATCATTCTCTGTCAGAATTTCCCGCGGGAAGGAAGTCATAATGGAATCACGGGAAAAAGTGTCTTAGCATGTTCTTCGAGGTATATGAGTAGCGTACTATGCTAGCGATAAATAAGCCCAACTAAGCTACCTTACATGAAGTATCATTCATTGTCTTCGACCGGGGTATCTAACCGAACCGAACCGAGAAGTTGTGTCAACCGTGGCACATCATCTGGAATCTGCTCCCAGGAAACAAGCTTTCTTGTTTTCGCGGTGATCATACTAGCATAGATATCCGCCATCTTCCTACTATCCCACACACCCTCCCTTCTCCCAAGTCGCCGTAGAAGCCTCACGCCTTCCCATTGTATCGTTTCATCCTGGCACGAGATAATAACGTAGGCGATGGGCGGAACCAGGTTTGCTTGAAAAGTGAAGATATGACCGGTCTCTCTTTGTGAAAAGTTAATAATCGACTTTGCTCTTTTCAATATCTCGATGCAATCAGATGGTTCTAGATCTTCGTCGATTGAAGCCAGCTTGAATGTTGCATGCCATGTGATCTCCTCCAGCTCAAGAACCTTGAAACGAAACATTTCTGGCTCTGAAGCCTTCAGAGGATCAAAGTTCTGCTTAAAGGCATTGTACCGTGCGCTCCAGTACCGGTAGAATGATTCTGACTCCAACCCGTTGTCAAAACGCCTGCAGACTAGACCGGTTTTGCCGCAGGGATAGCCTTGGTTGAGACACATCTGACAATCAGTGTTCATCTCGATCCCGAATGTGGTTCCCACATGCGATAAACAGGAAGCTGCTGCTTGAGCTGAGAAGAACGGCGCGCCGGGCTCTTGGAGGGTTATAGGGTCTTGCCTTTCAAGCCATTGCTGAAGCTCTGATACCAGTTTTGGGGAATGATTATCTCCCATGTAAAAGAACAAATCCGAGGTGAGACCACAGAGCGATGGTCCGATGTTGTCCATGAACTTGGACAAGTCATCTCCTTTTCGCCTGTGTCCAACCTCACCACGATACTGGGTTCCCACGTCGTTCCATCGTTCACAGGTATTTAGTAAAGAGAATGCAGACTCCAGATGCCGAGTGACATTGGTGTAACGGCCGTAAAGATTCTCAGTGCAGATAAATATGAGACAGCACGTAAGGATCACCTGGAAGTTCTTATCCGGCGAGTTCATATACTCGTGCATCACCTTGATAGCGTTGCTGTACTGCTGAACAGAGGCAATTTCATAAGACTGGGCAAGAGATTGAGTGAACGGGTCGGTCTGGGTTTGGAGTTTGAAGGCCTTGTGGGCGCCTCCCAGAGCACCGATGGCAGCCTTTATAGGCATAGAGTTGTGACTGAGGGGTAGCGCATATGTGTGCCAAAAGCTCATCGCGTTCAAAGAGCTCGCCAGTTCTGGGATGGTGCATGTTCGGAAGTGATGACAAAGATCTAGTTCTATCGATGAGCCGAATATCTCTGGTGATAGACCTGCAGGGACCAGAATTTTGGAGATTGCTGCGGGACGTTGTAACGCAGCTTCGTTTTGCTTTCGCTGAAGTGCTGGGGTCCTGGGCTTGTACTTGCATTCCGACTCTGGAATGTAGCCATCGCATGTCCGTTTGTCTTTCTCACAGCGCGAGCAGATTGGTTTTCTTTCGTCGCATTTCAGGTGACGGATTCTTAATTACGACAGTTAGTAGGAAGTCGAGTGGGAGCACCATCCAAGGGCAACGAACTTGCTGCTACAGTTAGCATCGTGTACTACAAATGATCAGCAACAACTTACCATGTAAGACAGCCAGATCTGACCTTTGGACCTCGAGCTCTCTTCCGTTTTGTTGTACTATCCGAGCCTGCCATGAAGTTCTAGAATAAGGTCACAGGCAAGGTAAGTTCGAGAAACAAGCGTAAAATGAACCTTAGTCCGGTAGGCTAGGGGCTGGACTTTGTGAGGCAGTTTGTGCCAAGGATGAAAGTCACGCTATTGCAACCGAGAGGGTTTTGCTGCGGCGAAAGGTGGGGTTTTGGCCTTGGTTAGCGTGTCTTGGCATTTCAGGTAAACAGATGTCACGATCTTTTGACTTGAAATTAATAGCATTGGCACCAGTTTCAAAAGAAATGAGTCTCGGCCCGTCGTAGACCCTCGTGAGTAATTAGTATGGTCCGAATTAGCCAGACATACTACCACCGAAGGCGGGTTTAGCCAGGATAAACAGTTTGACTTTCACAGCGGAATATAGTTCATCCGTCTCATCAGGTGGACAATTCACACTAATCCTCTTCTGGCCTCGATCACATCTCCACGTTGTGAGGGGCTTTGGGTGCAAGCTGATACATATCCATAACTAAAGGCTTAAGGGTATTTGCTACCAAGACTACGAAGAAGGAAGTTGAAATGGTCTACAACGTATATCTAAAACCCTCTCGACCTTCGCATAAATGATTTCCTTGATCTGCCTGTCGATTATGATATCGAAGGAGAAGCATAGTCAAAGCAGCAACTACGACAGCTGCAACATTAATCGCCATGACAGCAATAAGTCCCGGAATATAATTGGGCGCATCCTGTTGACCTATAAAAGCATTAGATGAGTGAATTGAATTGGGACGAGTATCTTACGGAACACCATGCTGGAGTATATGCCACCAACGCCACTCATACTAATAAGGATGGCGGTAGATACAGCTCGACGAGCATCTCCCACAATATTGTTGGCTTGCCAGGCGAGAGTTGTTACGACTAAGCCGTTGGCACCAGCGACGCCCAGAAAAGTGCCGATATATCTGGGAGTCGGGGTATCCAGGAACCCAGTCATACAAAGCCCGATGATACCGATAACGCCTTGGAAGATAACGAAAGGTCCCCGCATTCTAGTTTTATCAGCAAGCCAAGAGATGGCCATGGCTTCAACAACCGCAAAGAGCGATGGGGGAGTGCTCAGGATAAAAGATAGCTCGATTGAGTACCCGAGACCTCCACGCAGAATGATGGGCAGAAAGAATAGGAAGGCATAGACTCCAACGGCACCAGCCATATACATGAGAGAGAATGCCCATGGTTTCCAATCGGCGGCTGTTCTGGCGAGGACCTTGATCGTTACCTTTTCTCGTTCTTCTGGGCCACGGTCTTCAGCCAGACGCGCCTTCACAAATGCGCGCTCTTCAATGGTGAGGAATGTGTTTTTATCGGAGTCGGGGAAATCGACGATGATGAACCATGATCCAATACCTGCGACAACGGTAATGGCGCCTTCGACGATAAAGATCCAGCGCCATCTGTAACAATTAGCCTCCAATAGTGACATTGATTGTAGCTTAGTACTAACCCTTTGTAGTGGTGGTGTTTGGAGATCTGGATCAGACCATAAGCGAGAATGTTGGCGAATGCAGATAGAGCCGACGCAGTCAGGAAAAACCCAGCCATGCGTTTCTGAACCTCATATCGCTTGTACCAAGACGACACAAGATAGACACAGCCTTATTGGCGGTTAGCTCGAGAACCAGGCCAGGTCATGTAAATAAGCAAATACCTGGAAAGAAACCAGCCTCAAGGACACCCAGAAATGCTCTTAGCACAGCTAGACCTGCCCAGTTATTCAGAAAGCCAATACCAAGGGATACCAAACCCCACGCAAAAGCAAGAAAAGCGAGCCAGTTCGCAGCACCGAGTTTGTGGATAAACGCGTTGCTGGGGATTTCGAAGATGATATAGCCGATGAAAAACACCATTAGAACGATAGACACGCGGTTACCCTCGGCGAGACCAAGGTCATCGTCCATACCCGAGATGCGAGCGACAGCGACATTGGATCTGTCTACGAGAGCAATTGTGTAGAGGCATCCGAGAATGGGCAATAGTCGTAGGTCAACCTTTCGGAGAACCCTCTTTTCGAACTTGGCATCGTGTGTGTTGGGAACGTGATCTTCAGTGTCCGCTCGCTCGATCTCTTGATTGTCTTCCTTAAACATGTCGATATCAGAGTGAGATGGATTGCGTTGGTCGATCATTGTGATTGCCGGTATAATATGTTCAGGTAGTGTTGATAGCAGATGTCAATCCGAACCAGGAAGTTGCGATAAGCTTTATACATGCGTGAGCTCGATTGTGATCTGCTTGTTTGTTTCGTCTCAATAATGATCTATAGCTGTTTGAAATGGCGTCAAATGCAGGCGAAGGTGACCGAACCATAAACGGCCTTGGTGGCGACCGTCGGCTACGGACCATAGCCGATGGATGTTGACGCTCCTGGATGTGTCCCCACTGAGTCTGGCAAATAGGAAACCTGTTGCACACGATGTAATCATCCCCTAGCATTTGTGTTATGCGGGGTAAGTCAATGGCTAGTCCTCCTTCGTAATAGGCCTCGCATCCTTCATGCGGATTCTCCCATACCCCGGATTTCGATTTGCGTGGAAAGATGACGATTTCGTTGTTTGCCAATCCAGTTCAGTCTCCTCCAATATATGGTACTGCCGCCTGGTGCCATGGATGGCCTCAATCCACGTCCAATAGCCTCAAAACGGATATCGAATCATGGTAGGAAAAGAGGCACTGCTTGTGAGAGGTGCAATAGGCGAAGGACAAAGTGCGATGGATCAATTATTGGTGTACCATGTTCGGCTTGTAAAAAGAGTAACTACCATGAGCAGTGTGCACTGATACAGTCCAAACGTCGAAGGTAGGCCTCCACCATTCCAGAATCACGCCAGTCCCGCGCTCATAATGTAGAGGTGCTGATGGGCGATACGCAATCCTTCCCGATGCCCAATCGTCACCGAGCTCGGCCAGCTCCAGCATGGAGATGCCGACAGTTGTTAGCAATGTAAGGCGCGGTATGACGAACGACACATCACGCAATGACCAGCAGAGCAGTATGGATCCGCTACAACCGAACAGTATAACTATGGATACACCACGGACCACCCAGAACGCGAGTCCATCGCAATCTACTCTTACTGTACAGCCAAGCGTTGTTGGTGAGAGTTGGTACGCTTCCTATGTTATGAGAGGCTATACCCCAGGCCACAACAGCGTCCATAGGCCAATCGGCGACTGTAACGAGTCAGTCCAAAGCATATCTTGTGACAAGACAAGAGACGGCGCCTCCAGCAAGCCATCGCAGCCTCGACAGAAGCCTGGCTTAGAAGATCTTCCGTCACCAGACCTGGTTAACAGGCTGATCGAGGTCTACTTCGACCGATTCCACGCCTTTTGTCCAATATTTGAGCGAGAATATTTCTTCACGTCTCTCCATGAAGGGAAAATGTCAGAAACTTTGTTACGCAGCGTCTTATTCGTAGCGTCCTTACACTGCGACCTGGAAGTTCTGCATCTCATGGGGCACAGCACTCGCCTCGACGCCAACCATGAACTGTTCACCAAAGCCAGCGCTTCCTTCGACCTTGATAGAGAATCAAGCCGAATGCACATGATTCTATCCTCCTACTTGCTCCACTACTGGTTTGGAAACCCGACAGCATATCGCGACTGCCACTGGTGGCTCGCCGCCGCCATCAGATCTGCGCAATGTACTGGCTACCATAGAAGTACCAGCAACAGCCAGATGCCTCCTGAAGAAAGACGACGATGGAAATGCATCTGGTGGTGCCTTTATGTACGTATGGAGGTCAGATCATGTACCATCAGCTGACCAAATAGGTTCGCGACCGTCAGATTGCCATCTCTACCGGAACGCCAATGGTGATTAACGATTTGGACTACGATGTCGAGGAGCTTGTAGTGCAAGACTTTCCGGAAGAAGCCCCAGAAACAGCCCACTACATGGTCGCACAAGCCAAATTGAGCAAAGCTGGTAAGTAAGACATAGGGACACTCAAGGTAGGAGCTTCATGCTAATCTCATTCGTAGTGGCTCAGCTGTACTTCTCTCACTGTTCGCCATCCCGTCTCCCTCTGAGTAAGGACTCATCAGTACGCCAGAAAGCAATGCAGGATATACAAACGATCTTGCAATCTTGGAACCATGACTCTAAGGATCTGAAGTTCCCCAATGGGACTCATCACTTAAGTTTAACCCTAGAAGTGTGCTATCAGTGAGTAGTCCATCTCATGGATGATTAATTGGCTAATTAGTCAGTTACTACTTAGTAAACCTTTATCAACGACTGCAGAGACAGTGCAATACCTCCAAGGAAACAAAGCCTATCATCGATGCTGCAACACAAGTGTTTAACCTTGTTGAGACTTCGCTGCTCTACTGGGCCCCAGAACAGTTTCCCATGATCTAGTGAGTCTCAGTCAGAAGTTCAAGTATAAAATTCTAACCATCTTTAGTGTCTCAGCTCTCTTTTCCGCCATGATGGCTCTTGCAGCAGACGGTGGCGCCACAACAACAAAAAGTGATCAGCTTTTTGGTAAAATCCGTCGCGGCTTACTCGCTCTCAAGCAGTTTGAGCCAGTTTATATCCTTGCACGATGGATCAGAAACTTTTTCATGGATATTCTGAACCGTTCAGAGGCAAATCCGATGGGAGATGCACAAGGACGAGAAACATGCATGGTCAGTGATGGAAATAGGGTCGATGCATCATGTCTCGAAAACTCAGGGACCAACCCCGATCAGACAAATGAGGTTTCGGCGGCAATGCTCCCTTCGGAAGACCAAGCCACAGATCCTACTTCAGATCTTGGAGATGATGAGACAAACTTTATGTTCGATCAGGATTCTGGAGATGCCTGCGCTGGGTTTGAAGGAGGCGGGTTCTGGCCAGCATATCTGGCAAATGGTGTCTTTTCGAACACACATTTTGTCGATTCTCTGGATTTTCCACAACCTGATTCATCCCAGTACCAAGCCATGTATTTTTTGGCTGATCTAGGGCTCGCTAGTTCTGATCTTGTATGAATCTATATACCATTATGGACCACAATCCTTAGTTTGCTTCTCAGAGCTTATACTCTTATAATGCAAAAGAGACTTACCTTTTTTAGCATCTTGTTTAGGACGTCTAGTGACTCGACAATCGCGGTGACGTATACCCGCCAAAAAGGTATCGAACAGCAATTGCCTTGAATACATGGATCAGTAATCCGGTTTTCAGGCTATATAGTGCTGATAGGCCTGGTTAAAGTTAGTTGTATAACTTGTAAAAAGGAAAGTAGTGGGGGAAGTGTAGGCCATAGCCGAAGGGTTTCCAGCGCACCGTAGCCGAAAAGAGACCTGACTAACGTCCATAGCCGGTGATGCTCCGAAATCTAACAACGGGCTATGGACTACAAGGCAAAGTAGAGCGTCCTCCGCAGTTAAGTTAATAGTTATTAAAGGTTACGGGTCGAGAACATAGCTTTCTTAGCATTTTCTAGTATCAATTCTTGTCGGCGCTCAAATTACCATATAGCAGCAATTATCGGCATCTCGCTTCACCACTGAAATCATGTATCCGAGATGCAAGCCATTGGACTGGGTGAGGTCAAGCCGGGTCTTTTCTTCTACCCCTACCAAGTTTGCCCGTCCAGCCTCGAGCGTGTACACGACACCAGCTACACTATCCAGAAATAGTTCGAGACGCCATACAGGTACGCTTCAATCATCCGTTGAATACAGCTTATCGAGTTGATTATCTGACTTACAATAACCAGGGCTATACGTGTTTGGTCTCTCAGCGATTGGTGTTATCGGCACTCTTACTTTCTATGGCCGCCCCATGGAACTGGGACAGCTATCGACACAGTCGCTCGCAAACACGCCTAAGATTGAACATGATGTTTCCATGAAGAATATACAGGCTGCATGTGAAGAGTTTGAGGCGATACTGGGAGCTGAAAACATATCAACAGACCGAACGGACCTCGTCACCCATTCTGGATCAGATTATCAGTCATACCCTTGGACCGAAGGCACTGCCGTCTGTTCCCACGTCATCCTCTACCCTGAGACAACTGAGGAGGTCTCAGAATTGATGAAAGTATGCTTTAGACGTCGACTACCAGTTACGCCATACTCAGGCGGAACCTCGATTGAGGGCCAATACATTCCTCATTTCCAGGGCATCTGTGTCGACTTTGGTCGAATGGATCGCATTGTGGAACTTAATACTTTTGACCTCGACTGCGTGGTGCAGCCTGGAATCGGCTGGATGGATTTGAATGAGGAGCTTGCGTCTCATGGACTCTTCTTCCCCCCAGATCCAGGCCCTGGTGCAATGATCGGGGGCATGGTTGGGACAGGGTGCTCTGGAACTAATGCGGCGGCATATGGCACCATGAAAGATTGGGTATTGTCGCTAACAGTGGTGCTCGCCGATGGAACCATCATAAAGACTCGCCAAAGAGCAAGAAAGTCGAGTGCGGGCTATGATCTGACAAGGACCTTCATCGGAAGCGAGGGAACCCTTGGCCTTATTACAGAAGCAACACTGAAATTAGCAGTCAAGCCTCCCTGTGAAGCCGTGGCTGTGTGTACATTTCCCACTCTACGCGATGCGGCATCTGCAGTGAGGGAAGTACTATCTCAGGGCATTCAAGTCGCTGCTGTTGAGATCCTGGATGAAGTACAGATGAGAAGCATCAACGAGTCTGCTTTGACTAGACTTAAGTGGAAGGAGGAGCCTACTCTCTTCTTCAAATTCACTGGTAGTGATGAGTTCATCGTGCAACATCTTGCCAAACAGGTTGGGCATATTACGAAACGCAATCGCAGTACGGCGTACACCTTTGCTTCCGATGAGAAAGAGCGAGAAGAGCTATGGTCTGCAAGGAAGAATGCGCTTTGGAGCATGCTTGCGATGAGAAAGTCGCCTACCGACAAAGTTTGGACAACTGATGTTGCTGTTCCTTTGAGTAGACTACCAGATATCATCGAGTTTGCCAAAGATGATATCGAAAAGTCAGGATTACTCGGCTCCGTCGTCGGTCACGTAGGGGACGGCAACTTTCACACCCTGTTGTTGTTCCCTGAGGATAAACGGCATGTTGCTGAGGATATTGTGCATAGAATGGTTGACAAGGCGATCGAGATGAATGGTACAGCGACGGGTGAGCATGGTGTTGGACTGGTCAAGAGAGATTACCTGGAGAAGGAACTTGGCAAGGGAGCTGTTGACACAATGCGAGCGGTAAGTCTTCCCACAATTCATTGCTTAAGGAGTCTAACTTGTGATGTGATCTGCAGATGAAGAACGCGTTTGATCCAAAGTGCTTGTTAAATTGCGATAAGGTAATCCGCATGCAAGCAGCGTGATCTATGAAAGCTCGACTGAGGACCTCATATCATCATATATTTGCCACACGTTGCCACACTGGGATCGCGCGCCTTTAACCTCTCCCGTATGTTTCTTCAGAAGTGGCTTGAACGCTACTGTCTTGTTTTCAGCTCATCCATAAACTAGTAAACCTTTCCAATCAGCCGGGCTCAGGGATAGAACAACATAGGTAGCTATCTTTCTATACTATAATCTCGCATTATAACTTTGCCCCCTAATGAGCGAACTTGGATTGGGCTCTCTCCATTAATCAGAGTGAGACTTCTCAAAACTATCATCATGAACCACGGAAGAACTGGTAATTCTTTTTGTCTCTTTGGATAATATGGAGATTACAGCAATGTTCCAAGGTGGTGGTGCTGACAATGCGATTGTGATACGTCAACAGATTGCTCCATAACTTGGAGGTCAGAGTTTTGTGCGATCAAGCAGGTGTCGGCAGAATACGGACGCTTGAGCTGCTGTCTTTTCTTTTGTCGAATATTGGTGCATGAAGTTCGCCGTCACAACCGGGTCTTTAACCTAGCCGTATAAAGATAATCATCATAGACTTCAGCTTTCAGCCAATATCAGCCTATGTCAAAGTGACCCCCTTCTACTGGGGGTGACAAGTCATGTGTAAATGATCTGATGTATCCGACAGCCACATCATAGAGTGAGTTCTGAGATAAACTGACCTAAACAATAACATAGCACGAATATAGAAGCCGGAGGCCCATCCTCCGTACGTGTTATTTAGCCGCCAGGAACAGCTGTTATAGAAACTCACTAGGTCCCATTAGTAGAGCTAAGACGGCAAATATGGTTTTGCGGGGATGTGGGGAAGCGGAGGTGGATGTTTATGATTAGGCTGTTGTTCGTATTTATTTGGATCGGTCTACCTTATTCGTGACTTTTAATTCAGGGGAGCTCGGATCATGCGTCATACGGCTATTCACTTCGAATATTCCAAACCACGTGTAATTGAAACGAAACTAAGTTGACCTAAGAAAGGCGGTGTCTTGACTGCACTACGCAAGTTTTTAGGTAGACATGTGTATCACGCTCAATTGAGAGTATTGTATCTCTATGTACACAAACGTCAAGACGGAGGATTAGAGCCATTGCTTCTAAACTCAGGAACCAAGTTTCTCTGATTCACCGCACTTATCCAAGGACGAGGCTGGTAACCTTTCATCATGCAAATGTAAACAAGCTTTGAGCCTCGTGACAGGGCCTCGCCAAGCCGGCTAATACCCCTGGCCTTAGCCAACATTGTTGAGAAGTACCGGAACGCATGAAACCGCCAAGTGGCATGCATTTAACCGGCCGATATTAACAATTTGCCACGACTTCAGCTTTCAGAATTTGATATAAGATGGATCACTAGACCTCGATAATGTGTTTCGATCCAACTCAAGCAATTCTGAGATTCACTCCCTGATTACTCGAACCGGTTGCGAAGATGCGTTTCAGCTTCCTGCCCACACTTGCCCTGGCCGGCTTGGCCGTTGCCAACCCTGTTCCGTAAGTGATATCCCTTGGCCAATAACACAAATATCAGGTTTTGCTAACCTGATGCAGTGATGTCGAAGCACGACAGGCTACTGGGCTTCAGGCCGCTATGAAGGCTGCTGGCAAGCAGTACTTCGGTACAGCTCTCACCGTTCGCAGTGACAACCAAGAAACCAACATTCTCAACAACAAGAATGAGTTTGGATCCATCACCCCTGAGAACGCCATGAAGTGGGAGGCCATCCAGCCCAACCGCGGCCAGTTCAACTGGGGCCCTGCTGATCAGCACGCCAATGCTGCCACCTCGCGAGGCTACGAACTCCGCTGCCACACCTTGGTCTGGCACAGCCAGCTGCCCAGCTGGGTTGCTAACGGAAACTGGAACAACCAGACCCTGCAGGCCGTCATGAAGGATCACATCAACGCCGTCATGGGACGGTACAAGGGGAAGTGCACCCATTGGGACGTTGTTAACGAGGGTATGTCTAGCTCATACACGTTTTGGTCATATGGAAAAACTAACTGAATTGCCAGCTCTGAACGAGGATGGAACTTACCGTGATAGCGTGTTCTTCCGCGTCATTGGCGAGGCATACATCCCCATCGCCTTCCGCATGGCCTTGGCTGCAGACCCCAAGACCAAGCTCTACTACAACGACTACAACCTCGAGTATGGCACTGCCAAGGCCAAGGGTGCCATCCGCATCACCAAGCTTATCCAGTCTTACGGCCTTCGCATCGACGGTGTTGGTCTCCAGGCCCACATGACCAGCGAGAGCACCCCTACTCAGGACACCCCTACTCCTTCGCGCGCCCAGCTTGCCTCTGTCCTCAAGAGTTTCACCGATTTGAACGTGGACGTCGCCTACACTGAGCTGGATATCCGCATGAACACCCCTGCCAACGCACAGAAACTCAAGACCAACGCCGATGCCTACGCCAGGATGATCGGCTCGTGTATGGACGTCAAGCGATGTGTTGGTATCACTGTCTGGGTAAGTTCGCAAGTACAATTCTTACTTGAATTTCACTAACGCATTATAGGGAATTTCCGATAAGTATTCTTGGGTCCCAGGAACGTTCAAGGGTGAAGGTTCCGCTCTGTTGTGGGATGACAACTTCAACAAGAAGCCATCTTACACTTCTTCCTTGAACACTATCAATGCCCGATAGATTCTTCGCAGGAAGGACTAGCTAGGCTTTTATGAAGTATGGTTTCGGAATGGCAGCACCTATCAGGTTTCCATTTCTGATGCTAATATTTTGTATCTACGGTTGCTACCTTTTCTGTACTTATTCTAGTATATATGTTACACTGATCACTGTGGCTTCGTCACAAATCGGAACAAAGAACCTTTACGAAAGTTTCCGCGAACATCGAGATTTCCGTGTTTACATAGAGGTAGTCCAGGGTGCCAATAGAGAAAGGCTAACTAAGGTAGACTTTCGCTGTGAATTAGAGTCTCGTTAATGTACGGGATATTTCTCTCAGCTATCTTCACTGCAGATAAGTCAACGAAATTTGTATATCACTTTGATGTTACTATACGTTTTGTTAAGTCCTATAGAGCACTGTCAGCCGCTTCCATTATTACTATTGGGATTAAACTCATACCAATTACCATGCATACAACGCGAGCCAGGATAGTCTACTACGATAGGCGAAAAAATTAATACGACATGACTGTATCCGTAGAATGAAACTATCTACTAATGCCCTCACAGGGACGTATCCATAAAAGTTCCGACAACGAGTTGACGAGGATGTATGATAAAATAGACCCTAGCAGGTGATTCTTATAGGGGCTTTTCAACCCATTGGGAAATAGAGTTACGGCAGCTAATATGGCGGGTAACCTTATTGAATTTGAGATATTATTGCTTGTCGGTCTATATAGAGAGACCTCTATTATTTGTATTTTTATACATTCTATTAAGATGGCCAGATGTCTTTTTAAAGGTAATACTAGACTTCATAACAACATTAGAACAAATAAGTAAACAGAACTATGGTGGGAAAACTGAGATAGAATTATACATAATTTCAAAAAATAATAAGAACATGCTATTACTTTACATCGTGTTAAATTATTTTACATAAAATCTAGGATGGTGCGGTTTATTAGAACTTCCATACATTTACTGCATACTTGTCGCTGGCAATGGTTGATGAATTTCAGGCCCCGAACGAGTTGAGAAACCCTTTCTAGAGAGGTATAAGGAAAGCCCATTTCTTCACATCAACCCTTTAACGAAATCACATCAAAATACATAAGTCAAAATCACATCACTATAACCTCTATAGCGATTATAGGCGTCTTCGTCTGAGGGCGTACAGGGTAACCAGCCCACTTCTGGCTGTGCTTTAATAAAATATATACCACCAAAAAGCCAATAGTTGGGTTGCCCCATAGATAATACAGTGTTTTAGCACAATTAGAGGCATTATGCACAACGGTGTTCATAGATTGCACTTTGCCACGACCCTGCATATATCCAGCTTGGAAACAGTACATGTGGTAACGATAGCTGCATATTTCCATCTATCATCCCCAGTCTCTATCAGGAACAATCTAGCCGCCTCAATTAATATCTTTGTGGACCATAGTAAGCTTTACTTGGTACGCTTTTGTGAAGCCTGAAAGGCTAGTCGTTGGATGAGCCGGGGACCAGAAGTGGCTCCCCATATGTGTAGGAATTGCGACGGCTATAATTACTTATCATAGGTATCTGGTGCTTCATCAGCAATATCAAATCAAACGCTCCGTACAAGATCCTCCCAACCTTTACCGCGATTGCCACATGTGTGTTTGCCCTGGCCAACTAATTGGTTATCCGGGCTTTCCGTCAGGATTATCCTTACCTTTTTTTCTGGCGCTTTTCCAAATGGCTCGCAAGATGGGAACCCATTGATATGGTCTAGCCTATAATGGCATAATCCTGACATGCATTAGTGCTGTCGGATATGAGCTGTTTTCGAACTGTCACCGGTGTATATGCGGGACTAGCATGGAGTTGTTGTCGCGTGGGTTGATAGTTGAACTCAAATTCTCACTAAAATATCATAAGATGTCTAGTTTGCATAAGCAGCCCATGACTACAGGGGCTCACCCTTGGATAGTGGCATTGATCCAGCGCAGAGTCGGGCGTCGAAAGTGCCGATCTCGTAATGATCCTTCTGAATGGATGGAATTTGCGGGATATAAGCCCTGTAATGGTCATGGTAGTGGCACAGGTGGAGTCCAAAATTAGGACAGGGTTGCTAATCTATCCCTGACCAGCGCCACAAGACGGCTCGCACTGACATCCGTCGATGAACCCTTCAAACCGTGGAGCTGGTGGACCAAGACAGTCATGTACGAACCAATTATGACATTGGATAGTACCGAGGATCTGGTAATGGAATCCACAGCTGACGCAACTCGATTCCCTGCATTCCTTTCCGCATGGCCTGAGCCTGCTTGCATCGTTCAACGGGAACGGGAAGAAGGGAAGACAGTGGGTTTATTCGAAACAATTTAGACTCTCGGGAAGTCCGCTTTGACCAGGCCTCAAGTTCAAGAAAGTTCCAAGGTATAAGTATGTTGGTCGCCGTGTATGCACTCATACGCTGGGCGGAAAGCCAGGGTCGAATTGGCAGGCAGCACCACCTTGGACCAACATAACGTAGTACATCCTACGGCGCACCAGGATCAGACTAACTCCACCGACTTCTTAGAGCCAACATCTCATTGCATCGGTACTGGGGACATGCACATAAGTCGCCTCATGATGTGTCTGGTACTGCATAATCAGTGGGGTAGGCTGAGAGCGCAGTCTACCAGGTAGCCGGCGCATGCGCAGATACGGTGTGTTTGTCCGGTGATGCAGTTCATGTGTGTTGGTCCAGCGTATCGAGGTAATTGATTCTCACTCATGAGATATGATTATATATCTCCACATCTCTGGCATAGTAATCCCCGATCCATATTCCCCCGTGTGCCTGTTTTCTGGAGTTATACTGCTCCCAGAAACGAGCCTTTGATTGTCGATTTTTGTTTCACACCAACTTTTAAGAATGCCTTCGCAAGTCTCACAATGGCGGGAGCCAATCGCCATCATAAGCATGGCCTGCCGCCTCCCAGGCGGTATCGATAAACCAGCAGACCTATGGGATCACGTCCGAGCAGGCCGGTCGTCCGCCACGGCCATACCAAAAGATCGGTTCAATGCCGAGAACTTCCTATCCATGGATCCTAATCAGAAAGGTGCCCAAGCGTTCAGAGGCGCGCATTTCGTCCAGAGTGATATTAAACAGTTCGATCACAAATTCTTCGGTATAAGCAAAGACACGGCAACAGCTATGGACCCTCAGCAGAAGCAGCTGCTAGAGGTTGTCTATGAATGCCTCGAGTCTGCCAATATTCCTATGGAGAAGATTTCCAGCTCCAAGATCGGTTGTTATTGCGCCATGTTTGTGAGTGATTATCACGACATGCTGATGCAAGACCCGGAGTATCTTCCAACATTTATTGCGATTGGTACGACACGTACTATGCTTGCGAACCGAATCAGCCATGCACTCGATCTTGGCGGTCCTAGGTACGTTGCGACTGATCAAAGTCCCTTTTCAGACTTGTGCCACGTGTGTACTGTTTTTGAGTTTGAGCTGACACGTCACATGCAGTGTAACCATAGACACAGCCTGTTCCGGTGCCCTGGTCGCCCTGCACCTTGCCTGCCAAGCGCTGCAAGCTGGCGAGTGTGATGGTGCTGTGATTGGTGCATCCAACCTCTTTCTGAGTCCTGATTATGCATTATCCTTGACTCGTCTGGGTGCCATTGCTGCAGACGGCCAGTGTAAGACATTTGATGCAAGTGCAAATGGTTATGGAAGAGGTGAAGGAACCAATGCAGTCTACGTGAAGAGGCTTAGCGATGCCATCAGAGATGGAGACAGCATTCGAGCCGTCATCAGAGGTACATCCTCCAACAGGTAAGGCTTTCCTTTTGCTAGTTTTACACTCGTCGAATCAGCTAACAACTCCAGCTCTGGTGCGACGCCAGCAATCACAGAACCATCCGGACGAGCTCAAGCAGATACCATTTTGCAAGCTTATGCCCAAGCAGGAATTGATGACTTCAGTGAGACAGGATACTTCGAGTGTCACGGAACAGGTACACCAGTCGGCGACTGTATTGAGTTAGGAGCCGTAGGTTCCGTCTTTTCTGACAGTCACAAATCTCAAGATGCGCTGTGGGTTGGGTCCGTAAGTATACCAGGAGAATGTGTTTGGATCAAAGTATCACGCACTAACAAGCAAACAGACGAAACCAAATGTCGGACATTCAGAGGCAGCTAGTGGCTTGAGCAGTCTCATCAAAGTTGTTATGGCTCTAGAAAAGGGAGAAATCCCACCTAACACAAATTACAAGACACCCAATCCAAAAAGTACAGTGTTCATCTTCCCGCCAATATTGTTTCTTACTAACAAGGATTCCTCTAGTTGACTTCGACGGATGGAGAGTGCGTGTTCCTACCAGCCCACATCCTTGGCCTTCGAAATCATTGCGCCGAGCAAGCGTTAACTCCCTTGGAATCGGTGGCTCTACTGCCCATGCTGTTGTTGAGTTCTACGAGCCGAAGAAGATCACCAATGGAGTCACCAACGGAGCCAATGGCCTCAACGGTGTGAATGGCGTCAATGGCACTAATGGCGTCGATGGCACCGATGATGTTAATGGCATCCATAAAATCAATGGTACTGATGGTGCCCATCATGTCAACGGAGTTAATGGTTCCAACGCCATTGATGATGCCCAAGAAGTCAAAGGCACCACCGACGACAAAACCGTCAATGGCTCTCGTGAGACAGAGCAGCAAGCTGAAAAAGCCCCGTTCCTTGTCTTCACGTCAGGCGCCTCTCGCGACTCCCGGGACAAAAATACCCTCAACCTTCTAGAGTTTCTCAAGAGCCACAATGAGTGCCGCACCTTAACAGGTCCTCTCATTGCAGCGCTAAATGCTCGAAGCAATATCCACATCCGGCCATGGAAGTCCTTCGCTGTAGCGCAATCGGTCGATGATCTGATACAGCAGTTGGAGAACAAGGCGCTGAAGTCGAACCAAGCACCTCGCAATGGTGGTGTACCTCAAATCTTGTTCACTTTCACAGGCCAAGGAGCTATGTGGTCTCAGATGGGAAAGCGTCTGCTTGAGGCATTCCCCGTGGCCCGCAACACCTTGTATGAGCTTGATCAAGTCATCAAAGAACTTCAATTGTCCAAGACACCGGCTTGGTCTCTAATAGGTACGTTTGACCTGCCGACAGTGCAACAGCTCCCTAATAGTTACTAACTTCTGTGCAGACAAGCTCAGTCTCGAAATGTCACAAGAAGAGGTCGATTCGCCAACACTCGCCCACCCTCTTTCTTTGGCGGTCCAGATCGCGTTGGTGGATGTTCTTTCAAGCTGGGGAGTGCTTCCAGATGGCGTCGTTGGTCATTCAGGAGGAGAGACGGCCGCTGCATACGCCTCCGGTGCTCTTACTGCCAAGGAAGCCATCACTGTGGGGTACTACCGAGGCATAGCCTGCGAGAATGCACCAGTGGGCTCCATGTTGGCTGTCAGGAGTGCACCCGATGCGAAGGAGTTGCAGGATGCCCTGGAGCGACACCATGTGCAGATTGCATGCTTCAATGGCCCTCAGAACCTGACTCTCGCAGGATCTGTTGAGGGTATCAAGAACCTTGCCGAAGAGCTCGGTAGCAAAGGCATTGTCAACAGGGCCGTTGCTGTGACTCGAGCATACCATACCGAGGCCATGAAAAAGGTGGTATACGAGTATGTCGGCCATCTGCAGGGCGCACTTCAACCCAAGACTGGACGGGTTCCAATGTACTCTTCTGTCTACGGCGTTGCGCTCACTGGCACCGAGGTTGGTGCTGACTACTGGGGAGCAAACCTTGTGTCTCCAGTCCGTTATACCGATGCAGTAACATTAGCCTTGACTCACACAGACCGCAAGTTTGATCTGTGTGTCGAGCTTGGTCCTCATTCGTTACTTTCTCGTCCTACCTCCGAGATTGTCAAGTCTCTGCCTGACTCTACCCAACTGCCCTACTTCTCTACTATGCTCCGAAATGTGGACTCGAGTCAACAGTTGATGAGTCTTGCCGGAGACTTGGCTCTGAACGGAAAGCACCTGGACTTGGACCGAGTCAACACGGCCAGCTCTGATCCCGCAAGCAAGTCCACACGTCTTCCCAATCACATTCAGGACAATCTTCCTGCTTATGCCTGGGACTATTCCTCAACGCCATGGACTGAACCGCGAAACAGCCAGGAATGGCGATTCCGAAAATCACCCAGACATGAGATTCTAGGTTCGCGTTGTCGAGGAGTGAATCCGTCAGCTCCCACATGGAGAAACAAGGTCTCCATCGAAGATGCGCCTTGGCTTGTTGATCATCAGGTATGAGGAGACCAATCTCTGCTCTAGAACTCGCTAACTCTTCACAGGTGAATGGTATTGTGACATTGTCCTTCACTACCGGAATCGCAATGGTGGTGGAAGCCATGATGCAAGTACAGGAAGAGACCAAAGAGATTGATTGGGCGAACCATTCATTCGAACTTGAAGACTTTGTCTTTTCCAATTCCATCATTCTTCCTGATGAATCTCCCATCGACCTCTTCCTCACATTGATCCCGAAGAGCGACAATGTCAGGTCCGACAAGACTTGGTATGACTTTACCATCTCATCACTACGCGGCGATGTCGATATCCGCCATTGCCACGGCAAGGCTGCTGTCATAGAAAGTAAGTAATAAGCAATCAGCATATAGTAGTCCAAGCTAACGATACGCAGTAGGCGATGGCGATGTCGCTACTCTGCGCAGGACCTCTTGGCATCACATGCCTCTCAAGGTTCCGTTGAAGAGCTACTACAAGACTCTGGAAAGAGTTGGCTATGGCTACGGTCCCAAGTTCCAGCTCCTTTCTGAAGTCAGAGTCCGCCCAAACCTTTCGGCCTGCTCTGCCAAGATCGACATGACCTCGGTTACCCAGTCTCCCATTCGCGGCCAGCGGTATCTCTTGCACCCAGCAATGATGGATGCGGCCTTGCAAACACCTGCATTGGCTAACCGCTCTGGTCACTTCCAAGAGATCGACACGTTGCTGCTTCCATCCCGTATGAAGAGAATCTCAATCCGCATGCCCGCCGCAAACACAGAGATCGCATCTTGCGCCACCAACACATCGCCTGTAGGCTTCAGCCGCATTGAAGGAAGTGTTGAGTGCTACGATTCATCTTCTAAGCCTTTCTTTGTCGTGGAAGGGCTGCAGATGGACAGGGCCACGGGTGATGACCAGGCTACTCTGCCCTGGCTGAGATTGATGTGGCGACCTGACATTGGCGACATCTCGAATAATGATCCTATGCTCAATTCCATCCAGATCAAGAGTCTTCCAGCTGAGAAGAAGCTTGTCAATCTTGAGAACTTGGTCAAAGATCTGATTCCAGTCATAATCAAGAACGGCATTGACAAGGGCGAAGGGTTGGCTCCTCACTTGCAGATGTACCGTTCGTGGTTGTTTGAACAGGCTGAGCTGTATAAAGAAAGACTATCGGCCCATCACAAGCTGGAGAATCGATCTTCCAATGTGAATGATGCTATATTAAGCGTTGTCTCAGACTCAGGAATCTCTCAAACTGTCGATGCCTCCATTGTATCCCAGCTCGCCGCCAACATGGGAAGAATCTTCCGTGGAGAGGTGGAAGCATTGGCAGTTTGGCTGGAGAACGATTTGCTGTACAGGTTCTACGAAGAGAGTATCTTCACAACGAGCATGAATCAGAAGCTCCGTTCCGTAGCCGAACTCCTGGCACATAAGAACCCCAACATGAAGATCCTCGAGATCGGAGCTGGAACTGGCGGTGCCACAACAGAACTGCTGCGTGGTTTCTCCAAGGCCGGTGGATCGAACGCATACCAATCCTTTACCTTTACAGACATCTCGGCTGGTTTCTTCGACAAGGCCAAGAAGAAGTTTGCACAATGGGACCGCATCGAGTTCAAGACTCTCGATGTTGAGAAGGACTTTTCTGAGCAGGGCTTTACTGAGAAGTACGACCTTGTGGTTGCTGCCAACGTAGGTGCTGGGAAATCGTCACAGGTGCTATGATTTACTGACTTTATGTAGGTTCTGCACGCAACTGCCGACTTGAAGTTTGCGATGAAGAACATTCGCTCTCTGTTGCGCGACGATGGGTACCTCTTGGTTGGTGAACTGTCAGAGGGTAAGCACATGTTTCTGATGGAATTTGTCAAATAGCTAACACTCGAACTTCCAGACCTCACCTCTGCCAACTTCCTTTGGGTATGTATCATTCATTACCTCTTCATTTGCCTTCATTACTGACAAATTTGTAGGGACCCTTGACTGGTTGGTGGTTACGCCCTCGATCGCCCGGCCGCTCTGGACCTGGCCTCACCATGGACGAATGGCGCGGAGAGCTCGCCGAAGACTTCGACAGTGTTTCTGAGATCGAAGCCAGCCATGATAAGGATGATACTGATCAAATCTCAAGCACCATTGTGATGATGGCCAGGGCAAAGCCCGTGGACTATACTCTTCCTGAGCCACTGTCAAAAGAGAAGATCCATATCGCTGGAGTTGGTAGTGATTCATCAACTCGGGATCTAATTGGACAACACTTGGGCACGCGCGGTGTTTCCACAACATCTAGCACTTTGGAAGAGCTTTCGTCGCAGCAGTGGTCCGGAGATTGGCTCATCCTTGTAGACGAGGATGAAGGAAGTCTTCTTGCCTCTCTTCAGGAAGAGCAGTTGGAGGCACTGAAGGCGTCGCTAACTCGGCCCATCAATTGTATCTGGATTACTCGCAAGGTCTATCTGGATCCACAGAACACGACAGGAGGCCTGGTGACAGGCTTTGCGCGCACCCTTCGTATGGAAAATAGTCAGCTCGAGCTATACACGCTTGACTTGAGCAGCGAAGGCGAGACGATTGGCAACATCGTTTACCACGTCTTGGAACGCATTCATTACTCGCACGACGATCCCATTTCCAAATTGGACTACGAAGTGGCGGAAAAAGATGGCCAGCTCTGGACTTGCAGGCTTGTGCATGATCGTCGCCTGGAGGATGCCTTTGGTCCTGCGCAAAACATCGAGGCTCCTACGGAGCAGGTTGTGCAGAGCCCTCATCGCTTGATCGTGGGCGAGCCAGGAATCTTGGCTAGTCTTACCATGGCGCAAGATGACGAGTATGCAAACTTGCCTAAGGGGCATGTTCTTGTTGAGGTCAAGGCCGTTGGACTTGATGAACGGGTATGTATAAACGGCATTGCTTCACTCCCATTTCTAACTTTCGAACAGGACGGACGTATCGCACAAGGATCTCTCCCAGCGACAGAGTTTGGCCGCGAGTGCTCAGGCATCGTTACGAAGTGTGCTGCCGATGTCACCTCACTCAACCCCGGAGATCGCGTTGCTGTCATTGGGCAAGGGACTTTCAAGACACACTACTTGGCACCTACACAGTGCTGCAGGAAGATACCCGAATGGTTGTCATTCGAGGTAAGTAGAAGCTGTGGAATGTCGGAAAACACAACTAACACGATTTAGGACGCCTCGGCGATCCCTACGAGCTTCGTGACTGCATTGTACGCACTGACTACAGCTGCGCGAGTCGCGACAGGCCAGGTATGTGCAAGTCCAGCTAAATTCGGCTGGCTACTAACATGATATCAGAAGCTTCTCGTCATCAACGGCACATCGAAGCAAGGTATCGCTCTGATCAAAACCGCTGTGGCCCTGAAACTAGATGTCTACGCCACCATCAGTGACAAAAACAAGTCGGCTCTCACCAAACATGGAGTATCTCCATCCAAGATATTCGTGATCCCAACAGCCGTCAGCCACTCTAACACTTCCCGTGCAACTAACGGTCAAACTTTCAAGCTCGTGCTGAACACTCAGTACGGCCAATACGCGGAGTATTCTCATCTGATAGCGAACTGTGGAACATATATCGAGATCGGTTCAGGTGACGGCCAGGGCCTTGAGCCTTATGCGCGACCAAACAGGAACGTCATGCTTGCTTCTATTGACTTATCAGATGCTTATCATGATTCCAAGGAGGAGCTAGGAAGGTACGTGATGACACTTTCTATGTCCTCTCTTATAGCTAACGTCTCAACTCTATCAGACTGCTAGATCAAGTCATCAAGATGGTTGAGAAGCGAGAAATCAATCCCGACATGTTAGTTTCAGTTGCTCGACTTCACTCACTACACTCAGCTTTCTCAGCACTGTTGGAAAGCGACCATCCTAAACAAGTTGTATCTTTTACGACTGACAACAGTGACCAACTAATTAAGGTATGTGCTCTCAGTTATTCCAATACGTTTTATATCTAACATCCACTAGACACGACCGAAGACTGCTCGTTTCGACGGAAGCAAGACATACATCATCACAGGCGGTCTCGGTGGCTTAGGGCGTGCCATTGCAGTATGGATGGCTAGCTACGGCGCCCGACACCTCGTTCTGGCCACCAGCTCAGTCTCCAGGGCCTTGCAGTCTGATGGTCTCTTGCAACAATTGTCTTCATATGGTTGCACTGCCAGAGTTGAAATTTGTGATGTGGGCGATTTCGAAGCTGTCCAGCATCTTGTTTCTGCCATTGAGACTCCTGTCGGTGGAGTTATTCACTCAGCCTTGAAGCTAAGCGTAAGTCCACTTCTGAATAATGACATGAGTTCGCTTCTAATTGCTTTATCTAGGACCAATTCTTCAAAGATAGCACCTTGGAAGACTTTGAGGCGGTGTTTGGACCCAAAGTCAACGGCGCACTGAATCTCCATTCGTGTCTTCTCGATCAGAAACTCGACTTCTTCGTCATGCTCAGTTCAGGATGCGGAATCTTGGGTAACGAAGGCCAGTCGAACTATGCCGCCAGCAGCACTTTCCTTGACACCTTTGCTCGATATCGTCAAGGCCTCGGACTTCCGGCCTCATCCGTCGACCTTGGATTTGTCGAGGATGTCGGAAACATCAGCGACCGCCCAGAAATCCAGGCCTCTCTGCTGTCTCGTGGACTCCGCCCCATCACTGTACGAGATGTTCTTCGTGTGGTAGAGGGGGCTATTGTGACTGGCTCTCCTCGGCCAAAGATCACTGGAGACTCTTACGATTACTTTGCACAAAGTCAAATCGTGCTCGGCTTTGGCATGATCGACAAGGCGACAGCAGAATGGCAGTCATGGGCCAAGGATACTAAATTTGGAATGTTGCGATCCAGGGCTACTGATAATGCGGCAGCTGATGCCGACTCTGACAGTGGCGAGAGCGCAGTTCAGACAGCGGTCAAGGCCTTCCGAAACACTTTAGGGCGATTGGGTGATGCCTCTGAGGGTAAAGAGGCAGCTTTGCAGCCCGTTATCTGCTCTGCTCTTGTTGCCAAGTTGGCACAGGTACTGTCAATGAAGGTTGGCGAGATTCAGCCGACGAGATCAGCAGTTCAGTATGGTATGGACTCACTTATTGCCATTGAGGTTAGGTCATGGGCCAGATACGCGTTCCAGATTGATTTGCCTATCAATGACTTGACCAACCCTTATAGTATTCAGGATCTGGCAGCTAGGGTTTCGCGAATGATCCAATGAGGAGTTAAAGGGTCTACTGCAACTGTTGGAGTTTTCGATTGATCATGGACTATTTTTTGTTTGTTATTTGCTCTGCTTTACGTGTTGCTTTATTCACGATATGAGAAATACCAAATATATCCACTTGCTTTCATATATGAACCTTGCTTTGCTATGATACCGATACAGCTTTGCCTTTCTATTCTAAACACCGTGATCGTTGCTTGTCTGAACCCTATTCCCCGACTATCATAACTGAGAACCGCAAAAGAATGAATACGAGATCCCAAAACAAATCATTCTCTCGCATCAAATAGTCTCCTTTAGAAACTCCATTTTTCTTGCCTATAACTTCAAGTATTCGCGGGTGCTTGGAAAAGGCACCATGATATCTTATTTACCTCTCCCGCGGATATTTCTGCATCCAACTCACAGCCAATACAGAGATCAAGCTCTCGCCTTTTGTTTCAAGTATACATATGCATTTGCTGCTGCTGGTCTTCTTACTCAATTCTATCTCAAGACTGACTTATCCAGAGGTGATCCTGTAGATAATGTTGAGAATGTGGCCAGTCCGATCAAAGGACCTGCTTTACTGACGAAGCAGAAACTTCGGACACTGAGGCTGAGGGCGATTTCGACAATACGGAAGAATCATCCAACGGCTTTTGGGCACAAAACGTTATTCTGCGTCGCAATGATAAGTATATAAGTCTTTACCGAACACATGTCTCTTAAATGCAAGGGCAAAACGGCACTTACAGTGTCATGAAGGAATGGTATTGTGTGTTACCAATCTCTGCTCGCACTTCGTTAAGAAACTGCTTGACTTGTTCCGGACTCCAGCCCAAGCCTGCGGTGAAAACAGGCATTGTCAACGGCTCGAGAATAAGCAGCCAGTTCTGCGTCATGAGATGACCTATGCGCTGTAACTTCTTCCCGGGATAGCACGCATTTGTCGGCGCGCCGTTTCTCGTCTCGATGATACGCTCAAAGCCTACTTCCTGTAGGAACGGCTTGAACTGATTTGGGTATTTGAGTGTGGTGCCGAAACTGCGCATGCCTTGCTCCAGAAGATCGTTCCATCTACGAAATGCGGTGCCTTTTAATGAGTGGTTCGGTGACTGTATAAGTGCGATCCATTCCGTGAACTCGACCCATCCACCTGGCTTGAGGTTGTCGTATGCCGATTGGATTAGAGCCTTTTTATCCGCGATATCGCCAAGTTGTCTCACGTGGATGAAATCGAATTTACCGCCGTCGGCGAAGTCCCATTCATGAGTGATGTCCTTTGTCATGAAGCTACAGTTAGGTCTGCTGTAAGCGGGCTTGACCGGCTCGATGTCCACGCCTAGCACGGAACATTTAGGATGCTTCTGGGCTATCAAGAGTTGTTAGTCTGAATTGTACTAAGGGTATGAGTAAGTAAAAAGGCTTACCGAATTCCTGATAGCAGAAAACAACACATGTTAGTGGCGGATACAATCTATTGCGTGAATACATATTGGCAACTTACCAAGGCCCATGTTCCTGGTCCTGTGCCGACATCGAGAACCCTCTTCGGTCTTGATGTGATAGGTGATAAGTGAAGGTGGCCTTCAAAGACGTAAATTATAACTGTATGTTGAATAACTGGTGCAGTCTGTCAGCACACTCATCATCTAAGAGCCTATGGGACTGTATCCATACCATTTCTATCTTGTTCTTGCTGTAACAAAACGGTATTAGCACGTCGTACATGCCAACGAGAAGAATTACAGGACGGAAACAAACCTGGTTATTTGGTACTAATCCGTAGCCTATATGTAGTTTGTTTAGCTCATGGACGACAATTGGCTATCAGAACCGAAATCGGGAGAGAGACTGACGAACTGAAGATTTATTAAATTTCTTGACAAAGGACTGGAAGAATCGTTTTGAGCGTGACGCAGTACTAGGTTTGGCTTTTGTGAAGCTCCTTATCAAGTCAGTACAAGTAGATAAAAGAGCCATCGACAATATTGATCCACTTTCAACCGATCCCAAGTTGAAGGCAGCACAACGGGCAGTTCGTACCTTTCCAAAAGCTTATAGTTGCTCATATACTCGGCTGATGAATCAGAGGACTCGTCTAGATTCTCCCTGGAACTCTCTTTTGATCGTGAGCTAGCCGGTTGCTCGAAACTATGCTCATCCTGTTTCCAGTAGTCAGTCAGTCAAGCCTAATCCGGATACCCAAACACCAAATTCTCACATCATCAGCCCTCACCCTTGCAACCGCTGCCGGGGAAAGAGTCTGGCGTTCCCATCCTCCTGAGCGCCGGCTCGCGGGTGTGCCGGGAACACCCCCTGTCTGGTGTTGGCTGCCACTGGACACGCTAGAGGCATAGTTTGATGATGACGAGGCGGTGAGTGTGGCCAGCGAGCTCTGAGCAGGGGCCCTTGTCGCGGCTGAGGAGGGTTGGGGGTCCATTGACCCACCACCGTCTCGCGTTGAACTCGAGTCACGCCCACTTGTTGCGTAAGACATTTGTGTCTTGGTTGCTTGCTGGTGCTGGTGCTGGTGCTGCTGGTAGCCTGGTGCTTGCTGGCTGTTGCGCGGGCCGCGCCGAGGCCTACTCTTTTCTGTTCGTCTCTCCCTATTTTAGTTTGACGTTTTGGATGCGTTATTTTCGAGAGTTTGAGCAAATGAACTAAAAAGAAAGAGGGGATTGAAAGAAAAAGACGTGACAATGAATGGACTAGTCGGAGGAGTGTCGAGTATTGTCAGCTACTTGCTCCTTGCTCAGCTCTTCACCTGCTGAGGGAATTTCGTCGTGGTTCTCACGTGTGTGAAGTGAACCAAAAAATCATCGAGCCAATGGGTTGGAAACGCTCTGGATGGGGTCATGGTCGTGTTGCTCTTCTTAAAGTGCCGTTGGGCACTCACGGCATTTCACCCCCATCCTTATTGTTTTTTTCTGTCTCTCCCTGATCATCAAACTCTAGCCTCGTCAGGTTAGTCTCGGACCGTTGAGGCTTCTCCTCTAATGCGCGTTTAGAGTTTGTCACACTGTTTGACTACAGAAGCCTGCCCCTGCTAGCCTGATACGAAAGTGGCATTAATATCCCTGACTGTCACGGAATACCAGGAATTGAGAGCTTTCCGCTCTCTGATCATTGCCCTACGAGCCTTGGAACGCCTGAGTGATGTTGTGTTTCAATTTAAATGGATTTGCTAGTGTCACAATGAAAGTCTTCGTGCCTGTTTGAACAATTAAAATGTTTCGGTTTGACCGGTGCGACGAACAGGGTGGCCCACTATTGTCTCCATTTCACGAGATATTTTTGTTTTACTGCGACTGTATCCGTAATATCACATCATGTTTCTTCCTTTTCATTACTCGTATGTTATTAAATTCACTGTTAAACCCGGTCTACTATTGTTCAGTTCTGGTTCAAACACAGAAAGCACGTGCTGCGTTGTGCCATATTGTTGAGTTAGCCAGTTACATTTGTACTTTTATGAACTTCTTCACCTCAGCGTTAATCTCACGAAACCGATGTGCACTAGTTTGCGTGTTTTCGTCCTACCCACTATATTTGCTTTTGTCACTAAATCCTGAATTCTCAGGTCACATGTTCGCTTTATTATGTAGACCCATACTCCGGACTTCGCATGGTGCGGAAATAGGAGATCCTATCTATTAATCAGCATCTTAAACCTACCCTAAACTTGAGTTCATTTGATACTCACTCCGTTAGGTGCAATGTTTAAAGCCATATATCAATTTAATCAGAGTCTGCGAAATCAGAAAATTGGTTGTGCTATATACAGTTCCGTGCAGAGCTTCTAATAATGGGGCAATAGAAGATTATTAGGCCCCAGCAGGGGTTTTATGCCTTTGAGAGATAGAGTTATGGCTGGTATGGTGGGTAACCTCGTTGAATTTAAGAGACTGTTGCTTTTCGGTCTATACAGAGATATCTATTATTGATATTTCTGTAAGATTAATTGGGATAGCTAGATTTCTTTTATAAAGGTACTACTAGGTTTTTAAATAAAAATAGGAGATTATTATTTTAAAATAGGTAATATTAAATAGATCATTAGTTAAATACTTTATTTATAATTTAAGAGTAGTATAGTATATAATTATACAAATTAAGGAAATCTTTTAATAATTAGTATAATATTATATAACATCTAGAATAGAGGAAGTCAACGGAACCTTTGCACGCACATTGTACTTCTACAGCAATCTTAAGTCATACTACTTCTTTCGACAATGAGAACCCTCGCTTTTCGGGCCGCAGAACAAGGTCCCGAAAATCATGATAAGCATCTTAGATCCCTCCACTAACACTGATTAGGAAACGACGAGATGTGATCCTTGAGGAAGTCTGGAACAGTTGTCGCGGAACCACGCTGCTGCCAGCTAGATCCTCTGCAATCACACTCTCTCATATTGTGTCAGTGGACAAATCATCTGTATGGAGTGACGAGAAGTAGTCTTGCCGGAAGAAGGTTGTGCACTGGTTGTCATTTCTCCCAGAGCTTGCTTGATCGCCTTTGCCGCTAAAGTTCCCCATGAAACTATTAATTATCGAATACCCGGGGTCAAGAATACACAGTATGCAGCAGGCGCCATTTGTGTTTTGTATCTCTTTATGAGCATTACCATTATAGTTCGAATCGTTGAAGAGGGTAAATTCTCGAGCTTATTGCAATGAGCTGACAAGGGCTAAAGTGAAGAGAGTGATCTTCATCCCGGATAGGAAGATAATGGTTTTGCTAATTTAATTGAGTGACAATGCAATTGGTGACTAACGAAGGCAATCAGTCTGAGACGATAGCGCCAAAGAAACCCAATGAAATCAGCCCTTTTATACTCCTAAGCCCGTGCAGCGATAGACAACACATGCTAGAGGATGATGGATATTTGAGGCATGTCAAGTCTTACGAAATGCAGGTAAGCGATCCATCCGCTGCGCCGCTCTTAATAAGTAAGCATAATCCTACGAAGCCCTACCAGTATAGACAAGTTGGACATGGCGGATTCTGATCCACCTGGTCGCTATACACTAGCTTATCAGGGTTATCACCTATTGTCTGTATGTTTGGTCATAACAATTTCACAAGATCGTGACAAAAGGTGTTGATCTGCGAGTCACTTTCTAAACGAATGACATGGACCACAGCTCTGTCTGACAGCATAAAGTTTCAGCGGCGGCCGCTCAATCGAAGGCTGAGATATCAAGCTTGCTGTGGGAGAGCTCTAGGCAAACACGGGCTTAGGCTACATTGAGTGTCTCGTATGTAAACCTGTGAACTCTAGCTATGGTTTGTAGGGTATTTGAGCATAACATAGTCTGCATGTCCTCTATTCAAAGCTGGAAAGTAATAAAACCAAGAACAGGAAAGTCTCACTTCGCGCACCAGTTATAAGCCCCCGTGGAGAGCGTGTCATATAGTTCTTCAGGACTAACAACACGACACCGGTCCAAGAGACAGGCAATATTTTCTGGTAAGGGATTGGCAGTGAGGAACATTGGTAGAACCACAAGGTCTACTACTGCCATAAGACGATGAAGTAACGCCACTACCTGCGGTGTGACTTTTCGAATGACTATGGCGCCAGTGCTTTCCCCGCCAGTAGCAACACCTTGTGGAAATCTTGTGAAATTGAAGCCGATATTTCCGTTGTCGACTGTGTCCACGGTTGACCAGCCAAGTGCAGTTGGCGGTTTGGCGTTTGCCTCGCTCCCTAGTACCTTGATCGACTCCAACTTGAATTGAATATCGGTTGGGAGTGAATGAACGATATGTGTACCGGATTGGGAGAGTAACGGCTGGCAATGCCAATATAAATCTCTTCCACAGTGTCGGTTCCCCGACCATCCAAACGGAGTAGCGAACCATCAGTTCTCGAGTTGTCCTTGACTATGGTTGACATAGGAGCACGTGGCCACCAAATCATTTGTTTGACGATCGCTCGTCCCAAGGGTAAATCTCCTATGATTCTAATCCAGATTTTGTGCCTCGTCTCCACATGCTTGCCATCAATAGTAGTGCCTTCTTGGTATAGTGTTCCCGATTTGCCAAGGCAGAGCTTCTGCAACACGGCTTCAAGAACTTTCAGTAGGCAAGTCACCGTAGCCTTGTCTAATGGACGTCCTGTTGTCCTCAATTCAAGAGTGATGTTCAGATCATAGCACTTACGCGGCCGAAACTTGTCAATCTTGTTTCGTTCGTAAGCTGGTGTAGTGACTTTCGCAATTAACCAAGGAAGTGTGTCTTGCCATCATGAGAGGTAAAATGAAGTTGAATCGTTGAGATATACTTGTCAATCTCCACCGATAAGCCGAACTCAATCCCGATGGAAAATTTGAGATTTGCCTGATCCCAACTGTACCCCTCGTCATCGGCATATGTGATCCAGAAGAAATCGGTCCAAAACCTCCGACTTCTGACAGCAAGTTCTAAATATTCCGGCAAGCCCATACTGACAATACTGTGATCGTGTGTAGGAACAAGATGAATTTCCAGCCGCTGCTCAGAATGAAATTAACGTAACACTGATTCTTGGGCCTACGTGATGTCAGCAATACCAACTACTCATCCAATTAGGAGGTGGAAGCTACATACACTCTGGTATATCTCCACCTATTCTCGGGCTTAGAATATATATTTGCGGAAAATCAAGAGTAACTTTGTGTCTGGGGCTACTTATTACAGCTATGAAGGAAGAAATTGATCTGTGTCGCCTTAGACTAAGAAGGATGTCTTGGGAGAAAAACCAGCATCTCAAAGTCTTGAGATTAACACACAGATGATTGGATAACACACCTGATCCACGTGAACCACCTCTGGAAGCACAGTTTAGCAGTGAAACGGAATACAGACATAATAATTCATCGAGATACCAACTGGATAACTGAGGAGGAGGTAGGTTAGGGAATAGAGGTCAAGTGATAATATCAAGAGAGCGAGGAGGCATGAAATTATGGCAAAGGGGAAAACGATAGATATGAAACACACAACATACAACAGCTTTATTGTATCTAGGATTAGTAGTTCTACAATCAAAGTTTTTGTTCCAACAGTGTCGAATCATTAAATAACGAATAAATAATTTAATTATCTATCTACACCATACTCCTAGTATCATGCGTAAAAATCCCTATGTTAACTAACTCCGTCTGACTCGATGAAGATGTTCGATCATGTCCCTGAATCGACTTCATTTTATAGACCGCCTCATGCGCATGGACGGACTTATTGTTTATCGATTTTCCCTGATATCTTGACCTGGGGTCCGATCCTTGTGGAGGGTTGCTCGACCCGTTTTCGACAGAGCTCCTGAGCGTCGGGAAGGCCTTGCGGATAAGAATTCGGAGATCAGGCATGTAAACACACTATATACCAACATTGGTTTCGATTGAGGTCCAGTAAATCGTATCGAAACTATCCCCTGTGTTGATGTTAGTAACTGAAAGATTAGAGAACGACGGATGAACTTATATAGAGGGTTGGAAGACTTGCCAAAGGCTACTAGATACCGCAGTCGTATGATGCTGACAATAGTAATACTATATCGAGTTAGTAATAGAAGTATATAGGTAATCTGGTGGGACGTATAAGGTATTAATGATAAATATGTAGGCCACTGCTAGTTTTCTTTGCCACTTTATCTGAAGCTTGATAAGTTGGAATAGAGGAATGCCAAGTATCTAAAAGTCCATGATAATAGAAACTCCTGCGATGGCCTATCCGAGAGGGTTTACTCCTATGTAATGTCCCTTATGTAGTTTATCCTAACCTTGCCAGAAGAAGCTGATTGGCTGGCATTGCGTAATCGCCAAAATGTTGAAGGCCACCAGGCACACCACTGATAGACTAATGGTACCCCATAACAGTCTTCGGACATTGGGGACAGGGAAGATACGGAGGTAGAAGAGGGTGACGTAGATCTTTGTGATAAATACTTCGGTAGCGTAAATCGTTTGGCCGATGTAAAGGTACTGGGTTTTGTTAGAAGACATCATTTCCAAGCGAATAGTTTAATAAACCATGAGAAAAGTCGTAATGGTATCTGGACTGAATATCCATGTATCTCTTCCTAAACCATTTCCGGAAACTAGTATTTGTTGTCAGTCGCTTGATGAAACGCAGAGGTGATCGATCTTTGCTTACGGCCATAGATACAGGTAATTGTGTTGGTGAGAGTAAGCGCCTATGGAGGACATGGTCAGTTATTAGGTTCTTATAAATACTGTAGAAGGGTAACTCACAAAGTAGAAAGCGACGAGATAATCCTCTGGTCGGAACCTTTTCTCATATCGCAACTTCTCGAAGAACCGGAGGCCAACCATAATTCCCGTTACTACACACAAGACGACGGCCAGAACGTCGAACTGAGTATGTTTATCTCGCACGGGATACTTACAGGCCACTGAAGTCGCCTTCAACGTTGCTGTAACACTATTAGTAGATGTAGAGCAAACACCAACTGCTTGGAACTCACACAAAGCTTCCATTGGGAGGCAGTTGGCCTGGACACAGCTCTTGACCTGGGTCTGAAGCTTTGTGTCAGCGCAGAGACATTCTACATCCAGACCACAGGTAGAATTAGAGGCCAAGTAGAGGAGACAGTTTCCCTGTAACTAGTGTATTAGTATTGTGTAATTCTCAATGAGCTCATCGGAAGACCTACAGCGCATTGGGGGATCTGGCTGAGAAACTGCGTCGCATCGTAACAGAAGACCTGTGGTATGAGGCAAGCCCACGTCACCAACAACAACAACAGATTCATCCTATAGTCCCTATGTTCGCATGATGCGCAGTACCAACCAGGGTATTGAGCTCTTTTCCACCAATCTCAAAAGAGGTGACACCAGAGCCACAACGTCTACCCTTTAAAGGATGGCGATCATCAAACAAAAGAGAAAACAAATCAACCCCGCAAGGTTTTAAAATTCAACGCATGAACCAAGGACTCGGAGCAATGCGTCGCTGATGGGGTATTCTAGATCCGAGCAACGGGGACACGTACCTATGAGAGATGGCCTCCGTGATCGACACTGCCTGCCACGAGGCCAGCAGGGGACTTTATTGGCAGAACCCATCCCTTCGGAGGAAAACTAACTCTCGATAGTCTGCGGGGCCTCGGAATTGTTTGACATGAGCAATGAGCTACTGTAGATGCGCACGTTTTGCTCAAGGTTGGTGGGTGAGCTATGAGGTCAGGAGGTGGACTAAAACAAGTAGCACGAAATCTTGGTTTGAGCTGGGACAGTTTTTGGCGTGTTTTTCTTGACCTCAACGTGTTCGCAGTGGTTTTCTGTAACCCACTAGTCCACCTGCTGCTACACTACTGCTTATGAGCTGTCAAAGCGCAGCTCAGAGTAAATTGATGCCGCGCGAGTCATGGATCCACGTCTATCGCTAAACTGGATGTCAATGCTGAAGCCTGGCACTATACTGCACTGAGTCAGACCACGTGGAGATTATTCCCGTAGCTACTCCGTAGAGACCCAACTAACTCACTACGGTAGTTCAAAGAAACCTGTTCGGAGCAGTGCCGCCCCATACATTCCAAGGTGGCCCGACTTTTATTCCATACCATACTAGTATTTGTCAACGCGCTGGAGCCATTATTCCCATTGATTTACGGTGTTTGTACAGTATGATGGATTTCACAAACCTAAAAACAAGATTCAGGACCTGGACAAGATTTACTCAAGTGGATAGATCGGCACACCTTCAAGTCGTATCTTTTAGAAGCGCTGACTGCGGCGAAGCCTGATAAGTAATTTTCGCTCAAGTCTTACTATTCGCTGAACGCCACAGGTACTAGCGGTATCCTTAGAGGATGTCAAGAGCGCCTAGACTTTTCTGCTTCCAGCTCAGTCCCATTAGGACGTAATCTACTGGTGCGGGCTTAATTACAAAGCTGCTATTCGTAGTTTGGGTTAGTTCGACAAACGTACGACGTGGGAGATCGACGCCTTAGGTGGGGGGATCTAATCATTTCCCGTCCCGATCCTTCTCTTATGTTATAACTTATGAGTTAGTCTGTGGAATTCTTGGTAGAAGGGACGGAGACGGTTCTGAATGCCGAGGAATTGGTCACGCCAGAAATATGGCCGCTTTGGTGCGAGAACGCTGTATCAAAGGTAGCATCATGGTCCATTAGGGAGCTGTACTTTATCGGTCTTTGAGGGTCAAAATGCAACACCCCGCCGATCGAGTGCGCCATTTGGGCCGGAAATCGTACCGACACTTTTTGGACCTGTATCCATCGCAGCTAGTTATAAGTCTGCCTTGTCTGTTACCAGAGTGATCACGCTATCCAGCTGTCTCTATTCTTATCTGAGACATGGTTTGTTTTGCCAGACACATGGCTTGGGTGGTTGAAAAAAATCTATCCCTATCCGTGCTCCGCCTGAGAAGTCTCAGAATGAATATCCTGGTCTGTCCGCCTATGCTTCAACCACTGTATGATACTTTCTGGTCAATTGAACAGATCACCCTTTCAGCATTTTGCGCACTAACCTTTCCGTTACGGATCTGCCGATCGTCTGGATATCCCTTGGACAGTCGGTTAGTTGAGTTCTACGGCTAAGCACGTATACCGAGGTGATGGGAGACTAACGGCGGCAAAGGGAAGGGGCTAATGGCTCTGGGTACCCAGCAGGCAATTTAAGCCAGATAGCGAATGAGGGAACAATAAAAGTCCTTATATTCCTCATACGTTTTCCAGAAGATCCAGTCTTCATGACTTGTCTCCCATAGCCGAGGTTGAGATTTGTATCAAAACGTAATCCAGTGGTAATCAATTACCCGGCATTCCACGGTAGTTTGAGCCAACTGATCGTCAAGTTCCGCCATGATCTAGGTAGAGGCGAAATTATCAACGGGATTGATGTGGAATTACGGATGAAGGATAGTTTGATGATCGCCGTCGCCCCTGTGATCTACGGCCCGTCCATACGCTACTTGTGCCGATCTGGTAGTCTCGCCCGGCTTGGCGATCTCCGCCCCGGTTTCTGGAAAATTGAAAAAGGACCGACTTGTTAGCATTGTTTGAGCTGAAGTGAGGATAGGGCTGCTCAATGTCAAGCGGCCAAGGCGGTAGTTGCAGCATCGTGCGCAGAATGTGGCCCAGCCACTGGTTCGTGAGATGAAGTTGATTTATCGGAAACACTATGTAATACAGCCGACTAGCTTTAGTTCCATCCGGTTGAAGAGAAGAGGCGGTCTCGTAGTTTTGCCGTGTGATGGAGCACGTTGTCATTCTAGCGATACTTTGAGCAAAAGGTTAGACATTTGTTGTACTTCTTTTGATTTGCTTCCATTCTAATGCTTAGAAAATTTCGTCTGGCTACAGTTTCCAAGACACCTAGTGTCTCTAGAGTTTTAAGCGAGTTTAACACACACTTTTCATTTGGATGTCTTTTCAACCATAATAGAAAAACCTTTTGTAAATTTGCCTCATTCATACACATACATATACTCATGTATATATTGCATGTATTGGTAAGCTGCATCATATTCTCATTCTGGCCCTAAACTTCAAGTGGATTGAGGATCGTGTATTGTTATCAAATACCTACTATATCCAGTTGGTTAGTGATATTACTTACGTCGCAGCGTATTTCTTCAGTAGAAGGATGTGCCATAATTTCTTGTTTTATATTCTTTGAGTTATCCGTAATAGTTTATGTTGGACTGACCGAGGGTGTGCCCCTTTTTCGCCTTGTAACGGATCGAATGAATGACATCATTAAATACATTCTCTTCTTTTGCCAGTGCTTACCCTGAACCGCTGCTGGCCTCCACGCGTTGAGACTCTCATGTCCGCTACAGAGTGGTGAGTTCAGTCTGATCAGTTGCGTCATATGTTTCTCTTCCCACATTAATCAAATGCCAATGACTTAACACTCCAGACTTAGCTATATGAGTGGAAATACTCATTCGATTTCTACTAATTCCGTTAACCGCGATTACTGGCCGGAGTTAAGGTATGACAGTGATTGATGGTGGTCTGCTTTCTATGGTGCCGTAGTTGTTAGGATTCATGGACTTAAGATAAACTCCGCCGAGAACAACTCATAGAATCCTACCTTGTTCTATTGTTTCCGACAGCAATGAATCAGCTGGCAAGGAGCAGTAGCCTGTATCGTTATTATATATAGAGTTATAGACCGACGGAAATTAGATGGGTCAGTAATGTTTTAGCAACATAGTCTCATCCTGCATACCTATCGAAATCCATATCCCAGACCTCTTTTTTCACACCGCGATGTCTTTACCAGACTCTTCCCTAACCAATTGGCCTGATGTGGCTAGCTATGTCTCTACGCGCAAGGATACCTACCCCTTCATCGACCCCGCCACAGCCAACCTGGAAGGCAAGTCGGTCTTGATCACGGGCGCCTCAAAAGGTATTGGAAAAGCGACCGCAATTAGCTTCGCCATCGCGGGATGCTCTAAGATCCTTCTCGCTGCCCGTTCCGACATGGCAGATGTTGAGGTGGCTGTCAAAGAAGCTGCCAAAAAGGCGAACCGGCCCCTACCAGCTGTGCAATCCTTGAAGGTCGACATAACTTCAGAGGACTCAGTGCGAGAGGCAGCCGAAACGGCTGCAGGGATACTTGATGGTAGCTTGGACATCTTGATCAACAACGCCGGCAACTTGGAGAATTGGGTTCCTATCATTGAGTCCAAACCAAGCGAGTGGTGGCGGACTTGGGAGGTCAACATCAAGGGCACCTATCTCGCCACCCACTTTTTCCTACCTTTGTTACTAAAGTCGGAAACCAAGACGCTCATAAACGTTACCAGCGGCGGTGCCCACGCTCTGTTTCCTGGTGCATCAAGTTACCAGACCACCAAGTTTGCGCTCTGCCGCTTCACCGAGTTCATAGACAAGGAGTATGGCCAGCAAGGTGTAATTGCCATTGCTATTCATCCTGGTGCCGTCAAGACGGATCTTGCCACCAACATGCCTGCGGACAGGCAGAGCATCCTGACGGATTCACCTGAGTTGCCTGCCGATACGCTGGTTTGGCTCTCCCGTGAGCGGCGTGACTGGCTGTCGGGCCGATTCGGTTCTGTGAGTTGGGATATGGAGGAATTGGAGCAGAAGAAACAGGATATTCTTGAAAGAAATTTGTTCAAGTTTCGTGTATTAGTCTGAGTCTTGTTTTCGAGGGATGCAAACTCTGACAATTCTATGAACGGGTTGCGTCATACAACGAATTAATCCCAGTCAAATTCCTTCAAGATGTGCCGTGTCTCAGATGAGTCTACGACATGAACTTGTCTCTGAATGGAGCAAGGCGTCTCCTCATTAATGGAAATGCACTCCGTATGACTCCAGAACATTCCTCGTGGTCTTATGGAACCTAATTCCCTTTTGAAAATGTTCAAAATACCTAGTCAATAAGAGTTCAAACGATATGCCTATTTCACTTTCGCAATCTAGCAAGTGTGGTTCCCATTTCCTCGCCATCTCGGAGAGCAGCAAAGGTCTTTTCATCAATTTCAAAGCGCTCCTGGCAAAGGTTGATGACATTTTCCATCAAAGACGGAGGGACAACCACAACACCATTCCGGTCGCCTACCAAGATATCGCCCGGATTGATCCACAAGTCATTGTTGAATTGTAGCGGTACATCAATCTCTGATGCTCTTGTGAATGAGCCTGATCCCAGTATGGAAGTTTCGCGCGCAAAAACCTGGAGTAGATTCATGTCAACAAATCGTACTCATATCAACTTATTGTGAAACTAACTTACCGGGAAGTTCATTTCTTGATGTTCTCCAAGATCCCTCACGCGACCATCAACAACAACACCGCCAGCCCCAAGGTATTTGGCGCGTGTTGACATCAAACCACCCCAGCACGCCGAGTAGAGACCCTTAGGTTGCTGAATGTACATGATGCTGTTTGGTCTATTGCAATCGGCAAAGTGGCGTGCTGGCTTAGGCGCCGTGGTGTCGTTCGCCTCAACCATTTTGACCGTGACGGCAGGCCCTATGATTTTGGCCGGGCCGGAGCGCATTTCTGGCGACCACATGTGAATACCATCCAAGAAGCCCCCATATGGGTACTTGAGTTTGACAAGAGCATCTCCGATCTATTCATCAGCGATTATTAGTTGATACGGGAAGGAGAAGAAGTGGGTCTTACGTCACAGGTGGAAAAGGCGCGAAGGCGCTGCAGTAATTTGGTCGATGCCATTTTATGAAATAATGCAGTTTGCAATGTGCGTGGATGAAGTTGGACGTGACCGTGCGGGCACGGCCTTATGAGTACATAATGCGGATAATTTCCGGTGATTGCGGGGAGGTACGGAGTATGGTGTGGGAACGGATAAAGCCGAAGCCCATGCAGCCATGGTGAGGAGTGCCAACGCTTTATACGAATAGGAGCACAAGTAATGTTTGATGAATATCTCTGTTTCAGAAACTAGTACCATGAGGTTGTGATTGAATTTTGCTCATCCAATGGGCAATTTTACATTGCCAGATTACTCGAAATCGCCCGGTAACCTTCGCCATTGATCTAGTGGCTTAAGAGACTCTTGGTCGATTGAGTATAGAAGTAGATGCTGTTGTAACCGATACGTACACCGACATTACCATGAGAAAACTATTCCTTCAAGTTCCCTGCAAAGAGAATGTTTCAACTTAACCTAGGTATTTACGGGGTAAACCGTAGACTGGAAGGATCTTGTAAACGCCGGCGATGACGCGGAAATCCTTATGAGCGAGGGGACTTCTCATGACCTCTCCGCAGTCAGTCGTGATTATGATAATCATACTCCTAGCCCTCGAACGTATTCCTTGGCAATATCACCGAAGCCCACCATGCAGATAGTCGCCCACGCAGCTACTCCAATCCGAGGTACAACTCCTCTAAAGAAACCCAAGGCGCCGGATGTGGCCATTATACGTTTCGCTGTCGCAGCCATTGTCGGTTTTGATGTGATGTTCTCTCCAGAAGCTAGTGACTGCATTTCCACACGAAGCACCTGCATTGTGTCAGTATCATGTGACGATTGGCATTCAGACCAGTAGTAGCTCACTTCGAAAGGCTGGTTCCAGCAGCTCAGTGCTCCGCCAATAGTCGACGCTACTATCTTCTCCCCGATAGTCAATTTTGCGTCTGCTGGCTTCGATTGGAACGAGCGGATGTGCCCTTCAGCGAACCTTGAGATACCAATGCGAGATGCCCAGCCACTGATCTGCCTCAAGGTAACAGCGTTGATTCCTCGATTTACACCACGTATTCCTTCTTTTCGTAAAATGCTAAGAAAGATTTCCATCGTTCCAGGAACGCGGACTCCAGGTTGGATATTCTTTGGTCGTGTGACTTCGACAGTCTTCATGCAGGTTGTCATGCCTTGTAATTCAAACGTTAGGAACTTTCGTTGGGGAAACTGATCATATGTATTTCTCGTGCTCACCCATTGTTAGATAAGACTGAGCCGCTCCACCGGCAACACCACCCAAGAACCCAGCCATTGTCGGAGAAGCTCCAAATGATGCTTTGGAATAGTATTCTACCTCGCTTGACGCAAGGAATAGGATTGAACCTTTCGTTGAACACTCAATCCATGCCTGAAAAAGTAGTTGTTGTTAGCGACGTCGCTATAGGACTACAACTTCACTCACCCAGGGGACGAGCCCTTGATAGAACGCCGGAACGCCTCCGCGAGCCCATGTCTTTCTAATCGCTGTACGCAGACTATCTCCTCTGTTTGCAGCGACCTGTTCAGCAAAACCATCAATATTGCTCTCACATGTAATTCTAGGGTTGCTTACATGGGTTTTGACAACTTCCATTGGTTGGCCCAAGGAAGTGACTACAAAAGATAGGTTAGTGGCAAGATTCGCGATTACCAGACAACTCTTTCAACGCCGCGATAGCTGACCTTGGAAAAGATTCATGCTGGCGCCAACAAGTAGATTGCTCCATGAGACTGGCTTGCGAGCTGATTGGCTATGTCCCAGGGCTGGTGATATAATTGCGGCAGTAGTAGCCATAGTGATTAATTATCAAGCTGAGTATAAGAAAGACAGTTAAAACTGATCAATTTCATGCAATGGGAATACTAAATAGGCTCAAGATTTGTTGGTTCGGGAGGTGATTTAGATTGAGATAGCCCATATCGGATCAACTCCGATAGTCTTCACTTAGAATTTCGACTTCGGACCTGTCCGACGGGAATGCTCCGCTGCTCCACGCTAAGTATAGTATCCACTTCCCCGCGTCTCCAACTTTTGCTGATTTTAAATTCAATTTACGCGATTGGTGATTGCATTGCAGATATCGTGAGCTTTCCGTATAACAGTGAACGCTAATCCTGGTAGATCATATTAATCAGGCTTCCTGTCGTCTTGTTATCCATAGCAAAAAAAATGCTTCGAGCCAGCCGTAACATACGCACAGGCTCGGCCTTTCGATCTTTGGCCACCGTGGCTGGAGTCAGGGGACAAGCACCGCTGAGTCGATTTGAGCCGGATCACACAGTTGATTATGTTGGCTTCTTAGACAAACTACCTCATCTAAGAAAGATGTGAGCTCAGGTTTAATCTCCCCAATAGCGTCCGCTAACTCATTACAGTCTTGACCGCCCACTCACGTATGCTGAAAAGGTTCTCTTGGCCCATCTTGACGGTGAACAAGATGAGAGAGTCGTCCGAGGCACAACACAACTAAAACTGAAACCCCGACGAGTTGCATGCCAAGATGCTACAGCACAAATGGCAATCATCCAATTCATGACTGCAGGACTTGATAAAACCGCGGTTCCTACTACGGTCCACTGCGATCATCTTATCGTAGGACGCGATGGTAGCGAGAAGGATCTTGCAGGAGCACTTACGAGCCACGGCGAAGTATATGAGTTCATGTCGAGTGCCTGTCAACGTTATAACATGGGATTCTGGAAACCAAATGCCGGCATCATCCATCAGATCGTGCTTGAGAACTATGCTTTCCCTGGTGGTATGCTGATCGGAACTGACTCTCACACACCAAATGCTGGCGGCATGGGCATGATTGCCGTGGGAGTCGGCGGTGCAGACGCGGTTGACGTTATGTCTGGGCTTCCATTCGAGATTACAGCCCCCAAGATTATTGGTGTTAAGCTCACAGGACAGTTGAGCGGCTGGGCAAGCCCGAAAGGTATGTCATGAGCAAGTGCAACTCGAAACAGATATTGACATGTGCAGATGTTATCAGTGCAGTTGCTGGAATCCTTGGAGTCAAGGGCGGTACCGGAAACATCATCGAGTACTTTGGCCCCGGCGCAGAGACAATATCTGCCACAGGAATGTCTTCCATTACCAACATGGGCGCTGAGACGGGAGCAACAACATCCATCTTTCCCTACTCAGATTCCATGTCCGCATACTTGCGCGCTACGAGCCGGCCTGAGCTAGCTGACGCACTGCAAGTAGCCAAGCACGAGCTCCGAGCAGACGCCGGGGCGGAGTATGACCACATCATTGAGATTGACCTATCCACGCTGGAGCCTCGTATCAACGGACCTTTTACACCCGATCTGTCGACTCCAATCTCCAAGTTAGATCAAGCCGTGAAGGATAACCAGTGGCCGGAAAAGCTTACCGCAGGTCTAATCGGATCGTGCACTAATTCGTCCTTCGAAGATCTGTCCCGCGCTGCCAGTTTGGCACGTCAGGCTCTCGATGCAGGTTTGAAGCCCAAGATGCCGCTGCTGCTCTCTCCAGGAAGTGAGCAGACTAATCAGACTCTGAAGCGTGAGGGTATCATGGATGTCTTTAAGCGCCTCGAGAGTAAGGTCCTATCCAACGCGTGTGGACCCTGCTGTGGTTCATGGGATAGGACCGAGATGAAAAAGGTATGTCGAAAGGTTTTGTAAGTGCGATAGATTGCTAACATATTGCAGGGCACGCCAAATTCGGTTCTGGCATCTTATAACAGGAACTTCACCGGCCGTCTTGACGGCAACCCTGCCACCCATGCATTCCTATCTTCGCCCGACATGGTCATGGCCAAGGTGTTCTCCGAAGATCTTGGCTTCAACCCATTGAAGGACAGTTTGGTCACAGAGTCCGGCGCTGAGTTTCGCTTCCAGCCTCCTGATGGAAACGCACTCCCCTCAGGCGAGTATGAGAATACAGATCACGTCTACGACGCACCGTCGACGGATCCTCACTTCCGTAACGCCGTGACCGTCCAGATATCGCCAGATTCCCAGCGCCTACAAAGACTGGCCCCCTTCAAGCCTTGGGCTGGTGAGGACTTCAAGGATTGTCCTATCCTCATCAAGACTGTGGGTAAATGCACGACAGACCACATTACCACTGCAGGTCCATGGATGCGCTTCCGCGGTCATCTTGAGAACATCTCCAATAACACTCTGATCGGCGCTGTCAACGCAGACAACAACGAGGTTAACAAGGTCGTAAACCAAGTTACGGGAGAGCACGGTGGCGTCCCGGATACAGCCAGGGATTATCAAAAGCGAGGACTTCCATGGGTTGTAGTAGCGGATCACAACTACGGCGAAGGTTCCTCGCGTGAGCATGCTGCCCTCCAACCTCGATACCTCGGCGGTGTTGCCATCATTGCTAGATCATTTGCTCGTATCCATGAGGCCAATCTCAAGAAGCAGGGCATGCTGGCGCTGACATTTGCCGACAATGCCGCATACGACAAGATCAAGGCTTCGGATCGTATCAGCATCGTTGGCTTGACGCAGTTGACACCAGGAAAGAATTTGCAGATTAGGGTGACATCGAAGGATGGCTCAAGTTGGGTTACAGATGTTAAGCATTCGTTTACTGGAGAGCAGATTGAGTACTTCAAGGCTGGAAGTGCGTTGAATGTTATGGCTAGTCGACTGTCACAGAAGGCTTCCACATCGGCATCAGTGTAAACTTGGCTATTCATTACCTAGCAAGAGTTATAATGGTTGCAATACTAGATATTATACACACGTGCAACCATAAAGTAGGAAATTGCTTAAATGGATTAACAAGGTATCTGTGTTAAAGTGATAGCATGCCTCAAACATTGGATGTGTTCGACAACATAACTACGAGATCCTTGTTTCCCACTGCTCCATCCAGGCTACTAATTTCCAAACTTGCCTCTTCGAAGTTCATCCCAAAAAAGGCATCGCTTAGCATTATCAACTTCCTTCCCAAGCTCCACACCAGTAGGCACAAACCTCATCATACGTCGCTCACTATCAGCCTTTGGCCAGTCTAGTAACCCGTTTCCCTTTGTATTAGGATTCGCTGTTGTAGCAAACTGTCCGAAATACGTCTGCATGGCAATTGCAGCAGGGGGACTGACAGGCCCTTGTTTGTTCCCGTCGTAGAATGTGTGGTTCAAGTCCTGAAAGTGATAGCCCGGCGGTACGTCAAATCTATAGTTCCACGTCTTGAAAAGGGTAGACAAGAGTTGTGGATTGCAGTTGAAACCTGTTGCTTCGGCACTGAGAAGAAGAACACGCTCATATGCCGTGGAGTAGATATCTGTCTTTTCAGGGGGTGGGTAAAGAGTCTCGAGAATGTAGGACTTTGTAGTTGTGTTTGTGATAGGCTGAAGGAGAGTAGTGAGCGCTATATCGATGGCGACAGGCAGGTTTGGGATATTCGCAATCGACTCATTTGCCGTGTGCCCCGCGATGAGAGACAAAGACGGGCTCTTGTTGAACTTGCCGTCGCGAAGGCGATTGTTCGGCCAGTCGGGAACATAAGCGCCATCAGGTGAAGGCCCCCAGTAGAACAGACCAGGGCCGTTAAAGGTAGCAAGGCCGTTGACCTCTGCAAGCTCTTTCTCACCCAGCTGCGCGAGATCTTCCCCGTTGGCAATGGTTGTGCCGGTGATGTTGGAAGCCAGTTTGAGACTGTCTGTCCAGGTGTCTCCCACCTTTAGTGATGGCGCCGTTGGGCTCTGGAGTATGGCGTTCTTGAAGTTTACACCCTTCGAGGAGGTGATGTGATACATGATAGAAGCAGCACCGGCTGATTGACCGTGAACCGTGATGTTGTCGGGATCACCACCGAAGAGGTGGATATGCTTGCGAACCCTTAAGTAGAAGGTTAGCACTTCGTTCTGGGTGTATAGGTTCAAGGTCTTACCACTCGATGGCCTGGCGTTGATCCAGCAGGCCAGCATTAGCGTCCATGCGGTTATCACCATGGCTGTTGAGAAATCCGAAAAGGCCAAGGCGATAATTAATAGCCACAAAGATGAGTCCATCACTCTGGTTTGTCTTGGATCGTTCGATGAGTCCAGAAGGTGTGAACTCCTTGTCATCCTTACTCCCTGCTTTTGCATTAGAGTCGCTCACATCTTTTGTGCCACAGATTTGGCTTACCCCAGGAACTACCACCGCCGTGTATCCAGACGATCACAGGGGCTTTGTTCGTCGCGCGAGCTTTACGACCAGTGCATTGCTGACTGGGAAATACCGCCTTGGGCACGACAACATTCAAGAATAGGCAATCTTCGCTCCAGAGGGGATTCTGTATCAATCTATCCCTTGCAGCGATGACATCCTCTCCCGGAAGCGATAGTTCAACGACCTTGGCTCTAGGCAACCCTTGTTTGCACGCGAATCCGTAAGAGCCATCGTTTACTGTTCGATTGACGGTGGCTGGTGCAATAGGGTATCGGAATCTCCTGGTCTTCAGTGGCGGTTCTGCGTACCGGATATTTTTGAATTCATAGAGACTGTTGGTCGACTGAGCAATATAGGTCAGCCGTGTTCATGGGTAGAAATCAAGGGATACTGACGTCAAATGAAGCCTGGTGAACCGCATAGTCAAGATCTACTGTGGGTGCTTTGCTTGGCGAGTCTATGCAGGTGGCTGCAATAACAGTGATTGGCAGCACACATAGAGAGAGAATGCTCTGGGAACGCATCGTGGATCTTGGTCAATGCACTAAGCCTAGCGTTCTCTCTCCTATGATATTGGAGGGAACGTACCCTTTATAACCACAAATTGGTCAACTTTGCCGCAATCCTTCCCAGGAGGTGGGTAGCGTTCGCCATCTCAAGATTCCAACTCGGATCCTTCAGGATGCATATTCCACTTACCCGAGGTTTAATGTAAGTATTCAAACACGATTGGCCGATAAGCCATCATGAAGTGGGGAGTAATAAGCAGGTGGCCACCCAAATTCTGGAAGGATTCGGGCCATATAGCCCAAAGGAGTTTGACCAGAAATCAACCAATTGTTCATGAGATTTCACACGAATCAGCAAGCACGGAAATTCGGATTAGGAAAAGGTTTCATAGGAAGGGAATCGAACTCTGTCGTTTGCAGAGAAAGATCCCTGCCCTGTATAGAACCGATAACCTCGCCAGACGTGTTAAAAAGATAGCTGCTAGATATAAATAAGAGTTTTTTGACCGCAAAAGTAAAACAAGACCTTTCACTTCCAGTAAATGATCCCTTCCATAAGTAGTCGGGCTGTGCGGAAAACAGTCGCCTTGGTCAACTCTCCAGCGTCATCAAAAGAGGCATCTACCCGTAGCCTGCCGTAGTATGGTATATATCTAGACCCTGTTGGTTGCCACCATCCCCAAGGCATTTCGAAATCGAGCTACCGGGTACTTTGGCTGCGGCGGGAGTGTGCTGATGCTGTGTGGTCGGGCAACCAGAGTGCGCTTTGGCTGTGGAATTCGGGGTTTACAGAGTCCCCGTAAATAAAATGAACAGGTATTGGAGTCATCTTTGGATAGACGCTGGCTGATCCTCAATACTCGCTCAATATCGATATCACATGTAAGTGCTGGCGATGCAAGACAGCTTTAAACAAACATGGCTAAAGTACAAATGTACTTATTTTATCATCAATACTTTCTGATCAGACTCTTCCGATGGTGGGTATGCGCTTCGACTTCGTTCTTGGATGGACCCTACACCCTCAACGTGAGATCTTGTTATGATCTACAGCGCGTCATCGAAAAGTAAAATCATGCCGTGTTCTGCCTGCTGCTGTGCAAAACATAAAGGGCATACATAGTTGTTCAGGCTAGCCCTAGGGTAATCGGAAGCCTCCGATATTTGTCCCCGTGACGCGCTAATCCTACTCACGCAAGCGGGTTTTCCTCCTCGGAAGAGGCCGACCCCAATTTCCCTATCGTTTCTCACTCTCTATTCCGACGGAAGGCGAATTTTCCATTACCGATATGGATGAGAGCGAGATCACCGTTCAGCAATCACCCTCGGCAACAGTTCCGCCAACGCCGCCGACTCACACCCCGAGAAGAGCTCTAAAGCGAAATTCTGCAGCGTGTGAGCGTTGTCGAAGGCGTAAACAAAAGGTCCGTTCCACAGCCCGTCATCGTCAACAACACTTACTAATGACTTTTATAGTGCGACGGAAAATTGCCATCTTGTGGATCTTGTCTTCTTGTCCAAGCCAGATGTGTTCCGTCTGATAGGCTCCTCATTCGAGCTGACCCTAACTGTCAATGCCAAGCTTTGAAAGAGCGTGTTCGTGATCTTGAGGGCCAGCTTGAAGCTCAGCGTGCCGAAAGAAGTAGCAATGAATTGTCTGACCCCCCTGATTCATCCTACCAACAGCCCATTGTTAGTGGTGTCCCGAATCACTTGGTCAACAATAACGAGGCTACATATCATGGTCGCATACTTCGACCTTCGTTCCCCGAATCAAATAGTGGCTCAGCCCTGAGGCCAACTTTGCGAGGGAGCCCATGGCAACTTTGGGCAGGCGACCTCGATAGCCAGACGTCGCCAGACGTTGCCCCTGATGTTTCCGATCATCTGCTTACGACTGAATCTGAGGCTCTAGTTGAGGTCTACTTTACCAACCGGTGGCCTCAGCTTCCCATCCTCCATAAGCCAACCTTCATCCGGAATGACTTCCTACCAACGATCAGAGGCGATCCCGGACAGCCACTATCACCATTTCGGGTGAACATGGTCCTCGCAATCGCGAGTGCAGAAGCAAACATCAAGGGTCCACAGCAGGATCAGCAGGTACATGAAAGGTTCTTCCAGAGAGCTGTTAAAGATCTTGGCTTGGTTCTCGCAGCCGAGGATCTGGACTGTATACAATGCCTTCTGCTATTGTGTCTGTACGGAACGAATGAGCCTCAGTCAGTCAACATTTGGTACACGCTCGGTTTAGCTTTGCGTATAGCCCTTGGCATCGACCTTCATCGAGAAGAATCACCAAGCGCCAACCAAGACCTTTTATCTCAAGAAATGGCCCGCCGACTGTTCTGGTGTATCTATGCCCTAGATCGCAGCATGTCTATTGTAATGGGTAGACCACTGGGCATAAATGATTCAGATATCACGGCACCCTTGCCGCGGCAGCTGACGGATGAACAACTTTGCTGTGCAGAAGATGTACCAAGTATTGTTCAAAATCCCAAAGACATGTCGACCTTTCTGCATGTCATCAGAATTCGCCAGATCAATGCTGCCATTTACACGTCTCTGCACGCCGCTTCTGCAAGCGAGAATAGCGAGTCTGAGAGATTGGATGTCCTACGCGATGGCCACTACGCCGATCTAAATACATGGCTGATTACTGCACCTCGGTACGGTCCAGCAGGTGGTGTCCCTATGCTTCAAACAACAGAATGGTTTCAAATCGCCTATCATTATGCTGTACTTTCTCTCTACCGTCCATCGCGGGTCTTTCCCGTCGCTAACATTTCTTCACTGAGACTTTGTACCGACTCTGCGATAAGTCTGATCTCTTGCTATCACACACTGTATGCCAAGAACCGGATTAGTTACACCTTCGTCGCACTGAACTCTTTGTTCATGGCGGCAGTCACCATGCTATATGCTCTGAGATCCAGCCCGGTCATTCGCAGCGAGCTAAGCAAAGGTATCGCTAAGGCGAATATCGATATGTGTCAAAGACTGTTACGTGGTGTATCGGATGGACGCTCCGTGGGCGAGCGATGTGCTGTTGTGGTAGGGAGGCTTGGGGAGGCCACAATGGAAGTTTTTGACCGAGAACAGTCGCTCAATGATGATATAGATACTGAGTTTATGTCGTGGTTTGGACTAAAGTTACAGAATTCAGGATCTAGGATGGACGAAATAGGTACCGAAGGAAGTCAGCAAATTACTCCTAGTATAGACATACCTTGGAATGATTTATTTGTGCAAGGGTTCGATGTTGGAAACCATAATTACCTGGAGTACATAGTTTGAAGAAAAATACAAGCATGAAAGCCTTGAGCTACAACTCATCACCAACTATCCTGATCACATCGTCACATATTCAGCTATTGCCAATTACTAGTCAGGCTAGTGTCAAAATAGTAAAAGACAACAGGATCTGTGCCATGTAAGTATTCGTGGTATTCTAGCTACATTTTCAATCACGAAGATTGGTAACGAGGCATCACTGGTGCTTCATGAGCTAACTTCCCTTAGATCAGGGGTAATCGGGAATCTAGACTAGATCGATCGTAGATGGCCCAATGATGCGTTGGTATCATGGCGTTTTAAGTAAATAAACTATCGGTTTTCTTCTACTAGCTCTTTTAGCTTAACTTCTAAATGGGATTTAATCTTAATAACATACAACCTGGAGCGCATTGGCTGCAAATCTTTTTCCATCGTATGCCGCCTTTATGAGAGAATTGTCCAAGATTTACTTTATTTAATTCTTTAAGAACGGGTCGCACCCACCCGCACACCACTGGTTGATGTTTTGCTCTTGTCTTCTCGTTTGAATCACACGTTAGCTAAACACATTTAGTTACTTCCACTCATTACCATGGCCGTCAAGTCTGTTCTCCTCGCCCTTATGGGCGTACTTGCACCTCTCGCAGTTGCCTCACCCTGCAAACCTTCCACCGTTACATCTGTCACGAGTGCCGAGGTCACCACCAGCGATACTACATATACGCAAGCAACATCCACAGCCGCCGAGGCCGTCACCACTACTGAGGCCACTACCACAACTGAGGCCACTACCGCCACAGAAACTACCCCTGCTTCTACCACTACAGCCGCCGCAGGACCCGTTTGCGGCGTCGAGGGATTTGCAAAATCGGCACAGTATAGCCTCGAAGAGGTCGCATCTTTTGAAGTTTGTCGCCGGCGGTGTCGTGCCGATAGTGCATGCAAGACTTTCCTCTTAGATGGTGACCTTTGCTACTGGTACACAAGCACCGTGGAGGAGCTCGTAAGACCTGGAAGCAGTAACCTTTTCTTCTACGACTTCAATTGTCCTCCCACGGAAGAGGACCCTCAATGATTAGACTCCCTTATCCTATTTAACATATTGACGAAAAAGTTAAATGGGTCTCTGCAGCCCCCCTTTCTTTCTCGATGGTATGGCTTTTAGCCGTACTTGGAATCGACTCAGGCCAGAACATCAATTCATTGGATATAATTATATTACTCACGGGATAATTGGAAATATTCTTAAAGCTAAGGCAAAAGTGCACTGTTAGCTGTTATACAATTGCCATAGACCCTTTCTTTAAACACTACTAAGGGTTCTTCGAAATGATCTCTCTGATATAATGTATGGCCGGTTCAGTCTCTGACCACGAGTACCATGAATTATGGAAAATGAGCACGGCCTCTCCGCGCGAACCAAAGGTATAAATCGTCGGGACGTCGTAAGCGTAGAGATTCGGGTTCATAATGCCCGGCCAGAAATGTGCGTTCTTTTCTTTGACCATCTTATACAGCTGCAGAATCTGGCCCTGCAGATCGGCGATTGTCCCCTCATAGCTGTCTTGCGCGGCAATATCCCCTCGGTTCAGCAGCACATCACTCATGGCCTCCTCTTGTAGATAATCATACACCTCTTCCCCAGTCGCGTTGGGTTTGCCCCGCTTGAACTTCTGAAGAGACTCCAAGTCTTTCAACAGGCGAATTTTGATGAGAGTCAAGGCCACAGTGAAGCTTACGTCGTAGTAGTGAGGTTTTTCAAGGACAGGCTCGAATGCGTCTTCTCCTTTTAGGTCGAGGTAGGGCAGACTCATATCGCGCCAATCATAATCGTCGGTGACCTTCACACCATGCCACTTGATGAAGTCGTATGCTTCCTGGTCCCTCTCAAGTCGCAGATACAGTGCAGGGATCTGGGAACGCACACCCAGGTTGTCGCCTCGGCAGAGATGCACCATTTCAAGAGATCCATTTAGAGCGACCTCAGCGGCTTCGCCAGTGCGAACGTTGAGGATGGCGGTGATGTAGTCGAAGCGAGCCTGCATATAAGGGCGCGTGCTTTTGAAGAACCAGAAAAGGCCAACAGCAGTGTCGAAAGGGTTTTGGCTGCCAGTATCTTCGCCAGGATTAGCCCGTAACTTGGCCTCTTCCTCTGCAAGCTTTTTCTTTTACTCAGCGATGGGGATGCACTGGACCTTGTGCCTAGGTCGATCGGTCTTTTGGTGCGCCTTTCCACAGTACTTAACAACACTGCAACCGCCGCAACGGAGGAGGTTGGGGCTCTGAAACCCGACTGGGCATGGTTGTAGGCTGCAATTGTTGTATGGAAGGCCCAGGTTCATGCGCGGCATCTTGATGGATTTAGGCAAGAATGGCTTCATGCCCTCGCCCTGGATAAGAAGACCACGAGGCGGTTAGGTGCGGCAGTATGACGGCACTGACGACATCGGTTTTAGAGTTAAAATTAGTGCGAGCTGACTACTCCGCAGCCGGCAATCAGTTATTGGCCGACATTCCATCATCGTTAATTTAGTGAAGACCACAACTAATATCTCCAAGACAGAGTGATAGCATCTGATGTCATGATTTGGCTCTAAATCTAGTTCATTATGTACAGTATTTGCGTACACCCTACTGAAGGTCGTTGTTGATGATCTTCTCAGCAACTTTCGAGATCTTGAAGCCTCCAGGCAATCGAGTTTGGAAAATGCCCTTAGGGTCATACTTCAAAGCTACTCGTTGAATGTACTCAACATTCTCCAGACCGTACGTAGACAGTGGATCCTGCGTGAAGTCGGCATAGTTGAGATACTCCCAGTCCACAGCGCCGCCCTGATCGACACTGTACTGCTTCATTGCTTTGCGGAAGCGCACCATACGCTCACGGGCCAGTTTCTCCTGCTCGACGCCGTTAATCATCAGCTGTACCTGGAACATGACGGCATTGTTCTTTTCGCGATCGAGTCCGACAATGTTGCCGCCTCGCTCGCGGGAATGCTTCGAGAAGATGGTGGGGATTGCCTGGAAAATACCGTGGCAGATGAAGTCGCCATCGGGAGACTGGGCCTTCCAGTCGCTGACAAATTGCTTGTGCATATCTAGCGCCTTCTTATATAGGGCAAGGTCGTTCTTCAGAGTGATGGCGAACCAGACGTTACTATCTTGAGTCAGTTCTTAAGCTCTACACAGCTTTTGTTGCTACTTACCGGTATCCAGCTACAAGCTCGAGCTCGACAGTCATGTTGCGGTGCGAATCCTTACGCAGATTGGAGTTCTCGTAGGGAATCTTCCAGAAGGCGTCCAAGGCCTTCGGCGCGGCCTTGCCTGTGGTATCCTCGTATGACACCGTAATGCCGATCTTGCCCGCCTGAGGCGTGTAGCTCCAGAAGGGAATCACGGAACCATCTTGGTAGTTCTCGATATTGTCAGTCCAATTCTTGTAAGCCTTGATATGCGCATCGGTTGTCTTGGTAGTATATGTGACGAGACCTCCCCAGAGAAGGGGAGCATCAAAGGCTTGCACGTCGAATCGGGTGACGATGCCGAAGTTGCTCGAGCCACCCTTCAGGCCCTTCCAGAGATCCGAGTTTTTGCTTTTGTTCGCATTGACGATGCGGCTGGATTAAGGTTAATAGTGAACGTTATATGTCAATGCACACTGTACTCACCCGTCGGCGAGGACTACCTCGAAATTGACGACCTGGTCACAGCCAAACCCGCGACGTGCAGTATAGAAAGTGTTACCGCCTCCAGTCAAGAAGCCAGCGACACCAACAGTTGAGGTGCGACCACCCGCAGCAGTGACGCCATACGGCTCAAGGGTCTCGTAGACGTCTCGCCAAATGGACCCCGCCTGGATCTGAGCGACCTTTGTTTTCTTAACGTACGTGGTCTTGTTCATCAACCCTAGCAACGGTCAGACTTTTATCGTATTAATTAGGGGGATCTAACAAACCCATGTCGATAGTAACGCCATCGTTAACTGCCAGATATTAGTTAAGCTTCGCTCGGACCTCAATGTATAGCTCACTGTTATTTGCTGCCCAAACCGTGTGGCCACCACTTCGGATGGCGAATTTGCACTGGCTACTATCGCTCAGAGTCTTGACAATTACAGATACATCCTTGGCATTCTCGGGCTGCACGATACAATAAGGTTGCAGTTGCGACGAGACGGAAAAGTACGACTTGGTGCGGGTCTTGTAGCTGGAAGTGTCGGGGTAGTAGACGTTCTTCACACCTGCAGCTTGAAGTGAAGCACACTGAGACAGCTAATGTCAGTGATGTAGTGATACAGGGGGGTACACAATTAAAGCCTTACGCAAGTCTCTGTGCCAGCAGATTCTGCAACGACAGAGGCGACGAGGATGGAAGAGATCCAAGCGAAAAATGATGTGCTTGACTTCATGATTGGGATGAAACCGATCTGAGGTGAGGCTGCCGAGAGTCAATTGACGGTGCGCAATTTGAGGAGAGAAAAGCCTGTGCGGGAACTTTCTTGCTTTTGTTGGTGTCCAAGATCGGCCCTTGCAGAGACGGCCCATGGCATTTCTGCGAAATGATCCTGGTTCTAGGTAAGAAAACCGCGCAGATGGAGACATGAACCTGCGCAAAAAGTCAGGGGATAATTTGTGATTCGTCAAGCAAGGCTCATAAATTCTGCGGCTGGAGGTTCGACATGGGGTTCGCAGCACCAAGCTCTCTATTGCTCTACATACGGATATGCATGTTGGTTGATCCAGGTGGGGTACGGTAAATCTTAACCGTTTGTAACATCCATGTCGAGGTTGGGGGTTCAGCTGCGGAAACTGGAAGGATTGGGCCGCTATTCCAAGCCAATCCTTCATCTGGTATCCGTAATATGGACTGATAATAACTGGCAGGGTTGGCGCAAGATCTCTTGTTTGTCCTCTACCGCGGCTGTTGCTCAGTCATACGCGGGAGGTTTAATAGCTGCGTTATCGACAGTGTTGCATGATCTCTTCAAACACTTCCGGGGAAGTCTTTTGGCAAATACGAGTCACGCTATATACATAAAACATGATCAAGGGTCGCTGTTATAATACCATCAATAAGATTCTAGGTAAGCTCGCAAGAAACGACGCTTGAGGCAGCCAGTGATTATTCCAACGGTTCGGGCCGGGTCTATGAAGGGAATCGGGATTCCCGAAACCCTCTTTTGACCTCGTTCAACCCTTCATTTCCTTCCCGCGGGTGGGGGAAGATGACAGGTCAGCCGCGCAGACACTTCTCACTGAGTTTGCGACTTAATGTACTACCCCTGCTACACACCGTACTACCGTCTTGGCAGGACCCATTGTTGTTGGTTGTGCCGTTGTGCTGAAGAAACTCGACCCTCAGGGGCACATCGTACGTCGGCAGTTGAAAGGACTGATATGCGAAAGGCGGGGGTCGAGGGTCATGCATGGATTTATTCAACACCTTCGTTGCTGTTTACTTTCGGGATGACAAGAGAGAAAATGCGAAAAATAGAACGTAGTCCTTTTCTTGTCACACACTGTAAAACCCTGATTTCTCGTTACCTCACAATATCGAGAATAGCGCCAATCCAACATTTAACTTTGTCCACCTGGACGGCCCGCGAACGTTTTTCCCGTTCTGAGTTACTCCGTTATGTCAAACCCTGGCTTAGAATTAAACTTTAAACCCCTGCAAGTTCGCCTGACTCGGTCTCCATTGGTGTTGTATTCTCTTTTCTCTGTTGTTATCCCAACGCTCGTGTAAATAGAATCCTTGAAGACATTACGTGGTGGGAAAATGGCAGCTTCCGTTTGGCGTAGGGATCATCAACGAGCCGTTCAGCTGCCTTAATCTCCGTACCCGGGAGACTCCCAAACAATGTAGTTTCCGCGGATCTGCGAAAGCTTTGATGCCAGATTGATAATCTATTCTTGTACAACTGTAATGAATGTCGACATTTCCCGTCTTCTTTTTCGTTCCCATTGACAGACCGCCACCTCGAGTAAGCTCCGTTAGCCGGCGACGACACCAATATTTACGATCAAAGCAATCGCCATGTCGTTCCCGATTGTTAATGGCGTCGAGGTCGCCGTTCCGCCGCCCCCCGGCTACCAGGTCGATTTCGATAACCCAGTGACCGACAAGTCGATGGTCAGAAATGCGTATTGGATTTTCAGTGTCGAGTTTACGATAGCGACGTTATTTCTGGGTCAGCGCATGTATACCAATGCTGTTTTGCTGCGCAAGTTCAAGCTTGACGATTGTAGGTCTACTTAAATACGGGATCAGTCAGGATTGACTACTGACTTGACTGGCAGATATAATTCTTTTTGCCTGGGTACGATCAAACTGACGCGAATGCGCTCTAATCACCCCATGCTGACCATCCATTAGGTTTTATCCATCGCCGCTCAATCATGTCTTCTCAGTGCATATAGTCATAAGCTATTAGGTGTCCACGCCTGGGAGATGACAGTAGACCACAACACCGAGTCCGCTTTGGTGCGTAGAGGATCCAAACATTTATTGGAGGCTGCCACTGACCGAGTTCCAGCTTGTGATGTGCACGACACTCACATACATCCCGACGACGATTCTTTCGAAACTAACAATATGCTTCTTCTACTTCCGACTCTCTCCGTCCTTGTGGTACCAGTACTCGGTTTACTTCACAGCATTCGTCTGCACATGCAGTTTGGTCGGTATTTGGTTCAGCGTTCTATTTGCATGTAAGCCCATTGCTGCAGGCTGGGACGTGAGGCTGTCCGCCGACGCTACTTGCATCAATCGTCCTCCCATTTACATCACCCAAGCTGCTTTTGGCTGCGTCACTGATCTGATGCTACTCTTACTGCCTATACCCACGGTCGTAGGGCTTCAAATGTCGACTCGGCAAAAGCTTGGCCTACTTGGCTTGTTTGCCATCGGCTCTATTACTCTCGTCACATCTATCGTCCGATTGGTGTTATTACTGCCGAGCTTATCAAACCCCGATCAGAGCTGGTCTCTGGCAGAAGGTTGTCTTTGGGTGTAAGTCTTTTGTAACGGCCTTTGCAAATATCTAGCTGACCATTATAGTATTATCGAGGCCAATCTGTTAATCATGTGTGGCTCACTGCCCACTCTCCGCGTATTTCTCAAACATGTTGCCCCCCGAGTCCTCGGCGACAAGAGCACACAAAAGTCAAGCGATCCACAAAGCGGTAATGCGAGTTATGGCCTGCGAACCTTTGGCGGATCCAATGGTCCGCGACGCAAGTTCGACACACTGGTCGAGCTGGAACACGATACACATTTCCAAAGGAGGAGTTTGAGACCAGAGGAGCTGGGCAAGACGGATGTGACAGTCTACGGTGGCCGATCTGATGAGTCGATTGCGGACAACCCGACGGGGGACAATAACAGCGAAGACGGAATATTGCAGACACGCACAACGACTGTGCAGTATACGAGAGCTTAAGGGCCGGTCACAGTCCGAAATACCCTTATACTAGGCTCGTATACGACCATACGCACACTTATTTGCGTAGGTAATAATAGATAATTATGAAGGCATCTCAACTCTCCACATTGGTTGGAACTATACCGATGTGAGTAATAAGAGCATCCAATATAATCCAACAATCTACCAATTCGAATTGACGGATACATAAGCTGAATCCAAGTACCCGCACATGTGTAATCCAGTATCAGTCAGAGGCTAGAATACATAGCCCTAGTGGCGGTGATCACAGCCTAAGCAGGGTCCCGGCACTATGTTAGCATATCGAAGTAGTTCGGGGCAGTGATGGTTCATGCAGGGTCTCGGGAATATCCGTTCCTAAAGATCCATCTCCGTGAATTCCCTCCGTCGTGAAGTCGGACCCTGGTTCGCCGATCGCCCGTCGGCGCATTGTCCTTCCGCCTTGGCCGAAATCCGATTCTAAGGATCGGAGTTGAGCGGCTCCGGCTTTGGTATACATATCTTAAACACCCTAGACAAAGAAGAGATATGTTGAGAACTTTTGAAGGCCTTTATTTGGGAAGGGTGGTAACTACCTGTAGATAAAATGTCTGTGAATGTAGTTTCACGGCGATGGGTGTGAAGCGACTTGGAGAAACGTGGTTGTTTGGCGGGAGCGTCTTGAATCACCGCAAGAATTGTCTCACCACAGATTCAATCCGCGCTAGTACATGCGATGCCTTATAAGAAGCATTACTTGATATTCTGCTAGGCTTTCTGACAGACGAACAATTTATTTGATCTTGTGCTGTTAGGTCGCTGACAGGATGTGTCCTCTCTGGGTCCCTACCCTAAACCCTAGACTGGCTGATGCGTTCCTAGACAAAAGTGTGCAGCAATCTAGCGAAAAGACTGATCGGAAATGTAATTTCTACATTTATCCTTGCAATCGTTCGATGCAAGCGAACTGCACAACTCGTTTCGTAGATCCGGGGTATTTGTCTGATTTGTGACAGGTCTTCCTTGCTCTCCAAACGTGGAACCAGTCCGACTTTCCAATATCCCACGTGTTCTCAGTGCTTGAAGTATTCCCATGCCATCCGAGATGCCCCCTCTGCGATGCGTCATAATTAGAATACGCTCTTTAAATACTGCTAGTTTTTCCCAATTGCCTTTTTATGACCTGTACTGTCTTGCTATTAATGTGACCGATAGGAGATAACCGGACACCCGGACTAAAATCGATAAATTTAGTTCAAACCGCCACAATCCATCGGCCCAGCGGAGCCGCGATTTAGTGCACGATTCGCGACAGGGTTGATGTCACAGACCTACGGGTTACCGGCATCGTTTCGGGTTGTGTATTAAAATTGTCTATGGTTTATTATCTAATTATCGACGGAATCATCAAATGATGGGCATCTTTTTCTTTGGGCTGTGGTGGGTATATCTTTGAGAACAATCCAAGCATTAAACACTAACATCAAAGACGGGGGGATTTTGAGATTTAGATAGGAAAGTCTTCCTCCTTTAGGCGTCGGGTCGAACTTGACTCGCTTTCAAGGTCATCGTAATCACTGCGATTGCGATTGGGCTTCACGATCTCAACTTGAGTAGTCTGGAAAGTCCTGGAGATCTGAATGCCGTCTTCTTTTCTTTCAGGGAGTTCGATGTTTTCAGCCCCAGCTTCAATATACGTCTGGTTGCCAGCAGGAAAGACCGAGTCCATCTTCTTCTTTGTGGTGGTCTTGCCAGTGGTCTTGCCGCCAGAGCGAGATTGAGAGTGTGAGTAGTCGTAGCCATTGGGGTTGCTGGCCTTGACTACCTTGGTGATAAGCTCAGCCATGTTCATCTCAATATGAAGCTTGACGAGGTAGGCTAAGGGATGAAACTGAAGGTAAACGATATCGTTGGGAAGGGACATCATGGCAATGAGAAGTACCTTATCGCTTGTTAGTAGGGTGATGCGCATAGTTTCAAAGGGGCAGAGAAAACTTACATCCATCGTCATCGAAACTGCAATCATAAGTAAATTAACGCGGTAAAGTCGCGTGTATTTAGTAAGACCGTTGGCGATAAGTCGGGACCGAACAAGGTGGATGAAGTAGAAGTTCAGACCAGCATCGACGATCAGGAAGATGCACTTCTCCACCCTGTCCCAGACGGCGTTCACAGAGACCCATTGGTGGCTGATCTGCAATCGTGCGGGAATCCAGACACAAAACACACTGATGTTGATAACCAGAAGCACGAGGAAGGTTGTAAGTTTCAGTCTCCAGGCATTGTGCCGGTTGACCATGAGGATCGAGATTCGATTGATGATGATTTGGAGTAGCGTCTGAATCTGAATAGCCCAAAGGAGGACTTTGGAATTTGTTAGAGCTGGAGACTCTGGTACTTGAGGCGGTGGACTAACCAATGACAAAGAAGACAGGAAACCCGGGGGGGATGTATTGACGGAGATAACACCAGGTAATGGCACTCATGATGACACTGCTGGCCCATTCGGTCCAGACAAGCATGAGGTAGATGTTCGTCCGTGTGCCACGCTTCCATGACTTGATGGTTTGTCGGGCAGCCTTCGTCCCAGCAAAGATCGAAACACCTAGGGAGTATCCCCAGGCGATGCTCGCAATGTTCATGTCATTGGGACTAGGCTTGTGGAACTCGTAGTTCTCGGAGAGTAAGAAACCGCCCATGGTGGAGGCTGTGGTCAAGAGCCGTGCTGGCGCTTGTTCAGGGAATATCGATGTTTGGGAAGAGGTAGGATGCAGGGACTACAAGAGTTTGGTGTTCGGTGCGATGAGATACATATTTGAAGGAGGCTGCAGGACGAAGACACTAGCGGCAATGCACGTTTTACGCAGGGGCTACAATGAGGCGTTGAGGGCGCCCGTTCCTTTGAAGCGTTGTCCTGTGCATCCGCCTCTAAGACTGCCCATATTCTGATACGCTTATGCACCGGCTTACGGACCGGTGAAGATCCTGTGCGAGCTGGGGGCTTCACCCAGTCGTCCGATTCCCCTGTGCTCATCTCTTTTGGGAATACTACATTGCAAGGTTCCCCAAAGTGTGGCATCTTGGGGGATGCATGAGAAGAGGATCCTGCTTGGATGATGCAGATGAACAGTGCATTACACCTTGAACTGCTCATATCTGTCAAGTCGTATTACCACCTGATCGGCTTGGTTATTCTTGATGTTACGGACGATAGAAGGACTGACTTGCCTCTGTGATCTAGCCTAGATTCTGATCATTTCTGGCCTAATCATCCTCACACAATACCATTGGCAGCAATCTATACAGGGCCCTGGGAGAGTAATTGCTTTTGCGGCTCCGCAATTCTAGCGCTGCATCGACATCGGTTCCCAAAGTGCTGGAATCTCGTTCCCCGAGATTGTTCTTCGGTGGCGCAGACTAATGAAAGGAGAATTGGACTAGATGGAGGAAAACGTGGCTATGGAGACGGGATGAATGAGCCCGGACAGAAGGGAACGGCTTCTAGATAGCCCTAAAGCGGCTGCGTCTTAAGCCTTATCTCGTGTTATCGGTCCCTGACGATGGAAGCAGGTCATCCCATGTGAAAGCTCGTTCCATGCAGACTTCGGCTCCGCGGTGGATACGCCCGAGTTTCAGCCCTGGGACGCGAGTCACCATCGAAGCTTAATCAGTGTTAGATACGGACTAATGCCGTAAACATGCACTGAATCTGCGTCTAGGGAACAGGAGCTTCCGAAATGTTGTCGGTGAAGTAACTGAATACGACAATAGTAAAGCTGATCTCAATCTCAGTATTCGAATTGTTGCGGCTTAAATAGAGTGTGCATTTTAGTGGTTCCGCTGCCATTGATCCGCCCGAGATCGACAAGCCCAGGAACAGCTTCTAGACCCAAGCTAGAGCTACTTGCGACACATAAATCACGTGCATAATTGACGTGCTTTTCATGTATACGTTATCTTGCGTTCACAGCACGTTGGGCGAAAGATCCATCAGTAAACTGGAGGGTTGTTCAAAGGGGTTTTGTGGCGTTTGATAGCCTCCATTTGCGCGGGATGATGAGCCTGGGACTAAAACATAATTTGTGGCACTATCAACGCTTGATAAAGTTGAAGGTTAAAGCAAAAAAATAAAATAAAAGAATTCTGGCAGGCGGTCTTGTAATGGTTAGTCAAGGCCCTGTAATCAAAATGTTTATAGGGGATGCTAAAGACCTTCGATGTCTCTCAGATCAGTCAGACACCGTCAGAAGGAACCGCGTAACAGCCAATAAAAATCACATAGACAAGTGCTCATTGAAAATACAAGTCGCGAACAGCCAATGATACCTTCGACAGAATGTGACCCCGGTCAGCTGAAAAAGACGGCTTGAATTTCAGCTTCATTCTCACTTCCCCTCTTTTCTATGATCTTCCCGCTGTGAGATGCATAATCTGTGGCATTTAAGACGATGGACCCATTATCTATAGCCAGCGGGTGTGCAGGTCTTGTTTCGGCCATCGGCTCGCTCTCCTTTTCTATTCATGCTTTCGTACGAACTTGTCGCGAAGCCCGAAGTGATCTCGATCGGGTATCGCGAGAGTTATTGTCTCTGCAGACTGTCCTTGAACTTATTCAGGAAGATGTCACGGATGACACAACGGCGTTTCCACAAACACTGGAACGGCACGTCTCGGGTATCGTTTTGAACTGCAATTCGGTCGTCACCGAGATACAAGAGTGCATTACCAAATACTCTAGCGACAATCGCCTCAAGATCAAGGCATCATGGGCCATCAATGGACAAGGAGACGTCGCAAAATTGCGTTCAAGTCTCGAAGCACATAAGGCGGCGCTGGAGTTGGCCCTGGACATGTTTGCGCTGTGAGTGGTCCTTTGATATTCCAACACGAAGACTTACTGATAGTTGTTTAATCAGGCACCTAGCCAAAGATATAAAAAATGACACAGCCGAGATCCGCAACGATACTACAGCAATAAAAGAGGACACGGCACAGATCCTCGCGGAGATCGCTCGACTTCAAGAACGCCTCCCCAAGCAGGTTGAAAATGACTACATTCTGCAGCATTTTCTGGAGGAAATGACTACGTATACAGAGCAGACTTTGGATAGGCCCTACAGCGATGGGCGAAGTCCAAGTCCTACATTTCTCCGACCAGATTTCGATCCACCAGACGATGTTTACTTGGAGGATTCGGAACGAACAGCAGTCAGCCGCCCAGAAAGTCCTTGGAATCAAGCGAATGAATTACAGCAGCAGAATCTGCCCACCACCGAATCGACCGTGCAAGCTGGCAGATCATCACCGGAGGGTATGCAGGGGCATGGTACCTCCTCTGATAACGAGCAGGGTCTTCAGGATATTGGGCTAGTCAATCACGAAGGCCCAGCTCCCACCGATAACCACACACCAACCAGCCTTCACACCCACGCAATATATTCCTCACGGTCAGATGTCTCCAAATCGTCAATAAATAACCCAAATCTGCTACGGATAGAGACCGTCGAAGAAACCATTCGTCGCCTAACATTCCCCGAGCTTAATGCTCTCGAGCGAGAGAGTAATAAGAGGGAGGGCCACCGCGATTCTTTCTTACCCACCACATTAATACCGAAGGATGAGTCAACCCCCAACCGCCGGCGGTCGTCAGGTCAGCGGAGTGAAACAAAGGATCGGCGTAACAGAGGTGCCCGTCACGTTCTGAAAGCCAACTCTAATCTGAGCCGGGATTCTGTGGAAGACAAGTATTACAAATACGAGAATGAGCCATTTAAACCTAAGCGAAATGGCGGTGATGCGCTTAAAGCGCCGCCAAAGCCAACGGAGGAAGAGGTTTGTCTCAGCTACTACGAAGGCACAACTCGGGGAAGAACACTAGTGATTAACTACCCAGTCGCTACATCTATTCGTGACAATCTCCGCGATCAAGATTGCTACGAGTCTACCCATACCCGCTTCACTGCCATTGCATGTACTCCTAGGGGACTCGAACAGCTGAGACACCCATTCCGTCCAAGACTGTTCGCAAAACCGAGGCACGTTGCTATAGTGTTTGCACTGGAAGTTACCGGAAGGACCACTTACGAGAAGTTTATGCATAAATGGAATTTTGCTGCAACCGCGATCTCGCAGGCAAGACTAAGGGTGGAGGCCTTGAGAGAACATCTACCACAAGATTACTTTCTCCCTTGGCAGCATACTATTGTTCTGGTCCATTTCCCTTCAAATTCTCAACCAGTTTCTCCCGAGGTCAGAGACTTTATGACAGGTCTAGGCGTACAGCACCATTGCGATGACCTAATGAGTATGATAGGTCAAACTTCTTTGAATCCACCTTTACCAGAAGATCAGATGCAAAGGTTTCGGGAAAGCATTACGGCAACTATACATGAGGTTGGTTACTACACACGAGCAAATTTCAGTTTATATGCTGATACACATCCAGTACACCGTGCAGCCAGCGGCTAATCTAAATCGTCCAACACTCGGCTTACCAGGAACTGAGCCTTTGCAAGTGATTTCTGTGACTGATGGATTGTTAGGATATTCTATGAACATTCCTTTTTTTGATGTTTCTCCTTGGATATCAGCTATTTGTACAGCTCTCGATACACAATTCATTGTTAGATTACCCGATGAGATATCTATTGGGTCCCCTGGAGACTTCCTTTGGGAGATGTGGACTTGTCAACAAAGGTTCAGGACATCCCGGGATGCTCAAGTGAATAAAATGGTAGTTACTACCCCCGATGAGTTTCTCCGGGAGCATCAGAAGCTTTTATCTCGCTATGATGGCCCCGTCGGATATCTGAAACGGTTATTCTCTAGAAGATAGAAAATAGAAAATGGAAGTAAATAACATGGTATTAGCTATGTTGGACAGAAAACCAACCTGGATGATCTTCAGATAGTCACCTGAAAGCATTGCGTTTGCGTTCCCACCATTTCCGCTTTCCTTCCAGTTAGTGAGCGATCCTCAGAATTGCATATCAGCAATGGCCTCAAATTCTGGCCTCATTATTCACGGAACGGAAACGCTACTACCGATAGTAACAGGGCGATTATTTGGAATTTTCGGATCCATCTCAGCGCGTTATCACGCCTAGTTCCTTGTATTCTGAAAGAGAGATATATATTAGTAATACGATGACATACCTTTCACCTCATGCTGGTTATTGGTGGCTGCTAACTAGGAAGTGTGGATGAACGCGCAAAGCTAGCCGTTTCTGTGGACCGGTGAGAAAGCTCATCCAGACACCAAATTCACAATTCTTTCTTCCATGCTGTGAATGGACGGACAGTCATAGAGACAGCATACGTGTGTTCTTTTCCGTTGGATATTTCCAAGTTTAAGACATTAGACTAGCAATAGCCTTTGTGCCTAAAAGCAAATGCGCCTTTTTACTAATCTTGCTATGCATCCATCACTTTCATTCATCGTTACTGTCGTGATCAGATCTGGAAATTGTCAGCATGTAAGACTTGCGGCTGAAGTCAAATGTGGTCGCCTATATACATTGTCATCTTCCGCATTTATTATTTCAAATAGAGCTTCTCATGCATGATTTGTAGCCTAGAGCAAGACAGAATCTCAAATACTTCTAGTGCTTACTGCCTTGATGACGTTCTGACGGCCCGCTCACGCAATTCCATATTCAGTGATCCATGTTCAGTAAGTTAATACAAATCAATGGTAGATATTAATTAATTTTCGCTATCTTGTAATCCAAAGGCTATATAAGACTGGAGTCGGACCTCATATAATCTGAATTATCATTCCATATCTCTCAATCTACTTTTCAACCTGACACAATATTACTTCAATAATGATTCCTGCTCGCATTCTTCTTGTTCATGGAGCTCTGGCCGATGGCTCTTCCTGGTCCAAGGTCATCCCAACCCTCCTTGACGCAGGCCATAATGTCACTGCTGTCCAACAACCTTTGACAAGTCTCCCGAACGATATCGCCACTGTCAAAGAAGCCATCCATACCCTCAACGAAGACAACGACGTGCCCATTGTTGTCGTAGGACATTCATTTGGCGGCTTCGCCATCACCAACGCTGCTACAGACGAGCCCAACATCAAGTCTCTCGTCTACGTCATGGCTTTCGCCCCCGATGAGGGCGAAACAGTCGCTGAACTTGGCAAGAACTATACTGCACTTGAATCCAATCTTTCTTTTAGAAATGATACCGCTGGACGCTTGTACCTCCCTCCCCCAGCCTATCTGAAGTACTTTGCCCCTGATGTCGACCGTGACGAGGCGAGGGTCCTCGCGGCTACCCAGGGACCTTTCGACCCGCTGAGATTTGGACTTCCCTCAGGAAAGCCAGCTTGGAAGCAGGTCAAGAACAAGCACTATATCGTGGCGACGAAGGACCAGATTATTCAGCCTGAGCTGGAAGAATTCTTTGCTAAACGAATTGGTGCTAAGAAGCACACATTGCGCGGAGCGAGCCATGCCGGTTTATGGAGTCGTGGCGAGGATGTCGCAGACATTATCCTTGAGGCTGCTCGAGAGCTTTGAGGTGATAGGGGATCAGACTATGTGACTACTTAGGGTAGATGGCAGTCGCATGCATGGGCTTTGATAAGGTAGTTAAAGATGAGGATGTATGCTGGTCAGGATGATTCGTCGAAGGAAGTTCTCGATTGTACGACCTGGTTTGCAGGTGTAATGAGCGGATTACGAAAGATGCACGAGACTTGAATGTGGAACATCAGAGTTAGTAGCTTAGATTCTTTACTTTACTTTCCTAGACTAGAATGCTATTCCTTTAGTTTATTAAGTCTCTTTGTAGGTATCTTGTGACAAATGATTTAGATACTCGATGTTTCATATATTTATCCTAAGGCAAGATCTATGCTATGAGAGGATTACACTATTTCATTCCGCTCCTGATACTGTCTCAAAAGTTGTTTCCCATAATCATTGCCATTAGGAGTTCTGACCAGCGTATGGATATGAAAGGGGAGAGGGTCCTTGTTATTTAGAAAAACGCCCGAGTGATGGTCAAACTCAACCATAATGACGGGGGACTGCACCTTATAATAAAAGGCATCTCTGTCACCGAACCCACCAATCCAGCAGAACCATGTGTCTTCCCAGTGACTAGCAATCTCCTGAAGGTGAGCAGCTAGTGCTTTCTCCGGAAGATAGTTAAGGCTTAGTTTGACCAACCTGCGGACCGCATCTTGCTGGGAGTCAGAGAATGTCGATACCTTGACGCCTTCGTATGGAATCACACGGTTATCTTGGAAAGCACCTCCAAGATGTCGCTGATCAGCCCGGTGCCATCTTCCAGGCGGATACTCAGGTCCACTAAGCTTCTTATAAATCTGCACATCCTTCTGCACCACAGTATCGAACGATTGCATGAGGTGGAGCGCAGTCTGTTCTTGATCAACGAAAAGCTCGATGCCTTCATGGGGGCCTTCGTCAATGATATTCGGCTCGGCACCCATGAAAACAGGAGATACCACCATCTGGGTTCCGACCATAAAGCAATTCATGCAAAGATGGTGGCCGAATATCTGCCAACCCCACGGCTCTTCCCGAGCGGGTGTTCCGAAGATGACAAAGTTGTATGAGTTCTCGTTCAGGACTTTGGTGCCATTCACCACCTCGCCAAGGAATTGATTGACCTTCATACACCCATGGGCCTTCTCGTAACCCTCGGAGGATAGACTTGCTTTCATCAGGTCGTGTAGAGCAGTGACTAGGCCTTTGGAAGCTTCCTCCAGCCGGATGCCATGCCTGAATGTGTAAATCTCTGGGTTAAGCCAGAAGCGCCATTCAGGTGCATCAACCGGTCTGAGCAGCTTCTCTTTTTCCTCTACTGTCGCGACATCAATAGCATCCTGGGCTGCCTTGACGGCATGCACTGGGGCTCCGAAGTCTTCATTCTTGTCTGCCAGGCGAAAGAGGTTGGGGGTCACATTGCCGTCGGTTGTGATTCCTTTGTAGGGCTGGTCGTAAAGTTCCTTCCATGCCTTCATCCACCCGATCATGAAAGGTTCAGAGCATCGATGACCTGCCCATTCATAGGTGTCGGAATTTGCCAGCTGTATGCTTCTTGGGACGTCAGCAGGAGGGATATAATCCCGGTACGCCGCAGGAGAGCGAGTTTGTGACATGTTTTTTCTATCCGGGTAAGGGTTAATGGGAAAAAAGTGTGTCTTGAGATGAACTGATCATGACTCTTGTTGTGTGGTACCAGCACATAAAATAGACATGTTTTGAGCTTGACGGCGCTCCTCTTCCACGAAGGGGCCAAGGTCTGCCGATTTGAGATCACCTGATAATTCCCAGTCCTCGGTCACGTCCGGAAGACATTTGGAATAGATCCTAAGCCTTAGTAATGGAGGTGATGAAAGATATCACGGATCTGTCCAGCTTCAGTTCCGTGCCGACCGTCGTCACTAGTATTCCCTATCAAGTGCCATTGTCCTCCAACATTGGACGATGACAGATGAACGAATAAAAAAGTGTCCCCACACACCATCTTAGTCGCGTGACCGTCGTTTGTCGGTGACGCGTTTGAATTCCTTGACGCGTTATTCCGAAATCCCGTTGATATCCCTGCACGCCACCTACTTATGACGCAGCCGCGGAAGCAACTTCAGAAACCACAAAGTGACTGACTTCAGAGCTATACAGGCTCAAACATCCTTTGCATTTGGCTTTTTTGTGGAATCTTGGATCATTGGATACAACTGATTTGGCAAAGATGCTAGCAATTTACTGAGAGGCTGGCGAATGCCGCTGTTCCGTGCTGTGGTGGCTGTGGTGGCTGATCATGAGGCTGGGTTAATTACACCTGAAGCTACCCTAGACTTTGATGGGGATGTGAGATATCTTGATAGAACTTTATGATTTGGCATAAACAATGATTCATTTATACTCTAGAATTTGTTCAGTACCGCAAATATGAAGATATGGAGTCATGAAAATCTGTTCGCGTTGAGAGTCAAACCTTATTCTCGTTGATGATAATCTGTCGACCCATTGAAGTGTTTCGGAGTAGAAATGGCGAGAAGCGAAGTGTGGCGAGGGAAATGTTCTCACATTCGTTCCTACTTGTTGAAGATTGAAAAGAAATTGTGATTTATGAACGAGTTTATAGAAAGTAGCAGCTTATTAAATAATTGTGGATGGACATAACTGCCAACTATGTGACTTGGCAATCGTGGTCAATGAATGGTATCCAACTATCAATCCCTATTTGTCCAGCTAATCCCACTATATCAATCAACATACAACTTGACCCGTCAATCCTGGAAGGGTATCCGCACTGACTACCGTGCTCTTCATAATCTAGCCTCTGACTTCCTTGTCTTACCTGATCTGGCCAAACTTCAAACGGAGTCCATGACCAAATCGATGAACGATAACAATAAGGATCATGCTTGCAGCTACAATAGCTGCTTGAGTCCCGAAGCTCACATCATATCCAACCTTGGCTCCCCATGGCTGCTGATAATAGCCTACACTGAAACCACTCAAAGCTCGGAATACATTGGTCAAACCACAGACCTCTGCTGGAGCAGACGGGTACGCATCCAAGAGGTACGAAGCCACGGCCACGGATGTAAGCATGATTCCAAATGCATGCATGCCCCATCCTACGACGATTGCAGCGACGGAAAGATGCTTATGAAGAGCCTGTCCCATCAAGACTAGACCAGCAATCATGGGAATTGCCGATATGTAAATTGTTACGAGACGAGCTTCAGGCTCGAAAACTCCACCGTGCTTTCGGACGTACCGTCGAGTAAGATAGTCGTTGAAGAAGTGACCAAAAATCTCGCCTAGGAAAACGCCAACGATAGGGGCGAAGTGCAGGTATCCCAACTGAGTGAAGCTATAGCCGTAGCCTCCCAACTCCTGGGGAAGACCGAATAGGATGGCGGTTGAAATGTTGACGCCGATTGCCCACGCAAAGCACATGAAGCTGGTAATGAGTTGTTAGGTGTCGGAGTATCAATGAGAGATGTAGGAAAGACTTACTAAGCAAGAAGAACAAGGAGAATTACAGGCTTTGCCAAGATGAGCAAGACTCTCCTGAAGGCATCATAAATAGATTCAAAGTATCCAGAATGATGCTTCATCTGCCACACACCAGTAAGCCGAAGAAGCCGGGAGAAAAGACCCTGGCCTCGAGATGGTTGTTGGGACATGGGCAAGTCACGGTTGTACCAGGTCTCATCAAGAAAAGCCAAGATGAGAAGCAAGCTTAAAGCGTTGACTCCAACTCCAAGCCAAAAAGCGTCCTGCCATTGATGGGTCTCTCCGATGACGAAGTTGGCGATCAACGGGCCCCAGTACGGAGACGTGATGTACATGAGAGCCCACAGGCCAATCTTTCGAGCTCGTTCGTGAAAGAAGAAGATATCCTTGATAAATGCGATGGCAATTGTTTGGCCAGATGTAAGGAAGAGGCCCTGAACGGCTCGCACCCCAAAGAACATATTGAAGGAAGTGGATACGGCGGAAAGGATGGTAAAAATGAGGCCGAAAAAGGTAGACCAAAACAAGGTTGGTGCGCGTCCGATGATGGAAGTCAGGGGAACCCAGATCAAACCGCCGATAGCCCTGAGAAGAGATTAGTAAAGATGACGGTGGAGGGCAAGAAATTGGGTTGCTCACATCATGAGGACGTTGATACTGTTATTATGATTAACAGAGTTGGGAGACTTATGCCATTCTGCCGCTTGAAGAATGACTGGAGCGCTACCAGCAGCAGATGTAAAGTCTGAAGTCAGAGCAGCCCATGCCACCACCAAGAGAATGAGGTGTTTTTTTCGAGATGACCAGTTTAGGGGGTCGTTGGGATCGTCAGTCGGCTGGGGTAAAAGTACGGTCTTATGGAACCACCACTGTTAGGAATGATGACAACTTTTCAATTGACGAAACTTACATGTCCATCTGCAGCAAGGCGAAGAGAAGTCCCCTCAGCACCTTCAACTTCGAGAAGCACTCCAGCTTCAGCTCGAGCCTCAGGTGGAAATTTGTCTACCACACGAGACTCGTCTGACTTCTCGTCATGAGAAAGGTGCTCCACCTCAGGCTTCTCCATGATAACTTTTTCAAGTCGCGTATGAGTGTGTGAAATTAGATCTCGAGCTGCTCAAGTCGAGTGATAGTTGGTATGTCTTGAAGTTGGAGTGGCTAGAATGTTTATACAAATACAACTTCTATCGTTAGAGCTAAGCTGGGCGAGAGCAACGCCAAGATGGCAGTTCCGAAATTGCGAAATCCGGGGCCCCGTGGGGTAGAATAGCTTCCCCCTCATGGAGGGAACCTAGTTAAATGCTGGCTTGACTAGGTCGGTCTGGGGCGCTGTTTGATTCCCGGGGGCCCGGTCAGCCTAAAACGCCAAGCTGAAAGTTAATTCCAATATGAGCCGATAGTGTGGTGAATGACTGCGGAGGTGTCGGGATAAATACAACTGCAAATGTCATAATTATTGCTCTTGTGAAGAGACTTAGAATCCATATTCAAGAGCGCAGCTCACTTGCCAGTCAAGAAGATATAACCGATCTACTGATGTAATACCATATATTATTTACCTGCTGGTCTTGACCTCGTAGATAAGAGCATTGAGTTCGTGGGCAATGTCGCTTATCTTGCTAGAGACAATGCAAACAAGAAGGCCAGACCGCCATGGACCGCCACACCAAAGTAGCATTACAGGCCAAGCGCGCACGAGGTCTCTGCTGGAAACCAACTCCCAGACGGAATTGAGAATTCCGGCGTGATATTGAGTGCAGAGTGGAATATTCGAACAAGTTCAAACTGTTTACGCGTCTGACATGGCAGACTTCGATTAAGTTTCGACACTGCTGCATGCCAAGAGAGTCTATCAGTCGGCTCACTCATGGAACTCGCCCGAGAATTGCGAAATGAAGTTGCAAGTTCAAGATACACGTTAATGTTGGGCTCGGGAGATTATTTACATCGAGATAGAAGTAGACGGGAGTAGTGGTAAGTTGTGATTCAGAATGTAAGTTGTATTGAAGTAATTTACTGTTCAAATGAACCGTCGCAAATGCAGTAGTAATATGATAAAATTTGATAGTCAATACCAAAGGAATATATGCAGTAACGCGATCAAAACTATCTGTAAAAAAGTCCAAACCCAGTTGAGTAGTCCTACAAGCAGCGCACGCAGTCCACCATGGTCACCTCACGCCTTCACAGCCAGATCCCCAACCTCAATATTCCCGTTCTTGAGCCCATTCTCCAGACCATTCTTCAGCTTACCGTTGACATGATTAGCAGCTATCCCATTTTGCTCTGACTTGTCCTTTGCCATCTTCAAAGTAACCGCATCATAAGGATGAGGAGCAAGACTGGCCTGCGTAGCCTGGCCCTTGTTCTCAGCCCGCAAAGCATCCGCAAAAGGCAAAACACCCGCGTTCTCAAAGGCACGGAAGGTCTCGATGTACGTATCATACGTATCATCGTAGCGCTTCCAGCCAAATTTGCGCGCTTTGGTCATGGAGCCAATGGTCAACCAGGACTTTCCGACGGCCCAGTCGAAGAAGTCCCAGGTACCCCATTCAAAAGCTTCGAGCTGGCCACCGTGCTTGGCTACTACTCTCTCCCAGACTTGCTTCTTGTCCTTGTGCCACTCGGTCATCAAGAAATTGTTGGCCATGCGCTGGTCAGTTCCCTCAGCAGCCCACTCAGTGAACTCTGGAACCTAAGAGGGTGGTGTTAGTAGGGGGAAAATACAGGAGATCGGTCATGGGAGGCTAGCTTACCTCAATGCCAAAGTATCGCCCAAGCTTGCCCCAGAGCTGTTTCCATACAAACACGTCACCGTTCTGGTGGTTGAATGCCTCGTTTTTGGCATGTTCATCGGTAACAGCCCATACACTGAGATCTGCGATGCTGGGTGCGTAGGAAGAATCGTCAACGCATTGCTCGAAAAAGAACTTGTTACCAGGAAACATGGGAGGGACTCCCATTTCACGGCAAACGAGCATGTAAATTGCCAAGGTGAGCGCCATTGACATGCCATTTCCTGCAATGCGAGTCAATTAAGTGCTGCGATGCTGTCACTTGAAGTGGAATCATACCTGCTGATGTAAAGCCAATGATGGCATTTGGGCGAATGACGTTCCAGTTCCAAGTACGTTTGGCTGCTAGAGTTGACAGGAAATCCTCTTGGGGATAGTAAAAGTTCTCGCCCTTGTCCTCATAACGGCCCATTTCTTCGTGGAGAGGAACCTCTGTGGGTCCAAGATGGGGACCATAATACTAGAGATGCATTAGCTCGTGATACAATGCAGTGATGTGAGGTTCGCCAACCTTTCCTCCAGTTTGGAGACAGACTCGCTGAAGTGTGCTTGCTGCAACGATGTCTATGGCGACAAGAAAGTTGTGGAACAGCGGAATATTGCTATCGCGTAGCTTGGTAAAGTCCGATGTATGCACATAAGATGTGAAAAAAGTATGAGTGACATCGTGGCAAAGAGGTGCCATGCGCTGGATCAATTCCTCAACAGGGCTCAAAAAGTCGAGGGGAATGAACCTGACACGATGATCTTGCCACAGGCTTTGCTTGGGAACTCGTCTGGAGGTGATGATGATCTTGGACCTGGGCAATACACGATCAGCTGTGGCTTTCGGCCGTGGGATATAAAAGGAACGAACCATTCGGACTCTGGTTTGCGGATCAGGTGCTCGATGATGGCATTTCCAGTGATGCCGTTTGCACCAGTAACAAAAGCGACTTTTCCTCGTGCGGGGGCCATGGTTGGGGTTGTGTGTATGTATGCGTCTTTGTATAAGAAGTGCGATGATGACGATATGATCAAGAGTAGAGAAAGGATTAATGAAAGGTACAACAACGGTACATGTCCTTGGTAAATCTTTGTTGTATTTAAACATTATGGAACAACTGATGAGATGAGGATGGGGTTTACGGAAGTAAAGGAACAGCCGCCGGGGCTTGGTGCTCACCTAGGCTGCTAGACGCCGGAATTTTCGCTGGGCCCGAACTCTTGGAATCACTAAGAGCAGCCAGTAACTAGTCCCTGACGGAATTTCGCACGGAAGTGGTAGCACAGTTGAGTCCAGAACAATGCATTGCATAACATTGGGATGTGCCAAGTGAGACATCGATCGCAATTTAGAACAAGGTCTAGTTGCAGTATCTTCAATTGTACCCACAATTGAAGACTCGTCTCATCTGGATGCTTTGGTACGCTACACATTGATCGTTTCGCATAATTGAGGTCGTAAGACAAGATTAGGTCTCAGCAGAGTAGTGTCACCGAAATTAATTGTACCTAGTCGAATGATTTGTATCGTGCTGCTATCATGATATGTAAAATAAATTACTCCTTCGCTCAATTGACAAACTTGATGTATAACTTCTTGTGCTGCTCAAGAATAAGCAAGGTCAAAACAGTTTGAGGACCGAGGCGTAGAAAGCTAGGGACCCATCCTTTGAACATCCAAAATGGCCCTTCGGACAATGTCGACCGTTGCAAAACTTGCCACACAGATTCCCTACTTGTTGAGCCCATTACACGTGTTTTCACCACATCTACCGGCGAGCATACAGTTGTGGCAATGATACCCGCTGTGAAAGAAGCAACGAGATGAGTTTTGGTGTCATCTTTCATCCCAAATTTCTTGACACATGATGCCTTGACCATATCATAAGACGCCAGCTGCGATGAGTTCATGAGCGATGCACGAAATGCGTTAGCACCCACGCCGCGAAAGAGAGAACTTGGCCCCTCGGTCTTGACGATGCGTGCTATACCATTGAATACATGCCTATAATTTCTCCGCTCCGCTAACGGTCTTGATAAGTCTGACTGCATCCGCACGTTGATAATGTCTGCTGGATTTCCAGCCACACCACCTATGAAACCCGACAGAACTGATAGGGAGATCAACACCCCAGGAGAGTGGGAGAATGTCCCAGAATCGTGAGCTAGGCGTGATTTGAGATCGTCATACACTCCAAAGCGGATGGTGGAATATGTGAATTGTCTGAGAAGAGCCGCACTCAAGCCAGCATAGAGCCCGAGGCAGCCCTCTGTGATGATTACGTGAGTGGTCATTCCAACCATTGATGTTTGACCTGGAATGATATTTGACTGCAGACGGACCTTGACTACTGAATTTGTGAGCGGAATAGTCATCGGTGAGCGTGAAGTCTAACCTAGGTCAAGTGGGTGGGTGAGCAAAGTAGCGATTGCGCTGGCGCTGCCTCCAAACCAGAAGGGGAACTTGTTTGATGAAGGCAAAACACCATTTTTAGGAGACTGTGTAAGTTGTACCTCTATCGCATTGGAGTTCGCGAAAGGTACTTCTTGTTCGTGTGTAGAGAGTTTGGACATTTTCTGTTGAACGGAGGTTCTGTTGGGGAAGAGGCAGAAAGTTGTTCTTTACGGTCAACAATGCAATCAACCAAATAGTGTCTTCTCATAATCTAAACCGTTCTGTCTAAGAAGTAGATAATGAGCTACGTTTTACATCTTTGCTGTACGTTCTCAGCTCAGGGCAAATCGAGATGCACGGGATGATGGATCATGTTGCCGATGGAATCTGTCCCAGCATTGGTGGCGGCATCCTGTAAAGACAACTGAGCAGGCACACAGCCTCTTGAGCGCCGGGGCTAAAGCGTTTGACTTTGACACAGGAATCAATTACATGGGGGATGTTGAGCCCATGACAGTAATTCCGAAATCCCGAAATCCCGTGGCGATTGGTTAGCTCTGATTGGGTATCACTTGTTCACCAACCTGAGGCTCTGGACTTTGGATCTTGATGAAAGCGGCAAACCGAGGTTTATTGGAGAGAAGAATTGGTTGGATAATAAAGTGTCAATGATTGACAGGCAAGTAAGCAAGTATTGTAGCTGGATATGGGGGAAAGGATGATGTTCTACTCAAGCGGGAATTGCATTTACTGAGCTTCGCATCAATAAACGATTTTTTTTATACATACATCAATAATCAAGAGTGAAATTCAATCATCTATTAAATAAGTGCAGTTCTTCTCTAAACTCGATAACTCAGCTTAATCGTGACATTTTGTTTGGACAATCTGGTAACACCAAGCTTACAAGACAATTGCCGCCCATTATAATCGCAATGTGACTGGTCTCCCGGCAGAACCAAACCGAGGTGCACAAAAACGATGACCCCACTGAGACACGGCATAAGCACCTTGACAATGGCCGAGTGAGTGATTGACTTTAGTCGCGGCACGATCATGCGGGCATTTGCAGAGCCCACCCCGGCCTCTGGAACGGAAATTGAGGTGCCTATTCCGATTAGTCACCAATAAGTCTTTTCTCTTAATATCATCAAAGAACTACAGCTTGTCTATTGTAGCTATCTACCAAAGAAGCCAACTATTTCACGCTGAGATCAAGCGGTGTTTCAATATCGCCAACAACACTTGCATTTACTTAACTTGACTAGCTCAAAGCTGGTCTTGTGCCATTAAACATCACATCCCAACCAGTAACTTCAAGCAATCGCAACCATGGTTACAGCCGTGAGGCCCCAGCCAACGTAAGTTTGAAAGAGCACACATACTGTGATGTACACTAAACAATACTTAGCCATGATGACCCTCAGTCCTCAAGGTTGCCTGAGGTTGAAACGGAAGTCCTCATAGTGGGGGCTGGCGTAGCTGGGCTATCATTCGCAGCTATGTTGGCAGCACTAGATATCAAAGTGTTCGCTATTGCAAAGCACAGCGGCACTGCCCCTGCTCCTCGTGCACATGTAACCAATCAGCGCACAATGGAAGTCTTCCGTGATATGGGCATCGAGGAGCGCATCCAGGGCGCAGGAACCTGTATGCCTGAAATCGGCAGCATGGTCATGGCTACTAGTCTCACAGGCATGGAAATCGGACGTTACAGCTGCTACGGTGGAGGCGACCATCAGCTGACCGATTTCGCAAAGGCGAGTCCAAGCAAGATGTGGAACACGGCTCAGAATAACATGGAACCTATTCTGTTGCACAGAGCACGAGAGAAGGGGGCCGACATACGCTTCTATCACGAATTGATAGACATTCAGCAGTCGGATGAAGGCATCGTCGCCCGAGTGCGAGAACGGACCAGTCAAGGAGAATATCTCGTCCGTGCTCGTTATGCTGTTGCTGCAGACGGAGCGAGATCGACAGTGGCCCAGAAACTTGGATTTGGTTTTATCGGTGAACCTGGACTTATGCATATGATAAGCTCATGGGTTGAGATGGATCTGGCCCAGTATGTTGCTCACCGTCCGGCTTGCATCTATTTGATGCTGCAGCCAGGCGATGCTTACTGGGTAGGTTCTGGAACCTGTATTCTTAAGAAGCCATGGGATGAGTGGGTTGTCAATCGGCAGTACAACGCAGCAGACGGGGAGCCTGACATGAGCGATGAGGCTATCATTGCTCACGCCCGTAGCGCCTTGGCAATCCCTGACTCTCTACCCATCCGAGTCAAGCACAAGGGAAAGTGGCAAGTGAACCACGTTGTGGCGACCGAGTACCGAAAAGGGCGTGTTTTCCTCGCTGGAGATGCAGCTCACCGTCACCCTCCTGCCAGTGGACTGGGGAGCAATACCTGTGTGCAGGATGCATACAACCTCTCTTGGAAACTCGCCGCCGTCATCAAGGGGCAAGCTGGTGAGGGCATACTGGAGAGTTACAATCAAGAAAGGCAGCCGATAGGGAAACAGATCGTTGACCACGCTATCGAAACCCTTCACGACATGGCTGCTCTTCCCGGCGCTTTGGGCTTTGAGCGAGGACAGTCCCGAGACGAGGGCTTTGCGAAGCTAAACGAACTCTTCTCTGACGCCGACGGTGCCGCTGATCGCCGTGAGACGTTGAGGAAGACGATAGACCGTGGCAATCGCCGGTCTAATCCTCTTGGAGTTCATCTTGGCCAACGTTATGACAACTCGGTCGCAATTGTTGATGATGGAACTCCTTACCCTGAATATGAGCGCGATCCAGTTCTGTTCTATCACCCCACAACACATCCCGGCGCCCACATACCGCATGCTTGGATAGAGCTTAACAAGAAGCGTATTTCAGTCCTCGATGTCTTTGAGCACGGCAGTTTTGGTCTTGTTGTTGGTATTGGTGGAGAGCCCTGGAAGGAGGCTGCAACTATTGTTAGCCAAGAGCTTGGAGTCAAGTTACCTGTGTACTTTGTCGGTCAGTGCTGTACTTATAGCGATGTCTTGGGTGAGTGGACAAGCAGACGTGAGGTCAGTGACCGTGGTGCTCTTCTCGTTCGTCCCGATCGTCATATCGGCTGGAGATCATTTGATCGCCCTCAAGACCCCACGGCAGTCTTGAGGTCGGCTCTGCAGCAGGTTCTTTCACGCAAGTAGGCAATTAAATCGGATTTTTGGAATTGATAAGACAGTTGCCTGATACTTAATGGATTGCAATGGAAAAGTGGATATGCTGCATCAATTGTGACTATTATTGCGGTATTTTTAGCATCATCCGCTTTCAGTAGTTTCCCTCCGAGCTCTTAACCTCCTTGCAGGTCATATAATATGCTACCCAAGCCAACAAAATTATGTAGTTCACGTTATCTCCGGATCTTCACTGCTACTTGACATAAATGTTGCACTGATTTGGTTGTGTATATAATGGTTGCTGCTGTTAGGTTTTGATGTATGTCAGTAGTCTCGATTCTCGAATAGCTTCAATTGATCATACATACTCATCTTCCCTTCTTTCCAATGGCGTTATCATCCGGTCATAATTGAAATGCTGTTTACGTGATGAAGCTTCTCTCGCCAAACCCCGAGATCGGAAAGCCTGTCGCGTGTGTTGTTCTCTGCGAAAAGAAGCAGAAAATCATCATCATCATCATTACGGAGTAGCTTGACCCAACTCCTCCTCTCACCTTCAGCCACCCTGGCTCCCACGGATATTCCGCCCGAAATCCCGAGTTCATTCGGTAACTACTACGTATCAAGTTAGTGCTCAGTTTAGTCAAGAGATGGTGGGGCCGTGATCTCGCCCACGTCTGACCTAACATTGGATTGGACATCTCAGCATCCAAAATACAAGGGTCTAGATTCAAATGATCGAGCTCTCAACTCACAGGTGACTCGATAATCTCGGCATGAAAGCTAGTTTGCCGAAAGATCTTGCCGAAAATGGCATGCGAGTCGGAATTTGTCTGTGTGCTCGGCCCCGTTCACCTTAGGTAGTAAATAACAATCGTGTATACAATCATCCGTTACGAATGATTTATGGACATTAAATCACGATATCAACTGATTTCTTGATATCCCTGGGAGTATTCTTACATACCTGGTTTTCCTTCAAGGCATCATCTCGTACTCATACCCAAATCCACTGGCTCCTCGGAAAAACACTCAACAACACTATCGCCACTGCAACCATGGCCTTCCTTCTTCAAAAGCGTATTCAGCCTCGCCTTCTCTCTGCGCTTGTCAAACCAGGTCGGAGGAATCATTCATTGGCACGCTTCGATTGGGAAGACCCCATTTCCACAAAAAGCCTTCTCACTTCGGAGGAGCTTGACATTCAAGAAACTGCCAGATCATACTGCCAGGAACGTTTACTACCTCGAGTCCTCGGTAAGTGACAAGCCATAGAGGCCTAGTTTGAGCTTTGTATTGACATAAAATTGCAGATGCTTATCGAAGTGAAAATTACGATCGAAGCATTCTTCGTGAAATGGGAGAGCTGGGTCTTCTTGGAGCCACGATATCAACTCATGGCTGTGCGGGAGTAAGCAGTGTGGCCTCAGGTCTCATCACAAAGGAAGTTGAACGTGTAGACTCAGGCTACAGGTCCAGCATGTCTGTCCAGAGCTCACTTGTTATGGGTCCTATTGCCGAACACGGCACACAGGAGCAAAAGGACCGTTTTCTTCCCCAGCTAGCTCAAGGAACTATGGTTGGGTGCTTTGGCCTCACAGAGCCTAATCATGGCTCTGACCCCGGATCTATGGAGACTGTTGCTCGTCCACATCCAACAAAGAAGGGATATCTCTCTCTTTCAGGGGCTAAGACGTGGATCACAAACTCTCCCATAGCTGATCTACTTCTGGTCTGGGCTAAACTGGAAAGCACTGGCAAGATTCGGGGATTTCTCATAGAAAGAGATCAATGTCCTCCTGGGACACTTGAGACGCCGGCTCTGAAAGACAAGAATGGCCTGAGAGCATCCATCACCGGCATGATCCAATTAGACAGTTGCCCAGTCCCTGAAGAAAATATGCTTCAGGTTGAAGGTCTCAAAGGACCTTTCAGCTGTCTCAACTCAGCCAGATATGGTATCGCCTTCGGGACTATGGGGGCTCTTGAGGACTGTGTTGATCGCGCTCGGACATACGCACTTGACAGGAAGCAGTTCGGAAACCCTCTTGCAAAGTATCAGCTTGTTCAAAAGAAGTTGACTGACGCTCTTACTGATGCCGCCTATGGTACATTGGCTGCAATTCAGGTAGGAAGACTCAAGGATGAAGGTACATTGGCGCCTGAGATGATCTCGATCATTAAGAGGCAGAACTGTGATCGGGCGTTAGCAGGAGCTCGAACGTAAGTGATATTCCATCTGACGACGACGATTGACTAATCGTCATTAGGCTGCAAGAGATATTTGGAGGGTATGAACCTTTTCCCTTATTTGTCTTTCTTCTTTTCGTTCCTTCCCTGAACAATGCTAACAGCCAGTTTTAGCAATGCTGCCTCAGATGAATATCATATAGGTAATGACATGCAACCATTTTCCCAAGTGATGGAGATTCTGACTTCAAGTAGGACGTCATGTAGCAAACCTCTTCGTCGTTCAGACATATGAAGGACAATCTGATATCCACTGTGAGTCCAGCTACTGAGATTTGAATACTGTACTGACCTGGCCATAGCAATGATTATCGGAAAGGGTATTACAGGTTTGCAAGCATTTTACTAGACTGCTGTGAGACGATATGGAGAAGACAGATCGGGAAAGGTCTTTCTTTTGTTCTTAAATAGATGAATCCCGATTATGAGGTCTTACTAGTTTTATCTAGACACAAAAACGTAATAAACAGAACCAATACGTATTTCCCACATTTATCTTAGGGACGCAACATCGTCGTGTTCATCCAACAAACTTGTAAGAGTACTTGACTACTTCAAGCTGCCTGGAGGAAAAATATACACAAACGAACAACTTCCTTTAAAGTTGAAAAAGGTCAAGGAATCATTGGACAGGGCCGTCGAATAATACTTTCTAAGAGACCAAGCAGAGCTGCCAAGCACATCACATAACAAAATGACTGAAAACAAGTGAATCGTTCGACACAAGTCCTGCATCTTGTACCATATCTCTCAAGCTAGAAAATTCCAGGGTGAGAAGAAAACAAAGTAGCTATATTTCAAGAGCAGTAAGCGTCAAATTCATTCAATAAGATTCAACTTCGTGATTTTGGGATTAGGGACGTTATTGCATACCATGATCTCGGCATTCATGTTCCAATTCAACATATTTCTAATCTAGGCCTCTCACTGAAAAACCATCTTGTTGCGTATAGTGCCAAGACCACTAATAGAGACTTCTACAACATCACCATCCTTCAGCCACTGGGGTGGTTTCATCCCCAAAGCCACGCCACCTGGCGTGCCAGTCAAAATGATCGAGCCCTTTTCAAGCGTAGTCCCCTGACTGACAAACTCAATGATCCTCTTAACTCCAAACACCAGATCATTAGTGCTCGCTTCTTGACGAATCTCTCCATTCACCTTGGTCTGGAGGGTGAGTTCGTCTGCTGCTCCGAGGACCTTTCTCAAGTTAGCAATGTTTTACACATTCATCAGTCAAATACTGACAGTTGGAGATACAATCACTGGGCCAAGTGGTGCAAAGGAGTCGAATCCTTTAGAAAAACACCACTGCGGTACCTCTCCTGCGAACTTGGGATCTCTCTGCCATGTGCGTGCCGAGACATCATTGGCAACGGTATAACCAGCTACATAGCTCAATGCATCTTCGGCTGAGATATCCTTTCCTTCTTTGCCAATAACAATAGCCTTCAATAAGTCAGTACTTAGGAAGTATGAATGATGAAGAGTTACCCACTAGTTCTCCCTCATAATCAAGCTGATCCTTTTGTGCAATCTTGGGAATAGGGATGTCGTTGCTCCAGCCAGTGATTGAGCGAGATGGCTTTATAAAGATTGAGGGGTGTGGTGGCGGAGTCCTTCCCGTTTCCTTGACTGATGTTGTCAGTATAGAGCACGAGGACGGTGAACGATGGCATACTATGTTTTGCGTAGTTCAAGCCGACGCAGCGAATTATCGGGACATCCTGGGGAGTCAAGGGTCCTAAGAGCTTCTTGACCTGGATGACATTGCCCGTAGGTTTTGCGTCAAATATATCGGTGCCAACTAGTTCATTGGCGGTGAGGTTCCCGGCTTCTAAGAGATTCTTCAAGTCTTGAGCAGATTCAGATACCGCATCTCCAAGATGAACTTCATTCTTCTCATCAAGGAATCTGATTAATCGACTCCAGGCCATGTCGTGCGGACTTTTCCTGGTGAGTGCTGGGAAGGGTGATGGAAGAGTAGGGGTGGTTGATCTCGGGAGTTTAGAAGGAAGTCAATGGGCCAGCATGCCGGGGCAACAGACGCTTAAATACAATCCATTGTTCAAGGTGGGGCTTCGATTGCGTTATATCAGTCACACTCATCTCATTCAAGTTGCTTACCAGCTCGGGATGCTTCACCGAACCGGAATTTGTAAATATCTGGTCACCGTTTCCATACCGAAATGCCGTTAATTCAAATTTGTTCAAGTTATTCGAATATCCACATCTAAGTATCTAATGCATTGTAGTTCAATGTGGGGATGTCTATAAACCTCTCATCATAGGCGTTATTTGCTGTTTGCCCATGATTCGAGGAACAGTTGCGACATATTGAGAACTTTCGCATTTCTCTACTCTCGCTCTATTTACCTGAGTAATCAACTGTTCCTTTATTTCTTGAGTGCATTCTGAATTTCCTCAGAGAGTGCATCTACGTCGAAATCCCCAATAGGACGATCAGCCCACTCAGTGATCTTCCTCACGACATCCAACACAGTCTTGACGCTCGCAACTGAATTACCTATTCCCAAAGTGGCCTTGATATGACTCTTTGTTTGCCGAGTTGCTCCCAGCGCAGCTATGGAAGCTGCAATGATCAAATGCGACTCGTTTGGCTGGAAAACCTCCTCATTCGCCTTTGAGATGAGATATCCCCAGATTACAACGCTTGAACATGTAACTGGCGAAAGAGAGTTAGCAAGACAGAAGCGTTGTAGTGGATAGGATGGCTAACGTACATAAATCGGTGAAATACTTATCCATCAGACTGAAGATGCCCGAATTTCCAACGCCGCTATATATGCGAGATTTGAGCTCACTACCCTTTTTGACGTCTTCCTCATCGATTGTCGTCTTTCGGAGAACTTTGGTAGAAGCATATTCTGTGCCTTTTCGCTGCACAACGCCAATCATGCCATAGCATGCAGGAATGCAAGTTGGCATTCCGAGATAAGGAAAAACAATGGTGATGGCCTCTCTGACGCAGAGAAAGAACTTCTCTGATTCCTCTGGTGTCAAATCAAACGTGATGTCGTCAAAGAAACGTCCTACTACATCTGCACGATTGACAGCGCAGCATGAAACAGCCTGTTAAGTATCTCGTTAGCATTTTATCACACAAGACATTGTGCTTTAAATCTAGACATACAATTATTGCATGGCTGAAAGATTTCAGCTCCGGATGTGACGTAGCCAACTTGGAATTGAGGCCCAAGAAGAACTCTCTGTCGTATTTCCGTGCTTCGGGCTTGACGTTTGTCGAGACATATTTTGCGTCCCAGTCCGACATGAACGAATCCTCATTCCAGTCCAGCATGTTGGCTGCTTTTAGGAAAAGAAGTTATTAGTAGATTAAATATTTCTGAAGGAACTGAAATTAATAGCATCAGTGTGTTCAACCTCTGACTGTAAGTTTAAACACAAATTCGTATGTCAGTATTTATACAGTGGCCATTTACGTAGTAGTCTAGTTAGTATGGGGCCGTGGGGCAAAGCTCAGCCATGGTTTGTCTTTGCTAACTGGTGCTCACTTTGGCGGGCGGACATACACTCCAGGAGTCCAGCCCTTCGCTTCACCTGCAGCAATCACCCTATCACTACATCGATCACAGGCTTTTTGGAATAAGACAACCCCGCTCTACAAAAACAATCTCCCGAGCTGTTCGGATGTGTCGGGTTTGGCCGCAGTGCAAGCCCGCAACCTCCGGAATGAGGTCGGAAATTCCACTAGACGGCACGGTTAGTAACTAGATCTTCATATTGATGGCGGGGAAAGCTCAATTTAGCTTAGTTCAACCAATTGCAAGGAACAGGAACATCAACGGAAGCTTACGAAAGCATAGTTTCTGAAGCTGCTAGCAGCCACAGTCAACATCCTCCAAGGTGATTAAATTGCATGCAAGGCTGGAATTGTTGAAAACGGTCGTCATGCCAGCCAACATCGCTCGTCCGAGAGGCAGGCAGAGAAGATGCGCATATTGCGAGCGTGTTTTCACCAAAGAGGAACACCTAAAGCGTCACGAGAGAGCTCGTAAGTCCTGCCACTCACAATGGTCAGCTTGGCCAACTACTGACAACTGTAGACACGGGTGAGAGACCTTTCAAATGTCACAAGTGTGGAAGAAGTTATGCCAGAAGGCTAGTTAAATACCATGCTATACACACTTCGCCCGTAATAACTAATACCCGACTGTAGCGATGTGCTCTTTCGACACACACAAACGCATATATCAACAGACGACAATGGTGAGGGCGTACATGAAACCAGACGCCTTTCCTCGGATGTTAGCATGTTGGATGAGCAAACATCTGCAACCAGGGATAATCACACATCTCCGGTCCTATATCCAAAGCGACGGCTGGATGCATTCCTCAAGTCCCCCATTCGTAGACTTCCAAGATGCACCGACAGACCATTGTTGCAAGATACACAGACGGAATCAGCATGCGCTATAACAACTCTACCTGCTGAATCTGAAGACGATACTCCATGTTTCGATGTTGATGAAAATGAGTTCTCAGAAGACAGTGTTATGAAGCATTTGCTCGATTTCGTCTCGCAAATTCGCCCTCAAGGAGGAGCCACAGTACCAAATCACATCGAAATAGAAAAGGATGACGAGGTCAATTCTCCACGACCGAATGGAGAATTGAAATTATCACGATACAATCATGATACTGTCCAAGGAGATGCAACGTGTCAGTCGACTTTCGCATCTTCTCAAGCCTTTGAAACGCAGCTTGATTTTGACATATCTACCACCTTTGCCGGAGATGAAGACGAACAGCAATGCTTTTTCGGAGGTGTAAATAAATTCAATGTTTTTGATTTTGACATCGAGAAGATTCCAACTATCAGCAAGCCGCAATTCAACTTGGACGTCATGGACACCCTCGACAGGGATATTTCTAACCTCCCATTCTCAATACCCACTGTATGTGCTGATACAATTAGCAGTATCCCCAGTAGTGGTGGTCTCATGACGATATCAGCGATTCAGATGCAGAAAGTACAACGAATATGGTCAAGACAGCGACCGAAGGTCCCAGCACCGATCGCCAATCGATTGTGGAGTACGGTTATCAAGCACAATGCTGGTAACATCTTCACCACACCACAGCATAGTATTGACATGGAAGGCTGTCAGTCTTTGGGCTGCAATGTGGACCAAGAAGGCAGGAGTCGTTTGATCCGGTATTGTAAGGATCTAGATGGTTCATTGGGCTTGTCAACTACCACTGATGGTGGTTCCATGCCTACTGTGGACATACTCGACTCAAGCCTGGACTTTTACTTCCAGTTTTTCCATCCGATATTACCATTCATACACAAGAGCACATTCGATGCCAGAAACACGCCAAGTCCTCTATTACTCGCCATGTGTCTGGTTGGCCTATCCTACTTGGACCGGATAGAAACCAAGGCTTTTCTCATCAGATGCCTCAAGGCTCGTTCTCAGTTCAAAGATAACGACACACAATACTGACCATCTTTTAGAAGTTACTACCAGCTTGTCTTGTTGATTTAACCTCCCAAACGCTCTCTGAGTCTGCGACGTCCCACACTTTCACTGCTCTTGCGACTGCGCTCATTGTAGCTTACTTAGCCTTGGGCTTTCGTGTACAGTTTCCACTTTCTTCAATCAAAACATTGCTCGCTAATTACTCTTAGGATGAGGTTGATGTATATCAAGCGTACACTCTCTGTACCCAGACACTTGTTGTAAGACGCGTATGGCCTACTTCTATTACCATTAACATAGCTAACTAAAACCTTTCCATAGCTAGCTGATAGGCATGGCCTATTCTCTTCTGATGATGGGGAAGGTGCCATTGCCAAACTTGTACATGGCGTATCCGATCCGTATAAGATCTGGAAAGCATGGGCACGAGTTGAGTCTATCAAGCGGTAAGTTAGCCCGCCAGGTTTGACCAACTTAACTGACCAAAACATAGTCTCATATGCTGTCTGATCTACTTGGACATGGCATATTCCCGATTAATGGGCACTTCTGGTATAATCGAGATAGACAAGGTCGAAATTCATTTGCCGTGTGACGACAGTCTCTTTGATGACTCGACGAATGCCTCGGCCTTCCTGCGCCTCATCCAACAGGGGGCTCAGATGGCCACGCCTCGGATTAACATTCGAGACTTCCATATGACCTCAGCATCAAAGCTAAACCAAAACTCAACCCAGACGCTTCTCCGGTCTCTTTACCTCAGAGTGATAGCAGCTAACAGGGGGTTGTCGAGCAACGAGGGTGGGGCTTCAGTCTCCCGGTCAGCAAGCCCTGTTGAGAGACTTGCGATGGATGAGGGTTCTAAAGCGATTATTTCTGATCTTGTGTTACTCCCCAGGATCCATGTTGACGTTTTGTGTGGACGACATCAAAACAATGCACTGGGGTGGCATTACCTGTGTATCATACTGACAGCTGATGTTGACCTTTTGGAGACGGCTTGTGGTCGTGATGGCTTGGAGGCTGCCGAGGCTTCCCTCGTGCATGTTTTCAAGTGGTCACAGTCGAGCAGCGCTCGCAGAGCGCTCCTCCATGCAGCTCAGGTATTCAACATGTTGGATCGGTGCCATATTCGTGAGTCGTATCTCACTCGGCCAGATCTCGTCTTGTTTGTCTCTGCGCTTGTCATAAGTCAGTATTTTCTTGTTACTAGCCACATAAACATATGCTCTGATGTACCTGCGTTCGAGTTACTGCAGAATATTGATTGGACCACATTGGGAGACGAAGGTTTTGGCAGAGCCACAGGTTGTGTTTCTCCCAGCGTTACAAACATACCTGAACCAGGAACGGTCGCTTCAAAGCCTTTGAGAGACTTCTTGAAAGACGGGGGCCCAGTTTCGTTCGCTGGAGAAACCCAAGTGCTTGGAGGTGTGACAGCGAAGAAGATAGCAAGGAAGTTTGCACACCTCATGGATGGGTTTGGCGAATGGGATGGACGTAGCCATTCGCGACTGTTGAGGGCAATGTGTGGATTCACGCACGATTCCTAACGGCAGAATCTTTGCGCATGTCTATAATGTACTCACTTTGGTTTCACCAATGAATTATCTCACATTAAATCGATCTCACCACAAATCACATAAATAGTGTTTCTTATACTATGCTAAGTATGCTGAAAGGTCGCCGTCATATCACCACCATGCTGTGGTTAGATACCATGTACAAATAGTCGGTCCTCGACCGGTAGAAACGCCTTTTCATGCGGAGGCTCGCCAGTCGGCTGGCCAAAAACCAATTGCGCTTTCAACGACCATTGTGGTGAGATGTCCCACTGCCCGATAATTCTTTGATCTATTATGGGGTTGATGTGCTGCAAGTTGCATCCAAGTCCTTCAAGCGACAGTGCTGTCCACAGATTGAAAGCTTGTATGGCATTGTTGTGCTCAGAGAATTGCGGAAGATGTGTGGCGAACCGAGGGAACTTTGCTTGATATTCTCGAACGACATCTAGATCTTCAAAGAGGAGTACCTATCATGCCTCATATCAGAATAAATATCCTCAACGACGTCAGTGCAGCTCGTAGGCTTACCGTTCCATACGCCTCCTGACGTTGTAACAATTTCTTTTCATATCCACCGTAAACATCCGATTGCATAGTAGCTTTAAAACACTCTTTAGCCATCTCCCAGAATCTCACGTGTTCATCTCGAAGTAGGACTACAAGACGAGTAGACTGGCAGTTGAAAGAACTGGGACTGTGTTTTACCACCTCTCGAGCTATCTCAACGATACGAGCATCGCTGATTGGAGATTTGGCCTCGACCGAATAACAAGTCCGGCGGGTTCTGATTTCGGTTAAAAAGTTATCAGACATTGTGTAGAGTGAAGATAGTTCAAAGTCTGTGTGCTAAGAAAGAAGATAAAGACGGAAGAAATGTCAGAACTGTTAGTCTTAAAGAGTCATGGGCTTTTCCTCTTACTCCTAGTATCGACGGCCTCGGAACTCGAGGCCCCATTAGTGGGACGGCCCCATGTCCCCCACATCCACATGACGAAAATGGGGCCCCAAGATCCTACTTATCCCATGCCCACATCATCTCGTCGTGTATTATTTATCTGTACCAAGTCACTTGAATCAATTCTCCCTCCAATCTCAATCTCGTAATCAGATATCACCTGTTTCAGCAAGAATCTTCTCTTTCAAGCGCTACTTTGTCAAGACTTACTCCAACTTACGCAAATATGGCAAAAACTGTATTGGTCCTCGGTGCCACTGGAACACAGGGTGAGTATTACCAGCAACCTTACCATTGCCTTTGAACTAGACTCATTATTTCCATTAGGCGGATCTATTGCAAACTTATTGGTTAATTACCCAGACCAGTACCTGGTACGATGCCTTACTCGGAATCCTAGTTCGGGTAAGGCAAAGGCACTTGCTGCAAAGGGAGCCCAACTAGTGAAGGCTGATTTGACCGTTCCCTCGACCTTGCCAGAGGCATTCAAGGGTGTTTGGGGTGTCTTTGCAGTCACTGACTTCTACGATACGGTCAGCTCAGCCTCTTGCAATTACTTGTTTCATACTGACTATCCAGTCTGTTCTCGATGACCCCATGAGTGAGGAAAAGCAAGGCCAGCATATTGTCGAGGCTTCAGTAGCTGCGGGGGTTGAGTGTTTCTTGTGGAGTACTTTGCCAAGCTCCCGAGAGATCTCTGGTGGGAAGTTTGTCACCAGACTTTATGAAGGTATTGCAAAGCGGCACATTTATGCAGACATAAAGCTAACGACATCATTACAGGAAAGCAGTCGGTCGATGCTGTCATTCGTGAAGCTGGCCTTAAGGGAGCTTTCATTCGCACTGGAAACTTTTATGAGAATATGATCTCACGAAAGTATGCTGCGTATGACAAGGACGCTGATGTCATCACCATGACACGACCCATTATCGGGCCTGACGCTGAATGTGAGTTCCTTAGCATACCTCCATTGAATCTCTTGTCTAAATTGCAGCGATGCAGTGACTTCTCTCTACGTCGAGAAGGATCTCGCGGCCGTTGCCAAAGCCCTGTTCGACCAGTGGGAAGACAAGAAGGACAGGCTTGATGGGAAATACTTTCTCGCCAGCGGAGCCCGTGAGACAATGGGAGATATCAATGCCATTCTCGAAAGAGGTACGTCCCTATCATAAAACATTCCTTGACCAGCAGCTAATTTGACTCGCATAGTCTCCGGCAAAAAGGTCATCTACAAAGTGAAACCAACGTGTGGGATCCCAGATCGCGACATCATGCTACAGCTTTACAACAACGTGGGAATGTACCCTGGTGTCAAAATTCCGACTCCTGAGGTGGCACTACTGGGTGTAAAGCTTCATGGTGCTGAGGACTTTATTAGGGAGAGGTTGCTTCCACATCTTGGTCTGGATGCGCAGAGCTAGAATGTTTAGATATAAAGCATAGCTTGATAAAGCACGGTTGTGCTCATTTCAATTGGAGATAAAATCATCACTAGAAACTCTCTACTCGCTCCGACTTAAATTGCTTGCACGAAAAGAAAGACCGCGAATGCTTGACTGACAATTATGCCGAATCGCATAACTCAGACGATGCATTACCCTTCATAAAAGACACGCCTACCCTGCACAGCTGTGCTGAGATATTAAATTGACCTCCTTTATTAAGCAGCCAGAAGTACGGAGTGGGTCTCTGAGCGCTCAGACTCAGAGGGAAAAAGACACGTTTATTCTCCACATTCATCTACCGAGATCCGCCAAATGGTAGAGAGGGACTGTGTTTTCGTTCCTCCCTTGAGTTGAGCGGTATGAACCCATCCTGGTATGACAGTACCTAGTCTGCTAGTCTAGCCTGTGCAGCATCCATGACAGTCCCCTGGCAACGTAGCTTGCAGGCTGGGCTTACTTTAGCCAAACTCTATCACTGTCGGACGCAATCTAGACTGCCTGAAGATCTCGAGTCACCACACCCTTGAGGTCCAATCGACGGAAATTCCAGCCAAATTCCGGTTCCGTCCACGGTGATCATCCAATCAAAGACATGCGCATGACCAGCCAGTCACAGTAGCAGCTAACCGTACAGTAGTGGACACCCCGAGATGCGAAGCCCATCAGACGCTACTGAGACCAGTCAAGCCTCAGTTTGTGGGGATGCGGGGAACCCTGACACACTAGACACCCAAGTCATCAGTAACCGTGACTAGATCAAAGCCGACTCTGGGGATCTGGGGAACTAACTAGAGCTGTGCTGTGCTGCAAAGAAGGGACCACGCGGACCGACCGACCGACCGTAGTCCGCAGTGTGTAGCTCATGGAGCTTGACTAACCTTTGTGCTACCAAAGATCTGAGTAGACAGGGCTTCTGGCATCCTGCAGACTTCCCTTTTGCCTCCATACAAACTTCAATCGATACGATGTCACCACCTCGAACTCCAGATTGGGATACAGCCGGCGAGGCCGCAGACCAGAACACCTCAACCACTGAAACACGCGACATCGCACACAAGAACGATCAGGATGATGCGAAGAAAACACATATCGCCGAGAGAGAAATGGCGACAGCCATTGCCGGATCTTGGGAAGAACGACCTGCAAAAAAGATGAAGAGAGGAAAATACATATCTAGAGCTTGGTAAGCCACTTCTCCTGCCTGCTACCAGCTGCGTGCTTGAGTATAGGAAATGAACTGCGTCATTGACTTCCACAGTACATCCTGCCAGCAACGCAAAATAAAGGTTTGTTCTCCATGCCCTATCCTCCCCTTTCTTCCATGTCGAGATGCGAGCGTATTCTGACCCGTCAAATCACGCTAGTGTGAGGGAGGAGATCCATGTCGACAATGCGTCGCGAAACGACTCCCATGCCAATCTTCTGCTCCAAGAGGCGAACAACGAGGCCGTCGCGACTCAAGGACAGGTCCCGTTGGAGGTCAGGATCAGGTTCCTTACCCCTCAAATGACAGGTAAGCAACACATGCGCTTCAGTAACCCACAAGCTCATTGATCATAGCAACGACAACATCAATCGTGCGATATTAGCTCGCCTGGAGGCAGTAGAGAGTCATCTACGCCTCATGCGACCACCTAGCCCCGACCTGTCCAGACCAGCATATAACCACGCATCTGTCAACGGCCAACTCGAACCTTCGACAGCCAAACTACAAAGCGCGTTGGAGACAGATGGACAGACGTTCGCTGGGGAGATGACCATGACTCCGACATTTGAAGATGAGAGCGATCGCTTGGATCACAATAGCACAGTATCATCGGCGATGCGTGTGGACTACTCTTCCCCAGCATCCTCGCTCCACCCCCCAGCAACGTCACCAAGCGATGTGACAGGTAGAAAGAGAGGATGGTTCGAGCGCCTACTCGCGCGGCATGGAGTTGTCACCGATCAGCAGCAATGCAAGTATCACCTACAAGTCTACATGGACGAGGTGCATCCTATGTACCCTGTCGTCCACCCTCCGGCAGTTTGGGACATCTTCAACGAGATGTGGGAGCACCCAAGTTCCAGCTCCTCCACCCAGTCAGGTCAAAGTGAACAACTTCGTGTCTCGGTTGCTTTGGTCTGCTTTTGCTTAGCACTTGGAAGATGCAGCATGTCCGCGAGAATGAGTGATCCCAGCGGCGTCGAATCTTCCGGTTGGAGCTTGTATAATGTGGGAATGAGTTTGCTCGGCGATTTACTTGAAACTAGCAATACCGCTATAAAGTCGCTGTTGATGTTGCAGGTGTTGATGGTGAGGGTAAGTCAACAGACAAATCTACCTGTGTTTCCTGCGGCATGACTAACAGTATATATCTAGATAATGTACATGTTCCGACTGGACGCAAACCAGAAAGCAGCAAGGGTTCATGCTCTTGCAGTGTCTGTTGCGCAAACAATCGGTTTGCATCGCCAAAGCACAATTGACAGTATGCCAGCTTACTACAGCCAGCTATACTCACGCACTTGGTGGTCTTTGTATCTCTTGGATCGCCGACTAGCTCTTGAGTCAGGGAAGCCATATTTCATCCAAGACAGCAACGTTGATACATCACTACCCTTGGATCTCAGCGACGAGTGGATGACACGATTTGCGTCAAGAAAGGAGACTATAGCTGAGCTCCAGCACGAAGTAGCTGCTGAAGTTGCTAGGAATGCATCCCCTTCATGTGTCCCATATATCCTTGCCATGGTACGCTATTGCCGTGTAGCGGGCAAGACATGGGAAGTTCTGTACGGCGTCAAGTCATCAACTGCCTCCATGTCAGCTATGGTCGAATATGTCGATACTGCCATAGGCAAACTTCTCAACACGGTCCCGACATGTCTACAATACGACCTAGATGTCTCTTATGAAGCCCAATTCAGCACGAGGACACGATGGCAAGTCAAGCAAACATTTCTCTTCAACAATGTGAGTCTTACAGAGCAACAAATCTGCCTTTGGTCTCTGTAACTAACAACACTCAGTGCTGTACATATCTGCGTCTTTTAATCAGAAGGCCGCTGTTGCCAAGTTCAAGTGCTATATACCACACAGAAGAAGACGATCTTGAATCGTCAATAGAGTGTGCTAGTCTTGCTGCCCGGATCCTTACAACACATCAAAACATAAAAGACGATGGACTCAAGTATAGCTTCGCACTCAGCCACTACGTCACCAGCTGTGCAATTGTCATGATTGGTTTAGTGTCGAGGGAACCGGGTTCCAAGAGAAGGTACCGAGGCCTCATACTTGCAGCCACTCAGTGTCTGAACGAATACTGTCAGAAGATCTGGGTTTCCGGAAAGATGATGCGCTGCGTGTCTAGGCTAAGTCGACTTGTTAACCGCGTTTTGGCTGTGGAGTCACCAGGAAGCCAGGATCGTCAGAGCCCATCGAACATAAGGCGGGACTCGGTATCGGTATCAGAGCGATTGACACAACACCTAACACCACCCCAAACTGAAGATCAAGATCCCATGCAATACAGAGTGGAGATGTCTAACATGTACAACAATCAGCTCAAAGACCTGAGCATGGATTCTAGTAGCAGTATACAAAGGGATCAAGGAGCGGGTTATTATTCATTCACTACCGAATCCTTGGGCACAATGGCCCAGAGACCAACGGGAAGCCTCAGCAAGCTACCCACAGGTTGGCTAGCTGAACCAAATTCTGATCCTCGAGATAGCTGGATCATGTCAGACTTCAATTTTGAGACATTCGGGGAACGGTTTGGCCCCAACGATGCGGAGCTGACGACATTCGTTGAAAATGATACCCTTGATTTTGCCCGGGGTATGGGTCTGACTTCTGACCGAGGACCTAGTGAGGCAAGACTCGGGGCTCTGGGTGTTAATGGCGTGTTTGATCTTGATATGGACTTGGTTCCTACTATGATGAATCTTTACGCAGGTTAGCATGATTCGTCGTAAGGTATATCAACATCTACTTTGTGACATTGGTGTTGGATTGGAACATCCAGCTGATGGTTACATATGGTGAGATAGGGTCATGAAGATAGCACCGAAGTATGATGGTGTAGGTTTCATTTCATCTTATTTCCAGTTCGACAAGCGCACAATCACGATGCCTTCACGTGTGTATGTGGTGTGATTAGATTTATCTTCGACACTAATGAGTAGTACCGTCAAAACAAATTGCCCTTGCGTATGAGAATGCTGCAAGTGTCACTATTTGACTTGGTTTCTTCCATACCGAAGTCCTACGTGAACCCTCCTCAATAAATATCTTCTAGCTACATAGTTCAGCTAGAAAACCCTTCCTCCATTGAAGATCTAAAGGATCGTCTCCCTTTCCTTGAGCCGCACGTTGAAGCCCATCTGCCTAACAAACCAGGCATTGTGAAGTTTCCATGGCGTGTCTGGATTGACGAGTTCGAGCTATAACTTTGGTTAATACGATGAATATTACGAGACTAGACGACCTTACCTCAAATATCCTTAGAATGGTTGGCACAAGCTTGTAAAGCTCTAACAAGGATATGTTTTTACCAACACACGTCCTCGCCCCCGCGCCAAATGATAACAGACAACTGTTCATTTTCTTTCGTTGTTCGGGTGTCGTTTCGATCCACCGCTCAGGGCGAAACTTTGCTGCATCGGAACCATAAACTTCGGTGTCTTGGTGAATAACCCAAGGCGAGCATCCAACAATGTTACCGCCAGGGATGAAATACCCGGCCAGTGTGACTCCAGCCTCAGGAACAATTCTCTCGAGAGTAAGCCCCACGGCTGGGTGACAGCGAAGCGCTTCATTGATGACGGCGCTCAGGTAGGGCAAATCTCTGACCTCTTCCCACTGAACAAGCCCATCATCTCTTGAAAATCTACCAGCCTTGCTCTCAGCGGCCAGCTCTTTGAGTAGGCTATCCATCTTTGAAGGATCCTTTAGTAGATAGTAAAAGACCGCTCGCAATGTTATACCAGTTGTGTCAGAGCCTGCAAACATGTTGGCTACCGTCAGAGCTAGGACGAGCTGTTCAGTGATAAAATCAGGATCTTTCTTATGTGCCTCCTTAAACCGATTCAAGAAGTCTCTCCGGGGAACCTTTTCCAAGCCCGATTCTTCCTCCTTCTGGCGTTCGATGAGGTGTTTTCTGGCGAACTCTGCAACTGGCGCACTTGAGTTGAGGAACCCATTTTTTACCATCCAAATTTTGATGGGGTTTTTGATGAACAGGTTATCTAAGAAAGGGATCTGGCCAATCTGCATGTGATTTAGTCGTTAGTTATTGATGCATCCGAAGTTTGACGAGGCAGACTTACCCATGACACATAGTTTAAGAAACTCTCCAAATCACGGATGATGTTATCAACATCTACGCCTCCTTCGACAAACCCCAATCTTTTTGAAAACGTCAACTCTCCGATAACATCAAAAGCATAAAACTGAAGCCAAGCCCCGAAATCACACACACCCGCGTCGTTGGAGCGGTCGGCGAATCGAAGCTTGAGCTGTCTGATGAACTCGGTCGAAGTCGAGTCAACAAATGGTTCAAATGTGACAAGTGTACTCATGGCATACGCATTCGAGACTGATCTTCGAAGCCTGGCGTGATATCTGTCGTTGGCCGTGTTGAACATGGTTTCGAGTCTCTTTCCTTTGGCTAAAGCTTGTTGCACGGGGTAGAATTTTGACTACGAGTAATCGTTAGTCGGTACACCAACAGCGGATTCCAAAGTCGTGAGTTACCTTTGACCATCCTGCACTTGGACTGTATATAATCTTCAATGCCTCCGTATCCGCAATCGATACAGCTCGAGGACCCAGTCTAACAGCAGGTCCGTACTTTTTGTGTAGTTCGATATGTATCTCCTGGGCCCGACGGCCTCGTACGACGAAAAGCCTCCATAGATCCGTATAGCCCGCCAGCCATGGGCCTGGTATGTTGTTCAAGCCATGTCCGTATTTATTGTATAGGAGACGTGTCAAGATAGCCCCGAGAAGCCATAGTAGAGTAGTGCTGAACGATTGGGGAGCTAGGCGTTCTAAGATCATTGTGAAGTTAATTGCAATACTGAGATTACTGTCATTTTTTCTGGCTATAATGTATGTGTTGGATTCCAATGATATTTCAAGAACACTAATAAGACTGTTGTCGCCGGTAATTCGGAATTTCCGGAGCTCCGTGTCCGGCCGAAAGCAGCCCGGATGGCGTTCCGCAAGACAACCGTACTCCCCACATGGCATGTCAATTCCTCGATAGCCGAAGAACAGGTTTGATATCTATAGATGGGTTCAAGAGCGATATGTAAGTCCAGAAGTTTTATGAGTAAGATTGTCGGCACATTGACATGCACCTGGCTTGTAAGCCTGCTAACGTTGGAACTACAAGTTGTTTCAACACGTCGCCAGATCTTATGTCGCGTTGGAATAATTATGATTCCTCTACTGTGTAAATTTTCTTTGGATGTCCCGGAATCTTTATCGGAATATGTTTGAAATCTCGAAGCTATTCCCCGGAAGACTTCAAAGCCGGACTCAAGACAAGCCAACCAGGGTACCGTATCGTTCGGCAGATACATAAGCCCGTCATCTCATGCGGGGTGCATCCAGACGTTCCGAGTGCTCTAGCCTTCAGAGTCTCTGACAGCTTTGACGGTATTAATGTCTTAGTCCCAGGGCATGTAAGTTCTCATCACATCCCCATACTATTGACAGTTGCTTACTACCTTCGATCCAAAACAGCACACAGATACTTTTTTGATAAACGCCTCATCACTATTGTGCGATGGGTTCTTTACAAGTAGACAGTTCTCATACACGCACTGCCGCGGTCACTTCCTCTGTTAAGCGGTATATAACAAGCCATGAGCCCACAACTGGAGAGAGCATCTATGTTGATTCACCTGAACTACATCGTGCAACTATACCTAGTTTTGGCACAGCATCTCGGTCTTATGCTACGTTGAAGTTACCCGCAGAACTAGCAGATGACCAAGACTTGAAAGCACACTTAGCACAAGACTCCATTACTAGCCACACTCGAAACACGGACTTTCTGGTTCCTCCATCACAGTTGAACCCGAAAACAGGGGACACGGAGCTAGGGGGAGTGAATGTGATCAACCTTGACATAGAGCCCGGCGCAGTTGGGCATATGCATCGAACTGTGTCTCTGGACATATCTACATGCGTCATGGGAGAGGTGTATCATGAACTTGACAGTGGCCAAAAGGTTCTGTTGAAGGCTGGGGTAAGCCGTTTCATGATCTCGTCATTAGTCCCTGTTGAAGTTCTTTGAGAGAGTCGCCTACTGACAATTGTGCCTCGTAGGATCACATCATTCAGCGGGCAACTATGCATAGATGGATCAATGCTTCTAAGGACCATCGTGCTCGAGTTATTGCTGTCCTCCTACCCACTACCCCATTTCAAGTCAGTGGTGAGTACGTGGAAGAGGAGCATAGGTTCGGTTGACCCATAGGTACTTTGAAGCAATAGGGACTCAACTCTAGAAATGAAGATAGTAGATTCTAGCGTGCTTAAGTTTTATCCCCGAGTATATTGGTATACACTACCCCTAATGACTTTCTCCGGTATTATATGAGGCTCTTAGCTCATAATGATCGCCTCGGCAAATATTCCAAATCGTCATTGTTTAGAGGAGAGAGATTGGATTATTCATTTCAGGTGGGCTAACATGTACCGGCGCAATACAATGCCATCAATTAACCTTAGTCTTGTTTCCTCCCTACAATCCCTCCTTTCTTCAATCCCAACCAAACCACAACTGTGACAGTAGTACAGCTGGCAAAGATAGTCCAAAAGGCTGCTCTATAGCCTTTCATCAAGGCTTCTTCACGGGCTGTGATATGGGAATGCTCTGTGACTGAAGCAGCGATCGCTGCTGTTATTGCAAGACCGACAGAATTTCCAAACTGAGCTACTTCATTGAACACACCGCCAGCAAGTGATTGCATTTCCGGCGGATAAGCGTCAGAAATAACTAGATTCGAGACGGTGAAGAGCACTAAAGAGGTCAACGCCAGTTCATCTAAGGTGGTATAGGACTTACCATCAGGATTAACTGGAGAAAGAAACATGGCCCAAAAGGGAGCAAGCCAGTAATTCTCGCCTACATCAACAGTCGCCATGAGAGGTGCAGCGACCATTGTAACGAGTGCGGAAACAACAGCCAACGTGCGCACTTTGACTTTGGCGATGAGGAATCCGGTGATGATGTTCACTGCTACGCCCATAATGACATGAGGTAGAAACCTAAGAGAGCTCTGTAAAGCTGAAAGACCTTGAACTTTTTGGAAGCTGCAGACTGACTTTTAGCGGTTGAGTAGGGCTTCTTAAACGAAATTACTTACTACAAAGTTGTAAAATACTCGATCCCATTCAGGGAAGCCCAGCACAAAAATACGGCAATGCATACCGATGTGAAGGACCGATTCTTCCACAGGCTATTGGGGATCAGTGCTGGCTTCCCGTGTTTGACTTGGTAGTCCATCCAGAATGGGAATGCAGCGAGTAGAATGATAGCGATTGTCAAAAGCACGATATTGGCTGGGTCGTCGAGTCTTTTGTAAGATGAAGATATCATGGCAAGGACGTAGAGCAGCATGCCAAGCGCTGTGCTCATGGTAGCTGCCCCGACCCAGTCGATCTCGAGTCTCAAACGAGTTGTCCATGGTCTTTCAGAATAAGTATGGACAGAGGGCAAAGACCAGATTGCTCCAGTCGAGAGACAGAAGTTGATGATTGCCATCATGTAGTAAGCCCATCTCCAGCCAATCGTGTCGGTGAAAATACCACCAAGAACAAGGCCCAGTGCATATCCTAAGGGACTGCCCATGCCATTGATAGCGAACGCGACGTTTCTCCACGGCCCTTTAGGAAAGGTGTTGGCTATCAGGCTGACTGCTGTTGGTAGACACATCGATATAGAAGCCCCGAGTAACGTTCGAAAAAGGATGATCTGGATCCCAGTCTGCGCGAGTCCAACAGCCAGTGTGAACACCACAAAGAGAAAGCTTCCCGTTATCCACATCAGTTTGGCACCGATGACATCAGCGATTGCACCGAATATTAGTAAGAGACAACCAGCTGCAAGAGCATATACTGCCGCAGGCCAGAGAATGAGATTCTCAGAAAGGCCAACATCTTGGGCAATCTTTGGAAGAGCCGCGATGAGAATGCCAGAGCCCATCGTGTTGAGAAAGCTGATTCCGGCGAGGGTCACGATCACAACAACGCCTCTGGTCTTGGATATTGTCAAGTCGCTTGAGGCTACTTCTGAGTTTGTAGCATCTTCCCGCTGTAGAACCGGCGGGTCAATTGGGTGGTTGTTTGTGTTGCTTTCATCGTTGCCGTAGTTGATGGACCGGGACTTTACTTTTGGGTTCAGATCTTCCAATGGAATGATTCCATGACGCATATCGGTCGTGATGTCGAAGCTGCGGTCCATTGCGTCTGTCAGAGGGGTAGTTTATTCAGTGGAGTTGTGGGAATAGACACAGTCAATTAATAAAGCCGTTTTAAGCTTATGCTGCTGTGTCAACGTCATCGCTTACGCGAAGGGCGCGCTTTGCGCTCATAAATGACATCAATTGGTAAGCGCGCCAAACACGTTGATCTGCATTGACATCCTATAAACAGAATGCCAAGAGCTTGGCCTCTTTTCATACCAGGCTCCAATGCCAACTACGAAAATTGCCAGTACTTAAATACATCATATCACCACATATACTATCAGTCGCCTTCTCGATGCTCAGCAAACTAGAGTCAAATAGGGATCTGGGAAGACAATTTTAATTCAATACATCTACCATCAGCCAAATGACTAGTGAAATAAAAGAATAAAAGACTCTCTCAGAATGTTCGGGAATACGCGAACGACCAAACCACCCACCCATGAGTTGAGAGATACTTTAAGCCTTCTTGGCCGATGCCCTGACCTCCTGGACCTCCAAACCCTGTATTTCAATATCGTTTCCTTCCTTACTCTTCCACTCCTCAACGAGTCCGCAGAAATCAGCAGGGAGATATGGAGACGTAAGCTCCTGGAATCGACTGGGCTTTCGATGTGTCTTGAGGCCGAGGTCCCGCATAAGCATATTGCAATAAGGAAGTCCCTCGAACACAAGATCGGGTAAATCAGCGCCATAGCCGCAGGGGTAACGCCACTTGCCCCATTGTGTGTGCAGCATTATCTCGTCGGTTATCTCCTTCTCAGATGTGGGAACACTATCAATCTTTCCGGCGAGGAAGGCTGCGATCCAGTGGCCTTGGATAGTTGCGCATGTGGCGGTGCTCACTGTTGAGATCATGCCTGCAAAAGCGAGATCCCGTGATTTGACCATACCGGATGGAACTATGAAGCGATAGTATCGAAGAGGGTCGGCCTGTTTGGGTTTGACGTTGAGCTGAGGCTGGTTCTTCAGGGCGGGGTATAAAGAGAGCACTGTTGCGTCGGCAGCTTGGCTCAATTCTCGTTTCTTATCTGCCGAGTAGGCGAGGCCCAAGTTATCTTCAGCAAACTTGATAGTCGACTCCTTCTTCCAGCCCGTAGAGCAGATGATGGCATCTGTTTCAATGACATTGCCGGACGTAAGAATCGCTCTTCCGGGTTCCAACGATTCGATGTCGTCAATGTGCACTCTGATCTTACCCTGCTTGACAAGATCAAACAAGGAGCTATCATAGTTGAGAATACTCAGTCCACTACCAATCCAGAAAGCAGAGTGCCAAGGCTTGAGCTTTTGAAGCTCGGGATGAGAGTCGTAACCATTGGCCGAGATGACATCTCCACTCAAGGCTTTCCAGAAGTTGCTGACGATGAAGCGGCCAACGGCTGTACCGTGGAGGAAGTTCCGAACACCAGGATAGCCATCTGCTTCCCCCCATGGACAGGGACTGAACCAAGTCATCCATCGGATGTTGAGAAGTTGATCTAGCCTCTTCTTCAAGGGTGTGACGAACGGTGGTGCAATCCAAACGGGTCCGTTGCCAGTAGGACGAACTATCAAGTCAACTTCTGCTCCATCGTGCACCAAAGCGTATGCGACGTCGAAGGCGGACTTTGCTCCACCAACCACGATAGCCTTTTTGACATTCAGGTCAGGAGCTCTTTTGCAAAAGTCTTTGGCGTGGAAGAGAGGAGCACCGAATGCCTCAGCGTTCTTATAAGAGGGCATATTTGGCGTCGAGGTGAGACCAGTGGCCAGGACGAGCCTCTGGGTAGTGATCAAGCGGCTGCCCTGAGGCGAGGTAAGAGTTAGCCGCCAGCCAGCATCGCCATTGCGCTCTACCAAGCCGACTGATGTATTAAACTGGACCCGATCATAGATGTCGAAAGCTTTGGCGAAGTCCGTCAAATACCGATGGAGGACGGTACCAGGAATATGGTTATTTGGCTTGACACCATATGTCTTTTCCGTCATTGGAAAGTCGGGGAATTCGTATGTGCCTTTCATGTTGTTGGACTTGAGACCGGGATAGAGTCTGTTCTTGGACCAAGTGCCACCGCATGACTCGGCCGATTCGAGGACAGTGAGCTTTACATCTGGCTCGATTTGTCTGATGGCTTTGGCGGCGGCGAGACCGAACCAGCCTACAAAGGTGTTAGATAGGGGATACTTGCTGGGGGTATGATGACTTACCAGCGCCCACGACTACGACATCGTATGATTCTGTCATGATGTTTGTTGTTTAAAGAAAGGAGGTTTGAAGTCAGAAGGAAAGATTTGTTACTTTGGGTTCCAAAGAACAAGTGAGATGAGGCACGTCAACGGAAGCGAATGATATCTTCTATATTAACTCAGGAGAACCTTGTCGGATATCCCCAGATTCTACCCTTGACTCCAGGGATCAGTGTTATCGTACGCTAATCCCCCAGTGGCTGGTCGGATAGCAAGTCTGGCATTGCCAACCAAAGTACACCTTCGGAACGACAAGACTGCTATGGTTCCCTCCATTCAACTGCCGTTTTCACATAAGCCTATCGCATCCGATAAGGCTAGTCCATACCCCAGATTACGAGTTCCGTAGACCTTGTGATACCCTGTTCCGACCCCACAGATTACGTTCCCGGAACGGTTATCTGGGGGTGGCATCTCCAGTCTGCACTACGCAGGATAAGGATTGTGCGCTTAACCTTGCCAATCCACCGTCTTATCAACACTAACGAGCTGAATTCAAGGGTTTTCTAACATGAGCTCAGCTTTTGTCTGACTCGTGTAGACTGATTCGTTGATCAACTTGTCGTGAAGCTGCACAGCTGAACAGATTACGGACCTTCCGTACGGAACTTCCGAAGACATCTCTTACTGTTCCGTTACCACTTTAGATAGGAGTAAGGATCCGAGATAGTCTCCTGATCAAGCCCATAACGCGGGGTGCATTACTTGATGTCATTGTTAATAACGCATCGATCATTTACTGTCTATATATTGCTAGATCTTAGCAGCATCTAGATTTTGCATACCTCCACATCCTTGTCAAAGCCACCCAATCAACTTTCACCATGTACGCCGACATCTCAAAGCCTCCAGTTCCTCTTCCTCAAGCCAGCCCTAAGTCAATTGGCGAGGGCATCACTCTCCTACCCCCACTTTCACGTCGAGGTCACGGCCCTGGACTCATCATTCTGCACCCAAACTCAGACAAGCACTTGGAGATAATTGAAGGTGTCCCTTCTGCACTCATTAAATGGGCCGAAGAAGGCTACGCGGTGGTTGAGATCCAAGCTAAAGCGTTCGAGAGGGATGCGAGCGAGGTCCTCAGCGATGCCTTGAAGGCGTTGAAGAGTTGTGATAAATTTGAAGCAGATAATAAGATTGGACTTATTGGTAAGCTTCTCTGGGAGTTTAACAATATCTATCCTGTACTAATCTACTCATTGCAGCTTACGATCCCCAGCTCTGGAATCTGGTAGCGGGGATACTTGACTCTGTTCCAAGCTTAGCAGGCGCAGTTATATACGCCAATGATTCTGATGAAGCTACCCTTCAGAAAGCCAACATACCAATCCTGCGTCATATAGCTGGTCGAACAGCTAAACTGGAGAGAGATAGCGGTGCCACAACATATTCTTACCCCAACGCCAAATCCCATCGGATGGCCACACCTTTCGTTGACGATTTCGATTACTGGGTAGAATCTCTATCTCATACAAGAAATCTGACCTTCCTCAAACCACTCACTGGAGGCCCGTATTTCGACCTTGAGGCCATCTGGGACGAGCATACGTATTATGAGTTTGCCGACCGTTCTGTTGAGCATACTATGAGCACCATGGTAGACCAGCCTTATGTTAATCACGTTCCCACAGTAAGTCCACAATGAATCAGATCCGAGTGAGACAGTCGCTAATATAATACCAGCTTACTGGTGGCATTGGCCGCACGTCGTTGACCAAGTTTTATCGTGATAACTTCATCTTCCAAAACTCTGTAGATACAGAGTTGGAGCTTATAAGCCGCACGATCGGTATAGATCGCGTGGTAGACGAGTTCATCTACAAATTTACGCACAACAAGACTATCGACTGGCTGTAAGCATCCCTACAAAAACCGACATTCCACGGCCATTGCTAACAAATTTAGATTACCCGGTATTCCACCTACCTTCAAGAAAATGGAAGTCCCTTTTACAGCGGTGGTAAACATCCGCGGAGATCGTCTCTACCACGAACATATCGGGTGGGATCAAGGCACAGTTCTTGCGCAATTGGGTTTGATACCACAGTATTTGCCTTTCCCATTCCCGATTGAGGGTCAAGATAAGGAGGCGCAATTCGAATATCGCGTTCCGGTGGTGGGGATTGAGACAGCTCAGAAGATGAGGGATCGCAATTCTGTTCCTTCGAATGAGTTGTTTAGTTTTGAAGTTCGTAAATTGTAGTAGAGATGAATTAAGTGCAACTTAGTTTATTGAAAAAAAATTAATCGTCAAACTCAATCAATTTTATCACTTCATGTATCTAATTCCATTTGACTGTGAAATTTTGCATGGAGATGACTTCTATTTCAACCAATGTAGATATGTCCCTCTAGAGAGAAGAAAAAGATATGTTTATTTTATCTTACCTCTCTTTATCGTCTAATCTCATGTTGTACTCCGTATGACGTTCGAAATAAATTTAATCTTGCGTTTATGAATCTAATCCAAAGGTCATATTGATTCCCCGAGTTATGGCTACCCTAAACCTTATCAAACACCTTCGGTGTGAATGGTGAAGGCATCGGACCCTGCTGCCTAGGAGCAGGGACGAGCCCCTTTACAACACCTTACTTCCTATTGGATGAATTTCCCAGTTATTGGCTAGCAGCCTAAATGGATCAACACAAGCGTCCCGGGGAGGTACTTATCTTTAGCCGGCGTTGAGCCATGATAAGAAGTATCATTTTAGCTCACTATAGTACTCCCATTTTGGTCTAGCACACTCTACCCCGCATGGGTCCAAGCAACACCCGGAGATAACGATAGGCTACGTTAGGTTGAATACCGCGTATCGTCAACCTTTGCCACCGTGTTGCGCTTTTTCTCCTATCTTTCAATCTCGTATCCGAGTCACTTGGGTGTCACCTACTCCCCAAAACATCTAACTTCTTACGGCATTACTAAAGACATTTATGCATTCTGGGAGAATTATCATACTCATCAAAAACGCGGAGCATCATGGCCCAAGCACGAGAGTCGCGAGGCGTCAAAAAGTCAAACAACCAAACTGGAGAAACTGGAAAACGAAGGACACCATACGCGTTAGTCGCGTGTGATGCTTGTCGACGCCGAAAGGGAAAATGCGATGGGAGACAGCCGTGCAGATATTGTGCCGGTCGGAAGCAGAACTGCAGCTATAGCACAAGCTTCGACACGGATGAATGGCAGGCTCCATCAACATCGAACATCACTGATCCTGTTCCGGTCAACGACAGACGAGAGAGTGTGCGGAGTGGGCCGGAAATGGCTTATCATACCAACCAAGCGGCTATCGTTGATATGCTTGCAAATCTCCAATCACAACTGAACAATCTTGCGTCTCAAGTCCAATCCTCAAACCAAGAACATGCCAATCCACGACAAACAGCTATACCTGAGGTCGTTGAACCTCAGAATGCAGTACCTGCAACTGATCAAAGTGCTGAAGACATCAACGACGATCTTAGCTCGACCGCCCAGTCTTCTCGCACTGCTGCGTCTCAAACCTTCTACGGGCCGACATGTCCGGAGTACGCCCTGAATGTCGGGCAGCTAAAATTACGGCGTAACAGTTATCATAGCTTGCCTCTACACCAACGTCAGTTACAACTTGCAAGTATTCACGAGGATGACGCTTCCGACGGGGCCGATGCCAATGACGGCCAAGATACACAATTCTCCCCGTCACCTCAGACCATTGAAAAAGGAGATCCAGCCATGCTGTTGACGTTCCGATCAATCATGGGCTTGCAAGAAGCTATCAAGCTCCTCTATATCTATCAGGAGGTTGTTGGCGAACTTCACCCTGTTGTTGATATCGATGCTCTTATCGTCCAGACTCAGTCATGGTATGCAGATGCTGGCGCTGGAGTGTGGGATGTCATGGCAGCAAGCACGGGAGCTACTTCTTATGAGATGCTGCTGATAATTAATCTCTGCCTGGCTATTGCCCTCAGTGCAGATTCAAGACCGAGTAACTCTAACACCGAGAGGCTTCTTGTGGATAGCTTCCAAGGCGCTGTTAACGGGAAGCTCGCAGCACCTGCTAATAGCATCAAGCATGCTACAATAGTATTCTTGAAGGTAGGGACTTCAACTTCATATCATTTTCCAAATAACTAACGTAATATGACAGGGTTGGTATGATTACTTCCAGGAGATACCGCGCTCGGCTTGGCGAATGTGCGGCATTGCAGGCCGCATGTTGATGGAGCTTGGGCTACACAACTCAGAAGTCTTCAAGCACACATTGAGAACCGAGGCACAGCGTACAGAGGCCTGTACTTTGATAAGTAGTATTGTGATTCTTGATCGACAATGGAGTTATGCTACTGGCCTGCCGACGCATTTCCACGAAACGAGCTTTAGCTCAATATCAACTTCTTCTGTGAGTAAAAAAGTCAGTATTGCTTTATCTTCAGACTAATGGAACGCAGGTCAAGAACCCCTATTTGAAGGCAATGCTCTCCTTCGTACTCATCAGCGACCGTTTCAGCGAACCAATATCTAAAGCCGCTAAAGGCGAAGGATACAATGATGAGAGCTCCTTCGAATTAATGAGCTTCCAAATCGAGCAGTGGAGAAAGAAAGCAGTTGGCAACTACTCTATAGCTCAGTGCCACACATGGCAAACGGATCCGTCAACTAGGCCGCCGACATGGGCGATATTACTTAACCTCCGCGCCGAGTCTGTGCGGAGTCAAATCCTTAAACCCTTTTTCTTTTCAGAGCTGGATATTGAAATCACCAAGAACCACGTCAGACCAGCGACTGAGCGCGTTTACGATATAATCCATGTGTTACATACCCTCGATGTAACTACGGACCTCTATCGCAAGCAGCACCCCTTTTATCAGCACATACTAGCCTGTACGGCAGGATTAGCCTTTTTGCTTATGGCATTCATCAAACAGAACAGGGACATCATGCTGCCAAGCCTCACGCCAGATCTTGTAGAGTCACTTGGCGGTAGCTTCAGCATGTGCGTGGCTCTGACGACAAAGTATACTAGTCGATCACGTGCGGCACGACGACTTGCAAAGAGATTGATCGAAATGCGTCGAAATCTCCTGAGCTTGGGGATTCTTGACCCTACGAGTCCTGGGAGTCACGAAGGGCTTGACAATGTTACAGAGTCTATAAAGAGGGCTAGCCTCTCCCAGCAGGTTCCTGAGGGTTTACAGCCGTTCTCGGAGTACTCGCCACCCTTTGAAACGCAGGGTATAAACATGAGCTACGGGGTGGCCGGGACTGCTGTCACGGACACGGAAATGCAGATGGGGTGGGAGGATTCGCTTCGTCTGCAATGGCCTATCGGTGATGTGAATCACATGTTCTCCGAAAGCATATTTTAGCGTTGATAGCGAGCTATCACAAAAGGGCATGATTCCGTAGCTGGAAGATCTTCAATTGACTCGTGGTGTTTGAGTTCCGCTGTTGATAGCGGAAAAGGCCCTAGTGGTCGGATGTGTCCGTTCCTTAGCCGCTCAACGGGTGCAATATCCGCCTGACGTGCCGCAGACCTATTTAATGACTATGTACGATTTTACTTTTGCCGCTATCCGTAGGTCGGATAGAACACTGCTCAAATTCTGTATTTTTGACTTTTCCAAGTATCGCTGGTAGTGAATTCTAACACTGTTTCGCGACTTGCTTAGTAGTAAAAATAGTATTGAGGATTACCTGTGATTAAACAACCGCTGTGGACAATACGCTTGCTTGCAAAAAAAGTGACTTTATGTATTTTACATTCGCTATAGAGGATAAAATCAGATACAGTAAACTACTAAGACTCATAGCTAATCAATCCATCAATCGTGCCCGCGTGAAGACCTCCAGTGATGGGGATATCCGCAGCAGTAGTATGCTTAGCCGCATCACTCATCAAATAGATAACCGCTCCCGTGAGATCATTCTGTGTGCTGAGTCGCTGGTTAGGCGGCGCCATCCACATCTGCTCTCCCTCCCGCTTGCTCTTGTGCTCACGCACATTTCTCGTCATATCGGAGTCAACGAAGCCAGGTGATATTGTGTTCACTCGGATGTTCTTGGGTGCCAATTCCACCGCTAAGGCTTTGGAAAGCATTAGGATACCGCCCTTGGAGGCGTTGTATGCTGCCATGCGGTAACCTGGTAAACCTATGTGGGCTGATTGGGAGGCTAGTAGCACCATGCTACCGCCTGTGCCTTGCTTGATCATTTGCCGCGCTGCGAGCTGGGCGACAAAGAATGTTCCTCTAACCTGTTCTGTGTTAATCTTCTAGTACAGACTTCCCAGTAAGAGACGGCTTACGTTGATATCTTGAATACGAGTAAACTCATCCCAAGTTTGATCCAAGAAAGGTTTATCGATAGCAATGCCAGCAGCTGGAACCACGCCATCGATGGACCCGAATTCCGCCAAGACCTTGTCAAACGCAGCATTGATACTATCCTCAGAAGTGACGTCGGTAGGGATATACAAAGTCTTGGCGTTGAACTTCTCGCTCAGGGCGTTGAACTCGGCCACGGGCTGCTTTTGGATATCAAACACCGCCACGTTTCCTCCCATCTCGCAAATGGCGCGGGTACATGCGAAACCAATACCCTGGGCACCGCCAGTGACGATGTAGTTGCGTCCGCGGAGCTCGAACATGGGACGGACATCTTGTAAAGCCTCGGTTGCCATTTTGGATAAAGTGTGAATTGGTGATGAGAAATGAAATTATTCTGGTAGAATTAATTGTAGAATGGTATGTATTCCACTGAAAGTTGGTGGAATTAGTGCTGTGACTATCCATTCTTAGACTCTTTACTTATCTTCGTATGGAGTACGGATACTACATGAGGCGCCCGGAATGTGGATCTAGACCCACATTCCGTAGTTCGGAACGGACACCGGCCTTTCCAACACCAACATAGACTAAGACGGAGCTGACTCAATTATCGATCATCGGATAGGGACATAGCGCTTTGCTTCGAAATCCGGCCAAGGGAGAAAGTGACTGATTGTTGGTCTCGTGAGTTGTACGCTAATCTTATTTATGCTTTAAAGGTTTCAGTCACTGGCTTATCTACACATGCGTTTTCAGATTTGACTCAAGCAGATTAGTTCATCCAATAGTCCAAAATGGCATCTCATCCTCCCGCTACATGCTGCATCGTCGCCAGCCTTCATGAGTAAGTCTCTAACTCTTTGTTCCCATTGAAAATCGAACGTTACACTGACACACGCAGAGGAACTCCCAAGGGCACAATTATACAAATTAAAGGCAACGCCAACGCTTATGTAGCCAAGCCGTCTTCAGGGGAGCCCAAGAAAGCGGTTCTATACCTACCGGATATATATGGTATCTGGCAAAACAGCAAACTCATGGCTGATGCCTTCGCCGCACAGGGTTACCTTTGTCTGGTAGTTGACACCTTCAACGGCGACCCAGCGCCATTGGAGATGCCCGACGGCTTTGACCTTATGAAGTGGTTGAATGAAGGTTCTGATGGCAACAATCCTCATACTATAGACGCCGTGGACCCTATAGTAGTTTCGGGGATAGAGTACCTCAAGAGTATTGGCGTAACGCAGATTGCTGCAGTGGGATATTGTCTGGGTGCCAAGGTTAGTCGCCTCGTCAAATCTGATAACTTTCAACATACTGACGCAATCTCTAGCATCTTATTCGACACTACAAGAGTGGCATCCAAGTCGGTTTCATCGCCCATCCCTCATTCGTGGAGTCAGAAGAATTGGCTGCGATAACCGGGCCGCTCTCAATCGCAGCTGCAGAGCTAGATGATATTTTCACTGTTGAAAAGCGCCATGAGAGTGAGACAATTCTGTCCAAGTCGAAGCAAGACTTTCAGATAAATCTTTTCTCTGGAGTCCACCATGGATTTGCAGTGAAAGGCGATTTAAGCGACAAGAGGCAGCTGTTTGCAAAAGACCAGGCTTTTGCTCAAGCGATCGCATGGTTTACCCAACATTTGAATGACAGTTAGAGTTCTGATAGATGCCGGGATTCATATCCAAGAAAATTGTGCAATACTGTTACCCTCTCTCTTCTACGTAGCCCACGCCTCTAAGTTTTCAGCGGCGGAGTCGCTTTCACTTATACTCGTCAGTAGAGCTGAAAAATCATCATTTTCTCCGAGGGGCTTTATGGACTGCGCTAAGCCTTGCCAAATCCTTTCGTCCTTGTCCGTACTACCATCATGATAATATCGCAAATATCCTCCAGATTACTCTTGCTACCAATAAGCGTCCATGGAGCAATATAGCTGTACCCGTCAATATTGACTGACGCCAGTCGGAGCATCTCTCGAAGCCCTTCCGTATAACATAGCCACTCCTGATCTTCTTGGTGATCGAGCTTGAGGTTACACCTTGAAAACCCGAGAAGGGTCGCCGCTGCGCTGGCTGCGATGACGGCTGAATAGATGGCACCTGAGACGTATTGAGAGTCATGGCTATCGCCTGCCGGGCCAGGCTTTTCTACAGCTATACCCAGCGTGGAGAAGTTGTAATCGCCTTTCACTAGGACTGGACTGACTCCAAAGTCTTTTCCACGCCCATCAACCGCGTGTATACCAATGACGTACGGGCTGCTTGCCGGGTATGATCGTCTGCCTTCGAAGCCGAATGATTCAGCTGCAGCCATCAAAGTTTTCCCTTGTTTGTAGGCCTTGTGGATGGTAAGCCTGAGATCCTTGTTTGTCGATGGTAGCCAGGGAGGAAGAACTATGATATCAGCATTCCAGGATTCTACTACCCAGTTAATAACCTAGAGTAATGTGCGTTAGGTAAAAATCGTGCAATGGTCGCGGAAATCAATCGTACTGCCATCGTTGACCCAAACCTTACAATGGACTCTGTCTGTGTTTTCTTTCCATTTTGACCTGGGATCAGTTGGTTCAATGTTTGCCGTCAGAATGGCAATCCGAATGGTCTGCCTCCACGGTTGGAAACTTGAAGCATTTGTGCCCTTCTCAGCGGCAAGACAACTCTCTATGAATGTGCTGTAATGATTCCAGTGATCTTTTGCAACTCGAATTTTCCTTGAAATCATCAGTTCCGAGAGATTTAGATGGCGATCCAACGACTTACGCTTCGTCAATGTTGAAAACACTGTAATCATTTCTTAGCCTCGTACTGTCGTCATGAACTGCCATGCGTATCAGTTTGACGATGCCCGCGTGTCCCGCATCTACCGCCCTTGATAGGGGCGTAAACCCAGCACTATCCAAGGCTTTGGCATCTGCTCCAACGTCAAGAAGAAGGCCTGCGATAGCTTCATGGCCTTGAGCTGCGGCATGAGATAATGCTGTTTGACCTTTGTTGTCCTGGGCATCCAGGTCTGTCAGCCCCTACTCCAGAAGTAACTGAACAACATTCCTATGTCCATTTGTCGTCGCCTCTATAAGTGGCGTTCTCCCAGAATTATCGCAACTACTCATATCCGCGCCGTGGGCTAGTAAAAGCCCGAGGACCACGTCGTGGCCGTTTGCTGCTGCCTGCCATAGGGGACTTCTGCCTTTTTCATCTTGTAAGTCTTTGTCATCTTGCATCGTTTGGAGTAGTTCGGTCACCATTGCCTCGTGGCCAGTCCTTGCGGCATGCCATAGCGGTGTGCGATTAGCTTTGAATTCTTCGAAAACCACGGTCGGTAACAGACACGAAATGGCGTCGTCTCGAGACACTAATCCCATTTCGAGCAGAATATCAACTAGGCCCGAGACAAGATGGCTCTCTAAACGTGGCCCTGTTGGCGTTTCTCGGACGCTGACTTCACCTGTGTCTTCCATTGCTTCTAGAAGACTTTTCACACACAGCCCGAATATTTCCTGCATACAAAGCGATAAAAAGGTAGAGTCGGTTGGTAAAGTCCAGATGGACAGGTCTTCCATATCCGCAGGAAGAAGAGACGGCTCTCCCGAATACCACCCGAACAGTTGCGTTAACACCTCAGTTTCGGGATACTGTGACAACGTCGAAGGAACAAATTTGTTCGCGTTCTGATCCTTGAGTGACTCTGTTAACCATATTGTGCGAGGATTCCAACTTAGATCCGGCCTCGAAATTCGGTTCTCGCGAGGTTTTGACTCTTCAGCCCAATATTGCCAGCCCAAACCGCTGGGGCTTTTGTCCCAGCATAAGATCCTTCGGTTGAGTGTTCCCCGAAGTCTCTCACCATATCCCTTCCATCGATGGCAATTGAGAGACCAACTCCACAATCCCAAAACTGCCTCCAGTTCATGTCGATCTTCAATCTCCCACTGGTCCTCTCCATTCTTGACTATAGACAAAAGCTTGTGACCTTGCAACTCGGGGCTCGATAAATAAATGCGCCCCAAGGGTGTCCAACCGTCGAAGGATAAACGACAATCTCTCTGATCATGTCCAAGTCCAACACCGCACTTAGCTGCTATTTTTATGTGACAAACCAATTTCCATCTCTTCTTTAATATTGGCGAAGACATGAACACTTTGGTGGTAGCTGACTGGATGGCGGAGGCAAGCTTGGTAGCTGTGCTTCGTACTTCGACATTTTCTGTTCCCCACTGTAGATAGGACATATCTCTTTCACCTTGATTAGGGTCAGTGAGTTCCCCAAGTCGACGCCGATAAGCTACTATCTTTTCAACCGTATCAAGATTGTCAGCTATACCATGGTTATGAGAGCTGTTAGGCGAACATTCCAATACTCTTTCTCCAATATCTGACACGCCGTAGACCACCCAAGAGTAGTAGTGGTTTCCACGGGAATGTACGGAGTCAACGTCACACATATCTAGCCCTAGATCTTTCTCGATATCTTCTTTGCCCAGGTGGAGGGCGAGCCAGTCAAGCTCGAAGTTTCGCTCCTCAAAGAATCCCCAGAGAATCTTACTCCCTAAGTCGTCTAAACGTCTCGCACGTAGACCAGCCCTTGCGATAGTCATGACTAGAGCTGCTCCGAGTTGGGCCACTGAAACTGCTGAATGTATACCACGGAAACCAACGAATTGCACGATAAACCCTATGACAGTGGTCGCTACCGCGACCCAGACTGCGGATTCGTGCTCTCCATTGATGATCGTTCTCTCTGATTTCCTATACTGCCTCAAAGTCCTTTGATGGATGTAGCAGAATGGTTCGTAAGTCTGATCTCCCAACGTTTGGCGAGGCTGCAGCCAGCACAAGGACGAGCGTTGATGAGCATTCTTATTTCTATTGTACGTCGTTTCTCATGTGTATTCTCCTACAGTAAATGCGCAGAGAAACACGCCCCCGCAAACAAGGACAGTTCCAGCGATGGCCATAGGGCAAGCGTATTTGGATGGTTGTTTGCCATCTTTATTCCATCTGAGGAGATATGTTGCACAAGCGGCAAAAGCCAGAACACTGCTTTGAATAACAATTCCGAGTATCGCAACAACTTTGAACCACGATTCATTAGGACGAACGATACCGACGTTGTGGGAAAGATTAGGAGGAAGATACGTAATCTCGCTAGCTTCTTCACTCTGCCGTATCCATTCTTGCCGACCGTTTTCTGTTTCGCAATATTCCTCAAATGTCGTTATGCCAGCCGTTCCGTGAGGTCTTTGAAACGCTGCATATGGAGCATCAGGATCGTGGACAAATTCCAGAATCTTGGGACGTCCGATGACACGTGCGATACCGCCATTATTGTAAAGTTCGCAGACATCGCGACTTGTTGAAGATAGAAGTTCTGCCTCGATATTGCCCTGGCCCTCCTTAGCCCTGCCGACAAAGGAACGCAACGACGGGCTGCCGGACACTCGAACGGCCGAGACTATGGCTGTGATAACCCCGATCGGGGCCATGGCGAAAATGAGGTAGTCAAGAAGGGTTGTACTCTCGCTAAGGTACTGCTTGGTTACCTGCTCTCCAAAGAGCGAGATGACCGGGGCTAGATCGGTCGCGAGGTTGTTTGAGAAGTCATCCCAAAGGTCCGCGGACACGCCGACCCCAAGACTAATAGTAGCGATGATCAGAGATTGAGAATTTGGTTTCATGGTCGATGTCTTGATTTTGTGCTTTATGAGGGATTATCCAGGATGGTCGAAGAAAACTCCCCCTCAGCTGAGGAACAGAAATCAGGCTGAGGCATCCAAGGACCAGATTGGCTGGATCGACTGATAGACCATGACATAGCTTTTCTGCCTGCCACATGCAGCCACGGCGTTATTTTGACGAATCGCTAACATTCTGGCTCGTGTATGCTTACTTGGTTGTTTTTATGTGATTACCTACATCGGAGGGTGAGCCAGGGCTAACAAGCCACGTACCCTGTCCCCTGTACAACAGCTGGCTTATCATCGCCGCATATTCAAGTACTAACTTGACACTACTGATCATATGGGATATCCTATAGTGAGGTCAAATCCTGATAGCACAAACGTCACGGCTGACCATTTTAACTGAATAGCTTTATTGTGTGAAGCTGGTATGTATATATGTGTTCTTCGAGGATTCTCATCTTACCACTAGTATGCAACAGTGAGCAGAATTCCTGCAGGTAATCTAGCATTGACTCGTGAGGCGTAACCAAGCCGTTCTATCTTAGTTGATGGCTGGAACTAGGTTCTCTTTTCCCACCTATCGATAGATGTTAGTATAGTCTCAGAGATTCAACACATCGTACTTACAGATCCAAGAATAACTTCCAAAGAATGGAGAATAGAATGCCCTGCAAACCATTGGCCAAGATGCGGGTCTTGAGTCCTCGTCCCAGGAGGCCGAAAATGCCATCTTGGACGACGACAGCACGTGCCGCTTCCGCTGGAAATAATGGGTTAGTTAATGAACGATCATAAGTGACTGGGTGTGGTTGACGCTTACAGTATGAGATTTTGGTGTCATTGACCTGGCGATATGTCTTGACAACCCTGAGTGAGTTGGAAATAGAGTCCGATACGATCGAGGCGCAAAAGCCGATGAAAGCTAGACGGAGAAGCCACCAGACAAGGGGGTGTCTTGGGGGTTCGGTGATAGCCTCTGACAGATAATTGTACTTTTGACTGTTAGTCATCTATCTATCTTCTTCGGGTGAAACTAACCGTAGCAAACCAAGGGTAGTGTCCCACAAACGTTGCAGCGGCGGTAGCAAAGGCACCCCACCATAGGCTGCCGATACCGTTTGTTTTTATACGCCGTCTGAGGATGGCTGTTCCACGAGCACCTTGAGCTTGAAGAGTAGTCTTCAAGGTATCGACAGGCGTGAGAATCATTCGAAAGGCCGCAGCACTACAAAACAGATGAGCATTCGGCTGCGGAGAATGAATTGACAATTGACAAAGACTCACCATAGAGAAGCAAAAATGGTCTTGATTGGCGAGGGGAGATCTTTGAGGTAAGGGTTTGATTGGAGCAAAGCAAGAATGCCAGCGTTGGCTGCTGTGTCTCCGAATCTTGAAATGGGGCCTTATCATAGTCAGAGTGAGACAGCCGGTATGGACTTTGGGAGACAAACCTTGAAACAAAGCAGGCGCAATACCCTGGTAATATCGTCGGATTCCACCGTCAGTGTAAAGCGTGCGTGTGGCGACTGTGAAGGACGTGCCATGGCGGTACTGATAGTTCATGATAGTTCGTAGAGGCTGGTTTTCTGTGTTAATATCCCATTTTCACTGATTCATAATGTGTAGTCTTACCATGAGAAGCAGCACCTGCAACACCATAGCTGCTGCACCGCTGAGACCACCCCCAAGCGCTCTCTTGAGGGCTTTCTTAAGATCAAACTGAACGTTTTAGTTACTGATTCTCCGGTACGCGACAATTGCTTACCTCTTTGCTATCCGAATCAACCCATCCTTTGATAAAGACGGAAAGAATGACTATAGCGAGCAGAGCCCAGAAAATCCGCCACGCGTACCAACTCTTCGGTCTCCTTTCCGGTGTCGGCTCCGGCTCGGCTTCGTTATCGGCCTCATCTCTCGCAGGGTCCGAAGGTTGGTCTGCAAGCAGCGGAGTCTGCTCTGTGCTCCTCTGTAGACTCTCTGGGTCAATCTGAGCAGCCATTGTAATGATTGAGGAATAAACTCAGAATTCTTAACAGTTGGAGAAGAAGAAAAACATGTTTATCTGGAGATTCTTTGGTTTGGGGGCAGCCCCCGCAATCGTCATTGATAAGCTGGGGTTCGCGTGCTCGAGGCAGCGATAGCGTGCGAATTAAGCGGGGGCACGCCTTCAGCATTATTAATCCATCCATCTATCCACTTTATCTTTTGTGTGCTATCTAACCGGGGTGATTTCTCTAAACCATGCATATTTTAACAGTCGAGATTGTAAAACCAAGCACAAGTTGTTTTCGTCTCATAAACTATTAAGAGACATTCAGTGCCTCTTATAACTTGCACTTAAACCAGTGCTTAGACTAACCATGTCTGATAAGGAAACAAATCGTTAGCTCACCTATTGTGGCGGGCTGAAGCAATAGTGTTATGCATCTCCCCATGCTAAGTCAACTATTGGCAAATCCAAGACAGCTATTCGTCAACTCATCAGGGAAAGGTTATTATTGCAGAGAAGCCTGCAAGACGCCGGATCTAGACCTGACGATTAAATCTTGACTTCGCGTCGACTATTAAATGCACAGATCCCTCCGCAATATCTTAACTCTTTTACCATTTTCTAAACTTGGGCATCATTCCCAAAATGCCGCTCAACGCACACACCGGTGGCTTCGTCGCCGGAACATTGGTAGATACCATGATGAGGAAGGAGAGCATTGAGAACATCGGAGAGAATTCTAGCGTCTTGACTCGTGCTGGTGAAACACAACAGTGGGGGGTGAGAAGCAATGAGGTCGTCATGACCCCAGCATCAGACAATTTATACTCTTTCAACGGGGGTGATCCGTTCTTCACCGCGGGACAACCATTTTACACAATAATTGGCATTCGTGCTATCGATCCAACATTTGCACGTCGGTAGAATCCGTGGCTAGATGTTGATACACTGAAAGTTGGACACGTGCTTCTGCGTCTGAACGCGACAAACACTAGCTACGAACCCGTGGAGATCAGATCAATCATGAGCTCTCAGAATGAGAGAGGCAATGTGTATAGCCTACACTTTAGGGAGGGTTTGAGAAGCTATCACGCCAACGGCTATCTGGTATCACTCAATTATCCTGAAATAACTGGAGCGTCTCTGTTGTATCAACTACGAACCATGCCCGATCAGGACAAAACCAAGGCTCTCCAAAGTCTTCAGGATCTCAAGTCGTTATTCGATCGATTTGGAGTGGGGTCGATTATAGACCGCTTGGTAACGGGCGAGAGTTCTTCCAACGCCTAACGTCCTTGCAAGGCTATGGATGCAGCTGAGTCAAAGTCTCAGATGGGCTTACACGAAAACGACTAAATTATTCTTCACAATTGATGGCAAATTCTTCCAATGCTATGATTTTTGAATAAATCAGCCGCACACCACATAACAACATATTGGATCTCAGTGATAGTATAGACAGTGACTTCTAGGATCCTCTAGATTAAGTATCTCTAACCAGGCCTGGCTCCTGGTTCTGAACCTGCCGAAACTCCCTTGTATTTGCGCTGTCTTTTGACCTTGCATCTTCATACTTGATATCAACCTATCAAATGAGAAATTATTAGAAACGACAAAATGTCATCGCAAGGAAGGTTGACTTACAGCGGTCGTTCGGATGATGCCATTGTACGTCATAATCTCCTCCTCACTGCCACTCGGTGAATACCCGCGAATCTCAGTTTGTGTCCTGCTACGGTGCATGTCCTTGAGGTGAAACGACACAATCCCAGCTCCGCCATTGCCTCCTGTATGTGGAGTATTATACTTTCCAGCCTCATTGGTAGTTGGGCCTGAGAAAAGGCGAGGAAACATGCTGCGGAACAGTGGGCGTAGGGTCGGCCCGCAACAAGCGATTATGGCCAAGTTGACCTCGATGCTACTCAGAGTATCGGCAAGAGACTCTCTTGAATCGTACCCTTCTCTATAAAACTTCTTATGCAACTCAACTACTCGTAAGATGGCGACGATTGTCACTCTTAGAAAGGGTTAGCCATCGGTACTTTAGTGACGGATAGAAACTCACATTCCACCCAGCAGAAATACCACAATTAGACCCATCTTGGCCACAAAGCGCATCTTCAACCCGATGAAAATCCAGAACGGTATCAATAGCACAAGGAAATCTGTCACGATCGTTATGATCGCGCTGATTATGTAAAACATTGGCCCGTCGATCTGTCGGCGTGGTTTCAGGGATTGATCCCAATATGCGGCAATAGGCATTGTTTGGAAAACAACCGTCATGAATATGGCAATCATGAGGGCTACGTTAAAAGTATTCAGAGCGTAAATAGACCACCTGATACTGCGTCGATGGCCTCCGAGACGAAGTAGAAGAAACAAGACAGAAGACTTGACAAGCGCTAGAATGGGGTTATAGAGAACCTGCATGATCCAGTTGTAGAATAGGACAGGCTCAATGTCATAGGACTCTGGAACATCCGCGGTCGAGAAACCTGTGTATCCATATTTTAAGACTATTCATGATAAGTGCTTGTTCTATGGCGTAAGATCCACCATTACTCACAGAAGTAGTTTGGAATGACAAGGCCAATCGAAAATATCTATCGCTATCAGCCACTGCATCGATGTGAATAGCACGATAAGATTACCATTGCGACAGTAACAAGCCAGTCATCTGTGGCAACTAAATCAGATACAAAGTTCATGGGCATATATACGGAGTTGTTAAGAACTCACCAGTTCCAAGCTGCCTTTTACTGCATCTGGCGTACATGCGGGCAGCCCACGTGATAAAAGCCAGCAAGGTCATGAGAAATATGATAGCAATGGCGCTTTGCTGGAGTGGTGTGGTTGGTAGCTGAGAAACTGGGACGTAACGAGGCTGGAGGCCCATTCTGGTCACTGCAGCAATCTGTCCCTCTGTCATTCTAGAGACAGCAGTTTTTACTTTGCAGCATTTAGACCGCCGTTGGCTATTCTATTACTATATAGATTGGAAGTCTCCGTGATTGACAGCCACTTCTTCAGCAATTTCCCATTGCCTGAACCTCTTTCTCAGGAGCCAACAAGCCGCCGGAAATGACCATGAGATTGCCTCATATTTGACCAGGATAAGATGTTTAAAGCCAACAACATCAGGCGAAGGCTCACTTGATTGTTCTGCGGAGCTCGTCCGGGTTCATTAGCACCCTAGTCAATAAGGTGGAGAAAGTTACCGTTGCTAGATCGAGCCAACGGATGGTTGCCTTCGGGGCAAGTCATCCGGAGCGGGCATCGCCCACAAGGGAGCATCGTTTACTCCGGATCTTCACCTCCCGCTTTAGAATTACTTTAGCCTATACTATTTACATATTATCTCATCCGTGAGTAACCTTGTGTGGACGATCTTGGAAGATTTTTCACTTGGCACGCTACCGTAATCAAATACCGGAAGAGCAGTTGTTCAAATCTCTTTCGACTCTACGAACTGCTTTTCTCACCGGGATTGATGGTGGTTGTAAACAGGGGACCTGCATTGAGAAATTCAAATTTGTGCAGCTCCAGTGGCTCGGCTCAATTGACTAACTAAATCCCTGAATGTCCACCAACCGGAAAGCTTTCCTGAAACTTGGCATCATAATAAGTAGTAACCAACAACACCCCATAGCCTTGTCGACAACTCACAGATCCCGTTGCTGGAAAAGACAGTCAAAGTTCGAGGATTCATCCCTCAGCCAATGCGGGCACTAATACTTTGCACAAGTCAACAATGTCATACCAACAAGCAATAATTTACGCGGGATTCCTACCTTGGCTGCCTGTGCTTGCATGAGGCCCGCAGGCAGAGTAACATCTTACACGTACACAGAGAAAATAACGCAATGCAGGAACCTGGACGACGTATTTCCAACCCATGGTACCCAAGGTCTTTTGGATGTTGGCTCCATCCATGCAGAATATGCGTTTCAGCGCCTGCATTACCGAAATGTGGCATGATCGATTCGCAAGCGGCAACATGAACCACTTCCACAGTTCATCCACTTCAGATTCGTACATATAGCTCATTCTCGTCAGATTGTTTCATTTGGTTACTTACCAGCCCTCTTCTTACACTTTCGTTTGCGACTCTGTATCGCTGCACAACCAGAGCAGTATGCGAATTACTCCTAGCCTTTTGGGCAGCCTGGTTTCCTATCTGATCTCTCAACAATGCTTAGTCCAGGCTAGTCGCTCTCCGGGGGGTACACAAGTGGGCGAGGTCGTGCAAGGAGATTACTTCTCCGAGGAAGCTTTTCAGCTTACAGACGACTCACTCTCGACCCTCGATGACATTGATCCAGCACATGCGTCTCTCTTTTATCCTGAGAACACGTCCCAGCGTCGAAACATCGGTTCCCATTCGTCGCGAAAATGCAAGACGTTCCCTGGAGACTCGCTTTGGCCGAGTACCACTGTCTGGCGATTATTCGATCGTGTCACCGGAGGCGCTCTCATAAAGACTGTTCCCATCGCAGCTCCTTGTTATGACGATTACGGAACCCACGAAAAGTCTCTTTGCAGTCATATTGTTGACCAATGGACCAATTCTTCTCTACAGTTAGTCAACCCTAACCATGATCAAACTCGATGACTGACATAGCAAAGTATTGCCGACCCATCATCTGTCATGTGGCCACTATATCAGGGCCGCACATGTCAGCCTGGCGTAAGCCCCGAGGGGAATTGCACACTCGGCGGTTATCCATCTTACGTTGTTGATGCGCAAAATGTTGCCCACTTGCAATTGGCTGTCAACTTTGCACGATCGACCAACCTCAGACTGGTGATCAAAAATACCGGCCACGACTTCAATGGGCGCTCGGCTGGCGCTGGGGCACTGTCGATCTGGACTCATCGCTTCAAGGGTATCCAGTTCTTCAAAAGCTACAAGACTAAATCTTACAACGGACCCGCGCTGAAAGTTGGAGCTGGTGTCATTGGCTCAGAACTCTACGCAGCAACTGATAAGTATGGTGTCACTGCCGTCGGAGGAGAGGGAATGAGTGTTGGTTTTGCCGGCGGTTATTTGGCTGGTGGTGGACACTCGCCTATGTCTCCTCTGTACGGGATGGGTGCCGATCAGGTGAGAGTCATATCTTGTGCCTAGTTCAGATGAGAACTAACTGCAACATAGATCCTGAGCATCGACGTTGTCACGGCAGATGGTCGATTCGTCACCGCTAACGAAGAGAAGAACACTGACCTTTTCTGGGCTCTCAGCGGCGGTGGAGGAAGCACGTATGGCGTAGTGACTTCGTATACCGTCAAGACCTTCCCCAAGATCAAAGCTGCCGTGATGTCCTTTTCCTTTGGCACCAGCAAGACAGTCTCTCACGATGCATTCTGGGCCGCTGTTCGAGCTTACTGGAAGCTCATTCCTACGTTCAACAAGGCGGGCAACTACGAATACTGGGGTATCTTCCATGGAGAAGGTGATGCGCTTATGTTCTCTCTGTTTCCTTTGTTTGCTCCCAACCATACCCTCGCCGAGTTGAAGACACTAGTTGCCCCTCTGTTCAAGACATGGAAGGAACTCGGCATCGAGTTTGATGTAACCGAGTCAGAGCATGACAACTTCTATGGTGCTTGGTCTGCTGGCTTTCCTCGTGAAGTCGTCGGTGGTGCAAAGACCAAGACAGCTGGTCGCCTGTTTCCTAGGTAATAACTTCCCAAGGCCTGTCTCTGCTGTTACTAACATGGTGCTTTATCTAGTGAAAACCTTGAGGATCCTGCCAAGTTCAACAAGACCTTCGGCGCGCTGAAGAGTCTTTCCGACAAGGGTGGACAAATTATTGGCTTTGGAATCACTGGTGGTCCAGGACCTTACCCTGAGAACGCCGTGAACCCTGCTTGGCGAAATGCTGCTATGTGGGTGATTTCGGTTATTGACTTTCCCGAGGGTAGTTCTTGGAATGTGGTCGCTGAGAAGAGCAAGACGTTGACAAATGATTGGATGAAGCCATGGAGAGATGTAACGCCCGGCGGTGGTGCATATGCTTCTGAGGCAGACGTTACTGAGCCCAACTTCCAGCAGTCGTTTTACGGTGCCGATAAGTACAAAAGGCTTCTTTTGATCAAGGACAAGGTCGATCCTAATGGTCTTTTTTATGCACTTCAGGGAGTTGGCAGCGAGCGGTGGTATGTCAAGGACCAAGTTGATGGTGTACCCACTCAAAACGGTCGCCTCTGCAGGGTATAGGCACGAGCATGTCACGAAACAGGAAAATCTAAGGAATGATCAAATTATGTGTCTTCGAATTCTCGAAAGTCTAGTCTAAAATCCAACAAAAATGCTTGCAAAATCTCAAATGCTCAACCTCTCCATTTAGTAAAGCTTGAAAGCCTTGGGACCCTTGTAGGCCTGGACCTCAGCGTTGGGCTGCTTGGACACCCAGAGCTCCTTGTTGGGAATGGAGTGCTTGGCGGTTGTGTTGCTGCTGGGGGTGACTGGCTGGGAGACGGAGAAGGTCAGGCCCTTCTTGCTGCGGACGATGTCAAATGTTCGAGAAGACTCGTCGCACTGGGCTTCCTTGACGTTGGGGAGAAGACCGTCGTTGGACTGGACGAGGGCGGTGCACTGGACGGGGTGACCCTTCCAAGACTCCATGGAACCGGCCTGGATAACCTGGAAAGCGTACCTTGGGGATATGTTAGATGCTGAAGGTGAGGTCAAGAGAATGGTTGGTGACTTACCTGCACTGGGAGCTGTGGGGAATGCAGCCAGCAGAGAACTCGCGGACCTCGAAGACGGGAGTGGCAGCAGAAACTGCGGAGGCAGCGGCGAGAACGGTAGCGAAGAACTTCATTTTGATGTTGGTTAAGAGTGAAGTTTTGTGTTGGGTGGAAAAGATTTGTAGAGTTGGTGTTGAGATGGAAAGATGTTGTTAAGATATGGAGGAAGGATCAGAGGCATATGGATCTTTTTATAATGTTCCGTCACCAGAACGCTCGAGCCATTATGCATTGCCTCCTTTGCCGATCCCTAGAGATCGACCCTGAAAGTGTTGTTGTTTGTGGGGAACAGTGACGGTCACGATCTCAAAACCTCGTATTTCTACGTGCCGAGCGGAACTCGGCATTCCAGGGGGAACGGTAGATGCTTTCTTGGCTGGGGCAACACTCCGCCTCAATGAAGGGCGGTATTAGCATCCAAATCGTAGAGCTGCGTGAGCTGTCTAGAATGGGAGGATAGTTCTCGTACTACGTATGTTTTTAGTGATCTAGAACGATCGAGACGTCTGGACAATCCCGTAATTGAGGGTCCTGGGATATAAATAGCATCCCCCATGATAGGGTGCGCTTAGCCTGATGCAGACGGACAAAAGAACGGACCGAGGTTCCAGAAAGATGGATGATGTCACACAGAGACATTCTTGGCTGCGAGGGTCGCTTTGACGTTGCAAATGACATAACAATTTGCTTGGCAGTGGCTGGCTCCCTTGGAATCAATACATAACGAATAGATTTTCAAAACTATCCGAGATAGTATACCCCTTAGGAACCGAGATGCACCCTGATCTTGACCCAGTCTTGGTTGGCAGTCTATCGACCCATCACATGCTGCCTCAAGGTGGCTTAACTATGAGAGTAAAAGACTTGATCGGCAGGGTGCATTATCAAAGATACTTATATCTTGGTGTGATCTGCCCTTCCAAAGATGTATTCCTGATGTATGGCCTCTGATTGGGTAGAATACATAAGGGGGGAAGTCGAATGACTCTTGTGGAACCGCTAAACTGCACTGCAACTTTAGCCTAATCGGCCACCCTAAAGTCCTGCACCAAATTTATGCAGGTATTCCTACCAGCAAAATTGTATCTTCTTATACTTCCAAGGAGCGCCCCCAGTAAATCAAATCCTTTCAAGTCAAATTAAATTAGCTACTTTAATATTCAAATTGAGTGAGATTTAGACCTTCATTTATTTGATTCAATTTATTTATGAGTATGTTCTATTTACATGTAGGGTAATTATCTTCTTCTTAAAAAGAGACAGAACGAGATAACCTATCTAATCTGGTATCTTATCGATAGGCATATAAATAAGATTAGATCTACAACCAATTTAATTTGAATCATTCAAATCAAGTCAAAAATAAATTCTATAAATCAATTTAGAGGGCCTTTAAATTAAATACGGAAGAATCGATTGGAAATTTAATTTGTTAGGAGCGCTGCTACCAGGGCGTTGTCGTGGCAGATCCAGGATAACTACAAAAAAGAAATTCTCCTGTTTGTTCAAGGTTGAGGAACCTAGGCTTACCAGGTAGTATCCTTCGATATTTCGGAAAGAATGTTTCGTCGCGATTTAAGTGGAATACCATAGGACGTCTAAGACCCTAAGTTTTCTGAGTCTTTCTTTTCTTTTTCAAATTGGATTTCTTTTGCTCAGACCTGGTGCCAAATTTACCTGAACTCATTTGACCTAGATTTTGTAGAATTTACATTTCTCAACAAACGTCTCCTAGGAACATGGGTGTTGGCAGGAAAGAAGATTTGCGATCTAATTATCCTTGGGTTTGTCTTGACCCTACAGGAAAAGGTCACATGAATGGCCTAGAAAACCTTTCCCTCGCTGTACCATGTTCCCAGTAACCTCCATCATCGTCGTTGTACTCGGCGCCTTCCAGATCAGCTTTAGAAAATTGGACTTGTTGTTACCGTTGCAGCCAAGACTCGCACTGCGTGTTCTTGTTGGCGGTGCGAAACAAGATTCTGACCGCTTCTTACAGAACTCTGATCATCCCCGAAGGGATCCGATCTAGGAACTACAGTCTCATCAGCCATGATCTTAGGATCGGGAACGATTCCGGCTGCCAGAGTCGTTTGCCTTGACTTCATTGTTCTGTGTCTTTAACGTTGGAAAAAAGGGTTGTAACTCGCTCGGTGCCATGCCCTCGCCATGACTATTAGAACCCGCCGTTTGCATCGTTCTTGGAAGTCTCCACCTATTTCGAAAGGTACTTACGCTGCTCATGTTCGGTGGTCCTGATCTTCACCAGCCTCTCAACCTGCCCAATGACCTCTTTGAACTTTGTTTTCACCTCACCTACCAGGCCTCTGGGATAGAGCTTGATCTGCTTCGCCAAATCCTGTGGATTCACAATCTCTCCACACGAACTCTCGGTCTCGAGCGAAAGTGTCTTGAAAAACTCTCTCCATTTCGTCTCAACCATGGTCTCTCTGACTTTTCTCTTCTAAAAGGGCTCTCAATCTATGCTGGCCATGTCCGGGGTTCCATTTGGTATGGTCACTGAAACGTTCCATGAGCAGACGAGGCGAGTTCTTGTCGAGATGAGTGAATATTTTGATCGTCCTTTTGTAGTTAGGATGTACGTCGAAGTACGCTACCTGAGCATTAGCTATCTGTATCGCCCATATCATAAATTCTCGCATGATGAGGAGCAAATGGTGCGTAACTCCACTTGTTGAGGAGCTACTATCTTTCAACAACGGCTCTGTATTTCTCATCATGGCTTTCATCCACTCGCATACTTGACCTAATTATCCTAGGTCTTTGTATCTGTTCAATCAGTGGTCCAGTATTAGGGTTGTGGGGTGCCGTTTTACAAGGCGAGTTGTATCATTCTCTCGAAGGACAATAACTAGTTTCTACGCTTCTCGATTAGAATCATTACTAAGGCGAAATCAACTTACCTGCTACATCTAAAGTCAAGAAGGTTAAATGAGACATTGCACAGACTTATCCAAATATAAATACTTTAAACTATTGACAAAGATGAAGAACTATATACAACTTCAAGCAATCTATTTACAAGTCATATTCATTGCTTACAGAGTCTTCTTAGCCCATCCAACCTGCTTGTTACCACCATCGAAAACAACGAAAGCAGCCTTGAGGGCGATATCACCGAAGATGTTGATGCCAATATCTTCGCTAGGCTGAATACCACCGAGGCAGGTGGAGGAACCTTCCTGGACAGGAGCATAGTTGATGTAAGAGCCGGGAATGGTGATGGTAACCCCACCGACGGCAAAGCTGAAGTTGGGCAGCGTAGCAGAGCAGCTGAAGACGTATCCGCCGTAAGAAGAACTATACTTAGCTCCGCTGACCTTGGCATAGTATGCGGAGTTGATGCTGGAAGGGAGGAGGAGGAGGGTGGTGCCGGTATCAGCAATACCATCGATGGGGCTTTTGTTGAGGGCAGCAGAGCCAACGGCGTAGCCAGAAGCAGTGAAGTCCCAGAAACCCTGAGAAGAGTCCACGGGAGCGTATCCGATCTTGCCAGTGTAGGCTGTGCTATCGATGTAGCCAAAGTTGTAGGTTCCAGGCTTCTGGTGCTTGAGATCGGCAGTGAAGACAGGGTTGGTGAGGGTAGAGATGGCGTTGTCAAAGAAGGTCTTCTGCTTGGTGGGCTTAACAGTGTTGATAGAACTGAAGCCTAGACCGAGGAGGCCATCGAGACCAGTCTCTTGCTCGAATTCATCAGAGACCTTCTGGGCAGACTCAACAGCTTGGGAGGCGACGGCCAGGCCACCAATAGAGACCTTGTCCTTGTAGACATCTCCAGACGAGGTGCTTCCATCACCGTAGCTGATAGACCAAGTTGCACCAGAGAGCTTCTTGGCAGTGCTGCTCTTGGCAGGGTTGTACTCATCGTGCCCACTGCTACCAGAAGTCTCAGTGCTGAAGACCCAAAGATCAGAAGAACCAGTGTCGAAATCCAAGTTCAAGGTCTGAGCAGGAGTACCGATTTGGACGGGTGTCAACCACTCGATGTCCTCATCAGAAGGGGTGGTGATGACAGTGCCGCTTTGGCGCTTGTGGTGAGGAGGTCGGATAGCCTTGACGGCCTTCTCGAGACCCTTGGGGAGAGGGACGCCGTACTTGTTGTAGACGTGGGCGAGGGCAAGAGGACCGTTCTTGACGAATTGGGGGTTCTTGACTTGCTCGACGGAGAAGTGCTTGTCTTGAGCAGCAGGTGCGCCAAGAGCGATGGAGGCAAAGGCCAAAGAGGCGGAGAGAAGAGCGTTGAGAGAAGGCATCTTGATGATCGAGGCTTGAAGATAGAGAAAAGGATAGAGAAGAATGTGAGTGAGGATGATGTTCCAAATCTAAAACAAAGAGATCAGAACTACACTTATATACCTCTATCTATCTCTATCAGAATGACTCTCTCCATCTCGCGATTTCGTGATGCTTCATCTATCTTGCGCTGTCACCTCACTCGGCTCCAAACTTCCGTTCACCTTCCAAGAAGAGCCCTCAAACTTGACGTGATCAGTCCCTTTCAGCAGCGGTATACATGCCGAGCCTAGTGGCTTGGCTTGATCTGTCTATGCAGCCTCCCGCCCTTGGCATCTGCTTGTCCGCCTTGGCAGCCATCATTTCATCGCGGCAGTGGAGACATCTAGCTGCCCAGACAAAGGATCTTTTTAATTATAGCGTGTATTATTGCGGGTGAAAGAGCGTCTAGTGATGAATCAGAACTCATCCCCGCGATGTGACCCCTGTCGCGTGTTAAGTACCTACCGAGAATGGATGCTACCGCCGACTATGTCCGGAGATTTCGGCATTGCTAAGGCTCTGAGAGGCAGTTGCATCGGGACTTCGGCAATGAGGCGAATGGAACGTTTGTATGCGGCATTCAGGGCAAGGATCTATCCGTTGACATTAAAGGAACTATTGATTGGTTTTATCAGGTGAACTATGGAAGATCCTCTCAAGAGATGGTTAGTGACGATTACAATTGGTCAAAGCGGGCGGTTGCGATAAGCGTAATGAACAAGTTAAATTCCGCCATGCGGAAACCCCTGCAGATCATGCCTTATCTACTCTTAGTTTCACCATGAATACCCTGGAAGGTATTGCTTGTTTCGTCTTAGACACTATCGAGTCAGGTGCCAGGGTCGTCTGGGCCATTCACAGGTCAGGTATTGTGCAGATCATCCTCAGGACTTGGCCATTAGAGCGATTTAATTACAGGAATTCATTATTCTAGTTAAGCATATTGCTTAACCATCAGCCGACTTCCTTATCTTCCACCGCTAGTCTCAGTAGAAGCTATAGGGAACTTCTGTAGAGACGTGTTTACTGGCAGGACCCGGAATAGAGCGTGCCGAGTTGCCTCTGAGATGTGCTGTCGTCCGACCTTTTGCAGGGATCTTGAGACTTCAACGCTTTGACATAGAAGATGGATGATAAGATTAGCGCGTAACAAAGTCCCTAATGGGAAGTTACTAGAGCACCATAATCCAGTAATGTCTATTCAAGCTATACTCGCTATAGTTGTGACTCAGCCAATAAACACATGGTCTCTACCACCTCATTGTAGAATGCTCGTATCACCGACCCATCTTTCTGATCTAGATCGCCATTGAGGCAGCTTAGTGTAGCTTCTTGATACCCCGTGCCAACAAAGTGTGCCAACCTATCATTGACCCTGTCTATAACAACCTCGCGAAACTTATTCGGATTTTCGCCATCCCGTCGTAGACTCCATGCCGAACGCCATAGGCCAACCTCGACAAGAACAACCCCAAGGCTGTATAGGTCAAACCCCTTACGGAATGACTCTCCGGGGATGCCTTGCGCGGATGGGTGGCGGTATAGATTGAATCGTATACTTTGTTCCGGCTTTTCGGTGGTTTCATCGCTTGAATCTGGACGGGAGAATTCGAAGCCAACGAGATATGGCCGAGACCAGACCGGCTTTTTGTTTCTTATTGGAAACATGATATTATGGCTGCGAACACTTTTGTGAAGCCATCCTGAAGCATGTAAAATGGCCAGAGAAAGTGACAGCGTGTAAGCCATGCGATATCGATCTCCCAGACTAGGTAGTGTCTCCGGCGTTGGGAATTTTATCAATGATTGTAGTGACAGAAGATCTTCCTGATCCGTAACACCAAGCGGATATTCGAAAACAAGGCCATATCGACTCTTCTCGTCATCTTCAAATACTCCCATACAATTGAGAGTCAGAAGTTCTTCCGGTTTGGACTCTGCGTGTAGAAGTCTTGCAATATTCTGTATTCTTCCTCTGAGTCTGATGCCCTTTTGTCCTTTCCAGCTCAAGTCATATCGTTTCCACTCGATGATCACAGGGACGTTGGAGTCTATTGTGCCGAAACTTCTTAGTCCTCCAGAGACTTCATCATCTTTGGTGATTTTGACCCTATCAGAATTAAGAGCAAGATCTGAAGTTCCCGTGCTGTTCTTGAAAGCTGCAACTCTATCCTCTAGATCCTTGTCAAGATCATGGCCAAGTTGGCGAAAACTGAGAGCTCTTTGCAGAGTATCGAGTTGCAAGTCAAGTTGAGTTGCATTCCTATCGTTGAAGATTTGTTTTGAGTCCATGTCGATATGCTCTAGTGAGAGCACAGTCTGCGAAAGTACCACATTCGGATCACGAGTCGGTAGTAAACGATACAAGTCGCTCAAAATCGAGCTGATCTGCGTCAACGTCTCACGATGTTCCGACGCGCCTCCAGTCGCCAGCGTAAAGCGCTCAAGTGCATGCCCCGGAATCGAAGCCTTACGGAGAGGCTCTAGTGACTCCAGTAGGCTCTTGACGGTTACTAAAGAAGCGAGTACGGCATCTTGGTGTCTTAGAAGAATCCGTTGCTTCTGGAGATCGGATCGCCTCGACGTTGGTGCATCTAGCCAGTCTCTTTGCCACTGATCTAGCAGAGCTTCTTGCAGGATGAGCTCTGTACGAAGAAATCCAAGATATCCGTTGAGATCGCGAAGAGATTTCCAGAGTCCATAGAGTTTGGAGCAGGCTGTGAAGGCATCGATGAGGCCACCAAAAGCTCCGAGGCCCAGTCCGGCCAATCCGACTTGGAAGTCAGCCTGATTGCTCATCATTGATGAGTTCTGTTATTGCTGTAGTGTCTACGGTAGTCGATTATGGGTACCATGGATTACTGATACAACAATGTGAGAAATCTATAAAATGAAGGCATGAAATCAAGCTGCGGGGTCACGGATTTCCCTATTTCTGACTGGGTTAATTAATAATCCGGTCAGGCTGTGAGCTGAGATCATGTGTCACCTCAAGATATTAGCCTCTGGTTTCTATAGACGGAATCTGATGAGGAGTAAGCGATATTCATCATCCAGCGATACCTTAATGGAATTCTCATCAGCCTTCACCTTTAGGGTGAGGGACCAGGAGCATGACCAACACACCAGCGTCAACACCCCTGTCGCTCCGCAATCCACCGGTACAAACTGTCCTCACTTTGCGGGATTTATGGCAGTATGCTTCGCTGAAGGCCACAATGATCTGGGTCTTCATCCTGTCATCACGAACACGACTCCAAACTTTCAAGATGTTTCCCTAGGAGGTGGATCTTTCGATGTTCGAAAAGTGGAGGTTTCTTCATTTCCGACTGGACTTGGAGCCAATATCTTCTTGAATCGCGAATATGTCGCCGTCAAGCACCCTAGGATACAAGATGACAACTCTGTATCATTTGGGGATATCTCCCTGGAACTGCAGATATTGCGCCACCCTCCACTTCAAAAGAATGAGAATGTTGTCGATTTGCTATCTGTGATGTATCATGACACAGGGAATGAGGAAGGAATCCGCATTCTCCCAGCTCTGGTTCTCGAATATGCTGAGTATGGAAGTCTCAAGGCTTTCCAAGAAGCTGGTTATGCAAGATCCATGGAGGAGAGGTTGGGAATTGCACTTGACACAGCGAGAGGTCTTGAAGTCCTTCATCAGTCCGGCATTGTACACGGCGATATCAAACCTTCCAATTTGCTTGTCTTTAAGCACCATACCCGCAAGTACATCGTTAAGCTTTCCGACTTTGGTTTTGCCATGTCAGTGGAGGGAGGGCAACTAATTGGGAGTACCGAAGTCTACAGTGCACCTGAGGCCGACGGAGCTTCAGGACCAAGCCGGTACCTACGTCAGCAGGACATCTACTCTTTCGGGTTAACCTTGTGGACCGTCTTTAGCGACGGCATCCCATACTATTCATCACTACCTGATGGAGAAAGAATTGAGAATCTCAGGAAGATCAAGAAGTCCAACCTGCTACCGAGTCTAGCTGCCTTCAATGTTCTCTACCGTCTGCGGAATGAGAGTTATCCACTGATGACTCTCGTCAAGGTTATCGTATACTCTACACAGCTACAACCAGAAAAGCGATTCTCGAACATGTCCAAGATTATTGAGCATCTTGAAATGACCGAATCCATCGTCAAGAACAGAAACGGGCATGATACTCCGGACTGCCAAGCCCTAAGAACATCATCTAAGCTGTTACTGAGATTGGCTTCGGAAGCCAAGCCTACAGAATCAGAAGAAGAACAATCTGAAAGACTTACGCTTACTGGTCTTGTTACACTATCCTCAGTGTACCTCAGCAAAGAGCTTGGGGTTGTGGGATCTGAGATGACGCTGGACCCTGAGCAGTTTCGTGGCATTTTGGTCAAGTTCTTACCGAAAGCACATGAAAGATTCTATTCCTTCCTAAACGAAGAAGATATGCCACTTAAGAAACTACTGCAAGATATCTCGAAGGGAAGAATTGAGCGCGCTGTAGCAGAGCTCTTGGCCGGCTCTGCTAATTCTGGCGAAAATAGGGAATCGGGGCCAATTTCTGCCAGGACTGCCTGTCAGATGATCCTCGATTGCGCTGGCTTCCTAAATGAGGCTTCCAATCACGCTCCGGCTGCAAGGTATGTGGTTCAACAGATTTGTTGCCGAAATATTAACCACACCACAGTGACACCTCGCTATCCATCCCGACACCATTGCATCTGATGCGTGACGAAGACTTTATCCCAGACGTACGACTATCCTCATATCCCTTCAAGTACCAAGAACTTAAACTAATGATTCCAAGATCTCCAAAAGCTCCAACATCCTACAAAAGGCGCCAAAGCTTGTAAGAGTCGCACTGGCAGAGAGTCTAAAGAATATATTCAATACATCGAGTAATGAGAACGAGAAGGCTTATGCCGCCCTCAACCTTGCGTACGCCTGTGTTGATGAAATTGGACTCGACTACGACTTGAAAATGGCTGCAGAGTATATATTCCGGGCTGCGAGTCTAGGCTTGGAAAAAGCCCGCACATTGTACATTTCCACTTTCTCTCACGTTCCTGGTTCCGAAGCACCAGACCAGGAGACCCTACGCACTTGGCTACTCGAATCGGCGCAAGCTGGAAGCCCCACCGCGCTTCGAAAATTGAAAGATGTGTCGATAGTAGACTGGCAACAGGTGACCCAAACGTCCCGAGATAAAGAAGTAAACCTTTTGGGTGTGAGTCACGACGTATCTGGAGAGATGGTCTCTATGTTCAACAGCATGTCCTTGGGTGACACAGATACTACTCAAGTTCAAGGCGTACTTATCTGGAGCATTGTGCAAGACAAACCTGAAGTCACCTTATCCTGTCTAGATCGACAGCCTGGGTTGGACGCGGTAGCACTACAGAACGGCGAAACCCCTGTGTTAATGGCTGCTCGGCTCGGCCGCCGACACGTTCTAGAGACCATTCTAAACCGCGCTGATTGTCACACCGCTGCAGAGCTTACAGACGAAAGAGGTATAACGTCTCTCCACTGGCTTTGTTCGTTCGCAGATGAGGATATTGGAGCCGTGGCTTCTCTCCTTGCTAGCAAGGGTACTGATCTTAATTCTCCTGCCTGCGCCATATCATCGACTCGGTACGGAGTAAAAGTCCACGAAGAGAGTCTCTTGACATATACACCTCTGCATTGGGCAGTAGTTCGGAATCGTGTGGCTGCGGTGGATACTCTCATCAAACTAGGCGCCGATCCAAACTTTTGCATGGAGGCTGCAGATGGGGAGGAAGCAAATCTTACACCTCTGGAACTTGCATGTGGTTTCTGCTACTCGGAAATAGTAGCTCGTCTTCTGCGGGAGGATTCAGTCCGCCAAGTAGTTGATGCACCCACGCCGATGGTTAATGGTAAGGATGTGATGTACCGCCCTCTTTTCCACGTCGTACGCGGAGGCCCTCGTTGGCGACGACTTGTTTTGTCGGGAGTTCACTTCGAGGAGGAGTCAAGAAAGACGATCCAAACCCTCATCGAGAATGGGGCGTCGACTGATGCAGTCTTGCAAGTTCACGACGTCAAAATGCCAGCTGTTTTCGCCACGGCCTATCATCAGTGCTCAGCAGACTTTATGGTATCTGGCCTGCAGCTGGGATTTGCAGACCAGATAAATGCGCGCTTTGGTGGAATCTCTAGTGGAGGGTCTGCTCTGTTTCTGGCTATCACTCATGGCGATCGTGTTATGTTCAAGGCTCTACTTGATACTGGAGCTGATGTCACTGGGATGGACAATAGCGGGCTCAATCCATTGCACCGTGCTGCCAAGGAGACCGACGACATTTATTTTGTCAAAGCACTTCTTGACAGAGGCCTGCTAGTCGATCCTGCTGACCAGGAAACTATAAGTGCTTTCTGGGTGGCTGTCTGGACAGGTAACTTGACCATTGCAAGATATCTTTACGACCGGGGTGCAGATAGAGATCGAATTCCCACGACGGTCAAGAGAAACATTCTAGGGGAGATGCTTTTCCGACACACCAGAAATGCGTTGGGGCGAATCAAATTCCTGCTAAGTCTTCCAGACCGCGATGGATCTGATGGATTCATGGTTTCAATCGATGAGAACACGCGCTATTCATTACTCCACTTCGCCATTCCCTACATCTCAGAATTTGCTCAGGACAACGAAATCACTGGAATAATGATGGCCGAGATTCTGCGCAGGTACAACACTCCAGAACACCTCGACAACACATCAGGCCCACACGAGATGACAGCCCTCGCCATGGCTGCCGAGGTAGGAAACTACTTCGTTGCGAGGCGCCTACTCGAGTGCGGAGCAAGTCCAAACATACCTGATCAGTATGGACGAACAGCGCTGGACCTTGTCCATAAGCGGTATTGCTTCCCAGAAACGTTCGTGGCTATGGGGAAGGTTGATAATGAGGATGAGTTGGCCGTCTCAGGGATGTTGAGGGCTGTGAATGAGAATACGAGCGAGTTGCTGGGACTTCTTTATTCGTACAAAGCCGAGATTAGGAGTTGGAGACCTCCGGCGTGGTTGGAAGGTGACCCTGGGCATCGAACATTGGCTTGGGTTATGGAGCGTCTTCGGGAGGATACTGGTAGCTCAGAATGAGTGGAGTTTGTATTATAATGCATCAGATGTTGTCAGTACCTATATTCGCTAGTGCCATGTAGCAGGTATTGGTTTTGTAGTAGTGTAATTCGTTCTAAAACAATTAGACGTCGCACCATGTAATAGGCGAAGCACGAACAAGCTGAGTGAAGAATCATTAAATGTATATTTACGATCTATATGTATGTACAATCTATAGGTATGTACAGTTCATCCTCGCAATCATCTGTTCGAGCAGGCGTTCTCGTATGATGAGTATGGCGAGTTATCCCTCACTATATACACCTCTCCAACCAATATCAGACAGCCAACAGCCATTGAGATAGCAATGATTGGAAAGTTAACCCTTGCAAACTCGTGGCTTTTCACGTGAATATGCTTTCGAGCAAGGATGTCTCTCCAGAGAAGACCGGCTAGTGAGGCGCTGAACGCTGTGCTGAACGCGCCGTAGTTGACCCCAAGTGCCATTCCGTAGATGGTTCCCCAGTAGGTTCGGTCGCTGATAAGACTGGTGTCTTGGCAGTTGATTTCTTTCCAGGCTTGGATGATACGTGATAAGAGGATGGTAGTGCCGATGTTGGTACCAGAGAACTAGATTGTCATTGTTAGTGACTGCTGCTCTCTTCGTCAAGGTGAGGGAACTTACGTTGGACAAGACACATGAGAGAAAGCCCATTCCGCCTATGCTTCCTACTGTGCCTGTTCGCTTTGACCAATGATACCAGCCGTATGCGAATACGTTAACCCAACCTTTACTGACGAGCGCTTGGACGAGTACAAACATGGCAAATGCAAATGGCACGAGAGCAAACGGCAGATGGGCCATGACAGCCATGACTGTAGGAAATGTCTCCTGTAACCACTCGTAGCCTTTCCGTAGCGACCCATAAGCTTTCTTGGCTTCTGACAACAAGTTCGCCTTATCTGCCGGCAGGTCTGATCTGTGCTGATTGGACTCGAGCTTTTCGGGCTCCATCTGGGGATTGGGCAGTGTTGTCACTGCATCGGGTTGTGCAGAGTCGTTGGAATAAGTCCCCGAGTGGTGAATGGGCGACTCTGGTACTGAACCTGAGATAATGACGGGACTGTTGCCGGCGGTATTCGACAGGACTACTCGAGGAATGGCAGATTGGGAGTTTGTATGATGATTGGCGGCGGGGAGATTGGAGAGGGAAATGTCTTGTTGTACTGTCTGGAAAGCAGTACTGTTACCAACTGGCGAGTGGCTTTTCTGGTAGCCAATGGTGGTATCTGTCTCGGGCTCAGACTTATTCTCCGAGGTCAAACCTGCAGGGGAAGCCCCTCCGTGTGCCCTTTCGTAGACTTCGTCTCTTTCAGCTCTCTCTGCTCGCGCCTCCTCCATTGCGCGTCGATAGGAAGCCGCTGTTTGACGTGTTTCGTGGCGATGAAGCCATCCGAATCCAAGATCCCAACATAACATGACAAAGGCAGCCGGAACAGTCACCCAGTAGACAGGGTGCTCGCCGGTCCCTGCACTCGCAGCATTGAGAGCCAGGACTGTGATGAGTGTAGCAGCCATGATGAGAGCACCAAATGCTGCGCCCTTCTTATCCAGGAAAGGGTTCATGATGTACGCAAGGGAGCGGGCCATGGCTTCTTCGCCTCCGTCTTCGGCTTGGCTTTGAACATAGGGGATATTGGGGTTGACGGGTTCTTGTCTTCGAACTTCCTCTGGCAGCTCGTGCATCAGAATCCTGGAGGGGATCAATTTTTCGTCGGCAAATATGACGTAGAGCAGAAACGGGAAAAGAACCAGAGCTGTGACTACAACGGGAACTATCATGTTGGCGGTATAGACGATGAACTTGATGTCGAAAGCTCCAGCAAGGACAAGATTCGTGGGATTCGAAGACACAAGAATGGCCGAGGCAATGTTGGCGATTGCGAACTGGGAGAAGATCCAGGCTCTTGGACTTGTGATATTGCTCGAGACCCGAGTCATGTAAGCGAGGAATGCTGTTCCTGAGAGAATGATGGGATCATTGCCGATGAAGCTTCCCAGCAGGAAGAAGAAGGAATACAGATAGAAGAATAGCTGGTGGCCGACCTTACCACCCATGGATAACACCTTGAAAGCTAACCAACGAATAATACCTGACGCATCGATAGAGATGGCGATGTAGGCCAATGTGATGAAGAAGAGCATGATATCGATAGGGTGGATATTGTCGGCACCTATAGTGCCAGCATACACTTCTTGGCGGCCTATAGCGGAAATGGCTAGTAGAAAGAGGTCTGCTATCAGAGGCGCAGTGATGAAATTGAGCGGGAAAGTGAAGCGCACAAAGTACTTTGAGCAGTTCGGGTTGTTGTGAATAACGTCATGATGGGCGCTGGATGGGATGATGCACAGCTTGGCTGCCAAACCCCATATCAAGTTGACGAGGGATTTCGGGATGTAGATGGGGAAATGGAAGGGCCACAAAACAAGGATATCTGCGGTCCAAGTGTTAGTGTATCTTCTGTGAATGGTAGGACAAGACGTACTAGCTATTACAAATACAATTAGAGTGACGATAGAGCGCCATTGTCGGATCTCACTCGTGTCCACGGCGTGGGCCATGGTGTTGTTGTGAAGGGATTCTCTCACTCGCCCTTGAGTTTACTGTAGAAACTGAAACGGCACCCTTCTTCTCATTAATGAAAAGAAAAAGAAAACCTGACGACGGAAAGTGTGGGGCGTGTTGAGAGTGGAGACTGTAGTTTGAGCTGATCCAATGGTACAAGGGATGTGTCGTGGTGTCAGCATGTTTCAAGGCAATGGCCCGACAGTTGAAGCTTAGCTTAGGCTTTGAGAACCAAGGAAAGTTGGCGATTCGACATGATTTTGCGGTGAAGGTGATAAATGCAAGGTTAAACGAACGACTCCCAAGAAAAAAGAAAGAACCGAGATGTCTTCTAGAAGCACAAATTTCCCGATCATCACGACAGGGGACATTTGCTGATGCCTAACCAAGTATGCAGCCCGACGTAAGGTAAGGGATATGATGAGGCGGCGCACCTTTCTAGGCCTATCACCGCCCTCTCCAGCGATTAGCTTTCGCCCGGTTGATTACCGAATGCTAGCGTTTGCAGCATGAACCTGTGGCTGTGTCGAGCGTCAGCTGAGGCCCCCAGAGGCAAAAGCAGCCGTTACCAGTCGAAAGCAGATGCCTACAGAAACAATGCAAGTCATCGATGCGCTGCTAGTGACACTCTACTAGTAAGGGATAGCCTTGTTTCCGGGCAGGTATTAAAGCCTCGAGGGGGGCTTTGCCCATCTCACCTTTTCTCCACACGTGGTTGTTGATTGATCTGGGGAAATTTAGCCTGCCAAGACCATGCTACCAAGACGTCGATATGCCTGCGCTTCTTGTCACAGACGCCGTCGCCTCAGCGCTCCATGCGCGAAACGACACCGTTGATGCATTGCAGGTTATTTGTGCGTGGCCTGTCTCTGGGCAATACGGTACAGGTACACGCGTGCTGTAAGTGATTAGCGATCCTAAAAAGAACGAATTATAATTGGGAAAATCTAACTCTTCTTCAGCTACTATGTTCTTATCGCGGCCTGTCTTGTTGCGCGGAGAGAAGACTGGCTTGTAAATCCTTGCTTGGCTGCCGCGTTGGTGCTCCCAGCTGTGGCTGCTATCCACGGTATTGTTTTGACGGCAATGCATAACCCTGGTAAGTTATACGAAAAACCACGTCATAATTCGGAAGCTAAATGCCGGAAGATGCTGTCGATATGGATATTTTTGGGGCTTTTCAATTATGTGCAATCGGTATTTTGGCAGCTCCTGTTACGGTCATGCTGTCAAAGACATACTTCAATGATCCTGGTAGGAATACCATCTTTCTCTGGACATTCTTGCTCCTAATAGGTATGTCGGCCCTGCAATCCACCTTTCCACTTTGGCAATTTCTAACTCAGTGACAGGTTTACTGAGCATGACCGTAGAGTTTTACCGGATCAAAACCCATCCTTGCACAGTCAACGCTTCAGGGCACCCAGTTTCGTCCAACGCAGCAGACTTCCAGTACATCGAGGGAAACAACTGCAACCTGATCTGCTCAGTACAAGATGGTCCTTCTTCTCCCATGCGAGGCGGGTCTGCCAATAACATCTACGTTATTCCCGCACCGCACACGCTCACATTCGGCACGGCTACCCTCCTTGCTGCTGCATGCTGCATCCATGCCGTGCTGTGTCTGGTATCCATGTGGGATAGAGTACTGGAGATTAACTGGAAGAAACGTTTTGCTCGTAAGGATGACGATGTTGCAAGTGAAACAAGTGAGGACGGCGGTGCTAATACCGGCGTTATGAAGAAGGTCAATCAGACGATTGGTTTTTTTCTGCGTATTCTCGCCATTCCTGTATTTGGAGGTGCCGGGCTGGGGATTTTGATTGTTGGGGAGATTAATTTCTTCAGTCCTCAAGTCGATTACCAGACGGAGCCCATGGCGAATATCGGTGAGTTTACGGAGTTCCGAGGGTTTGACTATCTATTCACTTGCTAACATCATCAAGGTCAATGGGCTCCAGTGACGGGTACTGCGATGGCAATGATTGCATCGCTCTACTTGCTATTAGCCCGACATGCAGACGAAGCGGGCAGTCCATACGCCATGCATCATTGCAATTGCTCCCATTGTCACATCCAAGATGGCTCACACCTGAGTCAGACTTCCCACGACAGCAATCTCCCTTCCACGAGCCACCACGACACCACTTCAGCCGTTTCAGATCCAGATATACGCAGGCAGCTATCCCCTACCACAGGCGCACTTGACCCTCGCTCTTCAATATCCTCACGGATGCGCGAGACATACATAGAAACCGCCCACACTCCCACGAGAAACCCCTACAGACAGAAGATCGAGAACGCCTTCTTCCGCTTCGGCGAAATGGTTGGCACCCCGGCTCGCGATTTCATCACCGAGCCTAAAGACCGCGACCCACATCATGTTGACATCCCTATGATACCAGGAGAGGAGTTCCGTACTGATCGTGTCTCTGCGGTCGAGAGGGAGCGAAGTCAACATCAAGAGGAAGAGCACTCTCCTGCCAGGTCAAGGCCAGGTAGTTTTATCGGCAGTGATGCGTCTGTGCGTACTGTTGGACGCTGCACATCGATGCCCATACCACCGCCACCACGAGCAGTGACGAGACCGAGATCAAGTACTAGTCCTAGAATAAGTTCACGTTCTCCAAATCGTCGATTGAGTTGATGAAATCATTTAGAAAATTGTATTGTTGAATACATTTCTATTAGAATAGACTATTATAGTATATTAATCGCTTCGCTCTAAATCATGCTTTTATGCTTTTGTAACAGGCTCCGTCTCCTTTGTCGACGGCTCTGTAGTAGCTGTAACCGTGACCTCGTGGCTATGTTCCAGTCCAGACAAAACAATCCAGGTTGGTACGATACACAAGATGGTGATACCGAAATTGAGACCAATGCTAACAAAGTGGTTGGCGTTACCCTCAGATTGCATCCTAATTATCGTTAGCATTTATTCAGTTTTGTGAGTCAGAGGGTACTTACGCCCAAGCAACAGTTTGTCCCAGAGCCTCAAATCCTCGCAAGATACCGCAGTGATAAGACAGTGACGACAGATCAGTGGTGTACTGTCCAATCAGCCAGTAGAGGAACTGCTGGAAGGCTTGACCTCCGAACTGCCAGAAGAAAATCAGAGTGTAGGCCTTTCCGAAACCTCCCTTGAACCAATCGAAAACAGGTGGCTCCTCCGCATCGTAGAATTCCTTCTGCAGAATTGATGCCCAGATCCAGGTGCCAATGAGGATGAAGATGATAGCTGAGAAGGCAATTCTAGCTCGTGTCTTGATAAAGATCGACTGACGATCCAAAAGAGCCGCAATCATGAAAGAGCTGATAATTCCAGCGAAGTTGGTAAAGAAGGACGAGAACGCGCGTGCTCGGACGGTGAAGTAGGTCGTCAACCAGGTACTCATGAAGCCATTAAAGAAGTAGCTGATGAAGAAGGCTGGGATCAACAAGAGCATACGTTTCGTGACTAGCAGCGACAGAACAGCCTTGAACTCGGCGAACCAAGTCGGTTGCTTGTGCACCACGACGAGGGTGCGGTCTTTTCGCTGGACTTTGTCTGCGGGACTCAGAAGGAGGGAGATGGGGAGGCCCAGACACATGATGACGATAAAGACGATGTAGGTAGCTGAGCTGACAGATCCTTTTGATGAGGTTTGCGCGTTGAGACCGAGGTTGATGGCGCCTCCGACGATAGGGCCTGCTGCTTTGGCGGTTTGCCAGATGGCTAATCAGGGCGTAATTAGTTGGTATTCCACTTCGACAATTTCCAGGTATAAGACTTACCCAGATAGAAAGCACGATCTTGAGGACTTGGGTATCCGATGATAATCGCTGCCTCAGCCGCCCAAAAGAAGCCAGCAGAGATACCACAAAGCGCACTACCGAACAACAGGAACCACGTCTTGGGCGCAACATTGTTCGTGTAGAGTCCAGCTCCGTAGATAGGATATCCTATCGCTCCCAAGGCAAGACCATATCGCAAGCCAATTCTGTTGTTGATAGCACCGGCCGCCATGCACACAGCGGCGAACAGACCGTATACTAGAGCGTTGGCGGCAGAAACGGCGTACGGCTCGGCTGCTCCTCCGGCGCCTAGACCGCCGAGGGCATCCCACATTCCCGGCGCCGTGAATGATACACCGCAGGCGACCGCGATCTGGAAGGGGATGGAGCGGAAGAAGGATGTTTTCGCGGGTGCTTCATGGTCTGGGCTGTAGACCGAGCCATCACGAGAGGAGGCCATTGTTGAGTACTGTATGCGAGCGCAAGCTTTGGAGACTCAAGGACTGAACAAGAACGGGAATAACATTGGTCTCAGAGCTATTTATCTATGGACGAACTATGTCAAAATGAATATTGCGTGCGATTGCGTGCTTGAGAGCAAGAGCTTCTCCCTGGCTTGATCAACGTTGAAACTGGACTAAAGGGGGACTAATGGAGATGGGTGAGGGACTAGTTTCCGGGAAGACCCATCGCCAATCTTGTTCCTGCAGTAAGATCTGTAGCCCTGTTGTCTTGGTACTGAGGAAGATCGACTATGCAGCAGATATAGGATCTGGATGACTAGCGTCTATGTCTTGTTTTCTGTTTGACTCTGCCCCAGACAAACCGCGAACATGACAGCAGAAATTGAAGTAAAACTGAGATCACGATGAATGATATTCACTCACCTACCGAGTATGGCCGAGCCGGGCAGAGTTTTCCACTCGGAATTACCTAACATGAATCGAAATAATTGGGGCTCGCCACTTGAAATGGTGTTGAAGTGGATATAGGGAAGAGATTGATCCCTGTAGCTCCCTCAATATTGGTGCTTGCATGATGAGTTCAGCATTCGTAATGAAGTTAGGAATAGCGTTTGAGATATATCAGACTAAATGCGACGGTCTATATCCGTAGGTTCAAGGTTGATGAGAAGGCTGTTTGATAGAGATGTAGATTTTTTTGGAGTCCACTTTTTGTGTCGTTCGGCGAACCCGGAAACTTGTTTAGCGACCCGCATCCGGCGGCGCCACTCCCGGTAGCCGAGACCGTTTCGTCACTGTCAAGGCGTCTTTATCGATTGGTAGTTTATCTTATCGGAGTTAACTATCACGAGGTCAAACATTGAACCTTGGTCTTGGCTGTATGCGTGCCTCAATCCTTCAACGGCTCAATCAGGATTTATAGACATATTCCGGATCACTTTTGCCGATCAAGCATTGGCATTTGCACATGAGCCTCGGCAAGGGCAGTGTCCCGGCTGCACCCCTCTTTACACAAGATATTTCCTGCTTAGATACGAGGAGAAGTTTGGGGATATAAGAAACGGCTATGAAGCGTTTACAGCACGACTAAGTTTGTATCACTACGGTAAAGCACGTCTTTTGTGATCATGGTCGTCGACAACACCCAGCCAGAGGGTGAAAACCCCATCGTCAATTTCACAGTAGAATTCCTCGGAACCCAATCCTCCAGCAACAGCGCCAGTCGTCGAGATCTAGGCTTCACCGGCCAACTCGGAAGCAAATGGTACGCTGTATACGGCGACGTGTTGTGGTGCGATAGCGGTGTCACCGATCCAGCAGAAGACACCGAAGGCTTTCACGGTATGGTGCGAAATGCTGTGTCTGCCTTGACCGATGATCCTCTTGTGGTAAAAGATCTTCATCTGAACGATGATGAGCCGGTTCCTCATCAGAAGCAGCTCATGCCGTTTAATGAGGAGTGGGGAGAGACTAATACCTATGGTTTTGGTGGTACCGGGATTGTTGAGACGGATCCTGATTCTGCGACTGGTGTTTTGTATTACCTCGTTGTGAGTAGCCACTTGTTGAAGCATACGATATCAGGTACTCATTATTTATAGAACGCCGACGAACACTACAAAGGCGCCGGTGTAGCCAAGATCGAACTAATCGACGACGTACCCACTGTAACCCAACGGTACGGCGACAACGGTTATTGGTGGGACGGAGACAACTATCCCAAGTACGGCGACGTTGCAACCTATCGAGATGTTAACAGCGAGTACATTTACATCCTCGGAAATCCTCCGAACAACATCACCGAGTTTCCCGATAAGATGTACGTGTATATGGCTCGTGTTCCTGCCAATGAAGCGTTTGATCTCGACAAATATGAGTATTGGTGGGGTAGAGAGGAAGGCTGGAAAAGTGAGCTTCTTACTACGTTCAATTGCGAAACAGCTGTGATGTGGGGTGTAGGACAAGGACAGATTATGTATAACAATCACTTTGGGACGTATATCTACGTATACCTTGATCTATGTAAGTCACCATGTTTCGATTTCATGCACGTTACTTATAGCTACCCTGTAGCCGGAACTGTCTACCTCAAAACTGCCCCTAGCCCGGAAGGTCCATGGACGGAAGGCAAGGAGATTTTCAAGGACGAGCCCATTGATGGTGGATTGGTCTATGCTGGGATAGCGTACCCTCATCTTGACGAGTCGGGGGAGACATTGACCATCGGCTTTACGAACAACAACTGGATTCGGGTCATCAAAGTTACGTTTGAAGATTAAATATTCCTGGATTATCATAAATAGTATCCATACATATTGTTTTACAACGCTAAATAAATTGTCGCATTACAGGTCATCTTCCTTTTCCGTGTTATTCTCACAAACACCATCGAAATCTCCGTACTTCTTAAAACCCGCAGTCACAATCTTCTTGAACTCGTCAAAAGGACAGCTAGCACCCGGTCCATTCTGGCAGAGCGGAAGAGGTCGAGGCGCAGTGTTGGCGATAAACCTGATGTACTCTGTCTTCTCAAGTGGATCATTCTTCTCGGTTCCCGGTCTTTCGCAAGTCATCTTCTCCATTCCAACGTGGCCGAGGAACGGAATCAGATCAGACATCTTCCACGCTCGCACGTGGTTGACGTGAGTAGTGGGGAACTCGTCATATCCATCGCGCGATGAGGAGTTGAAGATTCCCAGAGCTGTGGCGACGAAGGGCGGGACTTCGCGGTGGGTGAAGTAGAAGAACAGGCGCTGCTCCTCTGGCCATCCTGATGATTCATGGCCGATACGCTCAGAGTTCTTGCCAATCCTCTCAAAGAGGTCGGACTGCGAATGCAACCAGGGGAAACCGAGGTAGTTGGATAGAGGGTTGAAAGGCCCGACCATGTGCGCGTACTTCATGTCCCAGGCGTATTCATACGAGAGCCACTCTGCGTCGGAGAACAGACCACAGATAGGCGACCTTTTCCCATGGATGGCTGACTCGTAACCGCAGATTGACTGCAGAGCAAAGACATCCTTGGGATCGAGCTGGTAGTCGTCAGGAGTGTGGGGTCGTAATCGCTGGGACACTCCCTTGCCGTAGTTGTCGACGAACTCCATCTGCTGCTTCGTGCCGGGAGATTTGGAGAACTTGGAACACGCCTTGTGGGGGAGAAGGGCACGTGTACCGTTGTTCAATTCCTTCTTGTCGAAGCGAGTGATCTCGATGTCGCCGTCCTCGGGGAATGCCTGCAGGAAAGCTTTCGCGGTATCGTAGGTCCTGTCCTTGGTATCTGCGATGACGCGCTTGACAGACGCGGCGAGGTGGTTGTAGCGCTTGACGAGATGGTGTCCGACCTTCTTGGCATCCTTCTTGCCCGAGGGAGTCACATCCTCGAGGTGATCCTCCTCAATTGGCGAATGCCACTTATTCAGAAACTCCAGCGGTCCCGAGAAACCACCACGGTGCTTCTCCAGCTTGAAGAGGAACGGCTTGATGTAATCCTCGTACTCGGCGTCGTTCGCGTAGATGGCAGCGTGGCGGATGAGGTATGACGCAGCAGTCACCGTGCAGCCCTCAGGCGGAGCATGCGACAGACCAAAGCCTACAGCATCGAAATATGGCGAGATTCCAGGGAGGTGCAGGAGAGGATCGAAGCGGTAGCCCTGGGTATGGTCGAAGGTGTCAATTGGCTGCTGGAGGACGGATGCAACGGTGATGGATGGAAGAACTGCAGCCGCAATGGCACGCAGACTAAGAGGCATTGCGTGGGTAGCAATTGGGACGAATACTGGGGCGCTTTTCTGATATGTCGAGAAAGAGTAACAATGCAGCGGACTTGAGATGGGTATAGCAAAGAAAAAAAGAAAACACAGGGCTGGGAGAGTCTATGACGTACAGGGCCGGGATTGTGAAGCTTGATTCGACCTAAGATAACGATCAGGGCGGATAAGGAATTAAAATTAGGTTACCGAGGGCGGACGTTTGGTGCTAATTTCAGGTACACGTCATTTCAAGCCACTATTTCTACAAGCCACTAAGACTAGAGCGACAAAATGTTTACCACGTAGTAGAGAGAAGTACAGTAGTTATGCTTTTCCCATGAGTAAACTTGACCTCGTTACCAAAACCTCTTGGCCAAATTCTCAACAGAAGGGTCTTTAAACTCCATGTTTTAGGAACGCTGGTATCCGCCGGTCGCAGTAATGATGAATACCAGCCACGCTTGCCGGTTCATACCCCTCTCGTAGCTTTACTCTAACTGCAAACGACTTTTCTAGCTAAGGAGTGACGAGTTTGAACATACCAATGGATGGACTTGTAAGATGTCACTGTCTTGACCTTAAATTGGACCAGTCTCTTGGCCATGTGAGCCGATTGGGCGTTGGAGAGACAGAATTGGCTCACCTTGGCATTACACACGTCGCCAATCGCAAATACATCTTCGCGACTTGCTTGGAATGAGAAAGAGCGAGAAAGGTTGTATTTCACTATAAAAGGTATAGTTAATAACTGAAATAACAACTTTATAATTCATATATACATGAATATGAAGTCTGTTTAAAGAGTTTAACATATCGCTACAAGACAGAAAAATTAAAATCATCATGATATGTATTTCTGGAATTTGTAAAACACAAGTACGTATTATCTATGCATCATTTCTTTAATGCCATATTGCATCGAGTTTCTTCTTTAATCTATGTGTTGGCCAGCCAATACTCTTTCCAAACTCATCTATAAAGTTAAGCACCTCCTGCTGCTCTATAGGATTAGTTAATAAACAGCCACCTATAATATTAGTAATCTTATGGAGATTAAAGAAAAATCATTGAAAAACTCACAAGTGAAAAGTATATGGTGTACAGTAAACCCGGCACCGACCACAGAAGGGTTATGGATACCGAGACCGATAGCGATACGGAGATCATTCAGGGCCGCTTTCTAGTATCTTTAGTTTTGCAATTGGGGTTGAATGAGTATACCTTCACGTACATCTGCGGCTACTCGGTTCTCGATGGTTCTCAAACTAGAAACCCATAGTCTCGGCTCAGAGATATGTAGCAGGATGCGAGCCAGACAATAGTGTTGATATCCCATAACTGCAAATTATAAGTCACTGTCCTTCTTCCTCAGGTAGTATGGAAAACACTAACCTTGAGCAGGATTCATCATCCATACTGTGGGAAAAGCCGATTTAACCCCAGTAGAAGTAGTCTTCACATCAGAATAATAAGGATGATAATGTGCCGGTATAGAATCATGCCATCTCGCAACCTCCTCACCAAGCTGTGCCCACGTTGCGTAGTCGGGCTGTGCGCCTGGGTCAAAACTTGTCGCTAATACCTGACAACAGAGGAGAATAACCCGATTGGCAAAGTCCTCGTCAGTCGTATTTATGAATGATCTGGAACGTCTGTATTTGTTCAAATCCACTTGCATAGGCTCGTGTTTAATCAGAGAGATATGCAGATTTTGGCGAAGCATTATCCAACTAGCTGCTTCGCTTAGACCGCCTTGGGCTATGAAGTCAGGGATGTCGTTCCAGAGTCGTGCGGACCCAGCAAGATGAGTTCCGGTATCGACATCTTCCAAGGCATTAACGGACAAACTATGGTGATGACTCTGTTTGGACTGGCTTACCACACATCTCCTCATATAAACGTAGTAGGACCGCAGCTGCTAAAAGATTTTCATCCAAAGATGACATCGGGTCATCAAGGATGGGGATCAGGATGCGTAAAGCATAGCTGTGATACTCTTCGCTACTTTCATCATCAATACCAGTAATCAGCACTTGATGACGTGACGAGAAAGCTAGGATGGAGTATGCTAGGAGGGGAAGTTGGCGAGCTCTCTTTGGCACTTCACGACCAAAGCGTTTCGAAGGATCACAGAGATCAATCTGGAAGACAAGACGTTAAAGACGTCTTAGTGTCTAAATGGAAACCACTTACTCTTGGTGCAAGTTCTTGAAGATAGTTCATCAAGAGAAAAGCTTCCCGTCGGGTTTTCAACGGGGAAGCGAATCCATGCGGGCTGCCGACAGAGTAGTCGGATAGGAAAGACTTAGGAGAAGACATGCTTGCTATCGGTTAATTTGAGCCCAGGCCAGTTCGGATAAGAAAGACTTACTCAACATCCTTACTAGATTTAGACTCTGGCGAGTTATCTTCAAGGAATAGGGAGGGCGGTATAACCGCATCGTGGATTGGGGAATGCGCCATTGTCAGATGAAGGGATGAAAAGAAATGAGCTACGTATGGAAAGTGGATTAAGCTCACCGTGACTGGGGCAGGCGTTTAACGAAGATCTCCCCACAAAGTCGCCGCTGAGGAAACCGAAGACTTCTCGCATCCCCCATGGATGATCGAAATAGAGTTCGGTGTTTGTCTAGGATGGGATTTAGTGAGAGGACTTCCCCGCAAACAATGGCTCAAACCGGTGCATTAGTTCCGGGGCTAGCTACAGGGCCAGGGTTGCTAGCCTCGGAACAAACACCCCAATTCTGGATGTCATTTCTTCATTTACTCAAATGAATCAGCACTGATTGGATCCTCAATTCATCACTCAATCCCAAGGTCAGAATCGATGTCATTGCGCTGCACAGATCAGCAATAGGAATATAGTTACCATTCATTTCGCAAGCCGTTATTTTCTAAAAGACAACCAGGCATTAACAATTGTTTCTGATCCACTTGGGGCCGGAGTTTCCTCCCTACCGAGACGAATATAGGTATAAGTCTCCCACATGCCCCAACTTGTTCCCCCTCCCCCGCTATTTCCATCTTGCTTTTCGCTTCCCCGGACGCCCACCCCAGACTGCATGACACGATATGGGACGGACCGGGCAGAGACTCTGGGGATGCAAGGTGGGCTAAGACTTGTACGTATTCTTTGATCTTTTGGCTAATCCGTCACAGAATTGCCAGTTAAAGTGAGCTGCGTCATACAGGTATCTTGATCAAAGCTGACGTTAGGCCTGTCTTGCTAGACATCTGAAATGTAACCTGCTCTCTTTCAACTTATCTGTAATACCCCTTTGCTGACCCGATCTCCACTTTACAGGCGACGATGAAAGGCCATGTGCCCAGTGCGTTAAGAGAAATATCTATTGCGACAGAGGTCTCAAAATCCGATTTCGCCACAGCAGCCTTGGCTCCACGTAAGTAATGGCAATGGTTTGCAACACGACTTGCGTACTAATGAAGCAAAAGAACAAAGGGAAAAAGACTAAAATTTCCGTCTGATCAACGCTGGTGCAAGCTATTGAACCAAAAGATCGAGTTTGTGGATCAGACGTTAGACACTGTTCGATCATTCAACTCTTTGTCAGACCCCGAAGCCGACTCCGTCGATTACCCTTTTCCCTCCCTGGAAAGACAAGACGCAGATAAGTCACCATGTAACGATGGTGATACCCAACTCCAGGAGTCTAGCAATCTGGACCACACCACTTTGCCGTTCCACCAACATCCGGATCAATTACCTCAACTGGTGTTTGAGGAATACACACCCATTGCGACCGGACACATCGATAGTGACTGGTATAACACAGGATACACACCCCAGGGTACCTATGCCTCATACGGTGATAGACACCAACTAGGGCTACCCACCTGCACACTTAAGCAAAGTGAGGCAGAGCTGGTCCGTTACTTCTTTTCCGGGTTTAGCGATGCTTTCGATCTTGGAGATCCAGATCGGGCCTTCTCCAGTTGGTTGTCAGCTCGAGTGCTGCAATATCCCCGTCTTCTTGAGTCTGTCTTGACGACCGCCTCGAAGCACTCGGGAAAGGAGGTGATAAAGACAGCTTGCCTAGACCAAGGCGAACCATCTTCTGACCACACACAACGTCTACCTGGCATTGATTCAATTACTGACTTCAGTCTCCGATATACTGATTCTGTTGCTGGTCTGTTATCGCGATTTAAGCATACCATGGAAGGTTAGTGTCTTTCCATCACTGTTTTTTACTACTTGCCATCACGCAACAGATTCGCGGTAATATTGCGAGAGGAGAATCCTTTGTACTGATGACGAGAGTGTTATAGCTAAAAGTTCGATCTCTACTCCTACCCTCGGTCAAGCGAGCACTATGGACGAACGGACAGAACCCTCTGAACAAGCGGACCTACCAGAAGCCGCATGGTGGGCGAGCTTGCGACTAGAGGTCTATTCAGCAGTTGTAACTCAGACACCTTTCACACCGACATCGGATCATTTGTACGCAGATAAAAGGTTTGTTCCTGTCGATGACAAAGACTGGGCAAACCTGATGCTTCTCCACCTGGCAGACATAATCCGATACTGCTTCTCGGAAAGCAAAGATACCGACAACTATATCGCACTGCTAAAAGACCTAACTACATGGTCGAATTCCAAACCAGACTCTTTCGATCCGATATATACATGCAGCCACCCTGAGGGGCGGGCGCTTCCAGATGTTTGGGTGTACAATGAATCAGTCGCTGCTGGTTTGCAATATTACCATCTTGGCCGGATGCTTCTTATCTCTCACGATCCGCGTCTTCCTAAGATAGGACCTGCAAAGAAAAAGGAAATGAAGCGAATTGAGGTATGCAAATACGATGCTACTGAGGAATCGGTCTCTAATGTTGAGTAGCACGAGATGAAAAACGATGCCAAGTTAGTCTGCGCAATTGCCGAAGGCATGGGCGAAGACAATCCCACATATTTGTGCATTATATTCCAATCCCGAAATGTTACCCATTTTGCTTATGTATTTTTAGGACTGCCTGCATGGCCATAGCCTTGGTCGGAGATCTCTTCGACAGCCGCGCTGAACAAGATGCCCTCCTTGGTGTTCTTGACAATGCGACCGATCGCTTCGGATGGCCAACTTCTTACATGTATGATTTGACTCATTGACACATATTCACGATCTGAAAGCTGACCTTTCGTAGCAGAGACCATTTAAAAGAGGCGTGGGGATGGGTTTAAACAGGTCGTGGTAGCTGTAAAATAGTATTTTACGTGTCTGTACTCCACACAAGCCAAATATTCCTTCTACATGAGGTTTAGATAGCCTTAGTAGGCTTGGAGGTTTGGGATTTGTTATCAATACACACATTCCTCAAATTAAGCCATGCGGTCAAAAGCCAATCGGAGAAGAGTAAAAAGAGACATGGACGAGGGGATCCAGAACGTGCCGTAAATGGTTCCCCATGGGGTATTCTAGAAGGCGTACGGTAGCGCCAAACTCAAACCGCCCTGAAGCGTGGGCCTGTTCCGACGATAAGAGCGTCTTGACAAATCTGGGGTATTTGTTCCGGTGGCTAATGTGCCCTTCGGAACAAGAACGCCAGAACGGGACGAAGGTCGAGACTGTCAAACCTACCTCTCAGGCGCTCACCACTTTTCTTCCCCATGGTCTCAGGCTCTCAACTGAGCCACAAGCTGGAGCACCATCCAATTTCTCCTCAGTGACATTTAACAGTGACTTAAGTACCGTAAATGCGCTATGCTTCCCCGTAGATTAAAGACCTGGCCGCTAGACTGGCCCTTCTCCCCACGGGGAAGTGGATCGCGGAGAAGCGGCATCATCCATGAACCTGATCTCCCTCCAGACTGACAAAGGAAAATAACTCCGGTCCAAGCCCACTCTTCCACTTCCCAGGCTCTTAGACTCGGGATTTCAAGACTTGGATCCCTCGGCAGCCAATGCGGAGAAATGGGGTCATTCTCTGGGGAAGCTTGCTTTTTGCATCGAGATATCGCGCGCAATTCCCAGGCTCTTAGCACTTCTCCGCAGGTAACCCCAGCTTTTGGTGCTCCACCCCCAGAAAACAAGGTTTCTCGGAACCACGAGAGAGGAGTAGACCAATGAAACACTATGCAATTGTCGCATGAATCGTAAGTCCTCATGAGACTATATATATGGCCTTGCGCGCTGGTTATGCATTGTGGAATTCTTCTCAACAAACTCATCCGCATCACAGCCTCCAACCTTACTGCTTCTCTTCCATATTGATGTTGAGCAATATGTCTGCCCACGACCATCACAAGTCCTCAATTGAGGGCCACACCATGGAAAAGTCAGCGTCCCCCAACTTCGACCATGTCGAAAAGTCTCACGGCACCGTTGTCGAGTTTGACGACTCCATTGAAGATACCAAGCCATCCAAATCAGTTTGGCTTATTACCTTTACCGTCGCCATGGGCGGCTTTTTGTTTGGTGGGTAACCTACACGCCTCTCCTTTGTGCTCTTCTAACGGTAGCTGTCAGGTTACGATACTGGTGTCATCTCAGCTGTTCTAGTAACACTCGGGGACGACCTCGGTCACGAACTTAGTTCCCATGAACAAGAACTCATCACTTCAATCACTTCTGGCGGCGCTCTCATTGGCGCTCTGATGGCTGGTCTTCCAGCTGATAAATACGGCCGCAAGCTTGGAATCTACATTGGTTGCTTTCTCTTTCTCGTCGGCTCTGTTGTCCAGGCCGCTGCATTCAATCTTGCTGCCATGACTGCTGGACGTCTTATCGTTGGATTTGGAGTCGGCTCAGCTGCAATGATCATTGTATGTATTTCCTTTGACTGGTAGTCTTCTTGGACTAATCTGTTTAGCCTCTCTACATAGGAGAACTTGCCCCGGCTAAGTATCGTGGTCGTATGATTGCCTTCGACAATCTCAGCGTTACACTCGGACAGCTGGTTTCCTACGGTCTTGGAGCCGCTTTCACTGATGTCCCTCATGGCTGGAGATACATGATCGCCATTGGCGGCATTCCTCCTATCATCCTCGCTTTTCTTCTCCCCAAGTGCCCAGAATCGCCTCGACAGCTTATTGCACACGGAAAGAGAGACGAGGCTGAGAAGTGCCTGCGACGAGTATACCCCGCTGCGACTGAGGAGCAGCTCAAGTCTAAGCTTGATCACCTTGTGTGGACTATTGAGGTCGAGTCTTCGGTTGTGGCCGGAAAGTCTCTCTGGTGGCAGTTTAAGCAACTTCACTGTGTGCCCTCCAACCTTCGGGCGCTTGTTACCGCTTGCACCGTCATGGCCAGTAAGTCTTCCAATATGCTTGTGGATTTGTAATTTTGTCGCTAACGCTACCACAGTCTCTCAGCTCGGTGGTTTCAACACTCTTATGTACTATTCTGCGACCTTGTTCTCCCTCGTCGGTTTCAACAAGCCCACTGCTGTTGCCATCGTTGTTGGTGCCACTAACTTCCTCTTCACATTTGTCAATTTGGTTGTTATAGACAAAGCCGGCCGCCGCATCATTCTGATAGTTACTGTGCTGGGCATGGTAAGATATTCTTAAGTTTCTGACAGAATCATAATACTGACATTTCATCAGTCTGTTAGCATGGTCATCGCCTCCATCGCGTTCCACTGGATTCCCATTTCGAAAGACCTTGTCCTCCAAGCCGATTCCGTCAACTGGGCTGGTATCGTCGTGCTTGTCACCATAATCTTCTACGTCGCCTTCTTCGCTAGTGGTGTCGCCACGATCGGGTGGGTGGGAACTGAACTTCTACCATTGGAAGTTCGCGCACTTGGCACTATGATGAACACAGTCACATGCTGGGGCTGCAACATCATTATTGCCTCTACTTTCCTTTCTATGATGAAGAGTATGACACCCAGTGGCGCTTTCGGCTTCTATGCTGGAATCTGCTTCTTTGGCTGGATCTTTATCATCTTCTTTTACCCCGAGGTCAAGAATCTTCCGCTTGAAGAAGTCAGGAAGGTCTTCGAAAATGGCTTTGATGTCAAGCTGGCCAAGCAGATGCAGCGCGATCTCAAGACCAACAGCCAAGCTTCTATGGTGTCCAAGGCCTAGATGGTGGAGTCTGCGTCTTGCATGCACGGGTATAGAATAACCAAACAACCACATAACTTCTACACCATTCTGCATCCAGATTGTATCATATGTAATAAAGCTTCATTCACGAAAGCTGTATCCATTGTCTTGATGTCTGCAAATGACACATCTAACGCACCATTCAATGAAGTCTGATGAATAATCTTTTCCCTTATTTGTAATCTTTGCTAAGTTCCTTTTTTGGCAAGGGGATGTCGGAAAGGGTGTAGTCGTAAACAATTTGCTGCGAATTGGATGCGAGCATTGAAATGATACTGGTAGCAGGCAAAGGTTCTGTCACCACCCACTAGATGCCGGTCTTTGAGAACCATAAACCGACGGCAAATCTTATAGAAAAGGCTGTAGGCGACCGAGAAAAGGTTGGAAATGGTAGGGAAAATTTAGCTCATATAAAGTATTCATAATTTAGTCAATTGTTATCTAATAACAACAGTATAACTTAGAATCGGGAACCAAAATTAACAGTATTGATAGTAGACTGAGGCAATTATGCTGAATTCTTGAAAGGGAAATTTTAGCTTCTGCTGTCCAAGGTGACAGGTCTGAAAACATCAATTGTCCCTGACGCTTAATCCGAGACCATTGGTGCACCAGGCGGATGGAGTTAGTTGTCTACACAAGGAAATTTTGGCCGGATCTACCAAGGCTTGAGAAGCAAGTCGAGTCCGCTCCACCACCTTAGCTTTCACCATGCCTTAGCACCTTACTCTTTATTCCTATTTGAACTGGCAAGGTAACATTCAGAGCTCGTGGGGTAAATGTACGCGGGGTAAATTATGGGGATCGGAGAAAATTGCTAAAATGGTAAATATCTCCATCACGATTGAATCTGGCAATGATGATTAGTCCATCTACCATCTTAGAAACTGCCATCCATGTATAAGAAAGCCGTGCTGTCTCCGTCATGGCCATGGTTTATTCGAACAGCTTTATAAAAACTAAGCTCAGTTACTTCCTTGACTTTCTTTATAAGACCTTGGTTATCAAGCGACTGTCTAATCTGATCGAGATTCTCAACAATGTCGGCCTCCATTGCCACCCTTGGCTCTGTGCCTTATGCGACTGCAGTCGGTGCAGGCCTATTCATCTACTTCTTTCTTTACCCTTTAATCATCTACCTCAAAGACACCAAGGGTAAGATATATCTTATGGATAGCGAACTATCAGCATAGTCATACTAACTCCATCCAGGTCTTCGACGTTTCCCCAACATGTCCGCATTTTCCGGCATGTCTTATCTTCCTTTCATGATTCTCGCTCATGGCGGCGCACGATCGACTCATCTCTCGAAACTACACAAGAAGGAGCCTATAATCAGGACAGGGCCCAACACACTGTCCTTCGCCGGTGGTCAAGCGATAAAAGACATTTATGGTCATGGAACGCCCTGTACAAAGGATGGATCATATATCGTAGGAGCTGGAACACACTTTCATCTAGCCGACGTGGTCGAAAAATCCGATCATGCTCGCAAGAGAAAGGTTCTATCGTCTGCCTACGCCCTGAAGAATCTCGAGGGTTGGGAGTACAAGGTTGCGGATAAGGTGCAGAAAATGATCAACCACTTTGACAAGGTCTGCACTACTCCTCTTCCCAAAGATGCCAGGTTCCCTGATCCTAAGGACGTCAACCTTGACTTCCGTGCCTGGTCCAACTTTTTCTCTCTCGACGCCATCGCTGATATTGGCCTCTCTGAGACACTTGGTCTCCTTGACCGAGGTCACGATCGCGTGGAAGCCCAGGAGACATGCGGCAGGGTCTACGAAACCAACTTGAGAGAATGCCTTTATCCCACCGCACGGAAGCAATCTTATCTTATCTGGACTTATGACTACTATAATTTGCTTAACAAGATTTCCAACATCATTCCTTTCTACCGAAGGATGTCCGAGTCAGCCAAGGGTTGGGATTGTATCGTGTTACGACGATCTCAACTCCGATTAGATCGATACAATAAGGGAGAGAAACTCGACGACTTCTTCCAGGCTCTCATGGAGGACAGGAATGGTACCCCCCATGGTCTTGAATGGGGCGAAGTTGTTGCCGAGATTAATATTATGATGAACGCCGGAAGTGTCACCACTGCCATTGCCTTGGCCAATATTCTTTACCAGTTGCTGCTTAACCCCAGAGCAATGGAGCTCCTGCGACAAGAGCTCGACTCAGTCCTCGAACCTGACGAGGTGGTTGCTCCGTATGACAAGGTCAAGCACCTTCCCTACCTCCGTGCTTGTCTCGATGAGTCGCTTCGCCTCTGGCCGCCGACTCCTCAAGGCCTTGGTCGACAGACCCCTCCTGAAGGCTCAACCATTATGGGCCAGTATATTCCTGGCAACACAAGTGTTAGTGTGTCGGCTCTTGTCGCGCATCGCGACGAGAGCATTTATCCCGAGGCAGAAAAATTCATTCCGGAACGATTCTTGGGTGAGAAGGGCAAGGAGCTCCAGTCCCACTTCATCACTTTCTCAGCTGGCGCTCGGGGGTGTATTGGGCGGAATATCTCCTATCTTGAACAGGCCGTGTGCCTTGCATCGGTAGTTCACCGTTATGACTTTGCCCTACCAGCAGGGTTTGAGCTGAAGAGAGAGGAGACGATGAATCACATCCTGGGGCCCATGCCCGTCAAGGTGTGGCGAAGGAATTTAGATTGATCATTTAATAGCCAAACGTTGGTCTGCATTTTTGGTTATATAACAATAGAGATAAACTAAGTGCAAGTGGATTAATGATTTAACTAAGTGTGTTTCCACCTGAGCAAACTGTTTATGTATACTTTAAAACAGGCTATCTCCCTTGTTGCGACATATTGCTAGTAGTATCTTGCCAGTGGTCATTCTTTACATTAACTGGTAGGTAAAATAATTGAAGCATCATGTAGGCAAACCTGATGTTCTCCAGACATTGGCGCTGACAGCAGAAGGAGACTGTAATAATAATACAATATATATAGGCGCATATAGCGGAGATTTTAACACAGCTCAAGCCTGCTATTATTCGAGGGAAGTGTCTCTTAGTTTGACAACTGGTTGACCTCCTTACTTCTAGGCAGATCAGGCAGTAAAGGATGGAAGTTGTGTCCGGATTATATAGTTAACAATAGCACGCACGGCACAAACAAAATCGGCGATCTGTACTTCCTGGCTCCAGTCAATGTAGCCCTGACCTTGGGCTTGTCATCAATACTACACCATGTCAATTGATTTTGGTGAATGAGCTCCAGAGCTAGGCCATGGGCGGCTGGGAGATCCGCAGCCTTAGGATCACCTGTCTAACTGGGTGCAAATTACGGGTTACCGGAAATATCGACGCAAACTCATAAGATCAATAATGGGCGAAATAATGCTAAGTATTCAAGGAAACAGTGGGGGAATGGTCAACTGCTCCGAACTTGGCACATGCAATGCAACCATCTCAGACGACCCCAACCCCCAAAGCAACCTCAGATCTAAGGCACAGACAAGACTGGGGCGATGAGTTTACCTTTTGAGTGATGAACTGATTGATAATACTACACACCAACATCTCGCAAGGACACTGCGAGCAGCCTGTGAAATGAGCTCTTGTCGAAATCAGACTCAATCCGGAAGGTCAGTAGCTAACCAATGCCCCCAAATGGGATGATTGGGGGCTGGGAATCATGCTCAACACATGCATATCGGGAATGATATACAATTACAGAAGCAATTTTCTTTCAGTGATGATTCTGCCCTCTTAGCATGTCCGTTGCACATGGCATGACAACCAACATGCAGTCACATCGAATAAAGAACTCACTAGGACCCTGGTACGCCAACCTTTATCTTTAACCGTAATTGCACGGAACATCACTTTCCACCAGTAGAACACAAGCTTCGCAACGGCACGATCCCTTCGTGCAGATCCGGGAGCCTTTTCGTCGAGCCTATTGGTGCTTATTATTGACCCCGACCAGGGTTCCCCGCATATACCCCCGAAGAGAGGTTGTAGCTATATGCAAGCCCGTGATACATGAGGCAAAAGGTGAAGATATTATTGAGTACATATACCTCGGTCGCGAACATGTCTTGAGCCATTGGTACTACAACTCCAGGTCTTTCTTCTTGTCCTTCTTCAACCGTCAAGATGAAGTTCTCGTCGGCTCTTTTCTGTGTTTTCGCGACCCTTTCTGTGGCTTTCCCTTCTGACTACCTCAAGGTTGCATCTTGGGGCGTTGAAGGCTATGCTAAGGATAACCCCATTGGAATCACCACTGGTGGCAAGGGCGGAAAGACCGTCGTTGTGTCGACAGAGGCGGAGCTCGTTGCTGCTGTCAACGGCACCAAGCCCAAGATTGTGAAGCTAAAGGGCAAGGTTACTCTCTCTGCCCGTCTTAAAGTTGGCTCCAACACCTCTCTCATTGGTGTTGGACTGTCAGCGCACATTACTGGTAAGGGTGTTGATGTCTTCAATGGCGACAATGTCATTCTGCAGAATCTGAAGATCACCAAAATTCTGGACAACGACTGCATTACCATTCGAAACAGCACTCGCGTCTGGGTCGATCACAACGAATTCTCCTCCGACATCAACCAGGGCCCCGACCACTATGTGAGTACAGAGTTCGTTACCTTCTGCAAATTCAGAGCTAACAACACGACCAGGATGGACAAGTCGATATTATTCGCGCCTCCGACTGGGTGACCGTTTCTTGGAACTACTTCCACGATCACTGGAAGTCCTCTCTCGTGGGCAACGACGCTACATTCCGCGATCTCGACTACGGACATCTTCACGTTACGTACCACCACAACTATTGGAGAAACATGGGTACTCGTGGCCCTGCTGGCCGATTCGGCCACCAGCATATCTACAACAACCTTTACGAAGACTTCCTGTACCAAGCCATTCACAGCCGATCCGATAACCAGGTATGTAGCGCCTTGACATCAGTCGATACTATGATAGCTAAGAAACATAGGTTCTTGTCGAGGGCAATGTCTTCCGCGGTAACACCAGTGAAGCCCTGAGCACCCACGGCCTCGTCATCCCCATGGACTCTCCCAACACCTGCGTTTGCGGTGACGAGGAACTTGATGGTTTCGCAAACCTCGGAGCAAGTACGTATACCCGAAAACATTGTCTCGCTGGAGTGCTAATCAAGAAACAGAGAACGACTGGGGCAAGGCTGGAGTCAATATTACACAAAAGGGAGACTTCTACAAGGCTGATTACAAGTTCAAGTTGACTCCTCTCAAGCTTGTTCCAGCTGTGGCCAAGCTTGGTGCTGGTGTTGGTAGAATCTGGTAGACGCTGAAACAAAAGGGCTTTTGGAGGGGAGTAAGATTAGGTTCCTCCAAGGACTTGAGTATGGCTCTCCCAGGCTCCGTGTATAGAAAATAAATAATAGTATCGAATGCTACCAAGAGTTGTAGTCTACTCAAATACCAAGATTTGTGTCTAACTTCGTCCAAAAGTATACTATGAAGAGAATTAATCATGCTCACAAGTTCACTAAGCGCCGGCCGTTCAACTCTCTCCAGCCTCCAGGGGACCAAATATGGACCAGCTGGCTGACATTCAAGGCGATCAACCAACTCTCTCCAGAGCTCCCAGCCGCCTCTAACACCTTCTCCCAGGTGTCAAGGCCATACTCAACCTACTTTCACCTTACACTACGCAGGTGAAAATGCCTAGATCGGGTCGCCTTGCTACGACGGGACCGCCGCCTGTGTTCTTCAGCTGACGGCTGTTCCGCCTCCATCTACAGCCCACGGATAACTAGTAACAGAACTAACCTCTGTGTGGATCCGTAGACCTTTTACGACTATACCCAAAGATAGCCGGTAGTCCCTTCAATCTCCATGTACGCGGACCGAGGGATTTACCCCAGCTTCTTTGCAGCCGATTAGAGTGCGGGGAGAAAGTCCGGGGAAGCTACCTGCGGAATTAAGGCCGGGCGCATACGATGCCGTGATGGAGTATATAAAGATAAATGAAACGTCGATAAATCTCAATGTCCGCAAACACAGCTTCTTTAGAGTCTCATCTTCTATCTCCCCCACTGCATGAATCCTACCATTATGGCTACTTTTAAGTCCCTCGTCTACCTCGCTGCAGTCTCGGCTGTCCGCGCTACTATCAGCCCTGGTTCCCTCAACACCATATCTACAGCAGTAGACGTCAACAGCCAGGCCGGCTGGTGGAATCCCCTCGATGAGTTCGGTGACTACGACTGGTTCGCGTATTTGCGAAACCCTCCTAGCGGCAGCACAGCCAACAACAATGTCATGATCGCCCGGCGCTCCATCTCGGATGGTACAATCACACGAGACTGTGTCAAGACATCTGATGGCGAATGTGCCATCTTTGCAGATGACTTGGGACATAATACACCAAGTATTAGCATTGATGGAGATGGTTACGTGCACGTGTTCACTAGCATGCACAACGAGCCATGGCAGTATTTCCGCTCTTCTGAGCCGTATAGCAGCTCTCTTGTCGATGCCAGCTCCGATATGCCCGACCAGGGCGTCAAGATTACATATCCCGTCATCAAGCGTGACGCCAACGGAGATCTCTGGCTTATCGTTCGTGGACAGGCGGCCAACGATGATACATCTAAGGGCGGATACTTTTACAAGTACTCAGTCAATGATAAGACATGGTCCCGGGTCAGTATCTGGGCATATAGCAAGGGATACTCAGTCTATCCTGATGACATCGCCTTTTCCTCCGATGGTGATATCCATCTCCAGTGGGAATGGAGCAAGTACCCTGCGTCTGCTGTGCGCCATCAAGGAAGTTACGTGCGCTACCGCCCATCTACAAACTCGTACACCTCAGCCTCCGGAGCCACCGTCTCGCTTCCTGTTACGCAGAATACTGCGGATATTGTGTACCAGCCGCTCACATCGGGCGAAACCTACAGCGGGGACATCAATGCATCTCCAGGCCCAGCTTTCCAAAGCGCAAAGATGGCACTATACGAGCGCTCTGGCACAGTTCATATCCAACACGCCTACCGCTTCAAGACTTCCAACGCCGGCGCATGGCAGATCCGTCGTGCTACGGCAACATACGGTACCCAGGATCCTTGGAAGCGTGAGATTCTGTACGACGGAAGTGAGACAAGCGCTGGAATCGGCATCACGCACGATGGCACGACTGTTCGTATCTACTATTGCGTTGCTTCGGCTAGTGTATCCGTACTTGAGAACGTGGGAGGTGCGGGGTGGACTAACACGGCTGTTGGTCCGGGTGTTAGTAAGAGGGTGCAGCGTCTGCAGGCTTTGATGAGGAGTGATGGTACGGATGTGCTGTACTTGGGGTCGCCGAATAATGTTAACTCAACAACTGGAAGTTTGTATCTTCTGACTGTTGGAGGGCGGGACTAGAGTGGCGTGATCATGGTCATGAAGCCAATGGAACTATTGTTGATATGTGTGGTGTAACAGTCAGAACTCTGTATTTCTCTCCATTACATATCTTCTCTCTTTTACACGATGTGCAAACTACTGCCCTGCATGATATCCTTGCATATAATCCCCCTCCTCAGCATACTCGACAGGCATATGAGGAGTCATATTACTCAAATCTCCATGAAAATTCAGAATACTATTTGTAAACACTTCATCCGGCCTGCCAATAGGGTTAAACTGCGACGTAGCCATGTCATCCACGCCTAACATTGGGGCTGAAAAGTATGTCCAGAAATTCAGTTCGTCCGGTGCAGCCGCGATGTCGGAGAGATCGAAGAGAGGCCATAGTTCCTCTGCCGGCAGGTTAGACATATCGTTAAGCTGGCCGTCTTCAAATAAATTGCGTTGTTCAATATTGGCAGGTTGGCTGATATTGGCCCAACCTTCTTCCGACGATTGTGGGGGGCAAACATTTGTGCTGCCTGTTTGATGCGTGTTATCGGTCAGGGTAGTATTGTATGCGCGTTCTGGTTCGGCCCTGTTAGAGCGTGTATCAACCGGACATGCACCAGGCTCCTGTAGATGGAGACTGTCCGTTATCTGTCCTGAGTTTTGTTGAGTCTGGCTTTCGAGGTCTTGGGTCCGCAGCTGCTGTATGATTGAACGCCTACGATCTCGCCGGCCTTCTTCAAGATCATGCTGTATCGGTAGGTTTTGGCCACCTCCTGCTGATCGCACCAACTCTTTTTCGACAAGATCAATAGTAGCATCTGCCAATTTCGACAACGCCTCTCTAGCCCGTGCAATCCGTTCCCATCTGCCTCCAAGTCTCTCTAGTATGAGCTTCCACTGGAACAGACAGCTCTTGAACGACACCCAGTCTTCTTTCGCCTTGGCCCGTGCCTCTGTACTTTTCCAGACAATGAAGACAAGTGTAATGCCGCTCATGAACTGGAAGTGGAGATCAACCCAGGTGAAATCCATCAGCCCTTCACTGATACGGAGGAAGGAGAGCTGGATGAGATCTTTGGCTGCTGAATAGCAAGATAGTGTGTCTGCTGCGTTCAGGTTCGGCCGTGATGGTGATGGTCTGTATAGAATGAGTAGAGCTGTTCTATACCAGTATCCCCACCAGTTGATATTGTGGCCATCTGAGTCGGTAAGGGTCTGAGCCACAGAATTCCAAGCTTTCAAACGCAGGGCCATCTCGTTTGTCCATTGGGAAAGCTCTGTTTCCTCCTGCTCTGGACGGGTGGCATCAATCCGTACTGTATGAAGTTTATGGACAATCTCGCTTTGGAACCGTTGTAACTCAAGCCAATGGAGTATTTGGCGCCTCTTCCGTGGTAACAATGATTGTTCGGGTAAGTGAATGTCCACAGTAAAGTCGTCAAACGTAAATGGGCGACCGAGAAGTATGTTAAGGGTTCTGTCAAAACTGAACGTAATCCAGAAGAGCCTTCTTTTTGTATCTGCTTCATTCACTTTCTCCATATCACTCTCCTTAGCCGACGACGAAATAGCGATCGTTTTCTCTGAATGGTAGCCCAGGTCAATGCACATTCTCATACAGAGACCAGAGATATACCAGACTGGCGCAGAAGTTGAGTCCAGGATGGAGAGTAGGAGCAGTAACAGCAGACACTGCACGGACTGCACATTCTTCGTCTGCATTATGAGGCTCACATCAGCCATCGCATTGGCAGTGAATCCCTTGGAAATAGCCAAGCTCTCATCATGGTCGTTCGACATGAAAATTAGGGAGATTGAAAGGACCATATTAAGCATGAAACGGGTCCAGACATCGCCAGGTTCCGATTGAGAATGGTCGCGTCTTGTATCTTGGCGGTCGTAAAAGTCCGAGACAGACTTTGTGAATTCATTTTGATCTAGTATGGGATACTGAACCTGATATTGGCTGAAAAAAGTGTCGATGAGGCTGTTGGCAGTCTCTCGTGATGGGAGCGCGATTCTGGTATTACTGCTAGCTGTTTCTTTAGGTCCAGCCCGCGGGGCGTCTGTGGACTCAGAAGGAGAATCGAAGTTTGGGTATTTCTGTTGCGCAGACTCTAGCACCGACCGGACCAAGTACATACCTAAATGCAGGTCAGCTCAGGTTGCTAATACGGGGTTGAATATTGGTGTTGTACCACTTGAGGCTCCGATAAAGTGAGCATGCCCCTCACCGCCAACGCGAATGAGGTCCTGGGCATGCTCATCATCAGAGCGTAGCGTTGAAGTCGCTGGGGACTCCTCAGCCTCTGTTTGTCCTACTCCTTCAAGCTGGCGCTCTAGATGCAACAGTTGGGACTCCAGGTCGTGGATAAAACTGCGTGGGTGGACCTCACCCGATCGACCATCTGTGTATTCACATATTGACCCTGAGTTTTGACACGGCTGACAGGCAGGGATCTCTGCATCAACATTAGCATACACAAATACATGGAATCAGGGGAAGTCTTGTGATGTACGGGTATCACAACGCGCCTTGCGTTTACGACAGCGGTTACAAGCATTAATTGTCTGCCGATTTGTCAGTATCATGTACCTGTTGATGATAACACAACGTACAAAGTATGGCGGGTCCATTTTCCGCAAGAGGTGCCATGGTCTTACACGTTAATAGTAGCGAATTCTGTCCTCGTTGTCAAAATGATTGTCCAAGTTCCGAGGTCGATCAAACCCACAGGAAGTGCGGAGACAGGATGACATGGAATTTGTTCCGCTCCCTTCAGCCTTTGAACAGAAGCTAATGCCTTCCCCGCAGAACTCCGCTCCTTCGTGCCAAGCTAGTCAGGCAAGACTAGCGGTCATGTCTGTGCGTGGCAAGGTTCTCATTGGGTAGGATGAGCTTCAAGCATGCCAGTCTGTTCACTGATTGGGAAGGTTTACGGGACAACTCCAGGGTATGATGGTGATACAAACGACAATCGACAGTCGAGAGACGAATCCTCAACAAGAAATCTTGCTGAACAAGGTACAGTTGAAAATATTTTGAATTAAGAACGTATTCTTATTACATTTCTTTGTGCTATCATGCGACGCAAACAGTTGCTGTTCTCGTCTTAACCTGCTCTGAGGACTGATAATGTTTGTGAAAGACGTCACAATGTCCGAGGAAGATAATCTTGAACAAGCTAGTAAAAGCCACAAACTCCAACAATAGGTTTTCTGACTGACTACTTCCATACAACATTACAAAACACTACTCCGTCTCACTCTCCCCGCACATACTGAGTATCACAACCAAGATCAAACACTCTTTCCACGCATCTCAACCCTCTGTTCCTCCCCAGCAAGCATCTGCTTTGGCGTAGCGTCCTCTTCCGAATGAACATTAAGCGACCCAAAGTGCGAGTCCAACTCCTCCAGCGTCTTGCCCTTGGTCTCAGGGTAGCAGGAATAGACAAGGATGGCGGAGAAGACGTTGAACGACATAAAGATGAAGTAGACCTTCGGGCCGATACGCGAGACTGCAATAGGCCAGACTTGTCCGACGATGATGGAGCCGAGCGAGGCGCCAGAGGAGGAGATACCGAGACCTTTGGAACGGCAGTTGGCGGGGAAGATCTCGGATGCATAGATCCAAGCGCAAGGTCCGAAGCCCATGCTGTCTGTTGGTGGACACTCGTTAGCAATGTCTGGCATGTAGTGGTTCTTGACTTACATCCGACGGTGAAAAAGAAAATAAAGAAGATGTTGACATAGTTCGCGTGCGAGTTAGTTTGCCCAGGATAAGCAAGCTGTAAAGCGCCGTTGATCTAATCATCCGTTAGTAGATATTATCTACCAAGATCAAGACAACTAACCATTAAGCAAAAAGCCATGATAACAGCCCCAACACCAAGCGAATGTCGTCGACCAAGCTTATCAATAAAGAACATGGCCGCAACAGTGCAAACAACCTGCACAGTCCCATCAATACCAGAAGCGAGCAAGCTGAGCTCCTTCGAAGTACCAGCGGCGACAAAGTTGGTAGGGAGGTAGTATCGAATACCGGCAGCACCGCTCATCTGCTGCAGGAAGGCGAGAGACCAGGCTCGCCAGAGGCGCGACCAGAGGGGCTTCTGCTGGATAAAGACACGGGCGGATGTGATGGAGTTTTCCTGATGCCAGAGGATGTTGGCGTGGATCTCGTCAAGCTCGGGCTGGACTTCGGCAGTGGTGAGGCCGCGGAGCTTGGCTAGAGATTGGCTTGCGGCTTCCATTTGGTCGGTCTCGACAAGCCATCGGGGACTATGAGAATGTGTGAGCAATTGATATAGTGAAGAGTCGGGAGACGCAGGTTATACCTCTCGGGAATAAAGGGAACGCCACCCAGGAATAGAAGTGCAGGGACAAACTGCATGGCATTGGAAAGACGCCACTCCAGTTCGATGCCCTTGCCGTAGTTCCAGAATGAGTACCCATAGCCAACCCAAAAAGCCATGGAAATACTAACATTGTTAGTCTTGAGCCAAAATCACTCAACCTAGGATACTCACCCAAACACAATGCCGACTTGATTAGCAGCCACAAACAATCCTCGATGATTCGCAGGCGAAATCTCACTGAGATAAAGCGGAACAGCAGTAGACACCACACCAGTTCCCACGCCAGCAACAATTCGTCCAACAACCATCATGGCGAGATGAACAGCACCGGTTTGGATGGCAGCACCAACGCACAGCATACACACGCCGCCGAAACCAGCCCAGCGTCGACCAAATTTGTTGTTGCATGGGCCAGCGAGGAATGCGAAACCGGCGAATTGACCAGCGTAGAAGATGGACGTGATGAGACCTTTGTCGCTGGAGTTTGGGTTGTCGAGGGCTTTGTTGAATCCGGGGGAGACATAGATGGTGCTCAAGATTCCGATGTCATAACTAAGATTGTAAGTTTATGCTTCAGCAGGTATCTTGTGTAATTTGGACTTACCCCCAAAAGATAGACCCCATGGAGATGACAACAATGCTGAAGACGAGCCAGGCGCTCATCTTGGGCTTGACTGAGCCCACTTCTGTAGTCATCTTGAAAAATATCGTATCTCAAAAAAAGGCTGGATAACTTGGATTGAGACTCTAAGGTTGGATGATCCCCGTTACAAAAGTCCGGGGAAGCTATTCTTATCATCTTCGCTGACTGGGACTAGAATCTGGGGTAGCGTAGAACTCAGTAGTCTGGACGAGCGGAGGTTAGTGGTCTCATTCCGCTGTGGGGTTAGCAGTTCACTAAAGCGCTGAAGAGACGGAGCCTCCGCTTACACATTTTGCTGGCTACGGCGGTTCCGTCTCTGGTAGAGCGATCCATAGCGCTGAACTATTCCCAACTTTTTGAGCGTGATCAATTAATGAACTGACTATTTGATGCACGATTGTAGCCTCAGCTAACCCTACCTTCTGAGCCTTGAACTCACCACTCGTCCAAACTCGTCAAGCTCACGCTACCCCAGAATGAGCCCCAATGGCTCCCCCTCGCTCGGCGAACTTAAGCATATCTCCTCAACTCGCTTAACACCCAGCCTCAGTATCCATACCTTTTCTGCCCCAGCCAGCCACGAGTTTACTCGGAACTACCGTCCAAGTCAACACCTGACGCTTCAATTCCCGCCTGATCTCGATCCAGTAGCAGGACCACAGAATTTATCGGACAAGGACCGATGTCTTTCCTTTACGCCGTATCATGTGCAATACGCTGATGGGGAAGTTAAAACTGTTTCACTTATGGCTCGCAATGGACGTGTTACCGGGCTGTTGGGACTTCCTCGCCCGCAGGGGCCGTTGATTGCGCATGTCGTTGACATCGGTGGTGGTTTCTCTTCTGAAGTTCTAGACCGTGCCGATCAGGCGGTTTGTATTGCTGGCGGTACAGGTATTGCCCCGTTTATTGCTATGGCGATGGCGAGAAGGCACTTTACTAGCTCTGATATCCAAAGCTTGAAGCCTACTCTTGTATGCAGTCTTCGCGGAGACGACTTTGGCGTCGTAGATTATCTCTGGAAACACGAGATGCTTCGCCCACAAGACTGGAAGTCTGTGCAAATCTTCGTAACACCCGGGGAAGAAAGTAACGGGATGGCTGCTGGAAAATCTCAAGATTGGTGGAGTGAACGTTTCGAGGCTCTAGATAGTGATAATCGCATCTTCCATCTCGGAAGAATGGAGAAGGACGATTTGAATGACATTATCAATGGCCACGAGGGTCCTGTTCTCTTCTGCGGAAGCAAGCAGTTGGAGTGGCAAGTCAAGATGTGGCTGCTTGGAAAGAAAGAGACACATTGTACAGAGAGATAAATAAAGGTGTTACTGAAATTTGTTCAAAATGAGAATAATCTACAGTCTACTCATAGACGCGAACTTCGAATATTCCTCCAAAAACATTCTCGTCCCCATTTAGTTCAAGAATCTCAACTCCAAGCTCCTTCACACTCCTACCAGACTCGAGCCTAACCTCCCGTCGTGAATGATGGTTATCATCTTCGACATAAATCTCTTTCTCCTCCGCAGAAAGATCAAGGAGACGCCACTTCTTGACGCAAAAAGGAATATTCCGCTCCGGATGACCTCTCAAGACAGACTCCAGCGCATGATCATAGTCCGTGTCAAAATGGACAACAACCTTGTTCAGTTTAACAGGGGTTTCCCAGCTGATCTTCATGATTTTCCTGCCGGAGCCTGGTACCCAGCAGTTGGTTCTCTTAGTCGGACGAGGAACTCCATTGCTGACATTCTCTACTCCCCATGCTCTCAAAGGCGGATCTAATGTCAGCGCAAGATTGTGTCCCATCGGTCTCCTGACAGGCGTCCAGCGCTCAAAGGTGTCTACTCCGACGTCGCTAGGAGGTTCTTGGGTGCACTCATGCTCAACAGTCATGAGAGCTGATACGCGCGTCTTGGTGGTGCAAAGCGCTACGGAGTCGTTTTGGAGAAAGGCTAGGAAGACGTATTGCGTTTGTGGATTCGCCATCTGAAAGTCGACGACTATGTCGTTCTCGCCCGGGACCAAAGAGAACTTCCTTTCGGCGAGTATTACCTCAGGGGTGTAGTTGTAGGGCTTTTGAGAGCCACGAAGTTGAACGGTCAGTTCAGTGTTGTCAACTGACATAGCCGTAATGCAAAACTTTGGCACAGGACCATGCTGCAAAGGAAGCATCTGCGCGAGGCTTCTTACCAAGACTTTAGGGGGCCCATCAGCAGGAAGCTGGGATAGCTCAAACGCAGAACCTTCAATCTTAGAAGCCGAGCGAACCAGGTCAGTTGGGTCGTTGAGTTTGTATCCCGGGATGAACTGGCCAAAGCGCATCAACTCGCACTGGAAGTTCTTCATGTTGCCTTTGACCAGTAGTTGCATGGGGTCAATGCTTTGCTTCTTACACAGGGATGCTGCGATTCCCAGGGCGTTGGCATTGGCGCCGCATGTTGCCATGACGCGAGTAGATGCGAAGGCGACGTGGGACGCTGACATGATGCGGCCGCCGTACATGAGGTTGGGAATATCGGCGCATACCATTGAGGAGAATGGGATTTGGTAGACGCCTGGGAACGTTAGTTGACAACATCAAATCCCGTGGGATGGAGCTTACCCTTGGAATGCCATTGTGTGCAGCCGTCGACTTCGGAGAATACACCATCCGCGGGATGTAAGTCAAGGGACCAGCCGCCAAATGATACAGCATCGGAGTGAAAGCACTGCTCGACGATGTCTTGTTGAACCATGATAGTAGGACCAACTACGAATATTAGTCTCGTTCAAGCAGATATGACAGACATAATACTTACTGAAGCGTCGACTCTCTCTTTTCCCTGGAATCGTACCAACCCATTCAAGAGTCAGATTCTCAGCCTCAGGAAACCTCCCCGAGTTCTTGAAATAATCCCAAACACCATACACAACCCTCCATAGCTCCCATTTAATCTGCTCAGTATCATGTATGGTGTCAAGTCTACCACCGTACTCAATCCACCATAGATTGCAGCCCATCTCTTTTGTGCTGAAGCTCTTGAAACGCGGAATCTCACTCTCGACATCCTTCAATGCGTATGAAGGCGCAACGTACTTGACAGGCTTGCCGGTGTCTTTGGTGTAGAAGTAGATGGAGTGGCCGAGGAGATGACCGTACTCGGAGGATGGGGCGAAGAGTTCGCCGAATTCATCGCGCTTTTCGGCGCCGATGCGGAAGGGTGCGCCGGCGAGGAATGAGAGTGTGCCGTCGCCGGTGCAGTCGATGAATTGCTGGGCTTGGATGTTGAACTTGAGAGAAGATTGCGAATTGAAGGCGCTGACAGAACTAATCCTCTCATTCTCTTTCTCACAGCCCATTAAGGCGGTATTCAGGAACAACTGGATCCTACTTTCAAGTCGAACCTTTTCCAGGAGGATAGTATCCAAAATCAGCGGATTGCCTTCGGGATTACGATGCAGATTCTCCAAGAGAATCTCATCAACAAGTCCACCCTCTCTCGCATAGCGGTTGTTGTTAAACATATGCGACGTCGCTCCAAGAATCCACAAGCGGACCTCACTGGAGGCATTGCCGCCGAGAACAGGCCTGTCTTGGATCAGGACAACATCGACGCCATTTCTGGCTGCTGCGATGGCGGCGATGGTCCCTGCGAAGCCACCGCCGCAGACGCAAAGGTCTGTGTTGAGGTTGCGGATTTGGAAGTCACGGCTCTGGGTTGCTGGTTCACGACGGAGGACTGGGTCGTGGGATATTCTTGCTGGGGCCATGGTCAGGGATTGTGAGCGAGGTTGTGATGTGATGTGCTAAGGATTTGTTTGAGCACTGGGAAATAAGCTGAGATACAAATACGTGATAGTAACGGAATGAATACCTGCTTCTCTCTTATTCTATCTACATGACAAGCAATTCCCTGTCCATAAGCGGGCCATCCGCTTGACTTGACTTACAACGACTCAATACCTGATCGACTGATGAAGATCAGCGGAACCACCGCTCTTTTGACCATATCCTCACTAGACATGTCGGCGGCGGTTCCGTCTGCTCCACCTTTTCCCCGCAAGCTGCCCCGGACTTTGACTTGATTCTGTGAATCTGACCGTTTATGTGCAGTGCAGTGCAGGTTCTTGTCAAAAGAATCGAATGATCAGAGTCTTGTGATGATTTTACTGGGTCTCTGTCACCAATAGCGCCTTTTCAGCTTTGGCTGTCGGAATTGTTGCGCAATCCTTCATTCCCCACTCCCACTCTATACTCGGAGCAGCTGGTCGAGATTGAGCCTCGCTGATCGATTATCTGTCAAGGGCTGCATTGTCACTGTGTTGTGCAACATCAATCTCCCATGTCCAATATTAGTAGTCACAATCAGTCAAAAGACTCACACCATGAACCAGCCACAGCTCCAATGACCTCTCCAACCGCCTCTGCCACAGCGATAAGTCGCACTGAGAACAGCTCGGGGCATCCCAGAAGAAACGTACCACTGCGCGTTGCCCAGATAACCTCTGCCTGTACCTTCTGTAAAGCTCGAAAGATCAAGGTTCATGCCCCCACATGCCCCAAAACTTCTTAACCATGACCAACTCATAGTCCCAGTGCAATGGCGTTACCCCAGCCTGCGGCGGCTGTATCAAATTCGGTCGACAAGCTACCTGTTCCCTCTCAACCAATACTTCAAATCGCGGGAGGGACTACCCGACTTACCTACGTCAGAAGATTGAACTTGCTCAACAGCGGCTTGGCCAGCTCCAGGCTACACGGGATGGTGTTACATCTCCGGCATCGAACGCTGAACGATCAAATCGGGATGAGTCGACAGAGCAGCGGTCCATAATCGACTCTCTCATTGCTGATATCGGCGCTCTTCCCATTATTGCATGCTCATACCCGTCTGCAGCAGAAGGCCCGACACTGTCATCGCTTGTATTAGCTACGGCCAGCACAAACCAACTCTCATCTACTCTGCACTCGTTACAAGGCAGCGATAATACTCCTTGTCTTCCCAAAGAGTCAACCGCTTTAAGCCTGGCTAAGCACTACTTCGCGAACGTTTACCCACGTCTTCCCTTTTTCTCTATCCAGGGCTTCTGGGTCCAGTATGAGCATGTCTTCTCCGGTGTTGGCGCACCTACTGAAGCCGAAGGTGTCTGCCCGCGAGATCCCACCAGTGTTCTCTCACCAAGCGCAGCAGACCTTGATTGTTCCTCTCTAAGCCATGGGTATAGCTACTTCACAATTCTGCTAGTACTGGCGATATCAGCTTCGAGTCTTTCGCGCAGTGCTGACAGCGTAACCTCAACTCAAGCGCAGCGCCTCTTCCGCACAGCGCTGACATTTCGAGAATCTGCAATTCTTCCCAATACCATCGTCGGCGTACAGTCGATATTATTCCTCGTGCAGTTTGCCACCCTGAACCCTTCGCTTCTCGACGCTTGGTATCTTATCGGTGTTGGTATGCGAATGTGTGTTGACCTAGGTCTACATCAAGATCCACAACCTCTTGATTCAGTCGCTACAAGTTTGCTGGAAACAAGGCGACGTCTTTGGTGGAGTATGTACTCCTTCGATCGTTCCATGAGCTTGGGATGCAGTCGCCCAACAGAAATATCCGACTCGGCCATTAATGTCTCTTTGCCTACGTTTAGAATCGAAACCTCGGCTACGGTTGTTGAGGTTCACGGTTATTTGCAGCGATATCGCGCTTTGCAGATTCAGTCTGAGATATATGTTTGCTTAAACAAATCCCCAGGCTCAGACTCTAGCGAAACGCAGACACTCTTCGCACAACTCTGTCAGAAGCTGACTGATTGGAAAGAAGCTAGCTCTCAGCTACCAAACAAAGCACTCATAGAAAGCGAATGGTTGATGGGTCGTATGCTTTTGTTGCGGCCTTGCCGGTTCTTGCCAGATCGCACAATGGACGAACTCAACGACCTTTGGAAATCCACCACTGGATTCATTGGTCTTTACCGTCGCCTTGTGGAATCCAACTCCATCTTCTACGTTCAGATTGCTTGTGAGAAAGTATACTGGACTGGTCTAATGGCCCTCTACAGCTATTGTCAACTGCGTCGTAATACTGCCAGAGAACACAACGAGTTACGTCCACTCGATGTGTGGGTCATGGTTAAGGATGTCATATCCATTCTGCGGGCCCTTAGCGAGCGTTGGGAACAGGGTAAACTCGTCTGTGGACGATTCGACGTTATTAGTACTCGCATTCTAGAACTTTCAGAAGCTGCTTCGGAAGAGAACATGGCGGTGGAATTTCCGGCTGAATTGCAACGTTTGGACCAATATACCAGTTTGACGGTCGTCTGGGCTTCAAACGACAAAGTGCTGACACAAAGAAATGCCGTTGTGCAAGATACAAATGACCTTCGGCAACTAGTTTCAGAAATGCTGTAGCGGCAGAGGATGACGTTGGTGGGAGGTTGATTTACTACTAATCACAACATAAATTCTCTTCAAGGCAATGTAGTCAACTGTTTATAAAGACATGTCTCTAAAGGTTGGAAGATTGACATTTGTTCATGTCCGAGTTGTTCCAAGTCAACAGCAAGCAAGTTTCTCTTAATTAAAGAACCGATGAATAATTGAAGAGGCTATTAGTCGGTTAGAATGGCTACCATAAAAGTGAAGCAGCGAATTTAATATGTGATTGTATTGTGTTATTTGGGCAACAACAAGTGTTCCCTCACTACATATCTCCATAGACTTCGTGATCAGCTCTATACATAACGGCCTTAGCACTATAAAAGATAGAACCTCTGCATCGTGATGCTATCTCAGTTGCGTTTCCACAACTACACTGCATCAACAATTTGTAACATTAAAACGTAGCTCAATCAGTATAAATGCTTACAAGGTCCAGTGTCAACCAGCAACTTCACGTTAATCCAATCAAACTAGAAAGCAGAGCAGGCACGAAAGTTGGTTCCAAGAATTCATCGATTGAGCTAGATAAACATAATCATGCTAACAAACGCTCGCTTTAGTTGCCCTTGACACGCTGGTCAGGGGTACCGTCCTTCTTGAGTCCATCGTGCTCAGTAGGCTTGTAGTCGCCGCCGGAGCTGCTACTTCCAAGTCCTGAATCACCACCCTCGCCGCCAGAGGTCTTTCCACCCTGCTCGCCAGCCTTGTGGGGGTCGACCTTTCCGTGGGCGAACTCGCCGGTGCCGACACGGCCGTCGGGCTGACCGTCCTTGCGGAGACCGTCGTGCTCTAAAGATGTTCGTTAGAAGGGGTGTTATTGAGAGCGAAAAGGAGGCGAAGTACCAGTGGGCTTGTAATCAGACATGTTGAAAGTGTTTGTGGGGAGTGGGTGAAGTTGGTTGTTTGGTGTTGTTGTTGATTGGGATTTGATGTTTGGATGATGAGATTAAAGCACTATTCGAGCGTTGAAGCACCGCCTTATATGCTTCAGGATCTCTCGACTTGCTGTCCGTGGCCCAAGACATTGAAACTCATAGACGTCATGAATCGATGCAGGCGGAGTGTTTGTTCCCGTCGTCAATGCGTATACTGGTCATCGACTTTTGCATTCGTGATACTCTATTGGCAATTCATCATCTCTCAATAGACAGGGGGCTTCCTATTGTCAATGCGTATGGTTGTCATTGACTTTTGCTTTGTTCAGTTTTACCCCAGAATTGCCCTGAAAGTTAACGGTCAGGTACCGTCGATCTCCACGATCGAGATCCATATTGGGCTTAGCTGGATCGCGAATCGGCGGTCAAGCTTCAGTCCCCGGTTGACTCTTCGCTTTGTTTCAGCTAATCGGTGATCGTTTCTACTATGATGATGCAATAGACAAGAGCGAACAAACAAACAGCGTGGTATGACCAATTGGAAACGATGGAAAGCCACTTAACGCGTGAGTGACACTTAACGCGTTGATGATGCTCCGGACTAATCTCAGCTATGGCGGGATCGCACGCGAGCATCGTACTCATGATTCAATTGCTGTGATGGAGTTGTCAGGCACGCGATGAGCAGCGGGGATGCTGAGAATCCAACCAATCTCGATCTGGTGTCTTGGATATCGATACGTCGTTTTCCTTACATCATGATGACAAGGTGGATTCATGCGAGCAAACAAGGCGTCTTCATTCCTGGTAAGCGGACCAACACGTGTGCATTTGCAGTGTTGGCAGGACATTACAGGCGATCCAATTGAGCTAAAGGGGGTTTTACTTGGTCCTGCCAACGGTTAGCCGCAGATAGGGTAGGTAGTAGACTTGTCTACCCAGAACACGCACAGCAGTATCGTACTATATGGACAGATTCAGGTCGATTAATATGTAGAATGAATGGGAGAATCTCATTTAATTAACTAAACCAAACTGACGATACCAGTGGTAAGGTTTTCATCAATAGATTAACCATTTTGAGACACCCAGCAATTCACCATGCAACACTGAATTTAAAAGGAGCTTTGGTGACAGTGGAATGTCGTGTCACTCAAAATATGGCTCAGCAAATAATCTTTACAGTCAGTCCTAGTATCAGCAAGAACGCGATTATTATCAACTAATTACCAACTAGTAGCGAAAATTCGAAATGAAGCTCTAACCTTGGAACTTCGACTCATCGATGTAAAAAGTCTTGATAACCCCCTTCACTACTTCGTCAAGGTTCTGGTTTTCCGCCTCCCTCTTGAGAAGCTCACTCCTGGACTTCCTCATAGCATCAGCCACATCACTCCATGCCAAAAATTCTTTCTTGGCAACATTCTGCATACTCTGCTCAACCTTGACATCAACCAATTTCCCACCACGCTTCCTGATGATACCATCCACAATAACAGTATCCACGTTACCGATACTGCTGTGCAGAACAATTGCCGCAACTGGGTCCTGTTCAGCAGCGCAGGCTAGCTCGGGGGTGTTCGCGTCGAAGATCACAAGATCCGCAAGTTTTCCTTCTGCGATACTGCCTAGCTGAGCTTCCTTGCCAATTGCTCTAGCGCCCTGAATGGTTCCTAGATTAAATGCCTCCTGTACGGTCTTCGCTATGTGTCGAGGCGCCATACCCTGATCTAGGGCTTTCTGATTGTGTTTGGCCCTGGAAGCTTGCAGTCCTATCCTCATTTCGTATACGATACTCGAAGCCTGATTACTGTGACAGTCGATTCCTAGACTCGAACATGCCTGAGCTCGTGGTAATTCGTCATTCAGGCAAACAGGAAATCCCAGGGACATTTGTAACTCGGTCGAAGGAGTACTGCTAATATGTGCACCGGCATCTGCCACTGCCTGGATGCTCTCAGCGGGATACCCAGTGGCATGACTGAACAGCATGTGCTTGTCCAGGAGACCGAAGCCTTTGACCTGCTGGATTACATCACTCATGCCGACATGTGGACTGCGGACAGCGTGGGTTGTTGCGAAGTCAATACCGGCTTCTCGAGCCCGTTTGAAGACATCCTGAATCATTGGCTCCGGCAAAAGCCAAAGGTCAAAAGCCAGACCCATGGTTATGCGACCATCGCCGAAAGGTGCTTTCTTGCCCAACTCTTGCAGTTCGTCTAGAAACCACGACCCAAGAATATCTGCGTCCATCTCGAAGGGAGACCAGGAAGCAACGCGGGCGGTTGCGCAGTAGGCATATACGCTACGTAAGCCCGAGGAAGCGATTGCTGAGATGGCAGTCGATGCTAGGAGATAATGTTAGTCTCTGTTGCTAGTTTTTAACGTATTCACAGATCAGACTTACCAGCGCCTTGAAAGGTGTTGACATGCGAATGGTCGACGACTGTGGTAGTACCAGCATTGATGGCCTCAAGACATCCTCCGAGCTGGCCCCAGTAGAGGTCTTCCCTGGTATAGTTGGAAGACTGCAGGTTACCCGAGGCCATGTACTCGAGTAAAAGTTCATTCGCATGTCGTCCCTTGAGTTGCGTTTGCCAAAGATGGTGATGGGTGTCAACAAAGCCTGGAGAGATTATCTTCATATGACAGTCGATGACTTCTGCGTCGGTAACATCGTCAATGTCAGGTGAGATCTTAGCAATGAGGTTATTCTCAATAAGAACATCCGCTTCGAGAACTTGGATGTTGTCATTGGCATCGTGAACGAGTACTTTACCGCCTTTTAGTACTGTTCGACGGACTGAGGCATTGCTCCGAGAAGAGTGCGATTGCATTATAGTAGCAGATATTTCGATTATTGTCTAGGTCGAATACGATGAATTATGAAGTTGACTCTAAAGCCAACACAGAGGACAGAGGGGGCTCTATATAGTCAATGACGCAGTGGCAACGCCATCTCACTCTGCATGGAGCAAACAACATTTTGAGGCCTTCGTGCACGATGCCCATGCCCGCGGCACTCCGTGGCCCGTCTTCGCGGCGCACCATGAACATGTTTGCGAATCACCAACACAACATAACTACGAAAACAAGTTAACTCCACCAATAGAGTGCAACCTTCGTGTGTGCTGAAAGCGATCGGTACCGGTAGAAATCCGTAGGATCCACTGTCGGTCCCGAATTCGGTTGGTTCGGAGTCACCTACCCTACGGCGTAAAGAAAACGTGGACGGTGCTCTCATACAAATTCAGTGTAAAAGTCGGCCAAGTATTCTTGCACCCCAAGGGCTAACTATAGCCCGATGGCAGTTGGTGGACTATTTTTGAGTTTCGGCAGACCTCTTTAGGCAGTAAATGATTTGTAACAAGGTTTCGCTTCTGGGGACATGCCTCAAGCGCGACGGTGATAACAATATCGCGAGTCGCGAGAAATCGCTTTCGGAGTTGAGCAGCCAAATGCCACGTTCATAACAGCAATATTCGCCCATTAGGATATATGGTAAAAAGGAGTCCTCGCCGTACCCAGTGAGCTCAGAAGTTGTTGTCAGACCAAAAGCATCATCTAGGATCAGTTGAAATGATATTTTGGACGTCGGCTACGAATAAGTGTAAATCAAAAGACTACTGCACTTTTTATCGATTGATCCGTGGACAGAAATGTGACATGACACAAACCATGTTGTTATCTGTTTCTTTTGCATTCGACAATTAGGCGTTTCAATCATCCCAGTAATTACTGATGGATTGAAACTCAAAATCTAAATATAATCTAAGTATAGCATCAATCGAGAAATCTAGTCCGGTGTAGTATCACATAGGTGTTACTGATCATCTACGCTATCCCAAAATTAGGGAAGCCCAACAAGCAAATCACGAAGCTTTGGGAATTTGGGGGACCCCATCCCTGAAACAGGATCCCATCCTTTAGCCGCTTTGAAACCCGCCTTTCCACATCCAGGGTTCGAACCCTCAGTAATCTATTGGGCATTCGATTAGTCGTGAACCTGTCTTGACAACGTTTGACTTACATCAGTAAAGACTTCTGGGTGCTGGTAAAGAATCTGGTTTAAGAAGCCAATGGGCTTCTTTCCTTGTAGCAATCGTTCGTCGTTGATTCTGTTGATCATAGCACCGAACATAGGAGCAGCAGCGCTAGTCCCCCCGCTGACTGTCGTCTTGCCATCTTCCACCATCGTAACATTGGCTCCCAATAGGGCAACATCGGGGAAAGCACGTCCAGATGCGTTGTACGTTCCTTTGGGGTAGTGGGGGTTATTGGCAGCGAGGTAGCTGGCTACGGCCTTGCGCTGGTACGCCGGCTGTGGGTTGATGTTGCTGAAGCCACCTAGCAATGATGTTAGTGTAAGTTGGTTATCATGGGGTGGGTAGTACTGACCTCCAGAGTAAAAGTTGTGCTTGGGATCAAACACAGCAACTTCATGTGATTTTGATCCGCTGAAGTTGACTTGGGTCGCTCCAACAGCGGTGACATAAGGACAAGAGCCTGGGAACAAAGCATTGAAAGCTTCCTTGGTCTTGTCGTAGGGGTTTGCGGTACACTGCATAGATCCCTGAACTCCGCGGTCCCCGGAGGCTACGACAACCGTGACGCCAGTGAGGGCAAGCTTCATCCATTCGTGACATTGTCGCTCGATGTAGTGTCGAGACAAACTTGTCTCGTCGGGAGCGAATGAGATTGAGACGACATTCGTCACCTGGTACTTGCCACACATGGCGGGTCCTTGGAATCCTTGAAAGACTGGGAACCTAGGGTCGAATTCAGGGTCGTCTCCTCCGTCGTATTTGCAGTAGCTCGCGTCTACAGCATCCAGGAAGTCGTTCAGAATACCCCCCGCATTGTTGTAAGGAGTCTGGAACATTGTGACTGTCTGGGGATAAACAATGGGGTACGACATCTGGATATCAAGTAGCTCCTCGCCCTCAATAGGCTCGCCAACTGCTACAGCACCATTGATGCTGTTGACTTTGGGCTTAGTTCCTTTAGGGATGTAGGAAGCGTGCTTTGCCCAGAACATGTCCAAGTCGGATAATCTGTAGGGGTCACCGTATCCGAATAAGCCCATGGAGTTGTTCTTTGCGGCCTTGGTACCGAGAGGAATGCCATACAGCTCTAGTGGCAGTTAGTCATGCTAATTTCTGCGGTAATCATTCTTGAACTTACTGCGGATGCAAGCTGGTGTCCAGCTTTCACTACAGTTGCGTAAATCATCGGCAACAGGAAGCTTGTATGGTGGAGGCAAAGGAGCAGGACTAGGCTTGGCAGGACGGCTGCGTTTGGCTTTGCTAGCCTTTGTTGTTGGTGCCAGAGTGATGAACTGCACGTAGTCCTTCATCTCAGATGGAACCTCGTGGTCAGAAGGCTCAATACGAAAGTCCCCGGTCGCATCATTGTGCATAAATTGAACCTTGTCCCCAAGGAGATGCGCAAGTTGAGTCACTTGGGCAGAGAATTCCATAACAGCGGCTGCTTTCTTGAGATGAACGGAAGACAAATCGATGCTGGCATTCTCAAGCCAGCCTAGGACTTTCTTTTGGGATGCCTCACTGGGAGCGAAAAGGGCTTGCTGTAGGACTGTTAGCTTGTGGATGATGCGATTAGATCGACAAACAACGTACGACTTCTTCCTTGTCAAGATACTGACCGAACCTGTCTGAATTAGGATCCGAGATGCTCATCAACAGATCTTCAGCTTCTGCAAGCTTGGGTTGATGGAACGCGACGGCGGCACGAACCACGTCCCTGCTATCAGATTCCGTCACATCCTTCCATTGCGATTGGGGGCGCGCAAGGGCGAGTTGCGCGCCCAGAAACGCGACAAACGTCACGTAGTACAAACCACTACGCATATTGGATTGTTATAAGCCGCGGTGTTTGATAACAAAGTACCTATCCAAGAAAACAATGCCAAGGCAAAAGAAACAAAGAGGCCTAGAGCGGAATAAGGGGTATTAATATGATGTGGTTCGGTCAATTAGTCTAGAACGCTCGGGTCTTCTGTCTCGTATAAAAACCTCGTATTCACAGAAACTAAATGAACCGGGTTTGACTAACTCAATCCGGGCGATCATTTAATGCATAAGGTGAAACCGACGTCACCTTAGAGTGCAGATCATGATGCGACTTGAAGATTTATTGATATGAGGTGCAAAATGATCAAGTCAATAGAAACGTGAGACGACAGGATTCCGCCTTGGTGGGTAAAAGGCATTGGCTGTCAGACAATGGCCTGTCCAATATTGCCGAGGTGGATCCTACGTTTCATTCCAAAACCAATCAATGGATAGCCCAGTGATCTCTTCAGACTACTCCATAGTTTAAATTGAAATAGAAGGTCAACTATGACCTCGCCTTTACTCTATAAACGATTTGTAGTATTGATTCTATTTTACAATTTCTGCAGAAAAGCAACTTCAACCATATTTCTACCGAGATCTGTCCAAGTTCTGGTTACATTAGCATTGACTACTGTTATAGTAATGGGTTGTCAAAGATCCAATGTCTTGAATAGGGGAACTACCTGAAACCCTTTTCTACGCCTCTTAAAAGTCTGAATTTAGGAACGCACCGGCTAAGTATCTGGATCCTGATTTATCCTATTTGTCAATTTCTTTCCGTGACACGTGAAACGGATTTTATTTTGTAGATATCTCATCGGGCGAAACAAGCATTTCCAGGTTTAGATTCAGCATAAAATATGCAAATGCATTTTCAGCTACCTCAAGTCCAACTAGCCCACAGAATTGATAAAAGCTCAAATGTCAAGTAGTCTCGGCCAGCTATGCAAAATCACCCACGCCTCAAACAGAACAGGTAACAAGTGTAAGGGTTACGTACTCATCCTGTCACTGCCCGCCCATCGGACTCACGTATACCTCATTGACGACGGTATTTTCGAGGATGAGATGATTTGGGCCTCTACGCGTATCTTTCCTCTCATCTTCCCTTGTTCAATGTGTGTCAAGTACGGTCTTATTTTAATCCAAGCCTAGTATTTAATACCTCTGAGCCGGACAAGAGTCTAACTGTGTCGACTAAAGGAGATTCCTTTAGAATCATAGCTACTTGTTCCTTTTCTCTTGTTCAGTAGTTTCCGAACAAACCTCCTTTCCCTGGCAGAATTCCATCTGCCTTGTCAAGATCTGGGAGTGCAGATTTCAAGTCATTAAAATCAAATACCCCTTTCTGTGTGAAGGCTGCCTTTTGCGTGTCTTTCCCGTCGTTGTGCAAGTCTGGGGCATTGTCTTTAGATCTTGAAGGCTCCTCAACATCGAAGTATTCTTCCTCTCCGTCACTGCTCCCATTGTCAATGACATCCTTGTCCTCAAAAGACAGTTTCACAATGCCCTGATCATCGAGAACGTCGTTAAGTATAGTCTTATCAGACGCAAAGACCAGGGTTAGGACTTTTATCAACTCTTCCTCGTCGTAAGGCGAAGCCCCTAACCACTGTGCGAAGAGCTTTGGCAATCTTGAAAGATAGCAGATTTCTTGCGCCTTGGCATTCTTGGGTACATACACTATAAGCCCTCCACCATTCTCAGCCATATGAGCGCAGGCGGTCCCTAACGCTGCCTCAGATTCAATGAACTGAGAGCCTTGGAAGACCTTCAAGGTGGATGATATTTGATCGGATTCGATGGTTTTGATAGTACGCAACTGCTCGTAGAACGCAGATTCATTCTTGAAATATCGATCACTGCTGTAGGTTGCTGCGATTCTGGTAGATAACATATGATAAGCTTCAATTCTCGAATTTAGTCAGTATAACGCACCTTGTAATTTCGTAGGCTTTGAGTTTCAAGTCTCGATTAACCAATGATACTGGTGATGCGTCAATGGTAACCATGGATGTCATATCTTTAACTTTCCATGAGAGGTACTTTGCATTCAGAGACAGTTTCCAAAAGAGCGAACTTAAGCGGCGAACTTCGCTTAATTCCATGTCTAACAACTTGATCCTTTTTTCTAATCTTACGTTCCAACCTTGGCGGTCCCCGATGAGGAAGTCCGAATGTTCATTCTCTAGTAAGACACGCCCGTCGGGGTATCTCACTGGGAACATGACCTTTTCGCATAGCTGACTAGTCGAGAACCACGAGACATCTTGTGCATCATTCAAAAGTGCTAAGACTTCCCTAGCCTCCTCTGCAGTTGATGGAGGAGACTTGAGCAGTTCCTCAACAGAAACCTCAACGCCGAGTTTAACAGTGAAGAAGCGCTTCAGCTTTGTGTAGGATGCAGCTAGTTCAGTTCCGGTTTCATCATGGACCCAAACAAAGTCGGCGGTCCTCTTCCAGCTAGAACAGCCGTCGGAGATATGAAAGAGTAAGGGCGATTTCTGGAAGGCAACACTAAACTTCGTCAGTCGAGGAGGTAATTAGCTCAAAGAATCACGAGGACTCACCGCAACTCAGATGATGCGTCTATCTTCTCATCCAGGTATTTATAGATGCTGACAATACGGGGAACGTCTTCGCACTCTGCGTTTCGTAACTCTGTTAACTCAGTCACTAAGTCGTCGAGTGTAGCGTTGCGTATGCCCATCTTTTTGTGGAATAGTGCTTCAAGAGTTTCCATCTGTTGAGGGTTACAGCCTCTTTGGGTGAAAAAGCTTTCGAGGGAATATGATGTAATCATGTCAGGTGGTGCAGCCCAGAGGCAGGAAGATGACCCAGTCCAGATTGGTCCGTCATCATCAATATAAAGAATTCCGGAATCGTCAAAAAAGTCTCTACTGTTTTGTTAGTGATATCCCACACCCAATCGACTGCGACTTACAGAGCTCGCTCATTTCTCCTCTTCCTTGACCCTGTTAGCATGGTATTGATCTCGCTGTACAGATCGACCATGCTGCGAAACTGGCTGTCGGAGACATTCTTGAGGCACAGCCGCTTCATAGACTCGACAAGTTCTATAAAGAGTTCCAGATCCTGATCCTGCTTCGACAGAATGTACCTTGTCAGAAAATCCCATTCGACTTTTATTGATTGAGAAGTGTCATCCCTCTCTATCTTAAGGAAAGGAAAGTAGGAAAGATCATCAACATGTCGCTTGACAATCATTTCAAGATCTCGATCCGGAAGCCATGTGTTTTTGAATTTGACAGGGAAATCGCCGACGCAAATGTCCTCGGCGGGGAAGTCTCGGAGGAACCGGATCAGGGTATCGCAGTTCTTTAGTCGAGCCCCTTCATACCCCCAACGGTACTTCAAGAACCCCAGGAACTTGTCAGGATGGCATTTGTAAATGTGTTCAAGAGTTTCGAGTGGTTTGACACCAATCTCTGGCAAAAGACTGATCTCCTTACGTACACTAATAAATTTGCAGAGCCATTCTCTCCATGTTGGCACAAAGAGTCCTGTATGGGAAGGGCAAGCCTCCAAAATTGTGCGATGGAGGAAAAGGTCGGGAAATTTGTCGGTAGGCAGCAAACACTCAGGGCTATAAGGATGATCAGTCCCCGCCAGGTAGATAGCTTTGAGATCTGGTTTAATTCGTCTCATATTCATGTCCATAACTTGAACCTTGGCGTATTGCTCCTGCTGATGAAGCCCTGGAACTTTGTGTGTGAGATATAGATATCTTAGACAGCTGAGGAGGTCTTGCATTGAAAGGTCCTTAGGTGAATCGAGACGCGTAGCACTCAAATCTCTGACTTGATTAACTGTAGCTGAGGTAGCCCCTAAGTATTGGAATAGGACGTGTCGAGGTATGGATAGGGAGAGACTCAAGATCTGTATGTCCAAACAAGTAGGGATCTCGAAGCCTAGTTTTGTCGAAACATAGACTGGGCCGAGGCTGAATGACACCCATTTGCCATTCTCCAGCGGCACCGAAGGAAGTCCTCTGAGAGTTTTAGTATATGAGCGTCCTTTCCTTGCAAAAGTTAACAGTAGATTAGCCATCTGAGAATGCCACTCATCACTTGTCCCTTTCGCTTTCATCTTAGAGTCTTTGCATTTCAGATCCTTTTCTAAAAGTGCGACAAGAGCATCAAATCCCATTGTTTTCAATCCATGGTTCTTCAAAGCTTCAACAGCACCGTCGGAATAGTTTGAGGAGAGAAACAGGTCATGGTCTGGATCGTCGAGGAGGGGCTTGCCATCTTTATCTCTCATTGATTCTGGAAGAAACATGGCATCTTGCATGGTACGCATGCTATCTCGCCAACATTCCACCACAATGTAGCTACTCTTTTCACGAAAGGCTGTGTCCAGGCCGTCCCAGAACACTTCATCGTTCTTTTCGGGAGAGGGTAAAAATGTTGGCCAGTCGTAACAAAGAGTTGAGTGCCTCCAGAACGAGTCCAGGGCATTGTGGAAGGTGTCTACTATCAGCCCACGGAGGTCAAGATTGCGCTTCGACGCGGTGTTGAGGCTCTTCCGGTCGCTTTCTAGGTCGAAGTCCGCGTAGATGTGAAACTATGTAAAGCTGTTAGTGGGCGTGTGTTAATATCCGCTCAGTGACACTTACATTGTACTTCGTGGACGTAATAGGCACGATATTGAAAACTTGCATTTTCCCATGGTAAACCGTGGGTTTGTGATCCCTTTCGAGTGGGAAGGCTAGGATAACGCTGGTTGCCAGACTCTCCGCCGGCTGTTCCGCGATATGGTAGATCTGGCTATCTGCGGCTTGTCTTCCTTCGATGATGCTGATTCCCTCTATGGAAACACGGCAGTCATCGAGCTTTTCCTTGCGGAAGTGCTTTGACTTTTCAAGTTTACTATCGGTATTGTAAAACTCGACGGTGATTCGCTGCAACTTCTTGAGAAATAAGAGGCTTGTTCCAGACAATTGCTCAAATTGCGACAGGACTGTATCCCTCATAAATTGCAAGCCTTCGTCGACGCCTTCGTCATGGAGGTGAAGTGTTAGACGCGTAAGAGTTTCGGGGACATCATCGACAGGGGCTACCCATACGGGCTTTATCGTTCTGCCTTCACCCTTGTGTTTGAACTCAAAGGAGAAGTAGCTGGACTGAATGTGCACTGTTTTGGTGGAAAGAAGAATCGATTTGAAACTGGCGGCTTTGGGGTCCAGCCGGCAGATCGCATCCAAGTCCGACTTAGTAAGGCCGTCTTCATTGCAGTCGATAATGATTTGATTCGGGTATATCTTGAAAGTGACGAAAGGAGATTCCTTTCTCGTGGCACATTCAGAATACACTTTGCCATCGGCGTTCCGCAGCAGTTCAAATAGGAGTTTGACAACGTTGTCGCGGATACGCTTTTCCGTGGTCTGACTCGGCGCAGACTTGTTCTCGTTGTTATAATTGGGAGGAGGCTGTCCTGCTCCCTGCGTGTTGGCCATGATTACGTGGTAGTGTAAATTCAGATTTGTAAAGTTTATTAAAATAAGTCAATGTTTCGAGTATTGAGGAAGCGAGAAAACGTGTTTCTTTGGGTTGAAATGAGAGTCTTCGTAATTTGCGATTGACAGGGATGATGTATGTGTTGAACCAACATGCATACTCTGAGACGCCGCTTCTGCACGTTGGTCACAATAATCCCTGTATTTCATCTCGAGCTGAAGATATCCCCTGTGGATTCGCATCCCAAGAATTGTAGCCCTGTAGCCTATGATTTGTATTTCAAGCCAAAATTGTATACTACGACGATAAAGGCAACTTCATTTTAGGTGAGTGGGTTGTGGCTCACGAAATGCGCACTTGAATGCCACCAAATGCAGCCTTAGGCGCGGCTGTATGCAGCGATGCGAGGAATACATACAACCCTGAGGTACGGACCGGATGGAACCGTGAGTTCTATTTTCTATATCAACATAAGACTCATCCGCGTAAGGGTAGGTCCTTTTACATTCCAACTTGATAGACGCATTTCCCTCCATCAACTTGCAGTAACTTGAGGAGTAGGAGCGCTGTCCGGTTCCGACAAATGAATGATCTGGCTTGGATCTGATATGTCTCCATCACCTGTATGAGCCTGTTTAGGCAAGATAGCCTGTCGCAATACCAATTCGACTTCTGGCTGCGAAGGTCCAGTTTCGGCTGGGGCTTGGGGTGTAGATGGTATAACTTCCGGTGAAGTCTCATGGGTTTTTGGAGAACTCTGAGGGATAGCAACTTCTTCGGAAACGTCATCGCACATCTCAACACCTTCGTCAGATTCACCCTCCCTTTTATAATCCTCATACTCGGAGTCATACTCCTCCTCCTCCTCCTCCTCCTCCTCCTCATCGCCGTATGTCTCTTCCTCGTCGAGAGCCCAACCAGGCAAACTGTGTGTGACTTTTGGAATGCTAAGACTGGACAATATATCATCGATCAAAGTCCCGTCACCGGCAAGGATAGAAGTAAGTGCGTTGACCATCTCGAAATCAACGTCACCCTTCCTTTGACCATCTGGATGCATGAGCCACCCTGCAAGCTTCCTTGGTAAGAATGTGCGAAAGCAGATCTCCCGAGCCTTTGTCTCCTTAGGGACGTAGATGACAAGTCTTTGAGGAGACTCGACAAAATGACAGTAAGCTTCCCGAGTAGGCGTTTGTAACTCTTGACCGTTCTGGGTAATCCTTTCTACAGAAGTAATTCCCTCAATCTCAATGATCTGCAAATTGCTTAATTGCTTGCAAAACCCCGGCTTATCCTTTAAGAAGCGAGGACTACCGAATGCTGCTCCGATTCTGGAAGGGAAAGAATTGTTAACGCTGCTCTCATTTATACATTCAAAACCTTACCTCAAGATGTGATAAGACTTGCGCCCGAAGTATCGGGGACCTGACAATATGGGAGATCCCACATGGTTAGGAAGTGACGTTTGTTCTTCAACACACCTGGATAGGTAACGATCTTCGGTACCTAGCCAGCTGAAGAAAGGCTTCAAACGCTGAAATTCTTGAATATCGAAGTCCAAAACGCTCAGATGACAGAGCCAATCTTCGTAAAGTAAAGTATCCTTGATGAAAAAGTTTGCATCAACAGAATACAGCGAAACGGCACCATTGAGACCCTTTACTGGGAATATCTTTGACTTCCTGATGGGCTCTGGGTTTAGAAACACCGTGGTAGTACGGAGAAGGCTGCTAAGCTGCATGATGGTAGCTTTGATATCTTTCACACTGCGCCGACTCGGATGTTTCAGTTCAGCATAGGGTGTAATTGGCTCCGAATCTTCGACGCCTAGTTTGTTAACAAAGAATTCTTTCAGATCAACATAGAGATCCGAGAGAGTGGCTTTGCCACCAAGCGATGTATTGCTTGGCCAAACGCAATCACGGATCTTGTACCAGCCCATGCTACTCTGACTTTTTGCAAAGATAAGTGGAGTTTCTTCGAACAGGGCTCTGATATCCTATTAGTATCTGGAGTAAAGCCGATCACATGATAGACAAGAACGAACCTTGTTTCAGGATTTACATCCAACTCAGCGTTCCAGTATTGGTATATGCCTAGAATCCGACGAGGGTCCTTGTACTGTAGTCTCCGTAGCTCTATAAGCTCAGACATCAAGGCGTCCACTGTGGTGTTCTGTATGCCCAGAGACACATGGAGGAACTTCTCGATATTCTTCCTCTTCTCAGTGTCTGTGATTCTGCTCATGTATTGTCTTTTGAGAGAATGCACCTTTATCATTCCAGGTGGTCCATTCCATACGCAGGAGGATAGGGAAGCCCATGTAGGCGTCACCGCATCGGGAACGAGAATGCCACAGCCTTCGAAAAACATTCTGGTTCTGAGTCAGTAAGGTAAAGAATAAAGAGACACACAGTACTTGCCTAATCTTTGCAGCTACTTCCGCGTTGGAAAAGAAACCAAGGTACTTTACAAAGATCGATAGGTATAAATCAATCACTTTTGATGATTGGCGAACTGATAATGGCCCGGGGGAAGCTTTGTTAATGTATCTCAGTATCTCGAGATCAAAGTCCACGCCTAGACCCTTTCCAATTGCGAACTGCCTAGCCAAAGATTTGTATTTACCATAGACTTTGAACACCGAAGCATGTTCTTCGAATTTGAGAAATGGAAAACTTTCTGGATATTCCATGTATTGGTCGACATACATTTCCGAGTGAGGATTAGGAAACCACGTGTCTCGGAATGTAAGTGGGAAACCCCCTCGGCACAGCTGACCAGCTGCGAGATCATTGATCTTGGATATGAGATCGGGGGACCTCTCCAGCCTTTCTGCTTCATGCGTGAACAGATGCTCGAATAAGCCAACGAATTTTCCTAGAGACTGGTTGTGGACATATAGAAAATGATCTGATAGATCTTGTTCAAATGGTGACAAGAGAGTTATTCGCTCACGTACTCCGCAAAAGTCGCAAAGCCATGCTTTCCAATCTAATGAAGGTTTTCCAGACTCACCAGGCGCATCGGCGAGAATATCAGGGTGCAAGAATGAAACAGAAAGTGCGCGACCCTCGTCGCGAGGACCTAATAGGCTTTCGGGACTATAAGCATGATCTGTGCCTGGAAGGTAAACAACTTTGTCATGAGCACTTCTTAGCTTCATATCCGCCGTAAGAACTTTTATTCTTTTCGTCTGTGATTTATCGTTGCGGTTAGAGGTCTTCCGCGTAAGGTAGAGGAAGTGCAGACAGCCTTTGACCTCTGACAGCGATAGATTATCGGAAGCCTCTAGACGCTCGAGAATCAACTTGGTCACTTCCGGAACGGCAGCCCTGGTGACCCCTAAAAGTTCGAACAATTTGTACCGTTCTGGGATGCGGCATGCAGAAGAGCAAATGACCCTGAGGTTTGCGATTTCGGGGATATCTACATGGCCTGTGCAGGGAAAGAAGACAGGTCCGGAATCGATGGTGCCCCATGTACCGTCTCTCAAAGGTAGTAGAGGAAGTTTCTTCATCCTATGGAAGCATGGCAAGCTTTCAGGCATTAAGGATAGAACACTTGCTACATCTTTGTGCCACTCAACGCTTGCAGTCTTTTGACGCATCCTCGTGTCGACGCTGTTGAGATCAAGCGCTAATAAATCAACAAGTTGGCTGTAACCTATCTTTTTTAAACCGTACCACTTCATGCGGTCGATCGCCTGTTGTGAATATCTTCCCGAGAGGAATTGGTCGGTGGTTGGATCATCTAACAGCGGGTTGTGGTTGTGATCTGCCGCACCACCGGTGAGGATCATCACATGATGGATAAGGCGTAACTGCTTTAGGTTCCTTGATAGCATGATAGGGTTTCGTTGAATCCATGTATGAATGTTGGCATCTAGGCCTTTCCAGAATGTGGTCCCGCCGGCTTGGGTTGGAAGGAAAAGTGGCCAGTGGTAACGGAGTTTGGGATCGACGCAGAATGTCTGAATCGCTTGAATCAGTGTATTCTCGACCTCATCACGATGCAGCAGGTTTCTATGTGATTCGGGATCAATGGCGTGCTGTTTTCCATCCAGTTCGAATCTGCTATGAATGTGGAACTGCTCATGGAGTTCAGTAAGTGCCGAAAATTTCGATATCAGGCAGTTCGACTTACGTTGTAGTTGGACGCCTGAATTGGAAGAATGTTAAAGATCTTTCCATCGGAATCCCGAGGTGTGCCATCTTGTCTAAGTGGAAACGCCAAGGTAACATCCGAATTTCGCTCGATATAGAAATAGAGACATTCCATGTTCTTTTCCACCTTGTCGCCAGAAAACCATTCCAGGGAGACACGAGAAGGTCCTATAGCTTTCTTGTAGAATCTATCTGTGGAGTAGGGGTCCGACGTTCCGTGCTCTATGTACCGCCGCACTGTGACTTGCTCAAGTTTTCGAAGAAAGAGGAGACAAGTCCCTCTCAGGTCCATGAACTGACCCGTGAGAAAATGCTTCATACGAAACACATCTGATTTATCACCATGATCGTGAAGGTAAATTGTCATACGAGTCATGAGACTAGGGATCTCCTTGGCAGCTGGAGCCCAGACAGGTTTTAGGCCAGCGTCCTTGGAATCGACGAGATTGTGCCTAAACTCCAACGAAAAGTTCCCAGATTGAATGTGAACTCTTTCGGCTGCAGCAACGATCGACTTGAAGATGGCGGCGGTGGTGGTCTCTTCCTTGTCTGTGGTCGTTTTACACATAGACTCCAGGTCTGACTTGGTAAGACCATCTTCGTTGCAATCGACAATGATGTGCTTAGGGTGGATTTCGAAGGAGATGGAAGGTGCACTGTTATTCAAGGCAGCCTTGGTAAAAGATTTGTTATCGGCTTGCAGGAGAAGGTTGAAAAGCAATTTGGCTACGTTGTCGTGGACATGGGCTCCCAGTCTGTTCCTCAATTAGTTGCTAGAGATGATGTCTTTTGTGTGCACGCACTTGTAACCTCCATTCAGCTCAAGTATGATCTGTTCCGCTTCCTGTGCACTCGCCATGATTGGTTAGGGGGTATATATCCGAATAGTATGAAGAGAAGAAATACGACCAGCGTGTGAGATGCGACTGCCCAAATGTAGTAATTCGAGAATTAAAATTTTAAGAAGATTTGATTTCAGAGAATTGAAGCGACAGTTCGCGCACATATGAAAGAGCAATTGTAATAAGTAGGGATAATTTCTTGCACCAACATGCATAGTTTGAGACGCCGCTTCTGCATGTTGGTCACCAACATCCCTGTACTTCCATCTCAGCTGAACACATCCCACCTCAATCGGGACACTATGCTGATAAGCGCCGACCTTGATAAGCGCCGGCCTTGATGGACGCTGAATTTGATGCAACTATTGCAGTTCCTGCTACTTATGGAGCGTATCTCGACTTAATTCTCAGGCTTGTCCAGTGCTTGGACTTTCTTCACCACCCTGGCAGGAGAGCCCACAGCCACGCTCCATGCAGGAATGTCGCGAGTCACGATAGATCCCGCTCCGATGGTACAGCCCTCACCGATCGTCACGCCCGGGAGAATGGTGACCCCACCACCAATCCAACAGTCGTCGCCAATATTGATTGGGTATGCGTATTCAATTTCCTGCCTGCGGCTGGCCACTTCCGTTTCATGTGTCGCTGTCGAGATCATAACGTTGGGACCAATCATGACCCGGTCGCCGATGGTTATTATAGCCGAGTCCAGGACGGTTAAGTTGAAGTTGGCGTAGAAGCGCTTGCCAACGGACATATTCGGGCCATAGTCGATTCTAAATGGGGGCTCTATGAAGATATCATCGTCTGCTATGTGTCCAAGGAAGGACTTGAGCATGGCAGCGCGTGTTTTAGTAACGTTTTCGATGTTCAAGTCGTCGCCTTCTGGGAACCAGTTGTTGTATTGATGCATGTGTTTCCGAGCATTTAGACGGGCATTTGTGAGTATCGGGATGAGCGAATCATAGCTAAAAGGACACCGTGTGAGGTCAAACACTCGCAGAGGAATATGAGATATTCACTCACAGCATGCCCGAGATCATTCGTTCATATTGTTCGCAATGAGGCACATTAGCTAGTTGTTTGGACTTTTCTAGCTCAACCTGGTTCTTTTCTTGGGCGGCCATTGTCGCTATAGCACAGATGATACTTGATATAAGTATATTTATGAAGAGTAGAACTTTTCAAACAGAATGGCAGAGAAGGCAGGAGTTTTTATTTCGATGCATCGAGTTGTTGCAAAGCCTCAAATGGTCATCCTCTCGAACTAAGCCCCAAAGAGAAATACTCCCAACTCCGACTTTTTCGCCGACTCCGATTCCGATTAAATACCCGACAACGTGGGGCACCACGACATGTCAGCCGATCAAAAGAATAGATACGCGTGCTGAGAACGCAAAAGCTCAGAACAAGTCTGCAGGGATTCAACATCAGCACTGAGGGGAACATCGAGTCGGTGAACTTACAAACTCCATCCAAGGAATATTCGACCAGCCGTGGGGATTAGTCCGCCTCGCCTCCCAGACTTTGGTCAAAACTTCAGTCATAGCTGGATGCTCAAAGCCAGTGGAATGCTTGATCTCGCTTATGCACCAACTGGCATAGTCTATCTGGTGCGGCGAACAAGTATCTGCTCCCGCTAAAAACAAGGGAAACAATAGTCGTTTGTAAAAGACACTGTCCCTGGGCATGGTCGCGCAAATGTCGAGAACAGCTGCGACGGATGTCTTGATACGAGGGTCTTCACAGGAGATAGCAAAGGCATCTGGGAACCGCATCACCCGAAGAAGGCAGGCGTGTCTGTATGCTTCAGCGAGTTGGCGCCATTCTGGATGAGTTGTAGGATAAACCGCTTGCTCAGGATCCCAACCGCGAAAGAATCTTTCTGCTCCATCGAGTAAACGTTCAAAGTCCTCCAGCGGTAGGTCTCCCGCTAAGAACTCCTTGCCTGCTTCTAAGACTTGACCGATCTTGAAGAAGATAACGGGTGGACAGCCGACGAGCGTGTGCAAGCTAAGACTACCGTGGTCGCGAACGCATTCGCGCACTTCTGTGGAGTAGGTGAGCTTTTCTGCGCCGCTGAAGCCTCGCAGCATGTCTAGCCTAGTCTACGTCAGTAAAGAGAAGGGTAAGAGGCAAATGAAAAATACCACGATAGTGCAGAGATCAAAAACATGCCGGCCTTGGAACGCGTTGAGAAGTCATCTCGACAAGCCATTCGTTTGCAAAGAAATGACACACCGGTCAAGTGGGCTCCATGCGTGGAGATACCAGATTCGCATACCTGCAGAGATGTGAGTTGTCGTATAACTACAGTTGCGAGAGGGGTTCAGTTACATCGTGTAGGACGAGCAACAATACCATAGCCAAGACATATTCCTCTTCAATATGCGTGAGTACTGATGTTTCCTCCTTCGCCAAGAGAGTCGCAAGCGATCGTATTGCAGACAACCTGTACCCAAGCGACACAGTGACAAGGCCTGAACTATGATAGCTACCAGTGTTGTGCATGTGGCATGCTGACAACCCTAGCAAAGCATGGAGAATTCCTTGATTCTGGTAGGCAAGTGGAAGTATGTATTGTTTGAAAGGGTTGTCCAAGCCTTGGACATGGATTATAAAATGTTCGCTGAGGGTAAGATCGACTGAAACATGTTAACTAATGTTCAGGGGAGATTAAGGAAGTCTTACAGTAATCAATGATGTGTTGATTTGTGAGGATATCGTTCTCGAGGTCAGAGTTTCCAGTCACTCGACCATCAAAGCTTTCAATCGGTGGCGACAAAGTGGGTGTTGCAGACGAAAGCGGAGATGTCAGAGCTAGAACGGAAGGGTCAAGGACTGCCTGTTGTAAAGCAAAGCCCAACGCAGTTGTATCCGACGCGTCCAGCGATCCCGTAATGGGGTCCTCCTCTACTATCTGCGGAGGCGAAGCATCGGCAATATCTGGAGGTGCTTCCTGAGAATCCTGACCGGGAGATATAGTCAATGTCTCCTGGAATTGAAATCGAGGCGGATATCCTTCGCAGTGAAGCCCTTTGGTGCGACATCTATCACAAATGGGACGTTTGCGATCGCATTTTCGACATTTCTTGCGACATGTACCACAAGCTGGATCTACATAATTGATCAATACTTTTTTCATGGGAGAATGGACTAGTTTTACGGAAACTCGGCGCTGACCTTTGCGACGTGCTGTTGGGCGTGTTGAAGCAGAATTGTCGTCGCCGGGCATTGTTGCTGTGTGTATTACCGAATATGGTAACAATGAGCGACGGGGATATGGAGTTTATGAAAGGATGAAATACATGTCGGGGCTGAAATTTTAGTGGAGAGGATACGTGGGACTGCTCGGACTCTTACGTAGTAGGTCATGTTTGTATTTCGTCATCTCCGATTGACAAAGGCCGATAAATGGACTGCGTCGGAGTAAAGTGATATTCGTATGATACTATGGGTTTTTATATACGATAAACTTACACCTTGAATTTAATATCTTATCACTTATATCCGATTGACATCCATCAAAAGTCCGAGGGTCCCTTCTCAAGCTCTGGCCGTAGTAGATAAATCGGATCCATCTGCTCTACATAACCACATGCAGGATCACTCATGGAATAGCCCATAAACGCCTGAATATCCTGATCAAGTTTCTTAGCTGTATCTCGAGGAACAGCAAGGAATTGATTCTCTTCTTGTCGTAGATAACCACGGATTGAAAATGTTGCAAACATCATTCGTTGTTCGTCTTTGGTGGAATTGGTGCCGCCCCCGTGGTAAGCAGATGCAAGCATAATGAAGGCGTCGCCTTTGTCCATCTCTGCAAAAATACAGTCTTCAACTTGGGGTGGACCACGCTCGGAACCCCTTCTGTTCGTTAACCCTAATTGCCTTTCAATGGAAATAATACGTACCATAAATGGCTGCCCGGTATAAATTGGGTGCCACCGTTTTCCTTCGTTACTTTGGACCCAGCAACGAACAATCCCACCGCAGATTCACGGTTAGCATCGCGCTCATCATCCCACTTCTTAATGTCGGTATGGATATTATGACTGATATAGTCATCACGATGAAGCGGCTGTGCTTTCCCACCAGGTCCAATCCTCATCGCCGCACAAGAATGCACATACGGTTTGGAAACAGACTCTTTCTTCTCATCGCCCCACCAGAACCAACTGCGGGTGGTAAGGAAGTGATCGACAACTTGCTGGTAAACAGGGTTCATGACTTGGGTTCTGGCATATGTAGGGCTGAGACCCAAGAGACTTGGCGCACGTTGCGTCTCCTCTGGTAGTAACCGTGTTGGTAATCGCGGGCATAAGTGACATCGGGAAACTGACTAGGGAAGAAGTCGCCTGACCATTCAACGTCAGAGTCAAGGCGCTCACGGCATTCGTCGTAGGCTCTGTCAACTTCGGATTCGGGTATGAGGCTCTTGAGAAAGACCCCGCCATCACGCTTGAGCAGGGCGATGATGTCTTCAACGGGTGTATCTGCAGATACCCTTTGCACCTCTGGGCCGTAGTTTTCGAGATGAGACATGTTGGATGGTTAGATTTCAGGGAGAGAGATAGAACACAACTTCACGGCCTATAGGGCAAAGGAAAGAAAACCTTTGGGTGAGAGGTCCACACTGCCCAATACCGGAGGAACACAGGTAATGCGGAGTCTCCGTCTACCTATGGAGCAAGCCTAGCCGATTGATACCCCATTGGGAAATACTCCCAACTATCCTGCAGGGAGAATTCTAAAGATAAACCAAGCACAAGACTAGATAAAAGTTAACTGAACAACAGCTCTCCATTATGGTTTTGGACTTCTTCATTTCGACGACATACACAAAGCTCACACTGATAAATAATCATAATGTCCTTTCACATACTATGCCACCACATACGCTATCCTCAAACAGCGTCGTCTTTCTCTCAGTACTCTTAATTGAATTAATTGAACTGTCCGCGACGTATATAGTCCTGTTCGCATAGCCGACGGTGCGTTCATAGAGAGCCGCGCACGCATGGAGTTTACATCAGAATCTCGAATATGTAGCTGACTCTCCAACGTTGGCTGAGGACTCAAGGTTGGCCTGGCCACCGTCCTTAGATATCAGTTGAGGTTGCGCCACCTGACACTTTCAGGTTATGCTACGGTTGTTGTGTCGCGCTGCAAGCGCCACTTTGGGGGCTACATACATATTCCAACTAGAAAACCTGAAGACATGTTCGAGTGCCCATAAGTAGAAGTACATGCCAACCTTAAATTCAGCCAAGAGCTCGCCGAGTTTATGCCTTCCTATCTCCGTCAGTAGCGAAGCTCTCTAAAACAGACACGATAAGGGTGTTTAACTAATACTGATGCGATGCGACTATGATACCCTTGGCGTTACTAGTAAAGGCACCGAGGTGAAGTGAATGCGATTAAACTCAAAGTTTTCTAGATATAAGAGTGACCTTTACTTGGAGTGTCACTTGAGATTAAAGTTGAATTCGGGATTTGTCCAAAAGTCTTATAATAGCCATTTTGCTTCCTTGCAACACGACTCCTATAGGTTTGTCACATGGGGATTTCGGCATCAAAGCACCCTTTATTTTTAGCCTTCTAAAGCGTGTTGGACAACTAAGGCATAAATAAAAATAAAACAAAGAGGTGAGGGGCCTATAGTAATCATATAGCTTTCAGTATTCGTTTTCCTTCAATGCTGAGAATTAACTATAGTTGTAAGGGTCCCTTGTAGGCAAGCCAGCGCTAGACAAACAACAAGTAGCGAATTGTATGCAGTGTGATCTGACTCGCATCATTAATTGGCCAAAGTCATCTGAGCCTCTTGAGATGGTTGCTCAGCTGGCTGACCTTATGCACGCCTGTCTCAAATTACCCCATAGCTGCGGCTGAAAAGGTGTTGCGGGAATAGCTCTCTCAATTTTTTTCAACTGCTTCTTTCTCTGGCATATTCATCGCTTTCAGATCTCCAGACTCCAGAGAGACATGACCAAGGCAATGTCGGGGCCCAAAGTAGCACAGCAGCCATTTTGGCTCGGCAAGACTGCTTTGGCTTTCTTCTTCCTTATCTTCATCGCCTGTACTGCGTCTCTTGTTGCTCTCGATAGGGTTATAGTGTCTTGCAATGGTCTGCCACTCACTGTTTTTTCGAGTTCGTACTCTTGGACCTACGGCCCTACAGCCATCCTTATTGTCATCCTGAGCCTCTGGAGGCGCGTTGATTACTACTACAAATTGAGAGAGCCGTGGCGCGAATTACTAGCTGGGCCATCGCCAGTCGACAAGTCCCTCTTGCTCGATTATATCACGACTTTTCAAGTTGTAAGCATCTTCCAAGCCTTAAAGCGCCGCCACTTTGCCGTTGCCACATCCATTGCAGCATTCTTTCTCCTCAAATTTATCATCCTTATCTCAACCACTCTCTTTGTCGTCAGGGAAATTAATTCCGATGGAGTTTCGAATGTGACAATGCAGGATACATTTGACACTGCTAAAGCATGGTCCATGTATCAAGAGTACAGTGTAACTGAGGCCGAGCCAGACGACCAGTTATTTTCAGGAGGATCGGACAGTTCTATCTGGACATACCTAAGCGGGCTGAACAACGTCACCACCGTTGAGGCCAACTGGAGGCTACCAGAGGACTTGGTGACTCAAAGGTTCGCTTTTACAATCGGGACATCCAATGTCACGAGGCTCGAACATACCGTCGAAATCTTCGTCCCCAAAATCTCTTGTGAGGATGCCACACTATCGGAATCGGAGAGTTCAAAGTATCACGACCCAGGCATACGCAATTACACGTTCACCTCGAAAACCTGCGCCAACCGTGGCATATCGGTTGGACCATGTAGTGGCCCAAAGTACGGAGATCCACCAACCCCTCAAGACACGTTCCGTCCATGCGTACCAGACCCTCGCGTGTACTCTTCGTGGCGAGTCAACTGTTCACATGGTCTGGAGAGGGCAGATTACGACTTTTTCGCTCCCGGGGCCACACACCAGGATATGGAGTTGTTCGACATACGATATGCCATTTCCGTTGCAGATTTCGAAGCTACGGTCAAAGAATATCCTGATACGCGCGAAACTGCCAATGTCACATCAATGAGGCTTGTCAGATCCTCGTCTCTTATCTGCAAAATTGGCTATGGGATTATAACCGCCAACGCAACGCTGGATCTGTTGACAGGCAATGTGTCGATTCCCAAGACTGCCCTTGATGGGGAGATCAAGCCTCTACGCAATTTATCAAGCATTGCATTGGCAGAAATGCTATGGACAAACCTTAAAAAGCCAGCAGGGGTTCTTGTTGTCGACGAAAAGGTCCCTACCATCAAGCCATTAGGACCAACTAGTGGAAATCCACCAGGAGCATCAGACGTTCTATTTCAGTTGATGTATGCGCAGCTCGGGCGACCAGACAACCTCGACTCCTTTTACAAAACACCTCTTCTCAAGAATGCGACGATCTCGGTCTTGGAGGGTGTAGCTCGCGATTTTGCCCGGTAAACACTTCTCGTTTCGAAGCCTGTCGACAAACTTGCAAAGGCTTGGGTGACTGAAAACCGTTTGCATACGAGGGATTTTGCACTTTGGACTATGGTAGCAGGTTTTTGTCTTTTGGCTATCATGTGTCTGCTCCTATTACCCACGTCTGGCCAGTTCAGTTGGATCCCCGCCATGTCTGGCTCCCTGGCCGGAAGCGCGGCGATACTCGCCAACAGTTCCAAGCTTCATGCTGTTATAGCCGGCTCGGGTCATTTGGCTTTGAAGGAATTGAAAGCAAAGCTTGATGGGGTCAAGTTCTCTGCGACAAGGGGACTAATGGGGAATTACGAAATTCAAGCTGACTCCAGTTTTGAATCTCGAAGTCCAGATGCCTCAATCAAGAGCGAAGAAAAGAAACACCCCTGGGCCCCTCTATCAGTTCATCTCCCAGTCATTGTAGCGACCTTTGCCGCTCCGATAATCGCCATTGGTGTGCTTGAGCTTCTATACCACATTCTTAGAGACGAAGGCCATCTTGTGCAGATCAATGGAGATACGGCTACGTTATCATACATCATTCGCATCGCATCGACCCTGATCGTCTTTGGTATAGCTACAATGATCAACAACCTGGACTCCACCATTGTCGTTTTTGCTCCTTACTCGAATCTGCGGTTTGGTAGCGCCCCGGCCGATCGGAGCATTCTCTTCCATCTCCTCTCGGTCAACCCGTTCCTCGTTATGTTCAAGTCTCTTCAGCGCCGCCAACTTGGACCAGCACTATCCAACGGGGCGACACTCATTGCAGGATTCCTGACTATCATAGTGTCTGGTCTTTGGACACCGGCCAACTCCTTGATCAGTAATCAGCCTTCGGTCGCAGCTGTAAACAACTGGGATCGTACTTGGTTTTCTAACGCTAGCTATGACGGAGGCGCGGCCTCTGGTTTGAACCTGATACGCTTCGGCGGCGCGAGAACACCCACAGGGATCTGGAAAGATGTGGTGGTACCCAAGGTGTCCCTCTCAGCTGATTTTGCGGTGTCGGACAGCGTGCGTCGTAGCGCTAATTACTCCTACGATGTGTTGGCTCTCCAACCCTCCTTGAACTGTACCATCATATCACAGGATGATATATCAACCAGGAACATGAGCTATCAAGTGTCGGCTGGGCGAATGGGCATGTACGCTTCGGCAACTGGCACATTAATCACTGTTCAGCCCCCAGGTATAGATCGACGGTGCTCTAATTCTTCGATCAACGGTTTTGCGAACCTGACCTTCGGAATGGAACTCCGTACTACGGACCCAAGGTGGATTGGAAAGTACTTTGATCTACCTCAATCGACTGCAGGTCAGGTTTTCGTCGATTGTCCGTCAATTGGCATGGTATTTGGCAGTGTCACCAGAAACATAACAATAGAGAAGGATCTCACAGCTATGGTTTGTTCTCAAGGAATCAAGCAAGTTCCCGTGAGATTGACATACAGCGGGAATCCGGCCCTCGGGAAAATCGACAGTATGCATACACATGGTGAGTACAAGAGCGTACAGAATGGCACAAGCAAGGTGTATACCCTAGGGTATAAGCTCGAGGGGTTTCTAGACGCAAACCTTTTTTCTTTTCCTGCCAACTTATCGGCCGAGTTATATGACTCCTTTTTTAATCACCTACTGCTTCGCCCCAAGGGCTATTCGCGAGATGACCTCTCAGGGCTCAAGAATGCGGATAAGTTCGTTCGGGCGGTGACACAGGACTACAATGAGTACCTCAGGCATGTCATCAATCGCAATTTCAGAGCCGGAAAACAGAGTCCTATTGTTAACCTTCTGAGCGCTACCGAGGACAAATCTGCAAGGTCTCTATCGACCCACTCGATGATCACTGGCGAGTTCTCCGCTGAAGTGACACATCTCATCGTCGACAAAGCATCGAAGCTCATCCTCCAGGTTCTCCTTGGCACTATGACAGTCCTCAGTTTTATAGGCTTCTGTCTTGTCAAGATAAAAGGGACTCTTCCTCGGGATCCCTGCAGCATCGGAAGCACCATGGCCCTGCTTGCAGACTCGCAGATATGTGACCCAAAATCCGGTATTATTCCTGGGGCGGCGCAGCAGATGAGTGAGAGCCAGTCGACGAGGGTGTTTGACGGATGGATCTTTAGCCTTGGATGGTGGAGTTCTGGCGCTTCGGTTGCTCCTAGCCTAGCACCAGAGGATACACATGTTTCGGATACTGCTCGGAAATTGGACAGTGGCAGAGTCATCACAGAGATACACGGCGGGAAAAGATTTGGTGTTGATGTTGGAAAAGCCAATGGCTAGAGCTGATGATTTGTGTTGTAGGAGAATCTTCACAGACTAAGATTACCAAGACGTTAAACATATAATCAAACTTCGACTACCCTCTTTTCGACTAAAACTAGACAGTGATCAAAAGTCTTTAAATATGACAAATGAGAACGGTGTTTTGGGAAAGGCTCATAGACCTGAAGCACCCCAAGACATACCCCCAAGATTATTTCTCATACTCTCAATCGGAACGCCAGGAGGCTCAGGTCCCAGCATCATCTCAAAGGGACAGAACACAACACTGCCCTCGTTACTACCCTTCTGCCCCATCAACGGGCTCTTGGAATGCATCTTGGCCATAATACCTTGAACCTAAACACGAGTCAGCTTACTCACTCTCAAACACATAAACAGCATTCGCACCTTGTCCATGGCAGACGGGTCTATTCCAGTTGTGTGTAGCTCGTGAGCCATCTGGACTGCTGCAAAAGCTGTGACCTGGTTGTCTCGGCCTATTGCGATCATTAACTCCATCAGCGCATTCATCTTCATCTCGCTGGTGCTGGCCTGCGATGCGATGTAGTCTTCGAGGAACACATAGGTCGCCATGTACGCTGCAAATGCTACAAGAGGGTTGCGGAACATGGATGACACATCTGCCAGTGCCGCAACGATGCTGAAGATAGCATCGGCAGAGGGCAGTAGGCGTGCTTGTGTCGAGGATAGTATATCGGCCGAAATGTCGTGTTTTTTTGCACGCGCAACACCAACGCGATGGATGCATATAGATGCAGTGTGAAGCTGTAGATTTATATTTATAGCGTCCCGGGTATCTGCGCCACGGAGTGCTTCGGGGAGTGTGACGAAAGCTGTTGCCAGACCTGTATCGAGATCATGGTGGCGTTTCCAGAAAGGGCTGTTCTGAATATCTTTTGGATCTGAATCGGGTTGCTGTTGGTAGGTGTGATCAAGACATTCATGAAATAGATGCGTAGTAATGACGCGACAGGCGAAAGGTGAGCAAAGAGAGTTGTCGCCGCTCAGCACTTGTGCCAGTGTCGTCGAGGCCTCCTCAATGGCGAGCTGGAAGGCTTCTTCCGAAGCAGGCAGCATTGTTCGGATCTAAAATGTCAGTCACTCGTCTCATATATCGCCCGATCAGCTTTCTTGCCTTCTTGACATCCATGAGACTTGGCCAACCCGTTGTCCCACTGGTATTCTTATCGCTGCAGAAGATAGCCCACAGCGTCCTCCGCCTCTCTTCCATCTCGCACCAATCTTTTGGTGGAGGAAGCGTCACACTCTGATTCCAGTTGCAGTTATTATCCAGCTGGTGCAACCCTAGAATCTGTGATAGCCGCACGGATTTTGATGTACTCATTGACGATCTGGAGAACCACGTGTTGTGTACTTCGAATTGAGCCATGAGAACGCAGCATTGTGCGTGAGCAAGAGTAACGAAATACTCTCCCTCGCCCTGCCATATTTTAGCTACTGTCTTTCAGGTAGAGTGGCAGACTGACCCTTTGCTCGTCAGCTTCCAAGTAGTGCCTTGCTCGGCGGTAGAATGGATCTGCAAGATGCTTGTGAGGTGGTGAAACAAGCGCAGCTCGGGCCATGACGATGTACTGAAGACACATTGGAGGCTGCATATGAGGCGGTAGATATAGTGAGGCTAAGTAGCGCGAAGGATGTATATACTGTGCTTCAGTGTGTACCTTTGTGAAAAAGACATTTGTGCTGTAATCCATGAGAAAAGTCAATATCGGGTGTACACACTTACAGCTCCTCAACAACATCCTGTGGCGGCAACTGTTCAAAGCGCCCCGTCTCCGACATTTGATTTCCTGAAGGCTCAAAGGGCTGGAATGACTGGTAGCCCTCCTCTTGAGCCGCCTTGAGGCGATATTCCAAGTCCACTATAACATCACACTCAGCTCGGTTGACCCGATCCGCAGGATGAACACTCACCCAACCGCGACTCCAGCTCTTTGACCCTCGGCCTCGTCGCTGTGATGACAGGCCGTTTACGAGTAGCAGGGTACTGACACTTCAAGCCCGTGCCAGAGCACCGACTGCATTCTGGATCAAGACGATCGCATTTAAGTTTACGGTTACGGCAGTGGTAGCACGAAAAGGGCATGGGATTTGGAGGCTCTGATGAGGATGACGCCATCGCGGGGGAGTAGTCGACGGGAGATTTGGGGATTCAAGGTGGATGTAGTTAGATATGAAAGGTCATCGTTAGTTGAGGCTAGCAGGGCAGGGTGAGGTGGCTACGATTTCTAAGCCGCAAAATTTGGGTGCGATACAGTGGGTCACGTTTTGGGCTACAAAGCTCGCACCCAACATACTGTATCTTCGAAACTGATTAAAATGTGTTAAATTTCTCTGCAATTGGAATTTGGCTGTAGATTTAATATTGGATTGGTTTTCATAATCATATGATGCCTTTCAATATAGCTAAACAAGTAATTATCAAAAGTTTATAATCAATTAAGTATCTTACACCTCTGTTGTTATCATTTATGGAGTTGGTTGATTTTATCAGTCTCCAACACCAAGTCCAACCTACTACTACTTACCTTGGCCTTGCAGCAGAGGTTCTTTTCCAGCGCATCTAATGGTAAGCAGGAAGTTAGAATATTGGTCTCAGAGAAAATTGTCCATATGTCACATTATTCTACAGAAGGCCGCTCACGCACCCTCTGCGTTGACCTGGTAGAGCTCAAATTTTCTACTTGATCCTCGAGGCTAGTGGAATAATTGGAATTGGGGTTATGCCAACTCGGTTAGCAAGAAGTACACCATATAATATGCGGTGTGCTTTCTTCAGGCATTGTGTGTGAATAGCAATATCCTATGGTTTTCTCATACTTGGTTCTGATATACCAACTTGCTCATACAATTGTATGGTTCTCACTTGCTAACAGTAGGTTCGTCACTGGATCAAATCTTTTTACTCCGGGTAGCACTCGGTGCTGGAGTCAGCATCAGCGAATTGCCCAATGGGACACAGAAGTTTCGGATAATATATTCTTATGAACGCACAAGATACTCGCGATCAAAGTCACGATCACAAAGGTAGCAGCGATATATGGCATGAAAACAAATCGTATATTGTCAATCCCAAAGGAGAACTCCTGCTAATGCAGCAAAACCATAAACATGTCGCAATAAATCCCGTTATTAAAGCCCGTAGAGCCAAATGTCGAAGCGAGGGGTCAATACGTCGCATCTATGGTCAACCCTTCTCGGTGGGACTTGACTCTGGCGCTGAAGCAAGCAATTTCCGTGCAAATCTTCTCGTCTGAACAAGACCACAGACATTACAAAGAAGACAGGATCCAGAGGACATGCCGCCCCGCCAACATGGTGTTTGTGTCACACCACACAGACGGCAGCGCTTGGCTACGTCTTTGTCATCTGCCGCGGGAGACTCGGAAGTAAACGGCAGTATCTTGTTTCTTATTCGCTCAAAGCGGCGCGATTGTCTCGACGAAAGCCGAGTGTTTCTGGCTGTGGCTGGTGTCGATCTAGAGCGAATCACAGTATCCATAGCTCTGGAGATGTTGTCGGCGAGACTGGCCATAGCTGATAGCTCCGCGTGGCAGGTGTTCGGTGTTTGGTTTAAGAACTGGGTTATATCGTTTGATTGGGCGAGTTTGCTTAGTGTGTGGGCATCTTGCAGGATCTGTTCAGGTCAGCGAGGGCTTCTGCCACCAAGTGTGGTACGTACAATTTGGATCCTGGCTGCTGTTTTGTTATCCTCGGACAGCTTAGCAATTGGCGGTAAGAAGAAGTTGCTGGACGGTGCAAGGGAGTTTCCGGAAGGTATCATTGTTGTCGAATTCATACCTGAAGCGGGATTCACAGGTATCACAATAACAGGCAAAATTCATTCCGTCCCCACGAAGGTATTTCATACTTTAATAACACGTAGGCAGCTCATTACTCTAGGGTGATGTCACAGCGATGTAAAGCTACAAAGCTCGTGGTGAAGCCAATCATGAGCTAGCGGAGAGCCGCCAATCCATGCCATGGGGTGAGAAGGGCAATGTGGAAATGCGTACGGAGAAAGGGCAGACAGACTCCAGGGTCTAGACTACCTAGACTACTAAGGGTTCAGGCCAGAGTTTCTGCCAAGCTAGACCAATTAAATCCCGAAGGAAACAGGCTTACTCTCCGTTGTCAATGCGACGAGATGGTTTATGTACCCATTGAGTACAGTATTTCCGTTGTTCAAGGGTTGTTTTGGAGATACGATTTAATTTCCGTTGACCACGGAGAAGGTTTCAACTTTCAACGGAGTCTCGGAAAGCAGAGGGTAGCGGGTGGCGGGTGGCGGCTTTTGCAGTACGGTGCTACCTATTAGGTCGTCTCATTCTAGACTCGGGGAGGTCTGGACCGCCATGGGCCTGTGGTGGCGGGTGGCCTAGGGTCCATGGCTAGGTGGTCAGGCTCTGTCCCTGACGCTAGCTACCCCTCAACGGAGCGAACGTTTTCTGTTGCTTTTTTCTCCCTGCCTTTCTTTATCAGCTAGCCAGGATCTGCCCGCTGTCGAGAAAAAGACCCTGATCTAGACCTGACCCGCCTAGCCCTCGAGGTTACATCCTTTAACTGCACAGGCCGCGATGCCAAACCACATAAATTTTCGCCACAATCAAATGTCAATTGTTTACCTGTTCCCTGCCTTTTTGGAAATTGATCCAATCGCTGCACGCTGTGGCTGTTGGAAAAGCAACATTCAAGAGTCAAAGCCACTTGTTTGTGGCGACTGTTCCAACAAAAAAGGCTGCTGGTTGTGGTTTAGGTTTAGCAGCCCGATGGATTGATTTCGTTGCAAGGACCAACCACGGTAATGTACCCCTACGCCCTGCAGCAAATGCCCGGCTGCCCGTTACCTTGGAGGGAGCTTATGCTCAGGTAGTACCTTGCCCCTCACATATGCTTGTGCGTGCTCTGTCCCGACTGTTTCCATTCCGTCTCTCTCTGCCTGTGCTTTCTTCATTGATAGCCAGCCAACGACCATCCTGGGAATAGAAAAGCTGCCACCGTCAAGTTTTCTCTCGTGGCCTGTGACCGTATTTCACGTCCTTTTCCTGTCGCGGGCGGCTTGACATGGCCATGTCGTGCTCAGCTTGGAGGCAGGCCGAGCTGTCTCGCGAGAGAGAGACTTTTAGGTTTGATCCCCTCTAACGTCCACCCAAAGAGTCAGAGCTCAGCACTGACCGCCGCCAGATACGATCCAGCTTTGATAGCAAACTCGATATCTAATTCACCAACAGATCTCATTCCATCGCACAAGCTCACCACTTCGACTGACGCCACTTTGACCACCTTCTGTCAGCTGGCTGCGCTGCGCTTAAACACCTCCAGGGCGCTCATCTCTCTCTTTGATCGCGCCAGTCAATTCGTTGTCGCTGAAGCTACCCAACATGTTCGCCTGCGGCCTAACTCAAGTTCAAAACGCTCCGACGAGGGTTTGTGGCTATGCGGTACCAATTTTCCTCGTTCCTTTGGAGTCTGCGAGCGGGTAGTCCTTGACTGCACCAATCCCACATCATCCGTCAACCCAGCTTCTCACCGTCTTCCTCTTACGGTTATCGACGACCTCGCCAATGATGAGACGCTGTGCAACCGACCATATTGTCATTCCTGGCCAAACAATCGGTTTTATGCCGGAGTACCGCTCATCACCCCCAGGGGCATCGTTATTGGAGTCCTCTGTGTTTTCGACTCACAACCTCGATCTGGCTTGGATGAAGCATCGGAAAATTTATTACGAGACCTTGCAGACTCGGTTATGGCACACCTCGACGAACGACGTGTCAGCGAGCGATATCGCCAAGCGGATCGAGTCACCCGAGGTATCCGCCGCTTTTTCCACGGACGCAGCACCGAGACGCAAATAAAAGACGACCAATTACTCGCAGCAGAACCACGACTTCGTACTCCTGGAGCTGGCTTTAGCCCCCAGTTCAATTACTCCAGCGACAGCAGACATCGCGGTGACAGACTGGCAAGCACCTGCGCAAGTGCATCTGATATCATGAGAGATGCCCTTGAAGTCGATGGTTTGTTACTACTCGATGCCAGGAACGCTCACCACAGCCACCTTGGGAACCCCCAGTCGGACATCGACGACTTATGCCCCGTGCTTGGCTTGTCAGTCACGGCGGAGGCAAAGCAGGATGGCAACTCTTACTTCGGTCATTCTACGCTTTACGCCTCCACCCTCAAGAAACTGCTGCGTCACTATCCGCGTGGAACAATATGGACTTTTGACAATGCCGAAGGTGATGCAAGTGACGTCTTGAGCGATGACAGCCTTTCTGGGGCCTCCATTCAGGGACCTGTGATCGAAGAGACTGATGAAGCATCGCACGAATCGCCAGCCGACGCAAACGTTTCCATCCAGATGAGACAAGAGCTTCGAAAAGCAGTTATTCAACTTCTCCCCGGTGCTACAGGTGTTGCGTTCTTCCCAATCTGGAATGCCCAGAAACAACGGTGGTTCGCTGGTGGGTTTGCGTACAGCAACAGGTCCAGTCGCGTTTTCTCGCCAAAGAGAGAACTCAGCTACCTCCGGGCCTTGGGGGCTGTTCTCATGGCCGAAGTGTCTTTTATCAAAGCACGTGAAGTGGAACTATCCAAGCTAGATGTGCTAGACTCCATCTCCCACGAACTTCGATCACCGCTACATGGCATCTTTTTTGGCGCTGGTGTTCTGCGAGGTGGAGATCTTAACCCCACACAGGACGATGCGTTGCTTTCTGTTGAAGCATGCAGTCGCACTTTGCTCGACACCATTGACCAGATCCTCGACTGGAGCAAGATCAACCATTTTACCTCGTCACTCGCCAAGGGGGATTACACATACACCGATGTTGACAGCCGTGCCCTACGTTCGTCCCGAAACAATAGTGTCGAGGCAGGCATGATGAGCATTGCATCGGATGTTGATCTCCCTCGTCTGATCGAAGAGGTAGTGGAGAGCGTGCACGTTGGTCACGAGTTCCAGAAGCTCTCGCTAGGCCAGACAGCACAAGGTTCCGATGCATCCAAAGACCACGTCAAGGTTGTGGTCAACATCGAACCTATGGATAACTGGAGGTTCCACGTACAGCCCGGCGCGATCCGACGAATTATCATGAACGTCCTCGGAAACTCGCTCAGATTCACCTCCCGCGGTTCCGTTCATGTTCAAGTTGAACAAGCACCAACAGACGATCCCTCCAAACGACTTGTGAAACTAACAATTGCCGACACGGGTTGCGGTATGAGCCAGGATTTCCTCGCAAATGACATGTTCAGCCCTTTCACCCAGCAGAACATCATGAGCGCGGGGACCGGGCTTGGTTTGAGCATTGTGAGGCGGATCACTGAGGCTTTGGGTGGAACAGTCGAGGTCCAGAGTGCACCTTCTGTTGGAACAACAGTGTGTATGTCTCTCCCTTTGAAGCTGAGCGAAGCCTTCGACAGGGCGAATGTTGTGAATGCACTTGCAAGGCATGATTCGGAACACAACATCGAGGGCTCGAAAGTCTGCATCTTGGGCTTCCAAGATTCCGTAGATCATCTCTACAACCCATTCCTGAGGAGCCAGTTGGGTGAGAAGGAGATTGTATCATCCATCTGTCGAGATTGGCTGAAGTTACGAATTATCGAAACACAAGACAGCCTAGCCGAAGCACCCCATGTGGTGCTGTGCGATGGCCACTCTCTGGATAGAGCCAGAGCACTCACGCAAACCAGCCAATCAATCCCTATTGTTGTTATCTGTCAAAACGCCATCGTAGCTCGCAAGATGGAAGCAGCCAATGCCCGCAGTGTCCCAGCAGGCGAGCAGCAGGTTCTGTACACGCACCAGCCGTAAGTCATTTCCCTTTGACCTTGCGAACGTTTGAACTGATTTATCCACGATATAGCATCGGTCCACGAAAACTTGCAAAGATGTTGTCGCGATTTGTCAAAGACCACGCTACCGAGACACAACCTCCGAGTACCGACGGTCAAGCTGTGCCAAGTGTAGAAACCTACAACACCTCAGTATCAACAATACACCAGACGCCACCAACACCGCCCACAGGCGAGAACGATTCCATGACTCTTCTAAGCAACCCCTTCTTCAATCGGACAATACCACAACTACCGCGCTCACCCCTCATGACCCCACTTGAGAAAGCAAACCCCATATCCGACGAATCATCATCACGGAACACCACATTCCTCCTTGTCGACGACAACCCTATCAACCTGAAAATGCTTGTCATGTTTATGAGAAAGCTCAAACTACAGTACGTCACCGCAACCGACGGCCAAAAAGCCGTGGCAAAGTACAGAGAGAACCCCAAAAGTTACAAATGCGTGTTTATGGATATTTCCATGCCGGTCATGAACGGCTTCGAGGCCACACGCGCGATACGAGCCATCGAGGCGGACGGCTTAGGCCTGCGGTGCAGTATCTTTGCGCTGACGGGCCTGGCGTCGAAGGATGCTCAGCAGGAGGCGCTGCTAAGCGGGGTTGATTTGTTTCTGACCAAGCCGATTGCGTTGGCAGAGATAACGCATATTTTGGAGTCAAAGGGGTTGTTATGATTTGGTTTTACCAACATCTGGGTAATAGGCGTTTTGGACTTTTTGCTCTATACCAAGTTATTTTTGAATATTCCGAGCATCGGGTTATTTTCGGTGGAAACCTTGTACCAGCAGCGTATTGTATTATTTGAGAAGTGTTGTTAACTTAGTACCTATCCTTTTGATACATCGAGTACACATTTGGATGTAAAGTTTAATTGATTACTCGTCTTTCGGACCGTATACACTCTTCAATTTACTGCTTACTCCCTACCTTGCTGGATCATGGCTCTTCAATCAATGCCCAAAGCATTTGTCCTCACGTCGTTGGATTAGTAGGCTAGAGAGTTGAAACTAGTTTTCAGAGAGTGTAAGTATTGAATAAAGGCTCCACGAGAGTAGAACTTCATACAGCTATTGATGTATGCGTAAAAGCTGGACACGGCCTAAGAAGTTGCAGAATATCGCTGGATTTATTAGACTTCCATGTTCCTGCCTTTTGGTGGTTTGTCAAACATGTAAGAGTACCTACCGTACCACATTCGTTTTGGGGTTTGAAGAGAAGATCGACAAATCGCCAGGGAACACATGATATTACCATCTCTATTGTGTAGTTTTTTTAATGAGATATTACCCAGAATCAGCTACCTACCCAGCATGGTACAGTTTATTTTGTTTCAGCAAAATTTGAACCTAGACCTCCTACCACTGTAAAACGTTCACCGCACCTGCCAAAGCTCACTCAGGCCAACACACATACCCTGCATCTCCGCCCGGCTCAACCTCGGCTGCACCCCACCCATAAAAGTTCTTCGCATCGCGCCCACAAACCCTTCCTTTCCTCTCTTCAAGCCATCGCCCTCCCCAACGCTGCGTTTCCATGCTACAAACAGAGAGACTCCCTCACCGGAGCCTCTCAAACAAGAAGTCTCGTTCTTCTTATCTTCCATGCATGTGGGAAATTCGGAGTAAGCCTCATTACCATCCGCCTCTCTCTGTCTCGGCAGAGATGATGGTCGGTCTGCCGGTAACGGCCTGACGTCAATGTACGTCTGCAAATGATATCAGAAATCTCAGAGCGCGTTCTTTTGTTTCGCTGTCTCTATGGGAAGTCTTTGCGAGGCTTGTTTTGGGAAAAACTGAAGTGCGATACGCGGCGTCCTTGTCTTCCCTTCGGGGGGGCTGGATGACTCAATTCCGATCACTCTGGGGAGGGCGATGGCTTCACCTTTTTTTCTCCCAGGTCAGTGTTTTGATGTCGCTTGAACAAGGATACTACTAACGGTTCGGGGGAGGGGAAATAGTAGGAAGACGGTGGTGGTTGTGGCTTCTGTAGCCTGGGAGGAATGGAGTTTTGTCATTTCGGTCATAAATACGAATATTCTTCTGTTATCATCATTTCCATCCTTGTCGCACCAATGCAGTTGAACTAACCCATCCAAACCGATCACGATCACAGTCGTGTGCCTGTTTTGTCCAAAAAATAACCGTCAAACGCCAACCTCAACGCCCCCATCGCGCCATAATTATACCAGAAAATCACGAATCGTTGCTATCCAGACCCCGTACAATCGCATAACTCGTTCCAGCTGCCAACATGCCGATAAACAGCGTCTGCACAGCGCCCCAGACTCCCGCCCGGTGGTTCCGAATGGCAACGTAGTTCTTGACATACCCGAAGACCAGGAGCACGGCGACTGTGATGCCAATCGAGACCAGCAGGGCTTCGCGCACACGAGGCATAACGAAGTAAGGGATCATGGGGATCAGGCCGCCGATGAAGTAGCTCAGGCCCATGGTCACTGCGGAGATCCATGCGCGATGCACGTTGGGCTCTTCGAGCTTGAGTTCAAAGTCCATCATGAAGCGTACCCATTCGCTGGGGTTTTTGCACAGCTCATCCACCAAAGGCGCCGCAGCACTGCGCGAAACGCTGTACTTCTCCAGCACGTCATACACACCCGTCCTCTCATCAGCAGGTCTGTTCTGCACTGCGAACACTTTCTTGCCTGCTTGCGAATGGTAGGCATCGCGTTCTGTCACTGCTGCTAGGTAGGCGCCCAGTCCCATACTGATCATGCCGGAGAACAACTCAGCGAGGCCGGCGATGATGACGACCTTTGCGCTGCCGAGACTGGAAAGGCCTGCGGTTAGGGCGAAAGGAACTGTGAGGCCGTCTGAGAAGCCGATGATGACGTCGCGGAGGACGTCGCTGTAGTCGACATGGCATTCCTCATGTTTGCTGTGGTTGGGGTGTAGTGTGCGAGGGTCGTAGGCTTGTGAGTTATTGTAGGAGATGGATCGCTCAATGGCGGGTTCTGGAGAGAGAAGGGGAGATGCTTCTGAGGAGATGTGTGTCATTTTATGTGTTGTTATGGTGTACCAGAGTCGTTGTCTTGGTGAGATGGTCAGATGAGTTTGTACTTTTAAAGTAATTCGCCACAGATGTCTAGTGGTGTTATTCTCGGCTTTTATTTATAAGCAATGAATGTAATAGAAGTCTTCTAGTAAATACCCCCAAATTCACTTCCCATCTGCTCGTCCCCGAGCCTGTCTTATACCCATCTCGCTCTTTGTCTCTCCACCCCCTGCACAGACCGAAAACCAGACCTTTCTCCGAAGAGGATAAGCCCGAAGCCGAACCCATCACGCCTTGGAGTACAGCCAGCCAATCACAGTGCGTGTTTTAGTAATCTGATGGTAAACAACGAAGGGGGACTGCTTCATGCCAATTTAAGCTGGAATTTTCTTTTTAAAAATCTGGAGAATTATTTTGTTGCTAGAAGGAAAATATGCAAAATTTATTACACCGCTTAAAGCTCTTGTACACGATTGCTATAGCTTATGGTCGCGCTTCTTGCGCTGGTAGAGCATCACCTCCAAGCCCTGCACACCACCATCGCGAATTACCCGTCGGAGAATCTTACCGCTCGGTGATTTGGGGATCTGCTTGACGAAAACAATTCCACCAACGAGCCATTTGTACCGCGCGGCGTGGCTCTCGACCAGCGACTTCAGATCATGCGCCAGTACTTTGAGATCAGCCTCTGACTTTTCCTGGTTTGCTGCGACGACGTAAGCGCGAGGCCACTCTGTTGCCTCGCTCTTGTCGTACACGCCTATGACTCCGGCGTCTGCTACATCGTCGCTGCTGCACAGGATAGCCTCGAGCTCGGCGGGCGCAACTTGGTATGCGCGTACTTTGATGAGTTCCTTGATGCGGTCTGTGATGCAGAGGTTTCCCTCTTCGTCGAGTGTGCCCACGTCGCCGGTGCGAAGCCATCCGTCTGGCGTGAGGGCCTCGGCTGTGACGCTCATGTCGGGGGTCTCTGAGCTGCCCAGTCCCTGTGTGGGAACATAGGCACTCATTAATCCGGGCGACCGCACGAGAATTTCACCAGGTGCGCCGAATGGAGAAGCCTTCGTGGTTGGGCCTGTAGGTTCCTCGCCTGTCGCGGCGATCATGAGCTCAACGCCCCAGTGAGGTCTGCCCGTATCGTTGTTGTAGCCGTTCATGTCCTTTTCTCTCAAGCCCTTTTGCACAGTGATGCTGCACGCTTCTGACATGCCGTAGCCTAGTCTGACCAGGAATCCGAGCCTTTGGAAGACTTGCACCACGATCTCGTGGCCCAGAGGGGCACCACCTGTTACACCCGCGACGACACTGCTAAACGCGTTACGACCGCGTGCGTCGCGTCGCGCGAATGGTTCTACAACGGGTGATTTGGCGAGCATCACCGCCACGGGAGGCGCCATGTGCAGATAGGTGACCTGTCTTCGGGGAATGGCTGACAGGACTGTGTCGAGCTTGAACGCGGGCATTGTGTACACCGTAGAGCCGGTCGCAAAAGCAAGTAGGAAGATGTTGGTTAGACCAAAGACGTGGTAGAAGGGCACGTAGCCGAGCCATCGCTGGTGAAACCCGTAGAAGTCGGCGTCGTGCCATAGCGACGCGATGGAGAAGTTGATGGCTTGGTGCGAGAGCAGTACACCCTTGGATCGACCTGAGGTGCCAGAGGACCAGAGAATGATAGCCGTACGTGTCGCGGCTGACTCGGGTGAGAATGGATGAGCGACAGTGAGCGGTGACTTGGATAATGTGAGGAGGTTCTTCCAGTCTCCCTCCTCAGCGTGCGAGGCGGGTGAGAGGGGATACAGATCCGTCGCTAGATCAACAGTGTAGACGCGCGCGCTATTCTTGTAGGCCTCATCCTCCTGCGATTCCAGCGCCTTCTCGACAGTGTCAAGCATAGACTTCGTAGTGAAAAGCACACGCGGTCGTGAGTTCTTGATAATCCACGCAAGCTCCGTGGTGGTTAGCGAGGGCGAAGCCAACGTTGCGGTGAGGCCAGCTGCGATGGTGCCCATCATCAAAGTCGCGAAAGGCAGGCAGTTGGGGAGTTGGATTAGCACCACTGGTGCGACTTCCGGGCCGCTACATGATGCCGTAGGTGGGAGGGTTTCTATGGCGTTGGGATCAAGGCCAAGGGATTGAAGGTTGGTGGCGAGGGTGAGGGCATCGCGCTTTACGCGGGAGAGTGTGAGGGGACGGTCTATTTTGTTAGCACGTGTCGCGATTGAGTTTTGTGTAACCGTGAGTGAAAGTAATGAAGTAAGAGATGAGAGTGAGAAGTGAGAGGGAGTGGGTGAGTGAGTGATGGGCTCAAGGTGGTGACTTACCGCTGGCGTGGTCAACGAAAATGGGCTGATCATCTCGAAGCTTGGGTACCCGTCGCGCTCTAGGGGCAAAGTCACTCTCGTGCTGGAACGGGCTGCTGAAGAGGAAATCGAAGACATTTGCACCAGGAATATTGGCAGGTTTTCCTGCGTACGCAGGCTTCACAATCTCAGTCGCCATGATGCCCGTTGTGCAATGGTGTAACCTTTCTGTGCTTGCGAGAGAGCTGTGTTTTTCTACGTGTCGCTTCGGTTAAACGTGGCTGGGAAAATACAGGGGGTGATGATGATGGTGATGGCGATAGTGGCGGTATTGATCGTGAGAGTTATTGATCAGGTTCAATTGGACTTCTTATTGAAGCCTTTGATCTTATAATTGAGGCTCCCCTTTATTGTTTACCTTACCTTGGGTATCCTACGGCCCGGCGTGGAGATTGCGGAGACCCCGCGTCGTCGGCCCTGAAGAGCGGGAAGCTTACGGTTCCGTCATGCGGCAGTTGGCGTCGGCTGGAGATTTGGCCTGCTAAGACAGCATTTGAAATGTCCATGTTTTTGGTGAGATGACAAGACTTTATATGCACCTCAAACATACTTAACTGACTACATGAGATAAAGATATCCATATAGAGTCAGTGGGCCATTCATCTCTCTGCTCTTGTCATCTATCCCATCATCTGATGTGATCGCTCTAACACCCGGATATAGCGATATTCACTCGACTTCCCAAATAGGCAACCCGAGGCCGAAGCCTAGAACTTAACAACCAAGAGGTTCAGATTACACTTCAACTATGCTTTACTTGCCGAGATTTATAGATTCGTTTAGTTACTAGCTATTCACCTCGGTCTGGGGCTAATTTTTCACTTTGGTTCATTGTAGTCGATGAGGTGCCAGGCCGAATTATTGCTTGGCTATTGATACCATCGTCAGATCGGATAAGCGTGATCAGATAAATAGCTGGAGGTTGTTTGGTCAATGATCTGATAGCCATATGATACACGCGTCTGCTTATTCTTGACAATGACCTTTCGTCTCCACGAGATCTCTTGCTGTAAGAGTTTTCCTCCAATTGGACGAGGTGCCAGAGTTAAAGTATCTAAGAAACCCCCATAGCCAGGTTCTAACTTATCGTCTTGTACAAAGCCATGGATCTGAAAGTTCTAGCTTAGTGGCATGTTATTATCTCAAATAAATCCATGACATTCGGGGAAACACTTCTTTTGTACTTAAGATACGTTATTTGCCAATGTATCTACTGACCGATAAGCTCGCCAATCCCTCACACGAAGAAGTTCGGAACAGATCGTCAGCACGACCATAATATATTTGAGAGACTTCGTTTGATGTATTGAACCCCATAATCGACTATCATCAGCTACGAACTTGGCAATCACACACATGTAGCTGATCACTTACGCCAGTAGACCATTGTGTCATAGTGGTATCACGGGAAATTGTGTATATCAGTGTGGGTGGTTTGATTTGATGCACTTTCTCCTATCACTTACTTTCATAAAGAGAAACATCTACAAAGCAACATCCTGGTAACCCTGGTAAAAAGTCGCATCCCTCATTTCTATGCAACACTATGCACTTCTGCTGGTTCTTATGCCGGTGCTGACAGGGCGAATAACACGTCGCTGCACAAATCAATCTGCCCAATCAAGGCTGTTGGTAGGTTTCCGAGACATCAATTGAGCGGCTCGAAAGTGGCTGTCTTACTGTAGAGGCAAACATTCCTATATCTTGCATATCATCACTCTTGGCACCAATAAAGCGTCACGGAGTGGCTGTCCGCGAGCTGGGGGAGGACAGCCGCACATTTCTTTTTCTGGACGTGTGTATCGCTTGGCACAACGCCACCGTGCGAGGTCCTCGTCACTGGTATGGGAGCCTTCTTGACAGTGGGTGTGTTGCACAGAGCCCTGAGAATGATGCGTGGAGTTGGAGTCGACTTCGCAGCTTTCCATTGTCGGGAAGGTCTGCTGCTGGGTCTTGCGTAGCCGGCCAGTGTTGAACGAACATGTGTATATCTCTTACTTGCCAGTATGTAACCACATCTGATACTGATAAAACGTCAAGTTCAATAATGAACCGATCATCTATACCATTCCATACAGTGTCTGGGGATAAAAGCTGAGCATGCCGTCGAGTATTCCGATCTTCACATATTGATACGGAAGTTCAGCAATGACTGGATAGGTCTAGCAAATAATTACTCAGACAACATTCATACTTGTCCAAATCAATACAATAGTTAGCTAGGAGGAAGCTTGAAATATAGTCATGATTACAATGGCTGATCTAGAAACTCTTCTCAGCTTTGCTTTGTTATTTTCAATTTCATCACGATCTATCGTCAAAGCCAGCCCTGACGATTTAGCAAGCCCATCAACACTATTATGAGGGGATCGAAAGAATAGGCATCCATCCAAGAGTAAAGGGCTCTGTACCGGACAATTGCTACCGAATGATGTTGGGGAAGTGGTAGGCTTGATTGTGAAGCTACTGCCAGACAGATGTTATGATGAGTGGTCGGCTTGCTATGAACCGAATGATGCAGTGATTGGCTGATATTTTGTCTTTGGATGGGTTTATGGCCTTGCTCGTAGCGATGTATTAGGAACGCTTTGTCTAATAATGGGAGGAGTGTGACACCAAATGTTTACGTGGCCTGGATCAACAACATGGTTCAGCCAACTCAACTGAGGTAATGAGACCTTCTGCATGGCCTCATTACTCAACTTTCCTTCCATGGTTGACCGGATTCCTCCACCGACTATTCTAGAGCATGGAGGCTCCTTTGACATGGAGAGATATCACTGGCATCTCGGTCGTCAAGGCAAAAAGATGGTAGTATCAAGCCATCAACTGACAGTAAGACAAATACTGTACTGTCTCCAGGCTTGTGGGGACTATGAGACGTGCATCAGCAAGGGTCTTCACGAATTGGAAATAAGCGGGATCTGCGATACTTTGATTGACTAGAAAATTAGCTGGTTGCAAGGGTACCGGCAAACCCCCAAGTATCCGTACATACATAAAGAATACCGCGTAAGTCTCACATTTACAGTTGGGAATCCAAAGCCCCCTCAGGAGACCAGTCTCAAGACAGGGAGAGAATAGATTCCGATTGGCTATCCGTTTGCTCGGAGACACAATCCGTCCCGCAGTGATTGGCTCGCATTTCAATATGTGGCTTTCTGTTTCTGCAGCAGATCAAAAGTCTAGACCTGGCTGCATGCGGTGCAAACATAAAAAGACGACTCCCTACATCACGGCAATCTCGATGCGATCCCAGCAGAATGGGCCCGAGGGTAACACAGCGGCTTTGAACCGAACTCTGTGCTGTGATTTCACGTCAGTGGTGATGGCTCATTACGGCACTATTCAAACTTAACGTCTCGTTCTTGAGCCTATCGCATCGAGTAAAACCGTGTATGACACCAGGAACCGTGCGTTTCCCTACGCTACGGGAGATCCGCTGGGCATATGGCTATGCCAGAAGTGGTAAAGGATGTCAAGGTCCCTGAACTTTGACATGACATGGTTGTGGGTGGAGATGATCGGTTCCGGGTAATTACGCTTGATTGTCACGTCAAATCTTCACAAGGTGGGATGAAGGCGAACAGAAGATCAACACTGTCTTTCGGGATGTAAGGTGCTGGGAGGTCCCTTATCACCAGTATCTAGAATTAAATCAATGACTCATTTAATCTTATTTCCACCATTCCCAGGATCGTTCGCAGCCTCTAAGGCCGAGTATTATTTTCTGGAGACTGTGGTAGCACATTGTCATTCTCCATATCTCTGATTGAAGTGACGATTCGCGGAGTCTCCGTCTCGTACGATGGACATGATAGGTTGGCGATCAGCCGGCAGTGACAGGAGTTCGTGTCGTTCTCGTCCACTCAGGTCTCACGGAAATGAATAGAGGCGAGAATTGCAGTGCCGAAGGTAGATCATCGCCACAAGAGAGATATGATGAACGAAATGAACGCTGGATGTACGTCAGTTTGTCGGATATCCCCCGCAGCAGATTACTGGCTATGGCTCGTTCCATCCAGCTTTGACTGTTTAACACAGAATTTAGTGCGATTGATGAAGCAGTTGTATGCTATTGGCCCGTGATTTCCGTACATGCTACCTGTGTACGCTCTTCTTCGATGGAGAGATGACTGACAAGACTAGGAGATTCGGCAGAACGCCAGTAATTGCCATTTTAAGGGTACGCTCGCATGGAACAGATACATGAACAAACCCAGTATAACAGGTGGTTGCTTAAGGAAAAAATAGATATCATCCCAAGTGTAACGCCACAATTCCTTTTCCGTGTACGCTTTGTGTATTATTACAATCGTACTCTCATATCAGTCCATCGGCTTCCTGCATGTACATCGTAAATTGAACCCCCCGCCTTACACATACTAACATCGAAAGAGATGCGGTGGTGGAAGAGGTGGTGTCATCTGCATTTCCTTCCCGCTGCCTAAGTCCTGGATATATCGGTGTGCCTCGTTGGCAATATAGTTCTGGATCAAATGGCATTCGCAGTCGGTGTGTTGCAGAAGTTTCATCTTCAGCTCGTAGACCTGCATCGTGAGATCGGATACGGTGACAGAGAGGTCTCGGTTGGCTCGTTCTATGTCTTCTTCGTCGACTCGGAGTCTCTTTGCGTCTTCGCGTTTTTTGACACGGAACTTGTTGGAGGCGACGCGGTTCCGTTCCTGGATTCGTCTGCTGCTGGGAACACAAGGTTCTTCTTCTTCCTCTTCTTCCTCTTCTTCCTCGGGGGATGGCTCTTTTGTAGGCTTGACAACTGGTTTTGTTTTCTTACTGCGGGGCTTGGGCTTCGGCTTTTCTGAGGAGCCTTCTGGTTTTGTCGTCTTCTTGGTAGATGCACGTCTTGTCGATTTCGCTGTCGATGGAGTCGCGTTTCGCTTGCGTTTCTGCTTGTCGGAGGGTGTCGAGGTAGAACCACGGCGACTGTTGAGGTCACCGGTTGAAACCGCTAGGTTTGGAGAGCCGGTTGATGGAGATGGTTGGGTGTAACTGTGCATCGAGGTACTTGGAGAGTCCCATTGAGTTGCGGTGTCTGGCGAGAAGCCGTAGCTCTGGTACTGCTGTTCATGAGGGGAGACCATTGGGACGCCCATAGAGGCCGGTACAGGGAACACGTTGTCTTGCGGAGACAGCCATTGTGTCCAGTTAGCTTGTGGTAATGTTCCGTAGAATTCCAAGCCGGGGTGATCAGGAGCAATTAGATTCACATCGGCATTGGGTGGAAAGGCTTCATATGGCAGTGTTTCTTCGTAGAGGGGATGCTGCGCCGTTTGGTGCAAATCAGGGTAGACGGTGCCCATGTCTCTTGGTCTCGTGGCTGTCAATTGATATATATCGAGCAGCGAGTCAGTCAAGTTCAAGCTTCAATGGCTATGCTTTGATATGATCTCCACCGTCGAGTTAGAGTGGGTGAGGTGAAAAGGAGCTAACAAGGACGTAAGCTTGGACAAGTCAAGAAGGCCAGTGGGAATGGGGCGGGTTTCTTAAATACGATTGTAAGAAAGACGCAAGGAATGCAGAAGGGTCTAGACAGGGAAGGCCCTGTAAGATATGCATGGAGACGCCAGGTTCAGAGGTGGCGACATGTGTAACGTGATGGAGAGGTGCAACGCGCAGTAAGTCTTGCAAACAGGCTTCAAGCCATGTGGGAAAAGAGAAAACTTCAATGCCCTCCAGGCAAGGGAACGAGGCTAGACTGACGGGTAACTGCAAGCAAAAGTCCTCCAGGGACGTGCTGAAAGGGTCTGATTTAAACATCCCTTAGTGGGCTTTGGGCAGCCCCAGGTGCTTCATGCAGTGGGGGGACTAGAAGAAGCAAATGTGTGGTAGCTAATGCGGAGAGACACAAAAAGCTGACAGCTACTGAGTGGGCTGTCTCAAACGGTGAATCTGCCGTCCTAAGGCCGTGAGGATAAGATTATTTATTCCCAGAGATGGCCGTCCGTGATAGGATTCCATGAAGAGATTGGATGCAAACTTCTCCAGCATTGTCTCCAGACCAGTGACAGATAAGCAAGCCTAAAGGGCAAACGGAAGTTTACAAATGCCGAGCAGCAGGCAGATAGCAAAGTTGACGCTGGCTGCATGGATCACAACCCACTCGGATGGTCTTGTCCTGGAGCCCGGGAACAGATCCTCACAAGGATGGCATCGTCTGAACTTGGACGATATTGAGGCTAGACCGAAAGGAAGCTCAGACAGCCGGTGATAAACAAAAGAAAAAGAATGAGGGTCCATGAGGGGCAGAGGAGCAGGGAGATGAGATTGGCTCGCTGTATACGGACGCGTGTCCGTGGCCGTTTATTGGCGGGATGCCCTCCGTGGGGTGTGATTGGAGTTTAGGGCTAGGTGATCACTGCACACTGTCTTTTATCAGATGTGTGCTTTTTTCACTGAGGGGGACAAATGAGGCTGAGACAATGGCCAACAGCTGAATACTTTGAGACCATTACGGAGGTACAAGATGTACCTGGGTATGGAGAATCACACAGTTGTGAGGCTACCTATATCACGGTTATAACATGCAAAGGTAGCTGTACTATGAACCTATTTCCGAGTCTTGGAAACAAGTACGGATAGTCTATAATAAAAAGAAAGGAGGGCCACAACCATGCATCGGCATACGGACACACACTGTCTTACCTTGACTGATCCCTTTGCAACCAAGCCCAACACACCTCACCCGAGGAAGTGGAAAACAGCCTTGATTGGCTCGCATTTCCTATCAACCTATCAGAGCTCACGGAAGGGCCAGCCGAGCTGTCAGGGGTAGCGGCAGCCTCAGGTTGTACATACTGTATGAAAGTCAATCAAAGGATTTGACTGCAGGCTTAGCACAGTCCGGCGGGGGGTTTATTCCAATAAGAAAGGGAAGATTGCCGAGCTTTCCACGTAGTACAGTGCCTTTTTCTTTGAGATTGGGGAGCGGAGAAGATGTTCCTGTTGACATCACGTATTCTAACTAGTTGTGACGCGCTTTACTCAAGATCGTCGTCCACGTACCATGGTCCCTTGGATGGAAACGAATGGCAGACTGGGCGTGTCAAGGTATTATCTAAAGAGGTTCCTTAAGACAGAATCATGGCTGTATATGGCGAGCTTCGCCAAGGAGTGACGAACCTGAAGGTGCAAAATGCACCCTCTTGTCTATAACCCTGGCCCTCACCTCGAAGATGGGTAGCACCCGACGTTATCTTGGTTTCTCTCATGCACTTCTTGACCGTGCAGAAGTTTGTCAGTCCTGTGACGCGATATTTACACCCAAACTGCATCACAAAAACCAGATACATCAAGACTCCGCATCTATTTCTTTTTCCCAGTCTCGCTGAGCTTCCCGAGCCAACTCTTCGCGGGGGGTACCCAGAAGAGTGTGCAATTCCTAATGGTCCGAATTCATGCTTCCTATTAGTAGAACGATACTATTTCCACCCCTCCCAGCTAGGCTAGGCGAGCTACAGCTCTTCGGACGGTGGGCGGCGGGTCTGCTGTTGATGTTTGCTTACATGCAGAGGTCAGGCATGGAAACTTATCGTCGGGAGCCTGACTTGGCGCGTATCCATCTTCCTTTGTCGTTATCCAGTATCCACCGTGGCTTCATCTGTTTGCTTTGTCTAGAATGTGATTCCGTGGCTGCATTTCGCCCGTTGTTGTCTCGCTACGCCCGTTTCCGAGCCGCTATATTCCAAGAATCGGACTCGATTCCCCAAAAACAGCTGAAGCAGAGGACGGGGTGGCTCCAGTGGATGATTAGAAATAACACTCGGCAAGCTCATCGACATTGAACATACCTTAATAAGACAAGTGATATATAATTTGCGTCATGATACTGCCGTCCGTTTCTGCAAAACCAAGGGTCCAGCAGCAAGATTAATCAAGATGAGATGTCCGTATCCGTTCTTTTAACTGGTCGATAATGTCGAGCGAGCACTAGGTACCTACATCCGTGTGTCCACGAACCCCCTGATTAGTGTTAGTCATGGCAGGGAGGGGGTGACATTCTGAGAAAAGTCCCCCAGCTGTCATGCCAGAGAAATCAAGAGTTCCCGATGATGGGGGTGTTGAAAGGTTCCTGGAGATCGAGTATCCATGGGCTTGATATGTGATACAGATGCAGATGCCTTGGGTTTTCTCCAGCCTGTAGCTTGGGGGGATCTGAAAGTTGGCTGAGTCTAGTTAGTTCGAAGATAGACGTCTGACCTTATTATCCGCAGTCTGTTTACACTCCAATATTGGCAGCATTTGACTTGGACTCTACTCCACCCTGACTTAAAGCTTTAGGCGCACCGCCTGTCAAACTATTCGGTATCCCCATATTTATCAGTAGCACACTGCCGAATTGTTTATTCTTCCTGTACAGTTCAAGTGCTCGGTGGGCCTTATCAATTTCTTCGCGATTTTGCAGTTGCGCAAGTCCGCACTCTTCCTAGGTCTACGTTAGCAACACCGCAAATACCTTTTAAACAACCACCACGATGATTCACAGCAGCAATTTCTCCACCGCAAAGGCTCTTTCATTAAGGATGCATCAGTTGCAAGTTCGCATACCTTTTCCTCTCAAAGCAACTACATAATGTATGCCCGGCCCCCTTCCTCGGTCACTTCCACCCTCCGCCCGCCCGAGGTCTTCACAGCACCTTCATCCTCTCACTTGATCGCCAAGAGAGAAGACCCAGACGCAGAACCTACAGAACCGATACTGATCGACAGCCGCAGTCCCTCTCCCGAACCCCGATCTACCGCCGACTCTCGACAACGTCTCTTCGCCTCCCTCGAACATGGCGACTATGTCCTTCACGATGCCCGGCCCATTGAGACTGCCGACGATCTTGATGATATCGAGCTGAAGCGTTGCTTTGATATCCTTCATGCTTGCGGTCTGGCGACTGACGCGTCTACGACTCTTGCTTCAACGAGCGATACGATGGAGGATTTTCTAAATGCGGTCTTCAATGGCTGGACGGGGAATGATGGCGAGGAGCTTATCAAGCCAACTATGGACTTTGTCGTCCGCGAGCACATTATTGTCGGTAATATCTGCAGTCAGTCATCATCATTCGCCAACACACTCAAATGAAGCTAACCTGTTCCCTATCAGACCAACCACCCAACCATCACACCAGCACTTCATGCAACGACTCCCCTGGCTGTCAAGTCCCTGTCTACGGCATCGCCACCTACCGAAGCCGACCAGCCCAACTAAGCATCAGCTTCTCCACCGAGGAGCCGCCCCGAAACTCCAGCCACGCAGCCCAAGACCTGTTTTGTCCCATGGAGCGCGCCGATATTCGCTGGGAGGAGGACGACTGGATGGCTGAGCTGAGACGAGGTCTGAAGCGGTCATGCACGATCCGGGTCCACAGGTACAACAAGCATCTGGCGATTTGGTATGCAAGGGGCTTGATCCATGGGTGGGCGAGAGGGAGTATCTGGATGGGCAGAGATATAGAGGTTCTTGCTTTTGTGGCCAAGGACGCCGTTGATGCTGCTTTTGCTATGATGGGCGATGCGTGATGGGAGAGGGGTGCTTTTGATATGGTGCATAATAAGGTGCAACTGGGCTGAAACTATGGGTGGTTGAAAAGGTATCGGTCCAGGCACACAGATTTTGATCAGATACGGGAAAGGCGTTGCTAGTACAATGAGGCGAGGAGTTAAGGTTTGTTTTGGGAACACAAGATACCCCATTCCAACACGATTAAACGAATTGAGCTTTTGTTTCTATCATGTCTAGTCTACCTCTTGAATATGCGCTTTTATCGACCGAAGACCATGAGGATGCGAATGATCATGTCCTTCATGGTCTTCCGCTCCATCCCCTGACCAATCTGGAAAGCCATCATCAAACAAGTCCTCCAGCGCCTCACGCTTCTGTTCATCATTCTTGGTACCATCTCTCATCACAACCTCCCAATCCGAGAACTCATCATCAGTTAACAGACACTCATCAAGTATACTCTCGATGGCCTCGTGGTTCAACCTCTCTCCAATGAACACAAGCTCCTGTCGACGATCACCCCACTCGCCGCCCTTCTTGATATCATGCTGAACCAAGCCATCAACTTCTGGGTCACCAGTGGTGTACTCCTCGGGTGGTAGAGTGCAAAACCACGGCCTTCCGCCAGTCATGGTGAGCATGGCTCCGGCTTGCGACCAGTCTCCCGCGCGGTGAGGACGGGTCGCTAGGAAGAATTCGCCCTTGGAACGGAAAAGACGAGCGAAGACGGGGTGTTTGCGCTTTGTCTCGAGAATGACTTCGTTGGATGGTGGGCAAAGTTCGCCGGACTCAGGTATCTCAGCGTCGTCTAGCTTTTGCTTCTTTGATGCTGGTTCGGGTGATGGGGCTGTTTCGATGGTTGAGTGTGAGCTCCTTGGGGATGAGGGAGCCGAGCGTTTCCCTCCTGACGAAGATGAGTCTTGGACGTCTTGGTCGGTGCTTGTAGCATCTGAGACTATATCTCCAGCGTCTGGGTAGTCGACCATTTCGAGGTCTTCATCACCATCTTTTTCTTCACCCTCGTCATCTTCATCCTCGTCGTCCTCGTCGTCCTCTTCATCTTCGGGCTGCTCAAGTTGCAAGATGAACTTATCATACAGCAACGCCCAAAGCCGACGAGGATGGAATGGCCGATGACGACTGTAGATACAGCTGCGAACTGAGTACTCCTCAGTCTCAGGTTTTGGAGTCACTACTTTACGGCCGTTGACCTATAGCTGTGTTAGCATTGACTGCCGAGTCTGAAAAGTCCCATTCATAAGCATACCTCACGGACGGTCATATCATGGAGATCCTGGAGCCATCCATAACCAGACTGAGCAACCTCGAGGTTGAACATTCCTGTGTTGACAATCTGCTTGACATCTACCTTTCCGTAGCTAGATTCGAGAATTTTGGCGCGATGGTTGAGCTTCTTGATCAAGTCCAAAAGTCGAGGTCGGGTCGACTGATCAACCTAGAAGACAGTCAGTTGATATGTATACGGAATGATGAGCCGACCCTGACTAACCATATCAAGTTTGTTAAGGATAATGACATCGGCAAACTCTATCTGATCAACCATTAGATCTGATACTGTCCGCTCATCTTCTGGTGTAACATCATCTCGACGGGACGAAATCAGATCATCCGTGTCAAAGTCGTGCAGCATAGTGAAGGCATCGATGACTGTAACGGTAGTATCAAGCCTCGCAAACTTCTCAAGACCACCAGCCTCCTTACTGTACTGATGTTAACAGGCAGTCCAAGCCAAGAACTCAACACTTACAGTTGTTCAAGAGTCTTTATCATATCAGCATCCAGCCCTGGAACGCCCTCGACCGATCCCATCGCCTTCATCTGTTCCGCCAGTCGAGAGTCAAATGTCTCAGCGACCTGTTCTGGCTCACTGATACCACTACTTTCGATGATTATGTAATCGAACTCCTGCAGCTGAGCCAGACGGACGAGTTCTTCTAGCAGGTCTCCACGGAGAGTGCAGCAGATGCAGCCATTTTGGAGGGCGATGACCTTTTCTTGGGTCTTTGTGAGACGGTGGGTTTGTTTGATGAGGGAAGCGTCGACGTTGATGCTGCACAAGTTAGTTTATGTTGATTCTCGAAAGAAAGGGAGATTTACGCTCCGATGTCGTTGACTACCACGGCGATTCGGAGGCCATGCTCGCTTCTCAAGATATGCTGCAGAAGTGTCGTTTTGCCAGCGCCCTTGATTATTGTAAGTCGAGGTTGTGATCAAAAAGGCAATGAAACTTACCAAAAATCCAGACAGTAGTGTCACGGGTAACGCCTTTGGTGGGATGCTGGCCTTCTTATGGCCCTTCGTCTTGGCGACTCTCTTGGCCTTATTCTTAGCCATTTTGGACCTGAAAAGAGTGAACAAAAGAGAAAAGAGATGCCGTGGATATGATGATCGTGTAAAGTTTTCGCATTGGAAAAACAAATTCGGCAACCGAACAAGACGGAATCATAGGCTTTTTCTACGTGTTATCGACTTGAAGTATTTCTGGCTTACACGCATCCTGCTCATCAAGGTATAGACCCTTGTGGCCATCAGGGTGAAGCAACGGCAGATGAGAGCACCTTGATGACATCTTGAAAAATCTCATTGGCTACCGGCTTCGAGATCGATGTCATTGATGAGAATTTCTAGGTTATGGGGTCTAGTGGCTGATGCAGGTCAAGCTGGGGATGCGGAGCCTCCAAAGCATTGACCACATTCCCTTATGATGATATTTGACTACAATCGGATATTGACAATTGTCAGCATCTCACTATATTCAGTTCTTGAGCTCAACAAAGGTTTAAGTATGCCACGTAAGTATTGTCTTATCATTCATACAAACAAGAATTTTCATGGTCAAAGGTGGACAGTCTACGGAATAACGGCAAGGCGTCAACCTCATTTGATATGCAGGGTCAACAGGGTGCATTAGCAATTCTCTCAAGGTCATTGGTGCAACCAATAATAGTAGCATTAACATCGCCGCCATGTAAGCTGTGAAAGCAACCCGAGTCAAAATGGCGCAAGACCTTATTGAGCTTCTAAGAACCTTGATGATCACACAAATTTGGCGAAGGTTAGTGCAGCGCAGATGCAGGCTTGGTAGGAAGGGGACGATGGTATGAAAGATCAATGATAAGTGACTACTAGAACTCAGCTTATCTAATATCTGAGCGTCACTCATACCCGTATAATTATCAAATCGACTATCTCAAGTGCCAGATTAGAGGTGGATATAATCCTAGTAAAATAAACAGAAACCTTACAAGCCTCAAAAAAGGCCGGCCACAGATATCGTTATCGTGAGCACAGGTGGGTGGCCACACATCGTATACAAAGCCAACCACATCACTTCATGCAAAAAGCTAGTGGTCTGACCGACAAAAGATTGCGACCGAGGGGAATCGAACCCCTCTCTAACGCTTGGAAGGCGTTAATGCTAACCACTACACCACGGTCGCTTTTCTTTGTACTTGATTGGTAGACGACTTATTTTTTGCATTCATATAAGCTGTTTCAATATCTTGCTTTACCCTACAGCATCCTCACCGCTTAGTATGAACCAGCCATTACCGTTGCGGCAAGATGGTTGGAAAATGATCTAAGTCAATATCAGTGGCTATGAATCATAATCATACGAATGTACGGAGAAATAATTAATCGCGTATGTGAGTCAACTTTGGTTCATTTGTGGATTAACGTCCCAATGGCCAAGCTTTTCCACCGGCTAAACTGTCGCTGTGGCGTGCACATAGTTTTGTTTCACTAAAGTAACGACCTACCCCAACGGGCAAAACGTCCTGTTTCGGATTTGTGCAACGAACCGAGGTACGGATTAGGATTGAAATAATTGTTTCATTAGGTATTATGATAAAAAAAAACTAAATTGCTCAGACTGAAACCTCGGACCTAACTTCTGAATTGGCAGTCTTGTGGTCCAAGTCCTTCATATGCACCAGATACGTTTCATCAGTCTCGCCGTATTCCACCTCATACGAACGGTCAATCTGGATCCCCGCAGGATCGGTTCTTTGCCGCTTTGACCTGTCCACTTGCGACGTGGCATTTGTACCAAGAGGTTGGGTACGGCTTCTGTTTGTGTTTCCACCGGTGATCTTGTTGCTGCCGTAGTTGTAGTAGCGCTGTGATGTGCCAAGCAGCTTGGGGAAGAGGCGCACGAGGAGGATGCGCAGAGAGGGCATGCAGGCGCATATGATGCCGACGTTGATTTCGATGGTGGACCACTTGGATATCACTACATATTCCCATGTGACGTTGGTGGAGTGGCCGGCGCCGGCTTGGACTACAGCGCTCAGTCGTAGGATGCTCATGATAGTGACACTTTGTGAGGTTAGTGATGAGTTCAAAGAAGTGGCAGTTGGGATTACTTACAAGATGCCGACGCTGAACATCATTCCAACGCCAATCTTCTTTCTCCAGTCAAGGTTCATCTGCTTGAGCTGGGACAATGGAATGCCCATGATCCAAAAGTCGAGAGCAATGTTGATAGCAGCGCTGGAAACGGTAATGGCGTTGACGTCGGCGCAAGTACCAGCATGCTCGCCATCCCACTTGGTCCAGAAGTGGTTGATCGGCTTGCACTGGAAGATGGCAACAAAGATAAAGACCAAGCCGAAAAGAACGGTAAAGGCTACGGTTCCCCAAAGAAGTCGTCGCACGCCCTTGGTCGGGAAGATGCGCAGGTAGAAGCAGAGCATCGAGAGCTTGAGAAATGTCTGGATGGAGAAGTATAGGATGGCCATGACGAAGAAGAACATTCCGAAGCGGGTGATTTGGCTCGCTGTCAAAGTCCAGATATCCCTTCCCATGCCGTTGGGGGCCAGACCGTGAGAGTTGAGTGTGATGGAGGGGATGGCGAAGCACATAGTCACGAGGATAAACAGGTCGTCGAGGCCCAGGGGTAGCTTCCAGAATAACTTTGTAGCGAATCGTTGGAACACAAATATACCGGTGATGATTCCCATCACATCGTTTGACACGACGAACTCGGTTCTATGGCTTCGGATGGGGGCACCGCATGAGGTCATGGTAGCGTTCTTGGTCCCTGTAGTGTGTAAGTCGATGCATCGCAGCCGTAGTGGACGATGGACATACCCAGAGCTTCTCGGACAGTACAAGACATGCCGACGCAGAGTTCGATGTCATGTTGGAGTGCTGCGTTTGTGCATAAGCACTTGGCGTCCGTAGGTTCGCATGTCGAGCTGGCGATAGCGGTTTTAAAACATGTTTGCTGCGATGGTTAGTCAAGCCCAGGTCGACAGCAACGGAGCGAGAGATACGTACAGCACACGCAGGCAAAGCAGACAAAGAAGAGGCAGGCGACGACTCAGCCAAAGCCAGTGGCAGAGCCGCAAGGCAAGCAAGGATAGCCCCACGGATGAGCATCATCCTGATGCTGTGAAGATGGAATGTTTAGCTATATCTGGGGTGCAGGCGACGGATCATTCTTTCTTTCTCTGGAAGGAGGGGATGGGGCGGCATGGGAACTAGGGATGTTATATAAAAAGTTTATGCTCGGACCAAAATGATCGTCCGCAAGGGATTTCCAGCCTTGGGTCATATCGCCTTCTCGATTCTCTTCTTAATACCCGTACGGAGACACCCCACCAGACCCAAGCGTATGGAGTCTCATGTTTTAGTCTCGCGATCAGACGGGCACGGACATGGTTTCCGCTTGGGAGACGTGCATATGTGTGAGCTAGGGAAAGGTGACGGAGATGTCACTCTACTCCTCGCGTGGAGATGAAGAAGCATTGCCAAGCTAGACCTAGAGTGAAAGGGAAAAAGAAAAAAGAATAATTTAATCTACAGGTCCCAGTGAGCTGGAACTAGATCGCATAAACCCTGCATAGTGAAGAAAGTTTACAGATTACTCGCGTGGTTCGAAAGCCACAAACATGGTTGACACCCGTTGAGGGTGGTGGGACTACTGACTTTATTGGCGAGCAAAGGTTTCTGGCTGTTCTTTTTTTTGTTTCTCTTCTTGTCCCTGACTAGCAGACTAGGTAGCTTTCCATGTCATTGTGGCAAAAGGGGAGGGGGGAGCTTAGGTCCCGGTTGTTAACAGCGGACAGAGTCAATGCGACAGTCAATGCGGTGCGGAATTGAATGGTCGGCCGTGATGGCTTCATAGCGGCGTGCGACGTCGACGTTGACGTTGACGTTGAAAGAGGAGAGGATTATCGCAGCTCCATGTAGATCAACACTGAGATACCCGAGCAGAAGTGGAAGTGAGTCCGGGCCACGGCGGACGGGGCCTGTAGATCGATCACGTTCTTTGCGAGACTCCAGCGCATGAGCCACTAAAAAGAGCCCACCAAACCGCCTGTACTAAACTCTTTGGTGACACATATCCGCCGCGCTCGCCTATTGCGCCACCACGGCAGCGAGGCTCTTTTCGTCTCTAGCGGAAAGTATCTTTTGGGCAAGTCTTTCGCAGCGCAGGTCTAATTCTAGACCGAACTGAAACCATCCGATCCCAACCCAGAGGGCAGAGGCCTCGTCAAGCAAGTCCACCGTTCGGCTGTCCCCTACGGAGTCACGGAGTACGGAGAACGTATTAAGCGATCCAGGGATTTGGGAGAGACAGTGGCACCATAATCCAAAATAGGAGCCAGTGCGCAGTGGGGAACAGGACCCCCTGAGTCGAGGAACCGACCCGCCCGGGCGCTAGAAGCGTGCTAACTCGAATGGCGTCGGACCTTTGTCCTAAGCAAAATGGCTCGGATCCAGTGGCGAAACGGTGGGCAAAGCCGGTAATTCGTATGACTATGGACTCTAAACGTCTCGGTTTATAGGCTCAGTTGGGAGGAAATGTCCTGTTATTACTGGGATTTGGCAGGTGGCTTGAACTATCAATCCATCGCTAATGCCACCAACGTGGTGAAACTATACTGCATGAACCCTTCTGCAGCACCGCATTAACATTGCAACTCTGCATCTCAGTGGAGATAGCTTTGGGGCCCACTGACTCAGTACTCCATAAGACAAGCCGTTATAATGATACTAGAATAGCGCGATACTTGGAAGAAAAGGGCCTCTCTGACTCAGACACCAAGAGTTATATCCATCTCCATTAGTCAGTTGTGCTCTCCCCTCTTCTAGCACCAATAGTCCATCTTCATGTCTCCATACTGTTGACATAAATATTCTTGGGCTATTCTTCAGACGATCATCCCTACACGTGGCGCACCAGGTTCCGGCGCCAAGACGGCCCTGTTCCGGATGTGCAGAGCCAGGGGGGTTTTGATGCAGATGAACCGCTTTGCATCTTTACCCTATTGATCCTTAATCTCCGCCGCTTGAGCACGTCGGATGCAAGGCCTCCCAGACAAGTCAACCTCGGGCCCTTCGGTTATCAGACAATCGCTCAGCTCAATGCTGCTGCAACCCTTCCCCCGCTGCCCCCTTATTCCCCGACCTGCCCAGAAGAGAACCTCCCCCAGGGTGCGATAACCCTGACCCTTGCGCGATTATGCTTTATCACCCAGGCTTAGAGCTGTCAAAGTATGCTAGTGGCATATTGCTCTGCCTGAAGGATTCATATCCTGTGATTGCAGCGTGGCAGAGTTGCATCTGGCAGAGTCGCATCCCAGGGGCCCTGTTAAGACGCAGGGGCAGACAGCACTCAATAATCGCTCAATAAATAGCAGAATGCCTTCCATTTCCTTGACGTCGTCTTCTCTGTGCAGCTCATCCCTCTCGTTCTTCCACCAATCTACAGCCAAGCCTAGCCAAGCCGAGCCCCGTCAATATGAAGTCTTTTCTCTCCCTGGCTCTCCTGCCTCTGGCTGTTATAGCCGCCGATATATCCAGCGACTCTACTGCTGATTACGCCTCCAGCGCCAAGTGTCGCTGTCTACCAGGCGACGCTTGCTGGCCGTCCAATAGTGCGTGGGCCAAGCTTAACACCACCGTTAGTGGCGCCCTCATCAAGACGGTGCCCATTGGCTCACCTTGCCATGATCCCACCTACGATGAAGCCGCCTGCGCAGCCCTACAGGACTCGTGGACGCTTGTCGAGACTCAGTAAGTCGTGTCCAAACTAGTTAGAGTAATAGTTGTTGCGGGTTCGCGGAGCTAACGTCCCTGAAAGTATAGAGTCCTCGTCTTCGATAATGCAGCAGTTCTTCGCCAATCAGAGCTGTGACCCATTCTTGGCTCAGGAACGGCCTTGCACTCTCGGAAACTACGTCAACTACGCGGTCAAGGCTACCAACGCCAAGCAGGTAGCTGCTGCGGTGCAGTTCGCCAATGCCAACAATATCCGTCTCGTCATCCGCAACACTGCACACGAGTAAGTACCCATCCGGAGATTAAACCAGAATAATCCCAATTAACCTTCCACCCTTAGCTACTTTGGTCGCTCTACTGGCGCTGGCTCCCTCGCTATCTGGACCCATCACATGAAGAGTGCAGAGGTTGTCCAATGGGCTGACAAGCTCTACACTGGTCCTGCGTTTAAGCTTGGTGCTGGTATCCAGGGTGCCGACTCTGTTGAGTTCGCCGCTTCCAAGGGCCTCACCAGTGTCCCTGGCGAGTGTCCTACTGTTGGCCTTGCTGGCTTCACTCTTGGCGGTGGTCACTCTCCTCTCAGCACCAGCTTCGGTCTTGGCGCGGACAACACCCTCGAGTTTGAAGTTGTCACTGCGGCCGGCCGAGTTGTCCGAGCCTCGCCCAACGAGAACAGTGATCTCTACTGGGCGTTGAGTGGTGGCGGTGCTGGAAACTTTGCTGTTGTTACTTCCATGACTGTTCGAGCTCACAAGACTACTACCATCGGTGGTGCCACTCTTGGCCTTGGTGTTGGCACTGATAAGGAGGCCTTCTATGCTGCTATTACCAAGTTCCACGAGCTTCTGCCTGCTATGATTGACCAGGGCCCTACTGTTGTCTACCTCCTTACCGCTGCTGGTCTTTCTATCAAGCCTGTCACTCTGGCCAACTCAACTGGCGACTTCGTCCGTGACAACGTTCTCGCTCCTTTCACCGACTACCTTACCAAGAACGGTCTTAAGTTCAGCGTGTCCTACACCACATTGAGCTTCCGTGACCACTACGAGTTGTACAACGGCCCTCTTCCCCTCGGCCACATCGAGGCCTCTCAGTTCCAGTACGGCGGCCGTCTCATCCCTCGCTCGGTCCTCGAGAACAACAACGTCGAGTTCAACAAGGTCATCCGCAACCTGACATCCAGCGGCCTCGTCCTCGCCGGCAGCAGCGGAAAGTTCGCCAGCTACCCTGGCATCTCTAACGCTGTGCACCCAGCCTGGCGCAAGGCCATCATGTCCATGCAGATGGGCACCCTCTGGGACTCCACTCGCTGGAGCGACATGCTTGCTGACCAGAAGAAGATCACCGAGGTGTACATGCCTCAGATCATCGCTGTCACACCAGGAAGCGGTACTTACATGAACGAGGCCGACTTCAATCAGCCAAACTGGCAGGATGTGTTTTACAGCACCAACTGGAACCGTCTTCTGTCTATCAAGAAGAAGTGGGACCCCAAGTCTCTGCTGTACAACCATAAGGGTGTTGGCAGTGAGGTTTGGAAGGTTGCTAACGACGGCCGCATGTGCAAGGCTTAGAGATGGGATACCATATAGAATAATTAGCGCGAAATCATACACTATAGATGAATTAATTGATACACATCATATTGATATATTAGCGTGTGTTCTGTGTAACCTCGAATTGTCGACGTTGATCATAAGCTGATAACTGTTGAGGTTCTAATTGGTCATATCATTCGTTTATCATAGACCATACATAGTCTGTATTCTGTCAGGATTGGGTCGCCGCCCACCCTGTCAAATCGTATCATTAAGAAAGTTGACTGCGGCCAAACTGGTTTTGATAGTGAGCACCGCAAGGCGATATGTCAGCAAGGCACATGATAGCTCAACCTATTACAAGACGGAATACCTGACAGAATACGACTTGGTCTTTCGTCACACATCATGTGTTCCTTCGGATGCGTCACAAACACTTCTCTCAAGTGGCACAAAGTGCAAAAGATGACATCAATAACATGTCAACGACAAAGCAAGCCCCTCACGTCAAAGTCGCAGTGTACATGATGAGCTTACCATTTCAGATAAAGATCATCAGCAAGCATCCATAAAAAGTAAGCAGAAACAAAGAAGCAATTATCTAAGATCTACAGACTCTTAATCCGAAGCTATTCCCGGACACAATTACACAAGGATAAACCATCTCATTTCCTTAGGGTAACTTATCTGTTAGTGGAGAAGCGCTAATCAGGTCAAATCTTCAAATATTGCCGAGCGCCGACTCTTTTCCCCGCATCGTCCCCCAGATCGCATCAGTTTTGAGAACCTTGTAATTTTTATCATTTTTCATTTCTTGACCAACGAAATTACCTGGCCTTCAAAATGGCGCCCGTTTACAAGATCGCTGTTATTCAATTCGAGCCAAAGGTAAGTTATACTTCATAGCCTAAAAACACCCAATCGTTTTGTGCATCAGATAATGTCACCGTTGCATTAGCTCTCATGACTGACGTGCATATTCTTGTTCTAGGATATTGTTGTCGAGGAGAACTTTGCTAAGGCGGAAAGTCATCTACGCTCTGCAGCGGCTAAAGGATGTGACATCGCCATTCTGCCCGAATTTCATCTCACATCGTGGGTTCCCGAGCATCCCGAGTTCATATCTGAAAGCAAAAAGTCAAACGACTATTTATCAAAATATCAGGATCTTGCTAAGGAACTAAACATCAACATTGTACCGGGCACAATCTGCGAAGTTCACCAGGTCCCTGACAGTAAAGATGAAGAGCTCCGAAACATGACCTATTTCCTTGCCGCTGGGACTGGCGAGATTTGCGGTTCTTATCAGAAGAAGAATCTCTGGCATCCTGAACGACCGCACCTAACTTCGTCAACCCACACACCCCATACAGCCTTCGACACTCCCTTGAAACACGCCGACGGCCGTCCTGTCCGCGCAGGTCTGATAATCTGCTGGGATCTTGCCTTCCCTGAGGCCTTCAAAGCGCTCGTTAACGACGGCGCCGACATTATCCTAATCCCCTCATACTGGTTCATGAGCGACGGAGGTGAAGAAGGAGGTGACCTTAACCCTGATTCTGAACGAATATTCCTCAACTGTACGTTGACCGCGAGGGCTTTCGAAAACACAGCTGCAATTGTATTCTGCAACGCTGGCGGGCTGAGCTGTGTCAACATGCCCATACTGGGACCTCTGGGAAGAATCGAGGTTGGAGAGGAGAAGCTGGAGATTGTAGATGTGGATCTAGATGTTTTGAGAGCTGCGGAAGAGCAGTATAAGATTAGGATGGATATGCAGAGTGGGGGGTGGCATTATAAGTATGGCATGAATGGGGGCTCGAAGTCATAAGAGTAGGAATATCGGGATCGGGAATGAGCCTTACCCACCATGCCCCCTATTTAAAATATGTTCCTTAAACATATTGGAAGACAGTCGGGCTATACACAGAAGGGAAGAAGTGAAGGGGGACGGGGAGAAACATGAAAGGCAAGATGTCTGTTGAATATTGAATATATATGTCGAAAAGAATGAAGAAAATGTAAAGTCAACGCGTCTATAAGTAAATCAAAACCAAATCCATCCATGCACCCCGTGAACCCCGTCCTATATCCACCATTCTATGGATTAAACCATAAGAAGAAACCCATCATCTAACCATTCTTGCAAGCAGCTTAGAAGCCACCGTTGGGGTTGGGGTTAGGGCCAACCTCTCCGCCCTGCTCAACAGGAGGAATAACCGACACCCCAGTCAAGGCAGCAAGCTCCTTGTGGCGACGCAGGCTAAAGTCCTGGTTGTCAAAATTCTGGTTGATGACACCAACCATGCCGGCCTGGCAGTGGTTGCCCTTCTGCTGAGGGCAGTAGTACCAGATGGGCTTCTTGTCCTCGACGGTAAGCTGGAAGACATCGGGAGCCTGGCCCTCCTTGGTGGCGAAGTTGAAGCCGGCGAAGAAGCCGGTGTTGTCGGCGAGGGGCTTGCAGGGCTCGCCGAAGCTGGACTGCGCGACGGAGTGGTTCATGGGGAGGAAGTGCCACTCGATGATGTCGCCGATCTCGGCGACGACGTTGTCGGGATCGAAGCGGAGTCCGCCCAGGCCGGCGTTGACGGAGTGGGTCACGCCGGTCAGGGTGACGGTCTTGTCGGGGTAGTCACGGGTGGTCTTGGAGGCCGGGGCCGCAGAGACGGTGGCGGCGACAAGGAGAGCGGTGGTGAAGATCTTGGAGAACATTTTGATTATTGGTTGTGGTGATGAAGGTGATACCAAGAGTTGAAAGTGAAGTTGAAGTTGAAGTTGAAGATGAAAAGGCTTGAAGTAGATTGTTTGTTGATGAGTGTGATTGTGATGATGGGAATAATGTTGATTGAGCGGCCATCTCATCCCATTTTGTACAAATCCAATCTACATCAAATTCCCCAACTTCGTCAAAGTCATCTCGATCTCATCCACGGAGCCTCACTTTCCCGACCTCGTCAGATCTGTGCCACCGCCTTAGCTGGGAATAGCAACCAGCTGTCAACTCAGCCAGCTTGTGTTCCCCGGAACTGCTCTCCCCCGAGAGCTGTCAAGCTCGCCATTACCAGCCTCTCATTGGCCAGATCCGGCTGAGCTGGGCTTAGATGCTGACCGTTTCTCGGCATTTACTATGGACGTAAGCGTGGTTCACACTAGCCCCCAAAGACTGCGCCTCGGAGCCAACAAGTGCCCAGTCGTCGGGCACTTGTTTTAGATCAAATTCTTATTTTTATCTGGGTAGTCACTTTGGTATTGGTTGCTTTCAATGTGTATCTTTGGACAGCCAGTTATGTGATACTATACTAGAGCCATCACAGCAGAGCTTTGGCTGACCCGCAGGAGGAATGTGCTGTACTACCGATAGTCCGATTATTATGCTTTGCTTAGATGATGATTTGCAATTATGCTCATAGAAGAATGGTTAGTCGCACGGTGATTCAAGCCGTTGGGTAAGGCAGTAAGCTAGGCTAAGATTTCTTAATTCCGTCGGGGACCACGGTCTCACTCAGCGGCCATGTTGAAAGTCAGAACCTAAGCGGTCAGCCTTTTAGCTTCTTAACGTCTCTAAAAGTCACTTGGCAGGAGCAGGAAAATCCTGGATTTGTTAGGCAAAGTAAGATTGAAAAGTTTAGATAAAACGTTTCACAAACGTGTTTCAACTAAATTCATTGCCACAAAAAGGCAATTTAATCGATGTTACAGACTAATAGAGCATATCTCTATCCCATATTTCCCTCAACATGTAGGACGCAGCTCAATATCCGTCTGGTATTATAAACTTCAAAAGTTGTGCGCTCTACTCAGGATTAATACCTGACACACGATCGCATCGACGGTATGAGTGGAAATTAGGCCGCGCATGAAACCTTCCCGTGGCCCCCAAATCATAAGCATTAGATCGCAATAAACAAGGTCAAGCCGTTGCAATAATCAAGTCGGTTTTTTGTAGTACAGCATATTAGGCGGTGGCAGTAACCGAAGTTCCTCTCTGGAGGGTAGAAGTGCACTTTCGTGTAAGACCGGTCAGACAGCGACGTGTCTGTCAGCAATTCGAATTACATCTGTTACCCTGCAGTTAGTCCATTTAATAAGTTCAAAAGTGAATGTCACTACAGAATTTATGGACTGCCAAAAGAGAACCGTTTACGATTGCACGCCCACTTGGCATCATGACTTCGTAAGACGAAGTACATGCTGGAACTGGTAAACATACAAGTCAAATTTTGCTGTCTTTCAAGCACATACGACCATAGCTCGTAGAATACACGGGATCCCGTCCGCTCTCCCTTAGTTAAGCTGCGAAGCGCTGGATTAGTAGTTGGGTCGGTGACGACCAGCGAATCCCCGGTGTTGTATGTTTTCTTTTGGTGTTGAGGCTAGTTTTGGTATCCCGACATCCGAAGTCACTTTTGAGACCGCAAAGAATCTAGATCAAAGTCACCCGTAGTTTGTTGACGAATTTTCTATATGCCTGTTCTTTTTGTTCTATTTTCATCTCAGCTCACTGCATAGCTTCCGGATGCTGTGTTGCCGAGATCCTATGGCATGGATCACCCTGGTACAGAGCAAATGTCAGCAGAACCTAGTCTAATCCAAAGTCGTCGACTTACACCGCCGCTGACTGAGATTCGCCAGTAAAGCTTAAAAGGAATAACGGTTAAGTAGGACAGTATGCTTCCGTCTCACTAATCTAAATCGGAGTGTCTTTCCATCCTCCAGCAACGCCTCGTGCAACACAAAACGCTCGATTCCCAGTAGTCTTCCATCTTGTAGACTCGAGTTATCTAGACGAGTGATAAACTAATAACAATGGCAGCTACGGACGAGAATTCAAAAAGCACAGAGAAAGCCATCACGCGTGCGTGGTCGCCACACGCAGTTATCTAAAGTGCAAGTACAAGAGCTCCACATGATGGTGATGTGAAAACCATAGGGCTGAATACGCCAAAACGAGTATCGACGTACCCAGGTAATGCACGCCTTGGCATAACACCTATTCAACAGGACGTCAAGTAGATAGACCTCTTGCGGTGCGAATCCATAGGCCAGAGGAAAGAAGGAAATGACAGTACACTGAAGATTTCAGAGGATGGTGAACAACTAACTTGGTGATCATTACGAGTAGAGAAGTTCATGAATAGCAGACAAGCAACAACACCGACCGATCTAGACAATATCAAAACAAGGATATCGTAAGTATCAAATATCGGGCCTAGATCGAGCTAGCCTATGTTAGTCGTACTGAAAGAATACAAAACTTCATTGGGTATATTACAATGGATGGGCATATGTTCCAATAACTTCCTCTCTTCTATATTTTATTTGAAACGAATGACGTAAATTAGTAAAACTCTCTTATTATATATAATTTCTTACAATTCTGTTCTTGGGTTATTTATAAAATGATCTATTTATTCTAAAACGTATACATCTTTACGATTATTCCTATTCCTAGTTGGGTCATTATCTATATCTTTCCACCAGACTATATCAAATTGTGCACTACATATAGCAATGAAGAAAGCGTAGCAGCTAAAGGTTCATCCGACTTGACTCTCGCCCACCCTACCGAGTTCATTCTGTCAGATCCAAGTCTGCTCCTCCTTCATAACGTAAGAGACATATAGCCAGACAGCTTTGATATCGGGGGTAAAGAAAATATCGATCCGTACAGTTCAAAGCCGGATACAGGTAGTCATTCAAGAGACGACTAAGTAATCACATAATTAAAAAGGTAGCGCTGTGTTCTATGTCCAATGAGATCGTGTTTCATGATCAAATAGCCCCGCACATTACATGTGACCGTGACGAGCACCTTCATTCTGCAGAATACAAGCCAACAATCAATTATCATCCTCAATGTACATTTCCAGTTCTTTGTCTCACAAAAGGACATGGTAGCTCTGTACAATCCGACCCAAGAGGGTTCTAATCTAGATATCCTTGACAATGACAATCGAAATACCCTGGATCGAGCAGTGAGAAATGTTTTGGGCACAGAACCAGCTGAGCGCGCATACGCCCAGATTCTCGATGGCTTGCCCACTGAGCAGTCACTCAGGGACAGCCAGGACTATGTAAAAGACCACCCCGTTCACAGCACTGAGCATAGCGAGATCTGCCCTGGATACAAAGAAAAAGCTCGCGAGTTCAGAAATGGCTTCGACCTTTCTCAATTACAGTTCGAATCCAAGGTGAGATCATCTCGTTCGATGCTAACTGATATCTTGAACTTATACATACTTAGACACTGGCGCATTTCCAAAATACAGTTTCGGGCTCAGAACAATTCCATCTTCGTTTGATAGAGCTTGTCGTCACAGCGTGTCACCAAATTGGTGCCTACCTCTTCGAGCTTGACGAAGGCGCACACAAACACAAATTTTACCAAGACTGGAGGGAGAAGGTGTTGTATGAGAAAGAAAGCGGTGTACAGTCACTCAGATTCTACGATCCTCCACCTATCGCCTTTTGCCACAAAGTATATCGGTATTCTGAGCAATATCCGAGAGGAGTTGCCGATGTGGCTGGTTATTGGGCCGAATCGAAGATTTTTGGCGGTGTCTTTGTGTTTGACCGGGGCGAGGGTGAAGAAGACGTAAGTCACTTTGAGTTGCTTATTGTAGAGGAGAGTTTGATACCAATTGGCAACTAACACATCAACAGTGTAAAGCTTTGTGGATTCATGGAGATTTGGTCAGAGGTCCAGAGACTCTCTATCCGCCAACCAAAGAACAGTTTGACGCCCTAATAGCATTTCTCGCTATGCCGGTGGAAGAAGACAAAGTATGCCCATTCCCAATCCACGGAACACGCATCAATCGACCACGTTGGCATCCTTATCATGCTTTCGCATATCACCATATCTTCCGCGATAGGTATGAAAGGAAGCTTCCGCCACATCCGCCGCAAGTGGGATGTGTTGGAGAAGGAATCGACTGGCCAGAGCTCAACGATAGGAGGATTCTTTTGCTAGGGGGATTTTCTGACTCTGGTGTTGGTGAAGAAGAGTATGCGGCCGCGGAAGAGAGGATATGCAATATCACGCCGTCTTCACCACTGTGGACATCATTTGGGAACGGTTCTTGATTGCCTGCAATTTGATACGAAAGTACAATTCAATTGCTCAACATTCACATGAGGGTCGTTGCAGAGTGGCAGTCTTTCCATCAACAAAAGTTGCATGTAAATACAACCATTTTTCTGATGCACCATCTGCAAAATTCGCCAGGAAATGTTGATTGGTCCCAATCTTCTCATTTATCTTCAACTGAAATCTCGAAGACAAGGTTGCGCCCCCATCCTCAATGTAAGTCGTCTGTCTGGTGTCTGCCTTGTTAGGATCGATGTGAGCTTAGTCGTCGTTGCCCAACTGCCCGACATGTGACTACAGTCTTTCAATTCACAAGATAGATTCCCAGCTATCAGAAGTAACTACTAATCTATGAGTATAAAGATCCATTACCAAAGAACCTTTACCGTCAACAATATAAGGCAAAGAGGATAAATATGGAAATTGAAAGAAAGGCTTGGTACTTTTAATTTGTCTGCCTAGAGCTCAGAGAGTAATTTTAGTATTGCCATATCCAAACAGGTACGTGACGGGAGCCAGTTTAGACCTATTTTGTTTATAAGAGAAGCCTGGTGCTGCTGCTGCAGTGTCATGGCTAAGCCTCATTTTTCGACAGCTTCACATCCTTATCCTCATCTTTATCTTCCCGCCATTCCCCCTCGTCATCGCTACAGATACACCGGCCAACCCTATGGCATTTAGGTTTGCATCCCCTCGTAATTTCCTTTACTTTGTTGTCCCGACGAACAAGCATCCTGACTTGTTTTGTAGGTTCGGGGCTGGGATCACAATCATCAGATTCATAATGCCAATCACAATCGCTAATCCCCGTGTTGTAACCAAGTTCTCTGAGAAAGGTGACAGCACTAGTGCCTGCTCCATAACATAGATGCCTGTCAACGAAATTGTCTTCGTGGACCTCGATGTACTCCCCGTCACAGTCCCGATATACCGTGTCATGGTGTTTATCGGCATTGTCATGGTCTTCATCTTCATCTTCATCGACACAGCCATGGTCTTCATCATCATCGACATTGTTAAGCCACTTAGCCTTTTTGTCAACGATCCATATCCCCACGCCCTCGCTGCGGAGATGGCGATGATCATAGGCTGCGTCAAATATCAATTTCGCTAGAAACCCTCGCGCAGAGTTCTCATGAGCCAAGCCGTATTTGCAGTCCGGTAGGTCTACAAGCCAGCTGTTGTCAAACTCGAGTGCTATGTTCTGGAGGTAGAGCCTTTGGAGTATCGGCCAGCCATAACGATTGTCGTCATCATTTTCGCGATCATTTCTCTTGTAGAGGTTGAGCGACATGTGTATATATGGAGGAAATCGATGTTTTTTAAGATCAATCCAATCGTCCGCTTGTATGCAAAAGATGTCGTTGGTGGGGTAGACAAGCATACGACACTCTTCTTCGCCTTCGCATGTATTGATGAATGCAGGGTGAGGCGACTCATTTCCATCAGACTGCTCCGCATTGTACTTTTCATGGTACTTAAAGTCGAAAATGGCCCCCTTTTGTATTCTGACCCAGTCTTCAAACTGTGTATATTTGGCGATAACTTCTCTCGACTCTTTGCACGCTCTCCAAAGACCCCCATCGATCAAGTAGGCGGATCTATTGACTTTAGTCGTAATGATTTGTTCTGGGGCTTTAGGCCAGCCGCAGGGTATTGCCGCTACCCTCTTATCCTGGACGTTGACGTATTGCAGGCTGCGGTGGGAAGCCAGGGGTCCAACACATGCCGCTTCCCAAATTTGAAATCTCAACTCGGCAGGTAGTCGAGAGAACTGGTGAAAGACGGACGGCGCCATTTAGTGGGCTGCCTATAGCTTGGCGATTATACTTGAGAAGTTAGGTCGACTTCAAAGCCGAGTTAATGCGATGTAAGGGGATTTCAGAGTAGACCTCGGTGATTGAGGATGAGTATGAAAAATGGATGATGCGTCTTCTTTATAGACAATCAATGAAGTATATTTGCAACAAGGTTTGGATCAAGGTTCGTTTGCTGGTAAAAGTTTGAGCTGAGACGTCATTACGTGACCATGTGACTCACTGCTAATATCACCGCCATATCTCCCAACCCAGGTTGAGACAGACAAAGTTTGGACATTCTGATAGACTTATCGGGGTCATGGCCGATGACTCCAATATAAGTACCCCTTCACCTAGCCAGTGGATCTTATAGGGGCAGTTTTTGAAACAAAGGTAAAAAGGTTTCCCTTGACAAAGTTTCCCCATAAAAGTACCATAACTCCGACACTGACTCATACTCTTTTTATTTTACTCTTCTTTATCAAGTCTGATAGCACTCTAAGAAAAGGGATCTTTGCAAATGAAACTTACAGAAATATTAATAATAATAGGGGCCCCTACACCGACCAGTAGCAACAATAGCAAATCTAATAAGGTTGCCCAACCATGTCAGCCACCACAACTCTATTCCCAAAGGCTATAGATAACCCCTGCAGGTCCCTCTTCACACAGGGCTGTGGGAGGAAAGTTCGAGTGCGCAGAGAGAGTTTTGTGTCGAAGGTAAAAAGAATCCTAGGGAAAAAAAGACTGACCTCGGCTGAAAAAGCTGCCGTAGTCATTTGACCAGCCGTTCCCCGTGACATGTAGATTACGCTGAAGGCAACCAACAACAGTGCAATGATAATGCAACAGAGTCGTTGTAATCGTCGCCTTTCCTTGTGTAAGACTTTTGAAAGGCTACTCTAAGTATTGTGAGCCCAAGGGTCAATTCAACGATAGCATCTTGTCTCAGTATCCTGTCGTCTCGAGGTCCTCGCCCCGATCAGGCAGAAATCACCATGATCACAGCCAACAAGACGTGTGCCTGCCTTCTATTGGCTGATTTTGAGATTGAAACTGCTATGGAACTCCCAACTTCAAAAGTTGCCACAGCCATTGGCTGGACATATCAAGGGCGATCTTATGTTTGGTGCGGGGAATCACAGCTCAGTATCTTTAGGGTTTCGAAGGGGGGTGTTACGAGATGGTGTATTCAGAGACAACCCGTTCCCATAACAGCAGTGTTTCTCATCTGGATCTCACACTTCACCTTCTACAATAAGTCTCAGGCAACGCGCCGATCGAGTAGCTTGAGACTGGACAATTGACCACCTATCTCCCCCTTTCAAGTAGAGAAGCCGAGTCTCGCGTGCATCCAGCAGCAGACTCGCACCATCTGACTGTTGTCAAGCAAGGAGCAGCATAGAACATTTACTCAGAACGCCTCCTCATATCAAGCGGACCATGGTGATCTTCCCGTACTCTCTTCATATAATTTGGAGATTAGTATCTCTAGCGGGGATGTGGACAACACCGCACACGAGACATTCATCGCGCATGGGAATATTCCACCATCTGCGTAGTATCAGGAGTTTGGCCTCATGCTCAGCAAGACAATTCCTCTACCTACCAACCATCCCAACAACCTGAAATCTCCTCAATCCCCCATAATAAATCCCGTTCATCCCTGGGATGAGATTCAACAGACCTAAAAAATCACCACTACTGAACCTGTACCGAACCTCCAGCGTGACAGCACATCGTGCCACCGTTGCCGGTTGTGCAAAAGGGATCTCTCTGCTGAAAGTATTCTGAATCGTTATCTCGAAACAATTCATGATCAAGACCGAGTCTACTGGGTCTGTAGTGTGAAGACCTGTCGCAAATCTGACAAACCGGTGTTTAGGAAGGATGATTTCATAAGGCATTGCGGGGATAAGCACCCGACAGTTGACTTGAAAAGTTTTGGCCTTTAGGTATGCATGCATCTAACTTCCGTTAAGCTTGGAGGGCATAGTATACAAGGATCGAACAAAAGCTCAAGGTGGAAATGGAGGTTGACGTCGACGCACGCTCTCGAAACCATACCTCCCCTACTCCTTCCTGGCGCGCGTGCAATGGGTCCGACATACAAACGCAAACTAAAGCTAAAGAATGTCTTACCCATCCAGAAATAACAAAGGTGAACTTTCCTGTGGTGTCAAAACGGGGCCACCTATTGTCGACTCAAAATTCATTTGCATTACTGAATCAAGGCGGCTGGACAGATGAGTTCAAAACACTTGACATTTAGTGAGGCAATTGATGAAACGATAGAGATCTCTGTTGCGGAGATTTTAGGGGCTGAAGGCGGCTGGAGATACTTGAGGTTACTACGTAGTCTTTCCCTCCTAGTTGTACGTTAAAGAAGAGATGTATAAAAATGCCCCAACCTTTCTTTGCATACTTCTTTAGTTCTTTGTCTTGGGCCCCAATGTCCAGTTCTCTTTGTTGATCCATAAGAATCTTTGCAGTAGAGACACATGTTTGTTTATCTCGCGATTCTGTCTCGACCTCTTCAGGAGTCATTGTAGTTATCGAGTTGTCTTGGCCTCCCACTCTTGTCGCTTTTGTAGCGACAAGACCTAACCCAGCAATTGCCGCTGTGCCAGTCTGGTCGTAGAGCACCTCTTTCCTTTTAATTGAATCTTTTGTCAAAAGTCTAGTTAGTATTCTATCATAGTACCTAGTGTCGTAGTACCCGGTGATATTGCGTCCATTGCCCTGGTGCCAGTGTCGTGGTGCTTGGTCGTATTTATTTTTGGGGTGGGCATCATGTCATTGTGATTACAGCCTTTTATTGGCTCTTTCGAACTTATCATCCTACAGGGAACTCCTCTGAGTAGGTTCAGAGCGAAAGTGTCATCCTGTAGGGTCCCGTAGCTGGTTGCGGTTGGGGGGCTGGCGTCGTTTTAATGCTGCTCTCGAGCTTGTCATCTTGTAGGGAAGCCCCCTGATAGATCCGGTATGGAGGGATCTCGGTTGCCGGATGAGAATCAGAGTAACTGGAGGTATAAGGCCAAGCCAGCTCGAGATATAGAGATATCGTCGGGGATGGGAAGCTCTGCCTTTGAATAAGAAAGGCTAGGAGTGTAGAAGTGTCGCTAATGAGCCTTTGGTTGAAGGTCTTCACTGAAAAGGCCGGTTATATTGACCACTTGTGTTCAACTTGGTCAAAAACGGGATCAGCGTTGTAAACAGCTCAATACCTCCATCAAACCTGGCAACTGACATATTCCGTAGTGGAGGTCGTTCAAGTCAGCGTGTACGATAATCTTCTCGAGTTCCAGAGCAGTTGTTCAGAGACTCCGGAGATCGACAACGCCTTCCTCGAGGCTGGAGCCAACGGGGTCAAAGCCAAAACTCTCAAGGAGATGAAGGCCGTTGGCGCTCGTGATCTCAGACAGCGCGGTTGCGATGGAACATTCTCATAAGCGACTGATACTAGACAGCGTTTTATCGTCCGGGACGTGCAGATTTCCCCCGTCGTCGTAGGCTCAGCTCAGGCCATAACGGTATCGACATGAGCGTCGTCAACTCCTTCATCACCTCCAATGGTGTCGCTGTCAGCACTAGTCTCAACTGTAAGACTATCAAGGATCGCCTAGGTGCCAAATTTGGTATCAACTACTCTCACACCTGGACCACTCAAGCCACCGTCACGGTCCGCGGCAATGTTGGTAGGGGTGAGACAGGCGTTTTCATCACCAGACCCTGGACCAACCGCAAGCACGAACGTGTCTTCCAGGACTGCGTCGACTCAATGCGATAGATTGGTTCATGGATGGCTGACTCTCAAGACGAGGGATCTTATGAAGGTGCTATCTGGGTCGGTGTTGCTATCACCATGTGTATCAAGAGACAAAGCGGTATTCCTCTTTCTCGCTGCAATGGTGGCGGTAACTTTCGCTAATTTGAAGGTATTTGATTTGACGCGCGCAGATGTCACACCGAGTGGCGGAATCCCAATCATCGTCCATCAAGAAAGTAATTATTAGCCATTCCTTGAGAATATTCACCGCACCGAGCTCGTGGATCTTTTTCATAAGTTTCGAGCGACTTTTCTTTGTAGACCTTGCCTCTCCAGCCATTTCCCCTAGGCCCTCAGATTCCAACTTAACCACCCATTCCTGGGTAAAAGTTCGTAACGGGCTATGAGGTCCATGCAACAAGTAGTAGTCAATGGAGAGTTGAAAAACATTATCGACGAATCGATCAAGTGGAAGTTGATAGTAAACGCGAAGAGTGTCGTGGATCTCTTCCTGAAGATGTTCCGCGCTGCTCTTGTATTCAGTAGATTTTACGATTTCGGCCAGATTCACCATATCCTGGGTCTCCCCATACTGAGTGGTATCTTTTCTTGCCTCGGTTGCGTAAGCTCAGTGATACGGCGACCTCGAGAATTTGAGAGGGCTACACACGTCAGTAAGGTCATAGCATCGCCAAGTTCAGGATGAATGTAGGGTGTTTAGGATACAACAAACCGTCTAGTGCGTCTCCCACATTGCCTGCAGTCCCATGGACCAGGTCCCCGGGCGACACCGCGTGGAGGTTGTGGGAGTCCGACTTCGTCGCCCTCCCTCCACTCCATCCCATCAAAACGCACAGCATTTTACTCTGTCCTTTACCGGCTCAAGAGTGCTGGCAACAGCACGAACGCTCCTTATTTAGGTCACGTTGGCTGCTAGCCCTTCTTCCTCAATATCATCCCATTTTCCTGTCTTGTACCGTTTTGGTGGATTCTTAGGTTCCAATCCTTCCTGGTGGTTAAAAACCCACCTTGCCTTATCCTTTGCATATTTCGTGGGTATGGGTTTGCCATCTTCATCCTCCGAGACTGAGTATAATGCCCAGTATGCGTTGATGGCCTCCAGATAGAAATCTCGTGTCCTCTCGTCGATCTTCCCCGCTGCGTACCTTGCTCCAATATCATTTCGGCTCAAATTGAAGGCTTCTTTATACCTCGCCCAATCGAAAGCCCTGAACGGGTCCATAGCTCGGATTTCCACCTTCACATCCTTACCGGCCTTCCTCGTAGTCTTTTGGTAGTCCTGGATCTGTGGCGGCGATGTATGACAGAGTGTGTTCCTCTTGGAATATTCCTTTATCCATGCCAGTAGTTGTGGTCGTGTTATCCCTTCTGCGTCACAGAGTTTCTGTATACGGTCCAGAAATGGTGTCGCAGGTGCAGTATCTTCGTCCCGGATTCCAGCTCGCCAAGCGTAAACTTTACGCTCCTCGGCCTCCACTCGTTCCCGAAGTTTAGTCGCATCCTGGGTTTTAAAAGCAGCCCATTCTGCGTGTTCTGTCGCTTTCTCTTTGCTCATCTGGTTCTCATGCTTCAAAGCTTTTATCTCGGCTTCTTCAACTTTTTGATTGCCGTTCCTGACTTTGTTGATAAGACCTTGGATCCAATCGCCGTATCCAAGGACAAGTTCGAACTCGTACATCTCTGCCTTGGCCTTCTGTTCCTTCTGTTGGCTATCCGCAAGTTGTTCTCTGGCGTCTTTGAGCTGCTTTTCGAGGCTTACGATCTCGTTCGACAGCTCTTTGCGTTGCTTTTCAGCTTCACGAGCCTGCTCCTGCTTCACCTCGAAGAAGTCAAAGACACTCTCCAGCATGTTCTCGTCAGCAGTATCACCAGATTCTAGGGACTTATTGGCCATCTCAAAGAGGTTATCACGTAGCCGTGAGGATGAGGGACTTAGCTCTCTCTTCTTGTATGGCTCCAGATTACGAATGACTTTCTCAGCCACATCACCACGCTTGCGCTTTCCCTGAGGGGTGTGTTGCGTGTTAGAAGACATGATGTAGTGCTGTTTTTCGTCGTTATCGTTGTTATCGTTGTTATCGTTGTTATAGTTGTTATTTGTTGTATTCTTTGTATTCATTGATTCTTGTTTGTTTTGTTTGTGTTAGATGCTGGAAGTAGACATGGCTACATCCTCGACTACCTTATCTCTACCGCCAACATTCCCAAGGAAGTAACGGCTGCTTTTACCACAGTATCTGAAGAAAGAGCTATGTACGTCCGACTCATAGAAAGGTGGCATTGTTGTGACCAACGAAATGCACGCAGAAGCCGACAAGGAGTCCACTCCTCATCATTATCAACGACAAAATGGGCAGCTTCCTATCGGATCCGGAACTTCTTCAGAAGATTGAAAAGCTCCATGAGTTGAACAATAGCTAGCACGTACCTCTCCCCAGGCAAGTCCACAGCGATATATATGTCCATTGAGGTTCGCCGTAGGCTCATACATGATATAGGCAGTGGTGGCCGGAGACCAAAGCTCCGGTAAGTCTCCATCATTGGAAAGCCTGACTGGAGTCTCATCTCCTAAAGACCAGAATCTTTGCGCTAGTCATGCGACTCAAGTCACCTGTTGTCGCTTTACATGAGCAGGGTTTTGATAACGCTTCATCGCTTCATCGCCAGCGCGCTTCGTTCGGTATGCCAGGAAGAGCACGTCCATCTTCATATATGGTCATCGATCCAGAATGACCTTCATGAGCGGTATGAGAGGGCAATAGAGCCAGCAAACTTACTAATTGAAGTTGGGCAGCACGAGAAGCCCTATACTCTGAGCGGTCAGTTCTTCGAAACCTCCGACCGACACTGCCACTGGGTCCTCTGCAACCGATGCCTCTCTAACTTCCTCGATCTCTTCATTTCTATACCATCCTCGGCATATCTAAGCCAATCTCAAACGATTTTAGACTCACAGAAGTGGCCGATTATAGGCCCGAAGTGATTGCTGAGATTGGTGATCTCGTTGTCCATGAATACGACATATCACCACCAAACGAAGATGTGATGACGTGGATCAAGAATATCTATACGCAGACAAGTGGTCTAGATCTTGATGTCTTCAACCCAAACTTGTTTACCATGGCTTTCTGCGCACAATCTCACAAATGGGGTTGCATGACCAAGCGGTAAGGTCGATTGCATTAACATTCGCATCCTCCCTGGGCCGCACGCTTCAGACCAGCATAAGCAAGGCGTCGAAGCATTCCATGTCTGTGTATCTTCGAGGTCGAAGATCCAAAATAATTTTGCGGGAATTCTGCGCAAGGTCATTAGTATGTTCGTCTCAATGTCGATATATCGCAGTCAAGTGAAACATGGACCAAACAGCGCGCTTGATGATTAGTCAAACTTGATCGTATGTTCCTCACACAACCCTGGGTCGATCTCCCGCAGGATCGATTGGGTATCGCAGCCTTGAACGAAGAGCTGCGCAAGCTTCTCTCACAGGTTGCCGAACGCGAGTATCCCAAGTTACTCCAAGATGCCAATAGTAAGATCAGAAGATACAAAACGGAACTTAAAGATCTCGGGCCACCTTGTCACGATGAGCGCCAACAGCGAAGCTTCTTGAGTCACATCGCGGGGGCTTTTGAGGATCGTGTGAAGGCAGCACTAGCACCTGATAGGTACAGAGGGAAAGTTACTGCGGCCGCTGCTGTAGCGGATTAGTTGATCTTGCTGGAGGATGGTTTCGGGGGTCCAGACGCTTGAGTTCAGATCACACTGGGAAACATATTTAAATTTGAGGAGGCTTACGTCCTGCGATGTAATATTCTACCTGCACAGCCACTTCAGAGTATCTGCTGTTTTTGCCGAGGGTGAGACTCGTGCTGCTCGAGATGGAAGTTTATGGCAAGGCGCTTCAGATGCGGATAGATATAATTCAATCGTTTGGTGTAATCATCTATCACTCATCCCTTCAACCTCAACTAAAAGATATGAATACGCGCGATGTACCATACGTGAAGTCTCGGGAGACCAGCACAGAGGGATGTCCTCTTCAACCCGTATAGCCAATCCAGAGTAGCTGCCGGTTATGTACAGGATGAGAATCTTGAGTGTTGGGTACCAGTCGCGGGTGGTATAGAATGAACGATCGGATCGTGTTCAACATCGTGACAAGATAACCGCCTCACCGCCTTGAGAGCGACTGAATTCTTCCCTTCAACTACAGAAGAAAAAGTAACCACATAACCCTTTCCTCCATAGATGAATGCGATGGACGTGGTTGATGTTAGTGCAAGGAAGAAAAACAGATCGGAAAGGAGCAGGGAATAAGGGCGTTTATCCATTGTGGGAAACCATACGACAGGGTAAGGCAAAACGAAAAAGTCTTGTGGAGGTATCGGAGCCGTGACCATTGAAGTTGTTAACTTGGTTGAGAGAAGTCTTGCCATTGTTGCGGAGAAATGGACTTTCCGAGATTAGAGGTAAGAAACATGTCCCGCTTACGGCGGTGGATAGTAAAATACCCGCTGGGTTCGTGGAGGATGAGAGTTTTGAGGGTTGGGTACCGGTCCCTGGTGGTATAAAATGGATTATCGGGATGGCTGGATAGAGGCTCCAAGTTCGGCTTGCGGCGGTGAATATTGATGATGACTGGGTGTACCCTGCTGAGTTTACATCTTCAGAAGGAGGTGGGGGTGTGCAAGTTATTGTTTAGCTGGTTTGTGAGGAAATGATAGCGTATGATACCTAAGGTATATCAAGGCTGAGCTTGGGAAGGAATCGACTGAGATCGTCTTTCTCGCCTTCTTGATACTGTTTCAGAATTTCCATTGTTATAATTACTCGAAGTCTGCTTCCTACGCGTAATTAAGTGCCCAAAGCGATTGGAGACTTACCCCTTTCTTGATTCCTTCATTTTGTCTCCTCCATCCACCAACACATTTGAAGAAGCTCTCTGATTGCTTGGACCATGCGGCACAGTCGCAAGATGACAGGGCTGAGACCCAATGAAAGTATTATCTACATACAGCGTTTAGGATCCATAAGAAATGTACTGCCAACTTCTTTTCACTTTCTATCGCTGCTAGACAGTATTTAGAACATCATCTTTTCTGGCGGCCCTCCGAACGTCACGAGTGTAGACTGAAACCTACACAACCTTAAAAATAGCTAATCAGAGAAGCACTTACATGCACCTCTCAATGCATACCATGAATTGTGTGGAGGTTGATGCCTCAAAAGCAACCAGTTGGAAAAAGCGCGTCTTACGACATGCCAATCACCAACAGCCTCGTAATATCTTTGAATGCGTCAAGCCAGTTTCAGCTCGATCTTTGAGTGGAACTCTTGGAATAATTACGCATATGATGTCGTAGAATCACACATATGGCCGGACTCCCACAAGGGCCAATTGAAGGCCAAGGGGCTACCGTAAGGCAATCTGATCCTTTCGTATCGGGCAGTTTTATGCCAGCATTCGTGGTACTTTTGTGTGTAAAAATGACAGACAGGTCACAAGTATTGAAGTCAAGAATCACTGCTCCTTGAACTTTCCAACCGACTTTCTGATCAATAATACATCTTACTGCTCGCCCTGTAAGATCCTCTTTGCGAATACGACGAGATTTAAGAATGCCAATCTAACTCAATGACAATATTCGTTATTACAAAACTCTGTTCGGCAATTTCGCCTCAGTTGTTTGATGTGGTGTCGTTCTGACACAAGATAGAGACTTGCCGTTTGCTACTAACCCCCATAGTTCAATCAACAGAGAAAACGTCTGGAATAACCCTACCTGTCTTGGCACGAAGGAACGGACCTGGAGATAGTGACAAGTGTGTCTTTATTGCAGCTGTATTCCCATTCCTTGGGTTCCAGTTTTGCCATAAAGCGCTTTCCAGACTCGAGAGTAGACGGCATGAAATTGTCGAAGGGTATCACCATCGAGGATCTGCTCTTTCCACAGAGCCGACTTGAACACGTAAGGGCCGCAGCTTCACATGAGAGGATTTCACGATCCATGCTACTGTACCGCACTTGCCATACTCTGAGACGGGGTCAGGCATATGTTGGACATTTCCCCGGACAGAACCTTTTCCTTTCTTCATCCCGAACACAATCACAGTGAGTGTCCCCAGCTTGGTCCCCAGCTTGGTCGGTCTCCAGCGATCGATCCGTTGCCCAGTGATTATGATACATCTAGATATTATTTTGCTAACTCTTTCTTAGTCTCTGCGCGTCAAGCTTGTAAGTTTCGATGCTCCTCTCTGCCTGGTATGGCAGACAACTGACATCGACTTTTGCTTCAGTTCAAGCCAACAACCGTTTCCGTACGTACTTATACCTTGCTGGTAATGATTAACGAAAATTGCTAATATTTATGGTTGCTTATTGTAGAAATTTCCCAACTTCACAACGTAAGTCTATTCTACCAACCTTCATATGCCCTCAGAACTAATATATCAATAGAACACAAAAACCGTCAAGATGGACGGCGGCGAACTTGTTAGTCGCTCCCTTCGCCTTTCAATCTTCACGTCTTTGTTCCTTTCGTCAACATACTTCCGATTCCAATCGATACAACAACTCTTCATGTCACTTCAAGTCTTTGAGCCCCATAGCTTCCTCGATACCCAATATATGCACCCCGGGGATATATTCACATCATTCACACACTCGACGTTAGATACATTCCGCAATGTTTCGGAGGCTGATGCACACTGTAGCACAATAACAAACGACGGGCCTCTCGGGGCGGCGGCCGCGGCCGCGGCGGCAACCCCCCTCGGGGGCCGGTAAGTACCATTCAATCCAATGCAAAGAGGTTTCCTACTAATTGATCCCCTCTCAGCGTAATTGGCCAGTATGCTTACGTCTCTATCCCAAGCTTGGTATAGTAGGTATCTAACAGTTTATAGTACCCACGTCAACCCTCCTCTGTGAGAATCGCTTCACCAGCAGCATTTGACGCCTTTATCACTGATAGCAAACCAACAGAACTTCCAGCCGCAGCAGCAGCAGCAGCAGCAGCAAGTGGCCCCTGTGGCCAAACAGGTAGGCTATTGAAATCCACCGTCATGTCTTTATTGCTCACTGCTAACATTGCGATAGCCGAAGCCCGTTGTAAATATTATCAACCCTTTCCATTCATCATGTACTATTGATCATCAACTGACTATATTTGACACAGCCTGGCACCAAGGCAGTAAGCTATCAATCCCATCTTTGTTTATCTTTCCCCTGAACTATGTATCAACATGGCGCTGGTGATCGATCAATGTGAGTCAATCGCTTAAAATATAATGCTGATATGGTTAATAGGAGGCCTTGGACAAGATCAAAGTAAGTGTATTTCCCAGACATGAAAATTTGAAAGCACTAATTCGACTTAGAAAGCCACTGAACTCGCAGTGGTAAGATTTACCCTGACACCAATACCATTGAGGCATGTTAAAGCCTGGATTAATACTAACTTTTTGAAAAAGAAGTACCAGCAGCAAGAGTCCCACTATAGGGACCTCGGCAAAGTAAGTGCCTATATTCACATTATTTTTGACACTTCTAACATTTCCGTTAAAGGAGGCCCTCGAAAAGGTCTTGGTCAGTGACCAAACGATGACTACTGCGTACCGTGGAATATTGACTGACTATCTTATGTTTACAGTATTGGCAAGACATCGCCGATGTAAGTATCTGTTACCATTTAGAGTCTTGATACTGACTAAGCCATTTAGAAACTTCCTGATGTTCCTGTAAGTATCTTGCCGACGTGTTTCATGAGAAAGCAAATCGCTAATATATTCTCTCTGCATAGGCCGCTGAAACTATTGTGGCTGTATGTGCATTGGGCTCTGATCACTTGTGAAATCATCATACTAACTTTTGCCACTAGGAGAGACTCGCGGCCCTTAAGGCCGAAAAGGCCAAGGAGGAGGAGGAAAAGAAGACCAAGACAGAGTAAGTATGTTTAATACTCTGAACATACTTATCGAACCAACATAACTACTGTAAGTTCTACTGTGTATCTACAAAACCAAAGCTAATGTATCTAGACCAACAACCACTATTATTATTGGAACTCGCTTCCATATAATTACAATCATCATTACGGCATCCTTAACCCGCCCATATCGTCACCCTCTCCGTGGGGGGCGGGAGGAACTCTTCGGAGGCTAATGACGATACATTCTTATACAACATCCTTATTCGGTATCATTTATCGAATATCCTCAGCTTTAAATGCCACGATATGCCGATTTGTGTTGTTGCTTCGATATAACTCCTGCCGATAGCGCCCTGATTGGACTTGTCTCTCCCTACCGCAGGCCTTCACTCCCCCATTGACTACCTCAATCTTCTTCAACCAGTCACTCAGCTTTGACTTCCAGTCCGGTTTGTGTTGTTGGTTCGATACACCTCCTGCCGATAGCGCCCTGATTGGACTTGTCTTTCCCTACCGCAGGCCTTCACTCTCCCGTCGACTACCTCAATCTTCTTCAGCCACTCACTCAACTTTGACTTCCGGTGCTATCCTCTATCCTCGACTTCCAGGCCTTGCGATTTCCGTTCACACGAATTCCTGCATCGCCTAGCTCAATCCTCTTCCACTAGGGTTCATCTTCGATTTCCGATGCTGTCCTCTATCTCCGACCTTAGGCTATTGCAATCTGTGTTCATATCAACTTCTGCGTCGTCTCTTTTAGTTTCAGCTTCAGTCACAGCATGACCAAACAATCAGCCCGCTCCAGCTCTACGACCTTATTCTCCTGGAGACGCCTTTCTCTTCTTTTGCCTTTTAAGGAACGCTTGTTCACATGCAACCCCTGCTACCTCACGCTCAATTCAACACATCATCGACAGTGAAGAAACCAGATCAGGAGCACGCAGCTTCGTACCCCTTCATGATTCAAATCATAAGCAAGGCAAATAAGAATACTTGATTGATACAACATCTCGTGTCAGAATGGACCCTGACGAAAGAGAGCTAGTAGGCCCAGAAGAGTATTAGCCCGAAGTGATACGATTACTGCAACGAAAGGATAAATGGTGGTTACGATCTTGGTTATAGAGGAGTTGATACTTGTTGTAGAAGCCTGTGGCGTTCGAGTATCTACCTAGAGTTGATTGTGTGGGAATTAAACCAGGATTATCACCCGCTTCATCCCTGTTGACTTTGATGATACAATAAAAGTAAAGCCCTGTGTAAAAGTTCCGATAAAACGTTACATAGGAATATATGCAATATTATAACTCGATTGCACTACTGTTGAATCACTGTTGGTTACTCTGCTTATCTTATTATATCACTGGGGGAAGTCTGTCGGGTCACATAATCTCGGTCAATTGATTACGGCAACCTCCCTTATGGCTGAAGGACTTTTCAACCTTTAGCATAAAACTCCATCTTATAGCACATATGAATTTCCCTCCCACATCTCTTCACGTCACCTCAATTGCCTAACCGAATTCACTGTCATCACCGCATCCATCAGCCATTCCTCATGCTCGCCTCTTACGGAAGGAAGACACAAAGGTAGGGGCGTTGATCGACATGTCGACTGCGATTGAGGTCGGCTTTGTTGATCCAATTCCGTCGGGTCGACTTACGGGTGAGTTGGAGGTTGGAAGCTTGGCTGGTTGCGTGGTGGTGATCGCGATCTTCTCCATGTAAGCTCGGGTGGGTTGATTGAAGTGTGGAGAGGTGTCACAAGGCGCGGCCCTGTGATTGGCTGAGCATAGCTGATCATGTCAGCTCTGTCATTGTGTTTAACGAGCTAGCCGCACGCTAAAACCGTGCTCTCAATTACAATCCCTCTCCGTGGGAGGCGGGAGGAACTCTTTTGAGGCTAATGACGATACATTTTTATTCGACATCGCTACTCGATATGGGTTCTCGAATATCCTCTGCCTCAGGTGCCGCGACGTGCCGGTTCGTGTTATCGGTTCCATGCACGTCCTGCCGATAACGCCCGGCAGCACAAGGCATGAGAAGAAGATCGCGACTAAGTCACCAAGCAACCTACCACGCCGTAAGTCGACCCGCCGGCTTCACAAGTGGATCAACAAAGCTGACCTCAATCACAGTCAAGATGTCGATCGCGACCAACACCCCCGCCGAAGCCTGCATACGAGGCTAATCGAGATATTGTTTCGCCAACTCAAAGCGTTCCCCGTACGTACTAGTATCTTGCATTAATAGAATCCAAAATTCATCAAGATGGCCGACTGCGTAAGTTCACCTAAGCTGCACTATATTGATTATACAGACTAACTTTAGAGTTAGAACTACGGCGAACTTATTAATTACTCCCCTCGCCCTTTAACCTTTACTGTCTTCGTTCTTTTTATTAATATACCCTATATTCCAATCGATACAGCAACTCTTCACATCACTTCAATTTACATACACTTCGTAATATGTCGGAAGGTTATGCAAACTATAGCATCACAACGACCGACAAGCCTCTCGGGGCGGCGGCAACCCCCCTCGGGGTCCGGTAAGTACTATTCAATCTATTGCAAAGAGGCTTCCTACTAATTGATCCCCTCTTAGCGTAACTGGCCAGTATGTTGACATCCCCGACGAAGTAGAGTGAGTAAGTCTAGAAGAGTATTAGACAGGAGTGATACGATTACTATAATAAAAGGAGAGACGGCGGTGGCGATCTTGGTTACAGAGGAATTAAGACTTGCTTAAGGTTATAAATTTAGCTAGCGTAGAATATACAGGGACTGAACTCGTATAATTCCTTACTTTACCCCTTTATAAAACCCGATAACTTTTACTATCCTAAGATTATACAAAATTATATAAAATAGAATAGTTTATTATAATACTATCCTAAGATTATATAAAATTATATAAAATGGAATAGTTTATTATAATACTATCATTAGATTATATAAAGTTTTATAAAATAAGGAGTTTATTATGATAATATACTTATATTATCTTATATAAACTTGAGAATAGTAGAAGTTGTCAGAAAATTTACACACCCACGGTATATGCGACCTCTAGGTTCGAGTCGAGCCTGGACTTTATTACAAGGTAACTCCGAACATCAAGGAGTTGAATTAAAGCATCCAATACATATTAACATTATCAATTACATATACATACAGCCATTACATAAACTAAAAGCAAACCTCTGGAAGTAGGTGCTAAGAAACCCCATCAACCCGAGCCCGAAGACCTAGCCCTACTTGAATAGGCACTCTTCGGGTTAGCTTGGACACTAGCTATCAGCCCAGCCTCATCATGTCCAAAATTAAAAGCGTCGCTGTCTGCCTGTTTACTCGCAGTATCAACCTGAAACGACCGGGTCATCATAATTTCCCCGTGTCTGCTGCCATCGACTTTCCCAGAGCTTTGGAAACCGCGGGATGGGTATCCGTTGGATGGGTAGCCATGGCGGCGTACGATGAGGGCGCTTATTGAAGGGAGACATGCGCATATCAAGCCAATTCCGGCTTCTGCATTTCTGTAAACTTTGTCAGTATAGGTAATTATGAGTGGGAAGTAATGGCCTACCCAGATAGAATGACTTTTGTGAAAACAATGGTCTGGTTGCCCGAGTTGCGCTCATGTAAAATCATAACCAGTCGGTAGATACTGAACCCTGTGGCGACACCACCAGCACAGAGAATGCCTGTCACACGAAGCCGCTTTCGCCTTGAGATCTGAAGCGACCACGTAAGTGGTGTTGGAAGAAACAGAATAGCCAGATCACTGATAACACTGATGATTGCATCTGCCGTGATAATGGCGCTCTGATCGAGGCACATCTCCAGATGACCGTTCCAGTAGGCACTTATAGGCTTACAGATGAAAAGCTTGATGAAGAAGCCAGATACGTAGTAGGCTACTAGCATGCCAATGAAGATGTTGATACCTATCATGGTCTTTTTGTGCACTGATCCGAAGACGCGCGTGGTGATGAAGAGGAGGGAGAGTTTGACGGTGAGGGCCATCGGGGCGTAGAAGAGGGTGGCAGCGTATCCGCACTAGTGAACTGTCAGATAAAGAATTGGTGTAGAGGTAGAGTAACTTACCTGGAGGAATTTCTTCATATTCTCAGGACTTACGTCCCATTGATTGAGTCCAGCACCATAGTTTCCAGCTGGCAAATGTTAGCAAAGGATAGGAGAAGAGCAATATTAAACGTACCGATGATGGAAGTAATGCAATAGCCAACCATCAACACAAAAGCAGTATATGTAGCAACTAAAGAGGTCAATATCTTCAACGCCAAGAACTGCAGGGAAACTCACTGTCATCTTTCGTGATACCTCCTCCCATAACCTTGTACTTTGCGTAAAAACGGGTCGCAACAAAGAAGCTGGTAAAAGCAAGCGTAAGAGCCTGAGTGACATAATTCGCCGTCCTCAGCACATCGACGGGCTTCTCCAGATTTGGCTCAACTCCCGCAGGAGGCGGTAGCGCTCCGGGATAGCTCATGATCAGGAAAGATAGAGCCCTGCAGAGAACAAACCTAGGCCAAACAAGGTGCAGAGTTCCGAGCCGCGAAAAGATCGGGGGAGGACCATTGCTTTTCTACGGATTACGGGCCCACGGGGTAAAATAGTTTATATCGCGTATCACGAGGTATATGGTGAGCCCCTCGGACAAAGGGGTCTGGGCAATGTATATCATTGCCGGCTTCAGTATAAGCTGGGAACTTTGGGAGTGGCTACGCCTGCAGTGTGATGGTTATGGGTTCATGCTATCATATAGCTCTGATGCGATTTAGCATTGATGGCTACAGCCGAAAGGTCCGACTACATACTCCATTGGGCATTGAACCCACTGTACGGTATGTTAACCGAGCCAGATCAGCGAGCCAGGGGAGGAAGAAACGTGGGACCTGACAGGCTGTTAGCTCTTGGCTGGAGTGGTCCGAATCAACTGCTCCATATGGCAAAGATCTTGCAGGCTACATCGAGTGAAAGGTATGAAGATCTGAAGCCGGAAGGATGAGTTCCAATTTCTCGAAACTCACTGCCAGACCCTCGTTGGCCTATCACGACGCAGAGATCGTCTCTCGGCGAGGCTCAATAGTACGGATGCTTGGTTGGGGCAAACCCACGCACTGACATTACACGTGCGAGGTCTGAGAGCAGGACGATGCCAGGGTCAAGGGGGGGTCGCACGCAATTCGGCGTCGGCTGTCAGAGCATTGAACCGATTCACGCGGCTGAAGCGTCAGTTTGGCTTCTTCTACTGTGACATGGTTTCAGCGATCTGCAGACGTCACGGGACTATGTTTCATTAGCAGCGAAACGTCGCCCGATTTTAAAGCCCGCAAGCCCCGTTGAACCAGTGGAAACTTGAGGCTTGTCACAATTTTAGTCAGAGAACTAATTCTTTAGTGCTTCCGACTCTACCGAGAGATAATTACTTTGTCAGCCGAAAAGAAATAGAAAGGAAAAGGGTCTGGATCTCGCTCTCTCTTTCAAGATCTGACAGTTCAGCTTGGATCAGGGAGAAAGCCATAGTTTAATAGAGTCGATTGATTGCGATGAGGGGATCTGACGAGCGAGAGGGAGGACTTTGGATTTGCTCCCCTGTCTACCCACGTTTATTATGGACCAGAGTCACATTCGGCAATATTGTGACGTCGCATGTCCAAGGGTCAAGGCTTGACAGGCAGAGATAAGAAAAATCTTCAGGGGAAGGGAATAACGCGGAATGGCGTGCACAAAACTTCCACCCATTTCTTCCATATTTCTTTCCGCTGTCTTGGTTTCCCCTGGTAAGAAAAAGCAAGGACGTCGTCAAATTAGCAATTCTTCAGCAATATCCATAGATACGACCAATACGCTGATGGATTCCCGTATCGGTAGATAACGCAACGAAATCAATTCTACTTAATCTTAAGACCCCAGACAAGACAACTACAAATCACGCTTATTTCATGCTAATCATGCACGACAAGTATCTTAGTGTTATAGACTAGAACAAGATATCCTTATTCCGCCTTCTTATTGAAACCCTAGGCCGTCAACGTTGCGTTGCCTCGACTCAATGCTGCGCCCTAGTTTCGCCTTGGCGTTCTGGAGATGATGGGTTCTTAGGTGACATACTAAACCCACACAGAAAGACTCCCCCAGTGACGACGAGGAGTCCTTGTCTGTGGAGAACGCCGAGGCGATACTTGAGGCAGAAGTTTTACTTATGGAGACTGCAAAAGATCGTTTAAAGCCTGATATTGGTCTGCCCTTAGAAAACCCTGGCACATATCCTTACTGCCACATGTTTATCAGACGCTGATATCGCTGGCTTGTCGATCGTCAAAAGGAGATTAAATATCTTTGCTTAATAACTTGACTCTGGAGAAATCCCCTCATTCTCTTCACACACTTGACGATCACGACACCATTACTTCTTCATCATGGGTGATATTCTAGACGCTGGTGCGGCTTCAAAGCTGTTTACTCCTCTCGACATTGGCAATGGAAAGATCCATCTCAAGCATCGCGTTATTCATGCGCCTCTTACAAGAAACCGGGGTACGCCGGTGAATCCCGAGTCGACGCCTGAGAACCCCAATCGCCTCTGGGTTCCCAACGATTTGATAGCAGAGTACTATTCTCAGCGCGCAACAGATGGTGGACTTATAATCTCTGAGGGTCTTCCCCCTTCACTCGAGGTAACACTCAAATTGGCACTATTTACGCGATGTAACTTGTAACTAATACCATCCTAGGGAAATGGTATGCCGGGTGTTCCTGGCATCTTCCTTTCAGAGCAGGTCCAAGGCTGGAAGAAGGTTGTTGACGCAGTTCACGCAAAGGGGGGTTACATCTACGCTCAGCTGTGGCACTCTGGTCGCGCCAACATCCTCCAGTTGACTGGCACTCCTATCCTGGCTCCCTCGGCTATCCCTTGGGATGATCCCGAGGAAACTTACCCTTACCCGCCTCCTCACACCACCACGCCAGTCAAACTCGCGGACTACCCTCCTGTTGAGATGTCTGTCGAGAAGATCAAGAGCACCATCCGTGACTACGTCAACGCTGCAGAGAATGCAATGGAAGCTGGCTTCGACGGCGTGGAAGTCCACGGTGGAAACGGCTACCTCGTCGAGCAGTTCTTATCTTCCAACATCAACAAGCGAACTGACTCCTACGGCGGCTCAGAGGAGAAGCGCTGCACCTTTGCACTGGAGCTCATGGAGGAGCTGGCAAAGGCGATCGGTCAAGACAACCTAGCCATTCGTCTCACACCATTCGGTCTCTTCAACCAAGCCCGCGGTGAACAGCGCGTAGAAACATGGGGCCATCTCTGCCGCGAGCTGAAGAGCCGCCTCCCCAACCTATCCTACGTCAGCTTCGTGGAACCTCGCTATGAGCAGATCTTCTCCGAAGTCGAGAAGCAGAAGTTCCTCGGTTCGTGGGGGCTGCCGACCGTTGACCTGTCGCTTTTCCGGTCCATCTTTGGCGATACGCCTTTCTTCTCCGCGGGTGGCTTTAACGATGCTAACTCGTGGGGTGTGCTTGAGAGTGGTAGATATGATGGTCTGCTTTATGGGCGATACTTTATCAGCAACCCTGATCTTGTTGAGAGGTTGCGGAATGGATGGCCACTTCAGGCGTATGATAGGACTACGTTCTATGGGCCATTGAAGGATAACGTTGCAGGTTACACTGATTATCCTTTTTATAAGATTAAGGGCTGAGCGTCAGTGTTCGACAACATTGTACATGTACTGATATAAATACATATATTCATAGAATCAGCTTTCCGTCTGTCGATGCGAAATGTACTATGTTTAGGTAATTGAACTTCCAACACCAGAATCTGTCGGCGTCAATGGTCTCTTATCCTCATCTTCCGACTCTACATAGGCCGCATGGCCCCTACTAGTCTTCGAACCATAGCTCGGCAGAGGAAGAGGCAAGCGATCAGGTTTGCGCCCAGACTTGTAGCGCTTCACAAACTTGGAGAAACGAGACCTAGAAGAGACGTTGGAAGCTACTTCGCTCGCATCAAACTCAGCCGTTTGGGCCTCCTTCGGTGTAGGTGGCGGCGTGATAGAGATTTGCGGTTGAATTTTGCTCGATTGTGTGTTGTTTCTAGTTCTGTTGACTTCTTCTTGTACTTTAGGCGGTTCCTCTTTGACTAGAAAGCTCAAGACATCGACTTCTTTTTTATGATCATCAGTAATGGGTTGCAGCTCTAGCGTCGTTGACGGTAGGATTTCTGTCTCTGGTATTGCAATACACAGTGGTAGTGCAACTTCGCAGTGTTTCTGTCGGAATGTGGCTATCGAGTTATAAAACATCGGGTTGTATGCCCGTCTCTGACGCATGCATCTCAACTGCAGCGTTGTAATGGCGAGTTCGTCAATCATGGACTGGAGAGAAAATCAGCAGTTATCCTAATGCAAATTGGTTATGCGGGGCTAACCCAGCTGGTGTTTGGATCCAGGAAAACCCTCCCCTCTTTTCGACTTTTGACAGATAGTCCGAGGAGATTCAACGCTTCGAAGCTGGCCCATTCTTCACCGATGGCAACATATTCTTGTTGCATAGCTATATCGTCGCCTTCCTTGGCTGGGTAAAACTGGGGTAGATATCCGCAGTGGAGAAACTGTAGAAACACTGGTCGTTCATTGATGAACCATGTCTCTCCAAGGTCTGAAAGGTTAGTAGATTCTCCTGTGTAGGTGCAAGGGTGTATCTTACCGTTTCCTCGAATATACACGAGCTCCAAATTCTGGCCTTTCACCAAAGTATGCGCGAGATCCATCGCACGTAGGTTGTTATCCCCAGCGAGAGCACCCATGATCGCTTTGCCTGGAATTCCATGCTGAGACGTAAATCTATCGCAGTTCCACATCGGAATTTCATCCTGTCTGACGATGCTCATGTTGAGACACGGTGCAATGTCGAGTTTGGGAGTTGTTGGTCCGGTTTCTGAATTGGCTGGGTCTGCATGAGGGAGAATAACCACATGAGGCTTCGGTTCTGGTCTTGCACTCTGAACAGGTATTGGTGCTTCTGGGGGTGATGTATATGCGAATGCCGTTGGTGGTAGTGGAGTAAGTCCTGGTGAGTCTGAGTATGATTGACTCGAGGCTGTTTGCTTGTAGGCGTTCCCAGTTTGAGCAGAAGGCCAGTGCTGACTATATTTGATGTAGGGGAACTGTCCACTTTCTGGGTCACCAAAATGTGGGCGTCTGTAAGCTTCATTACGGACATTCTTGTTAGTTTGATTGGGTCGTTGTATGTGTCTTCCGCTGGAATCGTATTCTGGAACGTTGTATGTCACATGTTCTGAGGCATGGGGGCTCTCGGGCCTTGAAAAGGTTGTCTTATGAATGTTAGCGTAGCCAAGAACAAGTCTCACGTCAACCTCTAGGGCAGATAACTTACTTGAACACTTTCATTATCCTCTTCATCCTCATCTTCATCCTCATCTTCATCTTCATCTTCGCTTACAACGTATGCTTGTCGCGCAGGATTCTCTCTTGTGTTAGGGCGAGAATCTGAACTGCCCTTCTCTATCTCATTTTCACTCAGTGATGTCCATGCTAGGAGTAGCTGATGGACGACTCTGTTTGGCTCCTGGCGCTCAGGGTTTACGTGTCTTGACGGGACCTTGTAACTCACTCGACGACGGGGTCGCAAAGAGTCCGAGTCTGAATATAAACTTTCTTCAGTCTCCAAGCCGGATCCCTCGTCGTGCGGTGTCGGTGAGTAGGTTACTACTTCGTCTAAGTAGACCAGCTTGTACAGAAACGTAGCTGCATCGCCACGAAGGTGAAAGTCTCGACCAAATTGGGCAAGTTTGCCAGAGAGCGGGTCAAAACCCGTACTTCTTCCGCGCTTTCTCTCTCCGTCTTCTCCTTCACCTCCCCATTCTGATATTATATCACTTTCTTCATGCTTGATGCCAGCATGCACATCGCGGCTAGGATCTTCGGGCGCTTTCGAGGTTCGAGCTACAACGGAATAGCTTTCATCTCCACCCTCCTCAGTCACATTGAGAGTATCTCTCATTGTACTCGATTGGCCATACAAATCCTCTGTCCGTACGTGAATTTTCGACTGGCGCACTGGACTTGGCAGTCTTTTTGTAGTGCGAACAGGTGGACTTGGTGCTCTTTCTTCAGGGGGGTCTGGTTTGGGACGCGATGCCTTGTCAGCCTGGAGCGAGGCTTGGCCAGCTTGAATAAGGCTCTCGGCTTGTACCTTGAACCTATTGTTGACCTTCTCGTTGGCCATTATAGAGCTGCATTGGTCAGTAATAATCTACTGTATCTGAGCGAGTAGCTCACCCATTGGTAGACTTGACCAAGACTGCCGCAGAAAGAATTGTGATTTGCAGAGTCAACGTGACCTTGTGCTTGTCGATATCTGACAGCAGCCTCTTAGACTTGTACCACTTCAATCTCGCAAAGAGAAGCTGATCATTGACACTCTTTGCGAGATTTTGTATTTCCTGCTGAGTTGATTGGATGTTCTTGATGACATTCTTGACATGTTCGAAAAACAACGGTTTTGTATAAGCGTGGCCGGTTGTAAGGATATCGCGTAGATGTTCCAGAGTCACCGTCAATCCTGACATCTCAATTGCCATTGATCGAACCTCTTTGGGAGCATTGCGATATGTTCTTGTGAGATGGAACAAGGTATTGGAGAGCTGAACACCCGCTGTCGCTATTCCAGCGATACTCGCTATTATTGATACAGGGTCCATTGTGGGTAGTGATTATCTACCAAGTAAGATAATTGAATGAAAGAGGGGGAGAAACAATGGAAACAAGATCGAGGCTGCGACACTGGAGGGCGCTCTTTTGAACCAGAACAGAACCAACAGATCAAGCTAATGCGACGGCCAATTGGATTGCCTTATGTTTGCCTCAGAGGCTGTGCAAACCATGCTTTGCATATCCAGCTGCAGGTAAGATGGTCTGCAGTTAGCCTAACGCCACCTTTTGCAATTGAATTGAGCCTTGAAAATGGCTGTTGCCTCCAAGAAGCAGTAGCGGGAAAAGAATGAGGAAAGTACCTCTTTTCTCCAAAGCTCTCGCCATGGTTGATTACGAAGGGACTTCTTATCTGGAGCTGTAAAATACAGAAAACATCCAGTTCCGGATGGTCCAATTGCTGCGAGTTTTCGGAATCAAGTGAAACAAGGCTTGCTCTGCACAACGTGCCACATGTGTCATATACGCGCTCTCACAAACAGCGCAGCCTACCTGTGACGTCTTCCCCGGAGGCTTGTAATACGCCAAGTGAAGAAACAAGAGAGTTTGAGAAAGATAGCGATTGGTGTCCAATTGTTCATACCAGTGGCTGTAGTATAGATACAAGGTCAATCGATAGCCCAATTATGCAGTGAACATACCTAGGTACTCGTGAACACAGATACTCAGGAACCATCCGCAATGGTCTTCCACTCGTCCATTACTCGGACGCCTTGCCGCTCGCTCCATGCTTCTTACCCCAGTTCCGCACCTTGACATCCATATCCCACCGAATAAAAACCATCACGACCATAACAATCCAACTCAGGATAGTATTCGCCAATCCCGTCCAAAACCCTCCTCGTATCGCACCGCCCATAACACTCGTCATAACAAGTCTGATGATCGTACTCGTCGCGACCAGCTCTTCTCCCCTCTCCAGCCCCGCAATCGCACGTCGCGCACACTCATCTGGTGAGAGGATCTGATCACCCTCCTCGAGCGCTTTTGTAACATCCGTTTTGACGCGGTTCTCATCATCCAATGACTTTGTTGGCATCGTCGCTGGAAAGACGGTGTGTATGCGAACGCGAGGCTCATCGGGGTGAGCACCGGCGTACAAGTTCATTTCTTGTGAGAGAGAATCTGATAGCGATCTTATGGCAGCTTTGGATGGAGAGTAGGGCGTAAAGCCTGCGAAGCTGTACAAAGAAACGAAAGATCCGGTGAAGATGATGTGCCGAGATGCCAATGATTTGGACTCTGAAGTCTTCTTGGCGACACCGTCAATGGCAGGTCGTAGCCACGCATTCAGCGTAGCATGAGCCAAATACGCACTCGAGAAGTAATTGCTATCCATCATGGTCTGAAGCTGCTCAATGGGCGTATCAATAAACAGCGTAGGATGTGCACTTCCGCTACAGCACCACACGATATCTGGCGGACTATCATCGTTCCAGGCAGTCACTTCCGCGATGACACGTGCGCACTCGGTAGCTTTGGTCACATCGGCTGTGAGTGAGAAGAAGCGCTGAGTTGGCGAGCGGGCAGACTTTTCGACCCGTGCAAGGGCTTCTTTGAGGACTTCAGGGTCTCGTGCGCCAATAGCTACGTTGGCGCCTTTTGCTGCGAGCTGGCATGCTGCTGCCAGGCCGAGGCCGCGAGAACCACCGGTGATTAAGACAGTCTAATACGTTAACTCAGAATTACATAGGAGGTGAGTGGAGAAGCTTACTCTACCCTCAGCAGGGAATTCGTTTCGTGATAAGAATGAGCCCATTTTATCGATCTCGGACAACTCTATGATAGCAAAGCTGATGGTCTATAAACTTGTCTTGGCGTCTTGGCAACTTGGAAAAGGGCTTTGCAACAACGCGTCGTGGACTGTCAGCATTTAAATGGAGATCCACATCTTGGGCTGAGGAGGAAGTCGCTAATTGGTCTGTGCCCCTGATCTAGAGGTCAAGGGTTTCACAACCAATAAGACGATGAGTTTTGAGAGGGTGTAATGTTAAAGATGAGATGATCACCCGTGCTGTAAAGCATCTTTGTCAAGTAGCTAAGGCAATATGATAAATCATCCTATTAACAATAATGCTTTTATATGAGTGGAAATGTCAAAGTTGATACGAGCGCATATGAAATAGGTCAAAGAACTGGTGTGCCGATACCGTTGCAACCCGCACAAACCGATGTACCTAACTGCATACGCTGCAATATAGGTGAAATCATTGTGCGGCTTGATCGTTTCCTTCAAAATAAAACTGGCAATGAACTGAGTATGGCCCTTTATAATGGTATATCAACTTGTCCTGATATTATTTCCGTGAATATAGTTGAGATGTCCTCTGAGAAAACGCCACAAGCTCTTTTGACACTAAATGCCGTTACCTTATCCAGCCCAGAAACCGGATGCCACTGTTCCACGAAAATCCAAAAAAGAATTCGACAACGGCAGGATTCGAACCTACGCGTGCGAACACAATGCCTATGATGTCTCGTAAGAGATAGCAGGGCATCGCCTTAACCACTCGGCCACGTTGTCTCAACTCGATTAGGAAAATGAGTCAATATCTTACACCATCAAAGCTCTGAGCCAACAGATGCTTCTCTTGATCCAGTAAATGGCACGAGGGATAGCCACTGACTGTGATATATCTCTTTTACAAAATCCAGAAGGGGTGTTCGTGATTTGAATTTTCATCTACAGGGCGTTTTTATCCGCGTGAATCCCTCAACTTCTTGATGGCGTTCTATAAGCTATCCAGTTACTATTTTAGATAGCGAAAACTTCAACAGTCAATATTCCTTTCATTAATACAAACAGTAGGGTTATTAGGATACATCCCAGCTGTCTATTGCTCAAAGACGTCCCATTACGGAGACCTACGTCTCCGAAATTCGAGGTCTAGGGTACCGATCTCAAAGGCAAGCGAACCTTTCAATAGCCAATAAGAAGGCATAACCAGACTGCTGATATCCCCTTTTAAGTGCTTAGTAGAGCTCGCATTCATGATAAATTAACTTTACATAGCTAGAATCACCCGCTGTACATATCAGAAAACTATTGCAATCTTCAGGTTAAACTCATGCATGGCAGCTTGGTGACAATCTCAGCTAGCAGTGAGATACCAGGGAGTTGCACATACAAGATGAACATCATCTGAAAGAATGTACTGCAAATTCCTCAGTGTGTTGATATGAGGTGGGAAAGCATTCAAGGAGACGTGCCTGGTTTCGTCAGGATGGACCGAAAATATGCCTTCTGCAATGGCCGGCTCCATATCTCGCTGCTCATTGTCCCCGATATTAGCCATATCGCCAGGAGAAATCCCCAGATGGCCGAGGACTTTTTTGAACAAGCCACCCGTCTTGGTAACTTACAGATGATTCGTTGTGACAAGAAAATCAACATACTCTCCAATTCCGAGCGCTTGGATAATGCGTTCCTGGGCATCTTGCGGGCCTTCAGTTATGATGACGATTTTCTTGTCCATATTCTTGATTGTCGACAACAGGCACAGAGCTCCACACTTGAGCTGAAGAGACTCAGTGAGTGTGTGTTCTTATGATTCGAGAAGCGTGTCCATAAATTGAATATCGTTTGGCAAAGAGAAAGTGGCCAGAACCGATGTGAATCTTTCTTTGCGATAATCAAACGATGATTTCCCGTCGGAGAAAGCATTTGCAGTCTTCTTCATGAGTACCCTGGAGTATTCCTCTCTCAATTCAGACATGGGGGTTCCATATCGCCCAGAGATCTTCTCTAAAACTTTGTTGGTGGCTCTTCCAGAGGAATGGGGGAATTCATGAAGGGTATCGTCGAGATCGAAACTAAACCAAGTCTTCTCGTGGAAGATGGCTCATAGTCTCATAACATCGTCCCGCCAGCAGCGAAGGTACGAACGACCCAGGCATTCTTCCAGTTCATCCTTCTCAGTATTAGAGAGAAGATTGTGGTATGGGACATCGGCCTCGACAGAAGAACTTGCTTCCACGGTCGTGAACAGGCCCAGGGGTTTTTCGCCACAGTAAATAGCCTTCTCACGATCAGTGGAGAAGAAGAAAGATGAACCGAACGGCTTCTTGAAGTTGACCATGGTGTCCGAGAACGGTATTCCCCATCGAGCGCAGACGCGTTCGACTTCCCGTTGAGGTTCCCGGATGAGTTGTTCATAGGCCAAGCCAAGTAAGAGACGGCATGCGAGGGCGCACGATCGAGCATCCGAAACATGTTGGTTAACAGTCGATGAAGCTCTGTATGCGGGTTCATCCCACACTCTTCCAGCTATCGAAGATTCTGATAGGATCGCGGATCAGGAAGACAGGGCGAACTGTAGCGTGTGAGGAGGGCGTAGGACACACATCATAAAGATATTCGCCCTTCTGATAGTTGTTTCCGAGCTCTTCTTTGCATAAGAGGAACCCTTTGCCTGCTTCCATTGCATTGATGAAAACCTTGTGATAGGACGGGTCCTCTAGGATCGAGTAATCGGGATGAAAATCCTCGGTGGAATTTGCATTCCCCATAACAATCAGCCGGCTCGTGACTTCGCAAGCAGAGTTTTCGGCAAAGATTCTCATGAGAAGTGTCGAGCCACTGCGAGGACAAGCCACAAAGAGCCGGATTTTCGGTTGCTGGCATGGAGAGGATATGTCACACATGCTTGTCGTCTTAAGAGATGGGAGTCTGATGTCTGTAACTGTTGGGAAATAGGTGATCCGAGTAAGTGAGGCCAACTGTCCAGAGACTGATGTAGTGAGTCGGGAGAATTCAAAAGGTTGGCATTTGCTCTTAAGTTAGTGAAGGTCGAACCTGTATTTATAACAAAAAGTGTGTAGATCAAGGCCATTTGTTCAGTTTGATCATAAGGCTCAGCCAGCTAGCTGCGTGACTTGATACTTCTGATGTTGAGGTTAATACGTATTTCCCAGGTACACATGCCTTGTTCTGTTGAAACCCTATTGTGTTATTTCTGCTGCGCAATCTCACTTTGCCCTTGGCAAACCTAACTTAGTAATGTGACATACGGGAAACGGAATGTAACGTGTCAGTGAAACTTGTAGCTCTTGAAATGCAGCTGATTTCTTCTGCTTTTGTTGATACAGTGGCCGCTTGGCCATATAATACAATTGAATACACGTCTAAGAGTCATCCTATCATCATAGCACTATCATACAAGTTCCTTCAGATTTCATCTTCGCCTCGACCATCTCTCTCGTTATAAAATTGTTTCTTTGCAATAAGTCCCTTCATACGTCCAAGACGGCTCGTAAGAGTGGCATCAAAGGGAGGTGCCTGCATCGTAGCCATAACGAAAGGGCCCTGTGCGCCCCAAGTGCAGCTGTGCAGGTGATCTGAGATCTGTTCGATCAACTCCTCAAGCTCCCCAAGTTTCTCGGTCGGGAACAAGCCCAAGGGCTTCATCTCGTCGAGGACGTCGAAGGCTGAGGTGGCATCGCCGTACCGCTTCCAATGAATTTCGGCGAGCTTGATAAAAAGTGGCGTTGATACTCCAAGAACATAGGAGGAGAGTCCAAGTTTCTTGATTCGAGGGAGGATGTTGAAGGCAAGGATGGATGGTTTCGGAAATCCGGTGTCGAGAAGGTTGAGGCCGTAGTTTAGGTAGTGAGAGTACAAATACCCATGGACATCCATAACTGCTTCATTGTCCTGCGCCTTAGCCTTCTTTTTAAGCTTGCGGATCTTTTGCGCAGTCTTATTCTGCTCGTGAATCCCCAATTTCTCTGGCAATGAAAAGACCTCCTTCTCCAAAACCTCCCAAAGCTCAGCGTCAGTCTGACAATCCTGCATGAGCTTCTCTACTCTCGACCTTTCACGTTCCCTCAAACTCTCATACTTCGCCCATTCTTGCAACTGCTTCTTCTCTGCCTTGTCTAACTCAGTCATATTGTACAAGTTAGGACGTTTGGGTGCAAGCTCGAACTTGCCAAGAGCATTCTCAGCAGCTCTTCGCAATGAAGATGGGTAACGCTTAAGGAAATCTTCGCTAAAGTTTGCACCGCGGGCTTTCTCAACCAGTGTGTTTCCTGATCGCCTTTCTGCGCCATATCCAGTCGATGGGTATGCATCTCTCGGTTGCTGTTGATCCAACTGAGGCTTCTTGTTTTGTGGCAAGCGAGCGTGAGAGATATCATCAAAGATGCTTTTGAAGATCTCAGTCTCTGAGGGTGTCAGAGTGCCCTCTTGCTCAATATCCGAGGCATGAGCATTTGCTTGCTCTTCATCGTCAAACTCGAAAGGAATGGAATTATCGATCCTTCTGGGGCGTTTTGTTTCAGTTGCCACACCGGCCCTCTGGGTAACTAAAATAGTCGAAGGACGGCGAAATGCAAATTGCAAAGTTCGAGTTTGGTAAAGAAATGGTAAAAGATTTCGCGACATTTTGATGTTGTGCTAAAGACCAGGTTGAGTACCAAACCAAATCTTCACCTGAGATTTTAGACGTTGAAATTTGATACTGAGGCTCAGGTCTGGATGGAGCGCATGCAGGGATCTACGGCAGAACCTCGGCCCCAAAACGCGACCAGCCGAGCGCGTGACTTCGCGCCAGAATTAATTAACAACTCGCGTTTTTGGTGGCGCCCTGCACGTCACCATTCACGATCTCTCCCCTCTGTTTCTCCTTGCGCAAAACAGACCGGCTGCACTGCTTGACTTGATATCATTACAGCTGCAGTCTGGCTCACCCTTTTCTTATATGTACACTCATATATGAACATTCGATCTTACGCTTTCTCCCTATCTTCCACCACATTCATTTTCGTTTCTACTACCAAAGATGCCTCCGAAGAAGGGAGCGGACGCTCCGATGAGCGAGTTCGAGCGAAGGCGATTGGAAAATATCGCTGCGAATCAACAGATGCTCAGCGACGTAGCCGTGATAGCTAAGAGAGTTGCGCCTACGCCCAAGAAAAAAACTACCCCTTCGCGACCAAAAACTCGTACACCTGTCAAAAGAGAAGTCGCAAAGCCCACCCGCCAAAGTTCAAGGCTGGCAGGCCTGGATGCAGACAACGAAACCCTCAAGAGAAAATTTGAGGTCGAAGCCGAAGTCATCGCGGAACAAGCTAAGGCGAAGAGACTAAGAAACAACGGTGATTTAAGCTTGGGAGATGTTGCGGTTGATGGAAAGAAGTGGAATGCCGACGTGGATGTTATTAAGGGTATCACCCATGGCGCTCAACCTGGCGTGCGAACCTTTACTGAAGACGATGTCCGAGAGACGACTGATAAGGGGCTCAAGGAGTTGAGAGAGCGCATGGGAGACCTCGAACTATACGAGCACTGGCTTCCAAATGGTATGTGAGATGTACCACGGGCTGGCATACTTTACTAACGTGCAATGCAGACATCAAAATCACGCCGCAAAGAGTCTACGCTCTTGGGTTCCACCCCACCGAAACGAAACCGCTTGTATTTGCTGGAGACAAGGAGGGCAACATGGGAATATTTGACGCGTCGCAGACTTCTCCTGATGTTGATGATGAAGACGAAGATGCCGCTGTTCCAGGCCCTATTATTTCGGCCTTCAAAACACACACCCGGACGATATCTTCGTTCGTCTTCGCACAGAATGAGCCAAACTCAGTTTATACATCGTCCTACGATAGTTCGATAAGAAAGCTTGATCTAGAAAAGACAGCCTCAGTACAGGTGTGGGCACCCCGCGACGAGGATGAAGAGTTGCCCATCTCTGCCCTCGATATGGCTGAATCGGAGCCTAATCTCTTGTTCTTCTCAACTCTCGACGGCGGCGTGGGACGCTATGATACGCGAACTTCTGACGATGCCGAGATCTGGACGCTCTCTAGCCATAAGATCGGAGGATTCTCGCTTCACCCGCTGCAACCTCACTTGCTTGCGACTGCATCCTTGGACCGTACACTGAAGATTTGGGATCTTCGCAAGATCAGTGGTAAGGGCGACCTTCGACACCCTGCACTCCTCGGTGAGCATGAGTCACGACTGTCTGTTTCGCATGCATCCTGGAGTCCTGGCGGGCAAATTGCTACCAGTTCATATGATGATACGATAAAGATTTACGATTTCGGCAACGCTTCATCATGGAAGACTGGACATGACATCAAGGAGAGTGCTATGAAACCTGCTCACACGGTCCGCCACAACAACCAAACTGGACGATGGGTCACTATCCTGAAGCCTCAATGGCAGAAGAGGCCACATGATGGCATTCAGAAGTTTGTTATCGGCAACATGAATCGCTTTGTAGACGTCTTTGCTTCAGATGGTAGCCAACTGGCCCAGCTTGACGGCGAAGGAATTACAGCAGTGCCTGCGGTCGCCCATTTCCACCCATCGCAGGACTGGGTCGCTGGAGCCACATCCAGCGGTAAACTTTGTTTTTGGCAGTGAAAGTGCGGCTTTGGTGGATTGAGGATGCACGGAATTGTCAGCATTTAAGCGGGAGTTTTGGGTTTGCTACAGGATGATAGCCAGGTGATGGATTACAAGCCGGAACTGAACATATTTGCTGGTGTAATTACATGCCAAAGCCTAATGTACGAGTACGAGAAAATAAGAATCACAAACACTTGCTTTACTATTTACCTTCGGTGCACATGGCTCGAGGCTGAGTCGATCACGTTTGACTTTGTCTCAATCTACCGTCGCGTAGAAAATAGCTTTCACATAGTGGCGTTCCTCTGACTCAGGCACAGAAAATATTGTGCACACATGTCATGACGTGTGCTCTCCAAGCATGTGATCTTTGTTCTGTGAATGAGGGCCTTTATGGTCAGCATGGCTAAAGGTACTCACTAACATTCACATCATATGGGCCTGTCTCAACACTTGACCAATGCTTGCATGTGATCCGTTCACGGTGTTGAGGAAGAGACCGCCCGATTGGCGTCATTGTTTATCGATAAGCGCATGGCCAATGATCACCGCGCTTAGACGTGCAAGAGTGGATAAGGTCGTAATAACTCCAGTTGTTTCCCCAGGCCGCTGAGCAAGTCAGATCCACTATGAGTCCCCTAAAACCCGCAGGCAGATGGGGCCTAAAGTTGCCTAGACGTCAGCCCTGGGTTCTTGATTGGGATTGCCGTGATCCTTATCTTCACTTCCTTGCGATCCGATTGTTTGCTGCCTTCAACGATTCCTCCTCTTCAAGTTTATTTTCTCCGTTCACAGCATCAACATTTGTATCCCGATTTGACATTCGTACGTCTGTCCCGCTTGCCGTTACTCGAAGCGCACAACGTAGGTGACCAAGCCTGTGTCCTATTATTTCCCCACGACAGTGTTGGCTGTTTGCGGCGCAAACCGGACCCATCTTCACGACTGCATGACTACTCGTACCGTAACCTACGATCTTCCTTCGAGTTACGCGTACGAACCGTATTGCCCTTTACACTCGAATATCTAGGCGACACCGTCCATCCTGCTTCGACCGCCTTGCAAACTGGACCTTACCACTACTTGCCGGTCGACGCCCCGCTCGACTTGAAAGGCTGTCATGGCTTCTCAAGCTGATGATGCCCCGGCTCAAGCCAGCATTGGCGAGGAGGATATCAAGGAACATGTGCATGATGAGCTCCAGAGAAGACAACGACAAGATTCGACAGCGACCGTGTTCCCCGAGCCTCTACGAGAAAGCGATGACTCCGCTGACGAAGACGATGGCCCTACCCAAGGGCCCCCGATGTTTATGAACATGAACCAGAGCATATTTGGGCTTATTGCGACGGCTAGTTCTCGTGTGGACTTCAATGATCGTTTCGATGGCATGAGTAGCGACGAGGAGGGCGAAGGTTCCGGATCACAAAACAACCGTCACGAGGATATCGCACAAACTTCGATTCTACAGCCAGCTGGCAAAGGCAAAGGCAAAGTTAACCGAAGAAAGAAGCTGTCCGACCACAAGCTTCTTCGATCATTACCCGCACTGCCGAAACTTCGCTCGCGACATAAATCTCAACCTTCCCGTCTAGCTCCAGTTGAAGCTGATGATGAATCAGACGGCGAAGGCAGCGGCGCCTTATCACCAGCGCCTGCGCTTACTCTCACACGTCATGATACGCAAGGTCGGCTAGCGCCTGTCATGAGCAGAATGTTGGAGGCCAAAGCGGACTTGTCAAGTAGGCCGAGCTTTGATCTTGATCGTCTGTCTTCGGATGTCAGTCGATCCAGCGATGGCGATGAAGTGACAGCTCTCTCGAAGAAGCTCAAAGAAATATTTGAGTTTGATGAATACGAGCAGGTTATTGAAGGTTTGTCAACCGCGCCTTGGTGTTTCATGCCTGTGAAGTGCTAACTCGCTACAGAATATCCCTGCTGGCTATTACAGAGTGTCCTTCTTCAAGGATACATGTACATTACCTCGAAACATATTTGCTTCTACGCATATCTTCCCAAAAAGACGGTAGGTGGCAATCGCCCGGTTATTAACGGTATACTGACATAAAGTGCAGCATGAAGCCGCCAAATCAGGATATCTTTCGAAGAGCGGCAAGCGTAATCCAAGCTACACCAGATTTTGGTTCCGACTAAAGGGTGATGTCCTGACGTATTACAAAAACGCGGCAGACGTTTACTTTCCCCATGGTCAGATCGATCTGCGTTACGGTATCTCGGCAAGTATTGCAGACAAGGATAAGGACGGTCTGCATTTCAATGTCGAGACACATCATCGGACGTACAAGTTCAAGGCCGACAGTGCACCAAGTGCAAAGGAGTGGGTCAAGAGCCTCCAAAGAGTCATCTTCCGAAGCCACAACGACGGCGACAGTGTCAAGATCTCACTGCCAATCAAGAACATGATTGATATTGAGGACACTCAAATGATTGCCTTTGCCGATACATGCAAGATTCGAGTCATCGACAACGATGAGACCTACGCCATTGATGAGGTACGTAGTCTCTCTGCTCTAAACTTCCTTGGCTGACCATTATAGTACTTCTTTTCCTTCTTCAGCTTTGGAAAGGAAGCCATCAATGTTCTGAAGATTCTCATTGAAGCTTCTTCAGGGAGTCGCTCAACGGAAAAGGCAGTCTCTAGTCTCGAAGACAATGACGGCACAGAATCACCTCCCGGCGGGGCTTCCCTGGCGGCAAGCAGACACGGCTCCAACATGAGTAAATTGCGCACCGGCAAGTTACCTGATACTGTCAAGGCGACATTAGCCCCTATGTCACCTTTGTCGCCTCGCTCCCCTGGTCAGATGAGCCCTCGCGCCAGTATAGACGGACCACGATCGAGTTTCGACGCCTTTAAACGGTTTGGAAGAAAAAGCATGGATGTCCCAAGCCCAATCGGAGACCATAGCCCTCGCAGGAGCTTTAGCGGAACGAGACACTCGACGAGCTTTCATCAACACGGTACCACGACTCCTAAAGCTCAAGACTCAGGAGACTCGTTCCTCCAATCATCAATGGAGCCGAGCATTTCTACCTTATCGCCTTCTTCCTTTGAGGATACCTCCGCGAGTCAAATCCTAGAAGGGAGCGAAGTCTTTCGCAGCCCGACGATGCGACGATCCGCTTCCGCCTCGAGAAAACGTGACCAATCCGGCAAGCGGACACCTCGTAACTCCAGCTCCCAAAGAGATCGGCCTCACCCTGTCCATCATTCTGCGACGACGGGCGCTCTGCAGGACATGGGTGGCGAGCAGAGTGATTCGCAAAGGCCGGTAACCCCAACACTTAACAGTATCACCAAGATCGGAGCGTATCCTCTCCAACGAGCCAATGCATTTGCCGAATACCTGAGCCGCACAAGTCAGCGCATGGGCTCCATGTTTGCGACCGAGTCCCTTGGTTATGTTGAAAAGGTGCACGGCATGTGGAAAGGAGAGCACCGGCATTATGACGAGCCACACGAGCTTCGGACTGATGACGATGCTGAGGACATGGATTCGGATACGGATGACAAGATGCAAACCACGATGGATCGATTCCGAGCACATTTCGCCTTACCCGAGTCCGAGAAGCTCGTAGCGACATACTTTGGTGCCATCTTCAAAGTCCTCCCTCTGTATGGAAAGTTCTATATCAGCGACCGCTCATTCTGCTTCCGAAGTTTGTATCCTGGGACAAGGACGAAGCTCATTCTCCCACTAAAGGATATCGAGAACGTCCATAAAGAAAAGGGTTTCCGATTTGGTTACTATGGTCTCACAGTTGTCATCCGTGGTCACGAAGAACTTTTCTTTGAGTTTAGAAAGCCTGGGTTGCGAGACGATTGCGCCGTAACTCTACATCAGCTCATGGAAACTAACCGTTTTCTCGAGAAGTCTGGTATCCTTGATCAAGAGGAACAAGATGAGGAGGAGGCTGCTGCAGCAATTGCGGAACACGATGCCCTAAAAGAGGCACGACAACATGAGCTCGCTAATCACGAGTTGGAGCTGCCACACGAGATCTCCGGTGTCTCCAATGCCCCGACAATTCTCTTTGACAATCCCAACTCTTCCGGCCTCGCTTTCAAGCCGCAAAAGTCAATGAAGATTACCTGTCTAACCATTGGATCCCGAGGAGATGTGCAACCATACATCGCTCTGTGCAAGGGTCTTCTTGCTGAAGGGCACAAGCCTCGGATTGCTACACACGGCGAGTTCCAGGAGTGGATCGAGTCACATGGTATCGAGTTTGCTCGAGTCGAGGGCGACCCTGGTGAGTTGATGCGCCTCTGCATCGAGAATGGCACTTTTACCTGGGCTTTCCTGCGTGAGGCAAACTCGACTTTCCGAGGATGGCTTGACGACCTGCTGGACTCTGCTTTCACAGCATGCGAGGGTTCAGAACTTCTCATCGAATCTCCATCGGCCATGGCAGGCATTCACATCGCAGAGAAGCTCGGAATCCCTTACTTCCGAGCGTTCACTATGCCTTGGACTAGGACACGGGCATACCCTCACGCGTTTATCATGCCCGAGCACAAGATGGGCGGAGCCTACAATTACATGACGTACGTTATGTTCGATAACATCTTTTGGAAGGCTACTGCGTATCAAGTGAATCGATGGAGAAACAAGACGCTGGGACTTCCCAGCACAAGTCTCGAGAAGATGCAGCCGAACAAGGTTCCGTTCCTGTACAACTTCAGCCCTAGTGTGGTTGCTCCGCCCTTGGACTTTTCGGACTGGATCAGAGTGACAGGTTACTGGTTCCTTAATGAGGGCGGTGACTGGGAGCCGCCTCAAGAGCTTCAGGACTTTATCGCCAAGGCCAGAGCAGATGGAAAGAAGTTAGTGTATGTCGGTTTCGGGTCTATCATCGTCAAGGATCCTGCCAAGATGACACAAGAGGTCATTGACGCCGTTCTCAAGGCGGATGTCCGATGTATTCTCTCGAAGGGTTGGTCTGATCGCATCTCGCCGAAGGATGACCCATCCAAGCCCCGGCCTGAAGAGCCCATTTTGCCTCCGGAGATCCATGTGATCAAGTCTGCGCCCCATGACTGGCTCTTCAGCCAGATTGACGCTGCCGCACATCATGGTGGTTCTGGAACAACCGGAGCTAGTCTCCGAGCTGGTATCCCGACCATCATCCGTCCATTCTTTGGCGACCAGTTCTTCTTCGCAACCCGAGTTGAGGATCTTGGAGTTGGAGTGTGGGTGCGCAAATGGGGAACCATCAGTTTCGGCCGAGCCCTTTGGGAAGTGACGCGTAACGAGCGCATGATTGTAAAGGCTCGGGTCCTTGGCGAACAGATTCGTAGTGTAAGTCCAGCTTCTGTCTTAATCCTGAGTCAAATACTAATAACTTGCAGGAGTCTGGTGTTGATAACGCCATCCAGTGCATCTACCGCGATATGGAATACGCCAAGAGCCTCATCAAACGCAAGGCTGGCAAGAATACCCAGCACGATCTTGCTGAAGATGACGACACCGAAGAGAGCTGGACCTTTGTCGGCAGAGACGAACACGATCCCGATGCAGTAACGAAGAAATTGAGTGAGGGTTTAGTCGGACTTGGAGCAGGTAGCGACCGACCGCTACCATTGGGAAGCCAAGCACCCTCATCCGAAACGACATGATGTACATGTTACACGAGATGTGTTTTTTTAATTGTGATTATTTCCTTTGTTTATGGACTGGACATTTGGGACGAGCGATCAAGTGGCTTAATTACTAGCTACAGCATTTGGATGCTATGGATTGCCAGGGAGTCTGGATGACTTAATGTGACCACTATCAGGCATAGATGCGATATTCTAGATGACTTAGAGAATACGTATGAAGATAATACTGGCTTATCAATGAACAGGATTGTACTATAGTGAGACTAACTGATGTAGTGAAGTAGTGTCACACGAGGGGACTAATAGAAATCGTTCATCGCACAGAGCGTATGGTAGAAGATACGACTAAAGAGGCCTAACATTTTGCATTCTCTAAGGCTTCACCACATACTTGTCTTCATTACTGAACGTATACCATTGTCCGGGCCTGTGGAAGTTTAGTTTTGCGAGAATAAACAGAGTGTCCCTCACTCATACTTCACGAGACTCACGGACAAAGTTAAGCTTTTTTTTCGATACGGCAGCATTTGCCTAACATTAATCTCAGTAACATTTTACGAAGCCTTCAGTATTATGTCTAAATGTTGTCTTTTTCTAGTTGTTGTAACGGCAGCATCTGCCCTCCGTATGACTTAGCTTGAGGCTTGAGGCTTAAGCTGGAGTAACATTTGGCCACATGTGCTTAAGGCTTGGGGTATCATGTTCTTCTTCGAAGATGGAAACTTTTGATAGAAGTTTCTGTTGAAATGGTTATAATATATAAAGCCCTGTGTTGCTGTCTCTTTGGACATTTGCAACTCATCTTTCCTACCTACCTTCCCAGCCTATCGCCTCCAGACATATTCACATCCAACCTATTTAGGACCTACACAGCCACTCACACCTTATCACCATCCTCTGTGTCAACAGATAAGTTGGATCGGACGAAATAAACTGTCGACTATATCATAAGTTGCGAACGACACGTCTTCAACTACCAGCAAATATCCAACATCATGCCAGACTGGAACTCGCTACCCTTCGATATCCGCAAGGGCATCTTGGAGTATATTACCACATTTGGCCATATAGCACAGTACTCTACCGTCTCTGAGGAATGGCGCTGCGAAGTAGAGGAGAAAACCTTCCACCATATCAGGATTGGTACAACAGTTGTCGCCCCTTCGCCTTTTGCCGTCTACGATTTGCACTTTCTTGATGGTCTGCGGAAAAGACAAAAGGGGCTTATCAGACACATCTGGCTCAATATCACGCTACTGCGGTACAACTGTCCAGCTTGTTACAGCAGAGAGACAATTGCTGAGCGGAATCTTAATTCAATGACGATTCGACTTGCCATCAGCGCCTTGTTTGTTGTCCTGGCAGATTGGGAGACTACCAAGGAAGGGTTGACGCTGGAGATAAATGCGTACTCTCCAAGTGACTCTGAACACTGGTTCCGAGGCTGGTACTTTGGAGCCCCAGGAGAAGAAGAGACTCTTAGGAGGGGGAGGCGAATTCTTCATTTCGGTCCAAGGCATCCAGTCTCTGAGGATGGCCTCCGACGACCTTTTGAGGTGCTTAGAGTCACTCCCTCAGACCTTCCTGTCGTGAGAGCAGTGACCAAGTTCCTCATCCGCCGCCAATGCCGTCGTCAGCTCGACTCAAACGCGTTATCCAACATATGGAGGAAGCTGCCGAGCTTGGGACATATCATGCACGAGTCGTGGAGACCTGGGGGAAACGTCTCTTTGTACGGCTGGGATTTCGGTAAGATTGGGAAAATATGTCGTGTATCAATGTTTTTGTTACTGACTTGGCTTTTAATAGCTTATGGGAGGGCACTATGCCATGAATCACTGCCTACCTCAGTCAAAGGGATAACCGTCTTTGAGGACTTCAATAGCCAGTATCAATTCTTACTCAAGAAATATACAGTGTTCAACCAGGTGAATCAGGGAGTACCAGTGAACCCGGGCCAGGGCACAGTTCGTACTGGAGGTCGAGCCCTCGCAGGGTTTTTCGCCAAGAAGAGCATGCAGCTGGAGCATCTTTCCGTTGCCTTTGTCATTGACGCAGCTGACTTCTTCCGCGCCTGTGATCCCGAGTGGCGATGGAACGAGCTACGTTCGCTTACTTTAACGGCAAAGGCTCTGGTTAGAGAGACGCAGCCTGGGGAGACATATCAGCAGCTACAAGCTGCAGCGCGGGTTGCGCTGGGTATGCCCAAGCTGGAGAGTCTGACGCTTTGGAACGGTGATGTGGGCGAGGCTTGTGCGTTTGTGTATCGGCGGTACCAGGATGATGTCTCGATAACATGGCGGGCAAATTGGGAGTTTGAGCTAGGGTCTGAAGTGCGCAGCGCTTGGGAGGCCGTGGCCAATATGCATTCTCCTCGCAGTGCTCTCAGAGTCGAGACAGAGATGTTGAGGGGATGTGCCCTTCTTTCTCATGGCGATTCGATTCACCATTTGGGTCTTCATTCTGTGATTGACAGTACTTCGTTAGATCAGATACAAAGGGAGAGTAGGCTCCCAAGATCATGGTTCAGATAGCTCAGCTCATTATGTGTTAATAACACGTGAGGAGGATTCATATCCTTGCCCCTCCGCATTGCTTCAAACAAGCTTAATTCCTCTAATAAGCAAGTACATCTGGAGTTAAGATCTTACCGTGGAGTCGGCTTACAACTGGGGTGATGTGACACTATCTCGGGTCTAAGATGCCCGAGGGGGAGTTAGGTGGGTAGCTCAAGCAGAGGAACACAATCTTTTATGCGTTCGAATGGACGAAGGGATGGGGATATCTCGGGGTCAAAGATGGTGCATGAGGCGGCTAAATGGAGGGTTTGACGAGTTGCATCGTGTCGGCTATTCAACTAACAGACTGGGTAACGATGTGCGACATGGACGATAGCATTTCCAAAGCTCATAGAATTCATTTCTAGAAATAGTAAGGCAGTTTCAAGTTCAATATGGCTAAATCATGGCCAAAACAACACTTCTTTGGGTTCAGAGGAGGATGGTTAACATTCTGGATCACAGTTAGTCAATACCTTACCACCCACACTCAATCTGACAAGAATAGGTCGCTTGCGCAACAGACATGACACTCTTTGGGTACGACCAAGGAGTCTTCAGTACGTCCAAAAGCACAGATATGAGCCTCCATTAACACCGTAATAGGCGGCGTGGTTGTCACTCAGGATTTTCTCAAGCTTCACAACCTCGTTGGTCCAACAAAGACCAATCTCCTTGATACCGTGACTGCTATTTTACGATATCGGGTGCTTCTTCGGCGCTGTAATTGCTTTTACCATCGGTGAGAGACTTGGTCGTAAGAAGGCAATCCTTCTCGGTATGGTGATCATGTCCATCGGGACTGTCATCAAGGTCTCGTCGTATAGTTTTCAGCAAATGATCGTAGGCAGGATAGTGCTAGGGTAAGAGTCATTGGCCAGTTGAGTACCGTATAGTGACAGGATTAGAATTGGAAATGGTATCAATACTGCCACGGCACCTATCTGGCAGACCGAAACAGCACAGGCAAAATGGAGAGGGAAACTCGTCATTCTAGAAATGGCTATGAATATTGCTGGTTTCTGCCTTGTCAACTGGATCAACTACGGGCTGTCCTTTGTCGAGGGATCTGTCGCATGGCGTTTTCCACTAGCTTTTCAGTTTGTCTTCATCTTTGTGCTCTTTGCTACAGTCCCTGGCTTCCCGAGTCACCACGGTACGTCGTGCAGTTTATTACACGGGTACCTGCTAATTATTGTTGAAGTTGGCTCATCGCGCATGGTCGCGTTGAAGAAGCCACGGAGATTCTTGCCTGCATTGAAGATAAACCCACAGCTTCTCCAGTTGTAACAGCCTAACTGCACGAGATTCAGTACAGCGTAAACTATGAACGTGAACACACGATTAAGTGGAAAGACATCCTCCTAAAACGCAACAAAGACACCGCCGACACAAAGACCCTCCGGCGTTTACTTCTCGGTGCAAACACCCAACTCATGCAGCAGTTCGGCGGTATTAACATCATGAGTGACTACATGCCCACCGTTCTCATTAACAGCGTCGGTCTCACCGAGAGTATGGCTCGCTTACTCTCTGCATGTAACGCCGTGTCCTACCTCATATTCTCATCAGCGGCGGTCTTTCTCGTGGAGAGATGGGGACGAAGGGGTCTTATGCTGCTGTCCACGGCGGGCCAGTTGCTGTCCTTTCTGGTCATTACTATTCTTCTGAGATATGCTGTCGGCGATAAGAAAGAAGTCCTGGGATCAGCGTCGATTGCGTTCTTCTTCTTTTACTTCATCTCCTTCGGGGTGGGTATGTTGGGTATCCCATGGCTGTATCCCACTGAGGTGAATTCTCTTCCTATGTGAACTAAGGGAGTAGCTCTTGCGACTGGGACAAATTGGTATATCTACACTTTAGTTATTGGGCCTTACTTCGTGTGCTGACAGAGACAGGATCACAAACTTCATCATCGTAGAAATCACGCCGATCGATATCCAAACCCTTGGCTGGCGTTTCTGGATAGTATGGACCGTCACCAACACTCTCTTCCTGCCCGTCATCTACTTCTTCTACCCGGAAACCTGTGAGTTCTACACCACAAAACATGCAACTAATGCTAATCGGCCTTCAGCAAACCGGAAACTGGAAGACATGGACGCTCATTTCCGAGAGAATCCCTCTATTATTGTTATCAAGGACGAGGGTGCGACGATGGCCAAAAGACCCGAGAAATACATTCTGCAAGATCAGGAGGATGTGCAAAGGCAGGAGGGTATTGGCTCTGAGAAGGTTCTGTGATGGTCAGCCATTGCTCGAGGTTTTGTATGAGTGATGAGCTGGCTTCCCAGGCTTCCCATAATGCCATTCGCATCAAAGCCAATTAAATCCATTTCATGAGAATATGAAACATTTAGAAAAAATAGTAAATATTTGTTAACTTCATAACACTAAGCAGCCATCTTTAATCACCAAACAGCGTCCACTTGCCTTCAGACGGATTTACCCCGGGTTTGCGCCTGCCCAGAAACCAAAGCTTCCCAGCCTTACGTAATACAGCAGCGCCTGCAACTGGGGAATCCATTTGGCAGCTTCACAATCAATCACCTCACAAACCGCCAACCCCCACGAGAAGCGACAGCCACGAGGTCTCACCCGCCCATACGAGGGAAATCCCACGGAACGAGACGATTACCTACGGAAATACATTGAACGCGAGAAGCTCCCCGCAGCCATGCCTCAGGATATGCCCCCTCGGGGCGGGTACGAGCCCGTCCAGTACAAGGTGCGTTTTCGACGAGGTTGTGATGGATGGAGAGGCGGCTGGAGAGGTCAATTGGATGCGGTGCAGTGGAATTGAAGCGTGGGGAAGAAGCCGGAATGATGCATCGCGGGAGACGAAGCAACGGGATTACAGCAGAACTGCGCAGGGCGACAAGACTAACTCGGAGCAGCGAAACCTCCCCGCCAAGGGTTTCCGTCCTGGAATCCTCCTCCTCGGAATGGGCGCTGTCATGAGCTACGGCTGGTACAAGCTGATCGGCGGCATGCGCGAGGCCAAGTACGTTTGTCCCTGTTTCTCATCGTCACACGATTTACAGCCCAATACCTACGAACGACGTCAATCAGTAAACGAACAGGCACTGACATTAAAACAGCGAACTCGGCCGTGAGAAGATGTGGGCTCGCATCAACCTCATTCCCCTCCTCCAGGCCGAAGAAGATCGCGATCAGGTCCGTCGATACCTGGCCGACCAGAAGCGTGAGAAGGAGTTGCTGGGCGACAATGCCAAGGTTTACAACAGCGACCGGTTCGTCAAATCCCCTTATCTTTCTGCTGGAATTATAGCAGCATTGAGATGTGTGTCGGTGTGGGAATTGTGTTAACGTGCTTGCAGATTCGTGAGGCCGACTTTTGCCGTCACCCCTCCTCCTACTACAAACTAAATGTGTAAGATTGGGAGGCAGATATGAAAGAACCGATGTGATGGAACCGTGTATATATTTTTTGACAAAGTGGTTCTCAATGGAATAAAGGGTTACAAGGCAAATGGTCGACTAACTAATTGTGAAACGACGTCTACTTCACACTCTCAATCTTCTCTTCTGTCCATTCCCACAACCTCTTGCCCAACTTCTCATCGAAACACATCGCATCACCTGCATTTCCCTTCCCAACCGGCTCATAGAACGCTATCTTGTCATCCTTCTTCACATCAGATGTCGCAGCCCACACAGAGTTGTACCCCCCCTGCTCAACCGTCATCATCCGCGGGTTCGTCACATACACAAGCATCCTCTTCCAAAACGACAATTCTGTGACCAACCCCGTGGCAATCACACCTGGATGGACGACCACGCTCGTGATACTCGGATACCGTCTCTGCAGCTCCTTCGCGAAAACGATGTTGGCGAGTTTGCTCTGTCCGTAGCGGCCGAATGTTCCGAAGGATATGTGTTCCTGCCCAGAATGCAACGTCTCAAAGTCGATACCATTCTTCGGATGCCCTGCGTATCCAAGAGAGGTAACACTAACAAACCTCACGTCACGTCCCTGCTCAGCCGTCCTTAGCATAACCGGCAAAAGGGCCATGAGCAGCGTCGCGTTGCCAACATGGTTCACGCCAAACTGGAGCTCCAGCCCATCTTGCGTGATGCCATCAACAGCCATGATCCCCGCGTTGGCGATGAACACATCCAGACGATCATGTACGAAGCGCTTGGCTGCGCTGCGTATGCTGGCGATGGATGTAAGGTCGCATTCGAGGAAGGTGGCAGGAATGGGAGAAATGGCGGCGATGAGGGATGTAGCGCCGTTGGAGCTGCGGCCGGTGAAGTAGACATGGGAGGGCTTGTGGGCGCAGAGCGTGAGGATGGCGGATCTGCCGAGACCGGATGTTCCTGGGGTTTGTTAGTTGATGGGAAAGGAGTTGTTGGAAGGTGTATATACCGCCGGTTACGAGAATGACTTTTCCTGAGAGGTCGGGCACATCAGTGTCCGGATTGAAGCCGTTGAAAGAAACCATGATGATGAAAGTTGAATTGATTTAAACAGGATATAATTGTATAGAAGGTTGATCAAGGAGGGAGGAGTGGTAGTTGTAGGTCTGTGAGGAGTCTTGTTATCTTCCTTTCAGCAGGACAACTCGTCCTTCTTATACATATTTCCCTTATGCCTGAGAGCTTCTACTCTCTAGTCTCTAATTACAAAGCGAGACATGAAAGGTCATGACGCGTGCTCATTTGTGAGTGTTCTGGTGGTTGAAGCGGAAGGACAATCTGGCCGGTGACAGACGGGTTTGTTTGATAACTGTTACTATCCCGGCCTGGTGCAAAAGTGGGTGAGCTCTGTTAGCACGGGATACTGCAGCAACCCGTTGAGCCCCGCAAGAACCGGCTCAACTATTGTAAATGGATTCAACTTCAATCCTCCAACAGGTATCCAGACTAATTCGGCGCCACTAATCAATTCATCGCATAGCTCAATCGCGTTCACGTTCCTGACTGTAGAACGGCAGAAGATACATTCGTACCAGACGTAAATCATGTTTCAAAGAGTTGATTGTACCTAGGGGGTATACTAACACTACCTGCGACATGCAAACCAACTCCATATTTCCCAGTGCCATTGCCATTCATGTACATCTTTCTATTCGCCTTGTTTTTATTTTAAGAATAAATATCCTATTTCCTATCGCGCCATACTCCGTTCCCCTGGTCAACCAAGTCCTATCAACTTGCCATCAGTTCGGCCAGCAACTCCCGCTCCAATTCATCCTCGTCGAAATCCTGGTCCTCGTCCGCGTTGATCACAGGGTCCTTGTCCCTATCTTCCATGGCTTCATCGCCTGTTGGTACTGGTGTTGGTAGACTTCCGTCCTCTGTGTCTTGATCATCGCCGTTCGGCGTTTGTATTGATCGTAGGCCGGAAGCACCGCGGTTACGAGCGAGACGCTGCTTCTTAGCAAGTACACTTTCGCCGATGCTTGATGTACCGTCGTCGTCCGACTCATCTGCATCCGCCTTCCGTTTGAGGCTCTGCTTAGAATTCTGTCCGTCCACGGTTTCGAGATCGGATTCTGTTACAGTGGCAGCAACACTCTCTCCGTCATCGTCGTCGTCATCGTCCATAAACTCGGCAAGTTCATCTTCAGCCTCACCCCAGTCGAAGTCCTTGAGCTCTTGACCGGTCTGGGCATCTTCAACTTCTTCGGCTTCTGACGTTATCTCCGTAATATCCTCCCCTCCCTTTTCCCTATCGGCATCGAGAATCTCCAGGTAGTAAGGCCGTTCATCGAGCCGTCGCCATTGACTTAGACAATCAGTGAGCCAGTTCTGGTTGACGATCTTGATGCTGGGAATCTTGGCTGCCTGCTGCACCTTCTTTGTTCGGGGACGCGACGAGGCAACAACAAGATGTGTCACTCGCTTCGAAATCGTATCCAGAACTTGGGCGCCGTAGCTCTGAGCCTGAAGTCCTATTTCCGACTCCTCCACTCTAACGCCAAGAGGTACAAGACCTGATAATACAATCACAAGACCAGACAGGACGTTGGACTTGAGTTCATCAAGGATATCGCCAGCATCCGGTACCATAGACAGATCAACGCCATCATCGACAGATGCTCTTCGCTTCGATTTGCTGTGCGCTGGTGGATGTGTTCCTTCCTTTTCTCTCCGCTCCGCTCGTCGCCTATCATATGTTTCGTAGAAAGAGGTATGTAAATCAGTGAGGTGATCTTGAAGGGCAATAAGCTCCTCGTCGTCATCAACAAGGACATTTCTGTGGTGGATAGATGGTGAGTCGCTGGTGGTGTTGTTCGTCTCCTGCTGGTCGTCTTCCTTATCCAGCTCCTCTTGCATATGCAACAAAGGTCGTTCCTTCAGCTGCTTCTCCAATGTCTTCTCCTGCTCCTCAGTCTGACTCTTCAAGCTGGCTGCGTCATCTCCACCGCTCATCTTCACTATCTCATCGATAGGCGAAGCTTTTGAGGGTGGCTTTGGGCTGTTATCTACCACGGGCTTCGACTTCAAAATGGGCAAAATATCTTGTCGCTTGGGCAGGAAACTCGAGTTGATATCACCGATGCCCTTAAAGAAGTCGTATGGTACCACCTTGATGAGATTTGGTCGGTTCATTGGCCATACGTCGGCTCGATCGTCGATGATGACTACCATATCTGTACTGACGGGAAACAGACGTTGCAGGCTCTTTGAAGTGATGCTGCCATTTTCATCACGACTGATGACGCGATTACCAAAAAGCTTCTTGTCGGGGTCGACAATCTTGGCGATGTTGAGGGCGTAGGCGCGTGTGCCCATGGTATAAACGTGCAACTCGTACATCTTGGAGACCTCTTCAAGGAACTCCATCAGTCCAGGTCTAAGCTTAATATAGTATGTGCAGCCGCTTGTCAAGCCGCGAGGGCCGTCGTCATTAAGCTGGAAGCTTCTAACATCCTTGACGGCATTGTGGTTCGGATTTGTTGGGTCGCTCTGCCATTCACCGATGGTAGGTTCGATACAAGCATGGATAATAGTCTGATCAAGATCGACAACGAGGCTCAGCTTCCGTTGTCGGAGTAGACGCTTCTGGTTCTCGTGCTCGGCCTTTGTCGCGACGCTCTCGCTAACTCTCAAGACAGTCTGATCATGGCTCATGTTGATCATAGCGCGGTCTGTGTCGAGGTTGTCGCTCGCCCAGTTGGTCTCGGTCATATCAGCGCCGCACAAACTACAAAGGCCCTGCACCTGAACCTCGTGGCCGCAAGCTTCTTCAACCATCAGGCAAGGTGCGTCAGCCGCGATCTCCTGGCCTTCGCGGATGCGCCATTGTTTGAGCTTGCCTTCGGCAGGACTATCGAACTCGGTATATGTGGTTTCGTTGCTCCAAGTATCGTCGTTGACTTGGCGCTTCCAATGAAACTTGTACTCAAAGATGCTCTCCTGTTTCTTGATTGCGTCGCCGGGCTTCTTCAGTAGTTTGGTTACGATGATGGGGTAGTGTAGGCGCGTGCCTAGGGGGACGACTTTGTCGTACATAATGTGTATCGGCGTTAGGTAAAATGTTGGGAAAGGGTTCTTGCGATGATATCGGTAGCCTCTGGAACGGTCATGAGAATTAGCATGCATTCGTCGAACGGGGCAAGACAAAGTCAATCCACCAGCCTTCGCATTCACGGTAACGAGGTGGCGACGTCACCAATGACGAAAAGGACATACCTAGAGAGCTCCCCTTTCTTTAATCCTTCTCAGCGCAGGCCCTCCAGTCAAGCCCATGGCCTCACCAGAATACGGCGCGAAAGCGAAGTGAATCAGCGCGCAAATGCACGTGCGAGTCGCAAGTGAAGGATCGCGTAAACGAGTTCAATGGGCAATGTTGCGCAGTAGTTCCTAGCAGGATGAAATGTTGCTGAAATTGCCAAGGCTATGATTGTTGATGTCGCTGGGTGATTAATGGCCGATATCTTTGATGTTTGCCTTCAAAGAAAACGGAATGGAACCTGGAGAGCTTGTACGGAATACAGAGGATTGCACTGAAGGTGACGCACTAGGTTGGCACAGCTCAGCTGCACTGTAGCGTGGGCCAGCTCCTTCCTTGTACTGCAAACAGAGCGCTGAAAAAGCGATCACGTGGTAATAAACTGACCACTGTCCGGAACAGCGCTGGAACGTAATCCCGGCGCGTAGATTGGTGGCGGACAACGGACAAGTGGGGTTCTCTGGGATTCGCGATCGCGATCGTTGGTCCAAGCTTTGGGGAAGATGCGATATGATAATATCTTACAGCAAGAGACTCAAAGATGGACTTTTGCAGTAGTTTAGACCAAAGTGAATAGTAGCCTTTTTGTTTCACTACCACGTCTCCCTAATCTTATCTTATCAAGAAAAAGTAGAAAAAGTGAGAACAGAAGAGTACTTCTTCACGTCTAATGCCTGTCTTTCTGGAACAGCTCCAAGAATGCGACGCAAGATGCGACAGGAGGGGTCAAGGTTATGTGTGTCGTCACACCAGACGCGGGGGGGATAATGTCCGAAACGTGTACCCCGATACAGCTGGTCTGGTCAAGTTGCTGATATAACAGGTCCTGATTCTTCGAAGCAACGAGTGTTGTTATCTTGAATACATATTAGCATCATTCATCTTCAACTCACCAAGAACAATATGCAAAGTAAAGAAAACATACCATGTAATAACCAATCAGGTTAACAAAAAACTGTCCTATGATGGCTCGACAACTGCCGCAAAAAGAAACAAAGGTGGGAAGACCCGCCCTTTTTGTACTTGGAGCTCTCCCCGACCAGCCCCAGATGCGAACCTGTCAGGCCTGTCACATCATTCAATCATCAACACATTATTAGCTTTACGCCCTGCATTTCCCCAGACAAAGAGGTTCTAGGATACAGAAGCCATGTTAGCTATGTTTTTATTGGACAAAGAACCTTCGAAAGTCTTTGCCTTGCGTGCTTTTCTTAACCTAGGTCGACTCCTTTGTTGAAATACTGGAAACACAGCACGGAGGGCCATGTCATGGCCAAGGCTGTCACTTGGACAGCTTGTGTGGGGCTTCAGGTTGTCTCGCGACGCTAAAGTGGTCTCAGTTCAGTGGCGTGTTGTGTTTACCCTAGATCAAACTGAGATGTGACGATATATCACAATCTGAGCTTGTCACAGGCAACTGATCACATGTGCATTATACTCTATGCTATATTCAATTTAACTATAACCTCTTAACATTGAATTCCGGAAAATGGGGTGTCGAACTCGCATTTTGGTGGTTGAGACACGGTGTGGTAAAACACCATGAGCCAGGTGGAATACATCCCACTGAGAATAGTTACAACTTTAATCACTCCTTCACATCAAAACATTACAACCCAGAAAAGTGGAGGCAACACATATTTAAAAATACCACAATTACAAAAACACTGGTATCTATCGCAAAAACACAATCGAGGTACCACTCCTCAATCAGCCATCTATATCCAATCGTCATTACATCCCATTTCACATCACTCATACCGTCATTGCAGTGACTATAGCATCAATGTTCTACATCAAGTTTAAGCCGATGCTTGAACCACTCTGTAACCCTCTGACACCAGCTTTGTGATCTCCTCGTTCTTATGCTGCAAAATGCCCAGCGCGTAAGCAACATCGTTCCATTGCCGCTCTGTCTCGCATCGACCAAGTCGAGCCGCAAGCTTCTCGGCCAATTGCTTAGCATGCTTGTCCTGATTGACGCGTTAGTAACTGTTATCCAAGACATAAATACATCACATACCTTTTCGACAAAGCCAAGCAGGAATTTGACAACCCTGCGGAAGCTCTCTTCCTCCATGTTGCCACCTGCACTGAGCAGACTGAACATATCGACAAAGTGGTTGTACACAGCGTTGTCCTTGGTGCTGAGCTCGGTGAAGAACATTCTCGCCAAATCCGCAATTCTGCGGTCCTCATCCTCCAAACATTTGGCCATCTCTCCGAGTTGACCCTTGACCTTGACTTGTCCAGCCAGAATTAGGAAAGTCAAAGTCATGAGACAGGTACGCTTGACCGACGCATCGTCGTCAGCCAGTCGGCGGTACAGGAAGTCCGTATTCTCATCGATAAGGTGGTTGAAGCAAACAGCCATGTCTCCCAAAGCAATAACAGCGTTGCTTCGGACTGTGGCGTTGGGCGATCGCTCCATGATGGTGATGAGAAGTGGCAAGTTCGTCTCACAGTATTCGGCAGACACACACATAAGCTTGGCGAGACAGAGGGTCGCAGCGGCTTGGAGTCCCTTGTCGGCGTATGTCGTGTTGTTGGCGCAGATATCTGACACCAGAGGACCAAACACCGCCAACAACGAGTTGGGTCCGTATAGAAGCTCTCGCTCACGAATGTGTGCCATGGCTTCTGTAAAGTCATCTTCCGTTGTGCCTCCAATGAGATCTAATTCATCTGCATCCTCCTTGTCCTTGTCATTTGCTGCAGGCGTTTGCTTCTCCTTCTCCTGCTTTCTGCGCTTGAAGTCGAGCTCACACAGCTCAAGATGAACGATTTGCTTGATGGCGACGTGACCAACAATGAATAGAAGCTGGGAGAGGGCAATCGCGTTGTCGCGCTTCTTGGGCTTCTCACTCTGGGTCTGGGTAAGAGTTTCAGTCTGGGTCTGAGCCTGACTCTCAGCCTGGTCTGCACTTGGAGCATCCTGCGCCTCATCTCGCGATGCAGGTCGGGAGTTGGGCTGCGAAGATGGCGGAGAACGCGTTTGTCCGAAGACCTGTCGTGCCTTTCGTCGAATGAGATCAGAACAGAGAATATCAGGATGCTTGGAGATGGCATAGATGGCGCTGATAGCCTGCTCTGCCACTCCGTACCACTCCTTGCTATCTGAAGGCACCTCGGTGATGGCAGCAAGTCTGACCGATACGGCATGATCGTTAGGCAATCGTGAGAACTTGACAGGTGAATCCTTGGCTTGTCGACCCGTGGGGTTGATTCGCCTCAAAGCAATGCATGTGAACTTGGCTAGCTGAAGGTCATTGCGCCCATGCACACCAAGACCAGTTCGAAGCATAGTCTCCATCTCACCCACAACAATCTCAGGGTTCGCGGTCGCCAACATTCCCAAGACAATGATAGCACCTCGTCGTTGAGTTCGTGAAATTTCCCGCTTCTGCACACCGTAGACCTGCCACAGCTTGTTGATGACAACCTCGGGAATCATGCCACCCTTCATCATCGTCGCCAAAAGCTGCTCAAGCGAGGTGAGCTCAGCAGGAGTCGCGCCAAAGGTCAGACTGATCATGTTTCGTGCAATGTAATTAGCCGCATCATTGGAGCTAAATGAGTCAGGGGCTTCAAAGAAGAGTCGCTTGTAACACTCGATCAAATGTGTTTGGACTCCCTTGCCTTCATCGCTGTTGCCCTTGGTCCAGATGAGACGGAGCATACGTCGGATACCGACCTTGTTCTGTTCAATGTTGTAGGCGTCGCCAACCTCGAAAAAGTCAATGGCCTCGATGACTTCACTCTTGTTCCTTGAACCAAGAAGCTGGCAGATGGTGGTTGTAGCCTCGTGGACGACCTCAATGAACTTGAGCGCCTCATTGTAGTATCTCCTGGTCAGAGTGAGCTTCTCGATAGCCTCGCTTGTGGCAGCCTCCTCCTGGGCCCTCTTGATAGCAGCGACCTTGTCCTCCTCAGTCATCTGGGTAGGCTTCTGCGGAGAGCCAAGTTGTGTAGCCTCATCTAGGAGCTCGTTATCGACCGTGGTGTTGGCTTGCTCGCCTCCAAATCCAGGTACGCCAGGTGGGGGCTTGAGAGCATCCAGTTCCTCCTGCACCTTGTCAAGACGGGCCTGCCATTCCTTTTTAGACAGCTGTGCGCCGTGCATGACTGTGAACGGATGTGTCTTGATGAGTGTGCCAATCAACTTAATAGCATTGCGCCTGACATTGCTGCTCTTGTCCTCCAAACTTCTGCAGGCAAGTTCGGCAGCCTTTTGTCGTCGCTTGGGGAACTTTTGGGCCAGATCGCAAAGTTTCATGTAAACCTGAAGAGTTCTGCAACGGCAGTAAGGGTTGATATCGAGGAATCGCTCTTCCAAAACGTCGAAAAAGGCGTTCAGCTGGGATTTGTGGTTCTCGCTGCGCTCGTCCTGCTTGCTGAGATAGGCAACCATGTTTCCACAGACCTCAATCAGTGCACATCGGAGAGTGTATGACTGATCCTGTTAGTCAAAGGGTCTGCAAATAATTCTTGAAGACCTACCTCGCTGTCTAATTGCTTCGCAAGCATGGTCATCTGCTTAATAACCAGTCGGGGTGCCAATTCGGAGAGTTTGGCAATGAATGAAGAAACAGATTTAGGGCCTCGGGTATCATTAGAGTTGAACTCCTTGTTGCTGATCTCTCTCAGCACCTCATCAGCGAGCTGGGGATAGTCGTATGTTTCTGCTAAGATGTGGAGGAACTCGGCCATGGGTTCCGACAAATGTTCGAAGTAGGTCAAGTTCTGAATAATGTTGATTTGCGCCGCTATTGATTGTGAGTCTCTCAGTCTGTTTGCAGTGTCCCTCCCGAGACGTACCATATGCGTGTCCATGATGCTTGACGGCAATGCACAGGACCTTGAAGCAGTGCATACGGATAGCTGTGGCTTTGACCCGCTGCTCGCTCTCCAAAACCATATACACCGGGCGAGTGAGGAGACCGATAAAAGTATCTCTCTCGCTTGTGGTAAGAAAGATCTTGGAGAGCTTGAGCTTGAGGACCTTGCACATAACTTCCAAGGCCGCTTGGAGCTGCGTAGCCGAGTCCCAAGCCGCATCCTTGTCTTTTGCTGCTCCCTTCTTGGCCTTTCCACGACCTCTGGCAGCAGGCGCTGTGGAAGACTTCTCAGCAGCCTTGGTCTCGACAGCAGCAATCGTCCACTGGAGGAGGAAGGCATATATCTCGAGTAACTTCTTATGGTGGGATACTGAGTCCTGCTCGTCGGGGGAGTCGATATCGGAGTGGACAGAGTCGGCCTCTGCGCTCAAGCCGCTCATGACCAGGTCGAAGATCTTGCTGAGGGCGTGGGTGGGGAGGTGTGCTGTGTATCTGGGATTTTCTAGCTCAGAATTTCGTCCCAACGTCGCTGTATCTGGGGAGAGGTGAAGGGAAATGGGGGCTAACTTGAGGAGAAACTGCAACGAGTCCATATGGGAGGCGCGCATGATTGCGTCCGGGTTATCGGCAATTGAGTCGACAATGGGGTTCAGAACCGCGTTGACCACAGGAAGTGTGAGGGCTTCGGGGTCGTTTTCGCAGTCGAAGAGAGCACCGTCAGCCTCAGGCGTAGCGATGCTAGCCGGGTCTGACATGTAGTGCTTCAGCGCATCGTTGAGGTCGAAGTCGATGGTGTCCATAGTGGGCGATTCGAAGGTGTCGTCGCACCGGAGCGAGCGACAATAGGAGGAGACGAAACGAAACGGTTGAGAACGTTGAAAGCCTAATCAACAGGGTATCGTAAAATTTCGCAATAACCGTTGTTCCCTTTATGTTGACCGTATATCGCGACCAGGCGTTTACCGTTGAATACCGGATCCGTCGGTATGATGTTGTTGACGATAGCCTGTGTATCAAACTACGGAGTCGGTGGAGGGGATTTGGTGGAGGGGAGGATCACCTCTGGGCAACGATTGTTTTTGTTTTGTTTGTCGCGACCAGTCAGGACCCTTCCCCGCCATCTTCCACTAAAAAGACAGCGCGTTGAGCCTGCCACACCCCTGTAGCCAGCCAGTCGAGTCTTGTCTTTAATCTTTGTCTATAGCCCCTCCAAAACTCGACTGCAACTCTAAACTCTGGTCTGCAGTTGTTGTTTTAAGCAACCAATAACACTGTTTTGTTCTTTTCCCCAGTTTACTGTACCAGTAAGAGTTCGAATTGACTGCGGAACAGGCTGAACTTACTTTCCTCCGATCTTTCCATATTACCAAGCGACTCCACGAGATCATGACTACAGCGGTCCAGCAGCATGTTGACGAGCACTTCGATATTCATGAAGATCTCAGGACGGAAGACACGGAGATGATGCCCGAGGAGGAGCGCACAGAGGAGGCTGCGCCAATGGACGAGGAAGAACGCGCTCAGTTGTTCCAGCAGAAACTTCAACAGCGCCATCATACGGAGCAAGTGCATCCCCATCAACAACACCAGACACACCATGGCCAACCACAACGTCAACCCGAAGATGAGCCCCAAGAAGAGGAAGAGGAGGAGGAAGAAGAAGCAGCCGAAGAGTCTTCTGAAGAGGAAGCTGTTGATCGCAGTGTTCAAGCAGATATGGACAAGCTGCAGAGCGACTTCCCTGGCTTTCGCAATCGGTATAGGTTGATCAAGCGTATCGGTGAAGGTATGTCGACAACCTCTCCTATCTACTCACCAATTAAGACTAACAAACACCACTAGGAACATTCTCAACCGTCTATAAAGCCGAGGATATAATGTACGACCACTACGACAATAGTTGGGACTATGAAGACGACTCGTCAAAGTGGACGCCACCACCAAAAGCAACCGACAGTCCAGTTGCTCCTCGTCCCCGTCGCAAGGCGCGTTACGTCGCCATCAAGAAGATCTACGTTACCTCAAGTCCGTCGCGAATCCTTAATGAGCTGGAACTGCTTCACGATCTTCGCCAATGTCCCTCCGTCTGTCCACTCATCACCGCTTTCCGCGAAACCGACCAGGTCGTGGCTATCCTGCCCTACTTCCGTCATGGAGATTTCCGTACATATTTTCGCGACTTGACCATTCCCGAGATCTCCATCTATTTGCGCGAACTCTTTACCGCCCTCAAAAGTGTTCACGATCACAAGATTCTTCATCGAGATATTAAGCCTACCAACTTCCTCTATGACCCAGGCACTCAGCGCGGTGTTCTGGTTGACTTTGGTCTTGCGGAGAGAGAAGGCTCTGATGCCAAGCCTTGTCTCTGTCATGAAAGCCGAGAAGTCCGCAAGACCCGTCAGACAAACTCAGTTTGGGCGCAAAATGCTGCGACCCCTCAAGCAGGCTATCCCAAGTCCGACACACGATCCTCGCGTCGCGCCAATCGTGCAGGTACTCGAGGTTTCCGCGCCCCTGAAGTGCTTTTCAAATGTACGGAGCAGACTACATCCATCGACATCTGGTCCGCAGGTGTTATCCTGCTCACCATTTTGTCGAAGCGATTCCCCTTCTTTAACTCGGCCGATGACGTTGAAGCCATGATTGAGATAGCAACCATCTTTGGTAGCAAACGCATGAAGGCCGCAGGTTTGCTCCATGGATGTGTCTTCGAGACTAGCATTCCCACTGTCGGTCAAGGAGGCTTCTCAATGGAGAAGATCATCATGTGGAGCACGTGTCGAGGAGAGGACAAGCCTCTGACACCAGATGAGAAGATGGCTATTACCTTTCTCGAATGGTGCATGGAACTGGACCCCAGCAGGAGGATAACAGCTGCGGAAGCACTTGACCACGAGTTCCTCCAGCTGGATATATCTGCAGCTGAGCAGGGGGCTTATAGCGAATAGCCAGTGGCGTCAGAGTATTAATATCAAGACGATGTACCACTAATGTAATCATACTAGCATGGAAAGGCGTTGGGTTTGAGTAAGGTGTTATGAAGGAGGCTGGAAAGATATCTGTATATAGGAAGGCTACATGACTGCGATACCCTGTTCATCAACAATGTTTCACAGCGACACAGCATGGCAAACGTCGAGAGATGACATGGTCACAATTGAAGGTTTAAACAGAATTATCATTGTCATAATCATGGGCGAAAATCGATTTTTATTTCGTTAACTCCGTGCAAGAGTCCCTGATGCAATGCCCGAAGCCGACCGACCTAGGTCCCTGGCTCATTTCTCGAAGCGCAGGAGACCTGTTCTCCAGTGCCCAGCTATTGACCGGGTTGAAGATCTTTTTACTTTCCGTTTGAAAATGTCCCATACAAGCCTAACCGACTCCTAGCAAGCACAACATTTAGAGAACAGTTGCTTGCTTAAGCGACAAGCTCAACGACACCACCAGCCTGCTTGATCTTCTCCTCAGCGAGGCGGCTGACCCAACGGGCGCGGACGACAAGAGGGATCTCGGGGAGACGGCCCTTGCCGAGAACCTTGGAGTAACCAAGGGGGAGGAGGTCGAGGACGGGGACGGTGTCCTTCTTCTCGCCGGAGACGTAGGCGTCACGAGTCTCTTGGGGAACGAGAGACCACAGCTGAGGAAGAGTTAGTCAAATATTTCGAGAAAAGATTTGCGACTGGATTCGATCGAGTCGCGCGGGGTGGTATGTACCTTGTCGAGGTTGATGATGGGCTTCCAGAAGTGGTTGGGCTGCTTGTGGAAGTATCGCATACCAACCTTACCGAAGTAACCGGGATGGTACTGTTCTCAGAGTCAGCCAATTCGCGTCCTGTCGTTTTATTTCTCTTCATCGGGCTGTCGAACCTTGTCCATGTTGGTACGGTGGTGGTGTTGACCACCGGCAAGACCACGACCACCGGGATGCTTGCGGTGCTTTCCGACACGTCCCTTACCGGCGGAAACGTGGCCGCGGCTGATTCACAAAGTCAGTCCATCACAAGTTCTTTCGTGTATTTTATAATTCGACCGGTGTTGTCGTATTTTCGTGCAGCCGCCGACAAAGGGCGATTATTGTGAGCTCCAGCGGTCTATCACTGCTCTCCCACGAGGGAAAAGCAGAGACGGACGCGGTCTCTCTCAACGACCAACCTCGTCGACAGCGAGGGGGATGAGGACATACTGCTTGCGGGTCTTCGACAAACGGGTAGGCATGGCGACGGCTGTGGGTGGTTGTCGACTTTTCGGGGTTCACAATCGAAGCTGAGAAATGGGCTGGTGATGTTCTGCAAGACCTAGCACTTCGAGAATCTTTAGACGAGGGCAGAGCAACCCTAACAAAAATGGCTGTGGGAAGGTGGGGCTCTTTCCAGTTTGGGCTGTCAGGTGACCTCGTGGCCTGACCGTGGTGAAGGTCGGTGTGGACCCACTAATGACGGGCCGTTGATTTGAGATCTGAAGCTGGAGACGCGACTCATCAACGCGGTGAGATACAGTCAATAGAGCATTGCGTGTTGATGAAGATGGCGCAAACTGACATCGAGAATGTTACGAGAGACCTGGAAAATCTGGACTTTCATCATCCATACACGCCTTATGATGTTCAGGAGCAGTTCATGAAGGCTGTTTACAATGTCCTGGAGACAGGAAAAGGACAAGTTGGCATATTGGAGAGCCCAACGGGTACAGTAAGTGCATTTTTGACATTGCCATGATGGTTTTTGTTTATGGTGATGATCTTCGAGTCGTACAATGATCGCTTGCCGTAACACCCAAGAGACTCGCTAACATTAACAGGGCAAATCGCTTTCCCTTATTTGCGCTTCACTAACATGGCTCCGAAACCATAAATCACATCAATTCGAGGCTTCACTCCAAGAATCGGCTGAAGCTTACAAAGATGAACCATCCTGGCTTGTTGAGCAGCTCCTCCGTCGCAAGCGAGAAGAGCTCGTCAGTCGCTGGGAAGAACGAGAGAAGCGTCTAGAAACCCTTCGCCTTAAAGAAAAAGCGCAAGAAGAGCGCGCCCGTAAACGTCGCCGTGTCGAAGACTCGCTTCCAAGTAGACCGCGTGTAGAAGATGAAGATGCGGAGTGGTTACTTGACGATCCTGATGATCGCGACACTGGCCCCCAGGATGCACTGTCAGGACTCAGCAAAGAGACACGAGAAGTCCTTGCGAGTATCGGTTTAGGTGGAGCCAAAAAGTTTGAGGAGGAAGATGACCTCGTAGAAGAGCCCATAAAGGTGCGCACATCATTGATGACTTGTGAATGTTTGGTAGTAACAGCAGTAGATCTATTACACGTCAAGAACACATTCTCAGCTTTCGCAGTTCATCACCGAACTACGTCGCCCTTCTTTTCCGGCTTCACTTCCGTCGTCTTTAGATAAGAAGGAAGAATCGAAGACCGAAACCGTCAAATTGTTACCATTATCCTCACGACAGAGACTATGCATCAACCCTTCAGTTTCCCGTCTTGGGTCTGTTCAAGCCATCAACGATCGCTGCTCGGAGCTCCAACAGCCAAAGACAGGACAAAAATGCCCTTTTGTTCCCAAAGAAGAACTTCTTTCGCAAACCCACCAGTTCCGCGACTCAGCTTTGGCTACGGTGCCTGATATTGAGGACCTTCACCAACTTGGCAAGTCACTTGCTGTGTGTCCATACTACGCATCGCGTACTGCCCTTCCGGGTGCCGAAATTATCACACTTCCGTACCCGCTATTATTGCAGAAAAGTGCCAGAGATGCACTTGGTGTTAAACTGGAAGGCAGTGTTGTTATTGTTGACGAGGCGCATAACATCATGGATGCAGTGGCGAACGTTCATGCGGCCGAGATCAAGCTAAGTGATCTGCGAAGAGGACGAGGGATGTTGGGTGTATACGTGAAGAGGTTTGGGAAGAAGCTGAAAGGCGTCAACCGAGTAAATGTCGGGAGAGTGGGGAGAGTTATCGATGGACTTAGTGAATGGATGGATGGGGCGCTCAAGTTCAAGGTCAGTTCACTCTATCACTACTTATACAACGGCTAACATCATGATAGCAAGAACATGGCATTGTGGATCCCAACGACTTGACCAGACCGAAAGGTATCGACCAGATCAACATGTTTGAACTCATCCAGTATATCCAAGAGTCTAAGCTTGCCTTCAAGATCGAGAGTTACATATCCCATGTCGAAAGCGAGGATGCAAACAACAAGACACCTAGATCAAGTACGCCAGTACTTCATAGCCTGGTATCATTCCTCATTGCCCTCACGAATCTTAGCTCTGAGGGTCGGATATTTTACCAGAAGGTCAAAGGACCAGCTCCTGATATACAGCTGTCTTACCTACTCTTATCGCCAACTCATGCATTCTCATCCATCGCATCAAGCGCGCGAGCAGTTATACTTGCCGGAGGTACAATGTCGCCCTTTGACGACTATAAAGACCATTTGTTCCCGTCGCTAGAACCGGGTAAAATCACGACTCTCAGCTGTGGGCATGTCATTCCACCAGAGAATCTTTGTGTTTGGACACTGGCATCGTCGCGACCAGGTGCGCCGCCGTTTGAGTTTAGCTTTCAGAGGCGAGGCGACACAGAGATGATAACTCAGTTGGGCCTTGCCATTTTGAACCTCTGCTCGCTTGTACCAGATGGTGTAGTTATTTTCTTTCCAAGCTACGGATATCTTGATGAGGTGGTTGCAGTCTGGCAGAAGACTCAAGGGGCAAATGCGCAGTCAGTCTGGGATCGACTAGGAATGCGTAAGGCCCTATTTAAAGAAACAAGAGGCGCATCAAGCGACGAAGTGCTGCAGGAGTACTCCGACGCCATTCAGGGCGACAAAAGCAATGGAAAAGGAGCTCTCCTCCTCAGCGTAGTCGGCGGCAAAATGTCCGAAGGCATCAACTTCTCCGACCGTCTTGGCCGCTGCGTCATTGTCATCGGCCTACCCTATCCCAATATAGCATCACCAGACTGGAAAGCTAAGATCGAATACATCGAGACAACGACGCAGAACAATCTCATAGCGCAAGGCACAGCCAAGGAAGAGGCCTTGAGTAAAGGGAAACAGACGGCACGGGACTTTTACGAAAATGCATGCATGCGGGCCGTTAACCAGAGCATCGGCCGTGCAATTCGGCACCGGGGTGACTATGCGGCGATAGTGCTTGTAGATCGACGGTATGGCACGGAGAGGATCCGGGGCAAACTCCCGGGGTGGATCAGAGGAGGTTTAGCGAAGGATAGTCATGATAAGGGTCTTGGAGGATTGATGGGTGCCGTCGGAGGATTCTTCCGAGGTAAGAAGAGTCAGAACTTGAATCAGAATTAGTGAGGCTTCTTTTGTTACCACATTGGGGCATAACCAGACTTGCAGACCACGAGACAACCTGAGCTTGTACAAACATGGGAGCTACTCGTTGGTGGAGGTCGAGACCCTTCTTGGCACTGCAAGTCAAGAGGCGAACGCAATCGAAGCTGGTGCGGAGAGCCAGTTTAGGCTTTTCCGCCACCGAGACCGTGCTTTTTGATGGATGATGGACAGCCTGTAAGAAGGGCGCAGAACATGCGTCGAACATTCGATAGCGACAAGATCTAGATATTTAGTCCATCACCAATAAAGACCGTGTTTCTTATCTTGTGCGAACGCACAATATAATACTTGACAAGAATACCCTGCCCTGCAAGGCTAGAGCCGGCAATATCAGGCATTTCTCTTACATATTCAACATAGGCCTACCCGAGGCAAAATCAAAATAAAAAGGGCCCAGGGGCGATATTTATCCCGCAGACAGGCGTTAGCTGCCACACTAAATCCAGCTGCGATTGGCGAATGATTGAATTCCTGTTGGTTGATAAAAAAGCTAGTGAGGAGATAGAAGAAAAAAAAAGGCGGAACCGACCACCGGGACCGGGACCGGGGCGACCGATTAGTTTGACGATTTGTCCGCTGACTCTTCATGGTATGAGTCTTTCTATAAGACTCACTCACACCTGCTCTCCTTCATACTGAAGTGTCGTTTTATTGGTATTTATTCTCGATTTGCTATTTCTAAGTTGGCTTCAGCAATGGCTCCAGCAACAGATACCATGCCGCCTCAGGCCGTTGAGCACGATGATCACAGCGATACGGAGAGTCTCAAAGCAGCAGCTCTTTTCCACAAAGCGCTGCGAATGGGAAGAGTAGAGGAGAAGGGTATCCAACCAATTCCCGTTGAAGAACGCACTGCAACACGGTTCTACAATATCTTCACCATCTGGGCATCCATCAACTCTAATATCCTCGGGTGAGTAAGTTTGACACCAACAAGTGGAATAACGCTGATGAAGGGGATGTAGCATCACTTTTGGCATGCTGGGTCCTTTGGTTTATGGCTTGAGTTTGAGGGATTCTGCCCTCATCATTCTCTTCTTTTGTCTATTTTCGACAATTGGACCGGCGTATCTTGCTACTTTTGGACCTAAGACGGGAATGAGGCAGATGATTCAGGCTCGGTATAGCTTTGGGTAAGACATCTTCAACCGAAACCTCATGTTATATACTAACTCAGTATAGTCGTTATCTTGTCTCAATCCCGGTACTGCTTAACCTCGCTACGCTCACTGGTTTCATGGTGATCATCTTCGTCGTCGGCGGTCAATGTCTCTCTGCTGTATCAAGCGGCCACCTGAGTCCCGATGTCGGCATCGTCATCATTGGCATCCTCTCACTCCTGATCTCCTTCTGTGGTTTCAAGGTCCTGCACTATTACGAGACGTACGCCTTTATCCCCGCCATCATTGCCATCACCATTGCAACAGGCTGCGGCGGTTCTCAGCTCTCCAAGCAGGCTGCCCCTGCGGCGCCTGCAACTGCAGCAGCTGTTCTTAGCTTTGGCATGATTGTCGCGAGTTACATGATCCCCTGGGCGGCTATTGCGAGTGATCTCACCACGTACTTTGATCCCAAGGTTCCGTCCTGGAGGGTTTTTGCGTACAGTTATCTTGGTCTTGTTACCCCCACGATTCTTCTCATGACTCTCGGAGCTGCTATTGCTGGAGCTCTGCCTAATGTCCCTGAGTGGTCGGAGGCTTATGATAGAACCGCTGTTGGAGGTGTTCTCGCAGCTATGCTCTCAAGCGCAGGTGGCTTTGGCAAATTCGTCGTTGTGATCCTTTCTCTCACCCTGTTGGGCAATACAGGCGGAACAATGTACGCCATAACTCTCAACTTCCAGACTCTTATTCCTGGTCTTATCAAGATCCCTCGATACGCTTTCGCTGTTGTCGTCACCGTCATTGTTATCCCCACCGCCCTTCGAGCCCAGCGCGATTTCTTCGTCAACCTCGAGAACTTTGTCGCCCTTATCGGTTACTGGTCCGCCTCCTTCATCGGCATCGTCTCCGTCGAACACCTCGTCTTCCGCCGAGGTCGCTACGATTCATACGACCACGCTATCTGGAACGTTGCCTCCGAGCTTCCCCTGGGTATTGCTGCCATCGCCGCGGGCATCATCTGCTACGCTCTTGTTGTACCCTGCATGGCGCAGGCTTGGTGGACGGGCCCCATTGCCAAGACCACTGGTGATATTGGCTTTGAGATTGCGTTCGTTATGAGTTCGGTGTTCTATGTACCTTTCCGAATCTTGGAGAAGCGTCTCTCTGGGAGGTAGTTGAGGATATCCTGTGGCTTCAACGCCAGGATAAAAAGTTATGACATAGAGTAAAGCGTTTGAATAAACTTAAAGTGTTTTATTTCTCCCGGGTCATGACCTATTTAGTGGCCTATTTAATGAGATGCGATTGTAGTCTTTGCAACTGTTGTTTAACTCCAGCTATTCCTTCTTCTTGAGACCCTTGTAGCGTGACCCTCCCCACTCTGAGCATTCTCTGCGTCTTCGAGGGTTCCTTGAAGTTGGGAACTCCGTCGATAGTCTAGGAAGTACGGCACGTTAGTAAGTATGCTTTTGTTAACATGCCAGACTTACCCAAGACTCCTTTGACACATTCTAGCATCACCGCGGCACAGAGTATAAGCGAGACTATCTGTCCAAAACCCCATGTATTCTCAGAATCTCCGCCCAGAAGACCCTCGTTCCTAACTCTGAGGGAAATAACCATGTACAGATGAAGAGGATATTGTATCATAGCCATAAGGATAATAGCCCATACCCGGACCTCTGGTTGCTTGTGAAACAAGATAGCCAAGGGTGGATAAAAGGGAACAGAGCCGAGAAAGTCACGGCTGGCTTTAATAATCCGATATAGTTTAAACCAAAATATTTTCCCAGCTATAGGCTGAGTGAAGGGCGAGGACGGCGTTGAGGTCGTTGAGGTCGTATAGTTCGCTGGGAGAAGACTTGTGGGGGAAACTTGGTGAACAAGACTAGAAACGTTGAACTGAGCAGAAATACTAATCCTATAGCAAACCAGGAGAGCACCGAATGCCCATATACAAGTACCGCTTAGGTAGATATACTCGCCGAGGAACGTGGGCTCGCCGGTGTCGTAGCAACGACCTGACTGGTCTTCATCCCACGTAGAGAGTTGCATACCGAACATTATAGAAAAGATAATATAAGAAATAACGAACAGGGCTAACGGCACTGTTCTAATATATCTCATTCTGTCTTTTGAAATGGACATATTGCTGAGACTAGCACATGCAGATATGCTGATCTTTCGTTATCGGCCTGGACAGGTACTTTGGATTGCCAACCTACCCTGTGAAGCTGGTTATATCGTATACTATGTGAAAGTGGTATAAACTCATGGTTTTGTACTGAATCAGAGCAGCTAGCAAAATCGCCAAGCCTATATGGGGTTAATGACCGACTTGCCCGAACTGCACGGCGAGGGCATGATACTGACCATTTATTATCTGTATGTCACTGATGGTTGCCAAAACTCCGTCTATAATCCTCTTTTTGCAAACAGAGCGCGCAGCTTCTGCCAAGGGTGGAATGTTTGCGGCATTAGTGTTGCGAAATGCTACAAGTCGTCCAGGCAGGTTGGCCAGGAAGTCAACCAAATCCCGGGTTGCGTCACATGGTGGTACTATTAAAAAGGACAATTCCAGCATCCAGATTTTCTGATCACAGTATGAACGAACGATGAGGTCCAGTAAAGACCAGCGTGCTGATTTCCACAACGATAGTGACCAAAGAGATAAGACGAGGGAAAGCCCTGCTTGGAAAGCAAATGAAATGATGATCTGAAAAGCCAAAACAATCAGTACTGTTATTTCTAGTTGAAATTGTTTTCATCAGGCGCTTACTCCCAAGCCCGCGATATCTGAGTTCGTGGGGCCGACGTCCTTGCAGAGCATGATAGAGGCACAACGATTAAAGAGCTTTGCAGTATAAGAATGAAGAAGCTTGATGGAGACCCGACATAAGAGAATAATGAAAAGAAACTATGAGTTCGAACCTCATTATTATAGGCGGGTGTTAGCCCTGGGGTAGGATAGACGAACTAACTCAGAGGCGGTGGCTTGGGTTCTTAAATCAGGCTACGAATAAGTCCTATCACTAGTGTTGCCCGTATAAAGTGAGTCACTATTCTATACTCTTCTTAGGCGATGGGTATTAGTCCCGGGGTAGTATAGACGAACTAACACAGAGGCGGTGGCTTAGGTCTCAAACCAGGCTGTGTATGAGCCCTATCGCCAGCGCTGCCCGCATGATGCGAGACACTCTCCTGTCCTTACAAACATCAATCAATATCTTGTTCTTAATAGAAGACGTCATGAAACATGTAGCCTTCCACTAAACTCACGTCCTCTTCCTAACAGCCATCATCATCCCATCCCTCGGCCTACCCTCCAACCCCAACTGCTGAAACACAATATCCCCAAACGTCACATCAAGATCCGTATGCAAAGTCCTAGGCTTCCCATTTGCCTTCAACCCAGCACACTCAAACGTATAATCCCCGACCATCATCACCACAATTATCTTGAGCATACTCATCCCCATGCCCTGTCCGGGACAGGACCGCCCATCCCCTCCAAACGGTCGAAAGTACCCTGATCCCAACGACACTTTGTCCGGGCCAAGCCATCTCTCTGGTCGGAAGGCTGTGGGATCGAGATAGATGCTGGGGTCATTGTGTATGCTGTGGCCATTTGTTGTTACGACGAGGTCGTTGTCGATGGGGAAGTGTTGACCGTTGTGATACACTGTTGCGCCGGGAGGGCCTTGGTGAAGACTGGAACCTGAAGGGAAGAGCCTCAAAGACTCCTTTATGACGGATTCTGTGTAAGTTAGCTTATGTAGAGTTTCTGGATTGGTCCGGAGCGTCGTTTGGGGATGAGTTCCGAGTACTTCAACGTGCTCTTTATGCATCTTCTCCATAACGTCGGGTGCTTTGCTAAGAAGCATGAATAGATACTACAACTTCTATCAGCCACATTGAAGACATGTGGAGATAGCCTTGTTAGACTTACACTGAGAGCATTTGTTGAGGTACTATGACCCCCTAGAAGTAAGATTCTAAGGCTGTTTGCCCACGTTAGTAACCGACACATCATGGGGGTAAACAAACACTGACCTGCTTAGAATTAAAGTTTCGTCAGTTTTTGAAAGCTTTACTGGTTCGCCGTGGCTTTTGTCCCCTATATTGTTTAAACCTTCAACGTACTCCCGGAGTATGAGATCCAGAATACTCGTCGGATTCTGTCTTGACGGAACAGCTCCTTGACTAAGCAAAAACTCAAGTCGGTTGTAAATTCTGTCAAGCAGAGACGACTCAAGCCTCTTGACAACTTGGCGTCTCCTCCAGCGACGGGAGGTTTGGATAACGGGATTGTATGCGACGCGGATATCGGTTTCTTGCCGAGCAAGGTTTACCAGTGCTCTCAGATCTGCATGTACTTGACTCCCGGTTGTCTGAGCATGTAGAGGAACATTGAAGACAACACGACCAACGATGTCGAACAACACCTTGGACAGCGCCTCTTCCATAGAAAATATTTCTCCGGTAGCAGAAAGCTTGTCCAGCTGTGATATAAACTCTGCAGTTTCGTCGACCATTACACCGGTAAGGTTACGGACATGAGTCGGCGAGAAAGCAGGACTCATCGCATTGTGCATCTTCTTCCATAATCCACCACTGAGTGCTGCGATACAACCCTTTCCAACCATAAGTGACAGAAATTTGTCCGCTTGGGGGTGTACAGGCAATGGCTTGGGGACTGGAGCTAGTTCAATGAGTTTCGGATCTGTTATGACAACCGTTCCGGGGCCGATGGGCCAGAGATCGAGGTAGAAAATGCCCTTGATGTTATAACAATGGGTTATCTCGGTATAGTAAAGCTGAGGATGACAGTTGGGTGGCATCAATGCTGCTATCTCGCGCATGACTTTGAGGTGGCCAAAAAGCCAGCTATGAGGGGGGCCTGGCTACCAGCGTGTCAGTGATCTGAGCGCAGAAGGGTCTCGTTACATTTACTAAGTTGCGGTAGAAATGGCGAGTTCTGTATCCGTGGTATAGTAGAACAGAGCCCAAAATGAGTACAGATGCAACGACTAAGGGTAGACTCAGCCGTTGCAAGGTTAAGGTCGACATGTTAAAGGTAGCTCGAAATGTCCGGCCGTACTCAGATAGATAGAACCTTGAACAAGGAAGATAGCCAACTGTGTTCATCTGCAAAAGTCGTATCAGACATCTCTACTTATACGCGGCGCATCTCAATCATAACCCTATCGACCTGGGGTAACACCATCTTCAAGGGATCTCAGATTTTCGGCTTCCGAGTTCAATCCGCACTGTGATTCGATCAAATACCGTGCATTCGGTATGTATCGTGATCGTTGAAGTACAATGTGCAACCTTGGATGTACTCTATGTTACATCGATTGAGGATGGAATTGAGGCCCTGAACGGGACACCGCCATGCTCGCGGTTGAAGCATAGCAAATTGGTGTCTAATCAATTCTCGGTGTTCCTATAAGTCAACTTCATAATTGTTGCCATATATTGTATAATGCTCCTACATGAAGGTTTCTTATCCTATCTAAGAATGTATCTCTTTAACCGGCATAAGACTGTAAGATATTATATACCCCGCTTTTTTATAAATACCTATAGGGTATATAAAATTCCCGTTAAATAGCTTTTTCTTTTAATATTACTAAAATTATTAAAATCTTTATATAAATTAATTATAATAAGTTTTAATTAAAATAATAAGCTCTTAAGAGATATATAATTTTATAGATAATTATAGCTTTAATAGCCTACCTTTTTAGGTAGCTATTAATAACCTTACTTATATACCTAACCTTTTACCTAAAAAGGGCTATAATAATAATTTTTAACCTTTTAAGATAAAAAATCATAATTTTTAAATTAATTCTCTACCTTAATAATTACTTAAATTATTCTAGCTTTTTATATTTATTTCCTTTATATAGTTATAGATTAGATATATTAATAACTAGGCTTTTTTCTATATTAAAAATAGTATTATTAATAGCTAAAATATCCCTATTTTTAACTATTTATACTTATAGGCTTAAGAAGGTATTTTTATTATAATAGCTTATATATAGCTTAGTATCCTTATTTACCTAGGAATTTATAGAGAAATATCCCTTAAAGACTATTAAAAGGCCCTTAGCCTAGGAGATTAATACCCCCTTTACCTATTTATAAAGTTTATACTATTATAAAAATTTAAACTAATTATATAGTATTTCTATACTTTTAATTATACTAATCTTAATATAAGTAATAAAAAAGATCTTTTAAAGACCTTTTAAGTAGCTAAAAAATAGTCTAATTATATATAAAAGGTATCTATTAAGCTCTATCTTTTAAGGATTAATCTAACTATAAATAAGTATATAATCCTTTTTATAGGTAAATTAAAATAGATAATATTTATTAAGGAAAAGCCTATATTAATAGGCTTTAAAGTCTAGGTTATTATATAATAAGGCTACTTTTTATAATAACTTTAGTATATAAAGGTATTATTAATTATAATTATAATAATTAAACTAAAGGTATTAAAACTATATAATAAAAAAGGAAAGTTATAAATTAAGACCTTTCTTAGTAATATATAAAATATTATAATTTACTTACTATAAAGGTTAATAATAATAATATATTATATCTTTATAAATAACCTCTTTTCCTTATTATAACTTTTTTACCTTTTTTAATAGCTTAATTATAGGGCTATAGGTATAGTATACCCTAATTATAATATTATTATTATAATAAAGTAAATTAAAAAGATTAAAAAGCTTCTTAATAGCTAGTCTTTAATATATAATAAGGTATATCTAATTTTAATAATAAATAAATAAGTATAGATAGCTTTACCTATATTTCCCTTATTAATTTATCTTTTTTCTTTCCCTTTAGGTCTTTTAAGTTACTTAAAAAAATAGCTTTATAGTCCTTTTCTTTATAACTATATATAATAAAGCCCCTCTTAATTATATACTAAAAAAGAGAAAATTACCTACTAAAAGAGGTATAAAGGCAGAGATATAATACCTAAAGGAGGTCTTTAATAGAAATTAGGCTAAAATAATCTCTATTCTTTTTATTACCGCTTAATATAATAATAAAATAAATTATATAGATTACGGTAATTAAATAAAATCTTATATTTTATATTAATATTATTTTTAATATAGCCTTTAATAAATATTACTTTAGTCTTTCCTCTTTAATATTATATTTATAAATAGCTTTATTTTATAAAAAAAAACCTAATAGCCTTATTAAAAGCCCTATAATATACTTTAAGACTAGAAAGAGGCTATTTATAATACTATTTTTAATAAATATAATATTAATAATAATATAAAAAAGAGATATTATATAAGGAAGGAAAAAAACAGTAAGGATCTTAAAATATAGTAAATTTACCTATAAAGAGATATTAATTATATTAATAAAAATAAAAACTTTACCTACCTAGTTTATAAAGGCTATAGGTAAAAATAATTATAACCTTTTAAAAAAAGAAATAAAAAAAAAGGTTATTTATAATTAATATTAAGAAATTAGCAGTAATTATAAACCTAATATAGCTATAAAGAATATAATATAGCTATTTATAATATAGTAAGTTATTAATATTTCTATTATATACTAAATTAGGTATATAAAGATATACCTTAAGTTATACTAATTTTAATTGGCTCTAGATCCCTATTATAACCTTATTACAGTCTTATGCCGGTTAAAGAGATAAGTCCTATTTGTGACGTTGTCACCCCATTGGTGTAGAAACCACCACAAAACTCGACTAAAATTCCAAATATAACATAGCCAACCGTCACGACTGTATTCCTTACATTCCCTTCATTCTCCCAAAATGGCTCACAATATTTGGGCAATCCCTCTGCAGACGACGAATTTCAACATTGTCGTCGCTTTTCTCGGCGGTTTCATCTCCATCTTTGGGCTGGTCTCGTATCTCCTCAAGGAAAACTACTACCTCTCTGAAGCGCGTAAGTACTCCGTACATAAACCCCTGGTACAAATCGTCTCTTGGCACTTGGCATCGAAACTAAAAACACCGCTTATAGTCATTTCGCTCTTGGCAGGCGTTGCTTTTGGACCGCATGGGGCTGACTTTATTCGGCCGAAGGACTACGCTCGGTGCGACACGCTGTCACCCGAGGATTGTGAGGCTGATCTCAACGCCATCACGCTCAACTTTTCTCGCCTTGTCCTCGGTGTTCAGCTTGTTCTCGCGGGCGTCCAGCTCCCGAGCAAATACCTCGTTAGAGAATGGAAGTCCATTAGCCTTTTGCTCGGCCCGGGCATGACGTGCATGTGGCTTACTACCAGTCTTCTTGTGTGGGCGCTCGGTGGACAACCGCCCTTCCTCCACGCGCTCGCCATCGGAGCATGTGTGACACCCACGGACCCTGTTCTCAGCGCCGTGATCGTTAAGGGAAAATTTGCAGACCACAACATCCCGCAAGACTTGCAGTACCTCATCACCGCGGAGTCGGGCGCCAACGATGGCCTGGGCTATCCGTTCCTCTTCCTTGCGCTCTATCTCATCAAGTTCACGGGCGCTGGAGCGACGTCTGGCGGAGCTGGCGATGCGATGGGTTTGTGGTTTGGCCTTACCTGGGGCTACACAATCCTGCTCAGCGTTATATACGGTGCTGTGGTAGGATGGATTGGTAAGGAATTGCTTCACTACGCCGAGAAGCACAACTATGTCGATCGTGAGAGTTTTCTTGTTTTTGCCATTGCCCTAGCTTTGTTTGTCCTGGGAACGTGCGGTATGGTTGGCACTGATGATGTGCTTGCTTGCTTCATCGCTGGCAATACCTTCACATGGGATGATTGGTTCAGGCTCGAGACCAAGGATGATTCACTACAGCCGACTATCGACATGCTTCTCAATGTGACCATCTTCCTGTGGTACGGAGCTTTTATCCCCTGGAAAGAGTTCCACGATAACTCGGTCATCTCTCTGCCGCATCTCGTCGCCCTGGGCACCCTTGTGCTCCTCCTGAGGAGATTGCCGTGGGTGTTTGGGATGCATAAATGGATTCACCAGATCGAAGAGGTTAAACAGGCTGTGTTTGTTGGCTTCTTTGGACCCATTGGTGTCTCGGCCATCTTCTACCTATTCATCACTCTTGAGTTCATTGACGAGCACCTCAGCGACGAAGAGGGTAACCCGCGTAGCGATGTCAAGGAATTTAGCGAGTTGACGCGCGTTGTGATTTGGTTCCTCACTGTTTGCAGTATTGTAAGTACACCATCTAATGCAAGGCTTCTTGTGCTAATTATTGCATAGATCGTTCATGGTCTGAGTATCCCAGTTGGAAAAATCGGATTCTACGCCCCAAGAACACTAAGCCGTGTAGTCAGTGAGAGTCTGAGCACAGAGGGACAAATCACAAGCGGTCGACGAAACATCCCAATATTTGGGAGGTTTCTACCTGGCGGTGGCAAGAAGAGTCCTCCGGCCAGGGGCCCAATTGTTATCACTGGTGGACGAAGCCTCCGCCCGGAGTTGCCCATTCACGCTCAACAGGCTGGTGATGATACACCACCAAGAAGAGAGATTCGGTTCCCTGATGAAGTATGATAGAGTGGACATATACACTGCATGCATCACGCGAGGGGCGATCTGTTTGAACGGAAATTACGGATCATTTGATAGGAAGCGTGATCTCATTATGCATACATATAGCCGAATTCTCATGCACGTCTCATAAATACAAGACACAAACCCCAGTCCCTCATCAAATCCTGAGTTCTCCGTACTCATCAAACCACTTCAACGATCTAAGCAAGGAGCATAGCAGCACCAACAACAGCACCCAGAACTCCAACGGGCGCCATAGCGGCAGCAGCATTGGTCTCATCAGGGCTGGAAGCGTCGTTGGTAGCCGATGCGTTATCATTATTGTTGTTGTTGTTGTTGCTGTTGCCGCCACTGCCTCCGCTTCCATTGGTTGAGGTAGCCTGGTTAGAATCACGAGTTGTGGTTCCACCAATGATCCAGGTAAACTCCGAACCATCCGTGGGAAGGCTAGCATCGACTGAGATGCCAGAGACAGCTGCCGAGGCAGCAGATGCGACGTATGTAGTAGACGGGAAAGCACAAGTGAACAGAATATCATCGATATCTACAAAATGTCAGAACAGTCCAGACTAAGGGTGGACGTAAGCTTACTTTCAGTCTCATCACGAATATCATTATCGTCGTCGTCATCATCATCTCTGTCCTGAGACGCATTCTGGTGAATGCAGTTGGCGCAAAGCGCAGCGATGCGCTCAACGTTAAAAGAGTCGTTGGTGCAAACGCACTGGATCTCCTGAGCGTCTCCCCAACGGTCAGAGTCGCATTTTTGCGTCAGCTGGACGATTGGATCGCAGATGGTGTCGCATGCGCGCGGGACGTCGTCGCGGTCGAGACTGACGTCGGCGTGGGCGAGGTAGAGAAGGGGAGCAATGGCGAGGGCGATGGTGGAAGTGTACATTTTGAAGGTTGGAGGTGTAGAATATAGTGGTAATTGGGTTGTATGTGTTGATTGGAGTTGCTTAATTGAAGCTGTTATTGAGATTGATGATGATACGAGAACATAATGAATTGAAGGGCGAACCCAAATATTTATAGATAGCCTCAACTTTCCTCTTCTCTTCCCGGTTCACGTTTCATAACCTTACCTTTGACTTTCTTGGCATTCTCGTTGTATGTCACTTCCCACCCGACAATCTCTACCTATGCAAGAACCAAAGCCTCATCCATGTCCCCTGTTCATTTGATTGCTTTTCAAGCTTCTCCCAAGCCACGGCACTCGTAATACCGCCAAGCACAAATCTGCCTGACAACTTCCCTGTCCAATTGATCGTCTGCACGACTCGCGGCTACACAGCGACTGCTCCGCTGTGGAAGTCTTGGCGAAGCGTCATGATGTCTAAAGCGTAACAGAATAAGCATTGGGCTGGGGTTCCAGTGTCCACTGAAGGAAGCTTCTAATCTGGGGAATTCTTTTGTAATCGTGTACAGGAAAACTCAAGTGCCAATGGTTTTTTCTTGGATGTTCTTGTCTAGGGCGTCGTAGTGTACAGAGTAACCTTGGCTGATTATGCTTATTTAATTCTCCCTAGCTGCACTCTGAGCTTAATTCTCGTGTAACACATACTGCGCCTCTTTCATTAGAACAAGGTTTTTGTCCCCAACTCCCACTCCCCAAGTGACATGTCTTCCCCAACCTGGGCTCGGCAGTTAACGGATGAAACAAAGAATACTGTCATACTTCCAGGAAAGATCATCGATGGAAAGAAAAGAACATGGATCGTCAGTGGCTGTCCAGGGCCGCGCAACGCCTCCACTTCCCCAGCCAACGTTAACCCCCAAGCTCTGGAGAATTTATGCTTGACCGACCCCGACGTTGTAAGAAAGACGAGTGTCGCGTGAGGTCTTTCCTCTCTGGGAGCAACCGTCTGCGGGATTATTACCCACGTCATGATTTGCTTGAAGCTATCCACACGCAGGCTTTCAGTTGCCAAGACGAGATCACAGCCTCATTAGCCACGCGTTTCTCCTCTGCTTCTATCTTCATTGTCCCTTTTTTAAGGATTATCTCTTGGCAATAAGCTAGTTTAAGCCCTATCGCGCTTGAGCCTTGCGCAACGTGATGAATGCCGCTCGTTTCGTTTGATGATAGATGAATAGAGTCAAATTCTGAGCACGACGGTCGCAGTAATCGAGTTGCGTAACGAGGAGCACACAACAGTTCTTGGCACATTAATTGAAGACCCTCGTGACGTGGTTCAGTGCGCTGTGAAGGCCGTTAGAAGATCTCTGCGTCTGTACAACGTAGACTATGGACTACTTGTTCCATAAGAGCGTCGCCAACACAATTCAGTCGTCGTTTCAATTAAGGCTGAGCTTTCACTTGAATCTAATAATGGTATTGCGCTAGAAGATCACGGGAATTCGAGGGAAGTTGAAGTGGATGACACTGGAAACGGTCGGGTCCCAGAAAAGAATGCCGATGGCGATTCATGCAATTCCATGGTGGATATCTGAATCAGCCTCCAAAAGAAGTCCGAAACCGCAAACATCTTTATGTCTAGGGATTATAGTAGTTCGTTATATTCACAACAAAATAATAGCTCGAACCCTGGAATATAGGCCATGCAATTGATATTACGACTTGAACCTGAGTCGTCTCCCAGAATGGTCCGGATCTATAACATCCACTCAACTATGCTATCCGTCACCTCCGTACTGTCGATCATCGCGGGGAGCCGGGTAATACTCTCCCGCGGGAACCACCTATGTCCGAGTTACTCAGAAAGGTCTACTGCATTCGCCCAGAGTTTCGTGCCATATATTATATGAGAGATAAGCGAATAACGTAGGTGTTGCGTTCCTTGGTACAATATTTCTGGGTCTACCGTTGGTAGGCATTGCAAGAACGCTCTGGCGCAAACCGGGGGACTTCCCAAAACTGATGTGATGCTATCGAATAGATAAATAAACTGTCTATGTAAGGCCTCACTTCACTCTACTGTTAGCGTCTCAATACCACGTTCTCGGGGCAACTCACCTTTGTCAATCTGGTCTCATCGATACAACCATCTCGTCGATTACACCTAACTATCCTCCCATAGAGCTCAAGCAAAACTCTTCTCCAGCTCCACAAGGAGCACCTTCTCTTGAATCTCAGGAGCTCTATCAATAGGCAATTCGGTAATCGCACCTGTCTTAACATAACCCTGCTTCTCATACCACTTCAGAAGCCCCTTTCTCGTGTGAAGCGCATTCAGTCCAATCTTCTCAACACCAAACTCCCGCGTGAGATGCTCCTCACCAACCACAAGCATCTTCTTTCCCAAGCCAGAGCGCTGGAGAGTGGGATCAACAGCCAGGAGAGCCAGACGGCCAAAGTCGGGGGTCTTCTTGAAGACGTTGACGCAGCCGATTATGGGGCCGTCCGGGATACTGCTGGCGACGAGAAAAACATTGTCCAGCCCGGTGATTCTGTTCAGGATCACTTCCAAGGGGATTTCGAATGTGTTTGCGAGCTCTGGGGAGCCAATCCAGTCGATGCTTGCGTCTGTGAAGCGGAATGCAGCGTGGATAAGGTCTTGAATACGGGGTGCATCGTCCGTGGTGGCGATGCGGAAGTGGAAGTTGCTGGACATTTTGAGAGCCTTGAATTTGCTGATCAGTTGATGTGAGTTATAGGTAAAGTGAGTTGTTAAAGATGAATCGATATATTTTGTCTTATTTGACTGAGATGAGTAATTACTTAAATACCCCACTTGTGAGACGAAGTTCTGCTGAGGATATCGTCTTCAAACAGGAAGGTCGACCAAGGGCGCGCGCAATTGACGATGAAATCACAATCATGACATGTTAAATGGCTTACGGTGTGCCGTATAAGCGGTATTTTACCACACAGGGCGAGCCTTTTACTAGCATACTCAGGAAGGGCGCAGGCTGTGTTTTCAGTCTGGCGAGATCAGATAAATGGTAAGTCGTGTTAATTGCCTCAATTATCAGGATATACATGGTTTATCTCGCAGCATTCTACCCCTCTATCGCGTTTCTAGAATTATATATGGGGACAGCAGCATCTTGACGCTGTAGAGAACTAGAAATCAGGTCAAGATACCATGTTGGGGCGAAAGCACTTACCCGGGACCAGCCAATATCGTGTTTCTAGAGATGTCAATAGTCAACGTTTGCTTAGCCACTTCTATCTACAGTAAAATCTGTAACTGTCCATAATAACAATTGATATAATCTTAAGCCTCAAAAACTTCCTGATAGACGAGTCGTATCTTATACAAGCCCATGTACAGAAATCGGATCCGAGAATTGCTTACCCGTGGTCGATTATTCCCTGCGTGCCCGTATCTCCGTGGATATTCAGCGTCGGGTCCTCGGACCCGCGCAAAACCCCGACGACTTCATTGCCCTATAAGGCTTCAACCGATCTTTATCCAATCAGTTCTGCCAATTGAAACCTCAAGATTACTCAGTGACCGATCCAATGCATCACATTATCAAACCAATTCGCATTGACTGTATTGAAAACTCTGGATGTCAAATTCGTTTGTTTGATGGCGGTGCCTTGATGTTTATTCCGTACAGCTTCTCAAGACACCCATCTAATACTGACCTCTTACAGCAGCTCATTAGACTTCTGAGTCACGATTGAATACACAGCCCAAATGTCCATCCAATTGATCTACAATTCATAAAATTCAGTAACAAAAAGGGTAATCCGGATTCGCGCCTCGGGTCCACGGGTCCATGCAAGCCATGGCAATAAGCGCTGTAAGACAAAGCGTCCTCTAGCGTCGTGTGCACCCCGAATCCAACACACACTGTACAGCACACCCCTCCAATATAAAACCAAGCTCAACCTCAGTCCTCAACCTCGTTCTCTTTTTCCCTCCTTACCAACCTCCAAAACGGACTCACTTACCGTCCGTCTCTCCTTTCCTCTTCCTCTTTAGCCTAACCGGCCTCTCTGCAAACGTAGGGTAGGCCGTCGCCTCCCTAACTTGAATCAATGGGAGCAGCAAGCGCAACAGCAGCAACGTGTGTCCGACAGCCTGCAATGGCTTGGGCCGGATAGTCTCATCAATGCCCCGGCGCCGTCCAGCGATAACAGCAGTGACTTTGGGCTCTTTGGCGACGTTTCCCCCTTCTTGGATATTCTCCCTCCTCCTTGCGACTTCGACACCCAGGCACTTTTCCAGGGCCTTGATGATGCGACGTGGGACTTTGGCAACACCGTTCAGACAAATTTGGGAGATGGACTGTTTGATAACATCATGATTCCTGATATGAACGTTACTCTGGATGCACAGCAGGCGCTCGACATGGCAGATGGCTTCCTCGCTCAGGAGCAGCCTCTCACCGTCAACTCTTCACCCCTCGAGCAGCCATCTACATCCAGCACACCTCACCCCACCAACAAAACCTCCTCATCAATCCCCGGAACATCCACCTTCTCTCTACACCCCTCACCATCTTCATCCTCAGGCTCCTCCCACAAGCGCAAGTCCTCGCCCGAAGACCAGGACTCCAACGTGGCCCTCAAGCGCCAGCGCAACACGCTCGCGGCTCGCAAATACCGTCAGAAGCGTCTCGACCGCATCAGCGAGCTCGAAGAGGCCCTGGCTACCATGAAAGATGAACGGGATGACATGAGACTTCAGCTCGCCAGGAGAGAGGCTGAGGTGGATGCCCTGAGAGAGATGCTCGCAAAGAAATGAGATGGACGAGATATTACGGAAACTTAACCCAAGGGTTCGGCATTGTTATTATTTATGGTGGTTCGGGGTATTGGAAAGACTTCTGGATTTTTTTATTTGACTTAGCGAGGCGTATTTCCTATGTATGAGTGATAGAAATTTACTTGTTTTTGTCATTTGATGGGCCACTTGAGTGAACTCTTATGTCGTGTATGCTGAAGTAATTGCCCGTTTTGCAACTTACAGTCTATGATGGTCTTGTAGGAGCCCTAATTTGTCTTCATGGATATAGAAATGTGGACAAGTGTGATGCTGGACATGCCATTGTGTCGACAGTTTTGCATTACAATTGTAGCAATCACTTTGGTTTCTCTGCCTCTCACGCCTATTTATACACAGATTAACCATAATCACTATCTTCTTAAGTTCCAGATCATCCGGCCTCACTTCAAATTCTGTCTCAGCTTCTCAATATCAAGACATTCACACAACTGACATCAGTACCGGATGAGCAATAATGTATCATTCTGACAAGTCGTGATGAAGCCCAGTGCATCACGAATACACAAATACTGTGAAGACCCCGGACGACAAGGGGAAGTGGGGTGAAGTGGAGTCGATCGTCTTTGATGTGGGATGAGCCAGAATGAGTCATTTTCCTCTTTAGGAAGGAATGAGCTTGCATGGTGGAACCCATTATCGTTATCGCTGTGAAGACATGGTCGTGATAACAACCTTGAGAGAAATGGAGGAGTATTATCCGTTTAGTTATATAACAACTCAAAGATTTATGAAAGACAACATCCACAGGGAGTCAAATTTTAAACTTGTTAGATCGAGCCATCGTGCTCATGATAATTCGTACTTTTCGCACACCTCGACCTGAAAGCGACCCCGTGTCAATATTGCTTGGTGCCGAAGAACAAACACATGTCTTTTAAAATACAACGACTAAATGAGCTAACTGATACCACAGGAACTTACATTTAGATCATAAATGGATTTCTTTCACACGATGCTACAGTCTTGGTGCAGGTTTCACCATAGTAGTAGCCGCCCTGCGACGAGCTCTATCGTAATGGGCAATATCAGTCCGCCATTGAAGAGACACTTCTCTGTCAGTAGTAAATTCACAATCTTTTGATGGCTGATTATCTATATTAAACACGATGCTGGTGTCCCAAAGAATCCTTCTTTGTTTTCTTGTCCCCATTCCAACATTGCATAGAAACGAGTCTCAATTTGAAGCCTCAACACCAGCCCCACAGTCCGGTATGATCGATACGTTACCGTTCCGTGCATCCACAGTCGACAAGAAGTAATATACTGACTCTAGGGATCTTTGCTGTATTAAATCAATCATAACTCTTCTGATTTTTGCGCAGCTGATCAAGTAGTGTTCGCCCTTTGGCGGACGGCCATCCCGATGAACCCAGGCGGATGTAGTCCGAAGGACACAACACGCGCTGCTACTACGTAGTATGTGCATAGCAGGTGTTGGACGATTGTAACAGGATTCTAATAGGCAAGGCAAGGCTAAGGTCTGTCAAGTGCCCAAACCAAGCTTCCAATGGACAAAATATTGGGTATGTCGTCTTTCACCGCTTCATATCATTTACTGAGACCCTTAAGCATGCAGTCTTGGGATCGGTATTCATTTCTCTGTATTGCCTCTTTAACATGCTTAAACCGCAAGACCTGACGGCGTGTTTGGTACATAGACTCCCACGGGCGGTATCTCTATTCAGACTATTTTTCCACACTCACCTCCATATCCCGCCCCTTCCGAGCTCAAATACGCTGACGAAATCAAGGAACATCATCTTCCCCTCTGCAATATCTTCCTTCTTGAGACACCAACTCGTGACCATACTTGTGGGTTCAATCGTATCAAAAGTCCTTCGAATATCTTGGCACAACCCCTCTACCCCTAAGTCGGCACAAGAAACTCACTCGCAGTATTTGAGTGTCACTCAAGACCTACCTTCACCCACATGAGACTGCTTGTCTCATAATACTAGGCAGCGGAAGATTCAGATCCATTAATTACACCGAAACGGAGAAGCAGACCGCCTTTGTCCTTCAATGCATAAGTAAGAAGAAGGTAAAACGCCACACCACATTCCGTCACTTTGCACCTAGCGGTTCTAGAATGCCAATGGCTGGCTGGCACACTTGCACCCTTCTCCAACTTGATCAACAGCACCAGCCACGATTTCGAGCCGCTGCGACACCACGTTCTTCCAAGCATTCCCCAACCTTCGCCACAGACGCAGACAGCGTCTCCTCCACAGTGGGGAGATGCGGCTCGTCACGCGTCTTGCCTCTCTGCCGAGGACCCTTTGACTCAACTTAACTCACCTCGACTTACCTCGCCGGCCCGTTCCATTCGCTGGAGCTCATACGAGACCTTACGCCCGCCGGGCCTAAACCTGCTTTTCGATCCTGGGTCCAAACCGAGACATGCACCAGGCAAAAGGTCATATGTGCTATCATGCCCATGGTGGACGTGTAGCAAGGTATGCTATTGGGTTACGGATGTCTTTGTTGTGAGCTTGTCAGCAAGAGGCTCTGAGCGCTGGACTAGATGACTGGACACATGGTTGGTGTTGTCATAGACCTTGAAGACGCTGTCAGCCGGTCTAGAATATTGGAGTTGGTAACATTATGATGCTTTGTCGTGATTCATAATAACGGTGTCATATTCTTCAGGTCAGTATGGTGTTCCCAAGTAACATCAGATGGGGAGGTAAAGCATGGTCGCAGTGATCGGTTCCTTCGGACCCTAAACACTTAACACACAAATGAGCCATTGTGTCTCGAATGACAGATATGATGATCTTTGAAGGAACCGAAGTGTAGCGTCGTTCAGAGATCGTCCTCAGGGTCTCTCTGCAGCAAGGAATACCGGACTGGACCCTTGACGCAGGCGGGGCAATGCCACGGCTCCGGAGACTTTCCACCGGCCAGTGCACTCGAGTTCTGAGGATAATAGGAATCACAATGGCTGAGTCTTAGCGATAGTGTCGCAACGCGTCCAAGGGGGCGAAAACACCAAAAGAGTCGTGACGATGGTGGGGGAGCAGGGCTGATGACGCCGCCAGATTCGAGTCGGATGATGTGGGGCAAGGATCATGAGGCTTCTCAAGATGCGACTATGCTGCCCATGTCAAGGAATAAGTCGATCTCGTCGGACTTGAGGGTGTGGTGACTGTCCCATCCCTGGAATCTGTTGATGAAGTGGTTCGCTGCGCGATCGAGAGAGCGCACGGGGACGGGTGGTGTACATTAGTGGGTGTCAGACTGCTTGGGCTTAGCGCAGCACTTGCCGAGCCAGCGAGCGCTTATTTCGGATGATGAGATACCGTCAGGTCAGTCTTGAATGTTGATGTCTCGTGGTGGTTGTGTTTGGGAGTGACTGAAGGCTTGCGCGTAAGTGAATGTGGAAGTGGGGATCAGAAATAATTGGCATGGTAAAGTGAATCCAGCTTTGCGGGCAGAGGGTGCGGGTAGAACATTCGATAAAGCAGCCACTTATGCGAAAGGCTGTCAAACCTGGGGACGCCAATCAAGCCACTCAGCTGCCAATAATTTTACGGTGAAGTAGCCAATAACTTTGTCCAAGGCTGTAGGATCTCACTTACACCGACTAATAAGAGAGAAATCACAATTCCTCCACAGCTTTGTGAAGCATGTAGGAGCAGTAACAGAGTATCTGACCGGGGTTCTGAAACGTCGGTCTTGCTCGGCAGTTGATAACTCACGAGAAGACAACTGACGGGGTGCCTCGCAGAAGTGACAGTAACAAGAGGGTCCAGGCTGGTGAAAGAAGGGTGTGGTGGAGTTGCGGGAGAAACGAATCAAGAATGGTGTCGTGATGAAGAGGGTCTTTATTGTAGTGGTGGTGTTGATGATCACCCGCCTGAGACAACCAAGGCTGATGGCTTAACCAAGGGCATCTCGCCCGGCCGTGGCGCAGTGCAGCCCAAAGATTGGAGAAGGCTGTTCTCCTATTCTAATCAATAATCGAGTTCTCATTCTTGACTAGACGGTGCAGGAGACAGATCTTAAGACAGAAAAAACCGAAGCCGACTGGTTGACATGATGTCCGGATTGTGAGGTCAAAACTCAAAGTAACCAGTATAAGACTAATCCCATGCACAATAAGCTGCGAACATCTGCAAATATGTAGATCTAGAGACGAATCAGCTTCAACAGCCACTGTACAATGGGAGCTGAAGGAGCAAGGATGCGTGATGGGATGGGACGAGTATTGGTTCACCATTGGCCTGTTGAAATGCGGCTGCCACTGCTGAGTATGTTGGGCAGAAAGGGCCATTCATCCGACATCCTAGCCTGCGGAAGCTACCCGTAAATACAATTACAGCCTAGTGATGGAAACCACAACTGTAGGCAAGATTCCATCATCCGTAGTCGCTGAGCGGAGACAGCGGCATCGCGGGATGCCTTGAACGGGGTGGAGATGGACAAGGCTCGGGATGGAACGAAACGAGCCGGGGTGAGCTTTTGGCGGGAGGACATTAAAAAGGTGCGTCTATAGACGAATGATGGAGGTGTGGATCGAGGAGCCGGAGATAGGACGATCGTGGTGTCGGCAATGAGAGGTCATGTGGGAAAAGTGGTGATGATAAACGACGACACTCCAGCCTCGCAGCACCCGACTTTGTCCGGCCGCTGCCAATAGATGGGTCATGCACACACAACTGCATATTATTTGGTATTTATTAGACTGAGACAGACGTAGCTTTGTTGTATCTTGCACGCTGTGTCGTGAATAACGTCCAGGTTACTTACTGATATGGCGATGGAGTTTTGAAGTTGCCTGCTGTATGGTGCCGTCACTTACGGCTATTTCTGGACCTGGACCCACTGGATCAACGCTCGGACCCTTCCACTTATCTACCCCTCATTGCATCCCTCCCCTGGAGCAGCTCGCTGTAAGTGCACTGACATTGGGCGTCCGTCAGCTAAACCACCGGTGACAAAGTTCAAGTGCCACTAGAACGGCGCCCCAAACTCGATTCATTCATCACCGCTTCCCGATATGTCTTGCACTCTGCAGGAAATACCTACATGCAGCTGTGATGGCTGGGAGTTGTGTAACTCAAATACCCATTTCCATGTCCCATCTGCCTACTGTACTACCCAAGTTATCTCTGTCTTATGTCACATTCCCTCTTCGTACAGTAACAGGGGTCGTGGGCAATCGCGCATGTGTAATGGCGTCAGTGACTTATAAACAATGGGCTGGGGGTGACACTGAGGTCCGAGATGAGAAGGACAAGATCCTATGATTTCACAAATTGTGCATCGGTATCTCAATGCGGAGATATCCCCACGCTTCAGTGAAACAAATACATCGATGTGCGAGGTCAAATGTCGTACCAAAACACTGCAGCAAGTCATTCACTGATATCAATCTACCAAGATGGGGTTCAAGTGCAGTTGCATGCTGTAGAATATCCTCAGAAGTACTGCAGGTATCTTAAGCGGTGCATTAACGGTAAGCTGCGCAAGCGCAAACGCGTTGCAGTCCGAATCGAGACCGCCTTTGACTAACCAGTCCTGGCTGAGCAGTGACGCCAAGGAGATTGACCATTCGAAGGCGACCCTGGGGGATGCATCCAGGCGCGCACATGGACACGAGAGACAAGGGACTGGGAGGCCGAGTTGGGAATAGCCGTCGATTGCCTTGATTGTCAAGGCGACTGTGAACGGTTGGTGGCTTGGGGAAGTGTATGTATGTCAGACAGGCAGGGGTTCCCTTTCTGTACAAGGTTTGTGGTTTATGTACTCTACTCTGTACTTAGACATCTGATGTTTTCCACGGAGTACAATAAATATGTAAACATCAAGTTGTTGACCAGGGAAACAGGGCCACATGAGAGCTTACACGACAAGGCAAATACAATAAACAGGGAAATTATATCGTCATTCTTGCGAAGATATTACATATTCAGAGAGGCAATGCAAGATCGTTAGCGGCACCCTGAATATCCGGCTCTTGGACGCTGTAGGGGTCCTATTGAAGGTGGGCAATAAATCGGCGGGTGGCGACCTACGATCTTCGAGGACCCTTGACGAAAGATACGAGCGATATCTCTAAATTCAGCTTGTTTATGTCTGCTCAAAATGGATCTTTTTATCATATTGAGAATGGAGAACTGCATGTGTCTCAGTGTGTGGAGAGTCTGGTGCACACACCTAACGTGACGGGTGGCAATGACACGGGCATCTAGACATGAGCTCCAACGTCAACGAACCTATACAAACGCATAGCTTAGCATTTCTGGCGAGCTCACGGACGCTCCGTGCTGTTCTATTGGAAGCATGTTTCATCACATACCCTGCTATCAGTTGTGACTGGAGGAGATTCTCAAGAACAGCAAGATCCAGACCGGCAGAGATGAGATCTATGATACTGACATGACATTTCCCCCGTACCGATGCAACACAAAAGAACGTAATTTGTGCATTAGAACAAGTTATTCAGCACATACTTCTGCGTGCGTGACCCTCTGATGGTCTGATATCTCTATGGCTTGTCATCCAGACAGCTCTTTTAGGACAGCCTGGTAGAGAATGGAGTGCCAGACGCATAGGAGAAGTGTCAAGGGGACATCAAATAACCTAAAAGTCTAATTCCTCTAGCTCGACGGTATACAAATCAGAGCGATAGCCTTCTCCCAGGTTCGTGGAATGAGGCTTGGACGGTACATCAAAGGCTAGTCTGGACTTTTCGGTTCGTATCGTTCCGCCACGGAGGCGTATAAAGTGACCAAGAATATGTGCGAAGTAGACAAACAGGAAGGTATACGATGTCTCAGTTTTTCTTTTTACGGGACTACAAAGTTGAAGAACTCACCTCCATCACATCCATATTGCTAACCCACCCTCAGTCGGCGTTGTGTCTACACCCAACCGTGCAAGCGTGTGGGCCAAAACAGACACGCAACGAGGATGTTTCGTTTCGGGTCCGACAATCAGTCACGTTGACGGTTTTCGGGTTGAAATCTTCTGCCTAAGCCTAGGACTGTTCATGTGTAGGATACTGTCTTGTGGTGTCTCCGCCCCTCGAGGCTATGTAAGCGGGTTGTAGATTAAGTAGATTAAAAGGCACGCCTTGCCCACTTCCAACGGATGGATCTGCTATCTTGTATGATGGCTCTTTCATCCTTTATTCTCCGACTTTTTACATCCTTTCCCTGTTCTGCATGTCATCGTAGACTAGCACCGGTCACCTGAGATATCACACTTCAATAAGAGTCAACACTATAGCAGGCGCTCTCACAACGTCTTACACCAAAAACAGTATCCCGACGGATCCGCCACTTCATTATTGTTGCTCTAATTACTGCCGTCAACTGGGACTATTTTCTCATATAAGCCAGTCTGGAATATTTCCGGATATAGACGTGTCTTACTCGCTGAGTGGAAGTACAGTGATTTGGCTTACAAAGACTGCGACTCGACTATTTCAGCTGATCGCTATTCGATGCAAGCATCTCGACCATCTCGCCAAGTAACTTGCAGTGCAAAATACAAGATAGGAAAGGCAGACTACGGGGTACAGTAGCAGAACAGGCCCTTCTTCCCTTGTCTGCATTTGCCTGCCCGACCAGGTTCCTTGTTGGTGTGTCAATCAGGTGCCTGTCACTCCGCCATCCCCAGCTGACGACCAGCGAGAGCTTTCTCCTCATAAGAAACTGACTGGGACGGTTACTTCTCTCTCCAATTCAATTGAGTTTCAATCGACTTCATTTACCGCTTCCCCTGATTTAACGCCACATTTCATCTAAAGGATACTTTTGCGCTTGGTAGTGGAAGCCGCCGGTTGCACCATTAAAGAGTCCGGGCACGGCGACATACCCCGAGAGGTACAAGGTTGCGCATAGCATCACCGCGGACCAACAAAGTCACTCTGGTTGTTATACCCGTCGCTCGTTGCTCATTGCTCGGTGCTTGGTGCTCGTTGCTCTCGCCAGGTTAAAAAGGCCCCCACCATTTACCCCATCGCATTTGGATCGCATCACCTCATAATCTGACATCGCCCATCGCCCATCGCCCATCGCTATTCTCCATCACGTCAACGCCTAAAAGCCCGCGCCCACGCCCACTTCGGCCGCTCTCGCCCGCTTTCACCCACTACGGGCCCTCGTTTGCCGCCTGCTCCGCCGCTGGGCTTCACGCAACCAGCAACCAGAAACCAGAAACCTCCCGACTCCGACTCCAGCTCCTCACTGGAAACTTGGTACCTAGAACCATTCTTTTTCTAACCTTTGACTCTCTCTCTCTTCCTCCACTTTCTAAAACTGCGCCTAATTCCTCCTCCACCACTTCGACCTTGCGACTTTGATCTCTGATCTTTGACCCGCTCCCACCCCCGATTTCGCCTTTGCGAATTGCTTCGCTCAACACCCCCCCATATATACCATGCCTGAATACCGCCACGCTCGGAGCGGTAGCCTCAGCGTTGCCAGTCCCAACGGCAGCTCACAGGCGACCCCTCTGGCGACCGCTGCCCGCTTCGATGGTCCCCGAAGCCCTCCGAGTATGTTCTGTGTTATGGGGGTTGTGGTTGCATGTTGCACACGACCCTTTCCCCGCCAAACCCATATCCTTGGGCGTTCGCAAATGCTGTACAGATCTACTGACACGCCTTAACCGTAGATACCTCCCACGTGCCTTGCAAGTTCTTCCGTCAAGGTGCTTGCCAGGCTGGAAACGCCTGTCCTTTCAGTCATGACCTGAGCAATGCCGCCGAGAACGTCTGCAAATACTTTGCCAAGGTGAGTGCGCCATATCATGATCGCCTGTTGCCCAACTGCGGGCACCACCCTCTGTGCACGTCGCAACGCCTTCAACGCATAACCAACGCTGACAATTAATCTCTAAAACGCAGGGCAACTGTAAATTCGGCCCCAAGTGTGCCAACATCCATATCCTCCCCGACGGTCGACGCATCAACTACGGAAAGAATGGCGTCACGATAGGCAACACTTCCACCCTCGCAGGGCGCTCCAACCCCACCTCGGCAAGCAGCAATCAATCCTCCACCAGCGCTCTCACCACCTCGCTCTACCGCGCTGATGTCCCCGCGTACGGCTCGGCATATCCCTACGATGAACAAGATCAACACACTCTGGGTCGCCAGCCGAGCCTCGAGAATGGCCTCCCCACCATCGATATGTCTTATACTGGTTCCAACTATGGTTCGCCCAGAGACGAAGAGTCTTTGCGCTTCGGCATGGGCCTCTCTCCTGTTAACAACAAGGGTCTCTCTGTCCTAGACGCTCCTCTTCCCGCATCCTTCGATTCCAATGGCATCTCAAACGCCGCCCGCTTCCCCGCTGGTCCATGGCCCTCGTCTGTTCCCAACCAGTTCGGCATTGAATCTCCCACACCTTCGTTGAGCAACGCTAAGGACTCTCGCACTTCGGAGACTCTCAAACTTCTACACACATCTGCCTTCGGTTCCGAGCATCTCTTGGCTCCTCTGGATAGAAGCCCACCAAACTCTCACCAAGCCAACGGGGAAGAGTACTTCGGCAGGCGAGCTATGCACTCGTCTCGCTTTACCAAGCCCCGTATGCTCAGTTCCAGCATGCCTAAGACGTCTGTTGATCGAGACTGGGAGCCTGGTTTTGCCTTTGGCGACGACGACGACAACCTTCCGGAAAACTATGTACCCGAGAACCTACAGGACCTCCTGACGCCCGTTGAAAAGGCCCGACGGGGTTCTATGCGAGCCGATGGCGAAGACGGCCCAAGCAAGTACGGCAGTCCTATCGGAACAAGCCCCAGCCGTTGGGGTCCCATGTTCCAACGACAGAAGGAAGAGGAAGAAACCTCTCGATCGCTCCGCGGTGCCTCTGCCTTTGGTCATGTGGGAAGCCCTCTCCGGAACTCTATCCTATCACAAGAAATGGGAGGCACAAACGGCTTTGCTCGTCCATCTTCCTTGCGATCTGCCAGTGATGGCATGTCGATGCTGTCTCAACAATTCCAACGAAGCCGTATCGATGACACCGCAGGCAACTCAAGCCCGCTTCTCCACCCTTCAACCGCTCGAGCTGGCACCACCGCTAGCGCCATTAACCCCATCAGCCCCATTGGCAAGGAGCGTGAGCGTGGTGGCATCGAACGTCATGTGTCGAGCGGTAGCATCAGCTCGTCCATGAATGGCCGATTCACCACCCCCATCAACGAAGACGACGAGATGTTCCATATGGAGGGTATGGAAGAAGACGGCGAGCCTTCCGTCAAGTCTCCTAAGAGGACATCGGCTGGACTGTCCATGAACGTCTGGGGCAGCTATGCTTCCGTCGCCGGCAAGTCTACCAACGGAACTAAGGGAGTTCCTGTCAGCGGCCGATGAACGACCAAGGCGGTTCTCTGAATGAATGTTTTCCGTTTTACAAAGTCAAGCGTCGGAGTTGGCAGCTGATAGACGAGCGAGACAATGAAGTTGATGAGCCATGACCTGGAGTGGACAGCACCACGATCGCCACGAACATAACTACATTTCGCCCGACCAGGTTCGGACGACATACGAGCTGAATGGAATTTGAGGGAAAGAAAAAATGAGGTTGCATGACAATCCATGGCCAAGATACAAAAAGGATATAGGATACACGGCCAGGAGTTTTTGACTTTTTTTTCACATCTATTGCTTGATAATCGCTATCATATTTGGGAGGGGTGGTTCCAATTGGCTTTTGCCAATATTGCCCATATACAGTTTTCGACGCTTGATGAGATGGACAAGTGAAGTGTTGTGAAGGAACTACTCTTGGGCGATCTATATTTCAGTTTAATTTGAATGTAGTCACCCATGATAAGTCAACTTCGGGTCACACGCTCGCTTGGACTATTTTATCAGCGTCTGGGCATGGTGTTTTGGGAAGGTATCGGATCTACAAAAACAATCGCAAATGGAGAGGCTAAGGCCCATCGCTAGATATAGCAAGGAGGGCAATCGTGTATGAAAAATATAGCTGCATGTATAGGGAGGACGCATAATGGACGTAGCGTGTTCGCTGGCCTTTGATGGCACTGGATCTAGATTGGGTGTTTTATGCAGTGATGTCAATTTCACCTTCGTCTCAGAACTGAAGATGCACGTGAAACACGGTGTAGAGAGATAGGGAGTTTCTATACACTAGTACAAGGTAAAGCTACAGTAGTAGACATTTAACCATTGACTACTCATCATCCAAACAGCCCGGATCGAATGTGCCTCATTCCCAGCATCTACTTACACTCTTTCACGATATGAACAGGGAAATAAAAGCCAATCATCACAGCTCGTGAAAAGTGAAAAGCAGAAGGATAGACAAAGATGCATTCATGCCGACCACTTGTCGCCAAGTCTCTTCATTCGTACGTCTCGTTCCTCCTATGGCTCCTCCTCCACAGCCCCTCCTGTAAAACAATGAACCGTCTCATGGTGCGCCGAGATTAAAAAGAATTTGGTGCTTTATATTGTGTTTTCTTTTATCTCCTCCCACCAAACATCCTCCCCTCACTTTTCTTCCTCCCCCGGAAATTTTTCTTCAATATCTTCGGCGTCTTGAGAGATATTAAATCCTTGCCGAGGAAGGATTCGCGATTGCGTGTCATGGAGAGTTTTGGGGGTAATTGTACAAAGAGAGGGGAGAAGAAGCCAAGACAGGGGAGGTGGTGGTTTGAAAGTTGGGAGATAAGAGCGTTTAGTTGGCGTCGGGCTGGTTCAGAATGTACTCAACAGCCTGGTTGACTGTGAGGGTGTTAGCAGAGGACTTTGAGTGTGGGGGATGTGGAATGTACCGGAGTGGATGGAGTCGGCGTCCTTGTCGGGGATCTCAATGCTGAACTCCTCCTCGATGGCCATGACGACCTCAACGGTGTCAAGAGAGTCGAGACCGAGGTCGTTGGCGAAGTGGGCGGAGGACTTGATCTGTTATATATGTTAGGTGAGTATTCGAGAGACATGATTTCCGAGACGTACGTTGGAGACATCGTTGACCTGAGAATGACGTTAGCTTCTTCATCTTCTCCATACATAATTGAGTCGGCAATTGGAGGGGGAAATAGCTTCCTCCCAAGCTCTTCCGCTCCTCAATCGCTCCCCTCTGACGTAGCTCACCTTGTCAAAACCCTGCAACAAGCTGATAATTCGGCCCTCAACCTCGCCCTTGTTGAGCGCACCGCCGGCGCTGTAGAACCGCACGGCCTGGAAGCTCTGGATCTTGGGGACGGCAACGGCAGCGGCGCGGGGCGCCACGGCGAAGGAGCGCATGGCAGGTCGGGCGGCGACGCGGACGGATCGGAGGACAGCGGATCGGAACATTGTGAAAATCGTTTCTATTTTTTTTGTATTAAATCTGCGGTGTGGTTGTCGTAGAAGGAGCACGGAGGGGCAATTGAGACGGTACGGCGGGAGTTGATGATGAGGTTGAAGCGTGATGATAAATTTCTCGTTGCTACCCGGGTTGACTGGCCTGTTCCGATGGAGCAAAAGCTAAGTAAGCTAGGCTAAGCTTGGTTTGGTGCTTGTCACGTGATGCCGTATTTCCGGGGACGGGCTCCGGTGTACGTCAGCGTGAGGCCGAGGAAGTCGGATGTAAGAAGTTGGACGGCATCACGACATTGAGGTTGATGTAAAATAGAGACGGAAGTGGAGGTGACTTTTGAGTGTTTGAATTGGCATGCTGGGAATAGTCTTTGGTGGTCAATTGTTGAAATGCTGGTTATAGTCTAGTCAGCATAATCCAACATGCCCTTATTGGTCTGTTGAACTCTGGGGAAAAAGAACACTTACAGCTTAACTGCTCAACACTCACGACAGAAGGGTCAATTGATTATTTTACTTACTAAAGCCGTTACTGTCTTATCACACTAAATATTTGATCAAATACGTTTACTTGACAAATACGAGATAAGCTTAAAGCTGAAGACTAGGGTCAACATTCACAGCATCATCTATCACCCTACCCTGAACCAGACAAGTTAGTCCATCGGCCTATCGGTCACAGAGCATCCTCCATTTCCCCCAATAGGCTGACCACCTTTGCCCAATCCTACTATACGTAAGCCTGGACATCCCAGATATATCCCCATGCTAAGCCTATATCTCCAAGTTATACTTTGTACCGATGATCTTCCCCTCCCGCCTCTCGCCAAGGCCATCAAACGTCCCTCGCCGCTATCCAATCATCAACCCCTGCTTAAGGTTATCTATCGCTTCACCTACCACATCAAGTTAACCCCGGACTACCCTCTCAAGACAATTAGACCTGGGAACTTTTTCCCTTGCGGACCATCGGCTGAGATAGGAAGGAGATGGAATGCACAGGCGCTGGGCCTGGGAAATGATAGCTCCTAGGCTCTGAGCTGTGCTGATTGTCTTACTTTGTTGTTAATTTGCAACCGGGTCGCACGAGATATGCGATGTGACCTGGACATGGGCATTGTTATGCTTAAATACAGATGGGCTCTGTCCCCCGGATTTCTCGATTGTTCACTGTCTCTCATCCCCTTTGAAACTACATTCTTTGGTCCATCATGAAGCTCGGTCTCCTCACATACGCGCTCTCCGCTTCGGCGTGTCTCATCCCCTCCGACTCGCTGCCCGCCTCGGAGCGCCACTCGGCCCTGTCCGCGCGCCAGACCCGTCCGGAGCCCGACTTTCCCATCGGCTCCGGTGACCGCTTCAAGAAGGGCACCATCGTCCCCAAGGGCTTGTCTACCTCTGACCGCAACCTCAAGTCCATCCTCACTCCCGCCGAGGTCTCCTCTGCTCTTGAGGGTCTTGCCAAGACGTTCAAGGAGGTCAACCTCATTCACACTCCCTACAAGACATACGAGGGCGTGAAAACCCTTGGTGCCAGCGTGGGAAAGAACCCCAAGTTCTTCATCATCAGCGGCGCGCATGCCCGTGAGCGTGGAGGTCCTGACCATGTCGTCTACTGGCTCTCTGATCTCCTGCACGCTCGCAAGGCGAACAAGGGTCTGAAGTATGGAAAGACCACTTTCACTGCTGCTCAAGTTCGCAAGGCTCTCGATGCAGGCATTGTCGTCCTCCCCATCATCAACCCTGATGGTGTCAAGCACGACCAGGCCACCAACTCATGCTGGCGCAAGAACCGCAACCCTAAGAGCTCAAAGGGTAACCCCGATGCCGTTGGTATCGACATCAACCGAAACTACGACTTCTTGTGGAACTACAAGAAGTCGTTCAACAGTGCCATTGACCTTGGCTCTGTTGCCTCTGAGGACCCCACCAGCGAGGTCTTCCACGGCACTGCGCCCAACTCTGAGCCTGAGACCAAGAACGTCGTCTGGACTATGGACAAGTTCAAGAACCTGAGCTGGTTCGTCGATCTCCACTCATTCGGCGGTGATGTCCTGTACGCATGGGGTGATGATGATGCGCAGACCACTGACAACAAGGAGAACTTTGCCAACAAGAAGTTCGATGGACGTCGCGGTGTTCTCGGCAAGGCTGAGACACCCAAGACCAAGTACAAGGAGTACATCTCCGCAAAGGATCTCTCCGTCCAGAAGAAGACGGGTGAGCGCATGAAGAAGTCCATGGAGAATGCCGGTACCTCCAAGTACGTCGTGCAGGAGGCGGTCGGTCTGTACCCTACGTCCGGAGCCAGCACTGACTATGCTCTCGGCCGATTCTACGGCAAGGCATGCGGTAAGAGCAAGCTGCAGAGCTACACCATTGAGTTTGGCGAGGAGAGCGGTTCGGCAGCGTGCCCATTCTACCCCAGTGAGAAGCAGTACCATATGTGGATGAAGCAGGTTGCTGCTGGTTTGATGGAGGTTGCTCTCCAGGCGGCTGATACTAAGACCGAGACTAAGAAGTGCCCATACACTAATTAGAAGGTTGTGGCGTTTATAGTCGAATAATGTAATTACGAAATTGAGGTTCAGTACTGGATTTCTGCATAAGTGAAATCACAACACCAAACAACTCACCTTGCTCACCTGTTAATATTATAATACGTGCTCATCCTGTTACTGCGTATCACACATCCCTATCTCTTCAGCATCACACCGCAAGCCAACCAAGTTGAGTGACAAAGGGGCATTTTCGGGCATCTAGATTATGTACACCACATCTCATCCCTTCAACTATCTGAAAGCCTCATTCCGCTCTCTCATTTAGCAAAATCCCTTGCCGCCTTCCACCAAAAAAACTGTTCCTACAGTACGACCGTCACAAACGACCCCGAGGCAACAAACAAAAACTGTAAACTATGCAAATCAATCGACGTATCCCTTTCCTTTTCGTCATGGCTTCGATCTAACGGGTTTATCGGTATGGCGAGTCGGCGCGGATGCTGGCTGCGAGCTCGGGCTCCCACTTGTCTCCGTTGGAAAGGAGTTTCTCTGTTTGCGACGTTAGTAAGGATCTGGGTAGCGGCATCTGAACAGGTTGTCCAGAGTAGTCGCAGGTGGGATACGTACCCTTGTTGTATAGAAGCTCCTCTCGGGTCTCGGTGGCGTACTCGGCGTTGGGCGACTCAACGATAGCGTCGACAGGGCATGACTCCTGGCAGAAGCCGCAGTAAATGCACTTGGTCATGTCGATATCGTACTTGGTTGTTCGGCGGGAACCGTCAGCTCGCTCCTCGGCCTCGATGGTGATGGCCTGGGCGGGGCAGATCTATATATTCAGGTCAGCGAATAAACCTGACAATGCCTTTTGTAGGTGTTCGTACAGCTTCGCAGAGCTTGCAGGCAATACATCGCTCTTCGCCAGAGGGGTATCGTCGAAGGGCATGCTCGCCACGGAATCGAGGAGAGATAGGGCCCTGATTAAGTTAGTTATTCGTTCGGTATATACAGATACATCCTTCGTTGGCTACGTACCTTCTCGAAAGGGTAGTAAATAGTGTAACTGTGTTCCTCGTCAGTCCCTTCTATTTCTCTATCTCGAATATCCAGATTTCTTTAACGTACGGTGGTCGGAAGAACTGCTCGAGCAGGACATACATGCCCCTCGCCATCTCCGTCATGAGGAAGTATTTCCCCATGCGGTCCAGCGTGCTCTCCTTATCCCACGTCCACTGCACACGCTTGCTCTGTCGGAAGTTGGCGGGAGGAGGTCCATGGGGCGTCGCGTAGCCACGGTACTGCTGCTGGACGAGACCGATGATGCTGGCTCTGCTGCCGACCAGAGAGCTCGAGGCGAGCTGGCGTCGCGCAATCATGGCGTGAGCCATTGTGTCTTATTCGGGGATCGGGCTCGAGGAGGGAGTTCGAGGTGGAGAGGACAAGGCCGAGGGGGAGGTCAATTGACGTCCGGGGGTCAATTGGGTCGAGCTGGTAGGGCGGGAGGCGAGGATTTGACGAGATGGATGTGTTCGGCTAGGAAAGTTGCTCAGCGGGATTACAACTCTGGGCCGTTGATTGGCCGAGAAGACACCCGTGATCTGGCACGTGACATACGTCGACATGCTTCGGTCATCACTTAGATGATGATCACGACATTCGTCCATTATTATGTAGCCAGTGTCATGCTAGTATAATTATTTCTCATCTATTTACATAGGCCGTCTAATTGGTATGTTTGTCATTTCGTTCCCGTATCCTGTTCGTTATGTCGTCTCAATCCTTGCGGCTGCACAGCTCTACTAGTTCAGCATATAAACTACCCAAGTAGCTTTCATTAACAGCAAAAACTCCCAAATCATGCATATAACTCAAAGATCTGCTTGTATGATCGTGAGCTTTAGAAACTCTTCTCCCATGCCTGCCACCACAGGCCCATATTTGCAGATACCAGTAAATCCAGCATTTTCAGACCATCAGGATAAATAATGAGCTTACCCAGCTTGGCTCTCTTTCCGCGATTGCCACCGCCGGCTTTCTCTTTGCCCAGGTTCAGATCGAATGGTGACACCATGCCGTCGTTGTCGTAGGTTTCGCTTCGCTCGTCTCGACGAAGGAGTTTGTTGAAATGTCCCTGAAGCTGAGTCTTGACTTCCTCACGACCTTCGGCAGACTTGAAGAGTTCTGCGGTCGGGAGATTGAAACGAAGTTCGCTCATGCACATACCGCCACCGCTGCCTGGAGCTTGTCCGTTACCAATATCGGCGAGAGGATTGCTTGGTAGTCTGTCGTCATGCAGAATATGATAGCATCGCAGACTCCGGCCGGCGGCTCCAGTTCGGAACTCACATCGGCCATTCCAGGGACTTGTAAAGATGTATCCCCTCGGTCTCAAGCCTGGGCCTGGCTGCATTGAGATTCCTGGCTCGACAGGTGAAGATCCCTCTGTAGAGTCCAGCGACCCAACGCTACCCTGTCGCCCATGTCCCTTTCCAGCACCATCTTGCATTTTCCCACGCCAGTTGAACGCCCAGCTCTTTGCATAGCCCATCGCAACCTGTCTCTGCAGTACGACACCGCCATTCTTGGGCTGACTCATATCGGCGCCCGGACCAGCATCAAAACTACGTCGCGCAGGCATGCCGCGGAACTTTCCGTATCCCAAAGTCTCAATCTGGACGTTGATGGGGGGATTTCCAGTGTTCGGTGGTTGCGCAACGGGTGGCACAGAAGAGAACAACGGATTCGCCTCGTCCTGGTCGGGTGGTGGTGCTTCAGTTTGAAACGATGAAATATGTCCCACGTTCCACTGGTTTCCTGTACTGGGATCACGGCGTATCAGAGCTAATGTAAATGGATGCTTTCCCTCATAGTTCTTTTGTGGTGATGGGGAACGACTTTGGGCGGCTCGGTTTTCTCGTCCTGGTCGATTCGCAAACATTCGGTCGAAATCGGAAGCTCCTGGGTGCGAACTAGGGATAGGTGGAAGAGGATGGTCTTCTGACCTGAGCGCACTTCTCGTTGTTGGCTGAGGTCCAACTGGCTTTCGAGATACTGAAGGTTCAGGAGTCTGGATTCTAGGTAGGTTTGTTGGCCGAGGAGGCAGGACAGGGCTGGATTCTTCTGGCTCGTGGCCATAGCGGCTGGACGTATGTCGAGGATCAAAGGTTGAATTGACCGATAAGCCGCGTCTGCGGGTCTGGTCTTGGTCTGCATCGCTGTAGCCTGGGACAGGAAGATATTCGGATCCGGGAGGTGTTAGAGGTCTTGCGCCACCAGGAACAGGCTTCCTCTTGATATTCAGTATCGAGGAGCTCTCATCGCTCGAGGATCGGTGGTCTTCATCTCGAGGCTGCGCTCCTGCTGGTTCTAACGAGGGGGCTTCGAAGTGGACATAGTAAAGGCAGCTGGCGACATCTTCGGCGCTGACGATTTTTAGCTGCGGCTTGAAAGGTGAGAGGATGACATCTGTTTTGAGGCGGTGTTAGTGTCAGACCCGGTGGGGGTGTTAGTTTTGGGGGTGTTTGTCTTACCTCGAGTGCCAGGAACTCTGGAGATGTAGAGAGTCAGGGGATCTTGTCTCTCTTGCGCAGGGTTGATGGGGTATTGAGGCGGATTGCCTGCAAGATTATTGAGGGCAGTTAAAGAACGAGCTTCCATTTCTTGGAGTTTGTGGGGTTGAAAGTCGCAAGTCGAATCGTGTGGGGGCGTGAGATGAGGAGAATAGCCCAAACGGGAGGTTGGAGTAGTCAACAAATGAAGAACCAAAATATCTCCGACCTCGTTTGTTCTGAGAAGACTAGAAAAATAAGGGTCTGACAAAGTCAAGAGACTGTGAAAATATGAAAGTAAAGATCAGGGTAAAACGCTGGGGTATCAATTAGGTCCGAGTCGAGTTATGTATAGTAGATCAGGTACGTGACGTTGGGCTAGCTGAGAAGCGAGGGGAAAGCGGACGACTAATAAGGAAAGGAAAAACTTGTAGTGGTATCAGCGACGTGGCAGAAGAGAGCGAGTGAGAAAGAAAAGTAGAGGAGAAGATCTTGGCGTGTGAAAATAGAGAGAAGAAAAGAAAGGATCAGCCTTGCAATTTTGAACTCCCTTACTCGACTAAGGTAGAAAGACACAGCAAAAAGCAGACGGCGAAAACCCAACGTCAGCTCAGCATCAAGTGGCTGTGCTAGAGCACCGTGCCGTGCCTTGATAGAAGGTACTAAAGGAAATAACGGCTGCTTATTTCACTTGGCAGGGTCCATTTGGATGTTCTAGATTACCTGTTCTATTCTTTGAGCTGAATCTCACCCTATTCTGCCACAGTTTTATTCTTTGAGACTGTCTGTGATGCTGTGGTTATTGTCTCTTTGGTGATACAACGAATATTAAGATGACTGAATGGTAGCCGGAGTCGGAGGTGGACGAAAAGGCGGGCTCGGGCTGTGGAGACGCGTCTGGAGTACGCACTCATGCCCGCCCGCGCACTGCCGACGTCACTTGGCGGGATCAGGGGTTAACTCTACCGGGCCGGGGCCTGTAAGGAATCCGCGGGACTCATCATGGGGCCCTGTTGGCACTGTGACATGATGCTAAAAACTGGCGTGATTCACGGTGTCTTTATCACTCACACTGTCCGAGGGTCATCATCGTCTCTCGTAATCCTCATCCATCTTTGATGCCGAAAAGCAAGCCACCTCCAAATTCTGTTCTATTCTATTCTCAGAAACACTTTGTCTACCCGACCTTGATTCTTGTCACATGCTCAGCAAGGGTGGTGCTCGATTCTAGAAACTGGTCTTGTGCAATGCGCTCGTCACTGAACTTCCGCTTACATGGACCATCCTAGATCAGAGCCTTTCTGCCATCACCAATAGAATATTTCACAAGGCTGGGCTGAATAGCTACAGTGACGTATTCCTGCTACGCATTAACTGCCAAGAGAGTGGTTAGATAAGTTTCTTTTTTCTTTTCATCTCTTTGTGACGCTCGGATGCTCGTTGACTCGCTGAGTTGTCAATGCTGAAGCACAGATCAGTCTCTAACTAACGTTAATTGTAGGTTATCACTACAGCATGATTGAGATGATACATCATCAATGTGGCTTTGCTAATTGCTGTCACTTTGAAAGAACCCACATATCAACGCCAGTATGCTTTGACTTAGTATCATTGGCGGCTAGTTCATTGGAGTTGTCCCTTAGACCTTTACCAGTCTGGTTCGAGCTAGGTTGTGTCGAGTCCTCAAAGACACGCGCGAAATGCCACCAGACAGCACTACCACGGCTGAACCCCAGATTGTCCAACAACCTTTCCCACATCCCCATCCTTCTCACCCTCAATAACGCTCCTGATAAGCTCTCCTCCAGTAGCTGGATCCCCAGCTCCAGCCTTCTTCAGCAGTTCAGGGTTTCCTCCCAGCCCCGTGGCTAGGAATCCCGGACTGACAGTCCATACTTGAACTCCATCTCCCTTAAGCAGATGGTGCCACGACAACATCACCATGTTGAGCGCTGTCTTGGCAGACCGATAAGCCACAGCTGTCGGCAGTCCCGGCTTGGGCCAGCCCTGCGGAATGGACCCTGAAACTTTTGTGAGGAACGATTCGTGTGCACCCTGCAGCGTGGAGAGGCCCGAGGTTAGGAAGATCATGCGTGGCGATGAGGATGCGAGCAGAAGGGGGACGAATGTCGCGGTGAAGACCTGCGTGCTTGAGACGTTGACCGAGTATGCTTTGTCGAAAACCTCGCGAGCCATGGTAGGATCACCGCCATCGTTGTGGTTGAACGACTCAAAGTTGGCGCCTACAGTAACGGTCAACTCAACTCAGCTCTAACTCGTGCCATAACCTACCAGCGTTGTTGACAAGAACGTCGACCCTGCCAAACTTGGACTTTGCAGTTTCAAAGAGTCTGTTGATAGCTCCATCATCGGTAATGTCAATCTGCACAACATCGACGCTGCTCTTTGTGTCAGGAAACTCCTCGGCGAGCTGAGCGACTGCTTTATCGCCGTTGGCAGGGTTGCGGCTGCCGAGAAGAACATGGTAGGCCTTCGAAGAGCGAAAGAGGGCCTTGACGGCTTCGAAGCCGATACCCGTGTTTGCGCCGGTGATGAGAACGATTTCTTTGTTTTCAGCCATGATGGACAAGTTGATGAGTTGGGAGATGATGGCATTGACTTTGAGAATGGAGAGGGGTTGCCATTTATATGCATGGCGCTTTTTTGTGTTACTGATTCATTGTTGCAGGTGCAGCCCAGAGTTGTTACCCTCGTGCAATGGCAATCTCGCGAGCAAGCGAGCTCGCAACAGTCTTAGATGCCCAGTGTCGCGGACTACAACGGACGGATTTAGGACATAACGAGGCTATCTGCAGTGGGAAGAAGAATCCCTGGTTGTTTTTTATGGGTTTCATTAAACTGGAGTGAGGCACAGCCAAGACAAGTTTGTGAAATCACGACGCAATCTTTCCTTAAGCAGGGGGATGGGGGCTCATCTCAACCTTTCCTCCTTATCGACGACGAAGGTTGGAACGGTTTGGGCCGGGCTCTCGGACATCTGTGGAGCTCGCAGCCCGAGATGTCGCGCTAGGTTCCGGACCCGGACTTCAAGCTTGTGCGGGTCGTCGGACACGGAGCAACTCATCGTAGAGAGTAAACAAATCGCTGGCCGGAGCTTGCCAGTCTGTAACGTTATGCAACTTATCCAGACCGAAAACTATCCGCGCTTGCTTTCCCCTTCCTTCCAGACTAGGCCACCGGCGGAAGGTCTCCGCGGTGGGCATCAATGCCTCGTCGGATTAACGTTCCGGTTCCTGTATCGGAGCAGAGTTCCGATGTCATCATCTTGAATGTGAAGTGTAAATAGCTGTAAGTAAATATGATAACTACCCCGCATTGGGTGAATTACCCCGCGGCGTTGTACTGTCTGCTTATACCTACTCTATGGCCTGCCTAACATAAGCTCAGCATCTTCATAACTGAACTTCCACACACCTATACTGTCAATATGTCCCTGAAGAAAGTCCTCCTCGTTGGCGCCAACGGCAGTCTAGGCTCTGTCCTCCTCGAAGGTCTCGTCGCCTCCAAATCCTTCGACGTCTCTGTCGCCAGGCGCGAATCCTCTAAGTCTACCCCCGCACACGCCGACTCTGTCTCTATCATCACCATCCCCGATGACTTCTCCCTCGATGGCCTAATCCCCGTCCTCAAAGGCCAAGACGTCGTTATTGCTTCATTCCCCTTGGGAGGTGTCGTCGATCATCACCTGCGCCTTGCTGAAGCTTCTGCAAAAGCCGGCGTGATACGCTTCATACCCGCCGACTTTGGCAGTTGTGATGCGCAAAGCGAGCAGGCTAAGAAGTTGTTGCAGCTATATCGTGATAAGGATCTGGTGAGGAATAAGGCTGTCGAGCTTGCGGACGAGTATCCTGGCTTCACATGGACGTCGCTCGTGTGTGGGCATTTCTTTGACTATGGTATCCGCGACGGTCTTCTACACACCGATCTTGAAACCAACACGGCAGTAATTCTCGACAAGGGCGACGTGCCAGCCTCAGCATCCACCCTCCACCGCGTCGCCGAAGCACTAGTCGCCGTGCTCAAGCGCCCCGACACGACAAAGAACCGACTCCTCTACGTACAAAGCTTCTGCAAGACACAGCTCGAGGTGGTGTCCGCGCTGGAGAAGGCCACGGGCGCAGAGTGGAAGAAGGAGTTTGTAGACTCCAAGACGTTCCTGGAGAGGGAGGTGAACAAGCTTTCTGTTGAGTATAGCAAGCATGCGATGGAGGAGATCGTGTTTGTGCTGGGGGCGCTTGATGCCGAGTGGCCCAAGAGAGGGGATGCATTTGCGATGAAGGAGTTGGAGCTCGAGGATGAGGACCTCGATGAGGTTATCCAGAAAGTTGTGGATGACTGGAGGAGGGAAAAGGAGGAGAAGAAGTGATAGGTGTAATATGAATAAAACATAGAGAATAGAGAGTCTCAATGGGTTTACGTTGGCTGTGAAGACTAGACATCTACAACATTCAGGGACATCAACGACTGGGACGCAGACTATTTTGAGAATCCTTCCTATTCATGAAGTGCATTTATTTGGACTAGTCTATCAGGACACCCTCATTGAACTAGTTGCCTATATCTGGTATGCCTGCTTAGAGCTTCGCATAATATGAATGATATCTCACGATGATTCCTCAAGAGACAAGCTCCCGCCCAGAAACAACCAGTGCCGCAACTGCCGATATCTAAAAATACCTTCGCCAATCTAGATCGGCACACAACACCAATTCCGTCATGCTTTACATCACATCCCTCGTATTTATCCCCTCACATAAATGCCAACACTCGATCCGGCGGGCCAAGAGTGATCTCCCGGCGCCATCTTTCAGCCACAGCTTACTTCACATGTGTCACTCTGCATTATTTCCATTCCTGTTCATCACCTCGTTAGCTCTCTACGGAAAGAGGGCAATCGGATCGTCGGAAGGATTGTGATATGGTTTCTTGAACTCGTATTGAGGTCTCGGCTGACGATGTTTGAACATATGAAGTGAGGGTTGATACAAGAGCTGAGAGTATATAGACATCAGATCCCCCTCTTGTAAATAGGAAGTTCTATCCTAAATACAGCATCGCAGCTGAAAACAGGCATCTTACCATACTTATACTTAACAAATCTTTATACCTCTACTTTGAACAACATGTGGTTTCCATACATCCTCACGGCGCTCCTCGCCGTGTAAGTCCCCCATCCTCCCTCAAATCTCTAACTAACACACTCAGAACCCCCTCCGCCGCAAAGAAATCATCACAAACCACAAAGCCCTGCCCAACCATCACATCCACTGCATCAGTCTGCTCGACCTGCATCACCCTAGCTTGCATCTCCTTGTCCACAATCACCTCTCAGAAGAACTGCCCCTCGAGCGTTCCCACCACCAAGACATCCTTCCCCTGCTCCAAGTCCCAGTGCCCCAGTGGATGTGCGACATCTTACGTCTACCCCTCATCGTACGGAACCAGCAAGCCTGTTTGCCCGACTGTCACTAAGACAGCAACTGTTTGCTCGGATTGCATTAGACCTGCGTGTGTGTCTTTGTCGACGGTTAGTTCAGTCTGTGGATGTCCCAAGACCCCGGCCACAGTTACCACTGGTTTTCCCTGCGGAAAGAAGTGTCCTGAGGGGTGTGGGACGGAATTTGTTACTCCTACGGTGACGCCGACTTGTAAGAAGGGCAAGGACAAGAGTGAGGATGACGATTAGGGAGGTTAGGTGAGGTTGACTAAAGTGTAGGCGTGGTTGGACATGGATCTAAAGGGAGTGGCTGTGAACCCCGGTTTCAGAAGAAGAACATTTCACTCAAGAGACTGCAAAGGACGAGGTCTTTAATTGTCTTTGTTATTTTACTATGATACGAATGGTTGAGTTATCGGGCAGGACAACATAAACTCCTTTCAATGCATTCTCTCAGACTACGTTCACCACAATCAAGATTGACCGACTCTGCTAAATTCACAATGGCTTCTTATGAGTGAGTAAAAGGCCACACCAACCTGGACAGGCTGGTAAAATCTTCACGCATTCCTGTCGATGGCTTTAGTGGCCGAGACATGTCGCCCGTTGACTGCCCGCCACCACGCCAAGTTGAACTGCCGCCACTTGGAACGGACGCTAATAACCCTCATGTGTAAGTGTTTACAGATCGACTAGAGTCGGAAAATTTACAGCCATTCATTGAATTGACCCTGTCGCTGGTTGTGATTACTTGACAATGCAGAGGCTGGGGCGATGAGGAGATATATAAAACTTCTACTCTTCGGCCAAACATATCATTCAGAACAGATTAAACTCAGATCACTTTCGAGACAAGACCTATCACTTTAACGAATATCTCAATTATAAAACATTGTCACCATGTTCATATTCATCCTCCTAAACCTCGTCCTCCTTACAACTGCCCTTCCAGCTCCTCACTTCCAATACATCGGCTGCATCTCCCGCCAGTCCTCTCCAACATTCACGCCTACATCCCTGACAGCACCAATAACCATCTCGCAATGCATCCAAGCCTGTTCCGGAAAAGCTACCCTCGTCGCCATCGGCAACGGTATCTGCTTTTGTGACCAGGGAAGTGCCTCTGCATCCTTCGAACTTGTCGACGAGCAGCGCTGCAGTGAGCCCTGTGTCCCAGGCGACGGACGGTGTGGCGGAGAGGGCGTTTTGAGCTTGTACCAAATCTCTGGCTGTAAGGGGGATTGCAATGGGGGCCGAAATGGTACTGTCCCACCTATTGTGCCGCCTTCGCCTTGTACGCTGTGTGGTGCATCAAAGCCTGTTTATACGCCTGTTCCCACGCCTGCGACGAAAGTTCAGTCAGCCAATTGTCCACCTGGAGGATGTCAGACGGCTGTGACCGTTCCGATATCTACACCTGTTTCGAGCAACTCGACTTCCAAGCCCTGTGCGTCTGGAGGATGTTCCGCCGATGACCAGTCTGGCAGTCAGGCTGGATCGGACCAAGCACCGACCGGCCAAGGTTCTAACGCAGCACCTAGTCTTGCGAGTGAGAGCCCGAGATTGTATACACCGGGTATACTATCAGCTATCGCAGCAGTTATTTTTGGGTTGGCATTGGTATGAGCTGGCGCCAACATGATGGGAATGGGAACGGGAACGGGAAAAGGATAAATATGTGTATTTTCATGTTGATTGGAGTTAAGATGTATATGAGTTATGAGTTTATGAGTTAGATTATAATTGAATTTATAAACTAAAATATCTGTGAGTGTGATTACTTCAGACAATGTCCCTCAAGTGCCAACTAAGTACTGACTCATGGGTTTAGTCCTCACTGCTTCGGTGCTTCAGTCAGCGGGACATATCGAACACCAAACAACTTCTTCTTGGTGATCTCCCCGTTACCATCCTTCTCAATACGCCATACGTGCTGGTTATATCCCATCTTGTCATCGTCAACGGGTATGAACATGCTATACATGTTAGCTTTCGTTCTCAGTATACAGTGTATAACTCACCATCCAGGAGCCTTCAACTGCTCAAGTAACTCTGGGTGAATCTCCACGGCCGATGCACCGACATGAATAACATCCCACCCCGTCCCCTCGCCCTGCTCGCCCTCTCTCGGCTCCTCGGCCCATCCTTTCCTTCCATCGCCCAATCTGAACCTCACTTTCCCACTCTCGAGAAATCTTCTCCCGTGTTCACTTTTCGCCATGTTACCCTCGCCTAGCTCTTTTAACTGTCTGATATGTTCAAGGCCCACAACGAGACCCTTCTCGCCAACTAACTCAGCCATAACATGGGTCAGATAGCCAGACCCAGAACCGATGTCGAGGATGCGTGGAGAGGGTGAGGCTGATGATGGGAGGAGATAGCTGAGGACATGCTCGATGGCTGAAGCGTGCATATGCGGTGCTGATATCGTCGCTGAGTGGCCGATGGGCTGGGGGGAGTCCTCGTATGGCATCTCTGGAGCGTAGTGCGCTCGGTCAACCTGGGCTGTCAGTATTTGGCCGGTACTTGAGATGAGAGTGTACCTTAAGAAATGCTTCCTTCACTCGAGCATCAGTAATGAGTCCATTCTTCCACATGTTCTCAATCAGTGCCGAGTTACTATCTCCACTACACGTCCACGCCATCTTGATTCCAAATAGCCGCCTTTGATGTGTAAGTTGTGAAGTCTGCCTAGAGAAGTTCGGAAGCGGAGATAGGAAGTGCAACAATTTCTTGGTTGGAGCCACGATGACGGTAAAATGATGGCGGAGAATGATGAAAGTGAGACTGCAATATCTGTTTTGAGTCCAAATAGGTCGCTGTGATGGGAAGGAGTGAGCTGTAGGTCACGAGAGTCGTTGCAATGTTATCATTATGAGCTGCCGAAGCTGTGCGGGGCCGTTCCGTAATCCGGGGATCGGCGACGGGTAACCCCACAAGCGAATAATGGCTGGCATTCACTAACAACCTGACAGGGGCTTTAGATCGATCAGCAGGGGATGTTTAGATATCCAGCATGGACATGGTTTTACAAGCTGGGCCGATCTTGCCTTAAATACAATGTTTAGATCTGTGCCGGATACATCATATCACATACGAACACAAACAGTATAGAACACGAATCAAGATCGTATGTTTTGTAGACGTATATAGAAACGTATGAAACTGCGTGCGACGCGCCAAACAATAAGCTTGTAGTAGGAACCCAGATATCCTTCCTATCCTCCCACCCAGAAAAACGCCGAAAGAAAAAGAACGAACGCCTGCGTCTTTCGACTAATGCGCTTGCACAATGGTATTGTTTGTTGTACAGTTGTAATAACCCGCTAATGATTTCTAGACCACTCGTTCGTTGGACTCGCCCTCGGCAATGATCGGGACGCCCAGGCCACGGTCAGGGCTCTGCAGGACGAGCTGCTCGTGGCGACGTGCTCGTAGAAACTCGGCGACGCTCTTGATAAGAAGGAACCAACCGACAACCATAAGCACATATCCTAGCCACTCGCCTCCGCTGATGCTACCTAGATCGTCGTCTGTGACATCGCCCTGCTTGAAGTTGTGCGAGTTCGGGTCGGGGGGTGCGGCGTAGCCATCGGGGCCGCTCATGGCTGGGGGGTCGTCTTCGGCAACGCCTTTCATGTAGAAACCGTACTGGATCAGGGTGATGCCGAGACCAGCGCGAGAACCGTTCTTGGCGGCGTGGGAGGAGTGGAGGAGATATGTGAGGAGGAAACCGACGAGCTGGAATGATGTTGAGATCATGCCGTTCCAGACGAATGAGAAGAATGAGCCGACAGGCATGCCGTCGATGTAAACCTCGTCAGGCCCGCCCATGCCAGGAGCGAGAATAGTCGTCTCCCAGTATGGAGGAGCAGCGTCAGCCGCGGCTTGTTCGTAGGACTAGGAAACGTTAGTAACAAAGATGCAAGAAATCGAATCGTGAGTGACATACCGGTGGTAGTTCGTCCTTTTCGGGGTCGGTGTTTCCTCCTCGCTCGGGGCGCGCTGATAGATTGGCAAAAACACCATCGGAACCAGAGCCTCCTCCAACGACTCTTGTTGACCTTGATCCAGAGGGCGCTGGTACCGGAACAGCCGGTTGAACGGGGGCATGTGTCGTAACATTTTCCATAGATGGCGTCGAGTTCTGTCGCATCAAGCGCCTTCTATCATCAACTTCATCGTCGCTTTCGTCATCATCGTCAAAGGCATCGGCGAGGGTAGAGTCGACCTGGCGCGTTGGTTGGGGAGAAGAAGATCGGGAGTGAAACGAAGGAGGTGGCGAGTGGGGGGTCGGCTGAGAGAGGTGATTGTTGTTGTTGTTATTACGAGCGCCAAAGTCTTCCTCGTCTTGGGCATTAATCTGAGGCTTTTTGTCAGCACTCCATGAATATTATCTCGATAAACTCGCGACTTACTCGTTCGTATCGTCCTGACATGATGGCTATCGTCTGGCGGTGTCGGGCTGCCTCCCGGATCCGCTAACCAAGAGAACAAACGCGATGTAGGGAGCGAACCGTTGAGGTGGTGAAGAGAAGAAGGAAAAAAAGGAGATTCAATCTATCGGAGATGTGGTCGTGAACAAGTGCGAAAAAAAGAGAGGTTATCAAGGAATGACGGCGAAAGAGTTTTGGAGTTTGAATTGGTTGTGTTTTCGTTGCCTTGAATAAAGACAGCGATTACGAGGCGAGGAGAAACCTAGAGCCTGCAACTGGGTTAGGTTGGGAGGCGCCTCAGTATGCGGCGGGCGGCTCGGTCTGTATTCGGGTTTTAGAGGGTACTGTCACAGTGTGGATAAGTCCAGGGGCGGGTCTAGAAGGGTCTTCAGGGGGCGTATCGCCGTATTCGTTAAGGATGATAACGTCGCGAAGCACTGTGTCGCTACTTGAATTCTCGGTCATAGCCCCTGTTAATCTAAGACTAGGGGCACAGCAAAAGACATAGGGGACGTGATCTCTGGGGAATGGGTGTTTCCGCAATCGAAAATCGTGGAAATGAATGACAAACCATTCTCGTCGCTGGTCACAGAAATGATGACTCTCTGAGGTGGGCTGTGTCAGGTAGCGTTGGCTCCACCTCCACATTGAATCACATCTCGGGCTTTTCCCTTTCAAGACTTCAGAATGCATGAGGCAATCACTTTAAAGGGTCCCGTGGCAGCCTGAGGCAATTTACGCATGACCCAATCATATGCTTTTCAATTACAGTCTGAGCAACCAATGACACTGTATCTACACACTGTCATATGGAATTTCTTTAATGGTTGACGTCGAGATATTCAGTAGTAGAGAAGTCCCATTCTAGCAACGACATCACATTCAATTCACAATGTCGCGCCCACTATCTGTAAGCTACTATTACTCGTTCCGCATCGGAGGAACCAATAAACTAACCATTGTCTCTCCCTCAGCAAAAGATCTACTCCGACGTCTTTAAGCGCTGGCCAAAGCAGGCCCTCCGTCCCGATCACCAACTCCAAGATGTGTTGAGCAAGACTGTGACCGAGCGATTCCAAAATTACAAGCCCTCCATGGAGCGTGAGGAGATTCAAAAGGCTAGGGCGCTACAGTTTCTTCTTCGGGACCGGTTCAACGACCGAGTATGTGCCATGATATAACAAGATAAAGATGGGAGCTAATTTCTGAACAGTTTAAGCTCAAGGGACTTTTGCTCGAGCCAAAGAGCCAGCCTACATACTTCACGGATCTAGTAAAGGAGATTGATGAGGCGCCGAACAGATCGTGGTTCGAGAGATTGGGTAAGAGGTTATCTGGTATGATTCGGTTTCAGTAATTGAGATGACGACAAACGACTTAATGCCAAAGGAGGATACCAAAGGACGTGTAGCAGGCATCTGATGTGTATATGTATTGTACTTGTACATTGTATCAAAAGCGATTCCATTATATCCCCTGTTGTTCAAATGCAATTGCCTGTAGAATACTTTTTAAATTTCCAGACTCGTTTAAATATACCTCTCGTCGGGATCTATCTTGTTGAACCACACCTGGATCTGTTCATACGCAGTAAACACCAATCCTCCCGACACAACCAACCTCGCCAATCTAGGCAGCGCACCACTCCAGAACGTCAACACACCCTCGTGCTTGAAGATAGTCGTTGCGCACTTGAAGCTATTTCCATAAGTCTTGTGCGCTTCGATACTCTGCATGCGCGTCTTGATTGTGTCGAGCGGCTGCGTAACAAACACGGTGATCAGACCGGCCAGACCACCAATGGCAAAGGTTCCCACGGCGCCAAGCTTCTCGCCGGGTGCTGTGTACGACTCGGCCATCTGCTTGAAGAAGTTGTAGGCTGTGAATCGTGTCGCGCTGTTGGCGGCTTGTCGGGCGGTCGTGGGGGCAAAGCCCTGGAAGAAACCTCGGATGCCTCGCTCGCGGGCGATGATGGGGACGGCGTGGAGGAAGCCGCGCAACCGAGGTTTGGCGGACTTGCGGTCGTCGATTCTCAGGAGTGTTAGATGTGGGCTCTTGGGAGTGGTAGAGTAGACTTACAGAGTGGTCTTGATACTCTCGGTAGGAGTCACGGCAAGCAATGACTCTGTGACTCCCGCACCGAAACCCGCAAGCACAGTTCGGGGTCCAGACAGCTTGCCCTCCTCGTCAACAAGTAGCGCCTTGTACTGATCAAATGCCACGAATCCTACCTTTGGTTAGCCATTGCTTTGCTTGTGTGGTATATACTCGTGCGTACGAATTCCAGCCTTGGCTGCGTTGCCAATAATGAGAGTGGTGCATCCTGCATACCACTGCTTGCCGAACGGCGGCCACGGGAGCTTCTGGCCCTCTGCTAACCGTCTGTTCAACTGCGACCGGGTCTTTGCAACTGTGCTCAATCAGTCCTGTTCCAGCTATGTATTTTCTTCTTCTTTTCTTTTCGATAAGGATACAACGAGGCGAGGAGCGACGTACATTCGGCGGGATAGGTAATAGCTACAGTTCAGAGCTTAGAGTTAGCTACAAGCTTGCAAAAGATCATGTCGCGTGAGTGTACATACCAATCTCAATGGCGCCAGCTGTTGAGCCCGCAATGACGGATCGCAGAGGGCTGGGCTGCTTCTTCTTTTCGCCTTGTTGCGCTGTCGACGCCATGATTAAAGCGATTGCTGGAACCTGCCCCAGGTGACGATTTGCAAATGGTTGTTGGTGAGTGGGAATGAGACGGGGACTTTTTTTTCTAAGCGTGGGGGATGGTATGGAAATGTATTTCGTCACTTTACAGAACGGAGCTGTTTGATTCACACGTGCGCCGATGTCGCTGTAAGTTTTAGGTGTAGGGTGGTTGGGCTGCTGTTACGCCCAAGCATGGGGTGTCTGTACCACAGTAAATAGCCAGTAGGATACATGTCCAGACTTAAATGCTGATGATCTACGCTATATACTTACTTTAAGAGAGCCATCCTTCTTTCTATTAGTCTGTTCTTAGTCGCTTTTCCCCTTCTATGATTAGATGTGTGTGCATTGATGTTTCGGTCTGCCGCGGCTAAGGTAACTCTGAGATAACCTCGGCGCATGAGTCTTGGAAGAATATGCAACCTTCAACCTGAGCATCAAGATGGTGGAAACTTTATTTCAACATAGTACGTTCATCATAGTTACCAATAAGGCCAGTGTTCAGGTCATGAGCGAAAAAGTTCTTATTGAAACCTGTATATTCTTGTATCCAGGCAAATGCTAAGTACTAAGATGTCCAATCCAAATGCTAATGCAACTTCGTCCAACGCTTCATGTCCTCATATCCTCATTTCTAAGCCTCAATTCTTCCCAATCTATTTCTTTTCTCGCCCCCATTTCTGCTCCAGCCCAGTTTTCCACTCATCAAAACCCGCCACTTTACCATTCACAAGCAAAATCTCCCCTCTGTGCAACACCCTTCCCAGCGTCGGCACGGTGAACCACTGATGATCACTCCGGCAGATCAAATCATTCCTGTGATCGCTCGTCTTGTTCCCTTCTCCTTTGATAACAGCCATGCATTTGGCGTCATACGTCTCCATGCAGTATTCGCAAATGTAGTACTCGTCTGATGGAGGAATGAGGTCGAGACACTGTGCGCAGTTTTGACGCATGGTTTGAATCTCGGGAAGCTTGGGCTCCATGCGTTGGAGGACGGGCGAGTCGTTCGGTGTGGAGGTGAGGATCTTGGGGTCGACTTTGCGCATGGATTGGCTGAGTGCTAGGGCGTTCTCGATGTCATCGGCGGCGATGAAGAGGCCGAGGAGATTATCCAACGCATACTCGTCATTCTGCACGTCGTCATCGGATAAGATGTCGAGACTGTCGTTGATAAGCTGGCGAAGATCACGATCCGTAGAAGAACTTCGGCCGAGCAATCTGTTGAAGAGGATCATATAAATAGCTGCAGTGTTGACATCCGATCCAACCATCTCAATCGGCATATCAAGATTCTGGTGTCGACTCTGCTTCTGCTTGATCTTCTCTAGATCCTCAAGCCAGGTATCTGCCTCAGGCGTCTTCAACCCAGCATGGAGAACTCGCTCTTTATACAAAGACGCCAGTTTCTGGAATGCCAAGGCGTAAGCCTGTCGTGTGGGAACATTGCCACGAGGTCGATAACCTAGCTGTGTGATACCTTCGAAAAGATCCAGAGCGGCATCGATGTCCCGACTGTATGTGTATGTTGCGCCGAGAGATAAACGGAGATACAGCGCTTTGAGAGGATCGCGCGTTGCGGTGGCCACGTCAATCGTGAAGAGTAAACGATCAAGGACGAATTCTGTTTCTCCCACTTTGCTGGCTGCTTTGGGTATCCAGTCGATAACAAGCGGTTTGTTATGGAACTCAAGAAGGAAGTCCACGAGACGAGTGCGGCTCTGCTCGACGTCGGTGACTTGTTCGGAGAGTTGTTTGAGGAACTGAATCACAGCTTCGTGGCGGTTCTCCGTGGCCACGAGTTCAAGGTATCCAAGCTCTGGCTCGAAGTATTCCTTGCACTCTCTTCGGTCGAGGCCAGCATCTTTGGAACTCTTCATAGACTTAAGGAAATACTCAAGGGCTTGTTCGACCTTGTTGAGTTCCTCGTAGCAACAAGCAATGACTATATGGTCTTTGTACAGACGCCACTTGCAGCTCTTCAATGCCTGTTCGTCGAGTTTTCCACTAGCAATGCTTTCCTGCTCGATGGTTTCGCATTTGAGTGCCTGCTCTAATGCTTCCTTGAAGCGACCATCTCTGGAAAGACAATATGCGATACGACCACGAGTCTCAACGCTGTTATTGTCGAGAGCAAGGGCCTTGTCATAATGGCTTAGTGCCTGGTTGTTCATGTTGTTGGTGAGATATGTACTTCCGCATCGACGGTGCCAGTGCGCGCTTTCTGGGATCTTCGCCCACTCTGCAGCTTTGACGATTCGCTTGTCGACGGGGATCTCGGTCCAGTGGTTGTTGCAGTCGGACCACGAGTAGCCTTCCTGCATGAATGCGATAGACTGGACGATCTTGAAGCAGAAGAGCGTCGGGACGTATTTCTTGAAGTCTTCGGAGAGCCATGCCCTGGCGTAGAGGTCTCCGATGGGCTTGAAGATACCCGGTGATTCCTTGACACCCTTGCTAGCCCATTCTCTTGCCTCTGGAGCTAGGGATGAGAGGACATCGGGGTCGCCCATCCACCTCTTGAGACCCTTCATGTTGGCATCTGTAAGGACATCAAGACCCTCATCGTTCTTCTCATACATGAGTGTCCAGTCGAGAATGATGTTATCGTCGGTGAGCATCTTGTACACATATTGTCCAAGCTCTTTCTTCTCTGGCCCAGGTACCGTTGCTGGATCAAGGACAGCCAGATGTTCTTGCCAGTACCAAGCTGCGTATTGCTTGATTGACTCGCGGCCACTGGGACCGAGACGATGTTTCTCAAAAGCGGCTTTGTGGGTGAAGATGGAGAGACAAGTCTTGAGAATATGAATTCGCGACATGAGAGGATCAAATCCGATTCCAGAACCAAGCTTGGCAGAGTTTTCGGTGCTGAAGAAGCCCTTAATAGAAGAATGGAAGAAGGTGATCCATGTGTTTGTCTTGCTTGACCGAAAGTCCATGTCACTCATTGGGTCGAAGAGGTCAGAATTGGCCGCAGGACTTACACCGCGACCAGGACTTCCGCGCACAGGGCTCAGCGCCTGAGTTGGGCTGGCACGACGCAGAGGAGACAGGTTGCGAGCAAGATCAGGTGTACCTGTTTGTCGACCAAAGATAGTTGGGCTCTTTGGACTTCCACTTCTTCCGGACCCTGGACGACTTGCTGAACTTGATCGTCTTCCTGAACCGAGATCGCCATTCTTGATGCGCTGTTGTTTCTCGTGCTCGCGGATGAGATCATCAGTGGTCAATCCGTCTTCACGCTCGAGTTCAAAGAAGCATGCATATTGGCCACGCAGAGTCTCTTCAAGATGGAAAGGCGGATCGCCGAATTTCATGATGAGCACTGCCTCCAGTTGCTCCAGAGACAATACTTCTTCTGCACATGATGCCCACTGTAGCATCTCGTTCAGGTCCTTTGTCTGGTCTTCATACAGGGTCTCGGAAAGGTTCTTGAGCGTTTGAGCAATAATGCCGTTGATCTCTTTCGGGTAAGACTTTAGACTTGTGAGGATGCTCTGTGGGTGTCGCTTGCGGCTGATGTCCTCGAGCATGAATTTGGCGAGGATGAAGAGGCCGTCAGCTTGCTTGATCATAGCATCGATGATCTTTTGTCGGAAGTCGGGAGGTGTACGGGTGAGGTTGCGGAGATGCCAGACGCTGTCTTCGATGTACATCTTTACATCATCCGCGTTGCGATCGGGCGTGACGTGGAGAGTAGTGATTACTTGACTGCCGCGATTATCTGGATCAAGCGAATATGTAACCACTTCGGTCAAATATGTCCTTCCGATAAGCGCTACCTGCAGCTTGATATGCTTCGGTCTTCTCACAGACTCATCATTTGAACCAAGCTGCTCGAGAAGCTCTTCAACCTCAGCAGAGTCCGCCTCGTCAACGCCATCGAGGAAGATGTAGACGGTCTTTGGTTGAGTGTCCTCCTGGAACGGTTGGACGAAAAGCTTGCGGTAGGCACTGGGGATGGTCCGGATCTCATCGATGCTGCGAAGGTTCTTGAGAAGTTGTTTTGCGTAGAATGGGTCGCTCTCGCTTAGTTGGTAGGCGACATCCCGGAGGGCTTGCAGGACTGATCGTGTTTCGGGGTTGTTGTCACGGAAGTAGAAGTAGGCCAGGCGGGGGATCCTCTCTGTGCCCCAGGAGATAAGTCGAGTTGTTAGATATGACTTACCGGTTCCTATGTCATTGTTAGTGGATGTTTGGAGGCACATAAATGAGGTGACTGACCTGATGCGCCCGTAATCCAGAGGAAATTGGTCTTCATATCGAGCCACGCCTTGAAACCCTCATCCGTGAGGATCCAATCTCCTGTAGACTCAGCCCTTGACTTATTGAACATGTTAAAGAAGTCCTCTGGGAACGGTGAAGGATCTAGAATCTCCTTGAGCTTATCCTGATGCGCTGCGATAGTTCGCTCACGACCCTCAGTCCGTATTTGCATCATGGTCTGGTTCATCTCATCAAGCTTGCTCTGCATGTTCTCGGTTGTGACATTAAGCTTACTAACACCGCCGTAAGTATCAGCGAGAACTTGTCTCTCCTCGCCAATGTTGAGCGCCTTGAGCTTATCCAGCGATTCCTGCACGGGCGTGCCTTTGCCGAAGACACTCCTGAAATACGCCTTGAAGCGGCCGCGGCGAATCTCCTTGGCAGCCAAGATGAAGACTTCAAACAGAGTCGCTAGAATAGTAACTACTTTGTTTCGCAGGGCACTGCCCATTTTATACTGTATGTAGACATCCAGTCGTGATGTAAAGTCCTAGATGTTGGTTAGTAAATCCTCAAGCGGGGTTACTGGATATCACTCACTTTGAGAAGCTCAAACAATTCAATGATTATATCGTAAGCTGAAGAAACATCACGAGCAGCATTGATGAGATACGCCACAGCGCCAAAGATACCTTCAGCCGGCGCAAACGAATCCGCGGCGGCACCGCTCACAATCTCGCCGATAACCTCAACGGGAGTGAGGCACGCAGCGAGGGCGCTAAATATGGACTGCCGCTTCTCGCGAAACTTGTTAAATTGCTCATTCTGCTTGTCAATCTGACCAAGAAGGCCTTTTACACTGCTTATGGGCGGGTTGAGAAAGTCAACGAGCTTGTTCTTGGAGGAGTCTGAGTAGAGCTTGCTGGCGTCGTCGAGGATCTGGGCGAACTGAGCTTCAGCCCCTTCGTTGTCTTTGCGGACCGCCATGAAGCCTCGACGGTCCTGCAGACTGATTAAATCGATATTCAATAATAAATAATGACAGTAATTGGGGAGATGTCGAGCGTTAAATAAAACGGGTTGGTGTTTCAGAAATCAGGCTGGGATGGACGCTGCTGTAGCCTTCACGCTATGACTCCTAACGTTAGCGGGGTGTCTAGGCCAGATGATCAAGTGAGGCATCAAAAGAAAAGCAAAAAGAGGACCAAGACCCAGAGAAAACCCCTGTACGATCGCTCGGAAGAAAAGAAAAATGGTCGTACTCGGTTGAGACTAAAGGGAATAAGTTGGGGACTGCTGCTTACGGTGCATATTATACCATGCCTCTGTTGGTAAGGCTGAGGCGGTGTCAGGACGATCTTTGCTGTGTTGCAGCAGCTTTTACGGAACTCGGCTGCGTAGATGGGGTTTACAAGTACGGAGTTCCGTGCCACGATGTCTTCATATATATAAATTAATGGTAATAAATTCAGCCTCAGAGGCGTCGTTAGTGCTCGTCATCTTGCGGGAGGCGTTGAGTCTGAGACAACGTAGGGTTTCGTGCATCCTGTTGATCTCCACTGTCCACACACACCTTGTGGCTCATTTGGAATGTGACTAACGGTCGTGACTATTTCTGTTGTCTGCATCTTTAATTAGGCAGCTGTAAATTGTACGTAATGAACTGTCCGGATTACAAGTCTCGGTGTTAGCTTATACTTTTTGTTTTCCGTTAATACACTTACAACCATGATTCTTCCAAGCTTGGATGGTCTCCCAAAGTGGACTTATTATTCCTACTGACGGCTCGGGCCGTAGCTACCAGCCACAAGTGAGATACAGCACCAATATCCGATGCGTCTCACCTGTTACCCTCAGCCGACAAAATACTACAGCCTCATAGCCAAAGGTCATTGGCTTCGTATTTATGACTCTCTATGTCAATTTGATCTACTTCTTGTTTTCGCTCTCCGACCAACCCTGCAGCTAACCGGATTGTGAAAGGCTTCACGACCGTGGAGGACAAAGGCGTTTTCACGCAATAGGAAACACAATAATATCAGTCAGTGACTGTTGATTGCATATCACCGATTATAGTAAGGTTAAAGAGAGGCTAAATGAAGTAACCAGTAGCGGTAGCATCCCCAAGAACTTGCGTGTCACATTTGATTCAGAGACCGTGCTACTGTGTGGCCATAAAATAAGTGCCCAGTTTCAACTTAGTAGATGTAACAATTTCTCCGTCTTTTTAGACCTCCCTATCTAATATGTGAACCTATTTCCAAGCATGTACTGCCCCAAGTTGCTGTGCTCAATATCAAACGCTAGCCAAAACAGAGCTCACAAGACTCTCAGGAGTTTCTTTCTTAAGCTCAAGCAATCCAGAGTCTGACTCCTCCCATGATGGCGCAACGAGGCAGCGTGCTTTTCCTTCTTCATATAGCTGAGCCACAGCCAGGTAAAGAGGCCAACCACCTGTACCCTCCTTGAGCTTCTTTCGCCCCTCATCTATCAATTCCTTTGTTGTGGATTCCTTAACTTCCCACTGACTTTCTGTGGCCTTTTGAAAAGCGTCAAGAAGATCGTTCTGGCATGTCTTAATGGATAAAATTTTGACGTGACGGTTTGCTGTTTCTTCGGGGTGCTGGAGGACTCCAACCACTGATTGCCCGATACCTTGTAGAGTAGTACCGGTGAAGTACTCACTGCCCCCATCGTAGATAATAGCTGAGCGATTCTTGATATCGAAGCCCATGAGAGTAAAGCGCTTCATCGCCCAGTCAATAGGATTACCGCTTGCGATGCCAGTCCAAGTGAAAGCTGGATCGGCATTGGCATGTTCCTTTGCGCGGTCAACACCGACAGTGCGTTGAGCGCGAACAGGCTCAAATTCGGGGTAGCTCGTGAAGTCAGGGCCCCAGCCAAAGTCATCAACGATAAAGCGCTTTACTCCAGCAGCTTTGGCGGCATCGATCATGGTGACTTGGTACTTGATGCCTGCAGGGCCCACAACGCATACAACAGCATCTTGACCCGAAAGGACCTTGGTGAGAGCCTCGAGGGTATACTCCGTTCTGATAACAGGAATACCGTCTGGGAATGTGGATGTAGATTCATTACGGGTGATGATGGTGGTGTCGAAGCCAGCTTGGGTGAGAGCGGCTGTGATAGGAGCACCAAAATTCCCGGATGCCTGGATGGGTTAGTAAGTGGAATAACGCTATGCAGGGAACGACTCACACCAAAAATGGCGATTTTCTTCAATTGATTGGAAGACATGGTGGAGAATGTAGTGAGATTAATGTGTGTAAGTGAATGTTTCTATGGTACAGAATGTCTCGATTTGGTCGACTTTATGCACTGGCGCGCCCCACCAGGCGGAATTCCGCCCAGCTGACCTGAGGGTTGGCTGATAGTCCACTACCTGCAGTGAGATATACATAAAGCCATAGTTACTAAACACCAATTAACCATGCTATATCAGAGTCCTAAACTTAATGCAAAGGCTTCCTTGCATAGATTGAATAACTAAAGAGGCTCAAATTAGACAGCTCGTTAGACCACCAACCAAGAGAAACTTACATCGGCCAGTAGGCATGAGTGTTCTTATCACTCATAGCCTTCCTCTGATCAACCAAGAACAAACTGACTTCCTCTGGCGTCCAGTTATGAGCACGAGTTAGCGGTGCCATAGTAAACGCCTCAAGGCCAATAGAGAAGTTGGCATGGCACCAACTTCCCAGCAACTTTGCCTTTTTGTCCTTTGGCCATGAATTGATAGGCCACTTGAACATCTCGATAACAATATCTACAAACCCGATCCTGGCCATGATGTCTGCAAGGGCTGGGATGTCCTGGTAGGGCCGGCCGAATTTGATGGATGCTTCCATCAGAAGAGCGAGGGATTTGAGCATTATGTTGTCCGGGCTAAGTGTGCCGTCGTCGGATCTAATACTCAGATCGCATTCTTGGAGCTCGATGTAGCCGCCGGGTGCAAGGTTACTAAGAAGGGATGTTAGACAGCAATGGTGTGACTGAGGAAGTACGCATACTTGAAGCACTTGGTGAGATAATCTGTCCAATTTGCGATGGAAGATGTCATGAAACGGCTGTGAATGTAGTCAAAGGGCTGATTATACGTCCAATCGTCTTCGATATCGTCAATTACGAAGTTGAGATTCGGAGGCACACTGTATCCGTTAGCCCCGGAAACTCACGTATCAATTGCCTAAGGGTTATGAAAGTCATACAAGCCTGGCTGAATGGGTGAGAGATCAACCCCGATGACCTAGAATATACATGTTAGTCCCGCATAGCTTCGGCTGGAGACACCAACTCACCTGGGTTTCTGGGTGCTCATCAGCATAATCTATAGCCCAGATTCCAGTGCCTGTGCCAACGTCCAACACATGCTTGGCCTTGGCCCCTGGCTCATTTGGCGGAGCGAGACCGAGCTCGTCGTTCAAAGTGAGAAGGAATAGGTTATGCTGTAGGTCTTTCTGAACGTTAGCTGATATAAGAAACTCCCTTGGTTCATGCTTCGCGTGTCACCTAGTCTTTCATTCTCGGCCTCATCGTTGGGCAAACGTATTCTGGAGCATGTCAGTGTTATGTACCCATGAATTGGTGAAGTATGTCGAGAAATTTACTTCCGTCTTTGTACGCATGATAAGTCCTGCCATTCTCACGGCGGTAGTGCAGGATAGAACTAGAGACACTTGCGGTGGATGATTGAATATCCTAAAATCGTGAGTTTTGACACATTCATCACAACAAAAGGTACAGTTACATACATCTCCAAGAGAAGAGTCTGTATCATGGGCCTAGTTATAACCAATGTTTAGAATAACCTTGGTCCAGTCGAACTGAGTAGTACTTACCGCATTGTCAGGCACAATGACAGCCGGATCGACTTGGAGAGCTTGAGACATTTTGCAAAGAATCTGGAGGTGGAATTTGTTGGACGGTGGGTTTAGCATAGTCATATCAGGTTCTTTGACCACTTTATATATTGGTCGTCCCCTGTCTTCGGCAAACTGCATGTTACTTGACTTCCTAACATGGATTTACCCGCTGTATTCTCGACTCATAGAGGAAGTGACTGGTAGTCTCTGAGCCAATGGCTACGGAGAGAAATTTGGAGTTTCTAATAGGAGCCATATCAGGTTTCTCTCCAGTTGACATGTCAGGCTACGCCGCGTGTTGTTGGTAGGCACGAGTGAGGGGATTCGTACAAGGTAATTATATCTAACAAAAAGTGCTCTGCTCCTCCCAAAAGACAAAAAGTGCATTCCTGTATCAATAGCATGGCATTGGTCATGCTGATTAGGTTGGCCGTTGAACTCAATTTTAACCTTGTTCACACTTCAAACGTCATGACTGACCTTATAAAATGATACAAAAGAGCATACTTAGCAGCCTGGCCTCATGGGCCATTGCGTATGCTCTTTTGGATTATTAGAGCAACACCGTTGACCATGCTAGTGGAAAGGATCTAACGTGATTACTCTTCAAGAAAACTAATACCCATCGATACAGACGCCGAGGACAAAAGCCGGGCCAAAAGTACACGACCTGCAAAAGATGAAGGCCGAAGAAGGACCAGGTATTGCGTAATCTGGGAATCGAACCCAGGGCTCCCCGATGTTACTCAGATGGCAACGGAGAATTTTACCACTAAACCAATTACGCTTGTGGTTGTTGTTGAAGTCTTCTCTGCAAAAGTTGAACCAAGAAAGTTGTCAGTCGGATGAAGTTGAGATGCGGCTAGCTCGTCTGCATAGAGGGGAGTTTGAGTCATGATGTACATAGTATCTCCAACTTACATCTGGAAATACTATCGAAGATACTGTGCCATAAAACAAGACGCTCGATTGCAATAGTGAATAGCAGTAGGGCCCTGTGTTTTGATGCCTAGTAAAGTTATGAAGTAACTATTATTAATATATAGAGAATACGCTCTTCTCATTTTGCAGATGCCAGACGTTAGGTGTATTATGTATATGCTCTGTTGAGCTTCGTATAAGACAAACTCTGATGATGGTAGTTCGTGGGGGTTGAGGAGACTTCCCCACTGCGCTAAGTCGTAAGTTTGGGGGCAGTTGGCAAGCTCTGATTCATGGAAGAATTGTTTTTAAAACGGGAATAACCCGGTCTTCAACGTGGCATGTCCTACTGCGTATTTAGAACTGACTAAAAGCCATCAAGTCACTGAGAAATATGTCTTTCCATCGAGATTCTTCTACATGATCAATACTACCGTTCCATTATGACGACCAACGACACTACTTCTATGTTTCAGAACCCCATAATCAAGGGTTTTAATCCAGATCCCACTATTTGTGTAGTTCCCGCCACTGACTCAACCCCAACGACCTTCTTCCTTAGCACATCCACATTCGAGTTCTTTCCCGGATGCGCCATTTACACATCTACAAATTTGATTGACTGGAAGCTCATCGGCCATGCACTTACTCGTCGAAGTCAAATCGATTTACGTACTGTGGAGCCAGGTGCGGGGAGTTGGGCGAGTACTTTGAGATATCGACCTGAGGAGAAGAGGTGGTATTTGACCAATGGCCTCTTTCATCGCTATCGACCTACTGTTGATGTGAGTTGACTTGCGTCAAATGAGATTTTATAAGGCTGATGTGACGGATTAGGAACGTATATTCCCCCGAGGCTTCTGTGTCTGGACTGACAACATCTGGGACGATCGTGCATGGTCTGACCCAGTTTACTTTGATAATCCCGGCTTCGACCAAGATGTAAGTAATGGACGCTACAAGAAGACTTTTACTCACAAACTTAGCTATTCTGGGATGACGACGGAAAGGTCTACCTCTCAACGACCATGCGCATCGCCTGGCGAGACCCTGACTCCAAAAAGAAGGACTTTGCAATTCATATCTCAGAGATAGACATTGCAACTGGCAGAACCCTTACCATCCCTAAAGTCATCCGCGAGTCTCATCATGGTATTGCAGAAGGATCTCACATTTTCAAGCGTGGAGATTGGTACTATCTCCTGACTGCAGAAGGAGGCACGGAAGCCGGTCACCAGGAGTGGGTATTTCGAAGCAAGCAAGGCCCTTTTGGTCCATGGGAGGGCCAGGGCAAACCTCTTTGGTATAACGGGCCAGATGAAGAGGTTCAGAGGACAGGGCATGTTGATGTTTTTCAAGATGGTGATGGTGATTGGTGGTCTGTTCTGCTAGGCGTGCGGCCGGTGAAGCACCAAGGGGGGTTCTTGGAGCCGCAGCTAGGTACGTTTAGTTCTTTGTACGATGTGGCAGTGTGCTGACTCTACTAGGCCGAGAGACTTTCTTGGTAAAGATCGAATGGAACGACGATTGGCCTATCTTCAACGATGGCAAGAACATTACGCTGGAAACTGCTGGCAGAGACCTCGTCAAGTCGGTATCAAAACCAGGTCTGCTCATGTGGAAGGCTGATCTGTCGAAAGACGCTCTTGAGCTGGGATGGTATCAGAAAAGTATTTTTATCCCATATATGAACTACACTCCCCTAACATGCAATAGATACTCCCATCAAGCAGTCCTACAGCCTGACAGAACGACCCGGTGTGCTGAGACTCTTCGGCAACTGCTATGACTTGACTAGTCCCGAGTGTCCAGCAATGCTTCTCAGGAAACAAACGTCGTATAACCAGATCTTTCGTGCCAAGATGGAATTCAACCCTACAGTTCGTGGTTACGAAGCTGGAGTCGTGCTTTGGTGGAGCCAGTACTCTTATGCTTCCCTGGGGGTAGTGGCTTCACAACGTGATGATGGCAAACTGGAGTCAAAGATCAGCTATAAGGGCGCACCTGGCAGGGCCGGAGAGTTCACTGTAAGTCCAATAACCACTGCTGTTTGACCAAAGCTGACACTACCGCCAGGACTCCACTGTGGACTTCAGCAGCCTTGACAGTGTCGAGTTCACCATCCGCGCGTATCCAACCAAATACGAGCTTTCATTGACTGCTGGAAAGAAAGTATCAGAGGCATATACAGTAGAGGCCAGTGCTCTCACGATTATGCCGCCAGTAGGAGGGTGTTTCACCGGCGTCATGTTCGGAATCTATTCGTTTGGGAGAAACCAGCCAGTTTTAGAGCCGGCAGACTTTCTGGAGATTAGCACCGAGGAGCTTGAGTAAAAAACATTAGCCACTGTAAAAGCTAGTGCCCAAAACAGGGGTCGGCAGTGTCATGTGAGTTCTTTTTAAAACCGTTGGATTTCTCACAACAACACATATCGGAGCTAGACGAAGAAAGGAAACGAAAGGGAAATGAACGATAAAAGATATAGGAAGCAACATTGACAAAAAGAATTCAATGGCATGTTTGTAACATGTGGCTGGATCTCTCCCGCCGGGAATTGAACCCGGGTCTCAAGCGTGACAAGCTTGCATACTGACCACTATACTACGGAAGATATCAGGTGTAAACACCTGAGTAGCTGGTCATTGGTTGAGAATCAGGGAGGAGATTACAGTATATATTCCCTGGATCAAAAGTCCTTGAGAAAACTGCTGAGCTCATAGAAGAGGAGACGTAATTGACAGAAGTAAGTTGAATTACGCAGGTGCTATGCCTTGTGTTAAAACTAGAAGGATATTTTCCAATCACATGTCCACGCCCACATTCGCTCAGTCGCTAAGCCTCGCCCCAAATCTCATCTGCAATCTCCCTCACCAATGCAAGCTTCTTCTTCTCCTCCTCGAGGTTAAGAGGGTAACCACTCTCATGAGTGCTAAATCCGCACTGGGGGCTAACAGCAATCCTCTGTAGGGCCTCCTTCTGGCTCTCACCAGTTCCCTTGGCCACCCAGTCCGCAGCACTTAGGACGCGCTTCTTCATCTCCTCCTTATCCTCAAGCTGAGGCAGCTTAGTGCTGATAACACCAACAACGACGTTTTTGTCCTTGGGGAGGAACTGCAGCGGCTCGAAGCCGCCGGAGCGCTCGGTGTCGTACTCCAGGTAGAATGTGTTCACGTTGAGATCCTTGAAGAGCTTCTCGGCGATGATGTCGTATTTGCCCTCGGCGAAATGGCGGCCGCCGATGAAGTTACCGCGGCAGAGATGGATGCCGGTGTGCATGTCTGAGGGGATCTTGGAGAGACTGTCATTGTAGAGCTTGATGTAGGCGTCTAGAAGATCATCAACGGAGCCGATGTTGTCAGAGTCAGCAGCCAAGCCATCACGGAACTTCTGACTGCAGAAGTCTGTATCCTTGTCAGTATCATTCAAGCATTGAATACGATTGACTTACAGGCCATGCCGGGATCATCGAACTGAACGTTTCGAAGACCAGCCTTGTAGAGCGTGTCAAGCTCATCCTGGTAAACTTTTGCGACGTCCTGGAAATACTCCTCGTCGTTCTTATAAGCCTCAGGAGCATATGCCTTACCCTGCTTGTAGCGCATGTGGAACCAAGCAGGTGTGATCATAGTAAGTTTAATATGGTCCCAATTCTCTTTAGGCACATACTTCTGCACGAGCTTCAACTCGTGAAGGTTCGAAACAGACTTCTCGGGGTTGTGAGACAGCTTGTTTCCAGCGATCACAGAATCACCAGGCATGACCTGGCGATCTTTCTCAATCAAGCTGACGACGTCAGGGTGGTAAAGACGGAAGAGAGCAGCCTCAGCGTTGGAGAGCTGGGTGGTTCCGTCGAACTCATCCCACATAAGACCCCAGAAACGAGTACGGTTGAATTCTCCGCTGGTAACGGCCTTGAAGCCTAGATCCTGCTGCATCTTGACGACCTCGCTGATGGCGTCGTTCTCCACAGTATCGAGACCTGCATTTTCGGGGCTGAGACCCTTTTCTCGGATCTGCTCTCTGACGTCAAGGAGTGCCTGGGGTCGGAGCAGAGAGCCCATGTGCTCAGCACGGAAAGGCTTGAGAGTAGGAGCCATATTGATGAACTTGTCTAGATATTTCGTATGAAGCCTATGTTTACAGAAATGAATATTATCTCACCAGAAGAAATCCTCCTTTAAATGATGACCAGAGGCAATGTAATCTTGAGAGGAGGGGCGTGCGGGGCTGTCATCGTGGGGCGGGGTTCAGAAAGGGCTGAAAGGCCGAGAACTAAAGTAATTGTTAAACCGCTTCCATCTGCCGTTTTCCGTATTCCCGGTTTGTGGTTCTGGAGGTGGTATTCATGGGAGGGGTAAGTTACCGGAAAGGAAAGGACCCCGGGAAGATGAGGAGATAGTGAGATTCATAATGCACTGTGTTGCAATTGGGCAAATCATCTTATTGTCTGTCGAGGAGGTTTGCTTTGCTGTGGCAAAGACTGAAGGTGGAGGAGATTGATGATTGCACTAGTGGATTGTGAGAGTCTGGGGCGACCACAACGTTTATACTCACAAATCTGAGAACCTTGAGGTCCTGACTAAGACGATAATATGATTTCACAGAAACATTTGTTTGCGTAAGCACTATACCAAACATTCTGGTTGATACTCTGTAGGTATGGTATATGCCGCATTGGGACTAGTCTCATGTGCTGTTAAAGTCGACATGTGGAAGCCCACTTCGTGAAACGTTTCATGCATATAAATCCGGGGATGCCCAATGATATATTGTCCCTTAACCATGGATAAAAAAAGGCAACATTTACGGTTTGCAAGGGGCCCTGCGAGTTAACTTACTGATCCGGTCACTGACAGTTGGTGGAGCACAACGTACCCGACGTTTTACATCATTGGTACTTGGTAAGACATATTTCTCCTTGGTCGCAGGCTATTCCCTCAACTGTAGCTATTTACGGGAAAGCAATGCAAGTGTACATTAACTTTTACTCCATGTAAAAGGAAAAGTGATTTGTTTTAACAGCTTTTCCTGTACAGCACCGAGTAACAGCCCAGGCATACAAATCCTATACCCTAATTGATGTACTCAACATGTGATTATATCTTCACCGTGAGAGGTAGGATAAGTGCATATCACCTCGACACAGAACTGACATTTACAATAGACAATAAAACCATCTTAATATTGATTTAACTAATAAACTTTCTTCCTAGGAGTCGAACAATAGGGGTAAAGTTACGTAAAAGCCTTGTATCTATAGAGTAATCGGAAATACAATGATGAATTCTTCACTTCATCTTCCCAGGTAGTTAAACACTCTTTTACCTTTACCCTTATTGTATATGGGATAATAAAACGTCACAATGGTTCTTTTCATAATTCTAATATCAAAAATTCTATGATATGAGGATCAGTAAAGCCAGAAAGAAAATTCCCCTATTATAGCGCACGCATTGATTTAGACCGGTCAAATGGTGTTAAAACTCCTTGCTTATATGCAAAGAGATATGAGTAAAAGAAGGAACAAATCACGGCCTTGAAGTAAAGGATTGAGTGTAGTACAAAGGTCTAACCTTGACAAAGGAAGTGCAGGTGTTGTCGTCGCTATTCAATTGTCCGGATCGCTATCTTCTGCATGAGTTCTCTCTGAGAAAGCTTACATTTTCAAGCCTTGCTGCACTTTATTTTGGTGTCTTTTGTTTCGTTTGAAAGTTGCTCTCAGAAGGCGAATGAGCTTGAAGACGCATGTCTGAATGTTTGATCATCCAACGTCATGTTCAATGCAAGCGCTGAGTGACAGCTTCTCAAATCGCAGACAACGAGGAAACTGTTTTCCTTCCAATTTTTTACAATCTTAACTTTCTGCATATGAATGCAAAGAGTACTGGTTTTAGTAGCTTGACCTACATAAGTTCCTCCAGCCCAAGCGACATCTTTTTGTTCAGCCAAACACCATCATTACATCGTTTCTAGAAGATCTACCTCTAGCCAACATTTTAATAACCTTTTGCCATGTATTCTGTGGATGCATTTTCATATCTCTTACGATATTAGCGACTATTAACATCGACTTCAAAACGGCAATAAAATCATCTACAGCGAAAACAGGCCAACAGCGATCTGGATACTATAATCAAACCGCCACATATACAGCCCATTATTTCCAGGGAAAGGCGAAGAATCGCTGGACAGTGTGTTGAATAATTGGAGGTAAATCTGAAGAAGGCAGGACAACTTTCCCAACAGTAGAAAGAAGACGATAAGAACTCAATGTCAAAGATTTCCGCTGAGCAGGGAGAGGAGGAACTGACTACATAAACATCGACAGCAGATTGGCGATCATGTTGTGTTGTATATGCACCGTTTTGACGAGGTGGTATATATTCTCAGCAACTTTGCTTGAACACACCAGGCGATTATTGAATCAGTGGAAGAGACGTTAGAGATTATGCTTTCCGGTCTCTTCGGTAAGACGCAAGGTTTCTTTTTACAATGCCATCCAATTGGCTGGATTTGATGATCTAGTGGGAGAAGAAACGAGTGACAGAAGGTGGCTGGGATTAAAGTCTGGAGTGTACCGTCATAGCACCAAGGATTCAGCATAAAGCCACGCTAAGAATAAAAATACTACTTTCAAAAGGGGAATTAATATACAGGCATAACACTTTTACTACCCAGGCATAACTCTATCTAGGTATAACTTTTTAAGCGCTTTAATTAGTTTAAAAAATACTACCCTATTACTACTTTTATAATCTATATAAGGAATAATTATCCCTAATAATCTTACTATCCCTATAAAAAAGAGGTTATAACTAGGTCTAGTCCGGTATAAAAGATCTATTAAGGGGATTATTAATTTAATATTAATATAAATATATTTACTTATATAAAGTTCTTAGATTTAAATTAATATATTATATTAATCTATTTATAATAATTCTTACTAACTTCTCTTTTTTTATATACTTACCTACACTTTCTATTTACTTATATAAATACCTATAATATTTCTAGCCTTAATATAAATAGTTTAACTTCTTATAATTCCTTAATTAGTAATAGTCTTTTAGCTTTTACTTTTATTTTTTAAAATTAATTTATTCCGGCTTTTAAGTAAGTAACTATACTTTCTTTTCTATAATAAAGGTACCTAGGATTAAAATACTTAAAGCTAAGATATTAAGCTATAATTACTTTACTAAAATACTATAAAAGGTATAAAATCTACTAGCATTCCTTACTTTATATTCTTTAGCTACCCTTTAAGAAATATAATAATCTTTAGATTAAAGATTTTATAATATAAATCTTAAAAAGATATCTTATAAAGTTATTAATAAGGATAAATATCTTACTTTATAAAAGCTTTTATAAAGTATATATATAAATAAACTATATAGTAATATAATATATTAAGCTCGGTTAAGATAGAATACTTATCTATATATAGGTTAAATAGCCTAAAATTAAAATTCTTTTTAATAGGTAATACCTTATATACTTATTAATATTAACTATTAATAAGCTTTAAATATTTTAATAATATAAGGTTTTAAAGCTTACCTAAATAATTAAAGCTTAACCTAAAGAACTTATAGTTTTAAAAAACCTTATTCTATTTATAAATATTTTTAAAGTTATACTTTTAATTATATAATATATTCTATATTATTTCTATTAGTTTATAAAAATAGCTTATTTTATTTAAGAGGTAGCTTTTAATATTATTATTACTTACCTTTATATCTAAGGTTATATAGATACTATAGTTTAGGTATTTATAAATAAAGTAATAGGCCTATTAAGTATAGACTGGTATATAAATATTAAAAAGATATTATAAAATAGGATATTAATTATTAAACTCTTTATAAAAAGTAATTTATACTTTTTTATATATTTCTTTAGTCTCTATAAATAAAACCTACTTTTATATTTAAAAAATACGTTAATAAATATAAAAAACCTTAAGGGAGGATTTAACTAAGATTAAGGTATAATTATATAAAGTTAAAGTAGCTTAAAGATTAATAGGTTTATTTACCTTATTACTATTTAGGTTATTACTTTTCTTTAGGTTTTTAAATTATTTTTACTTTAATTAAAGAAAAACATTTAAATTAATATAATAAATATAAAGCTATTACTAAACCTTAAGAAATTAGTTATTTAAGGTAGCCTTTATTAAGTTATTAAAGTCTATAATTATAATAGCTAGTTATTATATTAAATACTTTAATAAAAAAGTAAAAATACTTTTAATAAAAAATTAAAATCCCTTTTATTATTTATTATTAATAAGACTAAAGGTAGTATTAAAAACCGTATTAAGATAGGTCTGCCTAGTTATTTAAAAAAAGTAAGAGCTTAAAGTAATTAGTATTATATATATTATTAAAGCTAATTACCTTTAGGAACCGCTTTTATATCTAAATATAATAAGGAAATATCTAAATAAGGCCTAAAAGGTAATTAGGCTTATTTAATACCTACTTTATAATATAAAGAATCTTTTCCTTATTAAAAAGCTTAAGTAAGGTAGTAATAGGTAAATAGCCTATAAACTTCTCTTAATTTATTAAGGCCTTAGTATTATAAATATCCTATTATATAAATATTAACTTAAGATATTATTTTTTAATAATAACCTATATATCTTATACCTAGATTTTAATATATTAACTAATAGATTTAATAGTCCTTTTAACTAGGGAAGTAAGGTAATAATAGGATAAATAAACTAATAGTATTTTACTTAAAGGATAGTTATAGATATAATATTCCGGCTTAGTATATTAATAAAGAAGTTATTTACCCTCTTTTTAAGCCTTAATAATAACTTACTATTTATATTTATATTTTTATAACTTTTTTTATTATAAATTAAAGTTTTTATTTAGTTAGGGGTCCTTAAAAAGATTATACTAAAAGGAATATTATATAAGCCGGCCTTTATATATATACTTATTTCTTTAAATAATACTAAAGCTATACTTTCTTATAAAAAGATTAACTATATTAAAAAGAGCCTTAGCTAAGGTAATTAAGTTACCTAGGATTAAAGGATTTAATATTTTATCTAAAGGTAAGGACTTAAATTACTATAAAGGGAAGCTTTTAATTAAAATAGGTAAAAAGAGAATAAGAATTAAAAAGTATTAACTTTTATAAAAAAAGTATAATAAAGGTAAGCTATATTTATTAATATTTAAAAAAGACTATCCCTATCTTTCTTACTATTTATATATATTATTAAATACTTTAAGGTATTTCCTTATTAATCTTTAATTTTTATTAATAATATATTAAACTAGCCTTAAGGTATATTAAAACTCTTCCTTAGTTACTATAAGTAGCGATATTATTTCCGACAAGCTATAAAGAAAGTCTTTAAAGGGATTAATTTCTAGTCTAAAAATAGGTATTTAATAAATATTACTTTAATATATTTTATATAAAAAGTTATTATAAAGGTTTATTATATAATTAGATTAAAGCTTAAATAATAACTTAGGTCTAGAATAATAAGGTAATAATATAGTTAAGAATCGATTAAGGATTACAGTAAAGATATTATTTAATATATTAATATCCCTAGTTCTATAGAAATTATTAATATTAAGTATACTATTAATAAAAAAGGTTTATTAATTATTTTAAGAGGTAGAATAATATTAATATAACGGCAGTAGATTTATTAAAAAAGGTAGGTAAAAGTTATACTATTAGCTTAATTAGATATATTAACTACTAAGTTAGGTGCGTTTTTAAGGCGGCTTTTATATATAGCTTAATTCTAACTTAAAGTTATGGCTTTAGCTATATATATTAATTATCTTAATATTAAAGTATTAATTAATTACTAAATAGTTAATAATATTATATTATTAACTTTCTCTATAGATTAAGGAGAGAGGGGGATATATAGTATAAGGTTTATACTAATTAGCTAATATATAACTAATTATAAAAGGAATAACTAATTAAAGAAAAAGGGTTAATATATATTAATAAATATAGGGCTTAGCTAATTAAAGCGCTTAAAAAGTTATGCCCGGATAGAGTTATGCCTGGGTAGTAAAAGTGTCATGCCTGTATATCAATTCCCTTTAAAAGATCGTTATAGGCCATTGCATAGCTTTTTTATAGTAAATTAACAACTCATGAGAATATCCACATAATTCCCTACCTTTTCGCCCAGTTGTCGTATGAAGTCCATCGGTGCAAGAAGTGCTCAGTTCAGCCAGTCAGCGTACAAATATGTGGTTCAAAGGTGTGATGATGCGTGGGGGTCTGATCATCCTCAAGCAAGCCCAGGTGCAGCAGCTGAAGATAGGGTTACGTCAATCACAAAACGAACCTATTAGGACAGAACCAGTGTAATATTGATCTGGCAGCCTGACATCTCGTGATCGGTACTCTCTCATGTAGAAGGCCACAAAAGATAATCTCGTGTAATTTGTTCCTTTTGTGGCTTTAATTATTCGGGGAGTCCGGTGAGGGCCGGGATGCTTTAGCGTAACGGATCGACAGATCGACAGATTGACGCTTTTTACTCAAGACGGTCAAAACGCTTCTGCCTTCGGAGAGAACTGTAGAACATACATAAATATTATCCCATTTCAATAAGGAAAATAACTGTACAAACACAAGAAAATATCATTTAAGGACCAGCTGAGAAAACAACTTACGATGCCCCCCATTCTCGCCGATGTCCATGACACCAACAAGTGACGCCATAGGCGTGATCACCACCAGCACCCCTGTACCAGTGCCCCAATCACCTGGCTACAAGAGCCTTCCTTAGTGGATTGCGCGATCAAACCCCGCGACATCGTAACCTACCGCGGCAGCGCGGGGAGTCTTTGTTTCTCAATTTATGTTCCTTGTCCTTATTAATCCTGTCACAAATAAAAAGCAAGGGAATAAGCAAGCCACTGACGATCCTTTTCAAGCCCTGTGCGGAAGTACATATAACCCAGATGCAGCACCCTTCAGGCTCGGAGGCTGCTCGTCTTCTGGATTCTTCTTACACTCCTGGCTCCTACACCATGGCCTCACCGGATAAAGAGACCGAAGAGCGAAAGACCTACGGGGCTATCAACAACGATGGCCGAAGGGGCAGTCTTGTCGACGCCGCGGAGGATGAGGCGATTATTCCAAAGGGCGCGCTTGATCCTGTGTATGAAGCGAAGGCTCGTATTCTTAACCGTGCTGTGAGTGCAGCTTCTCCAGCTAAGGGGTTTTGATCGTGGTAAAAATTGACACCGTCAGATCCAAGATCTTGGCATGGGACGTTATCAGTGGGAGCTCTTCATCGTTATAGGGGTAAGACTCCATTCTTCCTATTTCTGAGTTTCTTCTGCTAACGATGGGAAAGTTTGGCTGGGCCTCAGATAACCTTTGGCCAATCGTTACATCGCTTATTCTACCGTCTGTCGCCAACGAGTTCAACGTCACCCATGCGCCATATCTCACTCTGGCGCAGAATATTGGTCTTTTAGGTATAAGTCACAACTTAAATCCAGCTAAACTTCAACGCTGACTTTAGTTCAGGCGGAGCTATTTGGTGGGGGTTTGGGTGTGATGTTTGTGAGTACACCGTCGCAGTGTCAAATCATCTGCTTATTTTCTTCCAGTCGGTCGCAAATGGGCCTTCAACTTGACGTTGGGAATCACTGCAGTTTTTGGCCTGATCTCAGCCAGCGCCCCTAACTTTGCAGCGATTGGCATTTTCGATGCGCTGTGGTCTTTTGGCGTAGGAGGAAACCTCCCAGTTGACTCGGCCATTTTCCTTGAATTTCTACCTGGGTCGCATCAGTATCTCCTCACGATTCTCTCCATCGACTGGGCCATTGCGCAGGTAATAGGCACGTTAATCGCATGGCCACTCCTGGGCAATTATACATGTCAGCAAGATACAGTATGCCGACGAAAAGACAACATGGGATGGCGATATTTCACCCTTACAGTGGGTGGGCTTACACTTCTGATGTTTCTCTCGCGATTTCTTCTCTTCAAGATTTACGAGTCACCGAAATATCTTATGAGCAAGGGTCGTGATGAAGAGGCTGTGCAGGTTGTACACACGGTTGCCAAGAAAAACGGAAAGACTTCAAATTTGACACTCGAGGACCTCAAGGCTTGTGAGCCGGAGGGATATGTCGCCGAGACGGACACGAGCGCGGCACTGAAACGATATCTGGAGAAGGTCGACTTGTCCCATATAAAGGCTCTTTTTGTGACAAAGAAACTCGGCCTCAGCACTGGATTGATCATGGCTGTTTGGGCTCTTATTGGTCTGGGATATCCGCTCTACAACGCCTTTATCCCGTTCATCCAGGCAACAAAGGGTGCTGATTTCGGCGACGGGAGCACCTATCTCACCTACAGGAATAGTCTTATCATCGCGGTTCTTGGTGTTCCAGGTGCGCTCTTGGGAGGCTGGCTTGTCGAGTTGCCACGCTTGGGACGGAAGGGAACTCTGTCCGCTAGTACAGTTCTCACAGGCGTGTTCCTCTATTGCTCGACTACAGCGACGACTAGCGATGCGTTACTCGGCTGGCAATGCGCCTTCAACTTCTTCAGTAACATCATGTACGCTGTTCTTTACTCTTTCACGCCAGAGTTGTTCCCTACGCCTCATCGAGGAACTGGTAATGCTTTGTGCGCATCTTGCAACAGAATCTTTGGCATTATGGCGGTAAGTCTAGCCTTTTACTCAAGAATGAGAACCTATCTGACATTTATAGCCTATTATCGCCATTTTCGCGAATCTGGAAACGTCTGCTCCAGTTTATACAAGTGGTGCATTATTTATTGCCGCTGGAGTTTTGGTTTTGGCTATGCCGTTTGAATCCAGAGGCAAGGCTGCGCTTTGAAGTTGATATTGTGATACCCGCATGGATACGGATGATCCTATGATTGAAATCTATTTGCATTTACAAATCTTGAATAGTCAAAGAAGTGATTGGAAAGCAGCCTGTCATCTATTTAATCAAATATACTTTGACTCGACTTAGCGACATTCTACTTTTAATCTTTCTTCTCATCCCTTTTCTTCACAAGTTCAGTTTCAAAAGACAATCCAGCCTCCTTCCGTAGTATGCCGTACATAGAAGACGAATCAAGCGGTCGTTCCTCAGCGTCCGAAAACTGTTTGGCATCTTTCAGATGCTTGATAGCAATTTCAGCAACCTCTAGTCTCGAGCCAGATTGCTCTGCAAGAGCAATTCCATGACCGACATCTTTGATTGCCAAGTTTAAATCTGACCACGGCCTGTCGCTCCTTGCTGGCATGTATGCTCCAGTTGTCAGCCGTTGAGACATGGAGAGTGCCAGGGGACCGTATTGCTGGTCGATCAAAGCTTCGAGGTTCTTACTTCCTAGGCCGGATTTCTCGGCTAGGACGTGCGCTTCTGCTATGACCTCCATCATACCAGCCGTTATAAAGTTGCTAGGCAGGTGATTAGAGATACATATCAAATCCAAGAGACGTACTCACCCTGCTGTCTTCATTTTGCTAGATAACCGCACATCTTCACCAACGCGAATAACTCCTCTCCCCATCACACCTTCGATATACGGACTGATCTTCTCAACCGCATCGTCAGGTCCGGCAACAATCCACAAAAGCCTTCCCTGCGCTGCAACTGGACTTGCTCCAAAGACAGGCGATGCAATAAACTGGGCACCTTGCTCATTGAGACGAGCTTGTGCTTTGGCTGATGAGTCTGGGTGAACCGTTGATGTATCCACGACGAGTTTCCCGGTGAGTTGACTAGACGTATCTGCATCAATGATGGCGTCAAGGGTCGATTCAAGGGCTGAGTCGTCGCTTAAAGAGAGGAAGATGATGTCAGACTTGGTGACAAGCTCCTTAGCTGTTGATGCGGGTTCAGCGCCAAGGCCTTTGAGAGGGTCGCCACGGGTGATGGTGCGGTTGTAATAAATAAGATTCGAAGCATTTCTGGAGCTCAAATGCTTCTGAAGGTTGCTGGCCATGGGTAGGCCCATCGATCCAAGGCCTGTCATATTTTGTTAGCACCGCAGATGGTCTGGGGGTTGGAACTTACCTATCCAACCGATTTGAGGGGAAGCCATTTTGGAATTGAATGACTTATGATCTTCTGAAGATGTACTTCAGTTTGTAGAAAACTTACTCCTACAGGCGTTGGTATTTATATAGGGGAAATGATGTTGTGATGAGTCAATGTCACCCTTCGGTCCAAGACCCCGCAATGTCGGAGATAACCCGAAGATTTTGGGCCTTCCTATCTCGGTCACTCACGATGCGAAAAAAATGAAGAATTAGAATCTCTTGATTGAATTGATATTCAGATAAAACAAAGATAAACGTCTGGGAGACTATTATATCCAGATTTATAGTTATGCAACAGCTCTACGAAGGAGGTGAGATTGAATCCTCTAGTATACAGCTTTGCGTCTTCTTGCTTAATGACGAGGTCTATCCATTATCTTGCCACAACGAAGACATCCTTTCTACCGTTTTTCCTATAATAAACAATTGCAGCCTTCTGATATTTATTCTACCATTTAATAAACTCGGCCGTGCCTTTGCGCGTGTTTTCAAACATGTAACTTGGTCCAGAGCAGTTCTCGCAATTCTTCTCTCCTTCACGGCTCTCTTCCGCCAAATGAATTTCCTCTTCACTATATTACTTTTAATCACAACAGTAGACTAAAGATTCATCACTTACCTCACTATAATGTTGCCCTATCATTCTTGATATCAGTCCAACCCTCGGTGTCACTCTTCGGTAGATCCATAATCGTATCATCAGCCCCAAACCGATCCAAAGGATCCTTGCCCCAAAACTCGGTAAACTTCTCCGGTCGCCATTTCCAATACTTGACAAATCTTTCCTCCAAAGTACCCTCCATACAATCTGAGATGAACTTGCCAACCGAAGTGATGTGTTTATATCCTGTGCCACAATCACCTGAAGCCACGACAAGAGAGGGATGTCGAGGGTGGTAGGTGATAAGGAACATTCTATCCTGTGTATCAGCACACCAGCAGATTCGCGCATGAACAAGTGGTCTATCTGCCAGTTGAGGCATGGTATCCTTCAGGAATTCTTTCATGCGACGTTCAGACTCAAGGGGGATCTGATGCTTGGCAAAGGGAACGGAAACTGGATATTTAGAACCAGGCTTTGTGACCCAGTTGCAGTATCCAGGGTGCTCATCGCACATCTTGAGCTGGTGGAGGTCCTCATCAGGTTCCATAAAAAAACCTTTATTGATGTTGAAAAGAACCGGAAGGTTTTTGTAGAGCTTTGTCTCCTCAGGAGTCATCTGGATGTGCCCTAAAGTCCAAGCTGTAGGACGAATCTGGTTCTCAAAGTCGAGGAACATTTCTGCTGATGCACCAGCAGAAAGAATGGTCCTGTCTGCTCTGTGCTCCGTCCCATCTGCCGTCTTAGCACCTCGGACATCGCCATCTTCAAATAGGAAATTCTCGACTTGTCCTCCTGGAGAGCCCGTGATGAACGTAACGCCGAGTCTTTTGCTCTCCTCAAACGCAGCAATCAAAGCTTTTCGCGCGTGGACCCAACCGGAACCCTTCGACTTGAAGAAGCCTTTCCATCCAGTAAAATCACCTGTCAGGACACCAGGCGGCATAGTGTTTCTAAAGTCTTCTGCAGTATTGAGGGGGGTGAATTCGTTTATTTTGTCACCGACTTCGTCATCTACCACCTGCTTAATAGACTCAGGCGTTGAGCCAGAGATGACGTAGCCTGTATCATGACAGTATGGCATGAAGACAGGGTCTTTTGTCCAGCCTTGTGCAGCGGCATATCCAAGTGCCTGCCAGATCGCGTCTTCGTCATCGCCTTTACTGTCAGGTTCGTCTATTCTGTGTCAACGAGAGTCCACAAAAGGTTTGCGGGATATCTTACTCAGCCCCCCTGCAATCTTGTTCACATCATGTCCAGCTGAGATGGGTGAAGGAATATGGTTTACATCGAGAACAGTGACGTTGGTATAACCTCGACGGGCGAGGTGGAGAGCCGTTGAGCATCCCCAGGTACCACCGCCCACGATGAGGATGTGGGACTGTTTACTGAGATCTGGGGCCATTATGAGATCTGGGGTCTGGCAGTGTAGTAACGCTAAAAAATGATGAACAGCAGGAATGAATTAGCTCGAACGAAGAAAGATATAGGAAATGCCCAAAGAGCGTCGCCCTCGGCTGGACCTTCGTTAGACAGCATTGAAGGTCCAGCCGATGCACACGTCTAGTATTCCGTACTGTGATTGGCTCGCGAGTCCCCAGAATGCAACTACAGCGATGATCTAAGCCAAATACAGCGGCAGTAACGCCATTCGCTATTATCAGGTGATTCACTACTAAGTGGATAAAATAATCGGTGATAACCACATCTAACGAACATCGCTCCAAATACTCCCCGCTTTTTTTATCTCACCTCAATTTCATAGACTACTGCATTTGACAGCAAGCCCTACCTACGTCTGACACGAAATCCTCTCAGTGGTTTCCACCCAGGCTCCTGCCTATCTGAGAGAATCCATGCCCCGGCGCCGCCCGCCCGGCCGGACCGGACCCGTCCAGCGCCGGTCTCGCTCCGGCTGCCAAACCTGTCGCTCCAGAAAGGTCAAGTGCGACGAGACCAGACCGACGTGTCGGAATTGTGCTTCTCGCGGGCTGGCTTGTAACACACAGCTGCAGTTAAAGTGGGAGCAGGAATTCGTAGAGAAGGGTTTGTCGTTCGGCAGAGAGGGTGTTTGGTGTAAAGAGGCCGACGGGCCCAGGCAGCGCAGACAGCCATTGGCACATGCACCCAGGCTGTTGGCTCATCCGGCTGTTGAACCGCGGCATTTTATTAATACTTATTATAGCGACTTTGTTCGCGACCCGAATTATGAGACCAGTCTTGTGCGGGAGGCGATGGTGTTGAGAGAGGAAGCTGAGCCGGCTCTTGTTTGTCGATCATATTCACCGCCGAGTCTAATACGTTCCATGTCGTCGTTTCCTACTCTTAATAGTCCCGAGACCAGTCTCTTTGAATACTATCTCCTACGGCTCTGTCCTCTTACTACACCATCGTCGCAACTCTCGTCGCCTTTTGCAAGCATGATTGCTCCCCTGTTTGCCAACTACGGTCAAGATCTTCTTGTGCAGTCTGTCCTAGCATTTGCTGCTCGACACAGAAGTATCACAGATCCATCGTGGTCTCGATCGGCGATGAGGATGAAAGGCAAGGCGCTTACTGGACTGTTGCGAAGGATTCGATCTCCCGATGTTACTGCAGACGTCATCTTGGACCCACAGGTCCCTGCAACGATGATGTTTCTGTGTCTTTACGAGATACTTGACAACGGCGACTATCGCTGGGTGTTTCACCTTCGAGCAAGTCAAGACTTTATGCGCAAACGGCAACTAATTGCGCTTCCGTCCAGTGGTAAATCCGGGTTAGAGAATCTCGCCGCCTTTGCAGAGCGGTATTTCGCATTTCAAGATGTCATAAGCAGAACAGCCTGCGGAAACTCTCCAATCTGGGGTCTCGAATATTGGCAGCGACCAGATCACACCGAAGATATCGATCCGTGGATGGGATGTAGTCCGGCAATGGCATCTGTCATTTTCAAGATTACCGAACTTGCTCGGACACGGAATCGAGATAATCTCTCTCAGGCTGATTACGAGCTTCAAGTTGAGAAGTTGGATAGAGAATTGACCTTGGTTAGTTCCAACATCACCATTCTCGAAGCCAAAGACGAAAACGTCAGACGATCTGTCAATTTGAAAAAGATTTCAGTACAGCTCTACTTCCACTGCCTACTCCGAGACGCAGATCCATCTACAACCCAGGTCTCGTACCTCGTCATCGAAGTTCTACATTCCGTCCACGGTCTTATACAACAAGGTTGCGCCGCAGGTCTACTATTCCCGTTATTCGTTGCGGCGGTGGAGTTAGATCCCCTGAATGATGATAGGATGTTCGAGCACATGGGACTAGGTACATATATAACAGGAAGACAATTGGTTCTAGAAACTCTAGATACCATGGTGGGATCGTCATTAGCAAATATTGAGCGGACGAAAGCAGTTATCCTTAAGGTTTGGAGGATGAGAGACTTACATACACAAGAGGAACCTCCCGTGGTGGGGTTAGGGAATGTGAATGATTGGAATACGTTTGTGAGTCCGTATACCCAGAATTTGAACTTGGCTTGAAATGGAATTGGGATGAATAAGTATACAAGGGAATTTGTGAAAAGGGGGTCGATCTGACAAAAGTATTACATTAATGAGTAATGATATATCTGGTTTGGGATACATTGGTGTTTCAAGATATCCAAAGCAACATTGGAGCAACATTGGAATTTGAATATTGAAGTAGGGCCCTGCTCTGACAGAGGTTGAAATTGTTGTTTCGATTAGGTCTTGGTTACTTGGCATCTAGAACTATCTATCTCATGACTTAACCCCCCTCTACCGTAGAAGAAATCCTGGAAAGACGGTGTCAGAGGGATCAATGAAGAAACTCATCTTTCCCACCAAATTCGCGGTTCCTCTAACCCTCGGTATACAGGCCGGGAACTCGACAGGGCTATCCTCCTCAGAGACAATATCTGCTTCAAAAACAGTATCAATAATAGATCGATGCAGCAACTTCGACTTCCCAGCCCCCAGTCTTCCCTCCGCCAGAAGAACTGCTACCCTTGACGCCGTGCCTGAGCCACATGGTGAGCGATCGATCTGGCCATCTGCAAAGACAGTGACGTTCCGTTGTCGGATTTCGCCGCCTTCTCCAGTTCCTTCGTCGTTGAAGAAGATAGCTCCGTATAGGTCGTATTCCCCGTAGTGTGCTCTTTTGCCGAGGGAGCTTTTGATCTCCCGTCCGAGATTGATAAACTCAATGTACTGACTCGGCTCAACGACGAGACCCAGCTGAGATGCGTTAATGGCAGCGTAGACAGCTCCACCGAAAGCCAAATCAACCTTAATCTCAATATTTCGCGAAGGAAGAGAAACAGACACATCCTTGGCGATCTGATAACTCTTGACGTTGATAAAGTCACCATGCACTGGCCTCCCCTTCGCAACAGTAATCTTGGCTACAACTCGCCCTGAGGGAACATCAATAACCACATCAACGCTACCATCCTCAGGTACCTCAACAATTCCCTTAGTAACGGCCCAGTAGCCAAGCGCTATAGTCCCATGCCCACACGCCGTCGAGAAGCCATCCTTGTGCCAGAACAAAACCCCGAAATGAGCGCCGGGGTCATTGGGCGGTGTAATGAAGCCGCCATACATATCTGCATGTCCACGGGGTTCATGACAGAGTGACTGGCGTAGCTGATCGAGTGAGTGGTTAGGAGTGTTTATGACTGCGTGACGGCGCTGGGCAACTGTTTGTTCGTTGGGCAGGTGGTTTTCTGGAAGGGTGGCAACAATGCGGAAGGGTTCGCCGGCTGTGTGCCAGTCCTCTGTATCGATCCAGAAAGACATTTTTATTTAAGTTGATTTTTGAGCTATTGATGAATTCTGTCAATTGTAATATGCGGCTGTTGTTTTATCTGTTGAAATCGGTCGGTACATCCCATCGGAAGCCCTCGCCGAAGTGGGGCTGTGCCGGTTCCGACTCCGGGCCGGTCATCTAGAGCTTTTGAACATCAAAGTCACTGAAATGGACCAGACCAATGTATTTCCATTAGTACTACGACATAACCATTGAAAGGAGAAATATATCGGGGTTCTAAAAGAACAGCGAGCGTTAAACCTCCGGCAGTTGAGTCATGACGATGTTGCGTAACCGTACGGGTTACTCAAAGGTGGGCGAAGCAGTATTACATCGAGTGGCAGATCGATCAGTGCGACGTGGCGCCGTTGTTGTGACAGCAAACGGTTCTACGGCTACATTCCTATCAAATAATTAATGAGACGAGACGACACATTAGCTAACTGTGTTGTTCTGTGGTAATTATTATCCTCAGTGACATGTTCTGCATTTGCCAATGAGACAGAAATGGATCAAACTTGCTATTTTCGGAGAGTTGAAACGTGGCAGCACCCCCGACGTAAGGAGTGAACAAACATAGCTGTGAAGCTTTTTATTGATATCACCCTTGGAAACTTGAGCTGAAGCTATTGAACTAAAGCTACCTCCGAGGTCCCTTACCATCTGCGTTCATGAATCGCGGAATAGCCACCTTTAAACAAATATGCAAACCACCTGAGATTCTGGAGTAGCTGGAAATAGATTACCGAGACTGTCTTGGTTGACGCGGCTCTAGAAAAGCATGTCCCAAGATGGAATGCAGGGAGAATTTTAGCATGCGGCTGAAGCCTCCCTTGCAATCGTTACCAGGGCGTTGCTGATACCTCGCCAGCTTGCACCAAATATTTGTAGACTACTCATCTTTAAAAGGGCAGAGTAGGCGGGGCAACTAGCTTGACTTGGCAATAGTACCAAACGGAGATCTTGAACCTTCGTTAGTTGTGGCACTGATAGATGTGCTTCCCTTCTTCGGTCTTCCGTCGTCCGCTGCTTGTAAGAGGCAACATTCCGTACTGTCGCGTATCACTTCGGTTGTTTTTTCTTTCTATTCCTTTCGTCTTTTACGTATCCTTATGGCCTATTCGAGATATTAGATAAATTACATTAGGCTTTATCATGTGTAAAAATGACTTATTTCTTCACATGGAAATCTTTTTATGTTTTGAATATTTTCTTAAATCTTTTACCAGTTATGTATCTCTTATGATACAAAAAAAGCCCCCTACTATTTGATACAAGGAAGTCACTCTTACCTTGATCGTTTTGGTTATGTATGACCCAGACCCCCCCCCCTCACCCGGGTAGATAGTAAGGGAGGCACACATCTAGGGTGGGCGCATAATTCCCTTCTTCAACTTACTTCGGAGTGATATTTCCTTCTGTTCCCCCGTTTCTCGACGGCTTCACATTGCTTTGTCTCATTATCGGGTTTCTCCTCACCGACGCAGGCCCATTAGTCCCATCTCCTAGGCCCATTATCAAGCATATTGGCATGCTTAAATTGGCATTCAGTCCACTCCAAACCCCTCAGCCGCACCTGTCCTATCAACATGCCCCAACGGTCTCAGGAGGCCAAGCAAGGGAGAATATTCTTAACACGCCACCTGATTCACCATGTCGCAGTACACGCAATCAATGCCAAGAGGGCCCTTTATCTTTTGCTGTCGACATTGAACCAAAACCTGCGCCGGCTTCCCGTCTTGGCTTCCACATCTCTCGGCCTGAAGAGCTTCATCTGTCACTTCATCATGGTGGAAGCGCCTTCGCATTTGGCCCTTGCGGCTAGACTTCTCCCGGTCTTCTTTTCTTTTCTTCTTTTCAGCGCTTTCGCCGTTAATCAAATCTGGACTTACGACGATCCCCATCGATGCAGGGCGCTACTCGGTGAGAGTGAACGAAATGGAAGCTGGCTCCATATCCCCGACGAGGCGGGTGCTCGAAAGCCCTTCACCAATTGGCAGCCGGACGGATGTATGCTGCATCACTACACAGCGGATGAGATTAAAGAATGTATGGGTGATCGACACATGGTCTTCTCGGGAGACTCGACAACGCGACAGGTCTACTGGGGCATGTCGAGGCTGGTAAGTTGAATATACGATTGTCTGTTATGCTGCTGACACGGTCGGTGTAGTTGGATCGTGACAAGTCATTGGAAGATCGCGAAAAGGCAAAACCTCACAGGAGCTACAATAAGACCTACGGCGGTTTACAACTACTGCATATTTGGAACCCGTACCTGAATACCAGCAAAGCCATCACGAAACAGATCAAGATCGTGACCAATCAAAAGCACAGTGAGATCGACCACGAAGATGCCGAGAGTAAAGGAAAGGGCCAGCCAGGTCTCATCATGCTTGGCGGTGGAGCTTGGTACGCAGGTAACTACTACGCCAACCAGTCCAAAGTGCACTTCCAAGAAGCCTTCGACAATATCACCGAACTTCTTGACTTCGGCGATCTCCCCAGATTCGGCACCACACCCTTGGATCCCGTCGAGGGTGTCGGCAACGAAGTCTTCATTGCTCCTATAGCACCTCCGTACTACGACGAACTTCCTGCTTATCGAACAAAGCCCAAAGGGCTCCAACGGGGAGAAATCGAGACCATGGACGATATCATGTATGAACGGGAGGACAAGCAGAACCTTCGCTTGCTTCGGGCGTTTCCGCAGTTGTCCGTCAATCAACCCGAGGCTATCGTCGACAGGACAGATACTGGACTCCACGTCATTGACTCGGTCGCCGAGATCAAAGCACAGATATTGCTCAACCTACGATGCAATGCCAAGCTCGACAGGACGGCTGGCTATCCTTTCACTCGAACTTGCTGCACAGACTACGGCGGCAAACCTTGGGCTCAACTCGCCATTGTTGGTGGTGTAGCCATCTACGCCGCTCTGTGCATCTTTTTCGAAGGCATCAGTCTTGTCTCGTCTGTTGATTTCAAATGGCTCAACATCAAGGTTGGCATTTTCGCCATTGCCTTGCTCTACTGCTACTCGGCCGACCGCACGCAGATGTTTGCCAAGGGCATGAAGGAGTTTGTCCCAACAGAATTCTATCTCCTCAGTGGGCTTTGTGCCGTTATAGGAGTACTGACCTTTCGAAAAACCAATACCCGCGCACCTCGTCTTCCCAGCAATGGGCAAGGGCCTGCTATAGCAGTACAAGAAGATGCGGGAATCCTCTTTAGAGACCAGACCGAAGAGTGGAAGGGTTGGATGCAGGCGGTTATTCTTGTCTATCACTGGACAGGAGCTTCTCGCAATCTTCCCATCTACATATTCATCCGTCTACTCGTTGCGGCGTATCTCTTCCAGACTGGGTACGGACATACCATCTACTTTCTTGCCAAGAAGGACTTTTCGTTCCGTCGCGTTGCGAGTGTTTTACTTCGCCTTAACGTGCTCAGCTGCGCCCTCCCGTATGTCATGGGAACTGACTATATGTTCTACTACTTTGCGCCGCTTGTTAGCTTTTGGTTCCTCGTGGTCTATGCCACCCTGGCCATTTGCTCTGGATTCAATGATAGCACCCGATTTGTTGTTAGCAAGATCGGCGTATCATTTGCTATAATCACAGTTGTTCTCAATTTTACACCAGTCCTCAGCTGGGTATTTGCAATTCTTGAGACCATCTTCCGCATCAAGTGGGATCTTGACGAGTGGATGTTCAGAGTGACGCTGGATGGTGTCATTGTGTTTGTTGGTATGCTCGCAGGTATTGTCCATCAACGGGTCAAGCGTGATTCTGCATGGTATACCAACTACCACTTCGCCATCATGCCTTCGATACTGGCCATCGTGGGCTTCATATATCTCTGCGCGAACATCGAAAGCAAAGACCTTTACGTCGTCGTACATCCGATCATTTCAATTGTACCCATATTCGCCTTCATCGCTATCCGAAACGCGACGACACCCATGCGAAACATGTTCTCCAGCACAGCGGCATGCCTAGGACGATGTTCCCTCGAAACTTTTATCCTGCAGTTTCACATCTTCCTGGCCGCCGATACCAAAGGCGTTCTTCTACTGGATGCCTTCAAAGGCGACGGCAGTTTGGTCAACGATCGATGGCGAGATCTCGCAGTCCTTGTGCCTATCTTCCTCTGGATCAGTCATCTAGTAGCAGAAGCATCTAACAAGATAGTCAACCTTGTTTTAGGTCCGGCTCCGGGGAAGTCAGTTGTTCAGGATGGAGAAGAGGATGAAAGCCAACTTAAGATTATTGAGCCTCTGTGGGAAAGTATGCCAATACTGAACAGTGAGCATTTGCACCGTGCTAGAAGCCTTTGCAAAGCCATCACCGCAGGTCTCCCTCTGCGAATTGCACTCATTTTAGGGGTCATGTGGCTTCTCAACTTGGTAAGTTGATCCTCTTACCTTTGTAGCTTATCTGACACTTCCCAGTTGTGGTGAAACCAGATATCCTTCTGGTTTTTTATCATTTGATTTGTTGATTGAGACACATCTATAGAATGGTGTCTCTCATATAGCGTATTGCATAGGACCCCAGGGGTGACTTGTTAGCCGGGCATGAATGGTTTTCGGTAGCTTTGAACTTGAATAAATATCGAGTAGTGTTTATCCGTACATATTGTGGTTGAAGCTTTTGCTTGAGTTTGATAAGGATAGTTGGGAGATATGGATATGTTAGTATCGCATGTAAGAACATCTCATTTCCTTGCGTCCTTTGCACTGCTCCGTTTCTCACTCCATTGCGTTCACAAGATTTCTCTCGTGTAGTGGAAGATGAAGCACCCATCATTATACCTTCAAAACAGTCTCTTCCTTTGTCAACCCAGACCACTCCCAACAAGCGTTCCACAAAGCATTTCTTTTCTCGTCATCTTTACACATCACATCCTCTTCATTCGGCCTCAATCCTATGAAGTATCCCCTTGTTCCTTTATACTTATCGTCAACAGCCAGCTCGGCGAGTTCCCGACCTGACAGCGCTGCTGACCGCACGAAATCCGTGAAATACTTCAGGACAGGGAGCATGAAGGCGATGATGCCGAAGACAATTCGCATTAATGGCGTTTGGATCCTGTTTGCGCGTGAATCGACCATGCCCCGTGGGTCCATCGCTAAAGCTGTTATACCAGATAGTTCTGGGTCCTGATGGTCTTGTGTTAGCTCTGAATAGCGAGGGAGGGAGTGGCTTACTCCTTGAAGCTTCGCGTTTAGATCGTGCATAAACATGACATTTGCCAATTTCGAAACTCCATATCGATGGAATCCATGGTTATACTCCTGGCCTGGCGTATCCGGTCCGGGCTTGGCAAGTAGTTCAACATCATCAGGAATACCAGTCCTGATACTAAACAAGGGGTGCGGCCTATCAGTGTAGTGCGTATCAGAGCTCAGCATAACAACTCTTCCATCCGAAGCCATAGACCCAATGAGTTTGAGGACAAGAAGATAATGTGCTAGGTGGTTGACTTGGAACGTCTGCTCCAAGCCATCAGAAGTAAAGACCTGGCCCTTTAAAGACATTGTGAAGGCGTTGCACACGATAGCTTTGATAGGTGGTATTTCCCCCGAGGAAACGCGTTTAGCTACATTCTCTGCGAACGAGCGGACGTTAGAGAGGGAGCTGAGGTCGAGGGCTTCGATGTGAGCATGGGAGGGGTTGCAGGAGATTGCTTGCGAGAGGGTTGCGGTGTTGGGGTCAGAGGAGGATGCTTTGCGAACGGTGGCGAGAACGGTGTAGGTCGGGTAGGTTGTGAGGACATGGGAGACGAAGGGGATGGCGCAGGAACCGTTTGCGCCTGTTATTATGACTGTTCCTGTCATGATGTCGCTGAGGTGGTTTGATAGTTGGACTTGTAAGTTGTACGTATTGATCATGAAATCTGCTGCATTGGTTGAGATATCTACTGCTGGAAATGCTTTTGGGGCTGAGATATTTATATAAGGCTTTTCTTTGCTTTGTTTACTACGGACGATGGTTCATGGATCATGGATCACGGTCTGGTTACGGCCTTGAACCCGGACTCGGACTCGGAGTGGGGCGGATGCCGGAGTTCCACGGAACTCCCGAACGGTATGGAACTCCGCCAGAGCCTCATAGTGGGATAGGATCAGTCACAAAGGATTCACTCAATCTCGCTAATTACATTCTCTTCATCCTTATTCTAAGTTGGGATAGAGTGATCGGTCGCAGAGTTTCGTACCAAGTAGGCCTTAGTAAAAGTCCAGGATGCTTATTGTGACTATAGGTACGTTGAGATAGAATATAGCCTCTCATTTGCATGATAGAGCTAACGGAATACTCCCTTGTTATGAGCCTCACAAAGATCGTCTATGTGCTGTAGGACATGAAGCACAAAATGCCATGATAGTCAAAGGTAATAATGGCATTGTCTGATTCGTCAGTATGTCATGCTATTAGCAATCTGCTCCACATCGCAAGTCTCCAGGTTCCGACCGCTTGAATTACTCATCACCTTCTCTTACCACCAACAATGGCGGAAAGGACCAGATACGACCAGACTCAGCTCGAGGCATACTACGATCGTATTGCGCTTCCTTCAAAAGTTCGCTTATCCGGTATCCACTATTTTCCACCCGACTTTCAGCTTGTATACCTCAACACCATCACGAGACAACAACTCCTCACAGTTCCCTTTGAAAATCTCACTCTTCATTACTCGTGGAACCGAGTCGTCGATGTCAGCGCGGATCATCTCCATGATAAGATCGTGGGAGAGAAGCGAGGCGGTTACTGCATGGAAAACAACACTTTCTTCCATACGGTTTTACTCTCTTTAGGCTACGAGGTGTATATGGTTGCTGCAAGAGTCTTCAGTCCCGATGCAGGAAAATATGGCAGCATCACTCATTGCCTCAATGTAGTGACTATTGCTGGGAAGTCCTACGCCGTAGATGTTGGTTTCGGAGCGCGCATGCCTACTATCCCCATGGAACTCGTCCACGAAAAGGTCTTTCAGCGATCAGATACAGGCCAAATGCGTCTGCGCTATAACACCATTCCTCAGTATCTAAGCAAGCAGAAGGTTTGGATATACGAATACCGCTCTCGCGATGGTGAAGAGTGGACTCCCCAGTGGTCTTTCGCCGATTTCGAAGTTCTTCCCGATGACATCCGCGTGATGAACATGGCCCCTTCAAGAAGCCCTTCCAGTTTCTTCACGTTCAAGGTTGTTTGTGTGCAGTTTACTTCTGAGAATGAGGATTACTCCGAGGTGGATGTGAGGGACGTGGGCAAGGCAAGTGGTGATATCGATGGTGCTTTGATTATCGACGGTAATTCTTTCAAATATCGCAAGGGCGGCGCTACGAAATGGGCAAAGACTTTCAAGACGGAGGATGAGCGTTTGGAAGCTTTGAGGAAGTACTTTGGTGTTGAGTTGACGGTGGAGAACCAAAGGGCTATCAAGGGAACTGTTGGTGCTGTTGCGTAACATATTTCTGACATGTTTGAGATAAAGCACCTTCATATAAACAACATATACATCAACCGTATATGGTACGAAAATCGAGCTAAGCACCAACTCCTATCTGGTTACATGCCTAGGTCCCTACTGAAAGTCCATGTCATCCAAAATAGCCCACGCCATAGAAGGACTCATCTGAAAATCACCCATCTCATCAATAATATCTCCCTTGGCCAACACAAGTGATGCCTGTCCCTTAGCCCTTTGATACAGCTGCTGAGACACAGAGAGCAAGGTTTTATACGGCTCAAACGGCAAATTGTTTCCTACATCCCCTAAAGTGCTAAAGCACCCATCCAGTAGTTCACGATCCTGCAAAACAAGGCTGTGGTCTGGGAATTCGATCATATTGATAATAAGGAGGATAAGACATGAGTATGAACTACACGTGTGAAGCCTGTTTACGATGTGAGTACTATGCTGATACTGGAAACGGGTTCTTACCAGATTATGTACTCGCTCGGTCGTCTTGCAATGAGCAACTCCATACAGATCCGGCTGTATTCAACGCACTGGCTCCATTTCGGAGGGAGCGGTGGGAGATCCCCTCGGCGAACCTTTCCGACAATATCATCGCTAACGTCTATCAGAGTGGGAAACAAGTAGCGCCTCACCCTCGTGATCCACGCATCTTCAAAGGTAAAGATAGACCGAATCTTGATGCGACACTCGGCATGGTGAAACCAGAGACTCATCATGAGATCTCTCGATATTGGAGGAAGCCGCTTCTCAATTCCCTTCGCAGTATGGAATTCCACAGGTATTTCACGTGTCCATTCTTCTAGCATGTCTTCTATACGAACGATGGTATTTGTCTTTTGTTCTTGGGTGAGCTTTTGGGATCTGTGACTGTATAGGAGATCGTGAGCTTTGCCTTGGATGAAGGCGAACTTTGCGACTGTACGAAGGTAGTTGAAACGGATGTTATCTGTTGAGGAGCTGATAACGCCGGGGTCATCTTCGGGTTCTGGGAGGTCCATATCTGTTTCGCTATCGAGCTGAAGATATGGACTTTGAGATCGCTGAGCCAGTTCCTGCGAATGATAAGCCTCAACGAAGACACAGTAGCTATTGGGAATAAGCATACCTTGTCATAAATGTACGAGAGCCAAAACAACCGACGTCGATGTGCTTGTTCCGCTCTCGAGAATCCAGTCTGTGCTTGTTTCAAATGCAGTCCTAGACTTTGAGTAAGTCGAACGACACTCGCAGTCAACACAATAGCAAGTTGAAAATCCGGCGATCCTTGGAATAAGATGATCATGCCTAGAAGAACTTGTAACCCCATCAGGTCTTTGCCCTGCATCATCAGATCAGACATAACAGACCGTACATTCTGAGTACACTGGGCGAATGCTGGGTCGTCCATTGCTCGTCCTTCGACTATACGGTAACTGATAGCCAGAACAGTGTTTATAGCAGCCCACGAGATCATGGTGCGCTTAGTTGAGCCAGCGAACCAGTCGAGAAGCATGCGCATAAACGCTGTTTCGTCGAATAACGGGATGATGGCATTGTAGTTCCGGAAATAGTTATCGACGACTGGAAGAATTTCTGATAGAGGTGCAAGTTCCAACTGATCTGATGCTGGAGCCTTGACGGTCTGCGGTAAGGGATCTGTGATAGCTGCAGATTGAAATGCTAATACGTCTAAAGGCGTGTGAGCTTCCGATGCAGTCCTGTCACTAGAAGAGCTGGAATGGTCGACATCGTTCAAAGCGCTAGGGTGTGGTTGCGGCTCTGGTGCTGAGGTTTGTCCTGTAAAGACAGCAAGAAGAGCCTCAATTGTAGCCAGACGCTCCTCTAGAACAGCGACTCGATCGGGTCTTTACAGTCAGAACCGCAATTTAACAAACTCAGGGCCATTTTCTTACTGAGGTGCCGTTGAAGGCGTTTGGTTCAATCTCCTATCACGAGCAGATGCCCTTCTTGTCACTGTAGTCTGACAGCTGACAGCATAAAGCGTGCAATTAGAACACCTCGGCTTTTGCCCGTCGCATTTAATTTTCCGCGACACACAATAATCGCACGCTAAACCATAAACTCATATCAGCTCAATCACCACCTACGAATATACACTTTCCAGTTATGTCTCACCTTTTCTTCTGCTCGACTGCATGACCGTTAAATGTTGGGATAATGATCAGACCATAATTCTAGCGGGGACAGATTTGATCCAGTCGGATAGCGGTGTTTGTGGGAAAGCCGCCAGCAAACAACTCCGCCGCATTTTTACAGGCGCAAGCGCAGGGGACCGGAGGATTTAGGGTACGCTGGTTAGCTAGCTTAGGTCCTAGCATTTCATCCCTGAATATCTTTCTCCTTATCGTGGCAAATGCGAGGATATCTATGATGCGACCGTATTTGTGTGGTTGCACGCATTAGAGCAATCTGGCCTTATCTCATTATCACATCATTCCAGGTTCGAGTGGTTTCATAATGTCACAAGCTTTTACACCTCCAATTGTACATTGACCGATTTGGAGATGCGGAGTTGGCAGAACCAAGCTTCACATGACGGAAGATAGTTTAAACGCCCCCGAAACAAGTGGCGATGGCGATGCGGGGATGTTCAGCCTCAGTTCAGATTGATTCACATTCACATTCCATCCATTTCAGATCCATATTCATGAATAACAAACTCCATTTTTATTGCGGCCCAAGCGCTAAAGCAATGCTCTAGTTCTATCGCGTTTATCGCGTGAAAGTCTAGTCTATCGTTTATATCTATGTCGATGTCTATCGCCTCGTAACATGCCGGCTACCCAGACCCGGAGATCTACTCCTTGGCCCAGCGCATGACACCCTGGTTGACAGGGTCGTGCTCGACGTACTTGAGGGTGCCGAAAATGGTCCAGAGCTGGCCGATGAAGTTGCGGTCGTCACGGCAGTAGTGGTCGCCGATGACGGGCTTGATGGCCTCGGTGGCCTCGTCAGCCTTGTAGAAGGGGATCTTACTGCGATGGGGTTAGATGTGGGCAGACTCAATTGAGTGGTGGGTCAACTTACGGGAAAAGATGGTGGACGACGTGCTTCTCGATGATGCCGTGGAAGAGGTGCTTGCCAATGAAACCGAACTCACGGTCAACGGTGGCGAGAGCACCCTTGACGTAGGTCCAGCCCTCAGCGGTGTAGTGAGGAACATCGGCGTGATGGTGGTGGAGGTAGGTGATGGCAACTAAGGTCAAATTAGCGACGGCCCAACGGTTCGAATCGATTTCGAGAACTTACCGAGCCAGTTGTGAACCCAGAGGTAGGGAACGAGGTAGAGGTAGAGGACGGTGGAGGTACCGACATACTTGGAGGCGATGTACAGAGCGGTACCCATCAAAGCCAGACCGAGATCGGAGATGGCAATGAAGATGGCCTCGCTGGGGCGGAAGACAGCGCTGGTAGGCTCGAAGTGGCTGACGCGGAACCACTTGGACAGACCGGTCTTGGGCTCCCACTGCTTGCTACCCTTTCCGGAGCTGGCGTTGAAGAACATGTACACCTGCCATCCGAAAAGCTGGTGGAAGATGAGCTTGACGAGCTGAGCAGCAGGAGTATCCTCGACGAGCTCAGCGATGTCAACACCGCCAATGACAAGAGACCTGGAGGGCTTGGGCTGAGTGGCGGGGACAAAGGCCATGTCGAGCTCCATGTGTCCATGGAAGCGGTGGTGGCGGTGGTGAGAGTACTTCCAGCTGAAGTAGGGGACCATCAGGAACGAGTGGAGGGCCCATCCGGTGACATTGTTGACCTTGCCGTGGAGCGAGAAGGCACCGTGGCCGCACTCGTGTCCCAGGATCCAGATGCCGGTGCAGAAGAGTCCCTGGACGAAGCCGTAGACCATCCAGGCAGCGACGCGGAGGGTCGGGTCGGGGATGCTGGGGATGTATGTGAGGGCGGCCCAGACGAGGGCAGAAACCATGGCAAAATCGCGGAAGACATAGTAGTAGGATGTGAGGAGCGAGGGCTGGAAGCAGTGCGCGGGGATGGCATCCTTGATGGTCTTGATGTCGGGGAACTGAGGCTGGGAAGTGGCCTCGAGAGTGACCTGACGGGATCGAGAGTTAGAACAACCAGAGACCAGAGCACGGAGCTTGACCGACTTACCTTGAGGGGGTCCTCAACCACCACGGTGGTGGCAGTTCGTTGTCTGGTCGCCATTGTACCTTTGTGTTTGGGGGGGGAGAGTGAAGGAAGAGAGAATGCACAGCAGTCAATCGATCAATCACTCGAGGGGAGAGGGCAACACAGAGTTTAAAAAAGAAAAAAGGTGAAGAGGAAACGGAAAAGAACGAGAAATTTCTTGGGAAACCTTCTGCCCCAACAAGCTCTCTTAATAACCTATTTTGCTCCTCCTACCAGTCCGTCTCAGAATTGCGAGTCTTGACCTAATCCAGCGATAGCTCGCTCTACGACAGAGAAAAAAAGAAGCGGATCTCAAGCAGCAAAAGAAAAAGGGACACACAAGGGCTCTCTCTCTCCCTCTGCCTCTTCCCCCCATGCTCGGTTGGGCCTTGGGAGAGAGGGAAAAATAGGGGTCCAGACTCGGTTTGCTGCCCCGGGCAGGGCCAATTAGGCTGTGCTCATGGGCCCACGATGTGCGGGAGATCATGGAGAGAAAAGCAGAGGCCTTGGGCCTTGGTCCACCAGAGGGGAAAAAAGAGGGAGACGTGTCCAGCATGTGGAGTCCCCTAGGTCCCCCGAAACCCTTAAGGTCTTTGCTTGGCTTTTTCTGAGAGCTTAGAGTTAGTTAGCACTGCGCGGGTCTACGGGTCTCCAGTCTCCAGAGGCAAATAAGCCCCCCCTCCCCCCTTACGAGCAAGGGGACCATGTAAATCCCTTATTTTTGTTGAGATTCTGAGGATCCGCGATTGTTCTCTTTTTTTTTTGTTGCGGTGAGAGGAACGAAGCGGCTCTGTTCTTTTTTCGCCTCTTGACGAGAAAATAGCGAGATTTTCGCTTTCGCTATCCGTAGTAGTCTCCTTCAAAATGTGTCCCTCTGCAGATCTCATCTCGACCAAAAAAACAAAATTAAAAAAAAAAAGATGAGGCGACGCTGGAAGGTTTCCGGTTCCTGAAGAGTGGGGCAGTAGAGGCGCCAAGATAAGGGTCTGAGTGGCTGGATGGTTGGCTGTCACGTTATTTAGCTCAACAGAAGGTTTCTGGAACTGATACGAGTCGGTCTCTTTTTTTCGCATGTGTCAGGTATTAATTGTCATTGTCTCCGTAAAAGATCTAACTCAATTGGCAGACGAAATGTGTCTGCCACCACGATAAGCTTTGGTCAATTGCTCTAGTCGTGAATTGTCTCCGATTGACAAGCAGGAACTGGCCCATGCTTTGCGATTCAAGCTTCTCTTTTCATCTTAGCCGACTTCCATCGACGTCTGCGGATCTCAATTCTGCAAGCCACCTGTCGTGCCACATGTGTTTATTTCTCTTCCAGACTTTGTCTGCGAGTCGTGGGTAAAAGCGGACCAATAGCTTCCGAGAGTCGGACCAAGGTAAGACGCCAGGAGCGCCTCTGCCTGAGTCAAGATTCACATGTTACAGATCTAAATTATCATGTGACTGGCTGCCTCGCCCAAGTGGTACATGATAAGATGTACATTAAAGTATACTGAGGTGGTGTCTGAATCAATGCAAATGCCATTCTATTATTTCTTGTATCGCCGCCATCAAAGGCATATCTCTAAACTGTTCTATGTGTAATATAATGCGTGCACTTATATACCGTGCCGTATGTGAAACAAGATCCATAGTATCAAATGAATAAAACACCAAACGTGCCAATGGTCCCTGCGCCTGGTTTTATCGACATGGGTTCCCTCCTCGTATGCTTTGTTTCCTCCGCTGCCCTTTCTCCTCGTACATTATCGTTACATTTCATTAATTATACCCACGTCCATTTCGTCTAGAAAATGAACGAGGCGACAAAGACCAGGATTGTGTAAACGGTGGTGACCGTGTATTCCGCCTCGAACCACGCTGCTTGACCGCCGAATGCAATCTTCTTGCTCACCGGCGTGGGATGCGCCACCTGCGTCTTTGGGTCCCGGTTGAGCAAGTCTTCACGGTCCGGCATGGCAGGCGGGTCGATCGCGTACGAGATGGGCGTCCACAGCGAGCTGCAGATGAAGAGGAACGTCAGAGGTGGCCAGAAGGCGTGCGTGAGGAGGGCGGTGAGTGTATCGCGGAGTGTGTCGGATGTAACGAAGGAGCGGAACGAGGTGAGTGCCACGGCGACGAGGGTCAGATATACAAAAGCCAGGTGGAAGATGGCCATGTAGTTGATGAGGATTCCCCAGAGGCGGCGGAACATGTTCTTCCTGAGCTTGGCATCGCGCTCGTTGAGCGCTGAGCCGAGAGATCCTGTGGGCTTGAAGGCCTGTGTCTGACCACCGAGCCACGTCGGGAGGACGAAAGAGCGGATGATGCACAGCGCGATGTAAGGTGACATCCAGAGCTGGTATCGCGAACCTCGCTGGCCGGTGTGGTAGCCAGCAGGAATGAACAGGGCGAACTCGCACAGTCGGTTTGAGATGACAGACGCGAAACAGGCCCGGATCAACCATCGGAGCTGCTCGTCGGTGGCGTATGCAACAAGAGGTTTCTGCATGATCAAGATAATCGGGATAGCAAACATCGAAATGGTAAGGAGAACCGTGTACAGACTCAGCGAGGCGTACAAGAAGCCGGAGAACCGCTGGGCGCTGGTCATCTGTTGCACGTCCTTGCCCCAGAGACAGAAGTTGAGCTTGAAGGAAGTATCGACGGTTCCAATGGCCCATCGCGTGCGCTGCTTAAGATGGCCACCATAGTCCTCAGGAACAGTGCCGAACTGGAGAGGCTCATGGATGAAAGCCGTCTTCCAGCCCTTACCAAGCATGAGCGTGGATGTAGCGACATCCTCGGCCAGAGATCCAAGCGGGAAGTTACCGATCTGGTCGAGGGCCTCTCGTCGAGCTACGTAGCCGGAACCAGTGCACCAGGCGACACCGAGGGCATCCTTAATGGGCTCGATGACGTGCACGAAGAAGTCCAGACTCTGGGCTAGAGGGTCAGATGGGGGAGTGTTGTAGAAGAGTTGCGGAGGACAGGCGAGAGCCATCTTGGGGTCGATGAGCATATGGGGAACGATTGCTCGGAGCCAGTCACGCTCGGGAATCTATCATTGTAAGCATGGTTGATTGATGTAAACGGGGGAACGTTACTTACCATATCGGCATCCAGAGCTGCCATGAACTGGCCGGCGCCTCCAGGCAGCTTGTGCACCTCGTCCAAGCCGTAGTTGAGATTGCCTGCCTTGAAGTGATGAGGCTGGCCGGGAATCTTAACTCGGGCCATGTAGTACAAATTCGGGTAGGTCATGGCCAGCTTTGAACATTGCTGATCGAGACCAGTGGATTTTCCATCGTCCAGCACGATAACTCGGTAGCGATCACGGGGGTAGTCTAGATCACAGGCTGCCCGAACCGTATCCATGACCAAGTCGTCGTCCTCACCACAGCAGGTAATGAAGGCATCGACAGTGGGAACATCGTTACCCGTCAATCTCAACTTCGGGCGCTGTCTCTTCTTCATCGACCACATCGTCCAAGTGTTATGCATCATTGACGGAATTGCCACTGCGATCTCAACAGCGATGAACGTCCACGCTCCGCCGTACGTCTCATCAGCAGCGTTCTGCGCCCAGATAACACAGGCGATCCTCAGCGCCAGATACGCCAAGTACAAGCCCGTGTTGGCGAACGTCAACACCGGTACAAGCCGGAACACCCATCTCTTCCAGCCCTTCCAGATATCCACATCGTCACGCTTGTGAATCTGCTGGATGGTGCTGGCGTCAACGCTGTAGTCTTTGTTGTGCAGCGTATTACTGCTGACGCTATGCGGGGAGCCCGCGCCGCCGCCGGGCAGCAAGGCCGCGAGACTTAGGTGGCTTTGGTTCTGTTTGTCGGGGAGAGAATAGTCAGTTATGCTGCGCTGGTTGACGAGGGTGCGGGTGCTGGGTACCATGAGGCTGGATGGTCTCCAGTCGACGGACGAGTTGCCCGGGTGGTGGTGCAACCGCGCGGGCGTTTCTGTGCCGCTGCGTAGAGACGGCGTCGCAGAGCGTGAACCGCCCGGTGTGTCGGCGAAGTACTGCCCAGGGCTGCTGGCAATATGGGGAGGCCATTCTGGAGCTGGGCTGTAGTCGTCGATGTGTGCCTGCAACGGCCGAGCTGGTCTGCCCTGCTCTGTGATGGAACGGCCCTGCATGTCTTCAACTGAGGACTGGTAGGGAGAATACGGCGTGTAAGGCTGCCCTTCTGGCGGACCGTATGGTGAGTGCAGGTCCTGCTGGAAGTATTCCTGCTGTTGCTGTTGCTGCTGGTACTGTCTTTGCTCATGCTGCTGTTGATGTTGACGCTGAACATCGATCTCTACCAACTCCCTATACTCCCTCTCCTCCTCCTCTGCATTACCACGATGTCCGTTCATCTTAGACGCATGCGTCGAAAGGTTGTCGTCCGGAGGCCCGCTTTGTAATGGTGGAAGTTAATTGGCGAAGCTTGGCGTATGTATGCTTGGGCACTGGATACTTCAAAAACGAGTGACTATCTGCAAAGAAAACAATGCAGAAATTGTAGATGAAAAGAGAGGAAAATACCAACGAGGTACGGAATACAGTATTCAAGAACGAGAGAGGATGGTCCAAGACGAGGAAGAGAAAAAGCAAGGGAGAGGGAAGAAAAGGAACCTGGGGCGTGTCATTTGAGTTCCAGCGAGAGACTGGCACGTCCCCCTAGGCCGTACAAAGTATGTACGGCATTGGTGGACGAGTGTTATTCTTGGGGATAAACAAGCTCCAGCCACTCCCATCTGTGTCTCTGGTCTCCTCTTTGCACGGAACGCACATGCCGAAGACAGGTAGAAGGCTAGAAGCGAGTGCAAGACTAGGACGGACGGACTAATCCAGGAACGCCCATCAGTGACATGATGCCCTCTCGTATAGCAACGATCCAGCGGCCAGTGGGCCAATACGACTCCCGAGCCAGGTGGTCCCCGGCTCTAGATCAGGGGCATGTTCAGCTGGTGCGCTACGCTATCAGCTGTGATTGTGAAATCTAGACGCTATGATTGGTTCGCAAGCTGACGTCTTGGTATGTCGGCATTTCCACACAGGGAACTCCTCTTAGCTTTGCATATGCAAGGGAGGGGGAGTGTGCATTAACGGGAGACAGAGACAAGACAACAGCGCCCAAAAAAGGAAACAGAGGCCTGTGCAAAGATACGCAGGATGGGAGAATCGTCTTCGCGCCAAAAGCTTGTTCTTCTTTTTCCTTTTACCCCCCTTCCCTTGGGCTTCTTCCCGGAATTGTAGACGACAAGCAACCTCCTCGCCTTTCTCATTCTGTTCCTCTCTAAGGCGACAGACATCATGACATTTCGCTTCCTCGTCAACTTCGGGCTGCTTGCCCTGCCCATCGCCATCACTTTGGGCGTGCTTATCGGTCTGCAGAGCCAGCGCGAGGCCAGCGGCGGTCCGCCTCTGTTCAAGCCCGATCCCAAGCCGACGGATCGGATCAAGAAGAAGAACGGTATCTTGACTGAGCAGCATTGTCAGAAGTCTTATGGTATCCATCCCGAGACCAAGGGCCAAGAGTTTACACGTGAGTACATCTCCTTTCTATTACTTTTTTAGAGAACGTGGGTTCTGTTCCACGGATGCATGTAACTTGCCGTGGCCGTTGGATGCTGTGCTACTTTAATTGAGTTACACTGCTAACTGTTGTACAGTTAATCCCAATCAGTGGGGTTGGGATGAGGGTGATGATGGCGGATTGTGTTTATATGTAAGTCAAGCCTCTCTTATGCATCATATATACCTACCATCCCCGATCATCCAGTATAGCATACTGTTATCGCAATACACCTACCATTCTACCTCAATCCTAACATCTACAGGTTGACATCAACAACAATGAAACATACGCCACAAAGACCACCGCCCCTCACTGGTCCGTAGTATGGGAATACCCTCAAGGTCCAGAGACAGCCCCTGTCCACGCCTTCCCCAACATCAAGGTCGACGGCGATGTCTTCCCTGCCAAGCTCAACGCCATCGACAAGATCGACATCGACTTTGAGTGGACATACGCAATCGGCAACAAGTCGACAAAGGGCTCCAAACCTGTGACCAAGACGGACCTGACTGACCTCAAAGACCATCTGCTCAACGCCAACGTCGCGATGGATATGTTTATGGACAAGGACCAGAAGAAGGCGCAGGACAGTGAGAAAGCGTCGCATGAAGTCATGGTGTGGTTTGCCGCTATAGGTCCTGCTACGCAACCCCTCGGCTTCAACGTCAACGGCTCTAATCCCTTGGCCACAAAGACACTCCACGGCACAGAATTGTAAGTTATTTCTCTGCGTATCTCGACTACAAACTAATCCTCCGTAGCAAACTCTACTACGACATCAATCAGTCCAAGCAAAAGGTCTTGACATGGTATGTCGACAAGCCAACGGAAAAGTTCGACGGCGATCTCTATCCTTTAATCGAGGAGATCCTCTCCATGGATAACAGCGATTACCCCTCGGCTTCGGACTACATCGGCTACATGTCGTGGGGCACAGAAGCCTACTCGGTTAACACAACCGTTACATTCGACGTCCCCAGCTTGTCAATAAACGTGGAGAAGAAGGCATAAGGCGAACTAGATAATTGTAATTTTTACCTGCATATAGAAATAATGAACGGCGTTTTTGTTTTGGCTGTAAATCACGAAACACGTCTCAGTAAACAAGAAGATGCTGATCGCACGCCACTTTTTGCTTCACCAGGCAACGAGAGGAAACATGTCCCTTCAAGCAAAGGGATTAATTACGAGGAACGCCATGGCTTATGCAGGTTGGATTTTTGGTTAGACTGTGGTGCGAGACCGTCGCCCGCACCATAGTAGCGTGTTTGATTGAGCGGTAGTGGCCGCTGAGAGGCCGAAAAGTTCGTATTTTCTCTTGTTTCGGTTTGTTAATTCATGATCTAGACGAGCGTTTTTGAAGGGAGGGTGCACGGGCCTGGTCCGTTCGCCCAGGTACCGGCTCAAGGGAGTGTGTTTATCACGTTGATCTATGGAGAAAGTCTGAACTTTGTTAAAAGAGATTTTCCCCCGGTTCATCCGACATCTGAATCTTCAATATTGATGTTTACTTTAGATCAGTCTTTGTTCGTCTTTTCCATAACGAATTGATGCTGCAAAAGAACTCGTATTGGATAGCATGCGACCAACACGAGCGTCGCTATCAGTGATCACCAAATTCTGAGCCGTGCACGAGCACGAGCACGAGCGCGACCAGGGGTTTAGCGTTCCCAAAAAAGAACATGTCCTTGCAGACCCTGCTGACAGTGACAGCTAGCATGGGACGAAAAGGCATGTCGTATCGCATTGCTTCATCGCGGAAGTAACCTCGTTATCGAACACAGTACTTCGTATTGGCCGAGACAGATCTAGAGTAATAGAAGCATAATCTATAGTGCACTTATGATCAGGTAGCTATTGCAATATTTAAACAATAGCGTCTTGTTAAAATGGCTCTTCCACTGCCCACCACCGACAATCCACTCGCAGACGCCACCAACATCAATGACCGTTCAATGCCACGGCACAAAGACATATACGTAAGCTACTCCATTACAAGCAAAACGTCAATATGATGTATCAATAACAAAATATCCCTGCTCTATTGCCGATCTGATTATTGGCCGGGTATCAATGTTGGGTGGCCTGATAGCACGAGACAAAAAGAAAACACGAACACCGTTGTCTCAGAGCTCGGACACCAGTACTGGTAACAGTTAACTCACCGGGCCGCGAGGTGGCATCTCCAGTTCTCCAGAGCACACCTTGAGCCACTCCCGCGGAGCTTTCTCGACGCTATTGCAATTGACATTTCCTTTCACGAGGTTTAAAAAAAACTTAATTCGAAGCTCCAGATCAAGGCTGCTCTCAATTGGCCTCCTGAGAACTGTGGAATCGCGCCGTCGAAGAATGGTATTAAAATATCTCATCGGCGATCCATCAAACGAGTTTTCCTTCGTATCAAGAGCCGCAACCGAACGATTACTCCCTAGTGCGAACCCTGCAAACCCTAACTCGTCTGCTCGTCTATCTTGGACGTCATGGTTTTTCTTGGCTCCGAAATTAAGCATTGCCCAGAGTCTTGCCAAGGGGTGTGTGGTCCCTCCCCTAGGCCGGTACCTGCGTCGGGAGGTTCGTCTTTCGCCCTTGTGTCATTAGTGCGGGCATGGAAATTCGTTCAAGAGAGCGGTATTGATGGGATAGGAGATGGCATGGGATATTAGGGCTGGATCTTGAGAGGAAAGCTTATCGTCGTCACATTAGGGTAAATTGGCTTGGAGATAACTCAATGCTGTGTCCGTTAGCTTGGGCAATTGATGCCAGGATGAGGGCTTGGTCGATAAGGATAGCCAGGGCTGGGTTTCATGGAGGGGTTGCCTATCGCACTTTGCACCGCAAGTCAAATTGACGGCGGCCTCGCCGACGATAACGATTGAACATGTGAGTATCCGTATTCTCCATGTGAATGCCTGATCTGCACTGTAATCTTACAGCGGTAACCCAAACCCGAAAACAGCACAAAACTGTATTTCCCCCCACTGCTGAAGCCTGGAGATGACCCGCAGCGGGAGGATTCTGTCAGCACTTTCTCCTCATTATCCATAGAAGATGAGCCCCTGTCGAGTATGCCTTCATTTACAGCAACATTATGGAATCTACGACTTGTCTTCAAGTAAGTATCCAGGCTTGTTCTTGATCTCGAAATATGCATGATCCATCTCCGTTTTGCTGCGAAACTACGGCCCCATCAACTTAAAAGCCCGCATGCAACTACGGCAGACCTGGCTTAGGTCCGCGGCGCCTCTGTCCTACCCTGTATCATCGACAAAGAATCTTCCGTGGGGTTATTGTGATACCTTGCATGTTGTTCAAGCTGTAATGACTATATTACACAAATGACCCATTGCGAAGTAGAATTAGCATCGGCACGGCTTGTGCCAATTGATGGTGTTGGTGATCCCTAGATCCCTCTGCACGTTGAAGAAATTTGGGCCAACGTCACCAGAGACACAAACAGTTTTCTTTAAATGTGTGACTTTCTTCTGCAAGCAAACTTCGATACTTATCTAAGCATATCCAATTGCATTTGACACACATCAAGCCACAAACACGGACTCAAATGCTTATTTCACTTCAAGATCATGTCGCGAGACATGTCAAACACAGCCATCCAAGCCTACAAGTTAGGCTATTGCCAGCGAAGGAAGATCCCAGGAATTAACTCTGAAACAATACAGGAATGCCAAAGTGACTATTTGCTCAAATCTGCTGTAGATGCAGTGACATATGTCTTAATTGAGCCTCCCTTGGACTCAAATGGCCTCCGATCTGTCTGGCGGAGAGTCTCCGGCCGGACTTTGCACCCGTCCGTTCGGGCGGCCCGCAGTCGCCATTCCATCACGGCCATAACAAAACTTCACTTTAAGGGATATGTTGGCTAGGCGTAAATAGAGATTGCGCGTAATTTCTGCATACTCGAAGCAACTAACTGTTTGAGACACTGTAGCCTGCGGGGACTTCGGTCCGCTTGTATTCGGGAATCTCATGAGCCTAAATCACGGCTATCTTAACATCCGCAGATGATGCGCATACATATATCCCGCTAAAGACCCGCAAACATCATCTCTTCGGCATGCTCAAGGTTGAGTTACCCCACGATGGCATTGCTCATTTCGCTGCAGGTGTGGAGTGGTGATTGGCAATAGGTTGACCAGTTAACCCCGCTATGAACACCTATTGATTGCTGAAATATCCCCATGCTTGTTGTCGCTTGAACTAGGGATGTCTGATTCCAGGTATCAAGCAACCTGTAGCACGAAGAAGAGACGCTGGCCAGCGACTAGATGCCCTAGATGAACAGCGAACCTGCATAAGCTGTGCAGTTTTCGCTGCGGGTGAACGAATCGACGGGGGACAGATGGATGGTGCATAATCACCCATGCTTCCCTTCCCACCCAGTTCCCGATGCATGGATTGGTCTGCGTTCAGGTCCTTGAACATGGCGCTTGGTACGAGAAGTTCCAGTTGGTAGCGAAGTTTCCTGGAAGAGTAGTAGGCTCCGACGTCAAGACCGTCTGTTACCGGGACCACGCCAATCCTCAGTCTCCTCAGGCGATGAAATCGTTCCAAGACTCAGGCGACCGGGTGGAAACATCAAGCAAGACATCGTCGCGAAATAGTAGATCCTTGGGTACATCGCCTGTTCCCACTGCTGAGGTTGCTCTCCATTGTCGCCGGATGCTGTCGACTTCACCCCTAGGCATGCTCGTGTTGAGGCCATAGCCTAAATGTGCTGAAGCATTCTCTACCCGGGCGGCTACTGTGTCGATGGCCATAACAAGCGCGGAGGCTCACGGCGAGCCTCCTTCAGCGACCAGGTTGATCAGACACCTGGTAATGGCTTCACAATGTACGGCAGATGTAGGCCTTGCCTTTCACCAGATTGCACACATCGTCAGCCGATGATGTGCTACTAGGGCGACCATCTCATTCGTATCGGCATTCCGTAAACACAGCAGTTGCTAGAGTTCCACTCAGTACACATGCTTGCTGTATACAAGGGTTTGGCAAAATTGATACTGTAAGGCCCCGCGCGTAGTGAGTATATGTAGTAGAGCCAAGGGATACAACGGTAGTGGTAACAATACACGACCAAGCGTTGTAAGCCCATCGAGGGCAACAAAAGAAGCCAGGCAAGCCAGAGAGCCAAGCCGCAGTAGCACAATCGAGAAGATAGTTCGGCACAAGAGCAGTGGACTGTGTAGCCTCAAGTCCTCTGCACGAGGCGTGCGTACTCGTTATGAAGCATCGAATGCGGGAGAGGAGGAACACGATAGGTGGTGAATTGCAATGTGAGCTCTATCCCTCTCAGCAACTACATGTCTGTTGCAGTAAGATGCCAGTCGTTTTCCCCCACCATCCCAGCTCAGGGTATCATTGAGGTCCCTCTTTACCCTCCTCCCAATCCTTCACCGCAGCAGCAAGTGCCTTCTTCGCCGAAGCCTGTCGTGCCAGAAATGGACCATTGAAGATCGCGTAGAACGGCATATGGCTGTTTGCATGGTCGGCTGCAAACTCCACAGTGCAGTCTCTGCCTAGCGCTTGCTTGGCGATCTTGATGCTCTCGCGAAGCACATCCCCGCCGAGTCCTCGACGTCGATACCTCGATTTTGTTGTCCATCCACGAATGAGCGCTGTGTTGTTGCTTTTGTTGAGGCGAAGAATCACAGCTCCGATAATCTCCTCCCCGAAACGCGCTCCGATTATGCTGTCTTCCACATCGTTGCTCTTGAGCCAGTCCAGCCAATCCGTTTCCTCAGCGATGCGGATATATGAGCTGGTGAAGTAGCGAATGGCCACGAGGTACGTGATTACGATGCCGGGGTAGATGGTTATCATGGTGGTGATGTCTTTGCCAACATTGGCGCCATAGTGCGCGATTGCGACAACCGCTGTGAAGATGGAAAGAGCAACAGGGTGGAAGATGAGGGCGCGTGAGGCTGTCTGTCGCTGCTGAGCTACGCTATCGACGACCAATTTGAGGGCATCTTTCTTTTCATTTGGCTGAGTGAGGATCTCAATTGCCAGTGGCGGGGGAACTGTCGCTTCATACATGGTGAGTGTTGCGCAGGGTTGTTGTCGGTGGTGTCGCGTGAGGACTCAAGAGCATCCTTGACAGGCCTTGTCAGCATGTGATTGCCTCTCAGCAGGACGACAAAGGTCAGAAACAGCAGCCACCAAAGATAAAAGAGCGAATTATTAGTAATAAGTCGACTTGAACACTTGTCAAGATGAGAGCGCGAGGCAATTGTCAACGGAATTAGACCGGCAACACACGCAACCAAAGCTGAAGCCGTGATATCCGACTTTCGCAATTCGGTGTCCCAAAATGGCAACCGTCAAAAACGATAGCGCCCGACGTCTCGGTGTCTGTTGTCGATATGGTTAAAAGAACCATAAGCTGTCTGTTCCGTCATAATTAAGATTACAGTGAGGAAATGAAAAAATGGGCCGGGATCGGAAGGACGCTAAATCCGTGCCGCCTGCCGAGACCCCAAACGGCGAGAGCCAATCTGGAGGGCACGTGGGGACGTCTATTCGCTACCAACGTGTAAGTCGTCTCTCACTTCAAACAACCGAACATGGAGCCTCAGGAGATGGCTGAAAGAAGATGGTCGAGCATGTACGCCAAGGCGATGATATTACTGGAGGGAAGATATTGTGGGTATGTGTTTTGGAGTGGTTCTCGGTTGTGACGGCAGTAAATGGGATTCTTCTCGGTGGTGAAATGGAGAAGTATGGCTTGATTAATATTGTTTGCCGTCTAATATATATGCGGCGATCGTTCTTTATTTCCAGATCTCTTGGCTTGGTCCTTGGCTGCAAGGATACTCTCAGTCTGGAAAGTAGTGCGTCTTGGTGCCATCACCACTTACACCACATTGAACCACCTTCACTTTTTTATTCTTATCATTAATCACATTATAATTTCTTTCTCGCCATAATGGCTGAAACCAACTCTGGTCCTCCTGCCAAGACAGCAGGAGGCAACTCAGCTTTTCACAATTTCAACAACGATTTCGCTCATGTAGCTGACCCCAACGAGCGTCGTCGTCTTGCCCTCGCCGAGATCGATAGGGCTCCCTTCGGATGGTACCATGTCCGCGCTTGTGTCGTCGCCGGTGTCGGTTTCTTCACAGACTCTTACGATATCTTCTGCGTCAGCATGTTGACTATCATGCTGGGCATCGTGTACTATCCTGAGAAGGGAAAGCTTCCCACCAGCTCTGACAACGCTATCAAGCTGTCCACCTCTGCTGGAACGGTTATTGGTCAACTGTTCTTTGGTGCTATGGCTGATATTGTAGGTCGTAAGCGGATGTATGGTATGTGTGACTGACCTCCTAAGACTTATCGCCTCTAACAGTTTGAGAACAGGCCTTGAGTTGATCCTCATCATTTTCGCGACACTGGCACAGGCTTTGACTGCTGGTTCACCCTCTGTCTCTATAATCGGTGTTATTATCTTCTGGCGTGTATTGATGGGTGTGGGCATCGGTGGTGACTATCCCCTTTCTTCGATCATTACGTCCGAGTAAGTTAATTCCATACCTGAACGACGCCGCTCCATGTTAACACCAACAGGTTCGCCACCACCAAATGGCGAGGTGCTATGATGGCTGCTGTCTTTGCCATGCAGGGTATTGGACAGCTAGTTGCTGCTCTCGTTATGATGTTCCTTACACTCGGCTTCAAGTCTTCACTTCAGACTGCGGCCGATACCAAGAGTTGCACCGGGGAATGCCAGGTTAGCGTTGATAAGATGTGGCGCACCCTTATCGGTTTCGGTGCCGTTCCAGCTTGTATCGCTCTTTACTGTAAGTCTCTTATTCCAGTTCGTGATAATTTGTTGTGGTGTTGTGGTTATGATATTGTGGCGTTATGGCGCTGTGGTGAAGCTAACCCCATGTGGCGTTGAAATAACTAACACCATACGCAGATCGTCTTACAATCCCCGAAACTCCTCGTTATACCTTCGACGTCGCTCGTGATGTTGAGCAAGCCGATGAGGATGTCAAGGCTTACATGACCGGCAAGCGTGAAGGTGACACTGATGAGGTTGCTCGCGCTCAAGTTCACCAGGGTGCCAAGGCCAATCTCCAGGTCCCAAAGGCCAGCTTCAGAGACTTCCTCAAGCACTACAGCAAGTGGAAGAACGCTTCTCTCCTTCTTGGCACTGCTGGTTCATGGTTCTGTCTTGATGTGGCTTTCTATGGTCTCAGCTTGAATAACGGTACCATTCTCAAGGTCATTGGCTACTCCACAAAGAACACCCACAGCGTTTACGAGTATCTTCATAACACTGCTGTTGGAAACATTATTATCGTCCTTGCGGGCGCTGTACCAGGATATTGGGTTTCGGTAGCAACCATTGACACGCTGGGCAGAAAGACTATCCAGTTGGGTGGATTTATTATTCTTACCATTCTATTTGTGGTATGTTTTTCCCACCACGAGACAATTATATGAAACTAACAGGCACAGGTTATGGGATTCGCTTATAATCATATCCCCTCCAATGGTCTCCTCGCTATTTACGTTCTTGCCCAGTTCTTCTTCAACTTCGGCCCCAACACCACCACGTTCATCGTACCCGGCGAAGTTTTCCCAACTCGCTACAGATCTACCTCACACGGTATCTCTGCTGCTTCGGGCAAAGTAGGGTCTATTATAGGCCAAGGGGCTATCTCTATCCTCCGTACTCGTGGAGCGACTGAGACTAACGAAGCCCCTTGGATGGATCACGTTCTGGAGATCTACGCCCTCTTCATGCTTCTCGGTGTTTTCACTACTCTACTCATCCCAGAGACCGCTCGCAAGACTCTCGAAGAGCTCTCTGGTGAAAATGACTTTGCCAACACGCATGATGATCATGCACTGGAGCACGAGTCTCAATCTGGCAAGCCTGAGCGAACCAGCGTTTAAGGGGATGTCACTTGCTTGTGTCACGGGCTGCTGATTGGTCTCCAATGGAGTCACATTTCCCGGATTCTATTTAGCCATTACTTGATTTTATCCGGGGCTTCGTAATATCTTTAGTAATGGGGGTGGAGGATAGTTTTAAGAAATCAGATCCTTGGAATTTACCATGCCACATGTACAACTGTGGCTTAACATAAGCAAACATATCATGAAGTGACGTAATTTGTGCTCAGTAACTGTAAACTGTTCGTGTATTCTTTATCATTAAATATTCACGCAGTGTTCCGTTTCGCAGTTTCATTCCCGAAACTAGCCCACCAAATTGAAGGTATATCCATATATCCAGACCCATTACCAAACACCAAAAAGCACATATCCTAACGCATTTACTGCTTCTTGCTACCGCCAAGCAGTCCGCCAACAGTGTTTCCTACACCCTGGCCTACTCCTTGGAGACCTTCAGCGGCGCCCTTTCCACCACCAACAACAGCGTTCGCCGTGCTGTTCAGCGCACCAGCACCGGGCGTATCCTTGTTGACGTAGCCACCATCGTTGCCCTTGCCCTGTCGCTCGGTTCTGTTGATGCCCTCCTTGGACGCCAGGTCGCCGACGGGCTGCAGAAGACCGCCCTGGCCGACTTGGCCACCGGCGAGGTTGTTGACGCCATCTTGGAGGTTGTCGATCTGCTCGATGCCAGTGACTTTGGTCTTGTCGAGGTTTTCTGAAAAGTGTTAGTGTAAGTAAAACAATGACGGAGAAAGGAACGTACGCTTGGTGGCATAACTAGCCTTGTTGTCTTTTGTGAACCATCGAAGGTAGGTATCCTCGAGCCAAGGAACCCACTTCTCGTACTGCTCGTTGTATGTAGCCTTGGTCCACTCCATGATGAATATGTTTAAGATTTGTTCAAAGTATTCGTTGTATCGTGTTTATCGTTGAGATCTGATCAAGAATCGCGGAGACACAGGAGCCGGACACGCAGATTTATACACATTACGCATCTCATGATGAAGCGGGTACGTCATAAAACAAGCAAGGATCTGAAACGATGCAGGGTTTACTTCTCGTTAATCTCACTGGCTGTCTGGTGCCTGGTGGTGGTTGAACAATACGTATTATGATGCTGAGGTGTGGCGTGAAAACCGGTTCTCTACTGTAGTGACTGAGCCAACTTCGGAGAGTGCCCTGTGGCGGCGACGTCATGTTCAGGGATGAGCCACATTGCCAAGCTGGAAATGTTGGATGTTAAGATCAAATTTACAAAATTAAGAACAGATTTGTACCAGATTAAAGAATATTATATGATGTTAGAAAGCTTGAATATCTCATCATAAAATCTATCAAGATATTTATCAAGTTTATCCAACTTTACGGTGATACTTTAGCTGGTCGCGTCGTGACTTGTACCTCATGATGCATTTCTGACCCCTGTAAGCTGCCATCGTGGAGAGATCGGTGACATTGACATGTGAAAACGTGCAAGCGATTGGCTTAGATTTGTTCACGGGATGATGGACATGCCAAGGCCGATCGATCAACGGTTTAATTAAGCTTAACCACTGGCTCGCGTGGAAGGCACGATGGAATCTATTTTATTGCTCATTAATGGGATTGCAACACAATCGAGATCATCAATGCGCAGGTCCAAGATGGCAGTGGTGTGACCAGTTCACCATTTCCCTACCTAGCCAATATACTGTGCATATTTTATCCATTCCTCATCCACCTTTAATCTCTCGATATCCTCATCCCTAAATGACAACGCCGCCGCGATCTCCCCATCCGGTCTCTTGGGTAAAAGGTACGCAAGCGATTCAAAAGGCTCAAAGAGCGGCCTCCGTACACTTTCTGGCATCCCCAGACCGAGCCCAAAGTCATACCCCCAGAATCCCGTCTTCGCCCACGAACTCAGCATGATATCCGTTGAAGAATTCGCATCTGCTGTCAATGACACGACTGACTTGTCTGGCTGGTTGTGAAGATATGTCACCAACCCTCGGGTTCTTTGACGTAGGCTCGATGGGTTGAGTTCGCGACGGAGACGGGACGCGACTGCACCCAGAGGCTCATTGGCTATTTGTGAAAGCGTGGAAATTGAGTATGTCATGTTTTGAAGCATGCCAGGATACTCCTTTGGTGCATCGAGCGCAGCACGTACGTCCACTGCGCGACGGAAGTTTGTTGGCGTGGAAGCATCAAGACGGGCAAAACGGGCAAGTCGTACGCGTGTAACAGACTGCCAGATAAATGCAGAGACGGCATCGTCCGTGGAGATAAACTTGGTGGATGGGTCGAGACTCTGCGTCGCTTTGTCTTTAAGCTCCGAGAGAGCTTGGGGACTAAATGAGAAGAGCACCCAGCTCGCCGGCGGCGGCGTCGATTGCTCTGTTGGTGGTGGAGATTTAGTGAGCTGATGATCAAGCTCGGGGCCGACTTCGTAGTTCTCAATTAGAGGGACTGCGTTCTTGCGGTCGAGATTTATCGTGGATATCTCTTCTTCCGTAAACTCCTCCCCGCGACAGACTTTTGACAGCAATCGAACAACGGCATCCTGGCCCATCATGTCCATGCAAGCATGCTGCGCATTGACGGTGAGTATAAGTCCGCCCTCAATAAAATTGACTTGAACAAGCAACACAGGCTCTGGATCGTCGGGAGAGTAATCCGCTCCAATAGGCAAGGTCTTTCTCGGGGCGATGACATTCTCATCAAACATCCTCATTGGAAACTCAGCCTTTCTCAAACCCTTCATTGTAGGCGCTGAGGGGTCATCGCGTAGATCCTTGACCACAAGTCGCGGGACTTTCTCAAATGGAACGATGCTGAAGATACCGCTGCTTCCTTCTTTGGCGTCGCATTTCACCTGGCCCGCGACCCATGGGAAGCTCTGTGCGAGGCGTGAAAGGCCATGTTGCAGCGTAGCGACGATGGTGGAGTGTTGGGAGGGATCTGCAACAGGGAAGCAGAGGCTGATCTGGGTGTAGATTCTGAGGAGGGGTTGCTGGCCGAGGGTGTCAAGCTCCATGTGTAGATGAGTAGTGTAGAAGTTAAAGTGGTCGATGTTGGAATGCAATTGTCGACTCCCGTGGCATATTTGTAGACGCTGAAGTACAGCAGGGTGACCCACTGAAGAGGTTGCCAAGACTCGGACTCAGGATGAGTCGAAGAGCAGTTACCGTTTTTAGACTAGCTGTTCTATCAGACAGAGAGAGATTAAAATGTTTTAAGAAAATAGGCACAACCTTTGATGGGCAAATAGGGGAAACAACTATATGACGTAGAAATATGCCGTAAGAATCGAGCAGGAATTCATGTATGATAGGGTTCTCGGTAGCTAAGGTTGTGTTGTGATAAAAACTCCGGGGATCGATTGTATATGCATCCACATAAGAGCAGACCCGGAACTTCAAACCGAGAGCACTTCAGCCTGTAAAATGTCCAAAAATTCATGTCTATCATTTTTTCCTAGGTATAGTTCATTTTAAGCACCCAACGCCAGCCATGCAGTCTAAGAGCCTCATTATCTCACGTCCTACGTAGTTCTAAACCCTTATCCCCGAACCAAGATCCCGTCCCACAAGCCTTTTCCAATTCCCAATGCGCATTGACTCTGCATCTAAAAGTTGGTCACGTCGCTGACTCCGTTGGTTGCACTCTGCTTCTTGTGCGCAGCCTCAATGATCTCGTCGAGACATCCGGAACTGGCGGCAACGAGACCGAGCACTGTCATATCGTCAGTCATTGTAGATGAGTAAGCTGGGTCATGATACTCACGTGAAGGGGCGGGTGCCAAAGTCTTGGACTTGTACTCAGGATGGGCCTGGAGACTAGATGAGAGTTAGCAATTGCCATGAACATAGAACGTTGTACTCACCCAACGAAGAAGGGGTGATCCTTCAACTCAATTGTCTCAACACGAACACCTTGGTCGTCCATCGAGGTCAAAGAAAGGCCGGCCTTCTCGAGGTCCTCGAGGTAATCGGGGTTAACCTCGTAACGGTGACGGTGACGCTCCTCCACGACATCAACTCCTCCGTACAAGCCTCGAAGCTTGCTCCATTCAGTGCCAGGCTTGAAGTGTGATGTTCGGCTACCAAGTCGCATGGTACCACCCATTTGCCTATCGCGTGTTAGTGTCCGTGTTCGGTCGCATTTCATAATGACTTACTCTTTGGAACCCTCAGGCATGAAGATAACAACACGGTGCTCCGCCTGAGCAGAGAACTCCTCGGAGGTGGCCTCCTTAAGTCCCATAACGTTGCGAGCGTACTCAATAACAGCAGTCTGCATACCCAGGCAGATACCCAGGTAAGGGAGCTTTCGCTCACGAGCCCACTTGGCAACCTCAACCATACCGCGGATACCTCGTGTTCCAAAGCCTCCAGGGACGATGATACCCTGTGCTCGGACAACATGGGCCCATGCCTCGTGGTACTTGCGAGGGTCCTTCTCCTGCATTTCAGGCTCGAGATGCTCCGAGTCGACAGAAACGAGGTTCAGCTTGCGCTTGCATCGCATTGCTGAGTGCTCAAGTGCCTTGTGGACACTGAGGTATGAGTCGTCAAGGCTGACATATTTGCCAACCAAGACGATGTTGACGGGCTCGAGGTGTCGGTCGGGGACAACGGTCTTCTTCCAGAGGTCCCAGAGAGCCTGACCCTTCTGGGCCATAGGAGGGGTCACCTGGCAGTTCTCGAGGGCCAAACCCTTGCGCAGCAGCTTCAGCAGACCCTCTTGCTCAAGGAGAAGAGGAACCTGGTAGATGGTGTCCATGTTGCGGACACCGATGACCTGCTCATCTTCGACTTGGCAGCTTCGGGCGATCTTTGTGATGGTGGCCTGGTCCAACTCTCGTTCACAACGGCAGGCAATCTTAAATCGTTAGATAGGTCCTGGATTCGACCGATGGAATACGTACCACGTCAGGGATCAGACCGGCGCTTCGCACTTGTCGAATAGCATGCTGAGTAGGCTTTGTCTTCTCCTCTCCATTGATAATAGGGACGTAGGAAACGCTGATGCTCAGGAAGTTTTCCCGGCCAAGTCGGTGTCGCAATTGCTTCGTAGGTCAGCATTGGATCCTGAAGTTGTCCTAGTTCACATACCGAAAGAGCCTCAACGAAAGGACCAGATTCGAGATCACCAATTGTACCACCCTAGTCGCAATGTCAGTCACATCCTGGGTCGCGCGCAATTGCGGATGGTCCTACAAGTTCAACTGCGGAAGTTAGTAATTGCCCTCCGAATTATTGTCACAGATTGACGTACTGATGCAAACATCTGGCGCTTCTCCTGAGGCATCCACGGGGATCTTGGCGACGCGCTCGATCCAATCTTGAATAGCGTCTGTGATGTGAGGGACGACCTTTGCGGTTGTTAGTCAAGTCGGATTGATCGCGTAGCTAATGCAATGTACCTGAACAGCTGGATCATGTTAGTACAACAAATATCGCGACTGGACAAAACACATACTCTTTCCCAAATAATCTCCTCGTCGCTCTTTCTCCTAAGCAGTTGTTAGCCGCGGGTCGCATATATCGAGGGATCGCGGGCGCCGTACGATGACCTGCTTGTAGATCTTGCCAGTGGTAATGTTGCTGTCACGGCTCAATTGGATACCGAGGTATCTGTGTCGCATTAGTTTGCTGCTCGAGGAGATTGCGCGGGTTGGTTGTCGAGTCATACCGCTCGTAGTTTCCGAGATCGAGATCGGTCTGAGGAGTCAGCGCAAAGTCTTTCATGGGTGGAGATCAATCATACCTCTCCTCCGTCGTCAAGAACGAAGCACTCGCCGTGCCTGAGACATTGTTAACGAAGTGTCGCCGGTATTATTGGACCACCACATACTCTAGAGGGTTAAGAAGACCAGCGTCGGTGTTGATATAAGGGTCGGTCTAATCGAGGGTCAGAATCGTCGGTCGGGTCGGTCTGTGTTGGTGGGGTATTACTTTGATCGCCTAATTGTGTTAGTCACAGCTTGTTGACCATGGGCAGATCGTATCGTACAGTAACGCGAAGACCAAGAGTCTTGAGAAGGAGACCAGCGCTACTGGCTATCGTGATTGTCAGCTGCCGGCAGATTCGGAGGATGCTCGTCCATTGCCATACCGATAATGCCTGGAGTCAGAAGTTAGTACACAGCCAACCAAATGATGCGACGAGTCGAAAAGCTTACCTTTGCCGACACCGGAGATAACTCCACCGCTCACAAGAACAACCTTCATATTGACGTATGGCTTGTCGGTTGTGTGTTAGTTGGGGGAAGGTATTGAAGCTGTTGTTAGGAGATTTGAAGGGCGCGATCAAAAACTTTGATCAACGAAAAGAAAGATTCAGCGGTGGGGTACGAGTTTCTGCCACGCCTTTCGGAGCTCAAGCCTTCACCGCTTGCCATAAGAAGCCTAATCCTTGCTATTGTTAGATCCACTCGAAGCCAGGTTTGAACTTGCTTGACGGTATTCGCCAGTTAAAATATTAATACAGACTTACTACGTGGTAGAAAAGGGTGAGCAGATTTTTGAAGCATTCGTTAATGAGCGAAAGGTTCCATTATCTTGTGTTAACTGGCAGAAACAATGGTGCAATGTAGAATATGCCATTCGACGGCATCATGGACTAACTACCTAGGTAGTGGGTGCTTTGGAGGATGAGCATTGAGTTTGCATCGATCCTCCCGAACCTTGCATCGGTACATATCAATGGATCGTAAAATATCCATTTTTGTAAAGTCCAAGCTTCTAAAAAGAAAATTGTCGATCCTACTGCTTAAGATTAGATTCAGAAGCTTGCATGGGCGGTGAAAGCTATCACTGTTCCCTAACTCTAGGTTAGCAATGACGACTGCAGGGCATTTAGCGGGGTACAATTAGGCGCGATCGGCGTTTAAACCTCGGAAGTTCATCCAACCAACGCAACGACTGTATAACATCGTTGCTATTATCTAAATCTCTTTTGTGCTACAAGGCGAGCTCTGGTTGCGAGATTAGTTGAAGCCGATGAGTGGGAGCTGTTAAGCATGATATCACGATTCCGGTTTCGTAATGATCTGGCCATTCGCCTCGGCACAGCTGTAAAGCACTTCTCTACTTCACCGTATGAAAATACGATACAGAACCTGAAACTGGATGCCCAGACTAGAGTTATCTATCAAGGTACCACCCAAAAACCATGACCTGCGATAATTATGTGTGGTAACATGACGCAGGCTTCACCGGGAAAGTGGTATGACACCAGACAACGCGTTGCGGAGTCGCACTGATCTCGAACTTCCCAGGCAACAAAGAACGCTCAAGATACAATAGAGTATGGAACCAATGTCGTAGGGGGTGTTTCTCCCGGTAAAGGAGGCCAAGAACACCTCGGCCTTCCAGTCTTCAACACTGTTCGAGAGGTGAGTGAACAACCTTACCATCGAATCAATCTCATAACATGCTAGGCCATGGATGAAGTCAACCCCTCTGTCAGTGCTGTATTTGTACCTGCTCATTCTACTGCCCTAGCCATCATAGAAGCTATCGAGGCCGAAATCCCTCTGGTAGTCTCCGTGGCTGAACATGTGCCTGTCCACGACATGTTACTCGTTCACGAGGTTCTAAGGTCCCAATCTAAAACTAGACTTGTTGGTCCAAATTGCCCCGGAATTATTGCTCCAAATCAATGTAGAGTGGGGATCATGCCTCACATGCAATTTCTTCGGGGGTGTGTTGGTATTGTGTCCAAGTCAGGCACTTTGAGCTACGAAGCAGTGGGATCGACCACGCGTGCCGGCCTAGGTCAAAGCATTTCTGTTGGGATGGGAGGCGATATGCTACCAGGTAAGTGCCCTAAAATGTCTTCCTTTGACGCAGAATTGACGTACCAGGCACTACGTTGGCCGACGGACTGAGACTTTTCTTCGATCATGAAGAAACCAAGGGAATTATTGTCATAGGAGAGATTGGGGGCTCGGCGGAACTCGAAGCTGCGGCACTCATCAGAGAATATCGCCGTGCAACTCCCAACCCAAAGCCCATTGTAGCTCTGGTAAGCGGACGAACAGCACCGTTAGGGAGGATCATGGGCCATGCAGGCGCAGTATACTCAAGTGGCGATCCTACTGCCGAGGAGAAAGCCAAAGCTTTGGAAGATGCGGGAGCTGTACTTGTTCCTCATCCAGGGGTCATGGGAGAGAAGATGAAAGAGCTTCTCGGCCTCTAATTGGCATGAATCGTATGTTGATCTCTGGAAGACGTAAGATCACTTCAGCTCCATGGTCAACAAAACCTAGTGGGAAATATAGAGCATTACTAAACCAGTTAATATTGATGTTGATGTTATTGTTTGTTGTATTGTATGATGGCATAGTTGGATTTTGAGGTGGCCCTGATCTGGGTTGAACCCGTGGTGGGCGGGTTCAGGGCAAGCAGGGATGACTTTGTGAAATCTTTCGGGCTTCTCGAGTGATGGGAGCCTGGTATTTGTAGACTTTACTGTAAGGTTGACCCGTGGGGGTGGCCTATGGGATACATGCCTGAGGCCAAGATGCGCAGAGGAGAAGTATAAATAGAGAAGAACCCCCCAGAAGTTGGAAGTGATTCATTTTCTGATCAGATGTGGTTCCTCTTTCGTAACAAGGTAGGGCTCAATTTAAAACTACGTCTCAACGAAGAAACGTGGATGTGTGGGCATCAGGGGAGAACTTACAAAGTCGTAACAAGAAGTAGAGCAATGATGATAACTAAATCGCATAAATGCGTTTAGCGAAACTGAGCCCTCGGAACCAAGTGGTACCCTAAGAGCGAGATGTTCAAGCGGATTCTAACGACTGTTTTGTCCGCAGCTTTGTCTTGGATTTACCACACCCAAAGTGCAACAACTCACGAATCGCAGAGGACAAACACAGTCCAGCAGACATTCATCTCACAAGTACTGCAAGTCTCCTTTAGATAACATGCTTGCAGCAAATTCCCCTTGGCAAGTGAAAAACGGCAGAGGTAATACTGGGATTGGGACCGGACTTGGGCTATCTACTGGTTTGGGGAGGTTGTGTGAGAATCGTGCATGCGCCTTGATGTGTTAGATCACGAGTCTATCCATGTGCGATTTGGTGAGTCTCTTCAATATGCCATCAAGATTTAACAATAATAATGGTGGAACCCTGTTCGCTATCTCGCCGAGAAGATTAAGGTTATGCGAATATACAACCACAGTTTTAGAATAAGGTTTATTTTTCAGCAGGAGACGGTGGAAGAGACAAACCGACAAAAGAAGGTTGGCAAACGATGTTTTGCGAGAACTTGATAACCTCACTCTCAAGTTTCGTAGCGGCGCATTTTGAAACAAGATTCCATGATATAGGACAGTTTTCAGGCTTGTCCAGTACATACGACCAAAGGTAGTGGAAAATACGGGATCCCGTCCGCTCTCCCATAGTCAAGCCACTAACCGGCGGATTAGTAGTTGGGTCGGTGACGACCAGCGAATCCCCGCTGTTGTATGTTTTTGCAGTTTTGTTTTGCATGCACCCCGTCCGATCTCCCACAGTCAAGCTAGTAACTTTTCTTTTTGCACTATTCCTGTAATTATTCGTAAAATTCAATATGAGCTGTATTGTCACTTACATGAATAACAGCCTGTGCCTCGGTGAGCAAGTTTGTCTCACGTGAACTTACACGTGACCGTCATGTCGATCGACGACCACATGTTCCTCTGGATCTATGCTTTGATGACCTTGGATCCCTTCATCTACGCCTTGGAACAGTTGAATACCTCTATTCTCGCAGGCGAATCTCGGTGCCATTGGACCCTGTCTCATTAACAAGCTGTAGTCGACAGTGGGCTGTCATTTGAGCATCTACCCCTCACACCACCGTAGGGTATTTGGCAACATTCATTCTTACATCTACCTGACTGACAATCGACCTGCCGCCACCACGATAGCTACCCCCAAACCTGAAGTATGACTATCAGAGCCTGCTCGTGTTTCTCTCTAGTTCGTCCCTTGATAAGACCCTCCAAGGTAAGCAACCACCAATCAACTTCAATCCACATATGCTAATGGCACAGGTTTAGTCGCTTCAACAGACTCAGGCTAGGAGCCTTCATTTACTAGAGTATCAGTCCCAGGAATTACTTAGAGCGGTACTTTCAAGCCTCTCCAGCCGTGGACTGAAATTTGCTAACAGATAGTTTTCTGATCTCCAGGCCGGTATTGTTGTCCCGAAAGGCCAGGTGTTGAAGTCAAAGAAATGGCGGGATATAGCGCTCTCTCGTAAGTTGCCTTCTAAAGGATCGTACTTTAGTTAACACCCAACAGTAGATGGCCAGATACGCTTGGTGCCACAAGTTTTAGGTCACCGACAGGAAATCACGAGGGAGGATATTTTGGATGAGAAAGTTGGCACAGAATCAGGCCAATTTCAGAGATCCAGCACGGGAGGACGTTCTTCGAAAGAGAGTAAAGTCAAAATCCTTATGGAGTATCTTGTGGAGCACGATCAGAAATGGCGTCTTTCAATGGCAGTTGATCGCGAGAGTTACCGACCAGTTGTCAGAATACGGCAGGACGTGAACGATACAAAGCTTCCAGATCCTTTGTATGAGCGAGGCTTTCAGGAAACATTTGGATTTAGTCTGACTACTGGAATCTCAGAATCCTTTGTCACCAATATATCCGAAACATTCCATCTCCCACAAAGCTCGTCAAAGAGCTTGGGGAAGATACTTCGTAGGCTGTTCAAGATATTCGCCGACGGAGAAGCCATCAGTCTGGAAGTAGATCTTCTGTATCTTGCAGATGGTCAATTCATGTGCTCAAACTCTCTATTCTGGTTCGATGACGCTGCTAGAGATCGTCAGCACGCTATTCACGATTTGCGGGCTAAAGAGCAAGAAGTTGAAGAGGAGCTTTACGCGGAAGAGCATGGCTTGGTATATATCAAGATGAACGGCAGTGTTGGAACTGTTGTAAACGGGGCTGGCTTGGCAAGTGCCACGAATGATGCGATCAGGTTATATGGTGGCTCCAGCGCCAACTTCCTCGATGCAGGGGGCCAGGCCACCAAGGAGACTATGCTGCAAGCCTTCAAAATTATCATAGCAGATCAGGACGTCAAGTCTATCTTGGTGAACATATTTGGTGGCAAGTATGACGTCCTTGATGACTCGACTGGAACTAACAGACGGACAGGTATCACGAGATGCGACATGATAGCAGAGTCGGTTATAGCTGCAGGTAAAGAGCTTGGCCCTTTTCGCGTTCCTTTAGTGGCACGATTGCAAGGAACCAACTCAGAGGCCGGGCTGAAGATGGTAAGTGTTTAAGCTTGCTTGTTGGCAATTGCTGATAAGTGTTTAGCTCGCCGATGCGAATCTGGGAATCCATGTTCAAGGAGATTTCGGGGAGGCAGCCAGGAAGGCAGTCGAGTTAACGGGCCGGGACCCAGAGAGACTCACCCACAGCAGAGCAACATCATAATGTGGTGACCTTACTGGTAACCAAGCGAGCTCAAGTCAAGTACATGTATTTCAAAGATTATCAGATTACTAACTCATCGGAATAAAGACAATGTGACCTGTCATGTGTTTTGCCATGATATGAGTACGAACTTTCTCTCTCAACCTTCACTTCGAGATAATGATCAACTCTCAACAACTGAGTTTCCCTAGACGCAATTAACTGATTAGAACCCCGTTCCCAAGCAATGGCACAGCGATCGTGTAATGCCGCGGTGCCATGATTTATCCCCTCGCATTTTCCCAGAACCTGGGGTGTCTCATAGGCACAATTCAAGCGACGAATCCTTCGTGCCTGAGGAGTCTACACCTAGCGCTTGGATTCGGTATCCGTTGCAACATAGGAATCCTTCGCATTTCATTTCTGTGTGTATGATTCGCTAGGTAAAATATTATGACATGAGACTCTACTCAATTGAGGATGGTTCGCGGAGTTATCTGTCCAATTCGGCTCAAGCTCACGTAAGCACCAACACATCACATCCTCATTATTGCCCATTCAAATTGAACATGCCATCCTGATAACTGCTTACAGAATTATTTGGTAGACATTTCCTTTATGTCGACAAAATGGCTGCACTTAAACAACGTCTTGGCTTTGAGAGCACAAGATCCCTGACACTCTTTTCAGTATTTGGTGGGGCACTATTTCTCTTCTCGACACTTCAACTGCCCTACATCGACATCGACCGCGTCTTTTGTGCAGCTGGAAATCCTTGGTCTGTACCTGGAGAATGTTATTGGTTCCAAAAGCCTGGACTCATGCGCAATGGGATGTTGTTGCACCTCTCTACCATCTTGCCCGCTGGTGCCCTCGTTTGTTTTCAGTTCGTACCAACACTTCGACAGGCCAAGTATGCAAAGTTCCATCGCATCAACGGATATGTGGTTTTATTTCTATCGGCGTTGGGGACAATAGGTGCGCTTATAATTGAGAAGCGCGCTATGGGAGCGAGATTCTCAAATAGAATTGGAACTTGGATCCTCTGCACTCTCTTCACGGGTGCTTCAATAATGGGCTTGGTTAGCATCAAGAAGAGAAGGTTCGAGGAGCATCGGGCGTGGATGCTTCGGGCATGGTTCTGGGTATGACAACAACCATAAATCTTCAGAAATCCACTGACATATAAGGCAACATCGATTATCACCATGAGAGTTATCCTCATCTCTATGGCCCATATAATAGGAACCCCTTCACGGGCTTTAGAAGTGAGCATGCCCTGCTATATCGTTGAGTATCTGCATGAAAGCTTTCCTGGCACGATGAAAAACCCATATCCGAGCTGTGCCGCATTCACATCTGGGGAGAATTTGCAACAGGAGACTATGGTAAAGACAAATTGGGATCTCACTGATTTGCCAGGTATTACAGCCGGTTTGAGACTTGGCTATGCTGTTGGTGGTTGGCTCGGATTTGTTATTCATGCTATTGGAGTTGAAGTCTACGTAAGTGAGTTCTTCCATATGGTGGATACTGCTAATATCTTGTCCAGATAATGTCTACTGGGCCGAAGCGGAAAGTAAAGGTTTGATAGGAGGAGGTTGCTCAGAGGATATTGTTCATGCTTGTTATTATTCGCTGGAATGGTAGTGCAGAGGTTGTGACAATATGCATCAATGTCGGGTAGAAACAGGATAATTTTGAGACGAATACTTATCATACAAGATGGATGTTACAAAAGAGTGAGATAAATCAAGACTGAACCACAGTGAGTACGATAGCCGAACGGATCACTTGTTAAATCCTGAAAGTTGCACCATTGAGGCGAAATTAATGCAATTTAAGACAACACAAGCCCCATCGTAGAACTAGAGAGTCCGTCAAAGGCTAGATCTGGAGTGTATTGTCCATTGACCCCCATATCTACCCAAGCATAAAAAGTAGTATCTTGCGGCTGAACTACCGTGGCGTTTTAAGGGGCAATTCTAAGCAACGGCCAAATCTTGGCATTACACAGACTATTACCTCCAACCAGTCATATCAGGATGCTCAATTATCCCACCCCCATGAAGTCACACGATCCACGTAGCCATCACGTTTATTCACTGGCAATCGAGTCCTGGCCTCTGCCGGACGGGGAGCTCGTGGGAATTGTGCCGCTTGGACATCCGCCCGCCACGCAATGACGGGACTAGCTGATGCCGATGTTGGAGCTAGTGAACGCCCGCGTTTGACGGGGAGTTCGAGGCTGCCACGGACCGTCGCTGTGGGACGAGCGTTCCTGTTAGTGGAGGCCTCAGGGATCACGACAGCGTGGTGGTTCATTGCGAATCCCGGTGGTAAGGGAGGGTAATGTAAAGCTTGGGTTGGACCAGTTGAGTATTGAGTGGTGTCAAGGCACTAATTAGACGTTCCCTGCAAAGGACCAGACTTATCACTCCCGATCTTGTTCTCGAGTAGGTTTCGTAGACGAGGGTAACATTTGAGGTTGGAATTGCGACATCCGACAAGACAAGGGTGAAATTGGGGAGAACTTCACTCGGATCATCGGTGTGGAGTGGACCCAGAGCCATCCAATGCAAAGAACATGCATGCACGCTCGGACGGATGAGACTTGTCACAATAAGCCATTTAGATTGGTCAAGCTTACGCAAAAGAAGAAGCAATGTTGCACGATGTTCCCACAAACCTGTCTTGTCTTTGGTCATCGCGTTGCTTGGGCGCGAGAACTAGCAAGGGGGTGATCTTGGCTCCTTTCAGCAATCGTCTCATCAGGCCAAGAATTCCGTCATCTTCGGATCTCGCGGTAATGAAGACTGGTCCAGCCAGCGCTAAGGTTGATTCTTGGTGCTGATGGGTCGGGTGCTGACCCACAGAATAAGGCTTTGATTAGAGATTTTGAGCTAATTCTTAAGTTTATTTGCACTTTTACCGACATGTGATTGATCGGCATGAGAGGCCACGTTCTCATTTCTTTTCTTTTGTGAATTCGATAGTTCGTAAATAATCGATTAGTAGAGTGATTGCAACCAACTCCCCGATCAATTTCGGGGAACAGGTCGAGGTCCCTTCTCTTGGCACGCTCGCCACAAACCCTGCACTAAGTGCAAGTGCGCTGTAACAAAGTTCGGGGAGTCTGCCGGGGAGTTGATCCACTGGCTGACCTGTTGGAATAAAGTTTGCGACGCTGGCTGACGCCTCGTCGGGGAGCTTGCAAAGTCAAGGATAATGATTGGGGGTTTGGGCATTTCGGTGAGTCATTTATTTGAGTACCCCCACCAATTGTTATTGAGATAAGGCATCTAGGACATGCAGGTCTTGGCTTGTGGTATGTGAGTAGGCCAAGACTTGGTGACGGGGAGTTGTAGGGTGGTGAGGTGGTAGGGTGGATAGATGGGCTGTTCTTATCCGTACTACGTACTGTTTAAAAATGGTAGAATTTGGGTTATTTGGCTTGCTAATTGAATGGTAGGTGCGACGGGTTGGTCAATTTCTATTGACTCCCGCAGTGGAATGGGCGAGCGTTGTCAACGTTCGAGATGCGCCAATTGACCAGCAAGGGATAACAATAGAGACTTTAACCACGACACCATGACCTTCATTCTCAGTCCCAGTCAATTATTATTTATCGTCTCTCATCTCAATCTGTCCATCCCTCTTTGAACCGACGCCCCGGCACTCGCGCGTATTGCGTGCTCGCCTTGGCTTGACGCCAAGACTGTCTAGACCCAGACAGTGAACCACCCTCAAGCCATCAACCCTTGGCTAGCAGACCCGAGAAATGATTGAAAAGGGCCAGCGAGGAACCTGATAAAACGGGAGATTCATTTTATTCGGCAGTGACATCCATCCATCACCTTCGGCAGTGATATCCACCATCTTCGATAGTGACATCCACCATCATGGGAAAGCTTGAACACACGTCGTCAAACTCTGATTTCCCTCAGCCTAGGGATGATGAAGAGAGTTTGAAACTTCGCAATGACTGGAGTGTCGAAGAGGAACGCAGTGCCAAAAGGAAGTAGGTGTTAGGTCCTCAACACCACGGTCTCTGCCCATGATCTAACAACAACTTCTAGGCTTGACTTCATTATTATGCCTCTTTTAACCCTAGGCTTCTTTTGCTTGCAGCTGGACCGTGGAAACATTGCTAATGCCATTACTGATAACTTCATGGAGGATGTCGGCATCACACAAAACCAGTTCAACGTCGGCCAGCAAATGCTCTCTCTTGGCATAGTACTCTTCGAGATTCCATCCAACATGATTCTCTACAGAGTAGGACCAGGAAAGTGGCTTACGCTGCAGCTCTTTCTCTTTGGAACTGTCAGTACCTTCCAGGCGTTCCAAAACAACTACGGCTCTTTCGTCGCCTCGAGGTTCTTACTTGGCATCACGGAGTCCGGCTTCATTCCGGGAGGCCTTTGGACTCTTTCGACATGGTACACTCGTAAAGAGACTGCTAAGCGAGTTATGTTCTTCTACTTCGGAAACCAATTTGGTCAAGCTTCGTCTAAGCTGTTGGCCTACGGTATCCTTCACATGCGTGGTGTGGGCGACAAGGCTGGTAGGTTAAGAACTACCCACAAACTCAATAAAGTTACTAACAATACACTAGGTTGGTTTTGGCTCTTCGTTCTGATGGGCGCCTTCACTGTCTTGTCAGGAGTTGTGCTTGGTTGCTGTCTTCCTGATTCTTTCAAGAACCCCCGAAGCACCTTTTTGCCAAATGTCAAGATCTTCAATGAGAGGGAGTTGCATATCCTGCAGACTCGTGTTCTTCTTGACGATCCCATGAAGGGCAAGAAGAAGAGAAAGATCGGCCTTGGCGCCTTTAAAAAAGCGGTAAGTCTTATACTTCTTCATCGTTCTAGTTCCCGCCACGCAATTACTCTGTTTCCTTTGCCCACTCTCGGCACTTCATACAACTATCCGGCCGCGTCTAACTGTGATTAGTTCTCCAATTGGCGTCTGTGGATTCATGTCATTATCACACTGTCCAACAACGGTCCCCAACGTGCATTCGACACATACTCGCCTTCGATTGTAAAGAGCTTCGGTTTCGAAGGTTTGACTAGCAATGCCCTGGCCTCAGTCGGTTTATTTCTCCAAATCCCTGTCTCATGGACCTTTAGTTGGGTGTCTGATCGATTGTAAGTCTCATCTGTGTCTCTAAACAGCTGATACTAACCATGATCTAGTAACAAGAGACCTGAGACTGTTATGGCAGGTCTGAGCATGCACTTACTGGGTTACGTCTTCAACCGCATCTTTACTGAGCTGTCCCTTCGTGGTGTCAGTTACTTCGGTGTGGTTTGGACGCAGACCTTTGGTACATTCTCACATCCATTGAACATTGCGTGGATGTCCTTGGCGTGTGACGATTCAGAAGAGAGAGCCCTTGCAATGGCCATGTGAGTACTTCGTACCTCAAAGTTTTCAAAGCTAACCATTCAGGGTCATCATGGGAGCCAATATTGCTGGAATCTATGGCGCCCAGATCTTCCGATCTGATGATAAGCCAAAGTATCGTCGTGGCTTCAGTATCAATATCGCCGTGCTTAGTGTTGGTCTGGCTCTCGCAGTTTTGCGATTCTTTGATGATAAGATCTGGCGTCGCAACAAGGTTGCTGAGATCCAGGATCAACTTGCACGCGAGAGAGGCGACCATGACAGTAACAGTGACGAAAAGAGTGATGGACAGAAGGACGATCGCACTCCTACTCTTGGCCTGGAGAAGACCTCACCAGTGGAGTTGAACCCCGTTGCCAAGGCTACTCAGTAGTTCATCACCGTCATCGTTTGGACTGGATTGGTCAGATAAACCTCGGATAATATACTTACATGGTAACTTCAATTCAAATTTTATAGAATATCTAGTTGTCCTTCTAAGTAGTCTTGGATTTTACAGTTTTATAAATCGAGTTATAACCCAATAAAGACTTCTCTTCCAACTCCTCAATTCCCTGCCCAAGAAATCTTTCAGGATCAAGAGCGCTTTGGGTCTGACCATCCACATCCTCCCCATCCATGGTACTTATCAAGAACTTTGCAACACCGACAGAATGCGTAATCCAAACGGCCACAGCCATATAAAGACCCTCAACAGAATCAATCTTTCCAGCGAGAGGCATGTTGTCAGGCGTCATAGAGAATACACCGTTGAAGCTCTTCCCTTCTCTGAACTCTTGCGCCGCACCGGGTGGGAGTAAGCCCGTGGCGAATTTGAGAGCCTGTTTAAATCCATCCATCCATTCGCCTGTGGCCGTTCCGTTCGATGGTTTGTGGCTGGTTGGTTCATGATCATAGCTGCCTATTCCAAAGTTTGATCCGTGATCGCGTGCGTAGACGTGGTGTTCTGGCCAGCGAACAAAGGGGAGTTTGTGGGTGAGTGGATCGTGTGTTTGGCCGTGCATGTAGGGATGGCCGACTGGGATGACTGGAACTGGGAAGTTGAGTTCTGAAGAGAGTTCCTGGGCCCAAAGTCCTGTTGTGAGGATAACCTTGTGGGCGTTGAGCTTTTGAGGAGCGCCATTTATAAGAGCATGAACACCCGTGATATGGCCTTGCGTGATGACAAGCTTTTGGACATCGCCTTCCACAAAATTCACACCTCGCTTTCTTGCTTCTTCCTGATACCACGTAGCAATCTTCACGGCATTGGCAGTTCCATCCGAAGAAAAGAACACCGCAGCTCCAGGTCCCGAAGCATTGACCAATTCAGGTGCAAGGGCATGTGCCTGCTCGATACTGAGAATCTCCGCTGGAAGTCCCAACTTCTTGGCATCTTCACAACGAGTCTTCAACCGCTGGATTCCCGTATCTTGGAAGGCAATCTCCAGTCCGCCGACTCTGTCGAAACCGCCGGGGATCTTGACAATCTCGGAAACGGTGTCGATGGCGAGTTTGGTAAGGATATCGGATTCGTTAAATTGACCAACAAAACCCGGGGCAATTCCGGTTGAGCCAAGAAGGGACTTGAAGGAGCGGTCAATTATGGTGATGTTGCGAGGGGTGGGTGATTGGCCAAGATGGTAAGCGAGTGCGGAGCCAACAATGCAAATGCCAGTACCAGTACCATCCCAGCACCAAGGACGTCGCCAAAGTCGCCAAAACGTACCCTCAATGCCAGAAACGACGAGACGACCCGGGATGATCTTAATGTCCGCCGTCAAAGCAAGCGAACAGGAAAACCTTGACAGAATCGTAGCATTAGCTATTGAGCGCAAGATACTCAAATCCACCAACCCGGGTTATCCTTTTCAGGCTCTTTATCCGCTGTTATGTGCAAGCTGAGCGACAACTTCAATAAGCCGGTGCCAAGCATTGGGTCTCGCCCTTAGTGATTTGACACGACGGCGGTGTCCCGGGTACGCCGTTTGGATTTCGTCTCCAAGCTTCTTTATCAACACTTCACAGGCACTAGACTGCTAAATATTTATAGCCATCGGTGTCAATCATTCTTTTCATGACTGTGAGTCACAGATTATCAATGTTTTGATTCTGATTCCCTCTATTCTTAACCTGCACTCCTCAGTCAACTGACTGCCTGCGAGTCATGGATTACAATACCCTGATGCTGACTCTGTAATCCTAGGCAAGGAAAATCCTCTGTCTAGGCACAGGGCTTCCTCTTCATCTTATTCTTTTCTCCGTCCTTTGTGGCCTCTTCTTCTTATTTCAGGGCCTCTTTCTCTTCCTCTTCCTATAGGGCTTCTCCTAGTGGGTTTCTTCGATCTTCATAACGGGGATATTTCATGACTGCCCTTCGGGGACCATGCCGGGGGCCTTCTTGAGTGGCCCGAGTCGTCGAGAACAGGGGAGGACACGACCACCTTCATGACTTTTGAGAGTAAAATCCCCTAATCTAGGGCATGTGAAAGGAGTATTTCTATGGCGGGGGCAGGACTGTTAGGGAGAGAGAAGAGGAAGTGGTGATGGCGATGGAGTTGCTGTGCCATTGATGCCAACCGCAAGCTTTATTGCCATAGATAAACTCTCCGATGATGTTGGTGTCGTATTGGCGCTTGATGGCGATGGAGTTGCTGTGCTACTGATGCTAACCGCAAGCTTTATTGCCACAGACAAATTCTCCGATGATGTTGGTGTCGTATTGGCGCTTGATGTCGACCTTTTTATCGTGATCGCGGAATGAGTATTCCAGGCCGTCTTTATCGAGGCTCTCGGCGATATAGTTGTGAAGATCATGACGGAGGAAGCGCTATTATCCTGGGGAAATATTAGGCCTATATAAAGTTAAAGTATAACTACGTGACCTACCTCTGGCTATTTATCCTCGGTCACGTCGGAGATATGTAGAGATGAGAAAGCCGGTGTCTGCACCGAGTAGCAGGCGAATATAGCGCAGGCAGTCAGTTGACTGGGGAGTGCAGGTTGAGAAGAGAAGGAATCAGAATCAAAATGTTGATAATCTGTGACTTGTAGTCAGTCAGTTGACTGAGGAGTGCAGGTTGAGAAGGGAGGCAACCAGAATGAAAACGTTGATTGGGCAAAGCCGTATGAAGATGTCCGTAATGAATGTGCTGAAGAAGGTGCACCCTCCGGCTTTGCCTCGCCATTTTAACGGCTGATACACCATTGGTCCAGATTCTGAACTCGACACGCCATTGGCTATAACTCGTGCAGCGTAATGGCTCGACCGCTAAATCCACTAAAAAGATCAAGTGCACGAGTCAGGCATACATACCCTCGCCGGAGCCGTACCTAGGCGACGGCTTAGGTTACCCTCCATGTGGTCACCAATGCCAAGCGCGATGCCATTCTCAGACTTTGCACGATGCCTTCATGTGTCAACAACCTTGCCCCCATGCCATCTCCACCAAGAGCTGCCCACGTGTCAAGGTACCTAAGCAGGCGTGGCATTGTGTTAAGGACTACTTCATCACTTCCATAGTTACTACGTATGCTGCTAGGCTATACATTCTGATTTAACTTGATTTCCCTTTAACACAAGACGCGCCTAATCTGGTCTAGTGGTCATGACTCCCAGTTTAACGACTCCTTAGGGAGCCGTTTCCCATGAGTCTTCAGACAGGGCTGGAAACTGTAAAGTGTTACTAGAGTAGGCAATCAAACAGTTCCAACAACTCCTTTCAAAACGGTCCCGTACCATTATGCAAGGTCCTTTTGTGGCCGTGTCGTTTAAAATGCGCCGCACGTTTCAGTTGGATCAGCACAAGGTGTTCTCCGTCTTCGTTTTTCCAAGCCTGATTGACTTCAATCTTGAATGCCGCACACCTTGCAACCTCTAGGCAAATTATGAAATTATAATATCCTGGTGTTTTGCTTCATCCAGATCGAGACTGGCGAAATTATCATGTACGGGACGATCTGCATTGGCGCCAGGTTATACAGGGCGGAAGCGGTCTGCGCCTTTTCAGGCCTAATTGACTTCTAAGGGCAAGGGGGGCCAATGGGGGCCAAGGGGGCTAGTGCTATGGATTGACATCATGGGGAATATCTGCTGCGTCGTGAAACTTCGCGATATTCCGCCCTTGGTAGAGGGAGAAGAGGGCACAGGAGGAGTTTTGGGAAGTGGAGGGAGATTGCTGCTGGGTTCCGGTATTGACAGTTTGAACGATGCTATGCAACGCGGTTTACGCGCGGTGAGAAACATGCCTCTATCTAATGGTGCAAGGGTTACGTTGGTTTTGTTGCCGCGATATATCACTGCTTCATGTGACTGGTAGTGCACAATTTCACATTGGGTGCGAGAATGCTGACAATAAGGTATCTGGTACGACGCATGTCATACAGCCTCTGCATGTATTGGCGAAGCATATAATAATATTGCCACTACTTCTACGTCCTGAGTTGAGCCCGGTCAGCTCGTCAAGTCCGTTTTGCAAGGAGCGCGCTTCGAATAGTTTATCTGCTGACCAGAAGCCTCACTATATAATGTATAGATGAAAGCACCACAATAGCTGGACGAGAATGAGTGATTTAGCCAAAATTCAATAGAACCATGCAGGGATCTCTTACTTGCTGACGCAGCTGAGTGAATCGTTGTTAAATGCTTCGTTGTCGATAGTCAATTGCTCAAAATAATCCAGACACTTCCTCCGATCCTAGTTCAAATTCAACTGGCTGCGCGGTTCATTCTCCTAGGTAGCCGCCAGGCCTTGGCTCCGGTTGACTTGGGGAAGTTGGTGTCACTGCTTAATCCTATGCGTGTATATTCTGGTCTTTTTAACGATCAATATCTTTGCTATTATATTGATCTTCGTGGAGATTACTCCGTTTTCAAAATGATGGTGAGCTCAACCATTCAAATTTAGAGCAAACTTTGCAACGCTTTCCTTGCGCAGAACTGTACTACCAAGATTCTTTTGTGATGTCTGTCGCCATAAATATACTCACAATCGTGATCTGTTTTGTTATTTTTACGGTCAAATGCATAATGGCGGTTCCGGTATCCTGTCATGTTGATCGAGTTGGTGGCGATATTGGGCTTCAACTTGTCAAAGCCCGCGATTGGAGATCAGGCTGGGCCCCTTTTTTGATCATATTGCCGTTGGTGATTCACAGTCTCCAAATTGAAATCGTGGTCCAGCACTATGTTCCTCGGTAGTGCCGTCGTTATCATGACCGAACTTGCAGCTTCCCTTCTGAAAGTGGAAGTATGGTTTGGGATTGCAAGTGTTGGTCTCTTATCGATTTCGTCGATCAGTAAGTCTGCTTCCTCTCCCCCCTCTCCACCTAGTGGTTTGTGAACGATAAGAAACCTTGGTCGTGGGCGTAAGAGTCTGACAGTATGCGCTTTGTGCTCTTTTATTCCCATTCAGTTTCTGTGGTACTAGGTGTGAAGAAACGGAGCTGTCTTGGTAAGAAAAAGGGCTTATTATCGCGCGCGGGAGACGAGAGAGGAGACGTTGCCGTGGTAGCAAACCCTGTTAGCAGTGTAACCGCGACTCCCTGCAACCAACTATTGACATTATCATTGGGGGACCCAAGTCAAAGTATGAAATTTGCGATTGACGCCTGAAATGGCGAGGAGGCCGTTGGATCCCACGTAGGGTCTGGGTCAAGCCTGATGATGGATTCAGTGGATTCGGACATGATGAATGAATTGGACGTTTGGTTGAAAGAGTGAGATTCGTTGAAAGAATGTTTGTTTTAATCATTTATATCTCTTATATCTTTAATCCGGTCAAAGCACTAACACGCTATGGAGCGTCGTGGTCAGTGCAAGGGCGTGCGACAAGGCCAAGATGCAGCCAATCAAGTAAAGTATTTTGTCCAAAATCGACAACATCAAGACCCGCATAGCAAACTCCACTCTGCGCCCTTAGCTGCGGGCATTGCAAATGGTATGATACTTGTGATTAATGAATTCTAGCCCTGTATATCGCCAAGAGCATGAAATCAGAAAGCAGTTGCTTACTACAGCCGAGTGGGTGTGGCAGCTTACGAGGTACTTCAGTAATATTGAACCCTCCAGGTCTGAAGTGACCAGTAATTAAACAATATTTCCGGCAGGTTGTCTGTCTGTGTCGAAGTCACAATTCCGTGCAAAAGCAGACAAGATAATAAGACGGGGTGTATAAAGTTCTCTAATGTTGATAATAAAGATATATAAAACCTGTAAGCGTGAGACGACTTTTAATAAAATTATACAATTTATATAAAATTAGAACAGTTCATTATTTCGTAAATGAAATTGTCTTTAAAGGCGAAACGCGAGGTATGATACGTGGCTCTTGACACTGAGTGAGATATGAGCTGATTTCTAATTACTGTATCAGTGCTAGGCTTACTTTGTATCCAATGAATAGCCCATCCATATTGGATGTAGTACAGCTTATGGTTGAAGTAAGACGTGGCGTAGGTATATAAACATCCCTGATATCCCGTAACTGTGGACCAAAGCCTCTCCCGTAATTATCTCTAGAACATCATCTCGACAGACAGCTCAACAACAACCATGACTTCCACTCAAGAAAACGACATCAAAACAAACATCGAGGCCACAGTAAAAAGCTACCTCGCAAGCTTTATCGACGCCAAAGCTCAAAATGACCCTTCCCTAGTCAATCGCAACGTCAGCCCTGACTGCATACGCCAGATGCTCCCCACCAGTCTCAGCGGGGGTGGCTCCATGAACAATGAGGATTACCAAAAGGTCTTTACCCAAGGTATGGACTTTGCCGGGATGAAGAAGAATACTGCTTCTGATATTGTCATCGACGTGCATGCTCGCAAAGCGGCGGTTACGGCTATCGCAGAGCTGGAGTTGCCTAGTGGAGACAAATTCAATCTGGACTTTGCCTGGTTTTTGCACTTGAATGATGATGGGTCCAAGATCAAGAAGATTGTTGAGTTTGTAGATAGTGACACGTTTAAGGGCATGCAGCAGAAGGCGCCGGCGCCGAGTGATGGGTGAGGTTGAGCAGGCATGATATTTGCACACTTTGTTGCTATGGAGCAATATCAAGTTTATTCAATGCCATCAGTGCTACAGAGTGAAGCCGGTCACGAAAATCTTATATCATCAAACCATTAAATGCGGTGTTTATAGTATCGTTTTGCTCCCAAGTAACTTGATTATCAAACTAGTGACATCTGCACAGAACTTGAAGTAGATGTAACTGAATATGAATAGACTGTTTGGCAAACCCTAAGGACAATGATAGATACACAGCATCTCAACATGAGATTACAGAGCTATCGGTTGAATCCCCTGATACAAAACAGAGGTGGACCATGTCCAAACTATATATCTCGTTGTAGTCAACTGACAGCACTATTCTGCCTTCTGCTTCATGCTCTCCCGATACTTCAACATCCATTTCGCCGACTTTGCCACCACATCATCATGATCCGATACTGGGTTAAACAACAGCCTCTTCCTTGCCTTTTCAATACTATGAGTATGTGTATAGATGCAGTACTCCATCGATACTCTTCGAAGCTGAACAGGTGGCTTGACCGTGTTGAGAGAGAATATCCAGAACAGCCACTCTGCAAGTTCGACCACTACAACCATTATCCATGCGGTTACGACAATTACGTCTTTGAGGGCATCTCTGCCGCGGGAGGCTTTCCATATGACACCGATGTGATGCCAAAAGGGTACTGGGTGGCCATCAGAAACATTGAAGGCCTCGCCGTCAACCTTTCCAGAGGCTCGGCTTGGATCGAGCAGGGCTTTGGCAGCAAGGATATGCGCGATTGCATTGTTTTCACCAGAAACAACCTCCATCAAATTCTTGCCGTCGCCAATCTGGAATAACTGCTTGTCCCCATCGCACGTGTCGAGTACTTCAACCATGCCTTGGATGTGCCTCTCTCCATAAGCATGGCCTGGTCTTAACACAACAGTACGCAATTGAGGGCCATTCGCCTTGCGGACAAGAACATCTCCAATTGCTTTGGTGCGGTTATACTCGTTTGACTTGTCCAGCGGCGACCAGAGAGGATACGTCTCGTCGGCATCTGTAAACGGCGGGTTCGCGTACACGTCAACGCTGGACGTCAAAACAAACGCTCGAACATCGCTCTCAGTCGCTAGTTTGAGCAATAACTCTGTACCCTTCACATTGGTCGCGTAGAATTCGCCGTCTCTACTGGCGGGTAACGTGGCCATCGGTGACGCGCAATGAAAGATGACACTAGGCCGGACTTGATCAATAACTTGTCGTAAGAGAGCACTGTCGGTTATATCTCCCTTGAAATATGTGGCTTTTTCGTGTGTATTTCTTGTCGTATCGCGGTCAAGGACATAGACGTGTCGGCATTCCCGGTCCTCCAGAAGTCCTCGTACCAAATGGTAGCCAAGAAAGCCGCAGCCGCCAACAACGAGACTCGAAGCGATGAGTGGCGGAGTTGGCTGTGTGTTGGACATTTTTTCTAATGATATGACCAAAGGTTCGACAGTAGGATGTAGGAGTAGCTGTCAGGTACGAAAAATCAAGATGGCTGCGTGCCTGAATGAAGTCCGTAGGAGTAGGATCAGGTACGGAATACTAGGTCTCACAATGTCATCATTTAGCGCTCTTGTCAGCCAATCTGTGGCGAGCATCAATACGGTGTGCGACCTTTTCGTGTTCGGAAGCCGGTTCTTGAAAAACGTTCAATTTGGCTCAATTGTGCTTCATTGTGTTAACTTAGGTATTTTGTCTCGAATCACTCATGCAGTTGGAGACTCCAAGCCTCACCAAATGCTTCTAGCGGGAATGTTGGTGATAGGCTGAAATTTCGGGACCGAGAAATCACAGATCACAAGGTTTCGTGGTCTAACGGTTATGACTGCGGATTCTGATTCCGCCAGCGAGGGTTCGACTCCCTCCGAGACCTTTCTTTTGGCCAATCCGCATCTGAGGAGCTGATGTTTCCCCACCCAAAAATCCTTTTTTGCTTTCAATTCCTCCGACTTATGTTGGATTTCAATTTTGATTTGCCCGTTCGTAAGGGCAGCCATCTCCACTCTTTGGCGACGCCTCATCAAGCCTAGCGTTTCAGGCAAGTAGGTCTTCAAACGGCAGCCATCATCTTCTTCTTGTTCACCAGTCTTTCTTATACACCTCTTTTCTTGTCCCTTGAGATCACCTCGTATGGGCATATTATCGAATCATGACACGTGTTAAACCAGGACAACGTCAGCGTACAAGAACCCCAAAAGTCACTACTGGGTGCAGGACATGCAAGTGTGTACTGGCTGACCAGTGATAACGGTCACATGGCTAACGACTTACAGGAGTTGGTCACCTAATCCTGTTCGTGACTTTCTTTTGTTTCGCTAGCTGACTGGAGCAGTCCGAAGAGTGAAATGTGATGAAGCTCGTCCGGTCTGTTTACGTTGTAGGTCAATACCAAACTTATGCAATCCGCCCACTCACATAATCTCAGGTAGTTCAACAGGCCGCAAATGTGACGGATACCAGTCAAATCCACCCAGTACACCAAGTACATCACCCCAGTCAACAGCTTCCCCTTCATCCATCGTCTCCACCTACACCACTTCTACCGAGGCGCGATCCTTTCAATTTTTCATTGAAAAGACTCTTGTGAACTTTCAAACCTTCTTCCCAGATGATTTATGGGGTACCAGGGTCTTGCAAGTAGCCCAATCCGCAGGCTGTATCAAACATTCTCTTGTGGCTCTGGCGAACTATCACGAACTCTATCTTACCCATCAACAATGGCTACAACTTGAATCGGCTCACGCGCTCAAGCACTATAATCTTGCTATCAGGGAACTACTAACTCCATCACCCGATGATTTGTCACAGGGTCATATACCCATTCTGTCATGTCTGATATTCATTTCTATCGAGGTAGTTCTCCATTACACAACTTTGTTATTGTGCTAACAAGTTCAAGCTTCTTCAAGGCAAAACTGATTCGGCCATTACCCTTTTCAAGTATGGCTGCCGGATGATTCAACAGTTCAGGAAGTCTCTCTCAAATGCCAGAGACGCTGGTGAGCGCTCATGTTCTGACGTCGAAGATACCCTCGGTCTAGTCCAGGCGTGTTTTAGACGTATCGCCGTGCAGATCTTAACGGTATGCCCCCCTGTCTGTACTATTTGCAAATCTAAATGAAAACATAGCTTATGGGCGATATTGACCCCGACCTCTGGGAGGCTTTTCACGGCACCTTTGATAAATCTTCCGTTAGCTACGAAATACCGTTTACGTCCCTTGCAGATGCACGAGAGGCATTGTTGGAACTCCTGGTCGAGCAGACCAGTCCTGGCCTGAAGGGAAAGTCGATTCATGAGATATTGGCACATTCTGCAAAACTCGAACAATGGGGCTGCTCGTATGACGCGCTCTTGGCTGAATACGACCGCGTTGGCAGGATATCGAGCGCCGCTGAGAAACGAGCGATTGCCCTTCTTCAACTACACCGCAAATATCTCGAGATCAATGTTTCGAAATACGTCTACGGTCAAGGTGACCCCTGCTTCTGGGATCGTTTCACTGCCGAGTTTGATGAAATTGTCAATTATGCCGCCACCGCAGCTGGACTTGATGAAAACTACGCACATCGAAATTGGTCCACAGATTCCACATCTACAGCATATTTCCACCTCGATCTCGGCTTCAGCTCTGTTTTAGTTGCAGTCATCGCTCGATGCCGCGATCCATTCATTCGAAGAAGAGCTATCGCAGTAATGCTGACCAATCGTGTACAAGAAGGAGCTTTCAATGGGTCACAGTCTGCAAGAGTTGCGGCCAAGGTTATGGAACTGGAAGAAGCCAGAAGTGGTGATGTTAGGTGTAGCAGTGATATACCGGAGGAAGCCAGAGTAAGGACGATACGAGTGCAATTACTGGGGTCTGAGACACCACAGACTCGGGTAGTGTTTGGGTTTGATGGAGGATTTTGTGAGGAGAAGTTCAGTTTGACATGATCTTATACCGAAGTGTTAATCACAGTCTAGGCCCGCACCCATGAAATTCGGCAATACACGATCGCAATTTATCATCATGATTCTCAGGTTTCATACACGAATTTGACCCTTATCCTTTTTCGCATTCAAAAGCGATGGAGGTGAGTGAGGGAATAAGCACGACCCACATATTTTTCAAGAGTAGAAATGAATCATCGCGAAATCTTACATTTTCGGTTAGCTCCTTGGAACCAGTCTGATATCAGCCTCTCAAGAGTCAGAATAGAAATGCAGCTACTCTCAAAAAAGAAGTCGACTCATATCGATTCACTCCACAATTCATACATTAACAACTTCAACTCCCGTTCATTCAAGTCTCTTAACTTCACTCAACTCATTGAGCATCAACATACGCCCACTGATGAGCCTACTTAACACCACTTCAACCAAACACAACCACCACACAACCACAATGGGCAAATTCACCATCCCTGCTTGCAGCAAGGGACTTCGAGAGATTGACCCTTCACTTCTTGACCTCAGAACAGATGCTGAAATCATCGCCCAACTCCAAACCTACCAGCCAATTACCTCAGAGAAGAACATCTGGGCAGTTTGGGACAAAGGACTGTTGGCCATGCCTGATTGCCATCAGCAAACCGTTCTCAACTGGGTACGCCGCCTAGGTCCCTCTTGGACTATTCGACTTGTCGACTTCATTGACGGATCGCCCAACAATATCTTCACTTTTGTCGGCAAAGAATGGTTTCCGGAATGCTTCGTCAACAAAACCATGGACGGAAAACACGCCCCTCAGCACGCAGCTGACCTCGCTCGTCTTCCGCTGGTGTATGAACGAGGAGGAGTGTGGTGCGATGTAAGCAATATGCTGCACATAGACATCGATACCTTGTTCTGGGACCATCTCTCTGCACCTGATACCCCATATGAAATGGCAGCTTGGATGATCACGGGGCAGATCAGGAATTCCAAAGGGGGTGATTTTGGCAACTTCATGTTCGCCGCTCGCAAACACTGCGAGTTTATAAAACAATGGCATCACGGGTACATTGAACTATGGAGAGGTCGAACAAATGTCGATGGCTTTCACAAACATCCGCTGATCCAAGAGATCGGACTAGCTGAAGGCTTGGCCAATCCAGGCGACGAAAACCAGATCAAGTTCATGACAGACTATGTCGCACAAATGGTGATTGGCGATCGCACTCGCAATCTCGTCGATGTGACAACAGGATTTAATGGAATTGATTTCTGGGAAAACAAGGTCTTTATGGTGGAAGGTATCCAGAATGGTATTCTTGGTGCTCTCAGAACCAATCTCGACGGCCAGAAGCAAGCCGACTACTTCACCACGCGCCTAGACGAACCTGATCTGGAGAAGAGAGCTGAGGCAGAGGAGTTTATGGTTGACGTGCTAGAGAACAGTTTCATGTACAAGGTCTGGCACAATTCGATGGGTGACACGCCGGCTCTCGGCGACCTTGTCAAGAAGAAAGGGAATGAAGATATTACACATCGTCCTGGTACATTTGGGGAGTTGTATCGTTATGGGACTGTGCATTGGAAATCTACAAGGGAGGTGGAGAGGTTGGAGCCACAGAGAAATGGCGATGACTTGATATATGGTACAGCTACTAAGACTGCTGCTGAGTTGGGGATTTAGATTAGACGTTTAGAGTATAGCCTAGAAAAAGATGCAAGCATGCGATGATGAAGTTGTTCAGAAGAGGACATTTCAGTGTAGGTTGGCAGACGTTATGACAGTAGGCCCACGAAAGTTCCGGCAATTTCCTCTATTCTAGATTTATATAAGATTATATAAACTTTTATCAGGTTTTGTTAATCTATATAATTTTATACAATATCATTCTAAACTTGCATATAGTCATCCAACTATAATGTGTTTTATATGATGTGTTTAATATAATTGTCTTTTATTAGCCTGTTGTCGGAACTTTTGCACCGAACTGTAGTAAGAGCAATCTTGTTGAACATGGTTCGATGCTACTGTAATTGACTAAATGTGCTCGATTGCCATCGGTAAACAGTTCTCAACTGGGTACGTTACCTAAGTCCCCTGTGGACTGTTCGACTTGTAGACTTTATTAAACGATCACCTAATAATATCTATAGTATCCTCAGGGGGGTCCTATCTATCAGCCAAGCGAAGCGTGTGATGTTGGACTTCAACAGAAAGGTTAAAAACCGGTTATTGATAGACATGCCTTTTCAACATGCGACTTCCTTTTTCTTAGGAAGTTATTAATATTGATTTTATAATCCCTACTCTTAAGATATTAAGCTAAATACAGGATAGTAAGAAAGTTAAACTCAATAATAGGAATAACTGGGGTATTCTTTAATATAAGAATAGGAATAAGTATGAAATAATTTTCTTGGTGTGCTCAGCGTTTGTGCACCAGTGGTACCGCATGGGTTAAACATCTCGCTCCCAACTTTTGATTTATTTCTCAGGCACAACATCCGCATGTCTCGCCGTTGTTGTTTTTTTCGCCTTCCACCACGTTTTCGCCTTCCGACGCGCCCGCCGAAACGTTTTTTAACGTTATTTTTAAATTACGAATCTCTGCGACGATAGACTTCGGGTCTATCATTTTCTTTCGACTATCCCACCCTTCTCTTCGCCTTCGAGCAACAGAACCGCTGCACTTGACTGCGGACGTGCAAGCTTGGGTAAAGAGCGCCTTCGGGGGCTCTTTCTTTTCTTTTGACTTCGGTCATCAGATAGCTTGCGGAAACGGCCACTGATAGCCGTAGTCGGGGACGTTAGAACGAGTAATTGTTGGAGGAGCGCTTTCGGGGGTTCCTCATTTCTTGTGACCCTCACACGGTTCATATATTCCTTCCCTGGAATCAGGAACGCCTTGAAGGGTTTCTTCTTTTCTTCTGATACGAGGTGGGTCTCTCATGCTTGTTACAGGTACCCTATTGGAACCGAAGAATGACCAACACGTTGCGGTATTCCTAGGTCGATATGCGTCAACCACCTAAAAAGATGGGGGGGTCCTCTGGCAGTGCCACTGCCAACTACAAGCCTGGGAGCACGCCTGAGGGTAAGCCAAAGGTCAAGAAGGAGAAGGCAGTGAAGACATCCACTAAAGATTGTGCAATCCTGTTCGTCTATTTCTCATCTCTTCACTTCATATTCATCACTAATTGTCGCAGGTTCGGTGATTCTGGCCCTGTCGTTGCTAGCAGTCCTTCCTTTGGCCTGGGAAGCAAGATGGGCGCCCGTCTAGGACTTGTCGTTCCTGCCGTTGGTCAATCGTTCTTTGGCGCCCAGCTCCTCATTCCGCGTGACCCAGGTCAAGAGATGAGCGAGGCCACAGGTCGCGGCGTTTGTCACATATGTGAGTAGCCTGGAGGTACTAACCAAGTTCTATAGTATCAAAGCTGATATCATTTCATAGACGAGATAACCAAGCATATGGCATTACCCGCTGATCACAAGATCATCGCCAAGTTTCCTCGTGGAAAGATCTCGTGCTCCTATGACCCGGTGCCTCAATCTGTCCAGGCCAAGTTTCCGACAATCAAGAACTGGGGATCGTTTTCTTACGTTACGGTCAAGATTGATGGTGCCATTCCAACCATAGAAGGGTATGGTCAAGCTTTTGCCAATGGTGCTGATCCAGAGCTCGAAAGTTGGATCAACTCCAACGAGCCGATCACAGGGAGCGTTACCCTCCTTGATGTGCTGCATCAGCAAGCGTTCTTCTTTGTCGTTGCCTGGGCTCCAGGACCAGCCAGCAAGAACTTTACTGAGAGCCTCCTGCCGCCCCCTTTCAGTTATGGCAGTTATCCCCGGATACCTCTGGAGGAGGATCAAATGAAGTATGCCATCGAGCAGAACCCTGGCGGTGCTTTTGTGGCATCATATGGGTGAGTGACTACATTATAATCATTATTGGTACTGACAAAGATGATAGTTTCGACAGCAACGAAGCTCACGTCACCGCCATCAATCAGGCGACCATCCAAGATGCGTTCTGGGTTCACCAAGAGGCAAAGCTGGTATGTATTTGATGATATCTTCCGTGGTTGTTGCATATTGACATTCATGTAGATCAAGGACACAAGTTTTCCTGCCTACTTTGCAACACCAGAGAGTGGCACTGCTGCCAGTGCGCATGTTCTTCACCTTGTCATCCCCTTGAATAAGGATTGGAGAGAGTTGCATGACCCCGCCTGGCGACGTCTGACCAAGAATGCTGTCTTCTTCGTTATGATCCACGACGTCATACCTATAGAAGGTGTGGAGGTCAAGTCAGCCAGATGGTAAGTTCTTGTTCAAAATCACAGCTTTTGTTAAGAATAGACTGACACAATTATGCAGGGCCTGCAAGATCATCGACTATCCTGCTAGTGTTTCAGAGCTCCAAACTCATCCCGTCGAAGCACATGAGCTTGTTCTGCGGGTGCGTTGCGCCAAAGATCGCGCAGAAGTTATCATCCGTGACTTTTGTAATCGTCCTTCAGCCAGTGCTGCGTTGGCAAAGGATAAAGGAAAGTAGAACTCAATTTCCCTTGTCTTCGATGCAGGCTGGTCAGAGGTCATGCGCAAGGTTGGGAATACATTGCCCTTCTCCCCCAACGCGGTGCCTACCAACCCCAAGGCCTGGGAGCTTCCTCTCGATCAGGAAGGCCGTATATCCACCTCGGTAGACGACCCTGTGAAAGCTGGCGCTGTAGACTACGTCATATACAGAATGAGTCTGCACCGTGCTCTTCTGCGCGGGAAGGGCTACTTCGATGTGATCGTCAACAGAGGGAAGCTGCCGGAGGATGTCATTTCTCGCCTAGCTCTCACCAGTCTGGAGTCTCAACTATGTGAGCATGATGTTGCTGGGTTGCCTTGGGAGAATTTCCTTGCTTTTGAGGATAAGCTCTACGCCGATTGCATCGTCGAGGAAGCGTTGCCTCAGGACCGTGTTCGATTCCGTGGATTTCTCTCTGCCGTCTTCCTTGGCCTTGGCCTCATTACGGCAGTAAGTCTCTCTTCTACTATCAGCATCGAAGACTGACGTGTAAATAGCCCCCGGGATTCGGAAAGACAACCGCTGGAGCTGCCGCAGCACTTGCCATGCAAGCCAAAGTCGGTCAAGTCTTGTGTTCCGCGCCAACGCATGTGGCGGTGGACAATTTCTCGAGCCGTATCGATAAAAGAACACGCGCAATTGCCATGCGATACAATCAAGGCAAGAGACTAGACGATGCAAATCGCTGCCGCCACCGTCTTGTCGTTCGAGCTTACTCGCCCGGTGATGAGGTTATCGCCTTCAGGAATCTCCTGGAGAACCCTGACCTTGGCAGTGCGGCGATCAAGTCCGGGCAGTTTTCTGCACCCTCGCGCTGGAAGCTACCTCTCTCTTTGGCATACTGGCTTCTGGTTCTGCTCCGCTCGCCCACCGTTCCTGCATTGGACCCTGATGATAGTAAGGACCTTCACGAACTCCAACAGGCTATGGAAAAGGAGGACGACTTGTCGAAGCTCCGACAGGTAAGAGTTGAAACACATAAGGGCATAAGCCTATACTAACAGATCTAGGTCACGCAGGGCGATATCACTTGGGAGGAGTACAGCAAGACCCAGGATCCCAATGGGACCATCCAGCTCTTGATGTCGAGGGTCATGCGCATAGCCGACTTCCTCTGCACAACCCCGGCAAACGCCCAGAAGAAGCCCTTCTTCGCCTGGGTAAAGGAACGGGCCAAGGGCATTGCTGTTGATGAAGCAGGCAACATGCACCGGGCTGACCTTTATGGTATCTGGGGCAACACATTGCTGCCGTGCTTCCTGATTGGCGACCCCAGGCAACTCCCTCCGATAGTCATGACCACCAATGAGGTAGATGCCAACAAGAATCCCATCAATCGCTTTGCTGAAGATGGCGGGGTTTCGCCCTTGGCTTTCTTCCAGGGGAGCGGCCACCCGGTCTATCGTCTGAAGACTCAATTGCGCATGGCCGAAGGCATGTTCGCATCGTCTGCCAAGATCATCTACCCTGACGTGCCTTTCACGGTAAGTATCTCAATATTGTATACTGTGACTCTATCGCTGACTTAGCTTAGTATGCTCCCAGATGTGCCATCGATCTTCCCGAGAACCAGATTGGTGTCGACGTAGATGCCTTCTTCCGGGCCAAGTTCCCTGAGTGTGCTCCCTCGCCTGCTGGCTCTCTTCTGCCCATCTTTGTTCACTGCGCGGGCTCCGTCGTGTTCACTGATCCTCAGACACTGTCGAAGAAGAGCCCGGACCAGGTGAAGGTTGCCCTTGATCTTCTTGTTGATCTCGTGAAAACTAAGCAGATCGACATTGGCCGAGTCGTGTGCATAGTGCCCTATGCCGCGAACCTTCGCCTGGTCGAGAGCTACAGGAAGCGTCCAGAGTATTCACTGCTCCAAGGCATGCCAGATGCCTCAACTGTGGACTCCTTCCAGGGCCAAGACAACGACGTCGTGTTCCTCATCATGGGGACAGCCCATCCTAGACCTGGACCTGGCTTCACTGCCAACCCGATGCGTCTTAATGTCATGATCTCACGCCAAAAGTCAGCATTGGTTGTTATTGGTGATATAAATGTGGCCAAGGACAATGAAGGCAAGGTCATAATTCACGACGAATGGACTGGCGAGCTGACCTTCATGGTGCCTCGGGCGCTCAATGCGCTCCACGACGACTTTTTGAAGGCAAAGAGGGTGGTGACCGTCACTGTTACGGATAAGGGCATGGAAAGGGGCAAGGGAAAGAAGGAGGCGATAACTGGAGAGGCTACGGACAAGGCTGCCTAGGCTATATAGAGATGTAGCTGTACCGATAAAACCTACAGAACTGTCAACGACAGAGGTCCCTGAGCCAAAATGTGGCTTGATGAAGTATTGACTTCCTCTGTCACGGTCGTTCTCAAAGACAGGTTGAAGACAAGCTAGCTAGAGCTGGATAAGAACGTCCTGAAAAAGGTCAAGAGTTGAGAACTCCATGTTCAAGCCTAGGGTTGGGTACCGTGGACCTCAGCTTGAATTCAAGGCTGCCGGGAGTTTAAGTGTCTGGGCCTTTAGAAAATGCGAATTCGTGATTTCCAGCTCACTAGTGGTCTTCTCACTGGCTGCAGGTGTACTGACTAGGAAGACGTCCGGATTTTCTTGCCAAGTAGTAATAAAACGCTCGGGAGGTGGATGCTTACTAGGTAGTCTTTCGTTACTCTCCAGACTCGCTTGAACCGGGCTCCTTCAGAATGGTGACTTATCGGTCCCCCTTCGCCACCCCCAGTAGTCTGCCGTTTTATGCGGCGACCACCACGTTTTCTCCTGCTTCTCTAGGCACAAGCAGAACTCCACTCTGTCTGTGTAGTCGTCTCTAGACGGTGGGTTGGGCTGCTTGGGGGTCCTCTCTTTGGGGCTCTGTGTCGAAGTTCCCCGGGTCGGGTGAGACATTCAGTCGGGGACGTTGAATTTCTCCATGTTGCCCAGTGAAGGTTCCTTCCACTCTGTATCGATCTTCGAAGCGTTCCCAGCTGCCGAGTTGGAGCATCTGCTTAAACGCATTCAGTCCGAAGTGTGAGGGTTGGTCGCCAGGGTGTTCGCGCCCCTGCTGATCTTGTCGGGGTCCCTTAGGCCCAACGTTAAAGGGGTTGATTCCGCAGTCCAGTATCTTCTCTATCAGTCGTTTTATCGCCCGAGCGCCCTTAAATGCCCATTCTAGGTTCTCTCACTCCTTCAATAAATCATTAAACGCTTAAACCTCTTTAAATAATGGCCATCGTGTAGGTGTGGGTATTACACTATGATGTTCGAAACTGACTCCTACTTTGGAAGCATGGGTGGGTTGATTGAAGTGTGAAGAGGGAATTGTGTCCACAGTATGGGCTTCTTATACCTCTGGGAAATAGAGTTGCGGTGGCTGACATGGTGGGTAACCTTATTGAATTCGAGATATTGTTGTGTTTCGGTTTGTGTAAAGAACTCAACCGTTGATCTTTCTGTGTATTATATTAGGACAGCTAGATCTCTTTTTCAAAGGTGCTACTTTTCTCCACACAATATGTTTGGCATTGGGTATACTCAAGACAGGAAATAACCAATATTCGGCCAGTATTTCGAAGTCTGCCGGATCCTATGCCCGAATGACTTCAATATTCGCCGCAGCGCTTGAGATTTGCCTCGCCGTCAGGGTTGCTCCGTCACGGAGCGCTTTCTTTATTTTCTCGGATTCCCAATTGGCCTTGTCGGTCCTGGCATCTTGGTGGTCACTTAGGTCGGGACTGGATTCGGCAGAGACAGGAGCTCGGAGATTCTCCTCTTCTTCCGGCTGGTCCGATCCCAGCTCCCCATACGGTTACTTATCTAACCCAAAGGACTTTTCGGCTCCCCGCTTCCCTAAAGGGTTCATAAGGGCAGGAAGGTCTTAATAGTTCAAATTAAATATTTCTAGTTATTCAGCCTGCATATCAGTTTCTTCGTATTTAGTGTTTCCGCCTTTAGTTAGCCCCTCTCCTATATTATCTTCCTCCCTATTTAATCTAGCAGATCTAGAGTCCCTAATAAGTTATAACAGTCTCCTAGCCGGTCTTATAAGATAGTAAGTCGTTAGGTAAGTAATAAGTTAATTTATTTATAAGGCTAGTTACGGAGGATTAAGGGGCGGGTATTTTTTATATAAGGTTTATATTTACTGGTAAGAAGACGTCTTTACAACCCAGCTCGATAAAGTCACTCTCTAAGCACTTCTATCCCTCGGCGGTTCCTTTATTTGTAGGAGGGCCCCTAGGTCCCATCCCAAGGGCTCTCACTCATGCAAAACCTTCAGCGGCACGTCTGACCAGATCGTTGTCTGCGACGTGAATGTACACAGGGTCCCGCGCAAGGAGGTCGATGTGTTCAATTTCGAAGAGCTTTTCGGGGTCGCTTCTGAACGGATCCTCGAAGCTCTCGTCCACACTGTTTCGAGCTTGGTTCAGCTCATCTGTAAATCCCAGTTGAGTGACGTCAAAGCCTGGGAAGTTGGTCAGATAGTGATGATCTGAATTCAGCATGGGCGTGTCATTATTTAAGAGCCAATTTATGATATCAATAGGAACCCCCGTCGAAATCAGACGTAGCTGTAATGTGAGAGGGCCTGTGTATACCTTATGGTCTATCTGACCGTATCGAATGCTCGCTATAATCCTGTCGTTTATTTGAAATCAAGGCTCATCTAGTTGCCAGTAGGTGCTGGTTTCGTGATTGAAGTAGTTCCAGCGGGTTCCCAAGACCATAGACGGCATATATACCTCAGTTTCCTCCTTAACACCGAGTCCTACTAGTACTCGTATCCTATCTTCGTCTCCCCTCCCGGCTCAGGAAGCTTATTTTTCGAAGGTTCTCCTGATGGGTCTAGTTGGGGTGGAATTCTGTTGGCTTAATGGTTTGGGGCCTTTTCTTTTTATCGGCCTTCTTCTATCTTGTTATCAATGCCTCCCACCTAACATAATCAACAGAGTCGCGTAGGATGCTTTCCGTTTGTGTAGGGTTGTCAGGGGAGAAAGAGTGTCAGGTTTGGGGTGCCGTCTAGGGGCCAGGTTTGTGTGGGGTCCCTCCATCACCGAGAGCTCTTTGGTCTCTGATACCGGCATCAGATGGTATTAGAATGGTGGGGTGTTGGCTCCGTCGGAAGATGCGCGGCAGTCGTCGACCAACAAAGGGTTTTCTTTGGTGCCTATCCGGGTTTCGCCTCTCGGGCTGCTCCATTCTGACGGTCTCCCGTCTAGGGCGGTATATGTGTAGGTTCTGGTTCTCGAAGACTGAATGACTTGCTCTCTTCCGTTTACATGGTGGTGTATAGAGGAGTAGGTTTTGGTTCCTGGAGATTCTTTTCTTCAGGTATGCGGGGTAACTCATCTAGGCAAACAAGTTTTCTCTTTCATGCGGTTGCCTGATATCAATCTGGTGGGGGTTCCGCGTCTCCCAAAACGACGTATCCATATTATCGGCTGCTTGCCAGGGCCTGATATCGTTCGCGCCCTTTTCTTTCAGGTACATTTCACAGTCGTGAAATTGCTCGCAAAGGGTCAGCTCAATATGACCGGAACCATAGCTCTCGTTGTCGTATCAGTCACGGGTAGCCAATTCGATTTCAGCAAGCTGTCATGTTTGGCTATATCCGATATGTCTTTGCCACTTGGCCATTCGTCGATTGTGATGACCTGGGTAGTTTGGGCAGTCTCTCTCAAGACCCAGTGTCCCCAACAACGACGGTGGTCTGATTCTGGAGATTGAATGAGCCAAATTCCCGTTTGAAGGAGTTTGTCTCACATCAAAGGAGCAGAAACAGGGGGGTTATTGTCACCATGCTTAGGCTGATCCTTATCGAGAAATGCTTGCCTCTGCCTCTCGCTTCATATGGGAGTTTAGGTCATCGATCTTCAAGCTTTTGATAATGCCCCGTAGAACAAATTTGCCTCGGGGCGAAAGGGTGAAACGTGGCATCCTCGAGAGTAATGTGGAGGTATGATTTCGTTCCGTACGAGATGCTTCATGATCGAAGAGTAAAACAGTATCGTAAAACCGGCTACAAATTTGAAAGGCTATAAGAGTTCTTTTGCCCTGGAAGTGAAAGTTGGTTTGTAGGTTGACATGGCATGTTGTTCTCTAGGACTGCGCTTGAATTGGTGGTAGAGCGCTGTTAGTCTGCGTCTGTTATGGACGACAGAGATTCGGGGTCCCGCAGGCCCAAAGTTGGAAGGATTCATCCGGCGAACCAACGGTTTCTCCATCAGTCGTTTCATCGTTCTGGCGTCTTTAAGCACTTAAAGCATCCTATTCAGGTTCCCACACTCCCCTGACTAATGATAGAATGCTTCAGCCCCGTCATAGATATGTCGATCATCGGGCTTAATCATAAGCACAAATGACCATAACTCGGCCAATGCCTCCAGGTTGGCTGAGTTCCGTGTCCGAATGGCCTCCACGTTTCGCGCGGCCCTGGAGAGCCTTTTGGGTTCAACTTGCTCGAATACAATGGGGTCCGGGGTCCCAGCGGCCCTCTGTCTCTTCCGGCGGGTACATATCGGCCACATCCGTTGCCGGAACCGGTTGTTGGGGTGGCTGCTGTGTGCCCACGATATTCCCAAACCCCAAAAAGATGAAGTCGTTTCTCAGGCTTTTCCATTCCACGATAGTTCCCTTATTTGTGGTAGCGGCAGTAGACGAGAGTGGCTATCGAATATTGCTGACCATTTTGACCATTTCGACCATTGTTGACTCAGTAATGGCGAGTTTTGATCCGGCTTCTGTCAGGAATGTGATAGCTTAATTGCGATTTAGCATTTTGATACATGGTGAAGGTAAGGGGTCGACTCTGATTTAGTTTCCCAGCTCGGCGAGGATGTTAATGGCTCGACTCTGATCTAGTGTTTGTCAGCGATTATTGTGAGGTATCTTATTGACAGAAGGTCACATACATCAGCTCAGTTGTCGGAAATGGAGAGGTTTCAACTCTCGCGCACTGTAAACAAGATGACTTTTGGTCCATTTTCCATCAGGTCGACCTCAGTGAAGGCAATATTTACCAGATGCGAAGTCGTGGAGATGATAAAGAGGAAATGGCCTACGCACGGTCTGCGGCACAGGATAAAGATATTGCGTCCATTGAGCCGCGATGCGTCCCCACAGACTAATTCACATTACTGTGACTCACTGCTGCCTAGCGGCGAGTGAACCAACCGTGGTAGTCAGTGTCGAACATTCTTACCAACTGGCTGGCATGGTATATGAAATGTGAATTTGTTTGTTCTTTGACAAACGCAGGGTGGGTTTTCCTCCACAAGCCTGATGGGCAATTTGGAGGATTTGATAGCCTGGGATGGGAAAGGAAAACCTTCCAGCTCGAATAATAGGAAATAAGGAAAAGAGAAAAGGGAAGACGTTGTGATTGATATTGCGGTTGAAAAAAGGGCATGAAGGGGAGGGGGATGTGATCGATTCACACCTGATGGAAGGCCATGGAGGATAAGACGACTTGTTACCCAAATCAAGCCACAACTAACGATAATACCACTTTGCTATAGTAATCTGAGACATCAGATCGGAGAAACAGACTTGCTCGTTGCTGCCAAATACCAAACAACGAAAAGACAACCACATGGAACGTCGGTAAGGGGTCAGTCAGTGCCAGTACCGGATGACTGTCAACATTGAGAAGAGGAAAAAAGAAATATGTTCCCGATTACCGGATTCGAACCGATGTCTTTCTTACCCAACTTGAGTATCCAATCCTGACTATAGTTGCACTTCTCTGAGATCTCAAAAGAAATGAAAGCAGTTAACATCATCGAAGAGGTTGAAATCATGCCATAAGTATCCGAAACTTGCGAAACCCTGTGGCTCTCATCCGCCCGAATCTCCACCCAAACGATAAAAGCCCTGTTGGACAGTGACGGCGCCCCATGGTGCCAAATCCTACATATCCCACCCCATTTGGTGCAGTGATAGCATATCTCTTGGCCGAGCTCAACCCCAGAGGCTGAGATGGTTATAGAGGGATCTGGGGTTCGGGGGTGAGGGTTTCGAGTCTTGCAATGGGGATCATATGTCCTTTTACCCCCTTTTCCCTCATTTTAGCTTCGCATGTTAGTCGTGAAGTGTTTGCTATGGCCGACTAACAGATAGACCTCACAAGCACGATGGTATCTAGGTATGATATGCCTAGCTCATCTCTGTAGACCAACTTGACCCTCTATTCGATTACATCAACACTTGTCATAATGGGATTGACTACATCTCCTGATGCTTCCTTGGGATTACACTTCTGATACTAGCTTTTTTTTTTCTCCTTTCTCTCTTCTATTTTCAGAAACATCTGAGACTTTGCATATTGGAGCTGGTGTTGTACCGACAACCGTTGTGAAGTATTCAGACATGAGCGATCGATGGCGATTTTGGGGTCCTTTTCTCAGTCAGGGCATACATGCGTCTCAAGATTGTTTCCATCCTCTATGCGATCAGACCGAGCAAGAGCATCAAGGATGCAATGCGAGTAGACGTTCCCTAATGCCTCTCGGTAACTACGTCAGTCCGTCTAAAAGTCGAGCCACAATGCCAGAATTACATATTGTCCCTACAAGGTACAGTGTCCCCGCGCCACCAAATTGATGGCGCGCCTTTCTCTATCGTGCAAAGTGCTGGCTTCCTTACTAGTAGTGGAGACTTAGACAGTCAACCTGGTTGGCGATCGGCAACCATGCAGGTAAGTGATCCGCCCCCAACTCCACCGGCGGATCCACTTTCAACTACATGTTAGACACTCACCAAGTGTCACAAATCCACCAAAGTGACCCTCCCTGTCGGACTTGGAGAAACAGTCCTCCATCGCAGATATGTCTCAAGCCCTCCCACGCTTAATTTGAAGATCACTCCTGAGTTTTTTAACCAAGGAATGAATAGCTGTTAATCCTGTTTTGTCTTCTCAGCATGGTCGGACTTTCTGAGGGCTTCCTATTTGATGTCCTCAGCCTCACTGAAGGCTAAGCAAACACACGCGATGACAGCAGCTGCAGGGCCTGTGCCGCACATCACTTGGCCTATCACTTCCAGTGTTTTTGTTCAGCATTTGGAGGATTGTCGACATGTACTTGAATGGAAGCCAAGGCTACCGAAAAACTCAGATGCTGCCACATACAAAGTTGAAATGGGATATTTGCACGAAAGAGAAAACAGAGATCAAATAACTGGCTGGGAAGGAGCGATATGCCAACACGATACGATTTAGGTGGCGCAAACAGGATGTGCACAACAAAGTCTTCGCACTGCTCAGGGGACGAACTCTCTATAAGGAGGATATATATCGCCATCAATGCGGCATGGAATGATATAAAAAGCTAAAAAGGAAAAGAAAGACTCCTAGCGGCAGGATTCGAACCCACTGTAGCAAAGCATCCCTCGAAAGGGTACACTCAGGGGTACTAGACCACTATACTACGCTAGGGATGTTTTTGTTGACGGATGATGCGATGAATTAAGCTATGTAGCCTAGGGATCCTTCCATGGCATTCTGTCTGCCTGTGAGAGAAAGTTTTGGTGAAAGGCTGTTGCCTAGTCCGTATCTGTTACCACTTCACTCTAGAGGGGTCCCCTCTTGACTCGCATCCACCCTTCTTCTGATATCAGCTTTGCCATACGAGACGAAGTGTAGGGCTTCTCGAGCCATCCTAAAAGGGCAACAGCGATGATCGATCACAGGATGGAAATTGTTCCGTAAGGCATGTGAAACTGGCAGATCCTGTTTTGATTATAGGTAGCTTTGAATTCAGAGCGTTGCGGTCAGCACGAGCAATTACGGGCTAGCTAATGACTTTCGAATGCAAGCATGTCAAATCAAATGTCTATCATCTTGGGGTCTGTAGCGTCGGTGTAAAAGTATGGTGGACTTTGGAGAGCAAATGAAGTTCAATGGTTGCTGTTGAGATACGGAAAACCTTGTTTGGGGGCAGGTGATAGGGAAGGAGAAGCGGCATACATAGGAGTTATCTTAGGTAGTAGGTACCTGGCTGGTGGGCGCGACCTACTGCCATAGGTAGCTGTTAGGCTACATATACCAATTCAACAGACCATACCTTCAACATAAGACGTGCTCAGCTTGGTCTAGTGGTATGACACCCAGCTAACTTAGCGATTCCTTCGGGAACCGTTTTCTTCTCTTTAACAAGGGCACTGGGAGGCCGCCAGTTCGAACCTGGCAGCTGAGGATCTATTTTTTGCTCTTTTTTGTCTCATGTTTGATAATCATCCAGTGAAATACAAGCAAGTCAAAAGTTAAATATTTGCTGTCAAGATATAGAAACCCCTGTCTAGGGGTAGAAGAGAGAGGTAAGGAGATGCCGGATAGATAGAAGCAATGTAGTAGGCACCTGCCTGGCGAGCGCAACCTACTGACCTACCTACTAGGCTACATATAATAATTCAACAGATCATGTCTTCAACACAAGACGTCCCGGCTTGGTCTAGTGGTATGACACACAGCACACCTAATGATTCCTTAGGGTTTCGTTCTCTTTCGGTCCGAAAGGACACTGGGAGGTCGTTGGTTCGACTCCAACAGCGGGGGTTTATCTTTTTGCATTTCCTCCTGTTGTTGTTGATAATCATCTGGCACTGGCACTGATCCCTGGTCGACGCAGTAAGGGGCCACTTTCCGTCATACAACATTCACCAGCAAGTGAACCTGTACATCCTCTGTAATTATCTTCATCAATGTGGCCAGCTGTCATTACCAGTAACCGTGGCCTAATTTGGTTCACGAATCCTCGCATCCTTACCTTGGTTGATATCTTTTCATCGGCAGTGAATCAACGCACGCCCCACTTTATGTTCCGCCTCAGACGCATCTTCTTTTTCCTCTCTTCGTAATCTCCTTCCTTTAGTCAATCTTTGTCTAGCTGTACTCACAATATGGATGGCCAAAGCCCTCTACTACTGACCTTTTCAGGTCAAGATTTCGAAATCAGTGTCCCTGAATCGGCAGCAAGAGCTCATTCTCCTGTGCTTGCCGCGGCTCTAACACCCAAGAATACTACGATTATTTCTGTCACCGAGTTCGATTTTCCTACTGTCCAATGCTTGGCTCAGTATCTCGAGACTGGGAATTATGGGGTGAACGCTGGTAGCTTTCCAAGTGTAATATCGGCCAGTATGTTATATCCCTACTTCTTTGTCTTTCATTAATTATTTTCAGTCGGCCAGCCTGTCCCCGAACACTACACCAGAGATCTGTTGATAAGCCATGCACGAGTCAACGCCATCAGCGCTCATTTTGAGATTCCGAAACTTTCTCAGCTCACGAGATCCCACATCGCACCGACCTTGGACCATTATTGGTTTGATTCTGCGTATCTCGCTACTGTCACGGCCGCCTTGGGCTCGAAGGATCCTTACTTGCAACGCCTGCTGGTTTCCAAGGCCAGAGAGCATTTAGATTCCCTGATCGCCTCACCAGAGTTCGATCATGCTACGATGCTGCGAAGCTTTCACAGCACCTTCCGAGTTTCTCCCACACTTCCACAAAAGACTGCTGAGACCGAGAGTTCAGCCGAGATTGAAGAGCTCAGGAGGCAAGTGTCAATAACCTCATCCGAACGTGACGACCTTCAGCAACAGCTTACAGCTGCCTTATCTGGGAACAAACAACTTCGTCAAAGAGTAGGGGATATCTCTTCTGAGCGTGACCAGCTCCAGCAACTCATCCAGGATAGGGATGTCAGTGAGGAGCAGTGCGATATTGACTTCAAGAAGAGGTTAGAATCTCAAAAGGCCGATTTCAAGAAGCACCTTGCTGCCACCGCGTCCGAGAACGACCGACTAAGCCAGAGCGTCGCCGACCTTTCTTCAAAGCACCAACAGCTACAGCGACGTATGAAGGAAGAGGAACAGAAGGCATCTCGGTCTACTCGCGAGCTTGCAGAAGCTTCCGCGGCCCGGGTCGAGTTACAAAACGAACTCACAGCGTCCACTGCTAAGAGTGATCAACTTCGAAAGGAAATCTCGGCTATCTTCACCGGGCGCCAGCTTCTCGATCAGGAACTAAGGGTGGCGGAGGACAAGGCCACCGAATACGCCCAGAAGCTCGAAGAGAAATCCAAGGCCCAGGAAGCAGCCGAAAGAGAGTTGAGAGTCGCTAGCTCTGAGCGTGCCTTACTGAGAAAACGTTGGGACCAAGAAAGGGAAAAGGTCAAAACTCTGACCAAATCGAACGAAGACCTAAGCCTCGCACTTGAACTTGAGAAAAGCAGCGACGCCAGTGTCATTGCCCGCAAGCGAGATGATTTGAAGAAAGCTCTTGAGGACGAACAAAAAGAGGTTGCAAAGCTTACGGCCGAGAACAAACTGAAGGCCGAGACGCTTGCGGCTGCAAACAAGAGGGCTGATGTTTACGCCGCTCAAAAGCTACGACTGGAAACCCAGTACTCGGAGGAGCTAAAGAAATCAAACAGCTTCAAGGCCGAGCTAGATGCAGCGAAACAAAATGCAAGTTTGGCGATGGGCCGCGAACACGCGGCGAACAATAAGATTACCAAACTAATCGACACTGTTCATAAACACGGATGGTGCCGCAACTGTGGGGATGATTTTGGATCATGGATTGAAGATGATGGCTCATGGCTTATCTTACGATGTTCTAATTGCCGATGCCGACATTATAATTGAACGGGATGTCGCTCACTGTCAGGTAATACACGGACATAGGGATGTTGTTATTTGCAATCGTGTATATGTACCACAGCGTTCGACTAGCTCTTTCCTCATGTTGAGATTCTACATAAAAGGTCCTTGTCTCTAAGTTCGTCTAATACCCTAAAAGCTTTGTTGAATTTGACTAAACTTGAACTCATATTATTCCACCTTTTCTCAAACTTTAGTTTGTGGGTCTGATTCAGGACGCTTCACCGGGTCGTCCCTGCATGAGATAATTGGCGTTGATAGGACGATCCTCGTCTGCATCCTCGTCTTCAGAGACTCCATCCTCAGGCGAGTCATCGTCGACAGATAAGACTAGAGCAGGAGCGTAATTGACAGGATCTTAGCCACGAGCAGACCTTCGAAGACCAGAAGGAGGTGGCGGCTGGACTTGACGGGCCTTGGTACGTCGAACAGGGATAAGGGGTTCGTCGTCGGAGTCATCTTGTGGCCGGGCTATACTGAGTTATTGGAGGCACTTGGGAATGTGAAATCAGAGGTAGAATGACTCAGGTCGTATCTCAGGTAAAGGTTCCGGTGAGGGCGAATACCACTTGGGTGTGAATACAAATCGGAATCAAGTAAGACGTGCTTAGGCGAATTGTATGGAAAATAGTTTGATAGAATTTGGGTTGGGAGAAGTTGTCGGAGTTTAAGCACCGCCACCTACGTATTGCGATGCCACCTGGGTATGGGTGAATATAATCTGAGGTGAAAGGGAACTTGGAGGGTTTGAAAGTTTGAAGTTGTATTAGTAGGAATGTGGTGAGAATTTAACATTAACGCATGTACGACAACGCCACTCGGTTATGATAAATAGAATCTGAGGCGAAAGAGAACTTTGAGGATTTGAGAGTCTGACGAAGTAGTATCTGTATCAATATTGTGAGAATGTAAGCCCCAAAACCTGCGGATGATCCTTCCACTTGGTATGGGTAGAATCTGAGGCCATGTGAACTTTGGAATGTTTTGTCTTTGAGACAGGGGGTATTGACAGCGAGAGTGATGAGAATCTCCGCAGATCTTTGTTCTTTGTAGATGCTGGAGGCTGGGACCCGAAGGTCATCACACTTGTATAGATATTGGATATGTAAGGACGGTGTGTTTGTAGAGTCGAAATTTGTAGTTGGGAGTTGAAGTGCGGGGTTGTTTCTGTAAGTCAAAATAAGGCACTTACCACCTCGCTTCAAGTTGACATTGTTGGCGGGAGTTTTACGTTTCTTCGGGACGACCTTGGACGTAAGTAGGATATCAGGGAGTGACAAGGTATGAGTTACTTCTTGATCGAGCTCCTTCTGAAGTCGGCGGGCTACTTGTGCATCTCGAGAGTTGTCCAGGAGATCGTCATCGTCATCCTCTGAGTATTCGATCACAGTCTTCTTGGTTGTCATTGACCACATGATGTGTCTTGCAGCTCGTTCTCGGTCGAAAGTTGCAACTGTGGGAGCGGTGCTTGGGGCCTCTCGCTTAGCAACAGATCTAGTCCTGGGTGGCGCAACTTGACGAGTGGTTCGAGGCTCAATGATGGGATCTTGAGATTCATTGAGACGTAGGCCATCTTTATTTACCGACGGTGCTATGTACAGAACGGTATCCAACGCAATGCCGAGTCATCGTGCAGACCTGCGAACTTCAGTAGTAACCACAAAGCTTCTCAGGAGAAGGTTTTTCGGTTTGCAAAAAGTTCTCACAAGTATCTTCTTAAATGGCGTTCATGGTATGGTAAGATAATCTTATCCTAAGATGGAATAGAATTATATAAATTATTGAGAGTTTATTGTAATTTATCTTATTTTATATAAATGTTAGAAGAGAGGAAGTTGTCGGAACTGTAACAAACTCACTGTACTAGGTATGTAGATATCATGGTGATCCAACGTCGGTCAGAAGATGAGAAAAAGGATATTTAGAATTGTGCGATACATATGATCAAAAGTACGTCGACACAAAGCATCGTCAAGTGAAGAAAGTACCCCTCCCACATCAACCCCAACGTTGCTAACATAGCGCCGAAGCTCCCGCAACCCCTGAAGTCCCGACTAAGCTGTCGAATCCTTCAATCCTTTCCGAAATTCCAACATGTGCAATTCCAGATGCGGGCACCAAGGAAGCGGTCAAAGCTGCACCGTGCCGCTATTATGCAGGATAGAAATTTGGAGAAATCGTGTTGAGTATGTAAGCCCGCATAGGGGATTAACACGAAAGCGGATTGGGCCTCGAAGTTAGGCTTTCTGATGGTGTGGAAGTGAGGGGTTCAAAAACATCGCGTCGATGAAAAGAATCGGAGTTACCTGTTAGGCTCGGGCTTTCCAACTTTCCAACACCTCAGTCCCTTCGATCTTGACTCTTCCTTTTTGCTCACGCAAACGATTAGGCGACTGCGCTTTCGATAAACTTTTGAACGCTTGCCCCCAGTAGTTTGCATCCCTCTTGAGAGTTTGGTGGTGGTAGACTAGCGTAAGTTACCCGTCCCTTGTGCCCATCCCTTGTGGAACGGCAGTGGCCACCCCTGGGCAGGGGCGAGACAATCTGACCGTTGAATGATCCAGATCAATTCAACGTCCCTCAGCGAACCGACCCATCAACCACGCTGTCGGTGCCGCTCATCGCAGGCGCCGCGCATCGACAGGTTCGCGTGACTCGCCGAACCTAGGGTGTGAGCTCCGGCTTGGTTCGGAACGGGATGATCATTCATGGATCTTCCTGCGCCCGCCGACAAGTAAAACAAAGATCGCCATCAGCGCCCAGTGACAGGGCGCCGCCGCATCACACCCCGACCGACCCGGCCCGACCAATCCGTATTTACCTGACATTAAAAGCCGGCGACTGGTGATAATGAAAGCCGCCAATCGAGGTCGCAGCAGTACACAAAATAATCGCTTTCTCTGCGTAATCGCGGACGCCTATCCCCAGGCTTGCGATAAGAGCTTCCCCAGCATAGAAAAGCACAAGTGCGTCACCACACCCCGTTTCCAACAATGTCGCTAACACTACCCAGCGAACACGTAAAGAGATTCCACTCACCAGCGTTTTGGTGCAAGGATTGCTTGTTTAAGTTTAATAGCTCATTGTCCGACAAGCATCTCAAACTTGCCAAAGACGACCATGCACAGCACTGTACAAAAAGGTTCACGTCCAGAAGCCTAGATGTCTGGATACAAACCCATGTCATGAGTGAAGAGCAGTATGATCGCTTCAAGCAGCGTAGATGGAAACAAACCGAGGTTCTCTCCCAGCCTAACATCCACGGTGGAAGATTATCCATCTCACAAAGGAGCTGGAGGCAGATCCGTGAAACGATTTTCCCCACCGCTCAGGCGATTGAAGCCACGGAGTTGAGCAGACTGCCAACAGTCGGTCAAGTCGATGACGGGATCCAAAATGTCATAAACTCAACTGGAAGGCGATCGTCTGATTTCAGGCAGATGACGATTACCGAGTTCAGCAGCCCTACCATGGATGCGCCCTCTCAAGCGAATCTGCCACCAATCCCGGCATCCTTGACCACCGACACTTCCTGGTTATCCACTGAGTTCTCGACGTTGACTGATCCGCAGACTTGGCCTTCGACATTGATGTCCTCCCATGCTGGAGTAGACACACAGGAAGATGTCTATAGTTGCGGGGACGCTTATAGCTATGACTTTGGTGAAGCAACAGATTATGGGGAGTCTTCGTCTCGTCGTGCTCCTGATCCCTCACAAGGGCAACCGTTTTCGAATTCTTTGAGAGGAGCCGGTTTCTGGGACGCTGCTGACTGAGGTAATATGCGTTGTTGGAGTTCTAAAACCACTCGGATGGTGTTTAATCAGGGAGCGGTGGACGTTTTAAGTTTTGATGAGAGAGGACTTATTCAACGTGGACTTTTGCGGAGGACCTTGGCAAGAATGGACCCAGCCCAACTTTATACAGATTGTATTGGCATATTGATGCCTGAGAATGATGTAATGAGGAATGCAGATTGGCTAGTGGTGACTGCAGATTTGAGGCCACCGTTTGTAATTTCAGACGCATGGCATATCATGCGTTAGCAGTGTCTGGCACCGAAGTCTTTTGCTTTGAAACAGTTGGCTGAAATAAATAATGGGATTGGTTGACTTGTAGGCAGCCCTCATCCTTGAAGCCTCGAAGCTGCCTGATGCTGATGGTTTGTGTTCGGTTGGGCCTAGACCCGCACATTGGAGCCTAAATAGTGCGTTGAGAAAATGCTTCCAATTTGGATTGTTATGCAGCTATTAGGCATCTTAGAACAAATGGGATCCAAATGTCGTGAGGGTGGATAACCTTTCAATCTAATGTGGTTAATACCTAACTACCAAGGCGCAGATGACATAAAGTGGGGCACCTTTGGCCAACTCTGAGTCTTCGTTGAACCTCATGCAACGTACCTAGTTTCATTTCATTCTTATCCGGATACGTTGATCCGACAATACAGGTTATGCGTACTAAGAACACAGCAAGCCAAGTACCTGGGCTCACAGACAGTGGCGCCCCTCCCGCAGATATGAGTCCATTTCAGCCTGACTCTACGGGTGGGGATCTTATCTCTCCATTCCTGGAGATTGACGGCTTGGCACTCGATACCGGCGAACCGAACGCCTCTGGACCTGGATTAACGGAGCCTTACAATAATCTACAACAGAATGATTCTTTGGAACTGAACTTTGACGACCTGTGGTCTGCGGATTTTGTTCAAGTCCCTCCCGATGCAGACGTCACTGATCTCAGCCAGACTCCCGTGGACTGGTACCAACTCCAACACTCTGAGATTCCTCAACATTTTGCAATACTACAAGATGAAGTGCCACAGAATGCATCTGAAAGTCCAAGTCGTGGACTTGAGGATGTTTTGAGACATAATCGCGAATCTCCAGCGTTAAGTTCACCTAACATCCTAACGCCAGTATCTACCGCGTTACCCCCCAAGATAGGCCATAGATTTACTCTTGAGGCTCTTCGCGCATTGAAAGACTGGTTCTCAAGACATAGTGAGAACCCATACCCAACAGAAGAAGAGAAGGTTATGTTGGAGCAACAGACTGGATTGAGTCGTATCCAGGTGACCAATTGGCTTGCGAACTCTCGCCGACGTCGACCTACTACGGAGAGCGCTATCCAGACGGCGTCGGCAATAGCTACGCCAACACGAGCGGGAACACCAATCCCACGAAGACCACAAACTGAGCGAGATATGCATCCCCTTCAGCGATGGGTTGACTCACCTCCAGAAAACGAACCTGCTGCTGTGTCTGCGATTGCTCGTGCTATGGCTTCAGGCGATTTGGTATCTTCAAGTAAGTCATTCCAGCTTACTTTGCAAACGGATCTGACAAAGTATAGGAAGTCGCAGAGGCACCTTTTCCAATGATGAAAAATTACCTCGACGACGTCGCCACAGATCCATTACAAGCAGTCTTGGTACATCAAGGAGTGCTTCAAGTGATTCAAGGTCGTCTCGAGGCTCAATCAGCGGGGCTTCATCTCAAAGCCGTGGCCGTTCTATACAGAAGAGACGGCCACAAAAGACATCTCTAATAAAGCCGCGCCTCATTTATCAGTGTACATTCTGCACTGAGACGTTCGCTAGAAAATACGATTGGCAGCGGCATGAAAACTCTTTGCATCTACCACTAGAGAGATGGCAATGTTGCCTAGACGGACCGACAGCCGTGGATCCAGAAACAGGACAGGATTGTTGTTTATTTTGTGGACACTCTTCTCCGAGCGAATCTCACTTGGCAACGCACAATCCATCTGCTTGCCAGGAGAGGGTTTTCAGCAGGAAGGATCACCTTAAACAGCATCTGAGACTTGTGCATAATGCGGCACTGACTGACCTATCGACAAGAATGTGGAGAACTGCGCAACCGGATATCGTGTCTAGATGCGGCTTCTGCCAAGCTTCTCTGAGCACTTGGCTTGACAGGGTAGACCATCTGGCAAATCACTTCAAGATGGGCTGCACAATGTCGAAATGGGTTGGAGACTGGGGTTTTGAGGACTCTGTGCTGAAGAGTATCGAAAAAGCCTTGCCACCATGTCAGTTTACGCAATTATCAACAAGGGAACCTGCTAATAAACAATAGACCTGGTCGAACTAGAGCGTGGTACTCCATTCCCATTCGCAGCCTCTGGCAAGCCACCTGATTCTCCGTGTAGTGCCTACGAATTGATCACGATGGAGCTGGCCTACTTCATCTCAAACCACCACGATACGGTTGGTGTTCTGCCGAGTCACACGAGCTTACAGCTAGAAGCCTGCCGCATCGTCTTCGCGTCAGAAGTGGCCTTTCCAATATCAAGCCCTGACTCTCATGGAGGGTCTTCTTGGTTCAGAGACTTACTGCTGTCGAATGAGGATATCGCCCAACAAGCTCGGTTTGGCCCGATGCGATCGAAGGCGGAGAGCAGGCTTTCTCTGCCGGAGATCAAGGGCAAGACTTCTCTTTTTGAGGATTGTCCGTTGGAGTCCCGCTTACAAACATTTTGTCGACGCTCAAAAGTGGTTGAAGTCTCGAATGCTGATATACAAAAAGAAGCTCGACGGATTATCATGCAAATGGAAAGCGAGCTACAGACGGAGCCTGAGTATGTGGCCAATTGGTTAATTGGGTTTCTATACGACTCAAAAAGCTGGATTGACCAATTCAGACGGCGTTCAAATTTGAAGTTGGGAGACAATGGTTGGGAGTTTCCATTAAGTCACCAGTTGTACCCAGGAGATACAATGGGCCAATCTGACAATTCACCTTGGATAACAGAGATGGCCTTACTGGATGAAAATGTTTGGAAATTTGGCGAACTTGGTGCCCCGTCTAACGCAAACGTGCCTTTTTCAGACCTTAGCTTTGATACGAGCAACAATCAGATAGTCATCGATGATACATCACCGAGCGACTTCACATGGCTGTGGTCGGGCGAACACTCAGCACCGGTAATGTTTCAGACGAATAAAAGCCCAGCACCGGAAGGCTCAGCCCTTCGGCCATCCTGGCTCGGTCCGGGGATATATGTTTTAAACGATCCAAATCATATCTTGTGGTTTGCGCGTGAGATGAAGAGGTGGGTAAAGGCCGCTATGTCACCGAACAACCCCATATGCCACGTTCCATCAGACGAGGAGTTGAGACATCAAGCCCGATGCCTACTTTATAATGAGTAAGTATATGCTTTCAGTTCGGTATAAAACTTAGCTTACCTGGATAGTGATGATCCTTGGAACCAAACACCGGCAGATAATGGTCAGTGGTTAGAGATGTTCAAGAAGGAAGTTGGTATCATAACAGGCAATTAGAAGAAACTGTCGACAAAGCGAGCTCACAATACATCTTAAATATTCAAACTTATTGTTCGACATTTCTTTCACCAAGGATGACAATGATATTGGATGACCATCCGCAATATCCCATCGTTAGAATCATGTCGGAATCTCCTCGACCTTGCATAGATGGCAGAACTCCGTGGAGGCGCTTTACTAGCGAACGCACCTCCTCGACTTCTCAGAGATCCGGTATATGGAAGCTGCACTGCCCTTCACTTAGATGATGCCGCCTGCACAATTTTATCCGCCATCTCACTAAGATTATCAGACATCACGTCCATTTTACCAAAGATATCGGAACAACTCTCTTTCTCAAGGACCGAACAGTACGCAGACTTGAATCTAGAAAGCCATTAGCGAAGAGTAGCTGTATACGGAGCCCTCACTTACCCGACCTGCTTTGCAGCACTCACATCCCACATATGTGCCGCCGCAAACCAAAGCTCGTCTGCCCCCTTCAGCTCATCGTAGGTCGACGAATAGGCCTTCAGATCAGGCTTACCAACTCCAAACGAGTCGCAGGAGATAAGATGTTCACGAGGCATATCGATCCCGGCCTTGTTGAAATATCCAAGTACCCGGTCATAATCTCCGGCAGTCAAACCCCGCACCTGGAATCCAGCAGCACGGAGCTTCTCAAAGCACTCCTTGGCATCAGGTCTTGGCTCCAGTGCAAAGTAGCCCTCGGTTATCTTCTTGATATCGTCGTCGTTGGCGAAGGCACGGGGCTCCTGGATTCCGGCGAGCCAGAGCATGCGGTAAAAGAGAGAGGCGAAAAGCTTGTCAAATTCAATGTATCGATTGGTGATGCTGAGATATGTGTATCTGCAGATGAAATCAAGAAGTCAGTTTCAATTCAGCGAATTATCACAGCTGAGCTCAATACTGGAGCATTCAAGCAACCAGTCATATCCTCAAGGGCAAACGAACTCTCTTTCAGCGGCTTCTATCCAGAGGTTTACCAGAAGACTGGGCTTGACGTTTTCAGCGCGAAGTTTATCGCCGAGTTGCTGATCGAGGGCGTCGATGAGCTTGTCATAACCAACAATTGTACCAACTATATCCAAAACTACGAATTTGGACATTTTGGTTCACTGGGGGAAGATAAAGAGGTTGATTGTCGAAAATGATAAGTGAGTAATCTTGTTCAATATCTCGGCAAGATAGGTAGACGATTGAGATTTGTTAGTGTTTACCTAGGACTGCGCCAATATATATATATATATATATATACCTTTGTCTATTGACTCACAATCCCCTCACCCTAAATGATGTAACCTTCTCCAACTGGTGAAACTTCTCCGGAAATCGGAGACTGATAGCCGGCTGTTGGCGTTGATAGATCTCGGACACACATCCGTTCATGCAGGGACAATCGGAAAAGCATCCGGAATAGGCCCACAATGCAAGGTAGAATAAAATAGTTCAAGTTTGGTCAGGTTTCGAAAGAACTTTTAGGGTGTTACAGTACCTGAGTAGTAAACAAGAATAAACGATACAATTTATTCAAACTTGGAAAGTTTGATGTGTCTTCATTATTAATAAGAGAAGAGAAATTCTTCTACCACCCTCGCCATGAGCGATAAGTCCGGTAATGCTCCTGCTTAGGTGGAGGTTATCGTTCAGCCTTTTGTCGAGGCCGCTGTCAAGGATCCTCTCTCTATTGACGCTCATGCCACCATAACGCAGGCAGTTTAATAGACTAATGAGTGTAGGTTAGGATAGAGTGAATATCAATCAAAGCGTTGATTTTATGTGACTCATAGGCATGAAGAGAAGGAGTTACACCGATAGCTATCAAGAATGTCGTCAGTAGCCTTGCATAAGCATTAGTCTAGTGCTTGTGACACTTATGCATCGGAGTACTCCTTTAGGGAGGCATCGAAGGCCAGGGGTGTCGGGGGCACGAGTGGACTTTTCGACTGTGAAACGCCTCCAGAGTCTTTGAATCGTTCTAATGGAGATCCATGGCATACGGGTTGACTTGTAGGCCCTTCTTCAGACTCTTCAGAGCTAAAGAAAGGGTTAAACAAGGAATTCATAATAGGCTTGTCTGCCTACCTCGGAAGCCCTTGTTTCCTTCTAATTGATTGAGAAAGCTCTTGATAGCCATGGTACTCTGAGCTCAGGTGACGATGCTGTGACAGTCTTTATCAGATGTCAGTGAGGGAATAGATGAAGGCTACCGCGACCAAGCCGTGCCGTGAGACCGCCGTGAAGGTAACGGCGCCCCAAGCCTATTGCCCATTTGTCGACGGTCCTTCTTCATCTTGACAGTGGTGGTATCATTCTTGGGAGGGTCTTCTGTCTTTTGTTTAGTGCCAGTTCTTGGATGCCTTCTTTTCGTCGCGGTGGTAACAGACGACAATGATGTATGAAGGGTGGTAGCTGATTCATATTGACAAAGGTAAGAGATGTGTAGCTGCAAGGGCAGGTACGTGAATAAACGAGTATAAGTGAAAAGAGTAAGATAAGGTTTTTGTGCTTATAGGGTAGCGGTACAAAAAGAGGTATCCTGTTTCCGCATATGTGACTTGGCCAACCACGTTTCATTAATTCCAAGAGGTGCGGCATCACACCCTGCTCAGCCCAGCCATCTTATATCTCAAACGTGAGAAGCCTCCCATAATCGCTTAGGACCGCACTGTCTGAGATAAGGTAAGGGCAGATGGGTCTTTTGTTCTCGATGACTCGAGCCAGGTGGTCGAGGTAACCTGTCGTTAAGATATTTGACGCCTCATCGGTACCTAATACAGGGTAGGGGCATTGATCTTCGCGAGGATTGAAAGGGCGGTGATTGAGTGTAGAATGATTGAGTGTAGGGGTTGGGCTCCAAACAGGAGATAGGACAATAATCGGATCATTTGCTCGTCATTTGAACGATAGTATAGGAAAATGGAGCGAAAAGTGAGGATGTTTTTCGAATCACGCTGAAACCATGAAGCAACTGAACGGGGATCTGTTTTCTTTTGTTGCTACACTACCTCCGTTATCAATACCAGAGTTATAATCGAAACAATCGTAATTTCATGATATCAATTGATGAAAACACTCATTATTGAGTAACTCATGAGGTACGCTCATGCTGTCTTGACCCAATCGCTCAAGCTCACGATAATTCGCGTCAAGTCGCGTGAAAGGCACGATTGGCTCCAGGCGACAAACGTGAGGGTAAGCTTGCGTTAAACTCAAGGTACCTCGCGAAGTAGTGAGTCGCTTGCAATTTTCAGACACTCTATCGTGCGTATTAATCGGAGCTCAATGTGAGTCTTGTTGAGCACGAGGGCAGGTGAGCTTGGCGATGTCGACAAATGCCGTAAGTTTGCGAGTGGTGGATCGACCGTTGAATGTTGCGTTCACCCCTTCAGGTACGGCTGTGTACGGTACGCGTCAACTAGACGGTCGCATTGTGTAAACGGTGAAGATGTCGCCGGAAACAAATGAATCGCTAACCATGGAGTTTTCCAAGCTTCAGCAGGTTTCTTGTCTGCGCCTCTCGATTGAGTTCGATAGTTGACCTTACCGACGCCGATCTCTGGGTTGGTGATCGAGAAGTGACGGTTGATGATTCTGCGTTGCGTCATGAGTTTACAGAGGAGTACACCACTACCGATCGCTAAAACTTTAGAGGTTGCGGGGCACATTCACAAACATTGAGAGTGGTAATTTAAGAATTTGCTTTCAATTCAATTGAACTGCTCCAGGCAATTCTTCAAGACACAACTTGAGGAATTCTCAAATGTGTCTTGACCTAATTCAATCTATGCTATTGATATCAAGATTCTATATCGCTGATCTATGCCAAAACCCCATGATCAAATTCGTCGTAGACATTTTTGATCCCGAACCCAAACGCCGTTTTAAAAAAAACATAAAATTCGTAGATTTGCGTTAAAAACACGTCACTGGCGCAACGCTTAGACGACAGCGGCACCGTCGTTGGCATCGCCGTGCAGGACGGGGTTCATCTTCTCGTCGAAGAAGCACTTGAAGTCGTCGCCGAGCTGAGCACGGAGAGCCTTCTTGACAGCCTCGAGAACGTTGGGGAAGACGCCGAAGTTGGCGGGGTTGTTCTCGTCGTTGTCGCCGCCCTGGAAGACACCGGTGCGGACAAGGCAGGTGTTCCAGCCGTACATGTTTCCACCGATGATGTCGGAGGCAGGGTTGTCACCGATCATGTAGATGTTCTGGGGGAGACGCTCCTCGCCGTGGAGCTCGCCCATCCAAGAGGTCAGGACGTCATCGGCGTACTTGTAGGTAGCCAGCTCAGGCTTGCCGTAGACGACACGCTCGAGGTCGGCGCCGGTAAGGGCCTTGTACATAGCCTCAAGACCAATGCGGAAAGCACCCTGAGACATACGGGGGTTGGGGTGCTCGGTAGGGCAGAGGAGATCACCCTGGGAGAAGTAGATGGGGACTCGGTCGGCGACGGGGTCCTCAGCGATCGTGCCCAGACGGCCGTTCTTAGCGCGGAGGACATCCATGATGATCTGCATGTCGGTGGCATAGTCTCGCGAGTCAGAGAAGACCATGATGGCCTCAATGCAGATCTTGGTGAAATCACGGGGACGAGAAGTGGCACGCTCCTCATCAGTGAAGACGCGGTAGGGAGCAATGGTAGGGTCCCAGGCGACAATGTCGTTGGGGACGACGATGTTGCGGAAGCCGTACTGCTCAGCGACCTCACGGCAGCGATAACCCTCACCACCGACAACGAGGACGGTGCTGTAGTACTCGGACAGAGCACTCATGGGAGTGTGGGACTGGATGAACTGGTCGGTGCTGACGGGGTTGCCGAGGATCTTCTCGAGCTGGTGGCAACGGTCCTTCTCAATCTTACCGGAACCGTTGGTGAGGAAGATGTGAGGGATCTTGATGCCGAGCTCGTTGTCTCCGTTGAGGATCTCGAGGGCCTTCTTACCCTCGGGGATCAGACGGTCACCGTGAACAAGGACACCGTCAATGTCAAAGGCGAAAGCCATGTTCTTAGCCTTGGTGACCTTCTCGGCCTGGAGGTCCTGGACCTGGGCGACGAGGAGGTCCCGGGTAGGCTGAATCGGGGGCATGCCGGGCCGGGTGGGGCGGTCGTCGGCATGGTGGACGGAGGAGAGACGGGACTGACGCTTGCGGGGGATGGGCAGAGCGGTACCGAAGGAGTTTCGGGAAGATCGTCGGTCCCTCATGGAAGGAGACACGCTGAGGTTGTGCATGTACTTGGCCGCCTCTGAGATGGAAGATCGGGTGGCAGGGATTTCCTGAGGACCGTTCACACCGTCGCCGGGAATGGCGAGGCTGTCGCCGTTCTCAACGTTGGACATCTTGCGGAGGGCGCTGGGAGAGTTGGGAACGTTGAGCTCAGAGTCTTCGTAGGCGGGCATGTTGAAGGTGTAGAGTGATAAGAGATGTGAAGGTTGAAGGTAGAAAAGACAGTCGTTGGATTGAGTCTCGGGGGGTATCAAATATGAGTGAATGGAAGGGACTGCTTGGGTATGATGATGATGTGATGAATTGAAGATGGAGCTTTTGAATGGGGTGGGGATCCGTATTTATCTATCTGAGAGAGTCCCTTAGATACCATCAGCGTCTGGGTTTTCGTTGTCCGCCATCCCCCTGCAGAGTGAAAACTCGCCCATCTTTGTTGATATCATCGTTTTTTTTCTTGCCCTCTGGGGGGAGTAGGAGTAAGAGTCAAAAGTCATGTTTGTGTCAAAACGGCGCTACCCAAGTGGGACCCTTGACCCTTCGGTCGTTCACCGTCAATGCTAATGCTGTCCAAGATACGGATGCAGAAAGGGAAAACAAGTGTATCCGTTATCTAACGAATATCCCCGAAACGACACTAGAAGCAGCCAAAGAAGAGACTGGAAAACGACACGTTGGAGGCGGTGGCATTGACCGTTTCCGCGACAGCCAGTGCAAAAATTAGAAATTGGAGAGTAAATAAGACCGTCCGTCGATACACGCCCCTAGGTACTTTGTTACTGTACAGATACTGTCTGTCTGTTGCTATCTGCCCTACAAATGGGAGCCCGAGTAAACTTTCAGCCCTCTGCCGCGCCAGTCGTCATAGTGGAGGATCATGACAGTGACGTGAGTTGTATCAGAGTTTGACTCCGCAGCCCCTCTTGCGAGCCAGGTTACACCATTCCGACAAAGATATGCCTCAGCAAAGCGCGCAAAAACACAGCAAAACGGGCCGTCAATTGCAGGTATCTTGGCTGTAGAGTGGCCGGTATGAGGCGGTTGTTCCGAGAAGAGTCCGCACCAAGTGGATATCTCGGTGGAGTTTTCTGTAGGGAACAACAAAGAAGTTGGACCCCTGCGGCTCTTGAACTTTTGGGGGTGGGTGCGCTGTAAGATGCACCTAGGCTGGCAGGCTGCAGCGGCTCCTTAGATGGGCTTGTACCTGTTTTTCTAGGGGAATTAACAATTACTGTGGAGCAGACATCGATAACTGATGCAGAAATGCATGCCAAGGGAACCTAAGGGTTACCTTTCTGACATCATCCCTGTCTCCACTGCCGAGTTCATTATCTTACGGTGGATACCGTTACACCTTTACGGGCTACGGCTGGGGCGGGTATTCCAGAGCCCAGGGAAGTTTTCTCTCTCGAAACGGCGACAGACGAACATTTCCAAGCTCCAACGGAACGTCCTTGAAGGATCGCCACTGCGGGTCCACAGTTTGTGATAAGATTACTTTTCGTCGACCCTTTGGTTGGTTGTTCTGCCGTTTCCCTGACTCAAGCCTTGTCCACGTAGCTCTCCTAGCTGAAATACAGGGGGCAATTGTCAATTGCACAGTACGTTACGGCCTCGTACAGGTTTTATCCCTACAGTACGGATACAGAGTACGGATACCCTCGTTATCGTACTCTTCTTGAACGTGAAAATTTGAACCCTCTTTTCTTACGGCTCGTCTAACCGACTTGACTTTGACTTTTCTAGAAGTTTCCCAAATTCGGTACATGACGTCAATGCCAATCTTGTCCAAATCGCCTCGCGCGGACTCGGCGAAAATAAGCCACCTCATCAAGAGGATACCATGAAAAAACGTGCCATCGACCATTGCTGCTGTCATGGCGCCTCCACTGGTGAAACCAAGCAATTGAGATATTTTACTGTTAATCCCTTTAAAAGCCGTTCATCTGTAGAAAACATCGCCTAGCAGCGGACCATATTTCCCACCAACACTCACACCCTGACACTCATACCCAATCTCTCTCTAACATCTACATCTACACAAAATGGCTACCTCAAACAAGACCACATTCACCCTCAACAATGGTGTCAAGATGCCCGGCCTGGGCTTCGGCACCTTTGCTAACGAGGGCGCCAAGGGCGAGACCTACAAGGCTGTCACTTGCGCCCTCAAGGTCGGCTACCGACACCTCGACTGTGCCTGGTTCTACCTTAACGAGGGCGAGGTTGGCGAGGCTGTGCGAGATTTCCTCAAGGAGAACCAAGATGTGAAGCGCGAGGACATCTTCATCTGCACAAAGGTCTGGAACCACCTCCACGAGCCCGAGGAGGTCAAGTGGTCCATCGAGAACTCCCTCAAGAACTTCGGCCTCGACTACGTTGACCTCTTCCTCGTCCACTGGCCCATTGCCGCCGAGAAGGGCGACGACTACCAGCCCAAGATTGGCGCCGATGGCAAGTACGTCATCAAGAAGGACCTCACTGAGAACCCTGAGCCCACATGGCGCGCTATGGAAGAGGTTCTGGCTAGCGGCAAGGCCCGTGCTATTGGTGTCTCCAACTGGACCATCGACGGCCTCAAGAAGTTGATGTCTTTCGCCAAGGTCAAGCCCGCCGTTAACCAGATCGAAATCCACCCCTTCCTCCCCAACGAGGAGCTCGTCAAGTTCTGCCTGGAGAACGACATCCTGCCCGCCGCATACTCTCCCCTGGGCTCCCAGAACCAGGTCCCCACCACTGGTGAGACTGTCCGCAGCAACAAGACCCTTAACGAGGTCGCCGACCGCAGCGGCAACACCCTTGCGCAGGTCCTCATCGCCTGGGGTCTCCGCCGGGGCTACGCCGTTCTGCCCAAGAGCTCCACCCCATCCCGCATCGAGAGCAACTTCCAGATCCCCGACCTGTCGGACGAGGATTTCGAGGCCATCCAGAGCGTTGCTAATGGCCGACACACCCGCTTTGTCAACATGAAGGACACCTTTGGTTACAATGTGTGGCCCAAGGAGACTCTTGAGGATGGAACCTCTGTTGTTTAAAGCGGTTTTACGAGATAATGATGATGGATACCCTGGAGCAGAAAAGAATGGGAACGATGAAAAGAAAGTGTATTATAGCGTTATTACAGCGAAAAATCGCTGTTTGTAGAAGTGAGCGAAAGCCGAATTGAATCACTTCAAACATTTTTATTGTCGGTTAATGTGCTACTGAGCTTTATGATCTGCGTGACCACCATCAAAGTTGGGAAATATGACACGCCCGGGAAACTGCCCAAATCTCAACATGGTAATTGAACAAAGCCAATCTACGACACAGTTTACGACTAAGAAATCTCACGTTTCGCGATGGCCTCATAATTGATGGAGCAAGTTTACCCGTTACTTCGGGGAGGCAGACCAATGTTGCACAAAGAGGAAGAAGATGGCGATAGCCTCATTTCATCACTTGGAGCTAGCTCGTGCACCCCACGCCAATTCTCACCACAACTGCGTCAACATCGTACATATTCATAAATGAACCTTCCCAGCAGGATACAGGAACTCATCAACAAGACGTGCCACCTCGCGCGCTACACCAAAACCGTAGATGTAGCCTCCTCCGGTGATACCTTCATCGTCAGCAAATCAGGCAGTCACAGCCATCGAAAACTTATCGTAAGCATGGACTATTTTCTGGCCATTCTTTAGTTCTTTCTCAATTCGCATTCCGTTCGATCTATACGGTCGAATGCCAACGTTGTGGCTGATGATGTTGTAATCTGCTGGGTTGGCGGAGAAGTGCGCAGGTAAACTTTCGTTAACTCTTCTCATGATCTAAAAATGTCAGCTGCAAGCCTGCAAGGAACTAAGAGGCGATGAGTGAACTCACATCTTTGTCAACCTCCAGATTAACATCGGTATTCCTACCATGGAATTATGATCAGCCCCGATGCTTCGTCAGTCCATGAAATTCAAACTCACGAAATATCCGCATCTCGTATACCACCCAGTATCACCGTCCCATCGAGTCGAGGAATAACATAAGTATAATCTGTGCCATTGTCACGCATGAAACTCTTATTATAGTCACTCTTGATAACAATTGTCTGACCCTTCAGGAAGAGCATGTTTGGATCCTTGACATCAAGTAACTCTTTAGGACCGAGGCCACTGGCATTGATCAGGACGTCGTGGCCTAGATAGTTAGCCTCGTGTAATGATGCGAGATTCATGCGTTTGAATTCGACGCCAATGCTCTCGAGATTGCGTCTCAGCCAGGGGAGGAAGATATGTGGATTGAGGACAATAGTCGTGTCTGTCTCATTGGTGAGCTAGTTCCTCTTCATATCGATATACGTACATGTGACTCCGCCTTTTGCACCTTGTGGCAATTCTCTCTTTGAAAGGAAACGAAACTAGATCTTGTTAGTTCCAGAGACGTCTTCTCAACCTTGTGCTTACATTTGGTACAAACTCCCTATACCAAAGGTCATCGTCCGTGCGCTCCTGATCAAACAACTCCTCCATAGGAATCTTTCTCACGCTTGATTCAGGACATCTTGTAGCCAGTCTCCACAACTCTGTGAAAGCGTCACGCTGCATCTTTCTGTCGCGTGGTGAGGAGCAATAACCAGCCACGAAATTAGCACCCGCCCACGGACTGGCCCAGTCCAGTGTTGGTTCGTCTCCGGGGAGATTCTTGGCTACTATGGTGATTTTGTAATGGCGGGATAGTCTAGATGCTATCGCTAGCCCGGTGATGCTATTGCGATAAGTAAGAGATGCCATGAAGGGGGTAGAGCTTACCCTGCTCCAACGATGGTGATGCGTGCCATGATTGTCGACTTGTTGTAATAAAGCGACGCAAATTCAACCTTAATCTGATAATCTGATCGTAGAAGTTAATAGTCCTCGAGATAGTTGTCATAAGCTTGGTGGAAGTTGGCGAGATTGTACCCCACACGCTTCATCGGGATCACGAACCGACCCTTAGAGCAAGCCCAAACAGCAGTTCCTAGTCTCGGAAAAGACATCCGTAGCTGAAAACAATCACGTTCAAACAATAGTTGTGTTTCATTCTTCAACATAAAGACGTGTCTAACTTAGACCAAGTTTATGAATAATTCCTCAGATACCGGACATAGTATTACACGATGTGTGTGTCCTCCGCGAATAACGTCAGATCAGAAACCAAACATATTCTCATCCTCGACAAAGCCCCAATCTATCAAGTATTAGCATCATGCAACCATCAAAGCACGAAATCATACCTTTCAACGCCGGCAGAGCAGCCTTCTGTATCATGGCCGGCGGCCCACAAAGAAAGACAGCACTCTTCTCTGACGGTTCAAACAGACTCTCCTTGATAATATTCTCATTCACATGCCCTATCTTTCCTTTCCATCCATCACCGGCATGACTAAGCACATGAGTAACCTCCAACTGCCCATTAGATGTTTTCTCAAACTCATCTAGTTCATCCTTCAAGAGTATATCAGCTTCGGTTTTGTTAGCGTCTACGACTCGAATCTTTGTTTTGTCACCGCTGGATAAGAGGATTCGAGCGAGGAGGGAGTAGCCTGGTGTTATACCAGAACCACCCAGGACGAGGGACACGCGGTCGAAGTGACGTTCTTGGTTCTCGATGGTGAAGTTTCCGTTCCCATTGTAGATGATTTCGCCTGTTGGGCCGCGGAGTTCGACTTCTTGACCGATGGGCATGCAATCTAGAATGTTGGATAAGGCGCCACCGGGTTGACTCTCATCGGGAAAGTATGTTTTGACTGTGAGTTCAAATGTGCCGTCTCCGTCCTGAAGTGCCTTTTTGTTACTGTCTACCTCCTGACCCCCGCCTGGTGCTGGAAGAAGAGGCTTGGTGGGCGTGTATGATCGAATGAGCATCCGGTCTAGCATATGGAAGCCAATCTGGACGTGTTGACATGTTCCAAGGCCGAGAATGGGTTTACCTTCTGGAAGTTGAAAGGTATAAGCCCTTGTGTCTTTCGAGAGATCCTTACGATCGACCAATTTGACTGGAATCCATCGATGTTTCTCCAGCGCTAGATGCTCATCTTTGTCACTCGTCTCACTGGCTTCTTTGGCCGCGGCCTCTGCATTTTGTTTGATGAAGTTGGCTGCTTTCTCGGTCACTATCCCAAGAGCACACTCTGTTCTCGTTAGATGTGTAGATGATCCGGGGATGGGGACAAACCTTTGAGCTTTTTGTAAGCATATTCATCATGGATGCTGGCAAATTCATCACTCGTCTCTTGGTGCACCTTTCCCGCATGGCCAAGGATAGAAGCTATGCCTCCAGGGTGCCAATCTAGTACACTCGTAGCATCGTAGACCTTACCATCGACTACAAGCCAGCAGTCATCTTGGGTATTGTGCTTCTCAATCTCTTCGCGAGTGAATTCCTTCTGAGGTGCGCCGGCTTGTTGTTTCACCTCGGCCATCTGGTTTTCCACACTTGGTTTCATCCATCCGCCTTTTCCCGTCCCTGGTTCAGCAGGATGTCGGAACAGAATAGCTGGCGTATCTGATCCACTGTCCTCGATGATTTCAGGAAGTACGGTGTACCAACAATTGTTCATCATACCCATGATATTCCAATTTGGCTCCCTGGGCTGTGTGTTTTTGAACACGTTGAAGCAACGAACCATGATACTCTTCGAGCGGAGGACGTGCGATAATTCAACGTCAACATGCCAGTGAAGCCACGTCCAGAACTTATTCCCATGACGAATCGGATAGTCAGGGAATGTGCGCATGCAGTAGAGCCACGTTTCACCACCATCGAGAGAGACTTCGACGCGTTGGACTTGATGGCCTCCACCGTCATAGGCATAGCCCTCGATGCGATAATTACCTCCGTTCTTGATGTTGCTTAAAGGGATTTCTTCACCTTGCGCAGGCTTAGCAATGACCGAGTTGAGATTCTGCTCATTGCAAGCAGTATCAGGGTGTCTAAACAGCGCTTCTGCAAAAGGACCGTCTTTCTCAGTGACAAAAGAGGGAAGAACTCTGTTGTCCCAGATGTGATAATAAGAGTCATTTTCCTTGTCACTGATCCAGATCTTCTTCAACCACTTGACATTTCTTCCGCCAACATATCCGGGAATAATAACGCGAACGGGATATCCATGGTCAGGAGGCAGAGGAACATCGTTCATCTCCCAAGCCAATATGACGTCGTTATTGGGAGACATGGCATGCTCAAACGGAATGCAGGTCGAATATTTCCCCTCACTTAGATCATCGGCGCCTTCGAAGTTGACCCAGTATCGAACACTTCCCAGGCCTGGCGGTGTTTCGGGGACGCCGTGCGCGAGAAGCACATCTCGAAGAAGAGGGCCTTTCCAGTATGCACAGCTAGTAGCTCCAGCACCCCAGCTGAAGCCTTTGCTCTTCTTGATCATGTTGAGCTCCTTGCGTCTGTTTCCATCACACGCGAGTGCCACGGCAATGTTGATTGTCGCAAACTCCTTGAGCTTATCCATAGAGAGCTTCTGTGTGTTCCCATTGTATGTAATCTCCAGCTCATGAAATTCCCACAGCATCCTTGGCACGGGGCCGTGATTTCGCACATAGTGTAGCTCGTTGGGTGTGATTAAACCGGCGTCATATAGACGAGATAAGGGAGGTTCTGCGTTGAGAGGGTGTTTTCCTGTGAGTCGGATGAGGTCTGAGGAGCGCGAAGCCAATTATCGGGACTGAATTGGTCTTGCTCGTCGATGGAAATTTGCGTCATATTCTTGTGCTGAGGTGATATCCTATCCCCATCATTTCCTTTGAGTTGCGTGATGTAGTCCTTTTCATACTCAAGGGCTCGAAGAAGGGCTATCTCTGCAGGTGAATATTTGTCCGAAAGCTGCGGCTTCTTCTGATCCCCGTTGGTGGATTTATCTTGACCCTCATTGTTCTTGTTGTTTTTCGCGTACGCATCATGATGTTTTCCCTTATCAGAAGAGCGATTCCACTCATGCTCTTGTTGGCTGGAGTCAGGCTTTTGACTTCCTTCGTCCTTTTTGTTCTTTTCATCCTGCTCCCTCTTCTCTTCGTCCTGTTCCTTCTTCTTGGGATTTGCCGGCCATTGCTCCTTGTTCTTCACCCAATCTTCAGTAGCATTGAGGACGTATCTCCAACCCAGTGAGCGGTTCTGGGGGTATCTTAAGTGGAAGTCCTTTCACGATTTAGTACTTTTGAGCTTCGTATGATTGTTTGCAGGGAAACTTACCTCTTGATTTTCGATTAGGTCGCGAAAGTTGACTAACTCTCCACTCTTGGCCTTCTGTTGCATAGCGAGATGATTCTGCTTCTCCCGTGACACATGTTCTCTATGCTCATCAGCTTTGTGAGTTATTCCTGGCAATCGGTTGTTCCGGTCTCTGAAGCCAACTCTGTGCTGGTGACCAGCAACCCAATCTGGTTCATTGTGAATCTCCGCAGCCGTAGAGCCGGGATGAGCTTGTATTTTGACTATCCAAGGTCTGTTGTGAGGCATTTCTTCGAATTTTCAGGTCAAAACAATGCATTCAGTAGTTGCAGGTTCAGAGTTGTGTTTGGTATGGAGAATTCTATGTGACGTTTTCAGGTGTACGATGCCGCGGAGAACCTAAGACATGACGTCGACGATGTCCATCACAACACAGGCTAAACTGCAATAAAGAATAATTGACTAGTGTGACACTTTCAGCACTTGATTTTTGAGTTTATATCCAAGAATAATGGCCGGTGCTGCCGGTTTTCCGGGTAGCGTTCAGTTGAGTAATTGCGACGACATCGATCGTCAATTATGACTATTATCTCATTCAATCACATTTTACCCCAGACTGCATAAAATACCTGCGAGTAAAAGACGGTCATGGCTTCGATAAGATGAGAAATGGAATATTCGTATCCGTAGAAATAAAATTGTATTACTTGTCAACCATGTTCAATAGTTGACTTGGACGACTGATGCGAAGGTAAGAAGGGAGGATTTGAAAGAGAGCATTATGAAAGCTGTTAAGTCAGGGCTATGGATAGAAGATACATAGATAATGACTTCTTGATATCCTTTCTGGTTCATTGTGACGTAGTATATATATCCACGGCCACACGTCGTTACTTCAAGAGGAATGACTGAATCAGCAGTGAGACGGGCCAGACCAGACGCCACATGTTCTACAATGTGATTATTGGAAATGTGAGACAAATCCCAGCCCTAAATACCATTGTCAATCTCAATCAAGGGGGTGGCGGTCCGATACTGAGTTTCAATATCTTGACATGTACTACAGTGGCTTGTTTGCGCCCGCCTAACCAAATGATCTTGCTCCCTGAAGCGCGAGCCCGATAGGCACACAATGTGCAAAGTACAATATTGCTAATTCCAACTGAAATATCTGATAGCCCTTGAAGATCTTGAATATCGTTATGCCACGCATGGTGGCGTTATCAAGAAGCAAAGATTAAGCTTAAGGTGCAGACACATTGGCCAGTGCCGGATACGGATTAGGCAAGACGGGCTAAGCACCAGTAAAGATCTGCTTTATGATATCTACATTCAGCTGTTGATTCAGGAATGGGAATCAAGAGAAAAGTACAGGTCCAAGGTTATTGCAAGCAAGTTATCGTAGATATCACATTACAGAATGCCGCATTGAGCCAAACGAATGCTTTTGAATTAAGCGCCCCTGCAGCTGAAGGCGCCATTATACCATTCCGGACTCTACACGCAACATCAGTAAATTCCTTCGTCTGTCCACCAACCATGTGTTGGTATCCCAGGTCCTAACAGGTATGTGCATTCCCCTGCGACAAAGATGTCTTGGCTCGGTAGTTCTCTTGGCAAGGGTGAGATGTCTTAAACATTAATGTGAGGGTTGTACGGACTGGAATGGAGATATTAAAGATATGTGACCGCGGGGTTTTCGCTAACTTTAATGATAACTTTAACTGCAGATTAAGTATGTGTTTCAAAGTGACAGAGTTTATTTCTTAACCTGGCTTCTGATTGCTTGATACTGATCAGATACTATGATACAACTCGTGGAGCCAAGGAAGAAGCAGAGCAACGCGTGAAGCTGAAGGCATCATGACGTCCCATTTACGTTGCCAAGATAGACTGTTCAGGGTTACTTATACTGTCGACCTAAAACGCCTACTGTTACGATAGTCAGTGAATCCTTCTATGCGGAGTAGATATTTCCAGATAAACAATATATTAAGCATAATTTACCGCATTTCGCCACTCATCAAGCCGAGTAATATGTATGTCATGTCAGCAACAGGCACACCAAAGGTCTTGCAACATTCAGCCTTAGATTACGTACGCTTACATAACATCATATAATCACCCTTCAGCTTTTGCTGCTACGTTATTTGTTTTTGACCCCCTTTTTCTCCAAGCCTTCGATGAATATTTCCATTTAAAATCCATCTCACATCGGCCTTTCCAGACTTCACATCCACTTCATCTTCACAAACTCACCATGGTCGGCGTCCCAAGCAGTCGAGGCTGCAATGCTTGTCGAAAAGCCAAGAAAAAGGCATAGAACATCAACTTTGCTCTTGATACATCGTACTAACACTTAAAAGTGTGACTTGGCGCAACCCAAATGTGGACGCTGTGCAAGAGTAGGCAATATCTGCGCGGGCGGCGGAACTAGGCGCTTCAAATTTCAACAGTATGAACCTAACTCACAAGTTACCGCAACTCCATCAAAAGGTCTAGATAACGAGACGACCAAGCTGGCGGCAGAGTTTGTGTCTCTTATGGAGATCGACGATGTGCGGTACGGCCTAGGAAAATACGGACCATACTTCTTCATAGAATTGCCGAGTCGTTTAGGCTCACATCCAGCGATGGATGCTACTACTTCTGCTCTGACTACATCTTTCAAAAGTATTCGTCTCCGAAAAACCTGTGATCTAAATGTCCTCTCCTTGTATGGAAAGGCTCTGAGGACTTTGCAGGACTGCCTGAGTGACCCTGAGCAGCCGGTTGTGCTGAAGCTGGAACTAGTCTTGATGACGATGCTTTGTCAGGTATAGGCCCTGAACATAAACTATTAAGCTCACTACTGAAGTTCTTGTTAGGTATGGATCGACAACAAACACTCAAATAAACATCGAGGTGTCATAGTCCACCTATTGAAAGAGGCAGTCTTTCAGGGCCAAACTCTTCACCTCGGTGACATTCGCGCCTGGTGTTTGCAAGCGGTACTTGGTCAGATCACACCTACCGATCCACATTCAACTAACAGCACTTAGATATATGCGGCCCTGTGTGTCCCCCAAGTCGAACTTGGCTCGTGGTTTTGGGATGTAGCCATTCGGGATGTTATCACTACCAGGCCTTACCACTACGAGCAAAACCTATACTGCTTCGAACTTGGCGCTATAGCAGATCTGCCAGTATTTCTTCGCGATCCAGAGAGATACCTCTATCAGTTGAAATGCTACTTCAATATTCTCTCACAGGAGCGGCCAATGATGCGCGAACTGCACGAAATGTCAATGTCGAGAGCCTTGTCTCCAGACGCAACTATGGACCACAAGGAAAAGGCTGTAGAGAACGCAGCGGGACATGCTGCACTGCTTCTTCAATCTGGGCTCATCGCACCGACACTCAAACAGTTTGGGGTTCTTTCAAACCATACTGAAGCTTCTCATGAGATTTGTGACGAAAGTATACTAATGGCCCATCATTGCCAGCCATTTCGACCTTGCGGCGCGTCATATCTACCGGAACTTTTGAAGGTGGTCTGGGCTGCTCAAGACGATGGGTATCGGCATGACGAGCTTGAGGCTTTAATGGGCACATATGCCGAAGATTTGCTAGGTGCAGATTATATTGGAGAGGCAAAAGCGATGAGAAAGCGATTGGACAGCCTGGGGTGGAGTGACAAGCAGCAGCCTCTGTCTGAGAAGAATGAGCGCCTAGAGACACCACCTTGCGTGATACTTTGAAACCGTCTATGCCAACTGCAGATCACAAATAAGAAAAAGTAATTATTAGCTACACCAAGATTTGAGAGCAGTGACTACTGTTCTTGGCTTCATTAGACATCATCCTCAATCACGTTAATGTCAATGAACCAAGAGTGCCACTATTTTTAGAACCCTCCAAGTCCCCCAATGCAACGAATCAAGGACCATTCCTTCTGCACCCTCTGTCATCTCTCAGAAAACTCTCAATCGAAAGCCAATCCCAGGGTAACCTGAGCACACCCTCAAATTCTGCAATGTTGTTCCAAGCTTAGCAAAACATCCGCTGCGCAAAGCATGCCCAACTGGATGTTTGACAGGGGCCTCTTTTCAGCTCTGTGATGATCTCAAGGGCATCCCTGTCTGTCTGGTACCCACGGTTATTTCCTTAACTTGTAGACACAAAAATTGAATGGCTTAGTGATAGTGCCGCATCTAAGGCTGTGTCAGCCACACTGCGCTAGAGTGCATCGCGTGCCCCTCCAATTGATCGATGAGTTGTTAATCCTCAGGAACTTGGTCTTCGCCTTGACGATCATGGGTTAATACTGGATGAGAGTAATCGTAGACCTATGAGTCTGTGATAAAATACAACCGACAGTGGGACATGTTCATCTCGCTAATAGCACAACAGACGATAAAAAGAAAAGGCTAAACACCAGGAAACAAAGCAATCATCTCATTAAACGGCCAACCCTCCATGATATTACCTTCCCACCAACTAAAACCTCTACTAACTCACCACTTACCTAGCGCCTCTCTCCAGCCGCAGTAGCTTCAAGGCCCCTGTCGTGGCGGTCTCGAGTGCAAGACAACTTGACTTGGCGTGGTTAAGCTTAATTGAGTGCTTGACCCGTCCATCAGCCCTGTGGTGTTGAAGTCCAACGGTATTTCAAGGCCTCTCTCCCCCAGCCTTGGCTCCCTTCTTGTCCGTCCGTGAACCTCCTGCACTGCCATCCATTCCACACCTCTACGCCAGGTTCATAAAGACAATAACTTCCTCATTCCATGGCCTCAAAGACCTCCCCTCTCGCCACAGACACACCCTCCACAATGACTACCGAAAAGCAATCCTCAGGCTTTCTCAAGTTTATTGCCTTCCTCGACCTCGTCGTCAAACTTGCCGCGACAGGCGCGCTATTCGGTATCCTCGTCCTGCTCATGCAGTTGAACAACAAATTCGAAAGCATGCTCGACGGCTCCGAAGCGCTTCGCATTCGAGTTTCGGATGCCGCTCCACTGCAAATAATCCCTGCGTACACGAGCCAGTTCCAGGTTCAGATGACGAACAACCAGAATAACCCCGTGTGGTTCAAGGCGGATACTTAGAGTGGGAGAGATACGGAGCTTGGTCGGTTCGTGGGAGTTGGCTTGTGCGTTTCGGAGATGGGTTTTGTGGTCGGTGATTTCGGTAAAGCCTGCAGCGTTTGAGTTGATGATAATCTGATGGGTCTCAAGGTTGACGCGTACCTTTTGCGGGTTCTTTTAATTGAACGTTTTCCATTCTCAATCACCCCATTATGTGACATGAACCCATGATGGCCGAGTAAGACACCGACACGTCGAACCGAGCTGCGACACGTATTGAACACACGAACGCACCTGCACAGAAACACGAAGACAACGATGGTCTTAAAATAATATAATTTAGCAAAACAATGCCATAAACTAAAATGCAGCCTATATGTAGTTCTAAGCAAAAACAAATGCTCTCCCGTCTAACGCATCGAACTAACAATTATTTGTCCGCGCGCGCCCAACTCCCGATCGGGTGTTTTCGTGTGAGGGGGAAGTTTATTTGCGCGCTCGGTCCGGGAAACAAGGGAGGGGGAATAGGGGTGCACGTGATCACCCGGATCGTGACCGTTGCCGGCCCCACCCGGGCCGAGGATATGGATGGAACGCCGAGAACGATGAGAACGCCATAAGCAGAGGGGATAAAAGCGCAAATAATTGTGTCGAAGGATGTCTATAAACAGGCGCCGCCTGATTGTTCGCTCAGTTGTGTTTTGTGGTATTTGACGTGGTATGTTATTTTCGTTGTCTTGTTGCGTTGGCTGCCGCCAATGGATCCGTGCCCGAAGTCGGCCCTACGCTCACGCTCAGGCCTTCCACGCGACCAGGTTTCCGAGCATGCTGCGAATGCCCTGACGGTTCTCCTCAAGGGTCGCGGTATCCTGTGTTCGCTCGATCTTGCCCTCGACTGCTGTTAGCACTCTGAGATGCTCCCTCTTAAGTGCTTCAAAGTCTTCGTCCAGCTGCTTGTGCCATGGGTATAGCACACCCACCTGGAAGCTCAGCGCGGAGCTGGCGACAACGAAGTTGGTGATGGACAGAGCGCGAGTGATGATCATGGTGGCAGTGGGTTTGGGTTTATCGATGGTAGAGTACAAGATTTGAGGGCTGCGGTTTGGCGGCAGATGAAGTAGCAAGCAACAAAATGAAGAAAGTAAAAAAGGAAAGGAAGAATGCTGAATCAGGGAAGAAAGAAGAAGAAGAAGTTAAAAAGGGAGTGACAAGAAAGAACAACGGGGAGAATGGGAGAAAAAGGGCCAAGCAAACCCCCGCATACGTGACATTCGGCTCGGTGTTGCCCAATCTATCCAAAAAGGCAACGGTCCCGTAGGAATAAACAGGAGTCACAGGCTCGCCTCGCGTGAACATAGACGAGTCTCGACTCTGACAAGTCACCTTTTTTTGCGTTTGACGTTGACTAGGGGGTTAGGTCAAATGGAGCAGCCCGTCATCCGAACTCCGGACTCACATGTCCGCTGACAGGAGAGTTTCGAGGTCGCCACAACTTCATGATTCCCCACATGGACGCAGGGATGCTAAAGCTTGAATCACTGGCTGTAGAAAGTTTGCACTGAACTCTAGTGAAAGAGTAGACCTCATCGAGACCTCTTCAGTATTCGCTAGGCTGCTTCAAGTGCTGGTTCAATTAAGCGATTTCTACAGGCGTCGCCGCCGTTAACCGCAGTGGGGACTCGCTGGGGCAGGGTTTCCACGTTTTTAAATGCAAGGCTGCATCGGTTCAGCCATCTATCAGGTGCTCCGATTGAATGTATCCACCTGCCTACCGATGCCGGGCCCGCAAGTGACATGTCCGTCTCGGCATTCATCCGCTGTCGCGTAAACTACCGCGCCTCGGTACCCGGGTCGTGGATCCCGGACCCTCCGACCCAATGCTCCATCGTCAATCCCGACCGAAAGTGTGCAGCAATGTGATCCGTCCGTTCTCCCCAGCTCTCCATTGGAACTTGACAGAAGCCGCACTTGCTTCGAACTGTATCTTGTCGGTGTTGTAGCAGGTTCAGGTCCGGTTTCCAGCCATCCCACTTGCGACACCCGTGAAACTTGTGCAAGTGTTGCCAGAGGTGGTCTTTGCGGGTGAACTTGCGCTCTGAGATGGGTCGTTCGGCGCAAGTCTCGAATTCGTGAGCCTGGATGTGTTCGTCGCTGGGTGCATCCTGGCCACAGAACAGACATTGTGGGCCATCTTCGCTCATGCGCCAGACCAGAAACGATTGATCGGGCGTAACGGGCAACGCGCAGATCCATGAATCAAGTCCGGGAAGGTGGATTGATCGCTCGTGACGAACCCAATCGTACTTCTTTTTAAAGCTTTGCTGACAAAAGGTGCATTGAAATGCGACAAACTTCTTAGCCCTTGATCTCGATGATGCGGTCCTGGAGAGGGAGGGCCTTTCTGCGACGGAGCTACTACCAGAGCGCGGCAAAAAGGCAGCTTCCCGAGAGCGATACGAATAACACGAAGAAGCTGAATTGGATGAGCCGCCTTCGTGGAAAGCAGATTGCCAAAGAGAGTCATTGCTTGCAGATGAACCAGGTCCATCAGACGCCCCCGCCCCATCGCTGTCCAACGAACTCTGACCACTGGACTGGGTAGCTAGAGCGTTTTGGATTGCCGTTGCCGATGCTGGCTCTTCATCTGGCGGAGAATGCTTCCAGCGATCCATTGGCGACATGTTTTTGCGAAGATAGTGCGGCATGGGGGATCCCGGTGCAAATCCTCGGCTTCCACGATCAGGCGATGCGGAATAAGTAGAAGAGAGTCGATGTCGTCGTCTAGTGTTTGCGAACCAATTGATGACTTGACTTCTACTTAACCCGGACTGCTGAGATAGGTTGAGCTTTTCCTCTTCTGTCGGGTAGGGATGTTCGAGATTGGAGATGTACCAGTTGCGCAACACCCGTGTCTTTCGCACCGATCGAGTATTTGTTCTCTTTCCTGACAATGCTGCGATCGAAAGTCCTTGTGATGATGGCTGACCCTCTTCGACGGTCGCCGGGACACCAAGGACATTGTGCTCACTGACACCGTGAAGACGACCAATGACTGGCTGTGATGTCTCGAAAGCTGAGGGCTCTCTCTTTTTGCGTCCAGCTAGACTGCATTCCCGGAACAAAGCGACACAGCTGGAGCACGATTTGGTGGGGTTAGGGTTGGCGACAGTGGTTTGCAAGATGAGACATTGCAGGCGAGAACGACGACAATTCGCGCACGGCGCAGGTGGTCTGTATGCGCCGTTTTTGATGAAGAATTCATCAATTGTCGTCATGGAAGGTTTGGTGGGTTCACTCGGGGTTGGGAGAGGTTCTGGGATACCCCAATCGCTGGTGGATTGATTGAGAAATGAGAAATCTTGATTGAGGTCATCGCCAGGAGCCTCAGAGGCTGTTTTGATCTGTTGGAAGTCGGCATGCCAGTCAATCTGAAAATCCGGCAGTTCTTGAGCTGGTAAATTGAACATATCCTGGGGGTTCAAGGTCTGCAGTGTCGCGTCAATATTATTAGCTTCCTCAACAATTGGGTTGGAGGGGCTCCGCGATTGAGGGGCTATGTCGTCGATTTCATCGTAGGGAAGTGTCAGTACCGAGTCATCGCCTCCAGTGAATAAGATATCATCAAGCGAAAACTCCATTATCGCGATCAGTTGAGGACAAATGCCTCTCAACGGCGAGAGAATGAGGATGCATGTGAAGATGTCGGAGTGGAGTTTTTGGAAAGTTGCGATAACGTCACGCGGAGAGAGTCAGGCATTTGAAGCGAAGTCGGGCTTAGTCACAGCCGCGTTCTCATGCAGTGATTCACCCATCGCGGACCGCCTTCAATATATATTTCACAGGAATTGATGAAGTTTTGTTCGTACACGATTATTTGGATACTTTTGTCTGTATCGATATGTCCATGCATCCAGGGTTGCCAAGAACCTGCGACAGAGCTTGGCGCTAGAGTAAAAAATCCTTAGAGGGCGCTGGAGGCGTGTTAAAATCCAATGACTTTCTCGCTCTTCTATGATCAACTTTACGTAAATTATACTAAACTATAAAACTATCGTGATTTATTGTAAGATAGATGACCTTGTCAAAGATTTACATCAAATACTATAAATTCTATCAAAGTCGTATACTTTTATGTAACTTTCCTAATCAAAACCGAACACTTTCTCACCTTCTCCTCAGTATTCCAGCAACTATCTAGGTAATCATAAATGTGCAAAATAAATAGATAGAGGCCCGTTGGATCACGCTGTGAACGCTACCTTAAGTTGTGGCTACCAGTGGGGTATTAAGAAGGCGCAAAGCAGATTGTCAACCTGAGGGCGCACATGTCTTCAATTCACTATAAGAACCTCCAACAACTCCCTACCAAGTTCAAAAAACTCAGCAGCAGCATAACCTTTCCAATCAGTTCCCCTTAAGCTTCTCTATCGACATACCAACTTAATCACGAGTCTGTCACCGTTCACAAACCTCAAGCACCTTCCTGTCATGACTTCCCGTCGACACGTTCACTTCAACGCCAAAGCCAAATCATGGACATCGCCTGCATCATCTTCCCCAGAGGCCATTGATCGATTTCATCAGAGCCTTCCCAACTATGAACCAACACCTCTTATCAATCTCATAGATCTTGCCAAGGATGTTGGGGTCGGTGCTGTCTATGTAAAGGATGAGACAAACCGCTTTGGCCTTCCGGCATTCAAGATTCTTGGTGCTTCTTGGGGCGCATTCCGCTCAATCGTTGAGAAGCTGAAGCTGCCTCTTGACTCAGATATTGACACAGTTCGGGAGGCAGCTAAGTCGCAAGATTTGACCCTATATGCTGCGACAGAGGGAAACCATGGACGTGCAGTGGCTCGCATGGGTGCTATCTTCGACATCTCGGCCGAGATACACGTTCCAGCATCGATGCATCAAGCTACGGTAAAGTTGATTGAAAGCGAAGGTGCCAAGGTCGTTATATCGAAAGGTCGGTACGAAGACGCCATGATTGAAGCTGAGTCTGCTTCCAAGCACGATAAGGGGATTATGGTTCAAGATCATGCTTTTGGCGATTATCAGACTGTACCACAGGTTAGTTCCGTCGAATGTTAAGCAAAAATCATGAACTAACACAACATAAGTGGATAGTTGATGGCTACGGTACCATGATGCGAGAAGTCGATCACCAGCTAGGCTCTGCCGAAGCCGACCTAGTTATCGCTCCCGTAGGCGTCGGCTCCTTCGCCCAGTCTGTACTCTCTCATTTCAAGAGAAGCGGTATTACCACGTCCATGTTGACGGTGGAGCCCGACACAGCAGCTTGTTTGTGGAAGAGTCTGGAAAAGGGCGAGTTCACCGATATCCCCACAACTGGCACCATCATGGCTGGTCTCAACTGCGGGACTCCCTCAACACTCGCCTGGAATCTTCTAAAGGATGGTGTCGATGCAAGTCTGACGGTCTCGGACTATGAAGCCCATGAGTGTGTCTTGTATCTCCAGTCACGGGGTATCAATGCTGGACCTTGTGGAGGATCTACATTAGCTGCACTGCGGCGGCTTACACCTGCTGACAAGCAAAGTCTCGGCCTCAACGAAAAGTCAACTGTGGTTATCTTCTGCACAGAGCGTAACCGCGACTATGATATTCCCAAAGATGTTTCTGGCTCCGATGCAGTGGCCCTGACACAAACTCTTGTCCAAATCAACTCAGCAAGCCCTGATCTGGGATCTGTTCCTGGGCCGGGGGAGATGGCCGTCGCTCGATACATCGCTGCATGGTTGGAGCACCGAAATATCGAAACACATTGGGTTGAGTATACTAAAGACCGTCCCTCTATCGTTGGTGTCGTCCGAGGTTCCGGTGGAGGAAAGAGTCTCATGCTCAATGGGCACATCGATACTGTGACTCTTTTGGGCTATCTTGAGGATCCACTCAGTGGCAAGATTTCCGACGGGCGTCTGTATGGTCGTGGATCTGCTGATATGAAGGGAGGTGTTGCAGCTGCTATGATCGCTTTGGCTAACACCAAGGGCCTTGGGCTTCGGGGAGACGTGATCTTCACGGGTGTTGCCGATGAGGAGAGTTTGAGTAAAGGCACTGAAGACATACTTCGGGCCGGGTGGAAAGCAGATGCTGCGATTGTCTCAGAACCTACGAACCTCGAGATCAACCATGCCCATAAAGGGTATTGTCACCTTGAGGTTAAAGTCCACGGACTCGCGGCTCATGGATCGCGAGCTGATTTGGGTATCGATGCAATCGTCAACGCAGGGCATTTTCTTGTCGAGCTTGGTCAATATGCGAAGAAGTTGCAAGAAGGGCCGGGTAATGAAACTCTTGGCACAGGAACAGCACACGCCTCCGTTATCTCTGGCGGCGAGGAAGCTTCATCTTATCCTGGGCAATGCACTATCATAGCAGAACGCCGTACAGTTCCAGGGGAGACTAACGCAATCGTCCAGCGAGAGTTTGACGATATCATCGCCAAATTAGCAAAGGAGGTTCCAAACTTCAAAGCAGAGGCCAAAATCATCTTCAGTCGCCCTCCACAGTTCACGCCCCCTGACCACTCCTTCACCCAGCTTGTATCCAGTATCGTCACGAAGGCGATCGGTCAGGAGGCAACTGTTTCTGGTGCGCCGTTCTGGACCGATTGTGCTTTGCTTGCTGAGAAGGGGATTGTGCCTCTTCTGTGGGGACCAAAAGGCGAAGGATTGCATGCGTCGGAAGAGTGGGTGGATGTAAAATCGATCGAACAGGTGGCAAAGGGTTTGACCAACATAGCAGCTGGGTTTTGCCGGTAGATTTGTTTGAAACCGATTGTTTTGATGATTGTAAATAAAATAAAATAAAATAAAATGAATTTGGTGAATGTCGATTGGACTTGAAAGATCACCCATCGAAGAATAGGGGAGGTTTTGTTATTTTATATTTATAGCTTCAGTCATTGTCGGGCGACGTCTCTGCCAGTCCCACTGTATTCCAAGGCGGGCTTTTTTGTTCCCTCTCCTTCAACTCCATCTTTGCAAAGACGTCCTCCCCTACCATGTAAGGATACCTTGAACCCAAATGCCTGCTGGATCCTTGAAACTGGCTGCTATTGCTACAGCTCCATTACACAGGCAGTGAGCTATAAATACTTCCCTGCCTTGTGGAATAGAAACAAACTCCAATGCTTCCAGAGGCATGTCAGTTTACTCAATACAAAGAGGATACAGACTCGGTGGCCGAATGGCTAGCATCAACGGAGAAGCAGAGCAGTCTGTCGGATACTTACTAAGCTCGGAGCCCGGGCATTGACTAACTTAGAAAGGATTTTAAAGGGCACGGCACGAGAAAAGGCAAAGAGCAATGTAGCGGCAGCGGCAACAGGAACAAGCACAAATATCAAGTACAGAGTCACAATCGCAAACTTCGTCCCCGAGTCCCAGTGAACTTTAACACTGAAAGTAGAATACTGCATTGCAAAGGCTGGATCTACCAGCAGAAGCGGCCTCGAACGCTTGATATCCCTGGACGATACACATGCCTACCGAAGATGATACAACGCGGTAATTACGGTATTGGAACATCTTGTGAGGCTGGATTGATTATAGCATGATATATGCATGATAGGGCTCAACAGCCATCCATTTCTTGACGGAGGTACACTGGCATTCTAGATCTATGTGGTGGGATTGTAAGTTTTGAAAGATTGGGAAGCATCGTCAGGTTTCGTACTCGATATCAGAAGAAGACTAAGGAAGCGGTATCTGTTTCTTTTGTTTGACATAAATCTATAGAGAATGGTTGTCAAGATAGCCTTTTTCACGGATGCAAGCTTGTGACTGACGGCGATTACTGCAGTGGTAATCAATTGTCGAGTCAGCCTGACAGAAGAGACCACCGACAGGGATGCATACGGGCTGAGAGACAAACACTCGTATCATGCTGACGGGTGAAACACTACCTCCTAACCAGCGACAGCGCAGCAGTCGATAACCGTCCGAAAGCGCTGTCCCCCGCAGCCAAAGGCAACGTCGTGAGACTCGTGACACATGTTTAAATTGACAGGTCGAGAGAAGGGCCAGTCGCGTAACGATGCACCCAGTAAGAAACGGCCAAGAGCAAACAATAAATTAATTGCTGGTGACATGTACGTGCGGGGGAAGCTCTTGTTTCGCTCTTGATGTAACCAAACCACCCACAAGCAGCAGTGGAAATGAGCCAAGGGTTCAGGCTTGTTACACGAAAACGTGAATAGCTTCACAAGACAGAGAGAAAAAGGCGAAGTGAAAGAGGGAGGGTCCAACGTAGCGTAGCAGTAGCAGCCGTTATCAGGTCGGGAGAGCAATTGGTGATAAATGGCCGGATTGAAGCCGGTTTGTTGCATGGCATGTTCCACAAGAACTTGTCCAATTTGACTATTTCCCTATCGGAAGGTCAATCGATGACACCCTCCTCCACTCTTGTTTTGGGTGCGGTAGTGGTAGTCTGTAGATCTTGGGATGCTAGGGGGATTGTCAGGCGATTGATGTTGCCCTATCAGTTCCCAGCCGAGGTGGCCAGGGGGTTGGCCAGGGTAAGCCAGGGTACTGGGCCCATCGCTAATCAGCAATCATCACTCCACTGAGACGCTAATCCCTGGACCCCGCGATAAGTTTTGGGGCTGGAGATGCAATGGGAATGAGACCCTAGGGTTCCTTGGGTGTAACGTCGCACTGATAGCGTCCGTCTCATCTGGTCTCGTAACCCGTGTCCTTTTTATTTTCAGAGTCGTGTGCCCCCCCTCCCATTCCTATTTCAACCTAGCTACACTGTATTGTAACCTGTTGCTATCAATTCCCATTATCGGATTCAGCACTCCAAATACTCCACTTAAACCCGTTGCTCCAAGCCCCACCTCCGCCTTTTCGCAACGGCCCTTAAGATAGCTAACCTCCGCTCACTTTCCTCCAAGTCAATCAACAACAATACAAGAAACAAAACATCATGTCCACCGAACCAGCTCCCGTGCCTTCAAAGGGCGGTATTTCGAGCGATGCTGACTACACCGACGCTCAACCTGGCGTCGACCTGCCCCGCGGGTGGAAGTACCGACGGCTCGGTTTCATCAACACCTGGTATGCCTCGCCGCGCATTCAACTTGGCATGGTCGCATTCGTTTGCTTCCTCTGCCCAGGCATGTTTAATGCACTGGGTGGTCTTGGAGGTGGAGGAAAGGCAGACGCGACTTTGGCGGACAACATGGTGAGCATTCGCGATGGTTGAGTTGTGGTGTTGTTGCTGACTGAGGAGGATAGAACACCGCGCTTTACGCCACCTTTGCAGTCGTTGGTTTCTTCGGCGGCACATTCGTCAACAAGCTCGGTGTTAGGCTCTGTCTTTCTTTCGGTGGTATCGGTTACGGTATCTATGCCATCAGTCTTCTCGTCTCTGTCCACAAGCATGTTCCAGCTTTCAACATTTTTGCTGGTGTGTGGCTCGGTCTGTGCGCTGCGCTTCTTTGGACCGCTCAGGGTACAATCATGATCTCATACCCTCAAGAGAACATGAAGGGAAAGTACTTCGCCTGGTTCTGGGGTATTTTCAACATGGGTGCCGTTATTGGCGGTTTGGTATGTCCCCTCACCTGCTCGTAGATGCTCTACTGACCCAAGGCAGATCCCTCTCGGCGAAAACATCCACATCAGAGAGAACAAGACAGTCAGTGATGGAACATACATCGGCTTCATTGTCCTCATGTTTTTCGGCGCCATCCTCGCTCTCACCCTCTGCAATGCCGGCGAAATCGTCCGAAGAGACGGCTCCCGTGTCATCCTCATGAAGAACCCAACCTGGCAGAGCGAGCTCTGGGGTCTTTGGGAGACTCTTCGCTTCGAGCCTTTTGTCGTCCTTCTCTTCCCCATGTTCTTCGTCTCCAACTGGTTCTACGTCTACCAGCAAAACGCCGTCAACGGAGCCTACTTCAACACCCGCACAAAGGCCCTCAACAGTCTGCTATACTGGATGGCTCAGATTATCGCTGCTGCCATCTGGGGATACCTTCTTGATAGGGAGAACGTGCGCCGTAGCACCCGTGCCAAGGCCGCTTGGGCTGCCCTATTTGTGTTGACCTTTGCTATCTGGGGTGGCGGATATGCCTTTGAGAAGACCTACACTCGCGAGAGTGTCGCCCCGGAGACTGACTTTGTCCATGCAGACTGGACCGACTCTAACTATGTTGGACTTATGTTCCTTTACATCTTCTACGGCTTCTACGATGCTGCCTGGCAGGCCACTATCTACTGGTACGTCACTTCACCACTATTTTGCACTCAATTGCTAACAGAATAGGTTCATGGGAGCCCTCTCCAACTCTGGTCGACGATCTGCCAACTATGTCGGCTTCTACAAGGGTATCCAGTCCGTTGGTGCCGCGATTGTCAACAACCTCGACTCCCGCAAGATCTCTTTCCGATCCGAGTTCATCAGCAACTGGGTTCTGCTTGCGGTGTCCCTGGTCTTTGCTGCTCCCGTCATTCTCATGAAGATTCGCGACCACGTGAGCACCGAAGAGGATCTCCAGGGCACAGACGAGACCCTTGCTGATGTGCTTCCATCGACTCACCCCGAAAAGAATCCTGAGCGGGGTAGTGTTGCCTAAGGGTGTGGGATGTAATGGATTGATCAATGGCTTTGGGAAATTGACACCTACGTGGTTTGACGATGTGCATAAGCAAGGATTCAGTGTAGTAATGATTCAATAATGTATCTATCTTATGATGATGACATTCTAGCCTTATGATGTAACATGGTGTTGGGTGCATTCATTTTACCCTGCTTACCTGACCCAAGCTCTTGGGTCGACGATGCGACAATAACGCCGCACATATACCTCAATGGTAAGATGACAGACAACGACAACAACATCATCTTTCAGAGCATCAACATTTCTTTTTTTATTTTAAGAAAACACTCATTTCAATTTAAGATTAACTAATGTTTCAGTTATAGTCGACTACTACACAAAGTGAACATGCCCGAAGAACTTTGTAATGTGAAAGCTGGCCTTGTCAGGCGAACTCCAACCACCCAATTCCTGGTCAGGAAATGTCTTTGGGCTCGTAACAGTCCTGAAGAAATTCATCCTCCACTTTGTTCCCTTTGCATGTCCACGATCGACATTGAACAATCCCAGAGGAATTTTAACCTTGCTGACCCATTTCTTCGCACGCTTGTTCAGCTCCGTCTTTGCCTCGAAACCGTCACCTTCCGGATCTGTGATGAAGAAATGATCAAATGGCGCTCCTTCCTTTCTATCCTTGGACGGATTGTAAACGAATGCTTGGTAGGTCACATTGTTGGGATTGATCTCGTACTCGAGATATGTCTGCGGATCGTCGGTACCCTTGTAGATGAACGCTTCGACAACTTCGTAAGCCCAGATATCATCGTTCGTGCCTTGTGAGGAATTGAAGTAGAAGTTGCGCTCGTCGAGGGCTGTAAAGGTCAGGGACAGAGCCGTGTGTGTGTAGCAGAGATCGACGGCCGTTCGGGGAAACGGAGTCTGGTCGGGGACGGATTTGGAGAACTTGATGGTGGTGGAGGATGGACAGCTGGGCACGCTGACAGAAGGAACGCGCAGCGCTGAAGTAAGACAGGCTATGCCCGTGAGGATCAGCAGAGAATACATGTCGAGGCTGTGGTGATGAGATACGAGAAGTAAGAAAATGTCGGAGAACAGCATTGCTATTTCAAGTCAACACGACTCCCTGCAACAGTTCTCAGACCCCAAAGAATCCATCCACTCTCAGCATCTGTCGATCTTGTTCCTTCAGGATGGGTGGTGCTATGGGTTCTGAATCATCAGCACACATTCAAAGTGATTGGTAGCATTGCAGATGAAAGACATTTGCAACGTAGCACGGCCCAATCATGTCTGGTGGTAGCTGTGACGCAAAAGGACTGCTCGTGACCAGATAAGCTGGGCGGGGAAAGAGGTGAGAGAGGTAAGAGGGGCCCCTGCTGTCAGCTCTGCTAGTGTCGTCTAAGAATAGGCAACTTCCCCTCGATGATGAGTCAATACTGTGGAGTTCTGAGACATTGTGATGAGGATTTCGAGGGGGCGAAGTTTGTTTGATTTTATCTACATGAGGAGATGGTAGGATAGTTGATAATAGGTATGCCTGTGCTGTGGTGGTTACACAGATGTTAACAAAGAACCAACATCTTGAATACAACATTGTGATGATATCTCTTCAATCGCTAGTAGTTAATAATTTTGGTTAAATCATGTACCTAGTTTAAGCCCTTACCAATACGGAGACTTTGTGTTTGAGTGGGGGTTTTCATAACGGGCGCCACCAAGAGCTTCATTCGCTGCCGAGACAACGCTATTGACGGACTAGAAACATCCGAACGACATAAATCCATTGAATCGCATATCATAGGATTTTGAGCAAATCGTATTATCATAACCAAGTTTGTCTTCAGTTAGGGTCTGTTATGACACCTCCAGTAAACATCTTGGTGGCAAACCTCCCCAACTGCTTTGATTCGGAACGCAACACCCAACTATTATAGAGCTACTATCGTCACCAAACCTTCACATACGGCCACAGCCCTCGGAGAATACGGGATCCCGTCCGCTCTCCCATCGTCAAGCCGAGGAGCGGTGAATTAGTACTCAGGTCGGTGACGACTGGGGAATCCTCACTGCTGTATGTTTTTGTCATTCTTTTCTTTTCCTCTTTTGTCAAACTGTATGATAGCTCGCCGCGTCAGATATATCAGGTTCTGTCTACTTTTGACAAACACTAACTAGGTAGCTAATATCCAGCTAGAGAGAATCATGTACGTATGAGATTGATGTCTACTCTGTTCAATGTCATCGCCAACTACGCATGAAGCACTTTCTCTAGGTCATAGCCCATCCAGTAGTAAAATTCATATTCAATTCATAACTAGAGAAAGCTTAACTGCCATAAAAGTCCATTGTCTTGGTCTTTTTATCTGTTGCCAATTTCAAAATTGTGAGGGCATGTTCAAGCTACTAGCACCATACAGCTCTCCGATTGGCCATCTTGACTTAGATCAGCTTAGGTAATCGGTTATCACCGGTTAAGAAAACCAACAGCTTAATTCGACACTGCAATTTGCCTACGTCACTCTTCGAAATGCCTCGTAAAGGCAGCACCAAAGTCAGAAGCGGTTGTAAGACATGTCGGTACGTGATATTCGCCAGTTCAAAAAAATGTCTTTGACCTTGACTAAAGGCTTTCCTAGGGCTCGCAAGGTCAAATGCGACGAGGGTAAACCAATCTGTCAGCGGTGCATTAGCGCAGGTCGAAAATGCGAAGGTCTGGCATACAGTCAAACCTCCAGCCCTCAACTCCAATTATACCGACCTCAGAATCTTCTGTTGGGCAATGCAGCTAGGAGTGATACCAGAAGTATCGAGTTCTTCTGCAAAGTCGCTGCTCCCTCGTTGTCCGGACCCATCGATCCTTACTTCTGGACCAACACTGTTCTTCAGTTCTGTGAACATGAGCCTGCTGTGCGGCATTCAATCATGACGATTAGCTCTCTGTTTGAGAATATCCAGTCGCGGGATATATCTTCGTCATCTACGACACGAAGGAGTGTGTTTGCGTTGAATCATTATAATGCGGCAATACGGGAACTCCAGACGCCTCATAACCCCGATCTTGTGCTGACGTTAATGAGTTGTTTGCTTTTTGTCTGTATCGAGGTTCTGCAGTCTAATGCTGATGCCGCTATTCGCCATTGTTACCATGGTATCAACTTGCTCGGTACATCGAATCCGCCAGAATGGGCGCTACATCATCTCTTACCAATATTCCGTCGTCTTAGCGTCTTGCCCTTTTACTTCGGCAATTCGCAGCCGTTGGCCGACTGTCCTCCTCTCACACAACCCTGCGAGACCATCGATTCATCATTTTCTTCCTTCTCCCAAGCTCAGGCCTCGATGGACGCTATCTATAACTTAACCATACAGCTATTCCGTCGGACGGGCGACTATCGTCTTGGTGAAAAGAGGAATCAACCTGCCGAACCAAGCATGTTCCTCGAACAAGATCAAATTCATCAGTGTCTTAACCAATGGCGGTCTGCGTTTGGCAAGTTCGAAGCTGAAACTCCTGCCACTTTACGTCAGACCTCCGAATCGTGCCGAATATGGATATTCCAGCAGTATGAAGTCTGCATAATTCTATCAAATGTGCCTTTTCTTACCGACGAAACGGATTATGACATGTACATCCCTAATTTCAAACGCATGGTACAAGGCGCAAAACAGCTCGCAGGGATGAAGAAGACATCAGCACCCACTGAGTTCCACTTTGAAATGGGATATGCACCGTTTCTTTTCTTTGTGGCTATCAAATGCCGGCATCTCGAAACTCGAATTGAAGCATTGCGGTTCATGAGTGTTCTCTGTGCTGCTCAGGAAAGTCTTTGGAATAGCCATACACTGCAGGCAGTTGCGCAGCGCACGATCGATCTTGAGCATTGTATAACAGGGCAGGCTGCCGAGAACTTCTCAGCGCAGTATGACTCGTTGCCACCTGATGATATGAGAGTCCGGCACTTTGTTCTTGGGCCTGCAGAGTCTGGCCAAGGGTCACTTGGCAGAGAGATAACCTTCTACATGCCGGCAAAGGATGGAAATATATGTATCAAGCGCGAACGCCTTCCCATAAAACAGTTGAATGAAGCGCTTGAGGGTGCGCCGGGAGTATTTGAAGTGGACCTTGAGATGGAAAGGTTGAGCCTGTATGAGATAGAGGATAGCGAGACTAGCACGATCTCAAGTCATGTGGAGAGCTTGTTATAAGAAACGCGTCAATTCGTTCATCTTTGTTGTCAGTCTATAGAATTTCATAATCATTACCCCAGCAACTTAAAAACGCGCACTGATCTCCAATCTAGCTTGCGCGTGCATCATCCTGCCGCGTTCTTTCAAAGCCTGTGATTTCTATCATAGTGACTCAGACCTCTCGCAGTCTAGTGATCTATTGGAAATCATTGGGCCAGCACTTCTCCTTGGGCCACAGCTTAGCATCGTGAGTTTCGGCGTGGACCTCGAGCTGGAGCTTGTTGGTGTTGACAATCTCCTTGCGGCAGTTTTGGCACTAGACAAGTTAATCGCTGTTCCGTTTTCTCTAGAGAAACAGGAAACGCTCACGATAGAGGTGGGCTTGGGTGCCTTGACAGGTAGACCGTTGGCCTTGACGGGAGCGCGAGTTCCAGCGGCGTCAGCCTTCTTGTGCTCCTTGGTTCTCTGCAAAAATAGGTCAGACCAAGTCCTGGTGAGTGAGACTCAGAATACGTACGCGGTCCTTCTTTGAGATAGGCATGATTTCGAGTGTATGTGTGTGTGTTGCGATAAATAGAGAGAAAGAGAAAAAGGTGGACGGGAAATGTAGTTGAAAGTTCAGGGTCCTCAGGTGGAGAAAGGAATAACGTGAAAGTGAAGAAAATAGAAGAAAAAAACTCCAATTGTGGAGAATAAAGAAGCGCATCACCCCACCAATTATCGCAACCGAGGCCTTAGTCAGGCGATAGACGATCTAGAGCGATCTATTGGTGCTCCACTCGCTTGTTATCTCCGCCAATCGGGCTGTTCTCAGTGACATTGCAGGGAACAGCCGGGATTTTTGCGCGACGACAGTTGTGAAGGTTGCCCTTGATCTTCCAGTGTTTGCAGTCTTGACAGCGAAGAGCCACAAACTTCCGAGAAGGAGCGTATCGGACGGGCTCTGTGACAGACTCTATGACAGACTCTGTAACGGACTCTATGACGGACTCTGTGACAGACTCTTGGCGGACGGGCAGAGGATGCTCCTCCACGCGTTGAGAGCGTAGCATCATAGCAAAAGTCATCTGAGACATGACAGATAGTGGTAGAGATTAATGAATATAGTGGTGAGTGGTGAGTGATAAGTGGTGAGTGATAGGTGGTAAGTGGTGAGTGATAGGTGGTAAGTGGTGAGTGACAATTGGGAACAAGTGATCAGTCGGATAGGTCCAGGAAAGAGGAAAAGAGATATAGAAGGAAGATGAAAGATGGAACACACCGAGCAGGGATAAATCTCTTTCTTATAGCCACCCTCGTAGGTATTTCGGTCAATAGAAAAGTATATCCAAGTGAGAGAAGGCAGATGGTTGACAGGAAGGTTCAAGTTTCAAACTGTAACTGTGCTACGTATAGCTCCAGAATAGGAAATACGCGTTGAAGAAGCTTACTAAAAACTGAAATCTTATTAATGCTCTTGGTTAATTGGCCAAAAATCACCTCAGGGGCGCTTGAAGCCGGTTCACACCTAGTGGAGGTTGCTGAGGCTATTCACACTTCTCCCTGCCTTCTCCTAATGCCACACGTCATAGAAAAATCTGACTTCGGATTACGATGCACAAAGTATTGGATCCAATGTATTACAATTGTAATGTTCTATCGTCTACAAAAGCGTCCTGGTTCGCCTCTATACCCAAGACGCCTCCACTAATACGAATCGTGATGTTTCATCCAAGGAAAATCATCCTACTACCAGAAGCCCCAAAGATGGATATACTTCAGTTTCATGGCGAGTTTCCATCTACACTTTGCATTTGACTTTCTTCACACATTAGAGGGGGCGAAAGAATCATATCAAAGGCCGAACATAATTAGATAATGACTTGAAGACGCAGTAAGAATGGGGACCGGACCTTCTGACTTCGCCTTTCTGAAATGAAGGCCTATAGGAGAAGCGGTTGCCCCTGGTGAGCTGGCCAGCCATTGGATAGCAACCGACCCACTAGGGCTCTCCTCAGGTTGAGGTTACTACAAAAAGGTCGAGACATAATTACCCTCCCACTCCTTTCCGGGCCTTTGGCGACATATTAGGTTATATTCCCTCACTAGATGCTGCGACTAGACTGTCGAATAGTTCCAGTAACAGGAGACCTGCTCAAAGGAAGACAGAGCACGACTGAAAGCTGGGCGAAGGCATTCCCTTTACCCAAGGTAATGATAGAAAGTCATTACCAGGGTTCTCTATATCATGTCTATATCATGTAAGCTGCCTCTACTACAGCCAGCAGCAAAAATTGAGAGTGGCAAAGAGTGAGAACTTTGAAATGCTAAGGGTGTGTAGGCAAAAGCTTGTCGTGTCTAAGATAGGTGATGAAATAACTGATACATATGTATAGCTAGTTATCCAGCTTTTCTGTCCGACTATTTTTGACACCCCCGCAGAATCATCACGTTTAGGATTCAGAGTACACCTTGCAGACGGCCCGAATTTACAAAATTTGACACATTTCCGAGTTGCACAATCAAATATCACAAGAAGCATATTCAAATCCTAAGTCCGGATGGATCGCGTGCTACGTGGTTGGCCTTCCGGTCCCTTTTGATCATGATCAGCTCCAAACAGCAGTGTGATGCTCCTCCATAATACAGATGGAGTAGTCTCCTCTAGCCCTCCAAAGAACTGTTGACGTCTTGTAGATAATCTTGACTCGCTTCAGAAATTTATAGAAATTCGTGCTACTGAACAATTAGGGAAACTTGGCATCGATTTCTTGGGTAACTTGAAGTGAGTGTCTTCTCAAAAGGGAAATCCGGATGCCTTACTGGCGATGATGAGAATGTCCCAACATCTCCTTTCGGCTTACGACGCGACTTTCGGTAAGTGGTACTCATTCAAACTTTAACTTCTAGTCGACAGATCACCTCTACGCACAACGGCAAAATGGTTACCCGGAGGGATGTTCCTCGAGACAGCGAAGATATCTATTCTCTGGTCGTCATAACGTTCATGTTTAAACCCCAAATATTCTTGTGCTCATACTTCCGCCGTATTCCCAGACACTATATCCACCGCCTGAAGAAGAAGAAGAATAAAAGCATATCCTGCTTCAGCCAGACAGCTTTCTACCCTAACCTCTTCGGACTCTCAGCTTTCTCCCCATGCTTCTCAATCCACTGCTACGTGAGAGCCTCCGCTCATGATGCACCTCTGTCGCAGGCGCTATGTCCCCTTCAAAATCAACTGCTGGTGTAGACCCAGGCAACTCAGCCAGCTGCGGATTATACGACTGTGGTTGCATAAACACGTCGTAGCCAGAAGCTGGCTGCATATATCGAGGCACATCAGCTGCTGTAGCTAGTTCGGCCGGTCTTGGTAGGGTATCCGCTGTCATTTCTATAGGTCGGTTGTAAGAAACAACACTTTCCGTTGCGAGAGATGGTCTTTCAGGTCCACTCCCTGGCGATTCTAAACTCCTTGCTTGTGTCAAACCCCATGCCAATCTCTGTGTCGGGTCCGGTGAGAGCATCTCATCAATTTCAACTGTTTTGTAGCCTCTCTTCTTGAGACTTTTGCGGACTGCGTTGTTTCTTTCATCATTGTGCGTTGTGTCTGCCTTGTGGTTGATCAGTATTTCGAGAATCTGTCGTCTTTTTCTACTCAGCCTCGTTCCCCCATTGAGTTCACTAACTAAGCAGTTGATCATCAACGGTGTGCGGTTGGATTTTGAAACTCCATTGACCTTTGCGCCTTCTGATACCAAGAGTTCGACCATCCTAGCACTTCCTATCTTGCAAGCTCTGTGGAGTGCTGTTTCTCCGTATCTATCCTCCGAGTCGATGTCAACTAGGCTGAAGTCTTGTTGGTGAGTGGCATAATTGGGCGGCCCATGCACGGGTTTCTTTATCTCTTTGAGTAACAGACTCAGTGTCTCTTCATTGTCACAGAGGTGTAGTGGTGTCTCCTTCTTGCTGTTGCGAATATGAACTGATCCGTTGATCCGTAGAAGAACCCCGAGCGCGACATTGTTTGAGTACCGTACGGCTTTGAACAGGGGTGTGTCTCCGTTTGCGTCTAGTTTTGGCCCATGTCCCAAGGATACCAAATGATGCATAACCTCCAGCTTGACAGAAGCATCCCCGGCAGCATCATGGAGTGGTGTATCGCCGCCGTAGTTCTCCTCGGGGATATGAAGTCGTCCTTCAACTGTCGAGACTTCGTGTTTATGATGACGGCACCATTCAATGGTAGCGGCCATTGCCTTGCGACTCGATGCTGGGTTGTAATGCAGCGTTCTGAACATAGTCTTCTCAAAGGCAAACCGGCTGTCTGGTTGCACCCAACGGTCGTATTGCTCACAGAGCAGCGCCGATATCCACTGTATCTTGTGTGTATACGCTTGATACTCTGTCAAATATGCATCAAGAGGCAATCTAAGAAACTCCTCAGCTCCTCCAAAATCATCCATGTCGGCGCACAGAATCCCAACCCTCTCCTGCTGATCGCAAAGCTCAGGATTGATGGTTGGGCTACGAATTTCACGGAGACTGGACTTGAGACTTTGTAGCCGATCGTTTGCCAGCGCTTCGTGAGACTCATCATGTGGCACGCACGCTTTGATGATCCGGACGTGGACTATCTCCATATTGATCCATTCAGTAACGCCAATAGTGTCTATCCCTTGGGACTGCATCTCCTTTCTGTCTTCCATAGCCTTGTCATATGCTTTCTTAGCAAAGATGGGGTACCCAGCCTCATACATTTGTTTTGCGCGAGACAAGGCAGCTTCGAATCTGTCTTGTAGTTCCCACGCGCTAATATTTGATGCTCGTCGTGGTACCGTCTCTTCGGTCGGTGCGCTCGATGTATTCGGTACAATAATCATGCTTGCCGAGGTGTCTAGTGAAAGATCGGGAAGCCCACGTTGAGCAGCGACCTCAGCAACCTCGTAGAGAGCCTCCGTCACTCGGATCAGGTCCGGGTTCTCTCCATAGTTCAGTTGATCTAGCTTCTCGACGGTGATATGGTCGATGAACCGACGGACCTCGGTGATCCGCTGGCCAGCGGCAGCTGGGGGTGGAGGACAAACTCTACCAAAAACTCTTAGGGTTCCTCCGAAAGGAAACTGACCAAAGATATACTTACAAGGATAGTGCCGATGTGCTCAGCTGAAATATCTCAGCGTTACGACTCAGACGAGTAAATAGCTCCTCATCCTCGTGTAGCCATGTCTTTAGCGATAGCCAATATTTGCTACCACCTTTCGCTTTGGTAGTCGGTATCTTTCTCTCTAGTTCATCAAGATCCTTCCGGAAATCTTTTGCGAACTGTCCCGTGGCCCTGCAAAGCTTCTCTTCGGGTTCTGTCAAGTTATCTCGTCCGTCTTTGATCCTCGTCTCGATGATGTCCGCAGATGCTTGTAACACCACCCCGAGTCTCTGCCACTGCTCCAGTTTTCTCGGAGCATCCTTGACAGATTTCACCAAGTGGTCGATCTTTTGCCAGGATTTTAAACCGGCGACGATCAAGGCCAGGAAGGCTGATGCGGGCTCTGCCATGTTGAGCGCTCCAAGACTATAGTGGTCCTGGCTGATCAAACAAGAGATGTATTTGTTGGGTTCAGGTTCAAGGTAAGGGTAGATACGAGCTCGAAGAAAGCAAAGGAAGAAACGCCTTACATAGAACCTACCTAAGACTATGATACACATCTTCCGTCCCCAAGAGTCCGGGGTACATACATTGTTTCCCCACGCTGTGAGACGCATCGGTCTGCCGATAAATTTGGCCTCCCCTGATGCAGGCGCCTTACCTCCCAACAGCATCCAGCCTCGAGGCTTGGCTTGTAATATTGGTTACACGAAATCGTCAGGTGCCCTCAGCCACTCCCTAACAGAGGCAATCTTCAGTCTCTCAGCTTCTGTTCTCCTTCACGACGAGGCGGATACAAGAACCTGTACTCAAACGTCAGTGCTAAGGCTGACAGAGATTTCCTTACATGATGCGGCCACTGTCCAGGCCCTCGACTTAACCAGGCGCTGTTCGACACGGCATTACGCGTACATGCAATGGTATCCGACTGAAGCAGGCAGTGCTTGCACTATTGATCTGTAATTAGTAATGCGTCCGCCCAGGACTGAGGGAACTCAAAGCCTATCATGAGGTTTCCCTTTATACCTCGTCTTTGGTGGCGTTCGAAGCCTTGACTATTGTTTCATGGAGCTCGTATATGCAGGAGTTTAGCGCCTTACAAGGCTCGCGCTCGCTGGTTTGCGTGGGTTGTATCGGTTACTAGAGCCTGATCTCGAAAGCCGCTTCACTCCGTGTCCTAGTAATTGGCAGATATATTCTCGCCCTTTTTGCTGTTTCTTTCATCTTCACATCGACTCTACTACTCTCCTTTCTGCTCAATCGATTCATTAAACAAGACCCCCCACCCATTGCCTCATCGTCAATATGCTCGAACCCGAAATTGAACAAGACCCTATACCCACCCTCAGACAGAGATTGAAAACTTGGATACAAGACCAAATTGACTATCGCAACAAGTTTGGTAACTCTCTGGGTAAGCTATCCGGCAATGGGCATGGTCCGGCACTTTTTAATGTCTTTCATAGATGGTGTATCGGACGAGCGCATTTGGCAAGGTATCGATGCCATATGCGAAGAACTCCCTATACTAGAACGAGAACAAGTAAGGCGAGCTGCAGAGGTTGCAAAAGAAGGAGATTACTATTACCGCTTATCTAGGGGTTATGTCAATGGTGACGACTCTGTTGAGAATCTTTCTCAAGATGAGAAGGATGGCATTGTAGCAGAACGCGAACGACTTTTTAGTCAACGTGGTATGCTGGTGACCATACTTACTGTGTCTCTCGCCGCTTTCCTCCAGGGCCATGTTCAGTCATCCATCAACGCCATGAGCTTGTTTGTCGAAACTGTCGGTATCGATATCAAGAAACAAGGCGAAGCTCGTGGCAATGGGGCTAACACCACAGCGCAATGGCAACTCGGAGCAATGAATGCTGTGCCATTCTTTGTCGCGGCTTTCCCCGGTGTGCTGCTTTCGCTACCATTGAACTACTGTCTGGGCCGTCGGGGATCTCTGGCATTATCAGCACTTCTCATCATTGCGAGTTCAGTCGGGTCAGGTTTTGCCACAACTTGGCGGCAGATCTTGGGTGCAAGGGTTGTCGGCGGAATAGGTAAGTCACACACAACTCTTAGCTAGACTCTTCGTCAGAGTCTGACCATAGGTATAGCCATGGGCATAAAAGCAGTCAGTGCACCTATTCTCGCTTCTGAGACAGCTGTAGGATACTGGAGAGGCTCTACTATTCTCGCTTGGCAACTCTGGTTTGTCTTTATCTTCACTCCAGTCAGCTTCTTGACTGATTATTTGCCACAGGGTTGCTTGCGGTATCATGATAGGCTTTGTCTTCAATTTTGTCATTTCCGCTGCTACGACTACTCTGGATAGCTCACCTGATAGTGGTCTTGACGAACACGGAAGCCGATATCACGCTCTACAATGGATTGCTGCTGCGCCCGCTATCCCTGCACTGTTCCTCCTCGTCGCAGTGTGTTTCTGTTACGAGAGTCCCAGATTTTACATGCGACTCGGCACACCCAACTGTGATCTCGAGCGCGCATACAACATTCTCATCCAAGTCCGGCAAACACGAGTAGGCCTATCCGTACTGATCTCATTCCGGTCCATGCTGACTTTATTCTAGCTTCAAGCTACTCGTGACCTGTTCTTAATCTGGTGGTCTACTCGTGTTCGCCACAGCCTGCAATGCACAATGCCCGGTGTAGCTCCTCACCTATCTGGGCGAGACGGAAATAGCACTGCTAATCAGAGAAGAACTGTCACGTCACTAGACTCAGGCTTGACTTATTCCTCACTCGTTCGACTAGTCATGAAGCTATCTGCTGACCAATTCAGGCCCTTGTTTAGAAGACGAAGACTTAAGAATGCTCTGTGGAGTAGTTGTACTGTTGCCCTGGCTCAGCAGCTCTGCGGAAGTGAGTCCCTACACCCTCACCATCCTCGGTCAGTCCACTAACGAATACAGTCAATATTTTCGCGTTCTACTCGAGTAGGCATCCTAAACTTTGTCATTGAGCTTTGTTAACTGTATTCATAGACGGCATGTTCAGCGAGTACGGAGTTAAGACAAGTATGGGCTATAGCCTTGGTTTTGGTATACGCTCAGACCTACCTTTGGGTAGCAGCTAGCTTACAGGTGATAGGCGCTGTCAACTTCTTCTTCGCATTGCCTGCAATGAGGTACCTACTCAGATACCCATCGCACTCGCAATACTAATTTTCGGGTAGATCCATTGACATCATCGGACGACGAAGCTGGCTTCTGTCAACTTTACCCTTCATGAGTTTCTTCCTTATGGCTGCAACAGTTGCCTACGCCTTGTCACCTCAACAAAACGATGGAGATCAGTCGCGGCCTGTGGCCAATAACAGTGGTTCCATCAGTGGTATCATCTTTATATATCGTACGAAGCCTGCCCATTTGGTACGAAACTGGTTCTAAGAGTTGCTAGTGTTTGCGGCAGCATATTCCCCAGGTCTTGGGCCAATTCCGTTTACTCTGGCATCTGAAAGGTTGAGAACACACACAGTTTGCGATCGAACAGTGGCTTACATCTTGTAGCTTTCCTTTAGAGAACAGAGAAGCGGTATGTCATGCCTTTTATTTACTCGCAGGCCTACAAGTACTGATCCCCTGCCTTAGGGTGCCTCCGTCGCAATATCCATTAATCTCTTCTTCGCGGGGCTTCTAACCATCCTCCTTCCTCGCATAAATGCACATTTCAAGATGTCCGGCACTCTAGGGTTTTTTGCTGGGCTCAATATCGTCGCTTTCATACTCATATTCTTCTTTGTCGAGGAAACCAAGCAGCTGACTCTAGAACAGCTTGACCAAGTATTTGACAATCCTAAGAGTCGATTCGCGCGTGACCGGCTTGTTGATAGATTGCCTTCTTGGGCCAGAAAGCCCTTGCTGGGGAGGGGAGATGCCGAGCGGATAGTTGGGGATGATGAGTGGGTGCTCGAGAATACATCTGGGGATCACAGTGGCCAGGGGAGCTCCTGATCGGTTTTCGTTATTTAACAACCGTTTGGCCCCAAGAATATTTATTCATAGACCTTGCATAGTATATCTTGCATTTAGAAGACTATAGAGTGGTTGGACGCTGATGTATGGACATAGACATACATGATTCCTACATAAGTACTCTCTGTAGCATTGTCAATATTCGCATTTCGTATTTTAACCTTTTAAGTTCCCGTCCTTCCCCACGCCCCACACACACAACGAACGTCAACGTCCACCTCCACATTCCGCTCTACAACGTCATGTCATGCTCCCCACCTTAAACTACCATATCCGTATCCCAACTCTTCCACCATCATCAAACGATCCTCAACTACAACCGCCAAAATGGCTCCGCCTTATCAAAACGCGTATGGTAATGAGCAACAACAGACCCAACAACAGTACCAGCAATACCCCCCTCATCAACAACCACAGCATAATGCGCCGCCTGCCTACGGGTATTACCCGCCATACCAAGCCCAGCAGCCAGCGCCCTACCGTCGCGCTCCTTGTCAGAACTACGCTGTGGTCCTAGCGCGACAGCTCAATATCGGTCTTCCAATCGCTATCGTTGTCTTGAGTATTTGGTGGTCTTTTAGATCGCAGGTTTGTCCTAGCAATGCGCCCGTGGGACATGAATGTTCATGGATGCTGTGGACCACTCTCCCAGTGGTACGTACGCCTCAGGCCCATCATCCTTTCTGAGGCGTAAAGTCTGACTGATCTTAGGCTATTGTCTCTGCTCTATGGGCCATTATCATGAATATCTCTGGTCGTCGCGCAACGCACTCCATGTCCCATATTCCTCCAGTCGCCAACACCATCGTCGAGCTCATCCTTGCGCTAGGCTCTACGGCTTGCTTTGCGATTCTCATTTACCACCTTGAGACTTATGCTGTCTGGAATCGCTCCACAGAAATTTCGATGATTGTTCTGCTGGTGATACTAGCGTACGTCAAAATATAACATGGACCAATTGGCATGAGACTAACCGCTGTCTAGACTCATCAATTACATCCTCTTTGCGTGGTCTATTTATGAGATGATGTTCTATCGACGAGAAAGACAGAATGCAAATAGCAATATACCCATTTAAGTTGCAATGACTGTCAAATGGGTCAACTCCTCGCTTAGAATGGGGAGTGACCCTTGACAACGAACCGATTCCTTCTTGTTCATTACATGCATTACATATCGCATTCTCCTGCTTCAGGGGTTCGACTAATTACCATAAGGACGGAAGTCTTTTCAAAGTGGGAGGTCTGGAACAGGCTTGGTTACAGCCGCTTTAGTCCACCAGTGACACCTCCCAGCCTGCTACGCTTCGAAGGCACGCCTCTACTGTCTTCGTCGCCGCGAGATAGCACACACAAAGGATCAGAGTAGAATCATCGGGTGGTGTAGCTCGCGCGATACTCGCCCCGGAATTTTATAATATAAACTCTAGCTTTTTCGCAACAACAAACATGGAGGTGAACCTCCCCTAATGCTACAAGTTTCACGAGACTTTTAACCTCGGATCATAGTGACTGAGGTGACCTATGCTGACTCGTCGATAATCATACAGTAATTCTGGACCCCATTATTCGTAGTAGTGTGACGGGATTATTCGATGTGTTGCCAACTCCACCTTCGCCTCGCTTTCCCTCACAAGTTCCCAGCCCATCCGCCATGAGCCGCAAACCGTAGCTGGTAATCTCGAAGGTCCGCCCAATGTCGCAGCTCCTCTTCCTCGTCCTGAGACGTCATCTGTGACGGGTCTTGTGCATCCATGCCTCCTCCGCTACCGGCACCGGTCTTCTCCAACTTGACCAAAATATTGATCAGTTGCGACAAGGCCTCCTCTGATTTGACAGCAAAAGGTCCCTTGCGCTCAGGTGCATCGTTGAGGAGTGTCGACGCTACCTGACGAATCTTGTTGATGAGTGATCCCCCGTTTGGCTCCATGTTTCGCTGTGAGATTGACCCCAAAACTGTAAGAAGATTTTGAACGATGAGCTCGCGCTCTGCTGACATGAAGTCGTGAATCTCCTTCTCGTCAGCGTCTTGAGCTGCCTTTTCCTCCTCCGACTGACCCTCGATTGGGTTGTTGTCCTGTTGCTGCTCTGCGAAATGTACATCACGCAGATCAAAGTACAACTCGACGAAGTAAGAACGAGTGGCAAGCTGTGAGACAAAGATATTGGCTTTCTGAATCTCGTACTGCAAATTTCGACGCCGAGAGGGCTGACTCTTAATCACATTTCGCAGGTCGTGGGCAGGCTGGCTATTGGGCCAGGCGGGAGGTACGTATTGCATGCCCGACTCGTCGAAACTACCCAATGTCATTGCTTCGACTCCATGGTCCCCGAGTTGAAGCTCCGGCGGCAGGTTGTCGGTGATGCTTTTTGCTGCAATAAGGCCATCGCGAAGCAGAATCCGTTGATCTGCCCAAGGCAAAGTGCTCATACCATAAGCTAGCTCGAGACTGACAATGCCATTCATTGTCGTGTAGATATCAATGGCGAATCGGAAACCTGTCAATAGCGTCACACTTCCATCCTGCTGATGGATGACTTCATTTGCAATAACGCAGATGTCGTCAACATTTTCCGGGTATGAGGGGTATGGAAGACTGGGCGTCGACGGTGCAATTACCATGTCTGCAGACGATGCACCCAATTGCGAAAAGGATCTGCACATGTTAGGTAGGGTTTATGGTCATGGGACTGGGTACATACCGCACACCGAGAAGCAAGCAATAAAAGATGCGCTTCCCAATCTGGTCTTTGACATGGTTGAATGGAAGAGGATCTGGCGAGCAGTTGTCATTACCGAATGTCGGCAAATCACCTGGGTGCTTGGGTCGATTGAAACCCAGCTCGCGGAGGAGGGTCAGGGTCTCAGCCATGAACTGGCCCGAAGCGTTCCATTGGTGAGTGTATCCCGAGGCCAATCCCAGGAAGTAGCTGGTTGCAGCATCGTCAAGAGTTTTAGGCTGCTTGAGTTGCCACTTGCTCCCACGTGTCAACAGCGCAATCTCACGGCATTTCTCAACCATGACGATAGCGCGAGGAAAGAGATGGGTGCTGTGCTGTGCCTTGAGATGCTCTCTCGCACTTCGTGGAAAGGATGCAACAAGGGCACAGACCATGCTAGCCAGCAAACCAAGAAACTCGGGCTTGGTACGATCTTCACGGTTGGCAAACGACTGGCGGAACGTGGGCTCGTGCGGAAACGGTGCAAGTGGGTGAATGTAGGTGAAAAAGTCGTCGACAAGGAGTTCCAGTACTGGCATGGGTGCAATGGCATCGGCATCAAGAACACCTTCAGTTGAGATGTTCATTAGTGTTTTGGCAGCTGTCTGAGGTGAGGGAGAAAGGGACGCAAAGACTGCTGCAGCAGCCGTCGTCGCTGTTTGTGGCACGTCTACCCGTGTACGCTTTGCAGCTTTCGCGGCTTCGGCATGCTTGTTGGGTGGTCCTCGACGCTTCGTTTCACGGTTGAAGGTGCAGTCCACTCCAAGCTCTCGACATGGCCGGCAGGGCATGTTGGAATCGTCGCATTTCACCTTGCGCATACTGCACATATCGCATGCACGTCTAAGGCGAGTCAACTTCGGGTTGATCGTAGGATCACGCATTACAGCTCCATTTCCAGGCATAAGCTGAGTAGACATTTCGGTCGCGTGAGGGAGGACATCGTGAGGAGACTGATCCATAGGCTGGTGCTGCTGGTGTTGCTGATGTTGCTGGTGGCCAACGACCTCAGCAGCAGCTACGGCGGCATGCTGTAAAGCCTGTGACGCCGAAAGACCTGTGGGACTGCTGATGTGGTGAGTGATGGCGTGGGCCGCATCGCTGGCAGCCTGTAGCATTTCGAGCCCATTGCTCGCGTACGCGTGGGCCGTCGCGTGGGAGGATGGTGATGGTGGAGGTGAGCCCGACATGACGGCAAGCTATCAAGCTGCGCCGGGCCTTTAAAGGCGGCAGCGGAGCACGGAGCTCGGTGAGCGGAGCTGGGGTAAGCGGGACCCTCGAAGACGGCACCGAAATGGATGATCGCGGGCTTTGGAGATGGCTGATTGTCGGCGGATTCCCGGGTGTTGGAGGGCGTTGAAGCGAGGTGAGGCCGATGTGCCGAAGGCGAGAATTTGGTTTAGAAGACACGATCACGGGGTATATCACGTGCTCACTGTAGACAAGCGTCTACCCTGGAGCTGCCCTCAAAGTGGTGTTATTCAGTGTTATTTATATAATAATCTAAGATATTTGCTCTTTTCCGGGGAGTCATTTTAAGTTTTTCGTGGTATTGCTTGAGTCACTTCTATCCTATATTATAGCCTATGTCAAACGCTACTTAGACAATTCAAGGCGTCTAGTAGCTATCGGCAACAGGTGAAGACTGACCAAGTCGGCTGGATGAGTTGATTACAAACGTTGAGTCACGGAGCGAACTTTGGAGTAGGTGGATGGAGAAGGACAGCATGTATTAATTACCGGATTTCCAATCGATATGCAACTCATTTCTGAAACCGTCTTGTTGTGCAGATCTCGAACGACTTCCAGACGCATGGGATTGTCTTATCATTCCAGGCTTAGCGTCGCAACCCGCCGCCCTGCTAGCTTCAAGTTTAACGGTCGCAAAGCCTGAGCCAATCATATTCATCTTATTAGATTGAACCAATGCAATGATTGATCACTCCCCCACATGCCGTGGTTGATCTATCCACGCTACTGGAGCTGTCAACACGCCACTGTTCAACGTTAAGAAGCTACATGCTCTGAAATGTTTAGACCAGCATGACTCGGCTTTCCGCAAATCCTTCTTGACGGCAACACAAAGTCCCAAGCCTCTCAACTACACCAAAACATTTAATCTTCATCTCCTTTCGGGTGCGTTCGGCTGGCACTGACCTCCCAACGGAGCTGCGGACCCTGGAACGGCCCCACTCATCAGCCCACTGTCACCATCGCCTGATGTTATTGACCTGGCGTGATGCGCTCAGCTTAACAAGACGCAGCGGAGCAAGGCGAGACTCGGGGAAGACCTCTCATGTCATGAGCACGCGTATGATGAGAAGGAAAAGTAAAAAAAGTTGACATGGACAAGGGATTGAGGGGTAAAAGATCAAGGATCGGCATCTAAATAAATACCGTCTGCTGGCTGTCATCCCGGGTCTTTGAAGTTTTGTATAACTGATCTACTTCGCCTGTTATATACTTGGACTACTCACCAATATCGTCAATTGAGCCTTTCGACTCTACTGAACCTTATATTGAATACACTCTCACTTCTCCTCAAGAGTCAACGAACATCGATAGCTTTGTCCACACCATATTACCATATAGCCTATACTCACACCCTATCAACCAAGACGACAAATTGAGCATCCTGTCCCTAGCTGCCATAGAACTGTTAGAAACGATTCAACCCCAACAATACACAAAACCACAGCCAAGATGAATTCACGACCTATGAAGCACATTGATCGCGAGGATCTCTATACCAACCTCGAAGCGCGTGTTCAGTACCTTCACTCATTCCTCGATTTCTCTAGCCGTACGTACCGCCCTGCCCAAGTATGCGACGAATCTTTGCCCCGAGTGTCGCAAGTGAAAGGAACCGCGATGATTCGACGAGCTCCAAACTGACACTCCCCTCTAATAGGCGACATCGAAGCTCTCATTACCGGCGCAAAATACGTCAAGGCCCTCATCCCCGCTGTTGTCAACATCGTCTACAAGAAACTCCTACAATACGACATTACCGCTCGTGCTTTCACCACACGTAGTACCTCATTCGAAGGCCCACTCGATGAGATACCCGACGAGAACAGCCCTCAGATTCTGCACCGAAAGATGTTTTTGCGCGCTTACCTGATGAAGCTGTGCTCAGATCCTAGTAAGATGGAGTTTTGGGAGTACCTAGATAAGGTTGGGTATGTGATCCTAAATCCTCAAAGTAATAGACATGAGCAAGAGCTGACATAGTTAGTATGATGCACGTTGGTCTTGGTCGCAAGCACCCTCTTCACATCGAATACGTCCATCTCGGCGTCTGCCTCGGTTTCATCCAGGACATCATGACCGAAGCCATCCTATCCCATCCCCGCCTACACATACAGCGCAAGACAGCCCTCGTCAAAGCCTTAAACAAGGTCATTTGGATCCAAAACGACCTCATGGCCAAATGGCACGTCAAGGATGGCGCTGAGTTCGAGGTTGGCGACTCTGATATCGAGGTTGAGCGCGAAGGTTACCTACACGGAAAGCGCATTATCGGCGACGGCAGTGGCTCCAGCACCGAGGATGATGATGATGCTTCGGAACAACATCAGAACCCCCCATCGCGAATTCCGCACCCTGCCGGTGCAACAGCTGGCGGAGTGTGCCCTTTCTCGGGGATGGGTGCTCCTGATAAGGAGTAGGCGCACTGTATCACTGCACTGCGGGGAGGCAACGGTAACCTTTCAACAACACATATTTGGCGTTCATGATGATGACTTATTTGGGAGGCTGGTATCGGGCACTTGGGGTTCAAGGAAGTCTTTTTTGGCATCGTTCTTTAGAATAGAGTATCAAGGCAAGGACAGTGGGTAGAAAGGATACCACAAATCTCTTTTCATTTACTGATCCTCTACCGTGAACTGTATTACGAGCTCACATGATGTTTGTTGGTGGTCATGGCATTGGTTTTGCGGCAAACAGTCGCAAACATCCAGGCGAATGTTGGGATTTCAGAATTTGAGTATTTTAAGACCAACTTGTCCATCTCGGTGCGGGGCAATATCAAAGTCAACAACCTCGAGCGGTATTTAAAGGCAAGCTTCGTAAATTGCTATCAAGGTGCTACGCTGCTGGAGCTTTCAGTCCTCTATGGAGGGGCAGAGAGTTCACGGTTGACAGATCACGATTGCTGAGTCTGGACCGCCCTTCAACATCAAGGTTCCGGGCGACTATAACTAGAGGCCCCCATCCGATATTAATATGAGGCATATTATTGGATCGTGGCTGGACTTCTAGAGCGGGATGACGGATGATGGTGGAGGTTTTATCATTAGAGGCCTGGCGAAATGCCCCTCAGTGGGGGTTGTGAGGTTGGAATTGAGCAGATGATGATATGATGGGGTTAACTATGGTGTCAAAGAAGAAAGAACAGTAACCTTTATTGACCTGAAACCAATATACTGAGAGAATCTATACAGAAGGGAAGAATGCTGCATGTGTTAATAAGAAGAAATTCCAGATTTGTAGTAACGGGATTACCGGGCCGGAGGCGTGAGTTTTGATGTGGTTCCAGAGTCTCGAACCTCGTGGCAAACTTGTTGCAAGGCCAAGTAATCAACCTCCAATGGCATTTATTTAATTGACCACACATCTAAAAGACAATCCAGGGCTTGTAATGCAAGACATAGGGCACGCCATCTTGGGAAGAGCCTTGATAGGATCGGGTAGTCACGCAGGCTCCTGTCAGAAAAGAGATGGCCTTCCATTCACCGGATAAACTCAAGTTCGGTAGAGCCGTTCGAGCACAGAATTATGTGTCAACCACGGGCAAGGCGAATGGTGTGGCCACGTTTGGAGGTCGCAAGCGGTGGGTGGTTTACAAAAGTTGATTGACGATATGAGAGTTGGATGATGGAGGCATGATGAATGAAATGAATGGCCCGGCCCGCCCGTGGCTCTCAACAAGCCCCGCAGCTCGTAGCTCGTAGCTCTCACCCTGTGTCAATGAAACGGCGGGGGAGGGGTGAATTCTCACCGGGCGGCTCCGGGGGATAACCCCCGGATGCGGCTCGCGATGGGTTTCTTGGACCGGACTCGCACCCAAAGTTGCCCGACCTGCCCGTTCACGGGTAATGAATGGCTAATGCAGTAGTGGGCTACGATAAGTGAAGCGTTCGTTATGTCCAGGCAGTCTAGACTAGGAGCTTGGACAAAAATTGCTCAACGCAACAACCACCTCAGATCCATCGCCTGGAGGAAGTCCGTTATCGCGGGAGGCAATCATGACTTTTACGTGATTGTGCAAAGTGCGCTGGCATCCAATCTCGGTAGTGCGTCTCCGTTGAAAGGGGGCCTCACCGTCTTTTGTTTGGTTTGGGACGCTTTCGCGCGCACCTCTTCGCTTCGAGAATAGCTGGTGCCTGTGCCGTATTGCTTGTTTATTGTTGGTGCATTAACCTGTGGAGACCTTAGTCGAGAACAGCATCTTATCGATCGTTGAGGTGGAACTGTCGATGATGATTAGAGTTGGTCGATCTTGGAGTTGTGTACCATGAATTCGGGTATGTGACATGCCAATTACCAACTGAATATCAATGAGATAGAGATTTACAACAAAATGTATCACGTTGAGTTACCTGTGTTGTCTGATTTAACTTGCTGGGTGTAAGGGTGTCCTGTGCAACGATATCGCAGCGACTAACGTTAGCTCCACGCTATGATAAAATACCATATCTCCTCCGACCACGTCCTATTCAGGATGGAGGCATATCCTCGCTTTCACACGATGCAATATCTAGGTGGCCTATGAGAAGAGGAATTCAGCCTGGGTCAGAATATAATATCCATGGAGTTATTAAACCCCACAGTTCCTTAGCGACAAAGTTCAGCCTCCAAGCTGTTTAATGTTATCGAGGAGCATTAACTCAACAGAGAAAAACACACTGTCCTCTTGATGATGAGTAAATAGCATTGTGATCTTAGTCAATGTAAGTAATGGCATTCCCATGCTGAGTAAGAGAGTGCTTCGTGTGTGGATTTTGAGTGATTATCTCGGAGCATGACCATAAGCATCGAACGAACGACAAGTGTCGGCCGAATGTCTTTCGTGATGCCCCTCCCCCGCCATTATCCATTATCCCCAACTCGTCGCCCGCCCGCACGGTCACATGAAAAGAAACACCATGCGAGGCCCCGGAATTTTCATGATGCCACCCCGTTAGTATGTGCACCACACAGCATGAAATGTTACCTTGAGATGCCCCAATAACAACAAGGAAGCATACAAGAAGTGGTGAGATACTTGCACCAGCGCCAAGTCGTCCCGTGATATGAATCTGGTGGTGTTGAGACTCGAGAGGTTCGATATTGAAGATTATGTACATAAAAAACACTGGCCACATCCACTATACGTACGACATGCGTGTCGATGGAAGCTAGATCTCTTTCAGCCATTGAATACCCGTCTGTACCTGATCGGCATCGGTCTTCTGGGTTCTCTCAAGTTGGCAACCCAAGTCGACAGATCTTGGCAGCTCTCGGGCCTTTAGCAAATTTACTCCGTCTCGTGAGCCAGAAGGTGTGCTGAGGCTTTCAAGATATGGTGACTGGATGGAGGGATTGACTCCCTCGAGAGAAGAGAACAGTAAAATCTACTTGAGTAGACTGGGTTTGCGTACCTTGATCACTAATAAATTGACTAAGTATTGAAACGTCCGTCTTCAGTTGCTTTGAGTTGTATTCCTTCCAGTGTGTGTCTGTGCCTTACCTACGCCGTCTGAGCTTTGACAAGTTACCTACCATGTGTCAGTTTTAGAGCACCCGCAAAAAAGCAAGGCACCTGAAAAGATACCTAGGTACCAAAAAATGCCCCACCATCAACCATTTACCATGGAGCAGGGCAACAGGTGGGAGGTTCTACCGTTCTAGCCTCCGTCTCAAGTCTCAACACACGACGATGAATCGCCGAAACCGCCCGGCCCGATATGCACAAGACTAACTACCCAAGTCCAAGTCCAAGCCCAAGGCCTTTGAGTTGAGTTGGGTGAAGTAGAGGTATCTCACGTCACCGTTACTATCTTGCCTGGCCTACCTAATTCAGCCTGTGCACGCTTCTTTCCCCTTCCCTCCCTCGCGCTCGCTGTCCCGCTCTTAACTCTAATCTGAACCTCCCTCCTTTGCCGCAACCTAAGTAACCTCTCTCTTCTTCCACCTTTTACACTCAACCACTTTTCTATTTTTTACTTATCGCGCAGCTTGCATAGCTTCGCTTTAATATTCTTCGACTCTTCTTCATCGCTTTCATCTTCCAAAGTGATCACGGAAGTAGCGCGCGCATTACTACAACTCCCTCGCGCGAGAGAGACGGCGATTCCCCTTCCTCCGACAAGACGACCCAAAAGGAGACGCCAGCTGACACTCCCCTCGTTCACGATTCTCTTCACCCTCGTGCATCCACGAGCTTGATTCTCAGATCGCATCACCCATCAGCAAAATGGCAGACAACAACGAAAGCACCGCCGCGCCCAACTTGCGCCGCCGCGAGTCCTTGTCCGATATTCGAGCTGCCAACCCCGACTTGGCACTGAGCGGTAACATCATCTCGGCCACCTTCAACACACCGCACTCTTTCGTCTACCGAAAAGGCGGTGATTGGGTATGTAACTATTCACTTCGCTTCGACTCGCTTCCTGGGTATCCCGTATCAGCTGCTGGGGTGGGCTCTCTAGCTTGCATTTTCCCCTCTTCCCCAAACGGAGCTCCCTGCCAGCTTCAGCTCCTTGCCCCTCGCGCCTTGTGCTGTCACATGAAAATTGAAGATCGAAAAATTGACCTTGAATTAAAAACTAACGCTTCTTCCAGGACCTCAAGTCTCGTCGCGGTCAATCCGCTCTGTTTGACTCCTTCGCATACCTTTCTTCCGACGCTACGCCGTGGAACCACACCGTCGTGGCCTGGACCGGCGAAATTGACGCTCCCACCGATGACGTCGTTTCTTCACCTGGCACACCCGCCCCAAACACACTTGGTGCCACTTCTCTTAACGCGCTCTCCGCACCTGTTCCTATTGATGGCAACACGCGCCTACCGACTCCACCACCAGTCGATGGTCTCTGGGTTCCCCGCCAGGACCAAGATCGCCTCGAGTACCGTCTGTCTCACAACAAGACTATCCGTACCTATCCAGTCTGGCTCTCCGATGAGTCTGAGGCTACATCTGAGGGCATCCTCCTCAAGGACCAGGCCCGCTGGCGACGATATGCCGAGCACGATCTTTACACACTTCTTCATTACAAGCAACATGAGCCAACCGACGGCCGACGTGAGCGAGTCCAATGGGCCGACTACTACCGCATGAACCAAAAGTTCGCCAACAAGATCATCGAGATTTACAAGCCTGGTGACATTGTCATCATTCACGACTATTTCCTGATGTTGCTGCCCAGCATGCTTCGACAGAGAGTACCTAACATGTATATCTCTTTCTTCCTGCATTCGCCATTCCCCAGTAGCGAGTTTCTCCGCTGTCTGCCCCGCCGCAAGGAGGTTCTTGAGGGTGTTTTGGGCTCCAACCTCATTGGATTCCAATCGTACAGCTACTCTCGCCACTTCCTGAGCTGCTGTACTCGGATTCTTGGCTTTCCGTCCGACACACTCGGAATTGATGCCTATGGAACTCGTGTACAGGTTGGAGTTTTCCCTATTGGCATTGATGCTGCCAAGGTAGAGAGCTTTGCTTGGAGTGATGCCGTGACCGAAAAGTGCAACGCCCTTCGCCAGCTGTACCACGGCAAGAAGATCATTGTCGGACGTGATCGTCTCGATAGTGTCAGAGGTGTCGCCCAAAAGCTGCAAGCATTTGAGCGCTTCCTTGAGATGTACCCCGAGTGGCGCGAGAAGGTGGTGCTCATCCAGGTCACTTCACCTACTAGCGTCGAGGCTGAGAAGGAGGACCTGGAGGATGACACAAAGGTTGCTACTCGTGTCAATGAGCTCGTTATGCGCATCAACGGCATGTACGGCAGTCTGGGCTTCTCTCCTGTCCAGCATTACCCCCAGTATCTCAGCCAGAATGAGTACTTCGCTCTGCTGCGAGCTAGTGACATCGGCCTTATCACCTCCGTTCGTGACGGCATGAACACAACAAGTCTGGAGTACATTATCTGCCAAAAGGAGAACAACGCTCCTCTTATTCTGTCCGAGTTCAGTGGTACCGCCGGCAGCTTGAGGGATGCTATCCATATCAACCCCTGGGATCTGAGCGGTGTTGCAGAGAAGATCAACGCTGCTCTTACCATGTCTGAGGATAAGCGCCAGGAGATGCAGTCCCACCTATATCGTCATGTCACCGAGCACAACGTTCAGTCATGGATCACGAAGTTCATCCGCAAGGTTTACAATGTCCTTGGCGATACTAGCTCTGCAAACTCAACTCCTCTGCTTGACCGTGCTCTTCTTCTGACCCAGTACCGCTCGGCCAACAGACGCCTCTTCATGTTCGATTATGACGGTACTCTGACGCCCATTGTGCGCGAGCCTAGCGCTGCAGTGCCTTCGGAGCGCCTAATCCACACCCTCGATCTTCTGGCTGCTGACCCCAAGAATGCTGTCTGGATCATTTCAGGACGAGACCAAGAGTTTTTGAAACAGCACCTTGGCAACAACACACGACTTGGATTCTCAGCCGAGCATGGTAGTTTTATGAAGCACCCTGGATCCGACGAGTGGGAGAACCTTGCAGAGACATTCGATATGGGATGGCAAGCTGAGGTGATAGAAGTCTTCCAGAAATACACGGACAAGGTTCAAGGTATGTTGACTAATGAACTTCTCACTCAACACAAGCTGACATATTCATAGGTTCTTTCATCGAGCGAAAGCGATGCGCTTTGACCTGGCACTATAGACTGGCAGACCCCGAGCAAGGCATTCACATGTCGCGAGAGTGTCACAAGGAACTTGAATCTACTGTTGGCGCCAAGTGGGATGTTGAGGTGATGCCTGGCAAGGCCAACATCGAAGTCCGTCCTACATTCATCAACAAGGGCGAGATTGCGAAGCGCCTTATCACTATGTACCACACCCCTGGTACTGCCAAGTCTGACAATGAGTCGGACACTGGACACCTCGAGTTTGCGCTGTGCATGGGTGACGACTTCACTGACGAGGACATGTTCCGCAGCCTGAATGCCGCGTCAGGTCCTGTTCTGGACACCAACCATGTCTTTACAGTCACCGTCGGTGCGAGTACTAAGGTCACTCTAGCAAAGTCACATCTCTTGGAACCGGAGGACGTGATTGAGTGTGTTGCTCTACTGGCAGGCGTCCAGGATGCCGGAGAGCGACTTGGTGAGGTCAACCTTGGCGCGCTGAGCGCTGTGGAGGGACGTATTCCCGCCGAGGAGGTGTAATGAACAAAATCTCAAGGCAAGAAGGATATAATTTTCGCAGGCGTTTCTGGACAGGATGAAGTCACGATAGACGGGTGAAGGGCGTATGGGATGGTTGGATGGTCCAATATGAAGCAAGACAGGATATCGAAAATGGGAGGAGAGTGATTTGCCAAGAATATGCTACCGATGAACACTGTTCTCGAAACATTCATGATGCCAGATATTGCATACGTCAATGATAATGAGTTAAACGTAATGATTGGGTTCTGTAGTAGCCAAAGCTCGAGTAACTATCACATCGCTATGCTACTTCCAGGGGCGAGCTTGCTTCTATCACTACGAGTTCGATACCGCATATGAGTAATCCATATGTAGCAACATTTCGCCAACTAAAAGCACTAGAGCTAGTTCACAATTCCTTCTTAATGCCCCCAATGGGGCTCTTTTATGGGAAGATTTGGAGTTTTTCTTCCTTCAGTCGGCATGGGAGTGACCACACTAAGATGACTACTTCGGTATGGAACTTTCACACACAATTCGATGCAGACTTTGCACTTGTGCTTCAAGTCAAAGCGAACCTTATCATGCGATTGCACCTTCACTCCCTGTCTCCGTCCTCCTTTCTGTGAAAATTTCAGCTATCTCTCTTGGACCAGAAACGAGAATATTCAAGTTAAAACACACTTTTAATCACGACCAGTATGGATCCCAAATGTGTTTTTTGTAGTCTTTCCCTTCAACCCAGTTAGAACGATACCAGAAAATTTCCCTCTCAAAGATGGCTCCGGAAGTTAAGAACAGGTGAAGGTACATTTCCACGAGTGACTTACAACTTTCTGACCTCGTACCAGGGACCCAACTGACACCAACTTGGGACCCTCCCTGTAGCCTGCTTTATTGTATGACCGACTGCTTTGGTATGTGGTATTTTGACACGCCTGATTTAAATGGACGCTGATAAATGCCAAACGTATGACTATTCCTCAACCACCGCTCTGTATCCCGCATATTGTTCAAAATCTCGGCCCCAATACAAATAGAGGTCTTGCACAGTTCCAATTACTGTTGAATGTAAAATATCCCGATTCAGTAACGTAGGGAGAACGACGTATGTCCGGGCACTGCGTCTTGAGACCATGGACAAGAAAGGCCATAGCTATATAACCACAATGGGGTGCAAGTGCGGTTTGTTGCTACAGCTGGATTTGTTTTTCAAAGATGCTACCAGACTCGACATGAATGAGGCTTTGGTAGAATGTCATCGTTTAGTATCTGCTAACCTGGAGCTTCCTAGATGGTGGAATAAACCGTCTCTGGCTGTCTCAAAACAGCTCTCAATCCTTCAAAACATGGTACAATCGTAGACGTGAATGTCTCGAGCACAGCCCTGCGCGTCGCCGCGTCTTGATCTTCTAGCCATGTCGATATGCCGTCTATCTTTAGTTTATACGCCATCTACCTGGTTCAGTCCACCCCTGTTTCGTAAGGGGCCAACGCCGAGAGCAGGCCAGTCACCGTGAAACGCCCTGCGCTTTCATGAGGATCAGCCTTTTCAACAGTAACGCTATGGTCTCTAACCTTGACACCTTGCAACTCTGCAGTACCATGCCCGGCCCCGTTGGGCAGATACTCCCTAGCATACAAAGAAATGTTCACCTGCTTTTCCTTAACTACCGATTCAATCGAATAAATAACTTCCTCTGCGACGGGAAAAGCCACAGCAAGTTCCATAAGCGCTCTGCAGGCTTTGATGAACGTCTCGAGGTGAATAGGGCTTTCCTGAATGGCGAAAAGGACTTTGAAGGCACAGACGGAAGCGGCTTGGATGAACCAGTTTTCGTTACGTAGAGTGTAGAGGGCACGAAATTGCCAGATTGTTGACATGGCGTTTGTTGCATGAGCGTAGGACATTGAGAGCGGGTCGAAGGGACCAAATGTTGATTTGGGAATATGGTCAAAAGGCTGGAGGATGCTGATGGCAACAAGATCGGCGCTGAGGCTAAAGAGAGTTTAATCATCAAGTACGAGGCTGTGATCATATTGTAGAACCTACTGTAACAGTATAGCAGTGGGGAGCTTTGCGTTCTCAGCTCTCAGTTCTTCAGGCAACGAGAACTTCCACTCCATGATACTCGAGTACAGCTCAGCCGCACGTTCAGTGCCGCAAGACAATGGAACTCCATCTTCTATAGGAATGAGAAACTCAAGCACTTGTTCTGTTATCTCAGTAAAGCTGCACTCGACCTCAAGAATCTCGCGCTTGAACGATCGTTGTGGTGTGGCGGATACTGGGTATGGATACCACCAATACTCCGGATTCTCACGTCTATTCAGTGGCGCAGATTCTTCTTGCCAGGTCTTTGCTCGTGTTGGTCTTTTGATGACGAGGCGGCGACAGAGGCCGTGCATTGGCTTCCTAGACAGGCATCAGATACTGGTCATTTGGGTGAATGTAAGACATACCAATCCCACACGTAGAAACCCCATTGAATCCAGGACAGGGCATGCGCTTCAGCTCTTTGTCTTGACCCAGCAATCGCTGTATCGGTTGAGCGATGTACATCGTCCAGCCGAAGGGCCATGTACCGTGTCTGCATAAGCGTATGGAGCCTAAGCGCCGTTTCTCCATCGCCTAAAGCGCTTTCATACACATACATGAGTGCTAAACCCTGGGCAACTGGTAACGAAGGGCGTGTATCTTCAAGCTGCAGGCACTTGGTGGCCTCTTTGGCGAATGCTTGACCTCTTGTACTTGCTCTGCCTGTTACAACAAATGTTGTTGGATTTGTAGAGTACAACTGACATCCTTCAAGTTAGCCAGCAAAATTAGAATGAGATATGAGGAGAGAAAGCCTACATACACAACTGACGGCTAAAATAGCATTGACGAGGAATGGCGAGCAGAAGCGAAGTTCTGAAAGTGCACTCGGGGCAGAAGGGTCGAGGTTTCGTAAGTCTTTTTCGAAAAGAGTTCGGTCGATGACCCGATTACAAGTTGTATCCCACGCCCAGAACAGCAACAGGAGGTGGCTAAGAAGCTTGTTGTCACGATGCACGTTTGTCCATCTTGAAAGCGGGAGAGTAAATCCAGAAAGGTCCACAAATACCGAATCCTCAGAGGGTCGCTGGGAGCCTTGCCATGCCTTCTCAAAGACATGTTCAGGGTGATCGTTGCTGGATAATATTAGATGGGGTATGCATGGTTGGCATGGAGGTTTTCGTGGTTTACTCACGGAGCAGTGAGTCTAGCTTGTGGGATCTGCGAAAAGCTCATGCGCGGTGCAGAGAAAGTCGGCGAGCTGGCGCTGCCAGAGGTAGTGGCGCTGTTTGAGGTATTGGTGCTGTTTGAGGTGTTGGCGCTGTCATTCCGTACAAGAGGGCTCTTTTTCTGTTGGGCGGTTGTGTTATTCTGCTTTGTCAGCTCTTCTCCTTGAATGTCGTCAGTGACAGCCTCGACGTCCTGTCCAGCGCGTATCCTCCGCAAAATCTCATCCGCCTCGTGAAGCTCTCGCGTCTTGAGCGATGAATAAAGACTCTCATGCTGATCGATACGCGCCTGCAGCTTATCGTGCTTCCGCTTTAGGGCTGCAGCCTCGGCCTCCAAGGGGTGACTAGCATATTGACAGTCACGCCCGCCGACGATGCAGGCAGAGCAGCTCGGTCTTTGGCCGTTGCACTGTTGACGTCAGTGTGAAGAGCTCCATCTTCAGCGGCATGGTGTGGTATAACCTTAGCTTTGCGCTGTCTACAGGCTTGGCAGGCGGTCTTGACTGACGTCCGCTTGGGGATGTTAAGTTTGGCAGGAGGACGCAATCCTGAGGGACCATCACGAGTTGGACCTGGCAGGAGCGCCCGGAGACGACCAGAGGCGCTATCGTCCATATTTACCAGAAGCAACAGCAATGTGCGAAACGAGTATGATATGTGAAATTGGGTGCGAATGACACAAGGAGTTGGCAGTGATGGGTCTCAACAACAGGCAGGCATCTCAGCTTGAATCAGCCTATCAATGAATGATGAGGGCTTGGGGTTTATGCTCAAACGAGATGACATGGCTCTTTCCTTACCTAACGGTAGACTCGACGACATTTTTCACAATAATGATGTATCCACGACGTCACCTGGACCCCGACCCCAGGGGTCCAGAGTTTCTGTCAAGCGAATCTGAGCTAATAGTACCTACTACCTACTAGATCTTAAGGGAACAAATTGTTCAACTACCTGGGTACCTAGGTTCGAATAGTGTCGGGAGTGATATTTACATTTCTACAGCTGTTTCCGAATAATCAATCACATATCAGGTAAAACCTACACAGTACACATTGCCTAAGACTTTATCCAGGGGGTTCTTGTCCCGCACATTTACAAACACCATACATGGAAAATATACGTGACAATTTTCAACAGTTATCAATCTGCAAATGCCCACTATTGACAAGGTCTTGCAATTTTACCATGCGGGGCTGGACTGTGGTACAGATCCAACCTCTAAAGAAACCACCACGAGTCGCCGCTATGCCCATCTCACCAACACACCATCACACTAATGTTGGTAATTGATCTGCGAGAATGCCGACTAGGGTCTTACACATGCATGGCATGGATGTGCAAATATTGTACAACTTCACGGCTCAGGAAGCATTCATCCAACCAAACTTTCCCAAGTGTGACTTCTCCTGAAGCAGGTCTCATCTGACAACCATGACTTTGTAAACATAACTTAATTATACCTAACTCCAACTTCCATTACAGCCCAGCTCTATGTCTGGGCAACGCTATCATGACTATATGAGAGACATCATCGTAACTGTCGAAAATACACCGCGTCATCAATCTGTAAACAGAGCCGCAACTCCATGGCCAAACAAACCGCCCAGTAACAAAAGAAATGATCATGAAATCCTGAGAAACAAGTCTAAACTAAACATCTTGACCAACGCCAACAGGAACGCTTTCGCCATCGGGTATCAAATTCAAACCCTTCCTCCCAACCGGTAATCGCCAAGGGTGACCAGCCCCTCTTCTCGGCACCCTCAAGCTAGATGAGCTTCGCCTGAAAGTAGGACTGTGCTTGACTAGTCCAGGCATGGTACTGAGAAAGATACACAAGAAAGTCGGAGATATTCGGAGGTGAGATGAGATGAGATGAGCGCTCGCTTCGTTCTCGTATGATGAGACTCTCGTGTCGGTGCAGGGGGTTCTACTAAACTGGAAACCCTCTACAACGAATAAAGGAAGAATTAGGTAGGACATCATGAAAAGACGAAAATAGTACGGAACGTCTCCCATCAACAAAAGCCCAATCTAACACGCTTATCGTGCTCTCAGAAATTATCCCGCCCTTTGAGGTTAAGGTACTAGCGTGGAGGTCGATATCTTCAGCGAGTCGTCGAACCCGGTCATCATGAAATACTGCCGTTGAGGTTTGAAAAGACACAAATCGGTAGGGATGTCGTTATATTGCCAAAAACAAAACAATCCGTAGTTCATTCATCGTCCATAGCGTATCTCTTACCGCTTCCGGGTATAAAGTCAAAATCGAACGGAATCCAAGAGAAAAGGTCATAAGTCATTAACATCGTTGTCGTCTCAAAACGACGGTGCGCGTGCCAAAAGAAAAAGGTCAGGGGCATGTGTCGTTCTTGTTGGCCACACAATCGGAAGGAAAATTTCAATCTAATAAGCAGCAGCAGTCGATCCCTCGCTTGTTGCAACAGCAACCAACGCCTCCAATCGTCCCAGGGAACCGTTGTTGCTTGGGCGCCCCTGCTGCTGCTGCTGTGGGTGTTGTGGGTGCTGCGTATGCTGCGTCTGCTGCGTATGCTGATGTTGGTACTGATGCTGCTGAAGATGTTGCGGATGCTGCTGGACTTGGGGAGGAGGCATCTGCTGCTGAGGATGTTGATACTGCTGGTGGGGAGATGGTGCTTCCTTCTGGGGGAATCCGCTAAATCCTGTGAAGTTCGGATGCACCATCCTGTCAACATGCGCCAGCCGCGGGTCCTGCTGTTCCTGGGGTGGCCTCGTGTCTCTATGAACAGAAACTGGCCCATGATACCACCCGCGACGCTTGTTTTCTCTAGAGGTCGTGATAGAAGGCGCCGACATGGTGTGCTGGTGGAGCGATCGCGGGGCAGACGTAGGTTTGAGGCTCTGGTATACTGGTGGTCGCTCTTCGAATCGAACAGTAGGAGGGTTGAGTCGCACATGCTCGGCCTGGGCTTGAACCGCCTTGTTTGCCTCGGATGCCCAACTGCCTGCACTATCGCGGGGTGGTGTGCTGTGGTTGATATCGAGACGCGTGAGGCCACGCTGTAAACTGGCATCGTACATATTGAGGTTTCGTCTTTCGTCCTGCATTGGGGTCTCGGGGAGATGAGGTTGATAAGGAGCACGCATATGAGGCTCCGGGTCAACCATCATGGGTGAAGACTGCCTTCTGGGTGGTGTAGCAGGGCGAGGTGGGAGAGGATCAAATGATTCGATACCAGGCAGGCGTAGTGAGGATTGTGAGTTTGATGGGTTCGCGATCGGTGGAGGTGGGTTCGGGCGGACGGAGGACTGATTTACAACGGAGCTTAGCTGACTCGGATTCCCATTGATATTGCGGCTGTCTGGATGCCAGGTTCTTCGGCGCCAATCGCTCTCCGACATCGACTCTCTGCGCGGCCACTGAGAAGTCGAGGGTGTAGGGGATTGAGGAATGCCGTTGGTGGTTGGCGTGAGAGCACCCACATTATTATTGACAGGACCATGTCCAAACATCACAGGTCTCCCCCCTGAAGCTCCAGGAGATTGAAATGGGTTAGCACCTGAGGGGACACTCAACCGTCGACCTGGTGTGCGAGTGCCTGTTGTATACATGCTGTGCGAGCGTGAGTGTGAAGTCGCTGGAGAAGCCATACCGGGCCCCCATCGAGGGCTGCTCTGTCCTGTTGAGAATGTAGATGAGGTTGGTGTTCCAAAATCGCTTGGAGAAGCAGCTCGGTATTGAGCATAGTTACCGTCCATGACACTCCGATACGATTCCAACGATAAACGCGACCGAGGATCGGCCATTACCAGAGGAGGTGGTCGCCGCCTTGCATCTTGAACGCTGTAGGCGGAGCCAACTGAACTTATACTAGTGATACTTGACGTTGATAATGATTTAGAATGTCCTCGTTGCGGTCCCCCGGCGCTGCCACCTGTGGAGGCTCTTGCCCTATTGCCAGCTTGCCTTACACGATCAGGGCGCATCTGTCGTTGGAACCGCGAGCCAGTTGCAGCTAGCGAGTCCATAGGAATGTTCTCGTTGACATGAACAGTTTGTGCATGTTGTCTCAGGTTGTCAAGTCTCGAGAAACGGCGGGAGCAGTGGCACTGAAATGGGCGTTCACCTGTGTGTTTCCTGTTGGCAGCAATCAGTACCACGACGAATTTACGTATTGGAGTGAAAAGATAAGATCGACGAACCTGATATGCCTCGCCAGATGTTCACTGCGCGTAAAGCTCAGGTTACAAGGTGGGTAGTCAGTACAGTAGAAACGCTGCGACTTCTTCTTCTTGCTAGATCGTGGTCCGTCTGCGCCTACACTCTCGTCGTCGGATCCAGCGCCATCGTCGATGGTCCCAGTCTCTCCATCGGAATCGTCCATATCTATATCTTCTGAATCTCCTGATTTGTTTGAGTGTCGTGAATCGTGGCGCCGGGGCATCTTCGGTTTGGGCGATTGTTCAGGTACCTGGATCCCTTGGGGGAAAGGACCTGAGGGGAGGGGCTTCTGGCTGGCCATATTGAAAGTTGCTCTCGTCGGAGTCGCACCATCATCCGCAGGTCTTGATGGATGCGATTGAGGGGCGGTGTTCGGTCGTGGAGTTGCGGACGAAGAAGCCATGACGTCTTCGCGAGTGACAGTCATGGCCAGCGGCGAATTTACTGGTCGAAATGCGGCCGCCATAGCGACAAAGATTCGTGATCAATATCGGCGGGGACGTTACAGCTGGCGGTGACGCTGTTGCCGTTGAGAAGTCACCTTTTGGAAAGGGACGAGAAGGATGGCCGCCGTAAGGTGCAACTTTCTGGTTGCACAAGTACGAGGAACAGCCGGTCGGGTAATCGTTATGCACCACTATATGGTATTTCGGAACTGCGCTATTCGCACTTGTATCCGCGTACACCAGTAATCTTGCTGGGCTGAGAATGCAAGATGACAAAAGCTCAACAGGAGGCGCGTGGCGGGTTATGATGGCCAGGCACAGGCAACCTCGTTGGGAGAATACAGGCACCCTCCCGGGGACGGAGGAGATGGAGATAAGAAGGAACAGCACGGAGGAGTCAGCACGCAACGAGACACGCACACACGGCAACAAGACGAGGTCCAAGGCGGATCCCGGGGGATGAAGGGATAGATAGATGTAAGGGGGTCCAAGAGGAGAGACAATGGGGATGGAGAAACAGGGAGCGTGTGTGAGAGTTGTAAGAGAATGAGTAGAGGCGTTTTCAGACTCCTACAGTATAATAATCACGACGTGCTAAGGCCCGCCTCAGAACATACACAGAAATGCCGGCGGGGGGAGGCGTGCGTAGTGGTGATGCAAGCGAGCCAAGGCCAGGGCCTAGATCCGTGCAGTGACACGGACCAGACTGAAGTGACTTATTGTTTTTTGGGTAACAGTTGTGAGAGCGGTTGTCAAACTTGTTCAGTGAAGCGGTTTGTTTCTCTCAATGCCCTTCCAGCATAGATTCCTCAAGATAATATCCAAAGCGCAAAAAGCAAAAGGTAAAAGCTGCGCATATAGCATATACTGTATACTGTAATGCAAAGCTGCGTGACGCAAAAGACAGGAAGAGGCGGGGAAAAAGGTTGACAGTCGCAACTGGCAAGTCGGGACAGGGGCATTGAGGGCAGAAGTGGCAGGGCCACAGGGACAAGCGTGGCGATGATGTATGTCCATGGTTACTTTACTGCCCCAAATCGATTGTCTTTGTGGAGTCCGGATCCGGGATGGATGCATGGGGGCATGGATCGAGTCGCCCAACTCTCTTGTTTCTCTTACACTAACGACGGAGTCTTTGTTAGTTGCGTTGCCCGACCAATCAACCTAGAAGCCAGCCACCTCTCACAACTGTCCTTGTTCTTGTCATGCTCATCGACCCAGATCAACGCAGATAGGAAGACCGACCAGAACCTAATGCTCTATGGCTCCAGCTGGCTTTAAATCAAGCCTGGGACTGGATGCTTCGAGTCTTGAGTTTTGCTGGGCGCGGAGCTATGGGCTCGGTTCAAACGGCGCCAACAACGAACTCCGCTTTGCCAGCTTGCGACCGATTACAGGTCAGTTCGTCTCGTCTCGTGGAAACCTGACAGGGCAGCACCGCGGGCTTTGGTGGGTAGCTTGTAGCAGGATGATTCGATGCTTGTCACTCCGTAGAGGTATCCGTATTCCTGAGCGGTGACTGTTGGGCACGATATAGCCTGGATGGGGGTGTGGAATCATGACAAGTAAGAAAACTTAGGCATCTGTTGTATCCAGGCGCGCGGGTCCAATATCTAACGAATGCCAAACAAACCACGCATACTGATTGGAGTCGCACAACACATTGCTGAATAATTTCACACATTGAAGGCACACCGAACAACGACTCATGCCAGTCAGAGACGTCAGGTACAGGTCACCTGCACTGCTGGGCAGGGGGCGGGCCAGGTACATAGCGCCAGCATGTATGTACCTGATATGACCCATGCAAAGACTAGCCCTGCAAGTGTTGCAGCTTGATCAACCAACGAGCAACAACCTGGTGGTAAAGCAAGCTGACGGTTGATGGGCAAGGATGATATTGTGAACTGCGATAGTACCCGACTGGGTGTGTTGTTTCTTGGCTGGTTGGCTGCATGGTCATATCTTAAACCTCGACTGCAATAATATTTCACTGGTTTGCTTTATGGCAATTCGAAGAACATGAATATCATAATAGCCAGAGCCGTGGGCGGGGACAGGGCACAAACTCGGCTGCAGGACTCGCGACATTGCCAACCTACTAGTTTAGGGCCAGCATACGGAGTACATGCGAGGGGGTTGGGTTCTCAGCCTTGGGTGGGGCATGTTAACCAATGTTGTGGGCGGCGCTTTGTTAGTTCGTTTGACTCACAAGGACCCCCAATCTGCCGCTGTGCGATGGTAAAAATAAACCTCGCGCCAGTTGCATGGCGAGCCAGAAACCTGTGTTTGACTCAAAGCGAAGCCGTCCCTGGCCGGCCAGCCGCAAGGGGCCGCATCGAGGGCTTAGCGCCGACATTACAGGTCCCCCGGTTTTACCGTTACCGACAATACACAATTCCGGCCTTCAATATCGGTTGACTATGAGGCTCTTCCAATTCTGATTCCTGGTTACCATGGACACACCTGTAGCATACCATATGGATGATATACACAATAAGCGACCGCTTATATGTACTAAGCTACAAAGGATTATTGATCGTATATCATCCAGAGCAGGTCACCTGAAGAAAGCAGGCTGGCCCATGCAATCTGATCTGACGCCGGACCCCTCGCCGCGTCCCTAACACCAGCGGTGCTGAGTGCTGTATGTACACACAGCTCCTCTTATTCAGCTTGGTGATAGGTGGGTTGGGAAATAATGGTGCCTGGATCCCGCAGGTCGGTGGGCATGAGATTCAGGTCGATGATGAACATATCGTGCGGGGAGCAAAGTTGCATCCATCCAAGCAGGCTGCAACCTTGTCTGATAAAATGCGTTCCTCCAATATCACCCTCTTAAAAATCTTGCCGAGATGTCTTTGCAGCGTCGTTGTTTGCTGCCAATATCGTGGTCCAATGATTGAGACAATGGTTCTGGGTAAAGTGGCTTAGTAGCCATAGAGCGACCAAAGCCCCAGTGTATAATAAGTCAAGCATGCCATCAATCCTCGAGATCTATCTCACTTGTGCCACTGCGTGCAAATATTAATGGCGTGGGGTTCTGCGAGTTTCTGCAACAAACATGCTTAGATATATCGCCGGTAGAAGATGATTAAATAAGGTAAGGGTCGTGATATAGCGTTTGATGTGGTATCCAGAGATAGTTCGCAGAATGGGATTCCGAACACGCCACACAGAGTCAGGCTCAGCAGCCAGCTCGATGCTGACCTTTGATGACGCACTGAGGGTATGTACTGTAGGGTGATGTTGCCAACAAGCGTCAACTCTTCTCAACTACAGTGGTAACAAACGTCGCAATCCCCTCGCCATGCAGAACAAATAAAACCAGTGGGGTTCTGCAACAAGTGCCTCCAGTGTTTGCCTGCATGAAGTACGTAGTAAGTTGACCTACTACGTATGTTTCACGGCGGTGTGTGCTAGCGAATAACCTAACTCAACTTCTCAAGGGGAATTGCGGCCAAGGCCAAGGAGCATGGGCCTTTCAAAGCCTACCATGTCGTACCTAGCGGAACTACATGGATATTGAGAAACGTTAAAGAAAGAAAGAGAAAATGCGTATTGCATTGACAAACCTGGCTCGTATCTACGAGGCCATGCAATTGAGTCTGCGAAAAGAAACAACTCATTGTATCTGTAAACCGTGTGAAAATAGTAACACGGCTCCATGTGGGTTTCTGTAGGCTTTGGCTAGACGTTGTGCATGCAGCTGGAAGGAATGCAGTTCTGGGTCGAGGCTTACAAGCTTGCTAACCCGCTGTACGGATGGATAGCTAATGAATACAATCGGTCGTGGTAAATAGTGGACCTGCTGTCCAGTAGGTACGAATACTCTGTACGTCGATGTCCTCACCTTGCTATGTCCGCCGGTGTGGAATAGCCTACACTTGTGTTCGTACCATCTGTATCGAAATCCGGCGATGCCCTCAATAGTCATTTTGGTGCTTGCGCTTGATCGGGAGGCTTGATGAGATGGATCGGAGTCAGCCGGTTGAAATTGACTTTTGGCGTCGTTCTAGGGGAATGTTTCTGGTTTCTAGAGTTTGGCGTGGCTGGTTGGACGGGTATTGAGGGGTCCTTGAGAGATCTGCCATGCTTCCAGTCTCGAGGGTTTTCTTTCTCCGAAGCGGCCAGTTCCGTAGGTAGTAGCTGCTCGAATGAGTTGGAGTTGCGCTTCTGAGCTGTCAAATCCACCAAAGCAGTTGCCCTTTCGTCTAGGTAAGATGGAGCCGCTAAGAGAGGTACAAAACTACCTACAGTACAAGCATCACCTGTAAGTTAGACCCCTCCAAGGCCCCTCCCTCTTGCTGCTTGAACCCCTCCGCCATGAACGATAACTACCCCACCCCCTCTTTCTATCCTTCATGCACGTCCCCCTCCTTCCCGTCATCAATGCGTCCTGTGACCTTCTATCGATAAGGGATAGCCAGCAACCTGGGGAGGTTAGAAAAAAATACGAACACCAAGCAACCAACACGCTGTTTTCAAGTACCTAGGTACCTTAGGGGAAAACAATCGCAGCAGCTTCTGGTACAATGTCCTTTGAAACTCGTTAAAAAAATTCGCCATGTTGCTCAAGACCTCCTATTGTTTTTAACGCAGTCCACCCTCTTGCATGATTCAGGGTTTCCATGCTTATAGACACATCCCGGTGATCTTTGATCGTTTGAGATTTCCTAGACCTCCTCATGCTTGCTCCCATTGGCCTAGATGCCGCCACACGCCACAGACTCAGCAATACCTACCTACATACCCCCAATTCCCTGCGTCTTCTTAATTCTCTTTGTCTGTTGGGCGCCAGAAGCGAAGTTCATGGGTTTATACAAAATGCCAAGCCTTCCATTATTGCGAAATCGAAATCGGCGAGACGTTCGGGAGCCGGTCCCTAAACGAGAACCGATACTCCGTTATTGGTGGCGATCCAGTTAGCTGGCAGTGACCATTAGACTTCCAGCCTCTTTCTCTTCGTTTTTCTCATCCAGCAACCAATATCTTGAAAGCGGGATTGGGTTATTCGGTTATAGAGTTATTATCTGGGCACCTGGCAAGTCCCAGATAAGACAGCTCATGCATTCCGCAACTCTCAGTCTCATCTCTATGTAATGCGCGACTCGCCGAGTTGTCGAAGCCGTTTTTCTCGCATCTGTGCGCCAGGGATCATTGATACTCGTCAAGATCCATGGTGAGTGTTGACCTGCATAAACTAAAACAACGCAACCAGCCGCCTCTAAATCAGCCGCCGTTTGCGCCTCGTCGCCATGACAGCTCCACTTAGCGTTGGTGATCAACATTGAGGGGTCTTTTCTACAACTCAATCGCGCAACTGCTTCATCATGATCGACCGGAAGTTTGGATGAACTGGCATCCAGTCCTATTTCCAGAAACCAGTTATCAGATTGATTTCCATTGTGAAATAGCGCGGACGAAACTCTGCTCCTCTGGAATGGATGAGCCACGGACCAGCTTACCGCCTTTTAGGCCTCCTGAAATCCTCCGGTTGCTGGGAGATAGCCGCCTTTCGCCTCAATACTATTCGACTCACACAGTCTGTGGTCTTGGGAAACGCAATGATACTAAGTAAATTCGAGCCAAACATAGACTACCTCACTCGATATGTACGGCACCCCGATCGTTCCTGGGCTACTGTCCGAGCCCTCGTCCTAGCTTTTGGCCCGCCGTCCAGCCATGCCACCAAATGCAAGGCACGGCGCAGGTTGACGGCAGACATATCCACCAGGGTAACATGGTCTCCAAAGGATGCCACACATCACGCCTTGACCCAACTCCTAGATACTGGCTCGCACACCAAGTAGATATTGACGACAACTAATGACTCTTATTTGGGAGACACGCACTTGAGCCCCGCGTCCGCCCATTCCGACCACACCCATGTGACGACTCCCTCCATAGGTAAGGTAGGCAGGGGAATATCACTCACGGGTCGGTCGGTAGGTGGGCGGCCGGTGAAGCAAGGGAGTTACCATAAACTAACCTACTGTGTGTCCGTCAATATCTATTTCGTCGGCCGAGGTATTCTGCATCTTCTTTTTGCGACGACCCCGCCTGCCTCGTCAACCTAGTCAGATTTCCGCTATCCAGTGTACGCCATGCCCTGGAATTCAATCAGTTTCTGGTTGTCTCGTTTCCTTCCACGAGGGTACGTCGATTTCAAGATGTCTTAGGTCGTCTTTGTTTCCAAGCCACATGCTAGTAGCCCTGTTCTATTGCCCGATATAGATCCACATCATTTGTCATCTACCTGTCTTGACATGAGCTTGTCTCGTCTTGTCTTTAACTTCTCTTGTTCGGGCCTTTGATCCTACACCGCTCTTTTATGCTCAAACCCAAAATTCCAAGGCCCTTACTCGTTCGGGTCAATATTCCATACATAGTCACACATGTGTTTGAGTGCCGCAGCCTCACTGATCAATCGACGTTTGAAGTTGATCCTCAAATCAAGCAGGTCCTGTGATATCGAGCTTGAGCCTGAATCTGGCTGCAGCTAACTTCAATGGGCCGAGCTGTTTCTTGATGGTCGGGTCCTGAGCCCGACCTGATGCCAACTAAGATGTGCTGTTACGTATCATGACTGCATGCTTCTCAGAGGCATTTCATGCAGGCTTCCTCATTCGCGTGCGCAAATGCAAGTACGTATGTACGTCAAAGTCCCATGATTCGATTCGCGATGCTTTCGTGCAACCTTGAAGCATTATTCACATCGCCTATCATGAGGAGGTGCAGTACAAGTCTGACGGCCCTTCGTTCCTCTATTCTCCGATCATCCACTCGATGTCATTTATCCGACCCGTCTCTCGGTTTTCCATGGTATCTCCAAGCCGGTGTGCTCGTGCTGACGCTCGGGTTGGCATTCATTCGGGGAGTTTGATACCTCACAGTGTTGTGTGATACCACAGATCTTTCATATGTGTTTGAAGTCGCCCTTGAGGAGGCGATTCTCCTTCTGCAGCTCAGCCTAGCTTGCTTGTGTGTCCGAGCCCGACAGGATGGTGAGCTCTAGACACCACTATCAAAGGATTCCAAAGCGTATACCTGGTTTTGAGGCTCCGCGATCAACGCCAAGTGGTCTATCGCCTCCAGCTGGGGAAGATCCCCGCATGGGATAAACCTGCATACTAAACAACCATATTCTAGATGTAGTAAGAACTGACATCATGATGGTTCTAGTGTCGATCCCAAGGGTCCTTGACGATTAGACCGCTGATGCTTCACAATGTGTCCAAGTTACCCCGCAGGCGGCTTACAACAAGCCCTCATCTACTAGGATGCGAAAATGATGATATTTAAGATAAATAGTGACAATTATCAAGTATGATGGATCTTAGGTATTGTCATAGACTGCTGCGCAAAACGATTTTCCACAAAAGGGTTGCGCGACTCATACTCCCAATCTACTCTATTAACCAGTTGGTATAGGGTAGTCTACTATATAGGGCCAACATTATCATGCATTGCCAGTCTATGAACTAAAATCAATGATTGTACCTTGAATCACTGCTGCATGAGAGCACCTGCATGATGAATGCTGGTCTTGTATCCATGCGTAACCACGAGGATATGAAGGAAAATCTGTGTGCTGTTATTGATTTATGTGTGTTCTAACAGATGACTAAAAGTTTTTACAACAGACTCACGGCACCAAAACTTTACATGGCGGACAAGATAGTGATGAGCGACTGGTATAGATCATTAAAACATGTCGATTGTCGTACAGATTCGTATCTAACAGTTCAGGTACTTCATGCGAACGACTTGGGCAAGGCGACCCATATGATAACACCACAGCTTCGTAGAACCCAATTGCTCATGCAGACGAGATGACGCTCTTTGCGTCATGATATACCCATCTTACTAATATGCAAAACTATTCATAATTTTAAACTTCAGCTCACAACACAATTACGCGCAGACGCTTAAGGGGCATAATCTCAAATGTCCAACATGCTCCTGATTTGCTGTGGTGGAGATGTGATGGAGTTTGTCGTCTCGGTGCTGTTGCTGCGCCCAGTAGATCCGGGACGCCCCGGAGCTCGGCCGCGAGCCGCGGCGTTGTCGCTGTATGGAGGAGGGGCCGGACCGTCGATACCGAGCTGCGCTTCGCGGCGGGCTCGGTCCTCGGCAAGGTTGTTAGGGAAAAGAACACCGGCAACAGCCTCCACGTGGCGCTCATGACGGCGGCGCTCGCTTTTACCAGTGTATGGTTGGACAAATGTCCGTGAAGCATTGGAGCTGATGGAGGCACCGCCAGCGCGATCGACTCTAGGGTTGTTGGTGGCATCGAGAGGGCGGTGCATGTGGCCCATCTCGATATCGTCGTTCTTGACATGAGCCAGAGCCTCCTCACGCAGGTCTCGCTCTGCTGCCTCCTCAACACGCCGCCCTGTTGCTCTACCACCACCGATCTCATGAACGTTACGGGCAAGCTTGTCCTTGAAGGTTAGTAGATGGTCGCCCCTGACGCGTTTCCACCAAGCAGGCTTGTTGACAATGCCAAGTTCGCGGTCAAGCATCTCACCGCGCTCACGTCGCTGGCGGATAAGAGCCTTATCTTCGTTGGGGGTGCATAACCCATAGAGGTACTGGATGTAGAGTATAAGCAGAGTCGGGAGGAAGCCCCAGCAGTAGATAACAGGTATGTTTCCGTTGTACTTGACGATAGAGTAGTCAAATTCCCAGGAGATAAAGCCCTGGTAAGCGATGGTGGCTGCTGACAGGGGCAGAAGGAACCAGAAGCGAAAAGGCACATATCGAAGGAAGCCTACGGCGCGATTGAAGACGCCACGGTGTCGAGGCTTGTAGTGCTTGATAGAGTGATAAAGGGAGTAGACAATAGTAAGCCAGGCGACAACGAGACAGAAAGCACCCGCCTTGAACCGAGTGCTTGTTGCCCCCGGGACTGCCTTCTCCAACGTCTGCTCTTCCGAGTGCTGTAGTTGAGTGAACTTCCAACTGCGTGGAACAACCATGAAGAAGTTCAGCCAGAGCCAGAGGTAAAACCACAATGGCAGCCAGAACTCGACTTTAGCGCGACGATCGTCGTCGCGTACGATGAAGGGGTTGGGATCAACAAACTGCCGTTCTTGCCAGGAGCCCCAATGACGAACAGCCTCCCAAGTCAAAGCAACGCAACCCATACAGAGCAGATACCAGAAGAAGACGTTCACAGTAATGGGTAATTCCTGCAAATAGTAACGATCGATATCGACACCAACGAAGAGACTGATAAGAGCAGCAGCGGCAGTAAACATAGCCCAGTACCATTGCCAGCGACGACCAACAGGATAGAAGCGCGAATCGCGTTGTGTGTAAACCTTTCCATGCTTGGCTAGGACAGTAAGGTTGAGGACAAGAGCAATTCCAAAGGCAACGGCAAAGCCAATGCCAACATACCCGCGAGTTCCTATGTTATCGATGGCAGTATAGCATTTAGTAGCATTGGTCCACGTGCCGTTCTCGAAGACGTAGGCCGGGGTGTAAGGTTCGAAGGTCAGGTAACACTTGGAGCCATTGGAGATGGTATTGTTGCTGTAGAAGGTGTAGTTGAAGTACTTTAGGGTGGTGAGGTTGAAGTGGACTCCGGAGAAAATGGTGTCACTGCTGTTTCCCTTATCGCCCTCAGGCCAGTCCTTTACAGCACGGGCCGAGATATGGTTGAAGGCTTCGAGTAAGCTATTCATCATGGGCGGTCGTTGTAATGGTGAAGTTAAGGGCGAAGGCGAATTGTTTGTTGTTTATAGTTTTGCGTCAGATCGTTTCTCGGCCGATTCGGGTATTTAAGAGGAACAATACAGGCGGAAGACTCGGGGGAATCTTGAGTCGATGCCGCGTGAACGTCGTGATGCAATTGGGTGTTTTGAAGGGCAATGTGCCCTTGAGGAATCGAGATGATTGTCAATCAATAGATGGATGGCGATTCAACAACAGAACCCATCAGGACATGGCTCAAATCGACGAGGATCTCAACAGAGAAGAGATAAGACAACGTCGAGATGAAGAAGGAAGAGAAGAGGAAGTAGGAGCGAAAATTGCCGAGAAAAACAAATGTTGTTGGATGGCAATGGATGGCAATGGATGGCATGGATAGATGCCGGGCATGCCGTTGCGACGGAGAAAAGCCTCGCGACTGAGTGGATGGCCATCATCATTTTTTTGGGGTACGTATTTCCGAGGGTGTGGAGGTGGAGACGCCGAACCGTCCGTTTTGTTCATGGAAATTCTCTCATATTAGATATTGGATGGCGGCGTGGGATGCACAGGAACTGAACTGGCGCAGGAGGGATTTACTAGGTAAGCATGGAAATGTCAAACGGTCTGAACGTCTTCAATATTCTCAGCAACAAGAGACGTGTCGGATATTGAGGCTACCTGCTTCAGCTTCGTCGAAACATCTGCAGACCCGACTGTTGCTTCATCATGCGATCCACCATGAGATGGTCCGCTTAGCACCCATGCAGTAATGACCTCACTGTAATGAGCCTTGTACTGTTGCTGTGCCGAAGGCAGCTCCCACTCCCTAACTAATCCCCGCGATTCTGCTCCGTAAGAGCCGCCAAATCAAAGAGCTTCCGTGAGGCGTGCCGTGTGCCCGGGCTGCAGGACTGATCAGGTGCAAGGTACGTACCTGCGACCTGCGACCTGCGACCTGCGACCTGCAGGAGAGCGATGCCCGAAAAGGCCAGCAAGCGGCCAGATACCTAGGTAGTAGCCAATTGACCAGCTTGGACCTGCGCCAACATCATCGACTTTCACCTGTTGCATTCTCGGGAACTAGCAACAAGATATAGTGGCCACTGTCACCGAGATCCTTTAATAGCCATGGAAGCAGATACCACTGTAGATGACGAACCATCGTACATCGACTACGAAACCTTCCTCGACCCTGAATTTTCCCCCGCTTCCTTTGCGAATACGTTGGTCATTTCCACCAACAACCCTAATGATACACCCCTCGACCTCTCTACACCTCTATCTCGTGTTCTCTTCGATGCCCAGGAGATTGATTCGCACATCGACGTTTTAACGACCCGCTCGGCCGTTCCACTGCTCAACTATACCCAAGAACAAACACAGGCCTCAAGGAATATTGTCGGCGAATTAGACGGTCAGATCCAGAGCTTGAATGATAGTTACCGTCAACTCGAAAAGGAGGTTATTGACAAGCATGCCGAGGCTGATGAGGTTCGAATTGTTGCTCTGCGGCTATGGGAAACCTTGAAGCTTGGTCGCTCGGTTGGTCGTTGTTTGCAACTAGGACGACAGCTTGAAGTCCAGCACTCAGAACTCGACAATGGCGCCGGCAAGGAGGATCATCGGGCCCTTGTACGATGCGCCTACACAATCTTGTCTCTGAAAGAAGTTCTTGATCGCAAGGCTCCGGGAGAGGAAGGATTCGGGCTTAACCGTGTCGATGCCGTCAAGCGCTTGCAGGATACGGTCATAAACCCTATTGACCGGTCAGTTCGCGAACGCTCGGAGCGTATTATTCGCGAGTTCTCGATCCAACCGACATCTACATTTGCGCAGGTTGAGGAGATTAAGGCTCGGACGGCATCTGCCCTAACAACGCTCTACCTATTGTCGCCAACCGGCGGCTTTAAGCCCGATAAATGGGTCCCAAAGCTTCTCCTCCAGGCTTTGGAGACTTACATACGATCGGCACTGCAGGCGAGCATCACGGGACTGTCCCGCTCTCTGGGCCAGCTGCCGACCCTCGATAAGGCCTTGTCTGATGTTATGGCCAAGTGCCAGAACGTCGTGTCCATTGAAGCTGTGCTCGAAACGACGAAAGCGCCGACCCACCCTCTACTCTCCGGCTCAAACCAGCCGAGTCAACCGAACTTGCTTCAATACCTTCTTGCTTATCTTGAGACGGGAAGTCTTGCCTCATTTTACTGGAGGACCATGGCCAGTAGCCTCGCTACGCGTGTGCAGGACATCATAAATCGTGGGGGCGTCGTGGCTAGAACCCTACGGACCAACAAGACTACGGTTGGGGATGCAATTCGTCAGACGGTCGTGAAAGGATCCCAGCTACACAGCGCATTGACGGGATCCAAGGGAAGAACGAAAGTGGACGCGAACTGGGACCGAGAGGTGGCGGTCATGGTGGGTAGTGTGGTGAACAATTTGGGTCGATAAAAACAAATAATAAAGAAAGGCATATGCCTTACTACTCAATCATCTTTAAAGGCAGATACAAAGACATCATGAAAGTACTTGTTTGGATTACCTCAGGGCATGGCCAATGCCTTAGATATGTGTTCGTCTGCCGTGGTTTACGAGGGATCTATTCGATATGGCGTGTGCTCCGAGCTTGTCAAACCTGTATCTGATTCATGCTGGTTCTATTAATAAAAGATCGCCACTGCGCATGAAGCTCGCCTCGATGATCAGTCATCAATCTGCCAAGAGATATCCAATGAGAACACGTTCGCTCCCCGCATCGAGCATCTCACATACATAAAAGACAGCATCTCATTCGAATGATTGTGATTGACTGAGTATCAGTCAACTTTGAACATCACTGCGGGCGAAAGCATACTCTCCCAGTCTTACTGTTAGCACCAACCTTGATCATTTCACATACAAAGCAAAATGGCGCCAAACCAAGGTCTCGTTCATCTAAAGGAATACGATATCAAAGACAGCAATGTGGAGCTAATTGGATCCGATATTGACCACCAGGTCAAATACAATTCTGCTATTACTGAGCCAGCATGGAATGATGGGCGGGTTGGCCTCGAGCCTGGACTCTTCATCTGGCGCATCGAGCAGTTTGAGGTCATTCCATGGCCCAAGGACAAATACGGCCAATTCTATGATGGAGACAGTTTTATCGTCCTCTTCTCGGAGTTGATTGGCAACGGTGACGGCACGGAGAAGCTCGTTCATGATATTTACTTCTGGCTAGGACAACATACGTCTCAGGATGAGGCGGGTACTGCAGCGTACAAGACTGTCGAGCTAGATGAATTCCTCAGGGGCACAGCGACTCAGCACCGAGAGATTCAGGAAGCACCATCAGACGACTTCCTGGCGTTATTTCCACGCATATCCATCCGATCTGGAGGCACTCGATCTGGATTTCGCCACGTGGAGGAGGGAGAGGAACCGCAAGAGACGCTCACTCTGCTGCGTGTGTTCAAGAATCCTGCCGCTGGTGTCACTGGCATTGTTGTTCACGAAGTCGAGCCCGTCTGGACAAGCCTGGATGACACGGATGTCTTTGTGTTAGACGTTGGTGTCAAGATCTGGGTTTGGCAGGGCAAAGATTGCAGTCCGATGGAGAAGGCAAAGGCTGCCCAGATCGTGCATGACATGACCGTCGCAAAACACTCAGAGGTCGAAGTAGTCTCCCAAACCGAGTCCCGCTCCCGACGAATTGTCGATCTCCTCGGCGGTGATGACGAAACACCGCGAGAAGGCTTTCACAGCAAGAAACCGTTCACTCCGCGCTCCACCGACCAAGCATCCAAGAAGCTATTCAGACTCAGCGACTCATCGGGACAGCTCTCATTTGGTCTTGTTAAAGAGGGCGGACGCATATTGCACGATGACCTGGAAAGTAACGATGTCTTCTTGCTCGATGATGGCGGAAGGTCTGTTTGGGTCTGGCAAGGAAGTGGGTCGAGCGCCGCCGAAAAGAAAAGCTGGCTCAAGGTCGCGCAGGCGTATGTGCGTCGGTTGCAAGCTGAGAGTGGTCTCGAGGATGCGTATCTCACACCAGTGGCCAAGGTTGTTGAGGGTGCTGAGAGTCGGGCTTTTGCGAGGGCTCTCGCTGCCTAAGATGTTACTCCATTGAGAACAAGCTTTAGGGAGCCAATGAAGTCTCTAGCTGTAAAATGTATCATATACATGAAAAGTCTTTAGACCTTATGTCTACCTCGGTCGAAAGAATGTAAATTCTGAATAAATATGCGAAACAACCATATCGTTATGATGTTGACTCGAAAACCTTGTCTTCCCGGTGATTGGATCCAGCTCTCATCAATGGAGATTCGTCTTTTACCGTTCCATCCATGAGAAAAGGCATTCCGGAGCCCATAGTTGGAGCTCGATCAGTAAAGTTTAACCACGCTATTGACGTGAAACTGGCGGTCTTTGCCTAAGGATGAACAGCTTTGTGTTATGGTTCGACCTGATGGAATTCATGGCAATACATACCTTACCTACTGGTATTTTGCGTATCATTGCGCCTTTCTATTTCATGTTAACCGCCTTGACAAACCTATTAACACGGAAATTGCTTCAACCTTGACAAAACTCATCATTCAACAGGTGATTGGCATTATTAGTGAACATCCTTCTCTGACCAACAAGACGAAACTCATTGAGCCAATCACAAGGCTTCTTTCGATTTCTATCCCAGTTTTTCTAAAGTTTGCGCTACCGAGAGGGGAGCACGGGAGATCAAAGGCCAAGGCACATCAATACAGGGGTCCATACTTCTAACCACATGGAGGTGGCCTGAAGGAAGTGCAACAATTGGCGTGCCAGTTGGTCCAGTTGGTCCAGATAGGCGCAGTGTATTGACTGTTGGATACGATGCCAATATCACCATCTCACTCTTTAATTAATGCAGACCAGAAGTGACGAGGCCTCCTTGACAGCGATGAGTTGGGCCTTTAACTGAAACCCTACTGCAACACTGGTGCGCATATTCTAGGTGTTATTTCTGCTTAACAACCGCTCAGTGAATCAGCGGCGATAAACAATGCGCGTTGTCCAAAGACGGCTGTGATTTGTGAAACGCTCGGAAGTTAATCTCTTGGCTTCTTGGCACATTCTCTCATCCATGAGATAAGACTGCCGGGCCCATGTGTGTTATCTGTCAGCGTTGACTGGATCGGCAAAACCTGCGTGACCACTGCATGAGGAACCTTTTTCTCTCTCTCGCGGATATATTTACGCGTTGTGATAGGTAGGGGAGATATTTGAGTTACGATACCACACAAAAAGACCGAACCAAGCTGGACCATGAAGGATTAGAGCAGAGAACGATATCGGTATACCCTCGTGCAAGAAATCCCGTCGTTTCAAAAGAGCTGTACATGGATAGGGACAGCTTACGGAAAAGAGTTGGCTCGTTTAGATTAGGACATCGGGTTGTGGGAGATGCAACCGATGCCAAGGATTGATTTGATTTGCTTTGCTTTGACTCTGCAGCAGCAACACACACCATACTAACCAGCCTCTCAACTCTCTACTTTAAAAGACTAAAACTACCTAACCAACCAACCTTATCATGGACCTGAAGATAGCGCGCCACTGACATAGGGCCACGGGTGCATTGCGTAACTACCTACTAGTAACTACCCACCTAGAGTATCCATTAGACGCCCAGTGATATCCTGGAGAAGTAGGGTTTGCTTTGCTTTCCCATCACTGGGCACACGGGCATGGTCATCGTCATTGAGTCCTCTTAGCGGCTAACCGAAGCTCCCGATATCATACAAGAGCTGACGATGCCCCCTCAAGCTAGAAAGCGGCCGGGGTTGAAATGTATGTTAATGCCTGCTGTTTCGACATGCCCGCCCTTCACTGTTGAATATTGACAGTGTCTAATACACAACACACAAGCCACGACATTTGCATTGCGTATGCTCCAGCTCAAAGTATAAGGGACCTCGATCTGCCACTATCTGCGGACGAAAACGAACTCCATTCAATGCTACTCACACCGAATAAAGCTTCATAACATACAAAGATGAAATTCACCTCTTTTCTCCTCAGCGCAGTGGCTGTGGTCGCCGCACCTCTATCACGGACCACCGACGTACGCCTTATCACTTACAACATCCGCCTTGCACCAAACAAACCCCAGCGCGGCGAAGAGCTCTGGCACGTCCGTCGCCCACGCCTCTCCTCCCAAATCAACTACGAAACCTCCGGGAGGCCAGAATCTCTTGTTTGCATGCAAGAAGCGACGTATCCTCAAATTCAAGACCTTCAACAAGACCTGGGCGATCAGTGGAACTATTATGGCCTAGGACGCAAGGGCGGCCATGGGGGAGAGTTTTCCCCCATTTTTTATCGCCCTTCCGTCTGGAATATCGAGGAGAAAAGGACCTACTGGCTCAGCCCGACTCCTGACAAAGTTGGTTCTCGCGGATGGGACGCTGCTTTCCCCAGGATTGTCACTGTTGCACGATTCCAGCATCTCAGTACTGGCAACCGCGTGGTTTACATGTGCACGCATTTCGATCACAAGGGGAAAAATGCTCGCGCGAACTCAGCAAACCTCATAACCGAACTTACCAACACGTGGTCATTACACCTGGGCGAAACCATACCAGTCTTTCTTGGCGGCGACCTCAACTCTGCTCCCAGCGGTTCAGCTTACAAGCATCTCGCCAGCAAAATGAACGACGTGAAGCACCTGGTGCCTCTAGCGAAGCGATTTGGACATTCGTCCTACACCTACACGGGGTTTACTGTAAACCCGCAAGACGATATGGATCTCGATCACATCTTCGTCAAAGACCCGACCGGGATTGAGTTCAAATCCTTTGCCGTGCTCAATTCGCTATTTGAGGATGGAGTGTTTATTTCGGATCATCGTCCGGTTGTCGTTGACTTGCGATTGAATCATGTCAGTCGCAAGCAGCGAAGGTCAGGGGAGATATCGGATCAAGAAGAGTAGAAGATGGTGAACTGCATTACCAGGGCGTTGGCGCGTTTTCACGATATGATACCCATACGACACTATTTACTATGTAGACATGAATGGAATTGCTCTACCTCACAACACTAACTGACACGCATCCACTACTTGTGTCCCCGAACTTCTCTTTCTCGACAGCCAAAGAATGCTTTTGCAAGACGTGTAACACCCTGTTCTTCACTCTTTAGCGATAGCTCGATGACGTACGGAATGCAGCCGATGAGGTCCCACGGTAGATCAAGGCACCGTTCTTCTCGGCAGTGATATCTAGCGACTGAAGCCTAAATAATTCGCTATAAGTCCCAAATTTGGGAGCTTTGAACATCAAACAAACCCTACAGAGATTTAGTATGCATCCACAAAACTGCTGATCAACCTACTTAATCATGAAAGAGATGGGTCCTGGCAGACGGCGCTGGAGCTCGGTTTTCAAGAACCCTGGGTTGATTGCCTACTTCGTGTTAGAGACGCATATTCCTACCCTCTGCTATTGAGACTCAACACCGATTCCTTCTGGTCCTAATCTTTGAACAGTCCCGTGGGAGAGGAGTAGGTTGCCGGCATTTCTCATCATATAGTTCACGAACAAGAGTGGAGAATTTTGGCTAGTTCAAGATCAACAACAGATGTTCGCCAGTGATGATGTACGCTCTGGATGATGGAGAGGGAAGAGTTATGTCCGAACAGACATTGTGGTATAATTGCTTTGTGAAATATAAGGTGGTCATGGTTGTTATTGTGATGAAGTTGAACGTGTTGATAATGAGAGAAGCGAATAGGCACTTATGTATATATTGTTCCAAACAGTGTTCTGTTTGATCCCCCCTCGCTCTACTTCTGATTGGCGACCATACCGCCCGTTCTTCATCTTACAGCAAAGACGGGCGTGTGTTGGAAGGTATTGTTGACGTCTAAGCTTCAGGTGCTGCTAGACTAGGTACTTCCTTCAGGCACAGGTACACGAGCACTCCGAGTATAGACATGTTTTACACTATTCCAGTTCAAGCCCTCGACTAATCCACCCTTAACAGACAACGTAGGCTTGGGTTGACCATTAGGCAAGATGCTGGGATGGAAGACTCACGCCGCACGTCTTGCAAAATAGCACGCTCTTGTCAAACTACCTACCTTAGGTAAAGGGCTTACACGCATCTGCCACCCCCCTTAGACCATATATCGGCTATTATGATATTGAGACGTAGTTCTAAACAGTCACTGTCGAGTTTATGGATGGATTAATGTTTAAATTTGGGCACCACCAATCGCTAGAGTTGATTTCCAGCTTTTGGTTCTACATTTCAGTAAGCAAATGGAAACATCGGTTTTCATCCAATAAGAGCCACGCCCGGTTAGCTCAATCGGTAGAGCGTGAGACTCTTACGAGTACGCGATCTCAAGGTTGCGGGTTCGACCCCCGCATCGGGCTGTTCCTATAAATTCGATTGCGAGCGTCAGCGAGGCTATCTTTTTGTCGATTTGTGCAATTGGAGAAGGCCAGGCATTCGATTTGAAACAGCTGTCGAACAGAAGCTAAAACCTAAGGTCGAGAAGTCTTGCGAGCTCCATCTCATCCATCCGCCAGTGAGATTTCCCACCATCGAGATTTCCCACCATCTGACGTCATCTCTGTCGTTGAGGTTGGCCTCTAATACTACATGCGACCAAGCTCCCCATCGTGATACTTTGCGAACCCTTCATTCCTATATCACAAACTCAAACATGCCTTCCAACGGCTCATACCAGAACCAAAATCACCCGCACTTCGGGTGTTGGACAGGGCCAATCCACCGGCCTTTATTGTACCTCAAGAGAGCCAGCGCAGCCGCGTCATATCCTGTACGTGGCATCTGGTTTTTTGTTCGAAACCGCGAATTTTGGCCTCTATTCGTGAGCCGAATTCTGCCTCTCTCTCTCATGTCCTTTCTTGTATACTTTGTTCTTTTCACCTTCACTTTCCTACCTCAATATGCCTTCTTAGCCATCTTTCACGGCTGGGGCGCGTGGGTCAATGCTGTGGTTCTAGTGCTGGGAGAGGGATTGGTCATTATCCAGGGTCTGTTTGAAGGCTTTTTTGTCGATGAATGTCGCGTGGATGTGTTTGATGTAAGTCCTATCGCTCTGAAGCATTTATCTTCTGTAGCAGGTTCGCTGACAGCAAGTAGGCAACTCTCATCAAGCTTGGACACAAAGATCTCATCGCGCCTCAGCGAATTCTCTTCCTGGACGCGCCAAACCCGGTTAGGATGCTTGGAAAGCCCACCACTGATGCCGTATACACGCCGTGGAGCATGATCCAAATCATCGAGCTCATTGTCTTCTTGCCGCTCAACTTCGTCCCCGTGGTCGGCACGCCCGCTTTTATTATCATTACCGGAACACGACTTGGCAAACTTGCACATTACCGTTGGTTCCAGATCAAAGGTTTCTCAAAGGTTGAGCAGAAGCGGGCGTTGAGGGATCGTGCCTGGGAGTATGTTTGGTTTGGTACAGTTGCCATGATTCTTGAGCTCATTCCTGTCTTGTCGCTCTTCTTCCTCTTGACTACCACGGCTGGAGCGGCCCAGTGGACGGCGCAGATCGAGGATGAGAGCAAGAGTCCCGCCGAACACGAACGGACGCATGAAGAGGATACTCATCCTGATGCACCTCCCCCTTACACGGATGATGTTGTATGAATTTTATGAGTATAGAGCAATTCTACCACGAATTTGGACTTGATAGGCCGAACTTGCACGCCTTTGGCTTATATCGTGCTGAGACACCTTTCTATGTAAAGTTATCATATTTTACAGAAGTGTTCTGCCTATTCGAATGGCCCTTTTGTTCTCCCCTTGCCGTAACCCCTTTCTTTCAACTTGAATCAACGCCCTGCTGGAAGCCCGGATAGATGACTAAGGCAGGCAACCTCAAGTGTGTGCCTGAGGTGCCTCATGCCTGGTTCGCGCGAATTCGTCCCATCTTTGTGCCGCCACGCGTTACAGGGCACCGTGTTGGGAGAATGAGGGAAGGTGAAGGAAGGAGCGCATTACCTGTTGAACCTTACCTCCTTGCTCTGTCCTCAAGGCCTGTTGTACACCTCCATTGTTAACTAAAGCGCGCAGGAAAAGAGACATGATGATAATACTGCAGACTAAACGATGAAATGAATTATTACATATATAATATGTTCAAATCTCGTTCTCCCAGGACTGTACTGTGCTGTTCGCCCATTTGGGTGGCTGTCAAGTAGAATCACTGTTAGTGCACACGCTCCTTCCTCTCGTGCCTTCCTCGCCTTCACAGTCGCGCAATTCCTCAGCATATCGTCCCAACAATCTGCCACTTCAAAAAGAAGGAACTCCTGCCTCGTCCCCCTCCCCTCAGGTAGCTCACGACGTATACCTTCTCCCACAATTCCTTTCCCAGCTTTCTTCTCCCAGATCCCACCTCATCTTCCATTCTCTTCATCCTCAAACCTCATCACCTCGAGAAGATCCATTTTCTCAGTCCTGTCGTTTCCCTTCATTCATCTTCAAGCCCCCTGCTTCTCTTCTGGCAAATCATTTTACACCCGGCTCGTTGACAACTGCGCGTCTCACTTAATTTGCCCTCTACATCCTACCCGTCAACTCTACTCTGAAGTCGAAGTTGACCAAATACGATGCGTGTCACCGCATCCATCGGGGTCCTTGTGGCCGCCGGTCTCTTCGGCCACTCTGCCTCTCAGGCCACTGGCTACGGGTAGGTTGCAACTTGCTACTGTTGAGCTTGAACTGACTTTCGGTGACAGGAACCCTAACGGCAGCCCGCTAGGCGATTCGACTGACGGTTCTGGCAACAACATCCCTGGTAGCAACAGTGGAGTGCCTGGCTCTCTGCCTTATCCAAGCAACTCTGGAGGATCCGTTCCTGGCTCTCTTCCCAGCGGTGTTGGTCCTGTCTCTCCTGGTGATGGCTCTAGTGGTCTTCCCCCCAACGGACCTGGCGATGTTCCCGGTGGTATCCCTAATGGTTTCCCTAATGGTTTCCCTGGTGGTGTCCCTGGTGGTGTCCCTGGTGGTGTCCCTGGTGGTGTCCCTGGTGGTGTCCCTGGTGGTGTCCCTGGTGGACCCGTGGTCATTCCTGGTAGCTTCCCTACAAATGCTCCTTCGAACGGTCCTGGTTCTCCCAACTTCTCTGGGTCACCTGACTCTGGTGCATCGAATCTCCCTACCTGCCCTTTCCGTTCTACCACAACTGCAACCGTTGTTGTCACTGTCTATCCAACGGGCAGCCAGGACGGATCTGATTTTCATTGGCCTGATGATTCTGATTCTGATTCTGACGAAACCGACCTCCCAACTCCCATACCCACCAATCCTGCCCAAGTCACTCCTTTGACTCCCGCCTCTGTTATCCCCCCCTTTACTACTTTGACGCTAGATATTTGGGGCCCTGACGGCAGCCCTTCAGGTACCGATAATGGCGATACGGGTGATAACGGCCCTAGCAACGGCAACAGTCCTGGCGAAGGCAACAGTCCTGGCGAAGGCAACAGTCCTGGCGAAGGCAACAGTCCTGGCGAAGGCAACAGTCCTGGCGAAGGCAACAGTCCTGGCGAAGGCAACAGTCCTGGCGATGGATCTGACTCCGGCTCTGGTGGTAGCCCTGGATCAGGTGGCGAGAATGGTTCTCAGACTAGCCCAGATTCCCCTTTCTTTTCTTCCGCGCCTGGCACCAATGGCGCCCCCGAGTACTCTGACAGTGACTCTTCTGCGGGACTTTCTGGAGCTTCTGGCGCTAACAGACCTACATCTGAGGCCGCTCCTGTTCAAACACCTGGCTCCTCTAGCAATGGAGCTGTTTCTGATAACCAGCCTCAGATACCTTCTACAGGCCCTGTCCAAGAAGCTAGTGGCAGTTTGCCCGTCACCACCCAGGCCGGTCCCCAAGGTCAAGGAGAAAACTCTTTCATCACCATCACTGGCCAAGATGGTTTACCCACTATTATCAGTAGCGGTGGCAGTATGGCCCCAGGTCAGGGACAGCCTCCCACAGCCCCAGGCTTCCCGCAGAACGGCAACACTCCAGGTTCTTCCGGTGGAGTTTTTCCAGGAGTCCCTCCTCCTCCTTCCGCACCTACTGGCGTTCCAGATTCACAAGGACCTTTCAACTCTCAAGCTGTACCTCTTACTGGTACTGGACCTGTACCAGGTATCACAAGATGTGCAACACTGACTATCACTGGGACCGATGGCCTTCCTACAGTCGTTGACTCAACATGGGTTGTCCCTCTTAACACACCTCTCTCTGCGGATTCCTCGCAGCTTCCAGTCACCTTCGATCCTCAAACCTCGCTTTCAGGTATTCCACTTGACATTGGTAGCATCCCTACAGTCGTCGGCTCGACTTGGGCTGTTTCTTCTGACGCACCTATCTCCTCAGGCTCCTCGCAACTTCCAGTCACCTTCGATCCCCAAGCCATTCTCTCGAGCATTCCGCTTGACGCCAATAGCTACCCTACTGTGCCTATCTCCACACTTGGCTCGCCCCAAGATGGACCCGGAGGCTCAGCTACAACTACATGTACAAGTTACACCATTATTGGACCGGATGGTCTCCCTACTGTGGTCCACTCGACTTGGGCTATTCCTGTCGCTACACCTGGTTTCCCCGGTTCAGCTGGAGTTTCCAACTCAGTTTCTTCTGGAGGCCTTCTAACTATCACTGGCTTTTCGACCTTTGCTCCTTCTGATCTTACGGGTCCCTCTGCCACTGCATCTAGCATAGACAACCGATCACCTACTACTTACTCAAGCTACACCGTCATTAGCACTGATGGACTTCCTACTGTAGTCGACAGCACATGGATCATCCCTGGACCAATAAACACCGGTGCCACTGTTAGCAGTGACCCTGAGGACCCATCCCAATCTACAGGCACTCTTCCCACCGGCGCTACATCAGACGCTACGATGCAAATGACCGGTGCTCCTGAATTGCCCTCTTCTGGATCAACTGATAGTACTGGGCCTGGGGAGATTGGAAGCGAGAGCTTCACCACATGTATCAGTTACACTATCACCGGACCAGATGGTCTTCCTACAATTGTCGAGTCGACCTTGGTTTTCCCTGGATCTGTCAATACTCAATCTGGACTACCTGGTAACCCTTCATTCGTTTCTGATTCACTTCCCTCTGGCCTGCCTACTGGAAACTCCGGCCCAGTGACTGCATCTGCTGGCTCCCCCTCCCCTGGCAACCAAAACAGCACGCCTGGCATCACAACCTGTATCACCTACACCGTCGTCGGAACAGACGGCGTCCCAACTGTCACTGAATCGACTTTCGTGATCCCTACAGGAGCTGCAACACCTACCGGCACGAGTCTTAACCTCCCTACTATCACCGTCGATGGTCAGGCTGATACTTCACGTGATATCGTTGAACCCTCCACCATCATCACAACGGCAGCCATCCTTGGACCTGATGGGAAACCAACACCAACTGTGCAAACAATCATCCTCAGCGATTCATCCGCCCTTGGTGTTTCAGCTAGTGCTCCTCAAAGCATTGTTTCTGCCATCACAGTTCCAGCCGCGACTGGCACTCTTCTTACTACCGGAAACTTTGATCCACTATCCACGGGCGCCCCAAGCCTCAACGGATACGATGCTGGCATTCCGAATGAGTCCATGTCGATTGTACTCACCGATGCTAGCGCCGAGGCACAAGGCGCATCCGCGACTGGGACAACCACTGGGACGCTTACATGGACTGTTACGTCTGTCACCGATGCTTCGGGAAATGCTGTGGTTTCAGGCGGCATTGCCGAATCCTCTCTTTACCCATCAGGTGAAGGTGTCTCGGACCAACTTCCCCAGACAGCGTATGGTCCTATGGTCAGCGAAAGCACTCTATGGCCTCTGAACGCAAACCCCACCAATCTGCAAACTTCGACATGGACGAATGTCATCAAAGCGGAGACTACCTCTTACACAATAGACTATCCTCTCACGACCCTTGCCACCGTCACTGTACCTGGAAAGAGATTGTTTCGTCGTCAAGAGATGTTTGCATGGTCCAACTCGACCACAGCTGTCTCAAGTATGACTTCGTCCTCATCCACAACCACGGCCTCCGAGACCAGTTCTCCTTCCATCTGTGCTACAGGTGGAAGTATCGGTAACACCACAATTGATGTAAGTTCTCATGCTCCCGCAGCCTGTTCTCTACTAACTCCATGAAGTTCGATAACTCCAAGCCCGGACCCCTCTTCAATCCTGTTGAAAATATCTGGTTCTCTGGAGGATTCCTCATTGCACCTCCAACCTCGCACCAGCCTCAACCATACATCCCTTCTTCCGGTGGTCAGCTCGTGGAGTTTGTGCCTCCTGCCCTCTCGAACACTACGACTACGATCTCAGGAGACGTCGCACAGATCGGTGTAGGACCCCATGCCGCCAGTCCGTGCTTTCGATTCGATTTCTTTGGTGCCACCCTTGGCTGCGATGCCCACGGGGACGAGAAGTGGTGCGAATTTGAGATTTCGGCTTACCGCTGGAACGAAACTTCGTCTACCGAAGAGTCCATCGCTTGGTCGGAAACGAAGCAGATCCCTGCCTGTTCTACATTCTCCGAAGGTGGCTACGGGCTGACTCGTGTTGATTTGGACGGCTACATAGATCTCTCATCTGTCTTGATCACCGTACGCGTCTCCTCCAATCTCCGAGTCTGGTGGGGAGATGATTTCCGCGTTGGCTGGACCGACAACAGCTGTATTGCCGCGTCTTGCCGCACAAACGCGCCGTCTCAGATCGCCAAGCGAGAGACTGTTCTATCAGCTCTGCGCCAAGGTGTGTACCAATGGACGCCAAATGAGCTCAAGCGCCTGGAGGACAGTTTGGTTTAGGAGTCTGCCAACTGAACAATGTCATGCTAAAATGAGCCTTATGTGTATTAACAAATGGTGCTTTCATGTCGAGCGATTTGCTCTGTATTATTGTCACGATTTGAAACGAATTTTCTTGGACGGGCGGTGTAATGGTCGATGCCGGGACATGGGTTTAATTGAGAGGCAGTTAGATGGATGGGAAAGCATCATGTCAGATATGATCGGATAACCCTTGTTTGCCCCAGTAACTAAGATAGTAATGCATGACTTCTTACAACCTTGATAAGTTCACCATTGCCAATTGTGACTGTTAATCTTAACGGTTAGCAATACAACGCTGGATGCTTTCCGCATAGGCAAGCATGCAGACTTCCTTCGCTATCGTTGCTCATGGTGTACACACAGCGTATTGATCTGGTAGTTCTATTTCTGATCCAGAGTTTTACACCATAATTCCAGTTACGTAGACAACGAACTTACGCGTAGCGATGGTCTTTGCACCTAAGTAATACTCTGAGGTACTCCAAAGATCACTGCCCACAAACTCTATAGTCGCTGTCTTGTAGAACTCATGGTGAAGCCTGCAATAAATGAATAGCGACAACATATAAAATTCTCTGAAAGTTATCTAAGTTGATAGAATACAGTATCAACCTTTTACTTCGAATTCTATAGAATTGGTTTAAAGGCTTCCAAGTAATCCATGAATTTGGAAAGTTAGAAACTCTGCATACAACCACAAGACTATTTGTGATATCACTCCGGCCACCTAACCTAATAACTAGCCCAAATCCTCTGTTTTGGTTAGAACAAATAATATAAAGATAACAGGACTTCCTGCCAGTTTACGTACTACATACATCCAAATGCCACACAACAATCTCTATAGTTAGCAACATGCAACCCCCGAGCACTCTCAGGCTGTGGTAATCGTGTTTATGGTTCACTCAGACAAGTCAATGGCGCATGTGAAAGCATGATTACACCAGAGTATCTCTTACACTAACTCGACTGTATACACACATGATTCAAAAGCAAGACTGAGCCATCAAATTCGTCCAACTCGACCCATGAAGCAAAGCAAAGTATTTTCTTCCAATCTCCAAAGCTGCCCAAAACTACTAGACCACGTCTCAAAATGCACAATGAGTACCGATGACATAAATGGTTAGTTACTCGATGATGCACTGTCGGCGTACTCAAATTCGTCGTACTCGATGTCGTCGTCGCTAGAATCACTGTCTCCAGCTTCATTTGCACCCATATCGTCGACGCCGTAGTATCCGTCGTCTCGGTCGTCTTTTTCGGTTGATGCAGTGGCAAGGGGCAACGGAGCCAGGTCATTAGAGCCTACGGCATGCTCAGCTTGCTTGAAGAAGATGTGGTCTCCTTGAAGGCGCTTTCCCTGACTGACAAAGCCCATCGGGCTATGAGCAAAGTCCTGACCACGACGGCGGACCGCAAGCCATTCTTGGAGGAATGTCAATGGATTCTGGGCAAGCTTGCACTCGGCTTGCAGCTGTTTATGCGGCTCGAGCTTATCCATGTTAATGGACTCATCGTTCACCGGGTCGTCCTTCATCTCTCCCATACTTATCTCATCATCTTCGACAGCTCCATCTTGAATCCCCATCAAGGCACACATATTCTCGTACTCATCCCACTCAAAATACAATCGTCCAGCGTAAATTCCCAGTTCAATTTGCAGCCAGCATGGTGCCTTCCAGTCTGGAGGGAGCGGAGGAATGCTGTGGAATGTCAGGTCGTTGAATAGGAGCATCTTGCGAGTGATAGGTGCCGAGTAAATAAGAAGATGTGTGGGAACATTCGAGCTGGGGTCTCGCATAATAGGGATCAGAGCCTCGGCCTCTTCAGGCATGATCACGATCGCAATCTCGGCGACCGGACTCCAAAGGATCCAGTTGACTGGGCGCTGTGACTCTGTTAGTACATTTGAAGGCAACAATTGTAGAATTGCTTACCAGGAAGTTATCAGTGGAGAGGTCGCCCTTAGGCTTGATGGTTCGGCCAAATTCAACTGTCTCAAGAAGTTTGGAATTCGTGGCTTTAGTATTCACCTTGAATTTGCGCCCTGTTCCAGTTCGAGCAAGAGCATGGAATATATGGATAAAGTAATTAGTATCTGCAGGCAGCCTGCCAGTTCTGATAAAAGCTTCGAGGCTGGGATTGAGACCTGGGAAAGAGTAGGCTGCGTAGTGCTGAGGCTTCTTGACCTGTCGTACAGACTCAACTTCAAAGGCCACCTCTCTCTCCTGTTCAACCTCTTGCAGAGCAGAAGCATGTACCGCCTTTCCTGTATCCTGGAAAGTCTTCTTCCTAGCATTGAGATCTTGAATAAAGCCTTTAAGAATCTCGTTGCTGAAGGTTTGCATCCCAGCAGCGCGACTTCTCGTTTTCGGCTCGTAAAGGTTTTGCAAGCTCTGCTGTTCATCTTGCTTGATGGCCTGCACATATGACTTTCGCTGAGATCTATCGGTCAAGAACTTGGGATAGTCTAATGCAGCCTGCATTCTGCGACAGAAATCTATACCCTGGGAGTAGTAGAGTGGCTGTAACTGTTCTATCTGGTCACAAGTGTTGTCCAAGAGCCATTGGATACTGTAACATACGTCAGAAGGAGTTGCCGTTCGGGGGTTTCAGAGACCTACACATCACTTGAGTCAATAAACTCATGCATTGTTTTGTTCTGCAGATCGGCAATACTTTGATGAACCTCGGGGGGGATGAAGAAAGAAATAACCTGAGTGGTCCCTAGCTGTCTAAGACGCATAGCAGCTGAAAAGAAGATCAGTAACCCGCTACTCATATGATGCATCAATCTTAATTACCTTGAACAGTATGGTCCTTGGTCTGACCCAGTCGAAGAGTCAGAGCGCCCTTGGCATCAGGAGGCAGCCTAAGATCAGTTCCACGAGTGTGTGCCTAGGCATATATTAACATTGTACTTTCGGAATCATTTCAGGCTATATCCCACCTCATCTAGATAAATCAGGCACTTGGTGAGGTCGTCAGCAAATGGTGAAGCAAGCAGAGGCGTTCTCCGTCCTTCTCTGGTCAAGATCCATGGCTTGTTCTCTTGGTCGAAGTACAGTCCAGCCACAGCCTGGGTGTCGACTCTCAGCCAATGTTCAACCAAAGTGATATTGTCCATTTCCAGGATCTGAGCCCCTGCGTCGATTAAAACATGAATAGACTTATTCTTGAGGCATTTTAATAGGTCCATCTCAGACGATCTCCCCAGGTATGACGATATTTGGACATCCTGGGGCAGAATGCACCTACGGTTTCGAGGGTGAAGAAGGTAGGTCAGAACTTCAGCACTGGTGTGGTGAAGACTGGGTAAGTCGTGCTGTTCAATATTCAATGGCAACATTGTTCGATTGTCGTTGGTACCACTGAAACCTGTGCTCAACGGCTTCCCCGATGAGCTTTGATCGTCTGGTGCAGTACTCAGTGGCGAGAGTGGGATGTCCCAACCGTTCGACTGGAGCTTTACCTCAAACTGTTTTGCGTGTCGGGGGAACACAAAGTTGTTTAAGAAATAATCAACCACTACCTCATTGTATCGAACAACTTTCCATATCTCACCAAGTTGCATCTCATCGTCCACATTGATTGAGTTCCAAGCTTTCAGGGACGAGGGGAAGTTCTCAGTACTTTTCGTCCAATTGTCATACTCGGTTGATGGGTCATCAGATTTGAGGATATGCTCCAGCGATTGCCGCAGCTGAGAAGGATTGACACCATCATAGTAAAATGCCAGACAAGTGAAGAGGATGGCAACGTCGGGATGGCCCCATTCTGATTGATCACTTGGGACACCTTTGGCATGAAAAGGCACTGCAATTGGATCTCTCTGAGGATGAAGACCGTATTCAACGTTCCAACGTTTCTTGAGGGTCATCATCAATATGCGGTTGACAAGAAGACCGCGAAGCAGATAAATCGTTTGCCTTAAGCTGGGTTTGTCTGGCGAGAAAGTTCGAATGTGGCTGATACTTGAAGATCTGGGCCTTGCCGAGGAAATGAAATCCTTAACAGCAACTCTGTCTTTTGTCGCCATAGCCTGTTCGGTCATTGGCAAGATCCCGCCAGCGCCATGACATATGTCTGCCGTGAGCCTGCTTACCAGCTCGTCTTCAACATCCTGTCGAAGGAAGAAAACAAAGGGAAATCCGCCACCCTTACGACGAATGACACTGATAGAATGAGGGAAAACATGGGATAAATCATATAAATGACTATCAACTAATCGCAAAACAGCCTCGGCAACAAGCCATCGGTGTGGGTGCCCATCGACCGTCGTTTGAGATCCAGAGGGGTAGATAAGCTGGGTTCTCACTGCCAGAGTATAATCTGACTCATCCAAGATATCTCGTGAAACCCGCGTGAGCCACTCCTGGACTTTGATCATTGGACCTGCTTGCGCGGGTTGTTCGTCCAAAAGCCGTTGTCGGCCGCTAAGCATAAAAGACATATGATGTTCAGGCTGACATATCATGATGCCTGCAGACTTGAGCATTTGCCTATGAATAGAGTGATATGCTCTAATGTTCTTCTCAGTAGTCGGAGTTCTGCGCGAGAAAGGTACATGCCGGATACCACGTCCCAAAATTCCCCCAAGTCTGGCTTGCAGTAGCTGAGCTGTCTGTTGGAGAAGAGCTTTTGGCACAATGACTCGCACAAGTTGTTTCTTGTTAGCAAGCGCTGCTGCCGCCATGGGGATGATACAAGAGGTCTTGCCTAAGTAACAGGTCAGTGATCGGAACAGGAGTCACAGCTTTCTTTAACTTGAAGTCAATCCAGAGCGACTATTTGCTTACCTTGACCCATGTTCATCTGTAGTACAGAGTTCGATCCAGACAAAGGAGAGATAGTAGCCAACGCCACGTCGATCTGAACTGGCCGAATCATCATGTTCGACTCAATCTCAAGTAGCAGCCAATCTGGATACTCTTCTGGGCTCCAGTTTGAGTGCCCCTTGTTGGATTCTTCCTCGTGATACCTCCCTGGTGCCTTCTTCAATGCCAGATCGTGAAGTCGAACCTCTCTCTGGTACTTGGTGATATCAACACCCATTCCCAAAATGGCCTTTCGCATTCCACTTCCAAAACCAGAGCCTTGTGTCGTGGATGCCACGGAGCCAAGGGAAGAAAGCAATGTGGCCTTCGTGACGATCGGCCACAAGTCTCCAGCTTTAAGCCAGAGTATCCTTTGCCGTGAACACACTGTTGAATTTGGGGTATCAAGAGCTGAACAAATTGCCATAAAGCCATTCTTAACGACCTCAGAACTGAGTTTGACTTCGGAGTCCCGCATCTTCATGGGACTTTTGAGGTTTTGCGAACTATCGAGACGCTGGAATGCGGCCAAGCTCTTCTGGAAGTCTTTGGCGTATCGCTCTCTGACTGCCGATTTAGATTTCCCAAGACGCTGTGCAATTGAGTCCAACTTCATCACAGACTCTGTCACATCTCTGCTTGTAGGTAGCAATGCAGAATCACGTTTCGAAACCCCAGTCCAGTGAGAATTAGTGAAGTTGGCAAACCCTTGCGGGAAGTCGCTTGTGCTCAAGAACGGTCGGTCGGTTGAGCTGTTTACTGGAGTTTGTTGCTTGGCCACAGTAGTTTTGAGAGTGCTATAGGGCTTTGCCAGGAGTTGACGTAAGTCGATAATTTCACCCCCTCGAATCCTTACTGCAAAGACCTCTTCAGAAGTCGGAACTGGGGGTGGTTCGTATCGATCCTCCAAGGTGCGACGGTCAAGAATTGCTTGGAAGTTATTGAGATGTTCAGCCAAATCCCTATTCATGAAGAGACGTTTCCACTCTGGACGGATAACTTCCAAAGCAGGGCCGATATCAACTAGCAAAGATCGTGACAAACCACTGACATTGGGTTCTAAACAAGGCCACTGGCTCAGAAGATGATTCGCCAGGAATTTGCAATCTTCTTCAACCTTAGATTCGTGCTTGGCTCGTTCAATTTGGAGCTTGCGCAAAAGTTTGCCGCTCGAGTACTGGCCCAAACCCATCGCATCGTCTTCCGGCGGAGCAACTCTATGGGGCTTGAGAAGCTGAATAAGATAATCGAGCTGTGGTGCCTGGTTAGATTGAAAGTGATCAAACTCATCCCACTGGGGTAGATCAAGCTCCTTCATTTCCCCAAAAACTGCAGAGGCAATCAAGGTTCGCAGAAGCGGCATGTTAGCATCTAAGTTAAAGGACATCGGCCCAAATAGATACATAAGCTTATAGCGGTCTGTGGTCTCTCGGGCGAACCGGATGAGTGATCCCCAACATTGAAGAACATTAACCTTCAATTTCTCATTCAGGGATGTCGCTTCAAACGGCACCAAGAATCCACCGACAGTGCTGCCCTGTGACAAAAGCTGAGCGAGGCAATCAGTGGTCTTGAATCCCTGTGGCCATTTGCGTATCAGCTGTGCCACTTCGAGTACATTGCGATGCATAATGTTCGTAACTGAAGGGCGATCCCGGGGAATGTACTTCTGGGGGATGCGTCTTGCCGCGCACAGCCTGTCAACCAAGTGTCTTTCAACGGCATTTTGCCGAAACATGACTCGTGCATGGAGATGTGACTCTCCCGGCGAGGGTAATTGGGGCTGTTCGACAGCAATCTGATCTTTGGTTGCAAAGGTTGCCAACGTAGTGGACTCTTGTAAGATCTGGTCTACTATGGGTCTGAATTCGGAGCTCTGGAGCCTCACAGGTAGTGATTCGATCCAGTAGTCTGTACGCATCACTTTGAGGTCAGTTGGATAGTAGACCCTGCGAGGTGTTAGTTGGGCAATTTTTTGCAACACCTGAATGGAAGGCGGAGTAAGGGGCGACCATGGCTGTGATATGCCCGCTTGCAGCCATTGGATAGCTTCTTCAGTTCCGGTGCGGCCAGTCAAAGGATCGGGCAAAAGGAAAGAGGTGGAAGCATGCAGAAGAGCTTTCATAAATACGAGAGTAGGTTCTGGTGCACAGTCAATTCTCCCCAGTGTTGTGTTGATGCTGAATCTTCCATATTTCCCATCTGGTCGAATTCGTATCACGACATGACAACCTTCTGATTGAGCACTCGGGGTACCCAATGGGACCAATATGAATCTGTGCATCGGGTTGGTAAGGCTAGTGCATACCAGCTTGCTACGTAGGCCGTACCAAGTGCCTGCATCCTGATTTATATCAATCTGACATTGCAACTGAGGCGACTCGAGAAGGCGGTTTTTGTTGGTGTAGAATAATATGTTGAGCCGTTTGAGCTCTACAGTGAGGTTTCGATTTCCACCTGGTTGGTAAACAACAATCTTGTCGCGATCCTCGAACGAGTCAAGAATGCGCGTCACGCGGTTGAACAAGGGGCTGTATGTGTTGATAACATAATCCTTTGTAGGAAAGCCTTTGTACACACGTGGCCTTGCACATGTTGAGTCTTTGAGGCTTAGAGTGTACCATCTGAAATTATCATCCGGCCAAGGTCTGTCTCTTCTGGCGATCAGAACCTCTCCATTTCGCAGGTTCCTAGTACCCTCAGATTAGTTTCACTATAATGCGTACTTGAAGTCAATTCCAGCAAACTTACAACCAGTGGAAACAGTCATCTAGTAATGGACCTGGTAGGTCAGACTGTAGGTTGTTACGAAAGGTGTCCCGGGGTATTAACTGTAATGAATAACGACCTCTGAATGCTCTTACAACGAGCTCACGTGTGTTATTATAGCCCACATGAACCTGGTATCCATGTGGTCTTACGCAGAGCACATACTGCATTGCTGGGCGAGCTGAAGGATATGTTAGAAGTGACTGGTTCCCGAAAAGTTCGTTCAAAACCAGTGACTGTTTGGGGTCTTCCGGAAGCTTGCCAATGGGTCGACCGTCAACCAGTAGAACTCCCTGTACGCAGTTGTAGAACACAGTTTGCTCGTTTGCATCCTCAGCTGCTTTCGATCGGCATGAAATCCAGTGAAGGGCATCTGGTTCTAGCTGTATCTGGTAGAAAGTCCTTGGACACCCTTCTTCTTCAGGCCACATCTCTCGAAGTGAAAGACGGAAAGCCTCGGGATTTCGAAGGACAGATTCTGAAATGAGGTGTGCTAGTTTGTAGGAGAGCCGAATATCTCGTATGATGGCATGTTGTAGAAGTTGGGGCAGGGCTTCCAATTTGACCACGAGATTGTCGTTCAACATGATACTGCTCTGGATGTAGGTTTCGAGAGCACAGTCGTCTAATTCCAGGGGACCGTACGTTAGAGGTGTGAAAGTTCGCTTGCATAAAAGGGCAGCCCATAGAGAGTACTGTTGAAACCGTTGTGCGGCTTCAGCATCATTGACCTTGTACGACTCCGTACGTAGGAGCTTGAACCAGCGCACACAGGCATTCCTAACTCGCAACAACAAAGACATCGCCTCTTCCGATATGTCCTGAAAACCAGAAGCCCACGAGAAGTCTAGCAGACGTAGTGTAAGGGTAATGACTGTTTCCATGAGATAGGTCTCTCTCCAATTTGCAAATAGACTGTCCAATCGGTGCGATAGTTGCTGAAGAAGTTTTCCGCAGAAGCTGTGATCGCGGAAAGCTTCATGAATGAGCCTGAAAACGCTCCCTGAACTGTCCAAAGGACCGCACTGGAGAGCTAGGTGGCTCAAAAGCAACATGGTTGCCTCGTTCGAGAAGTTTAGATTGGCGGAGGCTAGTTCAGTGAGAATAGATAACCAGCGCCTCGACTTCCCAGAAGCAATAGTCTGGAATGCGAGAAACTCATGAACATTGATGCCTTGAGGGCATCTGGATGCTGTTGCCATGGTTTCGTATGAAGAGGGGCCATACGAGTTCTTGAAAAAGGTAGTGTCTTTAGCGATTTGGGAAAAGGGCGAGGTACTAGGAATCTGTAGTTTGACATGATGCAAGAAGCTAAGATGTCCCCGACGGCTAGGCCATCTTTTCGACTGGCCATCACAATATGTCAACTTCAATCCATTGGGGCGACAAACGCCGTGTTTTCCATTATCCCATTCTACGGGGAACCACAGCGATGAGTAATGAGTGGTTAGGACTATTCATCAAGTCTAATTAGATCGCCATGAACATGAACAAACATTCAAGTAGGGTGGTATGTACTTACAGGGCTTCGTAACAGATGCCAAAGAACAGCTCATTAATGATTCGTTAGAGAATTGGTGTAATTGCTGGTAGTCTCTGACCCAGCATTTCGGGTCGATACCTTCTTCCCCCTGAAGAGCTAGGCACGCGATGATGGACCAAGTCACATCCCGGTATGTCGCCAAGGTCTGAGGACAGACAAGTTCAAAAATTACAGACTTGGCAACAAACGGATCAGATGGAAGAGGATGTTCATAAGCTTGGATGCGGATCCTTGCCAGCTGTCGCTTCAAGTAGCATCGGCGGCAATCAGGGTCATGATAGCCAGGTGCAAGCGGGTTGTTGTCGTCGACCTGGTAGACACAAGTACTTTCATCAATGCTTTTGGAGAGTCTTGTATACTCTTGCGATTTTGTTTTCCATTCCTGTTCTTTTGCATTGCGCAAGTTAGTTGCCCATCTCTCAATCGACTCATGTAAGTCTTTCATCTCATCCGACATTTCTGAGGAGTCGTAGACTCGATGGCCAAATGATCCGCGGACAGGATCATCAAAGATACTGACTGGGCCTTCGCAGGCAGCAATGCGATCTTGTAAGTAAAACTGAATCTTCTGGAGTCTCTTCATTTCATTAACTGTTGAGAGAAGCAGAACATCCAGCATCTCAGGTCGGAAAATGGGATGGAACTCTCCTAGTATAGGGTAGAGGCTGCAGATTGCCTTGTCCATACTGACCCAAAGATCCATGACGTTCAAAATCAAGGTGCTCTTGAGCTCAGGGATATTTTGGTAAGCCCCAGAAGCCTGTGCAAGGTAGTTGTTGACTAGGCAACTCGCTTTCTCGATAACTGATCGTGGCGAGTAGCTGGCTTCGTCGCAGAACGCGTTTTGAGTCATCTCCTTTTTGATCAACTTGAAGTGTTCGAGGGCGAACGACATTAAGTGTTGCTTGGCAGCTTCCGCAACGCTCACGGAGTTCTGCTGACCCAAATTGAATTTGACGGGTCGAGAATAACCTTGCCAGATCTTGTGCAATGTTTGCCCGCTAATCTTGAGATCAAGCTTCATATCTTCAAAAGCAGCTTGTTTCGGAAGCGGGGGAATTAATTTGGTCATGGCAAGCTTCTGCCGCTTCCATGAAGCCTCGATGAAGAGGGCTGCTTTGGAGACCGAGTTCTGGATTCCAGGGCCGAGACCAAGAAACAGATACCCGATCCTGTCCGTGACTTGGCAATTTTGCGATCGGTCATTATCGACATCTAGTTTGACCAGGCGCCTGCAAATCTTCTTCTTGAGGAAGTCCAGTCGATCGATGCGGATCCCGGAATGTTGAACATGTGTCAGAAATTCGCTGAAAAGGTGTCCCAACAGAAACTTGTATTCTACACGTCCAATTTCCCCTCCGAGGCGCTGGGACAAGTATCGGGAGATGGCCACGCGTAAGACGAGCCAATACGGGAGTCGTTTCCACGGCTTCTCGGCATTCTTCCAACAGACGTCGTCCCGTACCATCTTCTGCAATAGGGTTGGTGCAAGGCGGCGACCGTTTTGTTGAAGTATAGCTATAAGCATAGAAGACACAAGAGCGGGCTCCGATGTGTTTCGGTACTCAGGCATCGAAGTGCCAGCTTTCAGTGCGTGAGCGGAGAAATCTGTGAGTGATTCTCTAGAAGCGTTATCAAGGAAATTGGCAAGTGTCGAAATGAAACCATCGTCACGGTATGTCTGCAAGGGAACAGCCACCGCGCAGCCGGGGAAATCCCACTGGAGAGCGTTATCGGTTGCTAAAACATCCTCGTTGCGGGCGGAGGTTTCGAAAGCCTCGAACACGACTGAGGCACCAAGGACAGGACTGCGTGAGTTTAGTAGTGGGTACTTTGTGACAGGTACTATGTGACAGAGAGCACAACTTACTCTTGAGACCGCCGGATGTACAAAGCACAATTCTGACTTCGTACGTAGACCACAAGGAAGTCGGACTCTCCAAAAATGTCGTTCAGTTCTCGCACAAGCGAGGTTCTGTCGACATGTCCTCCAGAGTGGACGCTCTTGGTGGCGAGGAGACCACGCTCAACCGAGGCCCATATGTAGCTCAGGTCGTTGTTGGGAAGATCTCGAAGATGCTTTACAGAGGCTAGAAGCCGGTCGGTAACAGCATTCTCGATTTCGATCAAGTTGGAGTCTTGACGATGGGGAAGCTGGGGGGGTAAAACGAGATGATTATACAGAGCATCGTTGAGAGAGAGAGGTTCATACTCGCCTCTCACAGCTGTTGGAGGCTTAAAAGAAGACGCGGCCGGTGCGCCGTTCTGACTCGAATACGGCCGACCGACGGGCCTTACAGCAGGCATCTTGGTAAGGAGGTAGGTAGGTACCTTAAGTACCTAGGAGGTAGGCAATAGCGATGGGTCGGTAGGTACTTTATTGTACAAATATCTTGGGTGATAGTGGAATACAGCAGGAGCAGAGCAGGTATCAGATCGGGGTGGAAAGCACCTGCTTCAGCGCTTGCCGGGCGGGGGCTTTGATCGCCCGCTCTCAAGCAATAAAAACGGAATAAGTAAAAGAAGAGATCACACAGAACGTGAATTTACTTCCTACTACCTGAGCAGAAAGCAATAAGAGAGGTTTGGGATAGAGATCGCAGTGTCGAAAACGCAAAGACGCTGCGAAGAGAGGGGATGATGAGAGAAGGAGGAACGCGTATTGCGATGGGGAAAAGAGAGAGAATACAAGGCTTGGGGCGGATGAGGCGTGACAGCGTAAGTAAACAGAATTCAGGCAACGAGGCAATCGAATGAAGTGAAGTGAAGTGCAAGTGACCGAATATTTGCTTTGCACTGTTGGCTGGCATGCGGTCGAGCTGGCACTGGCGCTGGCACTGTTAACTTAAGCTGTACAGACGGTGGAAGTGTGCAAGTCGAATTAAACGAATATGCAAAGAATTATACTAAAACGGAGAAATGAATCACACTACGCGGATAGAAAGAGACTCGTCACATATGAAGCAAAACCTCAGCAGTCCAGTAACCTGACGCTATCCCACACAATATGACATCTCCATTTCTGCAGTCACCCGCAGGCTTAAAATAATATTATAGTTACGAATTTCTGCAGCGAATACGCCACTGACCAAACAAATTCTCATAACTGGTAAAAGTGCTTCAGTCACATGGCTCTGAGAGTGCCCGTTATCCTCATTCAAGATAAAATGCTGATTACCTACCTACCTATGCTATGCGGCTGGTTGCCTCGCACGCAGGGGGCCGGCTGCTGTTGGCCTTAACTTATATGACCAGGCGGGCCTCATACAAACACAACCAACCATTGGATCCTTAATTGCAACTCACTTGCATATGCACCAAGTCTGCCAAGTCTGCCGAGTATAAAGATGTGAGATGCCGCGAGGCTGACTGGCCAGCCAGGTATAACAGTCGGTCCGCCCATTCTTAACCTCAAAGTTGCCGTCCGCCGCCTTTTCGGTGACCATATCTCGGCATGCCTGAATACAACGCAGATATATCCCAGGAATTGCCTGTCCGAGATGAACAATCGCTGCAAACGCAATGTCAGATCCGGTTGTTTCCTGGCAACTCATCGTGTAACCTGCGGAGATGCCAATGTCCCTGTGTCGTCGACTCTTGGTCAGGCCAGTTCGTCGAAGTGAATATGAACGTTGGTTCTCAGGCGGAGAAAAACAATCTCTCGCCATGTGGCATAGGGTGCTTCTAGTACAAAGTCCAGGCCATCGGGCAGAAGCCTCAGCATGCGCAAAGCACTCCCAACAGTCATACCACCGTTGGCATCCACAAGGAAGAACTCGCCAGGCTGCTTGTCGGCAAGTGAAGCAGTGATCCGCCGTGCGTCTTCGCCGGGATCTCCCCCAACCTTGATAGAGTGGCCGATATATCCTCGTGCCCTGTGCTCTGCGACGCGCCTTTGCATATCCTCCGGTTTGTCCATATATATTGACGATATCACAGGGAGTCCTACATCCGTGCGGCCACCAAGCAATTCACAGACATGCATTCCGACTGATTTGCTAAAAATGTCCCAGCAGGGAATATCGAGAGGAGTTTTGGCGTGCTCATGGCCGACTAACAGCATCCATAGTCTCACTGATACGGTCCACTCTTCTGGGGTCCAAGCCGATCAACCACGGTGCTATCTCGGCAATGCCTGCTCTCACTCCGAGCGCATGTGCGGCGATATAAGTTGATCCGCCGGGGTACTCTCACCCCAGCCTTGGATGACGGTGTCGGTGGTGATACGAACAAAGGTGGCACCAAAGCTCCTATACTCTCGGCCACCATACAGGTGATAGATACCACCAGATTATGGAAGATCGGCTTTGAATATGTCTATTCTTGCGATTTTGAGGTCAGGTATGTTGGCAGGTAGAGGTAGAGAGCGACATACGATTGTTGAGAAGAGTGCGTAAGAAAATAGAACAGAATATGAGACATCTTGTGCAGGGAAATCGGGCATTGATTAGGTTGACTGTGAGCTATCAAGATTTGTTGGTTATACGAGGTCGTCTCCCGAGTTGGTTGAGGTGGAAATAATCGTGTAAGTCGCTTCACAGCTCGACATGTTGCTCAGTAGTAGTCAACACAAGGAATGTTCTGCTAAGTCACAACCCTGTGTTAAACTTCGCCGCTTACCCAGACCTCGAGACCCAAGCTAGTGAGTGATATATCGGCATAACAATAGAGTCTCCTGTTCCTGTTCATGTCCTTGGTCTTTCTTTTGCTGTAGTTGACATCGTTCGTCAGCAAATGTGGATACCCTACGACTCCAGAAACCGACACCCAAAGCACAACAAAAGTTCAGTGACTTACCAAGGAAAGATTGCAACATATAGCAGCAACAATGGCGATATCACGCAATGTAATATGATTTAACTGATGAAGCCGTTTGTTGATTATCAATCCACCTTACCCCGCCTGCATATGTCAGCAGAGAAGGCGTCTCAATTGCGATGACATTTGTACAAGAGCAACAGCCTCCCGTCTTGGGAATTGGTTAACTTTCCGAAGCCAGAAACAAGAAAGAGCACTAAAGTCGCTAACAAACAAACCTCTCTTGTAAATCAGTTATCTCTACCTACGCAAGAAATAATGTCTCAGCCAACTCAACGACAAGCATGGCGTCGAACGGATGACTACACCAAAGACACCCCCAAAGTGAAGCTCGTCACCGAAGATCTTCCTCTTCCTCTCCACCCTACAGCTGTTCTTATCAAAATTCACGCTGTCGCTCTGAACTACCGCGATGCCAATATTGCCAACGGCGGTAATCCCTGGCCTGTTACTCCCAATGGTGTCCCTGGCAATGACGCAGCCGGTGAAGTTGTCTCGGTTGGTAATAGAGTTTCGCTCGTCTCAGTAGGTGACCGTGTTGCTCCTATCACTGATTCGGAATTTGTGAATGCTCGATCGACTGGCAGGTCTTGGCTCGCCGCCAATGAAGACGGTCTCTTGGCCACTTATATTGTTTTTGACGAGAACTTGGTTACTAAACTCCCAGATCATCTTGACTGGATTCAAGCCTCTATCATACCTTGTGCTGGTACAACTGCATGGTCTGCCCTCAAGGGGGCCACCATCGGCCAAACTGTTCTTATCCAAGGTAGCCTCTCCCCAAGACTGAACCGAAGCATCTATTGACAGATTTCTAGGCACTGGGGGCGTTTCCACCTTCGCCCTTAAACTCGCCCGTGCCTCTAGTCTCAGGGTCATCCTTACTTCCTCAAGCGATGAGAAGTTAGAGCAGATCAAGAAGCAATTTGGAAAGCCAGAGATCCAAACCGTCAACTACAAGACACACCCAGAATGGGAGAAGGAAATCCTTCGCCTAACAAACGGCATTGGCGTTGATCTCGTTATTGAGAACGGCGGTAGCAGCTCACTCGTCCGGTCTATGGAGTGCACCCGGCGAGGAGGAATTATCAGCCAGGTTGGTTATTTGGGCGGCCCCAAAACAGAGCACCTCAAGGAATTTGTGTCTACCATCATCGATCGACGGCTCAATGTACGGGGCATCAACGCTGGCTCCAAGGACGATCAGGACGAACTTATGGCTGCTATTTCGGCAACGCAAATGACTTTCGAGGATATTCTTGACTCGACTTGGTCATTTGATAAAGCTGAGGAGGCGATTGAGTATGTCTGGCAAGGGAAGCAAATTGGAAAAGTCGTTATTGAGCTTGATAGGTAAAACGAGGTTCACATTACGGATGTAGAGACAAGATTAGCAAGTATTTATTTATAGGAGAGTCAATACAACACCAGGTTTTGTTTCACGGGTCAGCCAAGGTGAATATATGCTTTGAAAGAGCAAAAGTTATTCTTCAGACCATTGGTGCACATTCTTTTATAATCTTAATAATGTAGTCCTAAACACCTAGACGCCGGACCTTCCTATCCCTCGTCTACTTGCAATTCCAAAGAAAGAACACCACTTAAATATTATCCGTCCACCCTGCTCCCGTTCTCTTCATGCGTCTCTTCTTCGCCGCAATCAAAAACCCAGCACCCAACAGCATAGCCGTTCCCGCGAACGCCTGCGCTCCCTTGTAACCACCTTCATGATCAATAATTGCTCCTGCGATCGGGGGTCCTGTCAGCGTCGCAAAGCTCGCAACCGTAAACGCCATACCAATTCTCGAGCCGATCTTGCTCAGATCTTCCGTCAGTAGCGACACGCCGGTGGGGAACAGACTTTGAATTGCTGCAGCTATGATGCCGTAGAGGACAGACCATGCATAGAGCCCAGGCTTATCAGAGACGGCCATCCAGCAGTACAGCACATTGACGCGACCAGCGCGTGTGGTGCAAAGACGTTAATGGCGCCAGTATAGTCGGCCACCCAATTGGATAGCACACGCCCTATGACGCCGACGCCATTAAGGATTATGACTAGGTCAAGAGAGTCAGCAAAGGCCAAGGGCGGATGAATGGCGGTTTGAGAGTACGCTGCGATAAAGTAGTAAGCAAGATAGACGGCCAGGCAAGTAAAGAAGGAGGCGATAACGTACAGCGTATACTCGATATCCATAAAGGCAGAAAAGTCAATCAAAGGACCGGATCGTTGCGGTTTGATTCTCGGTTTGGCCAAGACCAGAGCAATTGTCAAGGCGACCAGCTGCACAAAGCCCGTGATCCTCAAAGTCCACGCAAAACCAACCTTGGGGAGGAGAAGCCGTACTATGATAGGGAACAAGACCCCTCCTGTGGCACTTCCGCACGCAGCAATTCCCATAGCCAAGGCTCGTCGCTTAGCAAAGTACGTCGAAAGAACCGCCAAGACAGGGCAAAACACACAGCTATGCCCCAGCCCGACAACGACGCCCTGAACAGCAAAGTAGTGCCAGTAGTGTGTACTTACAGAAGTGGCCATCACTCCAGAGACTTGAAGGACAATGCCTACACTGAAGACCCAGCGAAAGTAGCCGGCGTCGACGAGACGGCCTGTCAAGGCTCCAACAAAGAAGAGAAGGAAAATGCTGATTGATCCGATCCACGAGACCCTGCTTGCAGGAAGGGAAAGGCTCTGGGTGTAGTAGGCTTGGAAGATGCCGAATGAGTTAACCCAGCCCCAAGTGTTCATGTACACGAGATGGCTTGACAGAACAACGCACCAGGCTCTCCACCCACCATCAGGAGGCGGCGCTGGCACAGAGTCATCGCTCGATGAGCCATGACTTACCACTTCTTCAAGAATGCTCTGGCCAAACTCTTCAGGCACCCCGTCTGTATAGGTCGTCTCTAGGTCTGGATGCTGAGAACTAAAAGACTCTAGCTCGATGTTGTGATCGATCTGGCTCATGTTGGCGACGTTTGAAGAGATAGGTTCGCTAGTATCGTCTCGATAGCAGGCCAACTTTTTGTTTCCTGTTAATAAAAAAGAAGAAGCTGAACGCCGTTGAGATGGTTGGGAGGATCTAGACCCCAAAGGACGTAGGATGAGGTAGTTTATATACATATTTATTTGCATTTGTATTGTCCGATGAACATCCGCTCTCACGATTTTGTTCGCCAGATCTGCCGCTTCGTCTGATCGTCCGCCTCGAATCGTGGAACAACAGTACTACAGCACCGAAAGCATAGCCGAACACAGCAAAAATGCATAATCATACAAATACCCGACAAGAAAGGGGCATAGGCGTTGTCTGGAAAAGGAAAGTGTTCATCGTAATGTATTGCCATACACGCAAGCTATCCACGGCTCATATCGTGGACTCTGTACAATTGAAACATCATACTTACAATACTTGATACCCAACCCTCCGGCGAATGGACACATTCAAACCTGCCAGCTTGTTCCGATCCACGAATATTTACTTCCGAGCCCAGTACAAATGCATTCCGTCCGCAAGCTCGACTCCAAAAAAGATGCCCGTCCTCCCAGCTTTATGTGATCGCATTTCTTTTGTCCACCGATTCGAGTATTTCGTGACTGCTGCAAACTTCCTTCATTCATTTTCCAGATCTACATGACAACCTAAAAAATATGTTAGCTCTTTATTCGGATACCCGAAACTACCAGACAAACTTACACAATCATTGTCTTGTTTTCCTTGAGGGATACCCATATCCTCAAATGTCGCTGGCCCTTGTTTACCACCCTTCGAAGGGGGCATAGTTGAAGCACTAGGAGCCGGGCTCGGCTTGTTATCTGGCCTCTGGAACTGTGATGGGGGTGCGCTCCCAGTCCTCGGGGGACCGAATGAGCCCCCTTGGGGCCCTCCTTGAGGTCCACCAAAAGGTCCCGGCGAGGGTCTGCCGCCGGGCCCGGCACCGCCTGACAGCATGGGGGGTTGAGCACTCGAGGTACGTGGGGGTCGCGCGTTAGCCGGAGGAGACTGGGGTTGCTGATTCTGAGGAAGAGAACTCATGCGATCGGGGCGGCCACTGGCTCCAGGCACACGTGAGAAACGCTCGTAGTTCTGGGACTGCGGGTTCTGCAGACCCGGTGAGTATTGGCCACCAGTGGGTGTCTTTTGGAGACCGCCTGGGTATTGAGCTCCATGATCCTCTGGGTAAGGGGAGGGACGTCCTCCAGGGCTTGGTTGCCCCCCTTCCCATCCTGTAGACGCAGCTCTGTTACGGGGATCAGGGCGGCCAGGACCTCCAGGGCCTCCGGGATGCAAGTTGCCCAAAGATTGAGACTGGGGCATGGGCCGAGGGCCAGCTCCTGGCTGCGGCTTGATGCCGAATGCACTTGATGGGCGATCTGAGGGAGGGCCCATGCGTGAGCCCTGGTTGAAATGAGAACCTGCTGCCTGGGTGTCGTCCTCGGGGTACGGGGCAGTCGATTTGGAACGCACTGTGAGGGGCGGTGGTCGATCGTCTTCGGGGTAAGGAGCCGCCGATTGCGGTCGGGCTGGAGGCTGGTTGGCGTCCAACCGTACGTTGAAAGCAGGAGGCCTATCTGCTGAAGCCACTGCTGGCAGTACGAAAGAAGCTCGCGAAGGATCGGGGAAGTTGACTTGCTCCGAGACGATAGTAGGTCGCATCCCAAGAGAGTTGGACGCTGCCCCATGAGGATCTGACTGTGGCTTCGGGTAACCTGGGCCGTCAAGCGAGGGAGAGGCAGGGTTACTTCCCTCACTGAGGGTCGGCATCTGTTGTGATGGCTGCTTGAAGCGGTCGGGGCGTTTACCTCGCTGAGATCCATGTTGCGATTTGATACGGGTGAGTGTGGTAGTCTCATGGTCAGACTTGGACAAAGTGCTGTTCTCGTCCAGAGAATCAAGTCGGCCCAGGGCGTCCTGGTTCCCGTGATCCGCGGCAAGTTGATACCATTTTCGGGCTTCCGCCAAGCTCTTGTCGACATGAATTCCTATCTCATTGTAGTAGCCTAAAGCGAATTCTCCCGTAGGTAGCTTAGCAGCGGCAGCTTCTTGGGCATACTTATATGCCAGCGACTCGTTCTTTTTGAAAACACCCTCATAGCCGAAAAGGAACCACCGACTCACGCCGAGGGCTGCCTCCGGCAGGCCTTGCTTAGCCGCAAGCCCGTAGTAATGAAGGGAAAAGGACGGGTTAAAGTCGCATCCAAACTGACAAAGTTCGTATGCCTGTCCCATCTTGAGTTGTGCCTTGGCAAAGCCCAGATATGCTGACTTTTCAATATACATCTTGGTGGTCAAGGGTGTGTTGGGCAGTAGACCGTCAGGGATGGTTATATCTGGTAGGTCACGTCCTATAAGCATGCCATACACATAAGCACCTTGGGGAGCATCTTCATCGGAGCTGTCTGCCGCAGCATTAATCCGTTCCAGGCCAGTGGAATAGTCCTTAGTCTCGCCATGTTGACCCAAAAGACTCATCATACCCATTCGGTACAATGAAGCCGAGTCTTTGAGGGAAAGACCGCGGTAGTAGTGCTCCTTGGCCTTGGACATGTCGTTGGATTGCTCATACAACATACCCATGCGGTATTCGGATCTTCCATGCCCAAGCTCCGCAGCACGCTTGTAGCCAATATAAGCCTCACGCTTATCGACGCGATTGCCAAACTTGCCAAACTCGAGCCATTTTGACCGCATGTATAATGCTTCAGGGTGCTCTTGTTGCGACAAGTATGTGATGATATTGATAGCATCGACTCGGAGTTCGTGTTCTATGCGGGGCGTAGCAGGACGGGCCTTCTCACCATACTCCCGAATCATGGACTCCTGGGAAATATCGGCCCAAGTAAGGACGTCGCGCGCCCATGTAATTTGCATGGAGACATTTTGTGAGTGAAGAACATGCTTGCGCGCATTCCAGAGTATTTCTTCTTTTTCCTCATCGGTTGGGGGAATATTATCGCCCTTGACCTTGGGGAATGGCGAAAATGAGGGGGCGTCGAAGCTCATGGCGCCGAGACTCTCGGTGATCTTATCGGTGGACTGGTATGCTCGAATGTCGTCGTTTGAAACTTGTGTAGCAACCTGCGGCCGAGGCGGGTCGGCTCCCCGAGGATTGGTGTAAGTCGAAAGCGATGGCTCGCGGGAGTGACGAGGGCCTGATTCGGTTCGGGATCGTGGTTCAATAGATGTAGCCTCAAGCTCCATGCGTTGAAGGTCCTCTTGCATATTTTGAGGTACCTGAGGGGTTACCCTAGATACAACAACAACAAAGAAATCGTCAGCACGCCCCACCTTTTCACCGTTGCAACCGCATCCGGCGCTGGCAAGCTTTATATGAAATCGTTCAAGGCAAGGAGGATGGGGATTTGGGAAATAGAAACTGGGGGCCTGGCCAGAAATAGGATTAAGGGGGAGAGCCAAGAGACATACCTTTGAGGGGCGGGAGCAACGACCTCTGGCATGTAATAGTCATCGAAGCCGCTGGGGACAAATGTTGCGCCTAACTGTGGGGGAGCCATCTCGGTTCGTTGGCCGTCTATCGCGAAAAGGAAGTAAGATGTCAGCAAGAGGGTCGGGGGATAAGACGAATAAAGAAGGGGGCCCTTGTTCTCGTTCTCTAGGAAATAAGTGTAAGAGCTGACGGGGCGTGGACACTGATGACTGCAGAAGCGGCGGCGTAACCCCTCTTTACCTCAAGCCAGCAAACAGTAGACTGTTTTGACTGCGCGTGCGTTAGGCACTGGCTCGGTTTATATGCTGAGTTGAGTGCTTGCTTATTGGACTGATTGGCGGCAATGGTTGCAATCCAGAGACTCCTAAACCCCAATTTGTTGTTGGCAGTTGTTTCAAAATGCCCGGAATCGAGACCAAAGTAGACTGCGATGCCCTGAAGCCCAACAGCGAGGAGACCCAAAAGTAGTGGTTATGCAGCGGAGACGAGGGACAAAGGCCCAATTTCTTCAGGGGTTGGTGATCAAGCACAAGGGTTCCATTACAGGGAGCATCCAGCACCAGTTCGTAGGGCCCGCTTGTAAATGCTAATTGGGGTTGATGGGGTTGATGGTAGGTTGCGGTTTCTTTGTAAGGGTAAGGGCCAACTATGGTAGAATCTTGCGTATAAGAAACGACGCTAAGCAGCACTTGCAACAGACCGGCAACCAGTGCGCAAAAAGTGACTATGTGTTGTCGTAGGCGAAGCCCATTATTCTTTTGCTGGTACCTTCTTCTAACGTTCGGGCATTCTTATGCACCCTGCCACGCCGCTTGTCTGAGACCCAGAGTGGCTTGGCAACCATGAATGGTAGGTGGGCTATGCACTGGGCGCCAGACATAAATAGCTCCCGCTGTACGGAGTACGGATAGTAGCAGTGATCAACGCTGGAGCTTCGGGAACGTTGGCTTGTAGGTGACATGTCGTACAATGATAAAGCGGGTAGATTTCTCTTAAGCCTCTCAGCCGTCGTCGTAGTGGTATTTCAAGTTTCGTGTACATATTTTGAGCTTAGAGTATCTCAGTTAAGGAGCAAGGGTCCAGGTCGAGCACTCAAAGTTGACCACCAATCAGTCATCAAGCAAGCAAATCAACTTCTGCAGCCAGATTGTTGCCATCAAGTTTCAACACCGCTTCTGCATATCAGCTCTCACGAGGGGCGTAGAACAAGAGGATGACGGGAGCACGACTGCTTACATGAGGAATTGCCGCCAGGGGCTGAGTTGCTGTTAGGATTTTTGCCAAGCTGGGTATACTTCTGATAGCTTGCCATTGCGGCTGACTGAGCGGGCGAAGGAATAGGCTGCGCACTGCGGCTGAGAGAACGAAGACAGCCCACAAGAGGGAAAGTTTGGATGGCTGATATTAATGGCCTGGTCCTGCGGCTTTGTTTTGTACCCGTCAGTCGATGCTTTCAATCGGGTCGCCACAATCACTGGCCAGCATAAGGAACCAACCCTTGACTGTGGACGGAATGTGAAGGTGGTGGGCGTGGCAGCTGTTTCAAGAGCGGGGCACGCCAGAAGAATGATGCGCGACAGACAAAAAATGTATGAGGACTGAGGGAATAGCAGGCTGGCAGGCTGGAGGATGGTACGAGCCGGCTGCAGCAGCGTTTACGTGCGCCGTGTGGATGGTATGGGACGTTGATGGCTCTAGGCGAAAGTGAACAGAGTGTCGGAATTCTGTATTCGCAACAGGGATGTTGATCCATTTGCTTCAATGGTGGCGCATCTCGTTTCAAGTCGTCAGGTTCGAAGATGAATCGATCTACAGATAACCTTGGGAGCTATCGCATCGATCGATCAGCGAACTGACGTGTGGAGGGGCAGATGCGGATTCAAACATCGGCCAAGCAGTAACTTACTGATAGATAAAAACTGACAAGGACGAAAAAGAAGAAAATGTGACCATACCTAATATATGAAATGGAGGGCTCAGTCGCAAGATCAAATGCAAATTACCTGAAATTCAAGGTCTCCGACGTCAGCCAGGTACTTCTTGCGCCAGCTTGGGTGTTCATGGAACCTAGGTACCTAGTAGTGAAGGAGGCCACTCGCATAGCAGGCGGGTGCCACCGAACGGCGACTGTCCGTCCTATCGTTAGGCGTAGATCTTTAACAGCATCAAAAAACAGACTCCAGAATACCTAGTACCTAAGTACCTACATAGGTAAGTGCCTACCTCCTAGGCACCTTATCTACGCCACAAAGGAAATAGGCACAACGCTCAGCGTGAAAAAACGTGGGACCTTGCAGCTGTAGTGCCTGTAATGGGTTAACTGTACGTACTCCGTACTACTCTACGGACGGGAGTCTTGCATCCAGCCTTCCTAACTTCTTATTGCCTTGCTGTCGAATCCAAGCGACGCGGAGGCCAGTCACAGGCGAAATCGAAGAGGGGTAGTTAAATACTTAATTAGGTAGTTCTAAGAGGCAGGCTACAATACACAAGTAAACGGGGAGGTGAGGAAATTGCAGGCACTTTTACACAGCTAACTTACTGTAGCTACCTACGTGACGAGTCAAATCATGTGCTCGCTCAGCCACAGACAGCTCCGGTCCCTATTTTCGGACACGTCTACCTGGCTTTTAGAGAGTGTTGAGATAGGTACTTCTTGCAACTACCTGGGTACCTAGCGGACGCACCCTCATTTTTAACAGGGCTTATACAAGGGTTTTGGCGTCTTAAAAGGTCTACTACAGGTCTTTCAATTTAAATAATTAGTTATAATATTAATTTTTTAAATTAATAAGCTATTCGTCTTAGAGATAGGCTATTTATCTTAGACATCTTAAATTATCCTAACAGGTTAATAAAAACTGATATTTTTATACTATATAATTATTTCTCCTTGATAGGGTATATCTTTCAGGACAGCAATCCATTAATGCAAGCTTATATCAGTGCTGTTAAAAAGAGGGGGGGCGCCTGCTAGGTACCTTAATTAGTACCTACCTAGGTTAGTAAGTACTAAGGTAGAAAATAGAAACAGGACAAAGTGGACCTTTTGTTTTCACTCAAATATATTCTGAAGACTGGCGCTAGAAGCTCCATCAGTCAGTAATCAGTACACATAAAATCTCCACGCACACAGGCTCACGGGCACAGTGGCTGGGGGAACCACTAATAAGCCATCAAACTCCATGAGTGGGAGCTACTTATCCCGAGACTCTCATGGCACTGCCACACAAGCAACAATCTATTGTGAAGACATGGGAGTGCTCATGTTTGCGCATCGAGAGGTGGGTGATTTGTTAGTACTTGTCAGAGTGCCATGCCGAGGTACCTGGTATTGCAAGTCGCAAGGATGAAAGTAGGTACTCAGTACTATATATCGGAGCTTGATTCCCTACTCTCGTTTCCTTTGCTGTTCAAGACTTTACTGCTTGCGGATTCAAGCTCGGTTTACTGATCGAAAGATAGACCGGCCTTCTTCAAGATGAACGATCGGAAATAACAGTAATCAAATAATCATAATATATGTCTGTCCCTGAAAGTCGTTGAATTTTATAGTGGTGATGCGGAGGGACGGAATAACATTCACCCGGTGGGACCTCTGCAACAAAGCCAGCTCGCAACAACCACAGACAGGCATGTGCTGTGGCCTCGCGTCACTGGATGTAGCCTGGTGAAGCTTGAATTGAATCTCATCATCAACAACAATCTTGAACCACAAAGGCCACCACAACATCAATCGCCTCTCCGCATCCGCAACTCTCGATACAGCCTTTACATGCGAATAATCAATATTAGAATATTAAAATCTATACCACGCTTCGTCGCCCATCATGGCTGAACGCAATCTCACCCAGATCATCTCGCAGCTCAAGCACTCCCCATCCATGAGCTACACCGAAGCCAACGCCCTCCTCTCCAAGGCCAAGCTCGCTCTCCTGCAGCTCAACTCTCTTACACCTTCATCTTCGACCCCGACGCATCTCCTGCCTCTCGCCCGCGAGACCTACGAGCAGGGTGCTCTATTCGCCATCCGCGCCCGCAACCCCGAAGCCTTCACTCGCTACGTCCAGCAGCTCCAACCTTTCTATGAGCTGCCCGCTTCCGCTCTTGCGCCTAACTTTGCCGAGCGTAACAAGGTCACCGGCCTGAGCTTGCTTCTGTTGTTGACGCAGGGCCGATACGCCGAGTTTCACACCGAGCTCGAGAGTCTGGAGAACCGTGAGGGTGGTGGCGGTGATGTCGAGAGCGATCGATACTTGGGTTATCCTATTCGTCTGGAGAGATGGTTAATGGAAGGATCTTACGACCGGGTGTGGAAGGCCATGAAGAGCAGCGAGGTGCCTTGCGACGAATACAGTGTATTCTCAGAGGTGAGCTTCTCCATCCATCCATAATCTCCTCCGACTACTCGATACTAACTTAGCCTAGATCCTGAAGAACCAGATCCGTTCCGAGATTGCTTCCAGTAGTGAGCGCGCATACCCCAGCCTTCCTATTAGCTCCACCAAGTCCCTTCTCTTCCTTGACTCAGAGGGCGACGTTATCTCTTTTGCCCACCACCGTGGTTGGATTGTCCGCGATGGCAACATCTACTTCCCCGATGCTGCTGAAGGTGATGACGGCAACCAGAACAAGGAAATGAGCCAGATGGTGATAGAGAACGCTCTGGGCTATGCCCGTGAGCTTGAAACTATTGTATAATTGATGTGCGTCAAGGCAAATGCTTTGAGGCACGGAAACGAACATAGACAAGCAGAAGGGGAAGAACAACTGTTGTACAATTAATTCAACTTCTGAGCCCGTCATCGAGCGAGCCCTAAGAATAAGCTTCATTTAAGATATGTAACTCTTTTTAAACGTGATTCCTTGATTTGTGCTTCTTGCATGTAATCAGGCTAAGTTGCAACTACCAAGACAAAGACATGATTCCTTCGTCATCTTTCTATCAACCAGTCGTCCAAGTTCGACCTTTCTAAGCCCTAGACCTTCCACCTCGTCCGTCTGGCTCTTTTTGTGCATCGTTGACTCGAAACTCCTTATCCCAACTTTGCGCTCTCGTCATTAAATTCTTTGGCTATATTCTCCCGGCTTAGGCAAAGAGCTTCAAACCGCTTCCGTGCTTGCCAATTTCACACACTCCACATACCCGGCACACAGTGCCCTTATACTTGGAGTGATATTTGGAGCCATCGAAGGCACACTCCTCGTACGCAGTACCGCTGTAGATAGGTGTATGGCTGGCTGCACACACATCGAACTCGGCGAATTGGTCGAACTCAATCTCAATGGCGTCATTAGGGTTGCGCTCACACTGAGCCTTGGTCTTCTTAGCCTACATGTTTTCAGTCAGTGAATCGATCAAAATGACTTGTTCAGTTTAGGTTTACTTACGTTCTCAACAATCTTGGTAGCGCCACCGTTAGCAATAATGCGATTGGCGAAGCTCAAAGCAGAGTTGTAGTTCTTGTTGCGGATAGCCAACTGCATGGCACTCAAAAGAGCAAGTTGTCGGTGAGGCACCTCAATCTTGGGGATGGTAAAGTAAGCAGACAACTCCAGACTCCTCTGAAGCTTCTCGGGATCCTGGGCAATGGTCTCAGCACTGCCCAGCTGTCTCCTTGCTAGTTCGATGCTCATAGCAACCGCATACTCGCTGGCCGATGTAATGAGCTTCTTTGCCTCAGCAACCTCATCCTCGCTTATTACGGCGTTAACGAGGATAGAGTGGAGGATACCCTTAAAGATACCGAGACCAGCGTCTAGCCTGTTGGCCTTCATCGAGTCATATCCTGCCTGCAGGTCATTGGAGGCAAGATGCTCCAAGTCCCGGGGGATAATAGGAAGAACCTTCCTGGGGTCGGTTTCATCCAGAGTTCTGCGGACGTAGTTCACCAAGGGTGGTAGTCCTTCAGAGGCAGGGAGGAAAGTCTTAGAAGCCGAGTAGACCTCCAAAAATCGTGTCTTGAGCGGCGCAAAGTCGACGGCACCAACCTGTCGGTTGAGGAGCTGCATGGCAGTTTCGAACGAACCACCAGCAACATGGTCCACAGCCAAGGGCGAGTTCCGTGCCCACATGTCAGCCTCGCTGCTGGCAGCACCACCAGCGTCGACACTCTCGACGTTGACAAAGTCGCTATCAGCCTCGGGAATATCGTCATCTCCCATATCCCAGCCAGCAACATCTTCGTCATCTTCATCAGCCAAGCCGCCGTTGCGTTTGGTAGCAGAGTCAAGCTCCATAGCGTCATCGAATGCTGCATTGGCGGCAGTAGGTTCATCCTCTAGGGACAATCCTTCGACTTGGCCTAGGAGGGCCTTCTCAAAGAATGATTGTGAGGTAGCTTTTGTGGGCCACGAAGACTTGAAAGTTGGCACAATAGGATCACGAGCAGATAGAGGTGCCCCAAGAGTGGGTAGAGTAAGATCTTCCTCGGTCACGCCGGTGGCCTCCAGAATAGCTTGACATTCTTCCTCAAGGCCGTGGGACTTAGCAGTCATGTAAGCTAGGGGATCTAAAGGAAGTTAGAAGGATGCACGACAAAATTCGCCCAAGGTACCACTTACAAAGGTCAATCTCCTTGAACATCTGGATGCGGTCATCGACCGCTCCAAGATAAACCGCGTTCTGGAACCGTGAGGTAAAATCGCCACGGTGCTCAGCTATCTTGGCCATACGGGCAAGCTTAGATCGGTCACCAGTAGCAAGGTACAAGAAAGATAGCTTATCAAACTGCTTGAGCTTTTGGTAACACATCTCAACATATTGGTGATTACCGTGAGCCAACGCTTCTGTGCCCAGGCGGGTCCAGAACTTGGGCTTATCAAGTTCCTTAGCCATCTCAACGGCAACGTCAAGGTTGCCACACTCAACAGCAAGATCGAATCGAGTGGTGGGGTCCTGGACGAACTGAAGAGCGATTTCAGGGTAACCCTTCTTTTGAAGATATGAAATGATAGATTGGCCGACCAGGCTAGAGTTTCGAATAATATGAAGCATCTCTTCATAATTGCGCTTGACGAGTGCCAACTTAAATCGGTATTCCGTGGGGTCAATCTGAAGGATACGAGGCTTGGCGGCTCTGTCAAGGCAGTAAACGTTACGACCCTTAACCTTGACCAAGTAGACAGTCTGATCAAGAGTTCGAACAATGCCATTGTCGCCATTGAGCAGAGTGTACTTTACATGGTTAAGAGTGGAATAAAGCAGAACGCCAGCATCGTCCCAAGTAGCGCTCTTGATGCGAATAGTCTCGTGCAGTGTGCTAACCTGCTCGAGGGTCTTTGACACAATTGTGACATTATGCTTGCTTAAAAGAGCGGCATAAAGCCCGTCGTTGGACCAAACAACATACTTGACACCATTGACAGCAAGCTCGGCAGTGCTCTTCTTTTGCTGAATATCATAGAGGTGCACAGCGGTGGGGGTGATAATGAGAAGATTACCAGTGCCTCCGAAGTAAATGTCAGTAGTGCCAGTTGGAGGCTTGAAGGACCGCGTCGTGTTATTAGAAAGATCTTTAATGTCAATAGTCTGATTGGCGGAGTTAAGGACGGCAAATCGATTTCGGGCGACGAAAATGGCAGAGCTTCCAGCACCGCGTTTGGATTCAGTAGGCTCGATACCACCGGATCCATCTTTAGGAAGGTTAACCAGTTCGTATGATCCACCGTCAGCGGGCGAAGTAACCAAGATAGAACGCTCAGCAGGGTTGAAAGACAGTGTTCGGGGCGCAACCCAGGCACTGCCAAGCTTCTTGAGCGATAAAAGTGTAGGGCTCTCAATATTCTTCTGGAAATCATATGACCTGACATGCTTCTCCTTGGTGACGTAGAAAAGCAAGTTCTGGTGGACAGCGGAAGCAGGGCGCTCTCGCTCCAATTTAAAGACCATCACACCATTGTCATGACCGGCCGCAAAAAGGTTGATCTCAGGGTGTGCTGCAATGACCCAGAAGCGGTCATTCTCTCGCTTGAATGACTGAACCGCGGTTCGTTTATTCAGATCCCACACGCGGATGGTCTTGTCTTCTCCGGCAGACAAGATCAAGTCCTGGTGGGGGTGGAATAGACATCCCGACGCATTCTGGAAGTGGCCTCTGCATGTATCGACTTCCCAGGCCTTGGTCTCGCTCATGCGCCACAGCTTCACTAGGCGGTCGTCTCCAGCGCTAACAATGAGGGGCATGGTGGGATGGAAAGCAACCCAGTTGACGCCACGATCGTGGCCCTCGAGAACGAACTTGACAACAGCATCGGTATTACCAAACATATCGGTTTGGTTCTGGTTGGCGCGAGCCATCTGGTCTTCGAAAGACATCGAGGTGGGGGCAGAATGCTTCTTTCGGAGGCCGGAGATGTCCCAAACACGGACGGACTGATCGAGCGATGCTGAAACGACGAGGTCTTCCTTGGGATGGAACTGAGCGCACATGGCATAGTGGTTATGGCCAGTCATGGTGCAGACTACCAGAAGGTCAGCACTGTCAATACTCGGGCCAACGAAACCAATTCGACTTACTCAACGATCGGTTCTGCCAATTCCATATCCGAATGGTCTGGTCATCGGAGGCTGACAAAATCCATGGAAGTTCATGGTGGAAGAAAACGGTCCGAACGTAGTCAAGATGGCCATTGAGTGTAAAAAGGCAGCGTCGTGTCTGGTAAGACCAGACCTTGATCTTGTAATCGTCACCGCCAGAGACGAAAAGCGGCTGTGTCTTGTGGAAATCGACTCCACGGACGGGGCCGTCGTGCTCTTCGAAGCGATCAATCAATGTTCCCATTCGGTAATCCCAGAGTTGGATGGTGGACGAGTGTAGCGACACGAGGATCCATGGTCTGATGGTAACTTGTCAGCTCTGGAGCTTGCGCTGCGGGTTCAGCGTTGCTGGATAACCAACCTCTTGGGGTGAAAGGCAATGCCTTTAGCTCGCGAGGACTTAGACTCGAACTACGCCGGGGAAAGTGTCAGTCGTCACAGAACAGCAGGCATTGTGAGGCTCCCATACCTTGGTCAACATTCCCGGTGAGGACTGCATATTGGCGGGGAGGTGAAGCCGCAGCTTCGAGCATTAAGGGGTGGAACAATACGGGCGCCCAGAAAGCAGTTGGTGAAAGTAGCCGTCAGACTTGCTCTTAGCTGGATCGCAAGATTCGGGAGCGAGCTGACCAGCACAGCAGGGGCGAAGCGAGGTATACGGGAGGTGAAAGGGAGAAGGTGATGTAGTCGAATGCTGGCCAACGAAGCGAAGCGAACTCCTAGGCTAGGCTTTGGCAATTGAACACGATGCTCAATTGTGGGCTATCCTGTCATGCTAGGGGGGAGTGCAAGTGTAAAGCCACACACGACGCAACATTGTTCCCCCGGTTGGAGCTGCAGGGTGCAAAAGGGCGAAAGAATCGGGGACCGGCCCCCCTAGATGTGGCTGAAGATGCAGGGGGTGATGATTCTGCCACGTAACCTAGGAACTTGCTTGACGGGTGCTTAGGTCGTGCTAAACCTAATTCAGGCAGCTCCTGGGTCGAGGGTCTCAGTGACGCTATTCAACTTCAGAGCTTAGAAAGTTCGGCCTTCTTTCTTCGTGATTCATAACTGAATCCATGCATGGCAGTTGAGAGCTTTGGGATGCAGACAAGGTCTCAAACTTACCCGCCTCCTGAAAAGACCGTCGTCGAGAATCGCGCCATCGCCGCGTAATTCCAGCCTATTCTTGCCGGGGCTTTTGAGAGCTGTCCTTTGCCCCTCCATCGCAGGCATCAAAGCTGCTGAGTTGGCACAGACAACCACTCAAGCAACTACATGTATTGCTTTGCCTAGGACGCAAACATGCCGTGTGTTTCTCAATGCCTGGCGATAGCCCTAGTGGCTGCTGTGGCTACTTCTGCGTCCCCGTCAGTCAACGTAGGCATGAACGCTGCCTTTCCTCGTGGACCATATCTACTTGAACTCCTGTAAGCTTATGAAACCACAAGTGAGCTACATATGAGGTTGCTTCTGACACTGTACAGTGAAACTGCTGCTGAAGAAAACTCGACCGCATACTTCCCACTTCTCGATAAGATTGCCAGCGGTCACTTTGGATCAGCCTCTTCGGACGCAGAGCTCTACGATCAATTTCTCGAGGTTCTCCAACAAAGCGGGCATATCACCACACCCGATGCGCTTTCAACTTTCAAGCTTTCTCTGTCGTTACGTGCTGCTGCGCCGCGGATTGAAGCACACTATCAATACTACATTACGGCTGTTGATCCCAAGACCAAAATCGGCGACGCCGACGACTGCCAAACTTGGGCCTTCATAGACAATAAGAAATACTGTTCCCCAGCACTTGATACAGTGGTAGACAGCGACCTATCTGCTAAGTAATCGCAAATCTGACCGTATGCCCATATGCGGGTACTAATACCATAATCCTTAGACAATTGAACGTGTTGCCTTTTGATCGAGTTCTGGGTCTTGGGAAGGATGCTGTCCTCTATGCAGACCCTACATCTGCCTCTTTCGGCCCCTTTCACGATTCCCTTTCTAGAGCTGCGAAGCAGGGCAGTCTCTCATACCGATTGCGATATCGCCGAAGTTCTGGTATTCCTGCCACTCCATTGTCTGTGAGCGGCTACGGCGTTAAACTGGACCTGAAGAGAACAGATTACATCGTTCTTGATGACCGCGAGGCAGACCACAAAGGTCAAAAGCCTATCGCAAACGATGTAGATCTTGACGCAGACGAAGAGGTCGCTGATTTGAAACCCCTCTCCACTTCCGAATTGGCATCCTTAGGCTTAAAGACCGCATCATTCATTCTGAAGAATGAGAATCCTCTTGATTCTTTGGTTAAATCAACTCAGGACTTTCCCAAATTCTCGGGGTTCATTGCTGCACACGAGGTTACCAAAGAATTTGCTGATGAGCAGGAAAAGAATGTGGCTGGTGGTATCCCTAGCGGTATCAACTTTATCTGGATGAATGGCGTTCAACTTATTGAGCGCCAAATTGAGCCCTTCAATTTGGTTGAGATGATACGACGTGAGCGCAAGCTTATCGATGGTGTCCGCGAACTTGGCTTTAATGGTCAACAAGCCGTTTCACTCTTGGGCCACCCTCAGATTGCTAGTTCCAAAGCCGATGACGAAGCCCCTCGATTTGACTGGACTGATCGATTGGAGGATGATAAGGCTCTTATATGGCTCAACAACCTCGAGAAGGACCCTCGCTACCAAAAGCTTCCAAGCGATTTAACAGCGGCATGTATAAGAATCAGTCGCCAGAGCCACATTACTAACTATATCACAGTTGCTCCAACGCACATATCCTGGGCAGCTCCCACAGGTCGCACTCAACCTCTTCCATATCGTTGCGCCTGTAGACTTCACAAATATTGAAGATGGAAGAGCTTTTGGCCAGTTGGCACAGTTCATGCAACGTGGAGTTACCTTGCGCTTCGGCATTGTTCCCTTGGCGACTACCCCTACCGCTGCCGCTCAAGCTAAGGTTGTTTACCATTTGATGGAAACATATGGGCTTGAGGCTCTCATAACTTACTTACAAGAAAGTGAAGAAGGACCTGACGGCGCAGCTAATAAGAGGGCATTCTCCAGGACGATTGATGATCGAGAACCGGTCCCAGGCGCTTCCAAGATGTCCTTGAGTGAGGTTCTCGAAGCTGAGCCTTATGTGCAAAGGGTCAAAGCTAGCCAGGCTTGGGCGAGTCGACTCAATGCAGATACTACTGTGCGGCCTGTTTTTGTCAATGGTCTAGCTATTCCACGCGAAAACAACTGGGTACAGACGATGGGTCAGCGACTGTCTGATGATCAACAAGTCATCCAAAAGGCTGTGTACTTTGGACAAATTGAGGAGGGAATGCCAGTTTCGGGCCTGTTTCTCAACACTGCTCTTTCCAAGAGAAACACTTACATATTTCCTGATGACGACAAAGCTCTTCGCATCCTCGATGTCAACAAGCTTTACACAGACTACACAGGATTGTTCGGCAAAATCGCCGTTCTTCCCGCTGATGCTAAGGCTGCCAAAGCAGATTGGGCTGTCTTTACAGTCGTTGCTGATCTCAACACGGATGATGGCCAAGATCTCCTCGTTGCTGCACTTGAGTTTAAGCACAAAAGCCCGGGTGTTCGACTTGATCTTATTCACAATCCTTCGTCCCCTACGGATGCCCATGCCATTAATAGCGCATTCAAGGTGAACGAAGGTAGACTGAGTGAAATGAGGAACAAGGATGAATTAAAAGCCATTCTTGAAGCATCATGGACATCTGAAGATGAGGGTTTCGGTACTGCACTGGCTAGCTTCCTCTCGATGGCGAACATTCGACCAGGAACGAAAGGATTGTTACTCAACGGCCGGGTGGTTGGTCCCTTACCATCCAATGTTTCGTTCAAGAATGACGACTTGCAGCAGCTCTTGGAATTTGAGCAGCGCAATAGGATTCTTCCTGTTTATGCTGCGATCGAGGAGCTAGGTTTCACTGATAGGCTGCTTGATCCAATTGCGGCCGCAAAGCTCACCTCTATCACAGCGCTTTCTACTATTTCCGATCTTCCTCAAGGAATTTTCGAGTCAGCTCCGTCAATTCGGAGCACTCTCTATACCACTTGGAATTCAACGCATACTGCTATCGAGGTTGGCAACCCAGAGACTGCCAGCATTCATATCGCCGGTCTCTTGAACCCCATCAGCGAGCAGGGTCAGAGATGGGCACCCATCCTCAAAGTCCTGTCAGAGCTTGATGGGGTTTACCTCAAACTTTTCATGAACCCGAAGGAGGTAGTAGGAGAGCTCCCCATCAAGCGGTTCTTCCGTTACGTACTCAACTCGAAGCCATCTTTTGACAAGACTGGTCACGTTCAGAGTCCCAAAGCTACTTTTAAGGGTCTGCCTTCGGAGGCTTTATTGACAGCAGGCATGGACGTTCCTCCAGCTTGGCTGGTAGCTGCCAAGAATTCGGTCCAAGATCTGGACAACATTAAACTCAGCTCTGCTAAGGCAGACATTGATGTGACCTACGAGCTTGAGAATATTCTTATCGAAGGCCATTCTAGAGATGGCAAGCGAGGTGCGCCCAGGGGTGCTCAATTGGCCTTGGCAACCGAAACAGATCCTCTGGTAACAGATACCATCGTCATGGCCAATCTGGGATACTTCCAATTCAAGGCTAATCCCGGCTTCTACAACATACGGCTTAAAGAGGGCCGTAGTTCCAAGATCTTCTCTATCGAGAGTGTCGGCGCACAAGGTTATGCAGCTGTTCCTGGAGACGAGGGTACGGAGGTTGCTCTGCTAGACTTCAAGGGCACGACTCTGTATCCACGCCTCAACCGAAAACCAGGTATGGAAGAATTGGACGTCCTGGAGTCGCCTGACAAGGAAGATAAAGGCATTGTCGCAAAGGGCCTCAAATTTGCCGAAGGTCTCATCGGAGGTACCAAGTCACCTAAGGAAATATCAGCTCAAGAACATGCTGAAATCAACATCTTCAGTGTTGCAAGTGGTCATCTGTATGAGCGCATGCTCAATATCATGATAGTGTCGGTGATGCGAAACACCAAACATACAGTCAAATTTTGGTTCATTGAGCAGTTCCTCTCACCCTCATTCAAGGAATTCATCCCCCATATGGCAGCCGAGTATGGGTTCAAGTACGAGATGGTCACTTACAAATGGCCTCACTGGCTTCGACAACAAAAAGAGAAGCAGCGTGAGATCTGGGGATACAAAATATTGTTCCTCGATGTATTGTTCCCCCTTTCCCTTGACAAAGTTATTTTCGTCGATGCGGATCAAATCGTTCGCACTGACATGATTAACCTTGTGAACCATGATCTTGAGGGTGCACCGTACGGTTTCACTCCCATGTGCGACTCGCGTACTGAGATGGAAGGGTTTAGATTCTGGAAGCAGGGCTATTGGGCAAATTATCTTCGCGGACTGCCGTATCATATATCAGCGCTCTACGTTGTCGACCTTAACCGCTTCCGCCAACTCGCTGCAGGAGACCGTCTTCGACAGCAGTACCATGCACTTTCAGCTGATCCCAACAGCTTGTCCAACTTGGATCAAGATCTTCCAAACAACATGCAGTTTACAATCCCAATCCATAGCCTGCCCCAGGAATGGCTCTGGTGCGAGACGTGGTGCAGTGACGACAGCCTAGCCAAGGCACGTACTATCGACTTGTGCAATAACCCACAGACGAAAGAGCCCAAGCTTGACCGCGCAAGGAGACAAATTCCAGAGTGGACTGTGTATGACGATGAGATTGCGGCGCTAGATCGTCGACGCAAGGGTGTTGAGGACAACAAGGATGAGAGTATCAAAAACCAGGCAGTAGAGGGAGGAGCACATAGAAAGGATGAGCTTTAGAGTCAATTTGGCCTGCGTCTAGCTGACTTTTTGGTATATCCGGTATCACAAATATCTAAGCAGTCTTGGTTTATCAATAAATAGCACATGGTATGCCAATCTCTGTTATGCCTCTGTCTGGTCGGCCGGGTCGACATTTCCACATCAACTTATTAAAATATATTCGCCTGGCTTTAAGACCACACTTGCTTTCCTCTTGACAACCTTTCATTGATATCTTGAAGCAGCGGGTGGGTGGATATGGTTTCGGCCTGTCGTTTATACCCGTGGATCCGTCGGGAAAGAGGTCCTACTCAGAGAGTAGGCGGCAAAATTATAGGATAAAGGTAAAATCATAGGATAAGCTTCTACCCTATTTTATTTAAATTTTATAATTTTTATTACTAAAAACCTAATAATTATTAAATATTTCTAAATACTATTTAATTAAATTATATCTTTAAAGTTATCTCTTTATTTAAACCTTTAATATAATTAATTTTTATAATCTTAACCTTACTATAATAACTACCTATATAATCTTAATTTTATAATATTATTACTATAATATTAAAGGGAAGCCTTTTATAATTAAGGTAGTTATTAAGAAATATAATATTTTTAAAAATATTATTATTTATTATTTAAAGTTAATAAAGCTATTTAAAAAGCTAGCTTTTAATAATAATAATATTAACTAGCTAAGAAATCTTAATAAGGCTAAGAAATATATTATAATTATATATATTATATAATTTAAAAAAATAAGCTTTTTTTATAATTAGATTTTTATTAAAAAAGTAATAAATACTTTAAAGATATTATAAATACCTTTAATACTTTTAATTAAAAAAAGATAATATTAATAGTTTTTTATTAATAATCTATAACTATAAAAAAAGAAATTAATTTAAGTTTTTAATTAAAAATAAGTAAGATTTAAAATTAAAAATATTATTAATTTAAAGAAATTCTATATTAATCTTAAAGTAATTATAAAGGAAAGAGAAATTAAGGCATTTAAAATATTTAATATTAATAAATATAATATATAAATTAATTATACTTATAAATAGCTTAACCCTAGTTAATAATATTATTAATAATATTATATATTATATTATAAAAATAAGTATAGTAGGATTTTAATAAGGGTTATATAATCTAATTTAATTCCTCGGCCTAAAACTACCTTTAACTTTAGGCTACCTTAAGTTTAACTTTAACTCTAAATATATATTCCTTTAAGTAATATATTTTAACCTTCTACCTTTCTACCTATTATAGCCCCTTAGCGCTTTATATATAACTTCTTTATCCTTAATAGTTATATACTTTTAGTTTTAGGCTAAGACTAGGATACTTTATTTCTTATTCTTAAAGATCTTAATTACGTTATTAACTTACTTTTCTAAGCTATTACACTAATCTATATACTTCGACTTAAATGCCTTAATAAAGGAGGTGTCGGTCTCTAAGACCAGCCTTTCTATAAGCCTATTTTCTAGGCTTTTTAGGCTCTTAAGCTACGTTTCTATATACCGTGTCTGCTATAGGGAGGTAGTAAAGAGCCTTCTATATCCTATCCTATATTAATTTTAAGGTCTCTAGCCTTTTACTTAACTTCCTTACATTTTATCTTATAGTAGTTTTTTAATACTCTATTAATCTTTTTATATTCTAAGCTAAGGCTTACATTATAGTAGGTTTTTATTATTTTAATACTTATTATAGTAATTATAAAAGAGGTTAGTAATATAGACTAAAAGGTAGGGAACTAGAGGTTAATTAACTAACTATAACTATAAGGGTCGATTAACTAGTTTATAGTATAGATTAGGTTAAGGGGTATAGAGGGGAAGCTAGCTTTTATATATATAGTTATATAATATATATATTTATTTAATTAAAGTTTAGTTACTATATATAATACTTAATATCCTAATTAAATTAAGTTTTTAACCTTAGAAGAGGTTATTTTTATTATTAATATTATTAAGAGATTTAAAAAGCCTAGGCTTAATAAAATTAAAGATTAAAATAAAAAAGAAAAAAAAGATTTAAATAGCTTAAGGTAATTATAATAAAGAAAATATAAAATACTTAATATAAAGGTATAGCTTTTATTAATAGAAAATTATTTATAATATTTAGTTATATAAATACAGCTAGATATATATATTTTCCTAACTTTAATATTTATTTTAATATATCTTTTAGTTATAATACTGCCTTTTATAATATTTAAAGTATAGCTAATTAAGGCTTAGGATATTAATAATCTTAATAAAGTTATTTACTTTATATATTTTAAGACTAGCTTTTTAATATTAAGATATTAATAGATTAGATATAATATTTTAACTATAATTCCTTTAAATATATAGTAGAAATATAATCTTATAGTATTATATTTATTAATTAGTTTAATTATAATAAATTTATAAAAGATATTAATAATCTTAATTTTATTTTTAAAAAAGCTATTTTTTAAATAGCCTAAGAAAAAGTAAATTTAATAACTTTTTATTATTAATAGCTTTATTAATAAGATTTCTTTAACGTTTATAAAATATTATATTTATTTTAATTTTAAGATCTTTATTCTCCCTTTTTATTTAATATATTTTATATAATCTCTAAATATTAAAGTATTTTAATTACTTAAAAATACTTATTAAAAATATCTTTAATTTATATAAAGCCTAGTAATACCTTTAAAAAAGAGATCTAGCTATCCTAATTAAATCTATAAAAATATTAATAATAAAGGTCTTTATATAGACCGAAAAATAATAATATCTTAAATTTAATAAGGTTACTTACTATATTAACTATAACTCTATTTCTTAATAATATAAAAACCCCTATAAAAACTATTAAGGCCACTTTTCCCTCTTTATACTTTACTTTAATTAACCTACCTAAGACCTATATAAAAAGATTATAATTATTAAGTAACCTGCCAAGCTAGAAGTAAACCTACTAGTTATAAGTAGATTAATAAAGCTAACCTTAATTATAATTAAGATATTAATTATAATTAAAGCCCTTACCTACCTAAGCCTATAAATAAGACTAGATTTCTATAATAAGCTATAGCTTAGTAATAAAGCTATAATTAATATATTAAAAGCTTTTATTATTAATAAAGGTATTAAAAAGCTATAAAAAGAGGCTAGTAAGTTATTAAAAATTAAGTAAAATACTAAGACCGATAAAAAAATACTAGCCTTTATTATTTTTAACTATAAGGTTTTAAAAAGCCTAGGCCTTTTTTATAGCTAGTATTACTAATTTAAAGAGGAAATATACCTACTTAAAGAGCTAAGGAAAAATAAAGGCCCTAAAGGCAGAAAGAAGGATTTCTTTAATATTATAAAAATAGGCTATAGGATATAGATTATATAGCTAATTAGCTAGGCTATATTAATTAGTACGGCCTTTTAAAGGTAGACTATAAAGAGACTATTAAAGTTAGAGTTATAGGAGGAAGATTTATATATATAAAACAGAGTTTTTTACTAAAGGTTAAAAAGTCCTTTGTTTAAGGGAAGAAACTACTATAATTAATTAATTAAGATTATATAACTTAATAGCCCCTCCTTATAGTAAGTAAATAAGATAATAAAGGTAATTAATAATAATTTAATAGTAATATAATTAAGAAATATCTTTAATATTATATCTATAAAAGATATTTTAATTTTAAATAATCTAATTTTATTAAAAAACTTAATAAGATTATTCAAAAAGGTTTTACTATTTATAATATTATAAATAGCTTTAAGAAAAGTAAAATCTTCTTAATAAATAAAAAAGAAATTATTTATAAAGTAAATAAAAAAAAGAAATTACTTCTTATTATAATAAATCCTACTTTTTAATTACTTTTTTTTAAAACAATATACTTTAAAGATATTTATAAAGTTTCTTATTATCTTAAATATAATTATTATAATAACTTTAGTTTTTTTATATATATTACCTTTAATATTTTAAATAATATTATTATTAAAGCTATTTTTTTAAATAACTTTACTAAAAAGAATATATATAATTACCTTAAGTAAATTTTTTATTTTTTTTATTTTAACTTTTAACTTTATTAAGCCTAGGCTTTTTAAAACTCTTAATAATATTAATAATAAAAATAACCTCTTTTAAGGTTAAAACTTAATAATTAAGATAATAAATATTATATATAATAACTAAACTCTAATTAAATAAATACTTATATTATATAGCTATATATATAGAAACTAGCTTCCTTTCTATACCTCTTAAACTAATCTATACTATAAGCTAGTTAATTAACCTCTAGTCCCCCTTTAGTCTATATTACTAACCTTTTTTATAGCTATTATAATAAATATCTAAATAATAAATACCTATTATAATATAAATCTTAACCTAACCTATAATAAGATCTATAAGGTAATTAATAACTATAGTAAGGAAAAGTATAAATAACTTATCTATATAGTTAAAGACCTTAAGATTAAAATAGAATAAGATTTTTAAGGCTAGTTGATACCTTTTTATAATAAATAAAATAATTATAGCTTAATTAAATTAATTACCTTTAGCTATAAGCTTTTAATACTTTTTTATATATAATTAAGTTAAAAATCTTATTAAATAAAAATATTAAATTTAAAGTATATAAAAAATTAACTTAAGAATTTAAAAAGCCTAAAAAAAAGGCTTTTAAAAAGGTTAGTCTTTAAGACTAAAACCTTCTTTATTAAGGTATTTAAGTTAAAGCTTAACTATATAGTTTAATATAATTACTTAAAAAAGTAAGTTAAATAGGTAATTAAGGCCAGTAAAGGTATAAAATAAAGCTAGATTTAATAAAAGTTATATATAAATTACTAAAGGGCTAGGGTAGAAAGGTAAAAGGTTAATATATTACTTAAAGAAATATATATTTAAAGTTAAAGTTAAAGTTAAGGTAGCCTAAAGTTAAAAATAACTTTAGGCTAAGGAATTAAATTAGATTATATAACCTTTATTAAAATCTTATTATACCTACTTCTATAATATAATATATAATATTATTAATATTATTATTAATTAGGGACTTTAAGTAAATAATTACTATAAATAATAATAAAAATAAAATAAAAAAAGTAATATTATTAAGGAAATATATTAATAGTATTATAGTTTAAGATATATAAAAAAGTCTTATTACCTTAATAAAGAAAAACTAAAAATAAAAACTATATTATTAATATAAAAATTTAAAGTAATTATAATAAAAAAAACCCTAGTTAATAATATTACTAATAATATTTTATATTATATTATAGAAATAGGTATAGTAAGATTTTAATAAAGGCTATATAATCTAATTTAATTTCTTAGCCTAAAACTACCTTTAACTTTAGGCTACCTTAACTTTAACTTTAACTCTAACTAATAGAATATATATTCCTTTAATATATTTTAACTTTCTACCTTTCTACCCTAGCCCTTTAATACCTTATATATAACTTCTATTACTTTATAAATTATTCTTAAAGACCTTAATTACCTTTATAACCTACCTCTTTAAGCTATTATATTAAGTTATATACTTTAACTTAAATACCTTAATAAAAAAGCTATTAGTCTTAAAGACTAGCCTTTTTATAAGCCTATTTTTTAGGCTTTTTAGGTATTTAAGTTATTTTTTTACTTTCTATATTTAATTTAATATATACTTTTAAGTATAGTTTCCCTTACTAAGCCTTAAACTATAAAGTATTAAAAGCTTATAGCTAAAGGTAATTAATTTAATTAAGCTATAATTATCTTATTTATTATAAAGAGGTAATATAAAGTAGCTATTAAAATCTTACTTTAAATTAAATTAAAGATTTTTAGCCTTATTTTTAAAAAGGTTAAGCTCTTACCTATTATAATAATTATTAATAGCTTTTTAAATAATCTTATAAATTAAAGTAAGGCTTATATTACGGTAAATATTTATTATTTAAATAGTAATACTTATTATAGTAATAACTATAAAAAAGGTTAGTAATATAAACTAAAAGGTAAGGGATTAAAGATTAATTAACTAATTATAGCTATAAAGGTTAATTAACTAGTTTATAATATAAATTAAGTTAAGGATATAAAGGAAGCTAGCTTTTATATATATAATTATATAAGTTATATATATATTTATTTAATTAAAGTTTAGTTACTATATATAACTTTTATTATATTAATTATATTAAGTTTTTAACCTTAGAAGAGATTATTTTATTATTAATATTATTAAGAGATTTAAAAAGCCTAGGTTTAATAAAGTTAAAGGTTAAAATAAAAAGAAAAATAATAAAAAAAAGATAAATAATTAAATTAAAATTAAAACAAAAACCTATAAATATAATATAAATAATAATAAAAAGCTAATATATATTAACTTTAATTATTAAAAAAAATAAAAAACCCTAAATATAATTAATAAAATTATTTATATTCTTTCTTTATTATAAAAAGCTTTATTAAGTCTTTATAATAGCTTTTTTTATAATATAAATAATTTAATATTATAAAAACGTTTTTATAAATAACTTTATAATATCTTTACTATTAATTTTTATTAAAGTCCTTTATAAAATATATTTATTATACCTTTAAGTAATAATATTAAGATTTTCTTTAATAATTTATAGTAAGATATTATTTATAATAGCCTTACTTTTAAAGATTTTAATAACTTTAAAGATAATAAAAAAGACCTTAAATTTATTAATCTTTCTTAAGATATTAAAGAGCCTAAGTTATTACCTTTTTTATTACTATAGCCTTTCTTTAAAGAAGATTTGTTTTTTATATATTATAAAATTATAAATATATTATATCCCTAAAGGTATATATAATAAAAGATTATTATTACCTTTATTATTAATAATAAAATTAAAAGTAAAGGTATTATAAGGTAGGGAAATAAAAATAAATAATCTTATAGTTAATTAATATATTTCTAATTATAATATTATAGAAATTATACCTTTTATAATAAAATAAACTTAATAATAGCTTTAATATATTTTAATTAATTAATTATAGTAATTTTAAATTAATTATAATAAAATCTAAATATATAACTTAAGATTTATTAGTTTTCCTACCTATTTCTTACTTAAAGGCTTATTCTATAATTTTACCCTTATTCTATAATTTTGCCGCCCACTCTCTAAGTAGGGCCTCTTTTCCGACGGATCCACGGGTAGTATCGATGCAGCCGCGGTGCCAATGCTGGCTTCATGGGCTGAAAGCCAGCCACCTACGTCAATCAATCATCTGCATTTTTGTGGTGGTTGAACGTTGCGGTCAGAAGACGGAAAAGCACACCACATGCCGTTGATAATGTGTTTCCTTTCTTCTTTCTGGGCACACTAACTATTGTGTACTTGCCTTGTAGAGATAACAATTGTCAATATGTTCTTGCTTCTAGGGTAGCTAGGCCTGAATATGCGACAATATTGCACAAAATATCCCACTCAATAATTGTTACAATTGCTGATAAGATATTAACTTGATATGTTGACTTCCAGTTTCTTAGTACAATTGTTCCTTGGTATGGTCATGATTTTATGATGTATAAACTCAGCTCTGATGTTGACAAGTACAGCTCAGCTTCCATTACACGTTTCAATGCCAGAGCCAGAGCTTCTCAGTCAAGGTAATCATTTAAATTAAGGCTAAAATAATCAAGTATCAACACTCCTTCAGTATTTTAGACCTTAGTTTGCCTCGTTATTGTAACGCGTATGCGTACGTAGAACTCCTGGAGCACAACCAACATAGCACGCCCACTGTAAATATTCATTCGCTCCATCAATGCTCTTGACAATGCTTATCTTGCCCTGCTAAACATGAAACCGAACCAGCATCCGCACAACTCCAGATCACCCTCTATGTTAAGTAGAAGCTCGAAAATGAGAGCCAGGTAACCCGACCCTACGGGGATAGCCAGTAGATACAGAATCTGTGAGCTGCTAAAGGCAGCATTTGCTCAAGTTGTGTCCAAGCTATCAAGCTATCCATTCCATGAACGCCTCGTGCGTGTACTAGGTATATTCGTCTATTCCCAAGCTCCAATCCCTGTAGCCTCGTACACCACGGAGAGAATGAATCCCTCCCCCAGAACTAAAAGCAGACCAGAAACACTCAACGCCGTATACTGAGCTTCGAGACATTGTTGTCACAAATCTCTTGTCATGTCCGTTGGCTTGGTCCTTGAGTTATAGGCCAACATGAAGAAAGAAAGGTGGTGGGTATCACAAATGCCGTATAATCAAGACACCTCGCTCCAAAGATCCTTTACCAGATTGCAGGTTCATGAAACAAAAAGGCCATGAGAAAAATTGTATCAAGGGTGGCTTGTCTCGCGCTCTTCTCGAATCGATGCCATCGAAGAGGCCTGTCCCATGGGCAACATTGACGAATGGCTTAGTGGCGGTAGTCCGGCCGAAGATTTAACCCCTGTTGCTGAAGGAGCACCGCTAGGAGCAGCAGTCCCATTCTCAATCTTTTGTTTCGTGAGCTGGGCCGGGTTGACGCCACTCTCGCCGTTGGGAGTCTGTGACTTGGAGCTATCGGCAGACAATTCTTTATGTAGTGGCGATGAAGGAGAATTGGACTTCTTGCTTCGGGAATCACCGTTTGCCGTGTTGGCCCCTCGTGAAGAATTGCGTGGAGAAACCCGACCAGTCTAATCAAAATGTCAATGAGTATTTCAGGGGCTAATAGATTTAAAGGGCTTACTTGTTTGGCCCAACGGAGGCCACAGCTGTTGCAAAGATCCCGTTGACCACTGGGTCCTCTACGCCACTCAGGCGTGTTTCTTGTATGGCAGTTCGCGCAGTCTCGTACGACGTTGCCTACTCCCTTTCTTCTCTTGCGCTTCTTCTTACTGGAGAGTAAACCTCCAAGCTCCTCCGCCAAGATGCGGTTCACTTTCTCCATCTGTCGCAGCTCAAATTGCCAGCTGGAGCATTTAGTCGTTCTAAGTTCATCAAATATGTTGTCCTCAGATGCCAGAGCAGCATCCTGGGTACCAGGAGCTAAGGCTCCACCAGCAGGCTGAGATATATGACCTGTCGCGTGGTTTTCGCTGCCATTGTGGGATCTTGGGGTCGCAGCAATAGACCTGGAGCCAGATACGCTGGCAGGGGCAAGGTTGCGTGATGAAGCCTTAAGAAGTTTCGTCTGAGCCAAGAGAAATGATGGCTTTTGTCCTTCGGAAGCGTCACCCGGGTACAAAGTTGTCTGTGCCTGCAACACTTGACCCCTGCGATTCTGGACTTCGTGCTTGCAGGTGACAATCTTCCCGCGCCTTGCCTTTTCTGTCGCTCTTCCAAACTCAGGCCGTGACTCCTTGCGCATAAGATCCTGTATGCTGGTTCCTACCAGGCTATCGGGCTGGAGGTCGAGGAGAGATCTGATGTTGGAAGAGACATATAAGAATAAGCCTGATGTAGAGAGTTTTGTCCAAAGTTCACTGTCGCCAATGCCTCCATTTGCTTCGAGGTTGCGGCGGCTAAGAGCAAACACGGGTCGCTTGCGGCCTACCAGAATAATACACTTTCGACCCTTTCCTTGTTCAACAAACAACGACCCATGACTCTCAAACCACGTATAGCCACTGTTCTTTCTCCGTATTCGAAAAACGATATTGACCGGGTTACCAGCCGTCGTGTCTTTAAGCTCGCGCGTGACAGGGACAATATCAGATGGGTGGCACACTGTTGACAGCGAATTGCCAACAAGATCCGCGGCTTCGTATTCCAAAACCTTCTTGCAGGACGGTGAAAGGTAGAGGAACAGACCCTTGAGCGAGAGCACGTGAACAACGTCGTCGGTATTCTCCAGAAGCATCTTGTCCCATGATTGCTTGTGCCAATCCGAGGTAAGGCCATTGGGGCTAAACTGTTGCAACAAGGTTGAGACGTCGTCTACTCCCAGTGTCTGACCATTCTCTGGTTCCCATTGACTAGATTGAGGCGGTGTCCAGATATATTGGCCGATATCACTGTGCTTGTAGTTCACCTTAACACCGCCGAGATCTTGATTAGAAGCAATTGCGTCTGGGCATTCAACAAGATCGATCTGGAAGCCAATAAAATATCTGATTTCATCTGTGTCCCAAGGAATGGGGATCATGGTTAAAAGGTTCAAGAAAGGCTTTCCACCTTTTCGATAGTTGATAAGACTCTGTTGCACCTCCCTGCCCTCGTGAACCATCTTCTTCAGATTAAATACTGCACCGTCGTCCACGAACTCACGCTTCGATCCTGCCTCGACTTTACCATCGGGAGCTTGAAGAAAGCGGCAGTTCTGGCCAACAATCTCATGTCGACTATAACCGGTCAGGTTCTGAAAGTTGTCGGAAACGTATATGATAGGACAGTCGTTCATGGATACGTCGCAGACGACAAAGGCGCAGGACATATCGACGGCACCAAGTTGTATTTTAGGGTTCTTTCGCGTGGCGACTAGCCACAGAGCCTTTAGCATATCGAATCCACTTTTTGAATATATCGTCTTTTCTTTCGAGTCTCTAGGAGTATCGCCCGTAGATGGGGTTGTCGCGACCGAGCCGCTGGTCGGTTGCGTAACAGTCGAAGAAGACATAGCACCGTGTGGTTGCTGTTGAGGTGGAGAAACAACGGAGCCAGAGGCGGTCGAGACTTGACGAGAGAGCGCAGGCAAGTTTTGGTGGTTTTCTCCAGTGTTCACATTATTGAAGTTTTGGTGATTACTCATCATATTCTCAGTTGGCTCCTCTATTGTGTCCATAGTAGTATTGGTAGGGGCGGGGATCGAGTTGGTGGTGGGAGGGTTGCTTTGGTTCATGGCCATAGACCCAGCATCCGGAGAGAGATCCATGGGAAAGTCGTTGCTAACTTGAATTTGAGGGGTAAGTTGACCCTGTGGAAACTGTCCTATGGACGGCGAATAAAGGTTCATTGGTGAGCCATTGCCTGCCATTTGCGCCCCTACGCTCATACTGGCAAATGTAGAAGGCATCATTGAACTCATCATTTCAGGAGATATAGTCGAATATTCGTTTGGATTAGCCGCCATGTAGTTACCCATTTGGTCTATGCCCATAGAGGTATTGATGGCAGGAAAGCCGCTTCCTATAGGTTGATTGAACTGGTAGGAATTGAGTTCGCCATTATCAGTCCCAAAGGTCATTAAATCACCGTTCCCGACGGACGACATCCGTCTCTGTCCTTGCTGCTGTTGCTGATGATGTTGCTGATGATGTTGCTGATGCTGCTGGGCCATTTGAAACTGGCCCATAGAATTCGAGTAAGCCTGGGGCATGCTCTGCCGGCGATATAGCTTGTCTTGGTTGTCGCGAACAATGTCGTCGAGGGAATCCCCTCCTGGGAAAAATGAAGAATCGTTCACATTGTGCTGCATACGGTTCTGCTGATTCTGCGACATGCGAGGTTGTTGTTGTTGTTGTTGTTGTTGAAACTGCTGGTGTTGGTTTTGTTGTTGCTGCTGTTGCTGCTGTTGATGAGGGGAGTAGTAGCCACCCATAGCGACAGCATCTGACTCAACGGCCTAGCCAGGCACTCGAAGAAAACGGTGAGCGGGTGTTGTCCCGTATGTGTCTTGCTTAGCCAAGTAGATGGTGTCGATTCGACTACCGATGAGTTGGTAGGGGCCGCTTGGTAAGAGGACCCTTGCTGCAGCGGAACAAAAAGCGGAGATTGATGGCGAAAGTAATAATACCAAGAGAGCAGAGGGCTCTTGCGAATGCCAGTCGAGTCACGTCAAGCCACTTCGAGTCGGGTCGGGTCGATGCTGAACGTGATAAAACAGGCCGGAAAGATCCAGCAACCGAGCGGAAAAAAGAGGGCCAGGGTATGGACAATCGGCAAATGCGCGGGGGTGGGTAATCGTGCTCGCTCGAATTTGTACTGCTCAGGGTTGGGCCGTGGCTCTTGAAATCGAGAGCCGGAGAGTCGAAAGGTCGGAAGGACGGGACGCAGGCGATGGGAAGAAGCGGCGCAAAATATCAAATTCTGCGTTTGAAGCAGGATCGCATCACGTCGAAGAGGGGAAGATCGCTGCGAGTATCGTTGGTCGAAGGGGGAAACAGAAGAGGGATGGAGAAGTAGAGTACGGTATGGCAAAAGAAGAATGGGAATGCCCAAGAACTACCTAAGTGGATGGGTGTGTGAGTGGGGGGAAGTACAGTACCTTGCCAGGTAGCTGCCAGGACCAGGCCGGAGGATGGCGCACGGTGAATAAGTTCCATTAGGTACCTAGCGAGTGGACTGGATGCCAGATGGATAATATGTGGTGGAGGATGGGATGGATAGTGGAGGCCGATAGACGGCGGACCGGGCTTGGAACTGGAGATTGAGAGACCGATAGCTAATAAGTAATTCATCAATAACTGCTGTTTTCTGTATTTGACCCTAAAGAAAGGTACCTTCTATACCAAGGCACGGTAGTAGATTGGTCGGTACTTACTAACTAATCAGCTTATTATGCAACTTAAGAACCCGCACAGTGAGTTAATTCGTTCATTTCATTTAGATAGGCCGCGGGCGGTACCTTGGCCTGCGCACGAGTCTTGGTATCATATACAGGTATCTCACTGTTCTCACATAAAGTGTTAATGGAAAGGTAAGACTTTACCTTGCCGAGGGTAGCGCATGCACGCACGCAAAACCATGCGGGGGGGAAAGAAAAGGACTGACTGATGAGGCACCAACCGCCCAGGAGTAACTCCGGCAAACGTGGCTGGCGTGGCGCTGGCGTGGCTTGCTGGTGCCCAGTACCTTAGGTACTACGTCTAGTAGTCTAGGTCGCTCTGCTCTGATCATTCAGTACCAGTACTTGGGCATCTTAGGGTCCATACCGGGATGCTAGATCTTATAACTAATACCTACCAGACCAGAATTCAAGTTCTGCATCATTTCTAGAAACAAGACTACCTAACACAACCTCCAACCTCGATTTTAAGAACGCACTGACTTGATACATACAAAATTGTCCACAGAGAAAACCTGCATTTGCCTCACATGCATAGAGGCTAGTGGTAAAACATGGTGCAATGACTGTCGCTAAGAAGCCTAAGCCTTACATGTCCCGCGCCTTTAGAGATAAGACATGCATTCCATCTTTCTCCCTACACTTAATCTCGAGATAGGGGTTCCAGGGGCGGCCCCCCGGCACGAATGTCTTATTCCTTCCCAGCGAGAGTGTTTGGTCGCCATCTTCGGGGAATATGTAGTCGAAATCGATCTTCGAATCATCACGCAACATCTTGCATGGATCATGGTGCATATTTACACCTTTGCCGGCATTATGTACGAAGTGTGGGACCGCACAGTTACTAGGATGAACAAACTTATAAAATTCTAGTGTAGCATTAAAGGCGCCATGTGGTGTCAAGTATATAACTCTCCATAAACAAAATGCCCTTTTGCTTTTGCCTTGACGCCAAGCATAGGTGTCGTCTATCTCTCTTCGTATCAATCTTTAAGTCATGGCAGTTACTTGATGCTGCCTGCTCTGAACTGTCGCTTTCAAGGAAAGCGTAGCACCTTGTACCATGGATGCCATCATCGCTGTACGGTGCTTGTCGGCCTTGAATGTGTGACAGCTGGCCTGGCTAGTGGTCTGCAACTGGCAACTAATTGCTATCATTTTGGTATCATCCGGAATTCAGAATTGACATCTTCCTCCTCCATAATTTTGTACGCTTCTGATTCTGTCCTTCCTCTCTGGGCTTTGTGCATCATGTTTCGAGAAAGAACAGTGCAAACCAATCGCCATAACTCCCTGGACATGGCTCTATGTTATTGAAAACACTTGAAAGCTTCTCCGCTTAGTTAAAAAAGCCCATGATAGTTCGTTGCGACTCGGGAGAGAATTGCTGCAAAAGCGGCGTAGGGTCGACGCCGGTCGTAGTCAGGAGCCCCTTAGTCGCCAATGCCACACGATTGGCTGTTTGTCCCACGAGGGTCTCTGCCTCCAGCGCCTGGGCGATGAAAACAAAGACCTTGCCAGCCTGGCTTACCACAGCCGGGTATCGCCTAGAAGTTGAGAGACGGAACGTTAGTTTGTGCTCATAACACACTAGTAGTGAGTGTTGAAACTAGGAGTTACTTACTGCTCAATCAGCTCAGCCAGGTAGGCGTAAGCATACGGTGCTGCTTCCTCGTCGTTGGTTACAGGCAAAGTCTCTACCCATTGCGTGATCACGTTTTGGACCTCAGCAACAGTGCTGGCGTTGTAGTGGAGAATCTTGGCGATCGCTGCACATGAGTTCTCAGTCGCGTAGACATTGTCCTCGCTACGGGCATCAGGCACCTGTGTGACTTGGAACAGGAATGGAACTGAGCCACCTAGGAATTGTGCCCAAGGGGCTCCGCCTCGATGAGCCGCGACTCCAATACCGTACGCCGCCGCCTGGCGAATGGCCGGCGAAGGATCTCGGCAGCCTTCAATGAGAGGCTGAGTGATATAGTTAGCATATCTTGTGCTCTCAGGACCGCAGTATTCAAGGACATCGTCCATGATGCAAAGTCCCCACTGGCGCTGAGTAGGATCGGCAGATCCAAGGAAACCCTCATATGTGCTCATCAAACGCTCCCAAGCGGGCAAGAACGCAGCGCCGTGGTTCTTGAAGATGGCATGGAATGCTTTGTTCATATCTGAGAGCAATGTTTGATCATCTTCGATAGCCATAAGAGTATCCTCAGCCTCGTCTTCCACGTCGTCAGCGGTGGCTCCTTCCTTGTCCTCCACACGCTGGGCAACGCGGTCCTTGTAGTCCTCAATGGCAGAGTGAACTCCATCGATAAAGCGACTAAGGTGGTCTGCGGAGAGGCAGTCCTTTCCAACAACCTCGACGGATTCGTAGAAGCATTGGTACATCTCTGCGAGAGTGTCAATGGCGGGCTCTGCGGTCAGGACCTCGAGCAACTTGTCAACAGTGGCAGTCCATAGACCACGGAGCTCGTTAGACTGAGGACCGTACGCCTTCTTGTATGAACTCAGTAGTTGAGGGACGAGCTTGGCAGAGATGTATCGCACAGGGTCGTGAAAGAAGAAGGCCAGACCAGGCAAAGCAATTTTCTCCATAATCTCTGCGACGTAGGGAGCAAAGGAAGCCTCGAGAACCTGAGCGTATACAACCAGAAGCTCGATAGCCATGTGCTTGTCGTCCATAGTACTTGTCTTGATGCCAATCATCTTTCCCTTGAGTGGAACAAGCTCCCATCCTTCCTCGTTCTGCATCTGCTCGACCTGATCATCATCATCTAGCAGCTGGATGTCAGCCTTAGCCATGGCAAGCTCCAGCAGGGGTGGCATAACGTTGTGAAGGAAGGGGAGGAAATCAGAGCCGAGAACACGGCACATGCGACCCCAACAGTGCATCAAGTATTGCGCTTGGGGGTCATCCGCATCTGTGATGTTGGCCTGGATATGGGCAAGGAGTTCGACAAGAGTCATGGCATCCTGGCCAAGACGCTCCTTACCAACTGCCAGAGCAATCAGTGTAGCACATTCCATGGCCTTGGCACGCAGCAGTCGGTACTCCTTCTCACTCTGGTTCTGCAGAACGTTGACGAGTAGAGGCATGAGGGTGTCGTAATACTTGGAAAAGGCAGCTTCAGCAGCATCGGCGATGGTGGCGATGGTGGAAAGAGCCTGCTCCTGAACATATCGCTTCTCGTTCTGGAGAAGCTGGAACAGGTGCGATAGTAGGTCGTCCAAGTATGGCTCCAGAGTTGACTTCTCAGCCTCCTCGCAGAAGTTAACGAGGGCAGCAGCGGCGTGAGACTTGACTCGACCCTCAGGAGAGTCAAGGACAGGAATGATTGCCTTGAGGACACGATCGTAGTAGTCGGTCTGCATCTTGGGAGCAAAATCAGTGCTCATTTGGCCGAGGGCATTGCAGCCGGCCCATCGAACTCGAGGGTGAGGGTCTCGAAGCGCAGGAACTACCAAATCAAGCACTTGGCTGAGCTCACCAATCATGAGATCCCGGCAACCTTCTGAAATGGCCGAGATAGCCATCAAAGCAGCGTGTCTATCCCTCCAAGCCATAGAAGTCATCATGCGGGGGAGCCAGTTGAACGTGGGAGCAAGAATCGTCTGTCCTCCAAGCTTGTTCGCAAGGCGATCCATGGTTTGCTCTCCAGCAACATGGTTCTGGTCGCTCTCATCCTGGTCAAACTGCGAAAGGCGTTAGTTGCACAAACATTAATACGTCCCCTCTCCTGTAAGCACTTACATCGTCCGAGGCCATCCATTCGGATGCATCATCGTCGTCCTCGCCTAGATCTGTCATAAGACTGAGACACTGAGTAATCATGTCGTTTGTGTATGAGGGGTCCTTTCGGCAGACGGAGGGTGCGTAATCGGCAAAGGTAGCCATAAGTTCCAAGGCGTTCTGTCGGCATATGTTGTCGAGCTCCTTGTCCTGAACAACGGAGATGCTAAACTGTACGAGGTTCTGAAAAAGAGGCTTGAACATCTTGGGTGCTGACTCGGCGAGATCGATAAGGGCAAGGAGCGCCTTGCTGAGGTCGTCGGAATCTTGGGAATCCTTGATCGGGGGGAGAATATTGAGAACATCGGGGATAAGGGCGTAGTATTTAGCCTGTCCCTTCTTGCTTATAGTCCTGAAGAAAGCGGCAAAAGCCTCCATTGCGGCAAGACGGACCTGTAGATTTCGTTAGCAGCGTAATGGTGTATAAGGTGGGACAAAATTCTGCCCCACGAGAGGGGTTCTGTACCATAACGGCCTCGTCCTTGAAACCTTTCTGGAAAGCTTGGAGTACAGCTTCCTCATGCTGTTTTTCGATGATTGCAGGTGTCGTAGCAAATACTCGGAATGCATTTTCTCGCTTCTCGGGTTCGGGGGCTTGGCTGAGCTGGAAAAGAGCACCCAGTAACTCTGGCCACAGGTCACCTGTTCCAGCGCGATGTCAGTCAAGATCAGGAGGGAAAGAGAGGCACAAGGATATTGTGTTACTGACCGTTTTCTGTATACTGGCGGGCCAGTTCAGCCACAGCATCACTGATCTTGTTGCGAACAAGGCGCTCAGACTCGGCCGCAAGGGTCTCGAGGAGTTTCTGGCGAATGACGGCGGCTTGGTCCTTTGTCAAAGAAATGAAGAGGTCAAGACTCTCACCAGCCTCATTCTTGCGAGTCTTGGAAGCAATCCGCCGGAAGATAACGGCGGCGAAGGAGCGAGTCGCATTGTCGCCAGCAGCTTGGATCTGTTCAGCAAGTCCCATCAAAAGAACCTCGGGACGAGTGGCGGTCCAGTTGTTCTGCAGGTGCTCCTCGGCCTGGGATCTGTTGCTGTTGTCGGGGGACTGCAAAGCTAGCAGAAGCTGCGAAAGCTCTGCATGAATATCGGGCGAGAGTTGAGACATTGTCGTGGAGGGTTGCTGATGGTGATGTCCACCAGCAGACGACAAAGAAGGTTGGAGATCAGTCGGAGGATGCGAACCAAGATAGCGACGGAAAAGATGAGAGGATAGTTATGAAAAGCTACGAGCCGCTATGAGGTCGTTGGCTTTGATCGGCCGTCGCTTTCGGTATGGGGAACGAGGTTTCCAAGATCCCGAATGTTGGGCAGTAGAAATGAAGAAGAGAGGGATGAATGGGAATGAAATCGAAGTGGGGGAGGGGAAGCCCAAAGTTGAGGGTCAAGGACAAGTATCCTACCTGCAATTTATTGCGGTTGAGGTACTTCTGGTGAAACTTGAGCCCAAGGAAAAAAAAAAACAAAGGGTGCGCGGTGACCAGACCCGTCACTAGTGGAATTTATCAAGGGTCATACATGATATACACTTAGAAAAGATTTAATCGACCACTTATCGATATGTAAACTTATTGAAGTCTATACGAATCATTTGATTGGAAACATGCAATAGGGTATAAAGACGATATTCACTTATACGCTCTGTGCATGTCCTATTGGAAGTATAAATATATCTGCTGGCAGTAAAAGGTAACCAAACCCGCCTAGACTACCTTAGTAGACACCTCTTTCGTCATCCAGTGGCTGAAGAGTATCAAGACAAAGGGCTAGAAGAAAGTAAGAGAAACAATTGGCTAGGTATCTCATTGCTCTATCCCTCTGTCGCTCCAGTTCTCTACTCCGTAACTACTGGATCCCTCTCTTGTTATTGTCGCTTTGTTCGACCTGGCAGTTGTCCAGAAGCTCGTGCCCCACCACACCGCCAGAGTGGCTCTCAATACACCTTCAAACAATTCTTATCAAGACTCATCGCAACGATAGCCAATCAATCAACCACTCTTTTGACTACCTAGCCACCGACTTGGCAGCGGAATAGATGGTTTGAATAACTTTTAAAGCAGTTGCAGGTATATGTGTGTACCTGGAAGGTTCATGTTCAACTATGTTCAATCTCTCAGGCCCTCACACGCTGTATGGGCGTTCTATATCAGGTAGGCCTTATTGTTCGGCACCTATCAACTCTGTATTGATCTGATAGAATTGTTCGGTGGCATATATAAACCTATTTGCTTATGTAAAATATTTACGGGGTGTTGTTCCACAATAGGTAGTCGGAATAGATCTCTCATGCGACAGATGGTTTTGACTGCAATAAACCTTCTCCAATGCTCCATAGATAGATGAGACTGCTCACCAGCCTGGCTCCCGATTTCCATGCGCCATCTGGTTAGTATTAATTGACTGTAGTGATCCAACAGAGCGGATGACCTGTCAACCACGGAAGATCAGCGCGTGTAACAATGTTCCAGTATTTGAAGGTACTTGGAAAAGTACCTATATATCGGAACCGATCCCCAGGTGTCAGCCAATTGTCAGCCAGTTTTGGCTCTTTTAATTAGAAGGTTGAGTGAGAGCCCCGGGCCGGCTTCGTTTTGAATACTATCGCGGGGCACTGAGGCGGGTACTCCACCAATCCCCCCCCCCCCCCCCCCCAAGCGTGCTATGTCATCTCCCCCGCCCATCCAATTGCTACTAACCAGTCATCACTTTGGCTTGCAACCTCGTGCCCCTCCCTCACGACCGTCCCCATCCAGACCAACCTTCGCCGCGAGAAACTATTCTGCTATTCCACTTCATCGCCTCTCTCTGCTAAACTTTGCCCTTGGCGAATGACCATTTCACCTATTATCCCGATTCCCAATTGTGACTCTTGCTCAACTTAAACCTTGAATAGGTATCCATCTTATCGAAATCATCCAACCATTCTCTCATCCTGCTTGCGCCTTTCGCCCTCGCTGTCTCTCTACTCGTTTACCTCTGTGCCACACTATCATCTCATCCTTCCCAATTGTCGCGACAAGAATTCGCCATCATCTCACCATTGATCTTCTCATTTCAATACGCGCAGCGTTCTCAAATAGCCCAAGCGGTCCCCTTTGCCGAACCGTGCACGATCTCTCGTCATCAGCCATTTCAACCGTTGATTTTGAACCAGAACTCTCCCACCATGGACCCGTCACCGAGCTCCTCCCGCGAGCTTAAGGACACCCGCGCGACCAGTTCGACAAGCCTCAACAGTGCTGCCTCGGGCTCCTCATCCACCAATAAGCCGCCCACTCTATCTCAACGATCCCCTTCAGTCTCGATATCTGCCGGTTCTGGTCCAAGCTCCTTATCCGCCCATCGACAAAGCTTCGCGGAGAACTTACGCAACGCGCCCTCTTCTCCACGCTCTCAACGGCACCCTTCTTTCACACAGGCTGCTCTCCAAGAGCTGCTGAATCATCCTCCTGCTGGCAACAAACATGCCAACCCAAAGTTCGCTGGCCGTGATTGGCGTGATGTAGCTATTGGAGAACTCGTGTCTCCCGACGACATAAAGTGGGTGGAGTTCGACAGTAGCGTCGAGGAAGCTACCAAGGTAAGCGCAAAGCTCTGCGGAACATGATGAGTTTCAAATGCGCCTTTAAGTGCAATGTGAGCAAATACTAACCCTAAATCCTGTAGCTCCTCCTCAAGAGTCCTACCAATGTCGTTCTAGTTCGCGAGGATGCTTCCACCCACACCGCCGCCTCCACATTCGATTATACTGATTTGAATGCATACCTGCTTGTCGTTGTTGGTCTCGCGAAACCTGAGGAGGATCAAGTTGATATGTTCAATTCGATCTTGGCCAAGGCTCAGGAAAATGGACAGATACCTTTACGAGATGTGTTTCCCTTGTTCCGCAAGGAATCGCTCATAACATTGCCCGGCGATGAGCAGCTTGCGCAAGCTATTGAAATTCTCGGTAGCGGAATCCATCGGCTATTGGTGACAGCCACGAGTGGTGAGGTGGTCGGCATTGCAAGCCAACTTCGAATTGTTGAATTCTTTTGGAATGAGGGCGTTAATTTCCCTTCCATCGATCGGCTGTATCCAGTTTTGCTCCGTGATCTGGGCGTTGGTGCCAAAGAGATTGTCTCTGTCAAGTAAGCTACAGTGCCTACGTCGCAATGAAATGATGATCTGACTTGCCATAGCTCTGACTCGCCGCTATCCGAAGCTCTTACTCTTATGAGCAATGAAGGCCTTACAAGCGTTGCTGTTGTCGACAATGGTATGAACGTAGTGGGCAATATATCGACCAAGGACGTCCGACACTTGACCAAGAGTTCCAACGGCCATCTGCTCAACTCTTCATGCATGAACTTCATTTCGGTGATCCTTAATGAGCGAGGAGTCGAGCATGGACGCGACGTCTTTCCTGTGTTTTATGTCAACCCTTACTCAACCCTTGCGCATACTGTCGCTAAACTTGTTGCTACGCGATCGCATCGGATGTGGGTAGTTGAATCGGCGTCACCTTCGCCCTCTGCTCCTGCTACGCCTTTGATGGGGCCTCAATCATTCACAGGTACAGCACCTCCGCCTCCAGCCGTGCCCGCATCAGCACCCATACATGCTGCGCCTCCATCACCTGTGCCAACTGCAGCGGTACCCGCATCCCCAGTTCATACTGCCGCTGTGCCTGCGTCTGCCATGGCTGGAGCTCGTCTCTCGGGCAGACTCACCGGCGTCATCTCGCTGACTGACGTTCTAAACGTGTTTGCAAAATCTACTGGGTTACACCCATCTGACCCTAACGAACAGCGAGCGCGACGTAGGCGAAGCTCAAGCAGCTCGGTACGGCCCAGCTTCGACTCCTCTCGAGCAAGCATCGACTTCCGTCGATAATGATCAACCAACCACTCTTTGACGGATCGAATTTGTTGTACAGCTCAGCCTTTCCCAACATCTCAACGAAAAAGAGACAGTGGTGATTCTTGTTTTCTGAATAACACTCCTTCTGCCACCTGTGTAAAACGGACGTGCGAATGAAGTATGGCCAAAATGGATAAGTTCATCATATATGGGGGGATTAACCTCAGTCTCGGTTTTGGTAGGCAGATCGAACATCATCTCAGGGTTCTCTGAGGCTACATATTCAACAAATCATAGTATACGCTTCACTCAAGGTTGTCTGGTGAGACAGGAAGTGTTCTTGTGTTAACGGAACATCTGCGATTGGGCGATCGGCCACAATTAGAGTTAAAGGATGAAACTTTCATATAGGAAGCAGAGATAACAATTTGACGAGTCACTGATTCATCGTGTATATTTTCACAGGCGCCACCAACATCGTGACAACGAACCAGTGTTCCGGGATAGAATTAAAGAGCTGTGAGTCAGAAATTGTTTGTTAATGTCCAGATTCGAGTTGAGAAGTTTGATGGTACCTATAGTAACAGTGGTGGCTACCTACCTAGCAGGCATCCCCCCTCTTTTTAACAGGGCTGATACAAGCTTGCAGTGATGGAAAGACGTCCTGAAAGATATACTGTTATGACGAATTGTTTGACCTGTCTATAGTAATTAAGAAATGTTAGTTTTTAATAGCTATTATTAACCCGTTAAGATGACTTGAGATATCTAAGATAAACAGCCTGTTAGTTTAAAGATTTAGTATTATAACTAATTATTTAAATTGAAAGGCCTTATAGTAGACCTTTCAACCCTTATACAAGCCCTGTTAAAAATGAGGGTGCGTCCGCTAGGTATGGCTACTAACCTCTGGCCCACCTACCTTAGTACTTTGGTATCTTAGGCTTTTAGCTACCATCTTTGTGGATCCTGTCGAATCGACGTTTGATGGCGTTACAGCCTTAGAGCCACATTTCCCCCATGTCGATTGGTCGACAGCTCGCCACATCGGAAGCCGGAAGCATCAGCCCCAGCACATCGCCATTTGACTCATCATCCCCATCTCTATCAAACGTCCAACTTCTGTATCTGCTTCTCATCAATATTCAGGTTCTCATCTCACCGCGTATAGTTCCTTTCTTGCTATCTTTATTCTCATATTCGTTTTTACTCTGATTTGTTATATATTCCACAGTCAGTAAACCCAATCAGGCCCTCAACCCTGGCCTTGCAAGACCTGAAATCTGGGTAGCTCCATCTCCGCACTCAAATCGACTTCATCATCCATAAAGCGGCGACATCTGACGCACTGGATTTGAAGCTAACATCCTCGCGACTGAATCGACTCTGTTTCTGTGAGAGGATTATTAGTTCATACGGTCTTAGCTCTTGTTTTCGACTATTTCTAGGTCCTGTCTTTCTCGGCCGATTCTGGACTCCCAGCTCACCTGTGGCAAATTGCCCTTTTGCTATCTTTTTCACCCTCCAGCACGCTTCCGGAGTTCTTTAGACATTGCACTCCTCGCTTCTTTTGCTTAACTGAACTTGTTCGTCAATTTGTCTTTTCTTCTTCTTTTTGGAAACACTTTACCACTCATCTCACGTCTCGAATAGACGTCGAGTGTGATACCAAGCCAAGCTTCAGCCACCGGCGCCCTTATGTGCATAGCCGCCTACAATGGTTACTATGGCATCTTCTACGGCAACTTCAACAGACGATCCCCCTCACGAGCCTCCAGGTAGCGGCGGGCACAGAAACAAGCCCGCAAGCGATGGCCTATTCAAACTTGGTGACTTTACCAGACTGAACTCGCACGATCTCGCAGACTGGGCTGCTCCGAAAGACACAAAGACTTCTAATTCGCCTCCGACTCTTGGAAACTTCAAGCGGCTCTTTGAGCAGCTTCGTTTTCAAGATAGTGCAGCATCAGATTCGCAGTATCGGTCATTTGTTTGCTCAAAGACGCAACCTATCACAATACTGAAACCGTCTTCCGAAACATCCCTCATCATCAAGGCAGCTGCTATCCCCAAAGCTAGTGCTGGACTTGTTTTCGACCCAATCACTGATTCAGAGGCTGGATGTGACTCCGACACCGACGTGCTGCCTGCGGCATCCTATTCAACCGCTGCATCAACACCACCGAGCTCAAGCGAGTCTCCTCTCAATAATTACAACGAAACTAAGATCAGCAAGAACAAATCGCCAAAGGCAAAAGATAATGTCAATTCTAGAGACAATTCGGAGCCCAACATTATCCTCTGGGGTGGCACTCAGCCGGATCTGGTCAGACATGTCATCTCGTATCAACGTTTCAAGTATGGTCCTCTCACCGAAATTCACAGCAATGTGCAGCCTACTGCTGCCAAGCACCAAGCACTCATGAGCAGGCTTGTTCATGAACGTGTTGTGGACTCTATGATCTGCAAAGACTTCTCTACTATCGCGGAAAACGGGATTCATGTCTTCATTGACATGTCCAACATCATTATTGGATTTCAGAAGGCCTTGAGGGTAAAGTTTGGTATGTCAGAGTCGACGCGCTTTGTCCCACTTCCACAGATGAATCTTTCCTTCTTTCACGAGCTCTTGACTCGTGATCGATATGCCGAATGGCTCAACGTCGGCTGTTCAACACGTCCCGACAAAGGTGAACCCCCTTTCATCCAAGAACTCAAAGATCTTGGCTATCGTGTCGATCTTCGCAACCGCCGCCCTGAGCAATCTGGTTCCAACGATCACACTACCTTCGAAACTGGCGGATTCCGCTATGTGGAGGATATGGTTGACGAAACACTTCAAATCCGAATCGGCGAGTCTGTTATGCAGTATTTCGAAATGCCCGGTACACTTGTTATCGCCACTGGGGACGCCCGGCCGGCCAAGTACTCGGATGGCTTTCTAGCTTATGCCCAACGCGCCCTGAAAATGGGCTGGAGCGTTGAGGTTGTGTCCTGGAAGGCGAGCCTTTCGTCCGCCTGGAATGGACTATTGAGGGACAAGAGCATTGGTTCTCGGTTCCGCATCATCGAGCTCGATCAGTTTCTGGATGAGCTTTGGATCTGTTAAACTCACACCGTTGCAGCCTCTTCTGAAATATGTAGAGAAGCTTAATCGGAGATAGATGGGCCATTCATTCTGAAACTGTCTGCGTTCGGGCAATAACTTTTGATACCCCTCTAACAGTGAGAATTAGCAGATCAGGAGCTTGCCATGATTCTTTTCGATGTCTGGTCTATAATGTTATTCCACTATTTCTTTTCCTGGGGAAAGTACCTTAGGTACTCTTATATGCTCCTGCACGTTATCCGACCCCCTCTTCCCCAACACCTGTTTGGTGGTTTATGGACGGTTAACTACACCATATTCTACTTGACTATCTCGACAGATATTCTTTTCTGCTTAGCAAGTCGAGTCCAACAAGTAGGGAATACAATTATCCCCAAGAATATCGGTTATAGTTCTGTCACCTTTAATCAGACCGCCTGGGTATCTTGAACTGCCGGGGGAGACACATCATTGAGAAGTGCTTTCATTACTGGGTGGAGGAATATATTTTGGAAGCTACGGAACCTTAAGATCTTGACGATCATTCGTCATTCATTACGAGCAGCGAAACGGTCTTGTGCGAAGTCACCATATGGTCTCAATGTTGTGGAATGAATGTGGCATTGCCCAGGACACGAAGTCATAGGGCAAAGTGAACCACGCCGGATATTATAGGATTGACTCTGCTTCATGGGCACAGTATACAAATGGATATTGCAGATGCTTCTGCCTATGCTTTTCTTCGTAATTCGATCATGATGAATAACAGATTTTGACTTCATTCCCACAACACGAGTATCTTGATCTTAAAACGGACGACAGACGATTCGGCTAACATGAAAACGCAGCATAACTCTTTTTCTTCTTGTCCGCAGTACGGCTTCTGTTTAATTATGGAGGTGTGTACAGGCAATTTAGGCTTGGATAGTAGAAGCAGAATCCTTCAAGATGCCTGGTAAGACATCGAGTGTCTACAGTGCCACAACAACGTCAATCACTCGATGCTCACAAACAGATATAACAGCAATAACCCGTTAAACAACATATAAAATGAGAAAAAGAAAGACATATTCTCAGAGAACAAACATGACCCCAAACCGCTCAAAAAGTTGAAGGGCTTAGTGACATGACAAATCGCTGAGCTCTACTCTAGTTAGAAGACGATTTCCTGCCTCCAATACCCCAGTGTTGCTCAGCCATGAAAGTGGCAGCCTCGGCCTTCTTCCAAAGATCATCGAAGGCAGAAAAGAGAATTAAATCCTCCAGGTGATCAGCAAATGCCTCTTGAATAGACCCAAGAGCGGCCTTTTGTTGATCCATGCCAGGGACAGCCTTGCCGTTGGCGTTGCCCTGTGTTGGCCAGCCAGTCTCGCATACAACAATGCGCTTGTTTCCAGGAATTTTGGACCTTAGCCCTTCGACGGTGTCAGACAGCCACTTGCCAGCCTCCTCGGCAGAAGTATTAGGGTCAAAAAAGGCGTGGGCGTTCACAGCACAGTAGTCGCTTTCGGTGCAGAGCTCTGGGTTCGCATTAGCAGCCACGAAGGTATCAACAGTGACAACAGGGCCTTGGTAGCCTGCACCTCGAAGTAGAGCACGAGCCTGCTTGAGGGCTGCAATCACCTTCGCGGGGCTGGCGATGTTCTGGTTGACAAGTTCGTTACCGACGCTGATAGTGTCCACTATACTCCAATCGCCAGCAATACCGTCAATGATTTTCTGGGCCTCGGCCTGGACATCATCGATGTCCCAAATGCCAAGAAAGACCTTCATACCATGGCTCTTGGCACAAGAGTACACATTTGCGACTTGGTCGCATTCTGTGCCATAGATACGGAGGAGAGAGTAGTCTTCCGCCAGCCGAGTCATATCATGCATGATCTCATCCTTCGTCTTGCACTGATGGTCAGCGCGGAAAGGGGCGTATGAGACGCCAGGGAGTCTAGAGCCACCCGAGCCCCCCAAGCCTCCTGAGTCTCCTGGGCCGCCTGGGCCACTTGAACCACTTGAACCACTTGAACCACCACAGTTACTAGATCCACAATAACCACCAAGCCAGTTGTCATCAGTATGGGGCAAATAGGCATTGGAATCGGGCACTGAAGTTGTCGTGGGCGTGGCGGGTGTAGCATGTGCAAGAGTTGTAGTGTAGGTAGAGGCCATAGTGAGAGTAATAGTGGTGACACTACGATGCTGTTAGTTGGCATGGTAGTTTCGAGCCAGAAGATCGACTTACGGGTCTCGCTTCTCAAAGGGGCGGCCTATATCTGGGGTCAACTTCGAGGTGTCATTTGTTATTAGGAATACTTACCAAAGGGCATGGCAGCAGCAACTGCCGCCATAACCACCGCCGAAGTCATGAAACGTTTCATCGCCATATTGGTAATTTGTTATATCAATGGTTGTTAGAGAGTGAACGAGCTGCTACAAAAAGCTCAAATAGTATTTATAACGTGTTTGATTCTCGAAAGTGAGTGTATAAGACGGGAGTAAATAACCCGCTATCCAAAGAACGAATAGGAATCTGATAAAGAGTGTTGAGAATTGAAGAGGAAAGAAAAGAGTGAAAAGTCTTAGGAAACGATAGTGAGTAGAAGAGTAGGGAAAAAGGAGTGATGGTGAAAGAAGTAGAAGAGGAAGAGGCGGCGGAGGGGAGGTGAAGAAAGTGAAGGTACCTGAGTAAAATGAAGAATTCCAAACCTACATAGGGTGGAAGGTACTTCTCGGCCCAAATATAAAGGCAAGTCGAGATGAAGTTAAGCCAGGGAGGGAGTGACAACAAGGAAAGACACGTATAACCCGAGGCAGGTACTACCTAGGTATGGATCTGCCCCCAGTCACAGCCGAGCCTACATCGTAGATACAAGAGGAAAGTACTAAGGTAATTAGAAACAAGAGAGGACCTCTTTACCCTGGCAACTCTTTTCAACCACCAAGTTTCATCCTGAACACGACCTTATCTACCTCCAACTCTTATCTATCAATACCTTCCTTGCAAGGCCTCTCATCCCTTAGGTAGAGTATCCCTCCATCCGGTTTCGATACTCAGCTTCGGCCCTCTACCAGATCCTGACATACGCACACAATCACTCACTCAAACCAATACAACGTGCCATCCTAAATCTCCCGGAAGCATTACCTTAAAATGCATCACAGCAAAAGGCCACGACGCTCGCAATTGATTGGAATGGGGTGATGCCCTGCCATGCCGCATAATATCGGAATCCGCAATCTAACCAGGAATGCATCATCTGAGACATAACTGAATCCCTCATAAGCTGGAGAGGTTCCTCGTCCGTCCAGTAACTGTGGCTGGCTGTTAGACTGGTTTTATCCAATCTGCTTCCCCTTCTACATATGTGACGGTGGTGATCCTTTTGCTTAGATTCTGGTACCTTCGCGGATGCAAACTGGTACTGGGCAGCATCTGCACGGCTTGGCAAAGGATCTTCCATAAGACACGCAAAACAGCTGGTACGATGTTCTCACGCTGTGAACTCAAGAACAGTGACTTGTCATAGGCAGCTTTGTTTGGACGGCCGAACATAGCCGTTCTGTGATCAGACTTCCTGCTTATTGCCCCTTTTATTAAGCATCAGAGCTATTACCCTGATGTTGAACAATCAACAGCTTTTCACAGTGTCCAGGGAACAAAAGCATTGTTCCAGTAATATTCATTCAATGCTGGCGTACGGAGCCGCATCTATTAATCATTAGCTTTCTAACTGGCTAACCGCCACTCTATAGATTGTTCCGCGCTTCCCCTTCTGGCCGTGCTACTCACGGTCCCATTCATAATCAAAAATGTCTCGGCGTAGTATGACGACCCAACGACAATGTTCTCGTAGTCAGCCCCTTGCTGTTGTCAAACTAGGCATATCAAATTCCCTGGTTCAAGCAGCCTTGATACTCGTCTTGCGCGTCATAACCTTGGTGATGGCATGTCGAATAGTCACGCCAGCTTTCTCGATATCTTTCTTGGACAAGGCGGATGTGACACAGATGCGAAGCGCGGGCTGGGCAAACCACGCATCACCCTTAGGCTTAATCGCATGGGCATAGGGCCTAGTCTTAGTCCTTGTGATCAGAACACCGTTGGCAAGAACCTATGCAAATGTCAGTTCAAGGAAATCCTTCTCTCAGTAATCGATACACGTACCTCTTCCACGCAGTCCGATAGGATGCGTTCTTGGTCTTCCAGCTCCAGCTTTCGCGCAGTAACAACTTCAGGCTTGAGGATTAGGAGCATGATGGGGTTCTCGGGATCACTGGGGCTGACGACCCAGTCACTGCGGGGATCCAGCTGCGCCTTCATCGCCTTAATATTCTCGCGTGATTGTGACAGGATTTCAGGGTTAGACTGAAGCAGATTAAGGGTCTCGCTAGCGATAACGGCCAGCATGGCAGGGAGAGCGGCAGAGAAGGTATAGGCAGAAGAGGTAATACGCTGATGCTCAACGACATCTTTCGGTCCGGCACAGAAACCACCACCAGCACACAGAGGTCCGGCAAGAGACCCAATGATCATGTCAACTTGCTGGGGGTCCACGTTCTGAGCCTCGGTAATACCACGACCCGTACGACCAAGAACACCAAAAGACCAGGTCTCATCAAGAATAACACGGAACTTGTACTTCTCCTTCAGCTCAACCAAGCGGGGCAAATCACTAGAGTCTCCGGAAAGTTCAAACAGACCCTCGGTGACGACAAAACGACGAGTGAGCTTCTTAGCATTTGTCTGCTCTTTAGCAACAGCTCGCATAGCATCCTCTAGATCGTCCATGTCATTGTGCTCAAACCAGCGGATGGTGCTTCGTGACTGCTCGAGGCCCTTTCGAATGGAGAAGTTGACATTGCGGTCAGCGATAATGACATCGCCACGTTTGCAAAACGATGGAATGACACTTGAAATAGTGCTGAAGGCCTGGGCATAGACGATGCAACCTTCGGTACCCAGATACGCGGCAATATCTGATTCGGTCTTCATGTGGACATCTTGGGTACCGTAGAACTGAGGTGGGCCACAAGGGCCAACACCATAGGTACGTAGAACCTGGATAGCCTTCTCCTGAATCTGGTCATTGCCGTTGAAGTTGTAGAAGTTGTATGATGCGAGGTTGGTCACGGTTCGGCCATTGGCGAGCTTGGATCTAGGGCCTGTGGGACTGTTGGAAAACGTCAGCTTCTGGTATTGTCTTTGATGAAACTGTGCACAAATAGGACTCGGCGCTGCTCACCCAACAAGGACAGGAAGGCGTTCGGTCTCAGCAACCTCAAATGCAGTCTGTTCGACGACGAGAGGCTCGGGCTGCCACTCATCAATCAACTCGTCGATTTCCTGCGACACATCCAAAATTAGCACTCAATTGCGTCGAAATGTCGATGATTCAAAGAGGCCATGATCTTACATCCTCTCTCAGCTTGACATAGTTCTGCTTATGTGTCGAGTATGAAGGCGACAGGAGATACCGAATAAAAAAGAGTAGCAGCACAAGCTCGATGGCGGATCGCACGGGATCATTCTGATAACTCGACTGGATATAACGAATGAACACGGCAGAGCCAGGCACTTTATGGAAGTATACCGAGGCTTGCTCGAGAATGTCGCCCAACCGGGCCTGGAGGACGTCGAGTTCCATTTCCTTTCAGCCGTACTCAAAGGTTGCGCTAATATGTATGGCTTGACTTGCGCAATTATTTTTTGCGTTCTTCGATTGTCGGGAGACGATCGTTTGTCGGTGGTCTTCTGTGTTGGTAAGGGGAAGGTTTGGGGAAAGATCAATGAAGGAGTGTGAATTATGCACTTGATGGCCATCACTGCCCGCCAGAGTTGCATGGGTGCACAAAGGGGCCAAGTCCCCTAACTTGAAGCGAGTCAAGTTATCGATCCTGATTGGTCGTATTCGTAAGCCTTCGGTGTCCATTTCTTACAGGGGGTCAACGGGTACCTGAACGTCACAAACAGTAAGATGGGCCATCCATTACAGTGGAAGTGTATGAACCATCAGATAGCCCGGAAACAAGATGGAATACGTAAAAATGGGCTGATGCTCGTAAGCTACAATCACCGGGGTATAAGGTTTGTTACGAGACTCTGATAATTGGAAAGGAATGAAAAACAGCATTATTTGCAATTAGGTCCAAGGTTTCATTTATGTGTTGCTTCCTTTCATTGTACACATTAGAATAAGTTTTTTTTTGTAAAAATAGAAATAAAAAGTTACGCCTTGTACCAACAGAGATCAGTCCAGTTCAGCCAGTGAATGTCAGGTCTGACGTATCTGCCAACCTCCCCATCTCTCACTCATCCTATTCTATAAAACATCAATGCCCCATATGCATCAACCTGAGGCGCAGAACGAAAAGCAAAAGGCAAAAAGCAAAAAGCAAAAACTGGACAGGTTCGCAATTTTTCTGTGCAGTATCATACCGAAGTGAGTCCAGCCAGTCAGAGGACGCCTCCAAAGAGGGTATTTCCAAAAGATCAGGCCCCCATGCTCGTATCTTAGAACAACTTGATCTTGCCGGTTACTGATGAGTCTCCACCCGTGGTTGATGGCTTGCTACCGGCGCCGGTGTAGCCTTCTCTTCCAGTGCCAGTGGCCGAAGTGCTGTTGGTATAATCGCGATCGAGACCTGTAGGCTGAACAAGCTTGAACGGGAGACCACTAAGAGCGCTATCAATGGCAGGGAAAATGAATTTGCCAGCCACGATAGGTCCGACGATGAGAGCGATGAAGACAACCAGAAGAGTGAAGTAGAGGATGGCGTAACGAACTACGCGTCTTCGTCTAAGCTTGGACTGCTTCATCGAGTAAATAGGAGGTCGAATTTGACGGCTGTTACGACTATTAGCATGCACACTTGAACGGTAGAAAAACAAAACAGCCATACCTAGGGCGGAGCCAGAACAACATCATGGAGTGCAGCATGTCGATCTTAGGGATCAAAATGACAGGTGCCATGAAAAAGAGTAGCCAGTGACCAAGAACGAAATCAGCCGAAAACATAGAGAGTTCGGTGATTTTGCAAAGGAATTCACGAGCAGGTTGAGAAACAGTGTGCCATCCCATAGAGTACCACTTTCCAGTCCAGAAAGCAATGTTGGAAGCGTCCGACTTGAACTCTCGAGTGAGGGCGAGAGACACGATCAACTTGACAAAGAAACGTTGGATTGCAGTCACGGCAATCATACCGGACACGGTCTTTGTGAAATCAAAGCCCTCGAGAACAAACATGCCCAGGAAAGAAATGAGGAGGAAAATGACAGCTGAGGCATGCGCGATACCAGCGAGAACACTACCGAACTTCTTACAGCACATGCTGAGAAGGGGACCCATGCAACAGGCCATGCCGAACATAGCAGCAAGAACACCTGCATTGACAGCGACAGGAGCAAAGGTAATGACGAGTAGGCGAATCAGGGCGTCCGTTGGTGCGACCTTCTTCTTGTCCGCCTCTTTCTGGTTCTCTTTCAACACACCAGTCTGGGCATTGATGAACAGGTAGGGGAGAATCGTAACGACAGCAAGCATAAGAGGTGAGAAGATCTCACTGAAGAAGATGTTGGCAAAAGGAGCACGCGGAACATCAGCCGACATCTTGGCAGAGGGGTCACCCAGGGTCTTGCGCTTATAGCCAGTAAGTCGAGTTCGGGAAAGTCGACAGTACGAAATCCAAGACGAGGCGTGGCTGCGTGAGTTACCACGCGACAACCAGCGCAGGTAATCCCGGTAGTCGATGAAAAAGTCGGTCCATGCGAACTGATGAGGGTTGTACAAGAAAGGCGAGATGGTAAGAGCCAGCAGAGTAATCCAGAAGTAAATCAGGACACCCTTCCAGACGGTGAGTGTAGCAAAGAGAAGCATCATTAGCAAACGAGCGCCGAAGTAAATAGCAGGTCCAGCAAATCGAGAATACAAGACGCCAAAGGGTATACGGGCAGTAGCGAAACCACGGCCTGTACCAATGTATCGCGCACCACCAAACGAAATATTCTGCTGCACAGAGTTCGCGTAGATCTGACAGACGAAGACTTCGAACATGAGCGAGAGTGAACAAAACTGCTTCATCAATCGGATGAAGGCACGCCAAATTCCACGCTCGGAAAGCTCCTGGACAATAAGAGGGATGAAGGACAAGAACAAGACGAAGAGGATAGAGATAATGCAACGGTAAATCCAGTCGGTCAGGGCATCAGTGTTGGCACAGCCCGTTGGGTAAAGAGGATCGGTGATGGGGACGTTTCGGTTGTACTCGCAACGAATTGTCTGGTTGCGCAGCGCTCCGAGGTTGATCATCGTGATCATAAACATCTGAACAGAGAACATGATAAACATGTTGTTCAAATGGAAACCGGGATGTGCGTAGTAGAACGACAAGAATCGATCGAGGGGAAGTTGAGTGCCAAGGTAGTAGTACTCGCGAGACAAGAACTGTTCGCCCATGCCAGTACCAATTTTGGTCGTGAAGTTCAGGACTGAACCGAAACCCAAATCACGGCCTTTGCCGCATTGGAAGTATTCGCACTGCTTGATGCGTCCTCCACGCAGTAGAGCGGTCATTCCGGCGTAAATATCTTCGTTCAAATGGAGACCCTTTTGGGCTTTGGAGACACCACCGCGGGTAGTCATGAAGATACCATTCAGGAAATCGGGATGTCCGTAATGGAGCTTACCACCAATCTGAGCCATGGTTCGAGCGAAGAGTGTACCAAATGTCTGTTCCTTTCCAGCAGCAATATCACCAAGGATACCAATATTCTCTGAGAAAATGTACTCGCGAGCACCAAGAATAGCAACAGGGGCAGACACGTCGTTCTTGACACCAGGAGTGTATGGGGAAACATTATCTGTCTTCATCTCCTCAAACTCGGCAAGAACACTGCGAATCTTGAGGCACTCTTCGAGGTAGTTGTCCTGGTTAGCATCAATAAGCTGAATGTATTCGCCACGGTAGAAGATGATGGAGTGGTTCTGATTGTCGGATTTCCCGTCGCCAAGGATAGGATTGCCAGAAAGCTGGACGCGAAACTTGGGACGACGCATGCCGTTCTCCATAACCTCAGAGTGGCCGTCAATGAGAACAGAGTATAGTCTTGGCTCTTCGCCTTCAGCAGTCGGTGGTTCTTCATCCAGGTAAGCAATTTGAAGATCGGGATAAGCGCGGAGCAGGAATTCGGCATTCTCCATCTCTTCTTTTTTGAACTTGGAGAACCTTTGCATAGAAACGACAATCTTAAACTTGCGGCGGGCCATACGTTCAAGCTCACGCTCAAGTTTGTCTGTGTTGCCGCCAAACATCTGCACGACCTCGGGATTCTCGACACGATAGAGAAGCTTGATAGCACGACTATAGTTCATGAAACCGGAGATAGTGCGGTAGAGAGTCTGGAAGCGAAGAGAAGCCCAAATACGTGTGCGAAGAGTGTACTCAGGCGCGGAGGACTTGAAACCGATGCAGTAAAATGGAAGATCGTCAATCTTGCTCTTGGCCCTGTCTTTCTCATTCTTGTCCGTTTCGCCATTGTACTGAGAGGTCTCATCGGCTAGAATCTTGGTGTCCTTGACGAAGCAATCCCATTCGTGGGGGTGCAGTTGCTTCAGATACTCCAGGAGGGTGACACGGGAGTATGGCTCATCCTCACGAATGATCTCACGTAGCGAGAGGAGAATCTTTTCACCGTAGTGAGGAATCATAACAGTGAACGTGGGCATGTTATCAACGGGGACGGGCTCAGGAATGGGAGTTGACAAAGACTGAGCAAAGAATGAGATTCGGCGCTCTGCTTCACTGTAAGGGGGGAAATACTCGGTCTTGAAGGAGTGATCTTCTTGAGAAATGAAGAAGGTAGGAGCGCGCAAAGTTCTCTTGCCTTCCTGTTCCGAAGGAACCTGATGGTAAAGCAACTTCTGAACATGCTCGATTGCCAGGAGATGTTCGCGGTACATGGATATGACGATGGCATTCCAAACCTGCGAGATGAGAACTTTGGGCTTGTATTTGATCTCCATATCCGTCGTGGCAAGAACCTTGGAGTAAACACGTTTGGGAAGGCGAGAGAAGACGTTTCGCCAAGGAGTAAGGATGGAAGATCCAATGTAGAAAGATCTTGCAACAGAAAACACAGTGTTGACAAGGACATACCACAGGTAGGTGTCGAGAAAGAAGAAGATGACATCAGTAAATGCCATGAGAGCTAAGACGATCGTTGGGTGCCATTTACAAAGGCTCGGGCCAAGGAACGTCTTGTCACCCAAGCACGTATCGACCTTCATGATATTCAAATATCGAACAGGGTCGCGGAAAGACAGAATGAGATAGATGTACGAAACACCCATTTTGACTCCAAAGACGACAGCCCATAGTCCATAGGACATAGCCATGTCGTTACCACGAAGCTTAGGCCAACTGGCAGTGAAGGTCTGACTGGCAACGTAACGTCTTGTGTTGGTAGACAGGTAGCTGCCAAACAAACCACCAAGAGGCATAATTGAGAAAAAGATGAAGGTGATAACAGCAATGATGAAGTGGACGATACCAATAGCTGTGTCAATCTTCTCGCCACCAATACCCTCGAGGAAGAAAACCTTGATGCCAGGAGCGATGTTGAGTACCAGAACAAACAGTAAGAAGAACAGTCGCGAGGTAAGATGCTGGGCACCAGCCCACCGACGAGGCACGTATGCCCATTCACCAAGAGTGGCAAGAACCTGGATAAAAGAGGCAATGGCACCACCAAAACCAACGATAGAGAAGGACTTGGCAGTTGATGGAGACTGGTTCACCTGCTGCTCGTAACTTGGTCCAACCAAGATACTTGGAGCATTGTGAGAAGTATAGAACCAGAACATAGTCAAGTGGATGATCCAGATACGGTTGAAGTTGACGAGAAGATGGAACCAAGAACGTGACTCGCGGTACGTCTTGAAAAAGCACTTCTTCCAATTAACATCCTTGAGCTTTACGTATCGCTCGGCAGGGGGGACGTCAATCAATTTGCTCTTATCTTGCAGGACGAGCCGTTCAATGCCTTCGGGATACCAGAAAAGTTGGTTGCAATCATCATAGCCAATGATATTCTTGTGATCGCGCTCGCGACGGACATAGACGCCATCCGAAATTTCGTAACCTTGGTCTCGAAGGTATTGATAGAGAGGGGTAATCACATTGTTGAGAAAGGTGAACTCCTCCACTGGTTCAACAAGTGCTTGGCAAGCGGGAGAATTGAGGTAATCATCCGCACACTTGAAGATGAAGCACAAGCACTCGGGCATGAAACGAACTTGGTTAGCTTCACCCCAGCACAGCAGATAAAGAGCGATCTGTCGGATCCGGTCGTGTTGTGACATCTTGTTCATGCGGGTCTTCCAACGATATTCGGCGGCCTCAAGACTGTCATCTCCCTCGAGGTCCTGCAATGTCTCGGCTTCGTTAGCGTCAGCATCCTTCTTCTTCTTCTTTCCGCCCTTCTTCTTCCGCTTCAGGCCCTTGCCTGCAGCATTAGCAAAGCCGACTGCATCATCCAGATCAAGATGAGCAGCGAAGTACCACTTGCGAAAGTTGGCATTATCTCCGCCAATGTAATCGGCATGCAGCGATAACAAGGCTTGGTTCGGTGTCATGCGAGAGGCTCGGGAATCCAGAAGAATCATAAGATGATCATACACGTTTCGCATGCTGTCGCGTTGGAAACCAAACTTGGAGGTCAAGTCCAGAAAGATGTCCTCGATCTCCTCCTTTGACAATGGGATCTGGGCATCTGACGTCCAAGCAGGGTATGGCTCCCGAGATCGTTGGCCGGGCGGGAGAGCATTTCCATAGTCCATGCCGTAGTTGGGAGTAGATGCGCCTGAAGACCGGTTGCCGGCATACGAAATTTGTGATGACGGGGGGCGGTAACCACGTTGTCCGTCATTGTAGCTGTTATAACGCTCGTCGCCACGGCCATAGTAGTCCATTTCAGCAGCTCGAGCCATATCTGATCTCATTGTGAAGTCGCTAAAGGTCTCGGAATCTTCCTCGGAGCCTTGACGAGCACCTTGTCCTGGGTGTCCCCGGTCATAGTCCTGGTCATAATATCCTCCTTGGCCTTGATCGTAGTACCCGTCTTGATACTGGTCCTGGCCGTCGTAATAGCCTCCATCCTGGTGATAGGGGTTGTTGGGGTCGGCGTTATAGTAACCACTTTCAATGTCTATTAGCTATATCCAACCTGGAGCAAGGATGGAGATGATACTTACGATTCATCGTAGTAGCCATCGTTGTTGTTGTTGTTGTTGTTGTTGTTGTTGGCGGCGTTGTTGTGTTGATTGTTCGGGTTAGGAGGACCACGGTTATCGTATCCTTGATCATAGTACTGATCATCTTGGTAGTAGGAATCTGTGTTTCCACCTTGCTGGTGGTTGCCTCCCTGAGGATGGCCGTAGCCATCCTCATACTGGTCACGTTGACCACCGCCTGGATATCCCGACATGTTGTTTATAGTAGATTATCTGCGAAGGAACATCATCAGTCAGTCAAAGTCCTCCACTGTCAAGTCTGAGCCACATCTTTGTAATCCGCACCGTGATCTTTTCATGGGGAACAAGATGAAGCACAGAGTATCACTGGACGGCGAGTCAAACACGCGCAACTCACCTAAAAGGTACACATGGAGATGAGCAGAGAGGGTAGTTGTGAACCAAGTTTAGAGGAGAACAAGCGTGGCCGGCACTGCGAGATGTTTGTGGTCAAAAAGATCCGTCTCGAGGCCGAATGGGCAGTGGCTTGGTAGAAAGTCCAAGAATGATATTGGGTCCTGTGTCGAGTAGAAATCAGGAAGATGAATTGATCACAAAGCGTGGTTCACGGCTTGAGGAAAAGTCGTCGCTAGAGGGCGAGACAAAATGATTTGGCGAAGCCGTAAAACGAATGTCGGCAATGCGTAATGCAAAGAATAGCAAAGGGGCGAGACGGAGGGTTGGTTTTTGGTGGTTTGAGTTCCAACACGCACGGGCAGGGAGAGAAACACTGCGTGTCTCGGCGCCGGGTTATCCAGGGCGAAGTCTAAAGGGGGTGTGGCGACAACAGGTGTATCCGTAGAACAACAGGGGAGCCTCTGATCCACTAGGTAGGCTACGATCGATGGCAGCAAGTTTCCAGCGTATTAAAAAGTGGTTTTCATTTAATTATTAGTCAATGAGCAGCAGGAGCAATGCGAAAGAAGCACATGGAATTAATCTAGCGAGAAACCAAAGAGGGTTGAATGTTTTGATTTCAACGACCATAGGTATGTACACAAAACAAACGTGGAAGTGGGAAAGGGAAGGAGGGAGCAGCATTCAATGGGCAGGAAACAGGCAGTCAGAAAAGGGAGACTTTGGGAAGACGACTTAGTCTTGTCTCCTTTGGATCAAGCAATAGTCACTTAGCGAATCAGCACCAGTGCTCATCACGGCCAGCCAAGAGACTCCCTAGACTCCTTCTCCCACCTTTGGCTTGGAGCCACAGGCTGCTTATGCTTCTCTTCTCAATTACAAGGCGTGCTACCCGCTAAGCCCGAAAATCACAGAGGCAAGACCGCTGAAACTCAATTAGGATCAAAGGTTCAACCGTCAATCTTCTTGACATTACGGAGTACGGGAGTACGGATAAGCATTTCTCATCGTGATGTGCTGTTGCAACAGTGGATTCACCGGGCCGTTTCCTGGACGTCCGTCCCCTTTCGCTCCTTGCTTTCCTTTCGATAGTCCCCATCCCGTCTTCGAATCCTAGAGGTCAATTCTCATATTACAGGCATACTTAGCCCCTAAAATGTTGGCTCGCGCCCGCGACTTGTAGTACAAGCCAGGGGTGCGGCAAAAGAGTGTCAGGGGACAAGAGTCTTCATTGGTGGCACCAGGGTGTGGTTGGGCCCATCTCTGTCAAGGTGGTGGCTGGCCAGTGTCGACTTTACTTGACGTTTGAGAGACCAGGAGGCGTATGGCTACGGATTGCTCGGATGGATGTGCGTAAGGCGCTGTAGTTGAGCGTTATCCCCCGCCAAGTACTTTACCGATACCTACTGGCTTAGTTTCTCAGCTTGCCTTGTCATGCTGACATTCCGATGTGAGGCGGTCTCTTGGCGAGGCGGAAACGACGACAAACCTGTACTCCCCAAGTACCGTTGAGAAATATGAAGGTAATCAGCCACGCGTCTTCATTGGTACGGAGCGACTCCCTCTGGTGGGCCTGATCCTGCTGCAAATCGGGCTGCTACAATCATCATCCACTGAGGGGCACCAGCGCGCCCCTGAACGGCGCATCCGAAGTTCAAGTCAATTTCCTTCTGAATTGTGGTTGGGGATGGATGCCTCACTCACACTGGTACCGATCCCAGCAAGAAAATGATCAATGACTGGAGAATCATTTAAATTTTACACTTGGATGCTCAAGTGTCCATGCTAGGCTTTCTAGCCATCGAATTTTGAGCGCTGAGACTTGGAATTTGGTATGTTGTTTCTCAAGCGAAATCAGGATTCAAGGCAAATACCATGCTTATCTGCAGGTCTTCAAATAGTTTTCAGGTTTGAGGTTGGTAACAACTTGTGCATCAAGCTACACGTGTCTGTAACCCTGCAAAATGCTGGTTTCCGTTCACGGGTGCGGCCACAGCCGAAGCCAGGACTTCGAGAAGCTTCAGCTGGTTTGTTCGTCAGATCCAGTGAGGAGGCTTTGACCATTGAAGTTATACTCCTCGAAATAAATATGCATATACCCTAAGCTATTACATACTTCCCGTGTGATTATTGACAAGAAGCTCATTCGGAACTGTTACTTGGAAAAAATGGGATTGTTTCAGCCTTAATGAATGCACACGGAATCTGTACAGAGCCTTCCATTGTTACACAAGCAGTGGGAAAATAGGGAACAAAGGATGATTGATAGCTTGTTGGTATCCTTTCCTGCCTTTATGCAGGAACAGATTCTACATAGGTACCCTGCATCTTTGAGAACAGGGCCAACAAATTGCATAGGGGACGATATTGGTGTGGAAGTTCACAGAACCCGGGAGCCATATGATAATGAGAGCAGCCGGCCGAAATTAGCAAAACTTTTCGTCCTCTGCTATGATAGTCGACTCGTTCTCTTTCTTCAGGAGTACGAAGTGTTAGTACTCCGTATACCTACATAAGGTAATTACAGTCGATGACGAACGTCTACGCGGCCTATGTGACACACCTCTCCAAGCAGGAACTCCTGGACGAGGCTAATCCCTGCAGAAAGCGTCCGGAATTCGTCCCACATATCATCGATCATCTATTTCGAGGTTCATACGGTGTTTCTTCATATTCTTTTTTTTTTCTCACACTTGTCAACAGGCTGTGCTGTGCGGTTCTAAGCTGGTATGGGGCTTTAAGTTTGTAATTAGTATCGTCTTTTGATCCTAATCTGTTCAAGCGCCCTGTACACCATGACAGTTGACTAGGTACGTATCCATCGCACTAGAAAGGATTCCGCTTAATGCGGCTGTTCGAAGATGATAAATCGTACGAACCGGACTAAAAGAATCGGATTCCGGTTGCCAGATAAGCTGGCGCTCCCGCCACCCGCTAACTAGCAGCGACTGGTGTCAAAATTGATTATGAAGTCTCCGGGGAGGTTTAGGTGTGGAAATGCTGATGTTCGTAAGTAGTATTGCTCACGTTATTGATGGCATGATGTGATTGACCTGCAGCGTCAATTATTAGATTAGTCAACTCGCCAGAGTTACACATGGCTAAGAGTGCTGTAAGAAAACAAAATAAAAACAAAAAGATATGGGCGCATAACAAACCCTACAAGCTACAAGAAACCATACTACGTAACCATAACAGAGTTTTGCCATATTGTTATCGACACAAACAATCTATCACGTAGTACATGGTATTAAGTTGGCTTTTTACAAATTTAGGTGAATTATACATGAGAGGTGTTGATAGAATCCTTTCAAATCCCATACCTAACCTAGAGATATATTTAAACCTTCATGACAGACAGTACCGACATCATGGCGTACCGTGCAGAGATCAACACATGGGGCCCCAAAAAATGGAACTGATAAGCATGGCCACCTCCTTTTCGTGTTTCCACCACTTGACAGTTGACCTTGGCCAAGAATGGTCAAGGTTTCAAAGACGGTCAACAAGCCACTTTAGAGTACGTACCTATCTAGTTAGCTAGTTCATTTCCCAGAGATAACTGTTGCTACTCGACTGAATATCTGATACTGATGTTATATAGGTCTGTGACTATGACTGTGCAGGTTCCAATCCGAAACAAGGATATAATTCGAGAAAAGGGCATTATAGCATTCTCATAATAATTGCACCACCCGTTGTGCAGAATAATACTCGTGCTATAGCAAAGTAACAGCCAGTCTACCTTATCTACCTGTTGCTCAGGGGTGGTTGACATCGACTGTCTGCTGTAAACTGTACTCTGCTCCTTGCAAAATACCAGGAGCAAATAAGCCTGTTCGCCAAGAGACTGCGAAATAAATCAGGGCCTAAAATAAGCATGCCAAAGCCTATCCCCGTTGGCCGTTCATAGTCGTCGTGAGTAGCTCTCGTGTTCGAGATTTACGACCAAAAAGGATTCATGGTTACAACACGAAAATAGTCAATGGTCTAGAATCCAAAATTAAACTGTCCCCTGAATATAATAAAACACTTGCCGCAAGCCTACATGCTGATCATACCATGTTCAAAACTCCGTTCCCATACCAGATCATCGAAGCATTGACCGCGGTCACGTGGTGTCGCGATGCCACATTCCACGGATCTGTTGCCCTGCCAACTTCACCACTCTTTACATTCACTCCAAGCTGTCCTAAAAATTATACATAGAAAATTGAAGATTCTACTACGTTTACCTGCATGCAAGCCAAGCCCATTCTACACCACACTAACAAATTTTCATTTCGTCTCCAGGTTACCACATACGCACATACACATACCAATATCAGCTAGCGAAAAGTGTTACTCTACACCCGCATACCAGAAACACCCGTCAAGTCTCAATACTTGCATCGTCTTTTCCATTACCACACCTTCACAATGGCGAGATTAGCAGAAATGTGTCCCTCCAGTGAAGAAGACCTTCCCGATCTGAAAATACTGCTCCAGAAACCCGCCAGGGCAACAAGGAAGACGTCTCAGCAATCATCAGCTACCAAGGCACTGAACTCGAAAACTACCTCCAACTCTGAAACCCGGCGAGTGCGACGTCTTGGGGACTCGGGTCAACCCTCGGCCAACCCTCTATTCCAAAGATGGAACTCAGAAGAACAAGATGGCTTACGGATTAGAGGGGGGAGGAAAGGAAGAGATGAAGATTCTAATGACAAGTCTTCACAAGAAACAACTTCGTTTGACAGCCTCTATTGTCAACCAAAATTACAGCCTGCGACAGAGGAGGATGACGATATGCCACGTTCTAGTCAAAGATCGAGGAGGCCGAGAAGTAGAAAAATCATGGAAGATTCAGACGATGGCGACGAACAATACGAATCGGAGAAGGAGACTGTACTGACAAGAGTACGACGACTTCAGAAAGCGAAGACAAACAAGGTTGCAATGCCTAGCTTAGCCACGAAGCAGAAAATCGTGAAAGGCAATCCAGAAGCCAAGTCTAGAGCATTGATATTCGCACGGGAGATCGATAGTGGTACGGATACTGAAAAGGACCAGGGAGAGGTTGAAGCCGAGGAACCGAGTGTTTATCAAACTGCAGACGAGGAGTCTGACTCGGACTCGCAGCCAGACTGGTTGAATGATTCTCCTGACCTTCGAACAAAAAATGGAGCGAGGCATTTCAGCTATCAACCAGCAGACACTACTGGCACAAACGATCGTGTACCATGGATGAAGAATGCTCCGGCTCTTCTACCAAAAGCACCTCACCCAGCCACAAATAATAACAGTGAGATAACTCGCGATGTGGCCAAGAAAATTGCATCGAGTCAGGAGGGTGTTGCGTCTCGAAAGATCAGTGCAGGCAGACAACGAGATGATTCGGGGACAGGCACCGCCTCAGATCTCGCAGACACGCTACTCAAATTACGACTTCAACTCGACGACTTTTCTGATGAAGACAGCAAGACATCTACTAAGCATCAGTTTGCCACACCTCCTAGCACTCCGCCTAAGATGTTCAAACACAACGGGCTGGCTTCACCGAGCAAGAAGATCCTGATTCCCAAGACACCTCATCGTCCAAGCATGGATGCCTTCTGGAGCCAGGATTTCGTCGATGATTGGAACGACCAACACTCTCCGCGCAAACTCATGCTTCCTCCTGTAGTAAAGAGCCCCAGCAAAGCGAGTCCTAAGAAGGATCCCAAGAAGGAAACTAAAAAGTCTTTCGCCGCTAGAAAACATGGGCTGGCTGAGAACTTTCTGGCCGAGCTCGACCGTGAGATCACACAGGGCAAAATCGCCGAGCTTGCCGAATCTACAGGCGGCGTCAAGCTTGTATGGACAAAGACGCTCAATACCACAGCTGGCCGAGCAAACTGGCGCCGCGAGACTAGTCGCACAACCCGCAAGACCGACGGGGTAGAACTTTCCGTGTCGTACAAACACCACGCATCGATTGAGCTTGCTGAGAAAGTCATTGATGATGAGCATCGTTTGCTAAACGTCATGGCACACGAGTTTTGCCATCTTGCCAATTTCATGGTCAGCGGTATAACAACGAACCCTCATGGGCGAGAGTTCAAGGCCTGGGCGGCAAAATGCTCAGCTGCATTTGGTGACCGTGGCATCGAAGTAACCACCAAGCATAGCTACGATATTGACTTCAAGTATGTGTGGGAATGTGACGAGTGCGGGACAGAGTTCAAGCGACACTCGAGAAGTATTGATCCACAGCGGCACCGGTGCGGAAGCTGCAAAGGATTACTGAAGCAGACGAGGCCAACACCGAGAGGGGCGGCAGTAGGAAAGGCGCCTACTCGATATCAATTGTTTGTCAAGGAGCAGATGGCGGTTGTCAGGAGTGAGAATCCTGGTAGTCCGCAAAAAGTGGTGATGAAGCTCATTGCAGAGAAGTGGGCGAAGCAGGAAGGAAAAACAGGCAGTAAAGGATCTAGCAAACTGGGAGTTGAGAGTGTCGTGGGCAGAATGGTTGATCTAACGATTGAGGCTAAAGCATAGTTGGGGAGTACTTTAGTTGCAGAATCATACCCAGCTCTATAGCATCATCATACCGTATGCATTAAGGAACTGATCGGCATGTCCTCCACTGAACCCTGGACGATTCACATTATCACTGGTATGGATCAACTTTTAGCCAATTGGCAGGCCGTCACCATTTATTGATGATATTGTTGCATGTCCACGGATGGTCTACCCCGTATACCAAATGATATAACCTCAACCACGGTACATACCCTGGTACACATTTCTAGAATGCCCACGAGGCATGAGAGGACTGTGTGAACTACTACACACTTATTTGGTGGTTATCATAACTTCCAACTTGGATTTACTACTGTGCAATACCACTGGGGCATTCTTGAATGTACAATTGTAGGACTTGCTTGTCCTTGCGTTCCTAGGTATTTATTTGTTCATGTATCTGTCCCCAAAGAAAATAGATCATCAGTCTTAGTAGTCATCCTGGGATATCCTAGCTCTTGCCATTCCATATTCCAATATGAATGCGATCTCACTTCTTCACGTCCTAAAGAGTCGCCTTGTCAAGATTCACCAAACAGACCCCAGTCCTTAATCTTAAACGTTGACCAGATGGAGGCCGAGTATTCAACGGCATCACCAATGAGTTTACCCTGGCGTCCCAGCTCAAGGTCAACATCTGCCTCGTCGTATTCTCCTTTGATATGGGGCACGTTGATTGTGATTAGAATATCCGTCTTGGCCTTCTCAAGTCGAAGAAGTGTTAGGATGATGGCGGTAAAGTCGGGCGCAGACGTTGAGTCACGAGATTTGCTAACGTGAGGGGTCTGCGTGGAAATGAGTGTATAGGCGGGCATCCCAGGTCTGTGAAAGGTCAATAAACATCCATATTCTTCGAAGATTCATAAAATTACGCACTCCAGGTTTGAGAACTCAGTCTCGGCTGTGTTCCAAATCTTGACAGTGTCGATATCCGATCCAACCATGTCTTCGAGGTGAGTGGTCATGGCACGACCGTCAACTTCAGGACCAGAGCCGGAACCTCCGACACGCTCTGTGATATCGAAAATGATACTGGTAAACCCATCCTGATCGATCCAGACTTCCTGGTTATCGGGAACTTGTCGCAATTTGCTACAGCCGGATCGAGTCAGCGTATGATTCAGACCTAGGCGCAAAGGTAACAGGGTACGAACCTGACGTCGGCAAACTTGGCGGGCAGGTCGCAGACGATCGCGCCGCCAAATAGAGGGGTACTAATGAATTCAGGCATGTCCAGGAGGTTGTGAGTGTTCCTGGTTCGTATGTAGTATGTAGCTCGAAGTGATTGTGGCAAGCTTGAAAGAGATACGGGTCGCGATGGCCAGCGTGTATAGCAGGTTGCGATGAGTAGGAGCTGTATATGCTTCAAAGGATGAAGTCCGATGCGGTGCCGTGACTTGTACTTATTGCAACGACAAATCTTGGCAATACGAAGAAGGAAATGGGCGCCTGAAAGTGGGCAATGAGCGTTGGATCATGTATGCCTTGGGGGACGGCTATCCGCTTGGGTTTGGAGGGGCTTGGATGACCCCGCCGAGATGAGGATGACGTAAAAACCAAGGCGCAGATGCCTCACTCCAGGATGTTAAGCCACACAACAACCCATGAGGAGGACTTTGGAGAGCCCAAAAAGACGTACAACAAGGTTGCAAAAATAGAAAAATGGCACAGTGTTCAATCACGGATCTCTAGGAAAGCAGACAATTGCACAAAATACCAAAAATGCAAAATTCGAATCTAGAGACTCTAGACGAATGATTCCAAAGATTAGGTGAATGGAGTCTGTTGGGCCAATCCCACGGTCACATCTGGTAAAAGGCAAGAGGTGAGTTCGATGGGAGGTCCCACTCCGACAGAAAGCTTTGTTATTTTGGATTATATACCCTGATTCTCTATTACAGCAACCAATCATAACTCAACCTCAATTGCCCCTCGTCAGATCGGAGCTGTTCCTCATTACTTTCTGATGCAGGTAATCTGCGTTATCATCATTTGACGATTAAGCATCGTCTTCCATACCTCCTCTTTTTCTTCTTTTTCTTCTTCTTCTTCCTCCACGAACACGCCTCTCAGCGCATTACAAAATGGCATCCTGCATTTTTTGTCGCATCATCAAGGGTAAGAGACGGGGAGTTGTACACTAGGAGAAGTAACGGGGATAGTATGTTGAGGGTGTCCATCATCGGCCTTGCTATTTTGATGTCCTTGGTCACGGAAACTAACACCTGCGTTGCAAACAGGTGAAATTCCCTCATTCAAGCTCTTTGAAAGTGACAAGACCCTTGCCTTTCTTGACATCGGCCCTCTCAGTCAAGGCCACGCTGTATGTTCTGAGCAACCCCCCATCATGCTGTTACTGACACCATATAGCTTGTTATCCCCAAGCACCACGGTGCCAAGCTGGCCGATATTCCCGATGACCATCTCAGCGAGATTCTGGTGAGTGCCTTGTTATATTACAGTTGATGAACAAGCACTTATCATGCCCATAGCCGGTTATCAAGAAAATTGTCAATGCGACTGGTGCCACCGACTATAATCTCCTCCAGAACAATGGCCGCATTGCCCACCAAGAAGTCGATCATGTAAGTCTAGTCTTCTGGGTGCTCTTTAGTATACAGGCGCTAACATACAACACAGGTTCACTTCCACATGGTAAGAAGGCCCAGCCTACGGGGCACCGAGTTACAACTGACAAGTGTGTCTAGATTCCTAAGCCCAATGAGACGGAAGGCCTGGGCATTCAATGGCCCACCAAGCCAGCCGATATGGAGAAGCTTGAGGCTTACTGCGAAGAGATCAAGTCTAAGATCTAAATCTTTGCATAAAGTAACTCTGGCAGACAGTATAAGTATACAATTAGGAGCTTCGGCTTTAGAAAACACTTCTAGTATTATTATCCTGCTGCCAGCTGTCTTCTCGTGTCCAACATACGAACATGGTTACTTACTACAATCCATATCCATTTTGCGCTTCATCCATCTAGTCTAAATCTTCTGCAGATGTGCCGGCTGCGGCAGTTGGGGGCTTCAAGGAATACCAATCAGTCTTGCCACCACTCTGGATGGCTCCCTGTCTATCGTACAATGTTCGTGCCCGGATATACTGGTCGAGAACCCAGTAACCCTCCTTCAACTGCTTGGAGATCTTCTCACGCTCAACCTTGAGCTCTTTACCTTGTTCGCCCTCTGGATGACGAATCCAGTCCCTGGTCGTCTGCTCAAATTTCTTGACCACCTCTTCACGCTCAGCCAAAAGAAGATCCCGGGTTTGGGTGTCTTTCATCTTGTCATTTTCACCAGCGACAGGCTCGACATACTTGTACTCCCAGTTCTCGTCGCCATCAAGCTCCTTGATCAAATGGTTCGGCGCAATGTACTCCTCAAGCTCGGTTCGGTTGTTAGTGAAATGAACCTTGGCTGCCACAACAGGATCAAGCCAACCACGGATAACCTTCCAGATGCCTGGTTCTATAGTTAGTTCGTGTTCTTTGTAATGTTGAGACTGGCGTACCTTGGAAAAGCCAGGGAGCTTTGTGCACTAGAACGGCGCCAAGAGACTCTGGGTAGTTGGCCTCAAAGCATTTGATCATAAACTTGACTGGCGTGTAATCCATGTTCGCCATGGAGAAACCCGTCATATCAAATACGATGCACTAGTTTGCACGTTAGAATTGCTCCTTGTGAAGTGCATGGAGAGAGTGAGTGACTTACAGCAGTGTCAACAGGGGGCTCGAGAGTCATACGAGCCGTTTCGATGATATAGACCGTGTACTTTTCCAGACTTTCTTCACACTCCTGGCCAGCCTTGTGGAGGCGCACTCTGACAACGCAAATAGGTCGGCCTTGCTTGTCAGTGCCATGCAGGAAACTCTTTCCCATTCGAAGTTGCTTCATCATATCGGCGCTAACTTGCTTGGAAGGGGAATCAGTCTTCTCATCCTCGACCGCAACAGCATCTCCATTCTTCATGATATCATCATCCACTTTCATGTCGTTGTGTCTCCAGTTCATAGTTGCTACCAGCATCACGAGGGCCTTCTCGACGTCCCACTTTCGTGCTCGGAGAAAGCGCAGAACAAGAGCATCAGGATGGTCGTGCTTCACCATACTCCAGATAGTATGACGAATGGTCTCAGGAGTCTCCTTCGCCAAAGTCTCATGATATTGCTTGGTCTCGTTGTACTTGTCCTCTTCAGCAGAGGCTTCAGTCGGCGTCGAAGTACCGGATTTGCCCTTCTTGAACATTCCAAATCCGCGCTTCTTCTTAGGATCAGCATCCACCGGGCTCGCCTCGTCCTTGGGAGAGATAATCTCGACGCCAGAACTGTCCCCATCCGCTACACCAGTAAGTTGGAAGATGGCAACCCATAGCTTACGGAGCTTCTCTTCTTGTTCGGGAGTCAGGTTACCTGGGCGTCCAGGGGGCACTTCGTAAGACATAATTGCAAATTCTTCTTCAATTTCCCTTGGTGAGTGCAGGTTGCTGGAGTCTCTTGTAGGCCAAGCTGAAGCGGTAAGAACAGCAGCAAGAAACGTTAAGGTTACAACGGCAGAGTAGAGGAAATTGGCTTCAAGCGAAAGTTTACCACTTGTGGTCGAACCAGTGTTGGTAGAGGGGCTTATGTATGTCCTTTTATCGGCGGTAGTCGAATAACTGCAAGTTTCCAGAATGGCTGGGTGTGTTCTTGAGCCTCTGAGATACCTCGCGAATACGATGCTCCTTGTAGATGCAGGGGTTACTCGTGACTTGGTAAGGGGTAGCCTCAGTAAGCTGGAAGAAAGGACAGATGACCGCAGTTTAATGTGGCGCGAGAACGGCTGTGACGAGTAGGCCAAAGGTCTATACGAGCATATGAACCGTCCCGGTATAGTCCTCATAGGTGAAAGGGAGAGAAAGGTAGGTCAGACTTGCAAGCGCGTGAATATACGCCGGCAAATATTAGAGTCAATGTCGTCGTTTATGGGGAATTTTGAGGATGCGGGACACTCCTTCCTGGCGTCGTATTGGCTCCACCGATCCACGAAAATTGCAGGCCCGACAAGAACAAATCTGAGAGGCCTCAAAGGAAATGGCAACGCGGTAAAACGTAAGTAGGGTATGTGAGATGAGATGGTGCAAGCGAAAGGAAACGCCTGTTGATGGATGTCAAGAGTGCGTGCGGGACCTGGAGCCCCTCGCGGATGAAGTGGACGGGTTACGTACTTGACGTAGGAGTATTGTTAGTGTCCGGAGTACTCGGGAACGAAAACCAGAAGGCCTATTTAGTTCAACGTTATCTTACCTAGATTGTATATGTAAAGAGGTAGGGTTGGTAACTGTAGTGAATGTATTTATTGACCCAAATTGTACCGACACGAGAAATATAGAGCCTATCTTGCACTGCAACTCAAAGTTGTTGTCTACAGACGGTCTCTAATGGAAGCGCGGCTACCTATCCGTACAGGACTACCCTACAGCGCTTGATATCTTCACCTGTGACATGCATGGTCGAGTGTTGTTGTGTTATATACGCTCTATATAGTAAGATTATCGCATACTCTCATCATTCCCGCCACGAATTCTTGTGGTGTCTGCATTTCCAGTTTCACACTCATGTCGTACGTGTTTAATAGCCAGCTTCTTTTTGTAGAAGATCGCTCACGCGACATACGGAAGCAATGCGTGAGAATAACAGCCTAGGAATTGTGCTGGATCATTAGTAAATACATAGGCATGCTTAGACATTGGATTTTAATCGAGTTTGCGTTTTAAGAGACAATGCATCCAGGTAGCATACAGGAAGACGAGTCATGATGCGAATAGCTAGTACTTATGATGCTATCAGTGGTAAATTCTCTAAAGGAAAGCCACTCGTCCTGGCAGCCACACCTCGAATTGCGGGGGAGCGCCACAACAGAGACTTGTGGATGTTTGTTGGCTTCCTAACAGTTCAACTCCATGGCCATGATATCCGAAAGATACCAGACTTCAATTTCCGGAACGACAATTTCTACGCACCTGAGATGTCTAACACACCGCTCGACGCCAGCAAACGCTCTAACTCTCGATCGCGAACGTCACGACCGACCACCCCTCTTCGACCTTCGTCGCGGTCATCCTTTCGCGACTCTGCGCGAGGGGCAGGCGAAAATGATGCGCCATTCCCACTAAATGCGTTTGAGCCAGCGTTTGCGGAGCTTTCTGACGCCATGGCCGACCTCGAGGCTAATATGATGCACTTCCAGCTTATGCACGAGAGTCTGGCGCGATTCAGCGAGTCTTTTGCGAGCTTCCTCTACGGTCTTAACATGAATGCTTTTTGTGTCGATTTTCCTGAGGTATGGTAACCAAATCCAGGTGCCCAGTCATCTGCACAGCTGTTATAGTTATGAAGCTTAAATCTCTGGTAGGGACCTATTCCAGAATCGTTTCGCCGCGATAGGACTCGACAGGAACAACCGGCTGTTACCCCATCAAAGTCAGAAGGTGATGTAGATATGACATTCATGCAAGTTGCCTCTCCAAAGTTGTCTACCCCTGTTCTCTCCCTAACTAGTCTTCAGGACTACGGATACGTCCTTCGTCGAAAACCCACCCACCACCACCAAGACTTCCAAGTTTACCACACCGGAACCTCCAACTCGACAATCGCGTCTTCCTGCTGCTCCTGGTCGTGGCACGTCTTCGAGAGGAAGATCAGCCCGGGGAGTCGGGCGAGGCCGGCCTAGCGGGCTCGCCAGAGCGCGTGGTCGAGGTGCTAGAGGAGCATGATATGTATATCGGCAGAAGTACACCAAAACGCCATTTACAATGCCGAAAAAAATTAAGCCCAGTCCCAATGCGCCCTCAAATCATCAAATGCCCTTTTCAGCGTGTACGGAGGATATTGTTTGAGATCGGATGAGACTTAGGCGTCCATGGCCACGTCGTTGTCTCCGTCGCCAAAGGTGCGTTTTCGGTCGCCATTGTCTGTTCGTAGACCGACAGCGGCTTCGGCCTCTTCCTGGGTGTAGGGTCCCTCAGCGATCTGCTTGACCCTGTAGACGTGTTACTTCAAGTATAGAACAGGCAAGTATATACCCCTTGTGAATAAAGGAACCACATACCTTCGCTTATGGGGTTTTCCTTTCTGATGCACAACCAGGGCAGAATCTGTATCAAACCATTTGGCGCATTCCACGCAGTAGTGTCGACCAAGGCCAGGGAGATCCTCAATGGCCTTGGTCTCCTGGAATTGCTTTAGGTGCTTGGGTGACAAGATATCGGCCTTCACCTGATCGACATCTCGAGTCTTGCGTCTTGTCTTCGTGATCGTTCGCTTGTTGGTGACGCCCATTTTTGCGGTAGCTTGGAGAGTTATGAAGGTTTATTGCTTGCCTCTTAAAAGTCGTGATAATCGTGTATCTCAAGTGAACTCTTCGCAGGTGGATGTTGGCGATTTTCGAAAAAAGTTTTGGCGGGGACTTACTGATAAGAATGCGGGGCACACACAGCCACGATTTATTGGTGGCTGGACATATGACACTAGCCACAGCATCAACAGCGGCGCATGATGAGAAGGTCTATGGTCTTATGACACTGTCAAAGCTGCAAAATAATCATATATGTGCTTTCTTAGGAGGTCAACTGGGACTCGGAGAGCAAGAGAAACGTCTATAGCTTTAAAAGGAAAGATTAACAACTACTTACAGAGTAAAGGCAAGCATGAAAGTTTCACTTGGGACACAGTAGATTTTGAACTTGATACCATGGTCGTATTCTCGTACGTATGATAGTAGCGTCTCAACCAAACCGCTGTCAATGATTCGACACATACTACAAGGTGTAGTCTGGTTGGTATTATATGATTAGTTGCTTGCCTCTAGTGAATAGCCCATTTGATACCCGATCATTGTAATGACTACGAAATTCGCAACCACAAGCTGCATCATGACTGTAAGCTGTTTATCATGTGATCCTCACAATACGGGGTGCCAGTAAACCCAGCTTGATGGCAGACAGCGAGTCCGGGGTTATCGGCTCCAGGATTTGGATCGGCAATGAGTGTCTGGACCAAGAATGCTATGACTGGTAAAGATGAGGGATAATATTCATTAATAGAACGGCCATTGCTTGTTCGCACCCTGGCTAATCAGCTAAAGAGGGACAAACATTGGGTCTAGTTAGGATTTATCGGGAATAAACGACCTACTTACCACGTTGTGTTATAGTCGTTTGAGATGAAATATGGCACAAACTTGTCATAGGGTTTTCATTGATTGATTTGAATGTATAGGAACTACTTGACCAAGTTCTAGAATCTAACTAAGTCGCTGGCGAGGACGCACGTGTTATATCAGATCTAGACAATATGTCGCTACGCATCAAAGGCTACAAGACAGAATATCACGAAGCCTGAGAACCAGCAACATAATTGTCAATATCTCATTTGTCATTGGATAATGTAAATGAACTGGGCGGTCTCCGGCAAGTTGGCAGAACGACAATTGGGGATGTGCATGCATGGGCACGAGGGGGGGGGGGTGCAGTTTCGTGAGAGCTTCAATTTTGACACCATTTGAGGGCTACTTCAATTCTTTTTCCAGTGGTTCGCAGGTGAAATGTGAAATGTGAGGACCGAAAAGGACTCTTTTTACTAGAAGTTATCGGTTACCGAGCGCCAAGGCCTCGGATTCCCGCATGTGCGAGAGAACCAGGACGGCGACCGAAGATAAATCCGCTGGTCCGAGGCTCCGCTGCGCTTGAACCCTGTGAAACGAGTCAAAACAGTCAAAATCCCGCCCAAACAAACTGCTTCTTTTGTCAATGGATGAAAGCGCCGGGAGTATGAGAGAAGGCTAGGCTGTTCCGGGGCCAAAGATGCGGAAATTCTTCATGGCTCCGGGGGGCCCACACCGTAACGGGTGGCGCTGCAATGCCCACGACACCCGGGAATGGGCAGGCAAGCAAAACAGCCCAGCTTCTGCAGTGCAGAAAAAGAATTATCCTCAATGAACTGCATAGACTGTTGATTGTGTGACTTACACGGACCGATCAACAGCCGCAGGAATTTGAACACCATAGAGTATCAAACGGATGCCTAGAGACTGCCACACGATTGCTCATATATATATGTAGCCTACCAAGCAGAGCCTTGTTCGAATATGAGCCGCGTTGATTAAATATTTGGTGACCCCCGCAACGCGATGTTTTTAGGATGAAGGGCCGGAGCTGCTACCCACATGCTCTCCGTAGTATTGTTTCGCCCGCGCACCAGAGATTACGGGCAATATACGCAGAATAAATAACTCCTGATAGTATCCCATATGACCTCCCCGTTTTTCACTTTCCTCCCTGGAAATCTTGGTGCATTTTCACTCATTGCCCGTTGGATCTAGAGCCGAAGAGTGGATGTTGTTCGTGACGTCGAACCTACCCGAGCAGGTCCGTCGACCTCCGGTCGGTATCCGGGGCAATCGTCGGTGATGGATCTCATCCAACTGCTAGGTGCCCCGGTTAGGTCAAGCACAAACTCTGACGCAACCAGTATCCTTCCCCAGTGGCCTAATCGAGCAAGGATGTCACTTGGCCAATGAACGAGTTGAATTGTACCTGGAATGGTGGATTTCTGTCCTCTCTCACTGGCTGTTATTTAGTCGCATGCGAAAGGAGCTTGAAGGCTCGGTGCTTTCGGCTCGGAGGGGGACGCCCGCCTACATGATGCAAGCAAGAAGTCATCGCTTTGCGGCATTACTTCTATCATCCTGATGCTTTCAAACAACGACGATAAATATGTCGTCGCAGGAATAAAATCATAATAGCTAGATACCTAACTGAGATGGGTGCCAGACAGAGGATGGGAAAGGGAGGGAATTGGAGAAACTTGGGCAAGCGCCACATGTCAATCCAAAGCCAGCTTCCTTTTGGAGCTGAAGAAGAAACATGCCCGTACTGTGTACGGAGCAGTAGATAGATACCTACTGCACAGTTTCTCGTACGGCCCCAAGATGCCTGAACCTTGGGATAACCGTTGCTGAACTTCTGGACAAGATGTTGCTTCCTCGGCAGAGTGGAGGTTTTCGGTTACTGCCCATGGCGAAGGAGAGGTGCCGATTATTTTCTCCTATCTGCTGATTGGCCATGATATAGAAGCTCTCCATCTGCATCATAGTGGAGAGTCGAGGTCAGCCTCGAGCCTCTCTCTATGGTCGCTTTGTCTAGTTTTAGTGGTCTTGTCTGCTCAAGCTGCTGCGCACAGGGCATGCGGACTGCCCCGCTGAGAAGCGTCGGCCAAGATCTTTGGGGCTCTGGGGCGTGTGAGGGAGGGCGTGTAATGCCTCTTGCGTGCCTTTGGGCCTCGAGAGGTTAGCCGGGGTAATTGTTTGGCAGCGCGAATGAGGGCACAGCGAGGTACTTCACTTTACTGTGAAGCGAACTGAGTTGCACCGTATCTACCTATTTTGCTCGGTCTCGGCTGCCCTGGCTTTGCCCCGGGTCAGGAAACGACTCTCCACATTGTGAGGGTGGTTATTTTCTTCCTCTTTCTTTTAATACTCCAGCCTCCCCCTCCTTCTCTCTCACTAATCTGTGTCTGTGAGCGTCTCCCTTTTCTTCCTCCCTCCTTCTTTGTGATACCCAGAGCATCTACCCTCTAATTGCTTTCACACTCAATTAAGACGCCTCACCCTTGAGTGACTAAACCGCCCACCATGCTCGCTACTCGCCAGGTTCTGGGCAACATGACCCGGGGCCGCGCCCTCGCTGGCGCTGCTTCTGGCATTCGCCGCATGGCGACAGTCTCAGATAACCCTCTGGACAAGAAGGTAAGCATGGAGACACTTGGTGCTGTTCTCTATTTGATCTCATCGCTCGATTTTGGAAGCTTGCTCAGTCGATGTTCGGATTCAATCAGCAGACGTCATAGTGCATGGGCTGCCAATTAACCGGCAATCCCAAGACTTGCGAACTATTGACCACAGCAATTCAATTGTAACGAGAGTCCGAGAATCGAAGCTATGAGAAATTAGAGATCAAATGTCGAAAAATGGTTGAGAAAATAAAGAGACTAATCTGCTTCGCTTTTGTAGGTCCGCCAGAACAACTGGGAGGAGGGCAACTTCATCAACTACAAGAAGATGTCCGACAACCTCGACATCGTTCGTTCCCGCCTGAACCGACCCCTGGCCTACGCTGAGAAGATCTTGTACTCTCACTTGGCTGATCCTCACGGCCAGGATATCCAGCGAGGTACAAGCTACCTCAAGCTGCGACCTGATCGTGTTGCGTGCCAGGATGCCACTGCTCAGATGGCCATCCTCCAGTTCATGTCCGCTGGCATGGACAAGGTTGCCAACCCCACCACTGTCCACTGTGATCACTTGATTGAGGCCCAGGTCGGTGGTGCTAAGGATCTTGCCCGCGCTGTTGACATTAACAAGGAGGTTTACAACTTCCTTTCTACTGCTTGTGCCAAGTACGACATCGGTTTCTGGAAACCCGGCTCCGGTATCATCCACCAAATTCTCCTCGAAAACTATGCCTTCCCCGGTGGTCTTCTCATCGGCACTGACTCCCACACTGTCAACGGTGGTGGTCTCGGTATGGCTACCATTGGTGTCGGTGGTGCCGATGCTGTTGACGTTATGGCTAACCTTGACTGGGAGCTCAAGGCCCCTAATGTCATTGGTGTCAAGCTGACCGGCGAACTCAGCGGCTGGACCGCCCCCAAGGGTAAGTTTGAATTCGCGATGTTCAATGTTGTATGTCGACTAACATTCAACAGATATTATCCTCAAGGTTGCCGATATTCTCACCGTCAAGGGTGGCACTGGTGCCATTGTTGAGTACCACGGCCCTGGAACCGATGCCATTTCTTGCACCGGTATGGCTACGATTTGCAACATGGTATGTAACTTGTCCATCCCTGTAAACAAGAATAAACGCTGACCGTTATAGGGTGCTGAAATTGGTGCCACTACCTCCGTCTTCCCCTTCAACGACCGTATGTACGACTACCTCGCCGCCACCAAGCGAAAGGAGATTGGTGACTTCGCCCGCGCCTACGCCCACGGTCTTCGCCCTGACGAGGGTGTCGAGTACGACCAGCTGATTGAGATCAACCTCTCTGAGCTCGAGCCCCACATCAACGGTCCTTTCACTCCTGACCTGGGTACTCCTATCTCCAAGTTCAGTCAGGCTGTCAAGGAGAACGGCTGGCCTGAGGAGCTCAAGGTTGGTCTGATTGGTTCTTGCACCAACTCTTCTTACGAGGATATGACACGTGCTGCTTCCATTGCCCGCGATGCTCTCAACCATGGCATCAAGGCTAAGTCTGTTTTCACTGTTACCCCTGGTTCTGAGCAGATCCGCGCTACTATTGAGCGTGATGGTCAGCTCCAGACCTTTGAGGAATTCGGTGGCATCGTTCTTGCCAACGCTTGCGGTCCCTGCATTGGTCAGTGGGACCGACAGGACGTCAAGAAGGGTGAGGCCAACTCTATCATCTCTTCCTACAACCGTAACTTCACCGGCCGAAATGACGGCAACCCCGCTACTCACTCTTTCGTTGCTTCCCCTGATCTGGTCGTTGCCATGTCTATTGCCGGCTCTCTTCACTTCAACCCGCTTACCGACACTCTGAAGGACAAGGACGGCAAGGAGTTCAAGCTTGCCCCTCCTACCGGCGATGGTCTCCCTACTCGAGGCTATGACCCCGGCCAGGACACTTACCAGGCTCCTCCTAAGGACCGTGCCAGCGTCAGCGTCGACGTCGCTCCTACCTCTGACCGTCTTCAGGTCCTCACTCCCTTCCAGCCTTGGGACGGCAAGGATGCCAAGGACATGCCTATCCTCATCAAGGCCAAGGGCAAGACTACCACTGACCACATTTCAATGGCTGGTCCCTGGTTGAAGTACCGTGGTCATCTCGACAACATCTCCAACAACATGCTGATTGGTGCCATCAATGAGGCCAACGACGAGGCCAACAAGATCCACAACTTCACCACTGGCGAGTGGGGTGCTGTTCCCGCCGTCGCCCGTGACTACAAGTCCAAGGGCATCAAGTGGGTTGTCATTGGTGACTGGAACTACGGCGAGGGCTCTTCCCGAGAGCACGCCGCTCTTGAGCCTCGTCACCTCGGTGGTCTTGCCATCATCACTCGATCTTTCGCCCGTATTCACGAGACCAACCTGAAGAAGCAGGGCATGTTGCCCTTGACCTTCTCCGACCCTGCTGACTACGACAAGATCCGACCCGATGATAAGGTCGATATCCTCTGCACCAAGCTCGAAGTTGGCAAGCCCCTGCCCCTCGTTGTCCACCCTGCCGATGGCAGCAAGTCTTTCGAGGTTCCTCTTTCTCACACCTTCAACGCGGCCCAGATTGAGTGGTTCAAGAACGGCTCTGCTCTCAACACCATGGCCAAGGCCTCTAACAAATAAAGAAAGGAAGAAAGCAGGGAAGAGCAGATTGATTTTTTGGGTCACAAACGGCGTATATCCTGATACTCTCATGTTGGGTTTGGAGAGTAGACAGTAGAGGGGCTTGTCAACGGAAAGCATAAGTCGACAAGGTTGATAGCCTATGTTTTTTACATTTTGTAGCAAAGGAATAGCCATGCTTTCATTAATTGTAACAAAATTCGAATTGTTCAAAAACATCTTTGATCATGTTCCGTTTGTGTCATTTACTTAATATTGGCAACCGCTTATGAAATATGCTCTGTTAATCCCGTACAAGCTTGGAGCCTGTTGTTAATTACCTACAGCTCCACATGTGGCTGTGCCTTGTAATCACGTGTGACGTATGGATGTGAACCAGCCACACGGCAATACAAGGACTTGTGTCCAGTTTCACTTGGTCATCGTCTTGCGCCTGACATCGAGGACGTGGAAGTGATCTGTGGTTCAGAATCGTCGAGCTTTCGTTGTAAAAAGGTCGAGCTTGTTTGCTTCCCCTTTCTTTGTTCTCTTTGGGGGTTTCCTGTTACCCATTCTATTCTTCGATTCTCGCCGAAACCAGGGATTGTCCGGCTGCTCCGAGCAGTGCGAATCGTATAGAGATGCGACCTCGTCTCCAGAATTTCAATGCTTTGAGAGCTCGGTCGTATTTGACACGGCTACCGCTATTCACACGAATTATTGTTCTTGCTATCATTGCTTTGTCGATCGCGTCACTGCAATCTGTCTGGAACTTGCGAGAATGGGGTGCTCTTATCCCTGAAGAGATCAGTATCACAAATGGTAATCTTGGTCGCTGCCCACACATACTGCATTCTGGCTAACGAAGAACTCTCTAAATAGCATATCGACTCTCCACGTTTCCGTTAATACATCTGAATGCCATCCACGCGATCCTCAACCTTGTGGCACTTACTCCCTTACTGGAGCGATTCGAGAACGAACATGGCACATTGACATCCTTGGCTCTGTTCTTTGGACGTAAGGAGTTGTTACCCTGAATATGAACCATCGGCTGACTTTTTGGATACAGCCTTGACATCGATACCTGCTGTAGCCTATGTCCTGATCGAGCGATTCGTCTTCCGAGCAAATCATGGGGTTCTAGGAGCAAGGTACAGGATAACACGACTCTGAGCAAGGCTGAGGCTAACAGTTAGTTCTAGCATGTGGGTGTTCACTCTACTAGCCATGGAGTCTATTCGAACATACAAGACGAACCCTCACTTTATCATTGGCACAGTCCATATTCCAACCTGGACAACCCCCTTGATCATGACTCTAGTAGTTTGGGCATTAATTCCCGGTACAAGTCTTCTTGGTCACCTCTGCGGTATCGCCATTGGATACGTTGGTAAGCTCTGCAATTGTTCCTCTCCCAAATTGATACTGATAGTTGGAACAGCTGGCTTTGGCTATGCCAAACTGCTTGCCCCCCCTGAATGGGGTCTTCGATGGGTTGAGAACCGACTCAACCTTCTCAAAATTCTCCCACACTATGTTAGCATCGATAAGACAACATATGGTCGATTTGGCGTGCTACCCACGACCAGTCGGCCTGGCCCTAGCGGGAGCGCAGCGACAGAGCTTGTTGGCACAACCCAGCGTCTTGGGCCTTGAGAGCGTACATGATACGCGTGTACTTTTGTGTAATTGTGGACTCGTACCAAGGTGCCTGTTGCATGCCCTTTGTGGCTTGATTATAGAAAGGGGATATATCTCGGGGCATTTCTTTTCTTCCGGACTAATGTAATGACAAAAAACCCACGCAATGAATAGATGGATGGCATAATGTAGCTATCATAGTTACATTCACTACGAAATATTCTGGGTATAGACTGTAATGGTAGAGCATATAGCTATGATCAAGGCTGGGAGGTATGAATTAGAGCTAGCCACTGAAATGGTTACTCAATCAAATGTTTCCTTACTATTGGTATCACATCGCAAGTCTCGATGATGTATGTTCACGTTCTAAAGTCACTACAAAAGAAGGTAATTCTTGATAAATTTGCCTCGTAGTCCACACTTCCCAAGTTTTGTTGACATAGACACCATAAGTAGATAGCTATTATGATCTGACCCAAATGAGTCTGTTAATCATACAATCTCATTGACCTTGGAGTTCAGAGACTTAAGCTCCTGGATCGACAGAACCCCCCCGGTAACCGCATACCTACTATCCGTAGTTAAATAGGTACTAAGGTAAGTACGCAGCCCCGCATGCAGGCACACGGCCCGCTATCCTCTCCCCCTGACTGACACCAGAAGCTTTGCTGGTAAGGGAGAGTTGTCATGATGGTACGTACCTCAATTAACGATTCAATGTCAACGACCTCCATAAGAATCATCAAAAGAGTCAAGTCTTATTTCGCATAGGCGTTTGTTCAACCATGTCCCGACTACTATGTATGAACTTTGGATTAACCTCACTCCTCTCCACCAGTCATTGGCTAACATGTTCTATAGCATCGGCGCTCTCGCTGCGCCGCGATCCTCGTATTCTGAAGCTCCCCCCTTACCTGTCCTTCCTCTGCATTGCGGTTGGTGTGGTCTGGCTCTTTCTCCTGCCCTTAAACGAATACTCGCGACGAACGTACATCTCGGAGAACGCGCTACTACCAGGCCAGGTGCATACCTATTTTGGAGGAAGCGAACAAAACATCTTCCGTGCATATCGACACGAGGTCGACGAGGTTGCAGACCAGAACAACTATGAGTGGGTCTTGAGCCTCGATTTTGAATAACGTGCTGCAAATGCTGATGCCATTGGGGACAATAGAGTCAACGACAAGCTCGACAAGATTTTGACTGGTGTCGGGCTCAAAGTTGGACGCCAGAACTACACCTACCACTCAGCTGGTCATGAATACTCAGGGCAGAACCTCTACGCTATCCTGCAAGCTCCTCGCGGCGATGCTACTGAGGCCATTGTTTTGGTTGCTGCATGGAAAAATGTTGAAGAGCAGCTCAACCGCAATGGTGTATCCCTGGCGTTGACTCTGGTCCGTTACTTCAAGCGTAAGTATCCTCAGAAAGTCACGAAACAATGATGAATATAGACTAATAGGTTCAGGCTGGTCACTCTGGTCCAAGGATATTATTCTAGTTGTCCCTCCTGATAGCAAGACAGGAACACAGGCTTGGGTAGATGCATACCACGACGCCCACAATCCCGATCTCGTGGCCCCTCTGCCTCTCAAGTCTGGAGCCCTTCAAGGCGCCATCGCGATCGACTATCCCCAGGAGCAAGGCTTCAAGTCTGTACACATAATCTACGACGGCCCCAACGGTCAGCTTCCCAACCTCGATCTCATCAATTCTATTGTAAATATTGCCGGCGGCCAGATGGGTATGGGCACTCTCATCCAGAAGATGACTCAACACAAGGGCAGTTACCCTGATCGCCTACATACTATGCTCCGCGGTATGCTCAACCAAGGCCTCGGCTATGCGGCTGGTGCTCACAGCAGCTTTATTCCGTATCATGTTGACGCTGTGACACTTCAACCTCAAGGTGAAGGATGGCACGACGAGATGGGCATGGGCCGCTTGGTCGAGGGCTCATTCCGAAGTCTCAATAATCTCCTCGAACATCTACACCAGAGTTTCTTCTTTTATCTTCTGATGCAGACTGATAGATTCGTAAGTATCGGTACTTACCTTCCTAGCGCCATGTTAATTGCTGCCAACTTCACCATCATGGCCATCTCCCTTTGGGTAAAGAGTGGACAGTCGCCTGCAGCTCAGAAGCCCAAGGAGAAGGTATCGACCACATCTGTCGAAGCGACCCCAGGTGGTAGAGATTTGTTTGTACCGCTGGCCGTCGTTGCTGTTTGTCAAGGCCTGGCAGTCGTGCCTCTATACACTTTCAATCATCTTCCTGCTAGTGTGAGTATTCTCAGATACCATTCTCAAGTGTAAAATTAACAGCCTCTAGTTACTTTCGCCAGCATTCGCTATCTTCTCTATCATCTCCGCCATTCTTCCCCTTGCAATCTCGAGGCTTCTAACACTTGTCACTAAGCCCACGATGCAGCACTTCCAACTAACAAAGTCTTTCTCTCTACTCGTTCTGGGAATGTGTTTATCTACCCTCGCCACGCTTAACTTTTCTCTTGCCTTCCTGATCGGGGTGCTCTCTAGCCCGCTAACCTTTGTTCAGCCCGTTAAGAATCCTGCCCTTCGCTGGTCTCTGGCGGGTGTACTCAATGTTGTAGCACCCCCTACTATATTATATGCTGCTGCCCAGGTTTGGGATATTAGTATTGCAAACTTGTTGAAAGAGGCGAGCTTTGGGTGGAACGTCTGGGGCATGTATACACCTGTAGTGGTTTGGTGCTTGTGGTGGCCCGCATGGCTCGTTGGCATGGTCAACGTCTTTGGAGAGGTTGCTGCATAGTGATGGGAAGTTGCTGTAGGATATTGGCGAAAGGATGCATTTGTGCAGCTAAAGAATTCACTCTTAGACTTCAAAAGTGATAGCTTACTGACATAAGCAAATTCAGAATTAATAGTCTTAACCCGGGCAAAGGGTCATCATCTGCCCGCAGACAAGCTCTATCTGTCTATACTGTACATTCATTGGTTTTGTTTGCTCCGTGGCCCCTGGTCCAGACTCCTTGTTGAGACCTGGCTTTAAGCAGCCCACACATCTTTGCCAGCCGACTCGATCCAATTGCCGAGCTGATTGACGCTAGAGTCCCAATCAAGAAGTCGCTCACGCATTGCGGCGATCTGCTTCATGTCGAGCACCTTGGGCTGAACCCAAGTGATTTGAGCCACACCGTCCACCTGATCGATAGTGCCTCGAAGCAGACCCAGGCTTAGAGCCTTCATGATGAGATGCTCAATTTCCTCTGGTCGGACCTTGGTTTCTTGTGCAATGGCGGTGAAGGTTAGGGTACGATCATGCGGGGGTCGGCGGAAGACGGTCTCAGTGAGAGCAGAAAGGTAAATCTTCTGACGGAGATGCATGGCGTTGCTCTTGAGAAGCTTGTTGGAATCCACGCGATCCGACAGTTGATCATAAGCTGCGAGATCTCCGCGGTTAAAAGCAAAGAGCAGATCTCGCATCCAAGCATGCTCGCTCTTTCTAAGGACGTCAAGAATAGGGTGCAACAAAAGCTCTCCAAAGTTGTAGATGCTGGTCGAGACGAGGGCAGCAATACTGAGGTGGTATGCCCGCTTGTGTCGCTCTTCGGGGGATAATGCGTTGAGGTCGATGCAGGCAAGGTAGAGAAGGGCAGTGCGGTAGTAGTTGGAGAAGTCCATCTTGCGCTTGAGAGGGGTTAGCGGGGTTCAGACGAATATGCTCATCTTAGAGTCGCCAGGAAAACAAACATACCTGATAATAGATGGCGTTGGCGTCGTAGAAAGCAGCATGGACTACGTTTTCGACAGAGTCAAAGGAGTCCAGTATCCTCTCAGCTGTGTCCAAGTCCTTTCGCGCACCATCTAGCTCATCCAGGTCTAATTTTGCTTGCGCAACGGCGACCAAAGCAAAGACGTAAGCATCCTGAGAGTTTTCGTTGTCAACCTTCTTAGCAACCGATTGCAAGAATGCCAGGCGTTCCTCATCTTCTGAATTTCCAAGACATCATCAGTCAGCAAGCGGTCCGGCTTCGAAGCATGTTCCTATCAAATCTCACCTTCGCACTCTGTTGCCGCTTTCAGGGCAAGGTCCACCAGCTTCAGTTGGTTGATCTTGTCGGCGAACTTCAGAATAAAGACTCTGTAGAATGCTAGTCGTTGGGGAGCGCTGTCCGCATGACTGAAGAATTCGACAAGGGCATCAGTAAGCTGGTGCCAGAGTTTACGCTCCCAATAATTCTCGAAGTCGAGAATGAGGGGTTGAAGCTCCTCGGGAGCTTCATCACGCTGCTCGGCAAGGAAGTCTGGGATGTCGACGTTGCTCATAGTGGCGGGATATGTATTTATGTGATGTCGGTGGAATCGAGTATTGGTGACGTGCACAGCAACTGAAGCTAGCTTGCTTGTTCTGGGCCAGTAGAGCGTGTGCTGCTCAACCCAACGCGTGTTTTCTTGTTGCGGGAGCGCGGACGAATGGATTAACCCCTTTCTTTGGAGATCGTATTATCGGTTAGAGGTCGTCCTCTGAATTGGTGACGCTGATATGTTTGTTAAGGTTGATAGATGCTTCAGTGGAGCTGGAGGGAGGTCCTTAGCTCATTCATGAGGCTGCCAGGCAGCCTGGTCGTCGCAACGTAAAGACGCACGGTCCACCCTAGTGCCGAAAGAAGCAGCCCCAAAGACATGAACCAATGATGTACTGCAAGATTTGAGTGGCCGGTCACATGATCTGCAATTACCGTCTTCCGGGGCTATACCTTGCCTAGCATCACCAAACATTGCTATTAAGAAGACGAGACGATTCATAGCCAATTGCGAGGCATAGCAGCGTTCGTCACGCAATCTGCATATTGCAACAATGGCTTCGCCTCTCCTTGCCGCGCGGGCGGCCCGCAAGGCTGCTTTCAATGTCGCTGGCAAGCGATTTCTATCTGATATCTCCATTACCCGAACTGGCAAGCCTATCATGCGTGTTGAGGGTGGCCGGTAAGCTAAGCCATGACCCATTGGCACTGTCGAGGCACTTCCTAACAATCTTGGGTATCTAGTTCATCCCTTGGAGGTACAAAACATCGAGCTGCGAGATCACGAACGACACTAACGAGGAGCAACCAGGCCATACTGTCACCGTATTTGGCGCAACCGGTCAATTGGGACGATATATCGTCAACCGCCTGGGTGAGCCGACCTGATGCTGGACTCCCATAGCTAGGATTGGATACTGACGCTGGCTCCAGCTCGTCAAGGATGCACTGTCGTTATCCCTTACCGCGAGGAGATGGCCAAACGTCATCTTAAGGTCACTGGAGATCTTGGCCGTGTTGTCTTCATCGTACGCTTCATTTCATCATGACTTACCTATGGCATTTTCAGTAACCTTCATACTTAGGAGCACGACCTTCGAAACACACCTTCTATCGAGGCAAGCGTTCGACACTCGGATGCCGTTTTCAACCTGATCGGCCGCGATTACCCAACCAAGTACGTTAACATGAGATGGACTTGTGAGGGAGGACGAAAGCTAAACATGTACCAGGAACTTCTCTCTGGAGGATGTGCACATCGAGGGTACCGAGCGAATTGTCGAGGCAGTGTGCAAATACGACGTTGACCGATATATCCACGTCTCGTCCCACAGCGCGAACTCCCAGTCCGTTTCTGAGTTCTACCGTACTAAGGTTTGGAGTTGGTACCTGACCACACAGGAAAGACCGCTAATCAGAAATCTAGGGTCGAGCGGAGGAGATCGCTCGAAGCCTCTTCCCTGAGACCACCATCGTCCGACCTGCGCCCATCTTTGGGTTTGAGGACAATCTCCTGCTCAAGTTGGCTGGTGTCACCAATCTATTCACTTCCAACAACATGCAAGAGAAGTTCTACCCTGTTCACGTAGGTCCCCAGCGAATTTATTGATGATAAATAATTCTGACCAACATGCGCAGTCAATCGATGTCGGTGCTGCTCTTGAGAAGATCTTCTTCGACGACACTACTGCTGGACAGACTTTCGAGCTTTACGGCCCCAAGAAGTACAGTATGGAGGAGATTTCTGTCATGGTTGACAAGGAAATTTACAAGCAGCGACGTCATATCAACGTGCCCAAAGCTATCCTCAAGCCCGTCGCTGAGTTGCTGAACAAGGTGCTCTGGTGGCACACTCTATCCGCTGACGAGATCGAGCGAGAATACTTGGATCAAGTCATCGATCCTGAGGCTAAGACTTTCAAAGATCTGGGAATTGAACCTGGTGATATTATCAACTTCACCTACCACTACTTGGTAAGCTTGCCGATTGCCGTACTATAAGTTTTAAACTGACTCCCTTATAGCAAGGATATCGAAGCCAAAACTACTACGATCTGCCCCCTGCGACAGAGAAGGAGAAGAGGGAGGAGAAGAAGTACATCCACGTACTGGATGAATTGTAAAGAAGAGTCGAAATTTTGCTTACTACGAATACTGGAATGGCGGTCGGTGATTACCGGCTGAGCGGACGGGTCGATAATAGTCCGTGTATATAGGACCGCATAGACTAAAGAGTTTGCGAGTTCGAACAATTGTACGGGTTTTATTTGGTTTGAAGTAATCTCGGAAGATACTAAGGCTGGGAGCTCGTTGTCTACCTACCTACCTACCTACCCTAAACTCTTGTGTGGCGAAAGTCTAGACCTTGTAAGAAGCAGCAAAGACGACCCCGCCAAACCCCTCACAAAACCCTCAGTCGCAACAGTCATCGGCTGGCCGTCGTGTTTAGCTGCGTGTCAAAACAAAAATAGAAGAATATTTTCAAAGAAAAAATTCCGATGTCTTTTGATGATGAAGAGCCCATGTGAGAACTCACCTCCCCTTGTCACTACTATTACATGCCCCAGTTTACTGACTTGGTTCGTCTGCAGAAGCCTCTCGAGTCACGCCTTGGCCGCGTTAGCCGAGTTCCACGCCGAAAAGGATGCCCATGAAAAGAACTTCGAGAAGTTGAGGACCGGCGCTGCCCCAAGAACCGGAGCCGGACTTGGGGTGGTCGAGCCGGAGGACGAGGACCCTATCACGGAGGATGTGGACAATGAGCCGTTGAGCATGGCGGCCTTCACGGAAGACTGGAACGAATCGCAGTTTTGGGTACGTAAACAGAATGCGGGAAACAAGGCACGGAACGAATCTGTGGCCTAGTTGCATTTCACCTTTGGCTACGGCGGTGGAGATAGCTTCTCGGTCGGCTTTTGGGAACCTGCCTGGGCCCGTGTTATGAGCTGGGGTATTTATTACGTACTGGCTAGGCATCGGTACTCTTGGCGCAAGGGCCCGAAGACAACTTCATGATCTTGACCAACAAAAAAGCTAACGTACGCTTGGCCATCTAGTTCTTAGATGAAACTGCCCTGGCTTTGGCCGATCAGCTTCTCGACGGTGCATCGTCAAGCTCGACTATTGGTGTCGTGTCGACGCCGAGTGTATTCATCGCGCTGAAGAATCGCCTTGTAAGTTCATTAATACCTATGCGAACCCCTGGCAATTGCAAAATGAATCTGGGCAAGTGTTAGCTGACTCGAATACCGCAGAGACTCTGGCCTATTGAAGATCGACCCAAGTTGGTCTTGCTCGAGCATGATCATCGTTTCAGCGTCTTCCCCGAGTTTGTCTTTTATGACTTCCAGCGACCTCTTCAGCTTCCAGGTACTGCCTCGATCGCTACTACACACATCGTGTTTTGAATATACAGTAGACTAATGCGTTTATGAATCTAGGTAATCTGAAAGGCAGTTTAGACAGTGTTATCATTGACCCTCCCTTTTTCAGCAGTGACTGCCAAACAAAGTGTAAGATTATTTATTACCTTCCTGTTGCTACGTTCCACACTGTCCAGATTTTGGGCCATGGTACAATTGCTACTCGGCAGTTGTCTGATACTAACATGGCATCTTCGCTAGTTGCCCTCACTGGTCGCTGGCTTGTCAAGCCAAAGTCACCTCGTGTCATTGTTTGCACTGGCGAACGAATGGCTCCTATAATTGACAAGCTCTATCGCTCTCTTGGAGTGTATGCCACAACATTTGAGCCTGCACATGCGGGTCTAAGTAATCACTACTACTGTTACGCCAACTTTGAGAGTTCCACCTGGGACTGGCGATCCGATGAATCTGACTAGCGAGCATCGGCAAGAGCTATGTGACATTAAAGGACACCATCTGCTGTCATCTATCGTCTTAAACTCGTGAAAGAGTCGACTCATGGCTGGAAGCATGCCGGATCCAGCAACACAGTTGCACTCGTCAGCGTCCTCGGAACATTCAAGTTCGCTGGTAAACCTCACTCGGAGACGAACAACGATAAATAAAGAGATACCCAATGTCCGGTTTAGACCCGATTATCACGGTAATTGCTAAATTGAATGTCTGCGCCAAACAATGCATCCTACTCCGCTCATTTGTTTCTGAGATGCGTAGCTTCCGCTAACCTGTAGATTATGTCCCGTGACGCCTTTCCATTTTCCTATGCTTTGAGACCTCTGTACCTAGCCCCTCATTCATCATAGACTCCAAGATCTCAAGTTCAGGCTAGTGAGCGAATGATGTAAAAGAGCAAGTAGGCTTGTGCTCCAAGGACGTCAGACAAGCTTGCCATCTCTACCTTGTGATCATTGAATTTAAACCACTAAAAAACACGTTAGCAGACCGTTGCAAAGTTACAGTGAATAAGGATGTTTACCTGATCACCGACTCGACAATACGACGTGTAATGACCAGTATCAATCTCGCCCACATGAACCACGACGCTAAGGAGGTCATAAGTACATGATCGCTCTAGTTCAAGGCTTTCGCGGCTATCGTGGTTGCGAACACGATTTGTATAGGGCAGCATGTTGAGCTGTAGAGGGAATTTGACCTCATTGTCAACCTTGGAAGCCGCACGATCATGTCGGCCGTGCCTGTACTCGAAGCGCTGTGAGACGGCTAGTTAGCAAATGAGCAGCTATTGATGCGCTAGAACCTTCATTCACCTTAAGCTGTATCGACAGCACATTTGGCAACCTCTTGATGCTGGTGTGCCGTTTTGCTTGCTGAGGCCCGTTGCAGTTGTTGCACCGATACTCACACTTGTCGTACTTGATATATTCCTCATCCAAACAGTCCTGCAAAGATAGCGATGGCTTCTTTTGCCCAGTTCTCTTACTCTTCTTTTGCACGACGTTCTCAAGACCCAGGCTCAAATCCAGGAACGACTGGATGGAGTTACTTTGGCCCGAGCAGTTCTGGCATGTGGTTGTTGTCTGCATCTTGCCGTAAAATGTCTGATGCATAATACAGTTGCAGCTGTGCTCGCTGCCAATTTCTGGCTTTTTGCCATCGCCATTCCGCTCGTGGAGCTCTTCAGCTAAAAATTGAAAGAACTCGTGGGCATCTTGCTCTTTGGTGGTTACAAGATTTTCGAATGCCTTTTTCTCGGAGATCCAGAACCCTGATAAGATGTTTGCAGCAGTGTAGCCGTTTGTATTCTCTAAAGCATAAAAATCTTGAAACATATCATCCATGGCACAGCTCAAGCAGTGAGGAACCTGGCAGTCATTACTCTGATGACCATCGCTGAGGTAGAAGTTCCGTAGCAGAGGATTATGCAAGAAGCTTTGAAGAACGACATTCTGATAGCATGTTGCACCGGCGTTGTAAATGCCGCGCAGACCGTTGGCACGGCATGAGGCGGTTGTAGTATTGTTAGTAATGTACCTCGGGTCATCCTTAATAGAGTCTGTGAAGAGTTCGTCGTGCTTTCTCTTTCGACCTAGCCACCAGTCAGCCGCAATCAACAGAATGCACTTTACAGTCAAGCATAGCTTTCAAGACATGGGTGTTTTCGTTAAACATGACCACAATCCTTGGATAGCCAACACTCGATGTAGTATTGCTTACCGGAGAAAGAACCAGTTCCTATCTTTCGCACTCGAAGCTCCTCGAGAGTAGGATCCCAGACAAAATCGTCGCATATTTGACAATAAAGGCAACCACTCCGGGAGTCAACATCTGCGCCAGGTTAGCAGAGGAACGGAGAGGAAGCACAAGGCAACTAACAAAAGCGATGCTGTTTCTTAGTTCCATGTTTCAATCGATCGTCTTCGGAAACTGTCGTCGGACATTGTAGGCAGAGGTAGTTCGAGGTAAGCGACGTTACAGGTCGACCGTCTTGTGTTGAAGTTTGGGGGACAATTGGTGTCGTATCGAATATGCCGCGGAGGATCAATTTGTAGTGCGTAATGGAACTGTTCATAATCTCTTGGTTCTTGCTTAGTAGAAGTTGTACATGTTCTAGAGACTGTTAGGTAATGACACTCAAGCAACGGAGGGTGAAAGGCATCATACCACAGCCGAACATTGGCGATCCCGGAACCGGAGACTTTACTTTGACATTCTTAGGTGAGGCAGGAGTCGCCGGCCGCGCAGACATTGTGGGAGATTGCGCCTTTACGACTAAACCTGTTCTAGCGAGCAATTGAAGCTGGTGAAGGTGAAGGGCTGGCAGGATATGGTGGGCGAAAGGGAGATTGGTTCCCGATCACGCGGCGACGAATTATCGATACGGTCTACTTTGCAAGCCCACCAAGTATATATCTCGGGCGAGAGGCGAGTACGATTATGCGTTTGCTCAGTTACTCGTTTGCGATCGTACCGCTGGCTGGTCGATTGTTCGTTCGGCGATGCGAAAGGCGAACGAGGCTGAAGGATGCAAGGCACAGTGCCACGGCAAGCCGAAAGTCGGACAATAAATCGACAATGGGCTTATAAGCTGAGGTAAGAAAGGATAAAGCGCTCCTAGAAAAGAATCAAAGCTGCATAGTGTGTTTTATGGGTAAAATGATGAAGAAGGCCTAAGCAGGTGGGTTTGCGTTGGCGGATTGTTCCTGTAATTAATACAATGAACAACGGATTGGAAATGCAAGAATGATTGTAGCCAGAGTGAAGCGAAGCCGCTGTATGTCAGGGACGGGACAGGAGAGATTGCAGATTGCAGCGTGTGCACTGTGCAGGCTGCCTTAGCGCGTAGGTACCTTGAGGTGTAGGTAAGATTGGCGGACAGGTACAGTGGTCTGCTCGTGAAAATTACCTAGGTACGTTAGGTTAGTACTACCTACCTAGTATATCCATGTCATGGATGCAGGGCGATAAGATAAGCATACCACTAACCAACTGGAGTCTAACATTAACAGTGACGAAGACGCGAGCTTCCTCAACGATAAACATGCGTCGCGATCAATACGTTGTGAGGAATCTTATTATACAGACAGCCCAGCATACAATTAGAGTGTAATCCACACTTCCTAGAAGACTTTCTTTCACTCGGATAATTCTTCTGGAAACATGAACATGCCTGTCTCCTGATCCCGTGCTTATACTATGTTATGCTCAAACCATTGTCTGTATCCCGTTACCTGTTCTAGCTGTCCCACCTGAGCCGAGGTTTAATTTCAGTTGCCAGATGACGACAGCGTGCTTACATTTGTACGTGTTGAAGAACCGAACCACTGTCATGATTCTTTCCACTCGCAACCTAAATTGCAACATAGTGATATCTTGTTCCTAAATGTTACTCCGCGCCTCCGCGCCAGACACTTAGGGAACGGGTCAAAATCTCCCCACAATCCACCGAAGAACCCGGCTCCGATCTCCAGTATCCGGCTCCGGGCCCCTCACGAACAGCACCTCGAACGTCGTCCGAACTACGGCGGCCCTGGTCGATTCCCCCACCCAGACTGGATATCATGGCGGCACAACTCATTGCTCTGCCAGCCATAGAGCGTCTCAGTCCTACTTGTATCCGCATATTGGGTGGTAACCCAGGCAAATTCACTCTTCAAGGCACAAACACATACCTTCTTGGTACAGGACGTCGTCGGCTTCTCATTGACACAGGTGAAGGTCGCAAAGCGTGGGTCACGTCCATTCGCGACACTCTGCAGCAGGAGAATGCAACCATCGACGCCGCACTCATTACGCACTGGCATCATGATCATACAGGCGGTATAAAGGATCTTTTAAGCATATCACCCGGGACGAGAATTTACAAACATACACCAGGTGAAGAGCAACTAGGCATCAACCATGGACAGTGCTTTGAGGTTGATGGCGCGACGCTAACAGCGGCGTACACTCCGGGACACACCAAGGACCATGTTGTGTTTGTACTCCAGGAGGAAGATGCAATGTTCACTGCCGATAACGTGCTCGGTCAAGGCACTGCAGTTTTCGAAGACTTGGCCGCCTACCTGGGGAGCCTGGAGGAAATGAAGGGTCTCTTCAAAGGCCGGGCGTACCCTGGACACGGGCCAGTTATCGAGGACGGTCCAGCCAAGATTACAGACTATATCGTTCACCGAAAACAGCGTGAAAAGCAGGTAATCCAGACACTGAAAACAGGGCCCGATGGAAAGGAGACTCAAGATCCCATGCTATGGTTTGCTTGGTCAGCGACAGAGCTGGTCGAGGTGATATACAAGGACGTGCCCAAGGATCTCCACCCAGCAGCTCGTGGTGGTGTTTTGCAAATTTTGGGAAAGCTAGAGGGCGAGGGCCGTGTATCCCATGACGGCAATAAGTGGAAGATGTTGGCGGAGGATCGCTCGTCGCTGTAAATGTATTGGTCTTGGTCTGAAGCAAGGGAGATAGATTGAAAATACCGGATCGGCGAGTCAACTGTGGTACCTACTTCCGACCCAAAGCTACAGAAGTGGTAATTTGGCAGACATGCACGGAGTAAGGGCACCAATATTGCTACTCTGTATCATGATATATTGAATGGATGACTGCGGATCCACATTGGTTTGTTTTGCTGTTTTTCATTCTCGCTCTTCTAACCCCCTTTTCTTTTCTTTTTGTCAATTCTTTGGTCTCTTTAATCTTGCGGCTTAACGCACTCGACTTGAAGTTCATGTCAAGAACTTAAGCTTATAAAAATCGCGACATTTAGCAGCTTCAGATCTCTCCATCATTAATGGAAGCTCTCGATGAATGTTTTAGTAATGACCAACAGGTGGAGATCGCCAGTTGGGTAAGGGTTTGAGCTGATCCCTGCCTGCCCACACTAACTACTAAGGTACATAAGTACCTAGATACCTAGTAACTAGCACATCGAGCTAGAGCAGCCACTCTAGCGTTTAACGTTAGAAGCCAGCTAGCGGCATTGATAGATTCTTTTGATATATGTTATGGCGAGAGATCTTGACGATATACGATACGTAGTTCTCCTTCATAGACACCTAATAGCAACTTGAGATTGCCCTGACAAATTATTAGATAAGAATTAATATTGTTATATTGGATAAGCATGAATAATACGATCCGAGTTCGCCGACATGATGTTGCAGCACTACAATAAACCTGTTGGTTAAAGTGATGTTTCAGGCAGTCGCGTGCGGCCCAACTTATTTGGACGACATCATACGACAAGCTATATCCTACCTGATACAAGTTTTGTGTTTTGCGTGCCGAGAAATCCAGAAATATCGGAGTGCTCGGGCATATGTCTGCCTGTGCGTGCATGAATGGCAACATGTAGGGCGATTATGTGACCAGGAATTGCAACCCAGCACGGATGGATGACTCGGTGTGTTGCCCTTCAGATGATCAATGTAAGTCAGCATGCAGTGTGGGCCAGCACCACAGCCGACAACCCTGTACCGATAGATGATCGATTTCAAGGGCTACTTTCTAGTATAAACTACTAACCTACTTGGTATGCACATACATAGCAGAAGTACTTATTGTATTTCGAAAGGAACGGATCCGTCTATCTACAAGAGATTCCAATGCAGTCCCTTGGGTATGCTGGTGCAATGATCTAACATCACGAAGCGGGTATAAACAAAGCTTATCAGCTTAATGGGGATGCGCCTGGCCGGAAACGTCGGGTTATTCAGAGATAGAATGAAGCTGAAATACTTAATTAACAGAAATGCCTATGTAGAGTTCCATTTCGGGATGACGACGATTCATATTGCCAAGATTCATTTGTTTGATCCTTGCCCAGTTACAAGTTTTGAAGGACGGCCGTATGAGATTAGGCTACGGTGCCTTGACGAGAGCTACACATAAGTCAAGACGCGTATACATGGATGAGTACGCCGGTCAAGTATTCTATTGCAGTATTATGTAGTTGCCGTCGACGTAGGTACCTTAGTCAATCACCTCCATGACCACTCATATTTCAATATTGCAGTCATCCACATTGACCTCACTACCTCAGCTGAGAGGATCCTTCTCCGTGAGACCGACTTTTATGTCAACCATTGGCTTCCAGAAGATGATTTTCGGTTGCAAGTGCGTTATGATACTGTGCTGATCGATCGATCGCCTACTTTGGCATACGATGAACTACCTTATGGACAAGATGAAGAGGATCCTGACCTAATCTGATCGTGCGAAGACGCATTCTTCTGCCCGTCGCGGTAACCACCACCACGGAGTAAGATGCACGCGCTGGCCGGCCCCATGATCCCTCTCCACCAATGCTGTCGCCTGCTCACCGCAATCGTATTGTTGTGTTGTACTCAAGTCGCCCAGATACGCCTTCCTTATGATGAAGCAATTCGGAAGCTCCGGAGGCATAACCTCTGGGTACCTATTCTTTCTTGGCTTTCTGTCGCTTTGTCGCCGACTTGGCCAGGAAGCCCAGTGGCTCTCAACTCAAGGATATAAGCCTGCATGGTTCCGGCATCTTGGCGCGATGGGTTTGTTTTAAAACAATCCGATGTCATGAGTCCTTGAAACAGCTCCTGTTTTGCCGCCTGCTTAATCGAACCATCATATACAGGCCGAGTTTTATTTCCTTTGTTTTTACTCTACAGGACTAGTATAGCATCTGTCTGCGAACCTCGTTCGTCTAACTGGCGTATTTCATTATATTGACAGTTCCGCACATCCTAGGAAACTGCCCGGATCGAGGAATCCTAAACTCTAGGAACATGATATACACCAAATACATCTCCTATGCATCAAGCGCACTGATTCTAGCGCTTCTTCCTATTGCCGTTGCTCACGGTGGTGAAAGTATGGGAGTGGATATGACAAAGCGGCATGGTGTTAACACAACGCAATCCCCCAAAGACGAACACTACTCTGATACTTACTTTTCCCATACTCAACATAATGGCCTAATTTACACACACATAGTCTTGATGGTTCTATCATGGGTCTTCTTACTCCCAGTCGGTGAGTGGCCAGTTACAAGACCAAGCCAATTGCAGCTCTGCTTCTCAACTAACACACACCTCAGCTGTCATGTTCTCGCTAGCCAATTCACGTTTTACACTACCTGCCCAGTTCGTATTCTTTGCTTTCAACATTCTGGGAGTTATTTTCAGCGTGAGCTATAACGCCCAAACACCGGACCTGTATCCCAACAATGCGCACCACAAGATTGGTTGTATAGTGACATGGGTTGTCTGCGCTCAGATACTTTTAAGTGGCATAAGATATATCGTGGGTGCCCCCACGAGCAATGGAAAGAAGCCAGACAACGAAAGGCTTGCATTTTTACCAGTCTCGACTCACGAAGTCAACCCCTCCTGGCGCAATGGTTATCGTAATGATGGCCCATATCGAGGCACAGGCGAAACTGGATTAGGGATCGAGTCCAATTCTTCTTCACTTCATGGCGACTCAGCATCTACGCTGAATGGGATGGAATCGTCCTTTGAGATCGCCAGGAAGGAGTATGACGAAGATGATGAAGATTTTGAAGAACCACCATTGTCTTTCCCTTTTTTTGGGGGAGCTTTTGCCCAACACGCCTCCAAGCTTGCTACGTCGCGAATTTGGAAGTATATACATATCATCCGGAAACTAGCGGATCGAGTTATTCTTCCTTTCGGCTTCCTCATACTTGCAACTGGTGTGGTCACTTTTGGTGGTTTTTTTGTAAGTTACCGACGAAAGACTCAGCAGGGGTATTTAACTAACGAAATGCCACAAGGAGGGCCAAGAAATCTTCAACGGTTTGGCGCACTGGGTTAAGGGCGGCGTCTTCTTCTGGTTGGGCATCTTCACTCTGGGTCGTTGGACTGGAAGCTTTAGCGAGCTTGGCTGGGCATGGAACGTTCGCCCTAAGAAGTCTCAAAAATGGTGTCCTTCTGCCGAGTTTGTTGAGAGCTTCTTGATCTTCCTCTATGGTGCTACCAACATCTTCATGGAGCACCTTGGCGGCTGGAGAGGAGCCTGGACCGCTCAGGATATGGAACACTTGTCCATCACGGTTCTCTTCCTTGGTGGAGGCCTGGTCAGTCACACTCTTTTCTTTTCCCTCCACCGTCATTGCAGAAGCTGACAGTTTGTTCTTCAGTGTGGTATGCTCGTCGAGTCGACACGCGTCCGCGATCTACTCAACACAACCGTTCAAGACGTTGAGCCCAAACATCCTTACACAGTCGAAGAAGCAAACACCGCCGAGGACCCTGATACATACGAATTCTCACTTAACCCTATCCCGGCTTTGGTCATAATGATGCTTGGACTAATGATGAGCTCTCATACACAGCATAACATGATGTCCAGCATGGTTCATAAACAATGGGGAGATCTCTTACTTGGAGCTTCTTGCGCCCGAGGACTTACTTACCTACTTATGTTTCTTAGGCCACCCAGGTCCATTTTCCCATCACGACCCCCCACTGAACTACTGGCTGCCTTTGGGCTGATCTCTGGAGGAATTATCTTCATGGCTAGCGTAAGTCATGCCGTCTCAAGTACGACAATTCAAGAATTAACGTGAATCAGAGCACTGATACCGTCAACGGAATGATTCACTACGATCTCGATGCCATGTTTATGTACACTGTCACCATGGGCTTAGTCGCTCTTTTGATGGCTTGGGTCATCATTGTCCTTGCTATCAAGGGTTGGGTCGTACGATTCGAGAGAGGTCGTATCTCGAGCTAAGAGGCTCAGGCATCTATATGTGTATACTTTAGAAGAGGAGGAAAATGAAGACAGCCATAATCCAGCTACGGTGGTGAAACGCTGAGATAGATAGATTGCATCGCACACTTGATGCAACGATAGTCTGCTTTAACATTTGAGATACCCCTTATGAGACAACGACATTTAGCTGAACCCCATTTCTGGAATATCTGACTTGATTCCATCCGTAGTGATGTAGATTTCCATCTCGCCTTTGGAGGTGACATCCCTGATGTTTGCAGTTGAGGATTTGCCTCAGGCCCAGTCGGAACTAACCGTGCATCTTACACTGGTGTTTCTGTCTTGAAACTGAAAGAAGACTCTTCCCAAAGTTTGTGTGTCGGAAGGATGCGTTTCTCATGCTTCAGAGAGCGGCCCCGTACCGTTGACTGCGGTGTTTGGAAATGAGTATGCGCACTCTTCTCATGCATCGCCATCCTTGGCCTTTGGCTCAGCTACCACCCTTTTTTGATCCTCAGGTGGGAAGAGTCCAGCACCCTGCTGTAGGGCGTGAACAAGGAATGGAATGGAATCGGCCTTAAAATCCTCTGCATTGCGAACCTTGTCAAGGTCCTCCGAGAGTTCTTGTGTCGTTCGTTGGAGATAATAAGAGGCGAATTCTGGAGAAGACTGATCGGTGGATTTGGAAGACATGACTAATGTGTTTGGATGAGAGCTGTAGATTCCCTTTCGCTGAAATGTAGATGCTGATCTGAATGATTTAAGGTGAGTTGTTGATTTGAAAATCGTGTAATCCGAATCTCAAAGCAGATGGAAAGTTTGGTTAACAGTTTCTTCACAGTGCGCGGTTGGAATATTTAGCTCATGCACTGTATGTAGATTTATCACTTCCTACCTACCAATACCGCAGTTCACTCCATAATCGGCAAGGCATTTAAAAGGATCTTGCAACGACTCGGTTTATCCACTTGGTCATGTTTCCGCAGGCTACCTAAATAAGCTCACCCAAACACTCAAGTGGCTTACCCCAATAAACAATCGACTATTGCTTCACATGACAGGCACAACGTAAATTTATTGAGCATGAATAGCCCATTGTAGTATCTAAGGCAGTCTGGCAAGATTTCGTATTTCATATTCTACAGTGTGCTTGAATCAAGAGTTCGAACACACCAGTTGATAACTTCATCTATTACGCTATTTTTGCGTGTGACCCATAAAACAAATCATGACCCTTAAACACCATCAACTCATAACGACGCCCGCACGCTTCGTAAACATGAAAAATGCCAGGACATGACTGGAATAACTCAATGGGAGATGTACTGGAAAACAGCAGAAACCTCGGACTCTCCACACTCCTGCCTGAGTAACAAGTCCTGGATAGGTTTGAGTCCTTCGTTAACGAAATGGTTCCATGTGCTGGTATCACCATACAGCATGGCCGGTGCTTTGATGAATTGCTTGCCGTCTGGCTTGCACCGTTTACATTTGAATGTCTCATGGGTGTCACTCTTGGTGTCCGACCGATACTGGAACAACTCGCGCAGGCTGTCAAGAGAGAAATGTCGTTCGACATCTTCCGCCGAGTCGACGACACAAGAAGACAAACTTTGCTTGTGAGATTGTCGCTGAAAGATCTTCTCCTCGATGGTACCGGTTGCAATGAAGCGGTAGACGAAACAATCTTTCTTTTGTCCATCACGCCACACTCGAGCCAGTGCCTGTTGATCGGCTGCGGGATTCCAATCAGGGTCAAAAAGGACAAGACGGTTCGCACCAATAAGATTGATACCGCATCCACCGGCTTTGCTGCTGAGCAAGAAGATAAATTCATCGCCTTCGGGGTCATTGAAACGATCGACAAGCTTCTGGCGCTTGTTGACATTCATGGTACCATCAAGACGGAGACATCCGTATTGGCGGGAACGGCACATTCGTTCGAAAAGATCAAGCGTGGAAGTATAGTTGCTGATCAGTACAATTTTATCATTCGTGTCTTGACGGATGCGAGCCAGCATGCGATCTAATACAGCCATCTTGCCCGAGTACCACGGCTTAATCTCGCGATCTCGACCACGTGCTTCCTTGGGGACGTAATCGTCGGGGTAACACTGCTCCGAGCCCGGTAAGTCGTCTGCCATGTTCAGCAAATCGGGATGGTTGCAAAGCTTCTTGAGAATATTAATGGCCTTTAGGGGCTGGCTCCCTTTGCCTCTCAATAGGGCCTGGATGTCGGGGCTCTCGATGAAGTAGTTGTAAAGATCAAATTGGAATGGTGCCAGGTTGCAGAACACAACATGTTCGTACTTGACAGGCAAGTATTTGGAAAGGATATCGTTCGTGCGGCGGATTAGGAACTTGTTGACAACACCAAGCAATGCTGCAGTGCACTCATCACCCTTCTTGCGGTCCGCCTCTGACGCATCGGCGTCTCGACCTCGTAAAATTGGGATTTCGTATCGCTTGCGGAATTCCAGCCTTGTTCCAAGCAGATCAGGGTTGGCAAAACTTGTGAGTGAGAAATACTCTGTAAGATCATTCTGGATAGGTGTGCCGGTCAGAATGACACGTCTTGAGACATTAAGACTGTTGAGAGCATTGAAGGTGTTGCTGTCGCTATTCTTGAGACGATGGCCCTCGTCACAGAAAAGCAGACCGATTTTTGTATGCTTAAGCTCCTCCACGTTCAATCTCAGGGTCTCGTAAGAGACAATGATGACTGGCCGGGTTACAGCGCGGCCACTTGCGATAGCCCATTGTCGAAGCTGTCGTGTCAATTCCTCTTTGGAAGCCTTTCCGTCAATGGCAAATGGGGTGACGGCGTTAGCGCCAAGCCATTTAACCAATTCGTTGGCCCAGTTCTTCACCAAACTGGCAGGGCAAACAACAATGGCTTTCTGGATTGTTGACTTGCCTGCATCAGGGGACTGCTTGAGTAATGTCCACATAAGGGAAATGCACTGGAGAGTTTTTCCCAACCCCATTTCGTCGGCCATGATGCAGCCGTTGGCCTTCTCATCAATCAGGCCAGTGACACAACGATACATGAACTTGACACCTTCAACTTGATGCGGCCGGAGAATCTTGGCGAGCTTTGGATCAATGACAACTGGAACCCGAGGGTGCTCGCCGTCCACCTTCTTTTTTATTCCTAAAATCTCAGACAAGCTTTTGTGAACAAGCGGTGCATCGAGATTGCCAGACGAGGCATCAGCTGTGACCGGCTCGATAACCTTGGGAACATCTTTCGGTTTGTCGTCAATTGTCGGATCATGAAGAACGATAGCGAATTCGCCGCTAGGGTCGTGCAACGGCTTAGCAACAAAAACAGCCCCCTGCCGAAGGCCAAGAGTGGGAGGAGCACGATTGGGGTTATATGCAGCGCTATCTTTGTTTTTCAGCGGAACAGAGAAGGCCTTACGGAAAACAAGAGTCTTCTCCTTGGCTTGAAAAACGGGAAATCGATTTATGTCTCGAGTAGCAAGGGCGAGCCTGTCATCGTTGGAGTATGGTTTGTCATCATCTGCTTCTCCATCGGCACCACCATAATCGACTTTTCTTCGTTTGCGGGATGTTCGATCAACGGCAGGGCTTCTTCCAGCAACTCCAGGGCATTTGAATGGTTTGTGAAGGCGGTCGATTGAGGCGGGTGTTGGTACCCGCTTGCCAAAAGGTTTGTCCTTACCAGCAAGTGGCGTTGTCATGAGAGGTGATCTGATTTCATGTGTCAGATGTTGTAGTGGTGATCCAGGAGTAAATTCGACAACTTACGCTGCTCCCATATTGAAACCTTGTCACTGTACAGGCTGAGGAAAGATTGTTGTGGGATTTGAAAGTTCCTTTGCCACCCAACAGGAATCGATGCGAGGTAAGTACAATACTAACGCATCTAAGCGCGATAGATGACTCGACGCGACAGCAGGCAGACACACGCTATCACGTGAGTCGCCACGTTTTGAAAAAAGAGAGGTGAGACCTCCGGGCACTACCAGGTAGGTAGGTACCTACCAAGGTAGCTTAGGTAATGGTGGGCGACAGTCGAGTTTATCGTTTTGTTAGCCGATGATGAAACGTTGTGGTTTCTAACATATGCTCACCTTCACTATTTTTCTTGACCTCAATCTGGTCTACTACCAAGAAAAAAGATGTCAGAGAGTTCCTTTGTAAGAGTGCCGTCTGGGTATGTTAGCCTACTGATCTCTTACCTCTTCAGTATGCGGCTCTAAATGACCCTGTATCACTAACACATGCTTCAAGAGTCAATCTCTCCCAGTCCGATTCAAGCCGATCGGCCGGTGTGGATGCTTTTGCCGAGCATCAATCCTCTGGGCCGACCCCTCTCCAAGTTGCTATTGCTCAACATCGCACCGGTATCCTGACTGCAACTGTCGCTGGCCATTTTGCTCATTGGCAATATCTCACTCGATTCCGCCGGATTAATGTGCAAGCAACTGCAAACCGTCTCCCTCTTGCACAGCTCGGATTGGCCTGGGGCCTTGTCTACCTCGGCGTGCTGAGCACCCTCACCCTCTCTCAGCGCAAAGTCGGCCGGGGTTCTGATCCTTTTCTGTTACCTCCAGAGTCTTGAGACATAGCTCCATAATGTCAGCCGACTTCTGGGCTGGTTATCTCAGCGGGGCTATTGGTATCATCATTGGAAATCCTCTCGACGTGATCAAAGTACGAATTCAGGCACAAAACAACAACCTTGTATCGAATCCACCCTTTTCGTCATTACCAACAGGAACCACAGCGGCTGCCTCGGCCATCAATCAAGGCACATCATACACAGCACGGTATTTTGCATCTTACAGTTCTTGGATAACTGGGACTGCCGCACCAATTCTAGGCTACGGTGCTTTGAACGCCTTACTTTTTGTCTCATACAACCGTACCGAGGCTGCTCTGAACAACACATCTTCAGTGCCCGGGTCATTGTGGAATACATGGATCGCTGGTGCCGTGGGTGGTCTTACAACCTGGGTTGTTAGCACCCCTACCGAGCTTATCAAATGTAGAGCACAGCTAGCCTCTCCTCCCGCCTCAAGCTGGGCTATTGCCAAACAAATTTGGAGAGGTGAAGGTATTCGAGGGTTCTACTTTGGAGGAGCTGTAACTGCCGCTCGTGATAGCGTTGGTTATGGCTTCTACTTTTGGTCTTATGAGTTGAGCACACGTTGGTTAGCCACAGAGCCGGGTAGGGAGAGCTCGTTTCAACATGAAGCTGCCAAAGTGCTACTCTGTGGAGGTCTAGCGGGCGTGGCAACTTGGGCTAGCATATTTCCACTTGACGTTATCAAGACAAGAGTTCAGGCTCAGACCGTAGGAAGCCAAGCAGAACTATCCCCTCTTTTGCAGCACAATGGGCCATCACCAACCGCACGAGCAGGTGCTATTCAAATCGCGCGCGAAGCCTACCGAGAGGGAGGCTCCCGCGTTTTCTTCAAAGGATTGACGGTCTGCAGTGTCCGAGCCTTCATCGTAAATGCCGTCCAGTGGGCTGTGTATGAATGGGTTATGTTGGAATTTGGCCACGGACGCAAGCAGTCAGCGTCATCCCTGCCTAGCGTAGAAGTAGCATTTACATGATGAATCGCCGGCTGACAACCTGCCCTAACATATATAGTTACCTTGGCCGAGTTCCCCGTTGTTATGTGCTATGAAGTTTGAATATCAATGAGAAGTATACACGAACAATTCGTAAATGCACCCAATCCTAAAATATTGCTCGCAATGCTCAATGCCACTCTGCCAACCGGGTGATAAGTCTGCCCACAAGCTCACCATCATCCTTCTCTCATGGGACCAAGTCGACATGAAGATTAGCTACGTGGTTGCATCTATGTAATGTGCGACGTCCTGTCAGCCGTTGACGGTTACGGAGGCAGGCATGAATAGAACCTGACGACGCTGGACAAAAGCGACCGTCTAGAGCCTTGATTCGTGTGATGACAGAAAGCGGGGATGGGCCAAGTTCATGTGCAGGATAGCGTAGAGGCTGTGAAAGGTGTAAACTTCCATGGACAATGAAACGATCAGAAAAATCAACTGAGTTGACACTTGTGCCACTTAATGTTAGCACTGACCAACAGTCTCCATTACTCCTGATACCTCATGTAAAACTAACTGCCTTGGGAATTGTGCCACTTAAAATGTCGAATAGGATACCCCAGGCGCCTTTGATTCATGTTCTGTCTGCCAATCTCTTCGCCCATTTCAAGCAGTACCCGTTTTCTTGTCAGTCTGATTCACCTCGTGCCAACCCTCCAGACCTGTCTGAGATTTCCACCGTTGGGTATCATCATCATACTGCTCGAGCCACTTGGCCATGGCATCACTAGCTTGGGCGACGATCTCCCCCTTGTGTTCACATGTATCGGCGGCGTCCTTCTCGAGTCTCTTCCGAGAGCTATTCCCGGTCTTCTCATTGCGCTCCTTTCTCTTCTTCTCCCTTGCAGCTAGCCATTCTTTCCGCCCGGCTAGATATTTGACGCTATGTCCCAAGCCAGCACACTCGTGGGAGATACCCTTGTGATTTCTCTCTAGTGGAGGAGCGGTGAAGAACAGGACCCGACCAGCACTATCATGCTGGAATGCTTGCCGTAGCTCATCTGGTAGACCGTCGTTGATGCTGTCCGGAAGCGCGTACACTTCCGGTGGCCTTGGGGGATTGTACACATTACCGCCTTGCATAGGTACCCCAGGAGCAGGAGCCATAGGACTCCGAGCAACAGAAACAGGCTGCGCCTGGCTGTAGGCTTGGGTCATATGATTTGCCATTGGCGTCTGTTGATGCATAGGGGCTACTGACTGCCCATAGTTTGGGGTGAAACCTGGCGCATAGCTTGCTTGCGGGGGTTGGGGTTGGGGTTGGTACTGAACAGGTCGAACAGACACCTGGTTTTGATGGTTTAGGTGAGGTGGGTGTGGGATAGGAACGGGGGTTTGATGAATCTGTGGAGGTTGGGCTCCCGGGGTAACTGGTTGGAAATGGGGCGTCATGTGCGCAGTGTATGGCACAGGCGACGGCGACGGACCTCCTGGATAAGAAATCGAAGGGTGTCGGGCAGCATGATCCCCAGGCAGACCTCCAGGCACAGGCAGCATCGACGCACGTCGACCGGTGTCAGGACCAGCATCAGAGAGCGAAATAGCCGACATGGTCTGCGGAGGGCTGGGCCCTGGAGGGGGCGAATCCTGAAATGACGGTTAGTCGGATCTTGTAATATGTTTGATAAATTTTGATAGGAAAGGATAAAGTAAGAAGGGTATGCCGGGAACAGGGTGTTAGTGCTGGAAAATCCAGGGTGTAGGATGATAAAGAGCTTAATCGTAGCCAGCCGGACAAACACCCAGCACGATAAAAGATAAACAATAAATGGATGTGCTTCACTTACATTCGATTCCCGTGGACGGCGATGTACAGCCCCGACAATTGGCGGGGCGTTTGGGCTTCCCCATGTTGGCTTGGGCAGCTCATCTGTCTCCTTCGCGTCCTCACGCAACAAATGCTTAATAGGGCTTGGGATCTTTTTCATGCGCCGAGGCGCATCAAAGAGATCCATTTCGTAGTCCTTGTCGCGTACCTCGTCGGGAACACAGCTTGCCCACGTCTTGATCTTGTTAAACGTGAACCTTTCCTCGTTATAGCGTGATTCGCACACATATACCTCCTTGTCGGCAGGGAACCCACGTGGACGGCCTTTGTTGAAGCGGGTCACAAACATCACAAAGCACCGATCTAGGACATCTTCGATCTGATGATCCCGATACTGCCCAGTCTTGACGACTTCATGTTCGAAGAAATGCTTCTCATATCGATGTACAGTTTGTTCTGGGCGGTAATACCAGCAAGCATTGATCCATTTGTGACCGGCGCGATCTTGCCAAGTTCGATAGATTTGCGCCACTGTAGGTTTGGCCAGATCGTTGGGATTTCTGATGTGAACCCAATCACCTAGGATGTGTTAGTCATGTGCGTGACATAAATAAAATATTTTACTTCGACATGTACTTACCTGTTTTCCAGGTTTGTCCATTGTATTCAATTTCTGCCAAAGGCAGTTTGCCGTCTTCATCTCGGAAATCATCATCAGGCTTGGCCTTCTCTTGCTCTGACAAGAGGCTCGCCTGTTTCTCGAGCTCGATAGCCGCCTTGTGTACCTCACTGTCATCCTCATTATACCGCTTGGCATTCTCAAACATGAGGTTAAGATCCTGAAGTACGTGGTCAATACTTTGATACTTCTTTCTCTTCACCTTCTTCTTGATGTTGTCGAGAGCGATGGGATTGAGTATTGTGGTGTAATAGTCAGGGACGGCCGCCTTGTCCGGCAGCCTCTCGAAAGGATGAATGAGAAGATTTCCCTCATTGTCTCTTGGCTTTCTTAAGCCCTTAAGAAGTGAAGAGATGCGTGCCTCGTTCGGGGTAAGCACACTCGGAGGTCGCCCTCTTCGTTTATGCGAATCGTCTTCATAATCTTTGTCTTGATCATTTCGCGCTGATGCGCGTCGCTTCCGTCCACGGCGGCGCCCGTCTTCCTCGTCTTCCTCGTCTTGATCATCGTCTTCATCGTCTTCATCATCATCATCGTCTTCATCGTCGTCATCTTCATCCTCATTGTCATCCTCTACTGGTGGCGACTCTTCAGCAGGAGGAAGATCGCCCAAATCCGGCAGTTGTGCGTCATTGGCTGTGATGTGGCCCTTTCCCACCAATTTGTTGAGTTCTTCAGCGAGTAGTTCTCTCAATTTCACAGCGGCGCCGAATATTGGAGCAGAGGGGCGGTTATAGACCTGAGCGTTGTGGCAGATTTGGGCAACATCCTTGACGAAGTCTGTAAACGAACCGTACTGTTTCTTTTGAGTTTTGCCCTGTCGCTAATGATCAGAGGTCGATACTCTGGTGAACGAGACTGACATCGACTTACCCGAATGGTACTGAAAGCAATTGGCTCGGCGATGATCTCGAAATAATCGGGTAAGGTCCGTCGGTTAGGTATTCGCTGGAAGCCAGCAGCAAGCTGCTCGCCACTATAACCGTTCTAAATTAATTCTTGCTTTGATAGGACGTGGGGGAATAAGCGTACTCGTCCTCAATACTACACAAGTAGGTTGAGAGGTTGTGAATCAGGCGATACATGTCTGGACGGCCTTCATCGTCCAATTCGCCTTCAGCGTCCTCTTCGCCTTCGGCATCCATATCGACGTCGGCATCGCCCTCGGCATCGATATCATCGCCCGGTGTATCCTTCATCTCGACATCGACACTGGCGGTCTTGGCTTCGATCGACTCGCGCACCTCTGGCGCGTTTGTCCTCCGAGTGTCCATGATGGACTTGTAAGACCACTCGGGTTCAACCTCAATTCGCGCGTGTGAAATCAAGTCGCGATGCGGATTTCTTGCGTGGACTATGTTGCTCGTCGTAAAACTTAATTGCGGTGAAAGTTTAGATCGCGAAACTAGAATATCAGTTTCGCGAAAGCTGATGAAGCTGAGCTGTAAAGAGGTACGTATTTTCGAGCTGGGCTGTGAAGGTGCGACTGGAGCGCGGCGCAATTGCTCTTTCTTAAAATGGTTAGCAAGGGGCGTGTGTATTTGACAGCGGGTCCTAATATTTCTACTCTACACCACACCACGGTGAGATACATGGTCTGGGAGGCGAACGATAATGATTCCTGACTGATACAAATCGGTCGGCATTTCCTATAATTCAAAACGAAAATACCAATACTGGTTAACTTGAGATATCTCAAAGTCTTTTACCTGATCTGCATTTCGTTGTCGAGCCGACAAACTGCCTTGCTTTCGTTTGGGTTCCTTCCAATTCCTTACCTTCAGGGTGCAACACCCCTCCCGAATTGATCTCGGCGTGGAATCTGTACCTGCCAACTTAGCAACTCAGAAAGACGACCATACGGAAAACCTTTGGCTCTTGGGAATTTGAAAAAAATTGTCCTGTCATCATGCGGGCTCGCTACAAAGGCCCAGCCGGCACTGGCATTCTGGAGCTGTCTGATGACGCTACAGTCCAAACCCTCTTCGATGAGCTCCGAACCAAGACTGGTCTGGCCAATTTTGGAATCAAATACGGTCTTCCTATGGCTATGAAGACCCTTGAGCTCAACCAGAGCGATCAGATTGCCCGATCTCTTGGTCTTCATGGCGAAACACTTACCATTGTCCCGGAGGACATACCACCGGCGCCTACTGAGCCAGCTCGGACTGCCACTGCCCAAGATCGGGTTACGGCATCCCGAACTGCAAAAAAAAGAGAGAGCCCCGAAGATGTACATGTTCCATGGCGGGAACGAGGTGGGACTTTACGTTAGTAGCCTGGAATGATTATGAGCCAGTATTCATACTAACATATGGCAGTTTTGCGAGTGATGCCCAGCGATAACAGCTGCTTGTTCACGGCCTTTGGAGGTGCTTTACAAGACCAGATTCCTGCTCAACAATTGAGAAGAATGATGGCAGACTTCATTGTTCAGAACCCAGAAGACTATTCGGAGGCTGTGCTGGGTAGCTCACCTAGCCAATACTGCCGCAGTATTCAGGACCCTGACAGATGGGGTGGCGGTATTGAGCTCAGCATTTTGTCCTCTATCTTCAATATTCAGATCTGTACCTTTGACGTTCAGGTCAGTCGAAAACCTTTGACCTTGTTCCTTCCATTTGTTGACACTTTTTTAGGCCCAAAACTTAATCAACTTCGGAGAAGACAAGCAGGATCGTTGCATTCTTGTGTACTCTGGAATTCATTATGACCGAGTCGCGTTCAGCTTGTCAGACTTTCCACACAACTCCTCTACCTTACCCCCTGAACTAGATCGAACTGTTTGGCCGACAGACGATGATGAAATACTCGAACAGACTCAAAAACTCGTCAAAAAGTTGAACAAAGCGCACTACTACACTGACACAGAAGGGTTGATCCTACGATGTGATGTACCTGGATGCGACTGGATAGGCAGCGGCCAACTGGAAGGGCGGAAGCATGCAGAGTTGACGGGGCATGTGGACCTGAGCGAGATTCAAGATCAGGCTGATGATGTGCTCCATAAGTGTGAGACGCCAGGATGCGACTTCATCGGCCAAGGAGACAAAGTCATGAGGCAGCACAGCGCCGATACTGCCCACGAGGGGTTCTCCATTATTCCCGATTGGTGACTCGGTTACGAATTGCAGTGTCGGTTTTAATTACGTCTGCGTAGTGGAGCAGAAGTCGTATCAGATATCGTGATCGAAGTACATTCTGCATGATATCGATGAACTAAGTTAATTCCAATGAATCTAGTTGTATAAATGGGATATCTAGGTAGATACACGTGTAAATTGGACGCCATGCGATTAAGTTTAGTGGCGATGGGTTTATTCTCAGAGAATACCCACTGACATCTGTTCGGCACCCAGACTGCTTACTCGTTGCCACTCCATAAGAGAAGTGCGAGAAGGCGTAGAACATTACCGTGCATATACCGGTAGTCCTATACCTACATACTTTTATACCGTCATAGAAGCTTGTTCCAGGCGGAAACAGCTCGCGATTGAAGCTGCAGACGGCCGAGAATAGCTGTTTTTGTCCTCCAAGTATAGCTGCGGTCAGAGCCGTTTTAGTCATTTCGTCTTTTCCGAGAGCTCTTGCCTGGACATCGAGTCTATATTGGCCAAAGAAAGGCTCAAGAATTCATGCTTGTTCGACCAGTTCTGCTGTCGCTCGGTGAACTCCATCATTTCTTGGGGTGGAGGAGGCGGGTCAGTGATCTTGGTGATGAGATATGCTGTGGATGCCTCAGCAATACCATAGACGAGTACACCGACAAGTGGAATCTTAACAAGGATATAAAACCCCAGCCCAAAGCCGAATAGGACTCCTTCACGGCTACGGAACCAGTTCCGCTTTTGGTCTTTGGTGAAGTGAACACGGGCAAAGTATGGCTCAAGCAACTCTCGCATCATGCTCCTCGACGAAAAGTAGCTCTGAAGAAAGATGACGAGGTACTTTCGAGGAAGGAAAATGCCTGTTCCAAAGATCACGGAAGCCGGCCCTAAGCCCACAGCATTATTGAAAGTATAGAAACTGGCGGCTGGTAACACAAATCGACCGATGACCGGAACATATGAAAGGCTGAACACGACGAGAGAAATACCGCCCTTCCGGAGGAAGCGGTATAGAAACATAGAGACGGCTTGGGCGGTACTCTCAGAATGCGTGCTTCCATCAGACGCCCGATACATCTTGAGATTAGGATAGTACATGTCGCGGAGTTCCGAGGGTCTCTCACTCCTGTGCTTGTGAACATAGGTCGTATCCACCCATTGCAACGACTGCATGAAGCTTTTATGACTTGTTAGACATAGGCCAGGGGTATCTTATTCTGAATATTCAACTTACAGATTATCCAGGGTTGGTACAACATAACGCATAAGAGCCATGAGGAAGAAGGGGACTTGAAGAACATATTCTGCAACAAAATCGAGTCCCCCAACTAGCGTATCATCCCATGTCACAGCGTCAAGAGATACGAAGAATGAAATGAACCATATCAATACCTTAATACCAATGATCTGTATTTGAGGTTAGCGTTACTTCGCTTCTTCATGTCCCAGCTTTTGCTCACAGGCACAGTGATGATAAGTCTAATAGCAAGACCCGCCAGGACAGCGATCGCAGCTTGGCGATAGTGATCGGTAGTAAACAATGCTGGGTTTTGAAGTGCTCGATGAGCTGTATTAAATACTGGTAAGTAACAATGCTTCTTGAGGGGATTTGCAAGATAGAAAATGGATGTTCCTCACCTCCAACCAAAGTAAGTTGAGCGCCACGCATCACTGTGTTGGGATCGAAGTGGGAAACGTCGAATTTCTCCTCAAGCTTCTCCTTTAGTTTGTCCTTATCAACCTGTGTCTTATCCATGGCCGACATGCTGGAAACCTAACAAGTGTGCCCGAAGCAGTTGTAAGGGAACAAAGCTATGCACAGCTGACACGTAGAATGGGCGAAGTCTTGGTGGGCACGCTTTGTCGGGCGGTAACTTCGTCTGCCGGTTCAACAAGAGAACAAGGGTGTTGGTGAACTTGTTGAGGAGGATCGAGAAGTCTCGGATTTCGAACTTGCAGAGTTTGTGGTTAAGTTATGTGCGGGACGTCGGATGCAGTTTGGAATGATGTGGATTTTGAGGCTGTACCTACTATGTAAGGTGACGTAGGCAGTCGGACCTTGCTTTGCAGCTGAATTAGCTCTTGCTCAACTACCTATGGGTGTACCCACTGGGGAAATCACATGTGAGAACTGCGAACGAAGAAGCCTGGGAATGATACCCGTACTCCGTACTCTGTATACTGTCTAAGATCGTCTGGCAAGAGTCGCAATCCTCATGAAATTGCAATAAACCCCAAGTTCTAATACCCTGGAAGGGTATAGGCTTGAAACCAGGACAAGGGCTCCTCTAGTCACAGGCACATAAGTTTGGTTTGGTATGCCTTTCTTATTCTTGGTAGTGACAACCACTTGCTTTTTGACCGAGCGACCTATACCCCGTCACCACTTGCAAACTACCTGTCGGGTAACACAACTGTAGTTGCTAGCGGCCTTCATAGCCGACTTGATCATGCAAGGTCCGGTAAGTACCTATCAAGCAACAGGGAACCAGTGGGCCATACCAGCCCATGAATGCGTAAGCTGTAATACAAGAATATTACACATCAATATAAGAGCTGCTGTGAGATTTGAACCATATCTAGTAAGTGTAGGCTCAGCAATGGCGATGCGCAACAGTGTGTTGATATCTCATGTTTTCCAGAATTGAACACTCAAGCTTAGTACCTTAGTAGTACCTACTTACCTATTAAGGTAGTGGAGATCAAGGGCGGGACGTCGCCGTGATGGGATCAGCAGGCTGGAATGTTGAAGTGGATGACTAAGGCACGCACCCCTCCAGAATCCCCTGCACTCACATACCTTACCAGCCGTCATTTCAGTACTCCTTGAATCGAGGGAGTGAACAAAATTGATAGGTTCTGTGTCAGCCACCTCACGACATTCAGGTAGCTTTATTGTGATAACACTCTCTTGCCCAGCACTGAGGAACCCGTATCCGTTATCGCTCCCTTCAAGCGCGTCTCTCCTACCCTATAAACACTCCCTTCCAACTGTTGGTTGGTCAGGGGATCCACGACAGCGCCTTGCGACTCGGCGCAACAAATCCAACCATCACTACCGCCTTCTCGTAACTATGACCGGCCTCCTCTATCTGTCTCGTCGAGATGTTTGAGCTGCAGCCAGGTTGAAAGAAACTCTTGCGCTACCAGATATCAAATAACGCTGCGACGTCTCTATCATGGACGGCTTTGCGGAAGACCTGCCGCCGCATCGAGCCCCTCGAAGAGTGTCGACCACCCCATTGCCAGCACGAGATTCTACGGACACAGACACCCCCGATTCCGATCTAGTCGAAACACTCTACAGCCATCCAAATGTCAAAATCATTTCTTTTACAGCCACCGGACGAGCTTTCGCGAGGAGTCCTGGAGGTCCCGCCCTAAGCAATGTTGATCCACCTAACTCCTTATCATGGTCCTCGCAACTCGAAAGAACCATTGCCGTCGGTGAGTACTCGAAGATGGGCGCCCTTGGGCTTTTTTGCTAAGCAATGCGAGTAGGACCTTTTCGTATCTACCGAGCACCGAGATCTGTAGCTTTCTTGAGTTGTGGTTCTGCCTTACAACCAATCCTACGCAAGAGCCAGTGTTGGTGCATAGACGAGGTCAACAGCAGATTCGTTCTACAGATCCGTCGACCCAATTATTGGAGAATAGAGTTGCCGATTGACGACCCTGAAGATCAACAAAGAGCCGAAGAGTTGAGAGAGGTTCTTGACAAAATCCTCCAATTTGAAAAGACCGAATGCCCGTTCAAACGCACATTCACCGTTGATCTGCCCGAGCAGGTACCCGTGACAATTCTTCCTTGGACACCACGCTCGCAACCCATCATGCCGTCCGACGATGTAGCTTCGGTGTCCTCTACTGGCTCGCGGAGGTCATCCTTCGTGGGGAGAACGTCAACACCCACCCCCTTGAATAACAGCAGACAACATCCAGAAATTCCCACGAGTCCGATGTCCGGTAGGCCTGCGAGCGCGGCGTCTTGCGTGGTTCCAACGACAATATCTTTGTACGAGGAGTATGGTATGAGCATCGATCCGCTTCAGCCCAAAGGTACCGGTACTTCAGGCCACACAGAATCCAGCACAAAACCATTAGAGGTTGTGCCAGAACGTCCGACGGATGGTGATTTTCTAGATCCATTCCGTTCTAGCTTCCCCGAATCTTACAGCTCCCCCTCGTTCTCCACAGACCTTGGCTTACACGCCTCTCACGGCGGGTCATCCATACTTTCTTCTAGTCCTACACAAGACGATGCGTCTATGTATGAGCTACATGAAGGATCTGGTAACCGAGGTGGCCGCATGAAAGCTCGACTACGACGACGAACAGGGGTTTTTACAACGACTAGGTCTGCCACAATGCCACCACACTTGATGCCAACGATTGATGGGTCTAAGCCAACGTCTTCCGCATCAAGGGATCCGCTTCTAAGAAGTGCATCGGAAACAACGAGAAAACCTATCCTCCATAATGTAGAAGCTTCGCGTTCCACCGAAAATAAGAGCAAGTCGGAACCGCGAGCTTTGCCAACATCCCACCCACAGGGATCCGCACAACAATCGCGACTTCTACGCCGAGACAGCGAGGAATCTTTCCACAGCGTTGAGTCGTGGCATTCGTCTGGTGCCCCCCTTCATCCCTCGCCTCCTACATCTCACGCAGAATCATTTGTTGAATCGAGGAGGGAATCAAACGAGACAGACACCCTATCAGTCGAAGGATCTAAGATGAACAAATCCTCTCAAAGTAGGGGTACCTCTCCCATGCCTTGTGCGTGGGAATCCGACTCGGAGGATGACAGCGGGACATCGGACGAAAGCGAAGCCCTGGATGCAATACCGACCGGGGAACTTACTACTCAGGCCTCTATCGAAACAAAAGAAACAACACCGGCAGCTTCAGTACCCCAACGACCTTTCGTTCCACGTCATAGGGCGACAACCAGTAGTATTTCAGTGAGACAACGCGCCTTGTCACCCTTACCTCCGGCGGCGAACCTTTTTACGCCGGCTTCAACTATGGAGCGGCGCCCATACCGAAGTAGATTAGAAACTGTCAGGAACCTTCCAATGGCCATCATTGCCAAGACGTGTGAAATGATAATGGGCCCTCCCAGTTCCCTCATTCGTCTTATACTTAAGGTTGCGGCCAAGATTGCTTCTGGCCAGTGGAGGGGTTTGGTCTATGGGTACAGTGAGGACGGCGAGGAAATACCCGTTCAATGGGATTACTCCGAAGAAGAATTCAGCGACTGGAGCGGCGACGAGGATTATCAACATGACCATCGCAGCAGTCACAAACATCACGGGAAACGTGAACACCGGCATAACAGACACCGTAGTAGCCATGGCAAAGCGAGCCAGGGGTCAGGTGCTGAAAATGAGTTGCGTAGGCAGCCTTCATCGTCAGATGATAGCCGAAGCTGGGGTGTTGATTGAGTATCTTTGGCGTCCTTTAAGCGACTCATGCTATACGATGCTTGAGGATATTTTGTGTGAATGCTTATGAGGACATGTCCATGATTGTCAGTGGTATTTCGCCATATGGCAGGTTCGTTAACTTGAGCAGGACGTTTTGGTTGGGCGTTTGAAACAGAACCAACCGGCTTTGGTGATATAGAATTCAACATGTTGCGGTTTTACTCATCTTCTGGAATAAATTTTTCTGGGCTCGGGAGTCTGTATGAGCGTGTTATTTGGGATGTAATCCATTATTTAATTGTACATTAGTATTTCTCTTTGTAGTAAACAGGCTACTCTTCTCTACTGACTCATTTATCACATTCGCATGATCCTACCTCGCTTTGCCGTGTAGTCTCTTAGGGGTAAGACCGAATGTTCTATGGTATCTCTGTGATTCGGGGTTTGGTCTATTGCAAGGGACGCGAGGAATACGGAGGACACGACGTGAACCGAATTGAATATGTCATTGTTGGGGTGTGCAACTCACGACGCGATGGATGTGATGAATACGATGAATGCGATCGAAGCGAGAAAGAAACTAGTTCACTGGGTTTTGGTATTCCGGATAACCGAATGGTCAGAACACTCCAAGCGATTGGAAAAGATACTTGCGTGTGGTCGGTGTGGCCCGTCAGTAAGAACCGTATTGCTCGTATCCATCAACCATTGGCCAGCTTGGAGACTACAACAAGGTGGTCATTTCAGCGAAGATATGGCAAAACATCATTAACGATGGAAGTATTGGACGGGCCAGAGATCCACCAGCCTGGGTTCCAACGTATATAAGTAGGAAGGGGGCGCCCCCCAATAAAAGAATTATCTGGTGTTTCTTCAAGCCCCTGTTTGAGTAAGGGCCTTAATTGCACATTCAATATACGGCATTAAAATTGCAACAATGTCTGATGGTAAATATGGTAAGCGGTATCTCCATGCTGAATGCGACTCATTGCATGTTCTTGAGAAGCTGATAATTTTGTTAGTCGACACAAGTTACTGGTTCTACGCCCCTAACAAGGGTGCCGCTATCTTCTTCTGTGTTGGCTTCTGCTCTTCAGGATGTCTTCACATATACCAGTGCATGTATGTTGCCGCTACGAGTCCTCAGCACCTTAAACTTCAAGAAGTTTGGAAAGGGTTTCGGGTAGCTAATCCAATACAACAGACGCTACAAGTGCTGGAGATTGACACCGCTGTTCCCCTTCTGTGCTATTCTTTTTACCGTCGGACTTGTGCTCCGAGTATATGGAGCTTTCCATTACAACAACCTCAACATATTCATAGCGAGTATCTGTATCAACTATGCTGCTCCGTAAGTCCCTTGCTGTGTCTGGTATTCGGTCATGATACCGCGAGTTGACAATCGATAGCCCACTACTCGAACTTCAGAACTATCGTATCCTCGGTCGAATCTTGTATTACGTCCCGCATCACTCACCGATACACCCTGGCAGAGTCCTGACAACTTTTGGGTTTATATCAGGCATAATCGAGGCTCTTAATGGCTGGGGTGCCTCCTACTCAGCAAATCAGTCACTTACCAATAAGGAGATCGAAACAGGTCATGCTTTGATCAAGGCATCATTGCTTCTCCAGATCATGGTGGCGGTGTTATTTATGGCACTTGTTGCTACATTCTATCGACGGTGTACTATCGGTGGTATCAGCAACGAATCACTCAATCAGTCACTATGTACTCTGTGCATCAGCATAATCCTGATCCTGTCTCGGACCATATATCGTGTCGTGGAATATTTCAGCGTTGCTGAGCTTCGGTATGGCCCCAACTTGGATCCCGCTTCCATCAAAGCTGTTGTTAGGTACGAGTGGTACTTTTACGTGTTTGAGGCAACGGTTATGCTTATCAACATTACCATGTTCAATGTGCGCCATCCGCGGCGATACCTGCCCAAGAACAACAGGATCTACCTTGCCCCTGACGGTGCCACAGATATTGAGGGACCTGGTTACAAGGATCCACGAAAATTCTGGCAAACACTTTTCGATCCTCTTGACATCCGAGGAATGGTCAGTGGTCGTGGCAGGAAGACGGAGAGGTTTTGGGAAACATTCGAGGAACAGGGGACCGAGTCAACCAAGAACACGAGGACTAATCCAGGGGTAGTTTAGTAAGAGCCAAGCAATCACAATGGAGGAGAACTACCCATGAAGAGACATATTCCTGGTGAGGTAGAGAACACATCTAGGACACAGTGCCATGTATTCGATGTTAAGTCACAGTTTCGGGATAGCCTTTCGTGGTCTTTAGGCTTGTAACATGTGATTTACTACAAGTGAATCGAGAATTGGGAATTGGCGGTTGGAGGCTGACGCATGTACAGACGAGTGATAGTATCAGTGCATGCTACTCGAAAGCCATTCAGAAGCCAAGTGATTGCAAACCAAACTTTTGCATGGCATTCATTAGGTTGCCGCACAATGAGGACAGGCACTGCTACTTTGTTCAGAAAGTCGAAGAATGATATGCCATCAAAGGAGATAAAAGGATACAGCATCATATGCCAAAATCTCGGCACAAGACATGATTCAGCCTGTAGACAGTAGGAGTGCATGATAAAAACATTAGACATAATATTGGAAGCATCCGTTTGTTAATGCTCAGGATGGCTTCCATACCAATGCAAATGTACCCAAGCAGCCACCTAAAAGAGAGTAGCAAATTAAATGGGAGGACCGGCGGGAAGGATTCACAATAGACCAGGCCAGCGATTTATATGAGACAATCCCATGATCATTCATCGCCGAAGGATCAATCTCCATCCATAAGATGAAAACACAGCCTGCTTAATCCCAGGAGTCACTCAACACGGCGTACCTCTCGAAAGTTATATTACATGTTTGCTCAACGGTCACAAAGGTGAGATGATAAGATCTCTGCGCCATCTTAGCTCTGGCTGTTTTCGCACATAGGATTCGTTAATTGGGTTAGACAAGCCAAAAATAAACATGTTCAAGATACCAATTACTACGTAGGGACCGCTACACAGGCCTGTAAGCTCTTAAGGATGCCCCTCGCCACACCCTGCGGCCACTTTGCAAGCCTCGATGAGCTTTTAGCTTCGAATTGCAGGGGCAATGAAAGAAGCCCCATTGAACACTAACTGTTTTGGGCAGCATCATGGACAGACCAGAGGCCGTGCAACCCTCACCTCAGCTGAGTCGTTGCGCTGCTTGCAGTAAATTTGGATTGTTCCCGCGAGGACCAGTACGATGTTTGCTGTCGTCTCCGTTGTGACACCTCTAATATATTAGCCTTGGTCAATGAGGCTTGGTGGGCTTATGATCTCCTACAATTGACCCAAGAAAAACCCAGGTCATGTTTCAACGAAACGCCAAGAAACAGATCCCCATCATCCCTGTTCCGTTGGATCATTAGCTTCCTCCACGAGCTTTATGCAGGGCGACTGAGACCACAATCGGCGGCTTGTACTAGATGGTGCTGACAGTCGAGTCGGGCACTGTACATTCAGCTCGCCGGAAGACAGGTCAGGTGGCAAGATAGGACGAGTTAGACCTAATATTCAGCGTTAGATATGCCAGTTTTCCAAAATATTCATTACTTCCGGGTCACCTATCATCCCTCTACAAAGACCTTCACTGTCCTGTGTACGACCAGGCCTCACCCCGTCACGATCGCTTTTGATCAAGTTTGCTCCGGCTCAATGACTTTACCTTAATTTAAGATCCCTCAGGCTCACTCTGACGCGCGACGGGGATATGCCACACTAGGGGCGGAGAACAACTCCAAGTCTAAGCCTCCCAACTGGAGCAACTCCATAACACATTCTTCTCACATATCTTCATGCCTTGTGTCGTTCCGTTCTCTTTTCCTTCTCCCTCCCCCCTCTTCGCTTCTCCCTCTTATTCACAATCTTCCTCTTGCTGCGAACTATTATACTCGAGAGCCGAACGTACTTCGAGTCGATCATCTCCCTGATATCATTAAAGATCCGCTGTAGGATCCTCTGCCCTGTCAACGCTAAAAGTTGCCTTCTTTCACACGCCAGGACCAGTTGTCTTTGGTTGAATACGAGTCCCGTCTATCTTTGAAGCGTATTGCAAGACTCTCCATAGGTAGCCAGCCAGCACATCCTCGTGAAGGGCGTCACCATGGGGGAACGGCCAGCCGTTTATGTTCACCTAGAAATGGGCATCTCACTGCCCAAGATCATGTCCAAAGACCGACACATCACATACATCTCGAAAAGTATGAGAGATCGAGCGAATCAGTTTCCTCGACAATTGCCTCCTGCAAACACCAACTATCTCGACGCTCCAACGCAGTACCATCACCCACACCCACAAGTGCCAGCTCAAACTCAACCGCATCATCAATTTGCTGACACTGCGAACAATCTACAGCCCAGCCACTGTGATACATATCCTGTGTCGACTAATATAAACCATGAACAAGACTATCAGCCATACCGCCCCCCACAGACACAGCACAATGTCAAAGAATACTATGCGCCTGCTTCAACGGTAAAGCAGCGTAGCGCGCTACAGATTGGAGATTATCGAAGAAGCTTGCGATCGACAGACCGAAGCTCCCATGAGCGCGGCAAATCTGCACCGCCGCCATTGAACAGCAGCCCTTGGGATGTAACTCCAAACAATACCTCAGGGGTTGCACCTCAAATCTGGAAAGCACTGCCTGCAACTCCCAATCAGTTTCGACTAGGGGAAGGTGATATGCCATGGGACGCCTGGAACTTTCCCATGGGGTTCAACGATAATAATGAAGACGGCGATTATAACGAAAGGACCGAGAACCGAGCTCGCTCGAGAGAAGCCAGTCTTCGGGCTACTTGGGGACCTGAACATCCTGGCGAATTGCCACGTTCTTCTCTGCCCGTACAAATCGATGACCGGGCAAGAGGCAAAGCCAAGGACATACAGTCTTTAGCCTCGGCATTGATGACAGTCGATAACGGGTTCGAAGACCAGTGGTGGTATCAAGGCCCCCGACTTGTCAACATACATGGTACTGTAATGGTACCTACAGCCGTTCCACAGTCCAGCTTTCACCCAGATCACCAGCAGAGCTCTGTGGGATGGGCGGTATCCCAGGAGGAAGAGGAGCGACAAAGAGATCAGAAACATCAGCATCAAAGTCGGTTGCAGCAAGAGAGCCAAGATCGGCAACGACGTCGACAAAGGCATCTGTCTCTTCAAGAGCGCCAGCTTGAGTCTTTCTCTCCGTCAACCACATCGTTCCAACCTATCTCACCACGGTCAAGCGTGGTTGATATCGTGTCGCCCCTAAGCGACTCTTCAAGCCCATTATCAAATTTTAGGGGCCTGCGTCGCTCTTTGACCACGCGGTCTGACGAACTTCACATAGGCTCGAGCAACACATCTTAAATTTCGCAGTCTAGTTGCAAGCTCACAGCAATTTGTTGGATTGAAAACGGCGTCCGGCCCGCGACCAGGTCGAGCACGGCACAAGTTATGGACTTCCATTCAGCGTGGCGTAAACCGACCAAGCTTCAGAGCATCTGGTGCTAATTTCACGGTCCTAGGATAAAATATGGTGTTGCTGACAACTGTGCGGTGATGAGACGGATGCATTGCGTCCTGGCCAGACTCTTGCCTCACGCACAACCCTCCCATCATTGGACATTCGCAAGTTTGGCTGCTTCGGTATAGTTCAAATACTGAGCGTTTCTGCAAGCCCGTCAATACCCTGAGCGAGTCTATAACTCACTGCGACGCGCGGAATGGTTCAAGTTGACCCGATGTGCGTTGGGAATAACATAAACAGCCCTAACTTGTCCACCTATTTTCAGTATGGAGATACCAGGAAGGCATTCATGGGTGTTCGACAATACTTCTAATATCACTTAAAACTTAGTTATAAAGGACAGGCCCTATACATAGCTATTTGTTGTCTAGTTGTTGCAGTGAATTAAGCCGTCCAGAGCCGATGGCTACACGATGAAAACAAGTTATTCTATCTCACCAAGTGGGACTGCAAACCACATGTATCGCATTTGAGAGGTTGAAAATGAATGAAACTGGAACGATGACTACCTAAGGTAGCGAGGAGAGAGAAGATAACTATAGTGATGTAACATAACTGGACTCGTCGCAGGGTAGGTGAGACCTAAGAATGGATGTCATCGTACCTAGGTGAAGCGTTTCACTCTGTTCCCGTGTTCCAAAGGAGTATTCAGCGCCGGCTCACTGACTTTTAACGGGTGAAGCCGGATGCCATTGGCTGCTCGGCTAACCCGTCGGTCATCGGGTAGTGGAGCCCTCGCCTAAAACCAATGGGATATGGAGGAAATGGAAGTGATAGCTATGCCGGACATGTACTTCCTCAGTTGCTTATGATACTTAGCGCTACCGCCCCTTTGGACCTAGGTGTGTACCTGGATGCTGACGCATGCGTTAACTGAGGTACCTCGACCTAAAGCTTGCCGAGTCACTTGTTTGTGGGTGGAACATCGCGAATCATTGTCCGAGCTCCGACTTCGTGTGTGTTCCTTTTTTCCTCCTGACCTGTTCTCCACCTCCCTCTATTCAAATCCAACACCAGCCCGCGATACCAACAGTCGCATCCTCTCTCTTCGACATTCTCCATATACTCCTTCAAGATGCTTTCAAGAAGCATCGCTACCGCGGCCCGTATGGTGCCTGCTAGGGCGCTGCGGCCCCGTTCGCATCCTCTCGTCATGCTGCCGTCCATGATGCAGACCGTACGCACCTATGCCGATTCCGTCATCAAGGTTCCCCAGATGGCCGAGTCTATTTCTGAAGGTACTCTCAAGCAATTTTCGAAGAGCGTTGGCGACTATGTGGAGCAAGACGAGGAAATTGCTACCATTGAGACCGACAAGGTATGCCGTCATAACAGGATAAAAACTGTCAAAATTCCAATTTCTTATTGATCCCCGGAGAATAGATCGATGTTGCAGTCAATGCTACCGAGTCTGGTACCATCAAGGAGTTCTTGGTAGGCGAGGAGGATACCGTGACCGTTGGGCAGGATCTCGTTCGCATTGAGCTTGGTGGCGCGCCATCGGGCGATAAGAAGGATGCTCCTAAGGATGAACCCAAGCAATCCGAACCCGAGTCAAAAGCCGAGTCAAAACCTGAGCCGAAACAAGAGTCTGCCCCTGAGCCTAAAAAGGAATCTGCTCCTGCTCCTAGGAAGCCCGAGACTCCCAAGCAGCCCGAGAAGAAGGAGTCAAAGTCTGAGTCTACCGCCTCAAGCGGACCCTCGATGGGCAACCGAGAAGAGCGTCGGGTAAGTTGGTGCCAATTGCATTGACAGTACTTCCGGAGGTGGCTGTATAATTGCTAAACATATATGCAGGTCAAAATGAACCGTATGCGACTCCGAATCGCCGAGCGTCTCAAGCAGTCCCAAAACACTGCTGCTTCACTGACCACCTTCAACGAGGTCGATATGTCCAACATCATGGAGTTCCGCAAGCTCTACAAGGAGGACGTTCTCAAGAAGACTGGCGTCAAGCTCGGTTTCATGAGCGCTTTCTCTCGGGCTTGTGTTCTTGCTATGCGTGATCTTCCTGCTGTCAACGCTTCCATCGAAGGACCCAATGGTGGTGACACCATTGTCTACCGCGACTACGTCGACATCAGCGTGGCTGTCGCTACTGAGAAGGGTCTTGTTACCCCCGTTGTCAGGAATGCCGAGTCTATGGACATGATTGGCATCGAGCAGTCAATTTCCGATATGGGCAAGAAGGTACGCCAATCCCGCCGCACACGGAAGCTTATTCGACCACTAACCATGCACTCGTAGGCTCGTGACAACAAGTTGACGATTGAGGATATGGCAGGTGGGACTTTTACTATCAGCAACGGCGGTGTCTTTGGCTCTCTGATGGGTACACCGATCATCAACCTTCCTCAAAGCGCCGTTCTTGGGCTCCATGCCATCAAGGAGCGTCCTGTAGCAGTGAACGGAAAGATCGAAATCCGGCCTATGATGTACCTCGCTCTGACTTACGACCATCGTCTGTTGGATGGTCGGGAGGCCGTGCAATTCCTCGTCAAGGTAAAGGAATTTATTGAGGATCCTCGGAGGATGCTCCTGTAAAAGATATAACATAATATAGAGTAACTCAATCCCTATAGCCCATAGCAAATAGTCTTGCCTACGTGGTTTAATTAACTATACTGTTATGTATAAATAAGTAATTTATCATAATATGTTAAGTAAATATATTTATTAAATAAGATAAATATCCTTACTTAATAATATTATTTTATATATTATCTTAGTTATTTTTATTTTATTTTGTATTTTTAATCTCTAATTTTATTAAGCCTAGGCTTTTAAAATCTCTTAATAATATTAATAATAAAAATAACCTTTTTTAAGGTTAAAAACTGAATATAATTAGGATATTAAATATTATATATAATAACTAAACTTTAATTAAATAAATATATATAATAGCTATATATATAAAAACTAGCTTTCTCTATACCCTTAACTTAATTTATACTATAAGCTAGTTAATTAACCTTTATAGCTATAGTTAGTTAATTAACCTCTAGTCCCCCTTCGGGTTATATTACTAATCTCTTTTATAATTATAATAATAAGTAATACTATCTAAATAATAAATACCTACTATAATATAAGTCTCGGCCTAACCTATAATAAGATCTTAAGATTAAGATAGGGTATGATTTTAAAGGCTAGTTAGTACCTCCCTATAGTTAATAGGATAACTATAGCTTAGTTATTAAGCCTAATAAATTAAAATACCTTATTAAAATAGAAAGGATATTATTAATAGTTAATTACTTTTAATTATAAGCTTTTAGTATTTTTTTATATATAATTAAGTAAGAACCTTTATTAAATAAAAATACTAAGTTTAAGGTAAATAAAGAATTAACTTAAAAGCCTAAAAAGCTTATAAAAGGTTTTAAAAGGGTTAATCTTTAAAATTAAGTATTTTTTATTAAGGTATTTAACTTAAAGCTTAACTATATAATTTAATATAATTACTTAAAGAAATAGATTAAATAGGTAATTAAGGCTAGTATATTATAAAAATAATAATTAATTAAAAGCTAGGTAGGTATAATAATTATATTAAATTAAAGCTTAAAGAAAGGAAGTTCTATCTATATAGAAATTTTATATAAAATTTAATTAGGTCTTAGTTAAAAGTTAAGGTTTAATTAGTAATTAATTAATAAACTAATTAAATATTATAATTATCTTTTTACTAATTAAAGCTAGCCTTAATAATTTATATAAATAGTAATATATTTATATTTTTATTAAATATTAATAGTATTAATTACTATTAAGTAACTAGCTTAAGTATTTTAAAGTCTTTATAAAAGTAAGTCTTTTATTAATTAATATTATAAAAGTAATCCTTAGAGTTAAATATAAATAACTTTTTTCTATTTTTTATTTTTATTTTTTTAATATTATAATATTTTCTTTATTACTATACTTATTTAATTTCTTTTTTAAATCTTTATACTTTATAATCTTTATTTATATTAATTTATATTAAATTCTTTTTAATTTTATAATTTATTATTATTATTATATTTTATATTTTTTAAACCTTTTATATAAAGCCTTATTGATTTAATAATAACCTTTTTAATAATAATTAACCTATTTTTATTAAAATCTTAAAATAGACTTTTATTTAAAATAATAAGGATATTTATATAATCTATATATATATTTAATAATTTTACCTTAGTATTTTATTTATTACCTTTTTTAAAAATAGTATTATAATTAAGTCTTTTAGTTATATTTTTAAGAGTTTTTATAGTTTTTATTATATTACTTATCTTAATAATAAGTATTTAAATTATAGGTAAGTCTTTTTTAAAAGTATTTTAAATTTAGATTTTATTAATTTATATCTTTTTAATATACCTATTATATTAAAAAGGGACTTTTAGAATATTATTTAAATAACTTTTTATTTTTATTTATTTATAATTAAAATAAAGAAAATAATAATCTTTATTAATTTTTAAAGCTAATTTAGTTTAATATAGCTATTATTATATATTACTTAATTATATTACTATTAAATGAGTATTAATTACCTTTCTTATTTTATTTACTTATTATAAAGAGGGTTTATTAAATTATATAATCTTAATTAATTAATTATAATAGCTTTTTCCTTTATAACTAAAAGACTTTTTAACCTTTAATAAAAAACTCTATTATATAATATATATAAACTTTCTTTTTATATTATTTAAATCCTTAAACCGATTTTATTATTATTATTAAGTCTATTAACTATTTATTAAATTTATTTATTTTTAAATTTATGTTATTATTATTTAATATATTAAAGAAAGTAATCTTTATTTTTATTAATATATTAATTAGGCCTAATAATTTAAGCTTTTCTTTTTTAAAATAGTTAAGAAATAATATCTTTATTTTAAGTTATATCTTTTTATATAAATAATTATTATTATAAATAAAGAGGTAAGGTAATTAAAAAACCTTATAGTTATAAATAGTAAGTATAATCTTAATTTTCTAATTTATAGGCTTAATACTTACCTTAATAGTATAGTATACCTTAGTTTTATAAAATAAGTATTATAATTATTAATATTTATTAAGGTCTTTATTAATTACCTTATAAAGTATTTCTTAACTATATTAAAATTCCTTTTTATAGGCCCTAGCTATATTACTATTATTAACTAGCTAAAGGTCTTTATAAAAAGGTATAAAAGGCTTAGTAGTTACTTAATAATTGCGATCTTTTTATATAGATATAGGTTAATTAAAGTAAAATATAGAGAGGGAAAAGTAGCCCTAGTAGGTAATCCTTATAGGGGTTTTTATATTATTAAGAAATAGAATTATAATTAATATAGTAAGTAATCTTATTAAATTTAAAATATTATTACTTTTTAGCTTATATAAAGACCTTTATTATTAATATTTTTATAGATTTAATTAAGATAGTTAGATCTCTTTCTTAAAGGTATTACTAGACTTAATATAAATTATTATATATTACCTTATTAACTTTTTCCTTTTTTTTTAAGGAGATATATTATTATTATTTTAATTTTAAAAGTAAGAAAAATATCTTTATTATAAGTCTTATTTCTATTTAATTAATTATTTCTTTTTAATATTATTTATAAATAAATTATTATATTTATAATATCTTAGCCTTTTAATATTATATTATTTTAATTTAATAATATTCTTTTTTTACTTTTAGTTTAATATATTACTTTATTCTATATAATTTTAATTTTATTTTAATGTTTTATTTTTAAAAGATTTTAACTTAAATCCTTTAAAATAATATTTAATAACGTTTTATTTATAATAATACTATTAATAATATAATTTAAATTACTTTAAAAAAGGCTTTTTAAGTTAATTTTAATAACCTTTTAAATTTAATAAATATTATTATTTTAATTAGGTTTATATAAAAATTCTTTCCCTAGTTAATAATATTATTAATAATATTATATATTATATTATAGTATAGTAAGATCTTAATAAGGGTTATATGATCTCATTTAATTCCTCGGCCTAAAGCTACCTTTAACTTTAGGCTACCTTAACTTTAACTTTAACTTTAATTAATAGAATATATATTCCTTTAAGTAATATATTAACCTTCTACCTTTCTACCCCCCCTTAACGCCTTATATATAACTTCTATTAAATCTAGCTTTACTTTATACCTTTCCTAGCCTTAATTACCTATTTAATTTACTTTTTTAAGTAATTATATTAAACTATATAGTTAAGCTTTAACTTAAATACCTTAATAAACAAGGTTTTAGTCTTAAAAATTAACCTTTTTAAAAGCCTTTTTTTTAGATTTCTTAGGCTTTTAAGTTAATTTTTTATATACCTTAAACTTAACATTTTTATTTAATAAGACTTTTAACTTAACTATATATAAAAGAATACTAAAAGATTATAATTAAAGGTAATTAATTTAATTAAATTATAATTATGTTATTTAATATAACCCTAGTTAATAATATTATTAATAATATTATATATTATATTATAGAAGTAAGTATAGTAAGATTTTAATAAGGATTATATAATCTAATTTAATTCCTTAGCCTAAAGCTACCTTTAACTTTAGGCTACCTTAACTTTAACTTTAACTCTAAATATATATTCCTCCGATATATTTTAACCTTCTACCTTTACCTTCCTAGCCCCTTAGCACCTTATATATAACTTCTATTACTATCCTTAATAATTATATACTTTTAGTCTTAGACTAAGTATTATAACCCTAGCGCCTATATTATATATACCCTATATTTTCTTACCTATTATATATAGTTACTACTATACTATATAATATATATAGTAATTATTATAATACGGTTACCTCTTAATATTAAAATTACTTAATAATTAATATAATTATTAATAACTATAATAATTACTATAGTAACTACCTTTAGTATATAAAATATATTTATTAATATTTTTATAAATATTAACTTACTAGCTATTAATATAACTTCTTTACCTAAATATACCTAACCTACTCTATTTACTATTAAAAGATATAATATTTTATAACTACTTAATATAACCCCCTATAGTATTTATTAATATAAACTTAATACAGACTAGTTTATCCCTTAAGAAACCTAACCGTTATATATTAATAGCTTTTATTTAGTATTATATTATATTACCTTAAGTAATATAAACGTAATAGCTTTAATAATTCCTAACTAACCTATTATGGCCGTACCTAGCTAATAGGTAACCCTAGCCAAGAATATTACTCTCGCTAAGGAACTTCTAGAAATACCTATAGATATTAATAAAAAAGAAAAGATCTATCCTATTACTTATAAAGATAAGGTTAAGAAACTTAAATAAATTATTAAAGGTATATAAAAGAATTATAATAATTTACTAAACGTTACTAAATATAACTCTAGAGAATCCTTATCTAAGATTAAGGATCTAAAGGAAAAACTTAATAAAGTTATAAACCTTACCGAACTACTTAGCTAAGATATAAATAATACTTAAAAACTATATAAAAAATATATTAAGTATATTAT